ATGCCTCGAATTCTTAGGACAGAAAACCCTCCTATCGTCTACGGAATACACCGCGCGATCATAGTAATACCGGCCGCATATGCTGAGTTCTCCTTTACATCATCCCATGCCGACTACATCGTCATATCTTGTCGATGATGGTCTTCTTTAGACATACACAGAAGTAGTGCGACCTCACCCACGCCGCCCACCAGGTCAATGGAAGTTCAAGCTCAGGTCACCACAGTGATGTCAAGTGACACTAGTCGGCGCCATGTGAGACATCTAATGCAGGCCGTGGTCGAACGCCTTGTTTGACAGAGACGCGCTAAGACGATCACGGCCGCCTGTTGGACGAGTTTGAGCATGTACATCAGGTACGTACATGAAAGTAGATTCCCAAATAGAATATTTATGATAACTAGGTATAAATGGCCGACATGCTAATCTATTAGACATAATCTAGCATGCCAAGCTAATACGATAAACTAACCCGCGATTTCTCGGAATGTTCAGCCTCCGAAGCCTAATGGATTAAAGAGGTTCAGTCGTGCGACCGGTCCATATTGGCGATTCGCTTTAGCTGGATATTTAGGACCGGCCCGTGCGCAAGCTCAAATCACAGCGCAAGTTGAACCCCCGTAAAGCCAGCGAATCAGCATCTTTAACCTTGTCCCCGATAGCCTAGCGCTGTCTCATAAAAGTATTTCTGGGCGCTTCGGCTATACGGCCGTATCATTGGCGGCCTGGTAACAATTAAAGGTTAAAAAAATATTATTCTGGAAGTAAATACTGTATGTAAGCAGAATAAGAATAAAAATAAATCAAAACCTTGGAAGGGAATCCGAAAACGAAAGGGAGAATTGGAAAAAAGAAAGTTGTTCACGACGCATAATATGTATGGAGATTAGCCACATGTAAGGTGGTCGATAAGGCTCGGTAGATTCCATGGCAGCGGAAGCCTAGACCGGATAAGTTTAATTCAGACAGAATACTAATTAGTGCGAGCATAATTGAGCTAGCCTTATTTACGAGTCGAAGATGCAATGACTAGAAATTCGAATTAAATGCCTAGGCGGGACAGATTGTGCGAGTGATTGCGTGCGAAGCACCTCACTACGGAGTGCGAGTCCAGTCGTCCGTACTTCCTAAGCACGTTAGCCTAGGGCCTATTCTGGCGAGCCGACCATAATTGTACATTATCATTGGGTTCGTCTGTGCAAAAGGAGCTAGGAACTACGGAGCACGGAGCGGTTAGCATACTACAGTCTACCGCGGAGTTCCGTAGATTAATTCATAGGCACCCCGGCCTGCGGCTAGGAGGAAGATCCTGGATAAGTTACGTGGCCTCTTTAGTTTCAGCTGTGCACATCGCAAGTAATGAAATTGAAGATCAAAACCTTCTCAAAGGAGCAAAAAAGGGGGCAGGTAACTACGTACGTACTGTAGGCACCCAGGAGGCTCGGGTTCGGAAAAAATAGATGCATATTTCCTTATGAACATAGCGTCCACTTTGTTCAGTTCTTCGCTTTTTGTTTTTATTTTATTTTATGTTTTTTAATTCAAGTTTGAAAATGTTAATCGGGAACTAGAATTCCATCAAGCTTTTTACCGTCAGCATAGTTAAAATCGAAACCATGGCCGCGTCAGTGATATACGAGTACGAGTCACGAGGGTTCTACTAAAGCGAAGAGAAAAGAACACTGTGGCTTTTTGCAACCGAATTTTGTGTATCCCCGATCCGATATATCCATGTCAAGAATATACTTCCGAGTGGCTTTCTGCCTAGAAGAGGCTGATTGTTGGTGCCGACACAGCCGTGGAAGTCACTTAGGTACTCAAAAACAATCATGTGGGGGGCAAAGGGGGTGGTTATTTCCTTGGTCGCGTTGGTGCTAAATACCAATAGTTTGTCTAATCTTAAGTCCTTGTTTTACCTTTTACCTTTTACCTTTATCCATTTTCCTAATTTATGCAATCTTCTAAATAAATTCCTTTTTTTCTCCCCGAATCTGATTACTTGTCGCTCTTCTCCGAACAAAGAACCATGGTCAACGGTGTCGGGGGTGGAAATCCCGAGGTCCGTGTAAGTAATAAAACACAAGCGTGGAATACCCGGAAATAAATTAGAAATAAATTAGAAATCAAAATAAGAAAAATAAGAAAAATAAGAAAAATCAAAATCAAGTGGGGCGATACCCTTGTACTTTATTTTGATTCTTTTTTCAACGCGGAAATAAAAAAGCAATAAATTGCAGCAATATAAAACGCAATCAAGTTATTGCCTATCCAGGGCTAGTACCATTTGCAAATGCCAAGCATTAAGGAAGGAAGCAGCCAGCAGCTGGTCTGATGGGCTAGAATGGAAAAACCATGGATGCGGCCTCTCTAAGCGAGCATAAAGTTCAGCGTCTCCTCGTGTTGGATTAAGCTTAAGCTTCAGTGAGCGCGCACTAACCACCTTTTTGCTGCGATCAGAGCGCCACCCTTCAGAATGCGTCTGACACAGATCATTTACGTTGTACACGTACATCAGTCCACAGATACATAGTCACCTTGATTTTTATTCTTGCTTATTCTGATTTCTGATTCTGAGTTTGATCAGAAATTTTTTTTTTTTATGTAATTGCTAATACATATGTTAGGTATATTATATTATATTATTTTCAGTCGGTTTGTCAATCTGTACTTGGCTTTCTCCATCCTGGAATGGAGATGCCTTGCGAAGGGGTTAAAAGCCAAGACTCACCAAATTAACCTTACTGGGCCTTTCGCCCCCCACCCCCCACTCCACCATCCTTGTCAAGCCACCGTAAGCTTAGCCAAGGCCCTTCTTAAGAGCTTCCAAGCATCCAAGCAGGTCTGGAATGATCAAGTTGGTAATCTTGTTCTTTGAATCTTTGCCTCCTTCATTAGTACTTCCTTTCTCCTTTTGACAAGGGGATAAGATAGAAGTTAAAGACTAGTCTCGATCTCCCCTATATTGTAAGAGGGGGCGACCGGGACTAATTCACGCCAGCGCTAGGCCAAACCAATTTGATACACGGCACAGGATACATAATAAGGCGTGCATATACATGTCCAGGTATAGGAATATCAATGTATATCTATAATCTTGGAACAGAGAAACTAAACCTAGTTACTAGTAGCATAAAAAGAGTACTTTTAACTATGGATAGTATGTATGTACACTGTACATTGATGTACAGCGAGTGGAGCACTAAGTTGCAGGAATAATGGTCATCATTTTAATTTGCACAATCAAGACGATCAGTTCGATTTCTTTTTATTCATTTTCATTTATCTTTCTCACCTTCTTTGAGTCTAAGATTAAAATACGAAAGTCAACCAGACCTGGCCATACCAGGTGGTCAGGATAGCCGCCCAACCATGTGCCACATTTTGCCTTCGCCACATCTCAAGCCCCCTGGGCTCCACTGATCGTAATTCTATCTGGCCTTGTCCCAGGGTTCTGATGCATAACAGCTGGAGAGTCAGGCGAGATCATTCTATGGATTTCAAATCAATCATAATCAAAGGTGCCAGAACCTGCATTGTTCATAAATTAATTTCCGCCAATTTTTTCCTTTTTTTATTCCCCTTTCTCCCGTTTTGCCTATCGCACTGTGCATCTGGATCGTCATTTGCTCCATCTTTCAACCTTAGTTGCGCGTCTCCACCTAACTCTGTTTCTTAGGAGGCTATTGTATTACGGGGAGGAAATCTTTCAATTTTTAATAAATTTTTTTTTTTTTTTACATTTCTCACAATTCATTCTTTAATCTTTTTTGTTCTGTTTCATTGTTAAAGAATTAAAATTTTGGGGCCTTTAGTAATGTGTTTGATATCTGTTTTAATCGTGTAATTTTGCATTTGACTTTCCGTTTCGTTCGCCCCTGTAACCTGTGATGTTCCCACTCTGGGCATCGTTATCGTGTATTGTATGTGTATTTGTAGCTCATTCTTGGGACTTCTCGGCGTTTACATCTGTAGGAACCTCCGAAATCTGGGTCTTGGACCTGTCTGGTTCCTTTATTTAACCTTCTTTTGATGATAGCTCATTGTTCTCCCCTTCTGGGGATCCTCTTCCTTTGGCTTTAATAAATGATATCACCTTGCTTCAGGCATCCCTTTCTGTCTGGGGGCCTTTGTGATTTTGATGTATAGAATATTGGATCATCTAGCTCATCCTTATAACCTCTTCTACTCTGAGACAGTCATAGAGGGCCTAAGCTCACTCCTTCCGAGCCCGAACCTTGTGGGGTCCAAGAAACAAGAGAAGAGGCCCCGTTTTCTTTGAGCCTTTTTTTACTCTCGCTCTTTTCTTACCCTTATGCTCCTGTCGGCATTCTTTACGTCCGCTTTAACTCCACTGCCCCACATCCAATCTCTGCAGGCTGGCGTGCAGCCTGTTTTGCCCTTTCGGTTCAAAATTCAAAATTCAAAATTAATAATAATTAAATATTTTAGAAAAATAAAAAAATAAAAATTACAATAAAATCCAAACCCAAAAAATTAAAATAAAACTACGCCAAACCCTACTAACCCTGTTAGGTGACGTAAAAAAAAGCTCGGCCTGTACCCACCTAGCACACTTTCAATCCACTACTCAGCCTACCCCATACCCGATCATCAATGACTCGGATCCCGGTTCCTCTTATATGGGTTGGACCGCACCTCTCTACGCAAACTTTGTGACTTCTTTCTGTTTTCCCTTTCCCTCTTTCACCACCTCCCACCATCCCATCATCATATTGCTTCAACCGGGATCAATATCAGAAGGGACCAGAATCAACATTTACACAGCCTTACTAGATCCCGCATCTATTTACAACCACGTCGGCGATTCTCCGAACAACAAGAAAAGAGAGAACACTCAAATCAATCAGTATCAACTTAACTCACTGATAGATAGACATCACTAGTTGGGGTCGCATATCAGATATCTTATCAATCATAACGTCAACCTGGCCGTTAAACCTACCATCCCGTCTGGGTCGTCATTTCACTCAAGAGACTGGATGGAGACTTACTACGGACACGTCCGCACCCCGGCGGACGCAATAATCTTATTTGAGGCCTGTCGCATGGGCTTATTACCCCGGGTACAACGACGACTTTCAGAAAAGGAACGTCAATCAATTCGATCAGGCTCAGTATTCGTCTGGGATGAGCGGGAAGCAGGCATGCGCCGATGGACAGACGGCAAATCATGGAGTGCGAGCCGCGTTTCAGGCAGCTTTCTAACATATCGGGAGATGGAAGGCAAACGTGGCGGTGGTAGCGTTTCACAGAATTCCGTACCAAGATCCGGCAAAACACCAGAGAGCAGAGGTAGCGATGACGACCGCGATGGAACTGATGAAGGTCCAGACGGTTACCGATATAAGCCCGATGGGTTGATGAAACAGTCTTTCAGTATCACAACATCAACCGGTCAACATCTTCATTTAATAAGCTACTACGCTCGCGCTCACTCGTCTGCCCTGGCTCTCCAACAACCTACCACCGACCCAGCACTACGTCACGTTCGTCCCCAAAAAGGCCTATACCCAGAGTCAACAGTCAACGATCAACAAAATCTCCCCGTTGTAACTCGAGGTCCCATGGCCGGTGCAGCTTACCCAATTACTCCCCATCCACCCATGGGCGCATACCCCCCTCGCGCCACCCATGCGCCATCATATGCACCTTCATATACATGGGGACCACCAACACCACTCCCAACACCCCCAAGCGTCTCAGTCCACTACGGTCCCGCATACATCCCAGCCGTCTCAGGACCAAATGGCGCGCCCCAATATGGTCAACCACCTCACCAACCACCTCACCAACCGCCTCCTCACCTCTCTCAACACCATGGACATGGATTACCACCACCACCACCTCCTCCCCACGGTATTCCCATGTATGAACGCCCACACCATGAATCCGCCCACCCCGCCGGTCCACCCCCAGCCGGCCCACCAGGCTATCCAGGCCGCTCACCACAGATGCGCGAACACATGGAGCGAGGAAGCCCCCGCGGCTACGGTCAACCGATGGGCGATCCCCGTCTTGCATCTCCGCGCGTCGTCTCAGCACCCGGCATCCCACAACCAAACGGCATCACAAAAAGTCCTCACATACTCAAACAGACTTCCCCATCGGTACATCAGCTCGTTCCCATCGGCACACCTCCAAAGCAAACAGAACAGGGCCCCGCCGGTGCTGTCCCTGGTATCGGCTCTCTAATGGCCTCCGCATCGCTTGCACCAATGACAGCAGCTGGTCATCCCGCTGGCTCAGGGAGCCCGGGAGCAGGTACTCCCCGCCCCGGTGTATCAGGCGAAGGACCACGAGACATTCCAAATGAAAAGATCGGCTTTGTAGGAGAAGATATGCGTGCACTGCGCCAGTTGGACAGAGTGTTCACAGCCTAAGCTGCCATGCACCCTGAGCTGAGCATCTTCAACCTCAACCTCAATCTTAAATTCATTTCATCTTTCTGAAACCCAAAAAAACTCTTAGAGTCAGATCGGATCTCTTCAGTTTCAACCAATTTGTCATTTATCGGAGCCAGGTGTTATTTTACATGATATCCATTATGTTTGTGCTTTACTGGTTTTAGCATTTTGCATGGGTCGGAGGCTATCTGCATTATTTATGTCTATGTCTATTTCTATTCTCCTTTCATGTATAGTCATGTTACGGGTGCCTTAGGCCTTTTCAATTGTTATCACATCATCATATCTTATTTATGCATTGGGATCGGTTTACACGGTGGGAATGGGGTCTGGTCTTGGTATTTGTTAGTCAAAGGATTTCGACTTTGCTTATTTCTTTGTCAACAATGGATACATTGGCTGCCAGAATAGATTGCCATCAATTGACGATTTTACCTCATCATTATTCATCCTGTAGATCGTAAATAACACAAGTAAGCTAAGCCATTGGATATCGCTAAGACAGGCCCAACCAAACTTAATCCAGACTAGAACTAACAGTCATATGGGCATCTCCTGGGCAGTCCACGTAGGACCTCTTCTATGCTGTTGGAGTCAATATGTCCCAAGGTTTCGTATAGACATACTCAATGGTAGCTAAATTCTAATGCCCTGCGGTCCCTTGCATCCCATACACAGTGTGAACAGTCATGCCCTTTTCCAACTCCCACCAGAAACTCTCGAGCGGGTCGCCTAAGAGCTGCGGCTTATCAACCAAATTGTAAGCAGTATCGTTGTTTCCAAGTTCACCGGTAGGACCCATACGACTTCAATAACCTCGCCTGAAGATCTCTACCGGCGAAGCTCTAGAATCTAGAGTCCAACGGAGTCATGCCCCGACTGTTCTCCCGATCGATCTCCTTGGAATTGTCTTGAATAACCTGCTCTAACAAGGACTGGTACTCACTCGCTCCACCGAGCGCTAAACATGCAAAGTGAAGGGACGTGTCGCCGTCATAGTCCCGCTGAGAATATTCAATCCTACCCGCATCTCAGCATCCAGCATACGTTCCCATATATCCGTCTTTAAGCGCAATGGACTTATCGATAGAAGATTGCGAAATGCGTGCTTTAATCCGAGTGAGCCCCAGTTCTTGAAGTGAATATTTCCCATATTGAGACACGGACAAAATCAGCCACTCGTGCATGCTGCCGTTTGACTCCCCATGCACTGAACTCTCCTCCCCGCGTGACAGATGGCATGATAGTACAGCGAGAGGAAGACTTCTGGGCAATCCCTTCGAGGATGGAGGCCATAGTATTCCAAGTCTGCGTACGAGATGTCACATTGCCCGTGGGCTAGCTAGCTCAAGCTGTGTACCAATTAGACTGCAGCCAATGGCTTCATCGTGCCCTAGGAAGCCACAACGTACTTTTTTTCTATGATGAAAATACCGCGAATTCGAGGCTCGATGCACCATTTATTACCGGTCCGCTGCATCCAAAACCGGACGACCAACATCTTGAAGGGGAAGGGGCACAGAACTCTCAATCCATATTTTAGTCAGAAGGCATCAAAGATCCAATCGGCGGCCCACTTGATATATATTTACATCCAGATTTTATGACCATAGCGAAAAGAAGACGCTATTGTCGCCTAGATGACTTTCATAGCCTTGGAGTCATACTATATGTGATCGCCATGTGGGAGCCGGCTAATGGGTATTACACCAAAGGCGCTGGCGCCAAAAAGGGAGCAAGTCAACTACTTGAAGGTGCTAGAGAAGATCTGGCAGCTGAGGTCGGCGAAATTTACCAGCAGGCTGTCATGGACTGTATTTGCGGATTACGACCAAAGTTGTCGTGTCACAAAAAACAGGGTGATAAAAAGCCGGGAGATTATGAAGGTATTCATAGAGAGGATCCCGAGCAAGGCATTGAAAGCGACTTTCTTTGGAGAGTTGTCAGACAGCTTGAGAATCTAGAAAGTTTGATGATGCTAGAACTTTAGGATTCCAACGGTGGCTTTGAGGAAGCTCAATACAGTAGCTTAATATCCCCCCGGGGGTGAACTTGTCGTTTATCAAGACTTGATATTGTGACAGGCCAGCTCAGCCTAGCCTGAGGGAATGCAATTTCATATTCTCTATCTAACTGGCATTCTAAGAAAGCAAACAGAGTGCAATTTGAGTACTGCACCCAAAATAAGTCAAACTGATGCGAGCGATGAACGAATCATCTAAGGAGTCCGCGAATACACCACAAGACCGAGTGGCGTAATCCGTGATGAGCAACGGACAAAAGTTTCTTGATAATGAAGCTGGCCCCCCTTAGCAAAAGTCAAGCCCTCTGCCTAAAACCATGGTTAGTTGGCGAATATCAATATCTTCTCATCAAGAACATACCGTATCACATTCTCCTGGATCCCCGGCGGTTGCCATGTCTTTAGATTGACCAGGGTCAACACCGCAGAGGATCAGGACATATTCGTCGGATGAAACGTGGCCCTTCAAGTTCTTCGCATATCGACTGGCTTCTAGGCAGAGAGCCAACCAAGTCAGTAACCATGAGATGGTATTAATAGAACTTGCGCTTAAGAGGGAGTCAGAGCGACTGACTGGAGGAGACAACACTGCAATAAAACCCACGTCCAAACATGCATTCATCACCTAATAACTTATGAGGACCATATCATGATGAATCGAAATGGGATTGAAAATCATTTCAACACTCACTGGCCCGTTCAAGTAAAAATCCCTCCTTCAAAATGTTGCAGAGATTACACTCTGGCTTGTCACATGGATCTAGAGAACCACTTCCGATAGTACAGGCGCGCCGTGTTCCATGAAACCGAAGTTGAAGTTTTGGGTCTTTGCGATTCTTTCTAGAAGTGACGGCATTAGCTTGGCAAATATACTATTGGTATGGCTTCTGATGAACTAAGAGTACTATGTATACTCACATAACATAGATACGCTTTAATTTAGCTGTTGTACCGGGGTGTTTCCACTGAGAAGTGAACAGTCGAAAGACTACTTGGTTAGAAATTATCTTCCAGTCGATGTGATTATGGCATACCTTCTTTGTAAAAGGGCCAATCGGTTGCCAGTTCTAACAGTTCCTATAGTTAAGAATGATAAGAGAAGGTCAATGAAAGATTATTGAGGTGACTCGTACCATGACATTTTCAGTGACTGAGACTATGTCCGAGACTGATGCTGTATCAGAGACTGACAATGTGTCCTCGATTGATTCTGTGTCCGAAAGTGTTGCTTGGTCTACGAGCGTTGCTGTATCCAAAACTTTTGATGTGTCCATGACTGCTGCTGCGTATAAGACTGTAGCTGTGTCTAGAACTGTTGCTATGTCTGGGACTGTATCTGCGCCTGTGACTGTTGCTGTATCCGAAGCTGTATCCGAAGCTGTATCCGTATCTGTGTCTGAAGCTGCTGCTGTGTCTAGGACAGTATCTGGGGTCGTTATTGTATCTGGTTCTGAAGCTGTTATTGTGTCTAGGATAGTGCCTGGGGATGTTACTGTGTTTGAAGCTGTTGCTTTATTTGATGCCTTTTTTGAAAAAGGAAAAATGTCGCGGAAGAATTATGAGATGGCTCGTGGTATAGTGTTCCAAGGTTGTCAAAGAGGTCACTGTAGTTGAGAGTAGGTAGAAGAAGCATCTGCTTAGGTTGTGCCAGTCAACCCCCCTTCTTAAAAACTAATGTTGAGCCCGCAGGCCAACGGAGCATTCAGTAATCTGTGATTTCCACACGATTCCATTGGGTAAATTCCGGTTCAACAATCAAACGAACGCGCGGCCCAAACGACCCGATCCTGAATATAATAGACCCCGATGCTGGCTTCAAGTTGGTAGAGATGGTCTATCGCCTCTCTTGGACTCGTTGGAATAGACATACCACCTACTACCCAGTAGCCCAAGAGAGAAAATGTCTGACCCGTCTCCTCAAAACCGTCAAAATATATTTTTCACAACTATTAATATCATCTGGAACATGATAAATGTGTGTCTGCGGCCATTTCAATTTTCAAGCCAGGGGTATGAAATTATTCCAGAGTCGGATTCAAGTTTGGTAGATGATCATGATGAGAACCAGCAACCTTCTACAATCCCACGATTGCGCTTTTTGGAAGACACCGTGACCGAAACAGATCCCCAAAGGCAAGCTCTCAGAAGAGCAGCCCAGGAGACCCGCGACGTTCTCCAAGTGACTTTGAGTGACCTCAAAACCACTGAAGAAGCCAATAGATCCAAGAAGATATCGATAGATTCCTACCGTCGCCTACGTCGCTCCGAATGCCCCCGCCTTCCATCGCGTGCCAGAGTCCAGGTCATGAACGAAGATACCCTTAACGTTGCCATCAGGCTATTTCAGAAAGCGCAAAGAAACAGTTTCAATCGAGATAGCCGAGAACTTCGCCCCATCATCATCAACTTTGCCAGCCATCGAAAGCCAGGTGGCGGTTGGCTGAACGGTGCAATGGCACAGGAAGAAGCAATCTGCTACCGCAGCTCATTAGCTCTAAGCCTTAACGAAAAAGACTATCCTCTCTGTCTTCACGAGGCAATCTACAGTCCATATGTCCTGGTGATGCGAGAAGACCTAGCCTCCGGCCATGTCCTAATGACCCGCACTACCCGACCAGAGGACCTTCCGATGGTCAGCGTGATTACAATCGCGGCTATTTGTCGACCAAGACTCGATGAGGACTGTCTAAATACAGACGGGAAACGGCCGCATGATCAAACGTCATCATCAAGTTCGTCCTCGTGTCGGCAGACACAACAAATATTCGCCCGTGACAGGGATCGTGATCTCACCAAGAACAAAATGAAGTTGGCGCTCCGCATTGCGGCGAGGAACAAGCATCAGATGCTAGTACTTGGGGCATTGGGGTGTGGGGTCTATGCAAATCCTCCTGATGATATCGCGAAGTGTTGGCTTGAGGTTCTGACGGAGTTTGAGTTCTCTGAGGGGAATTGGTGGAGTGATGTTTGTTTTGCTGTCTACGACGTGAAGAATGAAGGCAACTTTGAAGTTTTTACGAATGTTTTGGCTGGAAAGCGAGTTTAGATTGGGAATCAATTTCTTTGTCTGTTTTCTAGCTTGAGTTTGACAATTCCACTGCGTGTCAACGTGGGTTGAAATCGCCGAAAGATTTGCACTCTGTTCCATATCGCATTTAATAAATGGGTATTTGGAATGGTATTCAAAACAGCGCATCCCAAAGTATCCTTGATAATACTATCACCGTTCTTTCCTTGATCATGACATTTCAAACCACTAATGTCGTGTATGTAGACATGACCGGGAGACTAAGTACCTACTTGAAGATAGGTGCATAGCAAAAATGTCAACTCTACATGATCATTCTTCAAGTTCTGCATTGCATACTCCTCTTGGGATATATCTCATTTCATAGTAGGTGTCGAGTCAGAAACCCTAACTTGAACTTCATAGCTTTTCATCGTGCGTATTTAGATAGGTAGAAAAAGAAAACTCAGAATTCCAGATACTAAGAAAAAATTTTGAAATATTATTTTCAGACCCGTCATGAATCCAAATTCGCGCTTCCTTGGACATGTAGTGAGATAGAGACTGTTGGTATAACTTGAAGATGCACGTCGCCCCCAGCATTGAAAACGGCGATCATTTACGGCCCGTGCCACTGCTATCAATCAAAATGCTGGGGAAATGATTACATCACGGAAGTCTGTGCACTGATTAAATGATGGATCTAGACACCTTACATGGTGTGAAATGATATGTCTTTCCGGATACCTCATCTCGCCTCATGCACAGACCTGTGCGATGCACATGTATGATACGACCGTGACCCTGAATATTCAAGGGTCTTTTCTAGCATGGCACGAGTCATGTCAGTGAAGACAGGAAGTTCACCAGGCTCCCCGGAATGATCTAAGGCATATCATGCATGTCTGAATATTATTTCTTCCGGTACTGAGCACTATGTACTGAAACTTTGAACGTCATATTACGACTGAATCATATGCTATATACTATACTTTTACAGGCCATTGGAGAGGATATCAACGAAAGTATGGCGTCCAGTGCACAGTGTCTTTTAAACAAATAATTATGTGTGCCCAAAAGAAAACCGAGTGACGCTTTAGAGCCGTGATATGCAAGACTCGAGTACTTTACCCGACCTGCACGCGACGAGGGAAGACAGTTACTCTTATTTTTATTGCCGGCTTTGAACTTCTTATTTCGCTTTTCTTCCTGATGTCGAATTTAAAACTTCTAAAAAATGCCGACGGAGATCAAGCGCTGATCAGGCTGCGAAATTGCCGGCACTCAAGATCATGTATATCGCTCCGAGCCATAGGAAGAGCAGTTGTCAATATCATGGTCTAACTTTGAAAACAAGGGCACGAGACCCATCTCCATTTTGAGTAAGAATGGTTTCTCATTAAATCTTCATCGGGCCAATATTTTGTCTTCGGAGCTGTATTTTAGTACGAAGAGCATATGTAGACATAGAAATGCACGTTTTCTCCCGATTCGATACAGATATATGGAGTGCGTAGCAAACATTAAGGTTTATTGTAATGTAAATTCGACAGAATGAGATACTCGAGGTTTTTGATACGTCGAGCTAGATGTTAGCTATACTCGTTAGTATCTCCCCCTTGGGGGGCTCACGAGCTCCTCAAGCAGCGACAGCAACCTTATGAACAAACATCCAAGATCTCGGTGTTTGCTCTTCACTTGCAAGAAAAACATTCGTACTGGTTTAAATCTCCTGCCCAAAATGGGCATCCCCTTGGACCTGGAATCTGTTCGACTTTCGGCCTGACTATTATCTGGGCTGTTATTGGGTCGTTGAAGGTGGTCCGTGTAGATTTTGTTGGGTCAAGTCGGTGATGAGTATCGTCATGGCGATGCAGATTTTTCAGACCTCATCTGATTCTTGCTGACCTTTCCTGACCTTTAGCTTAAATATAACTGGTACCTACCCCATCTCTCCGAGCCCCTCTGGGACCAAGTGACTTAAATGTTGATCCGAGACAACAAATTTCCCGGTTTCAAGATGAATTGGGGGCCATCATTAAGCATTCAGCCGATTTTCATATTTAACTTTTCTTTTTGCTTTTTTCTATATTCATTTCATTAAAACGATCGGTCTAGTGGACCAGGGGTGTCGTCGATATATTCCCTTTTTTGGGGCTTTGTTTTTTTTGCTTTTTCTGTGCAGGTCCCGAGGGAACCAAACCAACCGACTGGAAGTGGATGATGCTTATGCAGTAAAAGGTTGATATAATGCGAACGATCATAGGGTGGCTGCTCTAGACTGCAGTGGAATTCAAGCCTCCTTGTTTTCCGCATTGCGCCTGTAAGAAGCAAATATAGGACTAGGTACTTCGTAGAGTAGGTAGAAGACGGAGTAACCCGACCATCCCATTACGGAGTCGGGTACGTGGGATCAGCCCAGAGGGCCGCCCTAAGCCTCCGAATGTCTCCATTATGGGTCGATGTGGATCTCGGCTGGATGAAAGGTTGATTGGCTGATGGGTGCAGAGGTCAAAGATCTCAGCCTCTGCAGTGCATCCAATCCAGGAGCGGATCTTCGAATCGTCGGCAAACCTACTGGATTGAGACACGAGGTCATGTGGATCGTTGGTGTTTTTTTTCTGGTGGTCAAACCGCACGAAGCGCGCCAACTTTCAATCATTCATTTGATTCATTCGTGGCTGTGATGTATTCGGAAGTGCATTATGACCTTCGTTTTCGTTTAGTCTGCTTTTTGTTCCTTTGTACTCTGTAACTTGTGTGATATTACTAACGTATTGTGCGTATTCAATAGGTATTTAGTCCATTATAGAATTCCAAGGCTTGCTATTACAGGCATGCTCTCCACATCTTACCCCCGAACCCCCAAATTTTCCCCATCATCATGCCAGTTATGCATTCCCCCTTAATACATTGCACATACTGTACATCAGATGCCATGGCTAAAAGTCGGCTATACTGAAACATTCCAATGTGGTTGTTTGGAACACTTCGGTTCCAACCGGTGGTTCCCCCACCTCGACTTAGGCGGGAACAACCTTCATTTCAAGACCCGCCGGAACCCGGTGATCGCAGTATACGGGCAGGCGGTCGCAGGGATGTCAATGCAACCTGCAATTCCTTTCATTGTAAAGTGATACTCCCATGTCCGGCGGAATACATATGTAGAGCTATTATGATGTAGAGAAGATTTAGTTATGCATCCACACCCCCTCTTTTTTTCCAAGCTTAGTTATTTCCCCATTTTGCCTGACGCAATTGGGGAAACGGGACAAAAAAAAGAAACCTTGGAAACGAATGGGAAAAAGAAAAGAAAGGGCAATCCACAATGACTTTATTTCATCCCAATGTTTCAGGTTCATGGATCAACAGGCCCCGAGCGATCGCTGTTTCTTGCACGTAGATCTCCTCGGAAGAGAACATCGTGTCTTAATGTTAACCGCCCAGACAGCCCCATCTAATTGCATTAAGTCGTTTGACCAAGTGGAGAGAAGGCACCCGCGAATTCCGGTTCCTGGACTCATTTAGGTCCAACCTTCGACTAAGAAGGCAACTAGCATGGATCGCTCTGTCTGAAACCTTCGCGGATTCCCACTTGGAGCCACCCGCCTCTCTCAGCTGATGCAGTTTGGGGGAAAGTGTATGTGGAAAACGGCTAAAAGGCTCCTTGGAGCATACAGCACACTTGCTTGTCACTTGGATTTCCTTTCTTCCCCTCTTTTCGGTCATACGAGAAGTGGGCGAAAGGGAGGAGGAGGTCCTTTCCCACCCCCAAACCCTGTCATCTTAACTCCTATGACAGCTATTACCTTGTTTGTCGTCCGGCAGATGGCTAGGGGGGGCTTGTGCTGCAAGTGTACGATCCACTTGCCACATTCCTAACCCCTTCAAGAAGCTCAAGTGACAAGCTAGTCAGTATACTTCCCGCTTCGTATAGCTCCATAGTCCGGAAGAACTGTATACGGCCAGGTCAAAAAACATAAAAAAATGAAACAAAAATGAAGCCAAACAATAAACCTCAGCAATGAATGGATAGGTCTACCATTCCCCCCTCTCTCCTCCCTAAGATATTTACCCTCCAATCAAGCGACATCCTTCTCAAGTGGGAAAAGTAACCGGTCGCCAGACGCAATCCAACTGCACTAGCGAGTGGTGGAACCCGCAGGAAGTACGTACACTCCGAACCCTGTCAATTCCCTGCAGCGGATGTCTGTGCTGGTCATTTCAGAAGATCTGGCCCACATCGTTTTTTTTACCCCAGATTGTTGGCGTCGTACACCAAGGGGAAAAATTGCGTAACAGGTTCCAATCTCGGCCGATCGTGTACCTTGAAAAAGAAAAGAAAAAGAAGGAACCAGAAAAAAATCCCAACCCACCCCATGATGCGCTTAGGCTGGAGCCACAGTTGGAGATTGGGATTATCCTCCGGGAATGGTAAGAGGGCGCGACGATGGCTTAGAAGCTAATAGGGAGCTAATCAGGGCGTTCGTGAAACCGGGCTGCGCATTTTGCGCATTGAAAATTCATTAGTAGCATTCAATGTTGCCTAGGTGTTATTACTATTAGTTTTCTACTATTACTACTCCGCGTCCGTATACGGAGTAGCCATGTACTTTTTCTCTTCTTCTTCTTCTTCTTCTTCCCCGAGTCTCTCTCTCTTTCTATACATGGATGTATATTTAGATTTGTTTTTTAGGGTCGCCTCTTAGGTAAATTTTGCTCGTCTCTTTCTACCCAATGCTTTTTTTTTCTTGTCCAGTGTATGTGCTCCGTACTTTGGCCCCCATCGCGGCTGTGTACGACTGATCGTTTAGTTGACTCTCTTGAGCGTGGGGACAATTATATCAATGGTTCTGTTTTCTTTTTCCTTTTTCCTTTTTAATTTCTGGAATGAAAATCATTGAGAAAAAATAATAATAAAATCAAACAAAAATCTTGGAATGGATTTAGTGTACTAATTATTATGGAGTAGCTCCCGGAACTATGGTATTCCCCTGCAAGTGAGATGCAAATCTCCAACTAGTAATTAAATACAATATATAGCATCGGAGCCAAGGCCTTGTTATGGGATGGACTTGGCCCGTGTAGAAACCCATCAGGTTCCAGGCTCCGGGATTGACATGATCCTCATCCGCCTGAATGCCCACTTACCTGAGTAATAGGTGCAATGCGATTGAACGAGAGCACCTTGCACCTGCATCTTTGACCCTCACGCTCGGACACAAACGTCTTGCGCCTTCCTACTACGTAGTAGGAAACGGGAAGATGGGATCCTATGAAAATCTCAATCCTGGATGGGTCGAAATGTGGTGGATCATTTGGTGATTGTTACTTATTGTGTCTTGCCTTTTTGGCGGGAGAGAGAAGAGGGTATAATGGGAAGAGAAGAAAAAGTAAAAATAACCATGGAAGTTTGGATCCAAAGGTTGGGAATTAGAATGAAAATGGCAATAAATCGTAAATAAATCGTAAAAATAACAATAATAAAATAAAATAAAATTAATCAAATAATAAAATTAACCCAAAACGAAAATCATCGTCGTTTCCCTCACTTCTTCACTGCAAATCAGGGCGCCAGATTGAACATGCTTGGCAGCCTCCCCCGCAATGCAAAGTTTAACCTTTTAAAATATTTCGATCCTATGATGAGGATGACCTCAGGCTAGATTCTATTACGCATTCTTATTATGTGGGAAATTAGTCCATTCATCCATACAAAACTGTGGCCCTTCTCCTCAATGATCTTCCGCCTGATCAGCAAGAATATAGTGTGAAAAAAATACCCTTTTAACCTATAACATCCTGCCTTTCCCCTCTCTCTGTCTGGCTTTCCCTCCTTCCCTCTCTCCCCACCCCATTTATACATGTACCCGGTTGCCGGCTCCTCCTCCCCGACCCATTTTTCCCTTCCCCCTCTCTCTATCCTCCCACGTCAGCGTATATCTTAGGTGTCCCTCGGTGCCCAACTTTTCACCCGGACACATGTTCAATGTTGTCCATGCAGCCATATCCCATTCACCCAGATTTGAATGGATCTGGTCTACAAACCGATGGTTGCGCCGGAGGCCCCTCTGATATCCCCACTTTCGCCGGGATCGACACTTTACGAGCCAGCGTTTCCAGTGCCAGCACCGGCGCCAGTCCAGATGATACATCAACCGATTCGCCGGACTGGACCGGCGTAAACGACCAGTCGTCCTCCCCTGCGGATTATGATGCGCAAGCCCATTTCTCCCGATCGCAAAACCCCGATGCATACATGTTCGACGCTCACGGTCACCCCCACGTGCAACTCGACGATATGTCTGATCTCCCGCCCAAGGTCGAGGAGATTGAGGATGATGATATTCAAAGTGTCAAGCCATCCGATGCGGGGAGTGTGTACGACCTTGAATCCTCGGGTGCTCCCGCCTCCGTTCCACGGAAACGTGGGCGCCCACGCAAACATCCGCTCCCTACACCGGGGAACCAAGCCAAGATTACCAAGGGTCGGTCCAAGACTGGTTGTATAACCTGTCGACGACGGAAGAAGAAATGCGACGAGACAAAGCCTGCGTGAGTGATGCGACTTCCAGCCGGACTAGCCGGATAAACACTTCCCCATGATCGATCGCTCTATTTTTTGGTGCTTTTGGTGTACGGAACAACAAAACTAATCCGGTCATTTTACTACTAGGTGTCTTAACTGTCAGAAGAATGCAGTCGTATGTGAAGGCTATCCTCCGAAGGAAATATGGAAGAGTGGGAAGCAGAAAATGGCTGATGGTACGGAATTCCAATCTCGACCAGACTTGCTTGGGCGCAAACATCCTTGATCCCTGACTAACCAAATTCTCCATGTTCATTATAGCCGTCCGAACCCATGTTGCAACCGTGCCCCGCAACCTTCCTATCCTCATCGATGGCATCGAAACAGAGATCGACCGTCGCTTCCTCGACCATTTCGTCTACGGATTTAGCCGGGTCTTAACCCTCATCAACGATGATTCGAACCCGTTCAAAGAAATCTTGCTACCCATGGCAACCCAACACCGCGGATTGATGCATTCTCTCATGTGCCTGTCAGGGTCGCACTTGTCTGGTCTGGATCCAGAGCCAAAGTTGAAGGAGCGTAAATATTTCCATTTTCACCGTGCTATTCGGGATTTGAAGGAAAATATCACTGCGACCTCGTCTTCGTCTGCTGCTAAATCCAATGACCAGGATCCGGACTCGCCTGATGACCAGCAACTGCTCGTGGAGGATCCGATCATTGCGTCCACCATCGCACTTAGTTTAAATACAATCTGTGAGGGCGAAACCAATGGCGAATACCGACCGCATATGGACGCCGCTCGGTACCTGCTTGTGTCGCAACAGCCACGCAACGAGAAGTTCCGACAGTTCATTGTGGAGTTCTTCCAGTACCACGATGTCTCGAATGCCCTCACATCCCTCGACCGTCGACCCGCACTTCTGCAAGGTGGTATGCGCATGCCTGACTGTGTGCCTGGTGCTCAAGCAGGCATGTTTGTGGGTGTATTTGATGGATTATTCAACTACATCTCTGAGATCACCAAGCTTAGAGACCGGATCCGAGACCGGTTTAACGAGGGCTACGAGCCAGCAGTTGACTATCAGACCCTGAGCGAGGCAGTGCAAATCGACAGCGCCATCCGAATCTGGAAGACTTCACACGAACCCGACTCATCTAACTGGTGCTTGGCTCAACTATACCGACAGTCTACCTGGGTGTACTTGTTCCGCACCATCCGACCCTCGCGTCCCAGCGACAAGATTGCCCAGGTCGTCGACGACGGCCTTGCTTACCTTGACCGTCTCCCCCAGGACGCTGGCGCTTACAGCATCGTTCTTATGCCACTCTTCCTCCTGGGCTGCTCAGCATTCGTACCACAGCAACGCGAGCGAATCCAAAAGGGCTTCGAGTCCCTCAAAGCATACTCCAACCTTCGCAACATCGAACCAGCCTTCAAGGTTGTCACTCGTATCTGGGAAATCATGGATACCCAGATCGAAGACAGCTGGGACTGGGAAAAGATTATCCATGACATGAACATGGATTTCCTCATAACCTGAGGTTTCATTTGATTTGTCTTCTCTATTTTACCCTTTTTTTGATACCCGTTCTTAACCATCTTCATTTCATTCCTTGTCACCAGAATCTTCCCTTTCAGTGACAAGGACCTCTTCTTCATAAATGTTATTGAATGTCCTCCAACGAGCATGATGATCAATGCTTCTTGAAATATGTACTATGTGGCGTTCTGTTTTGTTCAAGTTCTACTTGCATCTGCATTTGGCGGTGGGCTGCGTTTGTTTTCAGCTGGCAGGTGGGTACAAACGGTGTGTGTCATATTCTGTAAGGGGTACCCTCGAAAAATCCTGGAAGGTCTGGTCTGGTTTAGTGGGGACTGGACTGGACACATTCCTTCCAAGGTTCAAGGGAAAGAATGCATGTGCATACATACGATACTTTCTGTATGTATGTATCACTTGTCTTTCCTTTCCTTTTTTGTTTTTCGCATGGGACCCCCGGATATGCACAGTAAAAATGAGGGGATGGTGTTAGTGTCCCATATTAGTGCTTAAGTGCTCACTGATGGGAAATATCGTGACGACAGATGGGCGTTTCAATTGCTTATTTCTTGCTAGGGATATTCTATTTTTGAATATCCTTGGATGGTTCTTGTGCTGTATATATCCATTTTTCTTGTATGTATTGTCGCAAATTTAATCCTTAAAAGGACAGCAGTGTATTATAGTATGATTGGATTATGTTTACGTTTTCGCTTCTATGGAATTTATGCAAGTGTATGATTTCTTTCAGATATTTTGAGCATTCAATTACTATGATTAGTCCAAAAAGCCAGCTAACACGGTTAATTTCTATCTTTTTTTTAAAAAAAGAGGAGAAAAGAAGCTCTATCTACTTGAGCCCTAGAAGATCTTCCACTCTCGCCCAAAAGAGCCCTAATCATAGAGGATTGACAAAGCTTGAATACCATTGACTGAGAATCAAGAGCATTGGCAGAGGATAAATAGTAGTCACAGAGATAAAATATCATTGACATATTGGGAAGAGCATCGTTTTGCAAGGATTTCAAGTTAGTCATTTCATATACATATATAATGTCTTCTAAACGGAATAAAGACTCAATCTCTGGACCCCCAAGTAAAGGGAGATAGAGATCCCTAGTAGCCTTCTCTAGAGCCACCCTGCACGGTTTCCCCATTGGCAGTCTTCAATTCGCCCAGCATAGCATTACGGAAAACTCCAACATCTGTAGTAACAGAAATCATATCAAAGCCCTGTTGGGCCCGCTTCTGAGCATCGTTTCCATCGGTACCTAGTAAAGTTAGAGACAATTTCCGCCAAGAAGAAAGTATGACAAAACTCACAAAAAATAGCAGCCTTCTTTCCAGAGGCATGGGCAGCAGCCTTAATACGCTGGATAGAAGCCTCATGCTCCTCCCCACCACGCTTAACACCTGTTTGCAAGGCAAGATCGAAGGGTCCAATGAAAAGCACATCAATGCCGGGAACAGCAGCAATCTTCTCTACATTCTCAAGTCCAGACTTCGACTCAATCTGAACGGCGACAGTAATGCCCTTCTGGGCTCCTTGGTCATATTGGGCGCCAGGGTCCACGTTAGGGAAAGAGTGTGGCGCGAACATCGGGCCATATCCTCGTGAACCGTGGGGTGGGTACTTAGTCCACTTTACGACGTTGGCGGCATCGACCTAGCATTCGAGCGGTTAGTTTCATTCTCGGAAAGACTGTGCTAGCATTGAATTGCATACCTCTGAGTGACACATGGGAGTCATGATTCCATGCGCACCAGCATCAAGAGCACGCTTGATCATCCATTCTTCGGCATTGGGGACACGAATAATAGGGCTAGCATTTTCAGAACCAATGGAGTTGTTGAGCTGGAGTAACTAATTAGTATGGTGACCGTGCGAGCGGAGACAATTCGTCGCAAAAAGACCGACCTCATAGTAGTGGTGATCGGAGATCAATCCGTGCTCTGCATCAACCAAAACCCAGGAGAACCGAGTACTCGATCCGGTAGAACCGTGTAGAATTGTTTTCGCAACGCCGGCGCTGGGTAGTCTACATAATCCAAAACATCATCGTTAGTCATGCCATTGCGTGGGGGGTACACTGCTCCGAGCTTGAGCTATACGTACGTGAGCCAGAAGCCGAATGCGGGGGATGATCCCTGGAAAGTAGCCTGGATGGGAGTTGTGAAGGACATTTTGAGGATATATGATTGTGAGAATAAATCAGATCGGGAGAGAAGGAGATGAATTTTAGTTGTAATGATGAGGGACGTGGGGGACTTCCCCGCGGTGGATGTTTCGGGAGCAATTATGCCGACCTCGGTGGCCTGCGCTCGGGGTAACTCCGCACTTGCGCCGAGCTATAAATGATCTTTATTTTCAGCTCCAGTAGAACATATGAGACAAAGGAGTTGAATGACATATACTACTGTATGTATGGTGATCATCGAGCAGTATTTCAACTGTCTGTGAGCTTTACTGAGGGTACAATATATGCATACTCTTGGTCTTGAGATTTGTTGATTCCCGAGGTCAAACTGCGCCTGCGGGGAATGGAATGTGGGGGTCACGGCGAGACGGATGGATGACATTTCCAGGGCGCGGATTGTTGATTTTCTCGCATTATCTCGACCTATAGTTAAATGACTAGACGATGAAACTTGAAAAATGTAAGTCTCGGGATCGAATTTAATAGCACAGACCACACTCAAAAACACACGCGGCCAGTCGCGACGCTGCAACTGAAGCAGCTCTTTCTGTATTAGATGTACAAGAACGTCTCTTCAATCTCATGGCTACACAATACTCTAACATCTACGCCCTCTCTGTTTACACCGTCGATGCTTCTATCTTCTTATCTGTCAGTCCTTGAATTCCCTCCCTCAGACCCTGCTTTACTATATCGGATTGATCGAGTGATTGAAAAGGCCAAACACCGCCTTGAATCGCTGAAGGCAAGGGTTTCATTGGCAAATTAAGGGTTGCCGATTTTGCAGCTCTGTCATCTGACAATGCAACCTTTGTTACAAATTCGATTCCAGGAACCAAGCTTTCCGATCCGCCAACCCGATCAAATGGGAGGGGGGATCAATTACCCATATAGCTCTGCCCCAAAAAGTCACTCGCAATTCCAAGAACCAAGTACCATGCCAATCTTTCATCCTGGCCAAATCGACAATACGCTCAATTTTGACGATCTAATTGATCCGAATTTGGATATTGCGGCATGGGTTCAACAGATGGGCCAGATGAGCGGCATGGAATGGGAATAAAGCACGTCTCGAGTGATTTGAACATTATTGCAACCGTGATATATTGCAATTGATTTTGATAAGAAAACAAAAGCACTACTATATCCCTCCAATAAATCTGTTTTCGCCTTGTATAATTTTATTCCCGATCCGTGGCATCTTTGCTGGGTATAACAAGTGAGCTGGTCAAATTGACATCTTCCTCTGCTTTCGCATACACGTGTAGCTCATCGAAAGCCCATGTAAATGGTATATGGCCTGAGGGTCCCTCTTGCCCACGATACCACCTTTGTGACGAATGTGATTGATCTCTTCAAGTGATTTCGGATTGTGAGGGACTTCACTCGACTCCTATGATCTTGACGGTGTTTTTGAAAGTATTGATTCTGATAACCTTGGATACAATAATGGAATTCGGAGAATGTCTATGCTTTGCTTTCTATAGCATAGGCTAGCCACATGCTGTTGTCAGTTGGGGTAAGTGGGGCACCGTTGCGGGATGGAGTCCAGCGATCTTTACCCCTTTGAACAGTTCAATGCAAAGAATTATCAGGATCAGAGCTGCATACAGTATACTAGATTTACATTGAGATTATACTATAGTATGCTGCGGGAAAATCCGTCGCTCCTTCGATCTGAGGTTGATCTCAAGATCGAGCCGTACCTTCCTAATCGGGGCGTTGGAGAGCTCCTTCCTCGCTTAACGCAAGGCGCCACGCTAGCTGACTCATCTGGAAGAGTGACCCACTATGGCCAATCATAGTGTCATATTCAATCGGGCCCCGTTTATAGTCCGGTTTTACAGCCCGGGCCTAAACGAGAACGAAGTTCGCTTGGAGCTTGTGATTATCAGTTGCAGGGGAAAGCCAAAAGTCAGGGATACATCAGGTCGCCTTTTGCTTCTTTTGTAGTCCAGGATGCTGGTTAACCGTTAAGCTTGTGCTTGTGCTTGGGTCGCCATCATTATTCTACCGTCATTTCTAAGGTTGACATCATTCACCCGTTATTTGCTCACTATTTTGTACCCGGTAAATTTTCCGAGATACGATTGAAACTTATCAACACAGCTTGTCTTTGATGGAGGTGGTTTAGAGGTGAAGGGCAGTTTTCAACTGATAACTAGCAAGGCTGACACTTGATCATGGAGAAGGAAGAGATCATTGCCGATATCAACGCGCAAAAGGAGGGTGCCAACCTCCACGCGGCTCTTCAAGATGCTGTTTACAATCTGTCCCTGCGAGCTGTCAACCCGGTAGACGTCAAGGTCAGCAATATTACTCTTGATCTCAACACAGCGCCGCCACTATGGGAGTCTTCGCCTTCACAAATATGGCAGCGCATTCGGGGCCAGAAACCTGAAGGCACCTCCAAACGAATTCTGGATGGAGTTAGCGCAGAGATGTCAAGTGGAAGCTTGACAGCTATTATTGGAAGCAGTGGCTCAGGAAAGACCTCATTACTCAATTTAATGGCTGGTCGGATGTCCCTTTCCAAAGCCAATGTGTCCGGATCAACAACTTTTAATGGACACACCAACATTGACAGCGTCCGCAGCGCCTATGTCGTGCAGGAGGATGTACTTATCCCAACTTTGACTGTCCGAGAGACTCTGCGATATTCAGCTGATCTTAGGTTACCACCACCGACAACCCAAGAAGAGCGACATGCTATCGTGGAGCAGGTTATTCTTGAGCTGGGACTCAAGGAATGCGCTGATACAAGAATCGGAACCACCGCACACAAGGGGTGCAGTGGTGGAGAAAAGAGACGAACTAGCATTGGTGTGCAGTTGTTGGCCAATCCATCGATGCTATTTTGTGACGAACCTACTACGGGCTTGGATGCGACCAGCGCATTCCAGATCATTCGCACATTGAAGCGACTTGCACAGGATGGTCGAACGGTGGTTGTCTCCATTCACGCTCCTCGTTCTGAGATCTGGAGTCTGTTTGACAACGTGATACTTCTTGCCAGAGGATCTGCTTTATACAACGGACCTGTAAGCGAGTGTTTGGCTCATTTCGAAGAATGTGGTCACCGCATCCCGCCATTTGTCAATCCTGCTGAATTCTTAATTGATTTAGCTGCGATAGACAATCGGACGGAAGCTTTAGAGGCTGCATCTCAAGTTCGCGTTGATAATCTCCGTGAAAGCTGGCGCCCCCGACCAACAGAACACCCACCGGATGAGAAAGAAAAGGACAGACAGACACCTTTGTTGCCCGTGCTAGATGGTGTCGACACAGGAGCTATGAAGAAAATATCATTTCAACGGCAACTGAGTGTCCTGACATCTCGCACCTTTGTAACAACTATTCGCGATCCAATGGGGGTCGCTGGTTGCTTGCTTGAAGCCATCGGTATGGCCGTCATCAATGGTTGGATCTTCTGGCAACTTGATGAAAGCCAGGCTGGAATTCGTTCGCGAGAAGGTAGTCTGTACACGGCGAGTAGTCTGAACGGTTACCTCATCTTGCTCTATGAGACATATCGCTTGACTATTGATATTCAGCTTTTTGATCGTGAGCGCAAAGAAGGAGTAGTCAGTGTTCCGGCATTCTTGGTTAGTCGACGGATTGCCCGATTTCCGTTGGAGGATTTGCCAGTTCCACTATTGTTCTCCGTCATCTTTTACTTTATGGTCGGCTACCGTCTTGATGCTGCGCAATTCTTTATTTTCTTTGCCCTCACCTTTTTAACGCATTACATTGCCGTGACTTTTGCTGCAGTTGCAATTGGAGTGTCGAGGAATTTCCCGGGTGCCAGTCTCGTCGGCAACTTGTCTTTCACTATCCAGTCGTTTGCTTGTGGATATTTTGTTCAGGGGAATCAGATACCCGTGTATGTGAGGTGGTTGAAATGGTGTGCATACACTTTTTACACCTTCGGGGCATTGTGTGCAAACGAGTTCATTGGTCTGAATGGTTCTGAGATGGGTCAATTCTATGATTGTCCTTATTCCGACGATCCACAAGACCCAGCCTGCAAAGAGTATACAGGGAGATACATAATGAACAGTCTTGGTATGCCTTCTAATTGGATCTGGAGACCAATAGTGGTACTTATCGCATATGCCGTTGGTCACTTTTTGATCGCGGGCTTGTTGTTGCAATACAACCGATACGCTATTGATATTGCTCAATCTCGCAAGACAGACACTGATTATTCAGCTGGCAAGGCTAAATTAGCGATTCGTCCTTCGGATGAAGTTCGAAAATTAGCAATTTCTCTGGATCAATATTCATTGAAAATTCGGAAGCGTCGACGGCCTGGCCACAAAGCTCTTAATTTGCAAATCCTGCAACCTATCACAGCCGAGTTCCTTCCTGGCGAATTGAATATTATCATGGGACCCTCTGGAAGTGGCAAAACATCTCTACTTAACTCGTTTGCTCGAAGGCTGCAAGGATCCATGGGCACCCAGTACCGGGTTGAAGGGCAAATGCTATACAACGGAGCCGTGCCATCGGAAACTGTGATTCGCTCAGTGACATCGTTTGTTACTCAGGATGACGATGCATTAATGCCATCACTTACAGTTCGCGAGAGTTTAAGATTTGCTGCAGGACTTCGATTACCAACCTGGATGTCACGAGAAGAAAAGAACCAACGGGCAGAAGAGATTCTGTTTAAAATGGGATTAAAAGAATGCGCCGATAACCTGATCGGTAGTGAGCTAACAAAGGGTATCAGCGGGGGCGAGAAACGACGAGTGACAATTGCCATACAGATCCTAACCGATCCCAAAGTACTGCTTCTAGATGAACCGACTTCGGGACTGGACGCATTCACAGCCATGTCCATCATCGAGGTTCTACAAGGCCTCGCGGCCGAAGGTAGAACACTGATCATGACCATCCACCAGTCTCGCTCTGATCTATTTCAACATTTCCCCCAGGTCCTACTCCTAGCTCGAGGTGGATATCCGGTCTATGCTGGGCCAGGACAACATATGCTTCCACACTTTGCAGGACTAGGTCATGACTGTCCACAGACTACCAATCCCGCAGACTTCGTTCTGGATCTGATCACCGTTGATCTTCAGCAAGAAGACCGAGAGGTTGTTACCCGTGAGCGTGTTCAAAATCTAATATCTCGCTGGACCGAGACAACTCCGACTTTAGGTCGTACCGCATCACAAATCGCAACACCAGCTGAGCTTGGTAGCTTACGGCGGCGAATGCTTCCATTCCGCGTAACTTTTCCATTGGTACTGCATCGTTCGTTTATAAACTTCTGGCGTCAGCCGCCATTAGTTATGGCCCGATCGGCGCAGGTGCTCGGGATTGCCATCATTATGGCACTCTTCTTTGCACCTCTCAAGGACGACTACGCAGCCGTCCAGTCGCGAATGGGATTTATCCAAGAATTTGCAGCACTTTACTTCGTGGGTAAGAATCAACGCGACTCTGAACCTACCCACTTGAGTCCAAATACTAACTAATATTGTTTAGGTATGCTACAAAACATTGCCATCTACCCAGGCGAGCGCGATGTATTCTACAAAGAAGAAGCAGATAACTGCTATTCCGCAGAGACCTTCATTCTGTCATATACAACCATCGAAGTACCCTTTGAGATCATTTCGGCGCTTATCTTCGGTGCCCTAGCCGCATTCGCAGATAACATGAAGCGTACCGCTCAAATGTTCCTCATCAGCGCCTTCAACTGTTTCTGCATAATAAGCTGTGGCGAGTCTGTAGGCATAATGTTCTGCACGCTCTTCTCACACGTCGGCTTCGCCGTCAACGTGATATCCATCCTATTATCCATCTCTAGCATCCTCGGCGGCGTCATGAGTCTAAACGTCAATGATGTTCTACAAGGCCTCAACCATCTCTCACCGATCAAGTACTCCATTGCCAACTTGGCTCCTTATTCTATGCATGGACAGGTATTTCACTGCTCTGATGCTGAGAGACTTGTTAGCGGCAGTTGTCCGATTAGTAATGGCGAGCAGGTCCTTCAGCTCTACAATCTTGATAAAGATGGGCCTATGAATATCATGGCTTTGGGCGTGTGCACAATCATCTATCGACTTGCTGCATATGCGCTCTTGAAAGCTATGCGATCCCAGCGAATGTTAGAGCGATGGCGTGAATGGCGCCGTTCTCGACAAAATCCCCGATAATGTTGCTTCCTTTGCTTTGACCCTTGTTACAGATACCCCATTTCGCTATTTCAATGCTTGGCTGTGTTTTTCTCAATGGATATTCGCCTTGGTACATAGAAAGAATATGTTTCAAGTTGATATCTCACGACTACTCTAGGCTGCTATCATAGAGAGCCAACGGCCTCCGTAGATAGCATCGGAACCTACCGGATAGTCTCGCGTAGCATGAAGTCGGCTTTTAAGATTTGTCAGTTTTAAAAAATACCACAGCCAATCGAGACAAAAGATCCCATATCCAATCACAGAAGTTCATAGCCTTTTCGACCCAATTCATACTCAGCCTCCCTATCCAACCCAGGAAACCCCACGCGACCAAAGAAAACCCAACCAATCCCAAACCCCATAAATCACCATCCAAGCCAAGAAAAACCAAATAAACATAATAGCCAAGACGTTCTCGAGCGTTCAGCAAAGGAGAAACAAAGCTTGGCAACAGACAAAAGATCAAAACGACGTCGGCAGGGGACCACAAGCCCCATCCCCGGTCTATTCCCGAGTTCGCCACAAAGTTCACCAGTTCTACGGTACAGTTCTTCCAACCGAACAAACAGGGATAAATTGTTTTGCGATTGGTCGAACCAAACACTCCACTTTGGTTCGCCTTACAATTGTAAAATATAACCGTAGTTCAACTCATAGGAACAGTCAAAGAAATGGCGCCACACGGCTTTCTGAATGGATGACTTGGCATGTACCTTTTTTAGGAATTTCCTATGTGATTTTTGTGATTGGATTTGGGTTTGGTTTACAACCTTCTCTTTCTTTCGGGGCTTCTCCGCACTACGATGGAAGTTGAAAGAATAGATAAAAGTCAGATTTTGAGGAATCTCCTTCTTTCTTGGGTTTATGGTCATCTCAACGGGTAGAAATGGCTGGACTTGTTATAGATTGGGAACCTGCATTCGTTTGGAATAACCTAGAAAGGAACGTCAGATACATAACTTAGGAGACCCTACCAATAGCAAACTCGCTATTTCTTCCTCCGTATACTAGGCTTTGATTTCAAAAGATCGACAATGATCCGCGAATGGAGATTCTAGTTAACTGGACCTGGATCCACATCGTCAAAATTCCCACTCCATACGGACATTTCAGGTATAGCGCTGATCTCGCCAGATCAAGCGCAGTGCCCAAGTGGGGTTTCTGACTTTTCTCCGTTCCAGTGTTCTAGACTGTAGGTATTCTCTCGATCCACTTGAATTTAGCAAATTATAATTCGTCCCGCCATGTCGGTATATTCTTTGTGCTTGTACTTGATCTTGTGAAAATTCTTCGAAATGTAGAAAATTTCAGGGTCTGATGCGTTTTCCTGTTTTTGTCCTTTTATATGTATTAGTCTTACTGTGTTTACAGTCGTCTAAGAAAGGCTTTCAAGTAGAAAAAAGTTGAGTGAAGTGAGTGTAAATTGAGGTATTAACCTCGTCTATAAATCTATCGTAAATCTCCCCATATAGACTCCCCGTGTTTCATCATCTATATCCTGATCTGGGGGGGTATAACAAAGGCATCAAATCAAAAAATCATAGCTCGTGACGACATCTGATCCCGACTCAGCGGGAGGAAACAAGTCGAATCAACCGAACATGTAGACAGAAGTCCAATCGTAATAAAAAGAGATCACCAAAAGGCGAAAAGAACAAAGTGGATCACCATAGGTGAGACGAAGAAAAGACCCTAAATGAAAAGAGTGCACGGGTCAACCGGCAAGGCAAAAACAGAGAACAGCAAATGAATGCATTTACTGCCCCAGAGTAACGGTCAGGCCGGTATCGATGGGGCAGCCGTGAGTGGCATGATCATCGGTAGGCTGCAGGTAAGCAGCGGCGCAGTTGGCGTCACCAGCCTGACAGACGGCGGTAGGGCAAGAGGTGGTATCGGAACCACTGTCAGTGGGCAGGACAGAGAAACCGTACTGGGTGAACTCGGAGTTGGACTCCATGTTGATGCAGGAGAGATCCCAGAAGATAGTATCGGTAGCTTGGGTGTACTCGAACTGCAGGACATCGGACTGGCTCTCGTCTGTGGCCAGCTTGATGGAAACACCACCGCCGTTGGAGTTGGTCTTCCACTGCTCGGTGTAGGAGCCACCGTTTGCCGTGAGGATCTGCATAGGACCGACGCTGTCGGTAACGGACCAGGCGTAGACGTCCTTGTCGAGGTTGTTGGTGATCAGGACGCTACCGCCGGCGGCTTGGGTGTCACGCTTGATAACAGGGACAGTGCCGGAGGGAAGGGCAGAAGCCAGGGCAGCGAAGACAGCAGCCATGCCGAAAGTCTTGGTGAACATCATTTTGAATGAAGGTGGTGAAGACTGAAAAGTATTGAAGTTGAAGAATGTGGATGTAAAGAAGGTCTGATCAACAGGTGGATCAATGTAATGAGAATCAATCTCAAAAATGAAAGTGGGTTTGTAAAGAGAAGGACTGTCTTCAAGGAGTGAGAGACTTGGATGATTGAGAAGACATTGATGGGATCAACAGGACCCTTTTATAAGTTTTGGACACAGGCATTGCTCAGGCGTCCCTGAAGACCCCAGACAGGTACCGACCAGCAAAAAAAACGTGCCGGAAGCCACACAGGATATGAGCCATGGATCGCTCTAGGGGAAGAGTGGAGCCCTGCTCCCAAGGCAAAAAAAGAATGAAAAAAGAATGAAAAAAGAACGATGCAGTGGAGCCTGGGAGAAGGCGAATCATAGTGGGGGAAACCCATGATGACAGAGCGTTTTGCCTAGTAGATTAGGTAGTAGTCCGAGATGGAGATGGAGGGTGTTCTAGGTCCGAACTGAAAGATCCCGTGTACATAGGGCACACAAGGATAGTACAGACGAGTCCAGTTGAGATCAACTGGATAATACATAGGCCAGTTGAATTTACCAGGAGCAGAATGCGGTGTGATCTAAGAAGCGGCATACATGAACCAGCAGATATTTTTTTCTGACGTGTTCCAACCATAGAGACCCCAAGGATTGAGATGTGGCAGATGGAGTCATAGCACCACTCAGTATAATGTAGGGTACAGACATTGACACTCTTGACAGACAGTCTGACACTATCAGGGAAGGCGAAGATGAGTGCGTCTGCCGATAGAAAGTGCGTGGGGTTCGCCGCTGTCTGGACCAAAAAAGCCTAAAAAGTGTAAATCACGTTCACCCAAATTATGGGATTACATAATGATTTCCGTGGCAATAGCCACCACTTCACGTCATTGGGCATCCGACAGGTTCCGCGGTTCTCTAAAACGATAAAAACTGAAAAATCAATTCTGCACAGCTAAAAAAAGACGTCGGCAAAAATTAGTGAAGAAGATGGCAATGGAATAGTGTTCTTCCCATGACAACTTTGCTCAGCACTGACAATTGGTCACCCGGGGACTTCAGCACCATGGAAGAGCCTGAATGAGGCTAAAACGAGTGAGTATGCAGAATCTTCATACTCAACCTCAGGCTACTACTAGATAGTGCCAATTTTCCATTCCGTAGATCCCGTAGAGGTACAGACATGGGTACTTGAAAATTCAATTATTAACAAAAAAGCAAAGAAAACAAGAAAAAACTCTGACGAATACCTGTTCGCTGTGTCTAACTTACTGGTCTAACCGGTCAGCCCCGAGAGTTCACCGTGTAGGTACATCGCACTTGTACCCATGTCAGATTGCCAACTGTTCCTGAACCTAAAGTCTAATAATCCACGACAGAATGTGGCCAAAAACAATTTAGAAAAAAGCAAATTTCATTATTCAATATTCCAAGACTCCAAATTAACAATCCAATCTTCCATCTTCTTCTCCGCCTCTGACGTCGAGAGGTCTTGGGTACCTGTCGATCTGAGTCTGGATTTCTTGGTCCCAAGAGTCCTAAGACAAAAGATAGAAGACTAGAACTCAGGTGTCAGGGTCTAAAATGGTCTATAACACGGTGGCAATGCGTGTTTTTCTGCTCTGACGTCCGATGTCCAGTATATATTGATTACCGAGCAATATGGAGGCAGCAGGGGAGGGTCCAAATCGAATCTCCAATCAGAAAGCATGTAAAAATCGATCTTCCTCTTCCTCTTCCTCTTCACCGACCTGTGCTATACACCCGCCTATTTTACATACAATATTCCCTAAACCCAATCAAATCCAGCCTTTCATTCCTAATAGATCTATCACAATCTCGAATAAATCTCTGCTACTCAAAAATTTATACATTAACCCTGCATACAGTATGCTGCCCTATCTCCGATCGCCCCTGTTAGTCTGACTTAGCTCTAGCTTAGCCCTGGGCTAAAGCGTCCGTTCCGCGGCCGAATCATACCTTAATGCGATGTGGGACTGGACTAGGTTGACTTAAGTTAGTGGGAGGGGCACTGATTCCCGGTCCGGTGAGGCCCAGTCGATCTCTCACGTAGTGTCTTTTCCAGAATTTCCTTGTGATGAATCTAGACCGCTTTTTTTCGCGATGATCTTTTTCGTACCTGCGCTTTTGGTTCCCGGATTGGGGTACCTGGATTCTTGGAGGGTTAGGTGGTCTTTGTGGGTGTCCACTTTGCACTTTGTGGCTGAGGGAGTGGTGGGCTACACATAGTACAATTGGATTTTTAATGTGGTGGGGTTATGCTGTTGTGTTTCCTTGTCATTCAGGGTCTAGGTTGTTGAGACATTGTGGATTGTGGATGAGGGGCCAGGACGTCGAGATGCCAATTCCTTTTACATACTTAAAATTGTAATTTTGACAAAACTATTCCTGGTATACTGTGTACAGAAGAAGAAAATGAAAGAGATTTCTCCGATGTCCCACATTACGGTGTTCCCCTCCTCTCTGTTGTGGGCTCCACTTATCAGCCACTTGAGTCACATTTCCCCATATGGCGCTGAGAGTGTATCTACCTTCCCGTTGCTTTTTCGTTTGGTGGAGAGGGGAGCGAAGGAGGGGTACCTGCAGCCTGCAGCCCAATGTAGGCCCGGAGTGAATAGGATGGGACCTGGATGGTAGCCCCGAAAGGAAAAATGGACCTGTTGGGGGCCTGGTGTGGCCCTGTGCGCTGTCCTGCGGCTTACCAATATGGTGCTCGCATCGCTGACAAACTGGACAACGCACCCTCACTCGCGGATTCCTCTTTCTTGCGGTGACCCGCCAGCTCGAGATTGATTTGGCGGTGGGTGTGCACCAGCCAATCGACGTAGCTTTGGGCTTCGTTGTTCCGGTCCTCCAGCAACAATCGGGCGAATTCGTATTCTGCGCCGTCCAGTCCTTGACGAGCCAATTGGATTGTCACGGCCTTGGATCCGCGCACGGTCGAGAAATATTGGATCAGGTTGCGAACTTGGGCATTCAGATGCGTCTCCAGCACTGGAAGTGACGAGATGTTGGGGCTGAGTTCTTGGAGAGATGCCTCTCCTGGTCCGAAGAGATCCTCCAATAGATTAGGCGAGACCTGTGCATGTAACCAGAGTAATACGGTTTGGCCGTTATCGATCAAGTAGGCACCACCCTCCTCGATTTTAGAGTAACTTGCACGAAGGGATGGCGGAATTTGGAGCTGTCCATGCTCGTTCGCGAATCCATCTTCCGGTTGCATGTTATGAATGGCAATGATGCGAGGGTACAGGTAAAGTGATAACTCAGTGCAGCCAAATGAACGGATCAATCGCTGGTCGTGAACCCGGCGATCTGATGATTCGTTGCCACCTGTAAAGAAAAAGCAAAATAATCAGCCTTGAAAATCCCATTTACTTGAACACTGCTACCTTACCTTTGAATGCTCTCGATTTGACCAAGCTCAGCATGTACATGGAGAACTCCTTCAAGTTTTCGGGCAAAATCATCTGGCCAGGAGGATGAGACCCAGAGAAAATCTTTCGATATCCACTGAAAATGTCGACAGTCTTCTCAGAGATACTCGCCCGAATGTCTTTAAGAGACTTGTCAAGTGACTTGGTAGATGCTGCAAAGATTGTGTTAGAGAGATAGAGATTATATGCAGTACCTCGATGGCCAACTTACCTTCTTTGGCAATAACTCCCACTACGGCATCCTGGTCGATATACTTCATAGTCTCCATACCGCCTTCATTAACAGAAGCAACGACGTTGATACACCGGACTCGTCGCTGACCATCGGCAGATGTGTATAGCAACGCAGCCTGGAAGTGAGCGTCCAGCTTGGGGTCAAGCTTCCCATCATAACTGAAGATCGCACCGATAGCTTTATCGGCGTCGATACTACCGATTTCAAGGTCGGCACCAAGAGCATGCTGCACAAAGTTTCCGTGGTACGAAGATACCTGGAGACCATTGGAACAACGCACTTTCATCAAGGCCTGGTAACCTGTCTCTCGTGTGACGGCATGAGCGATCTCGTTTCGTACTTTCAAAAGATCTCGAGGGGCATGGAAGTTGGGATAGAAGAACGTTTCTCCTCCAGTAGTAGCCGAGACGTGTCCTGCGTGCCGATGTTAGCTAACAGGTCATACTGAATCTGTTATCTAAATACAACATACCAATAGTTGCCACATCCATGTACACGCCTCCGGGCGAGGCAATGAAGAAATCCACACCCACACCGGCCTCGGACATTTTGCTTGCTGTTTTCCTCCAAGTAGCATCTTCGGTGGTAAATAGTTTACGTTCCGCATCGGTTCCATGAATTTTAGGGTCCTCTCGTACACTTAACTTGCCAGGGCCAGCCGTGGGCAAGCTAGCTAAGGAACAAACAATTTTGCCACCAGTTTCTTGCAGTGCGGAGAATGCAGCATTGAGTGCCGGGAGTAATGCTGGCTCGGGGTGCTTGATGTGCGCAAAGAGACTGGGTATCCTGCTCAAGAGCGAAGTAATGACTGACCTGCAGTTTTGATAGTTAGCACCTTGAAAAAGCGTTTCAAATCAGTGTTTACATACTTCGTTTCATATGGATCCACGAAAAGTCCTTCTCTCAATGGCAAGAATGGCTCTTCCAAGTCAGTCATGACCATCATTTGCGCTTGTTCAGATGCCGACTAGAAGGCCCGTTAGTGATCATTTGTTTTCATACTGAGAAGAATTGACATACTGCAAGATTGTAAAAATGAACCTCATGGTCAAAGGTGACAATTCCGACCTTGGACCCTAATGGTACCTTCCGTGAAGATTCATCGCCTTCGGTACCATCTGCCGCGCCATCTTCACCATACAATGCCTCCGCAATACCTTCACAAACAGCCTTCAAGTATCCACGGTGCACCGACTCGCGACTCACGTCAATTAAGAAGAGAGTCTGCAGTCCCACCGGCTCCTTATTCCAGTATTCCTTTGGTACCAAAAATTCAACAGTGCCCATCATCAATTCAGGTCGTTGCATCCGGTCCACACGCGTGCCGGAAGGATCGAGGGGTGCGAAATATTCCGGAGAGGTATCATTAGGGAATGTGCACATGTTGCAGACAAACTTGCTACCGCCCGATCGGAAGGACATGAAAGGGTTGATATAGGTACGACATCGTCGACATCTCGGAGGCCCAACATCGCCAAAATCTAAGACGGGAATCGGTTGCTCTCCCGGGTCGAGGGGAGCGAGAGGTTGTAGGATCATACCCATTGGCAATCCGGTCTGGGCGAGGAAGTCTGAGGTCGCGGGGATGCTGTTGAGTGTCAAGCGGGCATATTTTGGCGATGAGTTGCCTTGATCGTGGGCAACAAATGGAATGGTCGCGGGGGGAGGAACGTGTCGGTCAATCGTCGGGTATACATTATTGAAGTAGTACTGAGCCGGTATATCGCGCGAACGAGGGATGCTGGGGATCTGTTCTGGATCAACTCGGCCTTGTGTGGGTACGGATCCCGGACCACCTTGGAGGCCTGGCTGTGAATTAAAACCGGGAGATGGTTGACCTGGCTGTCCTGTGTGGGCTCCAACTAACGGCGAGACTTGCTGAGAAGCCTGATTCAAGCCAGTGTTGAGAAATTGAGACGCAGGCTGCGCAACCCCGGCTCCCATTGCATCGTTGACTGATGGTGGGGCGGCAGCAGCAGCAGCAGAGCCTCCTCCAATATCGTGATGAGCATGACGATGCTTCTTTTTGTGTGTTCTTGTCCCTGCACCTGCGTCTCCTGCAATGCCTAGACCACTCATCTGGGAGGCCAAACCTCCCATGTTTGGATCTGCGGGGGCCATTTGTTGTTGCTGAGGGGCATTGTATGCCCCGACGGGGGACTGGCCTGGATATTGTTGTAGCGGAGGTTGCGGAGAGCCATATGCGGACCACTGGTTAGGCGAGGCATTGGGATAGGCAGCTCCGGGTTGCGGAGGAGCTGTACCAGGAGCTGTACCAGGAGGGTAACCAGCTGGGTATTGGGACTGGGGGTTGGGGAGGTCCTCGGGGCGCTGGCCCGTTGCGTGGTACATTGAAGGGTCAGCCATGGCGAGTCATGCAGAGGGGGTGAATTAAGAAAACAAATCAAGCATTATCGGGGAGAAAAAGAAACGGACAACAAGGTAAACCCCGCGATGTTGACGATATACCGGATTGACCACCTTTACACCTTCCACGGAATTACTTGGCTCCGAGGTTCTTCACGTGTGTGGAACGTGTGGAACCCGCAAAGCATAAAAAGAGTATCTCCTTCATCATATCTGATACTATGGGAGAGAGTTATATGTTAATAAACTCCATTTCAATTGTCATCGGTCTCGAATACCCACCATGGAAGCACTCATCCATTGTATATCCCACATGTCTCGCTCAAGGCTTTCCCTTTCGAAGTCGTGCCCATACATCCAAACTAAACTACATATGTCAAGTCGGAGCCCACAACCGACCACAGTCCACTCGGATCAAGTCCATCAACGCTTCCGATATTCGTCCGGTAGAGTGTATTGTTCTATCACAATTTTGTCGTTTAATTACCTAGTTTTCCCCCTGCATGTATCCTAGCCACAAATGTCTTCTCTACCTTCCCGACATCCTATCATTCGTTCATGATTCTCCGGTAAATTCCTGACTGGATCCGACCCAGTGCAGCACATCACTCGAATCAATTGATTCGCGCTTATCGGCTTGTTCACTATCCAGGTTTATCGAGGTACTCATTACAAAAAGTGCCGATATTAGCGTTTGACTGTCTTTGTGCCGTGTTCATTCTCACCGTCTCTTTGTCGAGTCTCCTGGATCGGACCTTAGCCCCTCCATCTGGCGTCACCGTGGCCAGGTGGCCAACATTTAGATATAACACCGCAAAGTATTCCGTAGGGTAAGTGCTGCAGTCAAGTGGGTTCTTTTCTCTCTCTTTTTTTTCTCTTATCTTTGGGTTGTTTTTCGCTCAAGCCTCCACTTTAAATATTTGCTTTTTCCTCCCGTGCTTGCTAGTTCCCCTGATTTGTACGATCTACAATCGTATTTTTTTGAAGCTATGAATTTAACTATAAAACCCCAAGACTCAGATCACAAAGCCAAACAGGCTGAGGCCTGTCAGAATCCTGGTCCGTCTGATTTACCTCCAATGGCTACTATACAAGATGACGACGAGCTTTTGTTAGCCCGTATTGGCTATAAGCAGGTATCGGCGCCCGCGATCTCGAATATAGAGATAACCCGAGCATATTCGCTAATCAATCTCTTTTCACTGCGAAATAGGAACTTCGTCGAGAGTTTTCCAAATGGTCAACCGTCTCCTATGCCATATCCATCCTTGGAGTCCTCGGTTCAGTCCCTGCAACCTTCGGATCGCCTTTATCAGCCGGTGGGCCTGCAACTGCAGTCTGGTGCTGGTTGATCGGCTCCTGCATGGCAATGTGCATTGGAAGCTCTGTAGCAGAGCTGGTCTCTGCATATCCAACTGCAGGCGGGATGTATTTTGTCACGAAACATGTCGTACCAAAGGATCAAGTCGCTGTCTTCTCGTGGATCCAAGGATGGTGCAACTTGCTTGGTCAAACAGCTGGGGTATCTAGTGTGGCATATACGGTCAGTCAAATGCTACTCGCCTGCGTCAGTATGAATTCGGATCTAGTTGATGGCAGATATTCTTATTCGCCGTATGTCTCACCTTATCTCCCCTGCAGAATAGGGATATAAGATCATACTAACACCCATACAGTACCGCGCTCCACACAGTATTGGTTTCAATTGGAATATTGTGTGTTCTTGGCGTTATCTGCTCATCAACAACAAAGACATTACATCGCATCATTCTATGGTTCGCTCCTATCAATAGTAAGCGAGCCTCTGGCTTTCCACTTTGATCATACCCGTGGACCTAACATAATACTCAAACAGTCACGGCCACAATCGCAATCTGTATCGCGCTACTATGCCTAACTCCAGATAAACAACCAGCCTCGTGGGTCTTTACCCACTTCACTGATGGGTCCGGGTGGGGCTCGAAAGTCTTCTCCTTCTTCCTAGGCTTCTTATCAGTAGCATGGACAATGACCGATTACGACGGAACAACCCAGTAAGTCCCCAAACTCTTCCAAACATACAATAACTAACCCTTCCAAGTATGTCAGAGGAGACCCACGATGCTGCTGTCCGCGGCCCCGTAGCAATCAAAACGGCCGTCATGGTCAGCGGTGTCTTCGGCTGGCTCCTGACAGTCTCGATGTGCTTCTGTCTCACAGACTTCGAAGGCATCCTCAACACCCCAACAGGTTTACCAGCTGCACAAATCTTCCTCAATGCAGGCGGGAAAGCAGGTGGTACACTCATGTGGGCGTTTGCTATCCTCGTACAGTTTTTTACTGGTTGCTCGGCCATGCTGGCTGATACCAGGATGGCATATGCGTTTGCCAGAGATAATGCCCTGCCGTTCTCTGCATTTCTCTCGAAGGTTAATCCGCATACACATACGCCAGTTAATGCAGTCTGGTTCGTGGTGATTTTCAGTATTGCGCTGAACTGCATCGCTATCGGCTCGACTGAGACGGCGACCGCCATTTTCAGTGTTACGGCACCAGCGCTGGATCTCTCTTATGTGTCTGTTATTTTGGCACATCAAATCTACAAGTCGAAGGTCAAGTTTGTTGAAGGGCCTTTTACGCTCGGGAGATGGGGAACACTTATCAATTATATTGCTGTTGTTTGGGTATTGTTCATCAGTACTATTCTGTTCTTCCCGAGTCAGATTCCTGTGACCAAGGCTAATATGTATGGCCTTCCTTTCCTTGGCGTCTCTATACTTTGAACTGGCTGATTGACCCCTCTCATTAGGAACTACGCTATTTGCGTTGCTGCATTTATTGCGATGTTCGCGATGGTTTGGTGGTGGGTTGCGGCAAGCGGGTAAGTCTTTTGTTGATACACTTCAAGTTCCACTGATGTTGATGTACATGATGAAACCTTGAAATTGAGCTAAGAGTATCGGTCAACTTAGAAAATACACGGGTCCGCAGACTAATGACATTATTCGTGAACTTCCATCTGAAGATGATGAATATGAAGGACATGAGAATGATCATGAGATCAATGAACATGTGTAAAGCATTGTGCAAAAATGGGTTAAGGCAAATTTTGATTTGGGTATTATACAGGATCACGGGCGGTTTTAGACAATAGATCATAGATCGGTAAATTGGAAAGTATTTAGGGCAATGCCCACTAAGCCTTTTTTGAAAATGGCAGCTCATATAATTCAAAGTTGAAGTTTGTCCATATCTCCTTACAGACTACATACTAGCTCGGATCATGATAGTATCGACGGTAATGATATTCGTAAATAGGTTCTTGAAAGTACATGTAGAAATAATATAAAAGTACATGAGTCGTCTAGCTTCCTGCCACAACAGCTAGACCTTCATAGATCTTCTTTTTGACGGCTAGGAAGCTGCCAGCATCACGACCAGTAGAGAACGCAGCTGACTGTGCCGAGGCTTCAATCTCAATTCGGCCAGTGCCAGACTTACGGACAGCAACTGATTTGTCGATAAGAAGAATTCCTTCACCCCGGAACTCAGCGATATGTCCAGCTGCTTGCATGAGTCTGCGAAGATCAGCGAGACGCAAATCACCAACGTGTAGTGGTCGGGCAACAGATCTTGTGCCAGCAGCCATGCTAGCGGGTAGAGTATCAAGAAGAGGGAATACATCCGACTTATCGCCGGACTTAGTGACACTTTTTGAAGTAGGAACGACTGCTGAAGAATTCCCCTCCCCATCGAATTTCAGCTTCTTGGCAGCTGCCTCGGCGTCAACATCTCCATCCTCGGTGAGGATTTCAGGTCCTCGCAATTGAGCGGTGAGAGCAACGACTCCAAGGCTGCGGACATGCTGCCAGTTCAACCGGCGCACAAGATTATTGCTCAGCTTGACCATCCAGGCATTTGTGTCAACACTAGCGTCGACGACTTCACCGTTACTAGGGGTGAAAATGATGGCTGCGGCATCTGCTGCAGAGGCAGAGACATCAACGCCGGCCTTAGCTGCTAAGAGCTTCTTGCATTCCGACGCCAAGTCCGCGGTCTCTGCTTTGGTTCCACCGACAAGGATCAGCTTTTGAGGCTGAATAAGAGGGATCAGCATTTCCAAGCTGCGCTTATCGTGCAAGCCCATGAAATCAATGAATGCAATTCGGGCATTTATCGTAACTGTATTCGTAGTGTAAACAGCCTTTGCGGGGCCCTCGAATCCCTGAACATCAACTTCATCTTCCGAAGATACAGCTCCGTCGCCATCTTCAGCATCAGATGCAAGACTATAATCATCGCCTGCACCTGAATCAACTCTTTGGCCATCTTTGGTCAATTGCTGGCGCTTGCGACCGTCTGCACCGCCAGATAGCCTTCGACCACCGGCTCCAGTAGCCTCATCCCATCGTCGTTTCTGTCCAAGTTTTGTTTGTGCATCTGATCGCCGTTGTTGCATATCAATCTCCTCACGCTCCTCCGCGCGAAGGTATTCCTCAGGTCGGATGAATTCACCGTACTCATCGCCCTTCTTTCTCGGTGCCACATACGGGAACATGCGCTCGCGTCCCTTCTTCTCACGCACATCATAGTCGTAGACATTCTTGCGTCGTAAAAGAACGTTGATACCCAGATCTTCATCGGTAAGTGCCAGCTTGTTTCGATTAGCGTGGGCTAGGGAGGTTGAGAAATTAAGGACACGGCCCTGGCCCTCTTCATCGGAGTCTTCTGACGAAGTCGAGCTAGACCGATCATCCAGTGCGTCCGCTGCATTTTCGAAAGTTTCCTGTCCTCCTCGGACTTGAGATGTATCCTCCAGCTGCCGCTTGGTAGCTAGATACTGTTGATATAGCATTTGTTCACTTGCATCGAGTGGAGCTCGTTGCACATCCGTCCAAATCAGCTCTCGCCCACCGCTGTGAACTTGCTCGAGTAATTCGCCATCTGACGCCTTTTCTAGAGCTACGCCATCGCGTCGCTCTTCGTACCACTGCCAAATAGTATCTCCAAGAGATAGCGAACTTGGAGGCAGTTGCACTTCAGATGCTGTTTGGCGGAATGACTCTGTTAACAAGACCAGATTATTGGGATCTCCGGCGATTTGGCGAAGAGATTCTTTTGAAAATCCCCATGCCAATGATGTATCAGACGCAAGAATAACCTTTGGTCCCTTCTCGGAGAGAATTTTCTCCAGTTTCTTTGTGCGTTCGACGGTTCTGAGATGCTTAAAAGTGAATGGTCCAGCGCTTTTGCTGCCTTTCTCTTGGCCCTGTCCGCCATTCTTCTGACCCGTGCCTCCATCAGCACCTTCGGAAGCTTCAAATTCACGAACGATATTCTCATCCATCCACTCGAGCATACTGCGAGCTAGACGCATGGTAGTGTTGACTTTACGCCCAGCTAAATATAACCCAGAGCCTTTGAAAACGTCCTCTTTCTCGCCAGAGGCCGCATCGCGCCAAGCGTGCTCCAATGCATAAGCCAGCTCTAACACTCGAGCACTGGTGTCTGTGGGAATAAGCACAGTACCACCTTTTGCAAGGCTGCTCCTAATCATCTCAAGAAGCAGATCATCTCTCTTTTTGCGACCTCCGGTAACAGCAAATTTGTCACCCCCCTTCGTACTACAGATCAAAGCTGTTGGCTTCCGCAGCTGTTCGATGACTTCTGTGCCACTAGCACCCAACCCACCGAACCACGAGGCACCCGCCATGACACTCTCGCGAGCTTGATTCCAGTCCGTAGCGTAGACAATGGATTCCAACCCATGTTGGATATGCCATATTGTTCCACCAACAGTGTGTCCGGCATTATAAGCTGTAAGAGTAAGCCCATCTAAGGGCGGCGAGAACGGCGATGGAAGAGGCTGGTGGGGCTGCGAATATTTGAGAGGTGTTATAAGAGAAAAGTATCGAGCAATATCTTCGGCGTTCGGTGGCTGTAAAAGGATTCGTCCTGTGCTGGCTGAGGCGTCTGTGCTCCCTTCAGCATCTCCATTAGAGGCCACGGCGGATTGTGTCAAGGATGCGCCCGGCTCGGAGATTGATGCTTGAGGGAGGAAAGTGGCTGCGAGAGGCGCAGATGCATAAAGGTCTTGCAAGCTTGTTCGTCCAAGCGCGATTACCGGACTTGTCGCATATATGGGAATCTGGGTGAAAAGAGGGAATGTCCGACAGCAGTGAACAAAGGCACCAATATGAGCGGGGGTCGCGTGGGTGAGAAGAATGAGCGAAAGGGTCGGTATATGCCTGTAGTCAAATCAGTTTAGCCTGCGAGCAGATAATTGACCGAAATGTAAATGATGGAACTGACTTTTCGAGCTCCGCTAAGTCGCGGGTATTAAATGTATCGTCCCAACCAACATCCACAAGGATTTTGATGCCGCCATCAAGCTCTAATATCGACTGAGACGCTTTCGAATGCGACAACTGCGCGCCCAACAATGGGGTGAAGGTAAACATTGTGCTCGGTTGCCGTCAACGGCGAACCGTCAGCGACTGCGTCTGATTGACCGTGTTTGCGATGACGGTAAACACGTCTAATCGGGTCAAGGGTAAGTGGTATATGAGTATATTAAAGATGAATCATTTTCTGCCAGTTGGTATTGACTCGGCACTAGCCAATGGTGAAGGAATAGAGGAATAAGCCACTGAGTCTGTGGAGAGAGCTCTCTATGTCAGTCCCGGCTCGCTGCCTTTGTCGGGAGAGACAGTGTTTGTGCAGTTTGTACTGATGGGTCAGCCTCACGTGACATGCGTGATATTGACCAATCAAAACATATTCACATCTATAAGCTGTTCAAATGTTGAAATTATAGTATGACTTAAAACTACCTAAGCAGTCATTCAATTATAACATCATATCTACTAGGAAACTCTGTCCATACTGAAAGTCTATGAATTCAAGTCTACCAAAGTTTAATATTGCCCAGACATTTCACATTCACAACGGTTCACCACTCGACCATATTCCAACTTTGACGGCTTTTCTAATCCATGCTGTTAGCTTCATTCTTACTTCAAAACATCCAAAAACTCACTTTACTAGTTTTAAACACTCGGAAAGGTCTTTCCAGCTTAGGAATAGAAGGCAAAAGCCGAGTCTTTTTCCAGTACTTTTTTCTAGCGTGTGGGATCGATAAACCAGCCCAAGTCCTGACCCTCCGAACTGCCTTGGGCTCGGGGAAATATTTTTGTCGTTCCAGTGGATCCTTGCAAATCTGCTGGCACTTTTTACGATAGGCTCTTTCACTATCAATTTCATCGCTTAACATGATCGTGTCTTTATGTAACAATTTAGTTTTAATTTTAGTTTCAAGGGGCTTTTCAGAGTTTGCAAATGATGAAGGTAATGACGAATTTGCAATTGTGTATGATGTTGTTGTTGTTATTTTTGATGATGATGGATCATGGACAGCTGGTAGGCCTCGATTTGCTAGATTTCTTGACTTAGTAAGATCCTGTTGAGCTTGTAATGATGATTAGCTACTAGTCACAGTACAAAGTAACCGGCCCCACAATTTTTCTTTCACAAAAATAATGAACCCTCGCTTACGAGGGTCCGCCACCCATATGGAACAGATCACCCATATGGAACATTTTTGCTAAATCGTACTACAACTACTATTTACCACACCACCATATAGTTAATTAATTAACTAAAAATAATAAACAAATCAATCAGCCATTTTAATATTAGAATACAAAATCAAGTTAATTTCCCCGGCGTTTTTTGGCTCTTCCATGCTTCCTAATTTCAACCAATATCTTCTTCCACTTCCGCTTCGTCTTTTCTTGATCGGCTTTTTCAGTCAATTTATATTCTTTTAGCTTCATTTCTTTGATCTGGCTTGAATTGATAATACCAGTGATTTGCGTATAACGGCGAGAAGCATCATATCTAGCGTGACGTGCTCCCATAATAGCTTGTGTAGAATCGAATTCCCGTTGCAGTTGGACAGCCAACATTGCCTGAGTCTCAGCACCCTTTACAAGCTTTGCTAGCCCTTCTTTAAAACGTTGAGTAGTAGGATCATATTGATTAATACGATCGCTAATTCTTCGAACTCTCTCAGCGGTTTTTGGGGTGCTAAACTCAGTATTTTGTGAGTTAACTGATGGTGTATCTTCCCGGGATATATTATCATAATATGGATCGTACGAATCCAATTCATCGGTAATAAGCTTAGAATTAATTGGCCAAAGGCCAGTTAATCTAAACCCAAGCTTGATTGTATGTGGCCGGAAGGTTTTGCGTCTGATTTCACTGATTGAATGTAGGAATTCATCCTTTGAAAATTTACGGCATCCAGTCATTGTAGCCGCCTCAACTGCCTCACTATGCCAGTGTTTATATACACTAAACACTCCAACATCGAGAGGTTGTAGTATATGGCTAGTATGTGAGAGTAAGAAGAATAGAATGATATCATTCTTCTCACAAAATTCAACAAATTGACGCGTTAAATGTGATCCAAAACGATCGCATAAAACTAGCCTCTTTTTCCCAATGGTACGAGAAATTGTCCATTTATGAAACAGCTGAATCCATTGATATGCTAATGTATCATTGATATAGCCAGTATCAGTTATAGCAAGATGCTCGTCGTCTTCAATTTTATCAAACCAACGTAGTAATGCTTGTTTAGCGCTTAGAATAATCAGCGGTGGGCATGTAAAGCCATCAGCCGAAACAGCCTCTAAAACAGTGACAGACTCGCGATTGGTAACTGAGCCATTAAATAGCTTCTTTTTTGGATGTCTTGTGATAATAAATTGATCGCGACCGACGCCAATTTGGAAGCCAGTTTCGTCAAAATTGTAGATATCTTGTTGACAGATGCCATATTTAGCCACTATACGTTGATAGTCTTGAAACCATCTCTCTATAACGGATTTATCCAGTGCAGTAGCTCTTTCAACATCAAGAGCTCGCCGACGTCGTATATAGTACTCAGGATACCGTTTAAGAAAACGCTTTAGCCAATGGTCGCCAATTTGTGGGGGATCTGTGGTGGTGTCGGTATGATCTTCTTCCAGAATTGAATCGGCAGCAATAGCAATTTGACGGCGATTTATTGATGCTCCGACCGCATCAAAATAATCAATATATTCACATAAAGCCTTCTCCTGTGCAATACTAAGCTTCCGGCCATTAGGTTGTCGTTGGAAAAGCGATTTTCCACCTTGCCAGCGCCGACGAAGACGGCCTTCAGGAACCGCGAATTCTCGCGCAGTCTTCCTAATATTAGGCTTAGATTGCTCAGAGAGAGACTCTATTGCCAGCTGAATCTGGTTCTCTATATCTTTATTGGTTTTAGGCATTGTTGGTGGTGTGGTAGATGATAATAGTGGTTGTGGTAAGATTTAGAAAAAATGTTCCATATGGGTGATCTGTTCCATATGGGTGGCGGACCCTCGTAAGCGAGGGTTCATTATTTTTGTGAAAGAAAAATTGTGGGGCCGGTTAATACCAAGCCACGAGATCATTTTGAAAAGAAAGAACAGTAAGAATGTGGAATGCAAGGGATAGCAAGAATGTGAACTGTATCTCCCCCTCTGCATAGCCATACAATATCCCAGAGCCCAATTAGCGATCAGCAGCCTATTCCAGGGACGCAAATCAGATAGACTTGATTATCTGATCTCTGAGACGAGATGACAGGACATAATGACCATATCCTCTAGTGCTTCAACAGAGTGTCCTAGTATTGACCCATTCCTAAATTACATCACTTGATAATTTTGAAAGCATATAAGAAAAGACAAAGAAACATGCTAAGTATGAGAATGACCACGAAGAAATATAGAAATCTGTACTCACTCATTGCGACAACTCCGCCAGCTCTAAGATGTTTAGAATGGCCAGTCGCCTTTTCCGGGTCCCATTCTTTAGAGAGAGAAGACTTCCGAGGCTCACTTCCTTCACTACTAGCCACACTATCCACTGGCGACATGGAAGCTTTAGGATCGCGCGATTCGCTAATTTTCGCTGGTTCCGGGCCCAAAGTTCCTTTCAGATGATGAAACATTCTAGAAGTCAAAAAATGATTGTCTGAGGCCCCCCCAGGATCAGGTTTGACTCGAAGAAGGCCCCTGTTATAATCAGTATGAAGGCCCATAGTAGGGCGCCAGTAATCGTTGAAAAAGCGAGTGTAGGCTCCGTGCACCGGAGGGGGCATCTTCGGCCATTCAGTAATACCCGGGTTTGGTCCAAAGTGGGTTACTTTTGGTGGTGCAGGTGGGGGCGGCAATGGGTCTTGCACATTGCGGACAGATCTGAATCTCATTTCGCGGATTTTCGAACGAATAGTCTCTCGGCTCCGATAATCGCCTAGAGCATCCATGAGACATAGATATGCAAATTCATAGAGCTGCGCTTCCGTCAATCCCTTCCACTTTACAGGAGGACCTGGCTCAAATTTCCATTCAAGCGTCCCGAGACCAATCTTCCAATCACCAGAAGGAGGGTGGGCATACTGGTCAACTCCTATGATATTGGTTCGATCTTTATGAGTCCGAATCAAATCAATAGAAAGGTCCCTGCCATTTCGAATATCCTGCTTGCTCTCTTTAAGAGTCCATCGTGGCATAGGTCCATGTTCTCCGAATCTGATCTCAGGCCAACAACCGGGGCCAAGGCTGGTTGTGGGCTGAAAGGTCACGGTCTCCGTTTGAAGGTCTTTGCTGACTTTGGCATGAAGGCCTCTTCCATCTTCTTTCACAGGGTATTGAAGAAGATCGGTAGTGCTTTTGATCTGCAAGGATTTCATAGGTTTCTGTGGCAGGGGTATTGGCTTTTCAGCCACTGGAAATCCCAGGACTCCAATGCGTGATTCCTCTGATATCTCGCGCGGATGTTTAATTCGTGTTGGAGTCTTAACTGGAGACTTGGACTTGGATTCAGACTTGGATTCAATCGCCGAACTCCCAGGAGGTGGTGTCGACTTGGCTTTTTTGCGACGCTTGTTCTCCGGTGGTTTCTCATCGGAAGATTCTTTCTTCTGCTGCTTCTCGGAGTCTTTGATTTTGCGCTTCTTGTTTCCCATGTTGAGATCCACCTGAATCACTTCCTAGTTTATCTTATTAGATCATATGTATAATGGGGCAACAAAAGGACTGGGGCTTTTCGCGTCCACTCACTGTATAATGTGTCCAACTTTTTGAGAGGAAGAGAAGTCTGGAGTGTGAATCTCTGAAGGGTGGATGATAGAGGTGGTTGTATAATAAGCAGACATCGGCTTCTTTGATACTAGTTCGACCTCTTAGCCTCGATTAAGGATAATTCAAAAGAAGACTCACACAAAGAGAGTGGATCAAATATCCACTTCTCGTTCTCTTTTGACGTCTCTGTCAAAGAAGTAACAGAGACGGTAAATATTCTCCGTGGCCACTCGAGGCTGAGGCCAAAGATCAAGGAAAATTCTCAAAGAAATAGCCTCCAAGGTTCTAGTACCAAATAGAAACTAAAAATTGGTGGGTGCATGCAAAATATAGGCAGGTGTAGGATAAGGGAAAAAATATCTTGTGGTAAAGAGGACTGGCGAAACGGTCCAGCTTTTACAAGAGGGAATCAAACAATCCACAAGGGAGGCCCCGCGCAAAAATGAAGCAATATTAGGCCAAATATTTGACTTGTAATAATATTCCAAAAGGGCGAGCTTTCATAAGAACAATGGCCAGAAAAAGTGCCATTCAAGCTTGTATTTAAAAGAACACTACTCGGCACAGAACATTGAAAGACTCTATGACAACATCTACCAGAGAATAAGACCATCACCTGAACTAACTTTGAGTATAATAAACCAAACCAGTTTGCCTACTTCCTCCTTGAATTAAAAATCAAAGTTCTTGGTACTCGAATCATTCCGGTGCACGGCCACTCTATAGGTGGCCCAATGATACCCACCCAAAGTAAGATCGACACGTTTCCCCGGATGCTCAGGATTGCAAAGGGAGAATTCAGCCTGGGGATCCCGCCCTAGGAGAATATTCATACGTTGAACAAACACCCGGGAAATATTCTATTTTAATGTTCTCTGAAATTGGCGCCCTTGAAAGACTTTATTATCATCATGACATCAATTTTATCCGTTTAGACTCGGACTTCATGAATATATCCACCACCAAAAAAAAGACAAGACATTCCTCAGGAATTTATTGTGCTCTCGGCGCCAGCTTACCTATTCATCAGGAGACTCAAAGCTGCCTCGCATGATCTAGTGTCCGTGCACTTGAGAGAGAATTGGAGAGCTATCCGTCAAATCAGGCAATTAGCTTGTGCTCCTCTGGAATGTGAGCGTGCTACTCTACTAGTACACCTTGAGTTAGCGCTTATATGGCAATATCGGTGTTCGAGCTTATGCTCCTTCAATGAGATAGCTTCTTCTTGTGAGATACTAGTTGTAATTCTCGAGTATGGCTCCCATTTCATGTCCACGGGTCAACATGCTTAAGTAGTCTCCGCAAAGTGGTTGCCTTCAAATACTACTAGTAGTACTAGTACAGTGGATCACCGACGTCAGGTCGGAACATTTTGAATAGTCCTGGAATATAGTATAATGGATGATACGATACACCTGTAGAAGCACGTCCATAAGAAGCCATATCATCACATCACCTGCTTCAGTCTTTCATAACATTCGAACACCCTTCACAGTGCTTAGGCAGCTCAAATAATCAGAGAAAATATTGAAACTTCAATTTCAAAGCCATCCAAGAACCCAAACTCTGAAAACGCGACACACGTAGCGATGATTTCAATTTCCCTTGCAAAAAAAGTCCGAAAGTAAGATATTTAATTGGATTATTTAAACAACCCCAAAAGGCTGAAAGTTCCAAGTTGAAGCTGGTCAGATCACGATGCCTTGTAGGGATCTAATGAAGCCCTGGACCTCGGGAGGATATGATAGTATTAAGATACACATTTATTCAACTTGAACTAGATTATTGATTTTAACCACCAATTCAAATATAATAAATGAACCGCCTTTTTAGCTGAAAATATATCACATATAACAAGCAAAGCAATCATCAGGTTTACAACATGCGCAAATAGAAAAGGAAAAGAAGTCATTTTCGCAAGCACTATTGCATGCGGGATATTATGGTAGTCCTTACTGCCAGTACCGGGGCTCATCGAAGACGTGATAGCGGTGACCACGGACACCCTCTCCGCGGAACAAGGCTGGGAAACGGCGACCAACTGGCACCATTTCCTCGGGAATACGCATCTCGTTTTCTGGCTCGGGCTCACCGACGACGAATTTACCGACCTGTGACAATGGATTAGTACTTGGTTATCGTGATCGGGGTGTGAAAGGAAAGATAATCTTACCTGGATCTCAGTATCGGTAATGGTGTCACGACTAATTCTGGCGTATCCGGTACGGTGGATATTCTTGAACAGAACGTACTCGCACCATCTGTCCCAGTCGGTGGGATCGATATCATTCATTCCACTCGTTTCACTGACGTAGGTGTTGTAGTTACCCTCAAGTGGCTTGGTGACCAGGTAACTCAACAGGATCAGAGGACGGGGAGATGAACCCATAAGGTTCGCGAGATACTGGGATTGAAGGCGGCGATCTTCGGGATCTTCTTCCTGGCCGGAGTGGAAGACGACGATGTCAACCATCTCGCCATACATGTCGAGAGTGGCATGGATGGCGGGAGCGAGTTCACCAACAGGTGAGGGGAGGAGGTGGTGAGTCGAGTTGACAATGGGGAACTTAGAGAGAAGAGCAGAGCCCCAAGTGTGCTTGTTAGGGCCCGGGCCGAAATCGGTGTAATAGCCAAGGTCCTCGGCAATGTACTGAGTGACATCCTTGTTACCCATGATGATGCGCTGGTTGTCCGATTCCAGGAAACCAATGACGTCGAGCTCAAGTTCACCAAGGACATCACGCATACGGCGCTCGGCTGCCCACATGTTGTTGTCCAGACCGAAGTGCACGGTCCAGATACCAGCGGTCACAACCTTCTCCTCAGGGTGGTGAGGCTGGTAGTCGTTAGTGGGGAAACGTAGGTAGGCGACGGACACGGAGAGAAGCTGCAGCGCAGCAAGAACGTAAATATAGTAAGAACGCTGTCTCTTGCTGTTGGGGCTGACAGGCTTGTTGCGAGAGCGACCGGAGTTAGAGGTGGCAGCGGAGAAGACACCAGCACCGATGGAAAGCATGGTAGTGATCATGACCCAATCGGTGTGCTCACGCACGAGAGGACCACCGGGAACGAAGGCGTATGCAACAACCCAAACATGGAATAGCAGAAGGAAAACATAGAGAATGAAACCAAGACCAAAGGTGCTGGCAGGAGAGTGGCGGACGGCGGAGGTAATAATGACGGGGGCGACGGCCATAGTGTAGAAAGCGAAAGCAAGCGCACCATAGTACCCGGTCCAGTGGTGATAATAAGTCAGAAGAGCGGCACCTATAGAGCCAAGGCCATACGCTGTCCAGCTACCGGCCACAGCGGGGCGGAAAATACCATAAACCAGACCGGCACCCATGAAGAGGATTGTAACAGCACCGTGGGGCACCGCGATGGGTCCACGAATAGGGTACCCATCCCAGACCCATGAGATCATGGTGCTGGAGTCGGTAAGAAGAGAAACAATAGCGAACATGAGACCACCAAATCCAATAGCAGCCAGAAGAGATGAACCCTTCTTGCCGCTGGATGGCAGATAGTCACTTCCACTAGTGATAGATCCCCTCTGAGAGCGCAGAACGGCGAAGATGGCCAACAAAAGACCGATCTTGTTCCAGCCACCATTTTCACTGTGCATGACGGGCCAGAGAGGGTTGTTGGTGGCGCAAGCGAACTTAGCAACAACGGACATGATTAGACCAATACCCCAGGCCATTATGCGAGCCTCAAGACGAGGGGTGTTTCCACGCTCGGAAAAGAAGCTAGCTACCCATGCGGCACATGAAGTAGCTAACGCAAACGCGACGATGAAAAGGCGGTTGGCAGGGTCCTCGAACTTGTAGGCCAGGAGAGCCACAAGGGAGCTAAGATGAAGAAGACGCAAGTTCTTGGTGGCGAGAGATCTCAAAGAGGGAATGGCGAAAAGTAGAGGAGAAACGCAGGCCACAATGGCGACCTCGTAGCCGGAAATACCCATGTGCCAAAGAGGGAAGTACCACACCAGAACGGGAAGACCGGTGACAATGGTCCAGAAGACGAATCCATTGTAAACGTCGGAAGCCGCATCAAGGATTTCAGTCCAGAAGAAGCCTTCGCCGAACGTATTACCCATAGGCTTGCCCTTCCTAAACTACTGGTTAGCCTCCGGGAACAGGACCATGTGATTATAAGATTATACACACTCTTTTTCAAGGACAGAGTCCGCAGTCGTCTTCAACTGCCTAAAGAAAGAATCGATTTAGAAACAAAGTGCTTTTTCATAACCAATGTGTTTTATGCACTATACATTTGTCGTGGGTGTCATTTCGGAAGCCACGGTACATACCCTCTGCTAATGCCCTTCAAATCCCGGACCACCAGTTCGAATCCTTCAAAGTCGAGCACTGTAATAGCATCAAATCCAACATCGAACAAGATCAAGGACCACTCAAAGAAAGCGTAGCGGGTGTAGGCTAGAGCGAGAATCAATTAGTATTTCGCGAGTAGCATTCTATAAACCGGAAGAATAAAACTTACCACCAGCCACCTTGTGGACCTTGTGTTGAATGAAGTAGTAGATCAATGGAATCAAGGTTCCGAAGAAGAGACTAGCCGTGATCTTGCGGTACTTGACCGCGCGGCGGTTGTTGGGGCTGAGTGCGAGACAGCCCAGAGTCCATGGTAGGGTCGCGACCAGATAGGAGATCATAAAAATATCATGCCAGTCATGGTCATCAGTAGAAGTGACATAGGTCCATCCACCGCATGTGAGAGTTCGGAAGATACCCACACCTGCCACGATCTTCGGCAAACTCGAATTGGGACGCGCGGTAAGCACGTACCAGAGGAAGACGAGGAGGAAGCGAGGACCGGAAGTCATTGCAATGAAGACCTGGAAGAAAGCACGCTCGGGGTATCGATCACCAATTGTCGCGGACACGGAGGGAAACCATTCATCGGGGTAGCCGAAGTATTCGTTTTGGACGATCTTGTGATAATGTAGAGATACACCGACAATCAAGGCGCTGAAGAAAGCAGCATATGCGACTGCGGTGTGGGTCCATGACACCCATTTGGCATTGATCTAAAATAAGATGGATGTAAGTGTCAAGAGATCTCTTATCGCATTGTTTTGGGAAGGCTGCACGTACAGTAACCACGGCATCTCCATCCTTGAATCTGGGAGCCATGGTGTAAACGAAGGAGCCCTCCGCCCAGGGTCTATAAGGAGAGTAGCTTTGAATTAAACAAGACAAGAAAAGAAACCAAAAAAAGAGCGTCGAGAAGTGAGCTTGGTTGAGAAAGGGCCCCTGAGGAAAACATTCGGATCCCTCGGTTGATTCCAGAGTGGCCTTGGAGAAGGCGGTAGGGGCTAACCCGATTAGGCTTAGAGGCTGTGCTTTGTCAAACTGCGGGATCGACACGCTTCAAAGTCAACTTTTTTTTTCTTTCGTATAAACAACGAAAAAAGGTCCACCACCATGTCCGCTGCCACAGATAAGGCTCGGTTTTACCTGGAGAAGTCCGTTCCGGAGCTGAAAGAATATGAGCAGAAGAAGTTGTTCTCCAAGGTAGGCTCTTGCGAAGAAAAAAGGTATTGAGTGGATCCTGAGCTAACACGAAAATTCCTAGGATGAAATTACTTCCATTATTAAAAAGCGATCGGACTTTGAACACAAGCTTAATGCGCGCGGCGCAAAGCCAATTGACTTTGTCCGATATGTCGAATACGAGATCAACCTAGAGTCCCTACGAAAAAAGCGAGTGAAGCGCATGGGAATTCGATCGGGCGGACACAACGGTCAACGACGAATCTTTTTCATTCTGGATCGTGCCACACGCAAGTTTCACGGTGATGTCAACATCTGGATTCAGTATATCGAATACACACGGAAGCAGAAAGCCTACAAGAAGCTCTCGATGATCCTCACCGATGCTCTACGCTTCCATCCCACCAACGCCGAGTTATGGATCTACGCTGCGAAATATTCGCTCGACGAACATGCGGATATGACTCAGGCCCGAAGCTTCATGCAACGTGGTTTACGATTCTGCAAGAATGCGCGCAACTTGTGGATTCAATACGCGAAGCTGGAATTGATCTATGTTGCTAAACTGGTCGCCCGCCAAAAGATTTTGGGATTGGATACAGCCAGTCAACGACCCAAGGCCGTTGAGCAACCGGGACTAGATGCCCACGATGCCGACATGATTTCATTGCCCAAAATCACCGAAGAGGATATCAACCCGACTTTGCCTGGAGATGAAGTTGACGAGAATGCCTTGGAGACACTCAATGCCACCCCGGCCCTTAGCGGTGCCATCCCAATGGCTATCTTTGACTCTGCTATGAAAAACTTTGACAACGACGATCGACTTGCATTCAATTTCTATGACATGGTACTGGAGTTTGAGGATGTGCCGTGTCTGCGCAAAATCCTGGGACACGTGGTGGAGACTTTGCAGAGCAGCCAACCTACCAGTCCTCGGACTCGCATCTGTTACATCAAGTTCCCAACTGCGGGCGTAAGAGTCACATCACCAGATTTCCCGCGTGCCCTGGGTAGCTCACTTGCTCTTCTCAAGGAATCACAGCCGCTGGATGCTGGACTTGCGCAAGAAGTGGTCAATTGGTTGAAGCCATTGGCTGAGACAGAGGATGTGGATCCTTCATTGAAGAAGGTCATCCTGTTCACATTGCGCAACGCCGAGCGAACATTGCCGGCATGATCGGGATCTTGTACATGATGTGAAACATTTCGCTTTCTTTTATTTTTCTCACTTGCACTTGCGCGGCGTTGGTCGGATGTGATATTAAAAAAGTTCCTGAAGATATACTAGTCAACCCAGTTAAAAAGCCCATCCCTTACCCAGGGCGGACAATTTTATATTCCGATTTACATTATTATACAAACTTTATCTAATATCTAAATCTCATGAGTGTGGGGGAAAGACAGGATGGCAAGCTCTGATATTTCTTAACTAGTGATCTGTAACTGCCCATTGTTTGGGAAGATCGAAAATGACCGTATATTTTAAGAACTCTCCATAAAAGGCTGGCCCGTTCTGATGATAGCAGCTTTCAATATAGCCACAATCTCCTCCAGCTCTCCATCCGTGACAGTGTATGGTGGACAAAGCATAATGTGATCAACCTGGTATTCACCAGTATGCCCGAGATTTCCAAGGATATTCAATCCCATCTTCAGACTTTGTTTCACAACCTGAGAACAAAAGTTGGCTTCGATGGGGAAGGGCGTCTTGTCGTCCTTGCTAAGAACAAACTCAACGGCCCAGAACAGGCCACGGCCTCGAATGTCCCCTACTAACGGAAGAGGTTCGATTTCCTTCCGTAGCAGGGCTTCAAGTTTCTGTCCCCTGGAGTTCGCCCTTTCGACAAGTCTCTCCTGGGAGATTATTTTTTGAGCTGCAACAGCGGCCGCACAAGCAAGAGGATGAGCCTAATTCCGATCAAATCAGTACATCGTCAACTATCCGATGCTTTGGTTTACAATATACCTGAAAAGTGTGGCCATGTGCTAAGCCTCCTGATCCGGCCGACAGAGAATCGAAAATCTTTTCGTGGAGCAAGACTCCAGACAGAGGAACAAAGCCGGCCCCGAGCGCCTTGCCAATAGTCTGAATGTCAGGGCCGCGAATACCTTCTTGCTCCCATGCATGCATAGTGCCGGTTTTTCCCATTCCGCATATAATCTGAACTCTGGGCGTTAGATACTTGTCCCATTGTCTTAATTTTGTTTCGAATGGAGATATACAAGGATGGGATAACTATGATCTTACCTCATCCAAAATCAGCAAAAGGTCGTACCGGTCGCAGATATCTCGAATAGCTTTGAAATACCCGGGGACAGGCGTCAAGCAGCCCAAAGTAGTCCCACTAACAGTCTCAGCAATAAATCCGGCAATTCGATCAGGTCCCACGCGAAGAATTTCATCTTCAAATTGACGCGCGAGGCGATCCACAAAGCACTGGTCAGACTCGTTATCGTGCTTCATCCGATAGGCGTAGCATGGATCAACGAACGAGACATTTGACGACATGAAATCCTTATAGTAGGCCCGTCGTGACTCATGACCGGAAACGCACAGCGCGCCGATAGTATTACCATGATAGCTTTGTTTGCGTGCGATAAAGTGGGTTCGCTGCGGTTGTCCTTTCTCGTGCCAATACTGCACAGCTAACTTAAGAGCAGCATCAGTCGCTTCACTCCCCGAGTTAACGAAAATGGCCTTTGAGAGACCTCCAGGCTTATTGGCTAGGAGCATTGTCGCTAACTCCTCCGTGGCGCCATTCGTATATGGAGAACCCGAATAGACGTATGCGATATCATTTTGAAGGTGAGACACGATTGCTTTTGTGATCTCGGGCTGCGAATGACCTAAGCAAGAAACAGAGGGGCCACAGCTTGCATCTATCACTCGAGAACCATCTTCGAGGATCAAGTTGATACCATCACCGGCGATGATCTTGGCAGGGCTCTCTGTGAAGGATCGGTGAAGGATGTGGGAGCGAGAAACAAACTCGTCGACGGCCATGTTGAACGATGATAGAACAATGAAAGAAACACCCTCGGGGGCATATGTTTCAAAGTCATTCTTATATCAAGCCGATATAACGGCATTATCGCTGGCGCCGTAGAGAAACATGGAATGCCGCCATTGACGCCGTGAGGGGAAGGGTGTGGGGTCACTGTGGATACCACTCATTGCGGGGGGGGTTCTGCTCGCTTTGAGTGAGGAATTAGAAAAAGAAGTGGACAGTCAACTACATACTAGGCTCCACAGTCAATAGTATGGGCCCAGAAGATGAGGCTGCTCTAGGGGATCCAGTCCGCCGCCGTTGACGCCCGAAGATTTCTCATGATGAGCAATCGCATATATAAAAAGGAAGCAACGCCACCCGTACACTAAAGGCTCGCAATTGATCACCATTTCGCGATCGCGATCGAATCGTCTGTAACAAGATAAAGGGATCCTCTGCATCGTCGGCTTGTTGAAACAAAGTTCCTGCCACGGTATGTCACCTAACTTCACAGTGGAGAATAACTTTTTAAGAGAGCTGACTTGACAACTTAAAATAAGGATCAATACACAATGAACAACGCCACCACAGAGAAAGGCGACTGCTCCGCCGAAGCGTATCGTGGGCCAAAACTACCCAACGTCCCAGAGGACCTTGTCGTTCCCGGGGTAATGGACCTCGAATGCGACGAGCGCCTATGGGTTCCTCAAGCGAAAGACGTTTGGTTCCGACCATTATGTTTCAACGTCTCTCACGGCTATTTTGTCAACATTCTTCGCGTGCGGAAGAGCGGTATTCTGTCACGACATCGCCATACAGGTCCCGTTCACGCAACTGTCTTACGAGGACGTTGGCACTACCTTGAGCACCCTTGGTGGGCTGAAGAAGGTGGTTACGCATTTGAACCTCCTGGTGATATTCATACCTTGGAGGTTCCGGACGGGGTAAATGAAATGTACACCTTGTTTCATGTTACGGGCGCGTATATTTACGTGGATGTTGATGGAGTCCCTCTTGGGGTCGAGGATGTATTCAGCAAGTTGGAAGCAGCTCGGAAGCACTACGAAAATATTGGATTAGGTGCAGATTTTGCAGATCAGTTTGTTAGATAAACTAAATCATGTATAGCTAGATGAATCGCACGCAATTTTCAAGTTCCCAATGCCCATAACTGAGTTTTTTATCGTGATTACTATATCTCAGATACAGTAAATCACTATTTAAGTCAATTTCATCACATCCATGTACTATTGAAATTTGCCCAGGCTGCTCATTGAAAGTGGACAGGTTGACATGGAGGTATATTACTAGTATAAAGGATTAGCTCCAGGGCTTCGGCAGATACTAGTAGTACTAGCTGAACCTTGTAAGATTCGAGATTTATTTCCACATATATAGTTGCCAGTGTTTTGTTAATGTCATAATACAATGTAACTCACGACAGAGAAAGAGAGATATTATCTCGCCGAGTGATATCTAACCAATCAACCTTCGTTGACCCTGTCGATTTCCTTGCTATCCTAAGCCGCCACAACTTCTCTAGCACCGATAACGCCACTTCAACGTTCCTAAAGCCACGTGAATCGATCATATCAAGCATTCTAGTCCGAATACTCTTGATATGTGATTCTTCTGTAGCTTCTCCACCCGCGAGGAATATGGGGAAGAGCAGTGTACATTCTGCAAAACTCCTATTAGGCATCCGCTCAATAATATCCACTGTTGCGGCAACCTGGGTAGCAACTTTCGATGAAAACTCGATTTCGCGCTCTTCGCATACAGTTCGCATCACGCGATATATGTAAATCAAAGCAGAGGAGCGGTATGACTCGGCTAACAATTTCAGCGGCATATCTTCGGACGGAGGACAAGTCCACTGCTCCAATCGTGTCTCCAAAGTCATTAAAGCCTCTAAGATCTCTAGTGACGAAAGTGAATCTTGGCCATCAATAGTTTGAACAACGGCGCCGGAGCTGGATTCTTTGTTGGGAATTGAGTTTATATCCGTTTTCAACCTGTGATTCAACACGGCCGTATGTGAGACTACCTCTAATATCTCGGAAGCAAGACCGAAATATGAATCAGGTTGTAGAGGATCATCGAGTATTAAAAAATGATGCGAGCTCATAACAGGCGCTTGGTCCCTCGCAACAGCTGCCACGATGTCACGATATGCAAAGTTGCGCAAAAGCCAGCGTGCTGCATAGACATCATTGAATGGCTCTAGAACCTTCGTTGAGTAGTCGTCGCCGTATATAGATGTGCGGTCTGTATTGGATAAGAGTACCTTTGAAGCTCCGATAAGATGTAAGTACCATGCGTCACCGTTGTCTCCCATAATGCTCTCTAGGGAGCAAAGGATCAACGACATGGCCAAAGTTGTCTCCACATTGGCTGCATTGGACCCGAGAGCATTTCGCAGATCTCGAAGAGCTGTACCCCGATTTTGCATAGCCACATTTTCGAATGACTTGTCACGCAATGACAGATGCGATGATGACCAAGCAATTAGCGTATTCAGCACCGGTGGGCTATGCATGGCTATTGGGAGGAATACTAATTTTTATTAGAATCGGGCGGGATTCGTAATATTTGACGGTTTAGTGGCTCACCTGAAAGAAATGAATTGTTCTCCATATTCGTGGTCATAAGGTGGGTAAAGGTTTGCGTATAATATCGGAGAAAATGCCTTCGGCTCAAAGGAGAAGTGCAATCGGAATGCTCATCGACCCAGAATAAAACCGGGTCGGGCACGGCCAATAAGGGTATGGGTCGACTGGATGATCGCTCAGCCAGACACAAAGAATCCGTGCTGGGTTTATTGCAGGCAAAATCCCTCGGAGCCTCCCATTTGCACTCATAATTCAGCCGTACACATTCCTTGCAGGCGGGATATCCCAGATCACAGCGCTTTTTTCTAGAAGCAATTAGCGGTGCTTATTTTGATAGGGAACACAAATAGTCACGCTACGGATTCTCCTTACCTTTGACGACAAGTCAAGCACCCCGTTCGATCACGAGTGGTTCCTCGCTTCTTTGTGATTCGCCGCGGCACATGCCGCTGGATGGACGAGAGTTCTACGGGCGGCATCTTGGAGCTGGCAGCTCAATTGGGAGTATATCCTAGTATAGGAAGATCAAGTCGCAGGCTGGCGCTAATGGCGGCGACTTGCTATTCGCGCCGTCTTGACTTTTATCATGTCGTGCGGGGAAGTCTTATCAGTGTTCTAGGGTCATCAAACGACCTTGGTGGAGTTAATGTGCGATCGCAGCCAATAGAAGATGGCGCGCTAACGGCGCAGAGCAGACATCCAATAGGAATCATCAAATTAGTATATCCCCGCATCCAAATCTTTATTATCGCCGCCAAGGACATGACCAGGCGGATTTGCTTATCATTGCTCTGTATTATTCTCAAATTTGACTGGTTGGAAGGTTCAAAGTTTCTGGGGAAAATACTATCATGACTATGTGAATTTGAGCCTCTGCCTCCCCTGTGGAGGCGAGGTCATTGTATATCTGCTGTAGTATCCCCGGTTATTGTTAGTTTCATCCCCTTTATACAAACCTTGGAAGTTCATTATTATTTTCCTTCGAAGCACGATGCAGAAATTCCAGGATGATCTTGAGTTGGAAGCCCGTGGCTATCGTCGTGAAATGCCTAGGCAATTTTCCGTGTTTAGCTTGGTCGCCCTCTCATTCAGTTTGACTTGTACTTGGTCTGGCACTGGATCGTCACTCGGTATTTCTATCAAAGAGGCTTCCGCCGCTGGTACTCTATGGTCAATTCTAGTGGCAGCCGTGATGACTGGTATCTTGTCGGCTGGGGTTGCGGAGCTGGCATCAGCATTTCCAGTAGCCGGAGCGCAGTATTACTGGGCCTTCTGTGTGTCCTCGAAAGAGTATCGAGCATTCGCCTCCTATATGTTCGAGACCCTTCCATATTTTTGTTTGATTGTTTTGTGCTCAATTTCTTACTATTCTATAGGAATGGGTGGTTGAGCATCCTCGGTTGGTGGCTGGCAAGTGCTTCTGCTTGCAATTTTATTGCATCTCTTATCCTCTCTATTGCCTATTTGTGGTATCCAGACTACGAAAGCCAAAGTTGGCACCAATGGTTGATATACGTTGGTGTTACATGGTTGGGGGTGGCCTTGAACACCTTTGGGTCGCAATTGCTTCCGACTTTCAATCGATGTATCTGTAAGCAATCTTTTCAAAGAAAGCCTATTCTCAATTGTAGCATTCATTCTAACATGCTCTTTATGATCCCAGTCTTTCTTGCGTGCACTACTCTGTCCGCCACAACTATTACTTTGTTTGTCTGCAGTCGCAATAACCACGCACCGGCAAATTGGACATTCAGTGATACAACAAATGGCACTGGATGGAAAAGCGATGGGCTTGCCTTCATATTGAGTGTCAGCAATGCTGTATATGCATTCCTCGGTACGGACTGCGGAGCACATATGTGCGAAGAGATTCGAAATCCTGCAAAGAACGCTCCAAAAGTTATTTTATTTCCTGTTTTGATTGGACTGGTCACTGCCTGGCCATTTGCCTGCAGTTGTATGAATGCCATTGTGGATGTCGATGCGGTCCTCAACACACCTTCCGGCGTCCCTCTAATCGAGATCTACTACCAGAGTACACAATCCAAAGAAGCTTCAACTGTGCTTCTCGCATTGTTTGCTTTCTGCTTTTTCGGATGCACTGTGGCCAATGGTGAGTTGAGCATATAGACTACTACCCAATGAACTATATACCCCAATTTAACTAACATGTGCGTTAGGAACGACGTGCTCGAGAACAATTTGGGCGGTCTCCCGTGATAATCTGATGCCTTTTAGTAATATTTGGTCAAAGGTCCACTCTGGCTTCCAAATTCCACTAAATGCACTTTGTCTATCTGGTAGTGTTGTTTCAGTGAGTCATCCTTCCTTTCAACCAACCTGAATCCTGTTTCTGACTCCACATTCCTATCCAGCTGTATGGACTGATCTTTCTGGGCTCGACCAATGCATTTTCTGCCATGGTGGGAGCTGCAGTAATCTTTCTCCAAACATCATGCGCTCTGCCCCAGTTAATTGTCTTATGGCGTGGTCGAGACGCAACCCTCCCAGAACGCCCGTTTTCTTTGGGTCGATTTGGCGTTGCTGTCAATTTTATCGCCGTTGTATGGGTCACATTTCTTGACATCCTTTTCTTTCTCCCTACGGAACTTCCGGTCACGAAGGGAAACATGAACTATATCTCTGTTGTTTCGATGGGATTAACTAGCATTGTGCTTGCCCTCTACTGGTTTTCAAAAAGAGGCAAGTACTTAGGGCCACAGATGCCCCAAGAAGTTCAGGTTAACGAGGGACGGGATGTTGAGGATGAGAACGAGCTGAGCCATTCTATGAAGAAGCAGTGAGAATGAGTTCACCGTATCTAGAATTTCTCGGGGAGCATTGATGTGATAGCACAACAGCAACTTGTGAAACAAATATTGGCTTTGTAGTACCAGGTTCAAATTAAGTAACGATAAAATCATGTCTCGTACATACATATGCAACAGGGAAGAGAATTGTTATCACATCAGACTCGCTCTGACAAGAACAAATATCCACACAAATACAAACTCGCGCAGATGATTCTAATCTAATGGGGTGCGCGATTCGATCATGGATGCGGGTCTACCCGCACCCAGAAGCCAATGACAGGCGACACACAGCAAAATGGCAAGTAGTAGGAACCAAAAGTCCTTAGTGAATCTTTTAATTATATTAAAAAAATACTTTATTTTGAAGATATCCCTTTGGTAGATAGATGACCTTAGAAAGATGAGAACTATTAAGATAACCATTTAGCAAATTAGAGCAAGGCTTTAACAGGACTAAAGAAAGTGCCTGTAGAAGTAGGGTGCCTCCAAAATTCCGAAGACTGGCAATCGGACCCTGAAAAAAAAACAAGACACGTTGCTGCCCAGATGTCCAGGTGTGTGATCAGAGGAGTCAAGGTCAAAGATCAGAGGATGGGGGTTTCGATTAGGTTGACTACTATGTAGTCGATTTTTACCCCATCAAATGTGTGGTTCTTATTAAATGTATCTCAGGGGGTAATGATATTAGCTCACCCTATCGATCATCATACTTACTCCCCCGACGATTGCTCTTTTTACTACTATGAAACTTCTTATCCTTAATGCGGGCCTCATTTTGTGCGCGTTGTCTGCGTTACATGCGGTCAGATGATGAAATAATTCAAACCCGGTACGGGGTATTCCGTCAAAGAAAACATAAACAGCAACAAAAAATTTTTTTTAAAAAAAAAGAGGAAAGAGGCTTACAATTTTTGGACACGTGCCTGTTGCTCCGGGGAAGTTTCACCGGGAATAACGGCCTTGGCCGAGCTCTCCAACAGCTGGTGGAGCTTGTCGAAACATGCATCCACATTGCTAGTTTGATTCCGGGATTCATCGGACTGGATGACCAGGGCCTGGGAGCGGTCGGAGGCATAGCGCGATGCGCGCAGCTGGGGGTGGAGCAAACGCGGCACAAGAGGTAACAGGTTGGCCCAGAATATTTTCAGCGTTGCTTTTGTATTAACTCTGCCCCCACACCATTAGCCTTGCCGATAGTAGTGTATGTAAGTAGGGTAACCTTGGAATATAATCCCAAAGCTCGGAATTGGACCGACTTGTTCACGTTCTGACCTCCCGGACCGCTTGAACGGCTGAAAGAAACCTCACCGATCTGTCGGGGGATGGATTTCGAGTTGAAAGTTTTCAGCCACGTCCTCGCTAGCTCCACGTCATGGTCAGATGACCCTTTTGTTGAGGCCCAGCGGCGTAACCAGGGCGTTCTGAGCCAGGACCCGGTGAGTCGAGGCCCCATCAGTCTCGGAACGAATCCTACCGAGTGGGAGGCGGGGGGAAGGGGAAAAAAGAAGGGAGGGAAGATATAGGATATCAAACCCATATGACTAAAGGGGGTGACTGTTTATTGATGATACGAGGCGATCATCATAGGTCGGTACATAAGAGGGGGGGAGTATGGTGAAATTTCCAAGGTCAGGAACATGCGTCGGGATTGGACCCGAGATGTACGGAGTCCTTGGTAGTAGGACTGCACTAGTATAGCGCGCTCGGGAGTTTATTCAGTTGTAAAATGATTCTTAAGGGGAAAGAAGAGAGTGGAGGCGTTCCATGACTAATTAAAACTATTTTTGCCCAGTCACAAGTGCATTTGCTCCATTTATAACTCCATAAGCTCCGAATTTTGGGGTTCTGGCCCCTCAATCTCAAGGGAAGAAACCGAACTAAAGTACTGCAACTTGGCCCAGTTATCAATCCCATGTATTTGTAGAGAGATGTGTAGAAAGGACTGGGAAAATACATATAGAATAAGAGATCGTTAAAGCAATTTAGCAAATCCTTGCGAATTTCAAGTTTATTACCAGGGACAATAGTACGTGTCCCATACTAGTGCTATTGATGAACTTATGCAGCCGGTAGCCGATCTGATTGGCGGGTGACTATGACGCCAGTCTTTCTAACATCAACCGCGTCATATAAAGAGAGAGAGTTAAGCTGGGGGTTTATAAATAATAATCAGTTATGAAAGGGTCGGAAGGGAATAAAAAGTTGAAAGAAAAGTAACAAAGAAAAATGGCAAACTCAGATTTGCCCCAATTTCAGTCAAAGACGCAGTAAGAAATAAATCACACGGCGTGATGCTGTCGAGGATCATCGTACAGGGTGATCCTGCATGTCCTGCATTGTAACCAGAACTTTCTCCTCATAACCTAGTAAAGACCAGATCAGAGCTGCTAGAAGACTTATTTGATTATTTTAAACTTCCCTCCATCATTTCTTAATTCTATTTCTACTTTCTTTCCCCTCTTCATCGTCGGCCCTATCTATCCTAATCTGGGACCCTTTACCGCCCAAGTTTCTTTTTTCTCATCGCCCCACCTTAGCTTGCGATCGCGAGAAATTTCACTAATCAAACTTCCCTTCCCTTACCAACCCCCCTCCACCCCCAAAAAATCTCACCTTTTCTCTTTCGATTATACTCCTTCTTGATCATCTCTATTCTTCGTTGTAAATGAAACGCCCGCCCCTCCTTTGTCTACATGACGCCCAGTCCCCCCGATGAAGCTCTTCACTTCCGCGGAAAGACACTGACTCCGGAAAGCCCTCGTCCGCTACATATCCCGGAGCCATCCAACATCCCCGTGTTGGAAAACCAAATGGACCCCGTATTTAACGATACATCAACCTATGAACGTTCGGTATATGCTCAACCCCCTCATTCCAAAGATGCATGGTCGGGGGTAGACACCTAAGATCGGGGAGGCCAGGTGCAGGATTCGGGTAGTTTGCGTACCACTCAGCCAGGGGACCTTGTGACGAATGATATGCCTGTTTCGGTGGATTATTACCATTCCCACTCACAACCCCAACAATCGGGGAATGTGAACCTGTCCAACTCCCATATCCACGCTCATGCGCCTCCGGTTGTTCCGGTCCACCAAGGCTTCGCCACTACCAGCGAAGTAGACAATGCCGGCAACCAAGGCAATGTATCACACTTGTCGCAGAGCTTAGAGGAAGGGAATGAGAATGGAGGATCAAATACCGCGGGTGTCAATTTCCAGACTCTGCTAGACAATCTCTCGCATCTCCCACCAGTGAATCAGTCAGAGGCGGCTCCTTCCTTCCCAAGGGACTCGTCTCTCCACCAAGCACCCTTAACCGACCCTTATCAATCCCAGGGCGCCCCTGCCCAGCCCCTCCAAGACCCTTCTACCCAACCCAACTACTCATCTAACGATGATCCATCGTATCATCAACAATCATCTGCCCCTGCCACTTCTTCTGCCTACCCTCCACAATCCAGTAACAATGCCCAGCCTTATCCCCAATCAACGACCCCGGGCGGGGCGCCAGGCACCGTCCATGCCGCAAATTCCCTTCCTCCCCCGCCCATTGCCAGCTTTCAGCACACACCCTCCACAGAAGAGGGATCACAAACCTCCCAGGAGGGAGCCCAAGCGTCTAAAAAAGTCCGTATCGACAAGCAGGCTCTGAGAACTGGGAAAGCAGGCGACGACGATTCGCCATGGGGGCCAGAGGTTCAAAAGAAATATGATGAGTTTCTCCATGATGAAAGAATCTATGTTACTGAAGGACTTTGGGATCGATTCCCCATGGGTTCCCGTCTATTTGTTGGTGAGTGTACTCTCAATTACCCTGGGTATACCAACCCCGCTAAAGACGGACTTTATTGACTTTGAATTTGTTTAGGTAATCTTCCTACAGAAAGAGTCACTAAACGAGACATGTTTCATATCTTTCACAAATACGGCAAACTCGCCCAAATTTCGATCAAGCAGGCTTATGGCTTCATACAATTTTTGGAAGCCGAATCGTGTCATGCCGCATTACAGGCTGAACAAGGGGCTCTAGTCAGAGGCAGAAAAATTCGTGAGTCTTTAGTAAAACCACCCAAATCAAAATCGAGGCAACATACTGATTCTTCCTAGACCTCGAAATTTCAAAGCCTCAGCGTTCTACTCGGCCCGCGCCCGCCGAGCCATCTCGCGCTCCCCCGCCCCGACGCTCAAGATCGCCAGAGTTCAGCCGAGCCGGTCCTGTTCGGCCCAACCCCCGTGCGCCCGGTGATCGCTACGATCGGCCTTATGAACCAAGCCGACTTCCATTTAGTGATTTCCGGGATGAGGCTTCTCATCGCAGACGTGATGACTATCGGCCCCCACGATCGCCTTCACCTCGGCCTATTCGAGCGAGAGATGGATATCGATCTCGAGATAGAACCCCTGAGCGTTTCGATCGTCGTGAACGCCGGCGTTCTCGGTCTCCCCGGTCTCCTCGATCACCATATACTAGAGACCGTCGGTATCGCAGCTTGAGTCCTAGACCTCGGGGCATCTATGAAGGGGAGGCCGATCTCCCAGTACCTCGAAGAGCACCCCGTGATGTGCCTGAGGTCCAAGTGCTAGTCCTGGAAGAAGTTGATCGGTATGTAAAGCCACAATTCAAACTTAGCTCGAGCACTCACTAATTTGGTACCCAGAAACTTTATACTTCATGTCGAAAACGCTTTCCGCAACCGCGGTTTGCGAGTCGATGTTCTTGTGCTCGGTCCTCGTATTCCACTAGGTGCTGCAGTCCATCGGCAATATGTCGAAGGTGTTCTTGCAGTCGTGCGACTCTCTCGACCCAATCTATTCTCTCGCAAAATTCCTCTCCAAATTTTCGACCGAAGCGCAGGTCCAGGCAATGTCCGCTTTAGTGACTACCCAGAGGTTGACCCCAACATCGCGGCTGAGCTTATGTTTCACCAAGCCCACGCCATGCCGCGCGGTCCCCCGCCTGCGTCTTTCGCCCCTAATCCTGCTTTTGGTGTCGCACCTGTACCAACAATACCGGTGCCTCAGCCTGGGCTTCCCAATTTGACGAATCCTCCCAATATTGCGAATCTGATCGGTTCCTTGGATGGTCCTAGCCTTCAATCCTTGCTATCGGCCCTGCAACGACCCGCACCTCAGTCGCAGCCTGTTTCGGCTACTCAATCCCCATTCTCCTCTCCTAATCCTCCACCGCCAGCCGACCTGGCTACACTTCTAAATAATGCAACTCGACCTGTTCCGGCTCCCATTCCTCAACCACAACCACAGCCGCAACCTATTATCCCCCCTCCCCCATTCAACCTACAACATCCCAATGCGCCTGTTGTTTCCGATCCCCACTTGCTTTCAATCCTTGCTAAGGGTCTCGGAAATCAACAGCCGCAGGGCCAACCAGGTGTCGGTTCTAATGTGCAAAATCTGATGAACCAGTTGGCCAAGTGGAAGCAATGATATGACGAATTTCTTCGTTGCGACTTATCTACTGGTCCCGGATTGGATCCATGGGCCTTTTTTTATTGTTATCTATTTTCCTTGGGCTCTTTCCCCGCCTTTTTACATGGAGCTTGGCGTTCTAGCTCTCATTATTTGCTTTGGGTGGCTCTTCTCGTATTTACATGCTGGCATTATTCCAGCGACTGCAACGGACGGCGCTTTTTGATGATATCCCATTTGGGACTTCTGGTTTCAATTTTTATCTTTTTTGGCCGGGGCTCCCTAGGGCAGCAAGAATCTAGATACTAGGATGGATTGCGGGTGTCCAGGATGAAGTTATGATGTATTCAGTGGTTTTGATCTCGAGACGTGTACCTTGACTATCGGTACGTCTGAGACGTTCTTGCTTGGGCAAGGTGGATATAATATGGCACAATTATGTGCTTAACGCCACTATGGAGTTTACATGGAGAGAATTTGCTATATCGTATTTATCTTCATCCGTCTTTCCAAAAGATAGTAGTTGAAACCGTTTTGCATGTCAGGTATACCGGGACATTAATTGATCATGACAATAAGAGTGGATATGGTGAATATGGTATGGTACATAATGTACAAAACAACTTTGCAGGCCTGTTAAAAAAACATTCTGGCCCAAATCTAGCTCGACTTCCATCCTTGAGCTTTCAACTCCTTCATTTTCTCGGCATCCTCCTTCTTGATCCGCTCAATGGTCTTGTCTCTGTTATATTCCATCACACGCTTTTCCTTGAAATATTTCACCTAGTAACAAAAACAAATTAGCACTTTTCAAAAAACCAAATGTAAAAGCTTTTCCACAAAGCAACGAATACTCTGCAAAATAGCTTAATCATAAATAGCCCACATACCCAAGTCGCCGAGCAAGCAGCCTCGAACTCTTCAACTTCCTTCCCACACTTCCGTCGAGCCGCCTTATCATCTTTAATCCCATCCAGAATATCATTGCGATCTAAACAGGCGAAGTAAAGATCCCGACCCTCCCAGCAGCGAGCGCGACTTGTGCGATCCGGCGCGATGCGGCCGCCATCAGAGGCCTTTTTGTCGTCACCCGAGGACCAAGGAAGCCAGCCCATATTGAATTGGTTGAACCGTTTAAAAATGGGGTAGTCGGAGGGGGGAATAAGTTGTGTATCGTGGGTATTAGCAGGGTGTAGAGGTGGAAGACAGCTTGATGTCTGTAGATAAGGTTAAGAAGAAAGGCGCTGGCGGAGAGAGCATTGCGGCGTTTACGGATGCCAAGACTGTTGATCCTGGCCTCAACACCAACCGTCCGCAATTTCCAACTTAAACCAAACCAACTCAACTCCCTACCTCATCTCCATACCCATACATACATTTGAACCCCATACATATAGCCTCATTAGTCTCTATCATTTCCCCCTCATAAAAACCCTATCTCGATCCGATCCGACTCAACTGAACAAAAGAAGTCGCACTCGCATGATCCCGCCACCTATCGTCATCACGAGCACAGCTCACCACTCCGAACTCACTCCTACACCGCGGGACATAAAGTCCCAATAGTTGATGCCCGGGCGCAGGCGCCTTCCAGCGGGGTCGCGAACTGACCTTCCGCCCTTGAAAATCATCCGCAAGATCCTCCTACTTCAAGTAGCCTATTATGTCTGCGCGACGGTCCTCATCCTCTTCACGACGGTTGTCTACGGTGCACCGTTCTCGCTAGACTTAGTCTTTGGATGGGATAAATTGCGCGGAGATACAACTGTCGGTTGGATGCTGGGTTTAGTATGGATGCTTAACTGTTTTATCAGGTAAGATAGCTCCCCCCCTCTCTCTCTCCCTCCCTCATACCAACCAACAAACTAATCTAACCTGTTTCGTTTCTTACAGTGTAATCTTCCTCCTCCTCTTCGTCTCCCGCTCAAAACTCGTCCCAGATTTCGCTCTAACGATCCACTTCCTTCACCTCGTCGCTACAATCCTCTACACACGCTCACTACCTGCAAACCTCCTCTGGTGGGCTCTCCAATTCGCTAGCGCAGCAATGATGACCTTCCTAGGCATGTGGGCGTGCCAACACCGTGAACTGAAGCCGATTAGTTTTGGCGGAATAGGAGTAGGAGGTGGAAGTAGTAGTGCTGAACGATCTTCGCAGGCTGGGGATCCGCAGCAGGAACCCAGCTTTGGAAGGGGTCGTGGGAGAGAAAGGAGTATACAGGAGTATGAAATGGATCAGATGAAAGCTAATGGGGAACATCCCGTATAAGGCTCTCAGAATGGTTCTGATATTCCCTTTCTTCTTCCTACTTCGTTTCTCTGCCTACCTCTTATGTCCCGTCTCACCCTTTCGGTTCCTGGGCTGGGTTGGGTCTTATTCTTTATTGCCATAGGCTACGACTTTTGGATGTTTTCTTCTTTGTTTCTGTTGTGTCTGTTGAGGACAGGTGCATTGTGTTTCTATTCATCTTTGTATACCCCGCCGCAGTTGCATATCTGTATAGACGGCGTTTTTTTCTGGAGAGCATGGGAACATTGAATTGAGATTTGTTTCCTTTGTTAGATATTTTGTCACTTAATCCTGGAGAACAGTTGTCTCCGACTCATTGTTTCTTCAAATGAACTAAATTACCTTGATAAACTAAGCCTCATGTTGACTACTCCGGAGGTCAATGACCGGCCTCTTGCGAGTCATGAAATAGCCTCTTCAACACAACAAATATCTGCTTTCGTCCATCCCATAGAGGATTAATGCCAACGACCAACAATGTGATTCATAACCAAACAAGAGCAACAGAAACCCAAGCAACAAAAAGCTAATAGACATGTTAGCAACCTAAAACCATGCTGTACATTCGATATACTTACTCCTCCGCTGAAAACAAACTTAGCACCATACATCGGAAGTGGCCACAAGACCCAGTGACCCAGAAAAGTGGCAACTGTCCAAAATAATGCATAACGAGTCCAACGCTTCTATATCACCTCGGGGCTTTCTGAAGTCCTCTGTGCTTCAGGCTCTTCTGCAACTACCTTAGTAGTACGCACACTCACATCATGATCATATTCCGGCTTGATTGTCAAACCTTTCGCTTTCAGCTCGAACCAATCGAAATTCTCCGGTTTAATGGCCGTAATGACAACTGTGCATAGAAGCGGGCTTAGTGCAGAGGCTATAGTCCCATACATAAACGGCAGTGTCTCACCAGTTGAGATGACAGTTACCTCTCCGTAGAACTTGTATGCTGTTCCAAGGCACACAGCAAGACCAGTGATAAGTCCAAGGTAGGCCGATATAATGACTGCATATTGACTTTGTCCTTTCCATAAAATGGTCAAAATTAAAGGAAATATTCCCGGGCAGGTGACGACTCCTGCATAATTAATCAACTATTAGTATATAGAATCAAGGTCTGGAATCATGTGGGGAGGAAGGGATACCAATCATGCATAGAGTCCATCCCATATCAATTCCAACGTAATAGAATATCGCAGTAAGGCCCGCCGCAACAGTAGCAAAAAGGATAAATCATATATGACTCCAACGGATAACCTGCGTATTACTTGCATCTTTGTTCCAGTATGTTCGATTACGCCAAATGCAACAATAGATGATACTGCAATAACTTGAGCGGATAGTGTAGAAATAACAGCCATAAAGGTCATTAGTAATGTAGTCACTGCACCACCCTTTCCCGCGACAGCCATAGCGGCATATGGTAGCACCAATCCATTCGTGACTTCGCTATCTGTCATCATCTTCAAAATGTCAGTAACAGGTTGTCCAAAACATCAAAATCTTAATTTCACTTACTCGTGGGTAGGTAGGGAAAGCTTTCGTATGTTCTAGACCCAGAGCAGCCATGCTCATTACAGTTCCTAATGCCCACGGAACACTAAGGTAGCCTATCCCGCCGACGACGTATCCTGGAACAACACTTAATGGGGAAGCAGCAAAGGCTTTGACAAAGTTTCCAGTATCCATCTTTTAGTGTTAAATATTATTCCAAGTACGAAAGGAAATCGACTCACTATTACTGTGCCAAAGTTCGAGACTAGAAGAATGATGGTGAAGAAGATACCTTGTTGAGATGTCATGGTGAGAAGGGATCCTTCATAGTTGCCATCTACAACATGTTGTGATTGAGCTCCGATGACGAGATCATATAGGCCGCCGATTGAGTTGATTTCGGGATGTGTCAGTGCTTTGGTGGTTAAATAGCATGATAGGATGAGGATGTAAATGTGTGGATATAATCGGTTAAAAATCTGTATTCTATTGATGGGAAGAACCAAGACAGTGAGTCTATGGTGTGGAGTGTACGCTGCCTTGATTCCACCAGTCAAAGTATAAGCCACGACCCCGAGTGGAAGTAGGAAAGTGGATGCCATGATATGCATTCCAGTTTTTTCTAAGTTAGCTGAGTCAAATTGCTGGGAGAGGTAGGGTCAACATACAAGTATGTAATTGCCGACGATGCACCTAATATCATGTTGATCGTGTTGAAAAGATTGTTGATAACAGCCAAAAGCATGAAACTCAAATGAGCGACAGTTCCTACCATCATCAGTATAGGCCCAGCACCTGGGACTTGAAGGATGTTCTTACCATATCGGACCTGAATAATTTCCAACACAGTATGAGCTGTCGGAACGCGATCTTTGCAAATAGTCCCAAGATAGGCAAAACAAACAATCATAGGCGAGCAGCCAACGCCGTACCAGAATGGACCGCTGGTACCGGATCTTGATTCATGTTTCAAAATTCGTGTTGTCTTCTCCAACGGTTTCCTTCAGTACTTTCGTCATCAGTATCATACCTACCACCATGTTAGCATCAAGTAACACTCCAATTCATATCAACATTTGGATAATCTTACCAGTCGCGAAGGCACGTCCAACACCAATAACCACTCCATAGCCCACACGTTCCGGCAACGGTGGCGCAATTGCCGACATACTTTCCCTTCGATGTGAATAATACCAATTGAACAACAAGAGAAGAAAGCAGATACAGCTCGGATGTCCTTCGCACCCCAAAAATATACAAACTCTAGTATCGACCAAGTTCTCAAAACCACATTCAACTCACTTTATACACTACCATTTTTATACCGGCGCAATTCTTGCCAAAAGTAATTTAAGATGATTCAATCATCTTAAAAGGATTTATATCGTGATTGGTTCGTACCTGTCCGGACGTCGTTTTAAGCATGATGTGCTCAGCATATGTGATGGCGATTTGGGGACCCACTAGCGTCAAGAGAAGACTAAAATGATGGGATCCGTGGATATCATTGAGCGAGAGAAGTTTAAAGTCATATTTATGTTTCTAATTGTTTATAGCTCCATTAAGGTTCTTGAATGGATAGACAAATATTTGTTGTTGGGGACAGATTCACTCTCTCATTAGGCTTCAACGAGCTCTCGAGTTACTACTAATTGCCATGTCAGTGGCACAGCTTGAAGGGGCATGAGAAACATGAGACCCAGGCATTGATCGCAAGTTGAAACATAGTCTTGGGAAGAGATTCAAAAAAATACAATATTTAGGATTCGCATATAGTTACCAGTATTACATCGGAAATTCTATTTAAACTGAAACCCATTGATTATAACCTTAGATGTTCTGAATCTTCTATAGTAATCTTGATCTCAGTACCAAAAAATTGCCCTCTTTCCATTATAGACTATATTTAAATCACGGCTGACTCATTAGACTTAGGGTACGGGGGAAAACACTAAAGACCAACAACAAGAAGGTAATATCTCATGAATGAGTTTTGAGGGTGGCTCTGATAGTATTTCAAATAACGCTTCAATACAGCAGTTAAAGAAAAGGAACAGGAACCATACCAACTCGGCAACAACACTCGAAAGCCAGTCAAAATAGTTAAGGAGTGGTAGACAACCGTATATAATGTTTACAATTAGTAGTGAATTATCACGCAAGTCTCATTACTGATTGTTAGAAGTATATTCAAGGTCATTCAACCGTGACTTGAGTGCTTAGGGTGGGGAATATATTATTGCTAGTGAATTAAGCCTAGTACGTGATGATAACTTATCTAGGCTTTGAAATAACAAGGTGAGTTTCTTAAGTTTCAATAACCTACTAAGCTATAACATAAAGCAATCCATGGATAGAACCTTGAAAGCCACTGTTAGTAGCCTGCACCTACCCAAGAATTTCCATGGGAGAGGGCCTATCTGACTTGAAAACAGAGTGCCGCCACTGCAGTTTCACATCTAAAGATGTCAGAAAGCCAGATCCTGAGATAGTATTTTACTGAAAATTACTCAAATGATTGGTTAATCCACTCAACCATGGCTTCAGAGTCTCAAATAGAGGAGAGATTCTGTGAATAAGCAATATTTATACGAATCTTTCACATCATTAATTCGAAGAATCGTGTGCTTATTAAATGCCATGAATAGAGCATGTTCAATTTAGAGAGTGCATGCTACTAGTAGTAGGTAAGTTCTCCAGGGCTGTCAAGCAGCTAAGCCGTATATTTATGTTGTACATAATGCTCCTCCATGGTCTATTCAAACTCAAACCTATGAATTATAACCTTTAAGGTTCTAGATTTTCTATAGTAACCATCATATCATTACAACTCAGATAAAGTATACTCTATTAAAATTATAGCTATGATATCAAAATGGACTGATTCTATGCCGCAAAGGCTGGTTCTGGTTCTCAAATCGCCCCTACGAAAACTGGTGGTACTAGGGCCTTGTGCATAACCCCCGCGTGTTTACGTGGGGGGGGGCTGGGGGAATACCGGACACAAAGCCGAGTTCACAATTTTTTGAGAAGCTAGCTCATCCTTGCACCGATATCGGTATCCAATTGGACCAATGTGCATTCACAACCATGAAGCCCCTCTCCGCACCCAAAAATTGGAGAATCTGGGGTCTGGGGAAACTTCGGGCCGGGTGATCATGGCTCATTGCTGTTAGCGACAACGTTTAAAAAGAACCCTGTAGTTGCTAATTCACACTTTTGATCTTGAGACTTCCAAGTAACACCCTTAAGATTCTTCCGCGCATATGGACTCTCAACCAGAAGTCAAAATGGTCAGCCATTTTGAGGACACAGCTCAAGCCGAGGCAGGACCGGAATTCGGGAGCCCCCCACCAAAGGGGGAAGCTTTTGAAGAATATTCTCCGGATGAGATGCGAAGGCTTTTACGCAAAATTGATCTACGTGTGATTCCGATCCTTGCAATTCTCTACTTCTTGAGCTTTCTTGATCGAGGTGATTTTAGCCCCTCTCAAGCGGCTTGTTTTCAAACCAGGAGATCAAGTACTCACCAGAGACAGGAAACATCGGGAATGCCAACATTCAAGGTTTATCGGAAGATTTAAACTTAGTTGGAAACCAGTACAACTGGTATGAGATACTCAATTGTTCAAAGTGAACGTCAGCTAATATCAAGATTGGAAGGGTCTTAACAATTTTCTTCTTCCCCTACTCTTTCCTTGAACCGATCTCCAATCTACTTCTTGTCAGATTCAAACCCAGTATCTGGCTACCATCTATCATGGTCGCCTGGGGTAAGTTTCAATAATCAACTGTTAACACAAATGAGCGAATCTGACCAAGGCAGGAATTGTTACAACATTAATGGGAATAGTTCAAAATTATTCTGGATTACTAGCAGCAAGATTCTTTTTAGGTGACTACACCCTTAATAATTTGGAGCCTAACCAAGTACTAACGAAATCTTACAGGCGTCACTGAAGCAGGTCTTTGTTAGTAATCTATTTCCATTACGATAATTCAAATGAACTAACTAACCATCGCGTTCTTCTTGCAGTTCCCGGACTCGCATTCTACGTCTCTTTATGGTATGGCCCCATCCCAATTGAATGTATCGAAGGGGTTACTGATATGACTCAGGTATCCAAGAGCCAATGCTCAATATAGAATTTCTCTTATTTTCGCATCTGCCTCCATGGCTGGCGCATTCTCTGGCCTCTTGGCATTTTTGATAAGTAAGATGGATGGGGTCGGTGGATTAGAAGGTTGGAGATGGATGTAAGTTAAATTTCCTTTTTTGTGTCAATACCCTCTGGTCTGGAAACCCTATACTAAATTCAAACCACAGCTTTATTCTCGAGGGTATATTAACAGTTGTCGTTGCTGCCATTTCATTTCTCCTCGTTTTGGATGAGCCTTCTACAGCAAAGTTTCTTTCAGAGAGGGAGAAAGCTGCAATCATTAGAATGCTGGATGACTCGCGAGCAACAACTACTAGCGCCGAGCAACTAGAAGAACAAAGTGCATTCGATTTAAAACAGATTAAGGCAGCATTTTTGGATTGGCAGGTAAGTGACATACTCAATTCACCCATGCAGTAGTGCTGAGGCGAAGCTAAACCTCTTAATTCAGACAATATTCCACGCGATCAACTATTGGGGAATGGTAAGACATTTTGACGATATTTTTACCCTGGACTGGATAGCTCTTACTGACCATGACATTGGTTATCATTTAGGCATGTGCTGTCTACGCTTTGTCCCTGTTCCTCCCAACAATCATCAAGGGCCTTGGCTATAGCTCTACAAATGCTCAACTACTAACCATCCCTGTCTACTTCACCGCGTCGGTATGCTGTGTCGTGGTCGGATACTTCTCAGATCGATTTGGCCAGCGAAGTCTTTTCTCGCTCGGTTGTTATATGGCTGTATTTGTTGGGTTCCTGATTGCAGTTGCGCCATCCAAATTTATCCCTGGCCTAACATACGCTGGCACATTCATAGCTGCTAGTGGTATTTATCCAGGTAATATCATCCATTTCCAAAATTTTCTTACAACAACTAACTTTTTTATTTTCTTATCTGTGCAGCAATTCCGGGGCTTCTAGCTTTGTCATCCAATAATTACGCTCCGGCAACCAAGCGAGCTGTAGGAATGGCGATTCAAATCGGCTTTGGTACCCTTGGAGGCGCTGCAGCATCAAACTTCTATCGAGCTCAAGATGCCCCCAGATATCGACTCGGACATGGCCTTGTTTTGGGCTTTGTAGGCTTGGGTCTTATCTCAACTACGTCGTATTATTTCTTGTGTCGAATTACTAATTCTAGAAGAGAGCGTGCGTGCAGCGACAATTATCAAGTGGAAAGGTTTGATTTGGGCGATAAAGCGTTGACATTTCGGTACAATCTGTGAAACTCAAGCTACGATTTGGAATTATAAAGAAGCAGCTCTTTTGGGAGGCACATAGATCATACCTGGACATACGTCCTGATGCAACTTGAACTTCCACCTGACATACCACCGTGTTGCCAACAGCCTCTTACATTTATACTCCCTATCATATTCAAGTTGATACTGTGACGGATTTTAGTATTGAACAGTTCTTGAGAAAAAAATAATAATAAAAATTACGCCCAATATCAAAAAAGCTAATTGTCAAAATAAATAAGAGATCAGGGGGCCGTTGAGCGAAATAGGATGTAAATTGCCCAAAGTATTATGTTACTAGTAGTTTCATCAACCGGAGCGCCGCAGCCGAGGGCAATTGGGGGCCATTAACCAAGGTTTCTTTATTGAATCCAATCCGCCTAGACCTATTCTAGTATCAAATTTTCCCAATTCGGCAAGGGCTTACGGAATGCATTTATACCGACGAGCCTTGTTGCGCGCAGGAATCTGTTTGGGTGCGCAACGACGCTCAAATATGCGATGTAGGACATTCAGCGGAAGCCAAACAGTAATCTTGAGTAGCATTATCAACATTTTATTCCTTATAAATTCACCTGGTCCGCCCGCATCTTTTTCTGAAATATCTCACAATAGTCTGGCTCGGGCTATTATCGCTTCCATATTGCTCCCGTCACGCTGAGAAGTCACTTTCTTAAAATTGAAAACCAAGTCACATCAATGACTACCCTCAAGCCGATAAGATTATACTGGAGAGGTATTATTGTCTACTTTTTCTACAGAAGACCTCAGTGCCAAGCTGACAATACTTCTGAATATAGACCAGGTCCCCAACCCAGCCAAAGTTCTTGTGATTCTCGAGGAACTCAACCTTCCTTATGAGAGTGAATGGGTCGAAATAGAAGATCTCAAACAAAAACCATTCACTGATGTTAATCCCAATGGACGAGTCCCGGGTAAATCATATGCCAAGTCGCCCCATAAGACATCATCCAGGGTTAACATAATTCAGCTATCAACGACCCAAACACGGAGACGACAATCTGGGAATCTGGTGCTATAATCCAAGTAATGCCACCTCAAACTTACACAGTGAGCAGTGAAGATCAAGAAGCTGACTACGCTTGTAGTACCTCATCGACACCTATGACAAGGAACACAAAATCTCTTATGAAACTCGCCCAGAGTACTACCAGCAACTCCAGTGGAGCTATTTCCAAGCATCAGGCCAGGGCCCGTACTTCGGACAGGCAGCATGGTTCGTCAATCCTCTCTCAATGTTCTCCCGAATTATATAGTAATGAACACCAAATAGGTTCAACATCTTCCATGAAAAGTTCTACGGGGAATCTCCTGAATCGGCGAAAGTGCGTTACGGGGCGGAAATTAAACGCATCGCAGGCGTTTTGGATAGCGTCTTGAGTCAACGGGACTGGCTTGTCGGAGATAAGTGTACATACGCAGATCTGGTATTTGTGACGTGGAACATGCAGATTACCTTCGTTATGGGTAGCCGAACAGGTGAACATGCGTGGAATCCGGAGGATTTTCCGCATTTCACACGGTGGCAGAATGCTATGGTGGCGCGGCCAGCTGTCCAGAAGATGGTGAGCGTGTTGAATGACAAGGAGGTTAAAAGTGGTTGATTCTAGATCTTCACAACTTTAATTTTTCATTGCTCGCTTAATGATGTTTTACCTTTCAAAGTCTACTTCGTATGAGATTTCAGAAAGTGCATGCAGTGATACAGTGACAATTTATTCATCGCAGTGAGCCCAATTGAGCTCGGTATTCATTAGATAATTCGTTGAAATCAGTCTTTCACATTTGGCACTCTGCCTTGAGCGAGTTCTCACATAACTTATTATGTCGGTCATGTTGCTCACTGTAGGAACCTCCCATTTGTTTCTTCGACCAGAAGCTCGTATTCAGGCTGGAACTCGGTATAGAAGTTGTGCTAGGAAATGTTAGAAAAATATTCTTGTGCTACTCTAGTCTTCGTGGCACTTACAGGGTTCTGAGCGAACTCAGCGGTAAAAGCAGCTGCTTCGTCATCAATGATGATTTTAGGGATACCGTTCGCCGCCGCAGCATCGGCCATGAGCTGTGAATGGCAGGCATTTTCCAGCATTGAATACAGGATTGCAGCTTCATCCACGGTGCGGCCCACAGTCAAGAGGCTTGAAAAGCCAAAGCATTAGTATGATGGTCATTTATAGCCGAATTAAGGGGGACTTTGAGGTGCTTACCCATGGTTCTGAAGGATACACGCAATGTTGTCTTTTCCCAGCGCTTTCGCAATATTTTTGCCTTCATCTGCGGACAATACAATACCACCATGGTCATTGTAGACACCGAGACGTCCATGGAAGTTGCAAGCATCTAAATTCATTCTATTGGTTACTTGTCTGTGCATCAATTGAATCAAATTTAGCATACCTTGAGTGAGCATCTCAATTGGCTTGCCGAAGGAGCTCCATGTTTTGCCGTGAATACCATGAGTGTGGGCCGCAGCCACGACATCAGGACGGGCTTTGTGGATTTCGGAATGAATCAAGAAGCCAGCCTCGTTGACGGGTATTTGAGCTCCTTCTTCAGTAACGTATCCCTCATGGTCAACAAGGACCAAATCCGAGGCTTTGATAGTAGAGAAGTGTTTTGCAAAGGGGTTCATCCAGAAGTGGTCCTTCAAGATTGGGTCTGGCTGCTGTTAGAACACACTGTCAAAGTGGATTGTCTCTTTGTACGTACCGCGCATTGAAATGTGACCCGAGACACCCTCGCCGTATCCCAGCTTGCCAAAGTATCGGAAAGCAGCGGCCATGTGCTCCTTCATCCATTTACGCTTCTCGACTGGGTCTGTAAATGTAGGAATTCCACGCAGCTTAAGGGTGCCATTGCGGTTTCCACGGGCAAGTGACTGGAACTTGGGATCATTTGCAGCATTGGAGAGCTCATTTTCAGCAGCCAGGCGGACAGATCCCTCCTGCTGCTGGGTAGTTGTCGCAGTAGCTGTTGACATTTCGAACAAATCGTATGATGAAACTTTTTCTTGTCGGTCGTTGAATCCGTTATAGAGAGCGAAATTTCGAAAACCGAGGTTTCGTCAGTACAGGTCAAACCAATTCGGCGAAAAAGAGATTGGGTTATATCCACAAGTTAAATCTTCGAACAGCAGCCGTGGCTCTTATCAAAAGATTCCCTATGATATGTGGAGTTGGCATCGGGTTCCACCCGACCCCGCCTGGTTGTCATTGGAAGGCGGCGTGTTGGATAATGGAGACATCGGACTAATTTCCGTAATGCTGCCAATTCTTTTGGGCAGTTGATTCCCGGATCCACTCTGTGTTTGGTAATTGCGAGCCGGTGATTGATAAAGGCCGCATGACTGGGTGGACCCCTTGTGCTCGATCGATAACGAACTATGCATTTTGGATCTTGCCTATTTTCTTTCATCAAACCCCGCCGTGAGCCTAAATATGGCTATGGGCAATCGGGATATCGGGGTTCATTAAGGGCGGAGCTTGGCAATCGGCTCCCGCGGCGGCCGAGATGGAAAAACAACATGCCGCGAGGGCTTCAACCATGATAGCCTTGTGTTCTCAAATTTCACATTTCAATGGTCAATGCCGAGACGAAATACTGAATAGTTTGCCATTGATGCCATTAAGATAAGACCTTTCTTTTTATTTGCCCTTGTGGCTCCCATTATCGGATATGCCTACCACTGCGCTAAGCATCTTCGTGGTAAGTTCGCTTTGAAGGTCGCAAAATCAACACTTACTGATGATTTTTGAGCAGGCCAGTACTGTTGCATCACTATCGTTAGATTTTCTTCTACATCCATTGGATACAATAAAAACGCGTATCCAGTCTCGTGATTACAGCCTGCCCTCTCAAGGCACGAAGCTCAATGCAAGAGCATTGAAAGGGCTTTATCAAGGTCTAGGGCCGGTCCTGGTGACTTCATTCCCTGGTGGTAAGCTAGCTAAGACCTTTTGAATTCTCTACATTCCTTCCTATAAATCATCTAACATATTAACAGCTGCCGTATTCTTCTTTGCCTACGAGGGCACCCAATCTAAAATAGCCTCCGCGGCGAACAGTGAAGCCGGATTATCCCCATCCGCCCTCGTTCTAACGGATATTTCTGCATCATGCATCGCAGAAGTAGCTGCCTGCTTTATCTATGCTCCCACTGAAATGCTCAAACAAAACGCTCAAGTCGCTATGCCACCACCTGCCACAATATCCTCATCAATGCCTCGCCAAAAGCCCGAGGCCCTGCCCAGGGAGTCTCTAATAAGATCCTTTAAGAATATAAGTGATTCTAGGACACTCTGGAGAGGATATTGGGCTCTCCTCGCCCACAATTTACCATGGACCCTTATCCAAATGCCGCTTTATGAGGCCCTCAGGAGATATATGTTTTGTTCGAAGCCTCAGACCAAAACTTGTTCAACTAAAAACGAGGAATCCTCCTATTACAAAAGAAATGACTCGTTTAAAATTGCAATAAACTCGGGACTTAGTGCTGCCGTGGCAGGGGGCGTCACCGGCGTCCTAACTGCTCCGATGGATATTATAAAGACTCGAGTCAACTTGGATGTTTCTGATCAAAAATCTTCGGGAACTAAAAGGGTGATGAAAGCGGCACAAACCATCATCAAAACCGAAGGTCTTCGAGGTTTATATCGGGGATGTGCTATTAATAGCTTTATGGCTGTTGTTGGATCAGGTTTATACTTTGCTCTCTATGAAGGCGGGAAACAATGGCTAGGGGATTAATATCCTCTCTCGCAAGGGCCACTTCGAAAATGTCGATGTAATTTTATGTATACTATAAATAACTCTACTCTATAATAATGAAATGATGATGACTCCCCTCTTTTAATTCTTTTGTGAAAACAGCGACTATCCTAGCGGAGGGATGTTGTGAATGTACAGAAAGCTGCAAACTAGCCCCAGATATTTCCCCAAAAAAGAAGAAAAAAATCAGTTGTCACTGAATGCAGAGTGGACTTTAAATTGTTACCAAACACAGAAACTAAAATAGCACATATTCCAAACCGTCCATACTACCTACACTTGCCCTGGTCGACAGAAGGTCACATGACTCCCTGCTATCGGCGCCATGTGGGATTATCGCGGAGCTCTCAACAGTTGTCTTTCTCTCCGAACACCTGTCGCTCAAGGCCCTGAACAACTCACACCATGTCGAATGTACGACGGAATTGAAATGAACCCCGAATTATATCCAACCTCAACCCCGATCCTTTTGAAAGCGCACCACAATCAATTATACTTTTCGCACTCGTTTCAACGCCAGTGTTTTATAGCGCATTGATACCCAATTGTTTTCATTTTATGTCTGATAAGGGCGAGCTTTCTTCGAGTGCTCCGAACCCCTCTTTGCATAAATTAAATTAGCGTATCTGAAAATGTCGGAAGGAGAACCCTCATACATCGACTATGAGGCCTTTCTAGACCCGGAATTCTCGCCGGCCGGCTTCGCCAATACCCTCGTGGTCAGCACCAACAATGCGACAGATACGCCCTTAGATCTCTCGACGCCACTATCTAGAGTCCTTTTTGATCTCCAGGAAATCGACACACATATTCACAGCTTAACCACAAGATCCGCTCTACCCCTCCTATCCCACACGCAAGGCCAAACTGCGGCTGCCGAACACATTCTGAAGGAAACAGGGACACAAATTACATCGGTGACTCAGGGATACGAACGGTTGGAGAAGGAAGTGTTGCAAAAATGGCAAGCTGCGGAGGAGGCCAGAGCCGCTGCAGAAAACTCATTGGCTACGGTTCGGTTAGCACGGTCTGTCGCGCGCTGCTTGACGCTTGGTAGACAGCTAGAGAGTCAAGTGGCAGAGTTAACTGGACGAGGGTCAGCGCAGACAACGCCAACAACAATGGAAGGGGAAGCAGTTACACCTGTCAAGGAGGGATTTCGAGCTTTGGAGCGAGCAGCCATTACTATCTTGAACCTGCGACAGATGTTCTCAGCATCCTCGGAGGAAGATGAAGGATATGGACTGTTGCGGGTGAAGAATATGCGAACTCTACGCAATGAGTTCGTGATACCGGCGGAGAATATGGTTAAATCAAGGGCACAACAAACCATCAACCGCTTCTCTTTGTCGAATTCAGGAACCACCAATGTTCAATCGTCGATGCCATCGAGTTACAAACAGGCTCGCGATGCACGATCCCGTCTGGCAACAGCTGCAACTACCCTATATCTTCTCTCCCCAGTACCACAAGGTGTCATTACTGCTTCAGAATACAAGCCTGAACTTCTTATTTCCACGCTACAAGGGTACATGCAGACCTCCATCATAACCTCTGCAAACGCCTTCGCCAAGGCGCTATCTCAACTGCCTACGCTGGACCGTGCCCTCGCCGACATATCTGCAAGGTGCCAGGATATAGTAGCCGTGGAGTCTATTCTGCGTGGACTCCGGCTCCCTTCTCACCCCCTCCTTTCATCCCCCACAAACAATGATGATCAACATACCCCAGACTACGAAAATGCTACCTCAAGGCCGGCCAACCTCCTTCAGTCCCTGCTTCAAGCCCTGGATACTTCATCCTTACCTTCATATTATTGGCGATCACTCGCATCGTCTCTCACGAACCGCGTGCAGGAAATCGTCAATCGCGGGGGCGTCTCCGCTCGTACTCTTAGATCCAACCGTGATCGACTCAGGAACGAGATTAAAGACTGCGTGCTCCGTTCTTCACAAGTATCAGCTACCAACCATCTAGCTGAGAGAGGCCGACCCGGAAACGACACAGTCGTAGTGGGCAATTGGGAACGAGAAGCAGCCGTGATGGTAGGCTCAGTTATCGGTCCCTTGAATCGATAAAGCTCGAATGACCTCGGTATCAAACATTTTCAACCCGACACCCTATATCTAGCAAGGAGCATTATACATCTGCCGTCATAGAATGACCAGTCTCACGTATACATAACCCAAATCTAAATATAACCTGCCTCCTATTTTATTCACCCCGTTCTTTCTTCCTACATATACATGTACCTGTACCTGTACATCTAGGTAAAGCTTCTATACGGAGTATAACCAGCACGACGGCCCACAAACAGACTCACCACGGACCAATTTACCCCAAAAATATTGGGGCCAAGGCCCAGGTACCTGGCAGGGGGAACCAAAGTCGGTACCTTGGAAACGCTAGTCCGATTTGACTTAGAGGTGACACCAGGCTACCAAATTAGGTAGGGCTCATACACAAACCCACATAAGATGCAAACCCCATGCCTATAAAAAACCTACACACGCAAACCCCTTCCAAAAATAAAACTAAACGCACAGAGCAAAAATTAAATCCAGTTTACAGTATTCCGTACAAACTCCACTCTAAAAACTCTCTGCACAACTCGGAGATTTACATATACACTTCCCGAGGAGGTCTAGCGGCTGTCAGATGACTCCTTGCAGCACCAGCGCCAGTGCCAGTGCCAACAGCCAGTGTCACGGTGGCGGGGGCCAGAGGTAGGTATATGCACATTGCATATGCTCATGCAGTAACAGCAGCCAGGTTGGTTGCCTTACTGTACAGTATGCACGTATGTACCGTTCTGTCGAGGATGTAGGCTCCAATAAAAAAAAACGACATATCGTGCTTGAGCGGTGGAGTCGCAGTAGACCAGGGTAAGCAAGGCAAGAGGCAAAGGGCTCGTGCAGCTTCGTCCGATCTAAAATTCACAAGGGAAGATTCAAGTTTATTCTCCCATAGGTAGAAAGATGGTGATTTAGGAGGGAGGGAGGGAGTCGTGAGTAGCCTTATTTTGTGTACGACATGCTAGTGCACTGGCACTTGCAGGGTAAAGATGGAAGTGAGGATGGGTTAACCATACCCATAGCACTTTATCTGATCACCTGGCATTCATGGATGCATGTACGGCTTTATTACTTACTACATGTCTACTAGGTACAGCAGAAATGTGTACAGATGTTTGCCAAGGGGGAGTTTTGTTCTTCCAAGATCTTATTTTCTTATGTATTATGATATACCTGGGTAAATAAGTATGTGGCTAGATCCCTCCAGGTACGCAGTTCTCATTACTCGATTGCGACAGGTGCATGGATTCTCCTGGCAGGCTATGCAGGGTGGCTGATATGATTGGTTCATAGCCTCGGGAGAAAACCACCTGGGCAAATCGAGTACTGTATGAAAGAATTAAATACTTTTATGTATTGTTCGGGTTTTTAAGCATGGATATTATTTCGTGCTTCAAGTTCGCGCCTTGAAGAAAAAGAGACCTGTCATTCGGTACCAGGTTATATCTATACACCGCTCCAAAGGCAAACTGATCGACCAGGGGCGAAATGGATCCGCATCCCACCATGACTCAGAATGTCTTTCGTTGAACTCCATAAATGAGATAAGTTCAAAGCTCATTGATGAATATTATATATTTAATTTTTGTTCCTAATTCTCGATCTAAATTAGCCGAGTCCGAATCGCGGGGGCTAAAAGTCAACGACGTCACAGGAGGATCTCGCCGTGGAGTTAAGTTGTCGATCGGAACAAACATGATTCACGGTGATCGATAAGGCCCTGCAGGTACCTGCCACTACCTGGCCGTGCGCCTCCGCCATCGGTCTTGTGGCGCCCTGCAGTTGTACCTACAGGTACCCGATAACTTGCAAACCAACCTTGCCCCTCTCAGGCTTACGTACCAAGTACTTTCACCTGAAGTACCGTGCGCCATGCCCTGACAGGTTATAACTTCCACCCCAATCAAACTATCAATCCAAGTCCGTCTTTTCTCGTCATTCTTGTACCAATGGCTACCCCACTCACGCAACCACGCTAGCTTCTTGATTTCAATGAAGCTGGAACAAGACTATAAAGAGGGGGAGGCAACGCGTACTATACATAGGTCGACCGTTTTGACTCGGCCTTTTCTTCCCCTCAATCAGAATCGACCCCGAACCTGAAACCAAGACAGGAGCCAACCACTGCATCTCTGCGACTTACAGTGTTTGAGCATGCGCGTATTCCAAACGCTTCTCGGTCCAATCCGCTCTTTTCAATTCTATTGCCCCTCCACTATGCCCCTCTCTTCTCCTCCCACCATGACCTTAGTTTCATCCCAATAGACCGGCCATTGGATTCTTAACATTCAAATTCAGGTTCTGCCTCTGCTTCTGCGGGGGGAAGCGGGAAAGACTTGCACGGCACAGAAACCAGAAAACAGAATAGAGCACATCATCCGTAGGAACCGTGGCGTCACTAGACCGAAAGAATCAGTATAGAAGCAAAAAAAGACATAATAACCTAGGTACGACTCGACATGGATCCGGTTAGGCAAAAGGTTGAACATGAACACAAATAAAGACCCGGGGTAGAAACGATCTCGATCTCGAATAGAACCATCATATACTGCATACGAGAATTAAAGCACAATACCAGAAAAACAAATTTAAAACAAATTTAAAATCTCGCGTACCGTGGGATCTGATTTGACCTCGTCATGTGGGCAGGCTGTACTCCGTACAACATGGGCCGATTTACTTTGACCCGCCGATCGACGATATCATATCCCGCATGTCTTGCCGTTTGCAGCCAGCGCACCACAGAGAGGCGGGGGTCAAAAGGGCTGGAGTGGGGTGGAAAGTCTACTATTACACGGGAGACGCAGGCACGGTGAATCCTCAACGGGCCAGTCGGTGCCAGCCGGGGCCTGAAGGTTTCAGAGGGAAGTTTGGAGAGGGGCTCTGAGGGCGTCTGAACGCAGCGGGGGCGGAGAAGTCGGGATCACGATCAGACTTGACTTGAGCACAATACTGGATGAAGAGAAAATCAAGTTAGAGTACACACGATGTATGTTTGGTCCGTTGCTTTGCGACTTTATTATTTCCACTCAAGGGTCACTGGTAGATAGAGGGGTAAATGATTACCTTTGTCCTCCCAAAGGTTCTTATCAATGGGGTCCATGCCCCCTGATCGTACCTCCCCATGCATTCCCGGAGGCTCGAGCTTTTTGAAGGGGATAGGACAAGTTCCCGAGTCTATCCATGTGTATTATACATGTCGACTATGTAGTAGGTGAGATGTTGGTACGGTAGATGTGGAGGAGTCGATATGGTTCCAATATTTAGACATAGCCTGGCTGATCCATGTATCGATCTAGCATAGGACCAGTATTGTACAGAGTAGACTGTACAGAGTAGACTCGAGGATATAGGTTAGCCACGGAGATTTTCTTTTTTCTGGATTTCCTCCTCGTTCCTCGTATCAGAACGGACCATTCGGAATAGCCCCCTACCGCGTAACCATACAAAGCCTATACAGAAAGTCTGGAGAGTATGACGGCGCTTGGGTTCGGAGGATGATCCCCCTCCCCCTGTGATGATACATCCACGCAGATGCAAGGGGGTCGCATGGGAGTCAGAGTGTAAATTACTAGTACATAGTACCAAAGATAATCAAATATATTAAATATATCAAGATAAACTAAAATTACTCCAGACTCCACAATGAGTGAAACGGCGGAATAGAAGTTTGAATAAAAGAGTCGAGACCAATCTTGATACAACTTTACCAGCAACCAGCTAAACTAAAGCAACTAAAGGAACTAAAATCACTAGGGTGAGTATATCCACTAAAAGTAACTAGATCCCGTACCAATCTATAGTGCTCCTCCCCAGCCCAGCAGCCCCACGATCCTATACAAGTCCCAGGGTCTAGGCAGTCTAGGCACGGTGGTGGACGTCAAGGACTTGTCCCCAGCAAAGTTTATACCTGTAGACCCTGGATTCGATAACCCGGAACTTGAAGACGCCAAGTAGTATGAATGGCGCTATGAATCATACATCTGGTGCCTGGTGCCTTTTGCTGGTATTCCTTCTACCACTTCCACTTCTTCTGGCTTTCCCCAACGGTTCAAATAACAAATTAAATTGAATAAATAAAATCATAGAATTGATCTGGTGAAACACTCGATGATTCGCATCGGTAGCCCCGGAAGTGGTGAGTTCCTGGGATCTTCAATCTGACTTCTTCGTAAGCTGAAAAGGTTGTAAGTTCTCCATTTGCCCCTCGCTTCCGATAAGCCTCTTTCCCTCTTCTCTCGTCGTCACCATTTCCTCCCCTTGAACCAATCTTCGTGCATGCTGGCACTTGCTCCCATCTCCACTCAGCCCTTTTTGGTCTGGAGTCTCGCGTTGCTTTTCACTTTCCTGTGGTTTTCTACTTCCATTTCCCTTCTTCTTTCAAGTTTGCTTTGCATCTTCCATCTGCATCTATTCACCTACACTATTCTATATCTATTCCGATATTGGAATTTCCGATTAACCTCCTTATCTTACACATCAGATCGGATCCTCGTCCTCACACCATTTCGTCCTTGACGCCGGAGGATTTTCGTTTTCGTTTTCTATTTTCCCTTTTAACTTCTTTGTTTCTTTATGGGGATCAACTTGAAACGGGTCCCACCATCCCCCCCTCGTCGGCGATCCTGCTTGATTCGCGTGTCTCCTACGCAACGTGCCTGAGATGCTTGCGATCGGCTAACAGGTTCCCTCTTTCTTTCTTTCTTACATATCCTTTTCTTCCTCAACCCTTGCGTCCGCCAACTCTTGCTGCATTCCAACCTCCCTGGGGTAAGCGCCAACGATCAAGTGGGATATACTATACACAACACAGAAAACCTGCTGAGAATATCCGTACGTGCTCCAAAAATTTTCTTTTTGTGTTATAGTATGCAGACTCCAGGACATCGCGATCTTTTTTTTTCTCTCTTGATTTTCTTTTTTTTTTTTTTTCCCCGTCATTTTTCCCCTTGATCCAACTGTTTTTCTTTTTGTTTTTCTTTTCTGTAGTGGGATGATGTCTAATCTGTGTGTGCAATGTTGACAGTCACCCTGGCCATCAGACTCCGCGTCTCTCTCCCCTCCAATACTATCTCCGTAGCACTGCGGCTCCTGCGACAACTCACAACCCACCATTAGATCTTAAAATATCCCCACGGGATTTGGGGGTCCATAAGGGAAAAGCGGATCGGGTTGCCGGCCTTGTCGCGACCGGATAGGGTTTGCCTCTGGCCCCCCTCCCCCTCCGAGACCTTGACATCACCCGCCTCCACTTCTTACGTCGCCAATATGGCCTCTTTCCATCCTGTCAACAACTCGGCCGCGACCGATGACCACGCTATGGATGGTGCGACCACCCCCCGCGCTCTTCCCAACCGCGTGCAGGCCACGCCGGATCGATCTCCTATCGAGGAACAGCGATCAGAGGACCTAAAGACAAACATAGGAAGCGAAAGCTCGCACACAACTTTTTCCGGCCATGCGAGGACATCTTCGTCCATCTCAGACGAGATGATGAACGATTCTGACGGAGAACGCGATGGTTCCGACCACGAAGGAGAACCAGGAAACGCACCACCATCGAAAAAGAAGAAAGGACAACGCTTTTTCTGCACAGATTTCCCACCTTGCAACCTAAGTTTCACTCGAAGTGAGCATCTAGCCCGCCATATTCGGAAACATACCGGGGAGCGACCATTTCAATGTCATTGTTCTCGGCGTTTCTCAAGACTCGATAACCTCCGCCAACACGCCCAAACAGTCCATGTGAATGAGGACATACCAGGAGATTCCCTCGCTGCTACTGGTACTCGGTTCCAGCGCCAGGTACGGACCGACCGTGTACGTCCACCGGGTCGCGCTCGAGCAGGAACGACTGGCAGCACAGGTGGTCATAGCCGGGGCCACAGCAGAAACCTATCAACTTCAAGCATTACCTCTACGGCCTCAACATATAGCCAACCTCCCGAACTTCGGCGTCGCCCTCCGCCGTTAATGATGGCCAACGATCTAACCGGTCGCTCGCGCTTAGGCCTTGATCCCATGGGAGAGCCACCGAGTACTCCACCCAGTCAGATTCGGGGATTTCCGGGACCGGCAGCAAGTGGCTCGCCATATACACCTTCTACCATGTATGCGAACGGGGCAAATGGAAGCCCTCAGTACGCCTCGCCTATGTCTGGGGCAGCACATGGTTTCTGGGAGGGCAAGACAGCCGCTCGGAGGCTTTCGGTACCGACTAGCAGTAATCCATTTTTGGCTCAACATGGCGCCCCATACCCTCCACCTTACGTCAACTCTTCCGCGGGTCCGCAATACCCTAACGCTGCGGGTGTATTTGCAAGCCCCACTAACACCAATCACCCTCCATCAAGAGACGAGAGCACTATTAGTGCAGCCGAAGCTGAGATGCGACGACGAACATGGCACCCTTCAACGTACCAGGTATTTGGCCGACCGTCAACTAGTGGATTGAGTCAATATCATACACCCGACACTGTTCAACCTTCATTTGGAAGTAACAGCAGCAACAAAAATGCTCCCTCCGACCAGCCCCCTCGACTACCTGGAATCGAGAGCTTCGACAAAGTCGTCTCCCAACACCGTCCTCTGACTCCTCCCACTCGCAAAGCAAGCCCAATGCAATTGGACGGCCACGGCCGCCCACCACCAGTAAACCATGCATTCAGCTCGGGATTCAACTACGCCCAACCGTCAGTCCGCCCTGCGCCCCCGATTTCAGGTCCAGGCCACCGTCGAGGACATGTATCCTGGGATATGTCATTACACACCAACCTCACGGGGCTAGACATTCGAGACCGACGTTCATCACGGGATGCATCGCAATGGAGTCAACAAACCATTGCCGAGCTTCAAAATGTCTCATCTCGACCCTCATCATCCTATCAACCAACCTTTGGGCCTACAGCCGAAAGAAGCCCAGAGCTGAACCGGGGTCATGCTCACAGTCTGTCAACGGGCAGTCGACCAGCACACACATCTCCCGAAGATTCTAGCAGCAGCGAGGGTGTTAACACTCCATCAACTGCCTCACTTGAGTACCATCCAGCAATTGTACACAGCAGCGGATATATTGAATCACACGACTCATCGTTGCCATCCGATCATCACCCTCAACCGGTAGGAAATTCTATTCGAACAGACGGCTCTCGCCTCGGTTACTAATGCCGTCATAGATCTGTGGTCAACGAGATTCTCACACCGACGGCTACCACGGCCATTCAGAACAAGAGCCCCGAACCAATGTCTTTAACGACTCATCTGCCCGGGATTCCGGCATGGGTCGCTTAGAGGCTTTAGTCGCGGTTGCAACTAGTGAGAACAAGAGTGCCACGAAGTTGTTCTTGTAAATTGTTGATGCGACTTAACAAACCAAACCATTGGAGGACCCTTATATATCTCATCATAACGTCCTTTCTCCCTCCTCCTCCTCCTCCGTTCAACAAATTATTCTCGACATTTATCCCGCCCATTCTCATGAAACAAGGGCATTTGGGTTCCCTCAACGTCTCATTTTCCGTTTCCTTTTTCTATCTCTATTCTCGGGGATTTATGTAAAGCCCTTGACGAACTGACGACGTGACGAATCTATACGTGAACTGGAATTCAGTCTTTTTTCTTTTTCTTTCCTTTTCTTTCCTTTCTTCCTTTCTTCCTTTGATTTTTGACTTTCTTGGTTCAGTCTATGCTTGGAGTCTACGTCTCATGGATTACGTCTTATGGATAACGGCCTTTTGTTATTTGTTACAGGGTTGCCGGCTTCGTTGCATATCCTGGGCGTTTGTGCAGGAGTGTATGGATGGCATCGTGTGCATGACGATACCCCAGCCTCGATCTATTGGTGTTACTTACCACGATATCTCTCTCTACCTTACCCTGAACTTCTTCTCTTATTCTCTCCTCTCATCTCTTCTCCTCTTTGATCGTGGCATGGCCTCGAACTTGAACTTGAACACTCCATTGGATTGGTAGCGTGTTTCTTTTTCTTTTTTGTCATTCCATTGGATTCCATTTTCATTTTCATTCCATTTTCATGTCTGATGCCCCCTCACGGCTTTCTAGTTCCCGTTTTTGTCTTACTATACTCATTTTTAAATGATGGTGGATCATGTCATGTCGCCTACGGACTTTACCAGAATTCTTGATGAAATCTTTAAACGCCAATACGATTGAAATGCAAGTTAACTTCCAACTCGAATCTCGTACTTAATTTAGTCCCTAGTATTACCTGATCGTATTCGTCCTCGTAAACCATCTCGGCGTGGCGGTCTGATCCTGATAAACCCTTACCCCGCATGTTAGCAGTACTAGTCCATAGGTACCCACCCACATGTGCACCAGGTAAGTCAGTCCTTCACGACAAAACCAACCAAATCAACTCAACTCAACATATTTATAAACCTCACTATTCTCAATTGAATTTAAGGAATTCATTCACGGACCCAAACTCCCAAATGAATGATGAGGGATATCTCCCGAACCTTGGTTGAGGCTCGAAACCCCAAACCCGGACATGACCAGCCGGTGACGTCGACCGCGGCCTTCAACCCGGACTACGAGGACTAGACCTTGGAAGCATGCACCTGAGCTCCCCCATTCCCCAATGGAACTTCAATGTGAACCCCACCATGAAACAAGATGAAATCAACCCCGGAAAGAAAAGCAGACCAGCTATAGACAGCTAACTTACCTTGACCCTACCGAAATTTAACTCTCCAATCCACGTATAAGTAGAGCCCATGTATAAGCAGAAAAGGGCAAGCTTAGCAACGATACAATTGAAATAGACTACAATGAAATACTAGAAAATAAATCTCTAAGTTTAGACTCCACAACTAGAACCCGATGCACATGCAACTTGAACTGAACTTGAAAGTCAAAGTAAAACAACCGACAGACGTCATAGTCTGGTGACGGGCTTCCGGAAGGTTCAAGTATTAAACCAGAACAGAACCCATTTTCACAGCTCAACATACTTTCAACGATCTCACCCACATACCTAATTCACATTCGACCTTGAAATACCTACACATTACAAAAACCATATCACATCACATCCACATTCACCATGCCACAGAGTCGAGTGGGCGCCTACCTGGGTCTCGCCGCTGTCGGTGCAGGCGGGTACTACCTCTACCGAGCGGGCGGGGATGTAAAGGGTGCAGGGAAAGCGATGCAAAGTATGTATTTTTACCTTTCATTTAACTCTTGATTTCATGAGCTCTAGCAGCGGGTATCACTTGAATTAAAGAATGGGGAACTAATACTAATGCCCCACTCTACAGTTGACGCGGACAAAGCGCGCGAGAAGCTTCCCCGCGGCGAAAGTGCACAGAAAGCGGGACAAAGTGCCGGAAAGGAAGCCGGAGCTGTTGTTGATGAAGCGGTATGTTATATTTTACAAAAGACACAGATTTCAACCTTCGGACTGTGTCGTGCTGTGTTGTACACTGTATGTGGATCACTGACATCTATACTGCCTATAGATTGACAACGCCCGATCCACATTCAAGCTTGATGAGAGGATTCCCGAGTTGAAGCAGAATGGAAAGGAGAAGTTGGACGAAGGAAAGAAGCAGATTGATGGCCTTCGAAAAGATACAAAGGATAGAGTCTCGTCGGAGATTGATAAGTTGGATCGCAATGTTGAGGAGAAGGCTGCTGAGGCGAAGGGGACGGTCTCTGGTTGGTTCGGTGGAAAGAAATAGATGATTCAATTTGAAGTTGTGGGCTTCTAAGGTGTAGTGCCTATCTATTTCTGTTTCTATTTCAAGCTCTGATCGAGGTTTGTGTCGGTTTGAGCTGGTTCTATTCTATGTTAATGTCTGCAAGTAATGCTACTGAATATGATCTATTCTCGGAAGCTGGTCTACTAGAATGTACGGAGTATATGACAAGGATTCTGCACATGTGGCTAGAGTGAAGTTTTCCGAGGTCTTGTAGGATGTGATTTGGACTTACTTGTCGAGTCTGGGTGCAATTGGGATCATTATCGGCATCTTGTGGTAGTAAGTGGAGGTGCTTTTAGTATCCCGGCCCAACGTGCGGGAGGTCGCAACATTCCAATACCAGTCAATCACCGCAGCGACCAGAATGTCAACTCCAAGCAAGACTCGAGAATTTTCAATTTTTCATATTTTATCCCACCCATTTCCAGTTTCCAATTGACCTCCTTATTCTTGCAAGAAAATTACAAAAATCTATCTAAGATTGTACCTAATTTCGCGCTGTCGATTTTCGTGTTCACGTGGAGTCACGTACGCGTCTCACTTTAACCCAAAACGCGACTCGACGCGCTAGCAAGTTTCAACCCTTAAACCCGCCTCACATCCCTCCTTCCTCCACCTCTACATCTCGCACACGCTTTCCTCTTTTTTCCTCCTCATTAACAAGTTTTAGTATCTCGGTATCTCTTACCCTGACTATTATCCAATCCCAACTTAATTTATCAGTCGCAACTTCCATCCCTGCAATCCGATCCGCTCGAATCCAGAAAGCGCCGCAAAATTTGCAGCTGCGATGCCGCGTCTTACAAGGGCAAGCTGCCTTACCCAAAACCAACCTGCTATTCAAATATTCACCAAGGCAACCAAGGCTGGTATCACGCCACAATTGCCCGCCAAAAAAACCGTGTCACTTCCCGTTTCGCCGTCGAAGAAGCGAAAATTGCAGGAACTCGAGAATGTGGAAACTGCGGGCCCGAAGCCTGCTGCGGAAGACGAAGAATCACCTTCCAAGACATTGAAGATTAGCCAGTTATCTGTTTCATCGCCTCGAAGCGGCCACTATGCCTCGCCAAAACGTACTCCTAGTCGCCGAGCCCGTGTCTCTACCATTGCCGAGAGCCCCTCTACTCCTAGCACGCCTTCGAAACAAAGGACCATCAACTTTGAAAAGGCCGCACCAACACCGAGGGAGACTATCTCAGCACCACGCGTCGACTGTATTACCGATTTTATGAACCTTTTCACGGCATTCATCCAAGCCCTTGCTATTCATGGCGCGCACAATGGTCCAATCACCCCTGCTGATCTCCGAGAATTTCTTCCCAGCATTACTCGAATTTGGAAGAAGCGCAAGGTGCAAGTCAAGGATATTCAGCGTCTTGTCTGGGTATGGGATCACACCTTGAAGGCCAAGGACGTTTCATACCGCCTCGCAAACTATGGACTCGGAAAAGTGTGCCTTGAACACGCCGTGAAAATCGACGAAACCACCTCCGCCTTGCAAGACGCGTTTGAACAAGCCATTGATGTGCTCTGGGAGCAAACAGAAGAATCGCTATCCCAACTTGATGAAGAGGAGCGCCCGAATGCTTTCATCGAGACTCTGGGTCTTGCTCTTGTCCACGAATCTCTTACCCCGTTCACCGCGTTCCAGAAGGGCCAGCAACGTCTTCAAGATCTGAGAGGTGGTGTTATTCGCAACAAGGCCGAGAAACTTCGCACAGAGAATCTCCTCACCGGCTCCAAGCCCCAGGTTGCTGCCAACCACCGTCGCCAGGGTCTACTCGAGCGACTTAAGAGCAAGCAGCTGCACCAGTCCAAGCTTCCTCCCCCGCCTAGCAAGCAAGAGGTTGTTCGTCGTTCCGCAGCTGATCATGCCGAAGAGGTGGCTGGTATTCTTGCACTTCTTCGCCCAGCCGGATACGTGGGCACTGGTATCAAAGCCATGCTCGCCAACCAACGCAAGCCATTCACCCTTGACAATATCATTAGCCAGATTCGCGGCTCTGTTCGCAACCCCGTTCCCGTGGAGGAAATCCAAGTTTGTCTTGAAATCCTGGCGGATCCTCGTGTTGCTGGGCATTGGATCAGCTTTGTAACTGTCAACGGATCAAAGTCAGTTGTGTTGAAATCTTGCAAGGATATTGCGGCGAAAGAAATCGGCGCGAAGGTGGCCTCGTTGAAGGCCGAGTGGGAGAACAAGACACCTTGTTCCGTGTCGAACCCTCTTATGCGCATCTAAAGAACCTTGTTGGAGTCTTTTGATGCTGCCGTTTTTGTTTATTCTTTTTGTTTTCTGTCATCCGTCGAGCCGGTCTTGCTCACGGTCTTTGCATAAGCGTGTTGATGATACCCTCCTGTACCCTAGCATATCATGTTCCCCCAGTCCCATGAGACTCAAGTATGTAATATTAGTCACTAGCCAACTACAAATAATAGTTAACCACTATCAAGAAAGAACACCGTTTTTCCTCATAAATAATCCACATTAACAATGAACTCTTATCGTGCATCAAAAAATTGCTCCACCATAGACCAATCTCGGGATTAATCTTCCACTTAACGCGCGACGCGTCACACGTGACCGCGTCGATCTGGCCGGCGCGTCTCCATCTTATCCAGCTGCACAGCGAATCCTACACAGCTCGGTGACAACCAAGCCTTGCTGTGAATTCCTGAAAATAACCAGACAAAATGTCATCTCGACCAGATCTGAAGGTAAAAAAAGTACAAATCCATTCACAATCTCAAGCCAACCACTAACAAATTCCAACAAAAGGTCGACGACGAAGTCGGCTTCATCCGCTTCTACAAATCCCTCCCCGAAACAGACGACAATGAAACCCTCCGAATCTTTGACCGAGGCGACTGGTACTCTGCCCACGGTACCAACGCTGAATTCATCGCCAGAACAGTATACAAAACGACCTCCGTTCTTCGAAACCTCGGCCGAAGTGAAAGTAGCGGTCTAGCCTCCGTGACAATGACAGTGACTGTATTCCGAAACTTTCTCCGTGAGGCCCTCTTCCAATTAAACAAGCGGATTGAGATCTGGGTTTCGGGCGGAACAGGCAAGGGAAATTGGAAGTTGGGCAAACAAGCTAGTCCTGGTAACCTGCAAGATGTTGAAGATGAGCTAGGTAGCGTCGGTGCATTGTCTATGGAATCCGCACCGATTATCCTTGCTGTTAAGATCTCTGCTCGAGCTTCGGAGGCTAGAAATGTCGGTATCTGCTTTGCGGATGCTAGTGTGCGTGAGCTTGGCGTGAGCGAGTTTCTTGATAATGACGTCTACTCAAACTTTGAGTCACTTGTCATTCAGCTTGGTGTTAAGGAGTGTCTTGTTGTTATGGATTCTACAAAGAAGGATGTGGAAATGGGCAAGATTCGTGCTATTGCTGATAGTTGTGGAATTGCTATCTCCGAGCGACCTGCGGCTGACTTTGGGGTGCGTGATATCGAGCAAGATCTTACAAGATTGTTGCGCGATGAGCGGTCCGCTGGTACCCTTCCACAAACCGAGCTAAAGCTTGCTATGGGCTCTGCTTCTGCTTTGATCAAGTACCTTGGTGTTATGTCTGACGCGACTAATTTCGGCCAGTACCAACTTTATCAGCATGACTTGTCGCAGTACATGAAGTTGGATGCTTCTGCGCTGAGGGCGCTGAATCTGATGCCTGGGCCTCGAGATGGATCGAAGACCATGAGTCTGTTTGGTCTACTGAATCACTGTAAAACACCCGTTGGGAGTCGTTTGCTGGCTCAATGGCTCAAGCAGCCCCTTATGGATCTCGCTGTTATCGAGCAACGACAACAGCTGGTTGAGGCGTTTGTTGTGAATACTGAGCTACGTCAGACTATGCAAGAGGAGCATCTCCGTGCGATTCCTGATCTCTACCGATTGGCTAAGCGATTCCAGCGCAAGCAGGCGAATCTGGAGGATGTTGTTCGAGTTTATCAGGTTGCTATCCGTTTGCCTGGATTTGTTCGTGCACTGGAAGATGTCATGGATGAAGAATACCAGACACCTTTGGATAAAGAATACACAGCTAAGATTCGCGGCCATTCTGACAATCTGGCCAGATTGGAGGAAATGGTTGAGACTACGGTTGACTTGGATGCTTTGGAGAACCATGAATTTATTATCAAGCCTGAGTTTGATGAAAGTCTCCGCATCATTCGCAAGAAGCTTGATAAGTTGCGGTATGATATGGATATGGAGCATCGCCACGTTGCCGATGACTTGAACCAGGATATGGAGAAGAAGCTATTCTTGGAGAACCACCGAACACATGGTTGGTGTTTCCGTGTTACGCGTGCTGAAGCAGGCTGCATCCGAAATAAGAAGGGTTACCAAGAGTGCTCTACACAGAAGAACGGAGTTTACTTCACTACCTCGACTATGCAGTCCCTCCGCCGCGAGCACGATCAGTTCTCATCCAACTACAATCGGACCCAGACAGGGCTAGTTGGTGAAGTGGTCAATGTCGCCGCATCCTACTGCCCTGTTTTAGAGCAGCTTGCAGGCGTTCTTGCCCACCTCGACGTTATAGTTAGCTTTGCCCATGCATCCGTCCATGCCCCAGCCGGCTATGTTCGACCCAAAATGCACCCTCGAGGCACAGGTAACACTGTGCTCAAGGAAGCTCGTCACCCATGTATGGAGATGCAAGACGACATTTCATTCATCACCAATGACGTCTCTTTAATCCGCGACGAGTCTTCTTTCCTTGTCATCACCGGTCCCAACATGGGTGGAAAGTCCACATACATCCGACAAATCGGAGTCATCGCCCTCATGGCACAGACCGGCTGCTTTGTCCCCTGTTCTGAAGCCGAGCTGACAATCTTCGACTGCATTCTCGCTCGAGTGGGTGCTAGTGACTCCCAACTGAAAGGTGTCTCCACATTCATGGCTGAGATGCTTGAAACCGCCAACATCCTTAAATCTGCCACCTCCGAATCTCTTATTATCATCGACGAACTTGGTCGAGGAACAAGCACCTACGATGGATTCGGTCTCGCTTGGGCCATTTCCGAACACATCGTGACCGAGATCCGATGCTTCAGTCTCTTTGCAACCCACTTCCACGAATTGACCGCATTAGCGGATCGATACCCCAAATCCGTACAAAATCTGCACGTCGTCGCATTTATCGGTGATGGTGCCGACGCCGACGGTGACGCCGAGACTGACTCCAAGAAAAAGCGCCAAGTAACTCTTCTATATCGTGTCGAGCCAGGTATCTGTGATCAGTCATTCGGTATCCACGTCGCCGAACTTGTTCGCTTCCCCGACAAGGTGGTTAACATGGCCCGTCAAAAGGCCGAGGAACTTGAAGACTTCACCTCTGCTGGCCCTAACAACGCAGAGAAACAACAGCCTACACCTTCACTTGACAAGTACTCCCAGGAGGAGGTTGAAGAGGGTAGTTCTCTACTGAAGGATATGTTGGTGAAGTGGAAGGCAGAAATTGAAGGCAAGGACCTATCATCTGATCAGAAGCGCCAGATTATGCGTGATTTGGTCAATGCGGATAGCAAATTGCAAGAGAATAAGGTGTTCCAGGGCATCAAGGCTTTATGAGGATATCGGATTAGCATGACTCTTTAGTGTGGCGTTTAGGGGAAATTCAAGTCGGGATAATCAATCAAGAAGCCGGTCAATCAAATAATCTCGGATTTTTAATAAAATGTTTGTCAATACCACTTATCCCGACTTCCAAAATAATTAATTAAATAAACATTTCTTGTATATCAGATTGTTTACTTCTGTATACATTTTAGAGTTAAAATGCCAAGCCCCGTATACGTCAAGCCCAGTCACGTGGGGCCGTTCTTCACCTTTGAATGGTCTAGACACCTCAATACCGAAACCACGCGGAGCAATCAACTTAATCCCGAAGGTGCACAATCACTCGTTTAATGCCCGTCTATCCATCCCCTTACGCAGATTACACACAAAATCAACAACAAAAAACAGCTACAGCAATTTGTTGATTCCAAGTCGCAACAACCTCCCTATCGCACTCCCCACAGCAATGCGCGCATGTTAAACCGCCGCACCGCTCAAGCACCTTAATTCATGCACCCCTTTTCCATCCTTACGCTTGGGATCTTCGTTGCGGGATACACAACCGCCAGGTGGGACCTTGTTACCCGTCTATACGAATTGGCCATATTCGCTTGGGATCACGGCGTCGTGGTATGTCGGTTCACTATTGCACTTAGCCCTTAGCCCTTGTTTGGCACACCCCTCCTCCCTTCCGATTCCAAGCTCCATACACACCCATCGAACCCCGCTTATAATTATGCTATTATCAGACACGAACATTGAAGGGGTTCCTTTTTCTTTCGGTTTTCTTTTTCCTTCTAGTCCTTCCTATCAATCATTTAGCCGCGAAGGAACGTCAATTGGTAAGCTCCCTCTGAACAAGCTTCGCAAATGGACATCAAAGCTAGACACTCTATATAAGCAATGAAGCTAACATGGCCTCTCTGAAATAGCATCCGCGACACGTGGATCTCGGCGTATCCGCTCGGGAACAGTTACGCCGTCGAGGCTCCTTCTAAGAGCAAGTGGAGGATGAGAACATGATCATGAGTGATGGGTTGCTGCGAGTATTTTGGCCATATGATCTCCCGCGATCTGCTTCGCCGGGAGTGATAGTCGGATGGCGTAACTCAGAGCTGGATCTATTCGTCCTTACGGTCCTAGAAGATGTTGAGGTGGGTGAATCGATCATCAATGGACAAGCACCAGCCTTGTTCTTGCTGCCGTTTTATCTGAGAGTACGCTAACTTTGGATCTATCGCAATAGCCACGGAATGTTGAAAATGCGCTTCGGGCTGGAATTCTCTTTCGAAACAGTCCACATCCTATTGTTCGTATCTTCAATCTCTGCGGTCGGTCTCAGATGCATGTCCTTGGTTCAACCAATTCCCCTTTACCCGCGACTTCGTTCAATCCCTCCCATCTATATGTGACTACGCATCTTCCGAAAAACCAGCTTCCGCAAATATATTGTCCAGCGGAGGCAAATCTTTCAGTTCAAGTTATTATGTTTCATCGTCCTCATCCAACACGCATGGAGTATATGTCACTTGATCCGATTTCGCTGGCTTTGGGTGATAAGGTACCAAACCTGGAGAATGGAGGGCCATTATGGGGAAAGACAGAATCTGAGGAGGAGAGAGAAAAAGCTCGGTATCAAGTGTTGGTTGATAAACTTAAGCTGCACACTGTGGTGAAGCATATACCCTCGCAAAAAGAGCAGGCGCTCCCACTTATTGTCAGCCAAGTAAATTGCGCCTTCGAGATGAGCCAGCTGATGCACAAGAATTGTCATCTTATCGGAGTGCGCGCAAAACGCAGTATGAGTGTTGGAGAACGTGTCGTGGAGTCAGCGACTACCCTTTGGGGTCTTTTCGTCCTCTTCGTCGCACATATCTTCTGGCAATGGCTTTGGCCCGTTGTCACCAGGGTCTTTGTTATAGGTCTCGTGGGGCACCGGTCTGTCGCAGAAGTTGTCTTGCGGGTTCTAGAGTGGCGGGCTCGGCCAGATGCTGCGGCTATCAAAGATATTTCGGCAACGGCTCAGCAGGTTGATATACGACTTCAACAATTTTGTTACTGGCCTATACAGTACGTCAAACTGCGCCAGAGGAAAGATAACTGGGAAAGTGTGACAACAAGCCACCCGGATTATATTCGATTCTACAACAGCCTGTGGCTCGTGGCTAATGATGTGATTATTGGAATTGCTCTTGGCTCCTATATCATTGATAACGCAAACTGGGTCGCCTCTCAAATCAACACTGTTCTCACTGGTTGGACCGTTGAAGGATTACAACGCACCATCTCATGGTTGATGGATTGGCCCGCTGGCTTGAAACTCAACAATGAGCTGGCCGCTTTTCTTGGTGACCTATTCCTCTGGGTTATCGAGAATTGGGCCGCATGCATTGCCAACCTTCAGCCCTACCTCCCTCATATCATCTATATTGTTGGTTGTTCCAGCTTTGCGGGAGCCAGCATGCCAATCGCGCTATTTTCCGACCTTCTTTCCATCCTAACCGTCCATATCTACTCTTTCTACATTGCCTCTGCCCGCATCTTCAATTGGCAGCTTACAATAATTATCTCGCTTTTCCATCTCTTCCGTGGAAAGAAGCGAAACGTTTTGCGCAATCGTATAGATTCATGTGACTACGACCTCGACCAGCTTCTTCTTGGCACCATTCTCTTCACGGTGCTTTTCTTCCTCCTTCCAACCGTGATTGTCTTCTATCTGACTTTCGCCTCCGCCCGCATGTTGATCATTTCCATGAAAGCCGGCTTCGACACCTGCCTGGCATTCCTGAATCACTTCCCCCTCTTTGCTCTAATGTTACGCGTAAAGGACTCAAGGCGACTTCCCGGTGGTATTCGTTTCGAGCTCCGAGACGAAATGGACAAGCAATTAACCGACTCAAAATCTTCTACCGTATCTTACATTCACCTTGAGGTACATATAAAGTTGCCCCCATACATTACCGCAATATACTAACCCATCATCCAGTCAATCCCACTTCCCCTTCGTGCAATGTTCGACCAATACTTCCAACTAGGTCACCGACTTCGCAAACATTACCTAGCGCCCCGCGTCATCTTCTGTCTCATGACCGGCCGCTTCGTACCGCCCATTCACCGCCGAAATCTGTACAGCATGCAATATAGTATGTTGCCTGCACGCCGTGCAGGCATGGGCGAGGTGTGGTCGCTGCTTACGCAGACGAAGAAAGGGAACGGTGCAGGAGGCGGTTCTGGGTCTATGGCAGGTGGTATGGGAACTATGGGCCACCCTGTGCCTAAAGTACCGCCAAACTACGGCCAAGGAGATGTTCGGAGACGAGGACATCGTTGAATTATTGGCAGCTTCTCATAATACCCTTCTTAGCATATATAACAAATGCAATGCATTCTTTTGATAAATGATGTTTTGATACTATCTTCCGAGAAATCTATTCTTACGACTGCGGGTCTATAATTGGTGGACATAATATTGCTCCTGACGGCTGAAGAACGCTAAGCATCTTAAAATGACGTAAGCCTGGATGATAAAGGTTCAACTTTCCACGGTTCCAATCTTCAAAACAACTAAACTCGCATCGCCAAAATGACGATTACCCAGGAGCTCTCCTCATGGTTCTCCCCATCACATATTGAAATAGCTCCAGCCCTCAAAATCGGCGATAAAGCTCCATCTTGCCCGGAGCTGGCATTTCCAACAGAATCAAGAAAGCCAACCATTATCACATTCCTTCGACACTGCGGATGTCCAGGTATGTTCATAAAAATTGAACCACTTCACAAGTATTATAGTCATGGATAGTCTTGACTAAATCTCCCCCTGTACAGTTTCCGAAGTAGCATTCCTTACCATGCGGAAAGCAGCTGCTGAACATCTCGATATAAACTTTGTCGCTATCTCTCACAGCAATCAACAGTCTACAGATAAATGGCTAGAGGCAGTCGGGGGCCCTAAAGAAGGCACTTCTTCAGAATCAGTGACTGTAATCGTTGATGCAGAGCGTAATATCTATGCGAAGTGGGGCTTAGGCACCGTTTCCTGGGGCCATCTATTTAGTCCCGGTGGACTACTTGCGGTATATAAAATGGGCAAAGATCAAGGGGTTTGGAATAGGCCCACCGAAAGTGGAAGTAGGTGGCAATCTAGTGGGAATTGGGCTGTCGATGGGGAGGGCTACGTGCGCTGGGGTGGACCAGCGACAAGAGTGGATGAAGTAGTAGATATTGCGGAGGTAATGGATGCTTTGAAAAGTACTTGATAAGGATAAAGTAGCTCGGTTCTTAGAAGAACGATGCAAATATCTTCTTGGAAGCATCAGATATCAATACCACCTGACTCAGGCTCGTGCACATCACCGTGATCAGTCAATCTCCACTCATGGCTAGGATCAAAGCTGACAGACAGATTAACCGCAATGGAGACCCAGGCAAAGATTCCTTCTTCAATATCATCACCCAGCTTAACATAGTTGAAGAACGGATCGGAAGAAGTATCCTTGATGCCTTCTAGAAAAATCCAATCCTTCGCATTAGGTGTCATTGTTAGTGTTGTAAGGAGACGTCTTCTCAACTTCATTAACAAGGTCTTGATCCCAGTACAACTGCCCGATGCGCAACCGAGCCACCAGAGATAGTATCATTAGACAAGCGAGTCACATTGCCCACATGAGCGACGACGTGCAAATGAGTCGCTCGGCCCAAATAATGACCCGGAAAGATAGCTTGAAATTGCGCGACGCCTTCAGAATCACTCTGTTGCAGTCCGCGTAGGAAAGTAGCGTTCAGATTCGATGCATCGTTTTCATCACCGTTCCCCCATGTCTGAATACCAGAGTATACCCCCGTTGCGTTGCAGCTCCATATATCCCACCACACACCCTCCAGCGGGTCACAGGAATCCACATCAATAATCTGTGTGTCGATGATCATCGGTACGCCAGCTTCTCCTTCTGTGATATTGGAGCGAATAAGCTCGCCTTTAATGTAAAAGGGCCCGGTAGAACTGTTCGGATTCAAGACGCATGTGCCGTTATTTCCGAAAAGCTCATCTGGAGGAGTGTCGGGTCCAATACTTGTATTTGTGACTAGATGCGATTTCTCAAGCTGATCTGGGAGATTGAATATATGCTTGAGGGTAGGTTCATTGTTGGGCTTTCGATGAGGTCCGAAGGTTTGTTGTTCCAAACGAAGAGCAGCGATTTCTTGACGGAACTGATTGATTTTGGATCGGCGGCGGAAAGTGGCCCGTTTATTGAGGCCGGATGATTCTAGATTTTTGGCACATTCGTTGTAGCTCTGTACGAAATTTGAGTGGTAAGTCCTTTTTTGAACTTGGAGTTTGTTGTCTGTTGCGCTGCGTTCTTCATGGTCTCCGGGGTGGGCAGTACCCAGAAAGGCGAGTGCCAAATGTGAGAGGAGAATCATGAACAGATTCATTTTGAATGGAGCTATCTTTCTCTTCACTTGCTGGAAGTGAGCAGGATAAGATGAAAGAGCTCAAGAATACATAGTTGATATAGGATGTTTTAGTCAAGGCTGCCTAAAGTGGGTGAAAGTCATTCATCGATGTACAGTCGGGATGTGGAGTAGACTGGCTGCTCCTTCTGTACAGAGAGCGTGCACCATTACAAACTTAGAGCATTAGAGTTGCAGATTTCAATTGTTGAGAAAAACCTAATTATTAATATAGTATATTTCAAAATATATATACTGTTCCATTGCTACATGCTGGTCCTTTTTTGAGGATTTTGTGCGTGCTTCTAAGACACTGTGGAAAAGAGCGAATGTGGGAGCAATGATGATGTGGATATATGGTGATAATATCATGATTGACATGCAGGGCCTTATCACACCCTTGCATCAAAGGTACTATTGAACATGAACATGAGTATTTGAAATACTGACAAATAGGCTTTATGGAGAGCTTTGGTCGTCGGTTGTAACCAGTACAGGGCGCTATAAATCGAACCAAAACCACTCTTCTAAGAATTCAACCACAAATTTCAGGAATATTGCAGCCATCTTTCTATCTTCCGGGTGCCACTGCAGCATGTCTCTTATAAATGAGAGAAAGTTCCGACAATAGTATAGCCCCCACTGCTGGGTGGATTTAATGGGGAAAAAGTACTACCCACTTAAACCTTATTATATCAAATGCCTCTTGACCTATGTTGAAAAGGGCGGTGCTCTGGAAGGTTATAAGGACGTGCTAGAGGCTGTTCGTGATGAATTATGCAGGGAAGAGTGTGATAGATTAGGGAGAGACAAGCGTAAAGGAAGCTATGTGGCCGGGGTTGGATTACCATACCCCATAGCTGTGCAGCGAAAATTATTTCACAACCCGCCCCTGGACTAAGCGCGCAAGATAATCACACACCTCCTGCCCTCACTTGTTACCATCGCCTCTAGCCTTGCTTACCTGCCATAGCGGTGAGAGCTTTGCATCTGTTTGGTAATATGGCCGCCATTACGGCCCTCAGGACATCAGCCTGTGGAGCACAGACTCTCTTTTGCTTATAAATTACTCGCTTGAATGTCTTAGCCTACAAAAGGTTCAAAATCTTCAGAGGCTTTCACGGGCTTGCGTTCTGTAATTGCTTTAAAGTACTTAGGTTTAAATAAAATATGCACACACAAATCCCAAAACTTCGCCTCCAATATTGAAGTATTTCCAACGGTGCCCGAAGCTAAGGCTCCAATTTTGAAGTGACTTGATTATCCCAGGGTATGTTAACTTGGACGCCAGCGTGACCTACCACCTTAGCCAGTAGATTAGAAAGAAGGTGCTCGAGCAGACCATCTAAACCGAGCGTTTGGGGGCCGCCGTTAAGGCCAACCATCTTAACAGCACCGTCGACATGACGTTTCAACATTGTTTCATTATGAATAAATAACTAGCGATTGTCAGCCTTGCTAGTTAGTCGCATGAGATATCTTACCTCGTCATAGGCTAGCATTATCGCTTTTGCAACAGTCGAGTCACTATAGACCGGTGTCTCCGCTGAGATTTCGCCTCTCAATGACTGCAGGCTTTTGAGCTTATATTGGAAGCCCAACCGCGTGAACAATTGTTTTTGTTGTTCTTGTTTTGGGTGATGATAGCTCGCTGATAAACTCCGACATGACGCAAGAAACAATATATCCAGTAGACTTGCTTCCGTCAGCGCAAGCGGTATCCATACACCTGTCATCCGCTGAGAGAAGTCGATTGCGAGCTCGGTGCAGCGCATTAGAGGAATTATAGCTGTTACATCTTTGGGGATTGTTATCACTGTAGCAAAGTTCGTGTTTCGGTCAAACATACAGTGATCAAATAGCATTTGCTCCAATGGCTGCAAGAGCCTTGCGAAGCTAGTAAATGGGTCTTTCCGGGAAGCCGGAAGTGCAGTAACGATATTAGTCGGCCTATTTAACCTGCAATTTACGTCATTCAGCCATTCGCGCTTCTTCTGGGCCTGATATTGTGAAGTCCGGAGGCGCCGCGCCCGGGCGTGTGCGGAGCGCGCGGCGTGCGATCGAGCGACTCTCTGCTGTGACGTGGTTGATGTGGCTGCTTCAGGGGCTGTGATAATAAATTGCAGTTCCCGCGACGGCATGGTGGGAAAATTTGTCTGCTATGAGCAGAGGAGCAAATTTTTCAGGGAAGAGGATAGAGGGCTGATGAGAGTTACCTCAATTTATGAACTGCTGATAGTTAAAGCACGAGGCTAATACTCAGTAAGTTAGGTGGGGCTGTTTTAACACTAGCCAAGACCTGCGCCTCCCAGATTCGGTATAGATCTAGGCTCTTTAGTGTATAAATGTCAGAACAACTTTCATCGCCTCAACTATTATTGCATGGACAAACACAATCTCCGAGAACAACGGAAGCTAGGCGCCTAAGTCCGACTGGGAGTTTGTGTCCGGACAAGGCTACCTGATAATGACCACTGACTAGTCTCGACTAGCTTGGACAGCTTCAACCCGCCAAGACCGGCACCTACTGACTGCAGGACAGATTACCGAGCATAAAAAAGGTGATCTCCTATCTGCCGAATGCATCGGAGTTAATAGGTCTGCATTTGTAATTCGACTGAAAAGGCCTGGTTTTCAATCTATATAAACCTCGAGCTTCTCACAGAATTATTCACCCAAGAACTGCATCCAAAATTTCTCCCTTACAATGAGTGGAACAGTTGTCATCACCGGAGCTAATGGCTCCCTGGCCCTTGGCTTTGTCGAGTCTTTCCTATCCAAATACCGTCAGTATACCCTAGTAGCCACTGTTCGAAACCCATCTCCAGAAAAAGACCCCAACACCGCCAAGCTTCTAAGCATGGTTACCAAGTACCCAGAAGCCAATTTCCACCTGGAAGCTCTCGATCTCGGCAATCTAGCTAATGTTAGGTCCTTCGCTGAGAAGCTATCCACCCGGATTGTCTCAAAGGAACTTCCGCACATCACAGCGATCGTCTGCAACGCCTGCACATGGTCGCTCGAGTCGGGGCAGAAGTTTACATTGGATAATTACGAGACTACCTTCCAAGTCTGTCACCTATCTCATTACTTGTTGGTCCTGAAGCTGCTCGGTAGCATGGACACCACATCCGGACGCATCGTCATGCTTGGTTCCATCACTCATTATGCCGATAAACCGAATCCCTTGTCTTCACTTGGGCCATACTTCCCCGATGATTTTGAAGAGCTGGTCAAACCAATGTTAGACCCACCGAAGATTGTCCATGACCGTGGATTCCAGAGATACGCGACAGCAAAACTTGCAAACGTAACTTTTGCAAACGACCTCAACAAACGACTCCAGACGGTATGCACGACCTGGTTGTGAGCATCCAAAGGCAATTGACTCACATATTCTGACAGGATCCCAAGCTATCACACATTACCGCAACAGCCATGGACCCCGGTGGTCTTCCTTCCTCAAGAGCTCAAGCGGGGCAGAAGAAATCCGGCAGGGTTCTGATGGGGACAATAAATCTTCTCATGCCGGTCCTCAAGCATTGTACTACAGCATTTCGCACTACGGAGGATGCTGGCCGAGACCTGGTCTCTTTGAGCGTTGATCCGGCATTTAGGGGTAAAAGGGGATACTATGTCGGCCTAAAGACAGACTCTGCAGCGCCTGTTAGTCAAGATCCTGGCATGCAGAAGAAGCTCTGGGAGCGCTGCTGGAGGTGGGCAGGTCTAACACCCGCGGAGACTGTTCTTCAGAATATCCTCTAAAGTTGATTTGCTTGAGGAGTTGTTAGGTTGTGTGATAAAATAGCTCTATATGTACGTAGCAGAGCTTCCCTCTCTCCTTCCCTTTTCTTCAACGTTATTATTTGTCGTTTTCCTTTCTCCAATTGAATTAGCGAGCCCAGTTGGCTTTGTATCTATGTTTTAGCCGATTTCTTTCAAGGAACCCGCGGGGATAGTTTCTACTCCATTAGTCTGGTATACGTCAAAACTTCCATGTTTATAGAACAAAAGGTTGGCACCTGCCCCACATGTAGCTGCACATGCACCTTTTCACTGGAAATTAAAGATGTGATTCGCTACTACCAGTAGTATCGAGCGAATCGATACGATAGGCTAAGCCTAAATAAGTGTGCTAACCGCTGTCGCTTATATTAGTACTTTAAGATGTAGATCTCTATGATTAATACTGATTTCGCATCAAGGGGAAGACTCTTATTTTTATGTTGGTAAAATTATGTATATCGCGGGAGCCGAATTATACATCTTTTAGATATGTTTCTTTCATGCAGTGCTTCCTGTATTTGCTGTATGACCTGAGTAGACAAAGATCCGTAATACCCTATCTCCCTGGTGACTTCGGCTTCAGGAATAAAACCGGTTGACAAGCTTCAGCTGTGAACCGACTAGAGAAATTCTGAATCTTGTTGTCTGGAAGCTGTATTGTTCTTGTAATGTATTTTAGATCAAGAGCAAGTCCATTGATAGAATGATGACTATGCCGCAACAACGAGAACCACTCATACAAGAACAATTCATCCGCAACAAGAAAAACTGGAATGGTGTTTGGTTTATTAGTCAAGTAGGCCGTAAGATCTACAGAGTTGAAGCACTCCTGATCATCATTGTGGGGGAGGTACAGACTGAGGAATGTTCCCTCTGCCAGAGTGGCATCGGTCCATTCCCCCATTGCATCAAGCTTCCCGGGCCGAACGCTTTTATCTCCGCTTGTGTGAATTGTCATTACGTTCAATTGGATTACAACTGCTCTGATATTACGGGAAGTACAAACCTGTATTCATCCTCCGTTCGACATCTTCCATCTAACCGTCAGTCCCGTCCACGCAACCGAATTGGCATCACTCGGGTGCAGACTCTTTCTCTTGAACTCACTATACAACAAAGAGCTCATGCCGACCTGCTTACTCGGATCGATCTCGCTATTGCCTACTTCGAGAACCACGTTGGCACCAAGATGGAGGCCGGCAACAACAATGTCCGTCGTGCTCGCAACTATGCCGGCAAAGGATATCCCCGCTCATTGATTGCTGAAACTACTCAAGCCGCACGAGATTCCCTGAACGATGCTGCGACGAACCATACGATTGGAATTGGCAAGCTGAAGGATATTCGGGAGCAACTGGCGACTTTGTGCGACCGAGATGATAAGCTTCAAGGCCATCTACGCGAATCCCTTTGACTATTTTCTTCTTATCTCGATGTGGTCAACAGGTGGAATGATAAAGATTGAGGCTTGTATGATGAAGATCGAGGCTTTTATTTAAAAATTTATTATTTATTCTTAAACGCTATGGTTTTTCATTGTAGCTCTTGTAGCTATTGCTTAGATGTAACATCGACGACTGGTACAACATAGCTTTGGTAAATATCTCAGAATCCGCGGTGACGCTGATACGGACTCGCCTTTTCTTCCATCAGCACAATTATGACTTCGTCGTGCCGGGCAATGGTGCGTTATACCGTGTTAGGGCTGCGTTATATCTGGGAGTGGCTTCTACACCGTAATGGGCAAATTTCTCACGCTTTCTCAACGAAGAATTTGGAAAATTGGGAGTCTAAAATCACAGAGAAGGTCAAAATGTTGGTGAATCAGTTTGATAAATATGCCCTGCCTGCATCGAATAATAATATTTTGAGTGAATACACTCAACCTACAGCTACCTTTGTTGATGCCAAGACCTGGTTCAATTATTTTACAGTCGACGTTATTGCAGACATTGCTTTGAGTGAAAAGGTTGGCCTGACGCAATCTGGCTCTGATCTCGTCAAAGTTGGCGATTCTAGTGAAGATACTCGTTCATATAGATTGATCGAAGATATGCACGAAGCTGGTCGGATGAAGACTAAAATCATTGGTACACTAGAATGGTTCGATTTCTTCCAAGGGCTCTATACATTCTTGTCCGCTCGTGCCCGTGCACGTTTGGAAAGTGGTCGCAAGTTCGTTCGGATTATAAGCCACCTGGCAGGTCGACGGATGGAACGAGAAGGGGATGGTGAAAGTCTGGATGACGTTTTCAGTTGTCTTCTGAAAGATAAAACTGGGAAAGATAGGGATATTGAGGTGGATGAGCTCAGAGCGGAAGCTAATATCTTGCGTAAGATGTTCCCCATGATCACTTCATTCAGTGTACTATACTAACAGTGATTTATTTTCCTTAGTCGACGCCGGATCCGAGACAACTGCCATTGCCCTGACCCATTTACTATACTATCTTATCAAATCGCCTGCTTGTTACGCAAAGCTACACGAGGAGGTATCGGCTGCTATCTCAGGGGACAAAATTGCACCATACTCTAAAGTCAAGATTTACCCTATTTTAAAGCTTGCATCGAGGAGTCATTACGGTTGTCACCCCCGCTCCCACGAGGCCTTGAGCGAGTTACGCCACCCGAAGGAGCCAAAATTATGGGCAAATTCCCTGGAAATTTTGGCGTGTCGGTCCCAGCATATGCCGCTCATCGAGACCCGCGGATTTTCCCAAATTCAGAAGCCTTTATGCCGGAAAGATGGCTCAACAATGAAAAATTTGCAGAAATGTGGGAAGCATTTATTCCATTCAATGCTGGGGGCCGTGCTTGCATTGGTAGGAACATCACCATGATTGAGCAACAAATTCTTATGGCTACCCTTGTTAGCCGGTATGGATTTTCACTACCGTCGCTGGATTGGAAACTGGAAAATGAAAAGGCATTCAACCTATGGCCCGTTGGGCTTCCTGTAAGGATTTATCAGCGAGATATTGGGATTTGAGAATTTCAGAATCATGTCATCTATTTTTATCCAAGACTTCGAACGCCGTGAACTTTGAAGAGAAAAGGTGTGAAATATTATGACAAGACACGAATTGCCCAGTAATTATACATGTATGACCAACTGCGCCGATTCCAATTCAAATGCGATGCGATGCAGTAAAATCAAATATGGCCGAAGAGAAGAGAATGTACAAAGATAATAAAAAAAGGATGAAGGGTAGGTCAACTCAGGACTTCTTCAGAAATTCGGCATCAGTTTCGCTGCTGCTCTTTCGAGCATCATCTAACATGCCGTCAATCCCCTTGTCCTTAAGGGCTTTCTGTGTGATGGAGTGGTTAGTTGAATGTATAAATGGGTAGCTTCACCTCAAATTAAATAAGTTACAACTCACGTGTAAACATGACTTGTACTTGACAAATAGTTCATCACAGTCATTTGACTTGGTGTTGCCTCTCAGGTACTCTGATGCATGGTCAGCGGTATAATCTTGCATAGGGAGTAAAATGAACAAGTAAGCATACTCTCGCTATACCATTTGAGAAAACAAGTGTCATATTTCCTAGATGACATGTTAGTCTACCTCCAAAACGAGTAACGAAAGGAGAGCATTAAATGCTCAAGGACTGATTTACTCTTTGATATCGTTGCATTCCGGGGCAATAGAGGCAGCCATATTGGGTATGTAGACTCTCGGGGGTTGCAGAACAGGTCAGCGAATTACCCGGATCAAGAATTGGATGTTGTAGGTTTATAAAACAGACAAGAGAGGCAAGAGTGGCTGGAGACGAGTAGACGAGGAAAGAACGGAGGACCCACTATTTCGGCCAATCAACGCCACAAGAAGTGGCTTTGCCCCTTTAGAGCAGGCGGTCAATGGAATCTGCCATTTCTCTAATCAACTTTTTTTCGGAGCTAATCAACTCTTCAAGGTTTTGTCGCTCGACTCATTTTCGTCCACGATTCTTCAGTCCTGCAGTGGATTAGCTCGCTTGTCATGGATGCCGCGGAATTTGCCCCATTCCAGGACAAGGTGACGTCCTCTTTGGTCCAAGTCACCCGCACTGTGAATCAGTTGGCGTCGGAGGATTTGAACTTTCACCGAACCTCTAGCGCAGAGTTGACCGAGTCAATCGACGAACAGAGCGAACGAATCCTTTCTTTAGCTTCAGCTGTTTTAAAAGCTGCTACCGGAGAAACAGATCTGCCCTTGCCAAAATTAGAGGATGAAGAGTCTATCGAGGATAACTGGCGCGGCGTTGTTGACGTGATCGATTCGTTATTGGAAAAGGCAGATGCATGTCTTGATGAGTTTACAGGCGTGATCAAAAAGTTGAGCCCCTCACAAGAAGAGCAAGCAGCGGCCGCGAAGAAACCGCAGAAGTTCCCGACTATCTACGACTACGGCCCGTCGAAGATTCCCAAGCCTCAGCTGTTGTTTGATCGCAAAGTTGATAACTCAGACATCGGCCCTTTCAAACCTCTTCTTCGAACCAAACCACACGAAATCACACCCTTCAAGCAGTCGCTCAAGACTCAGCAAATAGAAGGCAAAGAGGCATACGCAAGCCCCTACGATGCCGAAATTCGCGCTGCGCAATACCAGAAGCCTGTTTACGAAACTTCGCCTCCAATCGACTACCTCCCCTTCGAAAGTACGACTGCGACATTTGTGGACACTCTGGATGGTGTCAAGGAAATGCTGGAAGAGCTGAAGGCGGCCAAGGAAATCGCGATTGATTTGGAGCACCATGATGTGCACTCCTACCAGGGTCTGGTCTCATTGATGCAAATCAGCACACGAAACAAGGATTGGGTCGTTGATACACTGAAGCCATGGAGAGAAGAGTTGCAGATTCTCAACGAGGTCTTTGCTGATCCAAAGATCCTTAAGGTCCTACACGGATCTACTATGGATATCATCTGGCTTCAACGCGACCTTGGCTTATACGTGGTCGGCATGTTCGACACATTCCATGCAGCATCCGCGCTGGGATACCCGAAACGGAGTTTGAAGTACCTCCTACACAAATTCGTCAACTTCGAGGCCGATAAGCGATATCAGATGGCCGATTGGCGTATCCGCCCCCTCCCATCTGGAATGTTTGACTACGCGCGCTCCGATACTCATTATCTTCTCTTTGTTTACGACAACCTACGAAACGAACTTATTGAAGCCTCAAATGAGGATGGTAATCTCGTCGACTATGTCTGCGAACGATCAAAGAATGAGGCACTCCAACGCTACGAGCTTCCTGTTTATGATGAAAAGAATGGGCAAGGCCCAGGAGGATGGTACGACTTGTTGACTCGCAATGCGGGCATGCTGAGCAAGGAACAATTTGCTGTTTTCAAGGCCGTGCATCAATGGCGTGATGAGGTAGCTCGAGCAGAAGATGAGGGCTGGCAATGTGTTTTTCCCAAGCATATGCTTTTCCGACTTGCTCAGACCATGCCACTTGATATGCCAACTTTGCTCCGCACCTTATCTCCTATGACACCGATCACAAAGGAGCGGGCAGGCAGTCTCCTCGACGCCATAAAAGAAGCCAAAATCGCAGGTGCTACTGGCCCTGAATGGCGCGACATTGCACCACCACCAAGGACTCCTTTCAAACCCACCACAGCTGAATCAGAAAATACCGATTTCCCCGTTGCTGAGCGTTGCGAAATATCACAATTCTGGGGTAACGTTCTGGACTTCAACCAACCTCCTCCACCCCCTCAATACTCGCTCGTTGCGTCCAATGAGGCACTCCGGCTTTCCCTTCCTTTGCCACCGATGCCAGCTACTGTATCAGAAGCTCGAGAACAACTTGGTATCATGGATGATCCTGCTCCAACTCCGAGTGCACAGCTCGAATCTGCGCCCGAACCTTCAGCACCAGTAGAAAATAAGCCTTTCACCGTGAAAGAGCTAGGTGCTCCTCGCAAGCGCAAGGTCACTCCTGTTGGTCAGCCAGAAAAGGATATCTTGACTCTTGACGGGTCCGATGACCTGGAAATGGACCAAGAGTCTAAGAAAAAGCTTCGCAAAAAGATGCGCAAAGAGAAGAAGGCTCAAAAGGCCGAGCAAGCTGCGCAGGAGGCTACGCCTTTTGATTATGGTGCAGCAGACTCGGTCTTGAACTCCCATCCTACACAAGCCCCTGGAAAACAAAGCAGGCAAAAGAAAGCGTTCAACCCATATGCCAAGGCATTGGAAGCTCCCTCTGGTGTGCGCAAGATCAAGCGTGATGACAGTGGCAAGTCTCTCACCTTCCGAAAGTAGAAGGCTTGCTTTTGATCGCTTCTTTTCATATTTTCAAAAAGCATGTTTTGGGGGTTTGGGGTGATTTGTATTATTTTCTTGTATTACTTTTACAGGCATAGCGATACCCGTGCGTCACTGGGAGAGATCTTTCTGTACGTGTAGATACTAGGGTACTCCCCTCGACAATGAGATTAGATCAATGATCATTTATGTGAATTCTGTGGAACAGAGCAAAGAAATTTGTTAAGTGTGTTAATGATATGGATCGCTAATCAATAGGCATCCTAAGTATACAAAAGGCTAGGTGTTAGGACATCCCTATGCTGCATAGCTAAGTAGTCGATATCTTTGAGTCCTAATGACCCATAGCAAGGGGCTTATCCTGGGACTTCATGCGTTCTTCAATGAGCTCCTTGCGCTCCCGTCGCAAATTCCTCGCGTATTTCACTCCAAATCCATGTTCAAATACCTCCGTGATTTCCTCCAGCACAAGTCCAGATACCTCAGGATAGAAGAAATAGAGCCAAACCCAGCCGACCCCACAAATACCAGCAAAGAAGCCAAAGGCACCAGACGGCGTCATCCCCTCAATCATAGAAAGAAAACAACTGGAAATAATGACATTGCTACCCCAGTTGGAACATGTGAGCCACATAGTTCCCATAGCACGCACCTCCAAGGGAAAGAAATCGGTACTCATCCATGCAGTGTTGCCAACAGAGGCACCATAGAAGGCAACAAACCAAATAATGAAGACAATAATGGCAATAGCAGCTGGTGGAGTGCCACCAGTAGATGTGAGCGTTCCAGAGGCTAGATCGAAGGGGACCCAGTGGAATGCGACTGCTATCGCCAGCATACCAGCACACATACCCCAGGATGTAGCGAGAAGAAGTTTGCGACGGCCCCAGTTATCCACGACCATCATGTTCACGAATGTCATAATAAAGTTGGTACCGGCCACCACAAGGCCTACGGCCATTGGGTTGCTGAATCCAATAGATCCAAAGATTGTTCCGCTGTAGTACATCAGACCGTTGAAACCTGTCATCTGAGAAAACACCATCAGACCGCACGCGCTGATCAATGCACGCAAGTTACTCGGGACGCAGTGGAGTTGTTTGACCTTGCCAAAGGCAGAGGCGCTTTCGTTGATTTCGTGTGCTTGGTCACAAGCGACTCGAATTGAGAGATGAACAGCATCAATTTGCAAATCGTTGGCACCCTTGTAGATCTTTTTCAAGACTACTCTGGCTTCTTCATCGCGTCCCTGGTATACCAGATGACGTGGTGACTCAGGGCAGAATGGTAGCAGCACAGCAAGGATGATAGCAGGAACAGCACCCAGTCCTACCATGTATCGCCACCCGTTGGATACATTTGCAAAGGCCGCGCCGATCGCATAGGAGATGACCTGACCACCCGTAATAGACATATTGTTCAACCCGATAAGCTTTCCTCGAGCCTTAGCGGGTGCAATCTCCGCAACGTATAATGGTAAGACCATGGCTGCTGATCCGACGCCGAACCCGATAATAATACGTCCAACTGACATTTGAGCGATTGTATATGCTGCACCTTGAAGGACAGCGCCGATAATAAAAAGAGCACAACCGGTATAGATTGCCATTTTGCGGCCAAACTTGATAATGATTGAATACGTTAGCTTGTTCCAGCGAATTGAAGAAAGAGATGCTAGAAGAGAAATAGGTTGACATACCCTGTCTGCCGTGTTTCCTGCAAAGATAGCGCCGAAGAAGGCGCCCCCTGAGCAAAGAGATGTAATGAGCTCTTTCTCGTTACTGGTAATGGGCCTGTTGTTCAAAGAACTGCCCATATATGCCGTCGCTCCTGAAATGACACCAGTGTCATATCCAAACAGCAAACCTGCCATAGAGGCCGTCATGGCCACCAACCACACATACCAACTGACTGGGATGTTGTCAACTGTCGTTGCCATGTCATTAATGTTTGATAAAGCATCCAGGGCCTTCTCAGTTCGTATATCGTCCACATGGTGAGATGATTCTAAGTGTTTCGCATCCGATTCGGCAACATCAGAGTGGCGTGTAGCATCACCCGTTTCCGCTTGGGAGGACTTATCAAATGAAGACATCGTTATAAATAGAAAATAGACAGCAACTCAGAAAAAAAGAAGATCATAAATAGAAAACAGCTCAAGTAATATACGAGTCCCCAGAATATCAATCCTATGGCTTACCGCTGAAGAAGCATAGTTTGGGTGGCCAATTAGCCTTATATACACCGAAACTCTCCATATGGATTTCCCCAGGTTCAGTCCTATTTGTTCCGGGGGCGCGCCGGGATGCCGCAAATGGCTAAAGCCAACAATTCGATCTGGGGAAGCCTACATAGTCTAGTCTCCGAAATGCGGGGCATTCAACACGGGACGCCGGGCAAAATAAGCCGATCCCTTGCTTTTCGGGGGACGATGAACTCTATTGCCGTCGCCGCCACATACCGACTTTAGCAATTGAACCTTGGCCTCGGCGATCGGCCGAGAAAATCGTAGGATCTGGAAATCAGTTCCCGTAGCTCCTCATTATGTGGGCTTTCGTCGTGCATATGGGCTACTTGGTCGACACCTCATTGGATCGAGAGATTCGAGTTCCATATTGGAAAAATTATAGGCTGGAACATGATGGATGAAGTCCGGGGACACTCCACTCTATTTCGTCATCTCTTCCGATATTCTCTCGTGGCTTTGATATGCCAGGTTTGGCGTGCAGAAACGGCTTTCATTTTCCAAGAACTAGGCATTTTAATTGGATAAATACGGGATTGCTATTTGCCGGTTGATACCCGAGGCATATATGCATGCGTGATTTTTCCATTCCCAACCCCAAATGAAACTAGTCTCTCAAAAGAACTTCCAAGATTCCTGTTGCACGAACTTCCGTTCAATCTCCCATTCGTGGTCATGGGCGTGCCCGAAGGTACGTTCAAAATGTCCTCTTCAACTGATAAATGACGAGCTCCCCTCCTAGCCTTGATGCATTCCCAGTATTCGGGCATAAAGTCAGCGCATTCCCAATCAACGAGACCACTCAACCGGCCCTCCTCAATAAGAATATTAAATGTATGTATGTCGCAGTGTGTAGGACTGATGATCCTATCGCATGATTAAGCCTTCGAGAATTCTTGTTGAACCGCGAGTGCGAACTTGAAAATTATTAAAATCAGCCTGGGTATTGAATGGGCCTGCTTTTCTGAGAGAATGGCCGTTGATTGGACCTCCAAAGGAATTTGCGAAGCGGTATGGCGTGTTGTTCGGAATCTTTCGCATCTGTGAAACACAATCTGCAAGATCGTCGACCAAAAACGTTGGCGCTCGGGGTAGGACAAATAGTGGGACATGGTGTCTAATCGCCGTTCAGGCAGGCAGGTAATAATGAGATATGTATCGCCTGCATATTTGCCGACATCGACCAATCGGGGGGCTGGTATCGTCGTATACTTTTCCACTAGTCTTAGGGCATGGGGTTCATTTTCTGGAGCGCGAACACACTGCTTCATGATTAGGCCAAAAGGCAGTCGATGCACGTATGGATCATTCAAAGCATTCCCGTAGAGCTTAAATCCAACTAGCTTTAGAAGCATGTAGACTCTCATTCGGACCCATAATGGTATGCAGCGCGATAAATAGTAGAAAGCCCATCGGATGAACGGCGGTATAAAGTCTGGCAACCCATTAGCCTCTTCACATATTGAAAAATCTGTATGTTTTCATTTACTTTTTTCGCGTTCCGGCAATCCATGTGCAATCTCATCCTCCATGAAGAAATCACCTCGCGCAACTGCCAGTCTATGATGGACATTAATTGCTACTTGCTGTGGATATTGGTCCGTTGCGCTCAAATCCCAGTGGTCTTTATTTGCCCAATGAAAGTTCGTGGCACCGTATTTGTGATAAATATGCAGGAGTGAGCTGAAGAGGGAAATGAGAAGTGAGGTTCAAGGTGAGGTTGAAGTCGGGCTCGGTTGGCGCCAAATAGCGCGTGATTGCCCCTTATTGGCCAAAGATGCGCCACCCAGTCTATTATCAAATATTTGCTGTCTATCTATCACACCGGAAGTTGGTTCAATTGATAAAATATTTAATATGCCAATGGGACGAGCCGGATCGCTATGAAGTGCTGAGCTATAATTCTTTCAGCGGACTGCAATTGAAGTATGGAAAGGCGATGACAGCAACCTTGGAATAAACTGATTATAAAGGACCACTTGTAACCACAAGCCCCTCTAAAATATATACGTAGTAACAGCTCCCGAGGTCAATTTATTCAATACTTCCTTTTTTCATCCATCTTGGAATCGCTTCGCGGCGTTCCCGATCCATTGGCCGCTGCCACACAGGCGTTCATTGCCAGGCAAGAGACAGGCAATTGTGAGTTTGAAGCCAATGGCTTTTACATGCTTCTATCAGACATTTAAGATCCTGGTAAGTTTCAATGGGGCTTCTATCTCGCATACGACTGGAAGTATGGCCGGGTATTTCATCTGGGGAGAAGTAAGGCTACAAATATGGAATGGAGATTCCAATCCAACCCAACCAAAGAAGTCTGGGTTTCAAAAGCCTTGTGTATTGCTTACAAGCTTGAGGAGATAAAACCTGGTTGGCACGAGACTCTAGCATTTAGACTCAGTATGGTTTCTCAGGATGAGCCAGTTACGTGTCTGACGTGGTTGAAAAGAGCTCTCCGTGAATTGCATGAGGAGAAATACATCGAACTTACAGGGGCAATTACTCAACTTGAGTTTGACGCACTTAGCCGTGCATATTCTGTACCGCAAAATACTATTCCGGGACAGGACGATCGAAGAGTGTTTTAAGCCAATAACTACATGTAAGCAGTTCACTACCTTCAATAACGAGGATTTTAACCTAAAAGTCGGCAGTGACTTCAAGCACCAAAGTACAATTCGAGTACCGGAGTCGACATCTGAAACAGCTTACTGCGCTTTTACTGCCAAGCCTAGGCCCACAATTCCAACTTCCGCTCGAATGAGATACATTTCTTGGCCTCTCTTCTTTTTCTTTTCTTTTTCTTTTCTTTTTCTTTTGAAGAGTTGAGTGGAAGACTATGGGGTGCAACCAGAGGATGGATAGATAGATTTCATAGAATGCTTTATCTATCTAACAACATACTTTCTCTGCAACTTGAGCATAATCAGGTTACTATTTATTGTGAAATCAGCTAATTTCATCCCACATGCTTTTTCAATGGAAGCACCGACGTTCTCCAGATTCTCCACGGTTTAACCTTGAAAGCCCACTGATGCATGCATTTTATAAACCCGGCGGCCCGCAGATCCTTTAGTGTTTCCCCGCGTTCAGATAGGGCTGGCTATGCAATGGTTTGCTTGTCAATGGGTAAAGAATTGTACAAGTACGGGGTAAAGAGAGATCGATCCCTATAAAGCTAGCGTCGCCGAGATGAGCCAAAAGAGTTAGCATTCGGCGATTCTATGTCCAAAAATAGTTAGTGTACCACGGATCCAGCCGAGAAGTGGATACGCTTCGTCCAAGCTAGCCCCATAATGTGCTTACTATGGATTTGATTGGCTTCGAGTTTGTTCTGAGTGTGAATGTGTCCATGAGACGCCCGATCAGCTGTCAACAGGACTAACTCGTTGTTAAATTTGCACCGCATGGAATTATTTCATTTCCCCTCTATTCTCATTTATTCCCAAATATGGCAGCAGTGGCCACCTAGCAACCTGAGGCACCCCCCATCCTGAACGGTTCATTAAAGATTGCTTTCCTGGCGGCTTTGCTCAGAATGGAGGCCGGGTTTCTACAAACAAGGTGGGCTTCTTGCGGCCCACGTCGCTCTCGACACCCGTGGAGGAGATGAAACGGCGCCTCAAGGAGATTAGTATCTTTCGTGAAAGGAGTTATACCGCGCGAAGACGTCTTGGATGCACGAGAGCCGTAAGCTATTCCAACCATTCGAGATGTCCAAATTGCCGCTATACGTTCAGCAGATTAATCGGAATTTATCATAGTTGGTTCGGCCAATATTCCACGACTTTCTTATTGAAACCAGGATCATCCTCGAGAGATGGCATCTTCAACTTTTTCTCTCATCCAGACTACCATGAGTTATCGGTGGTCAAGGCCTCCCGACGGATGCTAATGAAGCAAAGATCCTCATGACGCTCATAAAGAACCTCAGTATCGAGCCTTTGTTGAGCACCCCGCCTTGACTGGATTCATTAGAAATTTTATCAATTTGAAAAATCACCATCTGTTAGATCGGACGATGTTGCGTCACAATGTTCCATTCGGGTTAGGTCCGGGAAATGCTTTTTTTCTCACGGCTTGGGTGCCGGTCGGTAAGAACCTTTGAGTCTTCTCAAGACTTCGATAAATATAGAGACTTACATTTATCTCATAGGTGACATTGCTGTCAAACTTGGAACGGGGGTGGCCTCTACTATCTGAAAAGCTCCGTACCACTTGGCCGGGCGATTGAAGACGATTGCAACAGACGTGCTCAATCAATGACAACAGAGGAACGAGTCTCCGCGTATAACTGCAACATGGTTGCTGGAGGTGGTATGACTTCGCACTCACCCCAGGAATTCCAAGCAATGCACTCTATGTATGGAGTCCACAATTGGCTCGTCACAAACTATGAAGCTGGCGACGTGGTATTTCATGATCCACATAGCATTCATGCTAGTGGACGCAACGAGGATACAACAGGTAGTGATTGATTAAGTACAGACCTGCGATTCTATGAACGGGGCAATCAAAATATTGACAAGAGCTGGCTCAATATTTGGAACCCTGACGACGGATTGTAAACATACTACGATGTCAACATTTGAAGGAATGATGGCCCATCCACACAAGAATTAGATAAGATCCGTATATTTGAATTGCATGGGTAAATCTCACCAGATGCACTCTAGATATGATCACAACTAAATATTGAAATTTTCCCCTCTCCATTTCATCATGATAATAGAACTTCTGAGGGGGTAAAATCCCATGTTCTACGTAAATTAGCCTCTATCGTGCCGGGTTAACGCGTTCAATATCCATTTCGGCGGGGATAGCCACATCAGTCCCCCTCTATCACAACCAGGTCTGTAATGACGGCAAGAGTCAAGCCATGGTTTGTACATGAAAAATATGTCCCCAATATTTCTGTAAAAAACTAACAATGACCTAGTACCAACTGTCGAAGTATGTAATTCTCAGTCGTGTGTCGACTCGCGACAGCTAATTTGGCGTACATTGCAGCGAATCATTTAAAATGTGAGTGATAAGCGGCACTTTCAATTCGTTGAGCTGTTTTATTATAAGGATTTAGGCGACTGTACCAAGCCGAGGTGTACTCGATGTGAAAAAGCGAACCGCGAATGTGTTCGTTAGGGCCCAAATCGACTGCGGTTTCGGCACATTTCGTCTACGCAGGCGCCTTTGAATTCTCAAGGAGGTCTGTTATTTTGACGAAAGGCATAATAGCTTAATAAATTCTGCTGACTTCTTGTTAGAACTGAATTATATTGACGAGACACCGATATATATCACATTTCAAGAAAATAGTAGCCACACGCGAGACATATCCTCTGAGGATAGTGCGCGGGACATCAATGAATCTCCTCAATTTACTCCTCAAACAGAGAGTCCTCCTTATTAATCGTCAAGCAATATACGGGAGCCCATTGTGAGTTAACACAGCCTGGGGTTTTTGAGAGTGCCCAGTCTGAGCTAGTGGTGTATCTTCTTGCACTATTAGCATAGTTAATACTATATTATTTCCAACTTCAAGGTCATAAGTACTAATGGGCTCCAATTAGTATTTACCACTTCCCCAAAGAGAACTTTAAGACCCGAAATTACCATTATATCAAACAAACCTTGGAGAAGCCTTTTTATTACGATACTTTGTTGAAGAATTACCAAAATGGGGAGTAATACAGCTTCGATACACACTGTAGCTTATGCTGACTTTACAGTTCGATATTTGTGACCCAAATAGACATTTCGAACTGGTAGTGCCTCATAGAGTGCGATCTTGTCAACCTCTTTTCAATGCTGTTCTATCTGCATCGGCAAGGCATTTCACAACTTTACCATAACAAAAGCAGAAAGAAAAGATCACAGAGATTGGACTGCACCAAGATCCAATAATTAGCGAGGCAGCTGTTCTCAATTACCACAGCCGATGCATTGCCCATCTAAGATTCCTTGCCAACGAACCTGATGCTATTATGGACGAGAATTTACTTGCGGCAGCGGTAGTCTTGCGCTTTTACGAAGAGTTAGACTGTATGCTATGAGCCCATTGGCATCCACCCGGCAGCTTTTCATTGAAAAATAAGATCTGACAAGCCAATATAGCACCCTTCATGGAAATCCCTACGGATTCTGCTACTCGGGGACTGCAAATGTTTATTGAGGCCCAGGCAAGCCTAGCACTCTCTTCTTTAGGATTACGCTATGCTGCTCTTCGGGTCGGCTTTAGGGAGGAATTTCATATGGCCTTCACACAACAACGCCCCTTCCGGCTGTCACTTGATACTTGCGATTACTACCTTTCTTCGGACACAGCACCTGATCATGTCCTCTTTGATCATTGCTGCTTACGTTATTCAATATTGCTATGATGATCGTGCTCAACAATCCCACTCGCGATACGAGGAACTAGTAGCCCTTCACAATCATTGGCTAGAGGGTAGGCCACTGGCTCTTTTACCTGTTCATTCTAAGTCGCCAGACCGAAAGAAGGATCTCATATTTCCACAGATGTGATTTTTGAATGACTGTCACATTGTTGCCGAGCAAAGTGTTAGTTTGGTAGAAATCTTACTAACGGCCTACGACCCAACGATTGAGAGAATTGGGCCCGGCCAAAGAATTTCCATGAAATTTATAGGTTCGCGACTTAAGTCGACAGTCCTGAATATTTGTGGCACTGGATTTCCAATCGTCAAGAGCCCACTGCTCTTTTCACTGCGTGCATTGCTATTTCTATTCGTGGAGATAGATTTACAGATATCAAAGAGCAAGGGGCCTTGATGGTTATCGTGGTAAACTCAGTACGCGATAATAATAACTGACCTGCGAATGCATTGAGAGAACACCTGCGAACAGCATGGGGAAGGGAATAAAATCAATCACTTATATACATACTGGAGGACGAGATAGAAAGCGATTTATTCCACTTTTGATAAATAAAAAGGCGACACATAACTATAAAAATCACGTATTTTGAAATACCTAAAATTTCAAATGTCTATTTGTCAAAATCCTCACTGATAACAACATCTATGGATGTTGTTAAGCTTCAAAATGTCTTCATTGTATATAGTGCGGGGTGATCATGTGAGACCTCTAATCGTCCAATAAAAACCCGCACTCATAGCGGCATGACTCATCCGACGATCGTGGCCGCGAGGGGCAGAAGAATTTCTGTAGTTTTGAGCAGCCAAGTCAATATACCCCACAAAGTAAGGAAACACTATAGTCTGAATATTTGGCGTTGTACTAATCATATTACTTAATTTGTCAGTCTTCGCGATCCCTACATCATGGCGGACGAACCAGGCCAGCCTCCGGCGCTCACCAATTTGAGCCTTGCCGAACAGGCCCCCGAGGTCGAAACAAAGCAAGCCACCGGTCAAATTGTGACTCCCTTCGATGTCTCTGGTGGTGTTGACGAGTCTGGCAAGCTGCTGCCGGTGGACTACAATAAGCTGGTGCAGCAGTTTGGAGCCAGTCCTTTGACTCCGGACATTCTGGAGCGTTTCGAGAGGGTCACTGGCCACCGGCCGCATCGTTACATGCGCCGTGGCATTGTGTTCAGTCACCGCGACTTGACCAAGATTCTCGACTGCCATGAACAGGGCAAGCCTTTCTACCTCTACACTGGCCGTGGTCCTAGTAGTGATAGTATGCATTTGGGACATACTGGGCCATTTGAGTTTACCAAGTATGATTGCCTACACATAAATATATATCGCCGGATATAGTCATCATGGTGTTAATTTTTATTTGTTTCATAGGTGGTTACAGGATGTATTCGATGTGCCCCTGGTCATCATGATGACTGACGACGAGAAGTTTATGCACTCTCAAAAAATCGAGATCGAAGACGCCAAACGCTATACCAAGGCCAATGTACGGGATATTATCGCTGTTGGCTTCGATATGAAGAAGACTTTCATTTTCAGCGACTTTGAATTTGTTGGCGGTGCTTTCTACGAGAACATCTGTCGCTTAGCGAAGCGTATTACAATCAACCAGATCCGAGGCACATTCGGATTCAACGACAGCAACAACATTGGAGAGTTCCATTTCTGTGCCATCCAGTCCGCCACTGCTTTCGCGACTAGTTTCCCTCACATCTTTGGCAATGACCACAAGAAGGCCGCTAAGATTCCTTGCTTGATTCCCTGCGCCATTGACCAAGATCCCTACTTCCGTCAATGCCGTGATTACGCCGAGAAGATGAAGTACAAGAAGCCCTCGCTCATTCACTCCATTTTCTTGCCTGCTTTGCAAGGTCCCGGCTCAAAAATGTCCGCTAGTATTGATAGCTCCGCTATTTTCATGAACGACACGCCTAAGAAGATCAAGGACAAGATCAACAAGTTTGCTTTCTCCGGTGGTGGTGCAAGTGCTGAGCTGCACCGCGAGAACGGTGGTAACACTAAGGTCGATGTTCCCTTCCAGTACCTTACTTTCTTCCTCGAGGATGACGAGGAGCTCGAGCGCATCCGTGTCAGCTACGAGAAGGGTGAGATGATGACTGGTGAACTTAAGAAGCGCTGTATCGAGGAGCTTCAGGCGTACGTGTTAGGCTTCCAAGACCGCCGCGGTAAGGTCACTGATGAGATTGTGGCCGAGTATATGCGCGCTCGTCCTCTTGAGTGGAATGGAAACCCCAATCCTGTCCAGCCAGCAAAGAAATAGAAGCCAGAAAGGCTCATTCTATGTCATAAGAATATTTTTAGGGTTTGAAATAAAAGAAATTCAGCGTCATGTCATCATGTCAGCTTCATAGATTCTAATCAGAACAGAATCATAATTCATCGCACATTGCACATTTCGTATATACAACTCATAGCTACATATGTACTTAAAGTTCATGATGACCTCATTTCAGAACAACCACGCCTCGAATGAAACCTCGAACGCCATTGCTGAGCCAGCACTCTTCCCCATCCACAAGTTCCGAGGCAGTGATCACCTGCTCAGTACAGAAACCTTGCGCTAATGCATATCGTCTGGTCGTGCCCGCATTACCCCCGCACTTCAAAGGCGGGGTTATCCAGCTGGAACCTCCGCGCTGGCGAAAATACGGCGTAGTAATGCTGCCTTCCATGACTTCGCCGTTATTGTTTACAATGAGAACTTCGTCCGTTTGGGTGGCGGTAGTAATGCCACTTCTTAGCCGAGCATCCGTATAGTCATCTCGGGCAGTGGTCTTATGCGCCGTAAACCCAGATGGGAACGTAGCCTTAGAATCCAGATAGACACGCCAGGGAGAAGGATCGGATCTAGGACCGGAGCCTGGGATCATGAAGTTGAGGGGATCAATAGGTCCAGCCTCTGCTATCTCGCACCAGACATGTCCACTGCGGTGTACCACGAGCTTCAAGCGCCACGGTCGGTGTCGATCTGGAATTCTAGAGTCTAGGAATTCCTGAAGGCTGTTCAAATCTCCATTCATCCAAGCTGGCCCTTCCTCGAACGCTAGTTTCCATTCAAAATACCGAGCGGCGTTTATGAGACGGTCTTGGTGATGTGCTAGAAGGTAGTAGGGCGAGTTCAGAGGTTCGGGAAAATGCTCTGGGTGCTGCGAGGCTAGTTTTAGAAGCTCTGGGTCATATCGAAGTGACGAGAAAATATCAAAAGTTGGCGTAGCATGACCATTGATAGTAGGAAGCGAGCTCGAAGACATCGTGACGCGTTTTCCCGATAGCTCTTAGACAGGTACTGGGAAGAGTATTAATGCGGTGCTGGTGGTTAGTCGCGAGGTGGCTCAAATTAAGCTCTCCCTGAGTGAAAGTAACAGAGAATAGAGGCTGTAATCAGACCACGGCAAGGGATGAGAAGACAAAGCTGCACGGGTTGCATGAAGGTTTGAAATAACGGGCGCATCCCTTTTCCCGGTGTAGCCGAGTTGTGGTGTTCCAAACGGTGGAGAACTTAGTGTCGCGCTGCGCGTGATTGGCCGCACCGGGATGATCGAATTCTTGACTTTTCCTCCAGAAGCTCCATCATTCTCCCTATCTCACACTTCTCGCCTTAGGCGCCATCAAAAGTAAAAGGACCGGTTAGTCGTGTCTTCTCCATCATTGAATCCGCGCATTGAGCTTCCAATTCTGATTCGATCTCCCCCCACAGAATCCAGGACTCTCCTAGAATCGATCGCCGTGTCCGGTTCCTACACACATCATGTCGACCGAGTCATCACCATTACCTACACCCGCCCAAAACGTGGTGCTGGACACTGCAACCCTGCCTCCATCGGGCTCATCATCGGTGTGGGATCGCGTATCCAAATGGGTGTCCGAGAATAAGGCTTTGGTCTACACCATTGCCGGTGTCGCTGTTGTCGTGACCAGCGCCGGAGTTGTCTACTATCTGTCCGATTCTAGCAAGCCCGCTTCTTCCCCTGCACCAAAGAAGACCAAGAGCCAAAAGCAGAGGGAGAAGAAGAAGGCCAAGGAAGAGAAGAAGACCAAGACTGCTAGCGTACAAGATGGTTTGTGGCCTCCTATTGCATCATATGAGGATTGAGTGGATGGCTGACATCACAAAACAGAGCCTGCTGCTAAGAAGGCCGACGAGCCCGAGGAACTGCCCGAGGTTAATGAGACGACCGTAAATGAGCTGTCTGATGAGGTGAGTTCTAATTGATGATGATATCCCTATCGGCCGTCCCAATTCCCGCTGACAATACGCCCGAAAGACCCGTCAGGAATACGCTACCAAGCTGAAGGTGGCCGGCAACAAGGCCTATGGTCTTAAGGATTACCCCAAGGCCATCGAACTGTATAGCAAGGCTATTATCTGCAAGCCCGACCCCGTTTTCTACTCGAACCGTGCCGCCTGCTACAATGTCCAGTCGGAGTGGGAGAAGGTCGTCGAAGACACCAGCGCCGCCCTTGCTATGGACAGCGAATATGTGAAGGCTCTGAACCGTCGCGCCACTGCCTACGAACACCTTGAGAAGTTCAGCGATGCCCTTCTCGACTTCACTGCCAGCTGCATCATCGATGCCTTCTCCAACGATGTTAGCCGTAACTCCTTGGAGCGCTTGCTGAAGAAGGTCGCCGAGCAGAAGAGCCAGGCTATTCTCGAGGCCCGCACCAAGAAGCTCCCCAGCGCTACCTTCGTTTCCAACTACCTGCAGAGCTTCCGTCCCAGGTCTCTGCCCGAGGGTCTGGAGGAGACTGCCGAGCTGAGCGAGGACTCTGGAAAGGCTCTGCTCCGCAAGGGTCTGGTCGCCATGGTCCAGAAGACTGGTGAGGGTTACGAGGAGGCTGCTTCATCATTCGAGAAGGCTATCGAGGCCGGTGATCTGGGTGACTTTGAGGCTCTTGCTCTCAACATGCGCGCTACCTTCACATACCTTGGTGGTAATGCTGCTGGTGCCTTGGAGGACCTGAACAAGAGTGTGGAGCTGCAGCCATCTCTGGTTCAGAGCTACATCAAGCGTGCTAGCTTGCACCTTGAGCTTGGTGAGTTCAAATAGTCAGTAATTGTACACTGATCAAATTATGCTAACGGATTGATTCAATAGGTAACAAGGATGCCGCCGCCGATGACTTCGAGATCGCCATCAACAACGACAAGGACGACCCCGATATTTACTACCACCGCGCCCAGCTCCACTTCATCCTGGGCGAGTTTGCTGAGGCTGCTAAGGACTACCAGAAGTCTATTGATTTGGACGGATCCTTCATCTTCTCCCACATCCAACTCGGTGTGACACAATACAAGATGGGCTCCGTTGCCTCCGCCATGGCCACTTTCCGCCGATCCGTGAAGAACTTCGAGGAGGTACCCGACGTCTACAACTACTACGGCGAGCTTCTCCTCGACCAGCAGAACTTCTCTGAGGCCGTCGAGAAGTTTGACAAGGCTGTCGAGATGGAGAAGCTGAGCAAGCCCATGGGCATCAACGTCCTGCCCCTGATCAACAAGGCTCTGGCTCTGTTCCAGTGGAAGCACGATTTCTCTGAGGCTGAGAGCCTTTGCCAGAAGGCCCTTATCAGTAAGTGACCGAACCTCATTATATATCATGCCACATGCTAACCCGTTTCACCTAGTCGACCCCGAGTGCGATATCGCTGTTGGCACTATGGCCCAGCTTCTCCTGCAGCAGGGCAAGGTCTCCCAGGCCCTGAAGTACTTCGAGCGTGCTGCCGAGCTCGCTCGCACCGAAGCTGAGATTGTCAACGCCATCTCCTACGCTGAGGCTACCCGTACCCAACTTGAGGTCCAGGAGAAGTACCCCCAACTGGCTGCTCGCCTGAATGCCATGGGTGGTGGCATGGGTGGCCCCGGCGCTCCTCCCATGTAAAATTCTAGCGTTTCGATTAATGTCTCCCCCCTCCCCCATTGCTCTATGTTGCGATCGCTATCTCTACCTTCTTCCCTCTTTTCTTGGCCTCTGCCTTTGTCTTCCTCAATTTTTGGGAGTCGGGTATGCTAGTCTAATCGCTCCCTCTATCTTATGATTCCCAGTCTCCGGCTTTCTTCGGTGTTTATCCCTCGGACGCCCAGGCTCTCTTTTCTCTGATTGTATTTAGTATCTCTTCCGACATATTCCCTTTTTTTCCATCTTTGTTTTCATTTGAACTTGGGCTGCGGAGATGTCCGAAAAAGATTGCCAACTGGGGAACTTGGGGCGAAGACTGTTGTTATCCCGATGCCAACTGCATGACTTTGAGCATGTTGGAAAGTAATCTGTGTACCATAGAGGTGAATGTGAACGTTATTGGTTATACTCTTGATCTTCTGTAGAGTTCATGTCTGTTTTGTTTAGTTGTATTTACAATAGTTTTCGAAATCAGCTATACCTTCATGCTGTTACTTCTGATGTCAACTCCGACTTACACTATGTAGGCTGCCCAGGTGGTTTGACTCACACTATCTTATATTTCTGGCAGAATTGATAATTACCCTATTTTACGTTCCAGACTTGTATCGTAAGTTACATAGACCGTTCAATGAAGGCGGTCTGAAAAGCGGGATGGGTACTTCTTTTCCAAATTGGGTCTAGTGCCTTTCTGATCTATGCGTGGGAATTCAACACGAAGTAAATAAGAAGCTCTGGAGAGTGCGGAATTATAACTGGTTTGGATTTCGAGAACCACTGTAGTAAACCACTGTAACGTCTTATTAACTTGGTGTTATGGTGTTTATGGGGGATGTGGATAGAACCGGATCCACCATGAATCCACATGATCCTCAACTCGATAAGAGACTGCCCCACTTCAACTATAGCATCATCGCCTTATCTGCCTAATTGTCCCAGGTCATCATAGTGTTTTTTTCCCAGGAAAGAAGGGGAAAAGACCAGAGTTGGAATATAGCTATTGTAGGTGCAACTCTTGGTTCAGTCGACGTTGGTCCAAGGTTTCTCAAGGTTCCGACACTTCGTTTGTTTGAGCCTTGACCTCAACCTGATTCATCATCCTACCCCTCTTCCCTTTCTACCTTTCCCTCTCTGACTACGCCTGATTTCCATCTTCCTTTTCTATTTCCTTCTTCCAGTTTACCTTTCTCACTCTCTTCACTTCTTTCATTATCGTATCTCACTATCTCCTGTCGTGTCTTGAAGTCACCTCAGCAAACAACAAGCTATCATCAGCCACGCTTTCCCTGCTGATCGATCACCTTGCGGGTGTGCAAGGCTTCAGTAAATACACAACCTCACCCTAGTTTTTCAACCTCTTGTCACCATGAGTGGTCTTCAAGGTAAGCCTAAGCTCCTATCCGTGTTGCTTTTTCTGACATATAGAAACATCCACTAACATGGACATACCATCGCCTTATAGTCACGGTGACCCTTACCCCTCTAGGGAGACACTTCCCCCTCCAACGTAACTTCACCCTCTCCAAATCGAACAGGACTATCATGATCGGGCGCTCATCAAAGCGTGAGACAAAACTACGCAGTCCAGGTCCAGAGAATGGATGGTACGAATCTCGGGTGATGTCTCGGGACCATGCGGAGTTGTTCATTGAGTCAGGCAAACAGGTTAAATTGCCACCCATCGGGCTTCAAGTGACTTTTTAGCTGTACTAATTTGTCTTTCATCACCAGATTCTCAAGATCAACGACCTGGATTCGACACATGGAACCTGGTTGAATAATACCCGGCTGATCCATGGAGAAGCGGCAGATGTAAACAACGGTGACATTTTACGCTTTGGAGTCGACGTTGAAAATGGCCAAGGTATGTTCAAATTCACAACACACCTTTTTGAGATATCTCATTGACTGACAATTCTTGTAGAATCCTTCCCGGCTCTCATTGTTCGCTGCATGATCGACTGGTCGGGCGAGGAGTATGCAGCTTCCTCTGCCTGGTTTCCATGGTCCGATGCTGATTACACACTCAGAAACACCTCCGAGATCCATATTGACCACGTGAATCGACTGCAGCCTACTACAGAAACTAAACCTCTATCCGGCTTGAGACCAGTTTCCTCTACCAACACCTTCCAAGTACCCGAAAGCGACAGCGACGTCGAGGAAATCACCAAGCTTGACTGGCCATCTCAGAAGCCTGAAGCCTCCTCCCATGTGGATGAAGCGACGGTCTCTCACTTTCCCACGCCGATATCGTCTGACACTCAAGATATTAAGGCCACATGGCTCGATTACCTTGGTACATCAACTGACCACGCTGACCCAATCAAGGTGAACGCCAACGAAAAACCTATCAACCCAGCATCAAACATCGCCTATCCGGGAACTATCGACCTTGACCCATCCATGGATGTCAGCGAGGATGGAGAGTCCGACCGAAAATTTTCTGTTTCGTATGATGATTATGAGGACAGTATTGGATATGAGTTGGAAGAAGAGATCGACCGTGAGATCGCAGATGCGCTATGTGATTCTGAGCTTGATGAGAATTCTTCTAATGCTGAATATGACTCCGACGATGTATCCAGCGTCTCCGATGGCTCTGGCAGCTCTGATGATGAATCCTCTTCAGTTGACAATGGCCGTGAGCAGGAGTATCTTAACCCCATCGTTCTGACACCATCTAAGGCCCTGCCGAAATGCCCAGATGTTCCAACTACCAAGAAAGATTTCTCTACAACCGTGGCAAGCTTCGACAATGAGAACACTGCTAGAATGTGGCCTTTCTTGGATTCAATCCCTCATACCCAAACATCCTACATGGACTCCGCCATTCCAACTCCTTGGAAGCGCCCAGCCCCATTATCTTTGAATGGAGGGGACTTTACACGATCTCGCGGCCCCATGGACATCTCCTCTGTTCTGCATGATCCTGCACTCTCGTCTGTCTCCTATCACGATGGTCCGTTCGCATCTATTGAATTCGCCACAAAGGAAATCAAGAATGAACGGAGCCCTCCATTGCCTCAACTCCCAGTGAAGCGAAAGGCCTCTGAGCTGGAATCTCAGGCCCAGCCTCTCACACCCAAGTCCGCACCTTCTCAGGTGTCAAATCTTTCCACCGCTGAGCAGAAAGAGGCTGCTACCGCCATATCTTCCGCACTCTCCGAAGCCGAGCCTCCAACCAAAAGAACAAAGTCCTCGCACTCTTCCTCTTCGAACGTGGCTACTTATACCGCAACTGCTGTGATCAGTGCCCTCTTAGGTGGTCTAGGAACAATTGCTCTTCTGGCTGCACTACCTGCGGAATACTTCCAGTGATTTCTCAACGTTTCGAGGTCGGCCACAAGGCCCGACCACATTCTTACTCGGAGTTTTCTTATGTTATGGGTGGATTTATGGAGGCTCTTTTCAAGATATTCATTTTCATGGATCACTCCACGAAGACTATATGTCTTCATGATTTGAGCGTCGCACAGGAGAGAGATTTGGAGTTTCCCGGGCTAGGAGTCTATGCATTCGTTCGGTGGCTGATTCCCTTCCTGTTCTTCCATCTTCTATGGTTGCTTTTTGCTTTTTGCTTTGTTCCCCCCATCCCCCTCCTCTTCCACCTCCCCTGGGCCTGATTTATCCAATGGTGAGTTTCGGAATGAACTTCAGAATTCGTCGAATCAGCTTTTCCCTTCTTCCCTTTCCGTTGCTCATGATATCTATCCCCTCGTTATCACAATCGGCAGTCGTGCAACCCTTAATGATTAGCAAGAATGCAATGACAATTTAGTTCTCCGCTCTGGTAGAATTTTTAACAGGTTATTCTTCTATTCTTTCCATTGCCACCCAGCCTTTCCTGGACTTGGGTCCTAGCTATTCCCTCGTGACCAAGTCTATGCTTGACCTCGGCATAGTCCTATAGTTTCCTGTCAGGCACAGCTTTCTGTCGGCAGCCTCGTTTGAAAGGTCAGTTATGATCTCATATCACCGATATCCATGGCCTACATTGGACATTCTAAAGCATAGAACATATCATATGCAAACGAGTCTAAAGCATAGTAGCTAAACGCAATGACTCACGCTGTACTCTTTCCACGGTGCAATTAATAGCTTGATTTACTAAAATTCCCTTCTGAGTCCGTTAAATCCGCATCGAGCCCAATTTTGAGAACGTCCCAACACTCCGATACATCGATACTTGGACCCCGAGGCTCCGAAAACAAAGAAAAGTAAAAAGTAGCGGTATACAATAGCTACCAGGAAGTTCATCATTTGGTTGGTTGGAATATGGACTACGGCGAAATAGCACGATGGCCGGATTTTCATGCCCTAAGGCCGAATAAGATCGTCCGTTTTGACGAAATGGCGACGCAGACGGGGAGATCAGAGTCCACTTCGTCAATCGGGCTGCAGCTCAATTCTTGAGAATCCATGTCAGCTGACTGACGGATTGACCGTAACCCTTGCCCAGGTGGACCTGCTTGAGTCTCGAGTTGTGATGCTCCTTCTAAGCGTGGTGTTACCGCACCGTGTCAAACAGGGAAAATGTCCACATTTCACTCTGTGTGTTTATCCTTGTAAGCCTCGAAAGTGTTTTTTGTGTTGGTAGCTTCAATTTCTTTTTTTTCTCTCTCAATTCTCTGGGCCCACCATCACGCGTGCTGCCGCAGTGCGAGTCCATGCTTCCCTAGTCAATTTTGAAATTCCGAGCCTAGCGCGTGATTGGGAATGACTGGCTGCAGTTCGATTCCATTGCCCCTCCATGAACCCAGTTCATCGTTTATTCTTTTCCTTCTTTGATTCGACTCTTTTTCTTTGTGTTGGAAATCCTGCAGCTGCCCTACTATACGATGCAAGAAAAGTTCGTGGGCGCTTTCATGCAAGAGAACGAAGCTAATGTACCAGTTCCCATCGGCCCATCGAATCCAGGCGGGCTTTCTTTTCTTTTTGTGTTGGATGGCTTGTCCGGCTGATCAATGAAAAAAGATTGACTGATTAGCTTGACTCACCAAGAAAAGATTATAGATTATGCTATGGCTGGAGCTGAACGACTTCGATGTCTTTAGTCCTCAACGGCCACTACTGACCCCTTGCATCCATATTAACTAGGATGGGGCAATAGTGATCGATAAAGTCAAAGACAATTCGCACTGTTTTCGGGACCTTGTTCTAGCATGGTAATATCTCCGGACTCTTTGATGCAGTGCTCCCGGGAACTTGCATCTCAGACGATGTCGCATCATCCACGGCGCTTCCAAGGCGTCGTTCTGTTGTTGATTTCGTACATTATGCGATTTGACACCAGACCAACGTTTTGACGTGTCCTTTGCTCTTTTGTTCGCTGGTAATGAAACATCTTTTCTCATTTTCCTATTTTTCTCTAAAAATATACTTCCACTAACATTATTTTTACGCAGTTCAACCCACATTGTGATCTCTCCCAGGGGAACTTCCTTCTGGATCCTTGGAACATGGTGGATGTGCATCAGGGAGAACCACCATCACATCCGTTTATTCCGGGTATTCTTATCGGTAGCTGATAATCACAGTGCAGTGTCGTCATATCATCAGCCACCCAACATTTGGGTCCAGGGTTGGAAATGTTGGAGACTAGCGTAAGATCCATCTCGAGAAACCTCGTACTATGTGCCTTGTTGATTTCTATGGATGCACAAAGGCCCCTCCAGCTCCTCATTTTCTTGTTGCTGCACTCCTCGAACGCATGCATGTTCCAAGATCTTGCCATAGTATCCCCTACTTCATCTAATCTCTTTGACTACCTGCACATGACCCACCACTGGTAGACATCTTGTAGTATGAATTTCAGATCTACAGCTCTGCTATACGATATGAATTAGTACCTCTTAGCCCCGTTGACATGTAAAGACTATCATATCTTAGAATAGAAGGTTTTTTCGTATCTCCAACTCGTGAGCATAGCCACTGACGTTGACCAAAGAATCACGATGATTTATTTGAACTGTGTCAATTTCGGAATTGAGATCATCCTCGCATGGCTTCATGCAACCAGCCGTAAATTCCAGGTGTGGACTTTCCCATTTAGATGCTTCAAATCCCGAGCCAAACTTCGCTCATTTTCCCTCCGAGTAATCCATGCCCCTGGCCTATGTCTATGCATTCCTTCATGAGGAGGGTTGTGGTCCCATCCTGACTCCTGGGTACCTACTGAACCTGTCGATTTGTGACACAGGGGTGTGGTGGCTGCCATGAGGCTGGGACTTATTTTCCGCGCAGGCAACACCGAGCTCAGGTCTGGGTAACGACCTGCCTCACACTGGGTCTGATTCTGATTTGTGCACGCCGAACCGCTCCATGGAAGAATCCCTGCATGGTTCTCTTTTTCCTTTTCTTATCCCTGGTTCGAACTGCCCTTTGTTGAACCGCCGCGCAACCCGGGACACCGTTGCACTCTGATGGTGGTAAGTGTCATTGACAACTCGGCCTCTTGCTCTGGTGAACCCGAATCATAGACGAACCACTTGTATCCAAGTACCTGGGTCACGGTGGAGATGTATCGATCTTCCATCGAACTATACTCCACCAGCTGGCTACTAGTCCTTCCGCTCCTCGGCCCGATTCAACAACCTTGAACGTGCCCTGTTGGGCACCTTGGTTCCTCGGGTCATCCAACATGTTCCATTGTGCGCGTCCTGTTGACGCATACCCCTCCTGGCTCCATCCAGGGGTGATGGGAGGGGGTCTGGGAACAAACTAAGTCGAAGATGGCGTTCTGCGCCGTTCCCCAGTTTTATGCTAGATCTAGTTCTGAGCTTCTGATTGGTGAATCACAATCTGGAAATATGTCACCTGGAACCCAAGTTACCAGCTCACGTTATTGAGTAGTAGCCAACTTGACCTGCAGTAGGCCTCGCCGTTGCATTAGATGCTCTGCTGATTCGTTGGAGGTTGGCCCTGTTGGTATTTTTTAATTTTCCCATCATCCCTCGAGTGTTGGTCGGCGAATGTAACATTTGACTTGAGTTGTCGCGTGCCACCAGGTCTTCGTGCGTATAAGAGTCGTTCGTCTTGGTCTACTCCCCACTCCCGGATTCATTATACTTTGGCCTGGGTAGGATTTTAGTCTGATCACTGGATACAACACGTTGCCTTATTTCCCTTTGTTCCGAAGTTAGTTCGGGCAATTGCGAGTTCATAAATTGTCAACTTTCCTTGCCTTTTCCGGTTCATTACAAAGTTCATCAATCAGTACAAGACACACCTTGGATATCCAAGTGTTAAATCTTGGAAGACAAAATATATACTCCCAATCTCACCTTCTTGGGTACAATATCTGAAGCTTTTTTCAACTCACTCCTGCTGCCTCTCAATCCTTTGGGTATCTAAAATATTCTACTCACTCACAATGAGTGCCTCAAATCTCTCCTTGCTCAGCCTCGACCCAAGCCATATCTCCTGCATCGGTGGACGAACAGTCCTTACATGCCGGAATTGTGCCGGAAATGCCCCGAGGTACTTCCATGCTCAACCTCCAAACTCAAAGCATGGAAAGGATAAAATGTTAACACTTTCCTATCTAGGATCATGGGCTCAAAGTGCAGTGGCTGCGAAGGCCGAGGCTTCAACATCTTCATATGTGCACACTGTAAAACCACTGCTGCTGCTGCTTCCATCAGAGTCAGTACCACAACAACTTCCGCCAGAGCCAGTACTGCAGCCACAGCAGGCACCACGACAGGATCATCGGCGGCATCCTCCCCAGCCTCATTGAGCCGAAGTCCATCCATGTCTTATTCCGACTCTAGGGCACCTCGATCTTGGAAGCGGAATGATACTTCTGGAAGAGGACGGATTGAAACGAATACACCCCGCAATCTTTAAATTCATCAGCTGCATGGGGACTTCCATTTTGGGCTTTTTGCATATTCTCTAACCACCTGGTGTGGCTAGTGAGATGTTCTCTTCTCTTCGCTTCTTTTCTCGTGATATATCTTTTTCTTTCAGGTTCATATTCATTTTCTCACTTATGGTTGCATGGTCTTTTTTTTATTCCTGACGTTGGATCCTTTTTGCTTCCAAGGTTGCCTTTCGGGTCGACGCACAATATACGGTCGGAATAGATCAGAGCGGATGGACTGGCCTATCTTTTCCTTCTCTTGCCCTTTGATCTGTTTTCTTTCTTCTTCTCTCAGAATGCGAATATGTCACTTCGGCGCAGTCTGCGACATTGCTTAGTGCTTAAGGGATTCCAATACAGTACAGACATTTTTCTCACGAATGCAAACACGATATCATTCATGAGATTTAAAATTATTCAATGTGGCAGGATTATTATAAGGCGAAGCATATTTCACGAATGGTATCTCTGTAGATAAATACTAAGGTTGCCAACGACATATATAACTCGAAGCGTTCCAAGGTACATATAAATTAATTCTTTAAAACATTTTCTGGGTTCTTGATCGCAACCATGGGCCCGCAAAGTATAACGGCAATGCCAATGCGAGAATCGCCCATTGAATTCCCGCGAATTCATAAAACATCTTGTCGACTCCTTGCTCTTCCATCCACGTGTAAGCCCCCTTAGCCAGACCAAAGGCGACGATATTCTTCGATGTGTTGACCAGAACAAGGGCCTCCCCAGCAACCCTCGGGTAAGCATCCACGACGTATGAAAGCATCACGGATGGAACGAGTGTCAGTCCCGCGGCACAAATAGCCGACCCAACTGCCGGCCGAATATAGTTTTGTTGTTGGGCAACTGTATATCCAAATACAATAAGGCCGACTGGGCAGATAAAGAAAGGGATAATCAGCGCTGGTAAACGGTGCTCGGGTTTATGTACGCCATTGTTGCGTTTGCGCATCCATCGAGAGAGTAGATCGGTCATCGGACCAGCGATGGGCCAGGCGACGACGATACCAACAAAACTTCCGAGTGTGAAGAGACCGAGATCGGCTGATGTGAAGAGGTAAGGTGGTGGGGAGAAGATGTTTGGAGCGAGAGTTGAAATGGCGACGATGCTAATAATAATTAGTTCCAATATTCCATAGCCTGAGTAATTGATGAAGTGTGTACTTACCCTCCTAGCATAACTCCATACATAAGGGATGCGATCAAGATTCCAGGGAACAGAAGAAGTGGAAAGGGCAGAACGAAGAGGTAGGCGAAGTGCTTGAGCACGCCTTTCTCCTTTGCTTCCTTGGTGAGACTGAAAGTAAATAGACCCCTCCAGTATTCTCCATAATCCATTTTGGCACGATCGCCAGCTTGAGCTCTAGAAGGCACAGCTTCAATATGGTTGTGTGCGTCCTTCTCGGTATCATCGATGGGTTCTGGCTCTTCCTCGGACTCGCAGATAGTCTCTGGGAGCAAGAAGATGGTGCTCACGAGGTTGACAGCTGTAATAATAGCACAGAGGTAGAAAAACCACCGCCAGCCCCGCGCCTCAATAAGATATCCTGCAATGACTGGGCCGATTTGAGAGCCGCCGGATAGAAAGGCAGCATACACAGCCATCGCACTTGAATAGTTCCGTTCGAAGAAAATATCTATTTATCTGTCAGGGGGGTCTGTTGATAATAACTTAGTGAGGCTGAAACATACCGGCAAGAATACTAGGACCAAGCGATTCAATTGCACCATAGCCAAAGCTAGCAAATACTCGTGATGCCAACAAGCTGTTATAATCCTTTGCGACCCCACTCCAAATAATGCCACCCAAAAACATCGCCATGGAAAAAAGCACGACTGGGCGTTTTCCGAAGCAAAGTGCAAGGGGCATCCACACCAAGTTCGCCAATCCCATAGACAGAACGGAGTAGGTGATAAGGGGTGCTAACTCAGCATCGGTAATACGAAAGTATATTGCTAGTGATTCAAAACCAGTTGCCAGGCCCGACTATAGCAACAGACGATCTATCAGCATGAAGCATATTCTTCTATCGCTCACAAAATACTACTCACAGAGTACATATTTCCCATAAAAACATAGACATTGACGGTAAGGAGGGCGGCGTACCGCACCCGATTCGGGAAAAGCTACACACGTTAGTACTCATAGGTATCACATTACGATTCAATGTGTGGACCTACTCTAGGGTCGACCCCTGTCATATTGGCGCTAGGTAAAGTCCCTTGGAAGAAGAATAGGCCGGAAGGTAGATCGTATGATTATGGGACGACAGATGAGGGCGAGCGACACATATAAGGAGTACTCCGGTATTTCAAGTCGGGAATCACACAAACCACGTTCAACATTTAAAAGCAGTTAGCGTTATCATTTCCCCGCATTTGACCTATGGGAATGCAAATAACGCTATTGGTGACCGAGCAGATGTCACCGGCAAGTCCGAAGTGGGCGTTTTGACATTCGGATGCACTTCGGGCCCTCATTAGTGGTGGCGCTTTTTAAGCGATGCATGCCGCAGATAGGGGCGAGTCTCGACCTTTTTTCTCATCAATAAATTTTAAACGTATAGAGAAGGCCTATCTTTATACCGAATACTAGCCATACTCTGTGCTTTTTCTTCTCTTGCTTATAGATAGCTCGCGTCTTGGATTGTTGAGAGGTTTTCTCCTTTCTGAATATCAGTTACAAAGTCCCTACACGCTAAAAGCACCTTCAAGGACACAGTGGGTACCATTGTTTGGCGACGATGGCAGATACAGTCGTCATTCATTATGGAGTAAGGTCATACTAAGCGAGTTATTGCTAATTCATAAGACTGCTCTTATCAAAGCGCTATGTAAAGCTGTGGATACGAGGTTTCCGGCCGGAAGCGCATTTTTATTCTTACTAACGAGACATTCGAGCGAGAGGAAAGATACGAAAGTAGGCGAGCACTTTGACTCAAACAATATTATTAAAATCCATAAATTTCAAATCCAAGTTTCCATATAACCTAATCAATCTTTAGACATGGAACAGCCTGTTATCACCATTTTTAGTGTAAAAAGTCTCAATAAACTATGATCCGCTTCATAGATTTTCTCGGTTTTCAAAAGATTTTTTTTATCCATCCCTCACCCTTCAGCTAGAAAATAGATGGGCAAATTTAACTAGGTGAAAACCGGTGACTGCAGCATTGAGCTAGAAGCTCTAAATCATATAACTCAATCAACCTCTACCACGCCCCGCCTTCCCCAGTTCTCCCCAGTTCTCCCCAGTTCTTGGCACCCAGCAGATCTACTCAAGATTACGCGGCATTCTGACATCTACCCCATAAAAAGCTGTCAGATGGATGCAAGAAATCCCCACAGAGATATCATGTGCAAAGAATTGTGACTTTCCCCGCGGGGCAACGCCTCAATCGACTGGGAAATCCGGATTTCGGAATATCCGAGATTATAGCGGATCCAAGACACCCACTCGGCCATTCCGGGTGGCTGATAGCTAGAGCTGTAGAAATTATATCCGGGGCTCGCATGATATTTGTAATTTTCATCAACTATCTAATAGGCTGACTTTCGACTCTTTCATTCCTGTACGCAAGGTCAAATTTGAAGGACTTTTGACCAGAAGCTTTCCAAGATGGTATGAAGACCCAGTCCCCACATGATTTTAAGCAAATTGCTTACCTTTAATTTGATTCAGGTGGCAGAAACAGCGCGTCTCCGCATTATTATTGTCGGAGCTGGCCTTAGTGGCATTGCTACCGCCATCTCCGCTGCTCTATCCGGCCACACGGTTGAAGTTATTGAACAAGCTAAAGAACTCGCTGAGGTCGGCGCAGGATTACAAATCACACCCAATGCATCTCGTTTGCTGAAATATTGGCAATTGCCGTCTTCTCTATGGGAAGCCGCTGCGGAGCCTACAAAATTGACGGTCCATCGATATTCAGGCGAAGTCCTTGCACACGACGGAGCATTTGATAAGAGCATTCGGGCTAAATATAACGCGCCATTTGTGGATTTACACCGGGTTGATCTGCAGCAAGCACTCTTTGCCCGAGCAAAGGACTTGGGTGTAACTTTCCATTTGGGTGAAAGGATTGAGCGAATTGACTTTGACTCCACGACTGTGTACTCTGTGGCTGGGAAACAATTCGCTGGTGATCTGATTGTTGCCGCTGATGGACTATGGTCTAAATGTCGGGAGGCATTTGTTGGAAAGAAGGATGAGCCTATTCCAACTGGAGACTTGGCGTATCGAATTGTGTTGAATGTAGACCAGATTACCGATCCGGATCTCAAGTCATTAGTTCAGAATCCTGAATGTCACTTTTGGATCGGGCCCGGAGCTCATTCTGTTGGCTATTCTTTGCGCGGAGGACAGATGTACAATATCGTTTTGCTTGTACCAGACAACCTTCCACCTGGTGTCTCAAAGCAGGCTGGATCTGTGGACGAAATGCGAGAGCTCTTTGTTGGCTGGGATCCGATGTGAGTTGTCTACAAAATCGACGCGCTTGGACTTTGACTGACACCTTTGTTTAGCCTCAACAAATTCTTGACTTACGTGGAGAATGTCGACAAGTGGAAGTTGATGCACCGTAAGTTTCATGCTCAGGGATCGTGTCGATCCTTTTTACTCACAACATGACAGACGGAGAGATGGAGAAGTGGGTCAATGATAAGTCTAACCTTGTCTTCATGTAAGTCAAATCCTACCGAGAGACATGATAGAGTCCTGATCAAACTTTACATTTACTAACATGTCAAACTCACCAGCGGAGATGCTTGCCACCCGATGTTGCCATATCTGGCACAAGGCGCCAACTCCTCTCTAGAGGATGGAGCCGTTCTTGGTCTCCTTCTAGGACACATGACAAAGAAGACACAACTACCTGGCATTCTGCGACTATATGAGAGCCTCCGCAAGTCCAGAGGAGAGGCTATTGTGCGCGAAACTTTCAAACAGGTAAAACAACCCGCTCTTATTCAAGCACGATTCAAACTTTTGTTAACTTATTCCTACAGCGACATGATTTCCACATGCATGATGGAGAAGAGCAGCAGAAGCGAGATGAAATCTTCCTTTCTCAGCTTGGCAAAGAGCTTAAGGGTGCTTTTCCCAGTCGATGGACATGTCCAGAGGTTCAGCCTTGGCTGTATGGATACGATGCTATCAAGGAAGTTGAGAAGGCGGTAGTGGAGAATCCAGATCTCTTTTACCAGACTTCCAAGGGCCGGCAGTCGTTTTGCACTATATTATAGATGATGTTGGAAGAAATGAGACACTACCATCTGTACCTCTATTGATGAAGACTATTTCTTGTTGGCGATGGCGCATCGCAATGAATTACATAGACGAACTACAAATCACATTTTCGAATCCTGCGTTTTCTTATCACTCTCTGATCTGCTATTTGAAAAAATAAAGCATCAGTACTGATCAAATAATTTACTTCAATATTCGAGTAGAGAGAAATTCTATAATACAAGAGGGTATGCAATAAGTAGAGATAGTCTTACGGTTTCTTCATGAAACTCCATGGCTCAGCGATAGGTCCAATCAAAGGCTTGAAGTCCTCCCCTTCACAGATCCTCATAGCCTTCTGATACGCCGGGCGCTCAGAAACACGCTTCAAATAAGCGAGAACATGCTTGTTTTTCTCGGTATCGAAGTGGACAGGAGAAAATCCTCGCATGGTCGTCAATGTGAAAAATGAGATAATATCCGCTGCTGTAAGCTCATCCCCAGCAAGATAAGCTCCAGTCTCAGCTAATCGGGCCTCGAGCATATCAATTTGATGCTCCCATTTCGCAATTGTACGTGCCACGAGCGGGTTATTAGGATCTGATGCGCGAGCCATCAGGACCCGGAACAAAGTTGGCTGGAGACTGCCATTGGCGAAATGGTACCATTCCAGGAAATGGGGATACACGGCACCGTCCTTGGGAGTTGCGCCCAAGCGACCATTCCCATGAACGGCAATGAGATAGTCTGCGATAGCGCCGGATTCGGCCAAGACAACTTTTGAGTTGGTGACGGGGGATGGGTCGTCTTCCATTACTGGAGCTGTGCCGGCAGGAGAGAGGTCCTTCAGCGACTGTGGAGCGAAGATGGGGTCCCGTTTGTGGAAAACATAATTGTATTCGAGTCCGAGCTCTTCTGCGAGCCAGATGATGCGCTCAGATTGGGAGAAGCCGAGGTGGTGGAGTGTCAAGGGCATTCTGATCAAGAGTTGGAGCAGTTAATGCAGCTGTTAATGCAGCTGTTAGTTGTGGAGTGTTTAGTTTTTGACTTGTGCATTCTTTTGATTTTCATTTCAGGAGCTTATCCCCCCGCTTTTATATGGGTTCATTCGGTCGGCGGTCATGCAACCGGTTTCCGACGATCATGACATCAATTGTTTAAGAATCTTATCTCGCGAGTTTTCGGTTCCGACGTTGGAATGAACTTCTGAGGCTTAATTCTCACAAATCAAATATTGACTCATAATGTCAACACAAAGTCAGCCCTAGTCGAGGAGGCGTTGAGAGCTCCGGGGTTATGTGCGGAGTTATAGCTGCTGGTAGCCCGAGCTCCGAGGTTATCGGCACGCGAGGTCGCCGTGCCGACGCTAAGTGCACCAAATAGAGCTCAGAAGGATCATAGTGTAATCTAAACAGCATTTAGGATGGCTTGGCAGAATTTATTGGGAAGAAATAGATTATGATATATACAAGGTACATTATTGAGTCATACATACAGTATTCACTAGCCATCTAGCATAGGCAGACCGCCGATATCATCAAAAAGCCTAGCGATTCCTTCGAAGGAATAATCAGGGAAGCCAAAGCCATAGGCCCATTCCGGAACTTCAAAGGCAGAAGGCGCAAGTCCTGAGACTTCAGATGCAGCCAGCTCTTCATTCCCTTCGCCGACCGCCGCAGTTGTTTGTTGCGTTCCAGAAGCTCTGAATTCTCGTAAGTACTGTCGAATAATTTCCACGGACTTCCTAGCGACGACAGACTCTTCCATAGCTTCGAGAATCTCAATTCCCATTTCTACAGAGCGAAGTAGCGGTATCGTTTCATCGCACATCCCGAGTTTTGACATTGGAAGCAGAAGAGTCGATGTAGCGAACATCACATAAGTAGTATTGTACCACCTAAAAATCGAGTCAGTCAGACACCAAAATGGCTTCAGATATTGATGAGTTCATGTAATCCTACCAGCATCGGAAAAATGTGTGCACTCGATAAATGTCATGGATCACCTCGATGGTCTTCTGTGCTGCGTTTAGACATTTGGTAATTGTTACATCGAGCTCACTTGGCGGATGCCGCAATTTTCGCGTAAAGTGGCTCAAGAATGGGCGGAACAAGAGCATTTTCACATTATAATATCCTACAGGAGAGTGAAATTAACAAAATGGTCCGGATTTAGGGTTTATGATTCGACTCACTTATTCCGAGGACAAGCCGTTGCCTTCTTGCCCATTTTGGATCACGGAGAGCGCTGCGAGATGGCCTGTCTGTACCTATATCAGGCCTTAATTTTTCCGGCAATCGGGCAAGCCAACGGTCCATCTCCATTTCGATCTGAAGGCCCAGATGAAGTTTCTCTTGTAATGTGATGCGCGAATGATATATTTGAACCGAGACACGCCTGATAATTTGAGCGAAGTCGATCATCCAAGGAATGATGGCATATTCAGCGTCATCTCGCTCTGGCATAGCTCGATTGTGGTATTCATCCATTCCTAATGTATCCGGTCGACCGACTGAGAAACTCATTTCTCTACAAAATGTTAACAATTGTTCAGAACAAGCACAATCTTCGGTCTGAATCTGAGAAGGTCATGAGAATGCCCATGATTATTCCTTACATTTCAAGAGAAAATATACCCCTAGCAACGCAAATCGGTGCATATATTAGCTTCAAACTCTCAAAATTTACGAAAACAAACTTCTGACTTACCACCAGGTCTTTGAGATCCAGCCCGAACGTTGATCATTCGGACCCCGAACTTCCCGGTTGAAGCCAGCAGACAGACAAGTGCGGACTGCAAGGCCGAGATACATATAGGCCACTACGAAATTAGCTATCATTGAAAGCATTATGTTCAAGTTTTGCTAACTTACAATTGGGATTGAGTTCATTTTGACATATCTTGGCCTATTGAATAGAATTAGTCAAAGCCTTTCCGAGCATTACACATTCGCAACATACCATTAGATAGAGGCACTGAACAGTTTCGAGATCATTTGAGAACCGTAAATAATTGAGATATGCCTGGGCTTCACCAAAAAGTTTGCGGCTCCACTCAAAACGCCCTAAGCCGGCAAGGGTATCCTCGTCCCATACTCGCACTAAGGATCCAAATGACAAGACACTCAAATAGAGTGCCACAAAGCTGGGTTCGGGAGAGTGTGCTCGATTGAACCAAAGTTCATTGGCACGAATTAAGAAATCCTCTTTGTCGATAAACGGATGGATAAAATGTATATTCTCGAAATAGCCATTCATAAACACATGCGCTTGGTCAAAATAGTAGTTATGTTGCTCGATGGCGGTCAGCTGACCAGGTCCGGTAGTTGATGGGGAGAAGCTTGGATTATGCAAGGTCGAAATCAATGAAAAATCCGTAGTCGTTGGATAGCGATCCTCGCGAGGCTTTGGGTCTCTTGCTTTCTGTAAATGGCCGATAGCAGCCGCAGACGAGGTACTGCCGTGGAATTCAATTCCATTGGTATGATGATTGAATTCATTGATTTCATCATCGGCACTTTCGGCACTTTCGGCCGACTCCTCCTGGGGGTCAGCTGATAATTTAGCTGTTTCTCCGGGTGTAGATCCCGTTTGCGGCATAGAACAAGGCGTTGCGTCCATTGGCCTTGGGACGACATACTGTGCGATTGGCACAGGTGGTAATGGGGACGTGGAAGCCTGAGCCTCGGCTATATGCAGCTTCGAGGTTAATTCCTCTATCTTCTTCTCAAGCTCAACAACGTAACTAATTATTTGGTAAGAAAAAACAACATGAGCCAGAGTAAGATTGAGATGAAGAGTTTTGACACATACCTTGCAGAGCGGCCGGTCTCACGCTCCCTATGACTTCCCTGGTATACACAGTCTAGGCGACTCTCTATAATCTCATCAGCCTGGTGCCCCGCAGCACGATATTACGCGGCAGGACCTACTTTTACAATGGGAGCATGGATACTGCTCGTCGCACTTATACTTCTTCGTCCTGCAGCGGTCGCAAGCCTGCGCCGCTCGAGGCCGTTTGGCCCGCTTAGGTAGGGGTTCATCCAAGCTGGTCAATTCTGGAATACCCTGCATCATTCAGGCATCATGCCACAGCGGCAGGCAAATCTGGGGGTGGATCAGGCTAGTTGCAGATAATGAGAACAAACACGAGTTCGGGTTTTCCGAGTTTTGAGTGATGGCGTGTGAGGAGAGGCGACGGGGAAATGGTTTTTCCGAGATCCGCATTTCCTATATGGATCTGCGGTATCTGGGGTGCTCCCTGCATCTTTCGAGCTGCTTATTGTCACTTAACTAGACAATGTAAAGATTTTCCAGTGAAAAGTAATGACAAATAATTTCACATGTTTTGACTTAGAGCTGCAACGTGAAATCGACTTTATGGGCCTTTTTGGGGTGAGACCGATATAATACACGTGGAGTCTGCACATGTGGACTACCTCACCAGGGCATTATTAAATCACCAAAAAAAAGTTGAAAAGAATAGAAAGAAAAGTCATTTGTGTCAGGGTTGAACCTCTACTATGGTTCTCATAAGTGCCTCAAAACAGCTCTATATATTGTCATTTTTACCCTACCAAGTACCAAATATCTTTCCCGAGTTCCACTTCAAGTTCACCCAGGCAGTATCAGGAACTTCAAGTTGAATATGTTAACAACTTGAATATTTACTAGATGGGTAAAAATATCATTTACCTAGAATCCCCTCTCATAAGTACCGAAGCTCCATAATTAGATGCGTTTGCTTTGTTATCAAAGAATGGTGCAAGATATTCCACTCATGAAAGTGGTAGTTGCCTAAGATGAAGCGGCACTATCCAGCTGCTTGCCCTATATACGGCTGAGTAGTAACGCTGCAGCAAATTACGTACCAGTATCTCCCATAACCTTTCCCCAAAACACACTATGATTGTCGTCAAAAATTGGCTCCAAACTCGTTAGAATGCCTATTCCAGCCGACCTTTTTACCCGTGGATATACAGCATTCATATGGATCCAGGTGGTAATTAAGCAAATCACACTATTACCATTTGAGCTCTGAAAAGTCGGAAATAATTTCTCCGGCATCTCCAGAGTCACCACATCTTGGAATATATGATATTTATTTGGCTTGGATATATTCAAGTTTTGAGAGACGTTGCATTGGCATGAACGGGTTTAAGGTCCTCTCGGTGAACTTGAAGTAAAAGAGTACCCTAGTCAAATACAGTCAACTTAAGTTACACTGTACGTTTAAACACTTTATTTAGCTGGACCCTTTTTGTGTCCGACACTGACCCCTACCCCATGGGTGACCAGCAGCCTCGACTCCACTTGATTTTCCACCAGCTTCCAAGGTTGAATTCCGAGTCTAAGGTTGGCACAAAATACTATGACTGCCCACCTGAACCTTGGAAACAATTACTACTCACGACCCCACAGCGAATTGGAATATATATACTGTACAGAGCGAGGCTCATATTTGAGGCTTGGAGAATCAGCCCATTTCTAGGTGGGATCGGAATTCATTCCTGAGAATATAACATTCACAGAAGAGACTGCGGTAGGTGGTACTTTAATGAGCAGTATCATGGGTTATCTACAATTCTCAAATGGCAGAAGCAGAGCATTTTTTCTGGTCTACAATTGAGAGATATTATCTTCCAGGGGTCTGTTTGTACCCATGACAAGCAAACTACAATAAGGCAAGAGGAAATTTAAGGGATAATAGTTGTGAGGCTTATATATAAGACCTTCGACCAAATTTCAAAACACCTTGTATGACAGTTGAAGATATACAAAACCTGGCAAGTACTAGGGCCACGAGCGGTGCCTACACTACCGGGGACATCGCCGAAACCGATGCATCGACACCGACAAGAAACCGGGAGCGTATCAAAGCTGGCATCCCACGATCCTTTGAATTTATAAAAGCCCAGAACATACCAGTAATACCGAGCACCCCTACCGTGCTAACACCAAAGGGTACAAATAAAACTACGGTCCATACCGAGAGCCCATCGTTGGCTACAAATCAATGTTATACCAAAGTTATATCTTTAAAACGGGAATATCCGATATCCCTATGGATAGTAAGGGTGAGGTCTATTTATGGTCGGTATCGGCAAGTAACAGTGAGCAAGTAGCTGACCAACGCAAGGAGGGTCAACTTCCACAGGCATCCAAGACCGTTTACCCGCTGCTACTATTTGGACATCCGCTCGAAAACAACCCAATTCACGCGTCGTGAGTGGTCAATAAGGAGTCGACAACCCTGATATAGCGTAAAAAAACAAAAAAAGTAAAAATATACGGAAAAGAAGATTAAACATAGACAGAGTGCGGAGTAGGAGGTGATTTACAATAGTGAATAGTTGATCAATCGAATGTGCACACAGGAAAAAATAGAAGAAAGAATAGGGAGGTTACATGCTTAGTTAGATAAGGGGCTCAACTGTGGGTGGTATAGCTCTTGCAGCGGAAAGTAGGTTGGTAGTGGGACGAGATATTTGCAGCAGACATGAAGGAATTGACGGAAAAGAGTCGGATTGTGAATATGAAAGTGAAGAGATCGTGAGTGAAAATGAGAATGATATAGATCCTAGTGCCGCAGAGGCTATAGCTTGGCTGACAACTCAGCCAAAGACTCCGAGTCCTCAGCTGACCTATTCAAAAAGCAAGATTGTTGTAAATAGATTTCAATAGGGTCTATGTAGTTGAAACACTGAGCATGGGTCAGTTCCCATGTTCTCTCAGCAAAAGAACCAACTTAGATTAGTATTAGTAGCAGCCATGGAGTAGAGGGCCCTATTAATCGCATGGTCAATTCGTGTACTTGCTCAATATTCTCGTATCCCCCAGATCACAAAATTGGATTCACCGTATGCGTGGGGCACATTGCTAACTGGTTGGTTGAAATTTGGATATTTACCCCAGAGACCTATATCCACACGGAGCATTTTGAAACATTCGCGTACAACATGAAAATGATTTTCTTATCTAATGTATTGTATGCAGAGCGAGGGTGAGAGAGAAAAAGAGCCAATCGAACCCAACCTCTGCACAGGAATCATACATACTTGGCATCAGCTATGCAGATCCGCCATAGCAAAGTTTGTTATGAGCGGGGAGTGGGAAGTGGGACAAAGTGGGTCGAGATCCCCAGAAATCAAGTTATCGTGTTCTCTGTGCTTCACTTGACCTTCATCAGAACATGGCTTCAAGCCTTGATCTATTTAGTGTACTTTGATTTATTCAAACTATGCGATCTCTCATTTAATTCCGAAAAATCTTGATAAAACCCGGTTTCTCTACATAAGCCTCTCCCATCCCGTTTGCACTCCGTTCCTGCCGCACGGACCAAATCCGTCATACTCACCGTTATCCGCGATCACCCACCTTTCCTCCTTCATAGCCCGCCATGGATTTCCACCTTATTCCTAGGGGGACAGACCGTAATTATACGGGTTTCTTCACCAAAACAATTGTCTACATCGGTACCCTGGTGGTATTCCTGGTCTGTGAGTGGTTACCCCGAACCCAGATCACGACGGGATCCCAAATCTTGGAGCCTTGCCATGCTAACGACAATCTGTCCTATAGCCTTCGGCTTAACGATCAGTTCAATAATACTGCCCAAATGGGTTAGCTATCACAGCGAGAAAGTATGCGCGTTTCTCATTACATCTCATTCAAGAATACGACCGCGCCTTTACTAATTATCGTTCCATTCCTCTTATCTAGCCCGCTCATCACTACTCCTACGGCCTTCATCGACGCTGCTCTTCCCTAACCGATACCTGCGAGAGCTTCCCCGTAAACGAAGACTGTCATGGCGAAGACCGATATTTCTGCTCCATGTGGCGCTCTGTCGGGTTCCTGATGTCTTTCGCCGTCGTACTTCAGGGTATGAGCATCGTCGCATACCTCATAATTCTTTCCGGAGGGAAAAGACTGCGTGAAAATGGATGGCGCATTCTAAGTCTCTTGATTATCTTGTCGGCTATTATTCAGGCGGCGAGTATGTCTATCGTGGTAAGTTTCACCCTGATACTCGTGGGATGGAAGAGAAAAGGCATGGCTGGGCTCGGAGCTAACGTTTTCTAGGCATATCTATATGACAATGAAGACCGGTTCTTCGTTGGCTGGCGACTTGACGATTCATGGACCTTTTGCACTGTAAGCTGGTGTGTAAGCTTGATTTGCGCTGGCGCGGTCATTGTTGCAGCTCAGATTCTGCCCTCCGAGGGTGGGTATGAATTGATTCCAGATCATGATCCTATCAGTGCAGCATCTTAAGACATGTCAACCTTGCTGGGCTTTTACTATGCCAGCATACGATGGCGCTTCTCTCTGGACATTGTCATTAATCTCGCCGGGGATGCAAATTTACTGGGAAAGTGCTACAATTATATTTCCAGTGGATATCATGATGGACGACTACCTGACACAATCTCTTAATATGTTTCTATTTCTATACGTTTAATGTTTTATGGTATCCTTCGGTGGAACTCGGGCGTTTGGGCTTGTATATGATTTGTACTCTTTCTTCTAATATCGGTTCTCGTAAACGAGCTATTTCAATGAAATCTGAACCAGTTTGTTATTTACAAAAATGACAGTGAAAAACTACTCTATGTCCAGAATTTGCTCATGAAACGTTGTCCATACACTAGCTCAGAAGGCATTCATATCTTCGCGCTTCGGGTTGACCTTCAAAAAGCAATGAATCAGACCTAATCAGCCAGTAGTCTAGAGAACAACGCAAATAATATGTAAAAGGGAGAATAGATGAGAAAGTAAAGTATCATCAAGATTCATTGCATACATATACATCACAGTATCATCTTTTTCTCTTATTGAAAAACCACGCTCCGCAATAATTCAAAGGCCAACCACCTACCAAACAATGTGTTTGCCATTCAAGCCCTCAATGGCAGGGACCTGAGCTCTCAAAGCCTGGCCATAATCACCCGCATTTGGCGTGCGCAACAAAGTATGAATATGGAACTTCTTCGGCTCCTCATTATTCAAAAACACACCAGAGTGGTGATCAAACTCAACAAGGATAACAGGGTTCTGAATCCGGTAGTAAAACGGATCCTCATCGCCATATCCTCCAATCCAACAGAAGTACGTCTCCGCCTCCCATCGACGCACCTGCTCCAACTTCAACGCCCGGGACTTAGCCGGCAAATAAAGCAGATACTGCTCCAAAATCCCATACATAAGCTTCTTCTGCTCCTCATTAAATGTCGAGGCCAGGATACCCTCGTAGGGAACCTCACGGTTATCCCGGTAAGCTCCACACACATGGCGCTGATCATCCTTGTTCCATCGACCAGGCGGCATGGCAGGATCATTCATCTTCTCGTAAACTCGCGCCTTACCCTGCAAATCCGCAGAAAGGGATTGCATAAGCTCCAATCCGAGCTTCTCTTCCACTTGCATAATTCTTGTTCCTGCGTAGGGACCCTCGTCAATCTCATTGGGCTCTGCACCGGTGAACCAGGGAGACGCGACGATCTGGCCCTTGTACAGGAAGATGTTCAGGCATAGGTGGTGGCCGTAGAAGGAGAATCCCCAGGGCCGAGTGGTGGAGGGACGACCGAAGAGGACGAAGTTATAGGAGAACTCGTTCATCACGCGGGGAGACTTGACTAGTTCGCCGAGGAAGTGGTTGATGCGCATGGCTGAGACGGCCTTCTCGTAGCCCTCTGGTGAGAGTGTTGTCTTTAAGATGTTCATCACTGAGTCGCGCACCTGGTCTGTTACTTCGTCTAGACGCACACCTTTGTGGGCTAGAAGGAACTCGGGGTTGGACCATGTGCGCCACTGTGGGGAGTCGATGTGGTAGTTGACGGCTTCCTTTTGCTTGTCGTCTAAGAGGCCGAGGAAAGACTCTGTAGAGTCGACGATCTGTTGAATTGGAATATCTTCATCTTGCAATGTGAAAAGATCGGGTCGGACATGGCCTATCGATCTTCATTAGTATTGATTCCATTGTGGCGGTTTAATCAGTCAATTGTTCATTTTCGGGCTCTTACCGTCAGTGGTGACGCCCTTGAACGGCTCCTGCAACAGCTCCAACCAATACATATACAGCGCATGCAGCCATGGGGGCTGCTTTCCGGTCTTAAAAGCATGGGCATATTCGTGCGCGTCCTGCGTGCACATCACCTGAAAGCGCTCAATATTTAAGTCAGGCAGGTACTGACGGTACTCGCCAGTCGGCTTCTCGAGTGTAGACGTCATTGTTAAGGATGTGCGATAGGTGGAAGGGCGGGGAATTGAGGAGGAGAGAAACAGAAAGATCAAGAAAAAAGAAAAAGAGACAATGGCAAAAAGCACGGGGATCCGAAAGTATTATAATTGCTGCGATTGAACCCCACGGCTTCGCCCAGAGTCGGAGTGAGGCGGCATCCCCACGCGTGTGGGGAGTGCGATGGGGTGGGGGAAGAGATTTTATCCGCTTGGCACATAGTTAAAGAGTGGCGAGTTCCTCGACATCAACCAATCCGGAGCCGCCGGTAAGGAATTTATGAGCTTTGGGAAGAAGTAAATTTGTCGGTTGACGAAGAATATTCCCCAGTAAAAGATGATCATTGATTACAAAGGATGGTCATGCGATTTGAAAAGAAGATTGTGGGAGGTTTTCCTCCCCGGATATGGGAATCTGACGTTGAGATGGATATAGACCCAATTTCCCTTTTTTTTTCAGCTAATGGATATCATTGGGAACTTTGCATTTTGAACACCATATATAAACTAATACATCATATATACAGATTCATAGAATTTGTGGAGGTTGTCTCCTAGTTTGCATACATACGTATCTCATTCTCGACCTCTGCTATGTGTATAATGCGGGGCATTGGGATATACCCCGCCATTATTACTTATCGTTATCTCAGCTCCGATGATTACATAGAAAAAATGTATAAATGTATGTATGTCTGTCTTGCATATACAGCTCGTATAGCAAGGAAATGCATACTAGTAAGCCTCTTGATCCTCATCGGTGAAAATTACCCAAGATCCGGTAATTGTTCCCCGCATTATTCCAGCTCCATATCCATCGTCGGCGTGATACATACCGGAGTTTGAATTATTTAAGAGTTTCCGCTGACTAAATTGAGTGCGCAGGCACCCAAATAATGGTCGCATAAAAGAGCAAATCGGAGTGCACCAATTAGCCTTGCATGGAGCCCTGGAGGCAACTCGGATCTTCCGAGCATGGCTTCTCCGCCTCGGATGTTGGTCCCCCGCATGCCGTAGCTCGGGGTTCTGCAGCTTTAAAACCAGAATATTTTCCTTTTGGCTGTTTTATTTCAATTGTACATCACGATCTGTCTAAATTATCGGAGTTTTATACACATCATGTCGCTGGCTTTCTCAAACCAACCCCCAGCTGAGCGGGTCCCATACGCTATCCCTCAACTCGAGGGAGAACGTATCACTATTCCGGGCAGCAAGGGTGTCTTTCGCATTTTGACCTCCTCAAAACAGACCAATGGGTTGATGGCTGTTTTTACGAGCGGTGCGGTTCTCTCTGATGCCCCCGGCTTTCACTACCATAACGATGCCCATGATGTCTTCTTGGTGACCAAGGGATTCCTGAAGCTATACAATGGAGACAAGTGCCGAATCATGGGACCAGGTGATTTTGCCTATATCCCACCGGTATGTAAACTAAATTTAATAAATTGAGCCTCATACAGTAAGAGATCGATCTAATACTTTCAACAGAAAATTATTCACATGCCCGACATGATCGGCCCACATACCGAACTCCAAGGTCTTATCACACCCGGTGACTGGGTCGACTTCTTCCGCCACATATCTGAGCCCTACGAAGGAATCCTAGTTCCAGAAACCGATGACCGGGACTTGAAATCATTGCTCATCCCAAAAGTAATGGCCGCGAAGGGCAAGTTCGACGTTGTCTTCCAGCCTCACTACCAACCCCCAGAGCTGGGAGAGTGGACCAAAGACGATGAAAAGCTCCCCGATGGACCAGAGGGATACTTCCTCCGTGCCAATACCGGCCCACGCTGGATGCTAGGCGGTGTTATGTCTCGACCATTTGTCACCACGAAGCAGAGCAGTGGCCTTTGCGCAATTTCCAGCATTGAGTCGTCGAAGGATTACGGAGAGACTGTGTTATCGAAATATATGACTTTTGCCAAGGTTGATCATTGTTTTTGTGTTATGGAGGGCACTCTTAGGGTTCGATTGGAGGGATCTGGGGAATCGGAGTTTCGAGAGGGCGAGACCGTGGTCATTCCCGCTGGACAGGCCTTTGCGTTGGACTTTGCGAGCAAGTATGTTAAGGTTCACTCATTTAGCGATGGTGATGGTATTGAGTCCCTTATCCATGAGCTTGGTACGCCTGTTGAAGGGGTGGTCTTACCGGAGCAAGCTCCAGAATGGGATGAATCGCGCCTGTCCTCTGTGACGGAGCGACTGAATGTGACATTTTAAATGTGAAGCCTCGGAGCTCGGAGATTATTACTATATAATGAAGCGAGTAAGTGAATGAGAACCTAGAATCTAGATTTAAGCGATTGTACGAACCATATAGCGACCATGCAAATAAAAATTATTTTAACTTTCTTGCATTTCCTCACAAACATGATCTTCATCGAGGAGAAGCCCATTTTGACCGCTTATTTGCGTATATCAATTTTTCTGAGGTTTTTTATGCACTTTTACAAATTACATAAAGGCAAGAAATACAATCAATTTCTGTTTTGGTCAATTTCTGTCTCGAGATCAATGGTTTTCTCTTCATGGCTCAAGCTTCCGAGACCTCGAAAACAGGGAGCCCGGCCCCGCACACACGTCTCAATCTCTCCAACATTCTGCCCAGGTTCCCTCATCACTGTTTTGCCAGTCACTTTTTATCACGTACCAATTTCTTCAAAAGGGCCGCGCGTATTATTACTGAAAATATCAGATTAATACTCGTTGACTTTCCACCTCGGTTCCCAAGGTTTTTGATAGCTGGTAAATCCTGGGTCTGATATAACAAGAATCTGGGCGTGCTCCACCCGCTACTGCAGAGAGTCTACATACTCAACGCTTAAAGGTTGAAGTGTGCGCTTGGCCGTTGGGAAAAATTGCCATATCTCAATTCCGCGTGATATATCGGTCTTCTATCATTAATTAATAGGCCCAGCCGTATTGACGCTATATGATACGACTCCGTTCATCCCGATGGCCTCGAGACCTGCCGGTTTCCCTTTGCTGCAGCTCGCTATTCTAGGTGAGTTCATCCCGAAGATCTGAGATCGAGGTTAATCAACTAACAGATTTATTTAGCAATATGTCGTATAGGCGAGGCCCGTATGTGACCCGAAAACGAACCCTTTTTGGTTTTTGACCAACAGGGCGTCACGCTAAATGATCATTCTACGAACAGTTATCCTCACCTCGGTCATTCCATATATGGTAAGCTGACTGGCTTTCTGAATTCATGTCTTTTTTTCTACATATTTGCGATCTACAACCATTAGCGAGCTACCCGCTAACTCCTCGTCCAGCCTGATATGGTAGAGTATGTTGGCGTCCCAAAGTCTGACGTGCCGAAATGGGTTGGTATCACGGCTACTGTGACTGCCACCTGTGCGGGCTCGGTAGGCGTAATATGGGGTATTATTTCAGACTATACAAGTCGAAAATATGTGATACTATTTGAGTTGTTACTCATGGTAGCTTTCGCATTGCTGTTCGGGTTCTCCCAAAGCTTAGCTCAGTTGGTATCGTCCCGAGCGCTCTTGGGTCTCGTCAACGGTAATATCGGAATTTTGCGCACAATGGTGGCTGAAATGGTCACTGAAAAGCAACATCAGCCGCGCGCCTTCAGCGTGCTGCCGATTGCATGGACGATTGGTTCTGGCGTTGGCCCTGTCTTGGGTGGTGCTTTAGTCCATCCTGCACAGCATTACCCGAAAATTTTTGGTGATGCACAATTATTTATAAAGTATCCCTTTGTATTGCCTAACATGGTTGCTACCTGCTGTGTGGCTGTTGCCATTCTGATTGCGTTTTTGTTTCTACAGGTATGATCCTATGTCCCCTGGGGAGACTAATTCTTAGCCTAACGACCGATACAGGAAACACAAAGCGGTCGGGAAAACAAGTGTGACTATGGACTGACGCTTGGTCGGATGCTTTGGCCATCGTGGACCTCCCATAAAGGCGATAGTAGAGATGTTCATAGTGACGACGATGAAAGAGCGCCGCTACTTGATGCTAACAGGGAGCAAACAGCTGAAGATTCAGAGCAGAGGCGTGCTGGCAAGCCTTGTTGGAAAGATGTTTTCTCCATACGGCCTAGCTTGATCTTACTGACATACGGCGGGATGGGTATGCACACAATGGCATTCGACTCGCTGCTCCCGGTTCTTTTGCACTATCCCGTGCAGCAACTTCACGGAAACCCAGATGTACAGCTGCCATTCAAATTCAACAGCGGGTTCGGCCTTGGTGAGTCAAGCAGCTCTCTTTTTTTGAATTTAGTTCACCTTCAACTAACTGCTTCTCGAATCTGTTCAGATGCCAATAAAATCGGTCCTTTCTACATTATACTCGCCGTATCCGGCGTGGTATTTCAAGCTGTAGTGTTCCCCTGGGTTGCACAACGAATTGGAGTTCTTCGGTGTCTGAGGCTGTCTTCAATTTTGTTTCCTATATTATATCTCACACTCCCATTCATACCCCTTATACCGCCGCCACTCTGCAACCTTGGGGTCGGTATGCTTTTGGTGTTCAAGCAAGCTTTGTCCACCTGTGTCTTTCCATGCTGCACTATTCTACTCAGCCACGCAGCGGCCAACCTTGGTATATTAGGGACATTAAATGGGATGGGAACCAGTATTAGCGCCTTTGGTCGTGCGATTGGTCCTGTCATCATTGGATCTGCATTCTCATTTGGCGTGAAGCGAGGATACATGATCATCCCATGGTGGACACTGGCTGGGTCTGCGCTGTTGACCTCACTCCCATTGCTATGGATTACCGATTCGAATGAAGAAGATCAGCAAGCCGACGACCATAGCGAATGAACCGGCAGGATTGATCAATGCTTAAGTGTGAATTCTTGTCCATCCCTGGCCAGAGATGGGGTTTCTATGTTGACTATGGTTGACTGGAAAATTTTCGATAGATTTAGAAAGAGAAAGAGAAAGAGAGATAGATATCATAAGATAGTTCTTAAATATTGTAGATATTGTACATGGGCGATTAGCCCGCTTTCTTCTACTACATGCAAAATCCTCTCCACTCTAACCGGCCGGTAGGACCAAGAAACAAAAGAGACCAGTGTAGACACCTAAGACCGATGGGCCCGGGGGGTAAAAATAATACAAGTGCAACGCCAAAGTGAGATAAACAGGGGGGTTCCACAAGTTTACCAGCTATAGTATTGATTTTGAGCAGAGATCTTTCGGTCTGGCAATTGGGTCCAGAGCTGCTCCTTTCGCTGACGCTGGGCCTTAGCTTCCCGGTCCTTCCATTCACGAATACGAGTCTTCTCCTCTTTCAAAACAACAGAAAGACCAGTAGCTGGGGGACGCAAGCGATTGATTTGACCACGGGCACGGTGGTCGAGACCAAATCCATATGGACCACGGTTCACCCATGCTTCCTCAATATAGATGTTTGTGGGATCGTTAATGATCTTGCGTTCGCCATCTTTTAATGTGACGGTGATGGGCTTGGGGAGCGCATCTTCCTTCGCTGATAGACCCATGCCGGCACGAGCCATGGCGACATTCTTTGCATGCTCCAGGTGGCCAAGCACATCCTGCGCGGCCTTCTTCTTGCTGAAGCGCATCTGCAAGATAGCCTCATCGATATTCTTGCCCGCAATTTGGCGAGCGAGGGGGCCAAGCTTCTTGATGGATGTCTTGAACCAGTGTGACTTGGCAAGCGATTCGCGCTCGGTACGCTTAATTTGAATCTCCTTGGGGATACGGCCGCGATTCCGGATTTCACGAATGACCATCTTCTTCTCCCATCGGAGCTGTGCTTGCGGGTTGGGGTTCAGACGCATTTGTAGATTTTCCTTGGGTCGCTCGCTCAGAGGCGCCTGGCCCTCTGTAGCCGGTTCTTTTTGCATCTTGTCCTTCTTGCGTGTGGGAGATGGACCAGATGGACTGGCGGCTTCGTCTGCGAAGATAGAGGTGTTTCCTAGCGCACCTTGCTCACGAGAAGGGGCTTTTGGTGTGCGGGTGACCTTGGGCTTTGCGTCCGACTTTCCACCCATAACCCAGCTTTTCATCGAGGAGAAAATTGAGTTGTTCTGTTTGGCAGGCTTGTCCTCTTCGGCATAACGAATTGGGGTTGAAGTCAATGTTCGTCGAGGGATATATGCGACTTGGGTCCGGGCCGCTAGGATACAATGGGTTAGTATTTCAACTTTTTGACATCTGGGGATAACAATTTGGAGCATACCAGACCGGACCAGCTGTCCATAAGGTAAGACAGTGCCCATTGTGGCCGTTTCGGGGATGTGATGTAGACTCGGAGATCGGGGAAAGCGTAAGGAAAAAAGGTGAACAACTTGCATGGTTGGTCTGCACGGACCCCCGTGACTAGTGCAGGCGCCTCAGGCATTAAAATGCAAGTCGCGACGTGATTCATCACGAACATAGAAGCAAGAGAAGAACAAGAAAAAAGGAGAGAGAACAACTTGCCCCAGAGCTCGAAGTGCTTAAGCCTACTGGTTTCAATAAATGGATTGAAACACTCGAGCTCTATGGGGTACTCGTTCGATACCATCAACATTGCAGGTCCTCCCTCACACCGTCATCTCCACAGTGAAGATCCACTAGCCCTCATCTTCCTCTTCCAGGGCCTTCAGTGCTCTCTCCTTCCCGGTTCTTGCTCTTTTCTCTTCTTCATCGGCACCGTTCCCTCCTTCATCCTCCCTCCAACCCTGCCAGGCCACTCGCCTGTGGCTTTCCGCCTCTTTCGCAACCAACCTCCCATCTCCCCCTCCGTGCTGCAACCCAGCTGCCGAGTCTAGATTTGGCTAACCCTGGGTCCCGCTCCTTCACTCAACACGCTCCTTTACACCCCCCGGTGCTCACCCATCGGGCTCCCAACAAAGCTACTTTGATCATAAAGGATCTACTTGTGCGATTCGTATCGCGCAAACGCTTCACGGAATTCGAAAAGTGGCGTCAACCCTGGAATCAGAAGCTGCACTTGCACTGGCTGGGTAATATAGGAATGGACTTATTGGGGCATACCGTCGCCTGTTTTTGAGTAGTACTATTCAAAATCCTGATCATAAGCAGGCAGTTGAGTCTCCTCTGAACCAGCTTATATTATATCACCTTATCTCATAGTGGGAGAGTTGACCTCGATTTTCTTCCCCCATCGCCATTCCTTATCTGCCTTTGTTGCTGCCACCCAGCAAGATGGATATCAATTCATTGCTCTCTTCGGACGCCCATCCTCAAGGAGGAAATTCGACTTCTACTGGTGCCACTTCAAATAACGCACCGGCCTCGGCGGGCGGCCCTTCCCCCCACAAGGCGCTCCAGCGAACTCGTTCCGGCTCTACTCGTAAAAGCAAGACATCCTCGCCTCTCGCGCAACAAATCTATGCCCCAACCGGGCCGGGAATAGCGGAGACCACTCCGACAGCACCGGGAAGCTCACCTGTTGGCCCTAGCCATACCATAGGCAATGGGTCACCTGCGACCGACCGACCGTCCTCTACTAAACCTTCGACCCCCGGCATGGATACTTTGGCTGATCTAGCCGCAATGCAACATCCTCAAGCAAACCTCCAAAATGCTCAAAATATGATTCGCGGCACCGAGTCATACGAGCACCAGTTATCCCCATCTACCATCATTCCTCACGTGAATCCAATCAATCACAATACACCAATTCCTCGCACATCTTTTGATATAGCTATGTCTGAAGGTCCACGAGAAAGTGCGCGGAGAAACTATGCAGGCACATCGCTAGACCCGGAAGCACAACGGTTGGCCACGGAGCTGTTCAATCAGATCCAGGAAAATCCTCATACCTATGACGCGCATGTCAAGTTTATTGGCATTTTGCATGGCGGCTTTGTTAACCATGTCTACCCGCCAAATAATCCCGACCTTCATGGTGACCCTCGGCGATATGACCTACTTAAGGATATGCGCATCGCTAGAGAGGAAATGGATAAACTCTTCGCCATGGGAGAGGATCTCTGGGCGGAATGGATTCAAGATGAGAGCATGCTGGCCCACTCAGCTGTCGAGCGGGATGCGGTTGTCAACCTGTGCAGGCGGTCTGTTGTTGAAGAATTCGGAAGCACGAAGCTCTGGCATATCTATGGCGAGTGGGTTTTGTATCTCTACAAATCTGCCGTCGGTGAATGTGGAGGCGCAGGTCAGTGGACTGAGGAAGACCGAGGCATATTCACCTGGCAGTCAGTTTTGGATGTGTGGAAGGAAGCCGCTGATTCGACGCGATGGAGAATCAACAACAGCCATTTGGTTTGGGATCGCTACCTTGAACTTCTCACTCAGGATATCACCCGATCTCCTACCCAGGAAAAGATAAACCATCTCCGTGGGCGGTATGATGTTCGACTCAGAACACCAAATGCGAACTGGGATCAGGCCTTCCAAAGTTTCTCGGGTTTTGTCTCCACTTATTACGAATCTAACTACGAGAATATCATGGCAGAAACTGTTGCCCAGGTCTCGAATGTTAAGGCTATCTATTCGGCCAGAGAGGAATTGGAGCAACGGTTGAGCAAGGCTGAGGAATCCGGTGATAAGGCTCTTGAGTACGCAATGTACACTGAGTACATCGAATGGGAACAGACTCGAAACCGCGGCCGACGAGAATTTCACTTCGAGCTTGCCACTGCTATCTACCAGCGTGCTGTCTTGCGCTTTCCTACTGATGTCAATCTTTGGGAAGATCATGTCATGTTTCTTCTGGCTGAATCTATGCATAAGCGAGCATCTACTACTACCATTCCTACTCTTGACCGAGGAACTCGTCATTGTCCTTGGTCTGGTAATCTCTGGTCACAGTATCTTCTCAGCTCAGAACGCGAAGGCCTTTCGTTTGCCATTATTTCCGATATCAAGCACCGAGCGACCGCAACGGGATTACTCGACGCTGGCGGAATGGAAGAAGTGCTCAAGGTTCACACTACGTGGTGTGCTTATCTACGCCGACGTGCATTTCTCACGGACTCAATCGATGAGGACTTGGACGTTGCGGAGGTCGGTATTCGATCGGCAATTGAGAGCGTACAGGAGTTGGGTGAGAAGAAATATGGCCGATCCTATCAGGGTGATCCGTTGTTCCGCTTAGAACGTATCTACATCCGATATCTTAGTGAGAGTGGTAGCTGGGATAGCGCCCGGGAGACTTTCAAGGGACTAGTGGCACGTCGCGGCAACAGTTACGAATTTTGGCTTACCTATTATGCATGGGAGCTTATCTCATGGAGCAAGTTTGTTCAAGGCGAGGCGACAGTGGATGCTGCGAGACGCACACCTACGCCCAGCTACGCCACCGCCGTCTTGAAGAAGGCCATCAAGCGCGACGATCTCGACTGGCCTGAAAAGATCGTGCAGACCTACCTTGCTCATTGCGAAGACTATGAAGATTCCGCCGAGTTGCAGTTTGCTGTTATTGAGACTCGAAGGGTTGTGAGAGACGTCAATGCTCGAAGAACCAGGGAGGCGCATGAGGCTGCTGCAGTTGCTGCTGCACAGCAAGAGCAGCAGCAACAGAAACAGGAGCAAGATCAGAGTGCTGTGGCAGAAGCTGCTTCATCGGAAAAGCGAAAGCGAGAGGATGAGGTGGAAACAAATGGTGAACCTGATAGCAAAAAGGCCCGCGGTGAAGATGCCGATATCGATATCAAGGCAGAGTCTGTGGAGCCTACCCGTGATCGTGAGCATTCAACTGTGGTGGTCAAGAATCTGCCGAAGGAAACATCCGAACATCAGGTTCGGCAATACTTCAGACATGTGAGTGGACCATAGCAATCACTTTGAATATACAATTTGCTAACCTCGAGAGTAGATGGGCACCATCAATGGCGTCAAGATAGGACCTGGAGAGGGCGAGAATTCGAACTCTCAAGTCGCAATGATTGAATTTGATTCCAAGGACGAGGCTCTTAGTGCTTTGACTCGCGATCAAAAGTCATTCGGGGAAAACACTATTGACGTCCAACTCGAGACTGGATCAACCCTATGGGTCACAAATTTCCCCGAAACCGCCGATGATGTCTATATCCACGGGCTTTTTGACAAGGTAAGCTGCCAATCTTATTCTCAATTGGATTTTGCAAACTAATTACTTGTTTTTAGTACGGACGCATTGTTGAAATCCGCTGGCCCTCGCTCAGGTTCCGAAACGACCGAAGATTCTGCTACGTCCAGTTTGCCTCTTCTACAGCTGCCCACAACGCCACTGAGCTTGATGGAACGACCTCTGAACAAGGCCACAAGCTCACGGCGGCATTGTCTGATCCTTCTCTGAAACAAAAACGTGGCGGGGCAGTTCATGAAGGTCGACAGGTATACTGCTCAAATTTGCCATTCAAGTTGGACGCAAATGATATTGAGAAGGCATTCTTGAAATATGGCAAAGTCGAGAGTATCAACCTTCCCCTCACTGTCGATGGTCGCCGCAGAGGGTATTGCTTTGTGACCTTTTCTACCAAAGAGGAGGCAAATGCTGCACTTGCGCTGGATGGCGAACAACTTAAAGATCGTCAAATTAACGTAAAGCCAAGTAAACCTAGCGGTGCTAAAGCTATAACCAGCACCCATATATCCCATGTCGCCAGGTCTGCTTCACCTACAGGTTCATTGGCATCTGATGCGAATGGTACAAGTTTGGATTTTGTGCAGACGACCGGCGACGTTCGAAGCCGTACACTCGCATTGATGAACATACCTGATACCATCAACCAAGCCCGAATTCGGGCCTTTGTTGAGCCAATGGGACGACTTGTTAAGATCGTATTACGACCAGATCATCAAGGCGCCATTGTTGAATTTGCCGATGTTCAAGATGCTGGCAAGGCGTCTCTGTCCCTTGAGGGCAAGGAAATCGTACCTGGTCGGCCTCTCCACGTCGGCAGCGTGGAGGAGTTGAAAACGCTCCAAGCTGAGCGCAAAACCTCTAAAGTTACCTCGATTCACAAAGAAAAGCCTAAGAGTATGCCTCAGCCCGCTGGTCCCATCAGACGTCCCCAGCAACCTGGCTCTCGTGGAGGTCGCCGGGCCGGACTGGGAATGAAACGAGCTCCCGCCCCGCAAGCTGCATCCAATGACAAGATGGACACTTCAGCCGATGGTAAAACCGGTGAGGAAGGTCCGTCCAAAAAGAGCAATGATGACTTCCGAGCGATGCTGCAGCATCCCAAGCAGTGAAGTCCAACGGCAATGAATTCCATTTGGCGCAATCTTTTGGCATGATGGGTGGCGTTTTTGATTTTTGGTCTTGTTTATTTCCTTTGTTACCGGTGGCCAATCTTTCGATACGGGATATTATGGCAGGTTGATCCATCGATCCGTTGGATTCAATCCATTGCTGGGGCAATATCCTTTTGCTATGATCTTTGCCGAGTGGATGATTCACTCGCTCCTGTATATTACGGCTCTGTATTGCTGGGTTTCTTAGTTTTAATGATGACGGCTGTTTCAAGGAACTCCTCCATATTGGGGCGAGGTTCTACTACATATTGTCTTTTCAAGTAAATAAATTAGTACATAAATCACCGTTCTGCCAGCTATACGGAATGTGAACTAGAAATACAAGTCATAGAAAAGTAGCAGAGCATTAATGATGATGGTTCCAGCTATTTCAAATCGAATGAATATGTAAAGTTAATTATATCGTCACCTCCTCTCAGCTTGCACAACGACTGGAATAACAGCTCCAGTCTGCAATGGAAAAGGCCGATGCCCAACAACCTCAAGGATACTCGTAATAGCACCCGAGTGCGCCGTCAAGGAGAGAACAACATTCTCATCAGTCGCGAAAATATCATTCAACAGCTTAGCAAACCTCTCATCACGATCCGAATTTTTCTCCCGAATCTTCGGATCCCAAAGTAAATCATCCTCGCTAAATCCAGCCTCGAACTGATACTCTGGAAACTCGGCTTTGATCTCAGATGCCTTAGAGCGGCGATCACAGGTATGTTCACCCAGCGTCTCCCGGACCAACTATGGCATAGATATCAGAGATTGCGAGGATATGAATAGGTAGCAGTACTGGGAAATTATCTCGTACCTCTTTAATCAAAGGCTTAAAAGGCTTGGTAAGTGGCATTCGAAGTCCTTGGAAGGTAATTTGTGCCGTTTCGCATGTCCGATGCAATGGGCTCACATAGTAAGATTGCGGCGATGGGATTCCATTTTCGAATTGCGATGCCCATGTATCATGGGCGGTCTGAGCCTGTGTTCTACCTACCTCTGTAAGATGGGCATCGACCCAACTTCCATACTCGTCTCCGTCGAGTAAAGACCAATGTTCCTATTATACGGTTAATAAATCGGCTCACTTAGATCCGGTCAAGTAGCCGGTTTTCACATATCAAAGTAAATATCATACATCCCATGCTTTGGTACCATATCGTTTTTCCGCGACGTTGTGAATGCCTTCACCATGTCGACCGAGAAAGAGTACTTTGTACTGAACTGAGCCTCCGCCGAGGTTATTCAGTTCTTGGATATCTTGGATGAACTTCTTCCATTGAGTATTTAACGAGGCATTATCTCGTAGGATTAGTCCGAAATTAGATTTTGACTAGAATCTTGTAAGCGATTGCTGTATGATTGAGGACACTCATGGGGGTCTAGAGTCTAGAGTCTAGAGTCTAGTCTTACGTAGTCAAATGTGCTTGGGTCGGTGTCTGGTTCGTCCTGGAGGAAAAAGCCCGACACGGTCGAGAATTTGAAAGGCGTTGACTTCGTCATCGGAGGAATAATTTTCATAACCTTTTGGTAAATGCAATTGGGTCGAATAGGTTTCCTGGGGTTAGTGAGAAGGCGAGGGTTTTTGAAGTCGAGGTTATTTCAGGGTGGGGCTGAGCACGCGGTGAGAACGACGCATTGATTCGCCCGCGGTAATTATCGTGGCTCCAATATGGGGTGTACGACTAGCCATTCACGGCATTGAATGGAAGTTCCTCCACACTGGCAGTTTCATAATTTTTATCTCATGAGAGGGCTTCTGTCTCCTATAAGTGAATTTGGAGCCCTGGGTGTTATATAATGCAATGTACAACTTGAATCCATGGATCTAAAATTTATACTAGGCCACCTGGGCTCGAACAAAAGCTCCAAGGCTTGAATCTCAACCTAGAAGTTACTTCATACTACATATGAGTTTGCCCACAGGTATATATTCAAACATTATCTCCTGCATAAATAGATTATTTAGATGAATCAAGTTTCAAAGGTTTGATGCGAAGATAAAGAATTCGAGAAGAGTAGTAGATATGAATTTCCAATTTAGCTTTGGCTGAGTCTACTATTGTATATATGGCGTGCAAATTTGAAAAGCGCCATTCTCGCACTATAGGTATTGAATGGAGAATCTAGGCCCGGTAGAAGCAATTCAGATTCATCAATGTCCAATAATCAGCCCTGGGGGTATAGTCAAAAAAACAAACTTTAGGGCTTCGAAGCAGAATAATGCCGAGCGCAGTTACTCGTACAGACCACGGTTCACAGATCCCTAGATCAAGCCCCATCGGACCAATCGGAATTCCGACGGAGAGCTAGGACCACTGGCAGTGCTTCAATGTTCCCCTCGTTCAAATGTTCCGTTCGTCTTTTCGTACTGTAGGTATATCGCCCGCTATATAGTCTTCCAGTGTTGCTCAGTTTATGCAATGTTGATATTAGGCTACTAAATTCACATTTAAAAGATCTTTTGTGATAAGGCTATGAAGATCTTCAATCGGCTGCCTGATTAATGGGGCTGAGTGAGATCATTCCGTATTACTCAAGTGCTTAGCCACATCCCACTAGTCTCTTAAGAGGAGGAGGCCAATCCAGTGTCGATCATGGATCTCTCGACATGAGATACAGATGAATGATGGAGTAGTGATGGAGTAGGGATGGAGTCGAGTGGGGCATATTGAATTTTTGAAGGTGGTTCTTCATTTGACTAGCCAAGGAACAGTGCCCTAAACAGCATCTGGGCATAAGAAATGACACATTTTAATCCGAGGTTCATAGTATGTATATGCAGTATACTACGTAGTGTGAACAGCCCCAAAGTGTGAGTCAGAAACAGGGCAGTGTCGGGCTCCTAATGCGGTTTAGCGGATGTCGGGGACCCCGAAAGGGACTAGCTCCCTCCAGGACCCCAGCACCACTTTCCCCCCCCGTTTATACATACTAATACTGATCCAAGGCCTCAGGTTTCTTAGCTTCCTTTTTCTTTCCTTCGAGTCGCTTTGGCCGGTCTTCGTTGGTTTTTACACTTTTTACCTGGTCCCTCACCAGATTATCCAATCTCACTAGTCTCTCTTTTGGATCTTCATTTGACATTTAAAAGTCCTCCCTAAAAAAAAAGTTACCTGTGATACCCCAAGAAATACGAAACAATGGCGTCCGTTGAGAATCAATTCGTCTTTGACGCCTCAACCCAATCCGAGGAATGGGTTGACTTTGATCAGTTCCTTGATCTGGAGCCGAGTTATAGCGATGATTATTCCGCCTCGGCTAACTCCATCTCTCCGGACATGACCCTATCTTACGACACCGACATGTTCACCAATGATCTGCCAGATCTCACCCAATCTGGTTTCCCAGAGATGGACTATGGCCTCTCTCAAGAAGGTCTCTTCGCCGACCAGTCCCCTAGCTTTGAATCTTTAGATGGCCCTCTGCCGGTCTTTGATGATGCTATGTTCCCTGGTTACCAAACATACGACAACACTTACGACTTCCGACAAATGGTCGAGGCGCAGGCCGCCTCCGATCCTCGCGTCGCTTCCATAAAGGAGAAGCGCCGCGAGGCTGCGATTGCTTTGCATCTGCAGCGGTTATGCGACGCCACCGCCCTGGACCTGGACATGTCTTCCGATTCCAATACCAGCTTCTCATCCCCATGCTGGTCGGATTATATGCGTGAGAGCATCTCTCCTCAGTCGGCTACCTCTAGCCCGGAACAGGCATCTGCTGCCCTCCCATCGGGATCGGGAACTGGTGGTCTGGAAATGGTCCTCGATCTAAACATGAACGCCGCCGCCAACCTTCCGAAGAAACAAAAGCCTCGTTCTCAGGCACAGAAGGAAAACTACATCAAGGCTCGCAAGTATGGTGCTTGTGAGAAGCACAAGAAGCAGCATAAGAGGGTAAGTTATATTCGACCTAGCGATCTTCTAATTTGGACTGCGGAAGAGGAGTGATAGGCTAACCTCGCCCCAGTGTAACTGCCTCGAGAAGGCCGCTGCCCTTGCGGGCGTCAACGAGGTCCCGATGGACGTCACATACAAGGATCGGGTAAAACAGCCGATGCCAAAATTGCCACAAGTCCCATCACCTCGCACCTCGAGTGTTCCTGGTCCGCATATTCTAGAAACTCAATTGGGCGTTCGCTCGTCAGCCAGCGTGGCCAAGAGAAACGTACCCACATCTGTGAACGATTCATCTGCCAGGTCGACGATTACACGGCCAGACGTGCAGCTGTTTACGAAATCAGCCACCAAGCTTACTCGCAGCAGTGCGGGACACGATCCACAATTCAGCACAAGCTTTGTGCTATCGCCGAACCCGGATTACAGCAAGAGAACGAACGATTCTCCGGGTCGCGCACCATCGCTCAACGTGTCGAGGACATCGACGCTGGAAACGAACCGCAAGAAAGTGGGACTGCCTACATACCGCGGATGCTCGCTCGGAAAATCATCTGCAAACCGACCAACCGATGCATTCGCGAGACCGACGGATGCATTTACCCGCCATGTTGCGACTATGCAAGCCATGGTCAAGCAAACGATATCTGTGGCGAGCACTGCAGAACGACGAGAGTCTGGTACTCACTGCGCAAGCGTACAGAGTCCAGCCATTCGTCGACTAGGAGTTACGCATGCGCCAGTGCGCTCCGTATCCGGAGACTCGTTTGTCAAGCAGACAAACCCGAGTGGCACGAATGCGCAAAACCGTGGCCTGGAAGTCTATCACTCCAGAACCTCACTGCTTTCGAGTACCGCCAAATCCAGGTCTCCGGTACTGACTTCCCACGCGCGCATTTACACCACGGAAAATGTTCGTGCAGAAGTCAACAGCTGGCCCCAGCGCGTGCTGGGAGCCATCGATCGATCGGTTCCTCAAGGCCTTCAACAAATGCTACAATCAATTGCCAAATCACTAGACATATCGCTACGGGATCGTTGTCGTTATCCTGTGTCTTTGGACAATTCGAATGCTGCCTGCCCAGCTTCCAGAGACCGCCATCTCCGTCAAGGACATGTGTTTCTTTCAGCTATGTCTGCGCTTGTACATGTTTTCTCGATGTATCTGGGAAGATTTGTTTTGATGGCTACCTTTTGGCAGCTATCTTCATCGCGATCCTCATTGCCCCGTCGGTCTGATCGACTTGTGGCACCATCGCTGTCTGCCTTCTGCAGTGGAAGCACTTTCATGTCAGCTAGCGAGCGTCTAGGTATGTTTCCGCTGGGGAAACTTATGAGCTGCATGGTTAGATAGCGGATTCTAAAGCTGGAATCACAATGCCCTCGACTGGGTAATGAGCATGTACTGGGTAGTACTTGCTGTTATGAGCTATGGAAGCGTGTGACCATGAACTATTTCTTGTGAACGTGAAAAATTACGCACGGAGTTGAAGAATAGGGATCGCACTCTAGAGATAGAAGCCACATCAGACTTAGAAGACTATGTACAAAACCTCGAATGAAACATGGCTTAATCACGCATAACGATTTGAAGAAAAAGCGTAGTATACAAAATGATCCATAAAAGCCTCAGGTCAAGCATCTAGTACACGAAGGATTATATAGTAGTACGGCATGAATTTGATGCGTTAGTACCTAAGCATGATTATAACAATCGATATCACACATCAAATGCAAAGGACTATAAATAAAACCTCGTCTGTCCCCAAAAAATCTATACAATCCTGAAGCCCAAGTTGAACATTGAACTTATACAATTTAGTAAGCAACTGGTGAATCAAGCCCCACCAAACCCGCGGAACTTTTCCAAGCTTCATCGCAACACAATAAACCTCTCCAACCCACCCCCGTTCTCTTCCTCTAATTCTCCTCTATTCCTCCCAGCCTCCCAGGCCACCAAAATGACTTCCGAATATAAACCCCCACCTCTCCCCTCCCCATTCAACAACACGCTTCCACCCCCAACGCTCCTAGCCCAAGGCGCCGAAGCCCACCTCTACAAAACCACATCCCTCAATCCCTCAATCCCCGCCGCCTTAAAGATCCGCCCCTCAAAACCCTACAGACACCCCATTCTCGACAAAAAACTTACCCGATCCCGCATAATCCAAGAAGCGCGGTGTCTCGCGAAACTCGTCCGCGAAGGCGTTCGCGTCCCCGCCGTCCTAGCTATGGACTGGGAGGGACAAGGAGGTGAGAGCGGATGGGGCGGAGCATGGTTAATGATGGAGTGGATTGAGGGACCTGTTGTGCGGGTTGTGCTTGAGAAATGGGAGGCTTGGATGAGGGCTCAAGAGAAGATTGGTTCTTTGGATGCGGGGCAGATTGAGGCTCAGCAGGGACGAGTGAAAGATTTATTTCGACGCATTGGGGGGACTATTGCTTCGCTGCATAAGGCTGGCGTTGTGCATGGGGATTTGACAACGAGTAATCTTATGTTGAGGGTTGGGGAGGGATCTGAGTCTGTGCCTTATGAAGATACTGCTGGGCCTGGGTCTATGGAGGGGGAGATTGTCATTATTGATTTTGGGCTTGCGGGACAGAGTATTCAGGATGAGGACCGGGCTGTGGATCTTTATGTTTTGGAGCGTGCTATTGGGAGTACGCATCCGTTGTCTGAGCCGTTTTTTGAGGAGTTGCTTGTGGGTTATAAGCATGGAAATAAGGCTGCTGTTTCTACGCTAAGGAGACTTGAGGATGTGCGGATGCGTGGACGCAAACGTAGTATGCTTGGGTAAAGATCTAATCTTTTGATTCGATCTGAAGAATGAAAAGAGGAAGAAAAATAAAAAGAAACGCCACGCTGAAACATGAAACACGAATGTTGAACACAACCACAATCTTGTCTACTTTCACTGCCGAGACATGACACAGTTCCCAATATCTGCCAGGGCAAAATATCCCTTATTCTCAACCACACCGCGATCCTTCACGACAGCAGTGTACTTGACGACCCACTGAGGCTCAACATCGCCCTGAATACCATCCCCAGCCTCAGGCGCAGAAGCCAGAATCCCCGCGCCCTTATCGCTCGGACCCAGAAGCTCCCTCGTCGTCCCAACAGGCAAAATATCATTGCAGTCATTATGCGTTAAGAGCTGAATCTTCTCAGACTTGGCATACAGAATCAACGACTTAGGAACAACGCAGCAATCCTTAAGGTTGATCTGATCAACCGAAGGCTTAACCTTCGTATGCGGCAAGAAACGTGCCAACCGTTCGCTTCCAAACTCCGCCACGCCCAGCTGAGCAATCATACCCTGTTCATGTAACGATTCCAGCACCCGCCATGTTTGCACCATACTATCGAAGTCATCTGGTTCGCCTGTAACACTGGCTTCTTCCTCATCGCTATCATCGTCTGCGTCGAAGAGAAGACCCGGAAACGATACAATGAGTAGATCAATAGAATCCACATTAAGTTCCTTCAATACCAGATCAATGGCTTCCGTTGTATGTGCGCATCGTCGTGATGCCGGAATCCCCGGTAGATAGAATAATTTAACTGTGATATCGTATTGGGGGCGTTCTTCGCTTAGTCCGTGCTGGGAAAAGTCGATTGCGGGGATATAAAGGGAGCCATCGGGTTGTTCGCCGGTCCATGATCGATAGTCTTTAGAATGCGATCCATTTGATGTACCGTTTGAGAATCCGTTCCTGTTTCCGTTTCCGTTTCCGTTTCCGTTCGCATGGGGCTCTGCGCCGTTGGATTCGATATGTTGTGAAGCAAGGAAATTTGCGCGGAGAGAACTGATCAACTCGACGTTGGATTTTTGCATAAGCGGGTGTCTAACGACAGACGGCCTGCCATCTTGCATAATATTACTAAAAGAATTATTGACGTTAGTTCCAGTTCCAGTCCGGTCTTTAATCTCTTTTTTTTCCCTTCTGTCCCATCTTCGGCCCGAAGACATTGCGGAGCATTGCGCCGAGAAAGAAAGAACACGGCACATACCCAGTAGATAGAATCAGCTTCATGATGAAGGCTGCTTAAGAAATGCAAGAGAAATTTCAAGAATCTTGCTATGCAAGTAAGCGTTGAAGTAAAGGTAAAAGAGTGGTAGAAGAGAAGATCCAAACCCCGCGGTTATCAAACCCCTCCAAGTCCCTGACAAATCCAATTCCCGCTATTACTACATGGATCCATCTACTCCCCGGTTCTATAGGAATCCAAGTCTTCTAAATTTTCTAATCCATATCCACAGTCGGATCCCAGTCTGTAGGTGCATATTCCCCAGTATCAAGTCTTGTCATATCCTCCTCATCAAGCTCGAAATCAAAAACATCTGCGTTTTCAGTGATTCGTCGCGGTGTTTTAGATTTCGCCAAAGGCACAAATCCCTAGTCGACTTAGCAGTCAGAAAACAGAAAACAGAAATAAATCGTATGCAATATCTCGATTGCAGAGATAAAATCGCATATCAAAATATAGCAGGTACCACATACCATCTGCAAACTCCACCGAATCATAACCTGAGCCGGGGACTTCCCGTACTTCTTCCCAATAGCAGCAAGCACAGGCTCATCTAGTCGTTCACCATGCGCAAGCGGCGAATAAGCCTCAACTATAATTCCACGTTCATGGCACCAATCCGCTATATCCGAGTGATCAAGCCAGGGATGTAGTTCCCATTGCCCAACACTAATCTCACCACCTCCTCCATTCTCAATGTAGCTTTGTAATTCTTCAAGATGGTGGATTCCATAGTTAGATACGCCGATTGATCGGATCTGGCCTGCGCTCTGGGCTTCGACGAGGGCTTTCCAGGATCCAAGACGGGATTCCTGTCCGCCGTAGGGAGCGTGGATGAGGATCCTGGCGGATGTAAGTAGATATTTGTGGGTTGAAGTTGGGACTGTGTTTGGATTTGGATTTGGCATTGACTTACAAGTCAAAGTACTCTGTGTTTGCGTCTTTGAGGCTTCTTGCGATGGCTTGCTTGGTTGATTTGTATCCCATTGAGCCGGGAGGAATCTTGGTTGTTAGGAAGATCTCTGATCTGTCGAGGTTTGACGAGTTGAGGGCGGCGCCGCAGCCTTTTTCGTTTCCGTACATGATTGCTGAATCGACCTAGGTGGACTATGTTATTTAATGTTGAGATGTGTGTGGTTGTTTGGGACTCACATGGCGGAATCCGACTTTCAGAGCTTCTTGGACGACTTTATCGGTTGTGGATGGCGGGCTGGGTTATGAGTTAGGGACTCGGAAGTTAACCTGGGGCAATAGATACGTACATCATGTAGACCTAGCAAATGAACTTGAATTAACATTCTCTGTCCTTGATGTGATATATGTGCAAATAGCTACGCCTGAGACGTGGCTATCCAAGTTCGGACTTACCCCGAATCCAATCGCTGGGATCTCATGACCCGAAAGCAACTTGTGCTTTGATTGGAATGTCAGTTTACTGGCCATTATGTGCGATGTTCTGTTCAATGATCGGGAGATTGTAAGTGAGTAAGAGCTTGAGAGTCGAGGTGGGAGTAGATTTGATCTCCGTAGCGATGAGATCATAACAAGTGGGGTGCCCCCGCGGGATGTTGCGATAAGGCGGTTTTTACGAGTTCACTTTGTATGTGCTAGGTTCCAAATAAAGAATCGATAATATGAGCTTGAAGGAAGTGCTATGCAGGAGTATTTGAGGGAACGCAGCGTAGATGTCCACTAAGATCTAACCTGAGATCGCGAATGGTATGAAAAGGCGGGCAATGAACATGTTAGATTTTAGGCACGATCCGAGCAAAACATCTACGCCTAAGAGCGTTTACTACACTATAGTATTTTATAAAGAAAGTTTCAATGAAGATTACGCAAGATATCAATCTAATATCAGAAAAGAACCATGTATTAAATGCCATGCAGTTCTATAAAACCAAACTTCAACCCTTCTATGTATACAGTACATGTTGGCTCATAGGCTTCCACGTTCCAGCAGGCTTTAAACCTTTCTCTCCTGCTCCTTCAAGGCCTCAGCCTCAGCCTCCTCCTTTGCCTTGCGGTCGGCCTCACGCTTCAGTTGATCAGGGCGACGTTCAGCGATATCCTTGGGGCGGAAATCACTGAAAAGCTGCTTAAGCACGTTCTCGATAATCCAGCAACCACCATAGTCAAAGATCATGAGCACAGTCAAAGTGACCTTGAACTCATTGCTGAAGGGAACCAGGCGGAGCTTTTCGTTAATCTCAGGGACAAACTCAGTAGCGCAGGAGAATGCGACACCTGAGGCAGCGATGAGACCCCAGTACATAGCCCTGTTCTCGCGGATAGATTCACGGAACGGACGGCCTTGGTAGTTGATTGAGAAGGTGGAGATTTGCTGAATCAGCTGGAGCAGGTAGATGGCACTGTTGAGAAGAGATGGCTCGAACTCGCCCTCAAGGTCAACATTGTCGCTTCTTCTGTAGATTTTGTTAGTTCATGTCATATTGGAGTTTGCGGGCTTAACACGTACGGCTCAATCTTATAGACATAGTTGGAAAGGTAGATCAAAGTAACAATGTGAATGGCGAATTGACCAAGAATGGATCCAATGATGTAGAAGTTGAAGATACCCGGCTGTGGTCGCTCCTTGGACAATCCCTCGACAGACTATACATAATTAGTATCACGGAGATTCATATTAAGAAATTTGCGTAACATACCTTGGCGCGAGAGATGGAGAGGAAGCAGACACTCATCAGCATACCACTGATGGTAACCTGACCGTCACCGAACTTGATTCCTTCCAAGTAAATGACACTCAAACTGTAGGCACTGATCAAACAGTTCAAAGCAAGAATTTTGTACATCTGAATTGTCGCAACCAAGGTGCAACGACCTTGTCGAAGAATGTTGGGGATAGCAATAACATTAGCAAGCTTACTGGTGAAAGGCGCGGCACACGAGGCATCACCAAGCTTGATGGTGGGTGGTTCACTGTCATCCAGTTCTTGCTCCAGCATGGAAGAGGTAAGCTTGTCGGCAAGACCGGCAGCGGCAGCTTGGGCGTTCTGGTGGCGCTGCTGCTGAGGAGTCAAGTTTTGCTGCTGGAGAGCCTGGGCACCAGGGGAGGTGATAGTGGGGATCTGCTCGCCGGCCTTGATAGCGGCGCCAGCAGCGGCACCCTTCTTAGAGGCTTCGCGTTCCATGGCCTTCTCGTAGTGAGGATTACCAGGGCCAGGAGGATAGAGGTGGGCGATATTGACAGGTACTGGGGGAGCGGGCTGGTTGAAGCGCTGCATCATGCTGATCTGCTTCTCATACAGCTCCTTCATCTTAGTTGTACGGAAGTGCTCGGCAATCTTTGTCAAGTCTTCTTGGGAACCATTCAGAAGGGCAACGCCAACGTGAGCTTGCTTCAGAGCACCCACGTCATTCGTACCATCACCGCACATCAAAGTAGTGTAACCAGCATCTTTGAGACCAAGCAGAATTTCTTCCTTCTGCTTGGGAGAAACACGAGCATAAACCCAGGTGTGGCGCAGAAGGCTGGGGAGAGCCTGCTGGTCCTTGAATTTGGCCAGAGCATAACCAGTAATACAGATATCCTTAGTCTTCAGTATTTCGGGGTCCAGGGGCTTAGTTGGGTCAACCTCAAGGTTGAGCTTATCATCGATAGTTCGCCAGACAACTCTGGTGCCAGAGTTATCATGTTCAGGAGCATCCAGGATAACAACCTCACGATCAACAATTTCAACCTTGCGGGCGACATGAACAGCAGTCAACGGGTTGTCACCAGTAATCATGACAACACGGTGGCTACTCTCATTCAGCATTCGTACGGACTTAACTGCATCGTCCTTCAGAGGGCACTGCAGAACAAGGAAACCAGCGAAAATCAGTTGAGACTCAACTTCCTCGCGAACGTAATTGTTCACGCGACCCTGAGACAGCTCAGATTCTGAGGAAAGATACTTGTAAGCGAGGGCGAGAACACGGGCACCATTGCGAGTGAAGTGCTTGTAGGTCTCTTCGTAGTTAGAAGGGGCATTGACCAGCATACTGCCAATAGTCTCGGGCGCACCCTTCACGCTGACCAAAGTAGACTTGCTCTTCTTGGAAGTTTTGGGGTCGTTGGCGGTGACTGTAGCAATGGTACTCATGCGCTTGAGAGCAGAAGAGAATTGGAAACGTCTCTTGATCTGAACCGATTCGACGGGGCGGGAGTTAATCTTTGGTGAAACACCCTTACACATCAGGGTATCGTTCTTGCCCAGAACCCAACCCAGCCACTGCAGGGTAGCCTTCTCCATGGGATCACCAACAACGTCACCCTCATCCAGTTTGACCAAAGCGTGAGCGCTGGCGAGAACAAGTGTGGTGTCAGGTCCAACAGCCTCGACCTTGGCCAGCTCGGTGTGAGCACCATCGGCTTCAGTCTTGGCACTGGTTTGGCCCAGAGTGAGACCAGCGATTCCATCGACGACGAGGTCCTCTCCAGTCAGAGTACCGGTCTTGTCGAAACAAGCGATATCAACACGTCCAGCGAAAGGAATACGGAAAGGCTCTGTACAGAAGATAGCATACTTGCTGAGGGCAGCCAGACTGGTATTGACAGCCAAGCTCAATTCCATGGGCAGCTCCGGTGGCACGACACTGGTAACGATAAGGACACAGTCCAGGAGGAGCTTGGATCGCTTGCGGTCCTTGGCAACACCTTCCTGCCACACGTACCAAGAGGCGGCAATCGCGAAAATAAGGAGGAACAGAATGAATAGCAAAGCCTCGACATTGTTGGCTGAGACACGCTCAGTAGAGTAGATCATGGTGCGGACAAGGCTACCCTGGCTGGTCTCAAAACCGGTCTTAACGACGATACCTATGGCACCGTTGTCTGGGGCAATGGTGATACCAGGAGCAAGGTTCTTCAAGGCATCTTCGGCGGGGACATTGGGGTGGGTAATTTGGAGAACCTTAGTTCCTCCGTGCACAAAAGAGTTCTTATCCAATCCTTCGGGCTCAATCAAGTCATCACCAGGGCGAAGTTGAACAGAGTCCTTGAGCAAGGGTGTACTCTCACCAGAGAGCATGGCCTCGTTGACAATAGCACTACCCTCGAGGAGCAAGATGTCGCAAGCAACACCTCCATCCTCTTTGGTACGGTTGACAGACATCAAATCACCAGGAAGGAGCTTGTCGCTAGTGATTTCTTCCCATTTATTTTCACGGTAGACCCAGACATCGTATGGCTTAACGTTCATTCCACGGAATTCGCTCAAAGTTCTCTGGCGTTGCCACACAACGGTACTCTCAAACATAACAAGCATGAAAAGAGTGAAGAGAGAGTAATACCAATATTCATCCAGCATCCATAATCCAACGCAGAATATCTGGAATACGAAGAAAGGTGCGACAGCGTGCTCTTGGAAGAGCTCAATGAATCCGGGGACTGGGATGTCAAAGGTGTTATCGCCATAGTGGTGACCGATGCTATCAATCTCCGCTCTGGTCGTGAGACCCTTGCTCTGTTGGAAGTACTTGAGAGCAGGCTTTGGCTCCTCATCGAGAACGTATGACAGGGGTGCGAAGGTGCGGGTTTCGGGGTAGTAAAGGAAGCGGCGCTTCTGGAACAGGAATGAAAGTGTCTTCTTGCCACTGGAGGTATCGTGGATCAGGTCGCAGATTTCCGCGGAGCCGGCATTGGTGATCGGGATGACCTTGATCTGGCGAGCGGTATCGATAGAGCTAGCTCTGGTAGAAGTGAACAGGGTCCTGATGTTAATGTTCCACTTGGTCATCAACCACAGGAGGGACTGGGCCGTGATGATGGACCCCGCAAAAACGAAGGTCCATTCCTGGCCTTGAATATAGGTATCGTAACGCTCTTCAGACAAATAGAAGGCAAAGAATGCCGGCCAAATGACTAAGAAGGGCCAGATGTACGTATGGAGCTGCAAAGGGAGGGGATTATGCAGGGACGCATGTTGGATCTGGGGGTCGTCCGCGAGTTTTGCCCTGATATGGGGTTAATCGAAAGATATTCAATATGGGAATGAGTATCAATGAATGAACTTACATGATGGCAATCTAGAGGACCACGAAGTGGGTCAAGAAGCAGACAAACTAAAAAATCATAAAGAAAGATGCACAATGTCTTTGAGGGAGAGCCCAGAAGAAGCCACCTTGATAAGTAAATTTGGTTTCCAGAGGGTTCCCCCGAACCCGAGCGGCGACGCGCTAGAATGGATTATGTAACCTCGTATCTCGTCTGATCCACTCTCAAAACGCCACCGCACAGTAAATTTTGGTTTATGGAGCCACAACTTCCTCGGCCTTTAACAAGCCCTGCCGGGCTAGCTCAATCGGTAGAGCGTGAGACTCTTAATCTCAAGGTTGCGGGTTCGACCCCCGCGTTCGGCTATTCCTAAAAATAACCTGAGATATTCTTTTTGCTTCTCTGACTTTTTGGCCATCGAATTTTTGAAGTGTTTGCAAGGTATAAGAATGTGTGTGGTAAGCTTAATTATACTATTTTTGAAGAACGTTCATAGAGACTGAACACTATTTTGGAAACACTGTTTATCGATGGACACGGGAGGGAACCGCTAGTGTAAAACTCACTGTCTAAGAATAATATTTGTGGTTATATATTTGTTCACGGATGAAGGCCTATGCATAAGTTATATACATGGGCGCCCCCATACTTGAGTATGAACCTACAGTACTATACCATATAAACAAGTTAACACGATCGAAAACATCCATGGATCACAACACGCCCAACCATTTCAGTTACCACTGCCCTCACTTGGGATGAGAAAGCCCCAGCTTTAAACACGCTCAGCTGAGTCCATCTCGGACTACCTGCTTCTGCTGACTCAAAGCTTTCACCAACTCTGTCAATTCCGCCACCTGTTGTTGCAATTGGCGAACCTCAAGAGTGCAGCTATCAGTCTTGATATCAGGCGTACTTTGCTTCACTTCTTCCATCCAAGTATCGTCTAGCTCAAAATCCACATCTCCTGCCACCAATTCCCACTCCTGGCGATCTTCTTCATCTTCTTCACCATGACGACGATTCCACTGGATCTGTTCGGCCTGACGAGTCTCAACCCAGGCAGCCAAAACTAATAGTGGAGAGTAGATAACACCCATAACGACGTCATTGAGCTTTGCGTATTGCTTTCTCGAGAGCCACCATTCAAACGGTGCGCTCACAAACAAAATCTCGATCAGGTTGAATGCTAGAGTATCAAATGTCAATTCCTTGCCATAAGTTATCGTAGATTGGAATTTAGAATTGGAACTCACGTGGAATGAAGACATTTTCATCTGGAGCACGGACAAATTGCATGGTTTTCTGCGCAAAAATTGCCATGTACTCATCAGTAGCGTTTCCGGAGATATCCTCATAGGCACTGTTATACAGCGCGATGAGAATATTCAACAGGACTGTGACAGGTCAGTATATTGTCTATCAAAATGATAACATAACGGGACGCCACACCGATCATAACAACGAAGTTGAACACATAGTACAGAATGATTCCGAATGGGAAGGCAAATTCCTGGAAAGTTTCAAACTCGGGGCTTTGCATGACACTGTTTGCCATTCCTTGAATTATGAGCCGAGTGATGGGTATATCATCATCCACCTGGGCCATGCCGATGAAGGCCTGGAAGAATCCAGCTAGAACGACGAACAAGAGAGCGAAGAAGATCAAACTCTCCTTCATCATAACTCTTAGAACCACAAACATCGCACCGAAGAACCGGAAGGTGTCTAAATAGAGCATCATTCGCATCCAAAACATAGGTCCTGCGAAAGCTAGGAAGTTATAGCTCAAACCATTGAAATACTGCCGCTCATGGTCGCCGTTTGAAGTCGAATGTGCCAATGCAACAATTCGCAAGATGAAAGAGATAACGAGTAGACCGTAGAGGGTAGAGTTGAAGGCATTCCAAAACTCCAGGTAATTCCAACCGACTTTCCAAAATTTGATTGCTTCATCACAGATAAATGCCAGCGTCATTCCATAGAGAACTCCCTCCGCAACATCGATGTCACCTTCTGGATTGACAGTATTGATCACAGCAGTGTATACAGCGAGATATATCAGAGAAAAGACAATTTGGCAGATATTCTGATAGAGTGGGGTTCGCATCCGATCAGGGTGGAAGTGAATCCAGTAGTTAGTATCCCCCTTCAGTTCGTACTCGACAAAGTTTGTTGGATTTCCTTCTTCTTGACATATCCAGCCACGCCATAGGAATTGAATACATTTCTGATAGGGAGCGGAGCCAATGATCCTCAATGCATGGAGATCCACAGAGCGTTCAATCACATTTGCAGGATCGGTTTCAACGCCTTCGGAAAATATAGAGTAGCGCTTCAGTAGAACTTTCTTAAGTAAATAAGTTTGATCTTGCTCGCCCTCAATGCTGTTTTAATTGTCAGTGAAAATGAATATTGACATTTTATCAAGGGGGCGGGGGTGATCGTACATCCGCTTGGCGATTACCTCACAAGCAATAGCTCGAACTTCATGGAGATCAGCGTCCCAAAGCTCAACTGAAGCTTGCATTTGGAACCAGCGGAGACAGACTAGAAGGCAGAAGACCACACATGCCTTGTAGTCTTCGCCGCCAGCTCCCTTGGATGTTTCAATGACATCTTGTGTGATAATGCGACTGTTGGGGTCGGTTATGACACTTTCGTCGATCTCACAGCAGACAACCTGTTCAATTTGATATTTCAATCGAAGTGCAATTTTAGAAATCTCTTTAGAAGAGTCAGATGGCTGTGGCTCATCCGCAATGTACGAGGGTAGAACTGTGTCTGGGGTTAGCATGGTTTGGTTACACACTTTGTTGATGATGACGTACGCCTCCGACTTTCTACAGCCACGCGATGACGGGTCCGACGACGGTCGAAATTGAACAGATCTCTCCAGTGACCCATATTGAGAGTGAGAAAGCAATGCGTTGCCCAGACAGAGAAGGACCTGTGCAGAGTTGGGCTGAGAGGTTGGTGAAGCGCGGTCAAGAAACGATCAGCGGAAACACGGATCCAAGCGCCGTTCCCCCGCTATCAAGGGCAACCCTTGAAGACGGACCATTGAGAGGTTAGAAGTCTAATTGATGAACTAGTGTTTTTTTCGATTCAAGGAAGACGACCTTGAACCTTGGAATTATGAAGTTTAAAGGCTATACGAAGTTCATAATATACACTACTGTAAGATAAGTAGCTCTAAAAGCATCATTGGCATTGAACGTCTCGGTTACATAACACCATATATACATCAGAACTTGCATCTCGTGCATACCAACCATTTTATAAAATGATGGAGTACGAGAACCTTGCCAAACGGCACATTGCGCCTGCTTGTGGATAGAACACCTCCCGGACCCGAGGCGCAGGCGACTGTCCTTGTTGGGAAAGGCAATTTCTGACTGCAATCGTGCCCAGTAGCACATGGAGCCATCAAGCCATTTCTTTTTTCCGTTGATCGCGTAAAATGTGCATGATTTTCTCTATCCAGTTTTGCCCAAATTCCCCCTCCTCATTTGCCTTCGGCACATGTCGACATTGCCGATGTACACCGGGCCATGATTCCGAATTTCGGACGTGTTGTTTACTCAGGAACACCCTCATCGCTCTCAGAGCCGCTCTCGTCTCCGCTAACCTCCTGGTTCTCACGCTCACGCTTCTCCATGAGTTCCTGGAGAATAGCGTCATCGTGCTCAGTAACAGCCTTGGGAGCCATCTTGACGGTGCAGTTACCACCAGCCGCCTTGATCTGAGCCTCGATCCTCTTAATACCGGCCTCCAGCTGTTGAATACCCAGGTTCTTGTCCAAACATTGACTGGTCAGGACATACAGAGGGGGGGCCACAAGCTTGACCTTGATCTGGTTCTCAGGGGTGTTCTCGATCTCGGCGGTGCGCAGGGCGGTCTTGACGGCATCGATACCCTCGTAGCTGAAACAGGTAACCTCGATATCGGCACGGACTTTAGTGGGGGCGGGGGTGAGCTTCTTGCTAATGTATTGCTGCAGCTCCTTCTTCACGACCTCGTTAGGGAACTCGATCTCGTTCCAAACCTCGGGGTTGCTATCAACAGCCGTTAGTAGTGAAAAGTCTTGCTGAATTCAATTATACATACGAGATGGAGATCTTGAATGCATCATGGGCGTGACCGTATTTCTTGTCGAGCGGCCAGGCGATCTTCTGGTATAGTTCTTCAAGGGGGGTCTGGGTGGCCTCGGCGACATGGCGCATGATGGAGTGCACAGCCTTGCTCTTGTTGTATCGCTCCTCGCACTTAACAACATCCTCGGGGGAGACACGACGCTTTGACAAATCGATGTAACCTGTAGTGCCATATGAGTCAGTCATTGAATCTTGGGAAGAGGCCCGAGATATGCTTGTTTACCCTTCTCCTTGTCGACACGAAGCACAATAACGACCTCATTACGTCCAATACGAATAAGCTTTTGGATACTGCGAATACGTCTGCGGGAAAGTTCGGAGAGCAGGATCATGCCGTCAATGTTGTCATATTCGAGCAGCTTCACGTATGCGCCCATCTCGGCAATCTACCCAGTTCAGTTAGCAAACATAAGTATGGTTAAGCGCATAGATAGATATGCCCTCAAAACCTACCTGCTTGACATTGACCATGACATAGCTGTCCACCTCAGGAAACTTCTCCTCGTAAAAACGGCAATTTGTTAACGACATTTTGGCGGGGTTGCGCTGTGATTTTCAAACACAAATTTTCGGGTAAAAAGAGGACTGATGAGACTGCAGTCCTAGGGGTATTCGTGAGCTCGAGCCTGAAGACAAGGTTCCGAGCAAATCGAGAGGATCGGGGGGTTCGAAGGGGAAGGACTGGATCGTTGGGCGGGAGCACAATCGCTTCAAATCACCATTGTGGCGGGCTCAAAACCCACACGGTCACGTGACTCTGCGGCTTCCATATGAGAGACACTACACCGTTTGCTCAGTACACGTGACACGCCGCCTTCAGTGGCTCCGCGGCATATTCAAGGTTCTTAGTTCTTATGTACACTAATGTCAAAAGGATAACTATACACTGCATTGAAGCTTGACGATCTTTTTTACTTCTACATCTTAACTCCATCAGTTCCATAATGATCTAGTCTGAATATGGCACAGACGTATCATCATTGGTCATAAGTTCCCATACTTGGTCATGCCGGTCGGGCCTCCCTCCTATATCTCATTACGTTTCTTAGTACCCGCCAGCTCCTACTAGATGGATCTGCATGAAGAGGAGCCGTGAATATCTCTAGGTCCCCGCTTATCAGACCCTAGCGGACACCGCCCTTGCTAGCCAGCCACGACATATTACAATTGCTTTTTTCTTTTTCTTTCTTCATCTCCCGCCCAATAGTGAACTCTCTTATTATTCTTCCATCCGATTCTACAGATGGAGGATATCATCATACCACTCCTTTAAAAACAACGCAGGCTCGAGTCCTTTCTAAACACGCCCTATGTCCGAGTCAAGCCCGTTGATCGGCCAGGAAGCCGACGATGCCCGCAATCTACGGGACCGCTTGGCAGATATCTTCCGCCCAAGACCCCTTCCAGGTACCGAGCCTGATGAGGGAGGGGCACAGAATGCACAAGGATTGGGGATTACAAGCGAACCGGATGTGAGAACCCGTCTCCTCGAGTCGTACGACCGTTCGAACCCTGCTTGCGGTGAGAGACGGTGCAGCCATGGTACATTCTCTCCGCATGTCGAAACCGCCGAGCGGCACGCATACTTGGGATCATCACATAGCCGCATCGCAGGAAATGGGACGAATGAGGCCGGCGCAGCGTCAGGTGCCTTCCCTGGAGATGGCAATTCGGATTCTCGCCAAGATTCGGAATACACTTCGCAAATGAAATCGTCTTTCTCGGCTCTATCTATGAATGACTCTAAGAAACTGTAAGCGGATTTTCACGTATACTGTCATCAAGACGCCGTAATAAGTCAAAGGAACACCACTGATGAACTAACTCCTCACAGCTACATATCATATTATATTCCTTTCTTCAATTGGATTTTACAGTACCAATGGTCTTTCGTGCGTGGAGATCTCATTGCGGCATTGACTATCTCGTCTGTCTACATTCCAATGGCCCTATCCTTGGCTTCCAATCTTGCCCATGCGCCCCCAGTCAACGGTCTTTACGCCTTTGTGATACATCCTTTCATCTATGCAATCCTGGGAAGCTGCCCGCTCTTGGTTCTTGGTCCGGAGGCAGCGGGGTCTCTGCTCACGGGTGCAATTGTAAAGGCTAGTATCTTACCCACCGATTCCCCGGAAGATATCACCGTGAAGAGTGCTATGGTAGTAGGAATTGCAACCGCGATGACCGGCGCCATGATCCTCCTTGCCGGATTAACTCGATTGGGATTCTTGGATAATATGCTCAGTCGGCCTTTTCTGAGAGGCTTCATTACAGCTATTGGCTTCGTGATTTTTGTGGATCAACTAGTCTCGGAGCTGGGTCTCTCAGAGAGGGCGGCCGAGACAGGTGCTAGCCATGGCACCACAGTTGAAAAACTGTCATTCATCTTGCGTAATACTGGATACATTCATTTTTTGACAGCTATGGTTTCACTTGTCAGCTTCTCGACCATTATGTCATTCAGGTAAGTGCATGCAGTGTGCCAATTTTCGGTCTGTCATCACTAACGTTCTTAGAACGCTGAAAAAGTACTTGATTCCCCGCTATCCTCAAGTTGTTTACTTTCCCGACCGTTGCTTGGTCGTCATACTGTCCGCAATTCTGGCCGCAAATCTCAATTGGGAAGACAAAGGCCTCGAACTAATGGGACACACTGAGATCAGTGTCAACGGCCTATTCGCCTTCCAATGGCCATTTCAGATGAAATACATGGAACATATCCGGACCGCCATGAGCAAGGCCTTCATTATAACACTGCTTGGATTTTTTGAATCTTCAATAGCAGCGAAGGGCCTGGCTGAGGTCAAGACAGATGGCATTAAGGGTATGAACATTAGTGCCAATCGCGAAATGGTAGCGCTGGGTGTGGCAAACCTCGTGGGTGGTTGCTTTCAGACACTTCCCGCATTTGGCGGGTATGGACGCAGTAAGCTCAATGCTCAAACTGGTGCTCGATCTCCGATGAGCAGCATATTCATCAGTATTATCACTCTGATCGGTATCTTGGTGCTTCTGCCTTACCTTTACTATCTCCCGGTCGGTTTTACCCCCTCAATTGTATCTGGGCTATATCTAACGTTTCCCCTTTCCATATATTAGAAAGCTGTCCTTGGCTCTATGATTTCAGTTGTGGCATTTTCACTGGTTGAAGAATGTCCCCATGATCTGATTTTCTTTTTCCACCTCCGCGGATGGACAGAGCTCATGCTGATGTTCCTCATTTTTGTTTCAACCATCTTCTACTCCCTTGAGCTGGGTATGGCTATTGGCATTGGCGTTTCTGTCATTATCCTTATCCGTCATGCCACTCAACCTCGTATTCAAATTCTCGGCAAAGTCCCCGGTACCTCTCGCTTTGAGAACGCCGAACTTCGCCCTGAAAACGTCGAGATCGTCGAGGGTGCCTTGATCGTTAAGATCCCAGAGCCCCTGACCTTCGCCAATACCGGCGATCTAAAGAACCGTCTTCGTCGACTGGAGCTCTATGGAACTAGTCGAGCCCACCCGTCTCTTCCTCGTATGCGCCCCGCTGAGTATAACAAGAACATCATCTTCGACGTTCATGGCGTCACCAGCATTGATGGCTCAGGTACGCAGGTCATGCATGAGATCGTCAGGGCATATACAGAGGAGGAAACAAGAGTTTTCTTCTGCCGAGTCGCAAACGAGAACGTGTTTCGCATGTTTGAACGAAGTGGCATTGTTGAAGAGTGCGGTGGCATGTTGCACTTTGTGCCTAGCGTCGACGAGGCTCTCCGTCTAGCAGAATCAGAAGAACGCTGGGACGGAAACTAATTGGAAAGTTAATATGCAGGATCTTTGTTGCGAGATCTGCCGATCTACTCAATCTCTGCAATTGATCATATGGCTATGTGGCCCTGCTCTGTAAATACGGACGCACATATTTCGGTTTAAAAATTTGCTGTTACTGAGCGAAGCATTTCAATTCAATATTTTCATTTGGGTTCATAAAAGCGAGATCTAAAATATCAATCCCCCCATTAAAATCCAGGACGTAGTCCTGGGCTGACACCAAATATTGGTACCAGGTGTTGTCTCTGCTGAGAGCCATGAGTTATCGTCTAGTAGCTCGTCGGCTAAATGAGACCATCCATGATGACTCGTCACTTCTGGCCTCGGTCATCTGGTGATGAAAGTCTTCTCCTGTGTAAATAAAAACCCAGAGCTGCTTTTTCTCATTTCGTAGAACGAATACGCAAGCGCCTGCAGCTTCTTGTTCAACACATGCGATTGGTATGACAGACCGCAACAGAAAATCCATTCAATCATGTACAATCATTAGGATTGAAGCAGCCGGATATTTTGTCCTTTGTAATGATACAAGAATTTTCATTGTCCATAAGACCCCCACAGAAAATCGGTATTCTCAATTCGCCGCTACCCAAGCGCAACTCATGTAGCCGGTTGATCATGAATAACAGCCTTCTTAATAACAGCCCGAAGCAAAGTCTCACTAGCATGAAGCGCAGCCTGATCCTTCGCTACACGCTCATCCTCTCCCTGTCCCTCAGACCGAGTAGAATCCACAACGAGCTTCATACGTCCATCGCTCCCCAAAACAAAAGCTGCGCATGTAACCTTAGACAATCGAACATGTTGTTTTGCAATCTGATCAGGAGAAGATCCATATAGATCAAGCTGCATCGCCAAATGCGTCTCCAGATAAGAAGTAAGATTTGGAATCAAAGGACATCGCAACTTTTGGTTCAGAGTGCGTTTTGAATTGTTCTCGTCATTATGCAAGAACCCAGCTAGTGATGATCGGGAGATACCGACGTTCAGCGATCGCAGTGCAGGAGCGATAGCCGCCGAAAACGAAAGTGTAAGTTGTAGTTCCTTGACTACATCTTCGACCGTCTCGTCGGACGAAGAGCCCGCTCGACTGCGTAATTCATCGATAAAGGCCTCTAGTCCTGTACAGAGAAAAGGTGACGGAAGACGGAGAGGAGCACAGTATGCATCGAAATTAGAGGATAAGAAAGATATAAATGTCTGACGCAAGGCATTGGGGCACTTCGTCAATAATAAAGGCAGAAAAGTTGATCCGCTGCGTGCAGAGCCACGTCTAGAATTGGAAACCGCCTCTGCAAGGAGAGCGGCTTTGTAAATGATATTCTCGTACGTCAATGTCACCAGGATTCCCGGGAAAGAGGTAGAAGTTGCGCGTCTACCTGACGCTGCGGCGCGTGGGGATGTGATGGATTGCCAGGTACATTCTTTGAGAGCACCTGTTTTTGATAATGCATCATCATCTAGTGTGCTGTTTGTAGCCTGGAGGCCGGCTAGGACATCGCCAGTTAATTGGTCACGCAATCTTGCTGCGTAAGTATTCAGGGCAGATTGATTGTCGAGAAGTGTGTTGCAATCTTTCTTGTGGTGTAGTGGCGAAAGGCGATGTAGAGTCCAGGACGTGTTAAATAGCTGCCAAGGTGATGCTGAAGCCATAACAAAAATCGTTTGATCTTAAGTTGTTAACAATTGGTAAAGTCTAATGTTCTGTTTTATGGTTATTGATGTCGACGCGCCACGTACAAACGCGACAAACACTCAATATCTGACTTTCCTTTTTCGGTCTAGTGCGATATAGCTTAACTGTAGAAACAGTCGATGAGAAGACCATCAAGATGAATTACCACAGATATTTACTCTTATGGGTTATATTAGACTGGCTATATATTTAACCCAATTATAAGAGCTTTTAGTTGTAAAATGCTCAAGTTCACATGGTAATTTCATTAACCTGGTTGATTCGAGATCGGTTTGCTTCAAGAATCCTATCCCGTTCAAAGAGCTCAAATACGCTAAAAACTAGACATGAAATATGATGTATATTGCCCAAAAACGCCACAACGCTCAGTCCAAATACAATTAAGCCCACCAACCTCGTGTACGGTGGCAATCAGGACACCCAAACTGAATAGGAACTCCATTCCAATGAAAGACATCCTCTACCCTATGAGGATTTGCGTTTCGGATTTTAAGTTCTGCCCTGGCGGCGTCAAACCAAAGATCTCGTACCGAACTATGCATATTCTGCACATTCTGATCAGCTGCTCTACCCCAGATCACAGAAATCATATGATCTTTCTCATGAGAATTCATATCATGATAAAAGTTGTACATGAAGTCTTTGCGTTGCATGCGCTGGTTACCACCATCTCCAATCTCCGCAGAGAAATATTCGACAATTCGTACGAATGGAGATAAAGCTAGGAGGGAGCTGATCCATGAATCATCGGGCTCTCCTTCAGGAATGGTGTGTCGGATATTGGAAACTAACAGATGCATGCAGTGGTGCGTGGCAAGGAGAGCGGCGGTATTTGTGAAGGGAGGTTCGCGAAGGATTCGAGTCTGAAGGTCTCTGTACATCTTTCGGCGCATATCGAGCGGAACTGGAACTGCGAGCTTACCAGCCTCATATTCACGGAGAAGCATGTTGGTGTGCTCACGTCGGGCTGATGAGTATGCTTCTAGGTAATATAACGTGTAGTACCTTAATCACGAAGTAAGTATAACGTATTTCGACAATTCTTGATATAAGCTTACATCAAGGGCGCAATATAAAACCACATGCTATCCTTCGCTCGCTTGAGTAATAACGCTCGGTTGCTCTTCTTTGGATCGATCTGGTTTTGCTCCTCCTGCACATATCGATTCATCACACTGTCTGCGAGGTAATAAGCCAGCCTCGAGCAGAGTCTTTGTCTTTGCCGTAAGCCATGCAGGTATCTGAACGTATATAAGTGACCACCCCGCGCACTTTTGGACGGTGGAAACAAATCGGACAAGAGGACCACGTCATCTTCGGGGCTTCGTGTGTAGGTGCGATCGATATCTATCGGAGAAGGAAGGGTACCATGCCGGCGTTGGCGAAGATATTGCCGAACGATCTCATGTTCATGAGAACTTAAGACCTGGTTGAATGTCCTGCAAGTAAGCTTCAAGGGAAGGAAATCGGCGGTCCCGCAGTTGGCGAAGATTAGGATTTGGATTTCGACGGGAACACCCCATGGCGGTAAAGGCCGTGAGCTGTCTAGGCTACCAAGCAGAGAGAAGAAATCAGTGTCAGTGACTACGTAAGATCATTTCATCGTGCAACACAAAGCTTACCCAAGCGTTGACGAGGATCCTGGGATGTCGCGTTCAAGTCGATCCTTATCCTTTGCACCCGCCTTTCGGCTCTTTTGGATTGCAGCTTTGAATTTCTGCACTGATGGTAAGATTTTGGAGAAGCCAGTCATTCTGGGGTTAAATACCACATGGAACGACCAGCTCCAGCGAGGTCGCAGAGTATAAGGTCAAGTCCCATCTATGTCTCAAAGGGCGTTGAAATATGACTAAGCACGGAAAAGCACAGCCTGGACGCGTGTGGCCATTTCCAAGGTTCAAGCGTCGGTCTAGCTGGATGAGGGATAACGTCAAAGAAACATTCTTATTATAGATTTCTATAGATCGAAGAACTATATATTGAAAGCCACTGGTCTGAAGTGTCTTAGATCTAGGCCCCCTCTAAAGTACATACATTAGCTCCCCAGCTACTTGTGTAGAATACATTGTCTTTTTCATTTCGTGTCGCTCTACTGTATAATGTATACGTTCCCTGGATTTTGAATATTGATCAAGAATTCATCCTTTTGAATTACATATTGGAAGTAAGACGATATGTTTGGCTGTACTAAAGCTCTCTATTTCATTACTAGTAGTCTCGCTCTTATGCATTATTTGTGTATTGTGGTGTCGGGTCGGCGTTATGGCATGGGCCGGTGATGGCTGTGTAAACCAATAAATAACCCCAACCACGAGGCACCCTTCACAAATAATATGCCTCAAGATCTGACAAGGATTAAGGCTTAGACAATCATTACTCGGTGGGTCTTAAGAGCATCAGCCCCGGTCTTATGGGACCAATTGGAGGGGCCGAATTCAACCTTAATGCACGTTCGAACGACGATTCAATTGCCACTCAATTGTGATCTTGGGTTTTACACTAGAAACATGATATCTTAAATATGTACGTGGTAATATTGATCAGCTCAGTATAGAGTTGACATTCATCTTATCTATGAAACACTCGTAGACTTTCGAGAAACCCGACAACGCCGAAACAAATGAGGCACACAATGCCAGGCACACAACAGCCATTAGCAGGAGAGTGGCAAAAATCATAAAATGGTATCAAGCAAAGCGAAAAGTACTCCTGAAGCATCAGTGCGCCAGGGAACAGAAGGTTGTGAGAACATCCTTCATCATACAATACGATTGCATCTCCCCTGGCACATACAACATGTGCAGGAAAATAAAAATAGACAAAGTTAGGCATGAGCGAAGCAAATGAATGCCGACGTATGAAAAAAAATTGAGGCCCAAGAGTATCCAGATACACGGAGCTTACTACCACTCATCAGGTACCTCGGGTTCTTTACCGTAAAGGAGGTTACCGAATTGATTATAGACCGGTTCATCAGGATCCCCGTTTTCCTTAGCCCAGAGACCTAGATCATCATCAAAGAGATCCCGTTCTTGTCCCTCACAAACTTCTGAAAATGTGACCCAATTTTCGTCATCTGTCCAGACTCCGCCTCTTCCACCACGTGTATTCCACCAGTTTTGGCCTCCAAGAAGAGAAGACTGTGCGGCATCAAACCCGTGAGAGGATCGCATGTATCGACGAAGAAGAGCGCGGGCATAGGGAAAGAACCACATTTTCTCCCACCACTCATTGCGGAGTTTATGGTCACCGTTCAGATGTGCGAGAACAGGCACACTGGCGGAGTGGGCATTTGTCATTAACGGCGCATTATGCCACGAATGACCCTCTGGGTTGGGCAACTTGTCAAGTGTAGCGTTCCATAGCGGATGTGTAGTTTGATCTTTGGCGAAGCGACTTTGGTTATACGGATTCGGGAGCGCTGCAATATCATCAGGGAGCAAAAGACGATGTTCTCGGGGAACATGATGTTGGCCCTGGAGTTGTGACGTCTTGTTGATATCGTTATACTTGATGAACTCGACATCACCGCGGGAATAGATTTGGTTGAAAAAGAGCTGCGATTCGTAGTCTAATCCGATGCCGTACTCATACCGGTGACCAGTCTCAAGACGAACACTGATACTCGTTATATTGGTGGGCTCATCGATACCTAGGAGCTTGTAGAACCACTCCTTGGCATTGTTCACGGTACGACGTCGCTCCAGTTCTCGAATGACTTCCTGTCGCCCGTAAATCTGCGTTAAAGCCTGGTAGTCGCCGTGCTTCTTATTACGCTGCTGCAGAATCCGCAAAGCTTCATCATAGATGATTCGTAGATCCGCCGCTTGTCCAATCACCGCGCCGGGATTCAGGTATCGAGGTCGGTTGAGGTGTGCATCCACCAATTCTCCATCCGGGTAATCATCCGTCTTCCAACCGTACACATCGGGTGGTAAAGATGAATGCGGTACGGAAACACACCCCGCATCCCCCTCCAAAGCACTATAGCATATTTTGCTAGCACCGAATAAGACGCGCTGCGAATATTTCTGTACAATATCCGGTGGTGAATCAGGGGTGGACTTTTGCACCTTGACGGTCCCGTATTTCTTGAGTAATTTTTGATTGTTCTTCCGTAGGATTTCTTGGAACCGCGTAACGAGAACATGGGGAGGAAGTTGAAAGAAGATATCATCAGCATCGATGACTAGGACGATGTCGTTGTTTTTGACCATCTTACTCTCCTTGAGGTAGTTGCGCATACGTGTGATCCGGTCCACCATGCGTTCCAGCTCGGTCGCGCCGGGCTTTTCGTGTCCGTATCCGACTAGAGTTGGTGGTGGATAGCCCAGGATCATTGCCGATGTGATCGTTCGACAGGCGCCACGAGATCCATGCTGTACTGGCACCAAGACATGGAGGCTCGGGTTGGGTTTGTTCAGATCGTGAGGGAGGGTATCGTTGATGGAGATATCGAGTCGTTGCGGGAGTGCGACCTGCGCATTTTCGGGGCTTTCAGGAAAAGGATGACGAGAAGGGAACTCTGACCAGAAGTCAGGTTGGGAATGCTGTAATAAAACACCTGGTTAGTACAGTTTATACCAATTTTGGGTATTGCTTAAGACTGGAATGTGCGAATCGAGTCTTGAGGCATGTCTATCGATTCCATTGACTCCGTCGACTGTAGCTTTGGACAAGGATCTTCGATCGAGATAAACGATTGTGACGCACCCTTTGTGAAGACGAGAGTAGGTAGAATAAACAGAAGAAGGCGATCGCAGAGTATACGAAGGCTTTAGCTCTTGGTGTGCGAGGTCGGCGGGCAAATTGCCAGTGAGCTGGCTTGGTTTCCTCGAACCGCGGCAGTGGCGGGCTCGGCGAAGCCATGTTATGCGAAATTTAAAGAGCCGAATCGACCTCAGATAGGGTAGGAGGGTAAATGGCACATGTCGCGAAGCTGTAAAATGGCGTTGCCTTTTGGAAATGGGGTTCAATAAATCAGGGTCAAGCCACGAGGGAGGTACGCAATCGACGTAGGTGGAGATGGAAACGGCCCAGAGTATGATCGGCGCGGTTAAAACCCTTTTTAGTTGCACGAGGTTACCAAGATAGTAACACCGTGTTTCTAATTGATCAGAGTCATGTAACCAGGTATACAGAGCACATGGAAAAAGTTATCACGGATTTCTGGAGCTTAAACTTGGTCTGTTACAATGCTTATATCGATTATAGACTATTCTAAATAGATCTCTTCCTTTAGTCTCTGTAGGTTACGGAATAGCCCACCCGTGCCTGCTCCACTATCAGCGTCTCGCCTGGGGTCGGATCGTGTCTTGGGTCCGCGTTGGCTCTGTTCAGCCATCGCCTGTTGATGATCCAAATTGCGTCTTCGCTCATCCACCAAACGGCCCAAATTATCGACGAAGCGCTGTCGTGCCTTCTCCTCCGCAGAACCCTTCCATACAATTGCCAATGTCCGTAGCGTCTCCACGCGACGAGCAGCTGCGTCCAGCCCATCACGTCCACCACCGTCGCTGTCCAGCAGCTCCAGTATTTCAGTGCGTAATTTCTTCGTAATCTCTTGGCCCTTTTCTTCCTGGTCACCACCATCAACATTGATGTCGGGTCCGGAGACAGATATGAAAGACGAAGAGAATGAGATCTCAGACGGGGGTAGCGGCCACTCCATCGCATCGCCGAAAGTCTGAACCACATCCTCCAATCGCGAGCGGACTTGGTTGAGAGTGCGTAGGTTGGTAATGTACTCCGGATCTGCGACGGCTGCACCCTTCCCTTGCTCTGATTTTACATCTTCTGCTTCCTCCTCCTTTATAGATGTAGAGTCGTCCGCCGTTTCTTCCTCCACGCCAACTTTCCGAGTAGCCGAAGTCGAATCTTTCGAGGACTCCGGAACGAACTTTGTGATATCGTCGCGTAGAACTTCCGTCAAGGTTTCGGATAACCCGATCGTCTCTCCTCGCAATACCTCCACCTCGTATGCAAGACGCCCGCCACTGCGAAGAATTTCATCGCTCAACTGGGAAAGTGTACTGGACAGGCGAACATTTTGGGCACTGATCTGCGAAAGGAGGGACTGCACTTGCGCAGATAATTCGGTCAATGGCACGGAGCCAGGTACTCGGGAGGCATTGGGTTGTAATGAGGCCACGGTCAGGGGTGAAAGGGATTCATTCAGGAAATCAGCTGGGTCGAAGCTTGGATCGGCGAAGTTGGGAGTCGTTTCTGGTTGGGGGACTTTGGCAGCTCGAGCTGTCGAGGCATAACTTTGGGATGACATGAAAGGCGCTTCTTTTTGGCTTGAATCTTTCCGGGGTATCAATTTATTAAATCTGTGACAAGCTTGATAGGCAAGTCGGATATGTCTGGAGTTCTCTTTGGTGGGGAGGCCAGTTGCACAGCTTCGGTCTCCTGTGCCTGTATGTCTCCGCCAATCAAAGTGTCCCGAGCGCCCCGGTTTAGCTAGTCCAAATTGGGATAAAAGCAATTACAATGCCGCGGAAGTATACAAAGAACATTAAGTATTGTCAATGGGATCAATGCTTATATTCAACTAAATGATATGAGATTGGAGATTCACCCAAATTAGTATGCGACTGGAATGAATATTGTACGTTTTTTTCGCGAAATATAAGATACTCAGCTCGCTCTCCAGAGGGGTCTCGATAGGTATAGTTGAATCCAAAGAATGTCTCAACTTTGTCCTTCATCCACACTCGTTGAGAATCGTTAAAAGGTCTTCTAGCTCTTCGTGAAATAACTATTGTAGTACTCTAAGAACTCAGCTTTCTGGGGATCTGCAGTGACTTGTTGGGCTGCCTGAAGATGCATGTGAATATTGGCAAGTTCAATGGAGTGCTCACCCTTAGTAGTGGTGGTGACAGAGGCCTCATTTTCAAGCTGACATATAGGCTTGGGGATCTTCTCTTCCTCGATCGAAGCTTGCAAAACGTTGAAAACGGCTGTTGAATTAGCACTGTCGGTATCTTTGGAGACCCTGCTGCTTCGAGGCCATATTTCTGATAAAGCATGTCTGTAATCATCTGAATCTCCTCCTCGGTGTACTTTAACTCTCCGATGTAATAGGTACTTTGTTCATTTTCACTCGAAAACCCCAGATGACTGGGAGTGGATCAACATATTGCAGCAGCACAATGCCCACTCAACTCAAGAGCCAATGGAGAGATAGCGCTAATGCTATGTAAAAAGCATTCTGGTATAACTGGAAAAAACCTTTGATCCCCTTCTCTCTATTAAACTTGCTGGTCAGACACTGAAGTTCTAAAATAGTGAAGATACTTACATAGAAATTCCCTATATCGCCGCAGAGATTTGATATTGAACCCTTAAATTCCCCACTCCGCGGACCTTGGGCTAAAACACCAAGCCCTTACATCGAATCCCCCCATTTACTCACTGCCCACATCGCCAACATCGCTGACATTATGACTGGCTATCTACTTATCAAAGACCCTCGGCCGGAATTTCCACCCGTAATTTCGTCTAAACGAATGCCATTCATAAAGGCCCCAGAAAGCGAATTTAGACTAGAGGGCTCCACGCGGTTCTCCCAAGCACTGTTTCCGTGCTCGTCCAACCAAAGCATCTTGATCAAACCCGTTTCGATAGCCTCACGGTCGAGCAGGTACACCACAACTTGAAACTCTAGCTCTGTCAAGGCTAGGCCTCTAGATTCCTCGTCTTCTATCTCTTCACATTGAGCCCGCATCTCCTCGTCGTTTTTACCCGAATGGTAAGTGAGGACATCTCCATCGTACCCGACGCCCCGGAAGTCCGTTATTCCCGGTACTCGGACGAGAACTTGTCGCCAGTGATCCAACGATCCGTCATCAAAAGCGTAGCAATTGCTGTCGTCGAGACATCGAAAGAGGGTAATTTCATCCTCCCCATCAGCTCTCATCTTTTCATATTTCTCGTTTAGGTCTTTATCGTAGCAGGTCCGAAGCCAGATTTTCTGTATGCCAGTATCCAGATTTGCACAAATATTTCGCTCATAATTTGACTGATGGATGCTCAAAACTTTTATTTGATCATTTGTCAAGCCAGACAGCAGACCATTTACCAAATCAGTCACCTTCAAGTCTGCTCTAGATTGGTAGTCCTAATCAAATATTAGTATACAATCGAGATACCCAGCGGGGGGAGATATCCGACATATCGATCTATAAGCGATAACGCTAGATATTTCCACACTAATTCTTCCCATTTCTGAGGGCTTTCCTCTAAGCCCTCAGGCCAATGGTCCTATTTCGCATGAGCTAAGATAGTTTGTCATACGAGGAATACACTTACTGCAATATAGTAATCAAATGGGAAAGCACCGTACTCGACACCCTCGTCGAGTTTATCTTCCGACATCTTGAAAACCTGGTCGGGCGAATTGTTTGGGGGCCAAACAAAAGTACAGTATATCTTAAGGTGAAGGAAGCGGAACCAGGGAATAAATGGCCGAGGGGTGACCCTGCGCTAAAGCAGACTGGTCTTAGCAAGTAGTGCCGATCTTCAGCTCAATTCTTAGCGATATTGGCCCCCTCTTCTTGGCAGGGACTATCCGCGTGGATCCAAGTTATTTTATATTAGATATCTGTCTAAAATGTTGGATGTGGATATATTTGCCCCTCTGAAACTAGCGCTTCCTAGGTTACAATGCTAGACTTGCCTAGGTAGCTTCGCTAAATCTAGAGCTATATAGGTATCTTGGGGGTCTTACTAGTAATTACTAGGTACTCGAATTGCTAGTACAAGTACGTACCAAACATTTAAGTACCTATAAATACTCAAAAACAAAATTAGTTCTCCGTCAACCCTATGGTTTTCATCTAGTAATTGATCGCCCTTATACTAAGTAGATTCAATTATATTGCTTCAAATTTTGACTATCCCATTATTGGCCACGGCCACACTGGGTCGTCCTCAACTCACCAGACAACAGGATGGACCTGTTATCGAAGGGAAAACCGATCAAGAGCTACTCTTTCTCCAGAGAGCGAACATCATCTCGTTGTCCTCCGCTACGACCGGCGTGATTTTCAATTCAACACTAGCAATCCCCCCACACCTAACACCTTCCTACATCGCCGCCTTGTTGAATACTTTCCAAGTAATTATCAAACAAATTGACAGAGATCGTCTAGTTCCAGTCATCGAAAGCCGTATAGCCTCAAACCCTAACCTCCGTCCACTTTTGAAAGCACATAGATTCAAGCTTATATTTCTGGGCGTCGTGGTCAAGCTGATGGTTACAACTGCTTCGCAGGGAGTGGCCGGTGGAGGAACCGTGGCAGAAGCCATATCACAAGCGCTTAGTCTTGATCTCGGTGCGACGGATCTCTCATCACCGGAAGTCATGCAACAATTCATATTAGATCACCCCCACATCTCTACGATCACCGATTTTATTCGTAAGGTGAATACTGCCTGGGGAGGCACGGATCTGTTATGGGACACTATGAGCACCCACGAATGTATCGTCGGGGATGGGATCAACTCGGTGACATCCCAAGCTGAGCTTGAAAAGCTTCATGATCTGGGATACTCGACGGGTGACTTGGCCAAAGTTACTGTGGTTTCGGGCACCGCAACTGAGTTTTCTCAACCACTGGCTGATAAGTTTGCAGAGCAAGGGGCCGCTAGCCATGCTCAAGAGGTGGATACTAAGAATGGATCACAATCTGACAGTGTAAGTACATTTTCTACCAAGATTGAAGTGGATCAAGCCAATGGTACGCCACGAAAAAGTAAGAGGCAGAAGTCTAATAAAGTCGCGAAAGTTGCGGGTGTTGTTGCTATTGGGATGGCCATCTTACTTTGAACTTTGAGGTTGAGGCGCTTAGGAGTTCAAACTATTCGTGGACTGGGATTATAGGAACCCTCAGGGATTTACTGCATGGATGTTTTGACTACGGTAGATTTATTTGGCCCAACTCTCCTTCTTCTCCATTGATGTATAGTAGTGTTTACTAAGTTTACTAGGATATAACATTGATTCAGATACATGTGGTGATCAATGTGCTCAACCGTGTATGTATCCTATAGTTCTTGATATAGAGTTCCTTGAAAAAAAAAAACGTCAAAAGCTGTCTACTGATGCATATATGCTAAAGGATCCTGTCTGATTTGGGTAGGTAGTCAAAAGAAGAACGATTTCCATTAAGCTAGAAATGTATAAAAAATAGAAAAGCCATAAAGCATCGCGTGCGAGTATCGCAGAGAGCAAAAGAGGGTGGGTATCTTCAAATATCCAGTCGCGACCAGCCATAACAAATTATATCGAAATGCCGCGGGTGTCACCAACCATGCACAAGTCGAGTGACCTCCGGGGGACGGGGAAAAGGGTATAATCCCAGAGGGATAAGGATTTACATGCAAAATTCAGATAAAAGTCATATCTTCATCGAAGAAAGAAAGCCAAAAAGGGAAGTAAGGCTGGAAAAGGCGAAGAGGGTGCTCCATCAAATCAAGAAAACGTTTAGATGTCTTCAACCACACGGGCGTTCATTGCCTGTTGAAATCCATCGTCAACTTGGCTGCTGCTCCCCCCATATGCACTGGGACCTTCTCCCGCATTATCAGCCGTAGCGATTTGCTGGGCAACAGTCTGATTCATGGCAGGCAAGAAGATGACCTTGCTGTTGGCGCTCTTAGCCATGGCTTGCATAGCCTCGAGGTAACGGATTTGCATGGCCGGAGCAGAAGACAAGATATCAGCAGCCTGGCGCATCAATTTGGCGGACTCGACCTCGGCGCGAGCGGCGATAACCTTGCTCTCACCAATTCGCTTGGACTGAGCAGCCATGGAAAGTGAATCCTGCAGGTCGTTGCTGAAAATGATATCCTTGATGAGCATAGATTCAACTTGGACACCCCATCCGGCTGCGACTTCCTCGATAATCTCTGATGTAGACTGCGCGATTTCCTCGCGGCGCTCAATCACGTCCTGCAAGACGCGCGCACCAATCACATGACGCAGGGTAGTCTGGGTGCGCTCGATGAGGGCCTGCTTGACGTTGGAGATACCGAAAGCGGCCTTGTGTGGCGAAATGACTTGGTAGTAGATAACGGAGGTAAGATTGAGAGTGACATTGTCCTTTGTCATGCAGACTTGGCGGGGAACTTCGACAATTTGGATCTTGACGTCAACGGTGGTAAGGTGCTCGCTGAGCGGGTTGACCTTGACCAGACCGGGATCGACAGAGCGCTCGAAGCTACGAGGAAAAATAATTAGTAAACGTTTAGCGACTTTTGGAACTTGATGTACATACCGTCCGAATCGCGAAACTAAACCAACCTGACCCTGGTCGACTGGCTTGAAGGGATTGGGGCAGCAGATGCAGCAGGGAATAGCACCACAGAATCCGATACATGCGCCCAAGTTATGGACTGCGATGAAGTATACTAATTAGTATCGCGAAGATGTCGCTATCTGGTGGGGAGAACCTACTCATTTGAGAGTACCATCCATGCGCATCGGGGTTTTCTACATCATGTTGAATAGTTGAGGCGTATCTAGGCTGCAGATCGGACAGACGAGCAGGCTGAACTTTGACCAGACCGCGATCCGGGCGGGAAGTGGAAGCCCGCTGCTCCTCAGCAGGAGCTTTACCAAGGCTGGAACCGTTGACGGAGGACATATTCGGTGTTTATGAAATATTGTTCAGAAAAAAGGATGAATTTGAAGGGTGTGAAGTCTGTACGAGAATGCGAAATAAAGTGAAGAGGGGGAAATCATAAGGTTTTTAAAAGTTCCCAGTACACAGAGAAATGGCCTTAGCCAGCCATGCAACTTGACGGGCCAAGTGCAACAATTGAGGGATGGGCACATAGCTTCTCCGCAGTGGGGCGCCCCATGAAGAATCTTACCAATTGAATCAACAACAACCCGGGCACCATTTCTCGTCCCAAGACCCCCTAACTCTCTAAGCCCTCTTCGCTGAGCCTCCGGGGCGCAGAGATCCAAATCCGCCCTTAGGTCCAAGAAGCCAAGGTCCCCACTACTACGACACGTATTGGTCGACTCTGGCTGCCGTCTACCCGGAAGAGGTCACTCGTGAACGATTCAATGGACTAACTGAAAGACCTGCTTTTACTGTTTTGGAATAGGATCCAAGATTCAAGTCCCAAAACCTCAAGTTTGCAAAACCGCGACTATTCCACGATTCAACATTGGGCTGGCCAAATCGCTCGGACACACCGAGGTATGCACGATTGCACCGGTTGTCCAGGGCTGGACTGTGACCAATGCGACCGTACCAATCCCTTTTTACTCATTCTTGGATTCTTCTAAGGTGCATGTTGCTACGATAGCTGGTATGCAGGGCAATCCTCCAAAGACAATAATCATGGCAATCGGCACATTCCACACGTGAGGATCCACACTTTTCCAGATGTTTTTCTAGTGGGACTTGGCCCTCATCAGCCAAGACTACCCAAGGCTATTGTGGGACTCTCGAAAAGGGGGCGAGGCTGACTCAAAGAGCTCTTCGGGGATAAAGCTATGGCCAAAGGTAGCTCGGGGCGCTGCAGATGTCAAATCGCGCGGGAGAAGAAAGAGCTCGTTCTCGTTTAGAGAAGACAAAGTCAAGAAATCATCTTTCAGCAGTGATTTGTGATTCGTTGACTCGGCTGGACGCTAGGATGGAGTTGGCTTGTCTGACGTAAAAGAGTCCACACAGGTGCAGGCAGTTCGGCCCCAAACTTTCCGGGGCCAGGTGATCCACTCGGGCCACGGTTTAAATCTGAGGCAGTGCTAAGGCAGAGTTCCGAAGAAAAAGGTCACTTCCCCGTCCGATGAGTTGTTTGGTGCGATTGTCATCGCTGGGCAAACGAACAACATACATTCTGCAGGCAATAGGAGCCAAAATGTACTGGAAGTCTCGTAGAAAAAGCCTAAATATTGCACTGCCACTATCATCATCGAAACCTTGTGAACCATCGGAAACTGTATATTCTCTTCTTTTTCCTAATTCAAAACATTGAATCTATACGTATGTGTAAGAGGTATTTCTCCCCAAATATTATGACTCTTAAGTGCCTGCCGACCTACCCGAAAATACGCCTACATGGATCCAAACATCCATTGGTTGCCAAGGAAATAATAACTTCAATCTACAATAAAAGTGATATTCTGCCGATCGTAAACTTCGCGTTTCTTTTCCCAATGCTGCCGTGTTCTAGTTTAGATGATGACTCTTAGCATTCTGATATAAATCAGCAACCAAACAACATGCTAGTACAATGACCAAATTACCTATTTATAACCGAAAAATAAAAGCCGCAGATACTGCGAACCCTTTTTAAATGGCCTCAATTCAAAAGCACCTGGGGCTACGCCAGTCTTTAAGGTACTTGCACGTACCGATAATGCGCTTGAATCATATGTATAACCAGATCAAGATAGCTATGCTGTCATCAGAGGCATAAAAGGGAGTACTATAGCGGAAATTTAACATGTTTGAGTGGCAAGAAGATCAGTGAGAGTATTAATATCCACTGTCCAGGTGTCAGGTGTCAGCTTTTGGGCAAAGCAAGCCAATTCTGCACATTTTTGGTCGACAGCTTTGGTTCCTCTTTGAAGCCACAGGATACACAACACCCATGATATTAATACTTATTTCCCATGTGTATACATCATCATGATGATGTCTGATTGCAGACCTACAAAGATGCGAGTAAAAGGCACTACTAGGCAAGAGTACCGAGCATCAAATACTAGTTCTCCGAAAGTACTTTCCCAACCCCGCAGATGTTCCATTTCCCCTCATTTGAAAGAACCAAATAGACACGTCTCGCAGTTAAATCGCTCATTACTAGCTATAAATGGTTTTTGCCATCTAGATTACGCCAATCAAGTTGAGGAACACGTAGGCTCGGGCATTCTAGACAAGTCCTCGGCGCTGATTGAGATTTGTCACCGGGGATGCCCAAAGCTTGTCAAAGCTTGATTTATGGCCGCGTTTACCTTCGACTCCACCTTTTTTATCCGAAGCTCGGGCTTTTAGTGAGAATCTACCCCAATGCGTGCCATTGGTTGACCAATAAGTCCCTCATGAGCGCCATTCCGGGCTAGCGGCAAGCCACAACTTGAAATCTTCAATGTATATTTACTATTATACAATAAGCTATCAATTATCAACTTCAGAAGTCATTGACCTGATTTAATACAAATCTAAATAGACCATTCTTATATGAGCAAGGATCCCTTCCCGGTAGTTCCTGGTTTCTTCTGTCGTCCAAGAAAGGGTGCGGATATCGCCGGGTATAATACCTCATGAATTGAATCTAGCCAATAGCCCTTGCAGCCATGTTCCAGGAGTAAACATTTCGTTCGTCGGACATACAATATCACCCTCTTAGGCAGCGCCATTATGCAGATCCACTCTCAGCCCTACAAGGCCAGCGGGGATGTGGAGACATGCAGGCTCCTCGTGAAGGGATTAAACATGGAGTATTTTCAAGTGTCGATCTGCAATATGAATTTTCGGGGTCCACCGAGCCTTGAAAATCCCTTGAGAGACTGATCCGGGGATATGGGAAGACTGGCTTGAAAGGGAGCTGATTCTTGTCCTGATCAGCGAATGAAGCTACAAAATGTATATGGAAACAGTCCTTGTTTTTCCTCTATAGCTTGTTGAAATATCTTAAAAGTCTCCATTCTTTTGAACCGCATTTTCCGATAGCTCTGTTATCTTCGAGGGGCGGGCTGATTGGAACAAAATCGTCGAGGGTGAAGCAAGGGTTCTCATTGATTCGCATTTGAAATCGACCCACTAAAGGCACCAGGGGGGTAGCAGAATATCAACAATAAAATCATCTCTATTGGCTTACATTCAGAGGCTACCGATAGCTCCGTGCATATGCATCGGAATAACAAGCAATCAGGTCAGAAAAAGGAATTCAGAAAGCAAATCCTTGCATTCTAGCCATTGGCCGTTTTCGTCAACGACACAAGCTTGCGGTGGATGTAAGTAGTATAAAAATCCTGATACCCCCTCAGTTGTTATGTACTCTACCACACACTTTCTTCTGACTTGTTTCAACTGTTCATGAATATTTCAGACTTATACACAGACCTTGACTTAGTATAAACATGATTCGCCAATCAATATTGAGACTATGTCTTGATATCTCACTCCTCATCGGTGTCTTCCAGCCTACCTACGCCCTTCCACATACTTCTGCTCTATATGGCTGGGCCTCAGCTGACGGAAACGATGAATCGTCACAAAGGGCACCTCTTCGAGGAAGCTCGATTTTACTTGGGGTCGTCCAAGATGAATTGAGCTCAGGGAGCAGCGCTGAGGTTCCACAGTCTTCATTTGAGCTGGCACCCGGTCAAGCCACCAACGCCGATATAGGAACTCCATTCACCTTCAAAGACACCCAGAACCCCCAGCCTATTCGAGGTGACCTAGGATCCACAGACCCTGGTCCACGAACATACGCATACGATCGCTTAAACCCTAATACCTTCGCACCGCCAGGCTCAGATAATGGTGAGGTAACACAGGGAAAGTGGCCACTTGGTCTCTCTCACAACCGTATACTCCCTGGGCATGCAGGATGGTCTCGGCAAGAAAATACCGATGTTCTTCCTGGCGCCACGGCAATGGCCGGGGTAGATATGAAATTGGCACCTTGGGCCTATCGCGAATTACATTGGCATCAGGCAAATGAGTGGGGTATCATTCTGAACGGAAGCGTACGAGTACAAGCGATGAATGAAGACGGGCAGACATTTATAGATGACCTTGATGCTGGTGATGTGTGGTATTTTCCCTCTGGAGTGCCTCACTCATTGCAGGCACTTGAGTTGGGCTCTGAGTTCATGCTTGTATTCGACCAAGGTGACTTCAGTGACGGGGGAACAGGCTTGATAACCGAGATGTTTCTACGTAACCCGAAAGAAGTTTTATCGAAGAACTTTCAAGCGCCATTGGAAGATTTTGATGAGATTCCTCAGGATCAGCTGTACATTTTGAACGGGACGCCAGCGCCTAAGGATATCAAGGAACAAACTATTTCAGGGCCTGGAGGCGTGTCTTCTGGCAATGATAGTTATACATATCATTTATCGAAGCAACCTGCATATGAGACGCCTGGCGGCAGCATCAAAATTATTGACCCGATCAACTTTCCTATTGCGGAGAACTTCAGTGCGGCCCTTGTGACCATTAAGCCTGGGGCAATGAGAGAAATTCACTGGTACGTGAGAATATCCGCTTGAAAGGAATGGCAAAAGGAACGATGTCTAAAAACTAAATTTTGATAGGCACGGTACCAGTGACGAATGGGGGTTTTTCCTAGCTGGCAACGCAAGAGTTAGTGTATACGAAGCTCCAACCTCCGGCGCGACAGTTGATTTCGCAGCAGGCGACATTTCATATGTGAAGGCCACGGCATCGCATTACATTGAGAATACTGGCGACGAAGATGTTGTATTCTTGGAAATGCTACAGGCGCCTCGGTTCACTGATATCTCGGTTGCACAATGGTTGAAACTCACGCCCAAACAAATCATCAAGGATACTCTGCATTTGCCGGATAGACTGCTAGATAACCTTTCTCCCAACAAGCAGTATGTTATTCAGGGAAATCGCAATTTGACAGCTCTGGCTGGTGGGTCAGGTATTGCATAAGTTGTGTTTTTGGTTGGCAAGTGGCAGCGCGAAGTTGTGTGACAAATTTGTACATGTGGATCACCACGATGAGAATAGTCAAGGATCATGAAAGAGAAATATGGAATAAGATTGTTTAGGTTATAATGTCAGTATTTGAGCCTCTTACATCAACTAGCATCATTGGTCTAGTGGTAGAATTCGTCGTTGCCATCGACGAGGCCCGTGTTCGATTCACGGATGATGCATTTCTTTTTTGTCTTTTGATTTTTCAATCAAATGAAATTTTTGGCCCCAACACTTCAAAACCTCTCTTATTTCTCAGAGGAAAGGCCAGAAAGAATGATTACATGTCTTAGATAGTTTATTATCGGATTTATTGCTACAAAATAAACCCCCGGTTCAAATTCCGGGAGGAGTCAACGTCGACAAGCCACCACCTCAGGCTGGTAGCACAACCACTGGGTATCCATTGGACAACAATATATATACAGACATCTGGGGGCCTATGATATTTTCCCCCGCACCAATGAACTTGAATATTACTACCAAAAGAAATCTCATATACTATTCTACTTACATCAGCATGCATATGGCACAGCACACGTTCAATGTTTCTACTGAGCTCGAAACTGCCCAAGCATGCTCACCAAGGATCACTTTCAACGTAGCGACGGATAGGGAAGAGAAACATGTGACATGTTACAGAGATTGTTCCAGCGAAGCCGCATAAAGCTCTCGGAATTTTGAGTCTCTGGTCAGTAGAGCTGCTGGTGTATCGCACTCAATGATTTCGCTCTTCTCAAGGACAGCGACTCGATCAAAGCGATCAATATGGGCCAGTCGATGCATAATAGCGATCACAGTCCGATCAGAAAACCGTTCGTCTATCACTCTCTGCATGATCCTTTCAGTGGCTGGATCAACCCTAAACATATAGCGGTTAGCAACAGCGACAAGAAACGGAAAATCAACAGAAAGCCCACCTGGGCACAGCGAGACGAGACGCAGGATAAAGATGCCGAAGGAAATACGTACGAGCTGATAACCTCATCCAGAATAACAATTCGGCTCTCATTTATTAATGCCCGTGCCAGTGCAAATAGCCGCTTTTCCCCCGCTGACCAGTCATTCGGCTCGAGATCCGCATGTAGACCGCCACCATATAGAATCTTATCCCATAGTCCGACTTTTCGCAAAGCGGACTCGATAACAACATCTGTCGTGGACTTAGTGAAATTCAAGTTGTACTCCACACTCCCAGGGATGAAGAGCGGATCTTGTGGGACAACATTGATTTCTGAGCGGATATCATCAGGTTGTAAGCTTAGCAGATCACGATCGTCAATTGAGATACTTCCTGATCGGACCTCTATCATCTGAAGAAGTGCCAAAATTAGCGATGTTTTGCCGCTGCCCGATGGACCACAGATTGCTAGCTTTTCGCTTGGCTTGATTTTCAAGTTGATATTCGTAAGAGCTGCGGGTGTGTTCGAACTGCAAGGCGTTATGTTAGCACGTTTATCGGCCAGTGTGGCTAGAATGCGAGGGGACAACAAACTTGTAATGAGCAGTCACTTGATGAAACTCAATAGCTCCCTGACTTGGCCAGTAATCAGCAGATGGAAGTGACTCTGTTACCCACTGACGGTGCTCAGTTGGAGTGTTGTCGCGAAATTGTTGCACTCGCGTGACTGCACCAATGGAGGTTTCAAGTTGCGTCCAGGAGGTGATAGCTTGGGCCAAGGCGTCATTAAAAGTTAGAACTATGTTCAAGGCAACGCCGATTTCTCCGGCACTGAAGCTATTATGGAAGCATGTGGTGATCACAACAAGGAATACCGCCATGAGGGCAACTAGCAAGTCAAGGACCAATGTCAGCCATTGTTGGATAGACAGAAGCATATAATATGTCCGTTGAGAGTAATTGATATGCTCATCGCATGCTTGCTGAAACTGATTCTGCCAGCAATATGCCTTAATGGTAGAGATTCCAGCTATTGTCTCGTTGACGTGTGTGTAAATGGGTGATTTGGCCTCGATTTCAAGCAGTCGCATTTGTCTAGATGTTCGAAGGTAGTAGCGTTGGATGAGCCAGATAAGGAGCAATAGGAGAGGCACTATGATCGCGAAGTATTTGCCAACTATACAGAGCAGTATCGCTTTGATGAGGCAGAGTGAGGCCGCTAATGACGGACGAAGTTTTGATTAGATCAAGCTCATGAGTGTTGTGGAAGAACTTAGATATGTCCCATACCTCCAGTAAACCCAATCGCAGACATTGGAAGTTTCATATCAATAAGATCCATGTCTTGGTTAAATCGGTTGGCCGTGGCACCACTATCCGTCTTTTGGAAAAAGCTATACGGGGCGCTTAAGGTAGCTTTCAAAAGATCTGAATGCAATGCCTGAGCTGTATCATTTATGATCCCGATTACAAGGATACTTTTCTGATATCAGTAAAGAAATAACGAGGTTCATGATCAGGAAACTTACTAGCAGCAAGCGACGAAAAAGAGTACGTGCAAGACGATAAGAGCCGCGTAAACCCCCAAATAAAAGCCTGGATTTGCATTTGGTCTTTTTGAGTTTGCTTCAGCCCACCGTTGGATCCAGATCGCTAGAAAATGTCAAACTTAAATAATTGTCAACGGCAGAGATACTCTACTTACTGACATAATTAGCCAAAAAGGCACTAGCTAAACAGGAGATTAGAAACAGTGGAGGTTTCCATCGACCTGCTTGCTTGATATAGTAACGGTATGTGCTCCATGCACTATCTTTATTGGATACAGCTTCTGTTCTGCAATTTTCTTGGTATGCTGTAGGTGTTTGTTTCGGTTTGGCCTCGGCTACTGATTGTAAAAGTTCAATGTCTATCTTATGCTCGTCACTTAAGACATCCATAGACTGAAGCTTGTCCAAAGAGGTTCCATTGATAAGTTCTGGGGCACGCGAGATCACATCTTGATAGGAACCAGTGTCAACGATCGAACCCCCTTGAAGGATAAGCACCTGGTCCGCAAATGATGGAACTAGGCACGAGTAATACAGTCAGCTTTAAATAAACTAAAGTTGCGGGGAAGACTAGGGAAGAATACTTGTATGAGAGGTCATGATGACTGAAATTCCCGCTTGTCGAAAATAGCCATCTGCTCCGAACAGGTTGCGTTGGATCAGGTTTATATTCTTTGCATCCAAGCCGCTCCAGACATCGTCCAACATGAGTAGCGGCAGCCGGGAATAAAGAGCGCGAGCTAGGGCCTGATAAGTTTGAACGGGTTATTATCAAGCCGCCAATATAATCATACTCACCAGTATGGTAGACTCACGACTCGCTTTTTCTGTCCTTCACTCAGCGCAATCCCATTGTTTCCAGCAAGGTAGAGATCGCCAGTAGGTAGTCCCTCAAGATCAGTAATGAGAGCAGTCATCGAAAGACATGATTTATACCAAGTTTCCTCATAGTGACCATTTGGACCGATAATGTTGTGTCTGATGGTGTCGTTGATAATCCATGGGACTTCAGCACAGTATGCGACGGCGGAAGTAGACATGCCAAGAATGCCTTCCGTAGGATTGTTATTCAACATTCTCTCTAATAGCGTGGTCTTGCCAGAACCAGAGGGGCCGAATATAACAGTAAACCCCTTCTTGATGGTGACGTTCAGAATTTGGAAGATGTAGTCAGACTTTGCCGTCCAAAGGTTATCGAAATTTCCTGTTGATGGGGAAACGTCGTCGCTGGAACGAGGTCTCTTCATTAGCATGGACTGATCAGATGCTTGGTCCATAATCGCTTTAGCAGACGGAGATAGAGTTCTTTTATTTGATTGAGCATTTGCTTCTACGTCCTGATAAGATTCAAGAAGATAGACGTCAATCCTATCCAAGCATCCCAAGCAGCGCGCAAATTGGGGTAGCGACTGGATGAAAGAAACGAGACGGCTGGTTAGAATAGAAATCAGAGATAAAGATGTAAAAGCCCGACTGGCAAGAAGTGAGCTATCATGTGTTATCAAGGAGACAATAGTGTAAACAGCGAATGTCGCGAAAGGGGCTAACTCTGCGGGCAGATTCGCTATGGATTCCCTAGTTGTTAGCATTATACTATTTGGTGCTCATTTTAAATACTTACACAGCGTAATAGTCCATACCAGTAGCTTCCGAAAGACCTCTGATGTTTTTAACTCCGCTTCTCGCAGACCTGAAATCCTCGTATGAAGCGACTCACTCAGGCCAAGCATTTTGATCACCTTCATGTTTCCGAGCATTGTAAGAGTTGTCCTCATACGTCGCTGAACCCCAACAACCCATGCTTTCTGTGCTGGAACAATGTTATTGGCGATGGGAATGATGCTTAGCATGGACACTTTGCTCGATAGAACTGATCAGTAAGTGGATTTATGGCGAACCAAAGGTCACGGCATGCACGAACCTATTGAAATGACCGTCGGCACCACACATGTCACACCGACCTGTCGCTCCAAGAGGCAGATAGAAGCGGCAATTTCGAGGACAGAGATCCAGCAAGTATGAAACGATTTGAAGCTGGTACATATGCACTCCACGTCAGTTCCGATGAGGGTTATTGCGCGCGAGTCACTGAGATTGTATTTATTAGATTCGGCGGTACGATGATAAATGATAGAAATAAGACTAGCTCGCGTCAAGGCCATGACGCGGTTTACCAGACGACCGTAAACTGCAGTTGAAAGCTGTGGCAAACAGGTTAGAGAGTCGGCGGAAATCACTCGCCCTTCAAGGTCAAACTTACAGCCATCCCGACATACACAAGTACAAATCCTCCAATAAGGGCCTTTCTGTATTCCTGGACAACCTCTGAGGATCTTTTCTCGGAGAGGCCTACCGCGGCCTCTATGAGAAATGGCTGACACATCGTCAAGCCGCTGGTTATCAGACCTGCCGGGACGCATTTGGCAATGTCCCAAGCGTAGGCCGAAAAGACCGCTTTCAAAAGCCGATGGCGAGGCCTGCACCAATTCCAAGCTTCTTGGAGCTGGTATCGAGATTCATGGCCCTGAAGTGGAATATCTACAGGAGGAATATCTTCTGTATGGAGGGTGCTGGAGTATCCCCGTCTCAGGGTGAGCAAGACCCAGAAAAAGAGACCCCGCCCCCAAAATCCAAAAGTTTCCTCTCGAGCATATTTTAGCTTTGAAGAGAAAAGCTGATAGATACCTTCCCCGCATGATTCGAGAATTGCAATGAAGACAGTCAAAGTGTAGTTCGCAGTCCATATATTCCGAGGAATATCAACATGAGGAGTGAGCCAGAGGGAGCGTAGTCGCGGTAGATAGGTGATTGATAGGATGGCGTAATATATTTCAAGAAGCGAGGAAGGCAGGATTGAGCGTTTTGCACCCAGCATTGACAACAGTAAAGCTCCAAATGTGGCAGTTGTGGCGGCAACCCCTGCAGAAGTGAATATTGTTGAGTGCAGCGGTTCAATTCGATTGCCGATGATAACGTATAAGATGTTCAGAGCGCATGATGCACATAAAAAGAACTAAACAGGGGAGTAGTCAGCAGCTGAGTTATTATCTCCAGGTGGTCGCTCACAATTTTCAATTTAGAAATGGCATATACGTGAGAGACATTTTGAACCGGTTGTCGGGAGAGACGCCATATCTGATGCGGCAAGCACAGTAAAAGGAATATAGCAGGCAAAAGAATAAAACTCGCGTCCTCAAAAAGATAAGTAAAATCAAAGCTTCGGCAATGAACATCGACTCGTGGCCCAAATCGGTTGTCGGTACCTGGTGGACAGTTGGACCTAAGAGTATCTGCCAATATTGTACCAAGGTACTGATGACCAACATTATGCTGGAAATATTTAATCCTGTCCATTCACCTTGATATTGGGAATAATCTGAACATACCTGCTCTTCCAGCATGTCTTAAGATTTTGAAAGATTTTGAAATCGCCCAAAAGTGGCACTTTGGTGATACACTTGAGAGCTGTCGTCGGATCTCCGGGGTCCAAGTCCAAGGAGTACTTTACGCGACCGACAAAATCTCTCACCCCCTCAATTCGTGGGGAGTAAAGGCACAATAGGAGCTGTGTTTTTTTCATAATTTGTTGCGAGGTTTGGATTCTAAGAAGTCTTGTATTCCTCAATACGACCTGCATGCCAAGCCAATAGATCCATTACATCTAGGACGATCAGGTTCCACATAATGCAAGGGCTGGGATTAATCACACCTGTTCCAGACGAATAGGAATAAGACAACACAGCTAGCGAGGAGATGTAGATGTAAGATCTATCCACTAGGGTGCCGAGACCAGAACAGGTCAACATTTGTGTAGACGCACCTCTAAAAACTTCATAATCTGCAGGTAAGCTATATAGTAAGCACTGCCATCACAAACTGGGAGTATTTCCCACATCTTCCAGTTCGGTAAAGATGTGTTTATCTTCAATCCAAAAAGTCATCATTCTCGGGGCCACTGGCCACGTTGGTCCGCACCTTGTGTCGATATTCGACGCGGATCCTCACTTTGAAGTTTCTATCTTGAGCCGGGCCTCCTCAGACTGCAGTCAATTTCCACCGCATATCCCCGTATACCGCGTCAGCAAAAACTATGACACAAGCGACTCGGAACTGGTCGAAATCCTTCGAGGCCAAGACGCAGTCGTTAGCGCGATCACGGAGCAAGCCATTCCGCAGCAAAAAGTTGTTATCGACGCCGCTATCAAGGCCGGGGTGAAGTTCTTTGTGCCATCGGAATTCGGGCATGATACAATGAATGAGCAGGCGGCGCGTTTACTTCCGCCTTGTTATGTCACTCAAAAACGGCAGATTGTTGAATATCTCCAAACTAAAGAGGTTGATGGATTGAAATGGACTGCCTTTGTAACTGGTCCATTTTTTGAGATGTAAATTATCCTTTACCCCTAAATGGAGGGTCTATTTTGTCAACTTGCCCGATGTGGAGGGAGGCATTTTGCTAACGATGTCACAGTGCTGTTCCTCATTTTCTGCTTGGATCCGATTTCCAAAGTAGACGTGCAACAATCTTTGAAGACTATGGCGATCATCCCTGGTCTACGACAACTCTTGACACCACTGCCATGGCAGTCAAGAATGCTCTGCTAGACCCGACCAAGAGCGCCAATAAATATCTGCTCATTGAGTCTTTCAATGTCTCACAGAACAGTCTCCTTTCTGTACTGGAAAGGCTAACTGGGAAAAAATGGGACGTGAGCCTTCAAGACTCCGAAGAGGAGAAAATACTGGCAGTAGAAAAGCTCGCTCGTGGGAACTTCAGTGCTATTCCGACCCTCATGCGCTATGTGACATGTGTTGAAGGGTATGGCGGAGACTACATGAGATATGGACAAAAGGCAAATAGCTTTTTATCACTGGCCGAGGAAAGCCTCGAAAGCTCGTTGGAGAAGATACTAGAATAAGAATTTGGATTCTAATTGATATGCACATCTATACGTGAACAAGCATAAGTACCAGTTCTACCAAGCCGTAAAGTAGACTGCTCAATAGCCACACGAGTCCAGATTCTTCTTTGCCCAGACTAAAACTTGAGCTGAAGGCTTTCGTGAAACACAGGCCGCCCAAGATATCTCCTGCTGCCTGAACAATCTCGAACACAGAGTACAGTTTTGCAGTTTCATCCCGCTTGACTAAGTTGGGAATGAGCGATCGTATGACTATAGGAAACCCAGCCCCAAAGGCATAAACGCACACACTTGGGATGACCAACGAGGCAGAAGACGAAAGACCAAGCGCTAGAGAGCCCATAATGTAAGCAATTATACTGAGACGCGCGATCTGAAGGTCTCTCCTTGATGCAGACAGAGAATGCAAAAGCTTGCTTGAAACCAATGGGAGTATGAAAAGAAAAAGAGGGATCGTGACAGCCAGGTAGAGTGAGCTCAGCAGATGGGCTTGTGCGATACTCCAGCCGAAGCGTGTCGACGCGTAGAGTGTTAGAAACGACAACGCGTTTCGTGCAAATTGCACGGTGAAAAAAGATAATAGAAGCATCAGGAGAGGACGGGTAAAGAGAAAGGAGTAAGGCTGAATGAGGCGTTCAATCTTCCTCGAGACTAAATTATACGCAGATTCCGACGGCCCAGGTGGTTCGTCATCATCTGAGTACATCTGTTCTGCCTCAGGCGATTTTACTTTGTTCATCGTTTCAGGAAGAGAAAACACACAGCCTAGCCCGGCCAAAGCAACCCCGGAGCCTAAGAAAAGCGGTATCCAAGGATTGAGAGCCATCAATGGAGAGCTAATCGCACTGGCAAGAAAGCTTGCGATCTGACTAGCTAGCCCGACTCGAAAAAAAAGGGCTGCGCGGTTATCATCTGTGCTAAGGTCAGCCAGCATAGTCCAAACTACAAGCATGGCGACGGTCGGCCCTCCTCCTATGATCCAACTGAGAGAGGCGAGCCAGATAGCTCGGAGGGGTATAATATCGGAGAACCACAATACAGAGTTGGTTATGAGTGCATTTAGAATGAACCCGGGTACAGTGAGCCGAAGCGCTCGCCGGCGACCGTATCTATCTGCCCATATTCCATAGGGAATGGCACAGATGGCGCCTACAACAATGTTAGCATTGAAACCTTGTCTTGAAGTAGGAGATTTACGGACACAATAATGCCTCAAGGGTATCGAAGTATCCTTTGATGACTGCGACTTCGGTCTGTATCGCTGGTATCTTGCACAAGTGCTGTGGGGGATGATTCGATGTTGGCAGACGCGGTGGTTCATGTCGACGCCAGTAATTGTTACAAACAATAGCTTCGATCAGTCGCACCGTGGGACCTGGAATCAACTGCCCCCCGATTTCGAAGCACAACAAAATCACTATTAGAGTGGCCAATATGCGAAAACGGGTTCGCTGTGACATCTTTGGACTACTATGGCATTCCAGTTGACCCTGTAGGAGCGGGTTGTTTGGCTCTCGTGGGAGGAATGGAGCATTTTCATCATTGCGCTCACGACTCGAATCTGGCGGCGAACCAGATATGCTCATGATTGAGAGGCGAATTGGTCTAGGGGTACAAGAAGCAAATGTAAAGTGATTTAATGTCTAGATAACTTTCTCACAAGCATACCCCTCGCGAATCCGGATTTTCGCATGAATCACCAGGGATGCCAGCAGAGGATGAGCGGTGATGAGTGACAAATGCAGCTTTGTACATTCCACCATTATTTTGTGAGCTAGGGGTCGATAGATCATTTGTGTTTCATAACGGTCTATTGCAGCTATTGCAGCGTTGGGATGAAATGACGTGACAGGTACATACAGAGTCGTGGAAGACTTAATTTATTTACGTGTGGCAAAGTGCCCATGCTGTGTAACACTATGTTGTGTGACACGATCGTGGCTTGGCATAGGTACAAATGTACATGCAGGTGCAGACACGCTGAAGAGGGGAAGACAATGCGGTAACGAGCCAGATGGGCGGGGCTAACCAAAACACCACACCTGAAGAGCTAAATTGAACGCCATTTTACGGGCAGGGAAGCCGCCAAGCTACTCTCAAATGCATTAATAGAGATTTTTGTGTGACACAAAGCAACTCTATCTCAATGAGCGTCAAAGGCATATGAGCGAGACATGCAGGACCTGTATTGCATGCACAGAGATCTGCAGAGCACACATATTAGTGAATATGGGCACAAATATTGACAACGATAGGTACATGGACTCGATGAAATTATTTCCATGACACAATAGTGCCTTATCTTACATACGAAAGTCCTGATTCGGGCCAAAAAAATAATAAGATGGTGAATTCGGACGGCTTTAACCTTCTTTCGGTGAATCCGAGATTCATGCAAGGTCTTGTTCGCCATATGTACGTTGACGTCAACGTTGTGCTGTTTTTGTGAAGTGAGCAGAAGGAAACTCCCAATCACGTTCTTTCGGGGTTTTTACATCTAGCGGTCAAGGAATCTAGATTTATCATAGTAGACCCTGCATGTTTCTAACTTGGATCATGGACTAGGGTACGCTCGCAGTCTTCAGAGCTGAGAGGTACATGAAGTGTCATTATTGTGAGATCATATTTGCAAACCAAACATCTGTAGAAGTTTTCTTTTATTTCACATAGACACAATTTGTCATTAAACATAAGCTAATCTACTGATGATCATGATGAGCATGAGGGTCACCCATTACTTCCCCACCCTGCAATTGATGACCTTCCTGGAAATGGTGTTGGCCCAGTTTAATCCCAAGCTCGTAGTCCTGCTTCTTCCAAGGTGCAGGCCACACATAAGCGTCTGAAGGAACGGGCATAGCGTCAAACTTTTCAGGGTCAACAGCATTTTCGTGCTGCCAGTCCTTCAAAGCATTGAAGTTCCGGCATTTTCGGTTCACGCTGAAATCTGGCCATGGAGGCTGGCGGTCTTCCACCCAGTTCAAGGTCAGAACCTCTGTATTTGCGTTGCATTGGAGATTCTGAAGTAGGATATCGGTGCAATGGCCGAGATGAATCCACCACATTTTATCCTTCACATCCAACTCGGGCTCGTAGCCAGGATAACTCTCAAAGGCAGACTTGCGGAGTAAATTCAGACAATGAATTTGCTAAATTTCTCTCCAGTTAGAAAAACTTGAATGACCGTAGCATTCTGTCACTACTCTCCCGACACGAAAACTTACATGCATCACATCAAGCTGGACCATGTACGCATCATCGCCCAGCCCCCAGTATTCGTCGTTGAACCGTGCTACCGTCTCGGGATCTTTTCCTAGTTTGATGATCTGCTCGCGAGTAACAACATGTGTTAAGACCTTTTCAAATTTATGCCACGCTTCATCGTTCTCAGGACCAGGCTCCTCGCGAGCAATCGAAACTTCTGGTAGAGCAAATAACGTCCCGTTTAGCATGGTCGTATGCTTTGGAATTTCGATATCATCGAGAATCGGTGCTGTAACGTAGAATAACCCCGTTAGCGTTGACATGTGAGTTCAGAGTACAAGGACATACACCACCATGAGGTTGGCCTGAGATCGGCATTTTTCTGACTGCTAAAAATGTTCTTCATAGTAGCGACGCCCAAGAAGACATTCATGCCCAGTACGACCGCATTGAAAATTGAGAAGTAGATCCAAGACTTTGAATGCGCCAGTTTCCGCGCAAGACCTGCCTTTGGCAGAAGCTTCTCCGACTCAATATCTTCCTCGTCGCCATCAGAGCTATCAGGTCCCAGGGCGTGGAACTTAGGCTCTCGACGGAATAGATTCAAACGTTCCAAGAAGCCCATTTTTCTGGAGAGTTGCTGGTTGAAGGATTGGTCTCAAAAGAGATACCGAAGATGAATAAAAAGCCAACTCTGAGAGGTACCCACGAAATGTGTATCAACTTACTAGTTGATTCAAATTTTGGGAAATGACTAAGATAGCAATGAAATGTTATCAATAAAGTGCAGCAAATTACAAACCCCTCAGCTTCCGAGGTTAGAAGTGTACTACAAGGCCCGTCAAAAATACCTCATATGTTGGTGGCGTAGCTGAACTCATACTTTATGTGATATAAAGTGCAGAACACTAATGCAACTTCATGCGAAGAATCAAGAGATTAGTAGAAAAGTATTATTGAATAAAAGATCTACACACATGGAGTTCGGCTGGATTTCAAGGTTACGTACTCCGTAGAGATTCGTACTAGATGTACTTAGACCAGATCTCAATTACAGCTCTTACATTGCTTGGCTAGATACTTCCAGGACATATCATTGGCTCTTTATTTATTCTGAAAATATTGGAAGCCTGAAATCAATAAGTGGCAGGTTAACTATGCAAGCATACTTTAATTGTGGATCCTCGTAGTCATCTTGGAGCTGAGAGTATGCATATCACGCACAAACTTGAAGCTACTTGAAGAGACCTGCTAGGCTTAATGTCGCACAATGGCGGGGATCTTTTCCAACACATACATGCATGGCTAACCCTGGATTTATTTACATGTGTCTACGGGTGCATGGTAGGGTTTCTTGGCAAAGTTGTATGTTCTAACTGTATGAGTGGGAATAGCCAAACTCTCGGTTGTGTAACAGAGTATCTTCATAGCTAACCTTGTTTAATAAATTAATAAAAGATTTTTACCCCCCGTTAGTAACTAGGCCATTATTCGGGATCGGCTGAGAAAGGGATTTCAATAGCCCAAGAATAAAGTTTTCTTTGCGTATTAAGTCTGAATGGGAGAAAGTTACACAAAAATGGAACCAGGCAGCGATTCGCATCATCTTTGTTGTGTGTATGGAGTTTGGATCTCCCAATCAGCTTTGGAATGATGCCGACTCAAAATACGGCTAAGATACCTACAACGCGATCTGAACAGCAATGAATCAAAGCTCTTACGACCTATGCAATGCATGATCACGCATGAGCATGCGTTTAGTACGTCGCACAGCATCATAATTACTAAATTATTGCACACCGAACAATGCCGACTCCAAGGTCTAGTTCTTAACGAGGCAAGTAGCTGACCGCTACTTGGATACTTTGCTAGGGACAGTACTATGTTGTAGCTGATGACTGGGTATTTTATCGATTGAAGAGAGTGATCCCAGCATTTTTTGTCTTATAAAGAAGCAAGAGCCATAGACTTGAAGAAAGATATACCTTCCAAGAATCTATTACTTTAGTATCTCTTCATCTGTGCTTCTAGCAATCTTCAATCCCCCAAGTCAAAATGCGTGTTTCTCATCTCTTTGCTCTTCTTGGATTCTCAGGAATTGCTTTTGGACTTCCTGTTGCCAACGAAAACGAGGTCTCTCAGAAGAGTGACGAAGACCTCGACAAGCGTTTCTACTACACACATTATGTAGCTCCAGAGAAGCGAGATGTTGATGAGCACGACAAGCGTTTTTACTACACAAATTACGAGGCACCTGCAAAGCGAGAGGTCAACGAGGATCTCGAAAAGCGTTTTTTCTACACAAATTATGTAGCTCCAGAGAAGCGAGATGTTGATGAGCACGACAAGCGTTTTTACTACACAAATTACGAGGCGCCCGCAAAGCGAGAGGTCAACGAGGATCTCGAAAAGCGTTTCTACTACACACATTATGTAGCTCCCGAGAAGCGAGATGTTGATGAGCACGACAAGCGTTTTTACTACACAAATTACGAGGCGCCTGCAAAGCGAGAGGTCAATGAGGATCTCGAAAAGCGTTTTTACTACACACATTATGTAGCTCCCGAGAAGCGAGATGTTGATGAGCACGACAAGCGTTTTTACTACACAAATTACGAGGCGCCCGCAAAGCGAGAGGTTGATAACGAGAAGCGTTTCTACTACACTGCTTATACCGCGCCCGAGAAACGCGAAGAGGCTACCAATGAGGCATCCGCGGAGGCTGATGCGACTACCAACAATGAGTAATACAATCATCATATCGAGGGAAACTTGACGACGAGAACAAGTGGAGAGTTTCAACACGCTCCAAGTCAATATCAATGGGGTATTACGACGGAAATCAATATACGTCTTGCTCTAAGTGGTCGTTGGGGAAAGAAAGGAAAGCGTGGACAGTTGTTCGGATGTGATGTGACTCGCGAATCTTGTGAGATGTGCCTGCTGGGCTTTACTATATATTAGTTTTCAAATTTCCCCAGTGATCATTTCATTCAAGGTCCTCGCAATTTTAGGGTTTTTATCTTCTACTTTGTTTCATTCTGGTCGTCATCACCCTGATGAGTAGAAAACATGTATTTTGTATGCCCTTTTCGAGACCTAGGTCTCTGTAAACTCTTCATTAATGAACATAATAACATATTAAGACCCAATGAGGATGAACAGGCCTTAATACTACATTCTGTTTGTTTGTTCTTGTACTTCATATGCCATTATATGCTGTCGAAGTCTACCCAATTCATCTCCAACTTACAGGACTTAAATCCTCATAGATCCATCATTCCACTCGATGATCCGAGAAAGTCTAATGATTGATTTAAATTTTTTTTAAGAAAAAACTACTTGATAGCTTTACCAAGTAGCCAACAGCGCTATAGCCAATATCCTTTATCTTATCAGTCTTATCAGATAAGATAAACAAAAACTTTTTAGCCTCAGGCTACCAGGGAGATACGGAGTGCATCATTGATGGTACGTACCGATGACAATGTAGCCTGAGAGATCTGGACTGCAACCACGTCGTTTAAATTTTTTAAACTTCGTAGCATAGGCTGCAAAGTTCTGACAGTATCTTATCTCACTCGGTCGAGACGTTGGATTTTTCCCCCACCTGTCAATGACACATGTGTAGCCCATGCTGACGCCATCCGACTCCAATTTCACGTCTTGTCAACACCCGAACGCTGCACGCCATTATGTAGCACTAACAGTGGACTGCGGGGGGTTTGCAGAAGACGTGATGCGGTACCAATAAATCTTCCGAGGCGTACGAGAAAGAGCCGAAAAAAAAGTTCGAGCAGCACAAAACAACTGCACTGCTGCACCAATCCATTGTTTCCCATACAGTCATTTCTAGCACTACAACATCCAATCAACCACCACAATGGGCTCAACAGAGAAAAAGCAGCTGATAATCAATGCCTTCGCGATGCATTCGCCGAGTCACCTCAACCCAGGACTCTTTCGCTACCCCGCAGACAAAGGCGCAGACTACAAAAACATCAAGCATTGGATGGCATTGGCACAAAAGCTCGAGAAAGCCAAATTCCACGCCATATTCTTCGCCGATGTCCTAGGTGGCTACGATGTCTATCGAGGCCCCGCGAATCTAGACCCGACCATTCCTGCCGGTGCCCAGTTCCCAATCAACGATCCCCTGTATAGCATTCCTGCCATGGCAGCCGTCACAGAGAGCATCGGGTTTGGGGTAACGGCATCAACGACCTATGATGCGCCCTACGCACTTGCTCGCCGGTTCTCGACCGTCGACCATTTAAGTAACGGTCGGATTGGATGGAACATTGTTACCTCGTACCTGGATTCCGCAGCGAGGAACTTCGGCCTAGATACCCAGGTTGAGCATGATGAGCGCTACCGCATTGCCGATGAATACCTGGATGTTACCTACAAGCTTTGGGAGGCGTCGTGGAGAGATGATGCCGTGGAATGGAAGCAGAGTGATGCTACGCCAAATGGTGCGGTAGAGGGTCAACGATATGCGGACCCCCGTGGAGTTCGCCAGATCAATCATAAGGGGAAATATTTTCAAGTGCCTGGTCCTCATCTGTGCGAGCCCAGCCCTCAACGCACGCCATTCTTGCTGCAAGCTGGTACTTCAACTGCTGGAAAAGCATTTGCAGCGAAGCATGCAGAGGCGGTGTTTTTACATGCGCAGAAGCCCGAGCTAGTGCGGCCATCTGTGGATAGTATTCGGCAGCAAGCTGCTGACCTAGGACGCAATCCTCGAGATATCAAGATTGTGGCTGGGGCTCTGGTTGTTGTAGCCGAGACCGATGAAGCGGCACAGGCTAAATTTGACAAATTCAAGAAATATGGAGATACCGAGGGTGCGCTGGCTCTATTCGGTGGGTGGACTGGATATGATCTTTCCACGTATACAGACGATCAAGACTTCCGATTTGTGGAGCAGCCTGCCGTGCGCAGTATGGTGAATCACTGGGCGAGCACAGTGCCTGGTACAGAAGGCAAGAAGTGGGATAAGAAGACGATCGCCGAATACTTGACTCTAGGTGGCAATGGTGTTAAGATCATTGGCAGTGTCTCAACGGTGGCTGATGAGTTGGAACGCTGGGTTGATGTTGGTGATGTTGACGGATTTAATCTGAGCTATGCCACCATCGATGAGACTTTTGATGATATTATCAACCTTCTGCTTCCAGAACTCCAAAGACGTGGCTTGTTTTGGTCAGACTACGCTGTGAAGGGTGGTACATTTAGAGAGAATATGTACGGCAAACAGGGACAGTCAAGATTGCCTGATGCTCACCAGGGAGCCAAGTTTTTCTGGAAACAGGGTGAAGAGGTACCGCCTTATTCATTGACTGAGTCACAGCAATAGGCTGGTATATGGTGCTCCGAGGTCTATTCTGATATCTGGAGGCTTTTGGCCCCTAACGTTATTTGCCTATAAATGATCAAACCTACCTCCACGCCATACTATATGTAGTAAGATCAATTAAATAGCTGATAATCCCTCGAGACAACACTCTATCGCTTAAAAAACCAAAGTGATATTTGCCACAATGAAGAGACTGTTCAAAGCACAATTTTCCATGAGAACCATCGCAAGTATCATTAAAGAGAAAAATGAAAAAAGAAACAAATCAAAATCTAAATTTAACTGTGCGAACTCCTCGATTGTGTAGATGGCTGGTTCCTGGAAAATAAAATGCGGCGATCTAGGCAGCTACTAATACAAGAGCGGTGTTTTGACCACAGCCGGTAATCACGGCACACTATTTCTCAAAATTTGCCCCCATTTTACTCCCAATATCCACTGCCTCGTGTCTGGTCTTGATTCATGATTGAGATCTCGTGTCGATAGCCCGAGCCTACGAAAACATCAATTATACAAGCACTGCTTGAAGGTGACAAGCTTTCCATTATCAATAACCTTGACCGAGCCTCAAGGGCTATTATCGGCGTATTTTATTTTCTTCCTCAGAACCCTGCTCTCTCCCCGCGCCTTCACACTATGATGAACGTTCCTTTCCCATTTCAAATTTGCTACTTGATTGCTTTACAAACATCTCAAGCCCTAGACTTGGGAGCTCCATAAAATTCCAGTATGTCTTATCTACCACCTGGATGGACCGAGGACCGACTTCAGATTGTAACAGTTGACGATCTACGCCAGTTATCGGAAGAGGTGAGCATACATTCTTCTTACTTATTATCATCATTTTACTACTTTTTCATCTTCAGATGAAAAAGTAAACCATCTTCTCAATTTGCCAGGATATTCTTCGGCCATTACTAATGAACCTTTAAACTGCCGGGTTCTACCGGATTCAACAGTAAGTTTATATTATTATCTTGGAGCTGACCAGTGACAGTGAGCTAAGGATACACTCAATCAGGGAATACTACGAATATCTAGAAACTTTAGGTGTGCCCCCTGGACTTAATGTGGGGGTATGCCTGATTGCCGACAAACCTGCTATAGAATCTATGCAAAGTGAGAACCCGTGGGTGTATGCGTTGGATATATCTTTTGATCATTCCGAGAATGTTCCAGATGGAACGTATCCGGGCTATTTCCGAGTCGCTATAGAGTCGGTTATTCCGGATCTTTACCCGATGCTGCCAGCAATGACGCTTCGCAGTATGGAAAACAGCCTTTGTTTCGCAGTTTTCAGGAGATTGGAGGGACTTAGTGGAAGAGGGTGCATATAAATTCAAAGGCTGTCAATTTACCCCAAAAAACGAAGCAAGTTGCGGCTGGAAGGATTCATCCGGAAGGATTCATAGCCCGTCGCCGCAGGAATGATCGAGCCTGAGAGCCGGTATCATGAATTGCCCCGACGGTCTAGGGAACAACGAAAAATGCGCTCACGAAATTGTATACACTTAAATACAGATAATGTCTGTTTAGATCCAGCGGCTTTAGTCTCTAGTTAACATTAGGTTAATAAAAACAATCATGTCTCAAAGAAAATCAGTTCTGATCACAGGATGTAGCGACGGTGGTATTGGATCCGCCCTCGCGAAGGCATTCCATGACAAGGGAATTCATGTTTTTGCAACTGCACGACAAAAATCAAAGATGAAAGCGCTTGGAGATCTTCCGAACATCACATTCCTGGAACTTGATGTCACCTCCTCGGAAAGCATCGCAGCAGCGCAAGAAGCCGTGAGCAAGGAAAGAAATGGAACGCTTGATTACCTAGTAAACAACTCTGGGTCAGGTTATGTCATGACCTTCCTAGATTCAGATCTCGAGACATCACAGCGAATGTTTGATGTTAATGTATGGGGAGTTGCTCGTGTCACCCAAGCATTTGCTTCACTTTTGATCGCTGCCAAAGGAACAATTGTGAACAATGCTTCGACGGCAGCATGCCTGGGACTTCCATACCAGAGTAAGAATTAAAAAGAAAAACATTGCAAATGATTGATCGGGCCAGGCTAATAAGTTTAGGCATGTATTGTGGCTCGAAAGCTGCTGTACGGCTAATGAGTGAAGCAATGGCCCTCGAGATGAAGCCTCTTGGGGTAAGGGTGGTCACGATCATCACTGGTAATGTTCGCTCTGTTTGGTTTTCGAACCAACCAGAGTTTATATTTCCTCCCGGGTCTTATTATACCGCTGTCAAAGATAAAATAGGTATATACTCCAGGGGAGAGCAAGGGCATCCACAAACGGATCCGAAGGTGTATGCGGAGAAGGTGGTTGGTGATATTCTTGGCGGAGCGCCAGGAACAATATGGCGAGGAGCACAGTCTTATACTGTTAGATACGCGCTACCCTGGGTCCCTGATTGGTTGAAGGTAAGTTTATCGTTGATGATATCTGGGGGTAATACTAAAAGTCCATAGAGTATCCTTGCTGTGAAAGGAAGTGGACTTGACACATGGAACGTCTAAGCTGAGAATTTGGCTAGGAAGGGCATTAAAAGTGACAGACTGAATTCAAAAAATTCGATGGAACATATAAAAGCTTATAACCCTATTCTGGTTTCTTGAAATTTGTGTATATTTAGATCTATATTCTCTGAGTTATATCATTATCATACTTGAGAAAAGGCATATCAACCTCTGGCTTGCATGAAATCAATTTGATCATGTCGTTCGTTCGAGGATCATTTCCACTAAACATCCCACCAGCCTTCCATGTGTTTTCTCAAATCAATATCCCCCGGTAGATAAAGATGAGGAACAAGGTTGGCATTTTCTGGCTTAATTTCCCTTGATGTCCACCCATTCCCAAAGTAAGCAAATCGATTACCACTAGTATTGACATAAGTGTAATCCCAGTCCTCCCATCGAGGGTCTCGACGAATATAGTTCACAGCAGCTGCACTACCAGGAAACAAGCCATGAATCTTTCCACCAGGCTGATTACCATTGTACCATGAGCTGCAATTTGCCGACCACACAGTACGCGGATAGAAGGTATCACAGTACTCGACAAAGTCATCAGTCGCTTGCTTGGATGGCGCAATTGATTTAATTCCCTGGCTGCGGATCTTTCGGAGAACCTTTGCAACGTATGTGATTTGATTTTCCATGCTGCTTGGTACAGTACCACTGTGTCCTGAGGCATAAGGACCACCGACCCAGAATAAGTTGGGGAAACCAGGTGTCGCAAACCCAAGATATGAGTATGGATAACCGAAGAGACCATCCTTCTTCCAGGCAGATTTGAGATCAATACCATTGGAAATAATTGAGAATGGTGGGGCATGATCTGTATTCGCTCCAGTAGAACATATGACAATGTCTACTTTTCTTTCGACGCCATCTTCAGTAATGATACTGTCTTCCGTGAATCTTCGAATACGCGTCTGAATATAATCAACGTTATCCTTGGTCAAGGCCTCAAGGTATCCAGGTCCTGGTGTGGGTCGACGACAGTTTGGTGGGAAATCAGGCAAGATTTTGTCCGCGAGCTCAGGCTTGTCAGCGATGCGTTTTATCATCAGTTCAGACCATTTCTGCTTCAGCTCGTTGTTCTCCGGTGTGTCTTTGAAGATCGCACCGAAGCGTTGGAAATATCCTGTCTCAACCTCTTTGCGGTACTTGAAATATTCTTGAGGATCTTTGAAAGAGTCCAGCTGTTCTTGAGAGAAGAGATTTGGTTCCAGACGACGGACACCGGTATTTCCACTGCTAAATGAGTCTGCAATCCATGTTGGATTGCGAGCATAGTGATCCACGTGAGCGGCTAGAGGTTGAATCGAAGGGAGAACTTGTAATCCTGAAGCTCCGTTCCCAATGAGAGCAACTCGCTTTCCTTTCAGGTCCACATTATGGTCCCAATGAGAGGAATGGAAGAGTGTTCCTTTGAAGTCCTTAATCCCTTCGTAGTCAGGAAGTTTCCACGCATTGAAATGACCAATCGCATTAATGATGACATCTAACTTCTCTTCATAGACCTGGGATATAGTTAGTAGACGGTCTGATTTTTTGGGATGTATATTCTCACTTTGTTAGAGCCATCCACATGCTCGACAGTGACCTTCCATTTCCCTTCATCCTCTAACCACTCAACTTTTTGCACTTGTTGCTGGAACTTAATGTATTGATAAACATCATGCTTTCGTGCAACACTTTGCCAGTAATTTCTTATTTCTGCGCCCTGAGCAAATTCTTCAGACCATTGCGTATTAGGCGAAAATGTGGATTGATAGGCATGTGCAGGAATATCACAGCGCACGCCAGGGTATGTATTTTCAAACCATGTTCCTCCCTAAAAATATTTGTTAGATAAGAAAATTTTGCAGCTGAATTAGAGAGTATGTTAACATACTACATCTGCATTCTTGTCATAGATTCGTAAGTCAAGCCCAGGTAACTTAGCCGGGAGCAATGCACCGGCAGTCACGCCCCCAAGCCCAGCACCAATAACACCCACTTTGATAGGTCTCACTTGGTCAATAGGGTGCTCTTCAATAGAAAACTTCGAGTAAGACTTTGCATCTTGCTTGTTCGAGTGAAGTTCGGTAAATGTTACGGAAGGTTCTTGGGCCGCATCTGAAGAACTCTTAACTGGTACCGTTCGAGCAATATTGAAAGATGGCTGTGCCGTAATTTGAGGGTTTTCCAGCAAAGTCATCATGGCAGTTCAAGATTTATCTTTACCTTAATCCCACAGATTGAGAGCGAGGGGTTGGTACAAGGTAAACAATGAAGCAGCTGTTCAAGTTGCTCCGATTGCTAATCTGGGCAACCACACTTAATGTAGGTATGGGATGATCCCTGCACGCAATATAGAACATGGCATACGCCACCTAACCCCAACACCAAACAGAGGCCGAGACTACAAGTTATGACTCTGATTTACCCCCAATTAACCTTCTACCTGGTTATGTTGTACGATTACCGGGGCTGATTTGATGTGTGTGATACCATTCCCGTCCCCGATTGCGTCAGGAGCCAGAGATGCTTTCTGTCAGCGACACCATTAACCCCGCTTAAAACGCAATCGCGGAGTATTTTAGACTCAATAATTAGCTCTGGAGCACTAACTACAAATAAAAGGTCCGATATGTTGATAACAGATCTTCTGCGGAGTGGAACGCGCTTAAATACTTATCGCTGGATGAGATGGATTTGGGGGAATTCTCGGCCGATTCGCAAGACGGGGGCACTATGAGTATAATCGGCGGTTTGGTCTGAAAGACGTTGTCAAATGAATGTAGTCGTTCAGATACTTGATACAAATAAATTAATATGAAGCTGTCAAACCGTTGTTTCTTATAATGCAGTGTATTAATTTTTATGTATATTATGTATAGACTTTGTCAACCTTAACTTATAAACTTGAATACAAATATCAGTGACACGACAGACTTGTGGACAATTATATATGACAGAAAAACGTTGGGTGTCATCATGATCGGCTTGTTGAAGTAGCGAATGTTCAATATGAAGACTTTCTTAAGCCCCGTCTATCCCTAAGCCTCTTTCAATGTCTTCCATATTGAGATCTGATGTATGCATGTTGTTAGCACAAATTGAGGCGCGGGATGTGACTTTAGCCGCAAGATCGATAGCTTCAACAGCAAGGTCGGAATCGACTCCCATAGCGCTGGAGGTGATCTCCACTGGTTGTCCGGACTTGGCTTCTTTGATTTGATCTGGGCCACTGGCATGTGTTTCCTTGATTAATGAGAGCTTGCACACTAGTAAACGCGCTTCTAACATGCAGTCGAGCTCACTTTTATCGGGGCGGAGGCTGTTGGAAACCACCAGACATGCAACAGCTAGTGACCAGGAGTCTAATATTTGTTTCAAATTTAGGTCAACTTCTGGAGTAGCCGACGAGGAGACTGAAGAGGCTGGGGAGACGGTGTGAGTCAGTAAAGGGCTCGACATGGAAGATAATTCAGAGAAAGATTCCTCGTCTGAAGTCATGATCGTGGTATCCTCTACCGAAGACAAGTCGGCTAGCTGTGAGAATAGAAGGATGAAGATATCTAGTCGTCGGAAAATGGTGAGCAGCTGCTGCGATGGATTATAGGATTTCAATAGAGTTTTGCCGTGATGATAATGTGTCTATGCTCCCTTGATATTGCCAAGTAAAAATTCAATCCGAATGCAAGCGAAACACGCCATAACTACGGAATCCAGATGTTCAACTTCGGATGCAACTATTTATTGGATGGCTTTGTTGTAATGTTGCATGGCAAACTGCCTTTGCTGCACGCCCACATGGGAGTCATCTCGACAAGCCTCATACAGGGAGCTCGCAGCCACCGCTGCGTGTAAAATTGTAGTTTCCTGATGCGCCGCTTGGGGAATATCATGAGTCCAAAATATTTGCGGCATTGGTTCAGTGAGACCTGGCGCTATGAGCCGACGAAGAAGGTCCAAGCTTCGAAGCTCAGCTGCTCCTACCCCAGGAATGGCCGAAAGCCGTATGTTTTGCAGGGACTCCGAAGCCTTTGGGACCGGTGGGACATAGCCGGGACATTTGCGCCCGGTCGATGTGCATTTTATACAAACAGGCTGAGTTTCGTAGCATTTAACTCGGCGATTCCTGTTAGTTACGGTTTATCTTCTTTAGCTTGCTAATCCAGGGGAGAGACTTGCGCGCGAAGGAGCGACTAACCTGCAAGTGGAACACCCGGTCCGACTTCTCGGAGTTCTTTTTCGAGTTGTTTTCCGAGTCGGAGTTATAAACAACATGAGAAGACTGGTCGGTGTGATGTGGTGGTTCGAAGTTCCATAATGAGGGACCCCCGCACATCGCCTTACGTGGTCGATTACCTGGCCAAATGTGCTTTCTTTTCTTTGTCCGGGGTACTTAGCTCTGCGCTAGCACAAATCCCTAGCATAGCTAAAAATCCGAGGAAAAGGTGAATTTTATAACATGATACATCACTACTATACTCATTGAGGCCTAACATAATCTAGGCAGAACTTTATTAACTAACGTGGAGGCCTACTCTTAATGATTCATAAAGAGCAACACCAACCCTTCAATCGCGACCTAAACAAAACGTATCCTGATATATCATTTGGGTGAAAACAACGGATTTTTCTATCTGTTTTCCTTGGCTACAGCTTGAAGCAGCACTCTTAATCACCAATACCTGACACAATGGCATTTACCCCACCAGCAACTTGGGTTACCCCTCACACATGGACACGCGAGAACAGCGATATTTTCATATCAAATGATCCTGCTCTACTATCCGTAGAGGCTGTCAAACATGCATTTGAACAACACTTCGTTTTCTGGGTTACTGATCCCATCCCAGAAGATGCTCTCCGACAAATGCTTTACGGTGCGGTGAGCTTTGGTGTTTATAAGCGTATCCACCCGCGGAGTGATGATACTACATCGACCAAGAACACAGAACAGATAGGACTTGCACGCATGACGACAGATGGGGCTAGCTTCGCCTACCTAGCAGATGTCTATGTGCTTCCTGAATATCAAGGGAAAGGACTGGGAAAATGGCTTATTGAGTGTATTCGAGAAGTCTTCTCCAAGCCCAATATGCCATATCTACGCCGCATTATGTTATTCACGGGCAACGAGAGAACTCAAGCATTTTATACTAAGCTTCTCAACATGAAAGAGCTTGGACATGAGGAAAGACCGGAGCTTGGAATTGATTTAAAAATTCTGTGTGCGCGACCCTAAGCTTGCTGTTCTTGCGGTGCTCTTCATTTTTAGCATCCCTCTACCAGGGGAGCTGTAAGGGTGTTGGCAGGTCGGCTCCAAGGACGTCCTTGGCTGTTCCAATATCTCTGTAGAGCAGTTCATTAGAATATGACTCGAATGCATTAATATAATGGACGGAATGTACCCAGGTCCTCTTGGAGCCCAATACTCCCCAGTCTTATGAATGTCGAATTTATCAATGAAGGGTACGAGCGAGCGAGCTGCTTCATTAGGAGTAACCGCTACATTGATAGAAATTAGCATACTCCTTATCAGAAATGGTTTACTTGATTTTGTGCCAAACAGAGTTTACTTACCTCCACCAACATCCCAGTACTTATCGAATCCAACTCCCTTCGTCATATCAGTCCGCATAAAGCCCGGATGCACCAATCCAACAGCAATTCCCACAGGCTTCAGATCAAAGCTGAGAAGCTTCCCTACCATATTCAAAGCAGCCTTGCTAGCATGATGTGCATAATTTCCTCCACCCTCTGTCTCATGGCGGAGAGTAATACTTCCACTCTCGCTACTGACAAGAATAACCTTACTACCCTCAACTAGAATACCAGCCTTAACAAGGTGATGAACTAGGAAGACCGGCGCAATGGCTGATGTAGTGTACATCCGAGTCTCTTTCTCCCAGTCCGGGGCATCGAAAGACTCAAAGCCGAAATATCCCGCTGAGATGATCACAGTCGAGAATGTAGTTGAGGGTGGAATCTGTGAGACCAGCTTTTGGCCTACTTCGGAATCAGTCAGATCAATACCTCCCAGCCAGGTAGTTGAAGAGTCTGTGCTGGTGTGGGATTCTGTTCTCCATGTTGCGAAGACATGCTTGGTGGGGTCTCTGGAGTATAGATCTCTGAGTGAGGCGCCGAGGCCTCTCGTGCCGCCCACTATAAGAATATTGTTGGACATTATGTGATTTATCGAATCTCGAAAGTTACCTGGGGGGGAGATGTTAGAATTAAGGTGAGATATGGTAAAATCAAAAACTTGCTTAGATGAATGGCACAACTTGAAGGACGCGGTGAAGGTCCATCACGTCATAACCGCAAGACGCAGGTGCCCCGTTGATGTGACTAGAGCCACTAGAACATACTACAGGATTTCCATTCCCCTTTTCAAGTAATTTGATAATGTGAGTTCATATCCTGTTAATCAAAGATGTTCCAAGGAGTACCATGCCATCAAGAATATACTTTTACGACAAGCCAAGTTGGTTCATCGTGTACTACACGGATCTACCATATTCATAAAGTATGAACTGTATAAATCAGTCTCACATGACCTCTTGCACAGTCCCTTACGATTCTTATATTCATAGGTATTTCAGGCGTCCAGCTCGTACAAAAACGAAATTATATGGTCACAGGGAAATCGGAAGTTCGCACGCGAATCTCCCTATGACGCTATTTCAAGAATGTTCAGATGCGAGTAAACTTCAATACCCCTACTCCCCATAATGCTCATTTAAAACCTCTCTAATAATCCCAAGTATCTCCTTCACGTCCTCTTGATTCATTCGCCCATCCATCTCTTCAACAACAGACTCAAAAAGCGCCTGCGCCCCAAAATCTTCATCTTCCTCAGCCTCGCCTTCTTCGCCCTCCCCATTAACCTGGTCCCCATTATCGTCTACCTCCATCTCATCACCATTTGTAGCTTGCGCGCCCGATGAAGAGGTAATGCCAACACCCAGGTTGAGAATCATGACTACCTCAGCCTTGGTCAGGTTGAAGGGCTTTAATCGCGTTATTAGTTCGCGCATAGCACGGTCCATGGGTGTTTGTTCAACGAAGACAGGTGGCGGGACAGTTGTAGATTTTGAAAGGTCATTGTTATCTATGTTGCTGCTTTCAGCTGCTGGGCGCATAGACCCTGTCCTAGCTGCGGCGGCCGATCGTGAGGACGGACGGGAGGTGTGGCGGGGGTATTTGAGGAGATGTGGGGAGATACGGAGGACATAGTTGTGGATCTGATAATTTTGTTAGCTTAAGGTCTATTTTCTGCGTTTCGTCGCTTCCTGGCTTGCATGTATATAGAAGCAAATCGAGCGGGTAGGTGCGTGCATGATTGGGATTGTCCCTCGCCTTGCAGAAAGCTTCGAGGATGTAGATGGCACGGTTGTTGGGGTTGAATGCTTGAATTTGAAGCCAAAGTAGCGAAAATTTTCTTACCTCTTTCACGACTGTGTTGTGATCTCTCAGGTCAGGGCTAGGTACCCATAGCCGATCAGCGTTCGGCGGCGGATTCGGAGAGCGGCGGGGTGGATTGGCTGTTAAGTAGGATAGAACCTCAACATTGGTGAGGACAGCAGATTGGGGGTCAATTATCTTATTTATAGGGTTAGTGAATTCTCCGTAGCATGAAATGATGTTTAATTACCCGCATTGTGTTGAGCTATGGCACGTATAAATGTTCCTGAAGAGGTCGGAATTGGAGGATGAGGGAAAATTGCTGATTCTGCCGGTGTAAATCGGGCGGTTAAAAAGGCGGTCTAACCAAAGCAGTAGGTTCAGGACCTGCAGGCTTGATGAGGGCGTCGGACGTAGATGGAGTAAGAGTGTAAACCATAACCACGATGCCTTAACTATTTTCCCCGTGTAGCCGCTACATCTTCTGCTATTTCTTTAAAAAGATGCCATACACTACATTTACTCAGTTTGACATATTTTATGAACAGATTATTCAGCTAAAAAACTGTACTGCCTTGACCAAAGCACCTTCTGCGCCATAAATGAAACAAGAAAAAAAATCACAGTAGATCAACCTTAAATGCCCCCGAACATGCGAGCAAGGCCGCGACAAAAAGAAAGTGATATCATACAGATACGCAAACAACAGGCCGTCCATCACATTGCACGAAACTTTTAAAAGCAAAAAGCAAATTCATAGCTTACTCGCCCTTGCTCTTCTTCTTCTTCTTATCCTTCTTGGCCTCTTCACCCTCGTCGGAGCGCTTGCGTTTCTTGCCCTCCTCCTTATCGGCCTTCTTGGACTCCTTCTTAGCCTTCTTTAAGTCCTTCTTGCTGACAGATGTGGGGTTCCCAGAGGCATCAAAGGTGATCTCTCCACGCTCCAGCTTGCGCTCGTAGCGCTTGACGCTGAGACCAGCCTTAGCGGCTTGCTTCTCTAAGTCAGACTTTGTGCCGTTGGCTTGGGGTTCATCATCAGAATCGTCCTCCATCTCCTCGTCTGAGTCAACCTCCTGGACAAGCTTCTTGTTCTTCTTATCCTTCTTAGCTGACTTAGGCTCCTCATCAGCCAAAGCATCGGCATCGGGGTTGTATTTGCGAGCCTCGTTAAGATCGAACTTCTGGGGTTGAGTAGCGGTGCCGTTGGGGGCAATAGCAACACCACGGGGCTTGACGGGCTTGCCCTCCATACCGGCAAGCTTGCGCTCAAGGTTGAAACGGGCCTCAGTACCGAGAGCAGCCTTCTCCTCCTCAGTGACATCGTCATCCCACTCAGCCAAGGAATCCACACGGATACCCAGGGAGGCCTTAGCGGCCAGAATACGGGCCATCTTACCCTTGTTGCGGCCGGTGGCCTGGCCGATCAGAGAGGCGTGGTAGATCAGACCGTACTTGGGGGTGTCGTGCTTAGTCTTAAGAGCACGGAAAAGGGCCTTCTCAGCACCCAGAATTTGGAGTGTAGAGGCAGGGCTCTTGGAAAGGCTGCTCAAGCTACCAGCGTGGGCAATCAGACGAGCACCAACAAGCTCACCAACAAGAGCAGTCAAGTTGGGGGCAATGGCGTTCATACGGGAGGTCAGGTAGCTGGCGAGCTGGGAACGGTAGTCATACAGAGAGACAACCTGGTCAGCCAGGGCCTGGATGTTCTCGAGATCATCCTCGCTGATCTCGGTACCCATGGAGCGGTCAGCAGCGGACTTGACGGCAGTCTCAATCTCCTCCGGCAGGACCTCAGCGAGATCGACGGTCTCCCAGTTGCTGCGCATGCCCATCTTGAGGACAAGCTTAGCGTAGGCAATGTTGTCGTTAAGGATCTTAGCCAGCTCAGGGAAGTGCCAGCCGTACCATTCCTTCACACGCATGGCGTAGGTGTTCAGCTCCTTATCCATGTCATCCAGCAGACCAATGGCCTGAACAATCATAGTGTCAATCTTATCAGGGGAGAACTTGAGCTTGTGACGAGCGAGAGAGTGAGAAAGACCAAGAGACATGACGGACATGTCACTGGGGGCCAGGCTGGGGATGAGAGAAGTGAGGTTCTCACGAATGGCACGGAAGGCCTCGGCGGTGGTAGAGTCGGCGATACACTCGATGGAAAGACCAGGCAGCTTGCCAATAGAGTTTCCTGACAAGTTCCATGTCAGTGGGAAATAGCGCAATGCGTTTACAATGGGATGAAAACATACCGAGCTTGGGGTCCGCAACAGCGAGGGAAACCTTCTTCTCGTCCTTGAGTCCATCCAAAAGGGAAGCGAGGCGGGGGGTGACCTTGCCCTCGATGATAGCAGTAGCCTCCTCCACAGCTGCGGCAGCACTGTCAAACTTCTGGAAAGACTTCAGCTTGAACCTATGGACGAAATTAGTATCACTGTTCGCGGCAACAAAATTTTCTCGAAGTCAATCAATTCATGAATTGATCTCCCCCCACTCCACATTCGAAATTTGTGGATTTTCTATCGCAAAATCCAGATATCACACATACAGGTTGCAAACGCCCTCGGCGGTAGAGGCATCTTCGGGGAGTTGCTCGCGCTTGAAGAGCTTCTTGTCCTTAGCCTTCAGCAGGGCATAACCGGCGCTGGTCTCGGTGAGGATGAACAGCGACATGATGGCCACTGGTCGGGGGTAAAAAATTAAGAATAACGAAAAATAAAAATACTAGGCCCCGGTCGATTGTCGAAAGAAAGACGGGTTGTAATGAGTGGACCGTCGAGGCGTGCACCGTTGGTGAGGAAATCTAGAAATTTTGAACGGAAAAGAAAAAAGTGCAAAAACTGAGTTCAGCCACCTGTGGCTGGTGGCTTATGTAATGGCCCGCCGCGCATACAGCTCTAGGGCCGGTGGGTAGAGCAAGACAGGACACCTCGATTGTCTATTCACCATTCATAGTCGCCACAATGGAGGGTCTTTTCTTCAATGTGAATTCTGGGTAGGTTTATCGTGTGTTGCAAATAATATCGGTGCTTATTGTCTTACTTTGTATAGATATCTCGAAGGTATTGTTCGAGGATATCGGAACAGCCTTCTGACCGGCCAGAACTACTCCAACTTGACACAATGCGAAACCATTGATGGTACATACATCCTACCACTGTTGCTAGGATGAATAATGTCTAACATTAAGCTTCTATCCAGATGTCAAGCTTCAACTTGGTCCTGCCTACGGCGACTTCCTCGCCTCTCTACCCCCGAACCCCTCCACCTCCTCCCTCGCTGGCAAAATGACCGACAAGCTAGTGTCGGAGTTCCGATACTTAGTCGCACAGGCAACTGGATCAACAGCCCAGTTCCTCAAGTACCTTACTTACGGTTATATGATCGACAATATTGCTCTCCTGATCACCGGTACTCTGCATGAGCGTGATACCCGAGAACTCCTGGAACGATGCCATCCGCTCGGCTGGTTCGAGACCTTGCCCGTTCTATGTGTCGCAACCAACATCGAAGAGCTCTATAACTCAGTCTTGATCGAGACACCATTGGCGCCATACTTCAAGGGCAGCCTGAACCACCAGGACCTGGACGAGCTGAACATCGAGATTGTTCGCAATACTCTCTACAAGAACTACCTCGAAGACTTCTTTAACTTTGTTAACACACACCCAGACTTCGCTGGTCCCACCCAGGAAGTTATGACTGAAATCCTGCAGTTTGAGGCGGATCGCCGCTCCATCAATATTACTTTGAACTCCTTCGGCACGGAGCTGTCCAAGCAAGAACGGAGGAAGCTGTACCCGGAATTTGGCATGCTCTACCCAGAGGGTAGCTTGATGCTGTCTCGAGCAGAAGATATCGAGGGTGTGGCTCTGGCCGTGAGTGCTGTCGCAGACTACAAGGCCTTCTTTGATGCCGTGGGCCTTAACCAGGGTGGAGGTCTTGGTGGAATGGGTGGAAGTGATGGAAAGAGTCTTGAAGACCTCTTCTACCAGAAGGAGATGGATATGTCGAAGCTAGTATTCACCCGTCAGTTCACCCCGGCGGTGGTGTATGGGTGGATGAAGCTGAAGGAGCAGGTAAGAATCTTGCAGCACATATATGTAACGTGGGAAACGCAGACTGACCGCTGTTAGGAAATCCGAAATGTTACCTGGATCTCGGAGTGCATTGCTCAGAACCAGAAGGAAAGAATTGGTAACTTCATTTCTGTCTTTTAAGCTCGGATATCTTCATGACTATGTTCCCGCTTGCTTCTCCTGTATTTATCCCCCCATTTGGTTGCATGGCTTCGCTTTACCAGCCAAGTCTGTTGTATCGAGTACCCAGTTCGTTTCTTGTTTCCTAGTATTTGAAGTGAGCGCATTACAATCCCCAGGCCGGGGCAAATGGTCACTGGTTTCGGTTTTTCTTCATCTATTTTCTTCTGTGGCTCTTTCCTACCCTCGAAGGCGTTCGGCAAATTCTTGATCTCTAATAGAAGAGCAAAATTCATCATCGGGCCAGATAAATATCTTGATAAACCTTATACCCATCTGTCAACAAACTGTAACCAACTATTAGAGCCTAGCTAAGTTCCTCGAGGTTGCAGATTTCACCGGGCTGCTACATAGACTGGACTACCTGAAATGTGTATGGATTGCCAAGCGTAGGTACATGGTCACTAGGTAAGGAGTACGCCTGGGTCGCTTCATTCAATTTATGTTTTTATGTTTTCTTGTATTTTGATTTGATCATATGTGCAAGATTGGCAAAAGCCGAGTAGCCAGTAGCTAGATAAAACATGAAGTGGCAAATAACACAATCAAAACCCAAGGAGCAAGACAATATCCTAATACAGTATCTTCTCGGGCAGCCAACTCTACTTTAGACGATGTTTCTATATGTTGGAGGAATTGAATAATAGTGCAAAGTTTGTGTGGCACATTGCCAAAATGAAAAGAATCTTCACATCAACACAACGCCAGATAAATCCACCAAAATTCATTCAGCATGCTAGACTCAAAGAATCAAATCCAGCAAAAAAAACCCCAATTTTGAGGGGGTTCGGGTTAAGAGAACAGTTATCCAGGCACAGAAACGATTGAATACAATCAGTCATACTGGAAGAGAACACTGATACTCTCACCGTGGTGGACGCGGCGGATTGCCTAGATTGAGCGAAGCGGTCAGCAAGGTCTAGGTCTGGGCGCAAAGGCGCCTTAAAGCACGACGCATAATACTTACTTCGCCAAAAACGTGGCCAACCTCTAGGACCTCAAGTTTTGGGCATCGGCGCAGGTGGTCAGCCTGGTCAACGCTGTTGGTTACCACCACTTTGTCGAGGGCGCTGGCGTTGATGCGCTCGATAGCATCGCCGCTCAGGATACCGTGAGTAACTAGAGCGTAGACCTTAGAGGCACCCTCGTTCTTCAACAATTTCGCGGCTCGGGTAATTGTGTTAGAAGTATCCGCTAGGTCATCGATCAAAATAGCTATCCGATCACGGACGTCACCAACCAACATCATGGTGGCATTCTGGCGGTCTGTGATCTTTGTGGGGCGGCGCTCCTGCGGGAGGACGTCAGAGAATGCAACTCGAAACCTTGCTTTGGGGCGGTTAAATTTTGGAGAGGCAAACACAAACATACCTTGTGAATAAGTGCAAATTCAATGCCCATTTGATCAGCGATGGCAGTCGCACGCTTTGCGCCACCTGCATCAGGACTGACAATAACAGACTGTCTGTAGTTGGGAATATTGCGCTGAATATAGCTCTTCAAGAGAGGACGTCCATAGAGGTTGTCCACTGGGATATCAAAGTATCCCTGGTACTGAGGGTCGTGCAGATCCATGGTGATGATGTGATCAGCCCCGGCGCAGGTCAGGAGATCAGCGACCAGGGTACCTGCCTGTGCAACCCACTGCTTGTATCCGGGACGCGGCTGGAAAGCGTTAATTTTCGAGATAGATGAAGCGTGGTTAGCATCCTCTGCAACATTGCCGGCCATAGACTTTAAAGAATCATTGGTGTCATTGCGGGGCAGTCCGTTGCCGGAATTTCCGGGTCGACGTTTGACAGGGCTTCCATTTGTCTCCTCAATCTGAGCTTTAGCGAGGCTCTTTTGAAGGTTGTCAATGCCATTCATCAAGCCAAGTCCCTCTTGCTTCCACGGTCCGGGGGTGGAGGGGGTGCTTTCGAAAGTGTAGCCATTACTAGACTTGTTTGACACAGAGGACTTAACGAGAGGAGCACCGGTCTTATCATAAGGAATATCACTTTGGCGAGAGTAAGGGAAGAGAGGAAGGACGGCGGTCACTCGGCGGGCGGAGGCCGTCTTGCAGGCGGAAATAGTAATGAGGAGCTCCATTAGGTGGTCATTAACCTTGCCACCGCCAGATTGGATGATGTAGACATCCTTTTCACGGACGGACTCTTGGATTTCAACACGAGTCTCGCCCACGGCAAACTTGGAAAGCAGCACCTCTGCGGGCGGAATCCCCAGCACACCGCAAATACTCTCAGTCAACTGCGGATGAGAGTTCCCACCGATGACGACTAAATTGCGAACCATGGTGTCTGTGTGTTTTTGATTGTATTGGAGGATGATTTGAAAAGGTGGAGGAGGAGGAGGAGGACAGAGGTAGGCCGGATGCAAGGCGGAGGGTGGAGGTCGAGAGAGTCTGGAGAATTGGAAAATCTGCGGAGGCGAGATCGGCGTGCAGGAAGAGAGTAACTGTGGAGGTAATAAAAAGGTCTGAGGTAATTATTCAAGCGACTACCGCATTGCGGGGGGGTATGAAGGTCGAGGAATAGCCCGGACAATGGCCCGGAAAAAAAGAAAAGAATTGAAGCTCGTGTGAGTCCCGCGATAGAAAAAAAGCCTCTTTTGGAGAGTGGAACAAGTCTTGGCCTCGGGTTGGCTGGAGGATTGTATGCCTCAGGTATTCAGGTGTCGAATACCCCCGGATCGGGCATAGTGCGGGCATATTCATCATAGTAATGCATGGCCCCGCAGAGTCCAAGCAGCCCGACAACGGCGGAAAAATTGTAACAGAGACAGCAAATGGTCAGCATCCCGCGGATGTGGCTCCTTTCGGGCAAAACCGCTTTACAGCTTCCATTCTTCTTGCCAGTAAGATACATAGTTGGCGAGAGTTAAAGAAAGCTTGGAAAAGAAACTTGGAAAAAATAATGATGGGAGCTCAAGATCGACGACAAGAAAAGAAATAAAAAAAGAAAATACATGCATTATGCACGCTCCCATGCTCCAAGATCCGTTGATAGTTGATATGAAAAACACCGACCATTTGAACCTGCTCCACCAAGGCCACCTGGTACCCTAAGAGAAAATATTTGTAAACCGAAAATGGATTTCCCTTAATCTCCGGTTCCAACCTCCCTATAACAGATATTAGTATAGATCACAAGGGGTGTGGGGGGATAAGAGAGTAAGTAGGCTCACAGGTCAAGCTGCACCCCGTTGCTCACGCCATAGTCCTCCAACGTTAACTGATCCTTGAAAGGACGTTCGCCTTGACGTTTCAGTAAGATTTCGTGCGGTTCTCGACCGATGCGAGCAGCCACTTGAGCTTTGAAGAGCTCTGGAAATAGATATTAGTCTGCCAACCCAAAGGCAGTTCATAAAAGATAGAGCGAAACATACTTATGGGATCTGAGGCCAAACAGGGAATCTCAGCTTTTGTACCCAAACGGTCATTCACATAGACGACAATCATGGGCTCTGAAGACTGTGGAGCAACTGGCTTCTTCTTTTTCTTCTCCTTCTTGTCTTTCTTGTCGGCGCGATCCTCCCTAGGGGCATCCCGGTCATCACGGCGTCCATCTCGGTCATTATCTCGGTAGCGGTCTCCATGACGATCGCCATCGCGATCTCTTCGAGGTGATCGGGGTCGTTCATCTCTGTCTCGGTATCCGCGGTCTAGTCTGCGGTCTTCGCCGCTGGGATCATCGTCGCGTCGTTTCTCCTTCCATCGAAAGCCGCTGTTTTTCTTTGCGCGGGGCCGATCCCCGTCTTGTCGCTGTGGGGACCGACTTCTTAATCGATCGCCCATTATGGATGGCTATCGATAAAGAATGAGGTGTGTCGGTGCTTGACAACCCAGCTGAGATCGCAACAGTACCCAAAGAGCTGATGGTCTCACGTGACTCAATTGGCTTGACCCTCGGGAGCTATGTATGCGCAAAGTACTTGATACTATACCATATTGGGACTAGTATGTTTGTAGCGGGAGCTTTTACCCCGTGAATAATCTCATGCACATCTCGTCTACCGTCATAAATCTAATTGACAGCATACAAATACCCCGGGGGTCGAAGGTCATCCTCATCCGTACCTCCCCAGTCACAATGCCCGGTCGACTCCGCACTAGGCGGCCCTCTCCGACAACCGTCAGCTTCACCGTATCAAATGCGCCGCACCGCTCCAGTTCCCCCACAAAGATCCTCTTTGGAATCCAGATCCTCCTGCGTGCCGTGCTGTTTTGCTGTGCGATCGTCGCCGGACTAGTACGGTTACGACATCTCCCGTTCGAATTGGAGGAGCGAATAGCATCATGGAAGGTCGTGTTAGAGATCTTAGACACTCCCTTTGGTTCCCGCCTGTGTCAATTGGTGGACCCTTATGATCCATGGGCGGTCACTGCAGTATGCGCAGTGATGGCCTATGGTGTTTTGAGAAGGGGCTATACTGGTATGCATACATTAAATGGTATAAAAATTGTCTGTCTGACCTGGACTGACGTGCTACATAGAGGAATCGCTTCTTGTGATTCGGGGCTTCGGAATCCAAACGTCAACATCATCTTCCACTTATCTGTCATCAGCCGCTACGAGGTTCATCCCTACAACCCAAATTCAAGACATAGTCATTCATGAAGCTTTCAAAGGCTTCGAGGTTCGATTTTATCTTGCAGTCATCGTGGAAGGAGAGCCTGATGTGTTGGTAGTCTTCCCGGTAGGTTGGCGTCTTTTTCCTTCTCCCGTTACTCTGCTGACTCTACCCCGAATCACCAGCACTTACTGCCTAATCGAGAAATACTTGAAGAAGTATGGCGAGGGTCTCGGCGATGTCTTTACGATGCAAAATCATGATCTATCTAGGGCAAGGGACATGTTATGCTAAGCTAATACTATCTTTCGATATTGTATTGATATGATAATAGGGGAGCTGGTGCATGTATGTACATGGTTGTTTATGCCTCCGCTTCCTTCTTTGTTTCGGCTTCTAGCTTCTGAGCGACTTTCCGTTGCTTGTTGGCCAACCACTTCGCGTTTTGGACCGTCACCAGGTCTGTTGTGTCCCTTTTAGCCACGGGGATGTATTTGCCGCCAACACGAGAATCATTATCTCCAAGCCAAACTTTAACACCTCGGCTACTTTTCTTACGAGAGCCCTGTTTGCCATCCATGTTCTCAAAAGCACTCGGATCGCCTTGGCCGACGGCCAAATCTAGGAGGGCTCCAGCCAAGATCTCATCGATCTTCCGCTGTCTCCAAACCGACCACAACCCGTCAACCACACCCTTCATTCCAAACTTGCTGTCGCCCTTGGCACTTCGAGTCTTGTTGTGCCGTGGATCTCCAGCATACACCCAGTCTAGAGAGTCCTCGCGACCACTTCCATTCAGGTCTGGAAAGATAGTATCCCACAAAACCAAGGGTGCGTCAGAGGCCATGTCGTAAATTGGCTTGCGGGGATACTTGTTCACATCCAGTAAATCACGGACGATTGTCGGGCTTTCAAGTCCTTGGCCAACCAGAAAGAGGATAGCCACCATGTGCCGGACTTGATGCCACAGGAATGCAGATCCATACAATGTAAACGTATACACCTGTGGGGGAGGCATAGCCGATGACTCTTCCGGTTCCATGTTAACATCATGCTGCGCAACATCTTCATGCGCTTGGAAGCCAGGTTGGCCAATAAAGCCCAATGGGTTCTTCTTCTGGTTCACAAGCTCAATATCGGAGAGGTGAATTTTTCGTTGGAAGTTCTCGATCTGTTTGCTTGTATCAAGCTTACAGAAGTTCCGGAAATCATGAGTTCCTTCAAAATACTTTGCAGCTTCACGCATCGCTTCGATGTCCAGATATCCCTCACGATACTTAGCACGTGGACCCTGTCCATTGTGCATGCGGTTCTCGAATCCAAAGGGCCCGGGGGTAGGCGCAAATGCAGGCTGGGTGAAGAAATATCGGTAACGGCGTTCCCGACAGTTGAAGCGGGCATCAAAACCAGGAGGAGGGTTAGGGCACCAAGCAAGGACTCGAATATCCTCCGGCAGTACTCTGTTCAAGACTTGTACATAAGAAATTTCATCCGCGATATCATCCCAATCATTATCCACAGATTCCTCCTCAATCTGCATCGCATCCCCGCCTTCTTGTAGACCATCTTGCCCAGAAGACGCAACACGAGTCTTTGGCTTGGGCCGCGTACTCCGAACTCGAACACCGATAACCTGTCCAAAAGCACTAACTCCACGATCTGTCCGACCAGCCTTCGAGTAGTCACATCCATCCCAGTGAAGAGAATACGGCCGTAACACCCTGGGCTCCACGTCATCAGGTTCCTCCCCAGGAGTGCTAGTCTCCGGCATAATCAGCCTCGTACGTCGTAGCGCCTTCCAAATAATCTCTTCAATGGTAGGCAAGGGTGTGCAGTTGCCATTTGTATGTTCAAGGCCATTATACCTTTGCCCGAGGTATGCAAACTTCAACGCAATAAGCCGAGTAGAGTACTTCGACGGATCGAAGCCGCGATCCTCCTTCAACACACGGTTCTTGCCAGGCATATTCACAATATCCATATCGGGGGAATGCGCTCGCTTCTTATGCGGTGGTGGCCCAGAGAGGCCCCCCGCAAGCGGGATCGCGGGCTCATGGCCATCGCTAGGTATATGCGCAACTGTAGCGGCGGAATGCGTCGCTGCGGAAGGGGTATACTGGGTTGTCTGAGATTTTAACTGGCGCTCTAGCTCGGTGATTCGCTCGATCAGGCGGGCGTTGTTCCAGTTTGCATAGTCGAGGCGTTGGGCGTCACTGTGGTTGTTATCCGCCATTTTTTGCGGCGGGGATATTTCGTCCTCGTGGTGGAGGAAACGTGCTTGGTATTGTCTAAAGTTTGGGAACCAGCGCTGTGGTGGGATCTTGTTAGGTTGTCTCCACATGCCACTAGGGCAATTGAAATTCAGGCTGAGTCCCTTTGATGGTGGTCCTGGGGAAGTGTTGGCATCGTAGAATAAGAAATTTGTTTCCGCGGAGTTGTGTTATTTTGGTATCAAAGCTTCGTATTGTATTGTACTACACACTCTTGCACCCGGCCCAGATGGACAACCAGCTATATCTGATCCCACCCAACCATAGACAATTCAGTTATGAACTCCTATGGCATTCAGGTTAATGATCCGGCTAGCATGAGATTCACGCGTGATATCAATATCATTTGTAAGGTTCTATGTTAGTTTAATATTGGGTAGATATAGGTGAGAAGGATAGCCGGAAGAACATGTATACAGATGTATACAACATCCAGCACCTGGACATCTTCAATTGTCCCAAGGCTGCCCACCTACATAGTAGAGTACTAACTACGTAGTGTAATATGATGTTAAATTCGTATTGAAAATCCACTGCTGCTAGCATTTTGAAGAAGTGGGATTATTTATCGGGGTGACTGTAATTAGCTACGAAACAAACAGGAAGGGTGCATAAATTTCTCGCAAAGTTTCAATGGAGTGACATAAATTTTCATTTAAAAATACATTGTAAGCCAAGCGTCTTGCCAAGGAAATAGTCTCTACTAGAATCGAAACTAATCTTCCGGCGAGTGGCTCTGCAGCCTCTGCTCAATGGACTCCGATCCCTGCGCAGCAGGCTCTGCAGAAGGCAGATGATAATCTTTCGCTGCAGAACGCGGGTTTTCTCTTTGAAGCGCAAGGCGGCGGATTAATGCAATGGCAAAATCGGACGGGATCATGACTAGCCAGTCATCGGAGATCCAGGAGGGCAACGAACTCCGTCCATAAGTCGACCAATAAGAGCCAAAGCAAAGAATCTGGTGCAGTTTCCTTGTACGTCAAAGCTATTGAGTCAGAATCAGGAATATAGAGCATACCGTCTGCTTCTGGCGTAATGCCTGTATTGTAGATTCTATCAATCACTGCGTTTTGGAATCTTCGGTCAAAGATTTTGTCACCCATGATATAGGCCTTGACTAGAGTTGTAATCATTTTGGGCGGGTTAGGGGCGTCGAAGCCGTCATAATCGGGGATCTTCTTGCGATAGAGCCAGTGTGCGTATATTGCAAAAGCATCAGGATCATCTTGTGGAAGTGAAATAGCCATTCTTTCGGCTTCCTTCCATTTTCCAGAAAATGCGGCTTTAAAGAATGGAGAGGAGGCGAAAGTCAGATTTCCGTGTATGATGAAACTCTCTTCTCTCTCTCTCTCCTACGTCAATCCGAATGGTTCTGCTTCTGAAACTTTTGAGATGTTAGTCGAAACTCGTATGATGTTGCGAAGCAAATACAATTTGCTCTTTGGATCTAGCCGTTTGGTCTTTGGGTCTGGCCCTTGGCTCTTTGAGTCTGGGTTTTTGCTCTTTGAGACTCTGTTTGCTCTTTTTCTCGGCTTCGGCATGTTCAGAAATTGCTTTCCCAAGAAATCCGAGGGATAAGCTCCATGCCAGAGATCTGGCCCTTATATAGGCCAAGGCAACAAACGCCGTACCGGGAGTCTCCATATGGAGACCTCCTGATACACCCCCGTGGCATAGCAGCGACATCCACACGTCTTATACTAGGAAAAATCAATAATTTCAAAGTGCCCCACGAAACGAACTGTCTTCACAGGGATTGCCAACCTACCACAATGATACCTGACGCTACGATTGAATTGATAACGGATCTGGATTTTGCAAGAATTCAAGATTTGGGGGTGAAAGATACTTTTCAGCGTAACTAAACTCACGGATATATAATTGGCTGTGGACGTTTACTTAGATGTGCGCGGGTAGTACGGGTCCCCACCCACTATTGTTTAAATCTAAAGGTTCACCACTTCCATCGCCTCATCCTGTTCCCGAAATCGCTATGCCATCTGCCCAATAAGCAGCATCAATTTAATATACAGAGAAACTTGAATCAGTAACATGACCGATGCAGCACCCCCGACAGAGACTGATTCAACAGTAACATTATTACTCCTGGGCGATGCGGGCTGCGGAAAATCCACCTTCTTATCGTAAGTCTGAACCGCCTCTGCGCATACGCATTTCTTCCCCCCATGCATATATAGGGCCCGGGGATAGCTGTCAATAGATGTTCATTGAAGATTAGCACAGCTGATATTCATTTAGTCGTTTGAAACATGTCAAGAGGCGCATTCCACAGCAACCAGGCACCGCACAAGATAGCACGCCCGAGCCTCTGCGAGACAGCGACCAGCCATTCGTTTATGATATTCGATTCTCCAAGAAAAGTTTCGCTTTAGAGATCTACGACACGGCCTATTCAAATCAACATTGGTCGACTCTTAAACCCGATGTTGTCATTATAGCGTTCGACATTTCCGATCGAGAGACCTTAACAGGGCTAAGAGGGGTATGATTTTTATTTCAATTCAAGAATATTTGGATCGGCTATCTGACTATATTGGATCTATCTTTAGTGGCGAAACGATGTGATAAGATATTTCCAGCATGGTATTGGCGAGCGTATACCTGTGATGATGCTTGGGCTGAAAAGAGATCTAAGAGAGGAAGGCGAGGGTATTATCTATCCACAAGAGGTTTGTGAAGCATATTTCAGCAGCAGCAAATGCCGATCTAGCTAACTGATTCGTTAGACTTATCGCATGGCGCAGGAATTACGCTGTGATAGGTACGCGGAATGCTCGGCTGTGACCGGTGAGCTACTTGCGGAGACCTTTGAAGATCTCGCTCGATTGGCGGGGATGTCGATGACGGCGGCTGGTGGACAAAGTGCTGGAACATCATGTAATATCTTATGAATTCACATCTACTATAATGATGAGATTATGCATCATACCTTGACGCGTTTTCTTCCTACCGATCGTATGCTGTAATCCAGACACCGGGTGACAATAGCAATTTCGTAGATATTGATAATGTGTCGTGGCCCACTGATGAACGGTGATTGCATTACCTCTAAGCCGGAGATCTTACAATGATTCGAGGCTTACACTACAAATTTACGAGATCAAGACGGTTGATACCGAGCACAATCCTCTTCCAATTACTAGCATACAAACAGGGAGAAACCAAGATAACGATTAAGTCCACCTTGTAGATTGACAGCACAGGGCTTTCCCCCAGTTGCAGAACACAACTGGATATCTTTCCCTCATAAGCGCCAGGACAATTATTGACGTCGCTATTCCTCCCCGATGCAAAAACAAGACAATCAAAAGGGTGCTGGTAAAATAGGATCACTGATGCAAAAGGACGTGAAGATTCCCGGTAAAAGCTCTTTTTTCTTTTGCTGTTTTTCAGTTTCTTTTTGTTTTGTGACACACTGAACAGAAACTAGGATAGACATGTCAAGGGATTTTTTTGCGGGTGATGGTGTATTTTCCATTGAGAAAAAATGGATTCATAGGTGAAAGAACAAACAAAGAGCATTTACTCATCTCATGTCTTTTGACAGACAAGATAATCGTCCCAATCATCCCGCATTACCATGGCTTTTGGGTATTATTTTCATACTTCCCCCCTCTCTCAACGCCTATCCTCATTGCTGTATAGTGAATCTACCACTTGGCCTCAGTAGCGGCAGCGGCGGTGGCAGCGGCGGTCTGGGTGGTCTCAGCGGCCCACTCAGTGGTCTGCTGGGTGGAGCTAGCAGCCCAGTCAGCACCGTCAGCCTCCCAGCTGGTAGCACCGACAGCAGCGCTGGCAGCAGCGAAGGCAGTACCGGGGTTGCCGGCACCGGGGGCGTTCACATCCCAGTTGTCACCAGCGAAGCCGGACTCAACGGCACCAGCACCGATCTCCTCAGCACCGGGGACCTTGGTCTCATCGGCGATCTCCTTGTTCTCCTCGGCCTCAGGGTCGCGGTAGAAGTACAGGTCAACAACAGAGTCCCACTCAGTCTCGCGGGTGGCGAGAGTACCACGGAGACGGAGGATCTCACGGGCGAGCATCCACCAGACGAGACCGATGGAGTGACGACCCTTGTTGTTGGTGGGGATGGCAATGTCAACGAAGTCGGTGGGGGAGTCAGTGTCGCAGAGGGCAATGACGGGGATGTTGACGTAGCTGGCCTCCTTGATGGCCTGGGCATCGGTGCGGGGGTCGGTAACGATGATGAGACGGGGCTCCTTGAAAGAGCGGGTGATGTAGTTGGTGAAGTTACCGGGGGTGAAACGACCAGCAATGGCGGTGGCACCGGTGTGGTGGGCGAACTTCAGGACAGCACGCTGGCCGTAGGGACGAGCGGAGATGACACAGACATCGGCGGGGTTGTCGATGGCGGCGATGATACGGGCAGCCAGGACGATCTTCTCCCTGTTCAATTGCGCATTTAAATTAGACTCCATATTCTCTGTATCGCATAACTTCCTGAAGAAGTGTCGGGCTCTCTCATTCTTACCAGGTCTTGCCAATGTTGATAATATTGACACCATCGGGACGGGACTTCCAGAGGTAAGGCTCCATGTGCACCTGCATGTTCTTGGAACCCAGGTGGCACTGAGCAGCCAGGAGCATCTCAATGTCCTGGGGGGTAGGGTTGAAAACCGGGGGGAGCTGGGAGGGGGCCATGGTGGGCGATTGATTTATTGACGGGTTGAAGAGATCAATCGTCTGGCTCTTGTCGTGGTGATGGAGGGAAAAGATCGAAGCCGTACCGCGAAAACCAACGCCTCACTGACTTGCGGGAGAATTTCGCTTGCCGTTTGTGAGTTAGGGCTAGGGCTGAGTTTGAGCTACCCATCCGTCATAACGTAATCATACAATCTTGCCTGAGGCATACAGGCGACACTAATCCAAATATAGACTAGCATATCTTTGGCCGGGCCGCATGATTTTCCTGACCAAAAGAGCCATGCGAAGAACTTCGCAATTATCGTCGGGGGTCAAGAATATAGTATCAGCTGCCGCTATGCCTCCACGTTTTTCAGTTCAGCCTTCTTGGAAGGTTTTGACAGGTATGTCACTACAATTCTCCTTCCCTCGATGTCAATGCTCACCACTGCTATAATAAACAGGTACGCTGCACGGTCAAAGTCCAGCTGCCGCGTCCTCCAATACCATCCAAACCACTACACGAGCAGCATCCTCCAAAGCCAGTACACAGAAGCGAACCGACTTCTTTCGGGCTGCACAGGCTCGTCAGCGCAAGGCTGCCAATCTTTCCCGACAACAAGTTCTCAAGGAGGAGCGCGATGCTTCACTTGGTGATCCTTTAGCAACTCGGCCCACGGCTTTCATTCAGCAGGTTCAATCGATCTCCACCGAATCCCAAGTCTCGTCATCAGGAGCCGGTATCAACTATTACCTCAATGCGGAGGAATTGAACAGCGCATTGCAATTTTCCAAAGACCTGAGCGAGCCTCTTCAGAACCCGGATCGCAACACAGTAGACCCCCAGAAGGAAAAAGAGCAATTGGAGAGTCATGAACAACAGCACAAAAACGCAGAGGAGGCGATGCAGCGCATTGTGAATCTCAGCAATGGTAATACCAAAGATCGCATGCGATTGAATATACAGAAGTGTATCGAGGAGTTTGGACGACACAGCACCGATACATTCCTTCCGCCCAAGCCTGCCAGCGTTCAGCAACCGAATACCTCCGACAAATTGGAAAAAGTTCCCCGTGTTGGCAATGATACCGGCTCACCCGAGGTGCAGGCCGCTATTTTGACTGTCAAGATCATGAACCTTTCTCGACACTTACAGACTGCCAACAAGGACAAACACAACAAGCGTAACTTGCAGGTCCTTGTCCACAAGCGACAAAAGTTGCTTCGTTACGTCCGTCAAAAGGAGCGCGGTGGCCCTCGTTGGCAGAACCTGATGGAGAAGTTGGGTCTCTCTGATGCAGCATGGAAGGGAGAAGTAGCTCTATAAGGGAATCTTGCGGAGTGGAAATGTATTATCTTAAATGGAAGCCTTTGTTGGCTACCCTGAATTTAGCATAAAAGCGTCTATTCAGACCATGGAATTGGTGCTGGGGGGCTTTGGGTTTGTCTCATCGAATTGGACTCTAGAAGTCTGATGGTCGAAGTGGCTGGTACTAAGTACCGTTTGTACAAATAGCATTGTTCCTTTCTTTATTTTCTTAATCAAGCCGACCTTGAACTAGGTATATCTTTGGATCTCGAAGAAATATTATACTTTAAATTTGAATTCGCTATATTTGCCTAAGCTTGTTGTTTGGGTATTGTCCTGTCGAATACAGCATCCGTTCTCCGGATCTGTCAACTGGTTTCTCCCTCGACCGAGCTTAGAGGCTCAGCTGTGGTTTACCGCCCAAGAGCTTGTCATTCTGCCGCCGACAATTTTTGGCATCGGATCGTTCCTTCCTTCCGGGAAATTCAAGGTCCGTCGCTCCTTCCCAAACGTATCAAACGTCACAAAAGTGGAAGCGCCGCTGCCTAAAGTGCTGTACCAGAGTCTTGTGTTGTTGTTAGGGGTCACGTCCACAACATTTCAACAGCACTCTGATGTAAACAAAACTCTTTTTCTTCTCCAATTTTCCAAACACCCACGAATGTTTTACCACCACTCACAGTGTTGAAAGTTTTTGTTTACCGATCTGACTTCTTATCTTCACGAATTCTGCATTCACATTCCATCTGACTTTCAAAAATGCGCACTCGTTCTCAGCCCATCTCCCCCGGGGGCTTTCAGTCCCTCGACGACAAGCCTCGTCGAAGACGTGCGACACGAAGTGCCTCAGTGACCGAGGAACCCGAACCAACCGAGCAAACAACCACCGCCATACAGCCTAAACCAGCTGCTTCAAATCGCCCTGGCCGCCCAAGAAAAGGTACTACTAGTAAAAAGGTAAACAAACCACTTACTCAATAAGAAAACATGCAAAAATCGCTAACATCACCCAACAGACCGCCAGGAAATCGAAAGTGGCCCAGTCGCATGCTCCCGCACCCGAGGAATCTTCATCAGTTCCAACCGAACAGTTAGAAGCGTCCACTGCTGAGCGACCTCTCGAGATGCAAGACCTGGAGCCTAGTACCAACACAAGTCATCTCCCCAATGGAACTCCTTCTCGACGTGATAGACTTCTAGGCCCACGACAGGCTACTCCTATCGCGCGCCGCTCCCGCGCCTCATACTCCGATATCTCAAGCCGTCGCCGGAAAGATGCCGGCGGACGCGTGGCCCAAACTCTTTTCCGTTTACCAGATCTAGTCGACCAGGCCTTAACTGCTGAGCCCACCACGCCAGGCCGACGCGCTTTTGTCACTGAAGACGCTGCTACGGCCGTTGCGTTCCCTAGTACCCCAGCGCAAAATCAAACTACACCCACTGCACCCAAGACCGCCCCGGCCGCCGGCCAACGTGCCGAACCAGGAGCCAGCGCCAGTACACCGCGCAGCTGGAGCCGATGGATTTTCAATTCCGTGTCCCGGAGATGGTCTACCATTCGTGGACGCATTGGACCTCGCAACCCCGACGACGCCGAGCCTGAAGCCGATGAAGAGGCAGCAGCAGATGAAGAAGTAGAGCCACCCACCACACCAACTGCTACTTCAACTGCCGTGGTCGCCGTCGAGCCTGCTGATACACTAGTCCCGTCTGGCTCGGTCCCTCGTCGTATGCGCAAGCGAGCCAAGTCAAACTACACGTACTCTCTCCGCCCTGCTGGCTTCAGTGAGGAACTTCTTACTAGTTGCTATAGCAGAATGCGCACTACCCCCGCTAATACAGACGATGATGACTCTAAGAAGCGCAAGCGAGAGCCGTCACCCGAATCGATTCCAAACCCACCGGGATGCAGCTACGGTCTCAATGATGAATTCTTTGAATTTGATTCAGACGACGAGAAATGGGCCGAGGAAGAACAGGCTCGCCGGGATGCTCTCGCCCAAGAAACTGCTCCCTCAGCTGCAAAGAAGCAGCGTGTTGATAACCCACAGCCAAAACGACGTCGCCATGTTCTCCACCAAAGCACCCCGCGCAAAGCCGAAGAACGTCCTGGCTATAATGCCAATCGACCTACACGATTGTATCAAGCGACTGATCTGTCCGCAGTCGAATCCAGCGAGTTCCTCTCCGAAGGCGAGAATGGACCTTATGTCACTCAAAACCGCATCGACAATCGCAACACTGCTCCTATTGTTGTCACAAACCCACATGGCACCTTCCGTACACCCGGATGGGACTCCTCTTCAGACCCTGTCATGGAAGAGACCCCATTCGCACCGCCTCGTCACGAAGCTGAAGCTTCTTCCCCTGCTAATGGTATGTTTTCGAACCCAGGATTTCCCTCCTCACCCCCAGAGATCTATACTTTAAGCCCAGATCTACGCGAAACCTTGAACCGAAATGGGATACCCCAGACGCGGCGTCGTATTTTCCCATATCCGCATGCCATGGACGCAACCTTATCTTACACTGAAGCTGACCTAATGAATGAAGAAGCCAGTCCTTCTACCTCAGGACCGGGCAATGAAACCCAGGATCCAAACGATGATAACACGACTGATGCTACCCGCGACGCCTCGACACAGGCCATTGATCCATCCCCACTCAGCCGAGCCCGTAACAAGGCTGAACAATTCAAACCTAAAACACCTAGTCGTCTTCGCGAAGCTCACCGTTTCCCGAGCAGTACCCCCAATTCCACCGCCTCCCCTTCATATCTCAAAGACCTGAAGAGCACACCTTCCCTTTTCAGTGATCCTATGTCAATGGATGGATCCTCTTACTTGAAGCCTGCGGTATCCGCCAGTGGATCTGCCACACCCTCTGCTACTCCGTCTGCCGCCCCTGCCACCCCAGTTGATGCACCCACTATCTCTCGTGCAGCTACTACAGCTGGTAGTGCTTCACTTGCTTCCGCCCAGAACCCTCCCACCTCTACCAACAATTCCCTCGTCGGCCTGGACTTTAGTGATATCGGGCCTGACTGGTTACGTTACGAGTGTCCCAGCGGCTCTTTGAACCAGCTCATGTGGCCTAACCCTACTGAGATCACCGAAGTGTTACATTCTGAAGCCAAACCGACTGTCAGCCTCAAATGGGAGCAACGGAACCAAGAAGCAGTCAATTGCTGGTTACAACAAATCGAGTCCGAAAGCTCGTGAAAATAATTATTCGTTCTACTTTGCTATCGTCATATTGTGCTATGCGAATCTGCTGAGGTAAAAGGTTCAACACCTTCATATTATGCTATCAATCCGCTCAGACGAATAAGAAAAAAGAAAAATTACGTTCATCAAGCCATATTGGTCTGGTGACTGACGAACCTCAAGAACCATTTTGCTCGGAGTTGGTGGCCGCTTGTTATTGTTATTGTTATTGTCATTGTTTAGTCTCATACCTTATGCATGGTGCATTTCGGCGGGAACTCGATATCTTCCCGTCTGCTTCGGTGTTATTTCCCCATCTGAATCTACCTTGTGATTATTGGAAGTGGACATCTTTCGAAACTGTTATCTATGCATCAGCCACAATATGCTTTCTTGTGTTTTCTTTTCACCCCATTTTTGTGCATGTGGCGGGGCTCTCCCCGGATCGGTCATCCTACACTGAACAATACATCCTTAGTTGTCATATCTACACCAAAGGTACTGGCATTCAGTTCTAAGTTTCATGTCTATTAGATGAATCCGTAGTCAAAATAATCAAGATTATGAAACATGTTTGTCCATTCGAGGCAATTAATTCGTATTCTATGATAACATATCTAATCGAAACCTTCGAAATCATCACCACCATCAGCACCTGCTTTGCCAGAAGCTTGGGCCATCCGCTCCAACCGTTCCTGCTCGTTTTTGGTCCGAATTGTCTCAAGCATCTGTTCTGTCTCACGGACCTTCTGCTTTTCGGCTTCAGGCAATTGTTCCCATCTCTCCTTGTCTTTGAATGCTTTCTTTGACTCCTTGCGCCTGAGCTTTTTCTCTCTAGATTCTTGGTTTTGGCTCCAGGCCACAGCCTCGCCAGCAGGCCGCTTTTTCGGGTGGTCAGGTTTGTTACCCTCTGCAATCTCCTGCATAACCTCCTTGCGCCGCTTCTCCTGCTGCTTATCCTTATAAGCAAAGTTATCCCAATCATTACTAACCCCAAGCGTCTTATCTCCTGTAAAGTTGCGAAGTTCGGGCATTTTTGGCAAGCGAAGAAGCCCCCACGCCTTCCCTAGGGCTTCCCAGTCAAGATCGGGCACACGGAAGATACTGCTGGCTTGATGTTTGCTGTAACTGCGGAGCCAGCTGACAAAAGCCTTGTTGGCTTTATCATGAAGAGCACGGTCCTTGAGAATCACAGCACGAACAGCCTGAGTCGCTACAGCCGCATCCACATCAGAACTTGGAGTCGGAAGACTGAAAGGTGCGACAGGTGTTTTCCGTACTTCCAAGAATGATACATATTCTTCCTCTCTCCCCGGGTGCAATAGGACAATGCTCAGGCCTCTTCGGCCAGCGCGACCTGCTCGGCCACATCGGTGGATGAAGGTTTTGGGGTCTGAGGGTGGGTCGATCTGAACGACGAGATCAACGGATGGAATATCCAGGCCACGAGAGGCAACATCAGTAGTAAGGAGAATCGAGGGGGTGGTGGCGGTGGTAAAGCGAGTAAAGTTTTTCTGGCGGACATTGGCAGGGTGTTTGCCGTGAAGAGGAACAAGAAGGAAATCATCTCCTAGGATGATTGGAAGAATCATGGCCAAATAATCAACACTGGAGCATGTTGATACAAAGAATATGCTTTTTTGTGGTGTTGGTTGAACAGATGATAGGATTTGCTTTAGTATAGAGAATTTATGCGCCGGGGGTGTTGTGAGATAGGTCATTTGAAGACTAAGGCCATGTTAGTTAGTGATGAACATAGTATCGGGATGTTGAGGAAAGAGACATACCTTGCAGGGGTTCGTTTGTCGTCGGCGCCGCCTCCACCTTTGACCTTGACAGCTACCTTAACGGGGTTGCGAAGTCCAACTCGGACGATTTGATCGACGGCTTCACTGATACTAGCACTGAATAGACCAGTTCTTCGCTGTTTAGGCAAGTATCGCAAAATTCTCTGGAGGTCATCCTTGAATCCAAGATCCAGAAGTCTGTCGGCTTCATCGAGAACAAGCATTTCAAATGAAGATTGCGGGCAATGAACATGAGGAGAAGACAGTAGCTCTAGCAGTCTTCCCGGTGTAGAGACGAGGACATTCGGAGATTTCTTCAAAAAAGTACTGAGATCTTCTGCAGGGGTCGTAGTGCCACCTAACAAAAGCTGTGGGACGACCTTTTTGACGGAAGATGAGGTTTTCGGGCGCGGCGCATCGCCTTCAGGAGGATGAATCGCAGCAGCGGATGCTGGGTGGAATTCTAATAAAGACAAGAGAACTTGATAGATTTGCGAGGCCAATTCTCTGTATAGACATTAGTCAAAGAACATGATGATATATAGATTAATAGATTATCAACGAATCTCAACCCACCTTGTTGGAGAAATGATAATAGCACCAACATGGTGTTTCTTGAGGGGTTCATCAAGACGCAGAAGCTTCTCAACAACCGGCATTAAAAACGAAAGTGTCTTTCCACTTCCTGTAACAGCCTCCACGACCACATCTTTATGTGCCATGAATAGAGGAATTGCTGAGGCTTGCACTGGGGTCATCCGAGTGAAGCCCATGGAGGATACAGCGTCCAAGGCCCATTGTGAAAGTGGGGGGTTCAGGCCATCCCATGCCCTGGATGATGAGGGAGGTTTTGGTGGCATTCTCAATTTCTATATGAATCGACGAGTGTTTGTTCCTGGATCGCAAATCTTCAAGTCTTCAATCGCCAAAAAAAAAAAAAAAAGCTAGGCCGTCTTATCGATTAGTTATCTCCACGTGATATGTAGCGCCGACAGTACTGGACCCGCGAGCGTGACAACAGGTCAGTAGGGACTGAGCTCTCAGTAGGGCCCACGTGACTTTACGCATTGATAAGATTAGGTGCCTGATACAGCAAATATCAATAAGTTACCTATAACTATAACTATAACTACCATTGATTGATATCGCCCGAGAGTCTTTTGATAACTTGGAAATTGGTATGTATTGGCATGATATTATTCTAGCTCTAGTCTAGTATAAGCTCTTATATGAACGGTCCCAATTTGATTTTTTTTCCTTCTAATCTATCTATTGAAAATAACTTAAGCACACGGGAGAGGCTAATTAATTAACCTTCAAGGTTCAATTCGGGATAATCAGGAACTTTTTCCTCTTGAGTATCCAATTTTGAGAATTGAGGGAAAATACCATTGACCTTAGACACAGCCCATACAAGCTTCGTCATAGACCACACCCCAATTCTTGAAGAGGGAAAGAAAAGCCCAAGACCAGCGGAAGAGAACCGTTGACACTCATCTATGGTAGGCCGCATTTTGTCTTCGTATGACTTCAAAGCCATTTTGATGTCGCTCTCGTGTCTGGCTAATTCACCTGCAAGAATATACGCACCCATCAGGCAAAGATTGGTTCCCAGTCCAGTGAAGGGACTCGGACAGTAGCCCGCATCTCCAAGGAGTACAACTCGCCCGGTGGAGAGTTGACTCATCTTTATTTGGCCAATTTCGTCTGCGTAAAAGTCCTTGGAAGACCTCAGTCCTTCAATGAATCTGTCTTTTTGCCATTCGCTGTCGTTGAATATCTCAATAAAGGCTTCTTTTTGACTCTCTTGAGACTCGTTGTAAGATGCACTTAAGCGATCAGACTTTCTCATGGTGAACATCAAAACTCCGGTGACTGGTCGGTCACTAGGCCTAGTCACAATCATTCGCTTTCCTGGAGCAAGATGGCCTTGTGCAAGGCTTCCTTCTCCCTCAATTCGTGGGATGCTGAAGTAGGCACCATGGATGTTGAGGGATTTGAAAGATGCATCGCTAATCTCTTTACCAAATGCAAGTCTTCGAGTCCGGGATGCCTGTCCATCTGCCGCAACAACAAGATCAAAGTGTCTTTCCTTTCCATCCGAAAATGTAACGCTCACACCCTCGGAGTTCTGGTTAAGAGCTGTGATTGTTCGGCCAAACTCGTAATGCAAGCCCCCATGGTTTCCTAGCCGAGCTTTCAGAGAAGCATCTTGATTGACACTGACATCGTACAGTACCTGCACCATATCACCGCGCATGATCTCATGCTCACTGGTCAGTCCAGGTCGGCGTTCCCCCGCAGAGGCAGCAGGAAAATATGCGGTACGATTATTCAACGAGTCGACCATTTCGAGGCCTGTTTCATTCACGCAGCGCGACTGGATCTCTTCCATCAAGCCCATCTTTCTCAAAATGTGAGGTGCTTGCGTTTTCAGGTCAATCTGCTGTCCCGCTGTTCTCAGCGACTCATAGCGTTCAAGTATCGTAATTTTGATCATGGGATTGGCTCTTTGAAGCAATGTTGCAAAAGCTGGGCCACATATTCCGGCCCCAACGACGAGAATGTTTAGAGGCATATCGTGGAGATATTTGATTTGGTCTACCTGGTACATGGAATATTAGTGATTTTCTGCAATGTTTGTTATGGTTTCAAAGCAGTGGTGGTTTTGAGGCTGATAATTTACTGACCAAGTAGTGGATATATTCTAATTCAAGATAATGCTAGAATCACAGGTTTCTTCCAAGGTCTTTAGGTTGTCCAGGTGGCGAGTGGTACTAGGAGCCCGATGAAACAAAAACCAAGAAACAATTGCTTCAAGATAGAGGTTAGGAGGCTCTTTATATTTTGTAAACTAAAAAAAATAGATATATATATATACTGGAAGAGTCGACCTCATTGGTTGGTGTTTTCGGTCGCATCGGTTTTGTCGGTCGTATCGGCCCCATGGGGGAATATGGATGGGCATATCGGGAGGTCTCATGAACTCGAACGCCTATGGCCGATCTGCGGCGTTAGGACCGAGCTAGATTAGACTCAGATTTCTACTGGACATATATTTGATATGGCACTGATTTTCTTAGCAGTCTTCTACATTGAAACCTTGGAAGCTCCCACTCGTATGTGTGTTTATAGTATCATTAGAACACTAGAATTCTACACTTTTACACTCATCCATTTGCGTATTATCCCATTTCAAATCGAAAATTTTAGTTAGTTAGTTGTGGTAGTAATGACTAAGCTGCCAGGCTCCATGGGGCGGAAGATCGCGATCTACTTTTTCCCTTTCTATGCCAACATTTGAACACTGCCTCTCTCCGCTAGGCAGTGAATTATCTATTTCTGGTTTTCAAATAGCTGCACATATTATGTGACCTGCGTGTGAACTGGCCTGCCATAACATTCTTCAATTTTCCAGTGCACCTCAGCTTCGAGCAACTGCCCATCATTGAGTTGTCAGTAAGACCAGCTATACCCTGCGGCACCATTGCCTGCGACAGCGCAAACACCTGTGCGCGACCTCTATCTGGCCTTGTCAGGTTTCCGACACTGCCGCCCTTTGCGGTTCGAGCGTTCGACATGCCATCCACCCCTACATCAGTCCCAGAGACTCGAGTCCTCTCCCCATCACCTTCACTCTCCGACACATCCGACGCACGTGATGGATATTATGCGCCGGTAACGCGGTCAGCAGCGCGCCGACAACACCTTTCAGGTGTTTCCGAGGAGGAATCCGACTCAGGGAGATCAAGGAGTCCACCTGCTGAAACTCCCTCTAAGAGTTCTGCACGACAACGCCGACCACCACGTCGATCCAACCCCAAGATCCCAGCATCACCGCCTCCCACCAATGGAAGCGCATCCAATGGATTCCTTTCACCCCCATCTAACATCTCAGGTGCATTGCGCGACATCTCACGCTCACCATCACCGCTCGGCCTGATTCCTTTACATAGTCGCTACCGCAGCTTCATCCACCGCCATGAGATTCCCCGAAAGGTCCTCCACGTGTCAATTGGTTTCATTACACTCCACCTCTACAGCCAAGGCGTACAAAAAACTCAGATCACTCCGGTGCTCTTGACCGCACTGGTCCCTATAGCAGTGACCGACGTTGTACGACATCGTTCGGAGAAGTTCAATAAATTTTACACTCGGTGCTTGGGTGCGCTCATGCGTGAGACCGAGGTGACAGGTTACAACGGCGTGATCTGGTACTTGCTCGGCGCATATATTGTGCTCCGTTTCTTCCCCAAGGATGTTGGTGTGATGGGCGTGCTTCTGCTCAGCTGGTGCGATACCGCAGCATCCACCTTCGGCCGCTTATGGGGCCGCTACACCCCTCGTCTCAGACAGGGCAAGAGTCTGGCTGGAACCATGGCTGCTTGGTTCGTGGGTGTTGCCACGGCTGCTGCTTTCTGGGGCTGGTTTGTTCCCTACATGGGTGCATTCCCTAACGACCCTGAAGGCTCGTTCATGTTCACAGGCCGCTTGAACCTGCTCCCGAACTGCGTACGGGGCTTGATCGGCTGGGAAGCCGCTACCGAGACATCATCTTCTGTTATTACCGGCCCTTTGGCTCTGGGAGCTATGAGTGTTGTCACTGGCTTGATTGCTGCCGGCAGCGAGTTCGTTGATCTATGGAGCTGGGACGACAACTTCACAATCCCAGTTCTGAGTGGACTTGGACTGTGGGGATTCCTGAAGGTCTTTGGCTAGACTTACACTTCAAATTCTCTTTGTCTTTACGTACAGCTACAGTGCTTCCATATACACACCCCTCTCAGATTTTGGTGATTTAATTACGTCTAGATGACCCTTTGCTTTCTTTCATTGTCTTATCTTCTCGGGCATGGCATTGCATCAGATTTGATTTCTGGCTATACAGGGCGCTCTAAATGCTTCACCTGCCATTATGGACATAATTTATAACCTTTCTACTTTGGCTTGGAACATTCCATGTAGTGAATTTCTGATATTGGCACGACTGTCCTTGATGTCATTCATGTATCCACGTACTGAATTTATGTACATCACGAGAATCAATAAACCCGAGGAACGTGCTGTCTTTCGCTAATGTTGCATCGTAGTCATCGTGCACGTAAGTGTGATCATTATGCCATGTATGTTCTCAGGGGACAGCAAAAGTAACGCCAGGTGAATGCTTGATTGAAATGCCACTCAGACCAAAAGTTTCCAATTGTTAATGAATTATGTTCTTGCCTTTCAACGCCAGGTTCCGTAATTCCAAAATGCCGACAATGGTGGGGGTATAAGACGATGGTTTAGTCAAATTAAATCGAGAATGCTGACACGGGGAACACGTTTCTTTCTGTTCTTGTTTTGGTCACCTCCTGCGTTAGAGGTAGACTCGCGGTTATTCGAAGTTGCTTCGTCTGCGTTGGTTTCATTTGGCTCATCAATAGACCAGAAGCCATTGTGCGTTGAAATGTTTTCAAGATGGCCGTTGGACTTTTTGGACTCAGTATTCTTCTTCTTTGTTTTAGGTTTCTGTTTAGAAGGGCTAGATTTTGTGGCCAATTCTTCGCTGTTGTTCAAATAGGAATCTTTGATCCTTGGTACAGGGAGATTCTGAGAGTGTTCATTATCCCGTCGTGCTGATAGTGATAATGAGCCAACGGCAGCTTCCAAGTCAACGACATCGCAATGAGTGTTTGCGACAGGGACATGTTTCTTGGTTTTGGGTTTGTCAACAACTGGCTTTTTCGGCAATGGCACATTCAATTTCGATTTGACTGCACCTGCAGTTGTTTGAGCGTGCTCATCAGCGTTGACCGAGTAGCTAATTCTGAGACCTCTTGGGATAGGGGAAGCAACCGTATCGTCGATCACGAAATCTTCTTTGGCAGTCTCCACTTCCCCAGTCCCTGGAATTGACGCACAAGCTCGCATTGGCGGTGGCCTGGCCATTGGGCGACGCTTTATCTGAGTTGAACTCTTTGATATGGGGGACGCAGTGAGTAATGATGAGAATGAGTCTATAAGGCTGTCAACCTCATGAGAGGTGTGATTGTTGAAATTAGGTCCTTGCGGTGGAGAGTAGATGTCGGAGGAGAAATCCGTTCCAAAATCAAAGCTTTCAGCGAAGGAGGGCGGTGTTTTGAACCCGGAAGAAGATTCTTGAGTGGATTTCAGCGATGATTGAGACGATACGGCACCGATAATGTGTGACTTATTGGAAGAGGACAGCTCGGAATTTTCCTTGGTGAGAGTTCCATATTTCAGGATGCTCCCATGCTTCATGCCTGCGTCGATTGGCCCTTTCCTTTTGGGACCAGTACGACGAGTAGTTGTCTTCTTGGGTTTTGGCGCAGCCTTCTTTGCCAAAGCAGCCGCCTTCGCAGCCTCTTTTGCGGCTTGTTCGTCGTTCCACTTTTTGACAACAAGAGGAATTCCCAGTTTGGCAACAGTCTCAAAGATCCAAATTTTTCCGACGGCCATTGGGTCATACCGCTTTTTGGCCCGTGTCTGAGACTTTGAGGGAGTTGATGGGGGTTCATCGCCTAGAATTTCTAGTTCTTCTTCCTCATCTTCTTGACCTATGTCTTCTGAAGGCATGCTCTCTTCGGTGGGAGGTAGAGGGGCCGGCTCTTCAGCGAGAAGGTCAATGCCAACGACATCAATCGGTAGTATGTCAACTTGCATCTCGGTCGTGCCATCGGTTCCAAAGTTTGCACGGGTTCGATATATCTGTTGGAGCCAAGGCGTAACACAATCAGGTGCTAAAGTACCGCTCGGCAAGCCAGAGACAGGTCGTTGAAGACGAAGTTTGTAGCAAACAAGAGGCTCAGCGAGGAGTTTGATTATCTTCCTGGCACCTGATCGATAGTTCCATTCGAAGTATTCAGCTGCAAAGGTCCTGATCGCTAAAGGGTCGATATCCCTATCCCATGCGTGCCGGAGAGTGCACCTAAGATTGACTATATCATCATCGGATGAGACCTTCGGCTCTGCATAATACTCGAGAATTGTTTGGTCGGGGAATGTGTCAGGGATGCGAACAGCTTTGTGTTTTGTTGTGAAATAGCCGCTTTCATTCTCCTCAAGTTCATATTGTAATCGTTCCCGCCATTCGCTAAGACGTGTCTCTATGTCCGGAGAGTGGGAGGCGATTTCTTGGAGTAAATCCTCCCCAAAGCGAGCTTTCGCGATCTCTGCAGCCAGTCCGGGTCCAACCTTTGGAACCCCCCCAGGTAAGTAATCGCCTCCGCTGAGCATGGCGAAGAGTATCATTCCAGCTCGACTGAGTGGTGCATTTGAGACGTTTTCTTCGTGACCCATCCGGTAGCAAGTAACGTGCGTCGCGGCCGTTGTCCCGCTCCCTTTCTCTTTCGAAAAATTCATGATAGTCAAGCTCGAACCAAACATAAGAGCGTCAACATCGTTGCTCATAACAGCATCCACGACCCCGGCTTGCTGCAAACGCGCACATTCGGCTTCAGCTTCACCTGGAGCTTCATGCCACGGAAATTTGAACCGTTCTATTAGGTCTTTCGACCGTCTGATTATTGGTGCATTTCCATAACTGCGCCCCGATACCGCTTTCCCCCTCTTAAATGCTGGTTTTTGCCCACCATCGTAGATGAAAAGCGGATGAATTGGCAGGGCTAAGAGTTTTAGAAGTCGGAAGAATAATGTTCGTAGCTCGGGGTTTTTGCCCCCGCGACCAGCTTGGACCTGGAATAGCCAAATAGAAATATCAACAGCGACTCGAATCGGTCTGGCGGTTCGTTGCAGGTGGGATACTGCCAATTTAGAGAGTGAAACGCGTTCTCCTTTGCCAATAGCATGTATAAGACTGCATCATATCAGTATAATTGATTCACGAGGGTCAAATAATCGCCTGAATATTGGTATTCGCGGCGTTGCTAGGCGGTAGTAGCCGCGCATGACCTTTTTTGGGTATATCGCAGGTCTACAGTGGAAGGGACGAGACGAGACATACCCGGGAATGCCCATTATGTCGTTATAGAGCTAAGCCAAAGCTTCGAATTCAAGTCAATGGGGTCATACCCATGTGGTGCTGAAGGACGGCTGTTCAAAATACAGATCGAAAACAGGCGTTGCGGAGTAAATAAACCACGGCCCGATGTAGATCCGATGGACCATGCGGTCCCTGATCCGGGCCGTTGACCTGCAATCTGCTTCAATTCAGAGTGCTTTTGAATTTCTATTGCTATTCCAACCTCATCGCTCCGGAAAACTGCCCTCGATACAAAATTCATAACTCAGATGGCCCCATAGACGCGTCGGCGCATCCCTGAAGCGGGTCCGAGTCCCCGCGGATTTCTATTGCTCCGAGGGGCAACCCCAACAACACACAATATCACAATTAACAGCCGACGAAAGCCATATCGAACGCGATTGTGGCGAAATGTCTTCTACATCTACATTACGTCAAAGCCAGCCAGCGCAACCAGCCTCTCCACACACTCCCCAGCAGCAACTTCGATCAGGTAATACCTCTTTTGCCAGCAACACGTCACCAGGCTCGTCCTTCCGCAATGAAGATGATGCGATAATATTTGAATTGGGTGCTCGCTGGCTCCGAGCTGGATTTGAGGGGAACAGTAGCCCTGCCTGTGTGGTAGGATTTGGGCCCGAAGAATCGAGAAGAGTGGGTGATTATCGGGGATGGATTGAGGGTAGCGTTGGTGCTCGACCACCACCCCAGCCTGTTGATGCGGAAGATTGGGCTCGAGAGTACGAATTATGGAGACCAGACTTGCGAGAAACGGATTTGGGTTTAATTGAGGATAAAATCGAGCGTGTTTTTCGCGAAGTCTACAATCAACAGCTGTTGACTGATGCAGGGACATCTCGCTTGGTTTTGGTTATGCCATCTCTCATGCCGCACCCACTGCTCTCCTCGCTTCTCTCAACGCTATTCAGTCGTTGGCGTTTCCCCAGCATTACACTCTTGCCTAGTGCGCCACTGTCAGCAGCAGCTGCTGGATTGCGCTCAGCGTTGATGGTGGACATTGGCTGGGCAGAAACCACAGTAACTGGACTCTACGAGTACCGGGAGGTGGTCACAAAACGAAGCACTAGAGCAATGAAAGCTCTTTTGCAAGAACTGGCTCGACTTCTCGGTGACCTGGCAGATGGAAAAAAAGATTCCCCAGAGGGTATCTCTGTGGGATTCAAATACTGTGAGGAAATTGCTTGCCGACTTTCTTGGTGCAAGCCAAATTCACATGTCGACGAGGACAAGTTTCAAAATAAGGAAGTCACAATACCCTCACCTACCAACCCAGAGCAAGAATATATCGAGGTTCCATTCTCTCTATTCGCGGACCCTGTTGAGAAGGTTATCTTCGCTCCTGGTATTTCCGAGAGTGAACTCGATGATGAAGAAAAGTCCATCCCCCTCCTAATTTACAATACTCTACTCTCCTTGCCACCCGATGCGCGGGGAACATGCATGTCACGCATGGTTTTTGTGGGTGGCGGAGCTCGCATTCCTGGCTTGCGCCAGCGAATTATGAAGGAGGTTTCACGTTTGGTTGATCAGCATGGATGGAGCCCTCTTCGAGGAAAGGCAGTCGAACGGCAACGCCAGCGATTACTTGAGCTTCGAATTTCGCCTACCACCAATGGCGAGGAAGCACCCGCTGTTAAAGAGAAAGATGCGACATCACCGAGTGACAGCGAGCGACTTGACCCATCCCAAGTAGTACCGGAAATGGATTTTGTGGAGCAAAAATTACGCCGTCAAAACAAAGACATCCCTATCCCCATCCAAGGAAAGTTCCGAGAAATTGAGTCTCTTGGGGCTTGGGCTGGTGCCAGTTTGATGACTGGGTTGAAAGTTCGAGGAATGGTGGAGATTGAGCGTGAGAAATTCTTGCAGCATGGATTAGCAGGAGGGACCCGAGATTCAGAGCATCCGGTGCCAGATCGTCGATCCGGGCTTCGAGCGGGTGATCGTTCGAGCTGGACCCTGGCAGGATGGGCATGATCTTGTAAATTTATTCGTTTGGCACATAATACTAGATACCCATTTTTGTCGAAAATTGTTAAAAAGTTATATACCCGTCCCCTTTTAGGGCTTAGCATGGTGAAGGCATTTGCATCCCTCTTATCTGGCCAATGACTCGTTTACTTATTTCAATCAAAAGCGAGTTCCTAATACTTGCAAAGTCCAAGCCGTGCAAATATCCTGCGCTGTACGAGAAGGCGACTTCAGAGCCTCGGCTCGGTAATGCGGGGGAAGGACCCACACTCGCAGCAACCTCCTGTATATTACCTGACTTGAGATATCTACTATCAACTCAAAAGTCAAAGGGCCCGAGGACTTGGATGTCTTTACTATGACTGAATTTAGTCCGCCTCCATTGCGTGCCCCTACGGCATGTGTTGCGTGTAACAAGAAAAAGGTAAAGGAGTGTCCAGATCGGTGATTCAGAGGGTTCAAAAGCTAAACTATTAGGTTCGTTGTATATTCGATGACGGTGCCAGGAATTGTGTTAATTGCGAGCGACATCAATGGCCATGTTTGTGAGAATAGAATTTGATATTGCTGACGCTAAACGGGTTCTGTTAACTAACTCGAAATGTAGTCAGCGCGAGCGAAAGAGGCAACGCCGACAAGCCCAGGGGCATGAATCTGGAATATCAGAAGAGAGAGGTCATAAAAGACGACAGTTGCCAGGATCGAGTTACGCAACTTCGTCACCACAGCCCGAGACTGAGCAGTATTCTGTTCATGGAAATGGTCCTAGTTTACAATGCGAACAAATGCCCACTCCCCGCGGAGAAAGTGGTATCTATTCACTTTCCTCCGATTCGCCAAGCAATACAGACATATCGCGGTCATCAAATCCCTACTCATCGGCATCTAGTTTGAGCTTCATGGCTAGGTCCCGCTACTTTGAAGATTCGGTAGTGATAAACGAGGACCAGGCTAGGTCTTACCCAATTGGCGAGAGTGACGGGCCGACTGACGACGATATCCAAATACTGCGGCTCCAAGGAGCATTCGAACTCCCACCTCGAGCAGTGAAAGAAGGGTTGATTAACACATTTATAGAAAAATGTTCACCGTGGATGCCTATCATTGAACGCAGCTGGTTGGAAGAAAGTGGTTTCCAAAAGCCATCCATGCTACTTCTTCAGTCCATATTTGTGGCAGCTAGTCGGGTAACTTCAGCACCGGCCGTCACTGCATATGCATCCACGCATCAGTTTTATCGTCGTGCGAAAGCCTTGTTCTGGTCAGGGTATGAGAAAAATCCGGTAGCAGTCGTTGCTGCTGTCTGTATCTTACATTGGTACAATCCGGAAGGCCCCGAGCATGTCTCTACAAACACTAGCGGGTTTTGGCGATATGTAGGAGTTGGATTAGCGCATCAAATTGGTCTACACAAAGAGCCCACAGATAGAAGAGACGCACCTCTGAGACGTCGACTCTGGTGGACCTTGTTTGTATGTGGCCCCAGACTACTATTCCTTTAAAATGAACATTCTGTCTAATCTTCGCTAGGCTAGGGATTGCTTGATATCAGCTGGGCAAGGTCGCCCTCTTGCAGTCGTAATAGATGATTGTGAACTGAATCCTCCTTGCCAAGAGGACTTTCAAGATTCGAGCTCGAGCGGTGATCTTTTCATTGCCTATGTTGAGATCAGCTCTATTCTTGGTCACCTCACCCAGTACTGTCGGCGGAAATCCCTCACCCGTCAAATCAAAAAGGATATCGAGAATCGCCTTTATCGATGGACCCGGGAACTGCCTGTGGAACTGAGACTTTTCCAGAGTTCATTCTCAAACACCACACAATGGAATGTTAGTTTGCGGAATAAACTATCTTCATATAGCTTTGAAGCCCGACAACTTCACATTCCATATTTCGTTTGTCTTGCAATAATGTGTCGCCCTAGTCCGGGAGAAAGTCCATCATCTGCGGTGATACTTGCGTCTTCTTTCATAGTGGGGATATTCGAAGATTTCCTCGCTCGAGATGAACTACAATTTCTTGGTCCCATATTCACATTCCATTTACTAGCAGCAGGTATTGGATTGCTCTCCAGTAATACAATACCACAGCTGTGGGAACAAGCGTCGGATAGTCTGAACACAATTTATATGTCATTGGAAGTCCTTGCAAAACGCTGGTCATCTGCGAAAGGCAGCCTCAGAGCCCTGAAAAGTATTGCCGAGAAACAGCAAAATGCAAGAAGGCCTGAGGAATGCCAACATTTAGGATTAGAACGCGAGTACAAGCCATTTTTCGAGGGATTTGGTCCTGAAATATCCTGGACTTGGCCGTACCTTTTCCCTAATACTTCCAGTAGCACCGGTCCCACAGAGCTTGTTTTGGCATCTGGAAGCCCTGATATTACATTTGATGCGTTCGCCGAGTCTCGACCTGCAGATACATCATCTCCACACGATGAATATCGACCGCTTACGACAATTTTAGATCCCAGTATAGGGAATGCTACTGGAAGTACAAGACGAGCTCTGACAGACGATTTCTTTCACAACCAGTATGAAGGCATGGGGGATTGGCTATTCAAGGACCTCGACTGGAGTGCTGATATTCCTTGGTAAAGACTAGTTGAGAAAATGGAAACTAAGAAACATAATATAGACCAATTTATTGTAGAATATGGCTCAATTCGAGAAAATTTCATGCGCATGCGCGGAAATAAAAGTCTGGCATTCGGATTATACTGTGAAATCTATTTATTCATCAGACTCGCCGAGGAGTTACTTCTATCCATCAACTTTCGATACGGGCGGATTTTGGATATGGGATCCGATCCGTACCAGTGGGGTCATTGGCCATTCCGCACGTTTCATCATGATACATAGTAATTAGCCTGGTTTTCGCCAATATTCGCCCCACACAGGCAAGGCTGCAAATATTACCACAATAAAATACCATCCACTTCATGCGATCATGCCAAGTCTTGGCAAATTAGCTTGTCTTGCGGCTGAACCCAGTAATAATTCTACCTTAGCTGTTCTAAAGCAATATGAAGACATTATCGAACTCCTCCTTCAGTACAAAGCAAATCCAAACGGTTCAAGTATGGCTGGGAAGATACCCTTGTCACAGTGGACGTCACTTGTCAACAGGACTGTTGCTGGCGATGCGCTAGGCAGTTTGCTGGGTATTGTAGCAGCATTTGCCTAATTTAAGAGCAAGTCGTTGCGAGATCGAGTACATAAACTATGAAGATAAGTTTTGATCTATAGCGCACCGAAGGGATTGCCATTGGAGGCAGTAAGCAAATAAATGAAGACCGCTGATGTTGCGATGTTTTGAATTACTCCTTAAGAATAGCCCAGAAGCAGCTCGTTAAAGCTTAGAGTTGCTTTACATAGACAGACCCATGCTAAAGTGCTTACATGGTCCGCTCGAAATCAGCTTCACTAAGGTCATATTGCTCCTAACAGCTACGTCCGACAAAGAGTGAACGTCAGTTTTATTTTGTGTATATAGTGCTCCACCGATGACGCCGTTCACCAAAACTACCGCCATACCCCCGCTCCGGCATTCGGTACTCGGTTTTCCGGCAAGGAACCAGGATGTGGAGCTTTGGCGATCAAGAGGGCAGGGAGTTCCAAAACATACTCAACAAAAACTTCTTATACAGGCTCCATAGTTGAGTGGACAAACGAGAATTTTCTCTCCCATATCTATTCTACAGGCGAAGAAATGGTAGACATACCCAAATTTCAGAACCTCTCTTTGGAGCGACATGGGAATGTTTTCGTTTTGACTATGCAAAAGCCACCCGAGAACCGGTTGAACTCATGGTACTGCCAGGAAATGATTCGGGCCTATCGTACAGTTGAAAGACTCTTAGGACCAGAATCAGAGGGTGCTGTGATTACAAGAGGCAATGATGCTAAATTCTGGTGTACAGTATGTAAATAATTTTACAATATTCCCAAACACAAGCTACGAACTAATACGCCACAGGGATTGGAGTTGGAAGAATCGGACAAAAACCCATTTGCCAACGCGGATGGATTCTATCCTGTAAGTCTATACTTTTGACCGAGATATGGCATTTGAGATTCATGATTCAAGAACAGCTTATCCATACGATCCTCGACTTTCCTTTCCCAACAATTGCCCTCATAACGGGACATACTTTCGGCGGCGCATGTCCCCTGGCTCTGGCTCACGACTATCGCATTATGAACTCCCGCAGAGGATTTATCTCAATGCCACCTGTGAATCTCGGCTTGCACTTTGAAGGAATTGGATCTCTACCCCGACTCAAACTCCGCCCACATGTTGCACGTAAGATGCTCTTGGAGGCGCATCGTTGGACTGCGAGAGAAGCCCTAGACGATGGAATTGTCGATGCTATTACAGAGCCAGAAAATATGCTCGACGCTGCGCTAGAACTTGGCGCAAAATGGGCACCCAAGGCCAAGATGGGGTAAGTTGGAAATGCCTTAGATCCATTATGTATGAATGCGGTTTTGAGGCTATTGTTACTAACTCGTTTGAATGATTCAGTGTTTACGCTTTGCTACGACAGGAACTATGGGGTGATGCTATTAAGAAGTTTCAGCGAATCAGCTATGTACACGGCAGAGTCACTTCGGCTCCTGCCAAAGTAAAGATTTGATTGGCATATATTTTGCTCGCGATAAAAGAATCGATAAGATAAGCTGTTACAAAAGCAGAAGCCAATTAATTCATTGAATAAATATCAATGGTACCGTCTGTGTATTTCGTATCAAGGATTTGATCTGTCAACTAGGTAAAAAATGTTCCATCAGATAGTATCTTAGGCCTAAGTAAATTAGCAGAAAACAGTATACTCCAAGGTATCAGTGGAGTTGAATATAGTATGACCCGATGCATTTATTCTTGAAGATAAAATATTCTATTTAAATTTTTGATCTCTTATCTTTGCTCCAGACCTGAATTTCTGGAAGATCTCTATAGTTCGGTGGGAAAAGCTCCGGTCCCAGGGTCTTCTTCTGCACTTTACCCGTTCTCGATTTCGGCAACTCCCCCTTGATCACTCGTAAAATAGTAGGTATCTTATAGCTCGACATCTTACTTCGAAGGTCCTCTCTTAACTCTGCCAGAGTGAGTATTTTCCGAGTTGTGCTTTGATCCGTCTTCAGACTGATACTAGCTGCAACTCGCTGTCCGTATTCCTCATCTTCAACACCGACAACCATCACCTCAGACACGTAATCCAAGCCAAGGATCTCACGCTCAATATCCAAAGCAGAGATCTTATACCCGCCAGATTTGATAATGTCAATTGAGGCACGGCCTAGGATAAAGAAATAATCTCCTTCCCGTCGAGCGATATCGCCTGATCTGAAGTAGCCCTCTTTATCGTGTGCTTGAGTGGTAGCTTTCTCATCATTGAGGTATCTGTTCGAAGAATTGGTTATTTTGTTTTATTTACTGAGAAATTCCAACGAGGATATGCATACTTTGAGAACATATACGGGCATTTCACAAGTAAATGACCATCATCTTCGAGCTTGAGCGAAACTCCCCCAACAATACGACCGACGCTATTCCTCGGCATCCCCCGAGGATCAAGGTCAGTTTTTATAACTGCACCGAACTCAGTAGCCCCATATCGGGTCATCATCGGCTTTTCTCGAAGCTCTTCCCAGAAATCCTGAACAGGGCCAGGCAAAGCCGAGGATCCACAAAGCATTGTGCGAATATCGCGCGCTCCTTTGATATATTCATCACGTACATTAGGAGTCTGTATCAAAATGTTCTCTTCAAAATACCGCATCATTCGCATGTAAATTGTTGGCACGCCTGAGAAAAAGCTCAGTCCGCCTTGGCGCCAGCGTTCCCATGTCCATGCTGTATCAAAGCCCCCACTTCGAAATTCTATGCATGCACCGGCTGTTAGGAAAGGAAGAAATGTAAGCCCCAGTCCAGAGGCATGATGAACTGGTAGAACGTGAAGAATAACGTCTTCTTCTGTGACTCGGTAGAAATCCGCATCTGTTTCTGCATTGCCTGTTAACCAGGTGCGACGTTGGACAGCTCCTTTGGGAGGACCGGTTGTCCCTGATGTGAATATGACTGCAGCAGCGCCGTTTATATCAAGGGCTCGATTTGATGAAATTAGGATTTCGTCCGCGGGGAAGACAGCCGTGTCGAAGAAGGATGCGATGGGTGAGATGCAGGGGATGTGGATGTTGTTCTTTTCGCTTATGAACTGTACCACGGAATTTGCGAGTGATGCGTTGGTTGTGCTCGCTATCAATGCGACACATTCTGCCTTAAGTAGAAAATAAGAAGCTTCTTCGATCGGTAACCCAACGGCTGTACTATGTTGTTAGCCATATAGATGCTTGTTCAGAAGTGAGTTCGCGACTTACCCATTGGGACTACCGCAGCGCCGAGTGCAAGAATAGCAACAAATCCAACAGTATATTCGTAACCACCCGGGGCTAACAAACCAATATAGATTTCTTTATCATTTGAAAGATCTCGTAGGGTTTGAGGACTGAGCGTCTTCGCTAATTCATTGCGAAGAGCCAATGCATCAGATAAGACATGATGAAATGTCTTCTCTAGCCCGGCGTTCACATCTCGAATTGAGATACGTGGCTGTCTACGCTGAGCATATCGAAGGAGTTTGTGGAAGAAAGGTAGATTAGGAAGCACATTGTCTCCCATATGACAGGGTACATAGTGAGTACGGTCGCTCATTGTTGTTCGTTATGGAGTTAGGTCTTGTTTGTTCACCCGCTAAGTTCAAAAGTAAAATCTAAGTATCTTGCTTAGAATTTAAATCAAACACTAAGCATTCCACTTTCATTTTTTTATTCTCTCTTGTGGAGAATGATTCTCAAGTCGGCTACTTAATTCCCCGCGATTTTCCCCGCGTTGTAGATACCGGCAATCGGCATTCGGTGATTCGGCAAAAGTTGGGGGTTCAATATGGGGGTACAAGCGAGGTTATTTGTGATCAAGAGTTTAATGCAATTAAATAAGAACAAATTCGACATAAGCAGAGTTGGCTGTAGCAATAAAATTCAAAATAACAACAATATGCCCGACTTTACCGATAAGCTCCGTCCATCCCAACCCGATGGACCTACAACACTTGCACGCGAGCGAGCACAATCCAGTATCTCGATAGACGAGCTTGGAAATCACCTACTATCATCCGATGGCTTCCTACAACGACAGGCTCGAATTCTCTCTATCCTACAGCGAGAGCCACTTCTATCAAAGGATACACAGCAAAATTTGTCGCGACCTGAACGATTTAAACTAGGACTCGCCCGAGCAAAGCTCCTACGTCGATTAGTCGATAAATACCAATGGGGCTACGATGATTATAAAATGGCAGAGTACCTAGTCAGCGATGTCTCGCCATATTTTCTACATTTGGAGATGTTCATCACCACCGTACGCGAACAAGGCAGCGAGGCCCAACGAGCGCATTGGATGCCATTGATTGAGTCGTGGAGAATCATCGGAGCATATGCGCAGACGGAGCTAGGCCACGGCAGTAATGTCCGTGGTCTCGAGCTTGAAGCACGATGGGATCATCAAGCAAAGGAATTCATTCTACATAGCCCGACTTTGACGGCTAGCAAATGGTGGAATGGCAGCTTGGGTCGAATAGCTAACCACGCTATTGTGGTTGCTCAACTGCTTCTTCCTAAATCAGGCTCTTCGGAGTATATTTCTCATGGTCCGCATCCATTTATTGTTCAAGTTCGAGATATGAAAACTCATCAACCACTGGATGGTGTGGTGGTTGGAGACATTGGTCCGAAATACGGATACATAACGATGGATAACGCATACATGCTTTTCAGTAATTTCCGGTAAGTAAACCTCTATCATGTTCGAAAGAAAATAGTACTAAAATGTTTGGTTTCAGCATCCCTCACTCTGCCATGCTCTCGAGGTACTCAAGTGTAGATCCTGAAACAGGAATCTACACAAAACCAGCACAACCAGCCGTCGTCTATGGATCTCTCACATACGTCCGAGCTCAAATAGTCCACCACGCTCGACTTGTTCTCGCACGCGCGGTCACAGTAGCAGTGCGCTACACAGCAGTACGCCGACAATTCAAAGACCGCGATAGCGATGGCAGCGGACCCGAAATGTCCGTCCTCGATTATCCCACCGTGCAGATACGGATTCTACCCCTACTAGCATCAACATTCGCACTCCATTATACAGGTCTAGCTATGCGAACTGTATACGAGAACGCGCGACAAGATGTGGAGCGTGGAGAGTTTCATTCCTTAGCCCATATGCATAGTATGTCTTCTGGACTGAAGAGTTTGTGTACTATGCTTGCTGCAGATGGGATTGAGACTTGTCGGCGGGCTTTGGGTGGACATGGCTTTGGAGGCGGAAGTGGTTTGATCGAGCTTAATAATGACTATTTGTCTAAGCCGACAGTTGAAGGTGATAATTGGATGATTACGCAGCAGGCTGCTTCGTATTTGATTAAGAGGATGACTGTTGCGGTGCAAGCACCTAACTCAGCGGGGTCAGATGAACTGGATTCACGATTCAAGGAGTTTGTTCGAAACCTGGTTTGTAATAATTGGGCTACATACCGTGTGCTGGAACGGGATGAAGATATTGCTAGAAGTTTTGAGCTGCGCGCTACGGCTTTGGTATGTCTAGTCTAACGGATTTAATGTAAGTGCCAATGAAACTAATGAGCTGCAGGCATATGATGCGTACCAGCAGAGAGTTCTCAAGACGAGAAGCTGGAATAGTCTTCTCATACAACTGCACAAGTTGAGCAAGGGTAAGTTGTGACATTTCAATGAAACGAACACAAAGTCTAACACATAAGGGTAGCCCAATCCCAATCAATTCTTGTTAGAGAATTCTTTGAGGCCTTGTCGACAAATAATACCCTTTCGAGCTCCATAAAGACCATCATGTGGGACGTTTATCGACTTTTTGCGCTTTATACCATGGAAAATGATGGATACGAATGTGAGTAATACATGCTGTTCAGTGATGGCTTCGAAACTAACAACTGCCAGTCTTCCGCTGTGGCGCCGTGCCTCAATCCGATATCGATCTACTACCAGGGCGAATTCAAGATCTAATGGCGAAAATCAGACCACATGCCGTGAAGTTGGTAGATTCGTGGATGATTCCTGATTATTTGCTTGACAGGTGAGTTATTTTTCTGGTTTTGATTTGAGAAAGGCCGGGCAGTTCTAACATTGACTTTGAACAGTGCACTGGGGAGATATGATGGGCGTGTTTATGAGGATCTCTATAATCGGGCTCATCGGCTGAACCCATTGAATGAGATTACTTTTAACCCGAATTATTGGGAGGATGAGATTGTTAAAGGGTCTGGAGATAATGGATCTGGAATATTGTCTAATTTGTGAGGCCGGGCGAGAGCCTCACATCCCCCTTGTCGTATTCAATACATCGGAGCATCTACAAGTATTAAAAAAAAAGCATTACTACATGAGAATGCATATTACTAGAGATAAGAATTGGTAAACCCGCTTCATACGGGTAAATGCCTCCCAAGGTTGATTATGTACATAAGCAGACCCCAGAGCGATGGATCGTATTGAACGATAGCTCAGGTATAAATTAAAGCATAATTATGGTATCGGGGCAGATTTGAATGCCTCAGTGAAGGTTCTAGTAGTATAAGAAATCCTTGCTTTAGTAAGTACCAAACTGGTAAGTAGCCCAGTTGATAGCAGGGCCATCCTCAGGGCTGAAGATCTGGTACTGGTCACGGCCCCACTGAGGCTGATTGATGCCGTCAATCCAGTCCTCGGTCTCAATGACAAGGCAGCCATATTTGTTGACAAAGCCGGCGCCGGCGTTGCCATCCTGCTCCTTGTTACGCTTGGCCTGGGACTCCTTGGTAGCAATGGTACCGTTCTGGCCGTTGCAGGAGTAGATCTGCAGAGCAGCCTGGTTGGTAGCGACCTCCAGGCTGATACCGGTGGTATCGGAGGCAAGGCGGACGGAGGGGACCATTGAGTTATCAGCAGCGTAGGTGGAAGGGCGGTCAATGAGCCAGCACGTATCGTAACCGGTGCAGTCGGCACCGCACAGCTCTGCGGTCTTGTTGATATCCTTTCCGACGAGCTTGGGCTCAGTGAAGTCCAATGCGCCATCGTAGGCGGTGTCAACGTCCAGGATCTCACCGGTGGGAACCTCAAGAGAGTCACCGACAATGAAGCGCTTGGAAAGGGGCATCTGGAGGTAGGTGTTGTTCAGGATGGTCTCATCCTTGAAGGCATTCAGGTTCCAGTAAAGGTGGTTGGCGAGCATGATAGGAGTCTTCTCAGTGAGAGACAGGGAGATCAGTTTGGTTGTCAGCTGGGGAAGACCCTTAGGGTTCTCGGGTGATTTCTCGGTGGAAACACTGAATTGAGCGTGAGAGATCACATCACCAGGGAAGCCTTGCCAAGCCTCATCCAGAAGGGTGAAAGTGATAGAGGACTTGTCATAAGAGGTGACAGTCCAATTGCGCTCGTCGTAACCAACGAAGCCACCGTGGAGGGTATCCTTTCCGCCGTGCTCATTCTCGGGGATGTGGTAGGTGCTACCATCAATGGAGAATGTACCATTCTTAATTCGGTTGGCGTAACGACCGACAACAGCACCGAAGTAGGTGTGGTTGGTCTCGGAGTCATGCAGATACTCGGTAGGGTTATCATAACCAACCAGGACATCTTGGGTGTTGCCATTGCGGTCTGGGACCAAAACAGAGGTCAGACGCGCGCCGTAAGGAATGACCTTGACGGTGATGTTTTCTGCCTCAATGGTGTACTCCTTGAAGTGAGCAGCGTCGACCCCACTCGTCGAAGTTGAGGACGGCGCTGGGGCAGCATTCGCCAGGGCAGGGAGCCCTACAAGGGCAGCGGACACGTAAGACTTGAAATGCATTCTGAGGCTCAACGTAAATATGAGGGCCAAGCAGAGGAAAGAGTAAGTGAGGAGAAGTCGAAGAGTGATCCGCGCAGGGCACAGGAGAGAACGGAAGCAGCCGAGGGGAAAGCTGCTCATTTTAAGTCAGGGAGCTTTGTGTTCCCGATCGCAAACAACCCCCAATTCGACGCGCTAAGCTACAGTGCGCATGGCCCGACGCTAGGGGGTGGAGCACTAAACCCGGGGTAAGGGACGATAGATCACGAATTATTATCCGAAAACGGCAGCGTGAGGGGATCCCGACCAACCAGTGACATTCAACGGGACAGGGAGCGTGGCTTGAGATGAGGGGGAAGATCCGAGCCCACGTAGTAGCAAAAGCGGGAACGGGGATACGTCGGTGGATCCTGGAGAAGTCCCTGGGCTACAGTAAGCTCTAAGATGCGAGGTTAGCGACAGGCAAAACTCCGGTGGGAGAAAGAGAAATGTTGATTGTTGATCCACATTTGATCCCAAAACATGAAAGAATCTGGAAATAAACTATGTTGATCTCTGACTCAGCATGTTTGGTGCCCCCGGATTGGAGGAAATGGTCAATTCACTGCTCCAGGGGGCTTTGTTGCTTGTTAATTTAGTGGGATTTAAATCCATGCACATGATGGCATTCGTGATGTAATTTCCATGCATTTCCTTCATTTCCTTCATTTCCTTTCCCTAAACTTTGGTCAATTAATCTTCGTCCGTTCTTAGTCCCGGAGTATATCCATTTCAAGTCTTCCGGTAGTTGGGGGCCATGACCACGGCCATCTACTCTGCCCCAGAAACGAGTCATTCGGTTCCGCAGTTATACATTCAGTGGCTTACGGATGTTTCTTTTGGAATTAGCCGAGTCGTTACGAAGATGAAAAGTTGAAGTTGAGCTCGCTTATGCGGGGTTTGTATGCCTCAGCAAATACTAGTATGCATTGTCGAGCCGCCTCCTCAGAGTCCTCACTCTATCGCAAACATACAGACAGTCGGGAATTTCTATCATAACAGATGGAAAGCCCCGCCATTTTGACGTTGACTTCCCAGGCCCTCATATTCTAGATCTAATTGACTCTTCAATGGTCGCCCTGGAAATAGCCACAAGGTATCTCAGTTAAATTGTGTAGAAGGACATCAAATCCGTACCTTGCCACATTGTTGTCGAATAACCGTAATCGTGCGTCACTAAAAAGCAATCCAACCATTAAATGCCCGGCACTTGCCAATACTATGCTTTTCTTTTCGTTAGCTTCTTTGGCCTTTCTTCGGCATACCTGCCCGCTTGACTGAAGTGATCATTGCTATGCTGGTCGCATAACAAAAACAATACAACCCGCACATCAAGTATGAAGAATGACCGAATGTGAAATCGATCCATCCACTCTTCCAAAATGTGATGATCTTTTCCGGGCTATCGAGGCTCAATTCGAAGCCTCTCAGATCCCTAGCGATAAATGGTACCTCACAGCTCTGAGCGCCTTGACCACGACCCCCGATCCCCATTTGGCAGATCAGCTCTATGTATACCTGACTAGCACACCTGCATACTCGACGGTCAATGCGCGCCAGACCCTCATACAGCGTATGCGAGAGACATTGTTCAAAAATATTGCGCTTCTTGGTCTTCCAAAACCCGCCGAAGCTCTTATTTCTATCAGTCGGGTCGAGCTTAAGGAAGATGGTATAACTCAGACCTTCACTCGCGAGGGATGGCAGCGCGACGATGGCAATCGCACGCGTGGGATTCAATGGCTGAACAAAATTTATGCTCATAACGCGGAAGATTTATTTGATCTGTTCCAAAGGCATCGGGATTGGCAATTTTGGATTGGTGAGATTGCTTATGGGCTACATCTATCAGATCGCCAAGTCTTGGATGATATAGACACTGAATTGGTTGTTCTACCAGCAGTTATGGGACAGAATCTTCCTAGAGAATCATACTGGCATATACGAGGCTTAAGGAGACTTGGGATCTCCAAGGAAGACATTCAGATGATTTGTGATTGTGTACATAAAGTGGCTCAATTCTGTGGAGTCAAGTTGGATCGTGTTCCCTCAGTTGAGAAGGTCGACGCAGACATATCCAACGACAGCGACCCATGAAGTACCAGGGGTGAAGTATTCGAACAGGTGATTGAATCATAAGCATCCACTTATAATGTTTTGCACGCGATAGAAGAAATAGAACACAATATCAACAAAAAAACAAGCAGCGGCGATGTTTATACTTCATCCTAAGCTTACTAAGCTAACGGTCGCAGTGACCGACTCGTGCCTTGCCCGCTGTGGGAGTTTGTTTATACCTTGCCCCGCGAATATTAGCTCGATGATCTTTGGTCTATTCCTATTGTACAGAGTGTTTTTAAACCATTGAATCTTTCACCATTCAGCATTCCACGGGGTGCGACTCTCTCCACGCCCCCTAGCGGCACGCGTGCCGAGATTCCATCGCACTGAGTCCTCCCGCCATGTCAAGCACGTCTCGCAGCCTAAGCTCCTCCCCCGATGTTCTTGGCCCTCCAGGCGATGCCGAATATTTGATCTCGTCTCCGGCGAAACCCTTTGCAGGCCGACAGAGCTGGATGTCTCCTGCCGTCGCAAGACGTTCACAAACGCCCGCGAAGCGCCCGCGCGCGAGCCTCAGCCCTTCGAAAGGCGGCCACTCGATCCGCTTCGACGATGTCATGCTCCCTGGTTCGCCGACAATGAAACTGGATGGTCGCCAACGGTCGCTTTCTCCGGAGAAGATTCAACAGGACGGAAATGTGAGCCCGTGGCGTATACGCGTTACTCTCGAAGCAACGCAGGACGAGGAGAACCAAGTCCAGGCCAGCCCTTCACCCAAACGAAGACGGCCCTCGACCGTGACGACTATGATACCATTGAAGGATGAACGAAGCCCATTAATAGAGAAGACACCCGCGCGAAGGAAAGGCCGACCGCGGAAATCAGATACCCACCCGCCGAACGGATCCCCATGGCCAGCAAGCCCTGGGAACACACCCGGTCCGAATGAAGCCAGCGCACAAAAAAGGAAACCGGGCCGACCGCGAAAGAGTACCCCGAAACCGAAGCAACAGGAGCTACTCATTGCCTCCGATGCGCCCTCCCCACAAGCTCAATCCGTGGCGCATTCGAGTCCGATGGATATGACCGCGGACGTTGCTGTTGATTCGAGATCATGGATACCGCGACATATAACAGAGAATGATGGATTGGACAGTGACTCTTTGAATGCCGATGATTTACCCATTGCAAACCTCCCTATGCCACCTTCTGTACAGCGAGAGAGGTGGGATGAATACAATGGCCATGATTATGGAAGAGCTACGTACGATACTCCTACCATCGGAGATGCGGAACATCATTTCCAGGATAATGATCAGAACATACACTCTACTCCTTCTAAGATGCCATCACCGACCCGAGATAGATTGGCCTCGTCCGCTAGATCTTCACGTCTCGCTAGAAATACCTCGTCACCACGCACATACCCGACGCCTACTCCAACATCTTCGCTAGACGATGAGGACAGGACTAGGGAGAGCCCACTGCATGAAGAACAAGAAGCGGCACATCAACCTACCTCTGATTTCGGAGCTGATCCGACCGACTACCATGAAGAATTCGATTCCATAATGGAAAGCGAGGGCTTTACCATGGTTTCCCTGGATACGCTACCCTCAGCAAAACAATATGGGTTGGGGTCTGGTACCAGAAATGCTACGGACAATGCGTCGAAGATCTTGCGAGAAAGAGAAGATGGTCGCATTGGGGATCGATTGAAGCGTAAGCTTCCTGGCATCAATGGTCTTCGAAGCGACTCTCACAGTTCAGCACGGCCGAGTCCGGTGGCACAAGAGCCCTCCCCCGCGTCAAAAAACAATTTATACCCTCAATTGAATCATTTGAACGCGAAACCGCAAAATTCGCCTGACACAGTAGCCTACCCTGTCATCCCTCAAATGTCATCACCTCAAAAGCCACATGGTTATCAATCCGATTTATACGCTATCGAAGAAATCGGCAGTGACCCCGATGATGCTGAGGAGTATGGTGATCAGGCTGAAGATGTTGAAGAGGATGAAATCCAAGAAGAGGAACAGGATGAAATCCAAGAAGAGGAACAGGATGAAATGGAAATGTTGGGAGAGGACCAAGATAATGAACCTGTTATACTTGGATCACCACAACTCTCAACCAAAAGTCCCTTGCGATATAGCCCCGCGGATTTAAGACGAGCCAGAGAAACTCAATGGCAGTCTGAACGAGAAACTGTCAGTCGACATGCAGCAGATCCTAGGAACGCCGAAAGAGTTATAAGCATTGAAAGCGACAGGGACGTGTCACAGAGTCAAAATTATGACGATGACGCACCAGAGGATTTCTCCCAGCCTTATGCGGAGCCGGCTGTTCAGGAACCGCGATCAGACGAAGGTTTCGTTGATGAAGAGTCCTTTGAAGATGAACATTTCGATGATCACCCCCAGAGTTACATGTCAAAAATTGTGTCAGAGCCATTTCCTTCTCTTGAACAAGACGACAAATTGGAGGAAGAGCTTTTGGATGAGGATAACGAATCTGTTGATATTTGGCAACAAGAGCAAGACCCCAGATCTGATCCAGAGGTTGAGCCCGAAACCACATCATATCAGTCCCATCACCAAAAAAGAGATGCGGAGCAAGCCCTATTGGACGACGAGGAAGAAGCCGAGGGAGGATTCGACGATATATGGCAGCAAGAAGCACGAGAAGATCATAGCTATCTGTCACAGCATTCGGACGAACGTGTATCACCCTCGATTCAAGAAAACCCGAGTCCATGGAGGAGGATTGCTAGTTCTTCTGTACATCAAAATAACCTCAGCTCATCTCCGGCTTACGTGACTATGGAACATGATGATACCCGACACCTGGATCAAACACATATTCGCAAACTCCGTGATCAACAAGTCGACCTTTCTGCAATTTTAGCAGAAGAAGATACGCCAAATCGCGCTCGTTACTATAATGGAACAAGCACGCCGAGGAGTATCCTCAGACGCCGTCCTGGCGCCCCGTATTCCCCTCTTCCTCAATCAGCGATGAAATCGGCTTCTTCACGCAAGTCAGAGAAAAGGGTCCGTCTACAACCTATTTCCCAGAGCCCGGACCCCGTTCTCAGCGCCGAGAATGAATCGCCCACAGGGAAACAATCTCCTGAATCGGCACCTATGTCCGATCGAATTCATCGCAATGGTAGTTTGTCTGGCTCTGATATTCAGGCGACCCAGTCTCCTCATGAGAAGTCTATGGCTACTCCGGATCATTCCCGCCAAGCAACTGTGGAAGGCGAACCTTCATCTTGGTTCAAGCGAATCACAAGCTTGACACCTAGGTGGCTTAAAGCCCCCCAAAGGTCTCACTATGACAGCTCTGATGATGACTCCGAGGATGAACAAGAGCAATATCAAAGTGACCAGGATGAAGATTTGAACGCTGGATCGGCACCCCACAGCCGGGAAAGCCTTGTTGGGATCGATGTTCTTTCAAGCCCGTCAGAAAGACCGCCTTCGGAACGAAGAGGCGAATCGGCAGGCTCCCCGCTAGTTAATGAGGATGACCATGTGCCCTTTATTGAAGAGGAACAAGAACGATTCGCTGATCAAGAGGAGCCCAACGATGACTTGGCACATGATCCTGTGGACTTCGTCGATGAGAACCATGATAAGCTAAGGAGACCGAGACCTCTTGCGGTGTTTGGCTATTTCTCCGATGCTCACTATGCAGTCCTTCGGCGTATCTACCGAATGGCAAAGAGACATCCCGATCGTCTCCCGTACTTCGATGCGCCCGGTCGTGCTGAGATTATCGGTGACTGGATATGGACCTCAGATGGTCATCATGGGGTACCTATTACAGAAGTTCAATTTGCTATTATTGATCGTTTTGTACATGAACTTTCTCATGCGGACATTGAGTACGGCGGCAGTGGCCAGATTGATTGGACTGAAGCCGATCTGCATAGAAGACTAATAAGTGTTATCATTGGTGAACAAATCCGAGAGGAGCGGAGAGCCAAGACGGTCCGAGGGACTTCGGTGGATACTTGGCGATGAACATGGATGATGTCAACTAATTGATCTCTGTGCATTGTTATTATTATTGTTTTACTTTTCTCTTTACTTTTTCTTTCGTTGTTTCCTTACTTTTCTCTTTTGTTGGCGTACAACTGTTGAACCCTTGGCGATGTTGGCTTGCTTTTCAATGCGGCTGTGAAATTCTCCGTTATGATTCCCTCATGGTTATTGGACTGGTGTTTATATGGGAGTAACTTGAATACTGAGCTTGAGCGAATGTGAAACTTCTCGATTGTTGACATTATGACGTAGGGTCTTCGGGTGCTTGTACATAGGCACTACCGGTATCTTCCGTATGTCTTCCTTAAACAAAAGACCGCATATGGGGCCTGAATCAAATGATCTAGACCCCGGGGACGTGGCGAGACCAATAGACGAACAAAGCGACTCGTGATCCATCTGATTGATCAATAACCACCCCGAACTGCATAGTACTGGGGAGGCGAACTTTGGGCTCCCCTGTAATAAAATGCTTGGTTATTCATTTATTAACTACGGATCCTAGATGAGATGCATGTTTACCAGACGAGCTCACCCAATCAATAATCCAAAATAGACACCTAACCCAACCTTCCTTGTTTCTCCGAATGATAGATCAAGCAAACCAAGTACGTCTCATGCAAGATAAGACATGTCATTCGTCACAGCCTGAAACACTCCCCAGTCTGTAGAAAACGCAGTATAGAGGGGACCTTTCAGTTTGTACCATGACGACCCCTTGAATATTAGCGTCCCTTCGAACAATGTACAACTGCTTGCGTGTCTGCGAGGTACAAGAAGGCTACACCTGCACAGTATCAGAGTTGAGGTCTCGACCAATATTGCAGGCATGAACTGGGCTAGGCCCATCACGGGGAAAACCCGGGGCCGTGTGCAGGCTCCTGTATGGGTCCGCGTGGCATAGCAGATGCCGTAGCTGCATCTATTGGGCTCGTATCTCCATCGTCTCCACTTCCGTGCGAGGACGTGCTGCACGTTCGTTTTCGTTTGTGGACTTCCAGTCCATGTAGAAACCAAGGTACAACTCTGAATACGCATTGTTATTGAGGGGAAATAAAAGATCAGCTAAGACCTGTGTTAATATAAGAAGAGACGCAGGACGTTATTCAAAGATAATTCCCCTCCCATCTACTTACGGGACAATAACAACGACAGTTTCAGGACTGAATGTTAATAATTTTCTTGCCTTTTTCTTTTCTTTTGTCAGGCTAGACTATTCATTACCATTTGAAGATCCAATATACATGCATCAATAATCTCACCTGCCCCATATCATGTCGGTCTTTACACTTGTCCAACGTGCGCTTCCGTTTCCCCTTTCCTGGAAGCGTAGACCATCAGCATCATCCAGCAAAGGAAAAGAAAAGGACGACGGTCTATATTTCGATACATCAGATCACGACTCACATCTCTACCATGATCCTGAGAAGTTCAGTGTCCCATTTACCGAAGTACCCCGTTCACCCCTGCACTCGGACACCGTGCATATAGCGGTGAAGCAAAAAACAATATCCTCCTTCCCCGTCAAATCCGAATACTCGCCCAGCGAATACTCCGAGACGTCCCCGGAACCTGTTTCCGAATTCGATCCTCCGGGTCCCCGCATGAAGCAGCGAGTTTTGTCTTTGTCCCGGTCCCGGAGCCAAAGTACTCGGTTTTGTCGCGAGGTCAGTTGGGCGAGCATCGTAAGCAGCCGATGTCGCTGGACAAATGAGCAGGAGAAAGAGCTTGTTATGGCAAGGAAACAGTTGGCGCGGTGTCAGAAGGCTTGGAGCTCGGAGCAAGAGTTGTGGTTATCCTATGTATGTGCTTTTCTTTCTTTTCGTGTTTTTAGCTTTATAGAATGATTTAAATCTTGTGGGAACAGTGTCGTCTTCTCTCTCTCTCTCTCTCTCTCTCTCTCTCTCTCTCTGTCTCTCTCTCTCTCTCTCTCTCTCTCTCTCTCTCTCTCTCTCTCTCTCTCTCTCTCTCTCTCTCTCTCTCTCTCTCTCTCTCCTCTCTCTCCTCTCTCTCTCTCTCTCTTTCTCTTTCTCTTCTTTTCTCCTTCTTTTTTATTGAGATTACACATTCTAATACTTTTTTCCGGTGACAAGATCGAAGAACTGAACGAGGAAAAAGAAGCTCATGAAGGGTTTATGCTTATGCGTATGAGACAACAAGAAGACGAACGAAATCAATTTCGCAAGGCGTGGAAACGACGTCGATCTATCGAAGATCCGGTTCAAGAAAAGAAGATCCTGGTGACAGTGAGTGGTGGTAATAATAATGATGATGATGGAATTCAAAAAGTGCGTCGCTTCCATCTGCCAGTACATGGGTATCTCAGTCACAACCCCAATCTAGCGACATCCGCATCTCAGGTGGCGTGCCAGGTTTGATTTCCTAAACCATAATGTATCTAGGTTATTGAAACCGTAGAGCTCTGATTTTGCATGTTTTCAATATTGATCCCCAAAGGACTTTTATCTTACAGAAGCTATGAATTGATCCCAATGCATAGAGTAAATTAGCAGCCTAAGTAGCCCTGGAGATAGCCTAAAACCGATTTAATGTGGCGAGAGCACAAATTCGGGTATATCCGCCCTAGTGTTGTGTTATCTGTACGGTGTACCTATAGGTATACTATGTATAGTAGTACAACCTTCACAATGGCCGGCTGATGGTCTACCTTTCTTTTATATTTTTGAGATTCTACCCCTGGACAGCACGGCTGTCCAGGCTGCCTAATATATACAAATGAACGATTGCACATTATTACTACCTAGTATAACCCCTACCTAGATACATATCTTGAGGGATCTCCTTGCGTTATCGATCTCTCCATATCACGGACCTCACACATTTGAACTGAAATACATGCAAAATCAGAAAGAGCTAGAAAAAATCGTAACGGATATGTAGCTATACCCACACAATGCCGCTTCAGCGGACTTATAGATTTAGGGTGCACATGGGCAGCCCCCAATCATTAGTCTAAGAGGTGGGTTGCATGTGCCGTCCCAACGATTATGGTTGTAGCAATTGACTGGGTGCAGTTAATCAAGAGCTTTTTTTTCAAGCCAAGCAGTAAGAAACAAAAGCGTACCATCATTACATTGGCAGTAGTTCCCAATTTGATCATCAGGATCAGCGCGGTTTTTTTTTTAATTCATGTTAGATTTCCATTAGTATAACAAATCTTCAACGAGGCGGAACATTACTGATTATAGCAAGGCTCTATTTGAGCCCAGGCAGGGCCCATTTATATGAAGACAATTACACCAAGGCGCATTGTTGTGGTCAACATCTCAAACCTGAAGAGGTCACGAGGAAGAATTGATTTTATATATCATCTGGTGTCCATGAGAAAGACTCGACTTTTATATTATTTGACGTCCAGGCTTCCGAGACTCGGTCTTGTTTTATCATTCATGAGAAACTCTGTTCCATATGGATCTTAAGCAATTCGCGATGGGCAAAATCACCCGTGAGTGATAGGTAGCACGAGAGTATGCCCCAGACTTGCCAAGATACTATGATAAATTGCCGTCGTGAGAACAGCTGCCAAAAGAAGTGCTGAACAGTTTGGGTGAATGATAAATCGAATTTGTTTCTTTTGTGGAAATGAAGCTGCTTATATAGTGCGTGAAAACCTTTGGCCACAATCAAGCAGAAACCCTTCATTCTAATGCGTCAATATTACCAACCATCCATCTCCGATAGTCTCAAAGACAAATTTCAGGGCCAGCTTCGTTCATGGACCCGTAATTGGCTTTGAAATTTGCAACTCGGGTAATATATGAGTCTGGAATAGAATTTATCTGGGGATATTTATGTACACTGCTAAATATTAAATATTTCATAGTGCATGTAAGATCAGTTCCTTCCTACATCATCCTTGAGATTTCGAGCAAAGACAATGGATCATTGAGTATTTCGGTTATTCAATAAGAAGATAATCCACTAGCAATGTATAGGTAGATACATAAGAAGTTGTACCGGGATAAAATTTATATAGTATCACAAATCATGGAGATTTTCTCCAGGGCTAGCTTGTACTTTAGGACCCAATACAAGAAGATACGACATATCTGAGCGTGAGGTTGCATTCATTACTCAACTACGAGCAATAAGTCCCGCAGAAGCAACTCACTAGTTACTGTAAAAGGGCCGAACTCTCGGGATACTACTAAGGTGGCTTTGAAGCCAATATAATAAGAACTTGGCGATGCCACTCGGAACATCACATAGTTGATCGAGTATTCATAGACAGCAGCAAAGTTTCATACTCGGCTTTTCCGACCTAAATTTCTATTCATTCCTGCTGTCAATATGCTGTTCTCGCCTAGTCTTCTAATTATTCTATTCTCTCTGGCAACTGTAACTGCGGGGCCTTTGAGTACTCGCAATAACGATGGCTATCATCCGACCGGTGGAGAATCTGCAGATATCTTAATCCTGAATGATAGCTCACCAACTCGAGATGTGACAGATGAGTGGTGGTATGGGGTAAGAGTGGATTGTTTCTATATACGAAAATTTCTATTTTCACCAGACAGGTCAACATCACTAATTCTTCATATAAAAACAGCATTGCCGGCCAAGTACCCAGATATGCCAAGGGTTTTACGACAATACGTGGAGTTGGAAGGGACACTGTGATACCCAGGTATGTTTTAATCTACTTACGTGTATGTATCGATATTGACTTCTTAAAAGTGCTATACGGTAAATGGCGAATGTGTCTGGAATACTAAAACACAATTCACGTCATGCGACTAAGCTAGTATTCATGTGAAGTTTACAAAGCCAGAGAATAAAGTCTTTCCCCCGGCACTTCTTAACACATATTATTTTACAACCAATGATACAATGTAGAATTCTTAGGCATTATAACTGGAATAAATTTTCTGCGAATATCCAATATGGCATTCACGAACTCAGCTGGAATAATGAGTGGGGCTGAATTTTTAGACGTCTTACATACCTCCTTTAGCAATCCGATGAAAATTGGTCTATGCTAGTCTACACATTCTGGCAAATCTTGCATACGAGGACTTCGGACCCAACTTGTTTCGAGTGGAGGTCTCATATCACAGCCAATCGTACCAGGCATAGCACAATTGTGCGCGATCGTAGCTATAAAAAAAATAAGAAGCCCCCTCCCGCGGAGATCGATGATTTGTTCAAATTTGTTAGATGGTTGTTCGAGACCTGCCACTGTAAACTGAGGACCTTCGTAAAATGCTGCTTGTATGGTATTGTATAGTGCTAGTAAATTTACGCAATGTGTAAAGGAACTCAATAGAATTCGACCCTAGGAATATCCATAAAACAATTCGTTGACAAGATAAGTATCCTTCTCAAACTATTCATATTCTCGTTGCCAGCTGCTACCTCGTTAGAGGTGTTTACACGCCTTAGTGAATATATCCTTGGGCGATAACATAGTAAACTCCTACTTGGGCAGGGTTCTGTTTTTTACGGGCAAATAGTAGTTTTTCGGCAGCCAATGACGTAGGTCTCAATGAATCACTAATAATAAGTCTATTGTTACAGTAAACCCCGAAATATAAGGCTGGATCAATCTTTTAGCTATAATGAACATGGCTTTCAATAAAATTAAACTGTTGATCTGTGAGACAATGCATCTTAATATACACCAACGCCCAATTATTTCCGTCGTTCACCAGCCTCTCTATCCGATTTAAGCTTCTCTAACATTGATCCTGTACTATCCATTGATTATATCCCTCCGCGATAGACTACTTTGCCTAAGAATATCTTTCTGCTACTCCAGTTCGGTGAATGGGAAGAAGCTCGGATATATGAAGACCCACCGACCTATATACACTATTTGATTGAGTGGAAAGTCACCCTGAATAACAGAACAGTGGCAAAGGATACAGAACAAGACCTGGTTTTAGCCCCTGGTTTTACTAGAGACTCTTTTTGGAGCCAAAGCTCAAAGAGCTCGTTTTCCGAAAGTATCCATATCTCGGGGCCATTTGATCTACCAGATCACGTTCAAATATAGCATAATTAATGAAAATTATAACAGCCTTAAATTATTCAATGGGAGTATGAAACTTCCATGGGAATTTTATACCCTATTCATTACAGTAACGATTTTGAGTATATTTACTATTTTACACCTAGAGTATACGAAGACATGAGGGATAGGGCCATATATACTTTACAACATGTAGATGCAAACAGAAGACCGCGTAGTGTTGACGCTGCAGGCCATATTAAATTTGCGCGCTTCAGAGGGCACGAGGATTATGTAGACTTATTACGCCCACACTTTTGAAATTTTAAGTTTGCTTTCCCGATGAGCAGCGGATCAAGTGTAATTCAGAACTGATCAGAAGTCTTCTTTGACATTTGATGTTGAGGTAAATACATATAAGTCCGAGAGATAATTGAGTTGTAGATAAGGCCGGAAATTGCGCTTGTGAAGCATTGGAGTTTGTTCAAAAACTGCCTGTACCTTCTTTCTAAGTGAGCGAGAGTGCAAAACACATGAGTTGAGTAGGCCATAGTGGCTGTCTTGCTGTTCCGTTTCATGTCAGAGAGAGTAACATGATGTTTGTTGTGTTGAACACTAAAGCTCTAATTACTCGAACGGCCATGACAGAGAGGAAGCTCTAGGCAGCCATAGCCGAAGCCCAGGCCGAGTCCAATTTGAGCCTCCCCTCACCACGTGGGAAGTGCTTTTGGGTGCACACCCTATTATTGAAGTTATAGTCCGCGATCATGCAGGCCCTATTGTTAGCGCAAATACTGAGACAGGCCTCGTAGCTGTGAGCCGTTGTACCCGTCGTGCGGGAGTCTGAATTCACTACATTAATTCGATTAGCAAAGACCAGGGCAAAAACGCTAGAACTGAAGGTTCATAGACTTACCATATCCGCAGTAGAGCTTGAACGTTCTGCCCGCAACAACCCGTTGCGAACGATAACTGGCACCCGGGCCTATGCATGTTAGCACATTGCCATCGTGTCATTCATGGTAAGGTCTGGATAAATATCTTGAAACGTATCATTGTCAGATAGGACGGGAAAGCAGACTTACAGGTAAGAGGGACCGGCAACGGTTTTGGTGGCGGTGCTGGTCGGGATTTGAGATCATTCTGGCAAGTTTTGAGGCTTTGAGACAACTGAGAGTTGGAAGCTTGAAGTGCTTGTGACTTGTTTTGACAATCCTGGTTCTCCCGTTGGCAAGTCTTGCTCTTAGTATCCAACTCGTCGTTCTCTCGTTGGCATGTCTTGCCCTTGCGGTCGAGGTCATCTTTCTCGAGCTGGCAGGTCTTTTTCTTGGTGTCGAGGTCATCTTTTTCCTGCTGGCAGGTTTTGCTCTTGGTGTCAAGATCATCTTTCTCGAGCTGGCAGGTCTTTTTCTTGGTGTCGAGGTCATCTTTTTCCTGCTGGCAGATCTTGCTCTTGGTGTCAAGATCATCTTTCTCTCGTTGGCAGGTCTTGCTCTCGGCATCTAGCTCGTCTTTCTCTTGCTTGCAGGTTGCTAGATCGCCATCTAATTCGCCGTAGTGTTGGGAGTAGTGATCGATTTGACTCTGTAAATCTTCCTTTCCCAGCTCACAAACTTCGGTTTGATCTTTCTGGTGTTCAAGGTCGTCTTCACAGTCTCTTTTCTCGTGTTCGCAATCTGGCTCCTCAGTCTCCTCAGTCTCCTCGGTCTCCTCAGTCTCCTCGGTCTCCTCAGTCTCCTCGGTCTCCTCGCCCCCCTCGTTCTCGGATATACCAGTCGGCTTCAGGTAAATAGAGCCACGGGGATTTGACTTCAGTGTGACATCAGAGCTATAAAGCACGCATCTCAGGATTGAATACTGCCAGACGGCACTGGAACAACCAGAGCCGCACAATGCTGCGCATTCTCCAGCTGAGTTCGCAGGCTCAGAAGTAGGCTTAACCTTACTAGAAACCTTCACATTGCATGTATAATCCGCAATGATTCCGTTATCGAAGGTTTTTAACCCAGACTCTGTTGAACACAGAGCCCGTTTTTCGGCCAGTTGGGGGTTGGTTTCTCCCCAAGCTACTGCTGTAGCAAGAAGAGCCAGAACGGGAATAGATTCAATCCTCATGATAGATTGATAGGAGGAGATATTTGGGAAACTATGTGGTACAACTTGATAAGAGCTGCTGAGCAAGAAGCAGGAATTAAGCGGTCTTTATATCCCTATTTTAGACCTATAGATGAAGCGAAATTCTATATTAAAGCGTATCTAAGCCTACTATCGTACTTTACAGCGAGGTTCGGTCAGCCCCTACATTATCCTTAGGTTGTGTAACCGTTGGTATGTACTATTCTATCACTCTGCATACCTAGTATGCATATGTACAGTACTCTACACAAGAGAAACAGAAACGCTGGAGAATGTCTCGATGAAGGGGAACTGTTCTTGAATTTTGGCTTCGAGCCATCCACGACATCCCCCTTTCAGATATTCACCTCAATGAGTTCATCTGCGCGATGTGCCGTTCCAAATAAATGGCGCATCCTGTAGATCCCCTAGCATTATTGTGAATCATGCATATATGTGGGATAGGTAAATTGTAATAATCTTGATGTACGTATACTTTTGGTGTACCTGACCGAAGATCGTTGCTTCGTGATCTGTTATTCCCTCCCCTTGCCTGGTCGATACTAATCCTTTTCAGTGGGCCATGGAGAAAACTCAGTCTGAAAATTTCCTTTACAGCTCTGTTATGACTCGTCGGTCTTTTAAATCTCCGAAGTTCTACCTATTTTGTGATATTGAGTTCATTTAAATCAGAGTCAAAGCACTGTCACTCGGGCCGAATCCACATTTAATATCGCATCAAGGTTGCAGCGACGAAGGTTGGTCGCTCTTGCTGTTAAGCTCCATACCAACATGCCAGGATTTGGACCTCCTTACAGCCCCGCAGCTATACGTTACACCAATCGGCATATACTCTATAAGGATATCCCTTCTGTGCCTACTAGCCGTGGCGTACTGCAGAAGGGAATGTAGATCAGGGCATATTATTGAATTTTGTGTAACAAGATATAAGGATGTCATCGTATATCTTTGGCATGCGTGAATTTTATCTAAATTGCTGATACGTTAAAAAGAGTGATTAAGTGTAAATCAGTCAAGCCGATATCGAGAATGTCTGTAACCTAGACCCCTTACCTAACGCGCTTGGCTTTAAGCTTCAATCGGGGTTAAATATTTTTTCGTCGTACTCATCTTGTTTCTCTGGTAGGATATATAAAAAGGCCATAACCCATTGTTTAAGCAGCTATACCGGAACTCCAAGTTTTAAACTTCTACTCTATTACATAACAAAATCGTTAAGTTATTATGAAAATTGAAATCCTTTCTCTACTGGCCTTTTTGGCTGCCCGTATCGTGGCAAAATCACTCCCGCCAGGCGACCTCCGCTCTCTTTGCCCCGCCGACCAAGGCCAAAAAACTGGAACAATAACCTTTTACAACGGTGTCGAAGCGGAATACACTTGCCGCGTAAAGGTGTCCGGCAATCCTGAATCTACTGAAGTGATGGCGGCGACCCCCCAAGCATGCGCTACAAAGTGCATCGAAAATCCAGATTGCTCTAGCGCCTTGTTGCAGGCCTCGCAAAAACGATGTATGCTCTACACCTCTGAGGTGACATTCAAACCTCATTCTCGCGGCTCCCTCTATCTAAAGCCCATTCGCAAGCCTTGCCAAGATTGTCAAGACGAGAAAGAAAGGTGTGAAAGAGAGTTGGACGCCCAGAAAGAATGGGACGAGCATTTGCAGAGGGACATAGATGAATTTCGGGATCTGCTTAGGGAGGCTGAGCAAGAAAATAAGGACCTGAAAGCCAAGCTCAAGACCTGCGAGCACAGGGAGCTCTAGCTTGACACCAACTGGAAGCAGAAAAGTATGACCGAAAAGTGAACGGTAAGCCACTATTGTCCTGAGATATCTATCTGTTACTCATAGTACCGCAGGCGTTCCACTGGACAAGATACGTAACTAAGCAGGTGATTAACTGTATACCATAAATTATTTAAGATATACATTCGCTCTATGGTTGAACAGTGTCTGTTATAGACTGGAAGACAATGTCGTTCTTACGATGAAGTCTCACAGACAGTCTGGGTGGATTAGGACCTATATCAAAAAGGACATGGAGGAAAGTGGCTGGGATGTGTTTTTTATCTCTCTCTTTCGTGACTCGTTCAACCCACCAACTGGGTATGATTGGGAGATTTTCCTTTTTCTTACAGTACTTACATTGGCACTTCAGAACATCAAAGTATTTACCAAATTGACAAAATCTCGAGAAACGCATCCAACGTGTAGCGTGAGTCTGTTGAATTTGGTTGTATACAAACCGGTCTACGGACTAGTTTCGCGGGGACCCCAGTTTCGACTTCCATAGGGTTCTAATCAATTCTCTTAGACATTGCGTAAATTACTAGCACTATACCATACCATACAAGCAGCATTTTACCATTTTACAGTGGCCCTCAACTTACAGTGGCCAGCCCAATAAATGATCTATCCTAAGGTCTTGGCAGTGGGCCAGAACAAAGTGATTGAGTGTGTATCGGTCAAGCCGATTTCGAGAATGACTGTATCAAGTTCAATTCACTCTTCCAGTCTTCCAGTCTTCCAAAATCCACTTCTCTCATACCAACCTTGGTATATCACCATCTCGACTCAACCACCAAATATTTTAAACCCAGATCCACACCTTATACAAAATGGTTGCTTGCCCTCCTCTCGGCGATGGCCCCTATGGCACTCAGCGCAGATCTTCAGCCCGCTCTAGCGCCCCTGGCACACCACAGCCCAAGATGGATGCAGCGGAGATTGAAAACATCTTCCAAGCAGTGTGTGATGAGGTGCCTATGATCTACTAGAATAGAGAAGAGTGCGAAGAACAACGAATAACAACGTTGAGGAAAGGAAAAGAAGAGAGAGAGCTATGCTACATACATGTAGGCGGATGCCACTCTCCAGGCCAATCAGATGATTGGCCTGCATCCGAGAGTGGGTCAAACCGCACAAACGTGCAAACAGTGCAAACATACCCGTCCCGAGTCTTCCTCCATGTAGTTATACTACACAGTGGAAAACTCCCAGCGCCGCAGCTCAGGAGGCTCCTCTCGCCGCTCTGGATGGTTCTCAAGACAGTAAGATCAAGTTTCTGTCATTATTTTTTGTGATACACGCTAATGAGTCTACTAGATTCAACAAAATCCACCGTCGCGAGAAATCTGACTCTACTTAAAGTATGTGGGCGGGCCCACATACATGATGACGATGCCATTTGATAGGACATCTTTAATACGCGAATAATGTTTTGAATGGAAATCTATATAATAATATTAGAAATATGTCATAATGGAGGAGATATATCTTTGTTAAAGCTTTTTTTCCCTATAAAACTTCCAAGGTTACTACTGTCCATAGAAAAGATTTCCAAAGGGGAAAAACAGAAACAAAGAAACATACCGGCGCATCCGTTTACACATAATTTCCAGACTACAGGCGCCTGAACCCTGTAACTTTTGTATTTTACAGAAATATAACATGGTTATCGTGTCCGCTTCATGATAATTCAAATGTTGAAGCATTGAAGCATTTTTTTACTATATGACAGGGAAAAATTGCAGAACCGGACATTGCTTCCCGTCGCAATTATATCTCTTTACCAGATCTCTTTTCTCTCCGCAATTTCATTCTAAATGAACGATCTAGGGAGGTAGGTGATTCCGTCACGTGACTACACTGGACCAGACCCGGATGGTTTTCCCACAGCGCGTATATTGGGCGGAGCCTAGCCTCTACATATACCCTCCCCGGTGCCATGAAACCTCAAAAAAGAAAGAGAATTGTTATTTCTTGTACAGAATGTCATCGGCGCAAGCAAAAAGTAGGGACTCCACATTGAGATACAGCTGAAGAGAGGCCTACTAAAGATTCAATAGTGTGACCGTCAATACCCATGCTGTAATTGTGTCAAGCGAGGAACCCAGGTATTTATACTTTTGAAGGCAACTTTAGTATAGGTGGTTCTGATTGGTGACTGCAGGATCTTTGTTATTATGACGCTGAATCAAAGGGGTACCAAGCCCCACGAAGCAGTTCAGGTGAAAGTGGACTTTCGCCTTCGACAATCAATCACAGCACCAATATCGTGTCTATGGGTCCACCTTCTCAATCGGGCCCTGAGTTGACTAGCGAACTTCAGAACAAAATCCGAGATTTTGGATATTCTAACCATGACATTCACAACTCCGGGAGTTTATTGCGGACTACAGATTTGTATAGTAGCCAGGAATCTACTTTTGTCGGCTCCCCCACTGAAACCCGGCCTATATTTCAAGGCGATGCAAATCGTAAATATAAGGAGTTTGTCCGTCGGCTACCTTCGTGGGTCTGCATCGATACATTGGTACATACGTTCTTTTCCAACATCAATTGGCAGTACGATCTGCTTGATGAGGAACACTTTAGGGAGCAACTATCCGCATGGGGAAAGCTTTCATACTCTGACCTTCAAGAGGGATTTGGAATTTTGCAATTAGGAACCCTTGTGTTTCCAGCGCTGCTGTTTCAAGTGCTCGCACAGGCGCTTCTTTTCCACCCTCCCGCTGATGAGAAGATCAATTCGCTCATGACGATGGCCGACATGACCTTCCAGGATCTTGGGTCTGAATACAGTGATATTGGCGCTGACCTACTTATTCTCTTGGGAAAAACGAATATTACAATAGACATAGTGCAAGCAGGTTTGCTACGCGCGTCATTTTTGAAAAGCAGTGGCACGGTTGTTGAAGCCTGGCATGCACTTGGAGCAGCTATCCGTGACGCACAGGAAATTGGCCTACACAAGGGAAGAATTGTATCCCATCATTCTGCAGGAGAAACGAAGAGTGAGAAACAAAGAAGCAGTTTCGTTGGGCACAAAGTATGGACGATCTTGCATATCTGGGACGTCCACATGGCTGTCGTCCTGGGCCGACCGATTGCCACCGATCTTCAAATAGATCAATTCGCTAGCACTATCCAAGACAAGGGAAGCCGACAAGAAATATTCTCTCATTGGCAGACCGAAATCGACCCCCCTCGACCATTTGATATTATTCTTGCCGGTTATAATGTGGCTTATCGATATTTCAAGGATATTCACCAAATAGAAAACAACGGAGCTCACACCCAAGACTACTCCGTAGTCGAACACATCCACAGCGCGATCAAGAAAAATTTAGAATCCCTACCATCTTGGTGCCGTCTGGAAAACCCAGACACGAAATTTGATCGACTGCACGGGTGTCAATGGCTTCCTGCTGCCCGAGAAGGACTATCATCACTTATACACCTTGTTCTTCTCACCCTTCATCGACCCTTTATCTTCTTCGTTGCCAACAGTCGCACGGAAGCTCTTAAAGCCGGGATATCAATTCTTCGTGCGCAAGAACGATTGTTCGAGCAGTCAGAGCCGCACCAACATAAGGTGTTTAATTCCGTCTACGCTTCTTTTGATGCAATTGTGCTCATCGCAGCATTGTGTCTTGTCTTCCCTAATAATCATTACGAACTACGAGCAGAGTGTATTGATGTCATTGAAAATGGGATGCGAAGGCTGGGCATAATTGGTCAATTCAACTCCATGGCATCATCAGCACATGGTGTTGTCTACAGTTTGTACCATCGCTTAAGACATCAGCCCGGAATTCCCGGAAGCATCGAGGACGCGACAGCCGTTCCCAGTAACTCAAAGTGGACAACGCCTAACAGCGATATGCTTACCTCTAATGGGGAACAGTCAGAACTTGCTCTTGATGTCATTCTACCTCCACGTCCAACCCATGATCTCTTCTTTGATCACGTTTCTAGTACACAAATTCCTTTCGTGGATACTTCTGACGGGATTCTTGTGGACCCGCTTACTGCAAATATTACAGAGAATTGGGATTTTGAAGGCGCATTTTCAGATTCTAGTTTTTGGAGTTTTATGAACGATTTCAATCATTGATATGCATTTTTCGTGAGAACCAGTCTATTTATTGCTGGCGAACCAAGCTGCAATGTCTCCCACGTTACGATCGACGCAATCCGGCTGGTCATAGTGCTGAAAATGGGAAACCTCGTTGTTCCAGATCAACTTTTTCTGGCTTGTAGGAATGGACTCGTAGTGGCGCTTCGCAGCCGCTGCATTCATACAGTTGTCGCCATGGATCAGCAGCGCGGGCTTGTTCAACTTCGCCACGCCAGGAACGGTAGTATAGTCAAAGTGGTCAAGGTCACTCATCACCGCGTATCGGTTTTCAAATTCCTTCAATGTCCATGGACCATACCAGGACCACACAACTGGGCCTGGAAGACCGGCCAGCGACCCAGTCTCGGGATCGGCGGGCTTCGGATCAACCAAAGGCTGGTACACTACTTCGCCGGTCTTCTCATATAATTCACGAGCTTGTTTAGCTCGCTCGATTCGTGCTTTATACAAGGCTTCTCCCTGCTCAGGTGTGGGCATTTTCATCGCCGAGATATCTGCGCCAGGTGTCCAGGCAACACACCCAGCGCAGATCATGTAGATGTCGGTTTCGTGGTCGCGAAAATATCCAGAGACTGAGGCCACGCCCGCAACCCGGTCATCATAGGATGCAACATCCAAGGATTCGGGGCCACCCTGACAAATCCCGACTAGGAAGAGCTGAGATGCATCGACATCGCCGCGGGTTGATAGGTAGTCAAGACCCGCAACCATGTCTTCGTTTTTCATTTTTGGGTTTTCCTGTCGTCGAGGTTGGCCTGTGCTGTCACCAACAGTGCGCGGGTCGAAGATCAAAGCCGCATATCCTTCATCTGCGAGACGAGTTCCGTATTGAAACGGCGCTTGCTCTTTCACGAAAGAATATGGACCCGTGATAACGACGCCGGGCGGGTTCTTGATATCTGTAGGGTGAAAGAGGATCCCGCTGATAGTCTCCCCATGAGAAGGGTATTCGACTTTTTCGGTGGTGTATTGACCGTGCGAAGGCATTTTGTATTCAATTCGAACTAAGAATGATCATAAACTTGATTGAGAGAGATCAAGATGTTCATTGAAGCGACTAATTTGGTCACGTTTAAATAACCCAAAGTCATCGGAGTTAGTATGTCCACGAGCATTATCTTCTCCGAAGTTGATCATTGTCCCCACGATAGTCACAATACATGTGATGTAATGCATATCAACTTCTCCCAATAATATTGGCGCTTCATGTCCGTTTTCGTCCAAGTCGAATTAACGCCGATAAAAGTGGGTCGGATTGGGGGCTAACGCCGATAAGCCAATCAAAACTCGAATAAGTTGTGAACTATGCGAAGCGCCCTCGGGATCACATTGTTAATTGTTTCGGCTTAGCTTGTGATAGCTGGGTATAATGATGGCGGCTCTCATCCATAAGTAGGTCTCATATAGGCCATGTAGAGCTACGGATAAGCTCACCACCTAATAACGACCTGGCTACTAAATTTACTTGACATGAAATGCTTCAACATTTTACACCTCACACTAAAATTGATATAGGGAGACGTTGAGATTCTAGGGGTTCCTTTGTAAAGGCAGCGCCAACTAAAAATAGGAAGGCCCCACTCCAGGCTAGCAGGACCAATGCGTATACTCCATACAGGGAAGAGTGGCATAAGTACATATTGTATACAGATTTTACCCGCCCTTAAGTTCTGGCTGGATCAGATGGTTGGCTCATACTGCCTGGTCATGTTTGTCTCTCAGTTGAAAGTGCTATTTACGAAACTGACGATGGCCCTTGTTATCTGAGGCTCCCAGAATAGATGCTGGGAGGAGAGGGGTTCAAAAACACCCTCTTGCTGCTCCCTGGTAGCTTCAGTTTCTCTTCTCTCAGCTTTGGTCAGATATCAATTAAGTGACAAAAAGACTGGATATTTTACTGTCCCGCATTCGAGCTTAAAGAGCATTTATCAAGACGACTACCCAAAATAAGGATTTACTTTGAAAATCTTGAACCGCAACAAGACGTGCTATCACAACAATGGCGTCCTTCCCACCACGATCTCCATTTCCCAACGACCAATACACAGTAGGATGGATCTGTGCTCTTCCCATTGAACTGGCAGCTGCCCAGGGCATGCTAGACGAGGAACACGGCGCTCCACATACGCTCCAAGCAAGAATCGACGGTAATTCCTACCTCCTGGGACGCATTGGTCGTGTCAAGGTCGTCATAGTCTGCCTGCCGGCGGACTACATTGGCTCGGTGTCGGCCGCAATTGTTGCGCGAAACATGCTTCATACATTCCGCGGGATCCGCTTTTGTCTTCTAGTGGGAATTGGGGCCGGAATACCAAGCGACGAGCGTGATATTCGACTAGGAGATGTGGTCATTAGTGATGGTGAAACTTCTGGAGGAATCGTCGTTCATGACTTTGGAAAACGTGTCGCAGATGGGTCCTTCGAACATACTAACCCACGCTTTAATCGCAAATCATCGTCGCTCATGAGTAATGCAATGTCTATGCTGAAAACAGAACATTCACGACGCCAGAACTATATCCAAGGGTACATTGATGCGATGTTGCAGAAATCCCCTCGCCTCCTGAGATTTGGATTCAGCCGCCCAGCTCAGAGTACCGATCGTCTATTTAGTACACACTACATGCACTCGACTGGTCGAACATGTGACAGGTGCGATCCCCGTAAAGAGGTCACGAGAAGGCGACGGTACGATGAGAAGCCTGTTGTTCACTATGGAGTAATTGCAACTGGCGGCGCTGTGGTCAAACATGCGCCTACTCGGGAACATTTAAGACACAAGTTCAGTGCCATTTGTTTGGAGATGGAGGCCGAGGGTGTCATAAGGAGTTTTCCCTGTATCGTGATCCGTGGTATTTCCGATTACGCTGATTCTCATAAGAATGACCACTGGCATCCATATGCCGCCGCTGCTGCCGCTGGATGTGCAAAGGAGCTTCTCGGGCAGGTTGCCCCAGAGAGGTGACCGATTGCTAGAAGGGATCTGCGTCGCCAAGGACCGAATCGGAGCATGAGCGGATAAGACTAACATTGGAGGTTGGTATGAAATTTTCGAGATTTTCAATTTGAATAGTTCATCAAGATGTAAGCGAAATCAAATACGTGGGAATAGCAGACGATGTGAAAACAAGTCCTTGGGTGGATCAGCCCGCTCGGTTTAGTCTAAATCATAGCACATTATCCAAGGTTGTATATGACTTAGAGTCACCACAATTTCAACACTATTGACAGACAATCACAAAAGATTTTGTTCATTCCGTTGAGACCAGGTTTCACAACGATCCCACTATCGAAGCTGCTCAAATTGCCTGCAACTACCATTCACCGGTCAACAGGGCACGACATGTGCCAACCCCCGTCTTCATTATAAACTCATACATACACTATCTCTACAATCCCCTCTGCTCACTCCTCTCCTCCCCCCTCTCTCCCCTCGGCCACTTCCGAAACAAATCAGCCAACAAATCAACCGGCGCCGTCAAAAGCCCCACAGCCGTCTCAAAGGGCGGCTTACTAGGCGCCAAAGGATGCGACCTAGACGGCAAAAACATCCTAGTCCTCTCCAACGACCTAGTCAACTCCTCGCTCTCCCCCTTCTCCAACGCATGCTCCAATCGAACAAAATCCTTCTCCTCCTCATGCCTCATATGCTCTTGTAAATCATGCACCAATCCCTCGAGCGTAGGTGCAAATCGTGGATCCGTAGCCGGGAGACCCTGGAACATTTTCAATTGCGTTTTGATCTCTTGGTGCTCGATACGGTTTTCGTTGGAGATCTGTTGCCCGCCTGATACATGTTGGATTATGGCGGGGTAGACTATTAGTTCTTCGCCTACTATGTGGCGGGCTAGTTCCCAGGTGAATTGGTTTTGGTAGCGGGTTTGTTCTTCGGTGTCGATTGAGGAAAGGATTTTTTGGCTGTGGATGTTTAGGTCTGCGTGTTCGTTTTTTATGGCCTCTAGGATTCTTGTTTGGGATTTAAATGTGTTGGAGAATGGGCGGATGTTGAGGACTGCGATTATTGGGTATTTCCCGGAGGAAGGATGGAGGTAGAATCGGACGGAGGGTATATGTTTGTACATGAGCGCACTTGGTTTCTTGATATTTGATTTCGTTTCGTTGTAAAATTTAATTCTGAGAAAATACATGTTATTCGATGAGATGGCAAATTCGGTGATCATTCCCGTGGTTGTCATCATGATGTCTCAAGCCCTAAGGATAGATCAACATCTCGATATTCCTTACGAATAATGCATTATAGACCCTTTTCACTATAAAAAAGTTCTTTGCTAGATTCATCAAATCATTATATCAATATTATTAATCTTGGGGCCATACAAAAAGGCCCTGGTATGCATAAACCGTCGCGTTTCAACTTGAACCCATCCAACTACCTTGAAATCCAATATGACCATCACAGATATAAATCAAAACTATGAAATGCCCAAACTATCCAAAGACCAAAGCCCTAACCTCAATACTCTCCCTTACCCTCGCCCCAACAGGCGTCCTTTCGTCCCAAAAAGCAGTATGAGGCACCCACTGTGCAACACTCCCATCCCCCAACCCCTTCGAATCAGAACATTTAAGCAACAACCTCTCATCCCCAGTCATGCCAGACCAATACATCCATCTCTGTTTCTTATTAAAGCTCACAGCCATAGTCTCTCCATTCCTATCCGGATACCGATGCTGAACAGGTACAAGATCGTTCTCATTCACGCTCTCCGCAGACGCAAAAGCTAACGGCGACGACTGAATCGGTTCATTCGTTGGACTTAATGGCTTCCAGACATTAACAATGCGGTATCGGCCCTTCAGCAGAGTTTCTGCATCTTGGGCATCGGTAACGTGTAATCTGACTCGGTCTGCTGCTGCGCTCGCTGTTTGGTCGACGTGGGCGCGTGTAACTGGTTGACGGGGTGAAGAGGGGTTTCCGCGTCGGATGGTGTGGTCGAAGAGGATTATTTTGTGAGAGCCCGGGAGGGAGTTTAGGAGGAGTTCTTCGACTTCGGGGTAATAGTTTGCGATGACTTCTTCGTCTGAGTTGAATGTTGTGTATGTTGTTTTTGTAGGAATGTTCTGGAGTGCTTGGAAGGAGTCTTTATCGAGATTGTAGATGTTTCCTTGGTTGCGAATATCGGTTAGGGGGACGGATTGTTTGTTTTCGCCGAAGTTACGCTGGGGTTGGCCTTGGGGTGGTTCGTGGACGTAGTTGAAGGGGGCGCTGTTGTCTGTTGGTGGATCGTAGAAGGATATTATTGCGTTTGTTGGGCCTCGGGGGATATAGGAGGGATCATTCTCAGTTGTGATGGTTTTCGTTTCGGTGGTTGTTGTTGTAGTCATTGTTTCGATTTATTTCAATTACTCTGTGAATGATATGCTTGCTTTGGTAGACAGAGGTGGTTGTGGAGTATAGTGTAGTTTATTCAGTGGGTCCAGATTGATATGCAGCAAGTACACCTGGGCAGTAGACTGGAGACTGTAGATTGAGGATAAGATGGATGAAGAATGAGTTGAAACGATAAAAACAGGTATGAATAGGCTTTTTATACCTTTCGAGTCCATAAAGGTATTCTGCAGAACCTAATGATATGAATTAGTGATCAACGATGTTGGAGTAGCGTCATCGTCGCATTTGTCAGACAAATTGCGGGGGGGCCACTCAACGGCGTTGGATCCGGAAGCACGCAATGATCCCATTTGTAACCCCGATCACCTCATTTCTGCCTTAATAATATGAAATACCAGATTAAAGTCTTGCAGTGTGCCCGGTTTAGAATATCCTCTATTAGCCAAGGATCTTCTTTCTGGCTCGGGGCATATAAATTGGCAGGCAGTATGGATTACCAAGCGGTGGCAAATGCAGAGATACGTTATACTGAGAGGGGCCACCGGATACCTAGAAAAGTGACTACAATAGGAATCTAAAGAGAAATAGCAGTAAATAATCTTTGATTGAATTGGTCATAGACACTTGTATGGAGTATATCTGTGTCTGCGCAAAGAACGAGAATTGCAATTATGGGCAAGAAAATCAGAAACCAGAACGCCATCCACCCCATAAGTAAATGGCCTTAGCCAATCATAACCAACCATAAAGAGAGAAAAGAAAGTTAAAAGATGTTTCTCAAAGTATATGAACGTCCTCCCCAAGCTTAAGCTTATCCAGAACCGACTCCATCATTAGTATACAAACAAACGCCTCGTGTATAATATGAAACGACCATGAGAACATGATACCATGATCAGTGGTTCCGGGTACGTTTGCTGCTGCGCTCGCGCTCCATACCAGTAGACTGAAACATCTCGGGACCAGGCCATGTCTTTGTAGCTGTAGCCTGCATACCCATTATAGGCGGGAAGTCCGGATGAAGGGAGGTGAAGCGGTCTGGATTCGGGGGATGACCATCAACAGGTTCAGAAGGAATAGGCGCAGAAACAAGTTCAACGAGAGAAGAATCAAGCCAGTGAGATGGCTTATTGACCAGACGGTCTAGTCGAGCAAGATCCTCATCAACCTCATCATTAAGAAGTGATGTCAATGGTGGAGCATGGCCATTAGGACGGGGATGATAATTCGATAGAGCATAATATGGTAATCCCGGACGGGTAGCAGGCTTCTCAGCTAGTTCGGCCAGGGCACTAAGAGCACTGTGTGCAGCTGTGGTGCGAGTTGATCGTGTAACGTGGAGATTGTGGCTTGCATTTCGAACCATATCCGCGGCGCTGGGGGTACCATTGTCGTCATGTCCGTCGGGTGTATCTTCGGCATCGGTATTGTTTCCATTGGTTACGGCGCCGGAACCCTGATCGTGACGACGAGATGTAGAGAAGAAGTGCAAAGCAGCGACGTGTGCTTGGTTCGCGTGGCCGGCAAGTTCCTTCTCGGTAAATAGAGAGTGGATAGAGTATGTAGGAGCTGTCTGCTGCGCAAGGGTGGCCTTTGTACGCTCTGCTGGTGTCGCACCACCTGTGTCCCGCACAGGAGAACCAGCTTCCTCTTCTGGTGCCTTGCGCTTGCGCTTGTTCAACTCGGAAGCAATTCCGTTGCCCAATTCATCTATATCCACGCGGTGACGAGTATGGCGGGTTTTGCGGTTGCTGTGGATGCCGCCGGGGCTTGCGGGGTTCGTAATAGTAAATTGGTTCGGATGGAGGAGGAGAGCGCTATTATCCGCGATATCGAGTTGTTCTTTCTCGCGCACCAAACGCGATCGTTTCCCGGAGATAGTCTGTGTAAGACGCTCGCGAAGAGTTCCACCCAATTGACGAAACTCCTCTTTAGCAAATTGGCTTCGAAAATCGTATTCGCGCTCGTGTCTCTCGAGGCTATTCTGGTGACGACCCTGAAAGAAGAAAAGAATTCAAAGTCAGTAACTGATCAAACAAAACCTTCACCGTAACAAACAGAAACTTTTTCCACGCCGACAAGATAAAAAAAGCAGTCGAAAAAGTAATGACCCAATAAAGAAACAAAAGAACTTACCATAACCTGAGCCAACTCAGCATCACAAGCCTCTTTAACGCGATTAACCTCCTGTACAAACTTGGCATACCAAGTCCCCGAAAGAGAGGCCATCTCCTTTGCAAACGTCCCACCACCAACAGTCTTCTCAATAAGTTCCGCAATCGCCTCCGCAGAATCAGGCAACGGACCATCCACATACGGATCAGCATTATTGATAAGTGTCATATCGCACTGCAGCGAATGCAACTGTTGCCGAAACTGTGCGTCGCGGTTCTGGCTAAACGTAGTAGTCAAGTCCTGCAAACGATCTTGTAAAGCAGAACGACGCTTGTCGCGCTTTGTAACTGGTCCTGTCCCTGTGCCTGTGCCTGTTACTGTGCTGGGACTATTTGATCGTCCGCGCAGAAACCATGGGGTCCCGCCGCCAGGCGATTGGGGCCCTGGGGAGTTGGCCATAAGGAGTAGTGGGATAACGGATTGATTGGAATGGAATGGTAGGGAGAAGGGCAGATTGTAGAAGGGTTGATTGGGAAATATGAGTCGCTGTATGTTGCTGAGAAAAGGGTATCAGGGTGCAAGGTACATTTCCGGAGAATGGGTATGTATGCGTGCTGTAAAAAGTGAAGCGGAGAACACGGCCGTGTCGTCAGACGCTTCTAGTATGGAATATTATCGGGTTAATGTTGTTCCGGGCCGAAGCATAACCCATAACTGGCAATTGTTAACAATTGTTAACTATAACATGGTCTTGTTTGCTGTTCCTTTTTGGGTTAGCTTTACGTCTCATTCAATAATTGACTAGTTAATTTGTTTCGTTAATAACTTGGAAATGTATTCCAGATAGTATATCGATAATATCAATCCATTGCTGGTGAATCAACATCTCAGGCCCTTCTCCCACTTATCTGAAAATGATCTACAAGATATGAATATCAACTTTACACACCCAAGACATAACCTTTTTATAGTAGTGATGATATTAATGTAGGGTTTATCGAACTTCTATCGGCTAAGTCTAAACTTGCGGGTGCGGTGATCTTTCACACATTGACCTCAAAGCTGTTTGACGCGAATAACAAAAACATCCGACAGTCTTGAAATGAACAGGGTTAAATATTCTCGCACAACCACTAAAGCAAAGTCCCGAAGGCTGAACTTATATTTTCACGGGTCCAATTATGCTGAAATTTTTACCCTCCCCGATTTCCGTGGTGTGGAGTAATATGTGTGATATCTGATTTTGAATAATTTTGAGACCGAGCTGGAACCACCCTATGTCCACGCTAACAACTAAATGACTACGTAGGATGGCAAGACCTCTCGACTGAAACCGAATAAGCCATACCTATAATTTTTTATACTATTCTGATGCGCAAATTCAGTCATATCTGACCTCAGACTACATCTTCCAATCACATTAGACCGGAAAGTCGGTGAGATAATGATGCCTGATGGTGCCAGACCACGATACGAGGATAGGAGAAACAAAGACAGAAAAAAGGAGGCTTTCCAGTTATAATGTTTATACATTGATCTGATCTGATACTTGTTTTGTATATTAACAAGTGACAAGCAAAAAGAATAAAGAGACAAAAAAAGAGAAAGATCATGAAAATATTCGCCAAACAATGAGGACCAACATTATGGGTATTCACAATCATTTCTATCCGGCCAAAGCAAAATATGAATCATAGCCGAAATTCGAGGACTAAAAAACTCCAAGGACACCGTGCTCCGGGTCCTATGACATCGTTGCAGGTCAACGAGGAGCTGCAGAGAGACTAATTTTAAAAGACACTATCATCAAAAGGGGGTGAGGTGAAGAAGAGAAGAGGGGAATTTTGAGGTGGTGGGGCGTGATGGTTGATTAATGTGTGCGGCGGATCACGAAGACGCCTAATTCGATTCCATCACGGGATTGGGAGTCATCGCCGTATGGTCGCTTACGGATGCCCTCGAAGATTTCGGTGAGGAGCATAGCTGATGTCACTTCTTTGGTGGCACCCATGCCGTTGCCCATAGTCTTGCTGACTGGTGGACGGCGGTTGTTCTGATAATACAGACTGAGCACCTCCTTCATACGAGCTTTCTCCTGGTGGATGAACCATTCCGACCAGAGACTTCGATCCAGATGGGTGCTGGCACGGCCTGCATCAGCCACTTCGAATTGCGATGATGGGGAGCTCAAATTTTCACACAGGGAAACGATGTTCGCTCTCATGGTAGCGAAATCATCCATCTGAGCGACCGTTGTCAGTTTACCCAGATAGCGACCGACATCAGCAGACAATCCATTAACCACGACGAGTTGCCGCAAGAGCGGGTCAAGGATGGGACCCAGATATTGTGATTTGAAGGTGGAAGCACCCTTTTTGGTTGGATATACGAAGAGAAGAGAGCCACCGTTTGGAGAAAGTTCAGAGAGGCGATCGACAAGAAAAGACGGGCGGGTGGGGCAGAAGACATCGCGGTATTCTTGTGCAGATGCTGGGGGGAGATATCGCTCGAGAACGGAGATGTGGACACTGTGTGGAGGAACGATGGGCATGGGAGCGTGGGAGAGTGTGCGTTGGAGAGGACCACGGAAGTCATGGTAAGCACCAACCACAGCAGCACTGGAGAATACTGTGGCATTGAAATAATCCTCGGCGGCGGTGGGGGAACGAGGAGTGCTTGGAGGAGAATGAGGAAGGTTGGAGAGGCTGAATTGTTCGGGGACGGCATGGGTTACGTTGATGTATGGAGAGTGGCCGGGCTGTAGGTGGTTGTGCACAGCCTGGACAATGGAGCAGAAAACGCTATCATTTGTGGGCAGAGAGATCGATTGGTCGGATGTTCGAGGGTATGGGAGGGTTTGAGAAACAATTTTGACGGCATCGCCTCGTGGGTTTGATAATCCCAGAGATGATACTAGAGAAAGGTCAGTGACTGACAGGCTAGAAGAAGAGGAAAGGCAAGTCAAGCCATTATGAACATACCAGTGACGTTGATCCCATGATCTAACCAGGAACCGACATCTTGTTGGCAATCCATCTCATCGTGGAGTTCTGGACTACCGCTTGAGCTAGATGAGCCGTGAGATAACCCATCTGATGGGCTGCTCAGTGTATCTGACGGGCCAGTCGTTGGCGATGTGTTCATTCCCGGGTTCTCGTCCATTATCGGCGAACCAGGGTGTGTATGTGAATCAAACAGCATCATCTCTGATTTCGGGTTCCAGGCAATCTGGCTATCGTCATCCGGGGGCGTAGGAGGCAGGGTAGTGGGGTAGTCTCCCTGGAACGAAGGAGGGGAGTTCCAGGGCGACGAATTCAAAGAAGACGCCGTCAATGGTCTCGGCCCGCGAGACACGGTGGTGGACAGGCGCAGACGAGAATCCGCCGATCGGGTTCGTGACTCGAGACGAATGGGAGCGCCGGGGGAAGCGCTGCGATGTTCCCAGGAAGGGAAATGAACGGCCACGCTGCCCTTGGAGAGGAACCGAGAGACCTGGGAGGGCTTTGTGCGAAAAGAACCTTGTGAGGCTCGTCGACGAAGCCTTGTTGAAGTTGGGGGGATCGAATCGGGATCTGGAAGGGAATTTTGGGATAGTCGTCGTTGGTGGTCGACCTTGCTGATTGACGTTGAAGAGGGCATGATCAGGTTGTTGGTTACTGCAGGGCAAGTCGGTCCATAGCAGTCTTTATTCATCCAGGCAGTCCGGTCGGCAGGGCGAATGGCAACGGACAGCATGGATGAGCCCAGTATGTGGGTGGGTGGGTGTGTGGTGTATAAGAGAGAGGAGAGATATGGGGAAAAGAGAAAGAATATAGGAAAGGAAAGGAAGGAGTAAGGGGTCTTTGAAAGGATGGTACTGGGTACACAGACAGAATATGGAGAAAGGCAGAGCAGCAGTGGTACCCAGTACGGGAGGCAAAAGTCAGAGGTGGCCCAGACTTGGAGGTCTAGAACACTCAGGTCATCGAGTCATCGGGTCCAGTTTGCTGTGGTTCTGAGTGGTTCTGCACCTGGACCATTTTGGACACTGTGGACAAGGGAGTTTTAATTAATATTAATATTATTATTATTATTATTATATGCTGTTAATATATTATGTCTAAATTATGGTTAAAATGGCTTAATTCATTTAATTTATCAACAGTCGAATCCCTGTTATTCCCCAGTGTTCACCCTCGTTTTCTGTTGTTCTGCTAAAAATGTGCCCCAAGTCTAGACGCTCGGCGGCCCAAGCTCTGGAGCATGACTGGCTGTTGCGCCCCACGCGGGCTGGGGCGATCATTCTCGGTTCTGCTCTGCATCGAGTTGATGAAATTTCATTACACTGAGCAACATGTACCATAGTTCTCGCTGTGTCAGGTTAAAACAACCTATACACGCATAGATTAAATTTAATCTTACATTGCATCTCGATTATGTCTATGGGGATCAACTATGTATGTCCAAAGGGAAAAATCTAACGTTACTCGGTCCACCGGAGGATCCGCCAATACCAATGAATGAAGTAAGCAGGGAACTTGAGAAAGGAACCAGATCAATCAAGATCGAGGATGGAATTTATGAAAAAGAAATATGGAACGACTGGAGCAGCTGGAGAAAATAGTACTTTCATGGTCTCCTTGTACCCTTTCTTCATTATTACTACTAGGACTACTAATCACTAGCTAATGTGAGCTCCGATTCCTTGTTGTACCCGGTACTCACCAGTTTCTGTGGTCAGATACCGTTTCCGGGCAGCATCGGGCAGAGAACAAATTGCCACTGAGGGGTAGGCCCAATAAATCTTATGGTCTTGAAAAGGATTATACTTTTTTTTTTGGTTCTGTGGTGAGAGGTCTGGACTTGGAAAATTGATCTGAAAAAGCATATCTTTAATATTCGATAATTCGATATATTCCATACTTGGGCATCCCGTAACTAACCCTAGGGTTAAGGCTAATGTAGTCTCAGCATGACATGGCTAATAATATACATGTACATGTAATGTATCATGATCGATCGGAACCATCGAATATGATTCTTCCATTTTATTCCAGGTTATTAGACCCAATAGAAAGACCCCGATCGATCCATAAGTAAAGTCCACCCATGGATACATGTACCATATAACTTAAGGAAACATTTGAGTCCGCACATTAATGCACAGTATAATTATCGCTAATTATATTATTCAACTCCCACAATACACCGATATATATTAGCTAAGACCCTGTCTCCATCTCGTTTATTTCGGATCATTCCGACTGGACAAGACTCTCTTTCATCAATGGACGGAAGACCGTTGGACCGTTGTAATTTCCACCGTTAATGTCCCAGATCTGGTTCACAGTCCACGTTATCTCCCCGAGTGGACCCTAGTCGCAGATTAAGTGATTCAAGTGTGATCTTGCCACTGACGACTCCAACGTGTCATCTCTTACGTGGGGAATCTCTACCTGCTACAAGGGTAAAGTCAAAGGGAAATTGTAATTTGGATGAGAAGTAAAATTATGATTAGCATAGTAATACTAAATATAAACTATGTGATAATTATAAAAGGTCTGATTAGCTGATGCGAATCAAGTACGCGTCTCGTAGGACGGGAAATGTGCACATCGTGCGACCGTCTTCATGCCTACTACTAGGTAGTGTTGTGCTGTGTTGGTCCCGATCGGCAAAGGCTATCCTTGCATGTTCGAGATTAATCTCTCGGTCGCGTGAGGAGCACTTGAGGGGTTGATCCGGGATTGATTCCTGCGAGGGATGCGGGGTTCGCCATGTGCTGTCATGGGCACTGGGCCTTGCAGGAAAGAAAACCTGGAGTCGATTTCCCCTCGATTTTCAATGGTCCGGATCCATCGGTTCCAAAAGCAAGGAAGAGTTCCAGCAAAGTATAATGATAGAGCCTGGGTCAAGTGTGGCATGATTTCATCAATTAGATCACGTCTTTCCAACGAAAATAAAGTCGTAGAGTACTTTTGTTCCAGCGGTTCCAATTCTTAGGTACCACGCCATCGGTCCCAATTCACGAGGTCATGGATCGTCGACGAGACTGGGTCGGCGCAGCATTACCCATAGCCATAGGCTGGCGCATCTCCCGGGTACAATTCCAAGCGTTCCAAACAAGAGAGGATCGGTAACGCTGTTCCTCACGACTAAGTTTGACTTGTTTCCGGGCAAAGCTAGAAGGTTTGATGGCGATTTTGCAAGGTGTTTGCTCGTAATCAGTAGACGCTCTCGCCAGCGAGGGAGTCTCAAAAGTAGGGCTATCGAGATTAACGCGTAGCTCATGGCATTGTCGTACCAGCTGCTGCACGCCGTCCGTTAAACGGGACGCACGATCTTCGATCTCGGGCCAGAAAGCGTCGCCCCAGAAGGGATCTTCGCGCACGGCTGTCTCTAACGCAGCGAGCCAGCAGTTGAATCCGGAGCGAGCACCGGCTAGTTGGGCGGCGACCGTTAGGAATCGGATTGTGGGTTCGGAGTGTAGGACGTGTAGGACGATGCAGGTTGGGCATCGCGCGGTGAGGTACCAGTCGTGTTCTTCGATGAGGATGCAGTGTAGCCAGGCGAAAGCGCTTCGTGCTTCACCACGGAAAGCGCGTTCTGGTTCAGCGCCCTTTTTGCTGGGCAGGGCGCGTGCGGCGATTCGTTCCGCTTGGTGGTTGATTAGGAAGAGAGGGACGAGGAGGGTGTGGATGATGTCGCGGTGGAGGCGGAAGGCTTCTTGCTCTGCTGAATCGCATTCATGTTGGTGTGTTGAGCAGAAGCTAGGACCTTCCATACCGCAATCTTGGCGGCGAAGTTGTTCCCGCATGGCTTGGAAGGCTTCATTGCGTTCCAGCTCAATTTGGTCTCGGAGTGAGACCCGGAAGGGACAAGGTGTTTCAGAGGACATTTTGGTATGTGGCGATGTAGAAATCAAAGTTGAATATTTTAGGAGTTGGATAATCGGCCAAATTAGAGGACCATGCCGTAGACACTAATACTCAATCATGAGAATATTGACTATAAGCAAGAAATGGAACCCAAAAGGGAGGATTATAAGAAGTCAAGCATATGTTGATATTTGGAAAAAGGGGAGATGTAAACCAGGGCAACATTAAAAAAATCCAGGGCATCGAAGAAAGAAAAAAAGCGCCGGATGCGGACTGTGTTATAAGGGATCATTGCTCTTCCCCCCTTTGCGGAAACGTCATGGGGGTAACAGGACGGGGGTTGCAGATCGCGCAGGGCCTTGGGTAGCTTTTGCCTTTTCGTTCCAGTGTCCAGGGTAAAGAGAGTCGATCGCAATGGATCGTGGCCCCACTAGCTGACGAACACAGTCGCGCGTGGCGGTGATTATTGGCGGACTTGGTCGGAATGGGTGGAGGCTTGTGGGGATTGGACCAGAGTCTGGACTGTTTCTTTTTGTTCTTTAACGGCACACAAAGCACCAAAGCGTCAGGGCGTGAAGTAGCGCTTGGTTGCTGGCTTATGGTGTTAGATAGTGGTGGTATGGTGGTACCTTCGTTTGGACCTATAAGTGTGCTATCTATAGTTATCGTGGACCTATGTTACTCTTTCGCTTCAACTTTCCATCCACCTCCAGACTCTCAGACATGACCACTCGTCTCGATTTACTCTGGATGACAGGCCTATCAAATAAGCCAAACGGCGAAATCCGGAACAAACAACAGTGACCTGTCAGAAATAGATGTACAAAGATGAAGTCTTCAAGATACAATATGAAGTACCGATGGGAATAGCGGCCCAAGTTTACCGTGCCCAATACTTAGATCACGATCTTTTTTTTAAAAAAAATAAAAATTCTTGTGATTCTCGGCTGGCCATTTGACCGCCCATCGGAGTCAACCAGAATAAACCAGGAAAACACACTGAGAACCGGGTTAGAGACGAGTAGATCGTTCCCGACCATAGGAAGTGGAGAGACTATCAGGGGTCCCCATCCCACTCAGAAAAGTAAGTGATAGACAGGGTTTCCGTTTGGAGGAAACTTTTATTTTATTTCTTTTTTGCTAATTTTAAATCCTTTTAATTTTTCTCTTGCAACTCGGATCCATGCTGTGTTGTTCCCATGTGTGTGTGATCCTAAATTCCGATCAAAAGGGGGAACACGACACGTACATACAGACAATCTGGGGATATGCTCATGTCACCTTTGTCTCTAATGCAGGCAAAATCACCAGCATTGAGACTACCGTAGTCTGTAGACAGGGTCCCACTCAGTTTTCCCGTAGTAGCATCTTAGTAAAGTCCTGAGTCCTGTGTGGGTGGAGCTCGGCACTCTCCGCGAAGTCGGACAGCACGATCGTCTGGTTGGGTTTTCTCTTATCCCCCTTTTACATAAGCACTCTTCTTCACCGGTGACATCCCGATCTCACTGGCTAATGAGCACGAGACTGGGGTTGAGCGTTGTGGCTGGACCCAACGGTTGACTCCGCGTGGAGTTGAAAATTGGCATTGACACAAAGAGTAGGATTGACAATGTTGATCGATGTTTATCAGTAAATATTGACTTTGAATTCCAATCGAACTGCAGAACTTCTAGAATTCCGATCTTGTCGATCCATAGTAGAATCACTAGTACTACAGAATACTATACATCCATAGATAATAGTATATGGATCTAATCAAAATAATTTCAGTCTCTTTCTTCTCCTCCCCCTTTACTATGTTTCTACTTATCCCTCAATCCTAGAATGATGGTACACTATTGGCATGTTAAATGATAGGGGGCCGGAATGAAGCCCGTTAGTGCAGGTTCTAGCTGCCACTGCAATCTCCAGGATGCCAAGCATTTCAAATGTCAGGAATCTTGGTTTTTAGTGCTTTTTTGCTGCTTTTTTAGTGGTTTCGTGGTTGCTGTGTACGTAGTCACCAGTTCTCTAAGACATTTGATTTTTCTTCATTTTTTTCGCTTCTTTCTCCTTTCTTTCTCTGTTTGTCTATTGCTCTGTCGCTCTTTCTCTATCAGCTTCCTGCCAAGTGACTCTCTCGTTGTCCAGGCCTGGATTCTTGCGCATTGTCTTGTTTAATTGCTTCAAGAGGAGATTGATTAATTCGCCAAGCTTACCTCTTTCCTTTTATCATTTTCGTTTTATTACAGAAGATAGACTCTTATCTTTCCAATCATGTTCTCTTCTCTCGCCCTCTCCGCGGCTCCATTGCTGCTGGCTGGCTTGCAGGCCGTGACCGTTGGCGCCGTCCCGACCATCTCCGCCGTCGGATCCAAGTTCTTCTACGAAAATGGAACCCAGTACTACATCAAGGGTACGTCTTCAATTCCGTATCTTACTTTTGAAACAACCAAGAGAAGGTTCCGACTAACAGACCCTTAGGTATCGCCTATCAGCTTACCCCCGATGATCCGCTGATCGATACCGCCCAATGCAAGCGAGACATTGTCCGTATGTCCGAGTTGGGCGCCAATGCGATCCGTGTGTACCACGTGGATGCCAGCGGCGACCACGAGGGCTGCATGGAGGCTTTTGCCGCTGCTGGAATCTATCTGTTTGTGGATTTGGATACTTTCACAACCCAGATTGAACAGGTCAGTTGATATGAAGTGAACCCAAGATGAATGCCCAAATGCTGATCCAACTTGCGTGGAATAACAGGACAGCCCTCACTGGAACGAAACTCAGTACAACCGATTCGGCGCAGTTCTCGATGAATTCCAACAGTACAACAACACCGCCGGTGTCTTCGTCGGAAATGAGGTCCTCACCACCGCCAACGGTTCCATCGCCGCTCCCTACGTCCTGGCTGCTGCCCGTGATATGAAGGCCTACCGTGATAAGAAGGGTTACCGTGAGATTCCCGTTGGTTACTCCGCTGCCGATATTTCCGATCTTCGTCCCATGCTCCAGAACTACATGGCATGCCAGGAGAAGGCTGCCGATCGTCTGGACTTCTACTCTCTAAACGCCTATGAGTGGTGTGGTGAATCCAGCTACTCCGTCTCCGGATACAGCGAGTTGCAGAAGAATGCCACCGACTACCCCATCCCTATCTTCTTCTCCGAGACTGGCTGCAACACCCCAGCTCCTCGTACCTTTGATGACCAGGCTGCTATCCTCGGCTCCGAGATGGACGGCACTTGGTCCGGTGCCATTATCTACGAGTGGATTGAGGAGACTAACGACTACGGCCTGATCAGCTATGGTCCCTCCGCCACTGGTGCTGCCGCCACCAAGTCTGATGTTGAGGATGGATACACTCGCGCGGGTACTCCTACACCTATCTCGCCTGATTTCAGCAACCTCAAGTCTCAATGGGCCACTCTTAACCCCACCGGTGTTTCCCTCTCCGCCTACAAGGCGAGCGCCTCCAGCCTCAGCAGCATTCAGTGTCCCGCCTCAACTTCCGGTGGTTGGGCCGTTAACCCCAGCGCGGATCTCCCCACTATGGGTCAGACTTACACCTCCGGCGCCGCTGACTCCACCGGCACTGGCTCTTCTGGAAGCTCAGGCACTAGCACCGGCTCTTCAAGCAGTGCTTCTTCTACCAAGGACAACGCAGGTAGCGCCATCGTGGTTGCCGGCAACCCTGTTACTGAGCGTTTGTTCGTCGCTTCCCTGGCCCTCTCTGGTGCTCTGGGACTTGTCGCATTCTGGCTTTAGTTAAATCGCCATTCGTGGAGGCTGTAATTCAGCACTCTGAGCTATTGTATTGATATGCATCATAACAGGTTGTGTGATAGACTCTTGTCTTCAATTCAGTTATTTAAATTGGTCAGCTGGCCGTGCGCATACGAGCCTTTTTTGTCTTTATTTTTCTTCTTGCAGTTTCAATTGTACACGACACATGAAATGATTATTGGTCTATCCGGCTATAGAATTACCTGGGGGTTTCTTTCTCTTTCTTTTGGGGCTTTCGTACTAGAAAGAATGCATTTTCCAATTCAAAGGACATGTCAACTGCTTTCAAAAGACGACCTACATCGCAATATAAAAGAATATAGACGAAGTAATAGCATCATCTTCACTTAAACTAAGTATTGCATAACTCTCACCCTTATTTATGGACATAAAAACATTCAAATTTCATGAAACCCTATGTATGACAAATAACGTCTTATGCAATAGAAAGAGACAACAAGTAGGTATGATAGGCCTAAGCCTGCTTAAAAATCAAATTCGAGATATTATACAGCTTCGTCCAGGCTTCTAACTACGTAGAGTCAAGCCTTCAATCCCCGTTAAATGAAGATCCAAATCCGGTAAAGACAACTGCGGCGACACACGATCAACCTTAGTATCAGAGTCAAGATCCTGCTCCTCCCCATCTTCATCTTCCTCCAGAAGCGAAGGCTCATGTGCATCAGACTCCTGTCCAGTCATATCACCATCACTCTCAACGCCCGAAAACCCAAAATCAAATAAAGCAGGAGACTCGGGAACAGGAATATGATCATGATCAACAACACCCATACCCTCGTTCACCTTTACCTTCACATCCATCCCCTTATTCTTCTTCCTCGACTTTTTCTCCACCTTCTCATTCTCCACAGAACAACACAATCTCACCGCACCCCCTCCACCGGAAAGAGAAGCAGGAACATCCTTAATAGCAGTCCCAAAACACTTCCACACCCTCCTCGCACTAGGTCTCCTCACAGCCTCCGCATCAAGCATAGCCCTCAAAACAATAAGCATCCGTGGCACAGCCCAAAACACACGATCACTCCCTCGATCTCTCCGGCATCGTTTCAATGAGTCCCCTTCTAATAGCGCGATCCATGACTGCACCTGCACAGCATTCCGAGCTAAATGGAATGATGCATCTGCCATTCCGCCACCACGACCTGCTGAGCGGTTTCGGGCTGAGCGATGCGCTGCGAATGATGAGTTCGAGCGTTTGCAGAGGTGTGTGAGGATATCGAGGATTATAGCTGCTATGGAGAAGATATCCGAGGCGTGGGGGGTTGAGGAGTTTGGGCGTGCGAGGGTGGGTGAGGGGAGGGCATCTGGAACTGAAGCCGAGGTTGAGGGTGAGAGGATGGATGGAGCTGTTGTCGTTGTCGTTGTTGTTCTGATGGAGGATAGGGATGCTTTGGAGTTTAGTGGCTTTGGTCTTTTGGACCAGAATGTACTCCTGTGTTTTGAGCCGGGGGTTGAAGATGGAGATGCAGATGAAGACGCTATTTCGCTGACATTTGAAGAAGATGAAGAAGAAGAGGATGAAGAAGATGAAAATGCGAATGAGAATCGTGATGGTGAGCCCGGGAGACCGATACGGATAACTGTTTCTTTTGAAGAAGAGGATTTCGGACTGGACAGGTCTGATGAAGCTGTGTTTTCACTTAGTGGTGCCAGTGCAAGACGGCTTGGTTTTTTCCTTTGGGCTGTACGACCACCTGAGGGTAGATGTGTACGAGCTGGTACTGCTGCAACTGGCTGGATTGGAGTTTCGGCACGCACCCAGCGCTCTGGGGCGGAGTATTGATAGCTCTCTAGATCATTGACTCGGGGTGGTGCGAGGATAGAGTCTAGAGCATGGTATTGGCCTAGACGAATGTGGAAGTCGGCGTCGATTAAGATGTTCGAGGGTCTTATCGCACCATGGGTGTGGCCGTGTATATGTAGCCATGACAAAGCAGACATTAAGCAGTGTGGCCAGGTGATTAGAGTATCGCGGCGTTGTTCTTTGGGAAGACGCTTAAATGAAGGTGGCTCATCAGTTAAGAAATTGTGTAGTGTGCGTTCTGTTTCCGCGCCCGTGAAAAGTGCACAGACATTATCATCGACGAAATATGAAGCGTAGAGAGAGATGATATGTTGATGTGATAGTTTGCGGAGTGCTCGAATCTCAGAAAGGACTTCGTCCGATGAAAAGAAATGCGGTGCACCACCAACTTGAACTTGTGTTCGCATGAGTACTCGACATTCTGAACCGGCAAGAACGACTTTATCAACTGTCTCATCGCGACCTTGGAGATCATTTGTGATTCCGGTTGTTCGTAAAACTTGAACAGGAACACCTTCATTACCGGTATATGTAATATGGTCTCCTTCTGCTATTCCTCGAACGACAAAACGCCATTGCGTGTGAAAGAATTTCGAATCGAGAGCAGGATTATTCCCGTGTGGGGAGAGGTAGAGCCGATCAACATTTTGTTCTGCGATAGGTAGATCGTCGTCGTCGCATGACTCGTCGACTAGAGCGAAAATGCGATCGGGAATTCCAATTTCATTCAGGATCAGGAATAATCGACCTGCTTTGAGAAGGATGTATTCCATGTATGTTTCACTGGTTAGACCTTCACCCCATTTGGGGAGGTCGAAGAGCCGAGGTACATTTGGAGCGAGTAGTTGGTCAACGATATACTTGGTGTTTATGGTTGATTTGATTCGCTCTTCTGGCCACCAGAGGGAACCGATGTCATGATGTGCATGTGCCATAATGATGCCAGGGAATATGGCATAAAATTAAGATAAGAAAGTATTAGGTCGTAGTAAGTAAAATCAAGAAAAGAGAGAAATTAATAAAAATGATTGAATAAAAGAGGTAGAGGCAGGCACAGCCTAAGAGAATTAATCGTGAACTTGAACATTGCTTACGGGTCAACGACCATGGGCGATATCTTTACCAAATATAAAAATCAGCCCAGCATAAAGATACGTCACTTAAAGTTTGGACCATAATCATGGTATCGGTTCGCGACATATGAAAAATGAAAAAAAATGAATGGTCACCAATACTCTTTACCCCTCAAAGCTAAGCCTATTCATAGTCTGAGCTGAGCGCCCAGTGGCGGGTGAGATGCTTATCAGTCTCCGCAAGGGGAGATTCAATGCCTGTCAATAATCAATTAATAAGACGAAGACGAACATGGCAACTGAACTAGAATGGATTGTGACTTGCAGAGCCTCGATTCTAACTAAGCCTTTATCCTTTATCTCCTTTGTCTGTTCTCTTATTCCTTAACTAGTCACTAGTGTATGTAGCTGTGGTGTAAAAGAAAAATGCCAAGACATGATAGATCGGTTGTATCGAAGTGTCCAGAATACATTAGGAGAAATGAACCAATCTCGAGCCGTAGGCTTATCAAAAGCATTCAATGTGGTCTGTGTGTTTTTTCCATATCCTGCCGAGATAAGCGGTTGATCTCCGCTTGACAGGTACTGTACATCTCCACTATCTCCATTCCCGTTTTGATTGGGGCACAGGATGGTCCTTGTGCTTGTAAGGAGGGGACTCGATAATTGGGACGCTATTGTTTTGTGCTTTTTGTGAGGTTTTTCGGGAATGTCAGTACCTGTTCTGGCTGTTCACATGGACGATCTTCATGTTTATGGGTCTGTGTATCCATCTTCTTAGGGCTGTGCTGTGCTTTTTGAGCCCGATATGCGGTTCGCGCCAGGGTATATGCAGGAACAGGCGAATTGGCTATGAGTGACAGACTCAGGGGATTTAGTTAGATGCCTCCTTGGGTTCTGAATTTTAGGGGACATCTGTTTACAAAAATTGAGGAAAGGGGAGGATTTGCTACATGGGATCATATCGGATAGGATAGGACAGAATTGGCGTCGCGTGATCTTTTTCGCTTGTTTTCTATTTTCTATTTTCTGTCAACTGTGTGGCAACTCTCTATCTATACGCTTTCACGCCCCTGTCTCTTCTAAGCTGCCATGAGGTTCACATGTAGCATCTTCCTCCGGCGAGCCTTTTTCATATTTCCTCTTTTATTCCGTTCCCTCATCTACTCCAATCCTTTTCTCTCCATGTTCAATTCTATAGATACCACATATACAAATTGAAGGTCTAATTTATCGCATTGAGCAGCAGGAGCAGAAGGAAACCCCGAAGAACCGTGGAGATTAACAAGACTAAATCTTCTATCGCCCCCTCCTCTGGAGAGGCTAACGGTATTTAGACATTGTCCCGCAACAAAAAGCCACCATACTGTAGCCTCTGGAAGACGCCCTCCGGGTCATATTTGGCTGCGACCTCCTGCATCTTCTTGACATTTTCGGCTCCGTAGCTACCCAGGACCTTCTGGGAGCAAGAAGCAAAACTCATGCACTGAAAGTTGAGAAGCAGTTCTCTTTCTTTAGCCAAAGACTGCACAGTCTCTATCATAGTGTCAACTGCTTTCTTCGCAGCATCATCATTCCCCTCATTGGGCCATTCACAGGTAAAGACCCACCCTGCAGTGTGTTATTGGATTAGCCTATTTTTACCACCCAGGAATAGATAGAAGAGAACGCCAACATAACTTACAACATTGAGGAGCATCTTCATGGCCCATGATGTTTCCTCCGCGATCCTTTCCTGCCTGTAAGCCACCCTTTCCAAATGGCTGGATAGTATAATGTAGTACATGGTCGGCAGGGAGGCTCTTGCAGGTCTCAGTCCAGAGCTTGTGAATCTCTTCATAGAGATCTTGTGAGAATCCTGTGGTTACCGAGCCGACGAATCGCCTATCGTAGATGAGCTTCTGAAAGAACTTTGGATCTTAATCTAACAGGCTTTCGTATGCTTACTTCTTAGTCTCTGCATGTACCATGCCCATAGCTCGGGCCAGCGACAAAATTGTGCCGTTCGTAGTAGGAACAGCTGCCATCATCAAGCTCTCCTGGTCAAGTTTGTCAAATGGCTTAAAGGCTGAAGGTCTCTCAACAGGGGTATCTGCGTAGAACAATCCAACGGCGACAAATCCATTGTTAAAATTGGTGAATAGGCCAATTTTTGGATCAGCTTCCATGGCCTCTTGGACGGCAATTGTTGCTTTGATGATTTCGATATAACTTTCTGCCTTGTAAAGGTTGATTGTATACTGAATATTGATTAATGGGTGGGTTTCAAGATCAAATCTCGTCACAATGCCTGCTTTTTGTTAAAAATTGCTTTTATTTGTTTTTGACGACCTCAGTAGTTGATAGCCATAGAATAGCACATACCAAAGTTAGAGCCGCCACCCTTGAGAGCACGGTAGAGGTCAGAATTCTCTTTCGAGTTCGAGTTGATTAATTGGCCATCTGCTAAGAGCACCTATTTACGCATACCATGAGATGCGGATCAGGGATAATTGATATGCTCGGTTGATTTACCTCAAAGTTCTTGATGCCGTCTGCTCCAAGGCCATGTAAATTAGGCAAAGCTCCCATTCCACCTTGAATAAATTAGCTTACAAAGTCTTTTAGACTGAGGTTCAGAAATTCAGTAAGATCTAGATACCTCCGAGAAGAAACCCTCCTATTCCAACGTCTTGATCTCGGCCTCCAATGGCAGATAACTTCTGTTCCTCCAGCCAAGTATACACCTCACCCCAAGTACTTCCACTTCCAACTTGAGCAACAGTCTTATCCAAACTAAGCTCCTTTGAACTAAGCTGGCGGATATCAAGAACAACAGAGGTCTCATCTGCGCTACTAAAGCCATAGTTGGGATTGTGACCAGTCGTACGGATGGTGAACTTTGATCCTGACTTTTTGACAATCTCAAGTGCTTTCGTCAGCTCTTGAGTATTACTCAGGAATACATAGCCAGCGGCTGAGGTCCAACAAGTCTGCGACCAGGGACGTGCAACATTCTCCTCATACTCAGATGCCGCATCTGGAGATATCACTTTGTTCTGTCCAGGTAATGCAAGCTTCAATTCACTGACGGCATTTGCTGCACTTATAGCCATAATTGGTGTTTAGTTGGGTGCTGGAAAGGGGGCTCTGGACTGAAATTTGTGGACGAGGGGAATAATGTCCAAGCTGTCGTGGGCAAGGCCCCTCTTTTTAACTAGCCTGGCATTGCATTTCTACAGGGATCAAATCCGGCTTTGAACAGAGCTCGCAGTAGAAAGAAAAGGATGACTGCCATTGGTAAGGCTGGGAATGTCAAAATGGCCCCAGTTGTTGGCCTCACTGCGCATTGAACTGAAACCGCCCCCAGCTTCATATTACCCCGCTCATAACGCCCCACAAGCGCGAATAGCTTTTTGATTTGAGCTAATTGTGTTTATTCTAATCATGGAACGACTTCAGTTATCGGAAAGATCTCTGTTGTTCGATGTGTTCTCGTTTCTAATAGTGAACTCTGTCACCCAATGTCCGCCGTAAGCCGATCTGCATGAATGAGAGAAGTAATAATTATATTAAGAATGACTACGCCGCCAGCCTTTGTTTTTGTTTTATTTTTTTGGCAATTCAAAAGCAGAGCTCTTCACCATCTTAATTTACAGTCAATACAATAAATTTCTTAATCGAAGACCGGTCTTGTTGGATTCAATGTATGTGAGTGTGACGATTTCACTGTATGCGATGACACATCCGTATAAACTTGAAGATGAACGTAGATGCACTTCATAGCCTCGGTTGTTTTCAAACTTGAAAAGCCCAACAAAATATCTCGCCAGTTTCCAATTACGCTTTCACAGTAAAGAATGGGGTAATGAAGTCCCGCTTTCCCAATGGGACACCCTCCTTCCGCAGAATACCATAGGCAGTTGAAACATGGAAGAAGATATTGGCCTGCATCATCGACGCAAATGCATATCCACTCAAATCTTGTTCAAATGGTCCAAGTTTCACAAGTTGAACCTCTCCGGCATGCTCAATGATATAGTCTTTGTCGGCCTCGTTAATGACCTTCAGAGTACTCTCAATGCGTTCGTACATCTCAGGGTATGTGTACACGACATCATCGGGGGCGAAATCTGGAAACGGTTGATTGGTGAGTTTAGCCATGACCATCAGGGTTTGGACTGTCGATGCTGCCACTTGGTAGCTGAGCGTCCTCATATCGGGATAAAGTCGGCTGGTTGGAAATTTGGAGGCATCTGGGTGTTCCTCGGCCTTGTGAATGATGTCAGAGAGGGTGGTTAGAGTACGCTTTGCCTGGAGGACAAAGCCATCGTAGATAGTGTAAGCCATGGTTGGTTGTTGTCTTGAAGTTATTAATTCGGCTTTGGGAGCTTCCAATGTGCCCTTCTTAAATATTCTGAGTCTCCTCTTGCTTACAAGAATTTATTCGAATGCTGAAGAAAGATCTACAGAATGTGAAGTATGACACGTAGGTATTAAGAGATCAGAAGCCTTTTCATTGGACAGAATATGAAACCGCTTATGTGGGGGCTAAAACTGATTCGGAAGTGGGGAATACAGGACGGAGTCGAGGGGAGGCATTGCTCCATAGTGGAGAGTACTAGTCTCGGAACGAGACACCCATACATACTAGTGAAGATCCTACAATCTTACTCGCCCTGAAGTCATATAGGTATGCTCAAGAGATATTACTGGCTCAATATGGAGTAAAGAAAACTTGAAAATGATACATATAATTTCAATAATTTCAACGCTATCTATTCGCCCTATTTCAATAAATTGCCTCAGTAAATCGAACCCTTTGATGGAACTCTCTAGCCAATTTGAACAGTCAGAAAGGAAAATGCAATGCCACGGGAAGGAATACCACTGCAGCCACTTCTCTTTTACTTAGACAACAGGCTCAATGTCAAATCGCATAAAGCCTTCTGAGCCTGTAGGGCCACTATAGGTAACAACTCGAGTGATGCGTCGAGTGCCTCGTGGCCAAGCCTCCAGAACCAGATAACAAATCAATTTGCCGAGGCGAGTGCCTAGAAGGCCATCAAACTCAGGTGAGCCATACTCAAAACTTCTTGGCTCTTCAGAAGGCCACCGCAGGCCGTGTTCTGCAGTATATAGGAATCGGTGGAGAAAGGCGAAGGTGTCTTGGTTGGTAACTGCCCAGAGAAAAACGTGTCGAAGAGTATCTATATGATGAAAATTCTGATACGAGGCTTGCATAAGAGAGGAAGTATGGGGAATCGGTTTCGCCTCAGTGGAGTACACGCCATCGCGGTTTAAAAGGCTTATGACAAGGACCCCTGGTCCAACATGTACCATCGTTCCGACGGATGGGCCATGGATACCAGCACGGCTAAAAAGCGGAGCATTAGCGGTGTGGTTTAGAGGGATTTGCAGTTCCTCGAACTGGTTGCCAAAGTATTCCACTGGGGGGTCTTCAATTGTTACGAAAAAATTATAGCCTGCATTCGCAAGGCTCTGAATAGTATGTGTAGATGGGTTGACGAAGCATGGAGGCTGGTTAGGTTCATTTGCGATCCAAAGTCGACGCTGCTTTCCTGCTGCTTCATAAGCAGCGAAGTTATCATAATCACCATCAAGCTTAAAATAGTAAGGGACACCATCGTCATCCGGAGGGAAGATGGAGGAGCTCTCGGATGGTGCAAGTACCATACTGGCGGGATCAACACCCTCTGCCGCAAGCCAACCAAAATCATTGAGCCAACCATAGGGGTGATAAGGGGGGAAAATCTGACTACTACTGGCTGAAGCGCCCGTAGAGAAACTTCTCTGAATAGAAAGGTGCTCGGCAATACTGGACGCATAAGAGCCGACAGAGCGGGTATAGACAGAGCCACGGGGGGGTATACTGCGGAGAGCCGGCAGAGTGAGTAAAAACAGAGCACTGAAGGGTGTGTTGTGGGCAGAGTGGGCATAGATAGAGCCCTGAGGAGTATATTGGGGAGAGCCAACAGAGTGAGCATGCACAGAGCCCTTAGGTGTTTGTGCAGGTGAAATAATATTTAAAGAAGAAGCTGAAGATTCCAAGCCACCGCAATGAAAACAACCTGGAAAAGCGCAACCCAGACAGTGCCGCCACATTGGACCTTGACATTGGAAACAACCAGAGGCGCAGCCCCAACAGGTACGCCACATTTTGAATAACTGAAATTCGCGTGCTAAGATACAAGTCTGCAATAAGGGCTCCGATTGTGTTAGTATATACGAAAATGAAGAGTTCTAGATGGCTATTTCGCGAGTGCTTGAAGACCTTGTATTTGAATGCTGTTGATAATCAGAAACCATGGGAATAAAGAACCGTGAAGCTTTTATATCTCGACCGCTGGAGGCTTCAGTACTTCATTTAGTCATTCAAAGCCATAGTTCCAGCTATATACAGTGATTCAACAAAGGGGAATAGCTAAAGAAAGTGACAAGATTGTATCAAAATGTAGGTCTCAGTGCCCAGGTAGTATTCAGGAGTATATAGAATGAATTCAGGATTTCAATTTTAATCATTCAACGAAATGAAGCTGGGGTTTCATAAAACAAAGAATTTATAAAAGAAGACAGCAAGAATAAAGAGTCCTAGCTCAAGATGACACATAGTTATTTACGGTCTCATGATTATGTACTGAGGGCTTTACTCGAGTCTCGAGTCTTTCAAGACTCGAACAAGATTAAATTCACTGAACCAATATAGCGACTCATCACATCTATACTATTGAATAATTTCTTTATGTGTACGCAATATTATATCCTGACGGACGTTTGAATGTTATTTTTAGATGTCGGAAACATTATTGAGATATCTTCATAGCCAACACCCAGGAATAAATCCTAACCTTTGTAGAAACATTCTAGCACCATCACATTTTCTGTACAATGATATAATGATCACAACAATTCAGACCCTGTATGTAGACCTTTGGACATGTAAATGGCAGCAGAAATATCGGCAGATCATCGGCAATGTTACCGGATTTGGTAAACATTGCGGGGTCCAGTACATCAACTCATCGACTCTGGTTGAACGTCCAGAAAACGAAAACATCCCGGCCATCTCCAACCCCACGCCAGGAGGCATTCGTCTTCGACGTATTTTATTTATGAAAAAGTGGCGCAAAATGCCTTGCATGCCCCCGGCAAGCCCTCAAACACGTCCAAAAGATGAACCCCAACCCCGAATCCCGCAACGGAGCCTCGTCCCGATCTAAGCAAGCACCACGCAGGATCAATCGCTCCCGTAAAGGCTGGTAAGCGACCCCATACCAAACTCGGTTGTTTCATAGATAGCTTCTCACATCATTAATAGCCCAGAATGTCGCACACGCAAGATCAAGTGCGATGAGAAAAAACCCCAGTGCACACAATGTCGCATCAAAGGACGTGATTGCGGCATCATCGATGGACTCTTTCGGCCTGTTTCTTTCACCCCTGGGACCTTTGTATCTTCTCCGGGTGCGGAGGTGCCAGAAACTCATTCTCCTCGCCCCTGGCCTGACTCGCCCGCTAGTAAAGATAGTTCCGCCGAAACCCGAAGCCCACTCACTCAGGCTAGTAGGTCGAGTTGTACTTTTTTCTGCATCGTTTTATCCTTAAAAAATAGGCCAGCTTTGCTGACACATTTCTTTCAAATATCAGTCAAGAAAACTCGAATCATTAATTCGGATAATGAAGATTGCCAAACAACAACTGTATTGTCAAATTCGCCTACGCAGCCTCAACATTCAACCCCTGTAAAAAGCCAACTACCGCCTCCGGGTAATTCATCTGGGACTATCAAAAGAACATCTACTCGATCAAAGCGCTCTTTGTACTCTCACTCCAGTCCAATTGTTCCCAATCCCAACAAAAGAGGAACTAGGCACTCCTTTACCCACAAATCCACCCTCCCCGAATTCTTCTTGGAAGAGAACGATCAGGATCGCATAGAGGTCGGCTTCTTTCTCCGCCATTTTTCAGAAGGACCAGGAAAATGGATGGACATATTCACAAATCACCGATCATATTTCAGCCAGCATGTCGTTCAACTTGCTAGTCAAAGCCAACTATTTCGATACTCTGCCTGTGCCGTTGCAGCCAAACAGTTGGGCCAGATGAAAGATTCAACTAAAGCAACCAACAACACGCCTCAGTCAAAGATTACAGCTTCCAAACTTCTGGAAGTCGAACCAAATATTCACTTCACCTGGTACGGGGCAAAGTATTATGAAAAAGCAATTTTGTTAATGGCACAGCAAATCTCCCAAACTCCAAATTCCACTTCCCATCTCTCTCCTAGCGATATTTACCACTCTACTAAAAATGATGATAAGGATAATGAGGATACTCTGGGTGAGAATGGATACGCATCGTCTCTTCTTCGAGCTCTATCTGCTTGTGTTCTCTGTGTTTATGAGGATCTGAATGCTACCATGCGGGCATGGAGTGGTCATCTAGACGGTGTTATCAAATTGACCGGGCCACTCATATTTCTCCCAGTTACCTATCCTGATACATGCGGGGTTCCTCAAGCATCAAGAGCATTAGAAACAGCATTTTGGTATTCTGCTCTAGACGACATTTTGAACAGCTGTGCGTGTTCGAAATTAACCTTTCTGAATGACTTATGCTAATATTAATTACAGTGGTCCTAAGAAAACAATGTCGCCTACGGCCAGATGATGCCATTTTTTGGCAAAGAATGAATCTCCCAATCAACAACGTTGGCGACTTAATACTCGATAATATCGACGAACAAGACCAAGTTCCCATCTTCCTGAAAGCCCTCATCCGAATCCTCGGCCAGATTATCAATCATGACAACGGATCCTTGATAAACTGGACGCACCTAGACAGAGAACTCACACAATGGCTCCAAGCACTATCAACCGAGTTCCTCTCCCCAATCACGCACGAATTTTCAGACCCGGTTCCAGAAATCTGGTTCGGATCAGATACATGTGCCATCACCATGGCATTTTATCACATGGCAAAAATAATGTTGCTGGTTAATCAGCCACGAGATCTTTTTCTCGCGGCGCAACAAGACGAATCTACTGATCTCTTGAGTAGTTATAACTCGTTACAACGTGATCTTAATCAGCATGCGAGGGAGATTATTGCTATAGCAAATGGTATGCCTGGTATTCCTGTGCAGAAATATATGATACACCCGCTTTATCTTGCTGGGCGGTGTTTGTCAGATTCGAAAGATAGAGAGAGGGTTATTCGATTGTTGAAATCTATTGAGGATAATGTTGGGGTGTTTACGGGGTATCGTATTAGGGATCTCTCGGAGGAATGGGGAGTTCCGGTTGAGAAAGCGGATCCTCCAGTTTATAGTTTATCTCATCAGGATTTATGATTAGATTATTTCAATTGTTGTCTACTTGCACAGTTCTATTCCTTTGAAGACGAAGGAGTGTACGGGGGACTAGCATAACATCCAGAGGGAGAAAGCCTGCCTTAGTTCATTTTATACTGGCACTGGCAGAAAACCACAATACCTCTTGTAGAGGGAAGCAACACCCACACCCATCCAGATATCCTGTCTGTGAACTAGGATCGTCCTATACTACTAGTAATAAGATTCCTTTTAGGTAGAGTCCAGGCTTAGGGAATATTGCGAAATTAACCTCGGGAGCTTCAACCCTACTAGTACTATTTTAAGATTCATCCTTAAGGTAAAAACCTTCTTTCTTTTTTAATAAACTCATTAAAATATTCCAAGCTACTGATCACGACGCGTCCTAGCAACATTCATATCACGTAACTACTTTTACTTGAACAAGGACTCTTTACTTCTTTCACTACGCACGACTACTATTTAAGGACTCTGCTGCCTAGAAGAATTCTTCTTCTTACATCTCTCCACTCCCACTACGAATTCCTATAACTCAACTTGAACCCAGCAAATCCAACAAAATAAGTCATGGAAATGAAAGACGACGACCTTTATAGACGATGCTCAACAGTTCTTCACAAGAAGAGGCACATGTGGCTCAACCTCATGTCACGATAGGGCATGACTTGGTGATTTTCACACGCGCTCCTTCAGTTTACGGCGAGTTGAATTATTTGAGAGACCTACCTATCCCCTATCCCCGTCAAGGTTCAAATGAGAATAGACAACTCGATGGACGAGTATGAACGAGCGTACCAGCTTTTATAAATTTATTTGTGTATTTATTCCAATGGGACATCGGTTTTTCTGCGTCGCGGGACCTGTTACAGACAATAGGATCATCTTCCCCTTCTACATTTCTTAGTGGTGACTCTCTAGTTTATAATATGACGTCTTTCTCATTGTCTTAATAAATATCCTCCTACTTGTTCTCTTACTTGTCTTCCTACTGGATATATCACCAAGACTCATTCGATATTCTTGCTACTTCCAGGAAGTATTCTCGGAGAACAGATTAACGATGGGTATTCACTTTGATTAAATCCTCCTAACTCAAATATTACAGTACATCAAGGAATCCCCCGTAGATCAAGAAAGAAAGAAAAAGCAGCCATTCATATTGCTCCACGCTGCCAGGTATCCATTTTCGAAAGAAAGAATCAGAAAAAGAAAGAAAGGAAAGAAAATCTAGAAGATAAGTGCAAAGAATGAGGCTAAGAAGCCAAGTAGAACGCTCGAAAAGGCAGGATTCGACACAGTCGGCGCAGAATTGAAAGGAGTGTAGCTTGGAGATGCAGTTGCACTGGAACCAGGACGGTAGGGGGTACTGCTTCTAGCCGGAGAAGATCGAAGGCCACTTGGGGTCTTGCCGGGCACAATACCGACGGATGGAGATGTACCGTACGCAGTCGAGGTGACAAAGGTCACTTGGGGCACGGTGACAGTCCAGGTTGAGTATGTAATTGTAGTGCAAGGGGCCAGGGCTGCGGTTGTAGCTACGGCGCCTGTACCTGTACCTGACGAGGTGGGAGGGATGTTGGTCACGATACCTGGGTTTTCGGGCACCCATTTGGCGCAAACTCCGGCGAAACAGGAGAGAGCCGAGTTGATCTCGGTTTGTGAGCCGCCCCACGACTCGATGCAGCTTTGAACTTTGTCGGTGAGCTTACTGTTAGGGCAGTAACAGCTTGTTGATGTGATAGAGGTACAATTGGTCTCCTCTTTCAACCATGTCTTGATGCACTGTGCGAAGCTGGTAGGGCATGTCGACGCAGGAGTTGAAGTAGATGTCGCCTCAGATCCACCACCTCCTCCGACACACTTGGTGCATACAGTCGATGTCGAAGTCAGAGTGACAGTAGAAGCCGTATGGGAGGTCACAAGTGACGTAGTACCACCGGAAGTTACTGTGTTGGTCACAGGGCAGCTAGTTACTGTGGTGTAGGTAATGACCGTGGTAGAATCCGCAGGAACAACTGTTGTCGCGCCAGCACCTGCTCCAGTTGGAACCGAGTGAGTCTCTATCACGGTAGTTTCAGGCGGAATGGTTTCGGAAACGGATGTAGTGGCTTCCGCCGAGCATTGAGTGCAAATGGTTGATGTGGACGTAATAACTACAGTTGAGGCACTGCTGGATGTAGTTACATAGGTAGAACCACCGGATGTCTGAGTGGCCGTGACTGGACACCATGTTGTAGTAGTGTATGTCACAACAGTGATTGTTGACTCTGGGGATCCTGGGGTAGAGCCAGCACTGGGCCCGCCGGGCACAACATCCAATGATGATGTCGAACTTGCGTGCTCTGTCTTAGTCCCTGTCACGGTGTGTTGGGCTGGTACCGTGGTGGTGGATTCTTCGGGGGTCACAGAGGTCGAACCTGCACTGACACCCACGGGTGTGGTCACAGTAGCTGTATAGGTCTCCGCGGGTCTAGTCGAAGTCGTGGTGACTATGATGGTCGAAGGGGTACTAGTAACATGGGTAACTGTTGAACCGCCAGTGGTCTCGGTAGCTGTAACTGGGCACCAGGTTGTGGTCTCGTAAGTCACGACAGTAACTATAGAGCCCTGGGGAACAGTGGTAGATCCAGCGCTAACTTCAGGGGTGATAGTAGACGCAGGAGCCGAGCTGACCTCGGTAGCAATGGTCGAGGTGGAAGTAATAACAATAGTTGAGGCACTGCTAGAAGTAGTGACGTAGGTAGAACCTCCAGAGGTCTGAGTGGCTGTGACTGGGCACCATGTAGTAGTAGTGTAAGTCACAACAGTAACGGTGGACTCTGGAGAAACAGGTGTACCAGTGTGGGTACTCTGCGCCGGGATAGGAGTACCAGTAGACTGGGGAGCGGGTGAAGACTCAGGAGAGACACCGATAGATTCAGACAAAGTGGAGGTTGATGTTTTACCTGGGGCAGTCTCTGTCTCAGTGACAGGGCACACAGTAGTCGAAATCGGGATGGTAGATGTAACCACGACAGTAGAACCTGCGGGGCAGTCGGTTACCGATGCAGCACAGCTAGTAATGGTAATCTCACTGGTAGTGTACACAGTAGACGTCGTCCATTTGCTGGGCGAGGCTGTAGTGGCCGGCGCGGTGGATTGAGCAATAGACCCAGAATTTGTCTTGGACACAACAACAGATCCAGTACTAGTGCTAGATGCCGTGCCTGAGGCAGAGCTATGCGAGCCGGCGGGCGAGGAGACAGGAGACACACCGGTAGACTCAGGGAGAGTAGAGGTCGATGTTTTACCTGGGGCAGTCTCTGTCTCTGTCACTGGACAAATGGTGGTAGAGATAGCAATTGTCGAAGTTACCACTGTGGTAGAGTCTGCAGGGCAGTTCGTAACTGTGGAGGCACAGCTGGTAATAGTAATCTCGCTGGTAGTATAAACTGTAGAAGTTGTCCACTTGCTAGGCGAAGCTGTGACTGCTGGAGCGGTAGAATGAGACGATCCAGAATTTGTCTTAGAGACAACGACAGAGCCAGAGCTATGTGAGCCGGCAGGTGAGGAGACGGGAGAGACGCCTGTAGACTCAGGGAGAGTTGAAGTTGAGGTTTTACCTGGGGCAGTCTGAGTCTCGGTTTCGGTTACCGGGCAAATAGTAGTGGAGATAGCAATTGTCGAGGTGACCACTGTGGTAGAATCGGCAGGGCAATTGGTGATCGAGGCGGCACAGCTGGTAATTGTTATCTCGCTAGTAGTATAGACCGTTGAAGTAGTCCACTTGCTAGGGGAAGATGTGGTGGCCGGCGCGGTGGATTGAGCAACAGACCCAGAATTTGTCTTGGAGACAACAACAGAGCCTGAGCCAGAGCTATGTGATCCGGCAGGCGAGGAGACAGGAGAGACGCCTGTAGACCCAGGGAGAGTTGAAGTTGAGGTTTTACCTGGGGCAGTCTGAGTCTCGGTCTCGGTAACCGGACAAACAGTAGTGGAAATAGCAATGGTTGAAGTGACCACAATGGTAGAATCTGCGGGGCAATTGGTGATACTTGCTGCGCAGCTGGTAATAGTAATTTCACTAGTAGTATAAACCGTTGAGGTAGTCCACTTGCTTGGAGATGCAGTAACCGAAGCAGGGTGCTTGGATGTAGAAGACCCACGTGACGAGGACCCAGTAGTAGAAATAGGGGTCGGTAGGGAGGAAGCAGCCGAGCTATGCGAGGGAGCGGGCGAAGACTCAGGAGAAACACCACTAGATGCAGGTACGACAGAAGTAGTTCCGGCTGCTAGAGCAGTCTGGGTCTCGGTTTCTGTCACAGGACAAACTGTAGTAGAAACTGCGATAGTGGAGGTAACAACGACAGTGGAATCAGCCGGGCAATTGGTAATGCTTGCTGCGCAGCTCGTAATGGTGACTTCCTGGGTACTGTAAACAGTCGAAGTAGTCAAGCGCGGGTTATGTGCGACAGAGTTGCTGGCAGCGACTGATGAGGTCGCAGCGGCCGCGGGAGAAGAGGGTCCTTGGGAGCTTGAGGATCCACCAGCTATAGGCGTAGCAGAGCTGGACTGGGTGTCGGCTGCAGGCGATTTTGGAGCAACAGAGCTTGAATGCTCTGAACCAGCTGGTGCGCTAGTTGCTGCCACGCTCGAAGTAGAGTCAGAGTGGCCAGCTGGGCTGGAAGAATTACTGGTTTGCTGAACGACAGCAGGGCCAGAGGAGCTTGATGAGTCTGCAGCCGGTGCGCTAGTGGGGGTAACACTTTGGTTTGGCACGGCAGGGGCACTGGTCGATGCACCATCTCCATTTGGCGCGACGGGTGTGCTGGTAGCAGAAGTACCAACAGCCTCGCTCGATCCAACAGCTTTGTTAGCGGGGCTGCCATCAACGGAACCATGAGGGACAACCTCGACCTGGTTGCTACCAGTGGCAGAGTCCGAGGTCTGAACAGCAGTGACAGCATAAGAGGCAGAGTATTGACGCTTTCTCAGTTCACTGGCAGAAGAAGCATCGGTGGAAACTCCATCGCAGTCAAAGGCAATAGACTCGATACCGAACTCAGCACTGTCATGTTCGTTATTCTCGGCAAGCTCGAAGTGGACGGACACGGCACCACCACACTTATTATCGGAGACAGTTGTCGCTTTTTTAAAGATCAAGGCAGAGGTCTGGCAAGTATCACCGTTTTCCATGTAGTAGATGATATTTAGGTTGATCACCTTGGAAGCAGAGAGTTGGATAGTGTCAATTGAGAACTCGGTACCAGACGTAGAGGAGAATTGAGGTGCAGAATCACCAAACTTGGTGGCTTTGGCAGTGATTGATTTTGCCTAGACATAATCATTAGCAATAGAAATCGTATGGAGGGGGTAGGTGAGATAAGTGAGGACATACACCGCGTTTGTTGCTGGCAATGAATCCAGTGAAGCTGAAGCCTGCGTAGCTGGAGAAAGATCCGGTGGAGAGGGTGGACCAGTCGAGGCCATTCTTCTGGTCGACAGAGCACTCATTGCTACGAGATACCAGGATAGAGGGGGACTCATCAGTGTCCCGGTACTGGGAGGATGTTAGTGAGGGGACATCTTTGTTGATATTGGGGACACGTACAAGAGCGCGGGCGTTGGTAAGCACCAACAGAGGAGCGACGATGAGGGAAATAAGTCCCTTCATCTTGACGGTGGTTGACAACGAAAGAAGTCAAGAAGGTGTGGATATCAAATGACAGTCAGGAGGAGGATCTACTTTATGAAGCGGATGCAACACAAGGCACAGGACAGAACGAGCGTAGGACAAGACGAAGATCCTTGAATGTCTTAGAGAAGAGAAACCGAAGTGGGAAAGGAATGGGGAGAGTGAGATGGTAAAGATGGTGGAGAGTGAAAGAAAGAAAATAAACAGCGCGAGAAATAGTAAACAATCCAAAGCCGAAAGTGAGTGAGTTAGCAACCTTGGGAATTAGGTAGAAAAAGTAACAAACAAAGAGAATGAAACAAGTGAAAGGCACCAGTCCTTTACACCAACAAATAAAATAACAAGTTAAGAAACGATTGCTGTCTATTAGTCTCCTACTCTTCAAAAGTTCAAGAATGATGGGAACCAGTTCTGTTTAATATAGGCGCTTGTTCCCCTCTATAGATTGCATGCTCCAGGTCTAGAATCCGACATAGCTGCATTTTCTTTTTTATTTCTTCTAAGACACTCCATTCGCCCATGAACTCAGTCTCCACCAATAAGCATGGGGTTACAGTAGATGAAACGAGGTTCTCCATTCATAGCAGACATAGTGGGGGACAAAGGTGCAGGAACACGCAAAGCCCCGTTATGAGAGCGGTTAACTTGCACTGCATCAGGGACCAACCATCAGTCAATCACAGTCCTTGCATCCCCAAAGAAGACAAAAATAGCCTTGAAGAATATCCGATCGTCCTCTGCATACGACATCGTTCTTCACTCCAGCGCATCTTGCATATTCATTCGCAAGCTTCCATATGGATGTCTTCGAAGATTCCAGCATTCATGAATTGTTGCCTTGACTCAATGCGACCTACCCATTGCTGCCCCAATACTAGCCTAACAGCACAACACCCTCCTCAATATGACACACGCCCAACGCCGCCTAATAAACTAAAGCCCTATTGAGCGTATCCCCAAATGCGACCGACAAAACCACTTCTCGGGGTTCCTGTTCCTGTTCCTGTTCTGCAGGCTCCACTCCACAATCTGCACTGTGAAGAACGGGTGTTAGCGCCGGCGTCTCGCTCATGCTTCCTTCAAGCTAAATGATCACCCCAATAAAATCCCAGAAGACTACCAAGTGTCCTGTGCTTGCTGTCTAATGCTTGATCGACGTGATCCATTTGATTTCATTTTCTAATTTCTATTTCCAGCCTCCTCATTCCTGTTTCTCGTCACGGTGAAAGTAAAAAAATGGACATCGTAGCGCCGGCCCAGATCAGATCCCAGTCCTCCGTACCCAACCACAAGCCAGAACGCCTCGTTATCCATGAAGTAACAAATCAGTCCCCCGTGGATCCGGTTCTTTTCTCTTTTTGTCCAATAACAGGTTAATGGTTCCTGTTTACTTGCCTGGACAAGCCAAGCGCTTTAGTAAGGGGTTTCGCTATACGTGTGGCTGGTGGCACGGTGGTATCTCCGGATGGCGTCGGTGGTTGAACGCCGGTGTCTGGATTTAATGAGCGCTAAGCCTGTCATTCACTAATTAGTGGCCGTGTTAGTATTATCAAACCTGTCATAGGGATATAGGAGAATTTGTATGTACCTAGTCTGTTATAGCTGTTGCTATTTGTTTATTGTTACTAAATACCGAGAAATCTACTCCTAGCCAACGAATGAAATAAGATACACTACATAACCTACAATAAATACTTAACACCTGCAATAAATCCAAGTTTCCCCAAAAACCACACCAGAAGGACTCAACATGAGCTCCAGTGTTTCGGATGAACCCCATCCTCCAAACCGACTGGTCAGGTAACCGCCCCCTGGTCCCCGCCGTGTCGCACGATGGCTAACCTGCAGGGTAAACCCCGCCTAAAAATATCCACGAATCACAGCATCAACTGCCCATGGGAACACCTTCAAATATTAACAAGGCTCTAGGGTAGACTTTCCACTGTTTCGGTACGCGGAGCTTCCCTAGCTACCGGACCTGTCAGGTACTTGGGAAGTCAGTTGTACAAGGTAGTATCGTGATTGTGGGGATTAGAGAGAGAAATAGGTCTTAATGATTAAAATGAGATAAAATAATCCAGAAAAAAAGCGACTAGATGCATTCTTGCCATTGTTCATGATCCTGCTTGCATCCATGTGGTTTCAAGAGCTGCCTAGTTCGGTCTCGGGTACGGGGACATCTTTCTACTTGTCTTGCTATTCATATAGAGCTTACAGTGAAGATAATAGTTACTATATGGTAAAGGTAATATAGGCCCAAGGAGGATTTTTCTTTCCGGCCGACACTGGTTGAATGGGTACTACTAGATTGATAGCGTTATTCGCGTGGCACTTGCCTTGAAAGTAGGATAGCTGCAGGGGTGTGTAGCTTGTTTCATGGGTAGATGCAAATAATTTCCCTTAGATTCGTGGACAAGACTATTCTGCTCAGCAACGACGTGACATTGGCTCCCGGGATTTTGGGCATTGGGCTAAAAATAATATAGAGTGCGAGGGGATTTAAGAGGCGTGGTAGGCGTGGTGATTCGTTGCGGAACGTTGAACGACATTGAAAGCCGAGACCTATGAATCTTCCGAGGTTTTCGGTCCCTACTATGTTGGGAATAGCTATGCCATTGATGGTTGGGTGTCTTGGTTTATAAGTACTTTTGAGAGTGAAAGGAAGAAAGTAAATTTTTCAAAGTTTTTTTGTCAAGCTACTAATAGTTCCTAGGAAGAATACAAGCATCACTCATCAAGCGCAAACAAAATACATAAGTCCATTATAAATCAGAGGTATCACACATCTCTACCACATGGCAGAGATTATGGCGAGAGAGAGAGAGAGAGAAGAAGAAAAAGAAAACTTATGAGAAGCGAAGGAATGTAAATGTAAAACATCCAATGCAACAACGTAAGAATCGATCAACTTTTGGATTCCTCGGAACCAAATATCGATGATTTCTACCTCGTAGAACATAAAATGCGGGTATTGTAAATGACCAATGTCAGCTCTAGTATAGATCTTCATCCACTTGAATGAAGAGATCAACATGACTCAACAATAAAGCATATACTGCCTCCCGATGGCACAAGTCTACCAGCGACTCGATAAATGTAACAGTGTCCGTGTGTATCATGCGATCTTTGTAAAAAAAAAACAAAATCCAAACTTCGTCGATTCGTTAAGAGGGGAATGTCCAGCAAGTGAGTTCATTCCGATCCCAGCCCAGGGCGAAAAATTGGCGGAGGGGTGTGGAGATACGGACTTTTTAAAATGGTATCTGGGAGGAGCGACGATGGGCGTCCATCAACTTGCGTCGAACAGCCTCGCCACCTGCGTAGCCACTTGATTTGCGCTTCCGGGTAGGTGTGCGCTGGTCAGTATGTTTGGCATGTCGGAAGACACTGGCTGGGCGCGCGGGTGAATTGGCGGGCATAAATTCGCGGTGCTGAGGAAGTCGAAGAAGTGCTTGGTAGCGGTTGTTGTTGCGACGGAAGGCGGTGACAATGCCCTTATCAAGGTGGTTCAAGAAGCGTTCAGCATTGGCGTCCGGCTGGGCATCCGAGTTGTTGCGGGTCGGTGTTGGGGTGCCCATGTTTGGGACAGAAGAGGCGGCAGCCATAGGGGAGATGAGAGTCTCGTCATCAAATTTTCCCATGTCCTCTTCATCAGAGGATCCATTGCCAAAGTCGATGAAGTCATCGACATTTAAAGCAGATTCGGGGTCATCATCTTCATCGTCTTCAAAGGAGCTGTCGATGGTGAAGTCTTGTGATGGGTAGAATGCTTCAGGGGGTCCCATGACCTGACCGCCGGGGGTAAGGTCGTTGCCGAGGGCTGTCATCATCAAATTGGCGCTGGATGCCAGCATGGGACTGAAGTCGATCTGGTTGGGGGAAGCAAGAGCTTCGGTATCACTCTCATCAACCAACTGCAACGTGGTTTGGCGGGGGCTGTTGTTGGCTGTGCCAGGCATACTGTTGGCGGCAGAGTCCAACCAGTCATGGCGGGAAGAGGCATAGGCTGGGATGATAACAAGGTGCTTGCCAGTGCAGTCGACCAAGGCTACAGGCTTGTGAGGATCAGCAACGAAGGTGCCCATGATGGGGCCACGTCGGCGAGGGAGGTTGTCGGTCTTCTCATCACTAGGAGCGACGAGAGAGTCGGTTGAATCCCGACGAAGGAGGGAGCGGGGGTGTGTAATGGTTGCTGGGGGGGGGAGATCCTCGTCTGTAGTATCACCATCGTCGGCTTAATGGAGGTTAGCAATAAAACATAGAAATATGGAAGGATAGTCAGCATACTCTCATAACCGCTGAGGCTACCCTCGGACGTTCCCTCAGACTCGACGTGATAGATGTTTCCCTGGCCATAATCGACGTCACCAAAAATCTCTTCAGACTGGTGACGCTGGCTGCGGCGGTTCTCATTATCGTTTTCAATCATGCGACGCAACTGAGGGTCCAGGGAGTCTTGTTGAAGGAAATCACCGGGGATCTCATCCTCAGTGTGGGAGTCACTGTCAGAGGAAGAGTCCGATCGTTCCTCGAAGTGGACACGTCGAGCAGCCACGGGAGTTTCCACTGCCTCACTGGCGAAATCGGTCTCGCCAAAGTTATCCATGGCACTGTACAGTTGCTCCTCGTCGAAGAAGGAAGCGGCGGGCAGAATCATGGAGTCCCCAAACATCTCAGCACCGTGCCACTGGTCATGAGTTTCAGACGTAGGCAAAACCCGATGAGTTCTTTCGGATTCCATAATCATGATCTCTTCCAACTTCTCAACATCTTGGTCTTCATCTTCAGCGTCCGTGATATAGTCCACGGCAGCATAAACGTCGTCTGAACTATCTTCTGAATCACTGGCGCTGCTGAAGGGGTCGGAGTCTTCATCGTCTGATACCCGTCTTCTCTTATTCTTGATGGGTTGGCGCCCCGCCTTACGAGCATTGTTATTGTTGCGACGACGATTGTAAGACGGGACTTGGGCTAGTGGTCGGTCCTCTTCATCATCAGCATCTTCGGATTCGTCCGCTTCCTCACTGAGATCTTCAAGAGAAGAGACAGACGAGACACTAGAGACGGATGAGGACGAAGCTCGTCTTTTGCGTTCAAATGGGGTAGTTCCGCTTGGGCGGGAGTTCACACTCTTTTTGGATTGGTTGATTGCTTTTGGAGACATTTTGAAGTGTCGGAGTGCGTTGGAGTCGGGAGTAGAAGGGCGATGCGTTATTTGAGGTGAACCGTTGGGTGTTCTTTTGTATGATAATTTACTGGACTGTGACATGTCTTTCCAATATGGTCGTTTCGTAATCGTCTTTTTCTTTCCGTCGTGGAAATTTGATAGGCAACTTATTTTTCTTCTTGAAAAATCAATTCAACGTGATAGTCGCTGTTCTTTTGTTTTTATTTGACGAGATGATGGCAGTATCTCGAAGAGTTGTTGACCGAAGGGGTGTATTGTCGGTTTGATGTAAGGTTCCCAAGATTGGTGATTTTTTTTCTCAAGGGCGGGGGAGGGAGAGAGTAGGAGGTGAGAGGGGAGGTGAAAAGTTTTGATTGTTTTCTCGTAACCACGAAAGCACCTCCAGTCCAAGCGGGACGGTCAAGATGCTCTTTCAGGGACTGTACTGGGGGGCAATTTCGACGCTTTTATGGCGTCGAAAGAGGGGAAAGATATCGTCAAGTTGAATTGTAAGTCGGAGCTGCTGGACTGGGGAACCGGCAGAGGACAGGCTCCCCAGCGAGGAATTTACAGCTCAACGAAAGCCATTTGGCGCGAATTCTTGACGGTTATCTTTTGTAAGGGGTCGGACAGTTGTAAAAAGATAAGAAGGTAAAAAGTGCGTATGCTTTGAAGCTGGAAAGATGTTGATTTCTCAAGAAGAAGAGGAGAGGAATGAGAAGGGATAATCAATGATTTTTCCCGGGCGGAAGTGGGGAATGGGGCCGATTGATTGGCCACTCTCCTTGGGCGCCCATTCGCTGGCGCCAGTTCACCGCATGTTTCGCGCCAATTAGATCCACGCAAATGCTGCAATTGGAAATCCTTAACAAAAGCTGTATTGGAGATGAGATGGCGATCAAGATGACATGGATTACATTACAGTACTAGATAAAGTCGTAGCTATGATTCAGAAACAAAGAAAAGAGAAGTTATGTCAATCTAGACTATATACAACCCAGAAATACACTCAAAAGTCTACATACCCCATCAACTATAGAGATCGAGGGGCACTAGAAAACTTTGCATTACGAATAGACTAGACAAACGGAACATGCCTGGGACCGGCAATCCTGCGGGTCCCTTTTATGGCATGAGCCACCCCATCACCCAAACAAAACCATTACTACATCACTCAATCCAATAATAGGAGGGGAACAACCAGATACAGTAAAAGAAAAAACTCAGATCGGGGCTAGCACAGCATCAAGCAACAATGCCTAAACAAAATCACTATAATAAATACAGTACAAAAGAATTCTCCCAGCGACGTCAGACTGGCGCTTCCTTCCAACCTGCAAGGTGCAGAAGCCCAAAGCTGACCCGTGCGAGTAAAATGATTCATCGCCTTCGATCATGACACATTCCTGATGGGATGAATCATATTGTGACTCGCCCGTATCCCGAAAGCTTGGAAGGTAATAAAGAATCCCAGCCTCCATTGGTCGAGGCTAAAAATCGTTTCGATTTGAATTTTTTTTTCCCATTTGCTCATTTCTTTCCCGCGGTGGCAACTCGGGACCTTCCATTCCGACCGTGACCAAAGACTAGAACTAACTCGACCTCGGCCTATTGTTGCTGCTCTATCTACTCTATTCAGTTCAGTGCAGTACACCATCGTCTCACAAACAAACGGGACAACAGGCGGTAAGCATGGACAACATGGTCGTGGCTGCAGGATGCATGAGATAGATCAAGGCGGGGAGAGATATCACTATCAATGCCCAAACACTACACTGATAATCAACGGAGCCCTGGAGTACAGTATAGACTACAATCTTAGGCGCAGGAGAGCGGGGGGTTGTGCAAAGACCAGCCCCTCAGAAGCAAGGGATACTGACCTTCGGCCCTTCACTCTTTTTCTTTCCTTCTCGTGCCTGCAAGATCATCTCCGCCCCGCAGTGGCTTCAGAAATGGGTGGATCTAGTAGAAATTTCTCCCTAAGCTAATCAAGCCCCACGGCGCTAACCTATTTTTAAGCCGTTGGAGGCGTTTCGGAGAACACTTATCCTGGTGCTTCCGAAAGGACAGCTATGGGTTTCTGTTATAATGCCAAATATGGTTACTATTGACATTTAGCATCGAAAACAGTACACGTTGTAGTCGAAAGGAGATAAGATTAAAATTGGAGAGGCTCAAGGGCCGAGGGGCTGCGGGCTGGGGATCTGCATACCGATTGGAATCTATTACCTCATCTGCGCGCCAAAGTCAATTGCCCCCTCACCATCGTCATGGCTGATAACCGGATGAGATCTGGTATTTTAAAGAGTTTAGTTACGAACATTGTCCAATTAAGCTGTGAAAATATTGGTTTGCATGTTGTTTCTAGGGGTTTTAGGAACATTTTGTAATGGCATTCATGTATGGCCAGGTGGTAGGCAATGGGCTAATCCTATCTACGCACGTGCATCATGTTCTCCTGTCTCAATCCGTTTTGGCTAGGAATATATACGCAAAGCAGTAAGCCCTATCATAACAACTGGTTCTATAGTGTAGTTGGTTATCACACGCGGTTCTGATCCGCGTGACCCCGGTTCGAATCCGGGTAGGACCTTTCTTTTTGTCTTCTTTTGGTACACTTCCTCCCATTGAGCAATCGCAATACATGTAATTACTTAAGACCTAAGTTTTTGAACCTCTTTTCTTTCTTTTTCAATTCCAAAAAGTGTAGGAGGGCAATGGATGGCGGTATCCAGGGCTTTCAGTCCATTACAATTATTTATTTCGCTCAAACACAAAGAGAGAGCAGATATATAAATGGCTACCCGTGGACTTTTTCTAACGACTACCAATGCCGACCGATTTTAAATTCCAAGGTTCTGATTTTACTCACGAATCATTTATCAGATCCACCCTATGCGTAAACAAATGGAAATCCATTTACTTAACATATTCTTATGATCCCAGAGGTGCCTTGTAGGGCCCGGGGCTTTATGAGAGAGCGAGAGCGATCGGGTCATGATTTGATCGCGGAGTCATGGTACCAAAGTTTAGTTCATAGATGGATATGCTTGTAAATTGGAAGTATGGCTCAAGAAACAAAACTGCTCATAGATTATCACAACAAAAATTGGTATATTACATCCATTTGACAAGGCGTTATCCTCAAATGTATGCCAGAGCCACGCAGCTGTTCGCGCAGCCCAATCTCCAAAGCGTACATTATACAGATACGTATTAAGACTCCGCGACAGAAAACAGTTCGCTTTTGTACAACTAAGTCCCAGGGTAAGGGGCGACATTTGACGAAGGTCCAGGTTCGGGCTTAGATCGCCCAAAGATAGAGAGACGTGACTTCGATCGAGAAGGCACTGCAGCCGGTCGGACTGGTTCAGCCGTTGGCTCATCCTTGGCCTCGGCCGTAGCTTCAGAACTCTGCGGCTCTGAAGTAGCGGCCTCCAAAGCCGCCGCAGCTCGAGCTTGTTCGACCTTCCTGACTCCTTCCCGAATTTCATCTGATGATGCACCCTGGGGCGCTGTTGTGGTTAAAGTCTCAGTTGGACGTATCTTGCCCTCGCCCGCTTCCTCATTCAGCTTGTTGATTTCTTCCTCTGTGACTAGACGTTCGTTTTCGAGACGAACTTCACGACCGCGCTTGTGGCAGTACCACAAGACGAATAGGAGGACTAGAGAATGATTCGTTAGCATCAAAACATGGCGAGTTGGAGTGAGTAACATACTGAATAAAGCTAGTGACCAAAGCACATTCATGCCCAAGACAGCTGGGAATCGAGCCCGCAAGAAGGTCATGATAGATCGCAGCATTCCAACGATTGCTGCAGGCTTAGATACCAGCTCCTTCAGACTGGGCACACTGAGACCCATCTTTTCTGCTGCGGCGGCAGCCTTGCCAACATTTTCCATATTGACACCGCTCTGAGTGGCACGTTCGCTTGCCACAGCGATCATTTCTGGCGCTAAAGTTTCAGTCCACTTCTCAGGCAGCTTTTCAATCAACTTCTGAAGGAACCCAGGTAGCTTGGTATAAGTATCTTGCAGTTGGCGATTGCCATTTGTGAGAAGCATCTCCAGGTCATGGTAAGCGGTCGGAACGCCGTTTATCAAATCCTTAAATATCAGCTTGAATTTGCGTAGAAGTTCTTGCGTATCATCGCTGATAGAGAAGACGCGATTATTGTCTGCTGCCAGATTCAACCGTTCCAGAATATCGGTCATATCCTCCTGATCCTTTTGGGCCTCTTTATCATCTTCTGTCTGTGGCGTTTCGGTCGTTGGAGGAACGGGGGTCTGCGCACGGGATGTATCACCCTTGTTGGAGGCTTTATCATTATCCTGAGCGAGTATTAGCATGCTGTGTAAGCTCATCAAGATGAGTCGATAGAAGTAAAAAAAGAACTACCCACCTTCTTGGAATCTGCACCCTTCTTCCAGAATGTGCTCCACCTATTTTTCTTCTTCTTCTCTGGAGCCGCTGCTCCTTGGGACTTTGTCCTTTCTGGCTCCTTGGCTGAAAAAGGCTCTTCAGACTTCTGACTCGCTCTTCTTCCTTGTTCCCCGAGCTCTTTTCCAAATGCTTCACCTGGAGACGTAGGGACGATATCCTGAGAATTTTCTTTCACAGGGCTTTGTCCACTATTCTCCTTGGAAATCTCTGCCGCTGTCACGGGAGCTTCTCCCGCAGGACTGGGTGCATTTTCCGACTGAGAAGTGACTCGTTGCAGGAACGCCTCGTCCTCATCAGTCAAAACAGGATTCGGTGATTGCAAGATCTGCGACGACCGTCGGCGGTTCTTAAGCTGGTTGAAGTATTCCATCGCCATGATAGAGATGGGAGGATTATTGCGCTCGTAATTTTTCGGGCTTAAGGAGTGGTTTGGTTCTAACGATAGATCAAATACGGTCGGCGCGTAGTGAAGCAAAAGGGGGCTTGAGCGCGTGCCCAGTTGATAGGTCACGATTTATGAGCGACTCGAAGTTCAAAGAGATCGACGAGTTGAACGGACGCATCAAGGGGGTAATAGTGCCGATAAAGAAGGAAACTAGTGAGTTTTGATCTCAACTATCTTTTTCGCGTGTGATGATGATAATGATATCACCGGTGGCTGGAATGTGGTAAAAGTGGGACAACCCCACACTCCCGATGGACTGATGCCTGAGGCTTCAATTGCATGTAGTTAGCCTCATTCCGCCGAGAGAACTCACCACGCGGGTCTACAAAATTTGAGTTTACTGTGCGATAATAGTGCTTGAGCTATAAGTTACTTTTGACTGCTGGGTATGCATAGTTGGATGAATTTGAAGTCGCTTTTCTGCTTAAGATGATAAGACTTCAGTGGATACATTTTGCTTGTGTGTAAGCTTAACTTGCCTAAGATCGCACTTTATAACATCTGAATTCATCTCACTCATTGTTAGAATTAACACCTGGATTGCTACTTCGGTATTACTAGTGTGTGCCCAGGTGAACTGTATATCTCTCATCCTTCCAATTTTAGATGCTACAGAATTGTAAACATACATAGTTACTAACGAGTTACAGTTCCCAGTAATAGCGATTGAATTATCTAGAAAGATATATAATTAAACCAGCGAAGGAGGAGGCACTACCTTTTTGGTACGGAAGGATGGGTATATAGATGGTTTCAAGTCCGGAGAAGGGGATGGGGGGCATCGACATCCTGGCACATCGAATTTTGGGAATGATTTTATAAGACACGGAATTTTCTTATATGAAGAGTCGAAATTTCTACTTCAAGTTGTACAGGGAGGGTGATTCAGCCTTCCAACTCATCAAGGGCTCTGTTTCAGATCCCGATCCCACGTTGGCCTTAGTCTTCGGGGTATTCTCCCTTTTTTGATAAATGTCCGTCCTGTATAGCTATAGACCTCGGCTAAAGACTAAATTAAAATCTTGGATAATTTCCCGGTCACTTTTGGCAATTAGATGCGGAACCTTGGAGAATGGCCCCCAAGGACCACTGGGCTGCTTATCTCAATCATGAACTCGTCAATAGAATAACTTCATCATTAAATCCATACGCTCATCGTGGACTATATAAACCATGCCATCCCTGGAGGTGGTGGTACCTATACAATAACTAGAGAAGATGGTGCCTTGGTCCCCAAAACTGCCCGATTGATGTGGAGAACCAAATATTACCCTTGGAGTTTATTGAATAGCGACAAGTATACTTCTAGAAAAACCAATTTTGGCGTTTCCAAACTGTTATCGGATTAACTTCGGAATCCCCGAGAAAAAGAATGAATGGACACACCCCATATCCATCGAGCCATTTGGAGACGTTGATTAGTAGGCCTAGAAGACAACCAAATTTGCGACATTGTTCTAAAACGAAGAAGTTGCAGACTTTAGTGTGTTTGAGTGCCGTTAGGGCGAAAGTTAATGTACCAGGGGTCTGTGACTTGTTTTTGAGGCTCGACCCAAACTTTCGGGTCCTGTCTCCACATCCGGACCATTTGAGCGATCAGATAGTATAGCCTGACAACCATAGACTGCTCCGACATGCCCGACTGGACGGCTTCAAGGCAAACATGATTTGCAGTTGGTTTCTCAGAGTTGCATTAGACTCATCGGATTTACTCCTTTAGGTCCTATTTCTCCACAATGTCATTTCACGTGGCATGCCACACAGGTTGCTTCAGAAAGTTTCTATGCTTTACTCCCCACCTGGTAACTTGTTTGAAGTTGAAAGACCAAAATTGTAAAGAGATGAGTCCGCTTAGATACCGAGATCTGATACAGGTCATCCCGAGGCTTGCGCAAATTATAGGTCGAAACAAGGCCTGCAAGTTGCAGGAAGAAAGTATTTAAAGACTACGTTCCCAACGTCTTTTCCCCGTGTCAGAAGACCTACTGTACCCATTGACTATCCTGTATTTCATTAAATATTCCTGATCGATTATCATTTTCAAATAATATCGATCTCAAAATGCTTTCAAACGGCATCTCACTCTTCGCCGCGGCCGCCCTGGCTGCACAAGCTTCTGCCTTTCCTTCGCTGATCCCGCGAGCCACAGCTGGTTTGTTAAACCAAACAATATGATGTGAATGAAAGCTTACAACAACACTAGATACCGCGGCATTCTCTTTCTTGCAGCGCGCTGCCCAGCTGTCGTCCGCAGCGTACACTGGATGTACTGGAACGGCTTTCGACGTCACAATCACCAAGCAGGTTTATGACGCTTCAACCAACGCCAAGGTGAGCTCAACACATATTTATAATGAGGCAATATTCTAATATTCTCAGGGATTTGTGGGATACTCCACCGAAAAGAAGAAGATCTCCGTCGTGATGAAGGGATCCACAACCGGTTAGTATCTCCATATTCTGTGCATGGATCTGGAATACTGACATTTTGAGTAGAACAGGATATCCTTAACGACATTGATACAACCCTGACTACCCCGTCTCTTTCTGGTGTTACTTTCCCCTCCGGTGCTCAGATCATGAAGGGTATTAGCAGCCCCTGGTCCGCTGTGCACGATACGATTATCTCCGAGGTTAAGACCCTGATCGAGAAATACCCCGAATATACCCTGGAGTCGACAGGTCATTCCCTGGGTGGCTCGCTCACCTTGATCTCTTATGTTGCTCTGGCCTCAAACTTCCCCAACAAGGAGATTACTAGCAATGCCATGGCTGCTTTCCCGATCGGCAACTCGGACTGGGCCACTTATGCAGGCTCTTTCAATGGAACTCTGAACCGTGGTAACAACGTTGATGACGGCGTTCCTGTAAGAATTACTTATATGAACTTGAATAAGAACCTTGGAGTGGTGGCTGACAATATTTCAGAACATGTACATTCAGTTTCCATACGACTTTGTCCACTATGGAACCGTAAGCCAACTGTCCGAGTCTTTTGTTCTGCCCATAGAGTACTAACTTTATTTATTATCTAGGAATACTATAGCTCCGGTACTGAGATGACCTGCGTGGAGTGTTCAGGAGAGCGTGATACATCTTGCTCCGCTGGAAATGGCCAATACAGTGTGACACCAGGTCACTTCTCCAGCTTTGGCGTGGAGCTGGGTGCAGCTGGGTGCGGATCCCTACTGTAAGATAGCTCGCACGACTTGCAGTTGGAATGTGTGACTTGACTTTACTATTCCTGTGTATGTGAGGGCCTAAAACGCGGGTGCAGATGTGTTTGATTGAATACGAACTTTGAAAACACCGAGTACGTGGTTGAGTCACTCAAGACGATTGGAACATGCCAAGCAATTTTTGGAAATGTTTATGGTTTCTACGAGACATGTTACAAAGTTTGCCCCTATTCATGTATAGATGTAAATTTGAATTTGTATAAGAGTCATTGATTACAACTCGCTCCGCTAATCACAATCCTTCAAGATAGGTAGGTGAGACTCTAGGCGACAGAGGAAACGTGCATATCGTAATGTCGATCATGAACTGAACAGCCAATACGACGGCCGCACTAGGCGCCACCGAAACGAACGTGAGTTCTGGATGAAATCAGGCTGCATTAATCATCCGATTTCATTCCAATCGGAGATGACTTTATCTGCGCCTGGTGACAGCCGCACGCTGCAGCCCATATCACCTGACATGATGGCTTTAAATAGCGCTCGCCCCCCTCACCCCGGCTTTCCTTTGTTACGCCTGCCAGAGTCGACAACTTGCGCGCCCGTGAGTCTCATCAGGACTCTCGAATGCAAAGCTATCGTCCGAAATCTGTTTCTTTCCGTCTCTTGACGAAGCGAAGGAACTATTTCGGAGGAAAGCTTCCCAGACTCTCTCACATGCTCGTGTGATCTGCAGCGTCAACTTTTCTTGTGTTTTCTGTTTATCGACCAACTCGTATCACTCCTTCTGATCATTTAGGGTTCCTCTGCCCTCGCAGATTCAGATTCGACATCGATTGAATCTGCAATAACGTCATGTTCAAACGCTCCTTTACATCGAAGGGCTTCATCTCGAAAGGTCGCGCGGGCAAGTCCGCTAAACCGAGTAAGAAGAAGTACGACGAGCAAGCTAAGGAGAAGATGCAGCAGAAAGTAGAGAAAGTGGATAACCCACCATCGGCGGGAAGGTGGTAATTTCATGAGATAGATACAGGAAATCTAGAAGCTAATAGAGTTATTCAGTGCACTGACTAGTCCCATCATCACGATGGTTGTGGGTCATGATCAGCGTCTGTTCGCAGCACACGAAGACGTCTTGTCTGTTTCTCCTTACTTTCGTACCGCTCTGAAGGAGAAGTTTCTGGATGACCGTGCAAAGCAACTGGCTCTTCCAGACGAGTGAGTAATATATATCATACTGCTCCTTTTCTCAAGACCCTAGACTTATGCTTTACTCAGGGAGCCCGAAATCCTGTCTTGTGTTCTCGAGTTCCTTTACAAGGGCGACTACTATCCACGTCTCTTCCCTGGCAAGCGTCGCGACTCTTGGCACCTCGAGGACGCACAAGACACTCAACAAACCGGCGGCTGTGGATCGAGCGAGGCGACAATCTTCCATCATGGCGTGGGAGATGTTGTGCTCCGGGACACAATCGTGTACTGCACTGCTGAGAAATTTGGCTTGGAAGAATTGAAGCATATTGCTCTTCGGAAGCAAGGGCTTCAGATCGGTATTCCGGCTGACGTGATCTTGCGATCCGCTCGCTATGCGTACGACAACACCCCGGACACCGAATCGCGCCTACGCGCTCATTACTTGGCTCTCATTATCAGAAGTCGTAAGACTTTCAAGAGAAGCGGGACGATGCAGATGGAAATGGAGAAGGGTGGCAAGTTATATTTTGATCTGTTTGTGGCAATGTGCAACCATATGGACGATCTTGTGGAGATCCGGTAAGATTACTCCTCGCGTTTACCTTCCCCTCAAGGTTTTTTTTGCTATTTCCTTGACCCCCCAAATTCCTCATTTCTTCTAAACTGACCACCCCATTAAGCAGTGTCAAGCGCACTCCCCGGTTCTTCTAACCGGTCGTCCCATTGCCCTTTTCGAACGATCAAGCAGCTTTGAAATTATATTGGACTGGGAGGCATATTTTATTTCAACCAGAATGGCTACTTTGCTACGATTTGATCCCTTGATATAGTCTATTGTTCTTTTATCTGGACAGCAAATCGACTTCTTCGCTTCTCATGAGGTTGGCCGCCATTGAATGGTTTAACGAAACCGCCCTATTCATTTTTAATTGGATTGGCGTCCGCGACTTGCTATAACTGAACATCTCCTATCTTTATTATGCAGCATGCTTTCTTTTCGATGAGTTGAATGCCCGATACCACAATCGAAACATTTGGCCTGCTATATTGGTATTTTATATTGATATTTGAACATTTTGCGTCGTTCTTGTCTGCACTATTTCCTATCCTGCTTCTTTGCCTTTCATCTCTTCTCCATGTTTGGATTTCTGGATATTTGCGTTCATCTGTGTACGATCCTATTGAACCCTACGCTCGTTGATGATTGAGAAACAAGAAATGAGAAATTTGGCCGCCTCAAAACAAACTTTTGAATCATGCTGTAGCCAATGCCTCGCTCTGCCTCTTATACCCGGACGAAATATAGTACCTATATAGCTCTACGTACTAGATTTTTCCAGCAAGTGGGGCTTACCTATTTTAGTTGCCGCCGCTTTTACGAGGACGCTTAGGCTTAGGCTCACTAAGTATTTCTTAACTAACTAATGTGACTCCCGGTTAGATAAGCAACCCTATTAAAATTCAAAAAACTATCAACTTTCAATAACTATTAAAACAACAAAAACAATAAAATATTGACTATTTAACACATATAGGGTATTTAGTACAAATATTATAGTATAACTATATGAAGGAAGACTTAGGACGGGTATATTTATACTATTTATACGTTTATATAGCTTGGCCTACTCTCAGATATAGACCAATTAGATAATTAGTCTAGAGAGTAGATATCTACCTATATATATATAGCATAGCTCTCTCTCTTCTTTCCCTTTCCTCAATGTTGTTATTTGTTGTTCTTTGTACCTTCTCCATTCTGGTAGATCGTAGGCATCTCATCACAAGTAGTAGACAAGAATAGGTTATAAAAGAGCATATTCCAGAGAAGACCAATAGTATACAATAATCTTATATTAGCAATGGTTTCTCAAGATCTTTAATAACACTCTCACCTGTTAATTTATAGGAATCTCATTATCGATTTATCTATATTAATCCAATTACTATAGTAAACTTACCTTTAGTACTAATATATATTATCTATCATAGGTTTATCTTTATTATAACTTGAATTTCAAGATTCGAAATTATTTATAATCCATCTAAACTAGGTAAACATATAGGAAACCCCTAGACCTAACTCTAAATTCTCACTTTAAGACTAATAATCGTCCTAGCAACTTTATCCATCCTCCAAAAGGTCCTAGACGACGCTTATACATAAGATAATTAACTCTAACCTCTAGATTATCAAATTTTCTTTCACTAGTTTTTTGTTTTATAACAGATCTTTGAGGTAGTCTCTTGCCTGGTTGACAGCATCACCGGAGATGTCACTAAGGCTCTGTTCGAATCTCTATAACTGGGCTCGAAGCTGTTCTATGAACCAGGCACCAGTAGCGCCGAGATGATGGAAGCAATGCCTTTGATAATATCCCATTCGCTGATAAGGTCACCATAAGCAACGGACCAGCCAGCTGCGTGTAGCTGTTCGCTTTTTTTTTTTTTTTTTTTTTTTTTTTTTTTTTGAGATCAGATGTCTTCATACTGAATTATAGGCGGAGCTCCCCGCTTCCCTCGGCCTCATCGAGCTCGGCCTGCAGGCGAGCCATATACTGAGGATGCCTAATCAACATATAGAAGAGCGCTTGGATCGTGGCGCTCACAGTATCGCCGCCCGAGCATCGCGCGAAAGGGCGGCCATCGAGAGAAGCGAAAGCCGGAAACAGCGTTATCTTACTGACCCGGAAGACAAAACGCTGAAAAATTGATTCCCTTGGCGCTCAAGTTTTTGATTCAAAAATGAGAGGCTTTTAGAATGGCTGCTTTGCCTTGATTTTAGCGGCAAGCGACAGACCCACAAGCTCTTTTTCAAGGCGTAAATTAGGTTTTTTGGTCTGATATGGTAGCAAGGGCCTCGGTATATCGCTTCTCAAGATCAGATGGCATATTGAATATGGTTGTGTTATACTGTGGTAGAATTGGTCTAAAATTTTGAAGGTCGGTGTGTGCGTTTTGGTCAGCACACCACTAGTGGTCAGGTCATGTGATGATTATTATGTATTTTTATTGCCAATTCCAGTTACAAACCTGCACCGCAAGTTTCGAGATCATGGTGAATTAAAACGGCTGCTCCTCATTCCTGTCCCCAGGAACATACACACTTTCGATTTGATCGGTCTCTAGATTGTGCTGAGGGCGGTTAATCTGGTGTTTCCGGACTTTTCCTGGTGGTGTCGAATGTGGAGATGAGATTTGCATGTGTCTGGTAACCCAGCGACCAGGGAACCATATCGGTACGTAATGGCGGGCAAATTGGCGGAGATATGGAAGAGAGCCACATAGTATAATAAAATTGCCTTCGATGTTGCTGTGGAACGTTCTTGGATGTCAATAACCTGTGTCACACCAAAAGACAGCAGAGGGAGAAAACGGGAGATGGGGCGTACATGAATATGCTAGCAAGAGCAATTTTGTACGAGACGTCCATGGAAGTCACAAGAGGCCATAATGTTGCCAGTCGCAGGATGCTTGTAACAATGGTTCTGTTCAAAGGGTCAATATGAGCAATTAGATTCGATAGTGGAATGCACCAATTCCAAAATCGATAGAGTTCCTTACAGGCATCCGATACCAAATATCACAGCCACTCCTAATTTTGGAATGAGGCGCATCCGAAGTCCCCACACGACCTTAACTGGGATCAGAATCAAAACGATGTCACTGACAGTATTGGTGATAGCTGTGGCAAGGTACACCGCTGGTCTGTTGATGCATGAGCCCCGCAGGATCGTTCCATCCCAGCCTTTTTGAAGAGGATTGCATGCAAATATTAGTGCTAGCGAGAGTGCTAGGCTATATCCGGAAATGATAAAGGCGAGAACGTAGAGAGTGTATTTCCAGCCTGTAAAAGTGTTCAGCAGCCTGTAGTACAGCATAAGAAGGGCTAGCTTTGCGAAGGCGAGACACGGGATATAAATAATCGCCGCAGCTAAAACAACCTGATACCGGAGACAAAGTTAAGATTGGCGGTCAAGTGTGTAGCGTATGGGCGACCAGAAATCTATTTGCTTACCTTTTCCAAGATGATTATAGTCGTTGGGGCAAGTTCCGTGATGTGAAATCCAATTCCACCATGCCAGTAACCATCTAAGATAAGAAAGTGGTTTAGGTTAACTGGCTTCTGATAACCCAAGGAGTAAAAGGCCATACTCACACATGATTGTTGCTTGTGTGCCCACGGAAAACGTCTTTGGCGGGACGAATAAGTTAATTCAGTTCACTGTAGCTGGAACTGGTATGCCTACCCAAGCAAATATAATGAAAACTACCTCGTGACCTAGTATTAATTTGAGAATAAAGACTGATAAGCAAGATATGACGTACCATCATCCCACCAAAACTTCCTCATTACCAGCGTCTTCGTATAGATTCGCATCGCAAGCGAGCTGGTACTCAGTAACAGCCCCATCACAACTATCACTAGATTTGCAGTTCGTAGCCATGGTGTGGTCAAACCAGGGCTAGTTGCAGTTGCTCGGATATACAATTCTCCAGTGACATCGGTCATCTTTGAGAGAATTTGGGATACTTAGTCATGTCAAAAACGGGGCATCATGTGAAGCTTGGCAGCATTTCTGATATCACAAAGGGCAAAGATAAAAGAGGGGAAAGGAAGAATTGGAAAGAAGGGTAGAGGCTTTCTCTATATTGAGGACGAAGGTATGAATCATCGAATTTCATTGCAGCGAGTGGAAGTCGCGTACACGCGAGGAACCATGGTTTTGGATTGCGGTCGAGACTATCAAATAGAAACCATCTTAAGAGATTTAACCGCGCAAATCCGCGGCTATAGTTCCTTGGTTTCCGAAAAGTCTATCACAACCCCCAGATTGGAAAATTAATACATTTCGATCCCTACACTGGTATAGTTCTTGTTTACTATATATGAATGGTACCTAAATAAAGTCCTGTCTGGAAGTCGGTGCATTCATTTCATAATTCTTTCCTCTCCGCCACTCTAATAAGTGCTTTGGCCTGGACGATAATGTTCGCGAAGTACTCCCAGCTTGTACATCACAAGTCTACTCTACCACAAAATAGCCCGCTAACTTGGGAACAGTGGTAACTTCTCGCTGAATCTCAAAACCACCCATCTCCTATTCCTACCGATGCGCATTGGTCTGGAAGAGGACAATCCCGAACGATCTCCCTCGTCTAGATCTTCTCTTATCCATCCACCCGAAGAAGCTTTTCCCATATCATCGGCAAATATCTTCTCCTTCAACATGCCCTTGAAGAATCTCCCCTTCCCATATATCCTTGATTCCGATTTCAACCCTACTCAATTTCATTGGACAGAAAACATATTACCATTACTTCCCACTCCTAAATTCTTTTCTTCTTCAACATCCATTTGAACAACTCTATTCACACTATCTATGTTGATCGCGACCGAGTTGTCTAGGTACTTCCAAATAGAACTTCTAGTACAGCTATTCTCTACATCCTAAAATATTGTCTACTCCAACCTTCATTTTCTTTCCTCTTCCTCTTCCTCTTCCTCTTCCTCTTCCTCTTCCTCTTCCTCTTCCTCTTCCTCTTCTTCTTCTTCTTCTCTTCTCTTCATCATTACCCTTTTCTTCTTCTTCATCTATCTTTCCTTCGTCCACATTTGCCTTTCATTTCCTCAGCATCCAGCCCTTCTTCTTACAACACGCCTGGAGAAACCAATTCTACACCATCTATCTTGACGGTGAACAAGTATCCACTTTCATCAGACGAAAACCTTACATCGATATTTCTCTCTGCCACAAAATCTTGTCTTCTTCAACATCCGCCCGAAGAAATTACATCTATTCTTCCATGCCTCGGAAATCACTCTCAGCCCAATTGAACGTCAAAATGACCTCTTATGCCCCCACCACAGCGGGTTTGACGAAAGCAAACTCGCCTCACGAGTTACTGCCCGGAGAGGTGTACTTGGTCCGATTCAAAAACAGCCTCAGAGATTACGAAACAGACCTCTGGCTGGGAGTGATTCTCACCGAAGAAGACGGACCAGGAAGAACCCTCCAAGGGCGTGCAAAGGGAGCAAAGCCCATCGAAGGCATATGGACTACGTCACTGAGCGAACGAGTATACCCAGTGTATATGCCTAGCCGAAACAGCTAGTGAGTTGATGATATTTACAATCCCTTGAACTATTTACTAACATCACGTTTATAGTCGGTGGACTCCCGTTGGCGATCTTTTTAACATCGAAACGAAAGTCCCCGGATTATTTCGACAGAACAGTGATCGCGACGATGCGGCATTATTTCGAGACATTCAGAGAATTGCCTTGAAGAAGCCCGACTATCTGTTCTGGAAGAAGATGTCAGAGAAAGAATATTATGTCAAAGGCAAGCGGAGCAGAGTGCTGGAGCTGGAGGTACCTGAAGGATATGAGGATATTCTTGATGGTATGAATGGGCCATTGGAAGGTATGTTTGAATGAGAGGAGACACGATTGGAAAGACGTTTAGAAAGAGGTGTTGGTACCTATGATAACACTTGCTTTTAGAAGATGATTCGATGAATGGCCCATCTGAGCTTGATGCCGGACCGATGAGTCCACCTCCCTCCAAAATACAGGCATCTACATCATCTGAATCATCTCGAGCAGGCTCTTCTCCATAAGTTACTTAGCCATGTGAGAACTATGAACTAGAAGAACTATTGACTAATAGGGTCCGGGCTAGTATCCAACGTCTCAGTTTTCCGGGAGAGAGCTCCTCCTTTCTAACATATGTGCATGAACATGTTCAGCCAGAGCCAAAGCCACAGGCATCGGGCAGTGAAGATGTTGTGTTTAAAACCGAAGATGGGTCCAGCCCCAGCACCGTTCTAGTCAGCATGATAGAAAGTGCCTACAAAAAATTCACTATTTCCCAGGCAATCGACGAGATATTGCTTCAAAAGCCCGAGGCAGGCGAGATACTCGGAGTCTTTGAAGACGCATTGCGAGTCCAGGAACTACCGGAAGCGGCCAAACTAAAGTCATATCTGGTAAGCAAAGAGTTCGAACCTCTCCTCATATAGGTTCTGAACCCAGCGGCGCCAAATATGACCAGCACAGCCAGCGAGAACACCACCCAAAAGTATAACTCTACAACAGGCAATCCGCTCCCTGGGCCATCTATACACTTATGCAAGTCACTTCCACAAGCCAGCGTTGATCAGGTTGATCACCCAAAAGCTGCAAGTTGCATGGAACTAATATCCAGGTACATCTCAACTTGACCCTCTGTTGGATGTTACCATGATGGCATGGAAGGGTGCTAGCTTCTCGGCCTCAGAGAAAAAAGACCACCTGCAGGAGTGGCTTCTGATGTTTATTGCCGATACAGAGAATCTCTTCCAATATGCTTGCGGTGTCAAATACTTGGAGGTAATGATGAAACTTCCTGCTCTTTTTGATGCTCTTTTTGATGCTGTTATTGAGATGAGAAAAAAGAATGTTGCGAATTACCCACAGAGGTACATGGATGTTCGGATTGCGATTCGCAACCGAGGAATGTAGGAGATGTGAAAGGTGCCTATTATCTATTATCTATCATCTCTTATGTGCATTATGATGCGTTGTATTATTACAATGGCTTTGATATTATGTTTGATATTATGTTTGGCCTTTTTGTGTTCATTTCTAGACTGAGTTGTTCTTCAAATTAACTAGGTGTGAGCAGCTATTTGTTACCTAAATTGTGAGCCTTTCCGAGTTTGAATGGAAGCATTCTTCTATTTATTTTTTATCAATGGTCTTCTACCATATTTTTATTTGCTTTTTACCAAGGATTCATATGCATCCTTATCAGAGGAAAGGGAATATGTATTATTGGAGAGGGGTTTGACTGCGTTTTTTTGTGCTTTAACGAAGTATCCAGAATGACATCTTTTGCAAAGCATTCATGTATACTCAAATTTTATTCAATAGCTATCCAAGCAGCTATAGAAGTATCAATTATCATCTAGATTCCCCCCTTTTTTTATAGCCTCGCTACCTGATTCACTACAGGGGTACTCTACCCGTGTAGGTCCTTGGGTGGATGTAGGAGTCATTAATTACCATATTAGATACAGTAGAATTGCGGAAATCAGACGCGCTTCATTAATTCTCTGAAAGACAACAATGATGATGAACGCATCATTCGTCAAAGGCCCCTGGTATCCGCAAAGCATGTTTCCTGACACAGGCATATGAAACAATACCAAAAAACGAATGCGATAATGAGTTCGACAAAGGAAATGAGCAGTGCAGGCTAAAACATGATGTGAAACGCTCATACCCTTAAAATACGCACGAGCATCAACCCACTGTCAATGAAAGCTTCAGAAAAGAGAGAAAAAAAACAATCCAGCACCTCAACGCAGCCTCCGAAAACAACACAACACAAGTTTGAACAGCAATATTTCAAGTCTGAAGCATTAGGATGACTCAAAATCAACTCAATCGGAATTTTAATCAGTTCTCATCGGGGGAGTCTGCCTTTTTGCGCCCAATACTCTTGGCCTTTGAGTTCGGCTTCGGCTTCACAGCAGCGGTGTCTTGCTCAGTATCCTGGGTCTTAGCGGCTTTGGCAGATCTACCACGGCGCTTGGGCTCTGGAATAATTTCATTTATATCCTCATCGTCTTCGTCCAAGGCAGCAGCTTTGCGCTTTGATACCCTAGCAGATCTGTTCGGGTTCTCTTCAGCTGGGGCAGCTGTCTTGGCGACACGTCCGCGCTTCTTAGGCTCGGAGTCGGCAGCGTTGTCGGCTTTAGCGGAGGCAGCCTTTTTGCTGGCAGCTTTGGGAGCTGCTTTCTTGGGGGGTTTTTTATCTTCAGAGTCAGCCTCGGCCTTCACAGACTCCTTCTTGACAGCCTTCTTGCTATCAGTTTCGGAGACAGCTGTCTTGGAGAGTTGCTCATCCTCGGAATGGGGCTCAGCCTTGACAGCCTTCTTGTTGACAGGCTTGGGAGCGGCTTTCTTGGAGAGCTGTTCATCTTCGGAATCAGGCTCAGCCTTGACGGCCTTCTTGTTGGTAGACTTGGGAGTGGCTTTCTTGGAAAGTTGCTCATCCTCGGAATCGGGCTCAGCCTTGACGGCCTGCTTGCTGGCAGACTTGGGAGCGGCTTTCTTGGGGAGCTTTTCATCTTCAGAGCTGGCTTCCCCCTTGACAGCCTTATTTCGACCTTTAGCAGGTTTGGTCTCCTCGGGATCTTTGACAGAACCGTCATCCTAGTAGATTATTAGCCGAATGTCAATGGTGAACAAGAGCAAATTTATAACAAGAGACTTTGGTTCTTACCTCTCCTGCATTCTTCTTTGGGGTGCGAGGCTTTGGAACCCGGAAAGTACGACAACCTGGGCGATTCATCTCAATGTCCTATTATTGTATTAATTAGACTTGTTGAAACCGAAGACACGCCAAGTAGGAAGGCGGCCAATTGATCAGCGGATCCTCAGTACTCACACCCTTCCAAACACTATCATCAACATGGCCATTTTCCAAGGCAAGTTTGACTACTTCCTGATCTTCCTCAGGGAGGTCAACGAAGCCATCCAGAACATCATAGTTTCCCTCGTCACCATGCGCTTCTATCAAATCTTTCTTGAGGTTCTCAATAACACGAGGAGTGGTACATCCCCTTCGCCAATTAGTTCATGAATCTGAAGATCGGCGAGATAAGGATTTTCATCTGTCCTCATTACTCACCAATGGCGCCAGAACCAGCTTTGGAAATTTCCGTTGTCGACCCAAGATCCCAGGCGGAGGGTGCCTTTCTGGATTTTCTCCTTGGCATCTTTGCATTCCTTGTTCTGGCAGCTAGCACGGCTGGTTTTACTGAGTTCTGTGTTGAACATTAGTACTGTTATTTAGGAATATTCGCATGCATGGTGGGTGGAATTAGAGGGTATGGCATGCTGGCAATCCAGTTCGTTGGCGCTGGGACCAACTGCATAATCCCAGTAAAGTCGAGCGTCCACCAAACAGACCCACGCACCATGATGTCCTGGGAAATACTAGATACAACCAGGAAAGGTGGTCCAGATCAGGTGGGGTCGGCAAATCGAGTGATTGCTAGCATAAGAGTACAGAGGGACTTACCGATACGGTGCGGCATGCTGACGCGCCCAGGAGATCAGGGGCACGCTGTTACAAAACAAGAAGATAGCAATGAGGCCGGAAATTCGGGATCAGTTCTATGAGCTCAGAAAATACTGGTGCTAACTAGAAGGGTTGGGTAATAACTGGGGGGGGGGGATGAACAGAAAAAGAGGGTGAGGGTCGAAGTGACGTGACGCCAGCTGTAGCTGTAAGTCAAACACGCAACACAAACCTCAGCAAAATCTTCAGCCACCAGTCCATTGGCCCTACAGTCCGTTTCTTTGCTTATTGTATGGTTCTTATACTTTATATTTTTGAATAGTTTCCTCCTTTGCATGTTTCGGGAATTTCATGTGTTAATTTATTTTTGAATTGGCTCTGAGAGTATTTTTTCGCGTCTGGCTTTGCAGAATGCCCATATATCTATGGCTCAAACACGCTTTGGGGGAGATCCCTCTATTACAACAAAGAAAGCCTGGAGAAAAACCTAAATGATGCTCATAAATTTCTTTTCTTTTCCACAGCTGCAGCTATTCGCCAAAAAAAAGAAGAAGAAAGAAAACCAAGGGGCTTGGAGAGTTGGGTTAAAAAATCATACCCATGGACTGTATACAAAGCTATGTGTCATGTATTTAGGCAGTATACCATAATATTTATAGGAGCGAGACTGCAGCTAATTGTACATTGATCTACCGAGAAAGTTCTGACGACTGCTTTACTACTATGCAAGCTTCAACTAGGAAATATGCTCCAGCTTTAATGATTCTGGCCGTTGATTTGTATGCGATCGCCAAAACGGGTTAGCGTGAGGCCGAGCTTCATCTTCTTTTCAACTTCTCGCCGGTTTCCCATCTGACTGACAACTAAGGAGTACCACACCCCTGGCTGTTCCTACTCTGCTCCACCGTATTAGATAACAGATATCTGAAAGGAGTCCTTTTCATCTGGAAAAAAACACACGCGACCACACTCCACCGCGCTATATCCAGGTCCCCAAATCAACCACTAAGACCGGCCAAACCTTCCCTCGACCTCTTCAATCTGCTTGTGATACGAATCATAAAGATATCAAAGAAAGCACAACCCATAAAAACCCACCATGTCCGAACCAGGCCCAGAATCACTCCCTACTAGCGCCGATCCGCGCAGCAAACGCCCTACCAAGCGCCGCGCCGTGACACCACACTCCGAACATGCATCGGAAATTAAAACCCTCTTCAAAGATCCCTCAAAAGAGCTTCGAATTCCGATAGCCGCGAAAGATCGCACAGTCGCAACGCTTTCCGCCCCGCCAGAGATCGTCACAAACGTCCAGGGTTCATCGGCTGGTGCGGGATCGGGCGAATTCCACGTCTACAAGGCTAGTCGGCGCCGCGAGTATGAGCGACTACGAGGGATGCAGGAGGAAGTAGATAAGGAGAAGAGCGACGAACAATGGGAGAAGGAGCGGGAGGAAGCGAAGAAAAAGGACGAGGAGAAAACGGATAAGAACCGTCGGAGGAGAGAGAAGAAGAAGGCTGCGAGGGGGAAACAAAAGAATGGAAATGCTGGCGATGATGGTATGGACATTGAAGGACCTGCGCCAGGAATGAAGAAGAACCCGAATGCTCCTGGTGCTCGTAATGGTGAACAACCTGCTGGTGCGGATACGCAGCATGTCGAGGAAGTTCCTGGTGTGATTATCCATGACGATTATTGAGTCTGACTTGTATGGATACGATCCTGTTGTACAATATTGATACCCATTTTATAATTGAGAGTCTCTCAAGGCTAATGTATACATAGACTTGCATATTCCGGATATAAAACTAGTAAGGCGTGCCGGTTACGGGAATGGATCCATTAGTTAGTTAGTTAGTTTAAGGCGGGGTTTACATAATAAGCCCGCGAATCGGCCTTTTGCCCGCTTGAATTAGATGTTTTTTCTCCTCCCCATCTCTCCAACAAGCTAGAAAGACATTTCTGTGTCCCCCGCTGTGTCCATCTGCTCAGTCGAATCCTGTCCTGAGAAATGGTCGTCACAAGTTCGGGGAGCACCCGGCACCACTCTGGCCGAGAATCGGCTACCCGTCTTGGCGATGAAAGCGGCCTTGTGAACGAGACTACAAGTCTCCTGGGACCTGGGAGAGCTGTTCCCGCTGATGGGGATCATTTAGGCCCAGAGTATGGTGCAACACAGTCAGACGAAGATGTCATCAAAAATGATGAAGGGAAACCCCTGCCTCTGCGTCAAATTTTATTTCTATGTTACGCCAGAGCGATAGAACCCCTGGCTTTCTTTTCGATCTTTCCCTATGTGAGCCAGATGGTTCAGGACAATGGCAATGTCTCAGATACGGATGTTGGGTTCTACAGCGGAGTCATCGAGTCTCTGTTCTCTTTGACACAGGCTGTCGTCATGCTATTCTGGGGCCGTCTAGCCGATCGCATCGGGCGTAAACCGGTGCTAGTCTTTTCCTTGATTGGCGTAACCATTGCGACGAGTCTATTCGGAATGGCAAAGTCTATAGACCAAATGATCTTATTCAGGTGCATTGCCGGTGTCTTTGCCGGGACTATCGTCACCATCCGAACCATGATAGCCGAGCATAGCACGCCCAGCACTCAAGCCCGAGCATTCAGCTGGTTCGCTTTTAGCGGAAACTTGGGCATTTTTTTCGGTCCTTTGCTAGGTGGTGCGCTTGTCGACCCCGTACGCCACTGGCCGAGTATATTTGGGGACAACCGGTTCTTTCAACATTATCCCTACGCCCTTTCCAGTTTTGTCGTGGCGCTAGTGGGAGCCACTGCTGCTCTTTCCAGCGCCTTATTCGTCGAAGAGACACTGAAGAAGGAACCGGTTATTACTGCTGGCGATGGCGAGACAGCCGAAAATCAGCCACTAGTCAAACACCACGACATGTCGACATTGGAGCTCATTAAGGCGCCGGGAGTCGGTATAGTTATCTACACATATGGACATATCATGATCCTCGCCTTTGCTTACACAGCCATTGTGCCTGTGTTCTGGTCCACACCCGTTCACCTCGGAGGATATGGCTTTACGCCTATGCAGAATTCATTGCTGATGGGCATGAACGGTGCCGCTCAGGCTGCGTGGCTCCTCTTGGTATTCCCACCACTGCAGAAAAGGATTGGATCAAATGGGGTCATCCGCCTTTGCGCAGCTGCGTACCCGGCCTTTTTACTCTCTTGTCCACTTGGAAATGTCCTTTTACGTGCGGGGACCACGGCGTCCACAAACGTTTTTTGGATCTTTGTTCCGATCTCGCTGGTAATAGGTTGTGGTGTAAGCATGAGCTTCACAGCAATTCAGCTAGTTGTCAATGACGTCTCACCGTCGCCGAAGGTCCTTGGTACCCTTAACGCTTTGGCATTGACCGGGATCAGTGTGTTGAGAGCTTTGACTCCGGCTCTCTCTACTAGTCTTTTTGCCATTGGGGCGAGGACGCAACTGGTTGGTGGTCACGCTATTTGGATTCTCTTAGCATTGTTCGCCTCCGGATTGTTGCTCGTGGTTAAGCACCTTCCCGCACCTATGAAGTAAGAAGGGCCCCAGCATTTCGCTATCCTGAAGTCTGGAAAAATGGAAAAGCTAAATTGTATATAACTGATGCCATGGTTGAGATGGCCACAGCGATTCTCTGAGGCATGCACGGGTTTGCATCAAAATTTGATATAGCTCGCTCAGCCATGATGCATGTAACTAAAATCATACGTTATTCAAATGACAGATTGTTCATCAATGAGGCTATTCCAAGGTTATATTGAGTATTTACTATGCATGCATGTATGTATGTATGTATGTATGAAAAAAGTACACTGTACGAATATATCCAATCATGTCATTTTGGTCTAGGATGTTCATACAAAAAAAGTAAAGTCCCAGAGGTGATCGTATAGCATTATGTACGGACCTCAAGTCCTGCATCATTTTTTTTAAGGTTCTTGCTCATCTATTACTTATTCCTCACCACCACCACCGCCGCCACCGCCGGCTGCTTGAGCAGCCGACTTACCGCTGCAGATATCATCGACACGGAGAAGCAAGCAAGCAGACTTTAAGACAATTTAGTTAGTAGACTGTATGGACTGCAAAGTGAATATAAGCAACTTACCTCGACAGCAGTCTTGATACTCTGAAGCTTGACAGCCTCAGGCTCCCAAACGCCATACTCCTTCATATCAACCAGGTTGCCAGAGTCGCCATCCAGACCCCAAGTGGTGTGACCCTCAACGTGCTTAGCACGCAGACGTGTCAGAACACGAATAGGGCTTGCACCAGCGTTCTGGGCAAGTGTGCGAGGAATGACCTCCATGGCATCGGCAACGGCCTTGTAGGGCCATTGCTGCACACCCTCGACGGAACGAGCCAGTTGGCTCAGCTTGACGGAAACAGCCATCTCAACGGCACCACCACCGGGGGAGAGACGGGGGTGGAAAATAACGTTACGTGCAACGCCCATGGCATCGTGGAGGTTACGCTCGATCTCGTTCAGAATATCCTTGGAGGGACCACGCAGAAGAATGGTGCAGGCCTTGGGGGACTGGCACTTGCGCATAAATGTGAAGTACTCGTCACCAATCTTCTCGATCTCAAAGAGGCCACAGCGGGTACCGATGTCGGACTCCTGGATGTCATCAACACGGTTGACAATAGTAGCTCCGGTGGCACGGGCGATACGGTTGTTGTCGGTCTTGCGGACACGGCGGAGGGCGGTAATGTTGGCCTTCATGAAGAAGTGCTGTGCGAGATCTGGATAATGTGCATTAGTTAGACAAGTAGTTCGGTCCATATAAAACCACAGTGTATTTTCTTACCAGATACACCCTTCTCGGTGATGACGATGTCAGGCTTGAACGCCACGATAGCGTCACACAAGTGCTTCACCTGCTCCTCCTCAATCTGCAGAATTCGGTTCCAGTCGTCCTCCTTTGTGACCTCGATATTTGTCTGAGACTCGCCCTTCTTGTACTCCAGAGGACAGTCAAGCAGAAGAATACGAGGGTTTTCGATTCTCCTGCGCATCTTGGGGTGGGTGATATCCTTGTTGACCATAACACCATCAATAACCTCGGAGTCCTCGATTTGACCACCGGGAATCTTCTCGATACGAGCATAGCGCTTGATATCAACCTCCTGCTTTCCACCACCGATGTCGAAGGAAACTGTTCGGACGGCGTTCAATGCCAGCTTGCACATGAGATCGGACCACCGAGAAACGAACTTGGTACCGATGGAGGAGTGAATAAGAGACGCCATGGCCTTATCATCGGTGACATCGACGGGGATGGAGACCTCCTCGATAATCTGAAGGGCATCGGCGAGGGCACGCTTGAAGGCGGAGATAATGACAACGGGGTGAATGTTACGTTCGAGTTGAGGAAGGGACTGAGCAAGCATCTCACCAGCTATTGCAATGTTAGAGTATATCCAAAGATAAGATTCCTAGTGTTCGGCGGGAGAAGGGGAAAAGGTTACCCAGGATAATGACTGATGTGGTTCCATCTCCAACCTCTTCGTCCTGAGTACGGCTGAGCTCGATCATACTCTTGGCCGCAGGGTGTGACACCTCGATCTCTCGCAAGATAGCGTGACCATCGTTAGTGAGAACGATACCGCCCATTGGGTCGAGCAGCATCTTCAGCATGGCTTTGGGGCCGAGACATGATCGAATAATATCGGCCACACTAGTGGGGGGTAAATTGTATTAGTATCGGGAGTTGCAAGGCCAACGACAAAGCCCGGATAGGGAAGGAAGAAGTATCGTACGTCTTAGCAGCAGTAATGTTAGAAAGCTGCGCACGGCGACCAACTTGACGGTCACCGGCATTGGTGTCTATTCAGGGGACCGTAAATTAGTAAATGCCGCCTGAGCGAGATGTCTGGGGAGGGGCACGCACTCATCACCACCACCGGAGCCTGCATGCTGGCGGTAATTCAATGTGTCAAATAGGTGAAAAGAAAGGAAGTGGGCTCTAGCCAAATGCAAAAACAATACTCCTGATGAACAGAGAGAAGACCAACTCGGAGCCGCGTTGAGGTCGCCCGCATCCCAAATTTCCAAAGTGGGAGCTCCCTGACACTAAGCCCAAAGGGGAAATGACAAACTAGGCAAACAAGAACTGCATCGAAATCGACTATGAACGGTTCATAGATCCGTCAACATTCTATGACTACAATCGGCTTGATGATTGTTTTTACTACGATACAATGATTGCAACAACGCTGTGATTAGATGTGAGAAAGATTGCTTTTATTACATTGATGAATACATCCACAATATCGTACAGCGTTCTCGACTTTTCAACTTAAGCTACCCCTCATCACCCGTGAAAATCGGATTGTGTCTGTCACTGAGAGACTTGGGGCGCTTTTATAGATGGTGGGTATTATATAGCCTTGATCAGTATTCACGGCTTTCGCCAATATCCACCACATCAAAGACCCCCTTCTCGGGAAGACCAAACTTCTTGAGCGCAACCTTCAGCTTCTCCGGGGGCTCAAGAACGTCTTCCTCAGTCAGAACCCAAGTTCCCCAGTGAATACCAAGTGCGCTCTTGCACTTTGTATCTTGGAAAATTGATACCGCATCATGTGGATCACCGTGGGCAGGACTCCATATATGACGAGGAGCATATGCACCAATTGGAATCAACCCCAGGTCAAATGGACCGCGGAACTCACCCACCTGCTTGAAAGCAGGGCATACGGGGAAATCATGCTTTGCATCATGATCATCCTCGCCCTCGGGAAGTTTAGAAACTGGCCGGTATCCGGTGTCTCTGTACAATAGAGCTATGTCAACGGTCGTCACATCTTAAAAACTAGATTGTGAAGCTCGACTTACCCTGCGAAGTAGAGTTTCTTGCCTCCTGACTCAAGGGCCCAAGAGCACCACAAAGTCTTATTTCGATCAAAGGGACCACGAGCACTAACATGCTGACAAGGCAAGCAACTAATACGGGCGGTGATATCCTTAATATCCCCACTCTTTGAGCTCTCCCCACCAGCAGCTTCAACACTCATTTCTTTCTCCGTTGTCGGAGCCAAAGTGATGTCGCGCTCATCCCACCAATCTAACTCGGTAACCTTCTCGATACCGCAGCTTTTAAACCAAGCTTTGTTTCCAAGAGGAACGAAGAAATGGCAATTAGGATGCTTCTTCGCAATTGCTGTCACAGTATGATAGGACAAATGATCATAGTGATTATGGGAAATCACAACTGCATCGATTAAGGGTATATCGTTGGGCTGACAAGGAGCGTCTGTAAAGCGTTTAGGTCCCAACAAGTTATACGGTCCGCAACGCTCTTCGAGGACCGGGTCAAAGAGGACTCGCAGGCCACTTGGAAATTCGGCATAGTACGCAGCATGTCCTAGCCAAGTCGCGCGCAACTTGGCCGTCTCGCGACTGGGTAGGAATTCGGGTTTGCGAACAAGAACTGTAGGGCCACTCGTATTGGGGACGTTTCCTGTGCCATTAAACCGACGTCTGGGGACACACTTGTGAGAACTTGATCCAGCTTACAGCTTCGAGCATATTTTACTTACTTCATGACCTCAAAAACACTAGACAGTCCAACATCCCGCCATGAACTATTAACCTCGGGTCAGTGTCATGCCATACACACGTGAAAGGAATGAGGTTGTAATCGCTCACTCCCAGGGATTTCTGAAGCCAGATGCAGTATGATGACTCTTTTGAGTAGCATCTTCTGGGGCAGGTCTGTTTGAAGTGGTAGCGACAGACAGCGCGTATAATATTTCTGTTGTTGTTACACCCATGTTTCGAACAGACATATACGGCCGATAATAGTTTGGCCGAAAAGAACGGGCCTGCTGCAGAAAGCCGCGCATGGGGGATAAAGTAGCTTTTTAAATCCACCCCCCTGGGATCGGACTGATCGTGCGCGCGGAACCTGCGCAGGCCTTCGGCGTTGTGACAGAGAGGAATGCCGGGGAAGAGAAAACTGCCATTGGCCTTTTGGCTAAACCCGAGTATCTCCGTGCCGGCATCCAATTGCCCGACGGAAAGACTTCATACCCGAAGCTGACAATGGCTGATAATTTTGAACTTTATTCATGTTGTAGATCGAAACTATCAGAAATAATATAGATAATGACACAATAGAATATCCAGATTAAATGGATTTGGTTATGATACCCATGGCTTTCACCGTTGTACAACCGGGGGAATACCAGATCAGATCAGACCGGGCCGTTATAAGTCCGATATCTTTTTCTTATCGCGAACTCTAGCTCTGGTACTCCAAGTCACCACTGCGACATCGTGATTTGGGTATGGAATCAAGTGGCACCCCCAATGCTGTGCCTGATGCAGTGGCAGCGCCGTCTGCGCCGTCTGCTGGGGACCTAATTCTTCAACAGAAAGCACAGACGCTCCAAAATTCCCAACAAGCGTCCCAAGCTGGGGATGGTGGTCTCTTGTCGCAACTAACAAGCAATCCCTTATTCACAGCTGTATGTGGCCTCCTGCCAAGAAAATAATGTGGATATGAATAACTAAAGCTTTAATTATAGGGATTTGGTCTTGCAGGTCTAGGAGCGGGTCTCACATTTGCTCAAAAAGGAGTTCGTCACGGCGCAGCTTTGTTGCGTCGCCGTATGTTGGTGGACGTCGAGATCAGCATCAAAGATGATTCATATCCATGGTTTCTTCATTGGATGACCCTATATCAGCAATCACAGCTTGGTGCAGCCCGTGCCGGGGCAGCCAACTCCAGCTTTATGGATCGCCTACTTCAAAAAATGACCCCCGGAATGCGCCACCTCTCCATCCAAACACAGAAACTCGAACACTCAAACGGTGCGATTCATACACACTTCTCCCTGGTACCCGGGCCAGGAAAACACGTTCTTCGCTACAACAATGCCTTCATTTTCGTCAATCGCGTACGCGAATCAAAGTCCCGGGATATTCAAACTGGAAAACCGTGGGAAACGATCACTTTGACCACACTCTACTCTCATCGACACATATTTGAAGAACTGTTCAAGGAAGCGCATGCATATGCTGCGAAGTCGCATGAAGGAAAAACGACCATATATAACAGCTGGGGTACCGAATGGAAACCATTCGGTAACCCGCGACGCAAGCGTCCGATAGAGTCCGTGGTTCTTGCCGAGGGCGTTAAAGAGCGCATAGTGGACGACGTTCAAGATTTTATCTCTAGCTCATCTTGGTATCATGACCGTGGAATTCCCTATCGACGTGGCTACCTGCTTTATGGACCTCCAGGAACTGGTAAGAGTTCCTTTATTCAAGCACTGGCAGGCGAGTTGGACTACGACATTGCAATCTTGAATCTGAGTGAGCGTGGATTGACCGATGACCGATTAAATCACCTTCTAACCATCGTTCCTAATCGAACTTTGGTTCTGCTGGAAGATGTAGACGCGGCCTTTTCGAATCGACGTACCCAAACCGATTCTGATGGGTATCGTGGGGCTAATGTCACATTTTCCGGTTTATTGAACGCACTTGATGGAGTGGCTAGTGCCGAAGAACGCATTATATTCCTCACGACGAATCACGTTGAGCGGCTTGACGAGGCCCTGGTCCGACCGGGGCGCGTGGATATGACTGTTCGTCTTGGCGAAGTATCACGTTACCAGGTTGGTTGCCTCTGGGACCGATTCTATGAAGAGCTTGATACCGATGGGTCTCACCGAAAGATCTTCCTTGATCGACTGCAAGAACTTGGATTGATTGAGGATGAAAGCGGGTTCAAGGCCGATCGCTCCAGGAACACCAGCGCAGCAGCTCTCCAAGGACTGTTCCTGTATAACAAAGGTAATATGGAGGGCGCAGTAGCTATGGCCGAAGGACTTACCTATTCGGTGCATGATGAGGCTATGGAACATAGCCAAGGCCCCAACGAATAATTGTACCATACGATGTAAATATTACCCCAGCAAAATGTATAGATATCTTGTTCTTCTTGCATATTCTGCAGAATCTTCATCCAATCCGCTCGTCCTGCGTGGTGCCGCCCCGACCGGCTGTATGCGCCGAATCTTCAGGATTCTGAACTTTGCTGCTGAACTTTACGGTGAGATGTGCACAGGGTACTCCACCAATCGCTATTGGAATCCCAGGAAATAAATGAATCAGTCCCTCAATACGCCAATCAGCAAGTTCAGGCGAAGCGCCGTTCCCTGCAGTCACTATCCCGGTCGCACGAGGTTGGCCAATCACGCCCGACAACGGCTAAGCGCCCGCCCCAAAAATAGGGCTGTCACATACGATGCCAAGCTACATTGGCCCAGGATTTGTAGGAATCAACCGATTTCCACCGAAGCAGATGGGGTATATGTCAGTCGAAACACCCCCTTGTTCACGGCCTGGTGTAATGCATGTCAATAACTTTCCGGGAGACCAGCGATTCTACAGTTTTGCCGTCGTACATTGGGGCCTGGATCTATATCAATCATGAGTCAATTTCAATTATTTCCTCCACCCCAGCCAGAGGTGAAAATCCCTAAGAACCCGTTTCGCAAGGGCGTTAAAGCCCCAGTTGTGAAGACGAAGCCCGGATCTTCGATTCCTCTCGAAGAGATCCAAGATACATCCAAAACAAGCGAATCCGTCCTAGTTCAAATTATTCAAGATACTCAGTCTTTCCCTCCCCCTCCCCCTCCACCAGTACCAGCGGCAGCACATCTTGCACGAGCAAAGTCTCCGGCCAAGTCTGTGTCATCTCATGGTTCTTCATCGCCGCGGCCTGTACGTAGTCACAGCCGTCAAGAAGGCCGCTCAGATCACCAAGCTCTGCCTTCTCAGAGCAGAATGAGCAATGGCAGCGGTAGCGTTCGCACGGTCACGTCAGCCTCATCGCCCCAGTCTTCTCAGTCTTCTGTTTCTCCTATGCCAATGAGATCCATGTTTCCCCAATTCAACTCTAAGGTCCCTCTTGACCAGCAAAGTTATCGTCTACAGATGCCGATCAGTCCTCCAGATACAACAAAAAAGCCGTCTCGAAAACCTAATCTTACTCTATCTCCGAGCTCAGAGATCGACCAGGTTTTGGGTCCCAAGACAGTACCTGCAAGTGTATTGAACTTCCCGACTGGTGTTTTGGAGTCGGAGGGAAGTCGCTTCTCGTCACCACAAGAGTTAGAGATGCTATGGGAAGCTGCCAATGGCCAGCGACAACAGGAACTATATGGAACATTCAACTTACGGCTGACAAAGTGAGTGTTGCTGGTATTGACTCACGTACGGAATATTCATTTGCTAAATCATTACAGGACTGGCCCCGCGACTTTCGCATTTGGTAACTCCCGACAGCCATTCTACAGATTGGAGACGTACTCCAATAACGAAATATCCATCTCCCGCGGTGCACCCTCTACGCCTGAGAATGACGTCCCTATCATGACATTGACCCTTGAAGATCGTAACCGCCGTGACCACCCCAACGATGGACTTGTTGCTCTTCTCTTTTCGCGACTGGCTGCCATGCTGGCGATTGACCAAGCCGATGAGATTAGTAAAACGCATTATCTCTCGGGCTCCGAGGCTGCAGAAGTTGAGAGGAAAGCCCTGAAACGAGCTGCAGCCCAGGAATCTTGCCGACTATCTTGGAATCGAAATCTACGGCTTTATGAGCTTCGCCACCCGTCATTATCCAAACAACAACCTCCATCTCTGGTAGGGGCTGCGGGTATTCCGCTATCTCCTGTGCAGGCGCAATCTTCTGGAATTCTTTATATCACAGTTTCCACGTCCAGCGATAGGAGTCCCAGTCAACCACCAACTATTATTGTTACTGGTCCGATGTCATCTACAGCTATGGAGGCTGCACGACAAGCCGCGAATCCTCGAACATCTACTCTACCTGCTCCAGACTCAGACGAGCCACTAGCAGTGTTGGACTTCGGATCTCGAAAACTTTCCATCTCTCCGGCTGCCGTTATTGCCACCATTCCATCATTATATGCAGTCGATTCTCTGGTCGCAGCAATTCTGGCCGTGGCCGTATCAGATGAAGCTACCAATCCCATACTAGCAGATATGGAACTCGGCACCCCTAAGTCAGTAGCGTCAAGCTTCAAGTCAGCACCACGACCAGGATTATTCCGCGGAAAATTGATCACAACTCAAGCAGAGCGTGATGACTATGCCGAGAGTATGGAGTTAGCATCCCAAATCGAGTCTGTAAATGCTAAGTCAGATCCCGAGGCCAAGGACAAGGGCTTCTTAAAATTCTGGAGTCGATCCAAGTCCAGTCCCACACCGCAGGACGGCAAGAAAACCTCAAAATCTAAGAACAACAAGCAGGTTTTGGTTGAAGAATTCGACCTAGAGAAGTATGGTCGCTATGGCCGTACTTCGTCGCGCGAGGGGGAGAAATTGCCTGGGATAGTGAGAGGAACATTGAAGATCCTTTTCTTTGGTCTAAACCTCATTGTCAAAACACTTACTGCTCTAGTCAAGATTCTGGCATGGATGCTAGTAAGTATGACTCGATGCGTGACCAGCGAGAAATTCTGAGCTGGGCTTGGAACTTGCACGAAGGGCGTTCATTTGCTTTGGTTTTTTATGATTTGGAATTCTGGGCTTCTTTTCATCAATCTTTTCTACTCTTTTGTTAAACCTGATTTAATATGTGTGTTAAGGCGACAGGAGTACTGTTCACCGCTTGTTATACCCAATCAACGATATTTTCTCTGCTTTTTGTTTACATTCAACCTTGCCTTGGAGTGATGCACTATCACGTCCCACCCTTTCAAGCCCCCTTCTTTCCATATCGAGTTTAGTATCTTGAATGCTGTACAACCACATGTAGACTTTGTGCCTGGATAATGAACATATCAATCCTGTTTTGGTTCTTGTTTCCTACCGGTCGCAGCTCAAATCAAATCGAACTACGCATGCTATACACCCAACTGACCCACTTCATCTGTATAATGGCAAGATATGCCGATGAGCTATCTCCATAGTGAGGCCCTCAGCTCACCACGAGCCTTGACATGGTCGATATTTCATTATTGTGATCTCAATTCCTCCAATAAATGCATGGAGAAAGATCTTCAGTGCCCAAAGTGGCCTCGCAGGCGCCAGGAAACGCCGAACTTGCTAGGTTTCGCGACTCATAATTCAACGGTGCTTTGATCTTCTACATTGTTTTAAATATTGCCGATGCAGCCGGCCTAGCTCAAGACTCATGAAAAAAATTTCGGGCTAGCTCATGTCACAGATTGTCTTATGGAGAACTCAAGATGGCTGATATATCAACATTCCCATTTACGATAACAGAACTTGATATTGACGGTCAATATATACGAGAATACCCCAATGCTACCGTTGACTCAAACCCATCCTTAAAGCTCGTCTTGAAAAAATACACACCTAAGAACAACCCCAATCCTCAGCTAGGCGATGTTACTATTATCGGGGCCTATGGGTGTGGATTCCCAAAAGTGAGCCCAGTCAATCTATGCCAAGTTGCTCGGGAACTTGTTTGGCTAATCCATAGTTTAGGAATTATATGAGCCGCTATGGGAAGACCTACCTGTGCGTAGTGAAGAGGATGGATTTCGCATCCGATCTATTTGGATCGCCGATGTCTCGAATCTCGGAGCTAGCGGTGTTGAAAACGAAAGCTCTCTGGGGAATGATCGTAAGTATGACAGGTCGGCCGTCCCATGCAATCACTCAATATTCTTTAGCATCATGGATCGATCACAGCCGCGATCTTCTTCACATGATCAATCACTTTCGCGAAGAGATGACTCAGCCTATTGTAGGAGTAGGCCGTGCCTTGAAGAACGACGTTCAAATCCCCTGATACTGATATATCTTAGTGTGCTCCTCTCGCTCCTTCATCCTCGCCTATTTACATCATGAAGCCTCATTGAGCACGTCATCGCACCCGACATACTGTCAGCCAAAGGTCCTCTTCTAGCAATTGTTTCACTTAAACGACGTGATACATGGAAGTCCCGATCCGCCGCTATCGAAGCCGCAAAAAAGACGTATAAGCGATGGGATAAGCGTGTCCTCGACCGGTGGATACTTCATGGATACCATGAAATCCCAACAACGCATGAAGATCGGTCTAATAACTCAGACGTTGCCAAATCTGATTCCCCTGTTACGCTTGTCAGCTCAAAGCACCAAGAAGTACTCCAATACTTGCGTCCGAACCCATCCAACCATAGCCCAGTTGGAGAAGCAGAAGATAATGATGCCTCAGAAAGACCTGCATATGACTCTCTTCTCTACCCCGATATCATAAGGCCCCTTCATGCAACCTCACAATTCTATTAATTTTCAGCCGATATTTGCTTGGAAAATGCTCAAGTATGCTCGTCCACCAGTGCTTTATGTATTGGGACAAAGCAGTCCCTTATTTTCTCCAGCGGATCATACGAGGGCACTAAATCGAACGGGGAGAGGAATTGGTGGCAGTGGCGGAATCAAGGCTTCACAAGTGGAAGAGAAGATGGTCAAGGGTTCCCATCAACTACCTTTGGAGCGAGTAGTGGAAACGGCTGCTGCTGTTGGCCCTTGATTTAGCAAGTGGCTTCAAACTTGGAGGGAGAACGAAGTACGGATAGCTAAGGGCTGGATCCAGAAGCCCTTGGATAAGAGGCTGGAAGGAATGGCTGAGTGGGTCCCCATGCTCGAGAAGTTGGGTGATCTTGAGGTTTCCAAAAGATATTCAAGACTTTGATGGAAATTGAACGTCGTCCATAAAGACTGTGATTCAAATATAATGCATATAGACGGAAGATGATGAGAAACCTAGATATTGGGAACCAAGCATACTATTGGCCCCACATTTAAGTGAAACTTGAATTCCCAAAGTACTACAATATAGAGATCTTGAGATCGGGGGAAGGGATTACGCAGTCCGATGTTGATCCATATATTTAGCGTGCTTGGTTATAAACTACCACTAAGGCCGCGAGTATTATAATCAACTTAAAGCGGGAAATCTTCGGCTAGCGGGATTCCACTCGATTTCCGGCTATTTTCTATCTATGTATAACAATCAACAGAGGATGACATATGGCCATGTGGGCTAAAATTAGCTCTTCCTCCTCCGCCTCCGCCTCAGTATGGGGAGTGGAAAACTGTTCGGCGCAAAAAAAGAACATTTGCCGTTTACATGGGCCTAAGCACATCCGGATCGTCTTGATCGTCGTACTCTTGGCCAGTTCAAGCTAGTAGAACAGGGGGTCTTGTTTTTTTCTCTCGGCGTGGAGGCTCCAAGTGGGGGAGGACCGCGAGCCGTGTCTACCGTGTCTCTGGAGTCCTCACTTTATCCCCTATGCCATTCATTTTAGACGAAGAAAGCATGCAACCGCGGTAGTTTAAATAGAAGAATCAATTTGGTAATGCACGTACTATCAAGATAATCAAGTTTCTCCGCCATCTCCCCGTGGCTCTATTCCGGAACAGAATCAGGCTCGTATTCGCAGCCTCGCTCCGGCCCTTTTCCAGCCACAAACCCTGCCAAGAAAATCGGCATTTCGCGCACCAGTCAGAAAGCCACAGGGACCAAATTGTGGGGCTCGTGCAGGACCCGTCTGATGATAAACACTTAAACTAACCCGCATAAGGAACGTGTCTGCGAGGCTGACACAAAATCATGCACGATGGGTTCAAGAAATTAGAATTAAAATTAAAAATAAACAGCAGATTAGGGGGTTATGGGGGCCATTATTCATCTTGTATATAGTCTGGCCATGGCCTTGACTCGCGCGCTGCCAGTCACAGGTTCAAATCAAATTTCTATTCACTCGTTTACTCGTTCACCATGGCTCGATTACGGTCGGTTGAGCTTTACAGCATTTCCTTTCTTTTAGCAACTATCGTTTCTGCATACCCTAATCCGGATCCTTCGCCTGCTCCATACCTTGGTGGTTTCAAATTGAATCTCCCTGCGCCAACAACTGCACCATCTAAACCGAAAAAATATGGGTTCTACGCACGAGACGACACCAGCGATACCGCTGTTGATACCGCCGTTGACACTGCTGTCGACACCGCTGTTGACACAACGATTCCACCTAGCACCACAATCCAAGCAGTTTCGACATCAACGTCTCTGGTTCCCGCTAGTGTGTGTGGTTATATAGATGGCGTTTGGGACGACTGTAAGTTCTTCCACATTGAAGTGACATAAAAATTAAGCACTTTGATATTGATTCCCTTCAAAAATCCAGACTACAGTCTCGTCTATTGTGGAGATTCAAATGAATGCGTTTTCCATACATCAGACGCCAAATACCCAGGCCTGGTAGGCTGTTGCAGTGGCAGCGATCCTAATAACTGCTTATACGAAACAACTTGTTACGACGGCGGCGACCTAGCCGCTACACCCAGTGCTACCGCCGATATACTCGCTATTACCTGCACGGCCTCCGGCTCCGGAGCATGTCAAACAATGGTATACCCCGACTTAAACATTACTGGTTATGGATGTGCAGAGACCGCCGAAGTTATCAGTATCTATACAGAGGCTACATATGACCCCACTACCGACGTCAGCCTTTGGGAAGAATACCCTACAGTCGCTTATGTTAGTGCATCCATTGTGGATGACGAGTGGATCGATATCTTTATTTCGGGAACAGCTGCTACTGCCACCACTGAAGTAGCAGCAGGACAAGCAGTTACTAGTACACCTGGTTCTTTCTCCAAGACAGCAGACCCCAGTGCTTCCGCTTCCGCTTCCGCTACAGCTGGTGGCTCGGGCTCAAGCTCGAACTCAGGCTCATCGAACAAGAGCTCTAACAACACTGGTGCCATTGCAGGTGGTGTTGTAGGTGGAGTAGTCGGTGCAGCTGGTATCGGAGCAGCAGCATTCATGTGGTGGCTTCTTAAGAAAAAGAAGGCAAACGATGCTGCCGCAGCTGGCACAGCTGGCGAAACCTCACCAGCTCTGGGTGGCACACGAGAAGCCCCTTCAAGTGTCTTGATGCCCCCTCAAGAAGTGGAAGGGAGTACGTATGCGAATAACCTGAATGCTCATGAGGTTGAGGGCACTACCTACCAGCACTACGCTGAAGTGGATGGTTACAGCGCCGGTCAAAAGTTCCCTATGGCAATGGCTGCTGCGGGCTCGACGGATATGAAGCCCCAGGAGATGGACTCAAAGAACTTTGTTGCGGAGTTACCAGCTCACAGTGATGAGGCGCGCCCTTTTTCGAGTGATAATTCACGACCGGGGACACCGGATTCTGGTCGACGGAACTGATGTGGATTAATGGATGGTTTACATTGCATGATTAGAACTATACCCTTCTTTCAGTTTTGGGCGATTTATTTAAAGCCTTTCTTTGGACATTATACCCAGTATATAACTTTCTTTTTGTTAATTTTTCACCATTGGTTTAGCATTAGCAGGAATTTAATGATCTGTCGAATTTGAAGCTCCGGGAATACCATTTAGTATGTATATCAATGATGGAACTCCAATTGCTTTCTCAAATCCATTTCACATGTGCATGCCCTATGCGCAAAAGCAATTTATTTGATGATAATTGCTATAATATCGTAGAGATCTACGTAGTAGTGGTGGTGGTGGTGGTAGGTTGCCGTTATTTGTAACCCAAACTCCAAACTCTACAACCAACCCCAATCTACCCAAGCTTGACACGAAAATAGAACAAGGCAGTGCATAAGCATACTAGAGTTCATTATGAAATTATCTCATTTGTCCAATTTCAGGATAAATAAACCAAAATTTATCATATTCAGATATCCGGATTACTAGATTCCTCGGAAGAAAGGGTAACCAGGGATACAGGCACCACATCAAAGCACAAGCAAACCTGGCACATTCCTCTACCATTCCAAAGTGATCAACAGGGGACTCCTGTATCCATTCACAATGTCTACGGCGAATTCAGACCCAAGGAAAGATCAATTCGCGCCGCTGGAAAGGGCGTCACCGTCTCGATCTAGAAATAGAGCTACATACCTTCACGTCATGGGCCTCTTTATGCACCAGCAAAATCTATCTCCTAGGAGATAAAGGGATGTTAGAAAAGGGTCAATTATTTACATTGTTTACTAGAGAAAGTTTGCTACTTATATCCTTCTGAAGTACCAGTGCCGACCCGACGGCTTACGCTTTGCTTCACGTTCGCTCTGTTTCTATCTTTCTACTATACCCATCAGACCATATTCATCATGCGTTCCTTCATCACTGCTGCTATTCTCATTACTGGTGTCGCGGCCCAATCGGTCGACGAATACCTCAAGTGTGCCGTACGTACTTCACCTTTTTGCACTTTACAAAAGCAATCCTAACAAATTATACTACAGGAGGCCGCTCTCGACGGAGTCGACACCTCAAGCCTGTCAGACTGCAGCGACAAGAGCAGTAAAGAATGTCTCTGCGCCAACCCCGACGCCATCACTAAGCTCACCGACGCGGCTTCCGACGCCTGCGGTGATGCCGGTATCGGTACGATTCATCTCCCTAGTGCCAAAAAGCTATACTAACACAACGAAGATGTTTCCGAGCTCCAGAAGTCCCTCTGCTCTGACAGCAGTGTCGCCGCTCCAGCCCGCCACGCAAGCAACCCCATGGAGCCCGCTAACATGAACGCCCTGCACATGTCTGGTGAGCGCGCCTATGCACCCCCCGTCGCCGCAGAGGCCGCCGCTCCCCGCGTGATCTACGTGACCGAGACAAAGACCGAGTGCGGCTGCAAGGCTACACCCGCCCCGGCCTTTGATCCTAAGCATCTCTCTCACATCCCCGTCAATGTACCCACTAGCAGCAGCATGGGCCCCATGGCCTCCATGTCCGCGCCACCAATGTACTCGAAAGGTATCCTTGTTGGAGGTTCCTCTTCGTCTCGTGTCTTCGGTGCCCAGATGTCTGCTACACCTACACCATCTGGTGCTAGTGCAAACCGCTTCAATGCGTTCGAGGGTGCTGCGCCTAAGGTCAGTGCTATCCACGGTTTCGCTGTGGCTGGTGTTGCTGCTGTCATGGGATTCATGGTTGCTCTGTAAGAAAGAACGAGGTAATTATTTGGTCGTCTGATGTTATTTCTTGATGGGGTCTTGTTTTGATAGGTGTTTTTATTTTGGCGTTTATATCTGTATTGTATTTGCTCTTGTGGAGTTTTGTTGAAAGTAATTACTTAAGTTAAAATTGTAATGATCAATGAAAGACGTATTATTCAATTATCTGATATCTGATACCCCCTGGTCGTTAATCGTGTTTGTTGAGTACGAGTCAAGAATAAACAGAGTTTGTGTTCAACTTCATCAATGAACTTCGAAAATGATACAGCTATGCCCTTAAGCATGAATAGCCTGCTGTACACGTGGATAAAGCTCAACAAGCTTATAGTAGATATCCGGGTGGTCATTAATCATGACCTGAGGATCCCAGCCCATAGCCACAAAAATAGTCTCGACACCGCTGCCAATAGGTGTCATGAAAACCTGACAAACCTGCAGCCCAATAAGGAACGCAAAAGCCATAATAACAGCAGTAAAGTCTCCATCCGAGTTGTAAGCCGGCTTGGTAAACTGCAAGTACAAATAAGCCAGCAAAGCGCAGACATAGGCCACAAAGGTGGACCCCATGGTCAGGACAGGTCCGATCAAACAGTCCTGAATAAGTGCATCCATGCCACGGTCGCGCACCATTTTCCAGGTATCCTTCGCAGCAGGGATATACGCCTTTCCGTAAAGAGCGATATGGCAAAAGGCATAGCGATTGAATAGTGTGACCAGCCAGTCAAGCAGAGAGATAAAGCAACCTAGAACCCACACAAAGATTGAGCCGATGATATTTCCCTGTGCGGCTTCTTGGCGCTGGGCGACTGAGCATGCCTGTCGCATCATTTGAATTATGGCGATGATCAAGCTACCAAAGCTGATACTGCCGAAGGAATAGGTAGTTGCACGACGGAAAGCTCCGCGAGTGGCACCCTTCGGCATTCCGCCGGGAGACTTACTGAAGAAATACCATGAGCCGTACACACCCGCGATAGTCGTGTGGACTGTGTTCTTGATCCATTCACTGAACCAGTACATCGCAAATGTGACATAGACCACCAGACCAATGACCTTTGCTCGACTGCAGCCCCCGTTCGAGCAAGCAGGGTTCGTACCAGTTGAGTCTGGTTCATATGTGACATAGATAGAAACTAAGGTCACAGAAAACCAAGCTGAAAAAGCTACGGTCACTATTCCACCGAGGGCGCTGACCAGGAAGACATGTCCGTATCCACGTGCAACATCCATGGTAGTTTGGAGCATGAAGGCAGTGAATGGGATACGAGGAATCCAGCTGATAAAACAAATGACCGCAAATACACCGAAGAGCAAGAATACTATTCCGCCTCCATATTGTTTGCGTGCAATGTAGTAAATTCCAGTAGCGAAGGCGAAGACGATGTTGAGAATACCGGTAACCCAGATGAAGGTCTTGGTAAAGTAGCGCGCGCCCATGAAATAAGCCCAGGATAGAACGAGAGCAACGACGAGAACGAAGACAAATAGCACGAGGGTGTTGGTGTTCAGTGAGAAATCATTTCCAGAGTCGTAGATTCCGCCTCCGCTGAAGCCTTTGTTGGTCGCGTATGAGTGAATCGTCAAGCCTGATATAGCAGTATACCCCAGGAAGACTGCGATCAACTGCGATAAGGTGCATGATTAGTTTCCCGAGAGCTAGTGAGCTATACCTTGCCAGTGAAAAGAGAAGACATACCAAAAGACCCGCCCAGATATCATTGTACTTCGGTTTGTCGATCTTGAAAGCTTGATCGAAGGTCTGATACTGTGGAGGTGGTGCAGAATTGTCAGGATACGGAGGCGGGGGTTTTGCCTCTGCAACAGGCGGCTGGTAGTTTCCATTTTGCTGGTAATTCACATTGGGCTGGTTGTAGCCATTTCCATAGTTGTTGTTGATGGGTTGGCCCCGGGCATCGAACCCTTGATTCTGATCGTAGTAGCTAGCTGCTTGACCACTCATGACTGCATGCTATAAGAAATATGCACAATAAGTAAAGTTCGAAAAACTCAGAGGAGATCCAAGGGGTTTTGGGGAAAGCAAGGGGCTTTTATTTCCGGATCGAAAATCCATGACGACATGTAACATTGTAGCGGAAGGAACCACGATCGGCACCAATGATCGGTCAATGATCGGCCTGGTAGGGCTCAGGACCCTTTGGAACTTTCAGTAGTGTCAAACCCAATTTTCAGTGCCAAGATTCAAGAAAAGATGCCTGCTTGGCTCCAATGAAGCGATTTAAATGATTTGTGAGGGGATAATTCAAAATTGCATGCTTTCTATGTACAAAATAAGATATGATGATGCCATGTGTATTCCAATATGCCATGCATGATGCGACTATGATTTTATGCTGTTTCCATCGCGACGCCAAAAAGAAAATGCAAGGAGATCCAAAACCAAGTTTGTGTTTGTAGTGCCTTGCCAAACAAGCAAGACAAGGATGATTATGATTATGGGAATTAGTGCACAAGGCCCAATGAGTTCCTATTGGCCTATGCGGGTTGTCTGGTTTTGTCCTGCAGATAGTACAACAAACAAGTGCTTGGCAAGGACCGACAAAGAAAATACCCCACTTGATGCTGGGTGGATAGTGGATAGGTAGTGGATAATGTAAAGGGAATCAACAAGCGGGAGTTCAAGATCGACGCTTATCGAAATGCATGTTGTTTGAGATGGCGCCAGGAACCGACGACTCGGTTCTCAAGGATAGGGTTGGCGTTCCGCCGACGAACAGGAAAATCATCGGTCGCCGGCTTGAGCTCGCCTTTGCTAAAAGCAACTGACCGTCGCAGCTTCTCTTGGCGAACGGCAGTGCGTCTTGCAGCTCTGAGTTCCTCGATTCGGCCCTGCCCCACTCGGTGCTTTCGCAGAAAGCAATCTTCCAGCAAGTGATTGACATCGAGGATTTTCTTGGGAACGGTTTGCACCACCTGGAAGACTTCCATTGGATCGGAAACTCCCAAGATATCCCGTTCGCATGTTTTGAAGATAGCGAGTGACACACGAAAGAATGTTTTGGAGCCTTCATAGAAGAAAATGTCCCAGACTCGCAGAGTGGTTTCCAGGGGAAGTGTTCCAATAAAGACAGACATGAGCCAATTTGTTAGACCCAAAGTGATATCTGGTAGCCGGGAATTGACCGTGAGAGCAGGAAGTTTCCCACGGCCAGAAGGTGTTCCTTCCATACTGGCTATTTTGGTGTAGACTGCGGGCATCGTATCCCTAAGTAGTACCATGAGGATCCAGAGATCTATGTTGGCGCCTTCCAAGCTGATTTCGTGGGTACCAGGTAGATACGTTGAAGTCACAATGTGCAACATCCAGAACGCTTTCTCTTCAGGAAGGAAAAGAAGAAACATTCCAGTGATGAAGTTAAGCGACTGAGTGTACCCGACTTTGGGATTATGGAGGGCAAAGGCGTAAAGGACTCGGCGCAGAGACTGGATCATTTGGGTCTCTGTCACTCCAGCCGCTTGAGTGTTAATGTTTCCAGACTTCTCAGCAGCATCGACAGACTCAGGTTTAAAGTGAAGATTGTCAGGGAATGTCCGATGAAGATCACGTTCAATGTGTTCTTTGTCATCATTGCTTGGTGAAGCCATGACTTTCGCAACCAGTTCATCATAGAGGCCAACGTTGCGGTTCAGGTGCTCGTACCCGCCGGCATACCAGAACCATGCTGCCCCTCGATACTCGGGGGGTATTCCTTTTCGGACGAAGCGCTTGACCTTGGAAGTCTGTGCAGGAAATGTTGAAGGGTTGGTGGTTGGAAGCCCATGTTCCTCAAGCAGGGTATGCCACTTGATTCTTCGATGAGCTGTGTAATTTGAATATGGACCTTTCCAAGCCTCATATTGCTCCTTGGTAACGTACTGGGTTGCTTTACGAAACCCATAGTCGTCCCTGGTGTCACTGCCAGCATTGAGGGGCGGAGGAACAGGACCTGGAATGAAAATTTTGGATTGTTGCCGCTGATGAACGGATTGAAGGTTTGATGTTTGAACTACTTGGGTTGGTTCAGGCTGTAAATTTTGGAGTAGTAGTGGTTCGGGCTGAGGAGAAGGGGGCGAGAGACCAGGAAGTGAAGATGAAGATGGAGATTCGGGTAGAGCGGGTGGAATGGGAATAGGTTCTGCGGCGGGAGGTTCATCGACTGCAGAATCGACACCGATCGTTTCTGACCAGATTCGTGATGGGAGGGAAGGGATGGGGGGAATATCTTCCACCATCGGCTTCGGGGGTGGTATTCCTTCAAGATGCATATCTCGTGAGGGAGGAGGGGTGATTGAGGGTGCTTTGCTGTCTGCTCGAGATCTAGGGGAGCCAGGTTCCTCAGTGACATCGCTGAAGCCGTCAAGATACATCGAAATCGCGTCTTCAACACTCATGCCCCCGTCGATGCTACAAGGGGCGTCTGGCGTGTCTGGGGAAAGATCGGTAACGGAGCTACTCTTGGTAAGGACGCTGCTTCGTTCTGTGCCACTATTTTGCTCAATGCTGGATCGAGAGGTCATGGCAGAGTTCATACTCGTTCGAAGAGTGTTATCGTCCGCGGGTCCGTTAGTTGGAAAACGCGGCAATGGCAAGCCGTGTGCTGTACGCTCTGGGCGGCGGTCTGGGGATTCTTGCGTTTTGGGCCGTCTGCCATTCAATCTTGACGTGGACATGGATATGCGGAGACCAACCCTGGCTGGCGGCGCCTTGCGATGGGGTGGTCGGTCCGGTTCGTTATCGCGTGGGTAGTATCTTGGAGGTTGACGTTCAGGTGAAGGAGGGAAAGGATGATGTCCAACAGATCGCTTTGCTCTCCAATCTTCTCCGTTGTCCTGCGGGGATCCTGCCCGAAGAGACATTGGAAGCCATGGTCGGTCGTCTGGGACACTGTGGGCTACAGGGGGGACGGGAGACCGTGAACGCGCGCGATAATATGAATTTGGGGTACGCGGTGAAGAGATCGGCGTCGACTCTGCGGTTCGTGGAGGGCAGGGATCGATTCTCAGAGGGTCCAATTGAGGCGGGTGAGCGATCTTTCGGCGACCGCGTAAATCAGATTCACCCAAGAGTGGCGGGTATCTCGAGCTTCCATTTTCTGTGACCATGGCCACGATCTAGCAAGGCGAACCAGTTGGACATTTGTTTTCGCGACGGAAGAGAATGAGAAAATCGGCTATTTAGCCCTGGTCGAAAGCAGGTTGGTTGAATTCGGCGTGATGGAGATGTCGGGCGCGTGTAATGCGTGTGCGTCTGTATGTGTATGGGTGGTACTCAACGGGCGGGCGAAAAGAAATGAAGACAAAGAAATTCAACGAAAGGATGAGCAACAGGTTGCTCTTTTTGGATATAGGAGGGGGACTTCCCACAAACGAATGATTGATGCGAAACAAAGACAAAAAAAAAGAAAACAACCAACGACCTGCCAGAGGAGTGGAATGAGAGGGAACAGACGATGATTTTGAGACAAAAATCAACAGAACCTCTATCGGGATTAGCGTCACATGACGTCGCTGGCAAGGGCGTTTCAAGTTTTGTTTTTAGAGAAAAGTCACACATAAATTAATATAAAATTAAGAAAATAAAATTAATATTCTAATCAGTCCGTTGTCTTGTCAATCAGACTCGTCTCCGGGGAACAAGCCATGTTTCTGGGGATACGAGCTGTATGCTTTGGCTAGTCGAGCTGTAAGGTCCTTCTATTGTTCTTTCTCCATGCACCACGGGAAGGGTCTAGCCGACCACGGAAGCGTCGTCGATCAGGGACTTGGAGAGACGACGGGAGTCACGGAAGTCACCCGGCCTTTGGGGGTTTGGTTCCCCTGACAAACCTCAATCCCGCTACTTGAACCTTGCAACCAAGATTGAAATTCCCCCCAATTATCTTCTAATCATGCATACTGTACATTGTAGTACAGTTGTGATCACATTTTCCCATTCTTTTGGCTTGGACCTTGCAAGATGGAATGTTGCCCAGGTGAATGTGTGCCCCAACATAATTGACCAGCTAGCTTCATAGTTGTCCAGAATCCCCTGGAATTCGAGCCTAGAACGACCTTCTTTCCTCAAGGGTCATATATACCACGAAATTTCAAGTTTTATTCCTTTGGTCTTATTCTCCATCTATTCTCGTTTGAACTCATCTAATCAACTCAAGTTAATATTTGATATAATAAGCTGGTGGATCAAGCTTTCTCCCAAAAGGCCAAACGAGAATTTGGCGGCGCGACCTACACATTCTACTTGTCCAACTTGAATGAACACATTGAATTCCGCTTGTTGAGCTTTAAACTTCTGATTTTGTATCCAACCGGAGCCCCCGCAGTCTCCCTCAAATTCTACAATCGATGCTTGAAATCTTCCGAAAATAGACCTATCAACCCTGGAACAATAAGAACAATGCCCTTCATGTCCCCAGCATACCGAATCATGAAACAGTCTAATCAAAATTGTGACCCATCGATTGCACAGTCCACTCGTTTCCGCAAAAAAACCAAACTTGCAACGTCTTCCACTCTTTTAAACTTTCTCCGCATTATCAAAATCGACCTGTCACGGTCGGCTAATCGAAATGGACACCGCTTATCGCACGCAATAACTTGAAGATGTTTTCATCTTGCCATGTACGTCAAGACACATGGTAAATCTGGTATGCATGCCGACTTATCTTCTGATAGCTCTCAAGTCTTGTGGAGTGATGAATCGATTTGATGCAATCATGCCGCGTTGGTTGTGTATGCAGTCAGAAACCAGCTGATTGATAATTCATCGCGACATCACAATCTAAATACACTCAGTCTGCCTGATCATTGTGATTCCGGTGTTTTCTCAGTATTCGGGATTCTGAATTGACAATATTGAAATTGTGTTCCACCTAAATTTGAGTTAATCTCGAATCCGATAGTACTAGTATATACTATCTATCGTCTCCCGAGGTCCAGAGCCGCATCTACCGCACTATACCCCAATCCCGTAAACTTAAGAAACAGTATTCACATCAGGACCCCCTTCATGTCTTTAATTATTGATTAAACTAGGTATTTAGCCACAAGAAAGACCAATAAATTTACGTTGTCTTCCCATTATGATAGAATGCCCCCAAAAAGCTGTTGGGGCAGGTGTGGAGTCTTCCACGAAGGATTCATGACAGGATCCCAAATTGGGAAGCTGTGCATAATTTGTGCGTTTGAAGGATCGGAGAATTTGATTGCCGGGATATGCTTTCAAGGCTGTCCATGTGTGAAATTTCTCAATATTTGGGCTACCGGTCTTATCGCCTGGTGGACATCGGGATGCAATACTTTAACTTTTAAATAAGCTCTTTCCAAGGATTAGTTGAGGCTTGGATGGCTTAGAAGTATATCACTATCGACCTAGTCGGAAAATTTCCTTGCATCAAAAGAGAGGTATAGTATAATCTCAAGCTGAACAGGATAAGGCCATGGAGAGAGATGTGCATGTACATGGGTCTATCACAAGCAGCGCACACGGGATACTATCATCGGCAGATCGACAGGTATCGTACCTTATATAGCTTGGGATATAATTTTCAAAAGAAAGATAGCCCTTCAGAAGTGGTCATAGTATTGTATGCAGGTAATATTTTCAGCTTTAAAAGAGCAAGGAATTCAACTATTAGTAGATACTGATGGTGTACATCGCACATCGTACTACACACTCTATGTAACTCTATAGGTAGCCGGGCGTTATTCAAAATATACGAGGATCCGAAGGATTTAGAAAATATGTATCTATTTTTACAATTTGGGATTTTCTCTAAAAGTAAGGAAAATGAATAAATAAAACCAACAGAAAGACGGGCTGATCTCCATTTCGCTAAGTATAAAAAGCTGTCGCTAAGCCACGTAGACGGGAGGATTAGAGATGAATCGGCAACGAGAGGGGCCATTCCGGGGATAAAGAGCCAAGTTTGATTAATTTCCATTCCCTCTATTCAGAAAAGTGCGCAAAACCAACAGAGCCTCGTGCTAAATTGGTACACTGGAGTTCCTGAGGTCCTGATCTATAAGCTCCTACCAATCATTTTGGATTGCCCCGTTTAATTGCCCCACAGCCAAGGCGCAGCAGTGGGAGCCCTACTCAAAAGACCACCCCGTTCTTTCTTTCTAGTTATAGTTTTTTCTTAGTATCGTTAAAATAAACAAGTCAGGCATTTTTGAATCCCATTAGTCGTTGGGCATCCCTCTGGAAGCCTTGCACCCGAAGAAGTACCGTATCTGTAATATCTTAAGACTCGCATATCACCCACGAATGTTTACGTTCCGCGTCTTCGTACATTCATCATGGCCCCCAAAAGGCCCAATTTCGGGCCCAAAGTACTTTCCATCTCCCCAGTATGGATACTGGTTACTCTTATTTTGGCCATCATATTAGCTGTTGGCCATTATGCGTTTTTTCAACATTTGAATGGACGGCTTGTGCATGCTGAATCGAATTCAACATCTCACGCGACATCCTTCCACATTTCAGATCAACAGCTGAATACATCCATTGGTATCCTTTTTGCAATGCTGGTCAAGGGGTTTCTAGGGGCATCGATGACGGCTGCTTTCGATCAATGCGCATGGAGGGAATTAACATCAGGGCGAAGGGTGAAAATAAGATTGATCGATGACTTGTTCGTTGTGCTCAGAAATGGATTCATGATCCTAAATTTTCAACTATGGCGGCAATATTCTTTGGCCATGCTTCTTGGCACGATAATCTGGCTTCTTCCTATTGCTTCAATAATTACACCCGGCACATTGAATGTTTCATTGGCAGCAACGAGTTCTTCTTTGTTTACGCGCGTTCCACGGATCGACTTTACCAGTATGAAATTCGTGAATATGCAATCGCAAAATGTCAGCGGAGAGACCAAACGTGACATAACTGTTGTGTCAGGCCTTTATGTTGAAGAAACATACATGGGTCCATCTTTCGAGGCCGACAGTGTTGTGAGCAGCAGTGCTACGCAGGGCAAAGTGCTTTCCGTTGATTCCTTAGCCGTGAATGCATCTTGGGAACTAGATTTCCATGGCCCAGCCATCAGCTGCTCTACCGTCAATCTGACACTCGAAACTGCTATTACAGATGATGTTGTATCTGCCATTAATGCATCAGCTTCCCTTGCTTCCGGCACATCGGGGCGATCTATGGCTGCATATGGTTTTCTCTCATGGGTACCATACGACTCCTCCCTGAATGGATCGCAACCATTTTATGGAGTCAACAAATGGTCCTCAACTACACCGACTCCACGATACTCCTATATCGGACCCACAACAGGATCACGCAAAACGAATTATTCGACTCATGGAGATGTTTCTTGGTCAAATTCATCGCCATCCCCGCTGTCCTTCTTTGTCGCAACTTTTCCTCATATGCAGGACTCAAGTTACAAAGACGCAAGCTTAATGTGGCGTACAGCCTTGGATCCAAATATTATACAGTGCGCTTTATACAATGCTTCGTACGATGTCGATTTCACTGTCGAAAATGGCATGACAGGGGCTCATATCACGAAAAGGAAGCTTCTGAATAGTATCGAGTACATGGACATAATCAGAGTGAAAGCTAGTAGCAGCACTGGCTCGGATGACGAAATCGAAGACGAAATAAGATCATACCGAGCACTTTACGAGTCTCTTTCGTATCAAGCGGTGATGGAAAGCTTCTCACGTTTGCTTGTTGGCTCAATCACTGGAGAATTCAACCAGCAGAATTCCACAGATACGTCCTCGGACAGTGGACCAAATGCTCTCAAACCGAACATGACAAACTTAAATACGGAAAGTAGTGTCATGTTAACGGCATTATCCAACGCGAAGGAACTGGTTCTCATCAAGGCATCAAGCAACCAGGTAGACGCCCGAGATAGTTTCGCGACTAGCTGGTTGAAAAATTCGATCGATAAAGAGGCCTCCAACAACGCATCTCTTTCAATAATGGAAGCCTTAGAAGAGATGTTTCAAAACACGACTCTTTCCCTCATGACCTCTCCAAATTTCCAGTAAGTCTCCCCTCCGAGTCCTATTCTAGACACCAGCTAACATCTGCTTGTCCTACTTGACAGACCGAATTACTCTCTACCATCATCGCCAGGGAACATCTCTGTAACTATTTCTTCATATGAGACTGTCTATACCTATTCGAGGGCTATATTTTGGACTGCATACGGCGTTGCCATTGGTGTCACCCTTATGGGAGTTGCTTTAGGCTTATACGTCTACGAGGTCAACCACGGCTCATATATCACAAACTTCTCGACTGTCTTGCGTGTCATTCAAAACGCTAATATCGGAATTCCATTGCAAGCAGAGGACTGTAGTGGTAAGGAGCCTATTCCAGGGTTAATAGCCAATGCAACGATTTCTTTCGCTCAAGGCAACCGACGAGAGGATGCGTTTGAGCAGACTCGAGATGCTACAGTCATTAATGACGACCCACCACCCTACATATCCATCAGGGGTTTGCGTGATGATGCTCACTACTCTGAAGATCATGATAATGACACCGAGGAGGGGGGACATGGGGAACTTCAACTTGAAAATCATGATGCTGAAATGGGAGAAACCCACGAACCTGTTTCTCCGCTTTCAAGCTGGGGAGCTACAACCATGTCAAGGGTTTCATCACTAGACCGTCAAATTGGACATCATTTTTAGCTTGCATATACCCATTTGAATTTACGATATAATGCCAAATTTTTATCAGTACCACAGAGAGGAACCAATAAATTAGAAAAGAAAACATTCATCTAGCAAAAAGCATCATTTAGCGATCATTTTATTCGATATATCCAGTACTAGCCCGTAAGGTCCTAGCTTTGCAGTCATTACATAGCCTATGGGCAAAGAAGCACGGCAGCAAATCATGTGTCCATGCCCTCGGAATAATATGCAGTAGATTCAGATTGGCAGCGTCAAGTCATTATGCGTAGCTGAAAAATTCCTCTATGCAGGGGTAGCATGCTTGTGAGTCCATTCCCGTGCAATTTCCTCATATCGCTTCTTGTCGTTCTTGTATTGTTCTGCAATCCGGCCCTCGACCGCGTCATCGGGCATAGGCTCCGCGAGCAGCTGGCGGGCGAATTCTAGTACCGCACTGAGTTTCGAGCTGGGTTTCCATTCGTCTGCTCGCAGCATGCCGAGACACATGCTTCCTTTTTCGTCATTTGTGATGTTCGGATGGTATATCTTTGTCGCGAAGGAGACGGTAGGGGGTTTGAAGGGGTATCCGGTGGGGAGGGAGAGCTTGACTAGGAATTTTCCGTTCTGTATGAGGCAATTATTAGCAGGCTTTTCGTGGAATTGTATGGTGCAAGGTATCCGATTCCTCTGCGGCGGTCATCGTTTCTTGACAGGGTATGTTTCGCTCAATAGACGGTGGGGGGCCTTTGGTGCATGGTATCACAAGAACTATGTATTGGGAAGATGTTACTGACCTCATAAGGCGATCCTTCAGGGCCATCCATGTAGACCTTCCATTCGAATAGGTTCGCCTCGTCGGCTAGTTCGACGATAATGCCTTCTGGGGGCGAGGCTGTGAGCTCAGCAAGTTCCTAGATAAGCCAGAGACATCTCAGCGAGTCACAATATATAGCGACGGGTTCAAGAGCCAAACCTTTGCGATGCGCTTCTGGCTGCCCATGATGTCGAACCTGTCGCAGGGCGCGTGACAACTGCGGGGTGTTCTTGGTGGCAGTGAGAATTCGAGGGGCTCCAAGTAGGCCTGGAGAGAGGAGAATAATATGTGAGACAATTATTCAGCCACGCATTAAATTTCGAGTGCCGCAGTGTGAATGAAGTAGCTTGTCGGCAAAGCTCAAAGCTACGGGATTTGGAATAGTTGGGTGGGGTGCGCAAAGACGTCAGTCAGTATCGCCGGCCCGCAAGGTCACCCACCCACTCATTTGCCCCCAAAGTATTGGGTCTAGTCGGTGGCTGAGTTTCTAGCGATTACAAAATATAAGACACGTCTGAAGTTTCTTATAAATTGGTAGGAATATTCATCAATCTTTGTTTTTGACCACCATGTAATCCAATTCACGATTTCTATCAACTTTATACCGATTATTCTCGCTGCAGCATAACCATCAAGCCCATCATTCCCAATAGAACAGTCTTTAACCAGGGATGTTCCGATAACATGATTGTAACATAGCCTACCATGGGGATGTATCCTCGGACAGATCCAACAATATCAGCGTCTCTGTCTAGAAGGTCTTGACCTCTCGCATATACTAAATAGATCAATCGTTAGCGCCGCATTCTTGTAATATGAATAAAGCGAGGTTGCACAAACATTCGACATCGTCTGCAAGATTGTTGTCGCCCTTTGAAACAAGAGAAAAATATGTTAGCCTCTTTGGCCCTAGATATCGAAGGCTTAAGACGTCTGGCCGTACCTTAGTTAGAAGCATGTGGGTGTTCGGTGTGGTGTCCCTGTATCAACAGATCCTAAATTAGCAGCCGAACGGCCATTGGGTAGGAACAATCTTTTCTAGAATCCGCATACACTGTAATCTCCCTCACTTTGTTCGAGGCGTCTATTTCGGGGAAGGTTCGGACGACACGATGCACAATACTAGTCAAGGTTAGCTAGGGAACGTATTCGAGGTGGTATGGGCGGTTCGTACGGAATATCTTTTCCTCTCACATTGTATCTGTTCCTAGTCAGTATTTCGAATTTCTGCATGAACCGTCGATATTTCACTCACACTACCACCTCACCAACTTCGGCGCGAGGGCTGCGGTTCCAGAGCTAAACACATATTAGCCATCGGGTTGTAATCCAGAAATTGCCTAGACAAGCTCACAAAGAGTAAGTCACCACGTTGGAAGGCAGGCTCCATAGAGCCTGAAAGGACAACAACGATCGGGCTGCTACTCGCAGAGAAGATAGAAAGGGACTTCCATAGCATGAAAGCAGTTGAAAGAACGCTAAACGCCGTCAGCGGGTGATATGGGAAGATCGCGTGAAGGTGGAGAGTTACAGTGCGAAATTCAGGACCTGTGCTATTGTCTGGCGAACATTTGTGGCACCGGATGAGAGGGCGGACAGCATGGTGGGCGATGTTCGTGGCGCGAGGTGAAGAAGGGAGCTCCGAGAGAGTTGTTTCGAGGTGATATGAATGAGCGCAGGTAGCTGTTGATAAAAACTGAGATTGATACAGTTAGCTCCTATTAATTAAGCATAGCGTGGTCCAGCGACGACTCACTAGGCCCAGCAGTGCTGGTTTGAATGGCTTGTTGTTTACCAGGGTTGCGGAGCTGATCATTGATTGCGGAGATGTGGCCTCCTCGCTATCTCGCTCGCCGCCTTGGCGGCCGCCCTACATTGGACGCGCGACATACACCATTTGTTGTTGGGTATAGATTAAAGAACACTATTTTCCAACAAACCATATGGAAATAGCTGAGATAAGTTGCTTGGCAGAATACTCGTACTGAAATACTTCAATGTGAGAAAAGAAAATGACAATAGGCTCAAGTGCTGCTTTACAGTATCATAGACCTGCTGCATAACGCCAAGATATTGAAACTGATGACCTCGAAAATGATTGTATTAATTCAGATAGATCTCTAAGATACTAGCTTGAAGCATTCCAAGGTTTGAAGCCTGCATATTAAACCTCACATTTAAAAATAAAAAAACTGGCAGGAAGATACTGTAGGTTTCAATGTATTGGAGAAATAACTACCCAAGGGTGGATCTAGTACATGTATACTTAATGAACCAGCCCTGATTTAGAAGCTTCTGTCATGTATAAAGTTTTCGCGAACTGTGTGCTCATGTGTACATACCGAAGACTGGATCTCGGGATTAGACACTGGCAGTAACCTTGATTTGTCCACTTTTAAATCTTCACATATCCTCCCTCTCGTTGTTACTGACGGCTATTCAACAAGCTCGTTGGACGGCTCATGGGCCGCGTCACGAACATGGCCACGATGTGGTATGTTAATTACGAAGCTTATCCTGGTATCTTCATAATACAGTTTATACTCCATCCTGACATCATTTTTTGCGGCTATTAATATATCATTGGCCCACCTTACCATTTGAGATATCAGTCCCACAAGAAAACAGCTGCGCGGGCCCCTTCGTTTCAAACGGAATGTGAATATGCTTTGTAGCACCAACCACCCCTTGAAAGTATTCTCCCATATCGTCACGTGTATCATTGAATATTGAATTTATCATATGGGCAAACGAGGAGTAGCCGCTTAGGGAAGAGATCATGGTGGAACAGGAGGATAGGTAAGTGGCTTGCTAGCCTGCAGGTTGCCATTCTTCAGGGCCCAATTTGAAGACCCTCCTAACCCCGGGTTATTGTAGATCAAGACTAGATCGTTGGATCTTCTGCATATCTCAAGGAGGAGTATGTCATTCTTCGGAAAGGAGGCTTTCCTCCCCCTGTGGGTCACCGCACCAATACTTTAACAGACATAGAAGTACACGTGCACTCTAGAATTTGAACCTTGAGGTAAGTGAAAAATTTCCGACCCCTCTGCACTGTTTAAAACATTGGTATGGAGCTTCAACATATCGCGAAATAGACAGACCCTATCCAACGGCCTAAAATGGAGTCAAGTTCGGTTTCTACAGCCAATGAGCCCAAGGTCTCGCATAAGGGATTGCAAGACCATTATCTCGAGCTCACCCCAGATGGAAATGCTGTACGTTGGGGACGAGATAATCCCAAGTATCCACGAAATTGGTCTTTGTTACGAAAAATCTACGATACGACAACAATATGTGCATTGGATCTTTTCATGTTCGTTCCCTTTCTCCATCAAAGAAAGAAGTCATATTGGCTAACATTCTCCCACAGAACAGCCAGCAGCACTGCAGGAGTAAGTGAACTCAAATAGCTGTCTGTGAGACATAGTCGACTAATTAAAGTGTAGGCGGCTGCAGCATCAGAGGCAAAGCATGAATACCGTCTTAATCAAACTCTCGCAACCTTCTGTTTCGTGACAACGTATGTAAACTGGTAGCCCTATTTGAACTTTTCTGACCAAGCTGCAGATTTCTACTTGGCCAATGTTTAGGCAACATCATATTGCCAGCATGGTCCGAATCATTTGGACGGAAAAGGATGTACCTTCTAAGTGGTGGCCTCAGCTGTATCTGCTGTCTAATTATAGGACTTGTCCATTCTCTACCAATGGCTGTGACTATGCGCATTGTGTCTGGGACTCTTTCAGCTGTTCCTGGTACAATTCTGGGAGGAAGTATTGAGGACATTTTCAACTCACAGGCCCGAATTTGGGTAATATTTTTCTGGACTGTAGCTTCCAATATTGGTTTGATCATTGGACCCATTATGAGCAGTTTTATCATTGAAGCTCTCAATTGGTCAGTCATACAGTTTATAAAATCTTTGAAAATGACAACGCTGACTCAATCCTAGGCGATGGGTATTTTTTGTTTATGCGATAATTCTCGCTATCACCACATTTCTCTTATGCTTCAATAAAGAATCCCGATCTTCTCGCGTGTTAGCAACTGAGGTCAAGAGACTACATAATATAATTCCGACACTACCACCCGCACTCAATCACGACCATTCCCCCAATGTGCGAACTTTCATGAATGAAGCTTTATTCAGACCTGCACAACTTTTCTTCCGAGAGCCCATAGTTTTTGTTACTTCGATGATGATATCAGTCGCAATGTCTCTCATTTATATTTTTGCAGAAGCCTTCCAGCCAATTTACCAGTCTATGGGGTTTTCTGCATCTCACGCATCTTTGATATTTACAGCCATTGGAGTGGGGACGTGCTTGAGTGCTTTCACCCGTATCCTCGATCACCAAATATTCAATCGCCGACGAGCCCAAGGTCTTCCCATAAGACCAGAGCACAAGCTAACAGGACTAGCAATTGGTGCTCCATGTTTGGCAATCGGTTTATGGTGGTTTGGATGGACGATTCCTCCCAAAGTACAAGGACCCGACGTGCCGTGGATTGTGCCAACCATTTCGCTGGTTTTGGTCGGATATGCCTTGACAGAGATCGACACTTGTCTGTATGGATATATTGCGGATAGTTATTTGAGTTACTCAGCCAGTGCTACGGCTGCGGTGGCGTTTATGAGGGGAATGCTTGCTGCAACATTTCCCCTTTTCACAAGGCAGATGTTTGATGGATTGGGGGCTAATGTTGCCGTTTCAATACTGGCAGGTGTGGCAACTGTATTTTGTATTGCACCGCCATTGTTTATATGTCATGGTGAGAGGATTAGAAGGAGCAGCCGTTTTGCAAGATATAGCTGGGAGATTCAAGAGGAAATGGGGAAAGATGAGGATGATATTTAGCTTAATGTGTATACTAATTTGCTACCCATGCTGGTGGGTTACCTAGTAGAGTTTCCAGTGCCAATCAAATAAGATTCAAAGAAATGTCTCTTCTAATTTATAAAAGTATAGTAATATTTGAACGAATTTCACGAATTTCAAGGCTGAGTATATCCATATATGGTAGAAAGAAAACAGTAAGAATTTGTAGTAATTACAAGAGCATCCAATACTGCAATGATCAAACATAACTGGTTTAAGTCGACAAAAGAAATCAGAAAAAGGAAGACATTCTCAAGCTTCCTGTGTGGTAGGGCCAGCTTTGTCTTGTTCCTGGTTTGTTTCCCAATAGATATTTCCCCTATCACGCTTTGTGATAAGGCCATATACATCGAAAGGATCGATAAATGTCTGAATCCAGTGACGAGGATCCTCATACCCCGGCCCTTCAATCTCAGTGATGCCATCCTTAGTAAGGTAAATTTTGTTCGATCGTGGTAGTTTCTGCATCGGATGAAACACATTCAGCATAGTGGTATTGGTGTACATGAACGCCGTTTCGAAGAACCAGAAAAACCACTCTTGCTTCAATATAGGACTGAGATTGTCAAGATTGGTGGAAGTGTTGAGGCTGGCAGCGGTGAAATATTCCACGGTACGGTAGATCGTTCGAATGGTGATAAGCGTACAGCTGATATACATAACAATAAGACAGCGCTTTATTTTATCATTCAACACTCCGCCTTTTTTGCAGTTGGAATGGAAACGTGCCGCAAGCGCGACAAACGCTGCCATTAAGAGGAGCTGTAAAATCAAAGCTGCCTTCAGAAGTCCTTTGCCAATATTCTGTTCGGCCGCCGTAGAGTTGGAACTAGCAAGTTTGACGGCACCATTGGCAGTTATGACCTCGATTATAACTCCAAGGGCAATGAAAGTTGAATAAACCCGTCCAGGATGGATAGGTGAATGATATGGAATATAGTATAGGATCCGGCCCAAGGTAAAGTAATTGGCACCCTCGTATACCGGTCTAGAAAAGTAATAATAAGATTAAATTTTCAAATCACATATGTATGCTCAAGGGGGACGGGATGGACTGACGGGCCAGCGAGCAATAGAACAGTGCTAGCAATATACAGGTTCAAGTTACCCCATTGTCCAAAAGCAGCAACACTGCGAGTAATGAATCCTCCGGTGAAGAGGAGGGCGGACCAAGGCAAAAGGCCGGTAACTTTCCATGATTTATATTTCCTGTTGAAATTAGCCTAAGCCTTGCAAATATCTTGAGATGCGAGCGATACATGGTCTGGTAGAAATGGATAGCGCCAGAGACTGCGAAAACCATCGCGAACACGATGGGAGCGCCTTTATTTGGTGCGTAGAACCAAAGGCTGCCATCCTCTATTGATAATATTGGTATTAGCAGGGTACATTGGATTTAATGGCCTTAAGCGACTCACGGTATGAGCGTGCCTCAAGCATCATGGAATAACTTCTTTGAACCTGGGAACGCAATTGGTATGATATTGGTCGAGTTTATGGCAATATCAACGGTTCAAAATGGCATATGTATTAACCGTGTAAGAATATCGTCTTGTTCAAGGGGTTTTTGTCGGTTGTAACTACTACTTCTTGGTACGTTAAAAGCGGAGGGGAGCTTGCCAATCTATATATATGTTGTCTGAAGAAGATCTACAAATCATGATTCGGCGCGAAAGCCTTGAGAAGAAGCGAAAACGAGTTTCCCAATTGGGTCATTAATCGCGAAGTACATGTGCTGGTGCAACGAATTAGAATCCATGGTTTTAGATCTCCGAACACGAGACACGGGTAAGGACTACAATAGATTCAAGCCTTCGAACAAGGCGCAAGGTTTGCTTTGCCCAGATACGAGCGGGGCTAATGTGGGCCAAAGCGTTAGTATTAAGGATTGCTGGGGCCCTAGCTGTTACCAGAGTTTTTTTTTTTTTGAGCGTGTGAGACTCTGCAGATGATTGATCGCCCTGCCATGGCTTGGAGTACGAGTTTGCCTAAAAGGGAAAGCTCGTACTCGGGAAGTGGATACTCGCTGTCCAGCGGAACGGCATGAGGCTATGGCGCTCAATGATTTTACTCACCACGAGTAAGTCCATAGCACGGGACCAATGCAGCAGAAATAACCAACTAAAGGGAAAATGATTAATTCAAGAAAAAGTCAAATTGATTAGAGCTCTAAATTTTCAAACATGTTGTTTTGCACATGCGAGGACTCGAGTACCGATGAGTAATCATGCACAGCTGAATTAGCACGTGATGATTAAATGGTTGCCGGGTCAACGCGCATCTCATCCACAAACGGCAGGAGAGATGGAGATCTGTGGACAACCAGAACTTGTTTTCGATTCTTGGTCTCCAAAACTCCACAACCCAATGCTTTGGAGCCCACATCAAATCGATACCCATCAAAATGCCGTCTAAGCAGCCCCAAACGTCGCTGTTCCAGGTATACCTCCGTTTACGCCCCCCGATCGCCGAGAAACATGACGAGTCCGGTCGCTTCCTTGCTGTCGAGCCTCCCGAGGGGCAAGATGATGGCGAGATTGTCGCGCCTGTCTCAACACATATCACGCTACAGCCTCCAAACGATTCGCGAAAGCGTGCCATCGAAAAATTTGGATTTACGAAAGTCTTCGAGGAGAATGCATCTCAACTGGACGTATTTCAAGACACCGGTATGGAGTCGATGGTGAGAGGCGTGCTGAAAGAAAGTCGCGATGGATTGGTGGCCACTCTTGGAGTCACAGGTAGTGGAAAGGTCTGGTTAATCACCCTGCAATATCACTCGCATAGTGCTCATAATTGTTATAGAGTCATACAATCTTAGGATCCAAATCGCAACGCGGAATCACGCAGATGGCCTTGGACGTCATTTTCCGATCGCTCCAACCGACACTCAAAAGTGAAGATGCCAGCATCAGCCCCATGATGCTTGCATCGCTAGCTGGCTCAGATACATCCGAAGCGCAAATATTCTCTGCCCAGACCTTTCTAGAAGCCGTCTACGGCGAACCCAATGGAGACCGTGGTCGCAACTCGAGAGCGCAGACTCCCATGAGTCCTTCTCGTGCACAAACCCCACTGACGGTACGAAGCCCTGAAACCCTGAACCCCCAAGGATCGTCAATCAAACGTCCGCATACCCCTGGTTCTAGTCTTTTAAGACTATTCATGAAGCCTGGAAGCCCCCGCGAGGTGGACACAACTCCAATGTCCACTCATTCTCGCACGAATTGGCCCATCAAAAGCCCACTAGCGAACGAGGACCAAGGAAGGAACCCAGCCCAATTCAATCCCCTTCCCTATACCCGTTCCAATGCCCATGAAACTCGTTTAGCTAAACCACGACTTATTGTCTTCAAGGAGCCGACCCCTGCTTTGGTATTTCCCCGTCGCCAGCCCCGTGATCGTCCCAGCGCACTTCCGCGACTTCCAAATGTTAGCCATTTAGCCGTCGACCTAAACCAAGACGCCGATTACGTGGTGCTGGTTTCTATGTATGAGGTATACAATGATCGAATCTTCGACCTTCTATCTCCTGCTATCAACCCAGGGCAAGGTAATACGATGTCTCGTGGAAATAGTCAGAAAGACCGTCGACGGCCCCTTCTTTTTAAACCCACTGAAGGCTCTCCGGATCGGAAACTAGTTTCAGGTCTTCGTAAAATTGCCTGCAGCACTTACGAGGAAGCATTGGCTATTCTTGACGTTGGCCTGACGGAGCGCAAAGTAACAGGCACTGGAGCCAACAGTGTCAGCTCTCGAAGCCACGGTTTTTTCTCTCTGGAGGTGAAGAAGCTGATCCACAACAAACGATACGGAGAGGCCACATGGGTAGGAAACACTCTTACCGTTGTGGATTTAGCAGGTAAGTCACCCTGCCAAAGCAATTTTATATCCATAACCTAATGTTTGTAGGATCGGAACGCGCAAGAACTGCAAAGACAGCCGGCGCAACCCTTGCTGAAGCTGGAAAGATCAACGAAAGTTTGATGTACCTAGGTCAATGCCTGCAAATGCAGAGCAACATACAAGATGGCGCTAAGGTGAGTGTGTTCTATGACATTTTGATACGAGAAATGCTCACACTATGTAGACTGCGCTCGTTCCTTTCCGCCAGTGCAAGCTCACCGAGCTGCTTTTCTCCAACTCTTTCCCATCTTCCAATCAGATGTCTCGCGGGCAGTATCCCCAGAAGGCTCTTATGGTTGTTACTGCGGATCCCCTCGGCGACTTCAACGCCACGTCTCAGATCCTACGTTACTCCGCATTGGCTCGTGAGGTTACGGTACCTCGCGTTCCATCGCTCACCGGGTCAATTATCTCGACTACCTCGGGCCGAGAGCGCTCTATCAGTGGGCGAACATCACCCAATGCGGCCTCAGCAGAAGAGCTTGAGCGAGCAGTGGCTGAGATCACACGACTCGGCAATGATTGCCATGGTCTCGCCGTGCGCTTGGCTGAGGAGGAAATTGCGCGCTCTGAAATGGAAATCAGATTGCGAGCAGCTGAAGATAGATGTGTCGATATCGAACAAGAAGTTCGAGAGGAGTGCTGGGCTGAGATGGATGAGATGATGGAAGTAGAACGAAGACGCTGGCAGAGCGCCTGGGATGATCAGGTATGTCGTTACTGCCTAAATTATCTGCAGGCTTCATCATCGCTAACAATTAACAGACCGGTCGTAATGATGAACACGTCGATCGAAAAATTGACTTAGTCTCACGTGGCTTCAACAGTAAGTTCATACGTTCAATATCATTTCCAGCATTGGTACCTCACCACTGACAACCCATAATAGTTTATGAAGACCCTGATACCCCCTCCAATGATAGAGTCGAGGAGCTCGAGAACGAAAACGACCAGCTCCGCTGCCGTATCGCTGCTCTTGAACGTGAAATGAATTCCCAATCCCCCACTCGAAAGCCAAGAGCCAAGAATGCTGCGGCTAGCCACTCATCTAACATTCTTGGCCGTGAGAGTGATATCGAAAACGCCTTACAACGCATGAATCAATTAAACCTTACGGACAGCATGTTTTCTCCCCCATCTCCATCGGCCTCACCCACCAAATCGGCCAAAAAGACGAGGAAATTGGCCACAAGGAAGATGGACCTTGACCCAGAAGTGGATTCTTAATCCTTTTTCTATTTCACTTGCTTTATGTTTCACGACTGTTACGAATGTTTTTACATATGAACTGCTGGACTTGGTGGATACCCCCGTGGGCAAGGATACTCTTGGCTAAGGCGTTTGATCTGTTTCTTTGCGTTGAGCACCCTGAAATAAGGCATAGATAATCTTTCTTATTTCAAATGTTGTTGATTTCAATTTGTTACTCGACATAATATGGCTGGCTGTTCAATAACTCAAATGTTTTTAATCCTCGATAGACCTTTCAAGGAATCTTTAATATTTTTGAGCTATTTGATATCTTTAGGCAATATACCACCTGATGCATGCAATCTGTCTAGTTATTTATGATTCAAGATGGGTTTCTCCCTCGAAGTACCAATGCGGATCGTACATGATAATATTTACTAGTAGCCGCAGACTATTCGAACTACCCAAACCCATACTATGACCTTTCTGAGGCTTTCATTTATTGTCTAGGGAGAAGAATGTGATCTCTCACGAGCGCAACACAGTACACATCATGAAAAGGTAAGAATATTTTGAATTATGAACTTCAGGTGCCCACATCAGTAAAAAAGGTCACCAGCTGGTATCAATGCATAGCTTAAGCCACCGGGCTTCCATGACGCCGTTCCCTAGTCTTGAATAACATAACAAACGCTAAGCGCGAAAAAGATACTAATTGAAATATGAGCTGGACGGGAAAACGCCAAACGAAAGTGAATGTAGGGCACGATAGAGCGATCTCAAGCAGTGCTAGTATCCATAGCTTCTGGATCATCGGCATCTTTCTCTGCCTCTGCTTTTTCATCATCTTGATCCTCTTGCTCATCAAATTTGCTTTCGTCCTCTTGCATCTCATCTTCATCGCCGGCATCGTCGGCATCCTGGGTCTCCTCGCCATCGCCATCAGTTTCATTGGCGCCTTCATCGTCTTCGCCTTCCTCTTCCTCATTACCATCATCATTTTCTTCTTCGTTCCCATAATCACCGCTGCCAGCATCATCTTCAGTTTCTCCCTCAGCCAACTCTCCTTTGCGCAAGTTCGAAAAAGCCTTCGACTTTTGTTCTGAAGATTCTTTATCAAGAATTGACTCATCGACGTCAGTCAGCTCACTATCATCGCCACTGTCACGAGCGTCGGCGGGATCTGTATTTTGCGTGTCAAGATTGTGACTAGTGGCAGAATATTCTTTGCTAGCCCCTTGTGGGGTAGAACAAGGCCCTGACGCCACCGCAGCATTGGAGCCACGTCGAGCTGGCGTTCCTTGTTCGTTCTCTGCGCCCGAGCTGAACTTGTTAGTTGCAGTACGTGGCGCCAATTTGAGATTCACAATAGTATCCGCTCGCTTCTGGATATCGCGGCGAGCAATGCCCTTGGTTCTCCCACGAGGAGCTGGAGTGTCTGATGCTGGAAGTGAGGCAGCGGGGGTCGATGGTTCTGTATTGGTGTCACCAGCCATGAGAAGATGATCAACCTTCATCTTTTCCTTGTTCTCGTCGTTCACTTGCTCCATGAGGAGAGGCAGGTTCAATTCATATACCCGAGAATATAGGTCTGCAATAAGATCTTCGAACATGGTGACTTTCATAAAGTTATTGTTGAGCTTCTTCAACTCCAAAGCATCGCGAATGAGTTCAAGAAGAGATTGGCTTCCTGGTGCCAACGTACTTAAGCTTTCCAGACGAGCCGTCTTTGAGGAAAACTCTTCCCAACCGATGGGTTTGAAGACGGTTTCTTCATGACCCTCATTGATCTCTGCAGCTCGCCGGATCATTTTCGCATATGCCAGGCAGATATCCTCCCACAGCTGGCCATGATTGATGAAATCGCCTTGTTTCTTTCTCACACGACGAAGCAATTGGTCCAAGCTAGCACGATCGTCGAGTTGGTCTAGCAAATCGACAAAGAAATAAACGTAACGTGTTGTGTAGACGAAGTGCCTACCAGGTCTTTCAAATTCAGGGCGCCACACTTGGATTGTAAGCGTTTTCGTGAAGATCTGGGACATCTCATGTTTAGCAGCTGCAGCTGTTGTCGCATTCTTGTCATCATCGTAAATTATATGTGCAGCCTGGTCAGATTAGCAAGTGAACTTTTGAACAGCAGATTGAGATGGAAAAATTGTACCTTAGCGCTCATCCGGTGATGCCAGTTTGATTTGTCCGCATGCTTGAACTTCTTTATAATTTCAAGGGCATATGGCTTCCAACCTTCCATGGTCTCGGGTGGATCGACTTTGCGAGCCCATGGGGTTACGGAAAGAGTTTTGCTTCCATCAGATGGCTAATGTTTCGATCAGCGAAACCCGGTCAAGTGAACAAGTGAACAAATGGACTATTTGGACTTACACTCAAATTCTCTCGAAGGACCAGTCGATGAACAACAGAAAAAAGCTTGAAGTGAGGCTCAAAGATAGGATCAGCACGGGAATCTCTTCGCTGTGGAAGAGCCTCGATAGCATCGTGGAAAGCATCAAGGACATCTTGCATCTCAACGGCTTTAGATGTTGTACGCAAGGAATCATCGCAATTGAACATCTTCCAGAGACACTTTCCAAGGAAATAATGTGTCCTAATAGACAATTAGTTTGCATGTGACTCATTTGCTAGTGGGTTATTGGGATTACTCACATCCATTGCTTTGGCTTGTCGATAGTTGCTCTCCTAAGAAGGTTGCTAGCAAAATTCCAAACGGAATAGCGAGACATCGCTTTAAACGGTTGCGCTTTGTACATTTGTTGACTTTCTTCGCTGCTGAAATGTCGAGAGAAATCTTCCAAGCTAAAGGCCCCCATAGAGAGAGGATCGCGGGAGGAAGAATACAGGCGAATTCCGAAGTCTGTATAGAGATCTGACAGCAAGGCTCGTGTTTCCGTTGTGGGTGGCGCGGTTCGAATAGCCACAGAAACGGCCATCGCGTAGCAATGAATTGCATATCTCTGTGTTGCCGCGAGTTCGCTGCGGTTATTATTGATCTTATCTGCGGTCCACGTAATATCTTCTTCCAGTTTTGTGTCATACGCCTGTGCTAGCCGATACCACGTTTCCCACCGTCCTGTTCCGTGATCCAGGTCTTGTCTGAAGAAATTGATAGCGTCATCCAGTTCTGAAGTCGACCCAGGACTTAGACGCTTCTGAGCTCGGAACTTGGTGAGAGTAGCATGGCCCAGGAGGAAGTACCATCCTTTGGCAGCAATCTTGGCGTTTTCTCCAGGCACTGGAAGCATGGAAAGATCCGTCACTCCTTGGACTGCGCGTAGAAGATGTGATGGATTCATAGGAGCTTTGATGTATGCGCTGAATACACGACGGTTAAATGTCATTTGTGGGGATTGAGAAGGCGGCCTTGCTGGGCCGATTGCGCTTTGCATTTTTTCAATCGTCGTCTTCAGCTCAGACTTTGACAGATCTTTCATGTTCATTTTGTGGGCCTGGCTCATGACGAAGTCAATCATCAACGTGGCTGTGTGACGATCCAGTTTCTCGGGTGGGCATCCATGATCAGCAGTTCCATCCAGAGGGGAAAACTTGATACTATGGAGATCAAAAAGAACTTGACAGATGTCATATTCGTAATCACCTTTGGTTTCGAGATCAAGCAGCTCAGACTTGAGGAGCTTCAGGAAACGCTTTTGGGAATATCTGCACAGGGATCGAACCCCCAGCGCATTGTGTATGGAACGAAGGATGTGAATGCGATCCTCCAATGGTTCATTGAAAACTTCCTTATTTTGCGAGATCGCTTCCAAGAAGAGAGTGTAAAGCAAAATCCAGCAGCGCACGTAGGTTTCCCGCATTCTCTCCTTGCAACTTTCTAGGCTTTTCGCTAGGCTTCCACGAAGATCGCGACCAGAGATTTGGCCCACACGGACCGAATCCTCGTACAGGATAAAACTATGGAGAAGTCGGGCTAAACGAGCGATTGCTGACATGGACGATTGCAAATGGTTCATATCCAAGCATTCATAGGCCTTCTCCAACTGCTGTAAAACAAGCGGGATGGCTTTGCCCATGATGCCATCTATTGTTTTCAGACAGCTTAACAAAGTCATCTGGCGAGCTCCACTTGCATCTTGGATATGTTTGACGTCTTCCAGCTCTGTCATGACCGTCTCAATGCTGCGCAGGTAGCATGAGACGACTTTGGGCGGATAATCGATGCTCTGGTACGCCTCTTGAAGCTTTCGCCAGAGGAAAAGTCGCAAGGTGGCATCCCCACGGTCAAGAAAAGATGCCATTTCGCTGGCGTTTGAGGAGTATTTGGCTGGCTCATCCTCAGATGAGTTCTCTGGCTCAATTGAAGAAGGTTCAATAATCGGCTCGATTGCCTCAATAAGCGAAACAGGATCCTCGCCATCTGAATTGAACACTTTGGTAAAGAAATCCATGCATTTCAGTTTGAGAGCCTCTTGATCTATAGTGGCGATCGACAATTCAGCCATTATAGAGTTATTCACGAGGCAAATTAGAGGATCGTTGATGGGCTGGAGAATTTGTTTCAAGTCCTGAAGGCATAATAGGACATGGTCACGGTCAGCTTCCCCGGCAAGGTTAAGATGAAATGTCGATGCCCATAAGTGGCGGAACGAAATGTTCTGACGGCACTCTTCAGACGGGCAATGGTCTATTGAGCACTCCAGGGAGGTCCGGGCAAGCATGGCCCACCTGGCCAATCGATCGCGCTGCGAGATTCGCTTATGTTGGCCTGCATCATTACTTAGATTTTCAACAGATGCAAAGATATCTAAGTGCAGCTCATAAATGGACTGGATCATCTCGAGGTCAGAGAAATCTTTCGTTTCATACTGGAATGGGCTGTCGGGGCTTGATTCAAGGAGACGCCGCTCCAAGTTTGCAACATCTTGACATAGCCTAGCAAAAACAGACTCATCTTCATGCAGTAGAAGATCCATGGTAATCTTCTTTAGATCTTTGGACCACAAGAAAGAGGTATATGCAGACTTCATAGCGACAAAGCTTGAGGGCTCATCTCCGAATTCCGGCATAAGTAGGCATTTGAGCCATTCGAATGATATATCATGCGGGTGCATGAAGCGGCTATTGGCAGAGCTCGAGAAAGCGTATAATATATCTCCAGACGGTAGTTCTTCTTGGATGGCCTGTTTGCGAGTTGTCTTTCTAGAATGCTCAAGAAAAACAGCAAGATCTGACTTGCTGGATCCAGAAATGCCCTTCAAGGAAGAGGCATCTTCTTTTTGTTGCATTAGCCGCGACTTTTCGTCATTCCAGTGTTTGATAAGACCACGTAAATCATGGAATAATCTCGTCTCGGTGTCTTCTGGAGGGTCATTGCTTTCGTTCAAAGTGGCCAGCTTTTCCCTGATGTTTCCTATCGTTCCAAGAGCTAACATCTCGACTTTGGAGAACAGAGAGCCAAGAGTGCTAAACATCCATTCATCAGCATTGACGAAGATTTCTAAGCGGTCTTCGTAATATTTCTCTTGATCGAATGCAACTTCTTCGTGTTGTACTAGTGCATCTGCGTTTGATTCACGAGCCCTGGTACGTCGGCTTTTCATACGGCCTCCCTCTGGGGGCTCTTCATTTGCCGCGGATGCGGACGATCTTTTACGCGCGGCAGTTGGTGATTTTGACTCTGTGTCGTCTGCGTTCGTCTCATCCTCGGCCTTCTGTTCAACTGGCTGGGTATAGTGTCCCTCGAGTGATTCCATGAGCTGTTTCTCTGCGCTTTGATCAATGGAGGATTGTTCCTCTGCTGGCTCCGATGGATCGCCAGGGGCAGCAATGACGGGATCCTCAGCTTTATCTGCTCGCTCATTTTCTTGAATCATGTCAACATCCTCATTTCCGTCCTTGGTTTCATCTTTTGCTTCAGGTTTGGCTTCGTCTTCCGCTCCGTCTTCTATGCTCTGGGGGTCGTTTTCGCCGTCTTCCATTTTTACGGACATACTATCCAGAAGTTCGGATTCTCTGGGGGGCATCGTTATCAGAAGTGAGCGACTGGAAGAATCGCCAATCGGGGCTTCCTCCTCTTCATATAAGGCTTGAAGGATTGCTTTGCCCATTGATTCCCAGGTGGCATGTGATGGAGTTATTTCTCGCCGAGACGTGGGCAGAGCCAGTGGGCCTTTCGCTGAACTCAGGTTACTCAGGTCATTTGGCAAATTTGGTAGATAAGGAAAAGGATCCTCATGCTGCTTAAGGTATTTGACCAAAGCCTTTTTCGGCTTTTTGATGGGAACTTGGGATGCGGATAGCCCGTCAAACAAGGAGGTTAGGGTGGCTCTTAGGCGCTCCTCAGAAAAGATCTCCTCCAAGCCGAGTTGCTCTGACCGTATCTCAAGGCGGTTATCATCGTCCGCAAGAACGCTCTCCAAGCAGAATCGATTTAAGCGATAACTTTCCAAGGCACTGCCGAGTCTTGCGCTTTGCCTCCATAGATTCAGGTCCGTGTCGTCCCTCTCCAGGGCATTAGCAAATGATCCCAATGCCTCTCTAGACGCTTCCGCTGTTTTCTGTGCTGTCTCGGAGCCTGTTGGGGTGGTTCGAATGGTTTCGTGTAGCGAGTCAAGGAGGTATTTGCCATGGTTCTTGTAGGATAGGTAGAGGGTTTGGAAAAGGCTCGATGTGGAATCATTAACGTTGAATTCTGCGACTGTATCGGTGGGGCCTTCATCAGGAATTGCTGTTGTTTGCGAGTCTGCTTCTATTGCGCGTTTGAAGTCCGAGAGCGATTCGGGGTATTTGAAGATCTCCGATTTGAGTAGAGCGTCATAAGCTTTTGCTGCCTGTGCATAAAATTCCGGTCCTTGTGAGTGGAGCTTCAAGGCAGTTTGGTACAGCTTCAGCGCCTCCTCAATTTGAAGCTCCTTGGTGTCGTCAACCTCATCTTCAATGCCATCATCTGGCTCCACGTTTAATGCGACCCAGCTTGCCATTATTACAGCTCCGACGCAGGGCTAAATAACAAGAGAAAAGTCAGGTGTAAGTGGATTGCAGCAGCATGACCATCCTGCGTTCATTGGTTCTTGAAACAGGTGAGAGATCAGTCAATTCGAAACAAAGTAGACGATTTGGATTAAAGATAGCAATCGCCGACGCCAAACACGGGATCCACGCGTGCGGCCAAATCAGGCAAGAGCGCTCGCTCTCCGCCTTTGTTGCCTGGTGGCCTGAACTCTGTCGGATTGTTTTAGTAGCTTATCATCTCCCCTCCATCCTTAATTCCATTGATCTGGTCTCTATTATTTGTGATTAACTTCAGACTTTTGTTTTTACTTGGATTCATCCCTCAAAACCCCCGTCTTTGATCTTGCCGCGTTTCGTGCAGGCGCCATGGTTGCGCCCGCTGTCCCTGAGTATGTTGCTGTCCCCGGTTTACGTGTTCCCCCGGATTGCATGCGCATGGCAATTGTCTTTGATCGACAGGGGTTCGGTCCTACCAAGTTGGCCGAATACATGACTGACCCTCGAAAATCACATTAGGATCCATGAGGAGGAGGAAATCTATGTTGCCGTTGAAGCGCGTACCGACTCCTTGCAGAGCTTGCGGGAGCTGGGGCCCCCAGATTTGGTATATTTGGTGAAGCAGCCCAAGGCGAACTCAACTCGCCAGGTCAGTTTGATATTATCTTCCCTAAGTTTTGTTCATAATTGACATTGTTTCTCTATTTAGACCGGTGTTTACCACCATGTGACAGGAATCGATGCCTCTTCGTCTGCCAGTCTCGCCGCCTATGTGAACACCCTTACCTTCTCCCCGCTCGACAAGACACACAAAGTAGTATCAGGAATTTACTGGTGAGCATGGAGAACCATTGCATTCATTTTTCGCATCTCTGACTTCCATGCAGCTGCTACAATGCTTTCTCGCACCTGGACATGAGAGTAGAGGTTAAGATTCCTGGCAGCTTGGAGGCGTATTGCATAGATGAGCGCGGAGACAAACGGGTAGCCACTGAGGCTTTGTGGCTTGAAACCTTTCTCTGTGCCGTGCTCAGAGCTTATATCTACGCCGATGATGGAAGCGGAGACCAAATCAAGAAGATTGTCGGTGTCCGGCGCTTTAACCCAATTACCAATACAGAAATGGAGCACAAGTTCTTGGACGCTGCCGAGAAACTTTTCTTCCTCGGTGAGTACTATGTCGATTTCCAAAAAAAAGTTCCGTTTATTAACAAAGCGACAGGGCGCCAACTGAGCTCCGACCCTGAAACCCAAGTTCCGAACACAGTGAGTAACCACCTCACTTCGGGCATCCTCAAATACATCCACACCACGGGCCGTTACACATCCGGAATCAATCTATTCGAGAAGCTGCGCACGCGGGATGTCGAGGTCTCGTCACTCTTAGCACGAGTACAGTTGATGGCCGACGAGGAGGTCCAAGCAGTGCGATTGCTGTATGATGCTCTGCAGGATGTACCAATGGACTACGCTCTGCTCGATTGCCAGGCGTCTTTCTGCCAGACTAAGGGCGAGGGCGAGATGGCCTTGGAGTGTGCCGAACGAGCTGTCACTGCGGCACCTAGCGAGTTCACTACCTGGGCTCGTTTGGCCGAAGTATACGTTGGAATGGAACAATGGGATTTGGCTTTGCTCACTCTTAATTCCTGTCCCATGTTTACATACCAAGATAAAGATACACCACGCATGCCACAGCCATCCCGAATTATGTTGCCTATTCTTTCCGAAAGCATGCTCGATGAGATCGATGAAGGTCAGCCCAAGCAAGGAGATCCACATGACTATATTCATCCCTCCCTGCGGAAATTGCATGCTGCCAGCTACCAAGGTACATTCTTGAAGGCATATAACCTGCTCACGAAGGTCGCCGCGGCAATTGGGTGGGATCAACTACTGAGAGTCCGGAGCGAGGTATTTGTCATGGAGGAGGAATATCGTGTTGAGCGCCAGCATGTGCCTAAGCCTGCGCAATCACTTGATGCGGAGATCAATGGTGATAGCATCAGCGACGAGACCGAGGATAAGGAAGATACAGGCTCCGTTTCAGGTCCTGGCTTAGTGGAACCCTCAAACGAGGCTGCCGCCAATGGTCTTTCAAATGAGGCAGCGGCTGAGAGCTCTATCGAGCGCCCAGAACAAACCGTAGCCTCGGAGGTAGTCAAGTCCGGTAACGATGATGTAAGTCAATGTGTTTTGCACTAAACACGCTTATATGATGCTAATGAGTTCGCTAGCCGGATCCATCACACAGTGGATACACTCAATTCCGCAATAAGCGCCTCTGTGAGCGATGGCTAGACAATCTTTTTATGGTTTTGTATGAGGACCTCCGAATTTACACCATCTGGCGGACAGAAATGGCCCAATTCCGCCAGCAGGCGATGGAGTACAAGAAGTCCCCCACCGAATGGGAGATACTGGGTGAATTAGCAGAGCGACTCCACCACTTCGACGAGGGAATTGAGGCTTACCAGAACGGTTTGGCCATGCGATTCTCACCCAAGGCCATGCGTGGTCTGCTTAAGCTTTACGAAAAAAGAAATGATACCCGTGGAATGCTGGGGGCACTTATCCGTCTTATCGCATGGCAATATCGTTGGTATTCTGAGGTAAGAATTCCGTACCACAACAAAACAATCATAGCTTCAAATACTGACCTACCTAGTTCTCTCCGGAGCTCTTGTTCATGATGCGCAAGTTGATTGAGGATGAGGGTGCTGTCAAGGTTCGCAGTATTGTTCAGGCTACCAATCTCCCTCAGCCTGTTTTAGACCTCACCCATCAATACTGCCAGCTGTGTGCCACGTTCCGTAGCAGTGGAAGTGACACTTAAAGTTGATAATGGTAAATATTCTGTGTTTGAAGCGCTAGGGTGAGGCTGTTCTGCAACCATATTCGTCTGGTGTTAAAATCAAAGGGCGCCCGCAGAGGTAATGATATCCATTCATGATGCCTGTTTTTTTTTACTACATAAGTAGTTCTTTTCTTATTTTCTTTGCCTTCTCCTGTCAATTCAAATCGCCTCGGTGTATCTTAGATGGTATATAGTACATCCTAAAACTGGTGTAACCTTACATTTTTAGAAAGATCTAACAGAAAACGCTGTAGTGGTGATCCGGTTTTCCACCTCTTCCTTGTCTGTTAGAAAGAAGCACATTGCTGATGGCTTTCATTCCCCATCATACCCAGAGGTAGCGGGGTTGTTAAAGAGCGCGTAAGAACCATCTTCATGGAAAGATTCTCTACGACAGTGCAGCCCGGCTTTGTCAGATACGATGGGTTATTGTCAATATCTGGCGCTCACTTAAAGCTATCAAACAGGGCCCACTCGTTATTTATAGTGAGAGCACATTACAACACAGTGATTGAATACTTAATACCTAACCAGATGGACTACTCAATTAATACGCGGGTCAAAGCCCCAAGAGAGGAAAAGGGATTGAGAATAACAGTGAACTGGGAAATTGCAATGGAAAGGCATAATTCAGGGGCGGATATGGTCTTAGTTGGTTGACATGAGGGCTGGAGAGTTGCTTCTGATGAACATTTTTGATTCAGAACTTGCTAGGGAGGTTGGCGAAGGGCTTGTAGCGGTTCATTCTTGAGATAGGGAAGGGAGAGAGAGAGTATTGAACTTAGGTGTTTTGCTTTTTGACTGGATAAGTTGTTGAATTCCTGGAAAGATTCTCTAATCTCTAAGGGATCCTTGATGAAACGTACTGCGGCAAATAATGTGGTGATTTCATACCTTCGATCTCCATTTCAGCCCAAGGTCCCCGAACTACATGTGCGTAATTTTGAAAGCATTATCACACTAAAAGTTCGCACTTTAGTTCTGAATAAAAAAAAAAGAACGGGACAGTATACAGGTTGAGTTCCGAATCAATTTGCCCATTCCTTGTAGGCGTTTCAGAGTCAAAAAACGAGGCTGGGCGGCGGGGTACTAGTGATGATGTTTCACAAGATTGGAATTAACATGGAGCGATGTACTTCTAGTTGATCCCCCAAAATAGTTAGACGAGTCTATTTTGGCAATGTAATCAGACAGTCAATCGAGGAATGAGAACGGAGTGTATGAGGTCTTCTCTCTAAATCTCTTGTCTTCTTTCTCTTTTCTTTCCTTGTCGTCATCTCCTAATATTCCCAACTACGACGCCGACAGCCTCGACCCCAAAACATCCCTGTTTATGTCGCAAAATAATACACCGATAGCGCCGATATAAGACGGCACTAGTAGGAGGGGTAAATGCAAACCCATAAGCCTACTAAGTGAAAGAAAATGACCTCATTGACACTCATGGTAAACATTTGAATACGTAACGCAAATGAACGCAAGTAAGAGATGAAATGGAACCTTCAACATTGAGATTCCAGATCCAGCATAGACCAACTCCCGAATACCCCAAAAGTCTACAAACTAGGTTCATAACAGACTACTAATAACGCCCAAGGGGCCAGGAACATGGTAAGCATGCAGAGTATTGCCGGAGTTTGATGACGAAAAATGGGGGCCTCTGCAGAAGCCCCGCAGAGGAGTGAGCTGACAACTGGGGGCGGTAGCATTATAGGCGTCCCAAGAAAAGGGGCCATGATGTCAGGATTATAACTCTTCAAGGCAGTTATCACAATATCGGCCCCTTATATCGTTCAAATGAGAACCTTGGGCGTTATTGGTGGCTGATATTTGGTGCTATTCTGTGCCGACGATGGCCCGCATCCGCCCCATCTACAAGCCTCTAGACTAGATGCAGGAATCTGTACAAGAGGCTTATCCCTGCAAAAATAGTCTGCAGTATACGCGTATGCTACTCAGCGCTAGCCGAGAGAAGTCATTCAGAGAAATGGCGAAGACTATGACGATTAGAGTAATACCAAGACTTTGACGCACGGTACTTCTCAGATCAGATGTCATTCTCAGCACATGCATAAGCGAAGGCTAGCCATATGTTGATATTGGCCTATTGAAGTCCGTAATAACATAGGAGATGATCGCTCGATTAACCTTATTTTCAAGCAAAGCTTTAGAGACGTCTCAATGTACAAGTTCAAAGATGGTAGGATAGTGAAGTAATTTTCAAAAATCAACATTGAAATCGCCTGCTACTTTCCTGCTGCATCTCGGCAAGGTGTCAAGCACAAAGCGCGGAGTACGGAGCTGAAGCCAAGATGGACTTAGTGCGGCCCCATAGAGACAATGATGACTTGCATCGAAGGATGAGTGAAGGATCAATGGCCCCAGTGAGAATGAGAAGATGCACCCAAGGTGAAATCGAGGTATACGATATACCCTACTCTGAGGTCGAACGAGAAGTATAAAGCCAGGCTCCTCGACCAGCAAAATCTCATCTTCATCTTCCATCAATCCAAAGCAAAGCAAAGCATCCAGCACAGTTTTCAAACACTTTCAACTTTCAACCAACCAATCAACCAACCAACCCACTATCAAAATGTCTGTCCCAGTCGTCATCGTTGGCCAGAACCCCAACCTCGCTACCCACGCCATCAAGTACCTCGCTCCCGAGTACGAGGGTAAGTAACTCATAACAAAGCATCAACGTCCATCAGCATCAGCAGATTCCAGCAACTAACTGAAACAGTCGTTGCCTTCGTCGAGAGCCCCGAGGAGGCCGCTTCTGCCATCCCCGCCTTCCTGGCTGGCGCTCCCGCCCCTGTCTCCAGCCCTCTTGGCTCCCAGGACTTCAGCAAGGGTATCAAGGCCGTCATTGTCGGCGGAACCTACGATGATGCCAAGTTCCAGGCTGCCAAGGCCGCTGTCCCTCAGTCCTCTGTCCCTTGGTTGCAGTACGATGCTTCCAAGCCTGAGCCTACCCACGACGCCGCTGGCGGTGCCGAGCTGATTGCTCGTATCAAGGCTGCCTTGGCTGGTGTGGACTTCGACTCTGACTCTGTCACCCTGTACTAGAGGATGATCATTGGTATTGGTCTTTATCCTATATAGTGCTATATAGTGGACGCATTGACTGTGTCCAGACGCTGGAACGTTTCTAATGAAGCATTGAGTTATATTTTCTGAAACTTTTCTTTATTTGTGCAATTGTAGTCTGTAGGAGCCTTTACTTATTTACTTTACTGGGCATGCTCTATATCTAAAGCGTAGTTGGTACTAGTAATAGGAATTTCGATTCGGTGAGTTGAAGAGAGGTAACATTAATACTTGAAGAAGATCGGCATCGGCTCATGCCAGTGATTTCAAGTTCATATGGCCTGGCTGTTACAACTTGAAGCTTTGAATCACCTTTGACTAAATGTAGATAGCAATGTTAGGATTAGCAATATATATACAATAGAGAGAGAAAGCATGATGTTGCATTGGAAGGTTCCAGGGACCTCGTAATGCAAGAATCGCAGGTTCGGTTGTCCGCCCAGCTTAATATTTGCGATCAGATTACGATTGGGGAATTTGGTTCATAACCTAAATTCCACGTCTTCCCCCGGGCACCTACTATTGGATGTGCGCACCGAGACAAGACATTGAACTGATCTATATCTCCCAAGGAACCTTAAATCACACCCAGAACTACAAGCATCTACTTGGAACAAAGAAGTTTAGATATAAAGTATGACTATGCCTCCATAAGCCGGGGCTAGATGTCGTATATCATGAGTCAAGATATTTCGAACCATCTGCATATGGCTATTTTAAATAAGAAGTCGGGAGATAACAAGCTAGCGTGATCCCAATCAGATTACTCTTCATCATCGTCCTCGACCTCAGCCAAGTCCGACTCCTTGGGCACATCACCACCTTTAGCCTTAGCAGCTGCCTCGGCAGGACCACTAGTCTCCGCCGTCTCATCGGCGTCCTCGTCTTCAACATCATCGTCTCCCTCGATCTCTGCCTCTTCTTCATCGTCTTCGCCGTTGGTAGCTTTCTCAGCATCGCCTTCTGAGGGCTTGGTCTTTTGCTTTTTAGCTGCAGGAGGACCTAAATAGATAAGATAAAACAATGAGTATTTGGATCTTGCAGTAGGTGACATGGGAAGGAAATAAGTGAACATACCTTCGGCGCCTTCCTCTTTCTCCTCCTCGTCTTCGTCAAGTTCGGAGTCCTCGGCGTCCTCGTCGCCTTCATCGCTCACGTCATCGATTTCAACCTCGGAGTCTTCATATCTGTCATGCACGCATCTGGTTAACGGTAATCCCATTTTTGCGAGGGTGTGAATGTGAACGAATTGGATAGGCCGGGGACAATGCGATCAATGCGCGATGAAACACGAAGAGTATAAGTCTGAGCAGCATTTGGCGCAGGGTGAAGGTTGAATTGCATTGTATTGCGTTAATCACTTACTCTTCTTCCTCTGCGCTGTCGTCACTAGGCAGAGCCTGGAGCTCCTCCTCAGGGTCGTTCTTTCTCTTGCGAGTAGACATTTTGGAAGGATAGTGGTTAAGGATGAATATGTCTTGAAATTGAGGTCGGAGGAAAGGTATAGAGTTGTAGGGGGGAGAAATGAAAAAGGAGAAAGGGAGAGAAGGTGGAAGGAATGGTTCTCAGCCTCTCCCGGTTGCAAGAGCGAGACGGGAGAGCGAGTGGCAGTTACCAGAGCTTGGGAAGGGGGGGGGGATACGAACCAAGGGAGAGGGGGCGCATAAGCTGAGGTGACGACATGGGGGTGGATAGCTTACACTAAGATTTTGTGGGGACGAATGTGCGTGGAAGATAAGGTAGTGCGTGTGAATTAGAGAAGGCTGGACCTTTTCCCTCATTTCCTTGTTCTATTTACATTCCACCTCTCTCTCACGTTGCTCAGACCCCTGGATGTGCGAGAGGAGACGGACGGACTTTTTTGGTTTATTCCCGGCTTTTTGCTCCTAAATAATCCCTCGTACTTCGCGCATCTCCTGTCCCAGTCGGCATTGTCCACTCCTTTCTACAGTACTCTATCCTCAGTACCAAGTACTCACTTCGTGATCTGTGACATTCAATCACTGTGCCAAGAATTCAAAGTTTGCCATACTGGGATCTAACAGGTTCTCGTCAAGTCCAAATCCATATGTTCCAACCATATCATAGATAAGGTCGGGCGGCGGGAATCCCTGGGCCATGGCGTTCGTGCCCCCTGGCACATCTTGGTCATCTGCCACTCCCCCATTACTTGGTCCGACCTGCCATGCCGCTTCCCAGGAGTCGTATCGCTCCAACATCTTACCTAACCCACGTGCAATGTGTCGCGTCAAATGCCGTTCCCCGGCGGACACACAATTCATCAGTTCTATCACTCGTTCGACCAGCCGGCGCACTTCGCGTGCATTAATGCTGAGATAGGCCGAGTTCCAATTTATAGCGACCTTGAGAAGGAAAACGGCGGAGAAGGTGACCATGGTGTGTGTGAAAATAGGGACCCCGACGATCGCATCTCGAATGTCGGGTTCTTCCAGAACCATATTCAGGCAAGCCATAGCAGATGAAATGGCAATGTTGGCTGATTCTTTGCGATCCATGGAGAAGACGGGGGTGTTGGACGGTGAAAGCGCGCGTAGAGCTAGGGAGTTGAGCTGGAACTTCGCGAAGTGGTAGTGCAGCACCACGCCCTTGGACGGGTATGTCCGTACGTATGAGCTATCTCCTAGTAGAGGGTGAGTCTGGGTTCCTAGGAAGGGAATTTCAACAAAATACAAGACTTACCAGACCGAGGTTGCCAAAGCAGCCGCCACTGATCAACCGCCACGTTATATACGCGAAGTTGTCCAAAATCTTCATCCGTAATGGCTCGCTCCGTATCGCTGCCAAATGTTCGGTATGCCTCGGTCAATATCATGAACAAAGCAACCTGGGCTAGGAGTCGAATATCGCCCGGCACTATCATGGGTAACTCGAGGAAGGCCTCATAATTTCTTATCGCAACGTCCTCGTGGATCACAGGTGGTCGCCCATAAGCGATACTAAAGTGGTGATCACACACATATAGCAAGTACCACAGCTGAGCACGTTCGTACTGATCTATATGACCCCTAGTTAAGCGCTGATAGCTTTGATGAAGACCCAACTCGGTCGCGATGCGAACCGCGTGACCGGAGAGTTTCCAGCTCAACTCGGACAACCAAAAAGCCCCAACACAGAGACCTCGGATGTCATCCAGTGTATGTGCTCGGGTGAGAGCCATATTCGAGACCAAAGACACATATTCGTTATAGCAGAGATTCAGTGTATCAGTGCGATTGGGTATATGCAGTGCCGCCACCGTTAAAACTGCAGCGGAGAGAAGAGTCGATGCACGACGGACAGATGTCAGATCGCGATGCACCAGAATGATCCCGCCCCAAAGTAACTGATTCATAGTACGACTGAAGTATGCGAAGAGCTCCTCGGCCTCACGAAGAGAGATCAAGCCGCGTGTTATGAAGTCTTCCTCTAGTAGTGTCTTTTTGGGCGCCTCGATATGGTTATTCCGTAAATCGCGCAACTTGGTGACTTCGTACAGACTGCGCATTGGTGCTGGGACTAATTCCGGATCTTGGAGATCGGGTTCCTGAGAATGTTCTCGAGTGACATCCATTACCACTCCAGGCCCCTCGTAGTGAGTATTGTGCGATTGCGAAGCGTCAATCGACGGTCGGTGCGCATGGTTCGACGCCGTTGGACTGGGACCACTGATGGTCTCACCAGCCGCATAGGATGAAAGATCCGGCAGTCCTGCCTGTCGCAATAGCTGTGCTACAGCCCCCTGCAACTGCAGCATGGTAGTAGACGCTTGCGATTTCCATCTAAATAAAATATTGAGCACATGTTAGACCTTCACGTGGTGTTTCCGCGGAGCTAGGGAGGCGGGGTTTGGTGAACACGTACATCCCATCGTCGTCGACGAATTTCTGTGAGAAGTCATTCACCACACACTTAATACCGCTTCGAATACATTTCGTGCAATTTGACTCTCCCGCTCGAAATTCACACCGTATCTTGTGTCGTTTGCATTCCGCGCCTGGCAATCCTGATTAGCCGGAGTGAAGATGTGGGGAATTCTTCAGACTCACATGCGCGAGCTTTGGAGATCTTTGGTGCATGTGTTCGCAATTCACCAGAGCGAACCGATCCCTTTGGTGAATCTAAACCTGCTTCTGTTGAGGAACGCTTGAGTGGAGTCGAGGCATCCATCATGGCAGAAGATGACAGTCGGTGATGCTCCGGGCGGGTTAGGGGAAAGTACAAATTGGCGGGGAAGCGGAGGGAACAAAGTGGATTCCCGCGGCTGGCCGCCATACAATTCCCCGAAGTCAGGCTTTTGCCTCTTATGAAGACCCATTGTCTGAATTTGATTTTATGCCTGTGTTGAGGAAGGTCTATTTGCCGATATATCTCCCTTCTTCATACTAATTTATGGATTCAGGTGAAATATTCCCAGCCTGTTATGCCCAAGACTATAGCCGCCTAACTATACTGTAATGGTGATGCACTATACATGTCCCAATAAGCGAATCAGCTTCTGCTCCGTGAACAGAACGAAGTACCTGAACCAGGTACAGGACGAATCCCCAATATTGCGAGGACCCTCAGCCCAGTGAAGCCTTATTCGCGGTAGCAGATCCACCCGAACGTACTCTACGCGGGCAAAGTCCGGTGCGGAGGAACTATGACGGGGCACCTCGGACTTGATGCGAATGCGGAGAGTAAGGTTCGATGCGTTCATAAACTCTGGAAGCGACAACTTTGATCTGAAAAAATTCCACCAGCTCTTTCACAATCATTCACTGCCAAAATGCATATTCTCATTACCGGCGCCGCCGGCTTCATCGGCCAATTGCTTGCTAGAGAGTTACTCAATGATCCCTCGCATCGCGTTACATTGACAGACATCCACCAGCCTCCAATCCCCGAGGGTGTCAAATACCCACAGAATGCGACGACTGTGAAGGGGGATCTTCTTACCGCAGCAAATGATATCGTCGACAAGTCTCTAGATGCTGTCTACGCTTTCCACGGGATAATGTCCTCTGGCTCCGAGATAAATTTCGACCTGGGCATGAGCGTAAACATTGACGCCACTCGCAACCTGTTGGAGGCTCTAAGACATACCTGCCCCGGAGTTCGAGTGATCTATTCCTCTAGCCAGGCTGTTTACGGCCAACCCTTACCGGAGGTGGTGACCGATAGCGTTATCCCAACACCTGAATCCTCATACGGCGCAGAGAAGATCGTCTGCGAAACACTAGTGAACGAATACACCCGCCGTAAGTTCATCACTGGCTTCAGCTTGCGCTTCCCCACGATCTCCGTTCGTGCCGGTGCCCCGACGGCCGCCGCTTCCTCCTTCCTCTCCGGCTTGATTCGTGAGCCTCTCAATGGCCAGGAGTGTATTATTCCTATCGAGGACCGATCCTTCAAGTCTTGGCTTTGCTCACCTAAAACTCTGGTGCATAATCTTCTTCTTACTCTTCAACTCCCTGCGGACTCGGTACCCTTGCATATTCGCCAGATCAATGTACCCGGTATCTGTGTGACTGTTCAAGATATGATGGATGCACTGGAGAAGATTGGCGGCAAGGATAAGCTAGCGCTTCTCAAGGAGAAGGAAGATCCGGCCTTTGTGCCAATTTTGAGGTCTTGGCCTACTCAATTCGATAACACGCAGGCCATTTCTCTGGGCTACAAGCGGGACGAATCCTTTGAGCAAGCTGTGCTAGACTACAAGCAGTCATTGTAAACTTCAAATGAGGGAATTAAATAGAAAATTTAAAATGTTTGAAACTATGGGAGGGAATTAATTGATTCGTTATGCTCTCTAATTTATGTATAGTCGCTCTAGTAATATAGAAATAGACGTGCAACAAGATGTTGATGACGTACTTTGTAACTAATGGCCGAGAAGCGTATACCTGTTTAATGCCTCGAGTCAGGAATGAAGATAAAATGTTTTCATGCCTTGACTAATAAATACTTCAATTTACTGAACATATCTACAGATATTCTTTATACTCACACCATATACTGAATGTAGCTTGTTCTGCCCAAATAGATGATGATGGGGCCACCCCCGCTCTCGGTGCCTTTTTTGCATGCTACCCCGCCAGATACTAATTGAACACCTACCCGAGCCGAAATGACCAATTGCACAGCTGAAATGCTACAAGCCTGGGAAGAGGAGTGGGTCAATCCTGCGATTAATAATTCAAATCTTTGAAATCAAGTGTGAAGCGGATGGACGTTTAGCCGTATAAGAGCCTTATAGGAGACTTCTTTCGAAAACCTTCAAAAGGCACAAGCACGACCAAACCTACCCAACTTCAAAACTTAAAAGTTATCTACAATCTACCATGTCTCTTCCTACCAAGACTCAACAATGGATCCTCAACGAGAAGCCATACTCCGAAGCTGTTCTCGAAGGAGACAACCCGACATTTAAACTGGTTACGACCGATATCCCAGCTCTGAAGGACGGCGAGGTCTTACTGAAGACAGTATACCTGAGCAATGACCCCGCACAGCGTGGATGGATTTCACCATACGCGATCCCCGGGCGTCTTTACATGCCGCCAGTTGAAGTGGGCGACGTCATGAAGTCCATTGGCATCTTTCGCGTCGTAGACAGCCGCAGTGCTGCCGTTGAAGTAGGATCCTTGGTCAATGCCGTCTCTGGGTGGGCAGAATACACAGTTATAGATGCGAAAGATGTCATGAATATTACTCCTCAGGCTGGCTTGCCTGAGACTCATTTTCTGGGGGCCCTAGGTCTGCCCGGACATACAGCATACTACGGTCTGACGCAAATTGCCAAGGCTACAAGTGAAGACACCGTTGTTGTTAGCGGTGCTGCTGGGGCTGTGGGTAACATCGCAATTCAGATTGCCAAGAAGATGATTGGATGTAAAAAGGTACATGGTGAACCCTGATTTTCTCGGCGGATATTTGGCTTTATCTAACGAATTTGCTTAAGGTCATCGGAATCGCTGGTACGGATGAGAAGTGTCGGTGGGTAGAGAAGCTTGGCGCAGATGTCTGTCTGAACTACAAGTCTGCATCCTACAAGCAAGACCTTGAGAAGGAGACGAGTGATCTGGTGAATGTTTTCTTTGGTGAGCAATTGCAATCAATGCTCAGCTAGAATATCTACTAATGACCGAGAGTTAGATAACGTTGCCGGAGAGATTCTCGATTTCATGTTGACGAGAATGGCCAGGCATGGCCGTGTCGCAGCTTGGTATGATGCCTAAGATACATATGAAATATTTGATAAGACACTAACTCACCTAGTGGTGCTATTGCCAACTACAACCGAGACAACGACATCATCGGTATCAAGAACTTCTATGTAAGTATCCTTCAGGAAAATTTGTTTAAATTCCAAGTAGTAACACTTAACTAATGTCCTCATAGGAAGTAGTCTATATGCGCCTGCAGATCCTCGGATTCATCAACATTGACTGGTTTGATCATTTACCCGAGGTCCGCGCTATTCTTGTCGACGAGTGGAAGAACGGCAAGCTGATCATTGGAGATGAGAATGAAACGGTTGTCGACACCAGCTTCAAAGACATCCCTCGCACGTGGATGTTGCTATTCTCCGGTGGTAACACTGGTAAGCTTATCACTAAGTTGCAGGAGTAGATATAGATCCCAAGTGATACTGTCAGCGGAGGTAGCCTTTATAAAAATGTCTTGCTGTTCTCAGAATAGAAATGCTGCATTCAAAGGAAAAAAATCGAAGGATTTACATGTTCATTAATTGACCTTGATTTGACCTTGATAATTCATAATATAATCTAAGTACGGTATTCTATATCTGTGCCTCAGGCTCTGTGACTGACTCGTATTTCAGCCCCATTCCGGGGCCGGACCAGAAAGGAATCGCGCTCGTTTGCTACGGAGATGATTGGCGCATTCTTCGTTCCAAGTCACCAATCTAGGCTCAAGGAGCAGCGCAGCGATCATGGTTAGTGGATCGTCGATTTAGGGAAACCCCTGAAGATTTCAAAGGGCCGCCCAGCAAATATTCTCCGCAAAAAGCCCCCGGGAATTGAACATTGAACACCCTGAAAGATTTACACACGCAATGGGTGGTGGTATTCTCAAATCTGCATGTTGGTTCTAATCGAGAAAATCTGTAGCATACAGAGCTCTATTTGATTATAGTCCATGTTTGATTTATTCAGCAAGCTCAGCCTCAATAATTCCAAGTCCTTCTCCCTCGCGCACCCAGTACTTCAACGCGCGCAAGCCATTGGCCTTCAGCAAATTATCCCAGCGCTGACGTGTCCGCTCCAAGCCAGAGCAGAAAATCATAACGGCCATGTCGGTGGTACAAGGAAGTGAGCTAGCATTCTGATCCGGAAGAATGTACTCCTCCATGATAATCTTCGAGAACCCACGCTTCATGGCAGGCTTCAAGTTATTGAAAATAATAGCTGCTTTCTCATCAGACCAGTCATGCATGACGTTCTTGAAATAGTAAGCTCTGGCACCTATAAACTTCTTTGTTAGCATCGGTATTGTATAGTACTGATGGAATGATAAAGTACCTTGTACTGGTTGCACTTCATTGAAGAAATCAAAAACTTGGGTATCCACCTTTGCCGCAGCAAGGTCTTGAGCACCATTTACTTCATCAATGACAGTGGAAAGATCCTCAAGTATTAATTTTCCTGGAGCTTCGGGAAATCGCTGTCGGAATCCAATCAAGTCATGACCGCGACCGGCACCAATGTCCACAAGCAATGGTGTCTCTGAAGTGAGGTCAGGGTGATCCAAGATTTGTTCATTGACAGGGAACCAGTCGCCCCAGTGCAGTCGGTCAGCCCTTTGACCTTCCATAAAACTATTGAATCGGCTCAACGCGAGTGGGTTTTCACAGAGCCAAGTGAATCCATTCTTCTTGCCTAACTCATGTGTATACTGAAGTGGGGCGACTAGGGGATCATCGGGGTTGCGGTAGTTGGTGGCCTCGAGGAACTCAGGTGTCTTTTGGAAGGAGGGGAGGAATTCACAGAATCTGAAGACGAGATAGAAGTTAGTATTTGTACTAGATTTGATCGAACGGAAACGCAGAAGGTCATACAGTGATTCTAGCACGCCAATGGATGGTCGCTTGATCAATTCCTTTGAGAGAGCGGTGGGCAAGTACTCGCAAGGAGCAGGCTCATCCACAACGGAATTGGCGACTAGAACTCGCAAGATACGTTCTGATACGAAAGTTAGTCAGGGGAGAGCTACATATAGGGGTTACCTTTTCAATTGCAACTAACCAACTAATAGAGGGTCTGCGGGCTTTGCAGCTGCCAGCTTGGCAAGGGGCACAGGGGAAGTAGCTTCTGCCAAGATGGGGAAGACTTTCATGTCAAGGGCTACCTTGACAGCCATAACAATGGCGGGCTATTCTCATTGATCCAATGTTACTAATGTGCTTCACTATTTGTACGCCGCAAAGCGGAGAGGGGGTGCTCTAGCCTTACAGAGTACGCCAGCTTGAGAATAGCATCTCTAGGTCGTTCCAGTGAGCGTGCTAACTGCAATGCCTGTTCCTGAGCATGAGCACGGCTGGTTTCAGTACCAGTGGACTTGTAAATATGGAACGAATCCTGAGTGTGCTTCAGCAAAGCCTCGATTTGTTGAATATCCATTGTGAAATACACTGGGGGTGATATTGAGCTGAGCCAAGTCGGTTTATTTCCAGAGACTCATGGCAACTTTTACCTCTGTTAAATAACTTCAGTTAGTCGATCCAATTGTCTATTCCACTAGGGCTAACTGCGCAAGGCTTGTTCGGGAATACCGCTCATTGTCTATGAACGATCGTCAACTTAGGCCGTTATAGCTCGCTTCCTTAGCTTGGCTGCGTTATTATAGTAACGATTCCCGGGCCCATGGGGTCACTCCCAAGCCAATTCCATTTTCTTGGGATCCGCAGCGGGGCGGGGAGCTGGTGGTCCGTTGTCAATGGTGGGTCGATGTGGCGGAATCCCTCCGTGCTCGAAATGAAGGGAAACACATATGTAGTAAGAGGTCCGCGTGTAGCCCTAAAGTACCCAAGTGGGTAATGAAAGCCGGATCTTCATAACTAAGTTAGCCTCTCCATCTAGGCTGATCTCAGTTCATGGTTTACGTATTGCCCTGACAGGTGAAATTTGAAATTTCTCCTATGGGATATGGGGTCAAGAGATAAACATACGTAAGCATATACACATCATGCCTTTGGACCAATAATGAAAGTATCTGTTGGAAGACAATTGGGGGGTTCTCGGTTATTTACAGCTAATGTTTCAACATTTGAAAGTTAGTGTAAAAATTGGAGCCTCAAACTTAGGGCTCCGCAAGTTCGTATTCGAATCCCAATTAACGCTTCTCATGAACATTATCATACCATTACGACCGGATCCCAAATGCGGGCAGTAGTATTGCTGGAAAAAAGCAATTAATCTATTTTCATCTCTTCATCAAATGATCTTATTTTTGAGTCTGTAAGTGTCAAGATACATTTGAATACCAAATCATAATGACCCCCGAAGACCCACAGCTGATGATCCGGGCATCTGGATCCCACTCTGTATCCACTCAAATTTGGAGTGAATTTACTCCACATGGGCAAATTACTCCATATAGTATCTAGTAGCGTCTTGAAAATCCATGCAAATTTGGGTCGAACGTAGATCATACCTATGGTGGCAAGCTAAACGGTTTATGGCATCGTAAAGTTTTACCTAAATCCTTTGCGGAGGGCTGACTGAACCTAATGGAATATTCGGTTTCTGATTAAGTGTGCACAAGGCTTCCATTGATATTTTTCTCCGCGTGGGAAATCGTTGACAATGTGGAGCGTTTTACAATCCCTGCTCATTGTCTCGTGTAGAAAAGGGGTTGATATCTTTAGTTCATGCACAGGATCCATAGTTCCACTTTGAAACTCATCAACGTTATATTTTGCACCTCCGCATTGTTTGTCTCGTCAATATCCATTATTGAGAGACAATACCATTGTATTTCTTTTACTCAGTCTACTGGTCGAGGCTTTCGACCGTTAAGAGAGTCTAGACAAGATGGCCTACAATCTGGCGGCTGAAATGTTTTCCGAGTGGGGGATCGGGACCGTTGTCATCGCAGTTCGTCTATACGCGAGATGGAATGTTGGAAAAGGCCGATTCCAATGGGATGACTTTTTCTTATGCCTTGCGCTCGTCGGTTGTCTACGATTCACTAGATAGCCACACTACTAACATGTATATAGGTTTGCTGGACTTTGCTCACGGTCTCTCTCTATCTTTGTACATGTAAGTACTGCATGCAAATCCTTTTCAAAATAAATTTGCTCACATTCGTAAAACAGCGGTACACCATTCGAATATTGGTCTTAATACGGAGACAGCGATGGCAATTCCTGACAGTATGATGTCAGATTACCGGTCTGGCTCCATTGACGCCTTCGTCGCATGGATTGCATATATTGCCATGGTATGGGCTTTCAAAGGTGTCCTTCTGTGCCTTTACAATAGAATGACGTGAGTCTTCCCAACTATACCTTAAACAAAGGAGCTCTAGTTTAATTTTGACATATAGGCGGGGTCTTTGGGAGCACCGCCTGACAGTGGCTGCGGCATTCCTGTCTACATGCACCTTAATAGCATCGATTTGCGTGCACCTTTTTACTTGCATGCCAGTACACAGAAGCTGGCAAATCAAGCCATATGCTGGTGGTAAGATTATTGAAAACCCTGCGCCGATTACATATTAAATAAAAATAACTGACCCTTTTAATAGATAGCTGCACTCTGCGACCATTAAACTACATCATCATTGAAACCCTCAGCATCATGTACGTGAATTCTCCGTTGAGTGACCCCATACCCGCAAGCCCTAACACCTCTATCTCTTCTATTAGAACCGATATTGCCGTGATGGCCGTACCGATACCCCTCGTCATTAAGGCTGGAATCCCCATCAGGCAAAAGCTATTACTCTGCATCTTATTCTCTTCCGGGATCTTCGTTATGGTCGCTGCAGTTCTCCGCGCGTACTACTCCGTCAAAGATATTTCAACACTTTCCACTGCACTGGGCTGGGCATCACGCGAAGCGATTGTCTCCGCGTTGACAGTCTGTGCACCGGGTATCAAGCCATTGATCAGCAACTCTCGATGGTTCTCCACACAGGGTTCTAGTAGCGGTGGCCTTAGCACCACACCGTATGGGAAAGGAAGCAGTGTTTTCCCCGGGTCGAAGAGCTTTGGAGGAGATAAGCGTATGCACCCCTATGAGCTCGCTTCCTCCCTGACTTGGGGAAAAAACCGACCAGGCTCAAGTGCCGAGAGTCAGGAACATATTGTGGTGCAAACGAAAACAAGCGCGGAGCCTTCTCATTCAAGTTCTCCTCCTAATCATGGTAATGAGATTATGGTCACAACGGCGGTTACTCAATCCGAAGAAAGAAATGAGGACGACTATATGCACCGCTAGGTCCAATAATCTGGTCTCAAAGCCATATTTACCCCCTAGGCTCTGGCAGATGTGCGTGGGTAACTTGTATAATAAATTTCATAGAATATTATGTCATTATCCTCAACACTTATAGTCTCAAACTGGTGGGCTATAGATCTGGATTGAAATATAAGCTGGAATGAAAAAGGCAAAATTGGGCAGAAGGCAACCACGTCTCAAGCAGCATACAGGTGGGGTTATTATTGGGAGGAAGAACATATGCCTCCCCATCTACCTGCCACTCGCTTGAGTGTAACTTACTAACCTCATTTTCGAGCTTTTACCGCCTCATTACCTTTGAATCATCAAAATACGCCACGAGAAGAACTTTTTACGATCTGAATAACTTTTCATATGTATTACCGCCTGTATCTCTTGTGTGGTAAAAAAGAGGTTACCCATGTTGACTGTGTCCCAAATCAGCAAATGGCAGATCACGCGCAGCGACGCGATCATACTACGCGTGCGTGGGTGAACCTGATATAGCCTATATTTAAATGCACATTCATACTGGGGCTTCGGAAGATGATGATAGGCCCTGTATCAAGAAAGGAGGGGATAGTAACCGAACTACTCCCGTGATAGCCATTTAGGGGGCTGCCTATGCATGTTTTGGAGGAATTGTCACAGGGTGTTTAAATATTGGAAAGCGTGTCTGTAAATATCTCTCTCTTTATTTTTTGTTTGAAAGGTAGCCACCTCAAGTGCTATATGTCTGGTATGATAATCCTCTCCCTAGTTAGTACATGAATGTCCATTTGTAAGTAGGCCTTCCTTACTATTCGACGCTGAAAGATTCCAACGATTTTGTCCTCTTCACCTAGTTTGACGGTGACCTAGCAACTCTCTGTATACACATTTTGAGCAACTACGTTCAAGCTTACCTGGCGGGCGGATGAAGCTCCGTTACTAATCCTTAGCTTAAAATTGGTTGTAAAAATCAGATGACAAACGACATCGACATTTATTTATAAACTTCCAGTGTCTACCATAATAGCTGGACCAAGGAAGTAGACTCGTATCTCAGGTAACCTTCATAAACAGAACAAAGAACTGAGAAAAAGCCGCATAAAGTTTCTTTCCAAACAGTGACACGCCCTTTGGGTCCAGAGAGGTAATCTCTACATTCTTCGTAGAACATCCCAGTTTCACACTCCTTCCGTTCAATCTATCGGAGATCCAAGAGAAAGCGTCGACCGATCCTGCGATCCCTTCCGAGGCATGCGACCCGTTCAAATCCCGTTGATATCGAATACGAGATCCCTGGGCGCAGTAGCTAGCAATCAATTGATCTGTATCCTCCACAGGGCTGACCTGGTCCTTAACGGCCTTGTAGACGAACAAAGGTGCAACGGGAACGCCATGGAATCCTAAGTACCTGATAATTGAAAGACAGTCTGCGGAACCGCATCAAGGAAGGCCCTCTCTCCACCCTTGAAAAATGAAAATATGTCCTTGTTTGCACCGGCCATATTTGCATAGTAATAAGAGCCATTGGCGATAGAATAGAACTCCGCCGCTTTCGAAGGTATCAAAGTCTGATTAAGCCACCCCGTCATATTCGGGAAGGCTTTTGCGGTACCAAATGTTCCTGAAAATGCAAGGCCTGCGCTTAAACCATTGTTAATGGTCTGAGTGACAGAGGTGATATTTGGTACAGTTCCGCCGAGTGCGACGCCCGAGAAGTTAAGTTCTGGTGCGTAGGAATACTGGAGCTCGGCAGCCCAGGCCGATGCTAAAGAACCTCCGGAGTATCCCCAAAGAGCGTAACGCGGATTGGCCGATAGGCCCTTTGATTGTCCTTCCTTGAGAACAGCACGGGTAGAGTCCAAGACTGCGTGGCCAGATTGGAGACCCGCTGTGTACTGGGCATCCAGTCCTTCGTAATCTGTGGTGTATACCCACCAGCCTTTGTTAAGAGCTGCTCCTATCTATACTCATTGATAACAGACCTATTGTTAGATAGCATATTTTCGAACAGAGTAAAATGGTGGATTAGCAGCTTACCATGCCAAAATCTGGCTCGTAGAAGTCCAGGGTTTCGTTTCTTGTCTGAATGAGATATGAAGGGCTGCTATCCACATTGGCACTATCATAGTACACCTGATATCCAAGCAACTTTGTGGGATTCGAGTTCTTCGGCTCGATTAATGTAACGACCGATGCAGCGGCCTTGCCTAGACTATCTGTAGTTCGGAACAGATACTGGACAACACATTTGACAGACACATCCATGGGCAAAGTCAAAAGGGCCTCCAACTTGGTGTTGACCGATCGAGAACGAATCGCCGTGCCAGCTTCATAGTTACTGATATTTATTGGTTGAGAATACCACGGATCTAGTGAAGGAGGTTTCACTGAAGCGGCAACAGAAGAGAACAAAAGAGACAATAACGAGAGACTAGTTATCAATGCTGAACGCATTTTGATGGATGCCGGGCGGTGCCTTTGTTGCCAGTTTATTCACTGCTCTGCAGTAGTACTGGACATGGGTCCATCGAAAGTGACTGGGATCGCGCAACTTTATACAGTTTATGCGTGCGTACGAAGTACGGTCTAAATTGTGTTGCCATCATGATGCTCATCTTTTCCGTATCTGGAAAAGTTTACTTCGTTTTTCGGTTAGTCGAGCAGCCCCCAGTCTCCACTAGGATCCACGACCCGCGACCGTGGACTCCTTCTTTGCTTGAGAAAGCAGGGATTACGCCCATCATGGTACATACTGGTTATAACAGCAACTCGGGGGCCATGGAGCTCCGCTATCCGAGGCATGGCGCGATGCTCACAATCCGATCCTGCGAGTATGTGCCAAGTTCCCTCGATTCGAGAATTGATCAACACAGCCAGAAAACTTCTTAGTAGCCAAATGCAAAGCAAGATCGACCAAAAAACTCGGCAAGGCTCTGCTGGCTATATAAGGAGAAGTCAATAAAACTTCGATACGTCTGGAATGTCGTGTTGTCAAGCGGACGGGGGTAGCTCAAAACGTTTTGCTTTGCCGGGATAAGAGGAATTCCCTCTGCTGATATATCGGTCGCGTCCGAATCGAAAAGCTCTGGGTATTTGCCGAAGAATGCAGGGTCCATTTTGTACTGCAAAGTACCTGCGTCCATCTTGAGTTTTGTGAATACTGCTTGGCAATATGCAGGAGTAGAAAATAGTGTAGCCACATCAAGAGCAGGCAGTACGGCCATAGTTAAGTCATTGCTTGGCGTAGTGGATGCGAGATTTGCGATAACATCCGTAACGCGAACGTAACATTTGGCTGCTGGAGCATCCATAACAAGATCATCCATAGAAGCCTCGACCACGTAACTGCTGACTGTGTCGCAGAATATCTCATCAATGCGAGGATTTGCAGCATGGAATCGGATGAGGCGGTCGCGAATCGTAGGAAACGGTATCCAGTCAATCACGTGTGGGTATTCAGTTTGAAGCTGCATGCTGGTAGGCTTATATTTTCGATGTACCCTGCAAAATGTTTTTGTGCTAGGGAAAATTTGCCAGGCTGTTAGATGGACGATATGGTAAAATCTTGTTTTTGCATACCATGCCATCGCGTCCGGCCGACTTATGCTGTTGAAGAGTGATAGTATCATCAATATTTGATTGTAAAAGCTATTTATATGTTAGAACTGTATATTATTTCAGGAATGGCACTCAACATACAGATAGGTGGAGCCTTCAGCGAGCGGTCTTATATGTTGCATCTGCCTTTTCAAGAGGTTTTGTAAAGCCAGGATGTGGTCGGAAAACGGAGAGTTTGTCACTGTCCAAGACCTCCCTAGCATACTACTCGAGTCTTGACAAAGAGAAAGATTGCTAGCATAAGTTTGTGACCCCATCTGATATTCGAAAGACCAAATGTCCGATAGTGAAGGAGAAAGAACACTAATATTGGCGCTGGGATCAAAAGAAGGGGCCTTTTCTGTCTTCATGAGGCTCGTTTCGATATTCGAAGACTCTGGATGAGCGCTCTTTCCATACCCTTGTATCCTGTTAGTCTCATATTCACGATAATCAAATAAATTGATTCACCTATTGTCATAGTCTCATTATGCACGTTCTGGTTTCTATCAAAGCTAAAGACGTTCATGTCATTTAGCGCGTCCAGGTCCAAATCCGAAATACCGGCTTGAGTTGGAAACGAGGATTGCTCCTGTGGGGAATTGAAAGATTCTACTATAGCCCCAGGCTCCGTCTCAGATTCAACTTTCTCGTCGGAGCTGCCTTGGAGTGCGGTAGAAATTGTGCATGTGAGGGCCTCCATGGATGATATGTATCGAGATAATTTGGACTGAACATCAAGAAGTTCTTTTCGTAATTTGCTGTTCTCTTCTCGCAGCTCATGAATTATCTCATTTTCAGGCTTATCCTTTGATTGTGCTTGATTTCGAAGTTCTCTCAGAGACTCTTTTTGCCTTCGACGAAAGGCTTGTTGAGATAATCTATTGCGAAGTCGTCTGAGCCAAAGGAGGGTTAACGTAGCTGCTTGCGAGATAAAGAATGATTATAAATTAGAAAAACATACCGTTTCTCGATTTCATCATTCTCAGTCGATTGAATGGCGTTACTATGTTCATTGGATTGCTGTAGCCGCATTGCGATCTAGGTTGTTCGTCAAATAACGATCTGCGAGGCTCGTGCAACAATTGTAGTATGCGCTGGAGGCTGGATACAAAGTGAATGAGATTATATTCGAAGTATCACCAAGTATCAGGATGAATGAAAGCAATAGATACCTGACATGATCTTTTAATTATGTCACGGCTTCAAGTTGGAGATAGCGAGAAGGCACGGATATAAACAACGGGAAACAGCGTGCCTTTCCCGACGTGCTATTCCCGATATTCCCGCCATTCCCGAGATGGGACCAACCCCGCTCCACCGTGCGAATCAAGACGACAGAGAGCGCTCCAGAGAAATTTTATTCGTCAAAAGAAGTCGTCGAACGATGATAAGGTAGAAAAATATACCTAAAAAGGATGTTGATGGGAGAAAGTCTAACCTGCTGATGGTGAATTCGTCAATACTGAGCCCGGGCCTGTTCAACTATCGCGTGCGAGGTACTACAAGGCAGGGAAAAAAAGAGAATACGTGTAAAATTCATCAGCTTGTTTCAATTCCCAGTATACATTCACATTTATGAAGATTAATGAATGGTAAGAGTGCCAGTCTTTGAGACCAGGTACTCTTCAATTGCAACATCCTTTCCAGCCTCCTTTCCATAGCCAGACTCTTTGATGCCACCAAATGGCGATTCGGCACATGATGAGTTGCCTAGCAGGCGGTTAGTGTAAATCTATTTAGAGAAGCGGAAGGCTGAGGAACTCACCTGTGTTCATGCCGATCATGCCAGCCTCAAGGGATTCAAGCATTCTCCAAGTGCGATCAACGTCCCTCGTGAAGAAGTATGAAGCCAACCCCATGGATGTGTCATTTGCCATCTTGACCACTTCTTCTTCACTGTTAAACTTATACAACCCCAAGAGAGGGCCAAAAATCTCCTCCTTGGTCGTCAACATGTCACTAGTCATCCCCGAGATAATTGTGGGTTCGAAGAAGTAACCGTTGCTCAAGTTTGCCGGTCGCTTTCCTCCACACAAAACTGTGGCGCCTTTCTCAACAGCGTCCGCAACATGTCGCTCAAGCTTCTCAACTCCCCTGCTGGTAGTTAAAGGCCCCATTGTAGTGGATCTATCGGTGCCATGACCAACGTGGATTTTACTCTGTGTTGCCTCAAGCATCATGTGTGCAAATTTCTCATAAACGCCGCTTTGAACATACACACGGTTGGCGTGAGTGCATGCCTGGCCAGCAGTACGCCACTTGAGAACCATCAATGCAGCAACCGATTCGTCAAGATCGCCGTCATCGAAGACAATGAACGGGCAGTTACCCCCCAGTTCCATTGTAACCTTCTTCAGTCCTTGGCTGCAATGTTTGGCCACAATACTTCCTACCCTTGTGCTCCCAGTGAAAGTGACCTTTCGGACAAGTGGATGCTTGCAGAGTCTCTCACTAACCGAAGGAGTATTCTCATTATCGGTAGAAATAACATTGAGAACACCAGCCGGTAGTCCTGCGCGAATAGCAAGATCTGCTAACGCATTGACGCTAAGAGGAGTTTCTGGAGAAGGCTTGACGATCATGGAGCATCCTGCAGCCAAAGCCGCAGCAACCTTGCGAATAACCATAGCGACCGGGAAGTTCCAAGGTACCAAAGCAACACTGACACCAATTGGCTGCTTAATGACAAATGTACGGCGATCTGATACGGATGGCTGGGAAATAGAGCCTCGAATGCGCTCGGCCTCGCCGGCGAACCACCAAGCAAATCCCAGAGCGTAGTCGACTTCGCCAAGAGCCTCGGTCATAGGCTTGCCAGTCTCATAAACCATAATCTTTGCGATATCTTCTCTGGCGTTGGTGATTAATTCGTGCCACTTGAGCAATATCTTGGCGCGAACGCGTGGGTTGACATGACGATAGTCTTCGAAGGCCTTCTGGGAAGAGACGACATATCGGTCTACATCCTCTTCTTGGTTCGTGGGGCAAGATGCGAAGACTTTGTTAGATCCTGGGTCTGTAGTTGTGAGTATCTTGTAAGCCTCGGTTCGAACACGACTTATCATGATTCTTTTTGGAGACACATACCCTCGACATCGAATCGCTTTCCTGAGATGGCTTGAGCCCAGTTACCGTTTAATAGAGAGGCCTCGTGTAGAATTGAGGGGTCATTAAGCTGCAGAGATTAGAAATGGCGTCTCAACTATGAGAGAGGAAGAAAATACCTGAAGTGTTTCATTGGCCGACATTTTGACTTCTGATCGAAAGAGCGAGATCATTAAAGTTGCATCCACAGATAAAAATGCAAGAGCGACCGCGAATTTTATATACCAATAGAATCTCGCACCCGTGGATATCTCCAGATAAAGATAAAAAGTTATCTCACAATCTGATTACGCCTTTTACCTCTTACCACTACGAACAACTCGTCATGAAGCAAGATAGGTCCCGTGCGTTAGAACTTATGTCAGTGCCTGATATGGTAAAACGGGATACCCCACACGTGTGGGTCTGCCGATCCTTTGACATTCAAGCAATCTAGTCATCGTTGGATTACCTGACACTGAGAAGTTGACAAAACACAGAATGACAATATTCACAGACCCCGCGACAGGAAGAGGCCCCTTTGAGCTTTAAATACGACCATCGGATCGGAGATGATGTTTCCTCCAAATTCTCCTGCTTCATCACAATGCCGTCTCCCAAGCAAGTTAACATCGCCATTATTGGTAAGTTGCAGGTATTTCTACCTTGCTTGTACTAGAGATTAAACTAACAGAGCATCATAGGCACTGGGGGCGTCGGAGCTGTTTTTGTTTCCCAGCTAGCATGGCTCGCCAAGCATCGACCCTCCGTTCACCTTAGTCTCTGCTATATCGCGATGATCGATAAGGCGCTATACCATCCCAATTATTCGGAAATAAATATTGATACAGCGGTACCTACATTGGAATCCACTGGACAGGCTCCTCCAACAATCCCAGAGATTGTCGAATATCTCGCTGGTGCACCCCATAAAGCGATCATGGTTGACAACACTAGCTCAGGAGCTATTGCTGAGTCGTACCCTCAATTCCTTGCTCGTGGAATAAGCATCATCACACCCAACAAGAAGGCTTTCTCTGGAAATTACAAACTGTGGCAAGACATATTCAGTGCCGCTGAATTGGGTCAGGCTTTGGTTTTCCATGAATCATCAGTCGGCGCAGGAATGCCCATCATCTCAACAATTAAGGAGCTAGTTCAGACCGGAGATGAGGTTACCCGGATCGAGGGTGTCTTCAGTGGAACAATGTCGTTTTTATTCAACTCTTTCTCACCCATTTCAGGAACCGGTGGCAATGCAAAATGGTCAGAGATTGTCAAACAGGCAAAAGATTTGGGCTACACGGAGCCGGACCCGCGTGATGATCTTAATGGCCTGGACGTGGCACGAAAGCTCACTATCCTGGGACGTCTTGCGGGTCTGCCTATTGAATCGCCATCTTCATTCCCTGTGGAGAGTTTGATTCCCAGGGAACTCGAAGGTGTGGCTAACGGCAACGAGTTTATCCTACGACTTAATGAGTTTGATGATGAAATGGAGAAAGAAAAGAATGCGGCAGAGAAGGCTGGAAAAGTCGTGCGATTCGTGGGTAGCATTGATATGGCTTCCAAACAGGTGAAGGTTGGCATGGAATGGTTTGATCCAATGCACCCAATTGCAACATTGAAAGGAAGTGATAATATTATCAGCTTTTTCACCAAGCGTTATGGTGCTATGCCGCTTACTATTCGGGGTGCTGGTGCTGGCGGAGATGTCACTGCAATGGGCGTCACTGGCGACTTACTTAAGGTGATCACTCAGCTTCGCGACTGATCTGGATATCTAATAAATTATATTATTTGTTATACCACGAAAAAAATGTAAAAAAGAAAAGCTATACGTTCATGAAATCTGCTTCTTGACATGCAGAGTAGACACATTGTACGAAATATGTGGTGTTTTCTTGGAAAGAATTAAAGATTCGGGGTATTAAAAACAACCGAGCGGCCTGCCAAAGCGCCCAGGCGATATGGAAGTAGTACAAAATTGTGAATATATTAGACTGAAAACGAACCTTGAAAGTATACTCTATGGCTATGCAGTTGATAAATCATTGGTCAGGAAGCATCATCATATCCGCTATCCTTTCAGCCTCTGCCATTCTCATTTAGTAAGAAATCTTGTTCGGGTGATATGACCTCCAACCCTCCCCTGAACTTAATGCGAGAATATAAACTGATGTCCTTTTGCTAGTAAGGAAAGGTACAAAAAGAAAGGGGGGTTAGTCAAGTCTAAAACCGGGGGCAAATCTTAGCGTAGAAGCCTATATTGCGCCAGATCGGTAAACTCACTCAGGTGGGGTAAGGGACCGGAGGTAAGCAACATTTGAAGGCCTTCCTCCCGTCCGGCCAAATGTTGTAAGTTTGCTGCACCTTAGGGTGCAGTGCAATACATTCGGGCGATGTTTGGGGCCGCAGAAGCTCAAGTTTGGCGGCGGCGGCCGTCCACCAAGCCTGCTGAGCAAAAATCAAACGTCCCCGGGAAGGCTCGAACTTCCAACCTCCTGATTAACAGTCAGACGCGCTAGCCAATTGCGCCACGGAGACGATTGGTTGACACATAGCGCTGTCCACCGGTGGGGCTGTGATCGTGAGTTCCCCTTGCATGTGGAGCACTGCTTCAATTGACATCTTCAATGATGTGTCTTCGGCCGGGAAGCACTTGATTGGCTATCACACTGCTTAGCCGCCCACGCTAGCTGCAGGTGCACTTACTGTGCACATGTGGGCCATATGTAAATAACCGCCGTCTCATCAGCATATTGAGCAATGCAAAGATCTATTTATGGATCACCTCCAGTGGGCGCGTATGGCATTTTCTTGCCTATTGTGTGGTGTTGTTTGAGGAAACATCAGAATCTCGCAAATTTTCCAATTCCTCTTTTCTCTCTCTTTTTAGTTACTTTGTTCAAGAATCGTCCAGGATATTGGCCCTGCCCCCATTGCTTCGTCGGCCTTATACTTTTTCTCTTCGTAATGCCGCCGAGTGGAATTCAGCCTCTTTTCTTACATTAACACGCTCTTTCTTACGCGTTCTAAACAATTGAACCTCACACATGGTTCAACCGGTCCGATACGTCATGAATGCTTTATTACTGTTAGCTCTTTGCAGCACACAGCTAGCTTTAGCGGTCCCTACTACGAGTATCTGGAAAAGAGATGTGCTTTCTGATTTATCGGGTGGGTGGTGCCGGAGCTATAAATTTGGAGGTATTATTCATCTGCCCTACTGGACTATGTTGGCCAGCTTATCTGATTCTATTCAGTGAGCATTGCCAATAATATGCTTTACATGGTTGGCTTGGATGGTGGTCTTATCCCTGGCGATGAAGACTCAAATCGTATGTTCCGAGATTCTGCTCCCCTGAGTATTCTATTTCTTATTATTGACTCAGCTAGATCATTATCTTATGACGCTTGATCTGACTTCCTCATTTTCTGTCAACGATGGATCAAATTACAAATTAACTATTATCAATGACACCGTCCCGGACGTTAAATACCAAGCATTTTGGCCTAGTCGCGATAATTCGACATTATATATGTACGGGGGAATGTTTCTTAACAACGTGTCGACTGATACTGGGATTTGGGCGTACAGCCCAAACCAGAAAGTCTGGCAAATACTAGAACAAGAGATTATCATTCCCACGCGGCTCGTCAACGGAGGTATGTACTTAGCAGCATAATATCCTTGATCTATGCATAATGTATATGAGAGCTGACACGAATTCCTATAGCCAATACGAATGCACCTCAAATCCAGGCTGCCTATTGGGTTGGTGGATACCAAGATTCGGATACGACTGTCACGATTACGGACTCGACTGTGAACTACGCCAAAGGAATGATTCAACTGAATACAACCACCGGAATCTACACCTCACTCGAAGCACCTTTCACTCCTGTTCAGGATGGCTCATTAAGTTACATCCCAGTCGGAGAAATGGGTATCTTGGTATACGTTGGTGGAGAAATTCCATCAATTCAAGATGGAATCAACGCAACCCTAGTTCCAGTTAGTATTAAGAAAAATTTCATAATAGAAGATTACTGATTCCTTTGCAGAATAAATGGGATTATGTGCAGGTCTATGACATCGCCAAGGCTAAATGGTACAATCAGACCACTAGCGGCTCAGGCGTATCTCGGACTCAATACTGTGCCTCTGTTCAGCATGATGAATCGTCTTCATCATATGAGATATTTTTTGTCGGTGGTGCGGACTTTGAAACGGAAGATGTAATCACGGATGTGTATGAGCCAACTATTTTTTCCTTCTTGTTGAACCTCATGCTAATAAGCAGTGTCTAGGTCATACTTGTCAATTCCATCTTTCAAATGGTATCAGGCCAGCCCAGTTGATACAGGTAGAATGACTATGGACTGTGCCACATACGGCTCCCAGATCTTCGGAGTCGGAGGGCGTCTTGCTTGGTATGTGGACGAAAGGGCTGGCTGCTATAAAATGCCTGCTTTCATATACGATGCTGAGTCGCAGGCTATCAGAACCGACTTCGATGTAAGTAATGGCGATAAACTACCACCTTCGCTTTCGAAAGCTAACAAAACATGACAGCCCACAAGAACCGCATACTCGGTCTCTGCCTCAACCTACGATGATATCAAAAAGTCACCTTATCCCTCCAAGTGGGCAGATTCAAATCTCAAGGCCCTCTTTGTGGCCGCGAACACGAATAAAAGTTCCACCAACAGTACATCAACGGCTAAAGATGCAATTTCAAGTTCAAACAGCTCGACTAATACAGGTGCTATTGTCGGTGGTGTTGTTGGAGGTGTGGCTGGCCTTATAATCACTGGGGCCTTGGTGTATTTCTGCATTTTCAAACATAGGAAAAATAAAAAGGCAGCACATGGAGTCGTCACAGAAAAGCCTTCTGTTTTGATTGATAGCCCAGCAAGGGCAGGTCAAGTATTATCAGAACTTTGGGATGCAAAAGATCCATCGGAGCTTGGTGGGAACGGACGGTCTGAGTTAGCCAGTCGTCGGGCAACGACAAGATTTGAGCTGGCTGGAAAATAGATTTCTTGATAATTATATTAAAGCCGCATTCTGTATAAATAGGAATTTGATATTTCATTCTCAGGCTTGTAATTCTCCTGCTGGGTACATGTATCATTCCATGGAAAATACATACATTATATAGAAAGCAAAACTCGGCGATATCCCCCATTATGACACCAAAACCAATCGGTCAAATACTTCACTTCTTATATCAAACCCGAATCATTGCAAGGTTCCAGCTCAAGCTTCTCATAGCTCGGCGGTGCATCAATCATATCAAACGGACTTTTGTAGCTGTCACCGACCAATCCCCAGAATGAAACTCTTGCGATCGGATGCGCGGGAAGCTTGGCTATATCCTTTCGGAACTGTGTTTTCATCAACCCTTTTTCTTCACTGGGGATGTCAAACCCTCGAGCTTGTCGACAACATCCACATTCAACGGTACAATGCCCGACCCCCAGCTTCCGCGAGGACCCAATATTGCGGTTAAGGCAACAGCCACATCCCCGAGCGCAGCATCCTTGTCGACTAGTACATTCTTCAACGAGTACGCGGTGCATGTACCACTGCGGATTGGACCGCCATAGCTCAAACCCTCTTTTTTCCACTCCGGCGATTAAACAAGAGCGATAATGACACAACTTCTGTGCCAAGCACCAGTATTTGATATTCAAATCACGAAGCTTTTTTTCTTGGGCTTCTGTTTGTGAAAGATTGCGCCGTTTTTTAATTGATATTTCTTCCTGGACAACCTCTCGAAGATCTTCCTCCACAAATAGAATTTGATGTGGGATGTAAGTAGCCTTGGGTCTATCATCAACTTGTTTCCTCCAGCATTCTAAGTGGGAATGCATGCGATATCTTTGGAGGAGATTAATATCCCTGGATTGCTCGATCTTGAATTCCCTGGGATTCTTGTCGCCCTTCAACCCAATGCCCAGCTCTTTCAATATTCTGGAATGATCGTCTTGATGTTGCCTCTGGGTTTCAGTCTCGGTTCCTACCCTATCCATGGCAGTATTCACTGTTATTGAGGCGCTAGTATTTCAGCCGCCTTTTTTATATCACGTCGAGAAGTAAGATGAAACGACACACTCGAAGGTGACAACTTGGTGAAATTGAATGAATTATATAACTGATAGGAATTTTTTCCACAGATACTTCAGATTAGACCTCCGACTTCGAAATAGTTAGGTAATTTTTAGACGACTTTTTAGACGATTTCTTTAATGGTTAGGGTGTCATCCATGGATCATTGGGACCATTCAAAACTGGCCAAGAACGTCTGCGGAGCCGAAGCAGACATAACAGTACAACGGCTCCGCCTCCGAATGAGAAGAAAGGGGAATAAAGTTAGGCAATATCAAGCCTCATAAGTTCATAAATTCAAGCTTTTTGACAGTGAATTTTAGTCAAGTAGGTTCTAATAACATGTATTGGACAAAAGGGTTTGATGGATTTTACCTCTACCTCGGCTCCCAAATTTTGAAGCAACGAAGGCCCAACCTTTAGTGCCAACGCAGACTACACAACAGGTAAATAAAATCCGAAGTAAGACCTAGTCTATAATAATCTTTACCACACAACACGAGGACAGTGATGATGAGCCATGCTCTAACAAAGTCAGCTTAGGCTCATAGTATTTGAAAATAAAGCTCATCGGGCTTAAATTTAATTTTATCTGTGGTAAATAGGCGCTTGTGTGGGATTAATTACGCGTTCAAGAGTCGCGGTTATCAATGACAACAGCTACGAGGCCCTAGAGCTTGACATACAATGTATAGCACACACAGAGGTATTGATAGACCGAATTCTCAATCTGAAAATCAGCTAAGCTCTAGGATCATAATGCATAAGACGCTAGAGGCAACTAGTTGACTGGCTCTTTCGGACTGCACATCACCCGACCCACCCCAAAGTAATTTTGGCACATAACGAGGAAGAAGTCAGAGTGGGGATGTCTGTTGATAACGTGATGGGCGAACAGAATCCATTGCAGAATTGTTGGCTGTGAATACAAAATTAAGTCCTGTTCTTCAGAAAACTCCCATGACAAGAACTTATTTCTGTCTGCATGATCCGTCGATCCCTGGCTTCGTTGGCCCATGGTGAGATTGTCACTAATTTCCGTTATCGTCATTACTGGCAAGTGCGCTGACGATGGACTTCGCTTCGTCGATATCATCTGAATCATGAGCCTTGAGGCCATACGACTGCATGAATTGGGTCCAGCCACCATAGGATTTGACAATGGCTCTCTCAGCCGGGGTCAGAGGTGGTTCTAGTCATATTAGTATCCACAACACGTGGCGCGTGGAGAACAGGACATACGAAGTGAATCGGTGGCAGGCATGTTGATTTTGGTAGATGTGTGTATTTTGATTGTCAAAGGTTCTAGCGAATCGAGTTCACAGCTGAAATTCCAATGACTAGTAGAGAGGAATATGGAAGATGTAAGATGAAAGTGGGGAACTTGAAGGTGTGGGGGGCACGATAACGATAGAGGCTTGCTGTGTTTAAAATGTGGGCGCTAAGCCACCAACAAAGTCTGACTATGAGCTACCTTTGTGTGAAAGCCTCGATCACTTCTTCAAATATTTGAATATAGGCACCACACTGTTTACCTAGGCTGTCTCTGTTCTTGTTTGCTACATGACCTAACGAACAAATGAACTATCGTCCCGCAGTGGCCGCGTCGTGTCTCTTGTGCCCCACCGTGCGCAACCCTTAAGCTTCACTTTCCCAATAGTACCACTCGGTATAGACAAGGGTCACTTTGTTCTGAGGCAACTTTGAGGTTTTGGTGCCTAGTCAGGTTCCCGCGTCTCTTGAGTCTTTGCCCTGATTTCATTCATTTACCCCTCCATTTCTTTATCCATCTCATTCGTCACTATCTACAATTTTCCACACCTCAACCATGTCAACGACAATCACTGTCGCTGTTTTTCGGGGCGACCCGCTTGACTGGGCCATGTACCGCCACACGGCAATCCATGTTCAATACGCAGACGGAGAAGACAACATTCTGCACGTTACTGGCGCACATCCGTTCTTCGAATACATGCTCCAAAACGACCACCCGTCACAGGTCAGCGCGAAGCTCGAAGCTTTGATCCCGGTATCAAGTCCCTCGGATGACTTTACTAAGGCCATGATTCAAAGCATGTGTGCTATTACTGCTGTGCGAAACGACTTGGAGCACACAGATTGGAATTGCCAGAATTGGGTTGGGGAGGCGCTGGCGAACTTGGTAGCTATTGGATGCATTACTCGAGAAGAAAGATCGGACGCGCTCGAAAAGATGGTTGATGTTTGTTTGGAGGCTGAAGATGAGCCCAAGGATATGTGAGTGCGAAATGTTGTCATCCAAGTCAGTGGCCTCCCACTAACAATTTCTCTTTCATGCCATAGGTGGGGCTGATGATTCTTTTTAACTGGGGCCAGGCGTTATTGTTATTGCATTTAGTGGCATACATAATGTTATGAGCGATTCTTTGGTACAAACGGTACTAATATTTAATTCGTCAATCATTTTATCCTCCAACATCCTCCCTCCCACATCTTATCTCCAAACCTGGAATCTCTTAGCACACATCCATATTATTAACTTAGAAGCATTCCCAGACCTGTCCATCAATGGCAATCAGCCTATTAAAAAGCTGGTTTCTCGTTCCCATGGCCGTCAACTGATAGGATTGACGCGGCGCCTTGCCCACAAGAAGAAGTCCATCAACAACCTCTTTCCCACCAATAGCCCATCCAACAACCAACTTTCCTTTCCAGCCAAGACCGCCTTGCTTTTTCATTTCTTTAATGTCCGAAACCGGAATACTGAACAGTATCGAATCGCTCTTTCGACTTTCCGATTGGATGTCTCCATGTTTGATATCCGTCGTGAAATACAGCAGGGGAGATTCCTTAGTCGAGTCAATAACCACCGCTCCACGCTTACCTTTATATCTGGCTTCGAATTCCACAGGTCCGACGGGTGTGCTTTCTTTGCCTTTCGGGCGAAGTACTCCAACCCTATTTGCCGCATGAACAGACCCGACCATCGCTCGCACTTTGTCGATTCCTCTTTTGCTTTCAACTCCCGTTGCTGTCGTTCCACGGAAAAGGCCAATTACTTTGGCCGACCATCCGTTTCTTCTTATCGGGGGAGCAGGAAGTGGAAGCCTGTGCGGTTTCTCGCTCTTGGGTTCTGCTGCGGCTGCTTCCGTGATTTCTTCTTTGGTGGCACCGAGGGTAAGTTCTTCATGATGAAGTGAAGCTGGTCGTGATGGTGGCTTACTTGCTGAGGTTGGAGGAGGTGGCAGTGGCGATGCATTGGCCTCGCCGATTCGCAAGAGTGTAAGCGTTAGTTGGGCATTTGTCGGAACGCCCTTTAGTAACGAACTATGTATAGTATTAGTAAGTGAAAAGAAGGATATAAAGTTTCCTTCTCAGCGATGTACTTTTGAATCTTCAAAATGTTTTCCCAATGAGGATATTTGGAATTTAGGAGCTCGATGCCACGCCATATAATCGGATCTCCGAAAAAGACAAACCCAACGACGAGGCCAGCAGTCTTAATGAGCACATAACTTGAGAGAAATAATGATATAAGGCATAATGGGGCTATGACGGAAGCGAGCCGTATTTGAGGAGTAAGTCGAGGGAACGGCGGCGTCCCAGACAAAGCACTAACCATAGGTCAACAAAAAGCAACATGAGTTTGATCAGAATTCAAAAACCGACTTTCCAAGTTTTTCGTACATATCGGTGATGTCGTTTATTATCTGCATCAGCATATTCGCCGCCTCAAGAACGGACTGTTTCATAGGCTGGCGAGTTTTATCGCGAGCATCATTGGATATCTCTCCATTTGCAGCACTTCGAGCATCGGCACTATTTGCAACAATGTCCATTGCATCGGGAACGGTTGCTTCAAGCGGTGCATCTTCTGGAACAGCCTGATCGTTCTTCCCAACTGCGCTCCCCACAGCAACAGTAGCAATCCCAGCCACCAAGTTACTAGCTTCATTTTCAGCGGCCTCGCCTTTGAAGTTTTCCGGCGCGCCAGTGAGACTATCATGAGAGCCTAGAACACCAGCCTTTGGCTTCTGGATACCGCCGGTGTTTTTATCGACCAAGGCAAGTGGCGCGGGAGGAAACAAAATATCGCGACAGGGTGGGAATATAATCAGAGCGAATATTGTGGCAAGAAGTGTCGGCATCAGGGAGTCCAGTAGCCAAGCCAAAACGTATACCGCACAGAAAGCAGTAGTCCGTCGAGGTTCTTTCCATGATCGTAGTCGAGCGATATGTTTGACGAATCCAGTCAATCCAATAAACACAGTAGTATAAAATCTTTCGAGTGTTGCTCTCAATTTATCAGGTGAGAATTCGTCGTCATCGGATCGAGTTAAGTCCAGATTCTGGAGAGGTGCGTTGGATACTGCTTTCACATTGTAGACTTGCTGTGGAATGTTAGATACCTTGAAGCCTTACACATATTTGTAATGACTGACCTTATTAAATCGTCTGATGAGCATCCACAAATCCTCGTTTGACAATCCAGCGATCAAAGCCTCATCGAAATGCTCAGAGGGTTGAGTCCATCCTAAGTCTGTGACTTCGGCGTCGTCACCAGCCTGTTGCGATAAGCCCTTTTCATCTTGTTCAACTTGAGACAAGATGTGACTATCTGTCGGTCCTTCGGGGATTGGGGGTGTTTCAGCTTCGACATTGAGATCTGCCAAGTGGCTAGGATTAGTAGCCGGGGAATTCATAATGGGTGTCACCAAGCCCAAGGCATATACAGTAGGTGCGAAAGAGAAGATTTGGGGAGATAAAAAATCCAGGGGCAAGGAACAAAGCTTGAGAAAAATAATAGTCAAATCAATGATCAAGTCAACGAATACAATCTTGATTTTGACCCATGGACGCTGCACATGTGGTCGCGTTACTTGTTCATTCTTCTGTTTGTTATACTTCTCCGCTCGTTGACGTCATCTGCATCTTGCATGCCCGAAAAGTAAGGATATGAACTTCATGATGTCAACACTATTGGACAGCTTTGACCTCAAGGCAGAGTGTACCTAAATCGGGAGATCAGGAGCAAACAAGTCATCATTCTCATCGGATGGCTTGATGGAATATGTAGATAACTTTTCTTTGTGTTGTTGGGGATGTAAGCAATAATTACCCGGATTCGTATCGTATTGGCAATGAACAGTTAATAAAGTCCATCCTTCCCTATAGATTCATTTTCAAAATACTTACTCTCTCAGCTTTCTAGTGACAATTCCAATGTTGCACATAGCGGGCAGAGATGTGTGTGTACCTGCCATCTAATTCCCAGGCATAACGGTCACATGATCCACGCGTCCCGAAATGGACTCAATGTCGCGTCTTTCAACAACAATCTATCAATTCTCAGAGCTCAGCTAGATGGAAAAGAGACCACCATGAGTCAGGAATGTGCTAATCCCCTGCTACTAGGATGGATCAAGGAATGGCTAGACCAAGCCCGAGACCGAAACAGCAAGGGTGTCACAGTGTGGGTATTTCGCGTCTTTTTCGCGACTAGCGTGCTGATTGATGTCATGATAGGTACAAAAAGGCATATGAGTCTATGAAGGCATGCCCTTTGGAGTTTGAACACCCATCTCAGGCCCAGCAGCTCAGCGGGTTGGGGCCTAAACTATGCGATCGCTTGACCGAGAAACTGAAGGCTCATTGTGAAGAGAACCGTCTTCCCATGCCACAGGCCCCTAGTTCAGGTGGGTCGCTCAATCCCATCAAAATATTATTCGCGCCAACCTTATCCGATTGTGTCTAGGAAATAAGAGAACATCCGACACAGGTGTTGCCGATCAACCTGCAAAAAAGCCCCGAAAGGCTAAGCCTTATGTTCCCGCTTTACGGTCTGGAGCCTATGGCCTCCTACTAGGCTTGGCAACCATAGGCGAAAATGCAACACAGGGAATGACAAAAGTGCATCTGATTGAAGTAGCTCAACAATGGTGCGATAGTTCTTTCACGGCGCCTACAGATCCAACCAAATTCTATACTGCTTGGAATTCTATGAAAACACTCATCCAAAAAGACCTGGTATATGAGCATGGCCGCCCACTAAGGAAATATGCGCTTTCTGAAGATGGATGGGAGGTTGCGAAGCGTATCCAAAAGACACTCCCTGGGGCGGCTCAAAATACACTAAGTTCCAACGGCGGTGATTCGCAGACAAATACTTCACAGAATACCAACAATGGTGGCGGCGCTTTCTCGATCGAGGATGACGATGATCTGGAAAGCCAGGCTTCGCTAAATACTCAAGGCTTTCAAACTTCCCATACAGATGGCCCAACGGAGCCTATCTCGCTTCCTCCTGGGAGTTTCACAATCCAGCTTGTCTTAGATACTCGCGAAGTACGAACATCGACAGACCGAGACTATATTGCAAACGAACTCATGAAACAAGATATCACCCCTCAAGTCCGTGCTATGGAGCTCGGTGATGTAATGTGGGTAGCCAAGTGCCGCGACCCGACATATCTCTCTCGCTATGGTGAAGAAGGTGACGAGGTGATGCTCGACTGGATAATTGAAAGAAAGCGGCTCGATGACCTGGTCGGCTCGATTAAGGATGGGCGTTTCCACGAACAAAAGTTTCGCCTACGTCGCTCTGGCATTAAAAATGTTATCTATCTCATTGAAGAGTTCACAGTGGCACACACCGATGCAGCTGGAGGCGCCCAGAAATACCAAGAAATGGTCGCCTCAGCTATTGCTTCGACGCAGGTGGTCAATGGATTTTTCATAAAGAAAACCCGCAATCTGGACGACTCCATCCGTTATCTCGCTCGCATGACGCTGCTTCTCCGGAAGATGTATGGAGCATATGAACCAGGTTCCAGCCAGCCTGAAAGTGCTTCACCGTCATCAAGAGTTTCATTTGTTCCCACTCGCTCCATTTCCTCCACGCAATCATATTTGGAGACCCTGAATAATCTCCGTACACAGGAACCCACCGTGACTTACGGGGTAACATTTTCCACATTTTCAGCCCTGTGCTCGAAATCCGATGTGCTTGCCCTTCGAGATGTCTTTTTAAAGATGCTCATGTGCACACGTGGTGTGACTGGTGAAAAGGCTATTGAGATACAACGGCTTTGGCAAACCCCTCAGCAGCTTATTCAAGCTTATATGGCTCTGGACCCTAAAGAGCGTGAAGCAATGATATCAAACAGATTACAGTCTCTAGTTGGCAGGAAGAAGATTGTGAAAGCTGTCAGTAAACGCATTTCAGAGATATGGGGCGAAGGATCGTGATCCAGAATGGAATAATAATTTATTCATTTACTTAAAAACGAAATGCTTGATCACAGAACACAATACAATAATTAAATCAACTAGCTTCTGCTGGTTTTCTGGCCTTCAAAATTTGGCTTGGCCAAAATCCCCACATTGTCTGCAATCCTCCATAATTTGATTGAACATCCGTCCATCCACTGCTCTCCAACACCTTCTTGTACTCGCCAATGTACCCCGCAAGCTCAAAGACGAGCAGATAACCCCCCGGTTTCAGAACCCTCGCCGCCTCCGCAATCGCCTTGTCCCGAACCGGCAAATCAGGATTATGAATCGACAAACTAGCCGTGACAAGAGACATCGAGCCATCGCGGAAAGGTAACTCAGCAAAGCTCGCAGTAAGCAAAACAATATGCTCCACAAGCTTCAGACTAGCGGCGTTATCAAACGTTGCCTCGGGTGAATTTCCAGTCTGATCACGATTGATGAAGAGATCAATACCATAAGCCGGAGCAATAGTTGTCCCAGGTGCAGATGCCGCAAGCTTTTTCTTCCTTTCTGCGATTTTCAATAGGACCATTCCGCGTCCGCATCCAAGATCAAGGCCCGGTGAATTGAAGACATCTTTCGGAAGCTCGTCGAGGAGTTTATCCCAGGCATCGAACTTGCCTTTCTTGGTCGTGTACAGGTAGAGCGGGAAGAAGATATTTGATGTAGCGAGGCCGACGGGTGAATCAATACCGTAGGATGCCTTGGAAGGGACTGGACGGTTTGCGGTGGCAAGTTGTTCGAAGTGATTCTCTAGCGGCTCGGAGGTGTAGATGGACTCCATTTTGGCTGCACCAAGATTCAAGTTGTGGGTGATACTGGAGAGACGAAGTAGAAAACCTTCCGTCAGCAGTCACTTCACAGAGTACCCACCCTCAATAAATACTTCAAGCTTAATTCCGCCTAACCCAATCTTGGAAAGGGTTGCGAACATTTAGGTATCCGCGCCAAGCACGATTCGGAGAGCCCGAATCCGAATCAGTGAATAACATGGGAGCTGAGGGAGATGAGCTCTGGCCAGAAAGCTGAATAGTCTCCGAAATACACTAGTGTAATGAAAACAAGATACGAATAATTAGTTGGCCTCAAGCGATCATCACTATAGAGATGTAATTGTATTACTGTATTATTCCCAAGAAGGCTAGAACCAAACTCGGAGAGTTTTCATACTTCTGGCCAGTGTCTCTCTCTTTGTTTGACAGCATGCTACTGGATCCGTCAAGCTGGCCAGGGTAAGATCATAGCTCCACCCGGCGATCCTAGCTGATTGATAAAGATCTCCACTATACCAATCGCGGTCTGTCCGGGATGCTTCAAGTCGCCCCACCATACTTCATGACTATCTGAGAATAACTGGGTCCTTTTTTCCGCTGGCAGAATTAAAAAAAAAAACCTGATTTGGTTCGTTGCTCGTCATCCAGCCACGTTATTATAGTGGGCTTGCACACATGTGCATGTGGTAGTACAAAGTAAGGCGTACATCTATGCATATACGGCACGTGTTGTCCGGCTGCCTATATAGTAAGTCGCTGCCACATGACTCTATAAGTCTGTTTTTTTCGAATTATCATATAATCTCTTTATTAAGTATATTTCTTGTTAAGCCATTTTCTTATTAAGAACCGGGGAAGGCAGTATCATGATGTTGCCTTCCTTCTCCTCTTCTTCTCTCTTCAAGGTTGATATTCTTCGTATTTGATTTAGTTATACGCCTGTAAATTCCTATTGCCTTCACAGTATCACGCCAACAAAGTGAGATCTCTCATTTCTTCCATCGGAACACCTTCTTGACACTCCCCAGATCAATCCTCAGGGCCAAACTACTTCCGACAACCGAGATACTACTCAAAGCCATCGCCAAAGCAGCCCAGACCGGACTAAGTCTCCAATGACTATTCATAGTGACCGACTCACCACCAATAACCTTCTCATGATGCCCACTGACAATGGGGTAAAAGACACCAGCAGCAACAGGAACAAGACAGAGATTGTAAACCAGTGCCCAGCCAAAGTTCATTCGCACACGAGTAAACACGCGTCTACTGAGAAGTACCAACTGGAGGATTGTGCTGAGGTCTGAATTGAGAAGAATGAAACTGGCAGAGTTGATAGCCACGTCAGAGCCCGAGGCCATTGCGATACTGACATCGGCAGCGGCGAGTGCAGGGGAATCATTTACTCCATCACCGACGAATGCGACTATCGGGCGGGTCGGGCTTTGTTCATGGGGCCCTTTAGCGGTGCCATCTTGGACGCGGCGGACAAAGCTGGCTTTCTCTGCTGGGAGCACGTTGGCCATGACGTTGGATCGAGAGATACCGAGCATGTCTGCGACGGCGTGTGCGGTTGTTTGGTTATCACCTGTGCACATGAAGACTTCGACATGACGCTTGTGCAGCTCGGAGATCACGGCTATGGCTTCGGGTCGAAGGGTATCTGAAGTTGCGAAGACGATCGCGGGAACAAAGAACGTTTCTGTGGAGGAGTGTTGGTCGATGCGACGGAGGGAGAGGATGGCGGTGGACTTCCCGCTTGTTTGGAATTGCGAGAGTAGGTTGAAAACGAAGTAAGAGTTTGAGCCAGAAGGCAGAATGCTATCGAGCAGGCGCTCATTTCCGATGGCAGCTTCGTATTGTTTCTCGGTGTAGCCATCTGATATAGTGAAAGTACCCTTCATTCCTTGGCCGCCGATTTCTTGAATCTCGGAAGATTTGACGTTGATCCCAATTTGGGATTCGCAGAAAGCGGAGATCGCCTGTGCGATGGGATGGTTGCTACTTTCTTCTAGTTTGCGGGCGAGAACCCAAGCAACCTTAAGAAAATCATCATCCTTGGTCAAAACTTCGTGGTCCGAAACCTTCAGACTTCCACCTTCAGTGAGAGTTCCAGTTTTGTCAAAGATGATGGCATCAAGGCGACTCGCTTCTTGAAACGCTTCACCGCCACCCTTAACCAGGATTCCATGTTTGGCCGCAAGACCACCTCCGACAAACAAAGCAGTAGGGGCAGCCAAGGCCAATCCACAGGGACAAGCGACCACAAAGACAGCGATGGCAAATTCCAAACTCCAGAAAGTCCACCCGCCTTGTGAAACGTCCAGATAATCGGCGGGTAATGCACCAGAATGGCCTAAAGCCAACCAGATGACAAATGTGAGAATGGCGATCAGGGTAATGATAGGAACAAAATGCGATGTGAGCAAATCGGCAACTCTTTCAAGTGGGGCGCGCTTGCTTTGGCCTTCGCGGACCACTGTTATGATTTGATCAAGCATGGATGAACCACCGAGTTCAGTGACCTCAATTTGCACGGGTTGGCCCACGTTAACAGATCCAGTAAACACTTGATCTCCAGTGGTCTTCTTGACGGGACGAGACTCTCCAGTCAAGGAACTTTCGTCGAATTGAAATGAGCCTTCTCCAACCACAATACCATCAGCGGGTGGGGATGCGCCATGGGGAATGCGGACGACATCGCTGACTTCTAAAAGATCCACACCGACACGAATCATCTGATCAGAATCTGCCTCTTCAGAAGGGCCCAGATCGCTAGACTGAATGAGCAAAGCCTCGGATGGACGAAGGTTTCCTAGAGATGCGACAGCATCCCCTGTTTTGGCCTTGCTGTATGCCTCCAAAAATCGGCCAGCAAGAATAAAAAGGGTCAAGAAGACCACAGAGTCGAAATAGGTCGTACTGGCAGCGCTTTGTTTTGTTCCAACTACAGCATCGACAATGAGAACGGCCAACGATGAAAAGTAGGCCACCGAAGTTCCTGCTGAGATCAGCAGATTCATACTTCCAAAACGGTAGAATCTGCGCAAAATTGGAACTCGGCTTCCAGGACGCCAAAGAGCATGGATCTCTTTTATGGCCCGGGTATGGAATACATCGGTTCCGTATACCATGACGGGGGTAGCCATTATAAATAGCGCCCACTCTATGCGCGTCACGCTTCCAGACCACATTTTCTGTTCTAGGTATCGGCGGGTTGGGTTACTTGAGGACACAAGAGACATGAACACGATGCCGACAATGAATGTGGGTATAGCGACAGTAAAAACGAAAAGAAAGCGGAGTAATAATTTAGTTCGTTCATGCAGTTGCATAGCACGAGAACGATCCTCAATGCTGGGTGGGTGGTAAATGCTTGCGCTGAAAGCTCCATTGGCTTCGTCAATAGTTGCAAGAATTTTTCGTATAGTCAAAAGTGGTGGCTTTGGTAAATATGTGACTTTAAGGATGGGGTTTTTTTCTGAGGGAGCCTCATCAACTGTGACATCTGAAAGGGCTTGCAAAGAGGCAAGGACCTTTTGGGGACAATGATGACAAAACATTCCATCGACACGAATAGAAATCTTCCTAGCGTGGACAGCGGCTTTGTTGTCCCCATTATCAGCCAGTGGATGAACACTGTCGACGGCAGCATCATACCCGAGATCCTCAATTTTCTCCACGATCTCGTCCAGATTGTCTCGGCCTTGGAATTCAATTCTTCCACTGTGAGATAGCAGATTCACAGCAACATTTTGAACAAAGGAGAGTTCTTCTAGACCTCGAGTCACTGTTCCAACACAGGATCCGCAGGTCATACCAGTTATCGAAACCTCAGTGACAAAGTCTGACACAGGCTGAGTGAGACTTGACGAAGCAACTACTGGATTCACCTCGTCCAAAAATGCTTCGAACCCGATATCTTCTATCTGGTCAATGATAATCTGGAGGTTGTCGCGAGGCCCAATATAATTCACAGTTCCGCTATTAGTAAGGAGATTGACGGTGACTTCTTTTACACATTCAAGTTCTTCGATCGAAGCAGTGATGCTATTTACGCATGATGCGCAGCTCATGCCTCCAATGCTAATCCGCGCAATGAATTCATCCTGTGATTCGGATGAAGGTAATTGAGGAGTTTCTGGGATTGGAGAAGGAATTCGCGGCGAGTGATGTGTTGAAGGGGCATGTGTTACAGCGGGTGAGGGTGGATGATACTGTGACGAACCCAACTCCTTCTCATTCCAACCTTCGCCTGCTTCAAGGTCGGTTTCCCAGGCACTTCGCAGTATGGCTTTCTCTTGTGAGGCTCCATCGTCGTCCGTATTAGATTGACAGGATATTATATCGGCTTCTTCTTTTTTGCATGCATTACAATTTGCAATATGGCTGGTATCTCGGTTCGTGTGCAGTTTCTCCTTGAGGTTCGATGAGATACTGGAATACGATGTTCGAGGTGTAGCGAACAGCATCGACCCGCGAGAGTTCCAAGTTGTCGTATCAAGTTCAGAAAGTACATTATTTCGATCATCATAGGTTGATACATGATACACTTCAAAGGCGGCATGGATCAAAGCTGTAGCCAGATCTGCTGGCTGGACAGAGACGCCATGAGTAAGACGCACTTCATGGGTTAGGATGGAGACATCGATATCTTTGACCGATGGGATTTCAGAGAGGACTTCATTAACATAGGCAATGCACGAAGCACAATGAACATTGCCAACCCAAACGACACTGCGTCTTGCCTCGGCCTCCGATTTATGCGATTGCAAACTGGTGGAGTGCGGCAGACTCTTCGAAATCGAAGACATATTAAAAAGGGGTTGGTGATTCAAATGTCCTTTGCTGGACCAATCTTTTGTTTTTCAAGAAAGCCAGACGAAATGCAATTCTTGGTATTTGAATCAGCCCTGCAAGAGCGGGAATCGGCCGTCTTAAATCTCGTTCCAGGTACCGCGCGGGTAGGGTGGGTCTTGATATCGACGAATTGCCACAAAAGACCAGGGGCTGTACGAAACAAGGAATGTTGCATCAAAAGGAGAAATTAGGACCAATGAATACAACTATCGTCTCTAGCATCGCTGGAGAAGAAAGAAGAAGAAATGATTCTGGAAGGGCGTGGAGGGTGTGAGAACAGAGCGGATGCGCCATTTGTGCGTGATCTCCAAACTACGCACAAATGCCGCAGCTACATTCCAATCACGGAGCGCCATGACTTTCGTGCAGTATGCCGCTAGCAAAAATAGGGACGGCCGCCAAGAATGCACACTATTTCCTTCGACTTGCAATAAGCTGACACCCTATACAGGGCCATATTATGATATACTGATCTCATCCTTGCATGACTCTTCAAGTGTTCCATGGCCGTTCTTGGCAACATGTTTGATTTCTGCCTTTGCCTTACTGCCCTATTATTCAGGCATAAGAGCAATTATGTCCTGTTTCGGACTAGTACGGCGAGTTAAATCACGTGAATCATGTGAAAAAGGATGTCACCGTCCAAGACTTGTTATTCAATATCAGGCAGCTAAGAAAAATTCAAATTATTTCACATAAGAAAGAGACTTAAATTTTCCATTCAGTATTTTCAAAACTTCTTTTTCGACGCAGTTGTCAACATCTCCATCGGGACTCGAACGCAGAGACTGGCTGACAGGGGGAATGACTGAGGGTCCACGTGACAGCACCACTAAGCCACCTGTGTGCCGCTCCACGAAAAAACTTCACCGTCATCCCGCCCCACCGACGCGACTCATCTTCAATCGCGTCCTTATCACTTATCTTTTTACTTCTACAAGAAAAGATCGTTGTTCGGAGACGAAAGCCTTTTACGACAAAATACAACAGTGAATCGTCATCTTGGAAGTCAAGGATAGCATCGCTGGGATCAGTCCTCCATCACATAACTCACTCTCATCCTCCTACCTTATTCCTAGGAAATTTTCTCTCCTCGTCCCCGCCCCTTCGCCCTTCTTATCGCAACGACGCGCAGCCTACAGACTATGGCCCCAAAGTAACATTGTCAGAACGTCATTTTATTCACATAAAAACCTCTGGACATCTAACCCTCCTCAATTGAGCTGTGGTTCAGCCTTCTCATTATCCCATCTCAACCATGGCATCGAAACCTACACGGATCACAGTGGCTCCTCGCGGGCCCCGAGGACCGATTGGACGCTTAGCCAGTCTTAAGCCTCCAGCTTCAACATCTATTAAGCGTCCTGGATCAATTTCACGCCCCCAGCCTTCACGCCCAACAACCCACCCAAAGACGTCGAGCTGTCCCAACCCGGGCTGTCCAGCTCCGCATATCGTTGACGATGACGGATCAAAGGTCTGTACTGGGTGTGGTACGGTTATTAGCGAATCAAATATTGTTTCAGAAGTCACATTCGGCGAGTCTTCATCTGGCGCTGCTGTTGTTCAGGGTACTTTCGTTGGAGAAGGTCAGACCCATACTCGGAGCTTTGGTCCGGGTTTCCAACGTGGTGGCGGTATGGAGAGTCGAGAGATTACCGAAGCAAGTGGTAAGTGCATGGCATATCTGAGTCTTGTGCCGAACGAATTCTAACAAACACAGGTAATCAATACATTCATCAGTGCTCACGCCGGTTGAACATCCCAGAGAGTGCTTCGAAGGCTGCCGGTCAAGTATTTAAGCTTGCCGCTGGTTTGAACTTCATTCAGGGTCGCAGAATCAAGACTGTGGCAGCAGTATGTCTTTACATCGCATGTCGTCGTCAAGCTGGTAACACGGTCATGCTGATTGATTTTGCCGATATTCTAATGGTAAGTTTGTTCCGTCCTTTCCGTGATTTCCAACTTTCAACGTTCGGATAGTTTCATCTAACTTGATATCTTTACACAGATTAACGTCTTCAAGCTTGGTAAAACATACAAAGCCCTTCTTGACGAACTCCGACTGGGCGGTAACGTCTTTTTGATGAACCCAATTGATCCCGAAAGTTTGATATATCGTTTTGCCAAACAACTGGAGTTTGGCCCTGCTACCATGAGCGTCGCAGGTGAAGCTGCCCGCATTATTCAACGAATGAATCGTGACTGGATGACCACTGGTCGACGACCTGCAGGTCTCTGTGGTGCGGCCCTCGTTCTTGCAGCACGCATGAACAACTTTCGTCGAACTGTCCGTGAAGTTGTTTACGTTGTCAAAGTGACTGAGATTACTATCAGTCAGCGTTTGTCAGAATTTGGTGCAACTGAGAGTGGAGAATTGACAGTAGATCAATTCCGATCTGTGCAGTTGGAGAATTCTCATGACCCACCTTCCTTTACTCGGGCGAGGGAAGGTCGGAAACCTAGCAGAGTGATGAAGAAACTTCCGGAGACGGCAGCCGATATCGAAGAGGATTCACTCAGTGAGAGTGAGTCGGTTCAGGCTCCTCGTGTCGATGCAGATGGATTTGCGATCCCTAATCTCCCAATTGATCCTGCCTTGACCGAGCCTCCGCGTCGCCGATCGTCCATTAATAAGGCTGTCAACGAAGTTATCAAGGATGCCAGCCAGGAGGAAGGGAAGGCAAAGGCGAAAGGCAAGGGCTCGCGCCGAACCCCAGTACCTACACCATCTGTCGAACAACTCGCATCCGAGGATGCTCTTGAGGCCGAGATGCGAACAATGCTTCAAAAGGGGTCAAATATGATTGACAGTCTCATTGACCAAGAGCCTAAGAAGCTGGTGTCCAACAACTACGAGATCGATGAATCGGAGTTTGAGAATGATCCCGAAGTTGCGAACTGCCTTCTCTCGCCTGGTGAAGTCGACATCAAAGAGCGTATCTGGGTCAGTGAAAATAAAGACTACCTCCGAGTGCAACAAACCAAAGCCCTGAAACACGCACTTGATGAAGCGATGGGAACGAAAACAAATCGTAAGCCTCGCAAGCGCCGAAAGGGCCGTCTCGGTGATATTACCTATCTCGAGGGCGAAGATGCCGACGGTCGCAGCTCTCGTGCATCAACTCCAGCTGAGGCAACTCGACGCATGCTGGAACACCGCGGATACAGTAAAAAGATCAATTACTCGCTTCTCGATACCCTGTACGATGGCGAGGGTGAGGGCGAGGGCAAGGGCGAGAGCGAGAGCACGGCGGCAGAGACCAAAGAAGAGAACCTTAGTCGAAGTCGCAGTCGTAGTACGAGCGTCGTATCGCGCCATAGTCTTCCACCTGCCCCGTCGCCTGCTCGTCGTCGACGTAAGGGACCTGGAGCCAGGGGCTCAAGTGCTGCACCCCAACCAACTCCTCCCCCTACACAACGCGATAGCAAAGCCCCAGAACGCTCACCTCCACCAGAGCGTTCGCCTCCACCAACTGCGACACCAACAGAGGCGACACCAGTGGCTGCTGTTCCAGACAACGATGCCGCTCCAGACGTCTCCAAGGCAGATGAGACCGCTGGCAAAGTCCCAGACCCTGATGAACTTGACGATGACTATGGTTCCGAAGAGGATGATCATCTCGAGGAGGCCTTTGAGGGAACATACGAGGATGACTATTACGAGATGGATAGTGACTAGAAGTTGAGCATTCCTGGCGTGGGCCAGAGGCGTTGTTTGTTACAGAATTCATGTTTAGCATAGCGTTTCCCTTTCCTTTAGCATAGATCGCATTTTTGCTTTGAAAGGGGTTTTCTTTATCCACAAAAGAGCACAATCAAGTTTGGATACTTGACATCAGTCAACCCTCCCTCCTTTATTATCGTAAATCTTCTTTGATAATAGCCACTACGTAAATCCTCCAAACAGCAAGACGCCTCTAAGCGTCAATGCACAACCGACCGCCATAACCCTCCTTTCAAAAAGCGACACATCCAATTTCCAATTTGGAATCTCGAACCACCGCCGAAATGCTTATTATTACCCAAAACAATTCATCGACTGCCGATCATGACCCCAACCACTCAGTGGCTGGATTCCCCGACTATTGCGGGGAATTGTCACGACGGCATGTGGACTAACCCCAGATTCACCCCGCAACGGCTGATCAATAACTTGACAGGGTCCCTTAAGCAAAAGCCTCCGTCTACAGTGAATCCTGATTCAAGCTCATGATACCATTATCCCGCGGGGGCACAAACTTTACCTTTGGTTTACCCCACATCGCTAAGTCCCCGATCATGTAATTCGTCAAACATATCTCTTTCATCACGTCTCTAGTCCAAATTAGCTGAACAAATTGGATTCCACTGAATTATCGGTCTTGCTCCGTGAGTATTCCTCTCACCGTCTCATTCACAGAGTGCCATTTAGGCTTAATGGCGCTCTTTTATGCCGGATCCGTCAAGAACGGCTTGACCCTGAGTCCCCTCAATCGGATAAGCCAACCAGCATCTCTGTTGCATAGTAAAGGTAGTATTGCCAGCTTGAACGCTCATAAAAGAACAAAAGCCCCCAGAAACTAGTTCCTTTTGTCTTATTTTCGATTCGAATGGTGTTACAATAGATTGTCGTACAACATGGTCAAGTATAATATGTATGGGCGGGGCCTGCCACTCCGAATGGCTATTATGTTTACCTGCCAATTGGCATTTATCTTCTTCGGTATGTATCCCACGTGCATTCTAGTACCGCTGACACTTCTTGTATTGGAGAACAGAAGGAGTCAAATAGTACTAACATCTATCATTTTCAGGCTACGATCAAGGCGTCTTCTCAGGAATCGTCGGTAACGAACAATTTCTCGATGTAGTGCATAATCCCAGCGCGGGAATTTTGGGAATCATCGTCTCAATATATAACCTCGGCTGTTTCTTCGGTACAATTGTTTCCTTTGCGATTGGTGATCGGCTTGGTCCACGGAAATCTATGTGGTTTGCTATGGTGTGGATCATTGTATGTTGTCTCCGAGTCCTTTCCAACTTGAAGATACATCACGCATCGTACTGTGTATACTGATTCTATCATTATCAGGTCGGTGCTACGCTACAAACAGCTTCCTATTCACGAGCCCAACTCCTCGTTGCCCGCTTTATAACAGGTATCGGTACTGGAATCGAAACAACAACAGTACCTGTTTACCAATCTGAACTCTGTGAGGCGAAAAAACGCGGAAAATACGTATGCAGTGAGCCGCTTTTTGTAGGTGTGGGCATAGTCATTGCATACTGGTTTGACTATGGGATGAGTTATGTTGACGGGGAGATTAATTGGAGACTTCCCATTGCTTGCCAGATGATCTTTGCTATCATGGTGATTGTTTTGGTTTTTGGGTGAGTGGATCGGATCGAATCATGATGCTACTGAGAGTGGTCTTCCAGGTTTCAGTATTGAGAAATTCGTCACTAATGTGTATCTCTTTCTTCATAGTCTACCTGAAAGTCCTCGCTGGTTGTATAGACATGGTCGAGCAGAAGAAGCACTCGCTGTTCTTTGTGATGTCTATGATATGCAACCCGATGATCCGAAGGTTGTCTCCGAGTCCGAGGGTATCCTTGAAGCTCTTCAACTTGAAACATTACATGGGGAATACAAATGGTCTCAGATTCTAAAGCGGGATGAGGTTCAAACTGGTAAACGTGTTCTGCTGGCTTATGGTATGCAATTCATGAATCAGATGGGTGGTATTAATTTGGTTGTGGTAAGCTTCATGCACCTATATCGTATATTGGTTCAGGGTTTATCTAACGTGGTTTGAATAGTATTATGTCACATCAGGTGAGACTTCAATTTGATCTCACCACTATTAGTATTAAAGCTAATCAAAGAAGTACTACAATACAATGTCGGATTAACCAGGAAACTGAGTCTTCTCCTCGGAGGCGTGATTCAAATCATGTTTGTCATTGGTAAGTAACCTCACGACATGATATCCTACCCCTAGCCTTCCTCCACTAACATCATATCTTTATAGGATCTTTCTATCCAACCTTCTACTCAGATAGATTTGGTCGCAGAAAGCCCATGATGTGGGGCTCTTTCGGCCTCTTCATCTCAATGATGATGATTGCCATCCTACTCTCGTTCAAAGGTAAATTCAATAAATCTTGCACCCCGAACAACCTGAACAAAACTAACATACTTTGCGTAGGAACATCCATCGAGAAGCCTGCAGCCTCAGCATCTGTCGCATTCTTCTTCCTATTCATGCTTATCTTTGGAGCCTCTGTTAACTGTATCCCGTGGGTTTATGGACCGGAGATCCTACCACTTCATGTCCGCGCAAAGGGGTGAGTATCTCTACAGATCCCATATTTTCTTACTGAAAATACTCATATTGACACAATTTAAAGACAAGCAATCGGAATATCAGCAAACTGGCTATGGAATTTCTTCGTGGTTATGATTACACCGACGTTGATTGACAATCTTGCGTGGAAGGGATATCTTATATTCATGTGTTTGAATCTGGTCTTTGTGCCGGTGAGTTTATTCAGCTGTCCAAGTTTTCGTGTCCTTGCTAATCGTGGGTCAGATCGTTTATTTCTTTTATCCTGAAACGGCGAATCTCACGCTCGAGGAGATTGACTTCCTATTTACCGATCGGGCGAGACATCCTTCTTTGCGGGCTAATGTGGCGTCGGATGTTAGTCCGGATGCAGTGTGGGAGGATCATGCAAAGGAGAAAGAATGAAGTCAGTATTCATGGATATTGATAATAAGGGACACTACAGGATGGGATTGAATGCTCGAGGGCAAATTAGGAGCCTTTAGGATTTGCCTTATTACTATGTAGGCACGCTACTGGTCAACGGATCCATCCAGTTCTAAGTGAGGGAGCGAACCCGTTCGCCCACTCAAACTGTTGAAACTACATTTTACTAGTTTACATATAGCCAAAGGTCTAAGTGCACATCGATGCAAAATATAGAAATCATTTCAAGGTTTCTTTCATTTGAAGTCGTAAATAAATAGATGGGATAAATCAGTGCAAGAGTTGAAAAGATACAGAGAAACTCCACGATTACGACGCCAGAAAACCAGGAGCCCGCCGGTAAAATCCATAGTTATAACACCTTATCCCCACACCCTCCAGGGGTGTGCAATGGAACCGGACTGCGCGAACTCGGTCAGTTAGGCGCAAGTGAGTAATAGAACTAAATCCAATAAACATTAAAAAAGAGCAAGAAGATGAAAAATTGGCGATCGAGTCGAAAGGGCGTTGGGTCGCGTGTCAAAGTCGGACTTTTCTCGGGCGGAAATCTTTTTTTGTCGGTCTTTAAATTCTTTCTTTGACGAAGAGGAAGAGGAAGATGAGGATGAGAAAATGCGAATGTGTAGAAGTCGTTGAGGATGTTATGAGTCGATCTCCATTCCCATTTCGACGCTTCCACTCAGTCCCACTCCTGTATCGGGACTGGAGGACGCATTGATATGGCTTGAAATAGCTTGTTGAAGAAGAGGTACACCGGTGTCTCCGGTGGTAGTGAATGGGTTGGCGGATTGAGGCGAGTTGGATCGGCTCGCCGCAGCGATGGGAAGAGCACCTTCAAACATAATGGGGGTATTGCGTAGGTTATGCAAGCAGGCCTCCCATGAAAAGGCTACGAGTTGCGCTTGAGTGAGGTCTTCATTGAAGAGGTAAAAGGCAGGTACCATTGAAGAGAGAGGAGTGGCAGCGACAAGGTAGGCGTTGAGAGCGCGGCTTTTCATGAGCATTTGCGAGTCACGCAGGTAAGCGGCATATTGGTTGTCGATGTACTTTGTCCAGCCGCGGACAGCAGGCGCCATGTCATCATCGGTGTCGATACGTTGCCAGCTAATGCCGAGGAGGCGGGTGGCATCGTCAATAAGAGGTTCGGCGGGTGGCGTAGACCCAGAGGTAAGGGTGCGGTGCTGATCAGCCTGAGGGCCATCAAGTCGGGTCTGGATCGATGAGTAGGCGATATCGTCGAGGCCTGGGGCGGAGACATCAAGCCGTTGTGATTTGCGGCTGATGTCTACGGCGTCGGATTGAGGTGCACTCGATGCGATTGGCGCCGAGGTAGCTTGCGACTCGGCTTTTTCTTCGTACCATGTGCCGGTTTGACTTTCGGCGGAGATAGCCATGCCAGTTTGAGGATTTAGCAGGACCATTCCTTCACCGTAAATGGGTTCGACCTTTGGAGCTGGGGCGACAGCTGGAGCTGGAGCTGGGGGAGCGGCGAGGGCCTCTCCAAATGAAGCTTCATCACGCGACCTCTTGCGAGACGGTATAGGTGCTGCGGGTTGAGCTGCGAAGCCAGAGGATGAGATTGGCTGTTGGGCTTGATTCGCGCCGAAGATGGAGGTGGTATTTGTAGGGAAACCATGGAAGGTATTTGGCGAGTCCAGTATCGACTGGGAGGGGAATTGAGCGAAGGCGTGTTCCTGGGTAGGAGAGAGAGCCATAGCGGGACCGTCGGATTGGCGATTGAGAAACATTGGGGGTAAAATATATCGAACTAGGATCGAGATAACTGTTCTGTTGGGTTAAATGAGCAGCAAACCATAAGCTACAACCACCTATAGATCAGAAGCGGAGAGGATGTGAAGTAATGGGGAGGTAGGATAAGGTAGGTCGAGGATAAAAAAGGTAAAAAAAGGTAAAAAGAGTATGTGAAATCCAATATGTGGGGAAAGCAAAAGAGAAAATGGGGTGGGAAGGAGAAATTGAGGGAGATAAGGCGAAGGGCGTGGTGGAGAGGAAGGAAGAAGAGAAGAAGAGAAATGCGCAAGAGAGCGCAGAAGAGGATCTGAGGCGATCCTATCTTCAATGCGGAGGGGACAATACCATACCGCAATACCTGGGCTTGGAAGGTGGTTCCGATCGGCCGTAACTGTAATCTTTCAGTGGTGGATCCACAAGAGGTTGGCGCAAGCGGATTGCGCTGTTTGGCTGTGGGGAGACCCTCAGCTGCAGGCGATTGGCCAATCATGGAGGGCCAATGGAGGCCAAATGGACATCTCAAGGAGGCCCAGCCCTTGGTTCCGGTGATGCAGATACGCAGTTTGTGCAGGTGAAGAGGCCCCGGCTGAGTGCACTTCCCAGCTGTGCAGGGCCGGAGAGTTACTCCCCTCCACTAAGGCCACATGATAGACCCAAAAGCTACCCCCCAAGGAAAATCGGTGGAAACAAAATAATAAATTAAAACTCTCAAAAAAGTCTATTGAAAATAGTATGATGACAAGAAGAGAAAAAAAGTAGAAACACCTGAAAGCAAAAAAAAAAATCAAAGCAATCCGACACCACAGCTCGTGCAAGTCTAACATCAAATCAATGTTCGTGGGAAAAGAATCAAGAAGGAAAGCCCGACAGCAATGTAGACGTTTTAATATAAGTGTACATCACGAAATGCGGTCAAGAAGAAGAAAGACGTAAGGAACAGTCGAGGGCGTTCGTTTCCAGATCACGCCAGAAGGATATTTAGTGAATAATGACCGGACACAGGCGGGATTTCCTGCATGTCGCCGTGTCTGGCTCGAGACGGTTCAGAAGAGAAAATGGAATTGAATTGAATACGGGAAAGAAAAGCCGTTTGTTGTTCCTTCTTTCCAATCCAAACGGCTAGCTAAAATGCCACCAATATTGAAACGCACGATTCATGGCAAATCCAAAGGGTTTATTTTGTAATTGCAGCGCAGATCCACGGGATACCTCCTCGTAGATATGAACGAGTCATTCTCAAGTTTTCGATGGATTTTATCGAATATCGAGATCCCTTAAAGTTAGAATTCATGGTATCTAGTTGCCGGGTGTAGCACCGCCAAGCACGCCCTTCACACGCTCAACGGACTCAGGGGCATAGCTGGGGGCCATGGAGCCAATAAAGAGGAAGAAAATCAGAGCAGCAGCACCGAAGATAATGAACTTGCGCTGAGCTGGGTGGTTGTTACCATACTCGGCCCAAACACGGTTGGCCTGACCGACCTGCTCGCGGATCTTGTCACCACCAAGCTTGTAGTAGACAAGACCAATCAGAGCAATGGAGTAACCGAAGAACTGCAGGGCAGTGACTGGGGTGTTCCACAGCATCATGGAAGCGGCGACAAGCAAAATGTCCTTCAGGACACCGCAAAGAGTCATGACCAGAGACGAAGTCTTGCCAATCTACAGATAATAGTTAGCAGAATGGCCCAGAAAGTTCAGGATTTGAAAGATATCAAACATACCAAGAAGACGACAGAGACATTAAGGAGGAAAGCGCACATGGCGTTGGCAAGCAAAATCCAGATACCGACGCCATAGACTTGCTCCATGGTGACACGGGGGAACTCAAGGAAGAGAGCAACGGCACCGTTCATCACGGCACAGATAGGAGCGAAATAGTACAGAGAGACCATGGGGTCCATCTTGTACTCCGCGGAGCTCAGCAGACGCTGCACCATAACCAGACGGGTGGCCTCGAAGACGATACCACCCAGCTGGAAGAGGAAACCAATCATGACGAACTTGATCTCACCAAAGGAAGCAATGACGACACCAACAACGATGATGGAGACGTTTCCAAGGGTCTTGTAGTTGACGGGTGCCATGCCCATACCCCAGGTAGCGATAAGGACAGCAACGGGAGTGGTAGCCTATAATCAAACAGTCAGTCGGAAATTCTTCCGTTCCACTCGTAGCAGGGCCAAGCATACCTTCAGCATCTGAATGAACGCAACACTCAGGTACAAGTAAGTCATGTTACCACAGATCAAGGACAGACTGAACATAAGGCCAATGGGGACGATAGCGCGCAGGTAAACCCGTCCGGTCATCTTGACGGACTTGCGGCCATCGAGCACAGTGGTGAAGCGGGCAAGAAGCTGGGTCATGATAGTAGCAAAGGTCAAGTGCCATGTTGTGAGGATGATAGCTGTGAGAACGAGTCAGAAGAAAGCACGAAGAGGGATTCAAGAGGGTAGTAAGACGTACGGTAGCCTATTTCAAAACTTGTTAGCTAGATGATCATAGAAACGGCGCAACTTTTTGCGGGGGAGAATTTGTACTCACGGAAGTTGGCATAGTCGAGGAGGTACTTGTTGAACAGGATAACACTGGAACTGAGAGTAATCCAGACACTATTGTTCCCCAGGGTATTAGTTATCGCATCGCATCGCAAATAGTGACCGCGGTTCCTCGTACCTGACATAGACCGCGGGGTGGAATGCGGCCTTGGGAGCATCCTGCTTCTCCGACGCTGGGTTGACAGTGGGGAGAGTCTGCTCGCGCACAACCTCGCCGGAGGTGCGAACCTTCTCGTTATCAGACATGGTGAATTGTGATTGTGGTCGAGATAGATCGGTAAAGAACTGTCGTAGTTCAAAGGGCCGCGGACGCGAAAAGCTTCCTTGGCTAAAAGCGGAGGAAGCCACGGGGGATGAGAAGATGAAGGGTTAAGAGAACACTATGATGCAAGTATTCGGGTTAACGAGTGTGATTTGGGATTGGACCCTAAAAAAGGCAAAAAACGGAGAACCGCCGGAAAAAAAGGTTGAAACGAGCGTAGAGGGGAAATGAAGAAATGATGATGGAAAAAGTAGGTAGAAGGGATGGAATGGAGTACGTAGTTTGGGGGAGGGAAGACTAACGTTTGGCACAGCCCAGAAAAAAAAAAGGGCTAACACATATGGAGTCCAGATGGGAAATTGAGGTTGGAGATATTGTAGAAACCAAATTCGATGCTCAGTCGAGACTCCGTTAGATTCAACTGCAAACGGAGTTGAAACATCGAAACAGGAAACATTGATGTGGACTCTGTGGAGGACACGCTGCATCTGACACGATAATTACACAGATACGATATATTACGGTATGGCACTACTCCAAAACAGCCATGTATTAAATGATAAAGGCCACTTGTACCATAATTGTACCTAATTGTACGACAAGACATAGGATCCCCCCCAGAGACCCACCAGAGAATATATTACCAAGGACTGTCTCAACCATACCAATACCAGTCCAACTCCAATGCAGCTTGTGAGGCTTCCACATCTCCACTTTTTCCTTCCTCTCGTGGCGAACTGGTACGCTAGACTCCCCCAATAAGCACTGTCACACTCACCCACGGTCCAAGGTTGCCTCTAACCTCGACTAATTTCTGCTTTAATTTCAACTATAATTAGATGAACAGAGACTGTCAGACTGATACTGTGATATTGAACCAATGGGAATGTAACCCGCCATCATATCGCGATTCCCCTTTCACTTCCCTCCGGTTTGAGATAAAAGCAACACAGCACCAAACACCACACGGCCTCGTCACAGGGCAACGCTGATCCAAATTAACCATCACTTGACAGAAAGCGCATTACGCAAGCAACTCTTAGTTTGACCCACAGTGACCCGCGTTCAGCGACCCGCTGGGCCAGCGCGCCGTCTTGGTCCCTTACGGGTGGAGAATGCGGCGATCGTCTTGAGGAGGCTGTGTCTGACGCCATTGCCCCGTTCAGGGACTGTCCGTGGCCCACTTGGCGAGGAACAGGGGGGAATCAATACAGAAGAGCAGGGGGAAAAAAAAAAAAAAGCAAAATCAGAAAAAGCAGGGGCCCCAGATACGCACAAACAAATTAGAGCCTATGGTGATTAGTTTCTAAAGAAGCTTTTGCTTGATGGTGGTCCCATTCGAAAGCAAAGTGCTGACAGTAGATGCAGACATGGGTCTTGTTTACGTTACAATGTACTACTATGTGCTTTGTTCTGGATATAAATATCTGTCTTCGGATTAATCCGTACCAGACGATGAGATCTTCGGTCTTTTGTTTGGAACCATGCTTCCAGAAGCTGTGGTTTATGTGGTTTCTCGCGTCGTGGACTCCTTGGTTACTCGGCAAGCCTGTCGATCAAATGAGATTCAGCAATTGAGAGAAGCTGATCCTTGTGATCCTCTCCCTATCTTCCCTGTTTAGGGAGGGACAATCAGTGGATCCGCTCGCCTGTGCACACTGTCCAAATGGTCAATTTGTACCCTGAACTCACTCACCGTCAGGCAAGCCGATCACCTGCGGATCTCCGTCTCGGAGGGTTCAAGATTTTCGATTTTGAATTTTGGATTGATTGCACTGGTTATTGTAAATTACGATGCAACTCCTGGAAAATCTTGGTGCCTTGACGACTCATCAACAAACTACTGTATCTTTATACCAGACAAGATGTATCCGCACTTGGATTAGAGAGTACAGAAATGATTTTTAAATTTCGATCTTAATTCTTGCCCACAACGTGCCAAACGACATCGGTGGCGTTTTTAGTCTTGTCTAGTTACCGATCCCTAGCAAAAAGATAATCAAAATAATGCAATTGGCAATAAACATTACAAAGGTTCCAACGCAAGCATCGCCCCCCTTTCTTGGTATGTGCCATGAGTCGGAAAAATATCCTTGGGCCACATGTTTACTCCGAAGCAAAGATAACAGCATTCTTGAGTTGGCCGGGGCTCTTTCAGCCACTGAAATGGCCGGATTCGCACAACTAGTCCTCAAATGCTGGTTTAGGGGAGTCAAGGGGAGATTCGATGCTTTGGTAGACCAATAACGGCTGTTTGCGGATTGTGATAGATTCGATAGTTTAAACGCCAGGGTCTCTACTGGTAGCGGGTGATAGCGAATAAGCATTGAGTATTATGTGCATGGTAATAATAATAAAAATACAAAAATACAGAAATACAAAAATCTAGAAAAAGAAATACAATAATGAGAGAGTACCAATAAGAAGCACATCAATATTATATTCTCTTAAGGGGTGGTTGGAACCAGAGAGCATACGTGTTCAGGAGGAAGACGCCACCCCTGAAAACTACAGTATGTGTAGTTTACACAGTATAGGTCTGGGCCTTGGGGATTCTCCAGAAGAACCAGGTAAAATAGCCTGAAAATCATTAAAAAAATAATATAAAATGGAATAAAATTAAATAAAATGTCCAATGTAATCAAAAACCGCAAATTAGCGTCGTTGGCGGTGTTGGCCATGGTGGGCGGAAACCTGAAACAGGCACGACCAACTCCACTCTGCGACACCGCTGAAAGTGCCGGGTCCGTTTACCCCTACCCACGGTTTTGTGTTCCTCCCACTTTCCTCTTTCTCCATCTCTTCTTTATCATCCCCTTCATTCCCTGTTCCCGCAGTTCTCTTGCTGCTGTCTATCTTCTTCTATGCTGAACATCGCACGCAAGACTTTCAAACGAGTGCCTAGCTTCCAGGACCTCCTACAAGGCAGAATGACCCACCCCGATATGTACGAACTCCCCTCTATTCACCGCAATTCGGACACAACAGACTTACAATTGCTTCCAGTTCCGTTGACGTTCTCGTCATTGGTGCTGGCCCAACTGGTCTTGGTGCTGCCAAGCGTCTCAATCAGATTGTAAGTTGATTCAATTCTTCATTCTCGTGCTATTTCGCTCTGGGAAAAAAAAGCCGCGGCTGTGGGAGGCAGAAAAAAAAAACACTAAATAGGGGGGGGGGGTTGAAAATGGAGGGGTAGTAGCACATAGCACCTTTTCACCGCAACAATCTCACTAACTCGACTTCTCTCTCAACAGAACAACCCCTCATGGTTGATTATCGACTCTAACGAGACCCCCGGTGGTCTGGCTTCCACCGATGTGACACCTGAAGGCTTCGTATGTTTTCCCCCTCGTCTTATCTCTTATTGCGGGGCGAAAATCGACCGGGAACAAATTACTGACGCGCTCATGACAGTTGTACGACGTCGGTGGCCACGTTATCTTCTCCCACTACAAGTACTTCGATGACTGCATCGATGAGGCCCTCCCCAACGAGGAGGACTGGTACACTCACGAGCGTATCTCCTACGTTCGCTCCCTGAACGAATGGGTCCCCTACCCCTTCCAGAACAACATCTCCATGTTGCCCAAGGAGGAGCAGGTCAAGTGTATCGATGGTATGATTGATGCCGCTATGGAGGCTCGCGTTTCCAACACCAAGCCCAAGAACTTTGATGAGTGGATTGTCCGTATGATGGGTACTGGTATTGCCGACCTTTTCATGCGTCCTTACAACTACAAGGTCTGGGCCGTTCCCACCACCAAGGTATGTCTCCACTGAACTACTCTTTCCGTTCCGTCTCATGGCACAAAATCCCTCCTAACAATTGATCTCTTCTTTTAGATGCAATGTGCTTGGCTCGGTGAGCGTGTCGCTGCCCCTAACCTGAAGGCCGTGACCACCAATGTCATCCTCAACAAGACCGCCGGTAACTGGGGCCCCAACGCTACTTTCCGTTTCCCCGCCCGTGACGGTACCGGTGGTATCTGGATTGCTGTTGCCAACACCATCCCCAAGGAGAACACTCGCTTCGGTGAGCAGGGCAAGGTCAGCAAGGTTAACGCCAACAACAAGACCGTTACCCTCGCCGACGGTACCACCATTGGCTACCAGAAGCTCGTCTCCACCATGGCCGTCGATGCCCTCGCTGAGTCCATGGGTGACCAGGAGCTCATCCCCCTCACCAAGCAGCTCTTCTACTCCTCCACCCACGTTATCGGTGTCGGTATCCGTGGTGCCCGCCCGGACCGCATTGGTGACAAGTGCTGGTTGTACTTCCCCGAAGACGACTGCCCCTTCTACCGTGCTACTATCTTCTCCAACTACTCCCCTCACAACCAGCCCGAGTCCTCCAAGAAGCTGCCTACTCTCCAGCTCGCTGACGGCTCTAAGCCTTCCAGCTCCGAGGCTAAGGAGGGTCCTTACTGGTCCATCATGCTGGAGGTTTCCGAATCTTCCATGAAGCCCGTTAACCACGAGAAGCTCCTGGCTGAGTCCATTCAGGGTCTCGTCAACACCGAGATGCTGCAGGCCGGTGATGAGATCGTCTCCACCTACCACCGCCGCTTCGACCACGGTTACCCCACCCCCTCCCTGGAGCGTGAGGGTGCTCTCACTCAGATCCTGCCCAAGCTCCAGGAGAAGGGTATCTGGTCCCGTGGCCGTTTCGGTAGCTGGCGCTACGAGGTCGGTAACCAGGACCACTCTTTCATGCTGGGTGTCGAGGCTGTGGACAACATTGTCAACGGTGCTGTTGAGCTGACCCTCAACTACCCTGACTTCGTCAACGGTCGTCAGAACACCGAGCGTCGTCTGGTAGACGGTGCCCAGGTCTTCGCCAAGAACAAGCAGCAGCAGTAGATAATATCTTTGTCCCCTTTTTTCTATTGTTTTATTCTCCTTTACGCCCCCTCGCCTCTTCTTAAGCTGAGGCTTTACTTTGGATACACTTGACACGAGGTCTTACACTACGGAAAAAATATACACGCAAAGGGAGCATTTGAAGCGGCATCTGGGAGACAATCTTGTTGGCGTTTCATGTGAATTACTTCCCATCCTCATCACTTTTTTATTTTCACTCCTCTTCTGTCACCTAGAGCCGGATTTGCTTGTGACCTTTCATACTTCTTGATACACCCCCTACTTTTTAGACTTGTGGAGATTGCTGAGTGTCTAATTGACCACTGTTGACGAATGCACACGTTTCACCAAATAATCCAGTAATCTTTAACAATCAATAAACCTCTCTTCGCCTTCAAGTCGTACGTAGTATGGGCTAAAAAGTAAAATACCAGATATCAAAGATCTGGGTACATATATCTTTCTGTACCTGTTCAAAAGAAATTCATTTCCAATGAACTCGGCGAGTCTAGTTGGATATGGCGGTAGAGTGCAGACCCGCAGATTATCATTCAATTCAATCAATGCCCAGTCTAAACCAAGTCTCATGCCCCGAGACGACTTTACCACGCTACCTATTTGCCTGACATGCCTCGTTGAAGAATTCGGGCTCTGATCATTTGCCGAGGTTGCTGATTCCGAGATAATGATCGCGTGTGCTACAGTCAAGGCAAATGTTCGACGCAAAAGGCCACGAGGGGAGCCTCGCCCAGGGCACAACTACTAGGCTACAGTCACCCAGCCTACATCACAAAACCCAGAATGGATCACAATAGAGCTTAGAAAGAAATGAGCCGAACCTATCTATTATCATTGCTTAGCGTTTTTACCAGATATATACAGAGCCATACTTAAGAAATAAGACATTATAAAACGTCAATTGAATATACAGAAAACAGGGTACAGCACGCCGTAGAACAATGTGAAAGAAGGAGAAGGCGTTGGGGTAAGAGGATGAGCACATTAATGCATTCAGTTTGGGTTTGTTGATGTATTATGCCCACGTGCGTTTACGTTTCCATAAATCATCTTCTCTCACTTTTCATCTGTTCTCTGCTTTCCTTCCACCCTCCCCATCGATTTTTTTGTTTCGTTTTAATTAGTTGATGGTACGGCAATTCTATAAAATCAATACGAAATCCCTAGTATTACTAATAGTACTACTATTCTGAATTCCTATATAGCTCTTTGCTCAAAAATAAACGAGAGAGCTAAAGCAATGTATATAAGTAACAAACTTGGAAGTATATAAAGTCTCATTGAACCTTGTAATGAGGAAACCAAGACTAGGTAGTGAATACATTAAGCACTGGCACATTTGTAATATAGCAATGTATTTTCTTTTTTCGGAGCCTCGCGACTCTATTTCCCCCCCAAAAAGCTACCTATGTCACCCGTAGCGGGACGGTAAATTGCCCAGGCACAAAGTGCTGGTGGTGATCAAGAAGCCACCATTTCATAACTGAACCAGCCCATTGGCCATTATACCATTCTCGAACGGCCCGGAAAAATACAACATCACAGTCCCGAAGTAATATTGAGGTAGCATAAGCTATCTCGTTCTTCTGGACTTCTCTATGATTAGGTCCCCAGCAGGATATTCCTCCATTTAGTAGAGGTATAAAAGCCCTTGCATAGTAAGGATCGGCATAAAGTATCCCAGACACGTCTTCTATTCTTAAAATGTCTCCGTATGGGTGAATTTCCACTTCGGTGTATACTGGACCTTCAATTGGCTCTCTTTCCTTAGTCATTAAAGGCAATTGCTCCACCAAGCCAACGTACGAACGAGGAGGCTGCTGAAATAAGATCATTCGCCAACTCGCCTTCTTGTGGCGAAATCGTTGGTCGGTCTGAGGATCGATTTGAGGAATTTTTTCTATCCCTCCTTGGACATTTGGTGGTCCCCATGCCGTTGTTTGTCTTCCGCAAAGCTATGGCCATATATATTTATCTACTAACGGGTTGCGAATTCCCGCTATCCCACGTGGCAGTTTATATTTGACAGGTTTCAAGAATAGGGCAGCTTGTAAGTTGTTGCTATCCTGGATGAGATCGCGCCATTTGCGGCAGATCTTTGAGACAGGAGCAAAGTGCGTGTATCGGTATAAAGTAGAATAATTTCCAAGATTTCTGTTGTTAGGACTATCTTTGGTGGTTCTGCTGAATCCATGATTGAACGGGTGGTTTTGTGGGTGGTTTTGTAAGCGATTTTAATGAAATTTGAGGTTTACGTAGAAATAGAAATTGTATAAAGTAGGAGAAACTTTTCCTATTTTCAGATCACGGAGTAGCACTAGGCCGCATCGAATTTGGAAGGTAGACTATATAACCAAGGAATAATCAAGCGATTTGGATTGCATTTCGGGCCATTCCTAGTCTAGTATGTATTTGACCATCAACTCTTTCCCATCGAGGTCCCGATTTATACTTCAAAATGCGAGTCACTTTACCAAACTAGGACTAACCCCATAAGTTAGCCAATCACATGGCCAAACTCTAGCTTAATATGGCTTAGTACTCATTAAAACGGCATTCAAAACGAAACTTTTTTGCCTAATGCTGCAACTTGGAATAATAAGAGTAAATTATAGTGGTTCCCAAGTTGTCCCAATTAGGGCTAGGAGCGGGTGACTTTGACTACATTTATCGCGGGCCAATACCTACTATATTGAGAACTACCTGGTGGGATACAATCAGTTCTTCTTCTTCTTCCTACATTTTTGCCTACATCTCTCCTCATACCATGGCCCCTCCAAGATGGGTGCAGAACCTTGGTGCACGCCTTATCCTAGTTATTCTAAAATGGTCATTTGGCATGAGCGATGAATCAGAGGATGAATCGGAGGATGAAATCGAGGATATGAACGACGGACTTGGGGAAACCGAGAAAGGAAGCGGGAGTAATCGAAAGCTTCCCAGCAACGCCACTGGTACCCTAACCCGCGAACAGACAGAAAAGCTTTTGGGGTTGAAACAAATCCGTCACACTTGCCGTATGGATGGGGAACCGGACCCCTTCCGCTACCAAAACGAAGACCCTCGCTACCAACAGGATCTTTCAGAGTTCCTTACTTTTCTCAGTAGGTCGTGTTCATTGACCAATTTAACCTAATTTACTCATTCTTTTTTTTTGGGAAAAACAAAGAAAACAGAGTTTATCGATCGTGTGCAATTTGTTCTTCACGAGCTTGTTTCTCGGCCGCTTCAGCTGCAATTGCTGCGAGGCGTACTGCCTCCCTATTTTCACGTTCAATGCGATCAACTAGAATCAACTTCTCCAGCCTTGCAATAGCCTCGTCCTTTGCTGCTTCTGCTTCTGTTTCCTTCTTCTGTACCTCCTTATGTGCCTCCTGTCTTAATCGCTCATCTAAAATCATCTTCTCCAGCTGTACGATCCTGTCATATTTTGCCTTATCTGTAACCGCTGACTGTGGCTGAAAGTGAGGCATTCCGGCCGGGCTATTAGCTGTGGGAAAGGTTTCATTATACGGCGAATATCCTTGGGAATAAGGCCCCTTGGTAATTCCACGGACTGCCTGGGTACGGCACTTAAGGTGAAGCATAGTTTTGCTGAAAAGGTTCCTGGGGAGATATTCGTGGGCTCCGAGGGCGCCGTTTCAGGAAACTTTGGCTGGAATCGAAAGGCATCGTAAAACTCGGCCCCGACCGACAGATCACGATGCCACCTTCAACCTCCGCACTGATTTGTCGAAATATTGCGTGGGCAGATATAACGTATGCATATTTTTCGTTGGGATGACCGAAGACAATATCTCCCTACAGCTCCTGGTTCTTAACGCCGATGACCTATGCTCCACAGTCTCCATTCCCTATAGGGTTGTCATCATCAGTTATTGCATATGAAATTGAATAGGATATAGAGTTGACATACGTATAGGCTCTTCAAGTTCTACCGTCCACACCTCTGTAAACTTCTCTTTGCCTTCGTCTTGTTTCGCCTCATCCCGCATGCAGGTAGTACTACCACACCCCTCACATCTGGAGTCGACGTAAGTAAACATCTCCAATAATACAACTCCAACTTGACTCCAATCGCCACCTGTCCTGCAAACATCCGCGCCACGAATATCTCCGCATTATCTATTGTACCTGTCTAATCCCCGGTCGAACCAATGTAAAGTCGTAAATTACCCATCCATCCATCCAGAATAGAAACACAATCCTTGGAAACAACCCAGGAACAGAAAAAAGTGGCCACATTGAATGTACTGTACCTAGATAACGATAGCAAACCACAAGCCTCCTACGAAATTAAACCCAGACAACCGTCGGAACCATTGAGTTCTGAATGTGGTTCGCAACGCTGATTTGGTACCGCATTCAGAGCCGAAGGGTGGCGGTTGTGGACCAACCGTGCCCTCATAGGATATCGTGGAACAACACGACGTGCCCAAAAATAAATATCTCCACTTGTACTGTATCCATATTGGTCAAAGTTTTTCAAGCTGGGTGATTGTGGGTTCTAGACGTTAGACATTGAATAGAGGCTAAATGGGTGAAGACGTTGCTTTTATTTTACAGTACTATTCGAGAATGGATTTTGACGCGTGGGTCTTGAAAAATTTTCAAGTTGCTGGATTTTTTTGAGATAGAAGCAAAAAACCGAAAATAAAAAGTCATTTCATGAGCCCTAAGCACAAAGTCCAGAGGGTAATGTTCAAGTTGCTCTACGCCTACGTCTACGCCCATAGATAGACTGAAAGTCTATCCTCAGGCTCCCCTTGACCCCAATCGTAGTAGGTAGTGTTTAACCTGGAAGACCACCGATGTGAAATTGCTCTTATCTTCTATTTTCTTTTCAGGTAAGCCTCCTCTCTGGCAATATGTATATGGTCTTGACGATGTAAGAGCAAGGGTGACAACTTAATTCAAGCATAGAAACCTTGAACTAATTGCTCAAGCCATTTTTAATATCCCATCAGTACAATCATAGATTTTTCTTCGGAAACATCTAGCTGGAAAGTTTCCTAGCTTAGACCGACAAGCTTTTTTCCAAGGCGGGCCCGAAGAGGCACATTAAAGCTTAGTTAGATCTTCTCAGAAATGAACTATTTGACGTTCTGGTTGAAATGTCACTTATTCGTTCTAAGAACTTAATACATGAATGATCTAAGTAATAGAAATTCCGCCGCCGAACCGAAATTATGTAAACTAAATGTATCAACAGTGGCATTACTTCGCATAAACTATATACAACAAATGCATCATCTTCATATCTTAAGATCCACAGCCACCTTCGGGAACCACACCAATCGAATCAAGCCATACAAGGCCAGTATACGAGTTATCCTCGGAATCACACGACGCAGAAACATGCAACTCAGCAGTTGACTTCTTCGCCACAAAGCTTCCAGTGACAGACACCCATGATCCAAATGTATCCTGGTCCAGCTCCTGTTGCGCAATCTCACCACGAGTAGCATTGTGACCCGCATAAGCGTAGATAAAGCAGTACTCAGAGCTATCATATGGGACCTGCGCCTCCGCGGTGAAGGTATATTTAGTGCCCGGCTTGAGACCCTTCAAAAGCTGAGAGATAGTGTTGGCACCATTATCAATGGCGGTTGTCAATGCACTGAGAATTGTTAGCTTGTTTTTCAAATTTTATTTAGATGATCCTAGTAATTTCTCATACAGGTAGTGGTCACCGCTGTAAGAGCTTGTTCCATTGCTCACTTTGGCAACATTCACTGCAGATGGATGCCAGGGGAATAGAACTCCGGATTCAAAGCCGGGGTTCGTAACGGCATTGCATGCTGAAAGGGCCATTATTGCGATAAGATGAGAATTGGGATTATTGTAATGCTGAGAAATAGAAGAATCAAAGCGAAAAGCCGGTCTTATAAATGTTTACTTCTGTCTGAGACATTTACGATGTGGGTTGCGGATTTCCCCGCCGTAGAACGTATTTGGAAATTAAATCAGGGTCCAAGGCACGCCGCTCGTCCCGGTATTAAAGTTTGAAGGAATCTGACGATTGTAACCTGGCCAATGCTTGTGCATAAGATGGACAGGAGTAGATCCGATACAGTCTTATGTTGCAGATTTGCATAATGATGGGAACTTTGTACTTTGACGTCTGCAAGCTGACAGTTCAGATTGACCAAACAGACCGGCGATCGATACCCGTGTCTTTCACTTGAGCTTTTCAGTTCAAGTTTTCGGTCTAGGAGCCGCTCGAGTTTCTAGCGTGGGAAAATGGTGTCCTTGACGGGTTGAACACAGGAACAATTACTCCATATGCCATAAGTCGGCGCGGGTGCCCTTTCGGCTTTCAAAAACAGGCTGATGGCGCGATGGGCCGCCTGAGCTTACAAGATTCTAGGTTCTGATCTATATTTATCGCTATCAATCGAGTCTATTTATGGTCAATTTGTCTTGCTTGTGTTTCTGGAAATATACTTACTACATACCATCTTGAAATCACTTCTCTTAAAAGAGAGTTGTATTTCAAGTTCTAGTGCTGCGCAGAGTAATCCGTAGATTTTGCGGATCTTATTCCCGATGTGCAGTGCAAAACATGGAGCAGCTCGAAGTGGAGTATATTTCCACACCTTTGTCAGGAGTCACGTGATCTTGATCCTGGTGCCTAAGGCATCAGATCACTAGATACCCTCTCTCTCTCTCTCTTGTGATCGTTCTTCTCTTCTCTTCCCTGAATCACTTTTCCACTCGGTGGTTTCCCTAGTTCTTCGGCCTTTTCTCCATTTATCTAGTCCTTACTAGCTGTTTCACCGTCTCTCAGTCTGTACCAGCCTCAGACGCAGACAGGTTATGAGTCCTTACCTTGTCGACTTCACAAAGTGAGAGTCGATTTGCTCCCAAAATACTGGTTTTTGACTGCATTTTGTTTTCCCTTCGCGCAGAGACAGATCGCGAGAAATCGCCTATTTTGAAGTCTCTAGCGCTTAAAACTCTTACCCTACTACCCTGTCTTCGATCGCTTACGTACAGCACGAAGGCACTACTCACCTTACTCGATTAGGACATACACAAGGTGTCTCAATTCGTTAATCTCAACAACACCCAGGGGAACATCTCCAGTGAAAGCACGGCCCCGTTCAACGCAGATAACGCAAGTCGCGACTGGACGACGATCATTGATGCCGTACGCACTGACCAGGCCCAAGATCTACCTACAGGCGAGATCACCCTTCATAATCTTGAGCTTACCTTAAAGAAACAAGAAGACTACGAAACCTGGGAAACTAACGTCAAAAGCGCATTGTCAATTCACGGGATCGTTCACTTGCTGGATTACAACCTACAACGTCCTCGACAGAATGATAACAACTCTGCTCGTTGGTTCATTGCATCCAAGGCCGTTGCATCATAGCTAATCGCAAGCCTCTCGTCTAATCTTCTTGTTTGTATCAAGGCCTATGGCCCCATCCAATTCAGTGATGATGTCTATGAATCTATCCAGAAATAAATACAAGGGTACGGTCTACATGATGATATGATCAATCTGGCTAAATACAGTAATATGAAAGCATCAGATTACCCAAACATTACTACCTTTACCGATGAATATATATTGTTCTATAATAAGATGAAATAGCGTGGACTCGACAATAAGCCTTGCGTTACCTTCTTGCACATCATGAGTTAGCTGGAATCTTATCCGGACGTCCGCGATTCTATTATGGAAGCTGCACGCGTTACCAAAGTATCAATTGAATCGTACACCAATACTGACCTTATCGACATGACGCATAACCTTTGAGATAGAATCGCTGTACGAGAAACAACCACAACAGGTTACGCCACACCTGCCAAGAAACGGGACAGCAAAAGAAAGGCCTGGGTCCTACTTCTGGTAGACCAACAGCTTAACCATCCACCAAAAGGCGTATCTAATGACATCCACTGCCAAAACCAACGCAAAAAGGGACAGATGGACGGCATTTGCGCACATTGCGAATGTCATGGCCACGGTGCCGATATTTGTTACTCCCTGAGACTAGACTTATGTAAAAAGGAGGACTGGAAGGGTTCACCGTCAATCTGGGCCTATAAATGGCCTGAGACGACCGCTATATCGGTATTATTAACTAGTATACAGTCGCTACTCTAGCAATACACATGACTCAGTCTGAACATAGTTCCCAGAGCAAGCACATCAAGTTCCGAGGTCTTCTCTAAGCACAAAGATGTATCAATTAAAGCTATCGGCACTAGTTTACTCCTACTAGGCAACTCTCCACGATCCGTCTGCACAATTCAGCCATCAATCTGATTTAAGGCGGAGACGCTCATCAGCAACATCGGTCAAAGCTGAAATTCCCGTTAGCCTAGGCACTTCCTGCCGCCTCCTCCGCACAGGTATTCATGAAAGACTCTTCGTTGCCAGAGGGGTAACTGTCGTGGTCTGCGTAGTACCAAGTGTACCCAACGGTGCCCACAGATGGGTCATCGGTAGTATCGAAGTCCATGCAATAGATTCCATAATTTTCGAATCTTTTGCTCTCATCGTACTCACTCGACATCTGATCGGCCACGTTCTGCTGGACGTCGTGGACTTTCATGCCGGTAATGTCTCGATCAGTTGCAAGATCTCTCGTTTCGAAGACATATCCACCATATATCTTTGTTCCGCTGTCACTGGTGACAGAAGCATCGGCGTCGTGAGCCGCTTGGCGACGATGGTTGCCAGTTGTTCCATTTGTCGAATCAGCGCGGAAGTCGTAGTTTTGAGGAGTCGACTGAATATGATGGAAGACCCTGTCATTGCCCGATGAATCCTGTTTCTCAACCTTGTGATACCACAAACGGTGACAGGTTTGATTGTTTTCACAAGAAGTGTCGGCAAAATGAATTGGTAGACCATCACCAGCATGGAATGATTCCTGGATTTGATCGAACATTCTTGGTGCGCCATCGATACTAGGATACTTGTAGAGATAATAACCGTCTGCATCGTCATCCAAACTAAAGGATCTCTTGGAAGGGTCACTAGCAAGGGCAGCGACTAGGTTGACGAAGACTCCAATTATGGCAACAGCGATAGCCACCACACAAACAGGTGTATTGCCAGGGTTGATGGCGGCTAAGGCGCAGGCACCACCGACAACCGAACTCATAAGTATAGACGCATTTCCTGTGTATGCGGCTCTGTCAGAGCGCTTCGCAAGAGCAGTGGTTCCATCCCAGCCTGAAGTGGACTCGGCACGAACCTCAAGTTCTTTGCCAGGCAAGGCGGTAACCACTACCACTAGAATGACCAGCACGGCCAGGGTAGCGAAAGTGAGACCCCTAGGAAGAGGCATTTTAAACGGAGATTGAATGAAAAGCTTGGTTTATCGTTTTATTTCATAGAGAAACGATATCTCTTTTATGTCCGGAAATCCCCATCAGTCCCAAACTATTTGGGACCGTTTTATCGAAATAGATGAGGGATTTTAACAGCAAGAGGTGGAACCATGACCATTGAAGCCTGATGGGCGTGCCAAGGGAGTATTGGCAACTGCTGATCTTTCTAAAGATGGAGGACGCTGCGCCAATATCCTGATCGAGAGACCCAGCTCCTTCGGAGGAGGATTGTACACACTTTGGGTCTTCCGGATTAGCCGTTCCACCTGATGCTGGGAGGGGAGTGAAGTGGATATTTTGCTTCTTTGGGAAGGTATTAGTGTGTATATCTCGAGTTTCAATAGGCAGGGCATCCTTGGAAGCTCATTTAAGCGAAGGACGTGGATACCGCTTGCTTCAAGTTTCCAGTCGCTCTGCTTGGCATGGGGCAGCCCCCGGGGTAGATATACTTTGTAGTATCTCGTTATGTCTCACCATGCCTGGAAGGATTCGAACCTAGTACCAGTTTCCATATTATCGATGATCCAATCCTTCTATGTACTTAAATCGTACGTTAATAAATCCTTGACGGAACCCATATTCCTAATTGAAGTCTAGAGGTCACATAATAAGATTTGACGAGCTTTTCTATGTTTAGAATGACTTTCATATGCAAAGACGGGGCATCCTTAGTGTCTACCGACGACGAGTTAGTTGGAATACTATGATTCAGCTATACTGTACAGAGCTATATGCGCGGTCCCGGAAATTTGAGGACACTCGACCCATATATCTATTATCCCAGTGGGGGTAGCTAGAAGGGATCTGCAATTGGAAAAGCCTAAACTTGGCATAGGAACAAGCAATAGCCACCAAAGCCAAGCAAAGACAAGCACCCCCAAAGCATTTTGCCGACTAAATCCCTCATTTCACGAAACAAATTTTGCTTTCAGCCTCAGTGAAGAATCGACGTTGAAGGCTTTTTCACAAACACCTACACAATGTTCAAGGTGAAGTTATTGTGCAGTATACATCCAATTCAGTTTTGTCAACTATGGCCTTCAGCTGAGATACTACAATCATTGTGGGTAGCGAACGAGGGTGAATTTCTAGGAAATGGGCATGTCAAACCAAGGGTTTCCTACTACGAACTCCATTATTTGCTCTGCAATGGTGCAGTTAGTTTGATTAGCGTACCCATCAGATATCTTGGTGCCGGTCTTCTACTGTGGGTCCGAGGTCTTGGCCTATATACATACGGATCACAGTATGGGGACGAAAATACCTGTTCCTAGAAACAGGTCAGCCTCATACTCCATCTTAGTGTACATCGCAAGTATTACAGTAGACCCTGTTCGAAGAAGGATGCATTCTAACCTTGGACGTTGTTTCCCTGGTCCCTTGTGACCTCACAGTGAGTGGGCCTGCCGATCCCAAAATGCGAACTTCGCTTGGCGGGCGCTCTATTTACCTCAATTGTGACCGCGATCGACACCCAGAAGTTTCTGGCCCCGGGGGCAGGGAATGGCCCTGAGCGTGCTTGTTGATCCCGCAGCTGTCACGATACGATAGTGTATGTACATATCAATCTTTGATACCGCTGAAAAGGCACATGAGTCGACGTCATTGAGCCCGCTGATACAAAAATGCCAAGATATAGAATTCGCATACAAGACATCCGCGGGGCGGTCATAAGAAAATATACCAGGTAGTATTGCTAATTTGATCCTTTGGTCATATCACTATAATCCCAGAAAAGTGGAAATGCGAAACATCTCCTCAGTGGAGACACTTATAGCCGGTAGAAAATGATAAAAATCGGGATGTCGTTTGTGCCCGCATGTACATGATGAATTCATACTAGTATGCATCCTGATAGGTGGAGGTTTCTATACTTAGGTACGCAGTTCAACCTTGGAAGTTATTAAGAAATCGTGAAATATAAATACCCGTGGACCTCACCAACAGATCTAAAATGTTACGACTGTTCAATCAACAGAAAAACTGTTGAACATAAAAAATTCTCTTACAAATTCCATCAATCGCCATCATGAAGACTTTCCAGGCCTTTTCCTACGCTCTACTTGCTACTGCAGCAAGTGCTTACAATCTGCATTTCCTTCTTGGCACACAATGCAATGGAGAAAACCTTGACAATCTCATTGGCAATGATGCGATTAAGGCTACGTTGAATAGTGAAGGATGCTCTGTATGTTCACTCAAAATACCTAGCTTTACAAATTTCTAACAAACTTCGAGACCTTCGGCGTTACTAGCAATGCCCAGTCAATTGAAATTGAGGAAGAGAGTGGTGATGATGGCAAAGGTAAGATTAAGTTACCTGGGCAATGCAGACAGACCTCTTCATTCCTTTTCAACTACAGTTCAGATCTTCGCTAACCACCAGCAGGTTTCTCATTCTGGCTAGATGATGGATGTGCCGAACCTTACGAACAATTGACTGAAGGTTGTATTAACATTGTTGGCGATCTTTCAGTGGGATCTTGGTCATTGGGTAAAGCCAACTAATGATTCATCTACACATACTCAGGTTTTATGGCGTGAATGTGGCAAAGAAACAAACGGCTTGGAAGTGGGTGTGGTTTGAGTTTAGACTCCACTACCTTTGGCCCCGGGGTCCAGAGCCTTCCCCACCAAGACCTATTGTTAGTTAATGTCCTGTTTATGTCAAATATTTCCTGGTAGCAATTTTACATTTGAATTTTTCTTTCGTCTCATATGTCCAGAATTGATCGTTTTGGCTTGAATGTTCCCCACCTTGTATAAATCATGGATACTTCAACACATATGATCAATATCGCGGGGGCAATTGCTCTTACCTGTACAACTCTCATGATCGTTGTTTCTGTCATCTACGTCGCAGGTGCCTCCCTGGGCTTTATATTTGGACGATTCATCCTACAATACCTGCCACAGATTGTTCCAGACACTCGCAATAGACAGCCACAAGATCAGGATCAGAATTCATCTCAGCCTGTTCCATTTAATCACCGATCCTTGCAAGACCGAAACGCCCGTATTCTTGGAGCGACTTTCGCATTTTGTTTCTTCTTTGCAGCTTTAATGACAGAGTCTTATCTGGAAGGACTCAAGGACGTTAACGGGGAAGCCGATGGCTGGGATATTTGGCGTGCCAATGGAGTCCTCATTCGTGCTTGCGTGGAAGGTCTTTTGGTACTGGCTATTCTTCGTGGGGCTGGTTGTATTGGACAGAGAATCCGAAACTTCCTTTGATCTGAAAAGACCCATCTCACCTCTCAACCTTGGAAGTTTTCAATTCTTGCAAGGTCTCAGCTTTGAAGTGGCAAGCTGATAGTATGGACATGTTATGTTATGCATCACACATGCGAACAAAATATAGATAGACTTTTTCCGGGCACTATTGCTAGTAATCATCATTTAACTTATTTCGTTTAAAAACCGACTGGTCTTTCCAGGCCACAATGCTTGTACAATGTCGAGCCCAGCCCTGTCAGACTTTCATCTCCTTGAAACTCGTAGCTTACTAGCTCCTGCATATCTCTCCATCCGCTTTGATCGTTCCCCATCGCTTCTTTCCCATATCGTCGTCGTTCAGAGAATGTTGCAACTAATATATACTAGTAACTCGCGTACAGTCATTCTCGAAATCGATTTGGCCCGACACACACTCAATCATTCTTCTCTTCCATTACCGGGATCTTAGCGCAGATGATTAATTGTGCCGACCACAGTGGTTGAGGACCACTGCAAAATGCCATTTGTACAGTATCTTATCGCCTCAGCACAGCTCTCACTTAGCTTTGCAGTGAGGTCTATTACAAGGTTTTAATTGCTGTGTTTTTCAAAGTTCCTATTTGTAATCGAAATGAGTCACAAATCGAAATGAGTCACAAAAACTAGAGTCTATTCCACGGATAGCATGGTCTGCTCTCGGATGTGGCCCGGGGGCCAAAAATAATACCAGTTAAGTACGCCCCACTAGGACTCTTTTTCTTTTACAATAAGGAAACGAAAAAGCACTAATTGTCCCCAGCACCACGATGCCTCGCAAAGAGCCAACGAGTATCCATCTTCCACCAGAAGTTGTGAATATAATCACAAGTTATCTTGTGGTTGAAGACCCCGCAGCGGTGTTCAGTCTCGCAAAGACCAGCAAAACCTACTACGTCTACTGTCAAGCAGCTATCCAAGCAGCTGCCAAGTCCATAAAATTCCACGATATCAAAATAGCAGTCCCTAGGCCCAGACAAGAGGCAGCATTGAACGGAATTGTGAATCACCTTATTAAGCGGCTCAAAGCTGCTGATGGATTTGGTTGCGTCCGTCGGGTTTTCGTCGCACACCCCAAACTCGTTAATTCGTATTCTAGATGCTATGACGAAGAGGAAGAATGGAAACCGCCCTGCTTGTCCACCCTGTTATCTTCTAGTCAGGTAGGTGACGATACGACACAGTATGGAAAATGGCAGGAAACTCCTTTAAGCCGGTATCCAAGCAACTATGTGGAACCTGACCGGGATTCCTCGGCGGATCTTTACAGCCCCGTTGTAAGGCTGATCAAAACTCTTCCCAACTTAAAAGATCTCATTTGGACCTGGTCTAATGTCATGCCACAATGCATCCTTGATACTTTACACCGAGATCAACCGCAATGCCGTCTCCATTTGGATTACTTTTTCAACGGCCCTATGATACAAAGGGAATATCGCAGGGTCTCACGGTATGACAGAGTCTGGAGACAAAATATGGATACCATGTGGCATGGCGCGCCTTCTCTTCACTCAATTAGTATTGGTAGTGGCCGCGAATCTTCATATGAAAACCCTCGGGGACGAGGGCTTTTGCTGCGAGGTGTAATTAGCGCGCCGAATCTCAAAGAGCTTCGTTTGAGAAGAAATGAAAGGGCTCCGGACATACCTTCAGAAAGCGAATGTCCATCTGAAAAGCTTTCATTGGAAGCCCTCCATTTCGAGAGCAGATCGGATTTTGATGGGGGTACGCTAGAAGGGTGGAGTCAGTACACAGACTTTTCAACCTTGCAGACTCTGAAAATTCATGGTCGATTGAATGACGACGTATTCCGTATATGGAATCGGACGAAACTCTCACTTACATCTCTGAGAGCTCTGAGCCTGAACATTGGTTCCAATGCTTTGCGATCGGCGGACTTCTACAACTCTGCGAACAACTTTCTCCACTCGGTGCCTCCTTTGACTGAGCTTGAATTTGAAGGATGGCACTCCCTTATTAGTATAGAATCTCTCGTCGACTATCATGGGCCCCATTTGCACAAGCTCAAGCTCTTGAATCCGACAGCATGGCAGTTTGTGAATGAAGAGGAAATTCAGCTAATCGATGAAGGATGTCCGTCGTTACAAGAATTGGGAGTTCCTCTCAATCGCAGTCAAGATGAATTTGAGCAATTTATCTTATATATGGCGTTGGGGTCCATGAAAAATCTCAGCACCCTGCATCTTGACTATCAGATTCTACCTCCTCGAACACATGAGATCTCGCGAGAGGCAATGACTTATTTAAGCGAGAGGATGTTGTCTCATGCGAACCCGCCGCTCAAAGATCCCTCTTTTGACGAGTTTCAGAGTCAGTCTTGCGGAGAAGTCCGTTACAAAGAGCATCAACTTCGAAATGGTCATGTGGAAAGAATTATGGTTGAGTCTATCATCGATAAAAAGCTTGCGTGCGAAATATTTCAAGTCATTTCTGATGCTAAACCTTTTGAATCGGTTAAGATGAAAGATGTCATAATATCAACGAGTGGCTCAAATTATGGCCATTCCATAGCCTGGATAGTGAACACATTCACCACAGCATGGCACGTAAAGCAAGTTTGTGCCAATTCGAATGGCCGGGAGGTTTTGATAGTAGCTGAGGAGCTTCAGCCGAGTGAGAAGAATTCAGGAGGAAGACGTGATTTACTTCCAGGATGGATAGAGCCTATATTCAGGCGACTCTATCCAGAGCAACCATCTAAAGGGCCACCTCGGAAAACATCAAAGAAATTGGCGGCCAAGAGACAACAAGATGATGTGCCTATCACATGGAGGCATCAACTATGTGCCACTATTCCTACTTGGAGTCTTATGTCTCCATTATCGTCCCAAAGAAAAAGGCGCGGAGAAAGGCTATCATTGCGCAGCGGGAAGGCCTCTTGGGGGGTGCTAGTATAAAGGGGCTATATCATGGAAAGCGCTGCCCTTAAATCTTTTAAGAATTTTGATTAATTAATGAAATCTATGTGTTTTTTTTCTTCCTGTCAGATGAGGGAGCACAAGCAAACTCTATCGACAGTCACTGAGCTTGGTGACTTATTCTATGAGTGCGACTCATTTGCAAAAGCAGAGAAAATGTACCAACGAGCACTCAAAGGGTATATGAATTTCGGGCCAGACGACAGCTTGACATTGAAAGCAGTGTCTAATCTCGGCGCACTGTACTTGCTAGAAAATCGATACAAGAAAGCAGAGGTGATGTACCAACGAGTGTTTCAAACACATTTGAGAGTCTCCGGACCAGACGAGGAGGAGATGACAGAAGCAGCCCAAGATCTTGGCCAGTTCTACTTGGAGAATGAACGTTGGAGCGAGGCTGAGATATTTTTGACTCGAGCATTCAAGGGCTATCAGACTACGTCTAGCTCAAAGGAAAAAACTACGTGGCCCATAGCTCTCGATTTGGGCAACGTATTCTGGGAGCTAAATCGGCCCAAAGATGCTTTGGGGTGGTACCAGCAGGCATTGATGGGCTTTGATCAAGACCTTAATGTAACTGAGGCTTCAAGGGACTCCAGAGTTCTGGAGATACTTATAACTCTCAACAATGTCTATTCAAGACTTGGGGATTCTGCCCAGGCTCTTATACACACGCGGCGTGCGCTACTGATTTGCGAAAAGATTGAAGGGCCAGACAGTTCACAGTGTAAAGAACTTGCCAGAAAGGTTGACAAACTTGAAGATCTTGCCTATCAATACAGAGGACCTGAGCCCATCAGCACTCAGCCAACCAGCACTCCAAGTGGGGTTTTCAAAAAGCCTAGTCTGTTTACGAAGCTTATCATAAGGGGTGGTCAACGCTGACTGTAGCTTGATGCTCCTGGGTGAAGGATTGTGTCAAAGCCCTATTTCTGCGGGGGAGGTGCCATTTTCTTTGGATATTGAGGAGCTACATATGCCGAGGCCAATGTGACAAATGCAGCAGGGAAAAATCAGTGAAGTCTAAGTCCTGTTCTCGAGGTCTATACTGGCCCACATGGTCTATACATTTATGAATTACGATTATGTGGTTGCCGAAGCTGGGCTGTGCATTCAAGTGCGTAGTCAAAGATTGAAATAGCAGAGTGTAGCATGTGATTGTTTTGATTTTGATTTTGACAATTGGGATATCAGATAAAAAATAAGAGTTTTTAATTCGCCGCCACATATCAGTCGCTAACTGGTGAGAAGAGACCGATGGATTTATGTATGCCATATGTTGTTTATCCCTTTCGAAGCAGCGAGAACTATGAAAGAAAAGTTCAATATGTGTATCTAAACCTTTAACTAGAATTCAATTCAAATTTCCTTCATGGTGATTCGATACCCCCTTTTTTTCCTGTTCACGACAATCTTATTTTCGTATTTTCAAACGTTGAGAGATCAATGCTTGACCCACATTTCGCCTTCGCACTAGCTTCCACATGTCGGCTTCATCCTTCCGATGCAACTCAACGTTTTCAAATTTGCCATGTGACAATAATTTACTGTGTACGAATACTGCATGGGGTTTATTCATAGAGATCCAAAACTATAATTACGCGTAATTCCGCCTTCTCTAAACTCCGGTGCCATTGACATTTTCTTTGGACTACCGGGAAAGAGCCCCGGAGTCTACCGATTGATTAGTCACTTATTATTTGTTTGGTCCATTCGCCGTCCAAGAAGAAAATTTAAGAAAAAATATAGAAAAGTACGGGTGTCCCAATGTATCTATCCCGAGTACGAAAGGATTGGTCCGAGAAGCGCTAGTGCCAATAAAGAAAATGGAACAATTCCAATTGCGCGGCGGAAAAAAGAACAAAGAAATTAGAATAAAGGGGGCTCTATCAAGACTAGCGGGTAACTCCTAACCTTAACACTGTCCACGAAACCTATCAACCGCCGACGCGGGAAATTAAATAGCGCGCTAGAGACTAAGATAGAAATTTTGCTCCACGGGGATCCTCCGAAAATCAACGCTTTCCAACGGTTCTGTTGGGCCATTAAGCGAGTCCCAGGTACACAGACCCAGGAGTAAGAACCCAGCATTTTACATTGGTTCTCGTCTCAGACCCCATCCATGGATAGGGGAAGGCGACGGCTAGAATGGGGCTAGACAAGGATCCTGCCAAGGCTCCGTTTGTAGGTCTGTTCAGGAGCCAATCAATCGATCATGCATTTTATCTAAATAAAATTTCAATCAGGGGCCGAGAGCTCGTGATTTTTTTTTAAACGTTCTTTTTCTTTTTAAAAGCAATTGTTCTCTTTTGTTGCTTTCTCCGCAACAACAACAGTAATTCGACAAAATGGCTGCTTCCATAGTTCAAACGACAGCGGAGCCTGTCATCCACTTGAAGGCCGAGCCCGAGGTCAAGGTAATTCCGTACTCTGGCAGTGTAGAAAAATAAGTCAATGTTTCAGTTTTGCTGACAGTCTATACAGAAACAAGACCTTACTTATGGCTTCATAAGGGATAAGGTCCCAGCTCATTGCTTTGAGCGATCAGCTCTCAAGGGACTTTCTTATCTATTCCGTGACATTGTCTATGCATCTGTTCTGGTGTATCTGGCTTTGAAGATTGATCTTCTCCCAACTCCATTCCTCCGAGCCTCTGCCTGGATTCTCTATGGATTTGTCCAGGGCTGCGTTGGCACCGGACTATGGATCATTGGCCACGAATGTGGTCACGGTGCTTTCTCTGAATCCACCGCATTGAACGATTTCCTCGGTTGGGCCGTGCATTCGGCCTTGATGGTGCCGTTTTTCTCATGGAAGATCACCCATGCCAGACACCACCGTTATCATGGACACATTGACAAGGATACCGTCTTTGTCCCTCCCACCGAAACTGAGGTTGAAAACCAAAAGCCAACTATGTTCAGCAAATTCATTGAGTTGGTCGAGGAGACTCCTCTGTACCATGCTATTACTTTAACCGGCCACCAGCTTTTCGGATGGCAGATGTACCTCATGTTTAACGTCAGCGCCGGAAACAAGAGCTTGCCTGATAAGGGAACATCCGGAGTCCAAAAGTTCAGAAACAGTCATCTCGACCCCCTTGGCTCCCTTTTCACCAACTCGCAGACCCACCTGATTGCCATGACTGATATGGGTCTTCTTATTGTCGCTGCTGGACTTTACTACCTGGGTACTCAGATTGGTGCCTGGAAGGTTGCTCTGCTTTACGCTGTGCCCTATTTCTGGGTTCACCACTGGCTCGGTAAGACCATCAATCTACATAAGAAAGCTTAAAATTATAAAAAATAGTATACTAACTTTTCTATAGTTGCTATCACTTACCTGCACCACACTCACCCTGATGTCCCTCGCCATGACGATAAGTCATGGACTTTCGTCAAGGGTGCCCTGGGCACTGTTGACCGACGATTTGGTTTCATTGGACGTCATCTCTTCCACGAGATCATCGACTACCATGTCATCCACCATCTCTTCCCCAGAATTCCATTCTACCATGCTGAAGAGGCCACCAACGCCATTGTGCCTTATCTCGGAAAGCAGTACCATCTTGAAGAAGGCTTGTTCTTGAAGGATCTGGTTGATACCTTCACTACCTGCAAGGTTGTTCACAACCCCGACTCCGAGGGAGCTTTGCATTGGAAGCCCTCGGACAAGGCTGGAAAGAAGCTTAACTAGATTATGATTTGTCATTGCATGTTGCATTTGTTTTTTATAGATTTGCCTCATTGGCATACTTCATTGTTTATATTTAGATTTTGGTTAGACTAGACTATGTCTTTCTTGCAGTCATGCACAGGTATAGAACCTTGGATGAACATGGCATAGATCGGGAAGATAGAATGCATTCAACTTGATCAATCATGATTTCTAGGAACAAGCTTTAGTATAACTAAGGTTCCCAATGCCTAAGAACCTGAACTTCTCTTCTTCAAGTTTTCGACTACATGTGTGTTAAAATATTTACTTTCAGCTATGACACCACACCTACGATAAGATAACTTGGATTGTGGATCTATGGCTGGAAGGAACACTTAGTGGCCATTTTAGATCCGTCGCTCATCGAGTTGTATGCCAGGTGTGCGTATGTGGGCTCACGCCAGTAATTAGGCAGCAACGGTGGTCACGTATACTAATATGAAGTTTCCCGATCAGAATTCACATGAAGATGCATTCAAACATCTCACTGGCATTCAACCCATCAACTCTCCAAACTACACACTCATCTCCAAAGAGCTTGTCGCCGCTACCATCATAATGGACGAACCGATTGTGACAATGATCGACCCCGAAGCCGGGGGATCTTTGCTAGATACACTCTCCGAACTTCCCATACTTAGTGTGATCACCTTCGTTCTCAGTGTCAGCACTTTTTACAAAGCATGCTATTCAATCAATGACAAAGAGAGAAGATCCGTTCGCATCGGCATCTTCATCGGATTCGGTGGGCTAATCCTAATTGCAGCCCTTGCATTCTTCAATCATGGACCCGACGTGATCGAACTCGACATCCACGACCTACCAACCCTCGGCCTTCTAGTACTCTTCTTGGTTCTCTTCTGGTTCCTTCTGGGTGCTTTCCTGTTCGGTACCCAGGATAGCCAGAAAAGCCTCGTTAGTGAAGTGGAAATCTCCCGCCAGCGCGGTTCGGACCCGGATAGTGCCGTGGGCAAATTGAGTGAGCAGCTCCGCACAGAGGTTGAGATTGAATTTTTGGAAAATCTGTTGGAGGTCCGAAAGGCGAAGCTTGCGAGGGATACTTGAGAGGACTCCTAGTCTTGATTCTTGATTCTCGCCCCCACTCAACCTTACGCGTTATTTCTGCTGCCTAGTTCCCCTCTTTATCTCGTGATAGTGAGGTGCACTTTTTTTCCATATTTGGGATATGCGCAGAGTGAAACAAACATAGCCTCATTCGAAGGTCTTTTGTGGTTGCCAAGGCTCTAGGATTGACCCTCCCCGCACGACAACAGATGGATACTCCGGAACCTGCCCACAAGACAGCGATCTAGGCTTTCTCTCCAAGTTCAAATTTATAGGGATGGTGAAGTGCGCTATACATAGATAGTATTTAGATCGTGAAGCATATGTACATACTTCACGTTTAAGGGAGAATGTAGTACGATAACTGTGAACTATATTTCGCATTACCCCAGATACACAAAAACCTTATTAAAGCAAATAGCTCGGCTTCGAATATCATCTTGATGGGTAATTGACATGTGCAGATCCTTCCATTCGGTTGTAAGCCTTAGGAGTGTACTCGTATCCCATAGGCGTAAATTTAGATGGTAGTTCTATTGATAGCTCGCGTGTCCCCGCGCATGGCCTGTCCCACTAAGCAGGCCCGGTCCCAAACGGACAATTTCAAAGCCGCACAAGTCAAATTTAAAATCTACACTGCATATGCATGTTTCTATATTTTCATAAGACATCATAATTATGATTTTCCTCGGGGTTCACACTGACAAAATTCTCCGATGCTGATAATTTGAGCACTGATAAGGCCCCCTAGTGGTGCGGGGACCAACCAGCGAAAAATCGAACGATCGTTGGTTTTCTAGACGTTCCACGTCGGCTCACTTCTATTATTATCGTGGAACCAGGTAAAATAGGGCCCAGAAGCTTGGCTGGAACCCATTAGTTATGCGCTAAAGATTCGAATCTGAGACATATTGATAAGCCTAGAGGCTAAGACAAGTTACGGTCAGGTTAGGGAAAACAGAATCCAAAACTGATTCATAGTATAGTTCAACTTAAGGGAAATTGCCGGTAGAAACTTTGAATCTTGTTAAGGGGCGAAATGACATATAGGTAATTTTATCGGCATTGACTATTTCATAATAAACAGGGCATTTTAGCGGGAGGACGCGTCACTTGTTGGGTCAGCCAGAGTCAGGCAAATCATGGATCGGAGCCGTTCTTCCCCACCGGGGGCATATCCGAACTATGTATTGATACCTATACATAGCTCTTAGGCTTGTCTTAAGAGTCGTGGTTTCAGCCCAATTTGTCTTTTCGGTTCGTCTGTGATAGAGATATCGTACGGGAGTATACACGCCTAGTTCAAGAAACGGAGTTGAATCCCGGAAGATTAGCAAATGATAGAGTTTGGTATTTTTAACTATGCCCTGCAGAATGACGTTGTTGTATACAGGTCAATATCGGGAAGAGAACATGATTCTCTTTTTGCAAAAGAGACACGAATCAAACCGGTGAGTATATTATACTGTGTAGTGTGCACCTCATAGGCAAGACAATCATTAGCATCATGATCAATCATAATTCATGCGCGCTTCCCCGCTGTCGAATCAATAATCAATAATATAGTTTCAGAGGCCCCTTCCTGCCGTTTGTCTGTTAAACAGGCTCGATCTCGATTCGCACAAAGCTTCTTTGTCAATGACTAGGTATCCACCGTAACAGTGGCCACACCGACCTCGTCAAACCGTGTAGAAACTAAGATTAGGTCCCGGGGTGGTGGAACAATGTCGATAGTCATCTCCGGCAAGGCAGCGGGTGATTCGCGGGAAATCTGGCTAGTGGGAAGCCGCGAATGCTCAGCATCATTAGTTGTGGTCCATGCATCCGGGCAGAGGGATTGTGGGCGGTTCTCTAGTAAACCTTTGTCAATGATTTGCTTCGATCATCATGTTTAACCGACGATCCCCTTTCTTGTGAGATGGCACAGACCTTCGTTCCCAAGCGGATGACGGATGGTGCCTTTGACTTTCTGATGATCGTGCGGCAAAGCGGCCCAAGTTACTCTACGGCGCGGCTGCTGCTCCTGTTCCTGGTCTTGTGAATATGGTAACAGACAAGAGGCCAGCCGAGGCGTAATGGAGTCTTTGCTGGTGTCCACTGTTGGGTGGGCCGACTTGGCAACTATCAAAGAAACAGATTTTTCTGATGGGCTTGTCGGGGCCATGACGAAGAGGCTTGGCTCAGAACGATTTCCTATGCAAGATGACCCGCGGGGTTCATCACGGTTTGGATTGACATTCACCTCCTGTTCTGAGTCGCTAGGAGATGGTGTGGAACTGGGAGGGGAAGAATCGGGTCGCGTATCACCAGTGTGGCCTTGATATTCATTGTCATGATCATCTAGGCACAAATGGTCAAAATCAGCAGATAGTGTGCGTAGAAAGATGCGGTGCAGGTGATATTGGAGCTCTTCGTCTCCCAAGGTGATGATTGTTGGTGGGCGTCTAATCATGGTGAATATGGAGAGGAAGGCAGAAAGGCAGGATAGCTGGGATGTTGTACAATGGTGGTATTATTTATTATTACTATCATTATCACTCTTTTACAGACATAATCTTGGGATTTCATAGAAGGAAGTTGCGCCTCAGTATCATTCCCTATATAGTTTGTTTCTTCTCTTTACAAGCATCTTCCATCACACTAGGATGACGACGTACGACAACGCTTCAGTCTAATTCAAACTTCATTTTGATATTATTTCATTTTATTTCATTTTAATTTTTAATTTTTATCTATCCTACCCAATTAAATTGAATAATGTCTATATTAATAGTTGTATATTACTATACTAGGCTCAGCCCCTCTAACTAGAACGGGTACCAAACTACGTACTAAGAAAGAAACGGAGCCTCCTGTTGATCCTTTTCTGCCTTTCTCTCTTTCTCTCTCTCTCCCTCTTTTCGTGTCTCCAAGCCAATCCGTCCAGCACCCCCATCCATCCTTCGACTGACTGGATATCGGATCATGCCTCCGCTGTCTCAACCGTCACCGCCATAATTTGTTGGCTTCTCGTTTGGAATCCACACCCCCTTTCCCGCCCTTGTGATCTCTTCCCCTCTCTCCCCGAGGGTCAACAACACTATCCAGTTCCTTCGGTCGCCCAATTCTGCCCATTATGAATGGGGATTTAAGTCTATCCCAGTCATTGGGAGGGCTTCGGATAGCAAATCCAGACGATTCGCCCCTTCAATCAGAGGACGCGACCGCTGGGTCGATGAAGTCCAATCCAGCCGGTCAACCGGACGGTTCGGTATCAACACATCCACAAAACACCGCGCCGAATGATGAATCGCCTACAGCTTTCCCTCCTGCACCTCTCGAGGCCCCATCATCATATACCGACAGCCGTTCATCTGTTGTCTATCCCTTTCCCGACCTTCCACCATCATCTAGTCAATACCAACCATATTCGGCCATCTCACACTCAACTCCACCGAACACGAACCGCCCCCTTTCCTCCGTGTACACCAACGGTTCCGCCTCCTCCGTCCTTCCCCGAGATAATTCCTATCGCATGCGAACCGATTCCGGCGCATCATCAACCTCAACCTCCCATTCCCGAAAAGACGTCCGCGGCTCTGGCCAAGTAATGCAAGCGGGTGTGCCCGTGCGAGACAATTCTCACAGTGATCGTTCCTACCGAACAGCTCAGATTCCGACCAATGGGCCGGCTGTAATGCGGCAACCGTCCAGAGCACACGCCCGAGGAAGCACGCAACAACAAATGTCTCGAACTCCCTACGGTATGGAGAACGGCCCAGCACCCAGCAGTGACGACTGGCAAGAGCGGGGCGCCGCGGTTTCGGTAAGGCAAGAGGTGGACGCCAACGGAAAGACAGTATCTCGATTTATCAAGAAAGGCGTTCGTGATTTCTCGTTTGGCAGTACTCTAGGAGAAGGATCATACAGCACAGTGGTATTTGCGACAGACCGACAATCGTTGAAGGAATTTGCGATCAAGATCCTAGACAAGCGCCATATAATCAAGGAAAAGAAGGTCAAATACGTCAATATTGAGAAGGATACCTTGAACCGCCTAACTGAACACCCGGGTATTGTGCGGCTCTACTACACTTTTCAAGATGAGCGCTCATTATACTTTGTGTTGGACCTGTGCAAAGGAGGTGAACTTCTCGGTGTTCTCAAGCGGATGTCTACTTTTGATGAAGAGTGTACCAAATTTTATGGGGCCCAGATTCTCGACACGATAGACTATATGCACAAGCGTGGTGTGATTCATCGAGATTTGAAACCAGAGAATGTGTTACTGGACCATCAGATGCACGTCAAGATCACCGATTTCGGCACAGCAAAGATCCTCAAAACCACTCGACCCAGCGAGAGCACAAGCTCAATCCCGAACATGGATTCCACAGAACTCCCACAGGAAGAACGAGCTAGCTCTTTTGTTGGCACCGCAGAATACGTCAGTCCCGAATTATTGACAGATAAGAATGCTTGTAAGGCAAGCGATCTGTGGGCATTCGGCTGTATCATTTACCAATTATTGGCCGGTCGGCCCCCTTTCAAAGCGGGCAACGAGTACCAAACATTCCAAAAGATTGTTGGGCTAGAATATGAGTTTCCAATTGGATTCCCTCCTGTTGCCCGCGATCTTGTCGAGCGTCTTCTTGTGCTTGACCCCGCCCGACGACTTCAGATTGAGCACATCAAGAATCACGAGTTCTTTGATGGCGTTACTTGGGGAACTGATATGTGGAAGCAGAAAGCTCCACGTTTGAAGGCTTATCAGCCACCTCCGCGTGAACCCATCAAACTTGGTGGTGATAACAATGAAAGCTTCCCTCCAACGATTTCGACAGCTCCTTCCAATACACCAAATTCTAGCTCCCGGGCCCTCCCCAGGGTGGTGACGGAGTTACCTCCTCCAAGTCAGCTTGACATTGAGTGGTCACCAGTGTTGAGCAGATCGAACGAACGTATTCTTAAGTTAGGAAATATGGTCGTATTGTCTTCACATGCATCACACAGCCCGAATGGTAACAGTGAAGCTGAGGCCCCCAAGAAGTTCTCGCGTTTCTTCTCGAGCTCAGCGACCAAGAAGCGCCAGCGACTAGTGATGATTACATCGTCTGCGAGAATCATTTTAGCCGCATCTGGCGGTGACGAAAAGAAGGCAAAGCTTGAGATCTCGCTTCTTGCCCCTGGGACACACTGGAGGAGCACCACTGATGCCAAGGGACACTCATCATGGATTGTTGATACGGTAAGCAGATATCTCGTTTAGTGTTTTTTTATTTTTATTTTTTTCCTTGGTACTGACTTCAACCACAGAGAGATAAGCATTATGTCTTTGAGGATCCCAAACCATCATCAAGCAATATTGGAACTGCGGCCGTATCAGCACAAGAATGGCTGGATTCACTAGATCGCGCTCGTGAGATGGCTTTGAATCAACAAACCCCCGGGCCTTACTCCGCCGAAGACGCCTTCCGAGACATCTCGTCTGGATTCTCCAGTCATGCCAATACTCTCGACCGTAGTTCTGAACTTCAGAATGAAAACAATGCCAACCCCCCACCTGGACGAAACACATTGGTGAAACACCAGGCAGATACCGAATCAGTTAAGGGGAAGAAGCGGTTTAGCCGACGTCATTCTAAGAACGGACTCGCTGCTGTTTTCTAAGGTCAATACGTTTTGCTTGTGAGATGGCACATTTCCCTGCTTCGAATTTTCCCAATTTGCTCCGAATACTCGGGCATATCCTACTGTAGCACCATAATCATCGATATGGCTATATTCACTCGGTGGTTGACCCTTTGGTTCTATTGGTTCATCGCTCCACCTATCCGATCTATCAGTCCTCTTTCATGCATGGATTTAGATCTCCGGAGCTCGATCTCCGATCGGTTTTATTCTTCTACACCTCCTACGATGAGGTGCGCAAGGAAGACGAATGTCTCTTTTGCATATTGGTTGTCTTCTTTCTTTTGCATATTACAGTGACAAGCGTGTTTGTTTGTGTTGAAGCATGTTTCTGCATTTAGATCTGGAGAGGAGCGTGCGTACCTTTTTCCCTCTATCATTGCGTCGCCTGATCAAATATTCATCCTGTTTCCCGTTCAATCCCCCATATCTTTGCGTCCTCTGTTATATATCCCCGATTTGATCTGATGCATACTGTCGAACCTCCGCCCATGGCCTTGTGTTCATTTCTTTTATGTCCGGCGATCTTTATGGAATACTCCTTTCTGAGATATCGATTACTGTCTAGCACTTCCAGCTACAGCGAATCAATCCGTTCCTCCATTTTATCCATCCCTCCAAAGAATTTCCTTACCAAAAAAATCGGACCTGGAACTGGTTTTGATTGTCTTTCTTTCTTTGCCGAACCTTCTTCTTTGTCTCCTCCCGCTTTACGCTCTGCGAGTTTCTCCTTATATACCATCTTCTCTTCTTCACCCCGTCTCTTGAGCTGGACGCTTCTCTGTGACTTTTTCATCCTCTTTTTTTCATCTTTCCTTTCTTACTCTTCTCTTTCCTTCTCTTCTCTTCTTATACACACTTTTTCTTCCCATCTTCATCTCATGACAGGCCACTTTTTTTTTGTTTCATTGTGCCAGAATTCAAAAATTGATATACCCGGCTATCCGTTCAAATAACTAAATATTGTCCCAATCGTAGAAGGCTTTAATATGTGCTCCGTATTGCTACCTACTGAAGAGGGGAAATAGGCCTGTATTGGGATACTACTACCTAGGTTTAGCCAGGGTCAGAGTCATGTTTACTCCACTTGACGCGACCCGCCCAAGTGACTCACTGGACCTTCTTACCCGTATGTCAACCTGTCAATTCCACCTTTTATCCACAACCTTCAATAGTTTCCCAAGTTTATTTCATGGGCTAAGCTAAAGGTCCCGATCATCAGGGTCACGAGTAGTGTGATATCCAGTTCTCCGTAACCAAGTTCCCGGGAATTATCATCGCCCGAATCAAAATTAAGGAAAAAAAAAAAAAGAAAAAGAAAAGAAAAAAACGTCAATGGGTGCCGATACCCATATCCCTGTGATTTATGAGCACGATGACAAGGCCACCACAATATTGCCTCTTCTAGCATCTCATTTACCACTTTCGTCCGCACTCCTGCGTCGTATTCAACATGGAATCGCCTATCCAGCTCCCACCGCCAAGATCTTAGCCACATTCTCCCCATCGACATCCCCATCCCCTGACACACCATGGCTGGCTGCGCGAGTGGATCTCTTCCGCGGCCGCGAGACTCAGATCATCCTATACTCCAGCCTTGAAGCGGAGCACACATCAATCCAGCCGATCGTTTCAGCTCCGCCTGTCACTGTCACCACCCCGAGTGACGGGTCCAGTCCCAGCGCGACGGAAAGCAACAATAACGCCAGTCCCGGTCCCAATTATACGGTAGCTACACTCCACTCGGCTTCTCCTGCTTTTCTGGACCTGGCCCGTGAGCAACTATTGGCTCTCCTCGCCTATATCAAGACCAACCTGTTGCCAGGGTACCTAGCTTCCCTGCCACCTGACCTTACGAAGAAGTCAGCCGCGATGCAATCGCCAAATGGGGTACCGTTGATCCCGGCACCGGATCCTCGGGCGTTTCTTATTGGGACCCTGCATACAGGGCTGTTTACGCTACTCTTGCAGTCGGGGGTTTTCCCGCACCCTGATGACGTGGTTGCGCCGAGTGAAAAGTTGGTGCCGTTGCCTGGGCTGAAGGTTCACCGGTATGATAACCCGCCGTATAGCAAGTTCTATTTCCCGAGGGAGGTGTTTACCATGCGGGATGGTGGGGCTGAGATCCCTTTGCCGAATGGCTATCGGTTTCATGATCGGAAGGGACGAGTAGGCGTATTAGAGGCGCATTTGGATCTTGTGCAGAGCCGGACGAATATTCCTAGATCCAAGGCGCAGCTGTTGTCTATACCTGGTGTCGCGATCTATTGTGACACGCAGTCTGCTACGCGTGGCGATGGTGAAGAGGATGAATTGCCTGTTGCGTGGGCTTTTCTGGGTGTTGATGGGCCTATTGCCACTTTGCATGTTGAGCCTGAGCACCGAGGAAAGGGTCTTGCACTTTCCTTGTCCAAGGAAGTGATGCGGCGCGGTATGGATTCTAATGGGGTGTTTGGAGCTGACCGGCTTGAGTTTATGGATGAGAAGCTGCGGCAGAAGACTACTGCTTGGGTGCATGCTGAGGTTGCTCAAATCAACAAGGCCAGTCGCAGAGTCATGGAAAAGGTGGGAGGCGAGGTGAAGACAACGGTGATGTGGGTGGTTATCGAGCTTTGTAATTGATCAAAGTTCGTATGTAACTTCCACATGCATGGATTGGTTGAAACATGTGTAGATTGTAGGTATGTACTTACATAGTGTACAACTGTATATAGACAGGACTGGGTAACGGAAATATGATTATTATGAATCTGCGTGGGTAAAGGGTATATGATTACGTGTGGGTATTAAGGATCTCGAGGTTGCCAATTAGAGTATCACCGAGAAAAAGATATCAATAAGAAATAACGAACTCGAACTCCACAGTAAGCTGTGCTGGAACCATAAAAACATGAATCAAATCAAATCACCAAACATGAATCCTATATGAGCAAGGGCAAACCGGGAAGGGAAAAGAAACAAACTCCTCCTCGAAATAAAATTGAACAACCACATTGAAACCCAAGCACACTCATCACTCGCCCCTTCCTGAGACCCTTTAGTCAAGATCTTCTTCCTTGATAGTATTCGACCGAGCGGCTTGCCAGGTTCCTCATGTCCAATAGTACAACGAGACAGAGTGCCGAGCAGGTCCTCAAGCTTGATCTTGTGATGGGGTGCCTACGTTTCTACCGGAATGGAGAAAGGGTGCAAAAACAACGAATAACAACATTAAAGAAAAGGGAAGAAGAGATAGAGAGCTATACCACGTACATGTAGAGAGCCTACTCTTAGACTAATCATCTGATTGGTCTATATCCGAGAGTAGGTCAAACTAAGTAAACGTCTAAATATACAAACATACCCGCCGGCCGACCTCCCCTACCTACAAAGATCTTTATCTCAAGGACTCTCAAGCCCTGGAGCGTTAACCCCGCGCATGGGCCAAAAGTGGGTCAAATCTCGCATTCACTTACTTCCAAGGTTGGCCGTGTCGATCTTTACACAAATCCGGCATCAGGTTGGACGCCTGTCCAGGAATCCCCCTCGGAAAAGGATCAATAACCAATGAAATCTCTCCCTTACGAAGTAAATCGAAGCCACTAAGCCCTGGGAACTATCAACCTCGTGGATGGATAATAATAGCCCATATATCGTCCTTTATCGGTGAGTTGGCCTTCATTCCCGTGTTCGTGTTGGGGGCGAAACTGAACTTATACGCGCTAGCCAATCGTTCGCGTTTTCAAGTCATCACGAAGAGGGATCTATTGGATCTTGGAAATTGAGCTCCAGGGTTCTTAAACGTCACCGTTCCACCCCCCTATTCCAGTTCTTTAAATTTCACTTCTCTAAACTTACGCTTAAACCACTGCTATCAAAACAAAACAAAACAAAAATAATAAAAAAACATGTTCCTTTCTCTAACGGTGGGGAGGGCCATTGGCACTCTCCTCCTAGCAGTCCTATTACGATTCTTCTATCGCCTATACCAAGTACGTTCACTATTTCGCTCTGCAGCTCGTGACCATGGCGTTGTAAGTTCAAATTTAATCCCATGAATATAAGTCTTATTCCTAGGTATTCCTTCTGACCATCGTTCAGCCAATGCTCCCTCACTCCTTCATATTCGGACATCTTCTCGCCGTCGGGAAAGCAATGGCAAAATATCCCCCAGGCCTGAACGGCGGATACCTACCATTTATCATGGCAAAAGAGTATCCTGAACTAGAAGTTCCAGGAATAATGTATCTCGATATGTGGCCAATCTCACCTCCCATGCTCACAGTTTTCAATCCCGACATGATGGCGGCGTTTACCCAGGAGCCTTCCCTGCCCAAACACCCCCATCTACTAGCTGAATTCAAGCCTTTCACGGACCTAAAGGATATCTTGACTCTATCAGGAGCGGAATGGAAACGATGGCGTGGCATTTTTAATCCTGCCTTCTCTTATAAGAACATTTTATCGCTTGTTCCGGCTTTTCTGGAAGAGATTGATGTCTTTTTAGACTATCTTAAGGAGAGCGCTGAGTCTGGGGATATCATTCGACTTGAAGAGAAAGCGACATTATGCACGATTGATATTATCGGACGAGCTGTGTGGTATGTTCAAATTCTCTCATCAACATGGTCTAGCTGTCCATCTGGCAGAAAGTACCAACTAACCACACAACACAGTAACGTTCGCTTCCACGCACAGTCATCTCGAAACATACTCTTCGAAACATTGATTAAACAAATCAATCTATTATGGATAAGTAATGCACCCGACCACCTAATCAACGGCTTAAACCCCCTCCGCCCATACCGAATGAAACGCAACAACAAAATCATGAAAGACATCCTGACACCACACATCGAATCCGAAGTCCAAAAACAACTTAACGGCGAAAATCCAGAATACAAAACAATCATCTCCCTCGCCTCAAAAGCATACCTAACAGAGCAATCATCTTCAACGTCCCAAAAAGCACAAATCGACCAAGAATTCATCGACACGGTCGTTTCCCAAATAAAAGTCTTCCTCCTAGCAGGTCACGATACTACCGCATCAGGAATGGCATACGCCTATTACCTGCTACACAAAAATCCAGATGTTCTTGCCAAAATGCGAGAAGAACATGACTCAGTATTTGGAACCGATACCTCAACCGCAAGAGCACAAATAGCCTGTGATCCAGTCCTACTAAATAAACTCCCCTACACAATAGCGTTTATCAAAGAAGTTCTTCGAATTTTCCCACCCGTCGGAACAATTCGAGAGGGACAAAAAGACCACTTCCTCACGCATCCAGAGACAGGTCAGAAATTTCCAACGGACGGAATGATGATTTTTGGAGTTTCGTTCGCTGTTCAGCGAGACCCGAAATATTTTCCTAGACCCGAAGAGGTTATTCCTGAACGATGGTTTGCGAAGGAGGGCGAGCCTTTGCATGTACAGAAGAATACATGGAGACCGTTTGAGCTTGGTCCGAGAAATTGTATTGGGCAGGAGCTTGCGCAGGTGGAGTTGAGGGCTATTTTGGCTATGACGGTTAGGGATTTGGATATTGAGATTTGTTATCCGGAGGATTCGCCGAGCGTTTTTGGGACGCAGGCATATCAGACTTTGCATGTTGGGCAGGTTACGGGGCATCCGCATCTTGGGATGCCAGCTAGGGTAAAGAAGAGGGTTAATGTGAAATGAGGGATTTCGAGGTGATTTCAAGTTGTTTGATTGAGCGACTACTTAGTAATACTAGTATATAAAATTTGAAGTTTTCTGTTGTCAGGCGATCTTGCAAGGATCTAGTTGTGAGATCTATCAGACACCTATATGGGTGTCCTGATAGATCATTTGGACTCACATGATCTGGGTCTCTTCTGAATAACTTAAAGAGACCCCAGCCTTTACTATGGGTTTCCTTCTTCTTCTTCCTCTCTTCATGCCTTGTATACGAATGTGTCCAGCAAGATCTATAGCTGATGACGGATAATTTCCGTTGTTGCTCATATGTAAAATGATAGTTACACTTTCACTATCTCATAATGGTAGATATCTTTACAGAGGATATATAGTGGTTCAACTCGGATTCATTAATATGTATCATAAAAATCGAAGATCATGTACAGAAAATTATATAAGTCATAAAAATAGAAAGATGAGGAACTGGGATCCCCATAGTTCAGATATAGACTGTCATAAAGTGGAATCAAATAAACAACCAATCAAGGCGAGATGCGTCCAGCTCATCCACCCAATCGAACGAAGAATCAAAAGTTTCATCACCATGATCATCCTGTTCGAGGACTCCACTTGGAAGAAGTCCATCAACAAGACCAACGGGGACATTTTCACGCTCATGTCGCTTGAGGTCCTGTTTCTGCCACATGAGTCTGAGAACCCACGCCGCATTGCGGACGTTGATACTTGTAACAGCTTGGTAGAGAGCAGCAAGTTTCTCAAGAATGAGAGAGCGCTGTGAGAGACGGCGGCATTCCGCTCCAGCAATGAAAGTAGGCCATATGAGGCACTTGAAATGGGGATCTGATATGGGGACGGAACAGATACGGGTGATTAGGTCATGAGCGGCTTGGGAGTGATCTGAGGGGAGGTTTGTGTCGTTCCAGGACGGTGAGTATCCGTCTCTGGCTTTTGAGAGAACGCGACTTGTGTAAAGGTAGACGCCGGCTTGGTAGGCGCTTGCAAGCGCTATGCGTGAGGAGAGGTCGTCAAGGTGGAAATAAGTTTGCATTTCTTGTGCCCAGGCAACGGGGTCAAAAGAGCGGATCCCCTGAAGGAGCTGCATGTATGATTCGCGGGAGAGGGGCTGGCCTTGTTGCATGGATATTCCGAGAGTGGTGGGTTGGGGAGCTGCGGCTGCGAGGTCGGAATCTGGATACCAAAGAGTGTGGACGAAGAAAATAACTTCAAGGAGATAGGCTGGGCAGCCGACCCATGATGTTTCTTCGAGACGCTTTAGCATGGCTGGACCCATGGTTTGAGGGTAAAACGGTTGAGAGAGGGCACCTGGGCGTGCCAGCGTAGATCCCATAATCTCCATAATTAAACAGGCATCGATGGCAACTGCCTCTAGTCCCTGGAGAATCCCTGAGCCCAGTGTATTTTCGGGTCTACTTCTTAAAAGCTTCTTTGCGCCTTCGATGTGATAGCTCCAGGCCCCACTGCCAGATTCGAATAGGTCAAGAAGAGCGAGGACAACAATTGCTGCCAAGGTAATGTCGTCTTTAGCCATCACAGGATTCAGAAGATCTTTTGACAGTTGATTAAGCGTGCGTTGCTTAAATTCTAGGTAATGACGGTATGATTTCGAGGTCAATTGTTGGGAGCTTGTGGAGACAATCATGTTCTCAATGTCTTGTTGTGCCAACGGGGTATTAGTGGTCAGAGGATTTTGAGATGACCAAGGCATGATAGAGGAGTCCGAATTAGAGATAAGTGAAAAATGCAATGCTCCCATTGCCAACAATGCATTACCGAGAAGAGGCGAGTGACCGACTAATGATATGATATCTCGCCAGGGGTTCTTGAGCTGGGGATAGATCAGAAAATCATTCGTCATGTATTCATGGTCTAGTAGCACTGGTGTTAGTTATCATGCACCGGGAAGACAAAGTATAAGGAGATCGTGAATGGAGCATTTGAACATACAATGATGTAAATATAATCTTGAAGTTTGATTGAAATCTTTGAGCAAAGGATCAACCAAGCCCCACGGTGTTGGCATGTACTCGATCGGTGTGGCCTGTGGAGCATGCACCATCGCAGTACTTCGTTCGTCTGGCCGATCGGATGTGTCCATGTCCACCTCTTCCTCGACAAATCCAAAAGAAGGCCCAAAGTTTACCGGCTCCATATTTCCTGCATCCAGTACTTCTTGAATCCAATCCGTCTCCGGACTATGCTGGGCTCCAGAGCTCGGTGATGAATCTGTCTCGGACGAGGATGCAGGCATAGAAAAATTCAAGCCGCTATGTGACGGCTCCGGTTCTTCTGCTCTTTGGACCGGCCTCGCTTTCGCTGATATTGACGTCGCTGCCCCTTTACCTTGACACTTTCCTCCACCAGAAGGTTTCTTGGGCTCATCAAAACTCCGACCCATCATTTTACCACGACTAGCCACTCCACCCTTAACCCAAACCAAAGGTTTCTGGTACCCCAGGCATTCTTTCCCCGCATCTTGGCATTTCCGACAGGTAGGCTGGCCATTATCGCAAATAATGCGGCGGCGGCGACACGTATAGCAGCCTTTTGTCATGTTCGGAGATTTAATCGTAGAATCGGTATAGAACAAGACTAGCCACTTGGAGGTGCTTGGCAACTCGCCATGGCGCGGTCAGAAATCGACGGGTTTCGGTAGGGAGAACGGCTCGGTCATCGTTTTCTAAAAGCGATACTGTAAGAATCAAAAATGGAGCCACAAAGCATCACTGGAATTGTCACCAGAGCATGATCGAGAAGTGGAAGGAATGTGTCAGTGAATGATGGGGCGTTGGTGCGGGGCTTACTAAGGATCCAGATCATAATTTCTCCAGATCCCCTCAATCTGCTCTCTTTGCCTCCGCACCAGTTTTTGGTCCCAATCAGCAAAATGTGGAAAGCTTTCGGACTTGCTCATTTAGAGGTGAGTACTCTATTTATCCATCAGAGGAAGCTTTCTTGCTAATCATCATAGCGCGCTTTGATCAACCGAGTATGTGATCCGTGATCCGTGATCCGTCCCTTGTCCCATGACACCGCATCCTAACCCCGTCCAGCTCTTGCAGAGTCCGGTTTGGCACGGCATGGTCGGCCGTGTTTACCAACGTGTTCAATACTTTCGCCATGGCGTACCGATGGAGGAGAGCCGCACATCCATATCAGATGGTATAATTTCCCAGGCTGTTCATGATGCGCGGGCTGGCAGAGCATAACTGACGCGGAACCCTCAGGAAACCAACTCAACCGGTTTATAAAGTTTTTCAAGGAGGAATTGCAGGATCAGGCGAAGGGAAAACCTCCGAATAAGCTGTGATTTCCATTTCCGCCCGGCGTTTTTCCTCTTTATACCTGCATTATACCCGCAAATTCGAATTTTGCCACCTCTTCCTCATTTTAATGAGCTTGATTCCCGATCTTCATCAAGAATTGAGATTCTATCAGCTCATATTCGAACCATATCTTCATATCTTGACTTTTGAAAGCATGGATGCATTCGGGGCTCCCCGGAACCTGTATCGTCCATTTATCCTAAACAAACGCGAACTTCCCGAATCACGTCAATTATCATTTCCCTTTGGTGTCGGATTTCTGCTGTCAGCGTTTTCATAGCTGTATTGAGCGCTCCTGCAAATCAGGTCTAAAAATGGGCATATGCAAGCATATATGGACGCGCAATCTAAGCGCCTAGCAAAACATAAAACGTCTTAGATTGGCCCAGTTAAAGACTCAGTGGCCTGCACAAATCAAATTAAAAGCCGCATACAATCTTGTGTTTTGATACTGATAAGAACTCCACTGGCAGCGCCCATATCTTAGTAATGGAGATTATTGTACAACCTTGGAACCCAGGCATCATTTTGGATACTTAGAATAATGTACGTCACAGGGTAAGTAGTTCATCAAAGTGGCATTGAATCCCACATCTGTGTAATCTTCATTTTACCAATCACATGTCTCAGCCACTACTTTGTAAAAAAAAACAGAGACCCCTATGACGAGCTTTCATGCGGCATGAGTCTATCTAGATGAATCCCAATAGTGGAAGAGGCGGGTGCATATTGTGCAGCCAGTGCACCTGTCCAGATTGGTGCTCCGCTGTGGATTATGAAGAGGCCAGCCCGTAATCATGCGACGTAAATACTACAGTGACTTCAGATGTTCTTTGTCCAGCCCTGCCATCCTTCTTCCTTCTGTCGATCATGATCATGGCTGTGCTGTCATCATGAGCTGTAAACCCTAAAAAAGATCAGACCCCAATCCCCAGTTAGCGCGCCTGAACTCTTTGACGGTTAAGATCGTCTTTGGATGAAACGGTATTTACTCCGTGCTTGTTTACTGTTTACGCATCCCTGGGGTGCTCGGAGCAACAAAGCCGGCACAGCCGGTCGCTAATCCACAGTTGGACCTGGCAGGTCGTGTGGCGCTGAATAGCCAAACGCCCTGGGCCTGTGATCCGTCGGAAGGGAGACGTGGGGGAGCGGCATAATCACTGGAAGAGTCTAGACTTAGCTTAGCAAGATTCTGTTCGGGTCTGGGAGGCCGTTGTGTAATGAAAGCCTCGAGTCATTGTGGACGGGTGACAGGGCTATGGAGGCCCCCCGTACACAAACATTTTGGTCCCTGAAAACCCTGCATTAGAGCCTGTTACCCTGAAAGTTTTGAAAGAACTTGAAATGTTAAAATTGGATACATTACGGAGGAGTGTGATCCTGAATTGCCGCTGAGATGGCCCGCCGTGCATGGCCCATCATCATAAGAAAAGCACTTGACGTTGGCTTAATCGTTTGGAATAACTGTAAACTTTATAAAGAAAGGATAATTCGATGACGAACGTCTGTTTATGTCTAATATGTATAGGAGAGTAGGAGATATATGATTGTAAAATTGGCAATAATGAGTAAATAGAAAATAGGAAATAGACCGGTGACATGTACAAAAAGTAGTCAATGCAGGCGTTACTACTAAATATGGGTCATCGGCGAGGGGTGGATCCCGTGGAGCCAATGATCCGATTATGGGTTGGGAGGACGCGAATGCAAATATCAATATTCGCATTCCACAATGGCTGGGGGGGAAGTGTAAGAAGAACAGGAGGGAGATGAACAAATTATTCCATAGAATGAAGAAACCTCGAGCGTAGATCAAATCCATGAATATATAAATAAACATCATTGCCGTTAATTCGAGTCAATCAATATCCACATCCTACTGTAACGTCGATGTGCTGGATGCCTAAATACCAGTGAAGAACCAAAATTACCGCAGCTGACTCTGTCTGGACTCGCATTGACCCGCTGTTGTGGCTGCCAAAATTACCTTGGCACTTTCCGAGATTTCGCAAATTTCCAAAATTACCAAGATTTGAAACTAGGGCCGGTCTGGGGGGCCCTATCGAGTTTAGCGCCAAAGCGACCTTGTGTTCACTGTTTCTTTCCCCTTTCCCTTTTTCTTCTCCCCTCTCCCACACAGTCATTCGCTTTCATTCGTTTTTTAAACATCTCAACCCACCTTCGTTGATTCTTCTGCATCACTCCTTCGACTCACTGGCTGATAGAAGGACAAAATGCGTCTCTCCAAACTCTCGTTTCTCCTCCACGCTCTGCTCCTGGCCGCGGTCGCGGCTCAGGATCAGAAGCGGGATAGTTCCGATCTGATCTCCGATGTTACCGGCAACACCGATTCATCTAGTGTTTCTTCGGCTGACGCTGCCACCTCGGCCACTCCCGATGCTACATCTTCGACATCTTCGTCTACATCAGAGTCCGAATCAGAGACTCCTACCCCGACATCCACTTCCAGCTCCAGTACCTCTACCACCACCACCACCACCACTAGCGAGGAGCCTTCATCCACCAGCTCTTCTTCCTCTTCATCCGAGCCTGCGAAAACCAGCGCCGAGGCTACCTCGTCTAGCTCCTCCAGTGAAGCTGCCGCAACAACTTCTGCCGATGACAAGAAGACCACTTCTACCTCGTCGACCACCTCCACCACCCCGACTCCTGTCACCGAGACCTATACCTCATACGAAACTCTGAGCCACACCACCCTTGCCAATGTGGTGACCTCTACTGGTCTGTCTAGCTCTACCGACGCTGCTAGTCTCGGTACCGACAACAAGGGTTCTTCTTCAAGCAGTGGTCTTTCATCCTCGGACAAGAAGATCATTATCGGTGTCGTTGTTGGTGTCGGTGGCGCCATCATCCTCGGTGCCATTGGTGTTGTTTTCTGGCGCATCCAGAAGAAGCGCAATGAGGCTTTCGGTGACGAGGACGCTGACCTCATGGGCGGCACCGCTGTTGGTGCCGGCCCACGTGAGAAGGCCCCCAGCCCAGGCGGCGGTACTCCCTTCAAGAACACACTGGACCAATACCACAACCCTGGCCCTGTCAATGCCGCATCGAACTTTTAAGACGAAAATGGGTAGAACCATTTCCTTTTTCTCGAAGTTTTCTGTTCCAGTCATATGGTCAGAATACAACGAGCGGTTCAAACTTGAAAGTGTACAAATTCAGTGTATGATCACCATGCAATTTCTGCGGCGCAATGGGCAGGGCAGGCGAAGGTCACGATTACTTTTCTTTCTTTATTTTCTATTTGGTTGCGGATTTCCATTTTCTACTTTGGCAGATATGCCTCTTCACTCCTTTTCGGCGTCATGGAGTCCACTACATTTGCACTCCTTTGAGCGTTATCCTCAGCAACCTCGTCACTCCTTTAGGTGATCGCACACCTCACACTTCAGTCCTTGCGCAATTTCCAATACCCCAGCCCTCTCATCTGGGATTGGCCTCGTTTGATTCCCCATAACGATGCGCTTGATTCTTTTTCCTGGGCTTCATCATATATCCTGTTACTTAATAAATCTTTCCTACCTATGGAGTGTGTATTTTTTTCTAGGTACTGAAATTGTCAAAAGTTATCTTGAAAACAACCTCATCTACATACCTTCCCTCAAAGTAGCCAACAGGGCATCAACTTTCAATCCTTGCGTGTCTTAAGAGAAATACCAGCCCGTGATGTAGGAATGCGGCATTGAGAATCATAATCCAAGCCATTTATGTACTTGCCAGCTCTCACGAAGCCATATTCTCATCACCAAAATCTAAACCATGTACTAGTCCCATAATATAGTCATAACAACCATAAATAAGAATATATCAAACAATCAGTGATAAGAACGATCTCATCATATCAAAGTTATCAAGAGATCTACATCCGTTAGCGAGTGGAGGCTGGGCGATCCGATGTGCCAACCAACGCGCCATTTCACGTGGTGCGGAATGCGCGTCGCGATCCCAACCGCGCCCTCCCCCATCCCCATTAAAAGTCACAAACACCCAGGTCCAATTCAAACTTTTGCTCGGATCCAGTTTCCACAATCAAACCATACAATACAGTCAATCGCGATCAAAAGTGGACCTTCCCCAACCTCAATATTCAACCCAAAACAAATCAACCCGGACTTGGTCAAACCACAACACACTTCCATATCCGAATCACGAACCAGAACCAGAACCAGAACCACGGAAACCCACTCCAACCTCACTATGTTCGCAACACAATCCCCCTCCACACCATTCCGCCAAACAGGCCACTATACACCCGTGCGCCCATCGCCTCTAGGTCAAAGAAGTACAAACATACCCACACCTCCATGTCCATGGACGATGGAATCTCCAACACGCGCCGGACCGGGATCAATCCAAACCCAACCCAAGCCAACGGGCACAGAAGAAAACTCGAACTCGAACTTCAACGCATTTTCCCCAGTCGCCTTCTCCTTAAATAACCAAACTCCAACATTTAATCATAATCATAATGATAATGTCAATTATAACAATGAACGCCCGGTCCAACAACGCCAACATCACTCCTCCCCCATATTCGCCACAACAGCAGCCCCAACTACACCATTCTTCTTCTCGCCTCATCCCTACCAAGTCGCAAAGTCACCCTCTCCGTCTCCTTCAACGCGAAACAGCAAATTCGCAGACCGCTACGCGTCACAAGTCTCTAATCCAATGAAGAGCTCGAATGGGCTTACGCGCTCGAAAACACGGAAGATGTTCCTGAATAAGGTGCGGAGTGAGCGCGATGAGGGACGGTTCGAAGCAAGGGGCGAACAGATGATGCATGCGGATTATCTCGCTGATAAGAGGCGGTGGGAGGAGAGTATGGCGCGCGATATGGTTGTGCAGGATCCTGAGGATGTGGATGAGATGATTCCTGGTAGGTTATACTTTTTTTTCCTTTCGTCGATGTTGGAAGCCATGTAATAATGGTTTATACAGATGAGACTGAACTCCGGGCTTTGGACGATTTTGTCATGCAGGAGGAGGCGATGGAGAGAGCTATGCAGGAGGATATGGAGAATGGCTCGTTTAGTGATGATGAGTATGATGATATTTTCAATACGCTGCCTGATTCTGCGATTGGGTATAAGAATCAGAATCAGGGCCAGGGTCAGGATATGGATATGTCGTGAGTTTTATCAGTGTGGATGATTACTTTTACTGAGCGTTTGTATTGCATGGGTGGCGTTATGGGTTATGGATGGGTTGGGATGTTTTGATCCAATCAGTGGATACATCGGAGTAAATAATCACTTGAGGGTATCGACGTGTGTAAATATACAGTACAAAGCAAGCCGATGGATATGTATCTTTCAAAATGCTCGGAATCGGAATCCCTTTCCAACTTTCAATCCGCTCAAATCTTTCAAGTTATAAATGTTCATTGCTGTGGGCAATCAGGGACGCCTCCAGCGCCTGCAGCTGCAGCGGCACCTCCTCCTAAAGCCTCCTCCATAAGTGGATTTGAAATAAGTTCCTCCGGCGGACTACCAGCAGCTTGCATCTGGAATGAGATAGCAGTTAGTTTTCCACTCTAAGCACAAACACAACCACAACAACCAGAGTTAAAACTTACCTCCTGCATACGCTCCCACACATACTCCCGACACTTAGCATCATCGTCCGAATACGTCTTCTCCTCGAACTTCTCCACAATCTGCTTCACAACCTTTGCCTGCGCCTCATACCTCGTCATATCTTCAAGCGAAACCTTTCCCTCGGTCTTATTCTTCTCGAGCCATGGTCCAAACTTTCCATCTAACTCCTTCATAGGCTCATACAGCATCTCCTTATTAGAAAGCTGTTCCATCATCCCCATGAACATCTTCGTTAGATCCCCCTCATCACCTGCGCCCGCCGCACCAGCCTCCATAGCTTTAAGCAGCTGCGCAACCATATCATCCGATAACCCGTCGTCTGTAGAAGCTGCCTCCGTCGCCCGATCACCCGATTGCTTCATGCGCTCCATTGTGCGTTGAATCGCATCATTAAAGGACTCTGGTTGTTCGTCATCGGTTTGCTTCGCTGAGCCAGATATAGGTGCGGGCGCATCTTTGGAACTGGAGCTAGCGCTAGCGCTAGGTGCTAGTTGTTCTGATCCTGCACCCGCACCTGCTAGTGCGGCTGCCGCAGCAGCAGCAGCAGCGCCACTGCTATCACCGCCCTCCTCGGCCATCACGTCCGCTAGAAGCTGTTTCAAGAAGTCACCTGGTGGAATCCCGCTTTCTTCTAGCTGTTTAGCGAATGCATCTGCGCCTTGTTCAACGGATGATTGGAGGTTTAGATCGGATGCTGTCCCTGTCCCGCCTGGGAACGCGCCGGGGGACATCATGTTTGCCATATCGGCTTCTAGCTGTTTCAAGAAGGCATCTTCGTCGAAGTCGCCCGCTGCTGGTGGGGCATCTTGAGCCAGCGCAGGCTGCACGGGAGCAGGCTTTGGTTTAGAGAAGTCATCAAGCACGTCTGTGGTATAATGAAAGCATCGAATTAGTTTCTTTCCATCGAACAGACCGAAGCGGGGAAATTTGGGACTTTGCGGGGGTATGTGATGTCAGGTATAGCGTACCATCGAGATCATCTAGGTCTGAGTCCTCGTCGTCATCGTCATTGTCATTGTGAGCTGCAGATGCAGCTGTAGGTGCTGGCTGATCATTTTGTTTCTGCGGGGGTTCTGTAAGTGCTTGCGCGGTGGGTTGCTCAGCCGAGGCGGGGGTTGGGGCCACAGCAGGAGGAGGGGTGACATCCTTGTGTTGGTGGTCGGGGCCAGAGACGTTTGCCATTGTCGTCTTTGCTTTTGCTGGATGGCTAGGAATAGAAGGATGACATGGACGAACACGAAATGATGCTTGTTTGGGCTATACTATGTTGTGATAACCGGGGAGATAATTTGTAGCATGTGACTTTGGTTTTTGGCGGGGAACCGAAATGCCGATCGCCGAGCCCGTCTGGATTGCAATTGCATACATTGTACGTTGGAAGGAATGCTCTATGAAATCTATGTATGAATGTATGTAGGGGTATAGAGTAAATGTTCAGAATATTCAATCTACGAAAATGATGTCTTCAGATTGAATGACGTTTGAGATCGATTTGATCTACTCCATATTGACCATACATGTAGTAGTATTCATTGGATGTCACTCACTTGCAGACTATCTCCGCGGACTCCCAATGGTCTAGAGTTTCAAGTTCTACACGAGGTGCCCAGACCATTGGGAACAGGCAATAATAACAGGCAATAATTGCAGCCTTCTACATCCGTCTACTCCGTAAACCTGTACCAATCGGGCCAACTACACGACACTAGGCGGAGAATCAGTAGGGAGTAACGTGGCTAGCATTGCATCATGCCCAGCCTAGTGTTCACAAGGGGCCAAGAAATGGTCCGCCGCGTGATCTGAACAAAAAAAACAAAAGGGGTCAATGCTTCTTTCGGATTTCTCCTTTGACCTGCCGATTTTAGCGCCTGGTTAGGCTAAAAGCCTCAAAGCGACCCTGGGTGGCATGCCTCTGGGGCGTAACGAAGTCCTTGTTTTCTGGAATGAAAATGATTTGCCCCTGAAAAGCCCCCGCGGTGAGCTGGAATGGGCGTAGGCGGAAAGCCCCGAGGCACATGACTGACGGCTCACCCCGGTATCGGCATTGAATTTTTCACTGACAGTTCTGATATCCAGTACAAAGTACATAGAGGCAGGACTTGTTGTAGATGTATGTAGTACTACATCGTATGTTAGGGAGTCTTTTTTTCTTCTCGTGGAATTGACTTGTTGGGGTATCCTTTCCATTTCTTCTTTGGCCTTCCTTTTCTCCCTCTTTTAATGAAAAATCTCTGCTTTTCCCCACAAGGCAAAAAATCCACTCTTGTACGCATGGGCAACCACTAGGACTTTGCGACTTGGCTCCCAACCACGCTGGGGACTCTTAGTGGACCCCGTGCCGTCACAGCCATTCGTGGTTACGAAGGCGAAAAAAGAAAGGGAAAAATTAAAAAATTAAAAAAAAACTAAAGAGACGCGATCGAAGAAAAAGAAAAAAAGAAAAAAGAAAAAGAAAAAAGTCGAAACTCTAGGCGAGGCCCCTCTCGTCTGACCCCGAAACAATATTATTATTCGTTTAGTCAATTGCTTTACTCACACTTCTTCTTCTCCCCCGCTCCGTTTATCTCCTCTGACTCTTCCTTTCTCATAATTTCAATTTCTTTTATGTCACTCTCTTGCCTCTTACTCGTCCGTTCCCTTCCGCCGAGCCGCGCGGTTCCAGCGTTTGTTTCTTGATCGCATCTGATTTTTCGGCCTTGTTGCCCCTCTTAGTCGATCCCTAAGGTGGTCCGGCGGGAGAAAAGAATAACCCTGCGGTTGGTCCGTGTTGCGGAGGACAAGCACGGTGAAGACGTGATTTCCGTTAAGTAAGACAATCTTCGAAAGGACTGGGGGTGGCAGGTCCTTATTCCAATGGTCTCTATGGTCGAGGCTTCCAATCCTGAGCACAATGACATGGTCATGGACCCTGTTGTACCCAAGTCCGAACCCTTACCGGACGGCTCGATCAGTTCGAATGTGTCAACGCCAGATCCTGAAGTCGAAGCCTTGACCCAAGACCCTGCGCAGACTCAGAAACGAAAGGGTGGTCGAAAACCTGTACGTAACATCTTTTTCCTGGCTGATGCAATAATCCGGGGCCCCGCATTCTTGATATATTCTTCCTTTTTTTTATTTTCTATTTTTATTTTCTGTCTTGCTTTATCATATTAAAAAATTCTTTTTGTTTTTTATTTGATTGGCTTTGTCATATTTTGCGATCGACCTTTTTTCTTATCTTTGCTTCCAATACTCGGGGCCATGCATCAGCTCGGTCCTTTTCCTTATCTTTAGGTGTCTATTATTAACCCTTGTTCCCAGATATACGCCACTTCCGAGGAAAGGAAGCAGCGAAATAGACAGGCTCAAGCTGCCTTTCGTGAACGTCGTACAGAATACATCCGACAGCTGGAGACAACTATCAAACGCAATGAGGAGTCCCTACAAAGCCTACAGCAGAGCCATCGCAGCGCCGCCGATGAATGCTTAATGCTGCGGTATAAGAACTCCCTACTGGAGCGAATCTTATTGGAGAAAGGTACATCTTACAAGCAGCCCTATCTATATCACCAAGAAACTCACCGCTAATTCATAATTCCCAATATAGGCATCGATGTTCAAGCCGAGTTAAGGCTGAAGACTGGGGCTCCTGGGGCCCAGCCCAAGGCTAACCCCATGCCAGCCAAGCCGGCCCCAGGTCCCGGGGCGCCTCGTCCCGTCCAAAGGCACCCTGGCATCGCTTCAAAGCCAGATGCGTTTGCACTGGGTCAGCGTGAAGGTGCCTATGCCGTGCCCTCGCCACAGTTCCAGGCTACACCTACTTCTCATGTATCCTCACCGTCGCATGCCAAGTCGCCTGGCTTTGGCTTCCAGGGTGGCATTTCACCCGTTGGTGTCGATCAGCAAGGAACTGGACGTCCACAGTTGCTGCCTCAGCCTAGGGCTTTCAATAATCAAACGTCGCCACCAGCCATTAGTATGCCACAGACAGATCCAAATGATTCGAAATCACGACTTCCTCGAGGGCAACAGCAGCGGGTTGCCGCAACATATTACCCTTCTCCATTCCAAAAACATTATGACCAACTAGGTATGTTCATAGCTCGAGGTCTCTTTATATCAGACCGATCAAGAAAAAAATACAAAAAAACATATTCAAAACACCGGAATGAAAGTGGCTAACTCGATTATGCAGAACAAGAGTACGATGCTCAAGCCGACATGGTAGACGAAGATCAAGACGGCTCTGTTAATCCTCCCTATGGTGTAGCCGGGTTCACGCCGCAGTCAGTTGCCTCCGGCTCCCATAATTTGTCCGGCTTCAATCCCCCTCCCGGCGGGGACGGAGGGCCCGGAGATTTCGGAAATGCGAATCAATTGCTGGGCCAGTATGAACCGATGCTAGATAATGATCCGTTCGGCCTCAGTGCGAGTATGCACTTCCCTACGCCGTTCAATTACGAACAAGGCAACCCTCGCAATTGAGCGACGCATTCTTGGGTTGCTCCTTTCTTTCTTTGATTGTTCCATCGGAACTATTGGATATATTTTCCTTATTGAGACAAACAAAGAAAAGAGACACGTCCAAAGAGACAGAAAAAAAAAAGTATCGAGAGATCTGGTTGGGTTACATTGAATGGCTCCTCCAAAAGTTCTTTATTCGAGCATTGCCAGGCGTTTTGAGTGGGATTTTGTGAATAGTATTATGTTGTGATATTTTGATACCGTCGGATTGTACATGACACATTGAGAATATATATTTATCAAACAAAAAAGCAGTGTAAAACTGAAAAATCTCAAGATGTTTTCAGCCATTCTTGTAAATCTAGAGGGGGAGAATGTATGATGCCATCTAGTGACGCCATGATACCCTAAGCCCTAGCCTGATTCGCTTAGTAAATCGCGCCTAACCGGATTCGTGCTGCACCACAAACCCTCAACCTTCCCTTCCTAAGACAACACCCTCTCTATCACCATCAATCTAACAGGCCGGATCTGCTGAGGTTCTGCCTTGTGCTCACCTTAATCTACAAAACTCGTTGATCGTCGAGCGCCTTCCCCGCCGGAAGGACTCCGCAACACCCAGGCGTCATGGTGGACGTCCGGTCCAAGGTACGCTGAAAGTGGTCGAAAGGAAGAGCGCAGCTCCAGCTTTGGGCACAATTGGACCTTTATTGCGGGCGCCGTGGCTAACATATTCGTGTCTCTTTTCTTCCGTCGAAATAGAACCTCTATGAGCTTCTTGGTATGTGATTTTCCCCCACTTCGTACCTTACTCCTTCAATCACCAATTCTGGGCAATTCGGGATTCGCCCCCTCCATCCCACTAGCATCTCCAAGCTTCCTATCCCGTTTCAACAAACTAATGTTCCTTTTTTCCCACTTTTCTAGGCAATGATCCCGAGCTCGACCCCAACAGACCCCCTGCCCCTCCCGCCCGGGCTGTCGACCGACCAGCTGCCCGTGTTGGCAAGCGTGATGCCCCCAAGGAGGCTCCCGCTGCCGGAGCTGCCGCTCCCCGCGCTGAGAACGCTGGCCGCCGTGGTGGCCGTGTGAACGCTGGCAACGACGCTGGTATGTGATTTGATATCAACCCATCCGAAAAACCCGACCGAGCTATGTAAATGTGGGGAAAGCTTGATATTGAAGACCTGGAAGCTAACGGAAGTTCGCCACTCTTCAGCCTACCGTGACCGTAACGCCGGTCGCACCAACAACCGCTCCAAGCCTACCGACGAGGCCGAGCAGCCCGCCCGCCCTCGTGGCAACCGTGGTCCCCGCGGTGACCGTCAGTCCCGCACTGGCCAGACGTAAGCGAACCTTTTATCTTTTCTAATGATACGAATTCATCATCCTCGGCACCACACGCAAATCTTCCAAAAAAGCATCGCAACTTTATATCAAGTATTTGCTCTCGACGACAAGAGTGTGGTAGCCAGACGATGGTCTCCATTACAGTATAACTAACGTATATATCCATCTAGCGATACTCGCAAGCAGGTCCAGCAGGGCTGGGGCGCCGAGTCCGGCGAAAAGACCTGGGACGACGAGCGTGTTGGCGAGAACATCGCCAAGGAGGACGAGAAGGACCCCCAGACTCCCGCTGAGGATGCCGAGGAGGCCGATAAGTCCAAGTCTTTCACCGACTACCTCGCCGAGAAGGCCGCCCGTGAGTCTCTGGCTGCCAAGCCCGTCCGTGCCGCCAACGAGGGCGCCGCCGGTGACAAGAAGTGGGCTACCGCTACTGAGCTGAAGCGCGGTGACGAGAACGTCAGCTACATCGCCCCTACCGCTGAGAAGACCCAGCGCCAGAAGCAGCGCAAGGAGAAGAACCTCCTCGATGTCGACATGCGCTTCGTCGAGCAGCCTCGCACCGGTCCCCCCTCCGGTGACCGTCCCCGTGGCGGCCGTGGTGGCCGTGGTGGCGAGCGTGGTGACCGTGCTCCCCGCGGTGACCGTCCTGCTCCCCGTGGTGACCGTCCTGCTCGTGGTGGCGACCGTGCCCCCCGTGGTGACCGTGCTCCTCGTGGTGGTGCCGCTCCCCGTGGTGGTGCTGCTCCCGCTCCTCGCGGCGGCCGTGGTGGTGCCCGTGCCCCTGCCGGCCCTACTGTCGACGAGAAGAACTTCCCTAGCCTGGGCGGCAACTAAATGTCTTCTCCTCAAGCGCCCGTCCCTCTTATTTCGCCGCTGCGCTACATAATGGGAAAATGAAAGTGCTACCCAGAACCAGCCTTGATTTATTTGCGCTCTCGTGCTATCTTTGTCTCTCTTGCCAGTACCAGTGTACTATTCTAAATGTTTATGCTCTGGTCCATGGAATTCATACGATGATGCTTTAAGTGTGGATCCACTTCCCTTTTATGTGTTTTAACGATATAAGGGTCTTTAAAGAATGGGTGATAGTGGGAAGGATGGTGGAGAGAGGAGAAGTCGAGTGCGCAGAGACTTTTGAGGGCTGTCGAAATGAAATGAAAGAAATCGGTTTGTGTTTTTTAATCCTTTTTTTTGTTCTGGGTTGCGATTAAAAATATGGTCACAACCTTTGGCATTTGTCTTATCCTTCTCTCGGATCCTTCAGTATTTTGTGTCGGGGTCGGAAAGGTTTCTTTTGTCTAGGCTGTGCTCTTGTGTCTACCGTGCTGTTATTGACATGTATGCAAACCAACGTGAATTGGACGAACTGAAATTCAAATAAGGCCCTTGTAATCTGCTTTCTTCCAATGTCTTGACTCTCCATCAGCTATGTCTGGCTCGTATCTCCCAACCTTCGTCTCTTAACCCTATCGTAGACGCCCAAGAGCACCACCTGGATAGAGACATCATTATCTACTGCAAGAAATGTTTGATAGTGTCGAAATCTTTCATCATTGAACTCATACAAAACAAATATACACTATACATCATGATTCTAATCTATGCCATCCCACCATTAACCCTCAAAATCTGCCCAGTCATCCAACTACTATCCTTCCCAGACAAGAAAGCCATAACAGCCGCAATCTCATCCGCCTCCCCAATCCGATTCAACGGATTAGCCGCAGCCAGCGTCTTAATCAACTGCTCAGACTTGCCCTCCGTAAAAAGATCCGTCATAGTCGGTCCCGGCGCAACAGTATTCACCAGAATACCCTTTCGACCTAGATCTTTCGCCGCAACACGAGCCATCTGCTCAACAGCGCCCTTCGCAGAAGCATAGAGAAGATATGAAGGTGCGACGCTGGAAAACGCAGTGACGGTTGTAGAAACGAAAATGATACGACTTCCAGGTTGCATGTGTTTTGAAGCTTTCTGGTACCAGTTAGTGAGTTGCAAAAAGAAGTTATGGACTGGACTCGACTATTTTAGGTAATAGAGGATAATACATACCTGAGCTAGGAAATACGGGCCCTTAACCATAAGATTATAGCTAGAGTCGAAGTCTTCTTCTGTAGTATTTTCGAGATCCTTCATTGGGAGTTGTCCAGCGTTTAGGATGAGGATGTCTATTTTGCCGAAACGGGCAAGTGTCTCGCTCACTAGACGATCTAGATCTGGGAGCTTTGATGCATCCGCTTGGATGGCTAGGGCACGGTCGGGCCCGATTTGATTGACGACATCGTTGGCTGCTTTTGCGTCGGAGCGATAGTTTATTACTAGGTTTGCGCCTTCGCTGGCTAGTCGGAGGGCTGCTGCTTTGCCGATTCCGTTAGAGGAGCCGGTGATTATGGCGACTTTTCCGGAGAGAGACATTGTTGATTGTATTGTGTTGCTTTGAAGCAATGAATAAGTAATTATTTTTGAAGATGCTCTGATTTGATTGAAGTATTTAGAGAATGGCAGATGGTCCCTTTATATTCTAGATTCTTGTTGTTGTGGTATACTGGACATTGCTCTTAAAGCCATGAGTCTCCCGGCTTTACAATCTCGGATAAGAAGTGAAGATCTCGGTCTAACTATGCGAGGCCCGATGACTCCGGTTTAAGCGTACGGATTTATACCATCTTCGTCCGTGCTTATTCTATCCATTGGGCTAGCGTTTTCTTTCTTTCCATCTCGACCTGCCTCTCTACCGTCACCCAGCCTACTACTCTTCTTCTCTAACCTCTCTAAAACTACTCTTCCAAGTTAACTACTACTACTATTTCTTCTTCTGCTTATCTTTTTGCTTCCATAAGTCACCATAGATTAGACACTGCGTCATAATTCACACAAGAAATTATAGAATAAATCAAAGATGCGGAACTTAGCGCAATATTCTGATCTCGATCCTGATCTTTTACTACATACAACTCGATGCCGACCGTAGTGGGGCTTGGTCCTTCCACAGGTAGTCCCTCTCTACTTAAACCCGAACAATGAATACACATCACTAATAAAAAGCGAGAAAAATGGCATCTGAAAAACCTGTCGCAGTCCTAATAATCCACGGTGCATACTTCCTCCCCTCCGCCTGGAAGAATTTCGGCAACCATCTCACTCAAGCTGGACTAACAGTCCGCTGCCCCCACCTCCCAAGCTGCAATGACTCGCAGCCACCCACAAGCCTCCTAAAAGATGACTTGCATGCGGTACGCGCAGCAGCAAAAGATCTCATAGCCTCAAACCACAAAATAATTGTCCTCGCACATTCATACGGTGGCATCGTCGCCTCAGAAGCAATCACCCCGGACTTATACTCCGATAGACTCGGAGGTAGTGGCGTCGTATCCCTTATCTATCTATCTGCGTGGCTGATCGTGCCTGGTGAAAGTCTTCAAGATATATTTGCTAGACACGGAGCACAGAGTGAAGTTGATCTAGGCATGCACAGTGACGAAGTGGTGTTTGCTAAGAACGCGCCGGAGTCATTTTACAATGATATTGAGCGGGGAGAGGCGGAGGAGCTGGCGAAGAAGAACGTTACTCATCATTGGACTGTTGCTATGGGGAAGATTGGGCATGCGCCGTGGAGGGATCTTCCTCTGGCTTATGTGTTTTGTTTAAGGGATAAGGCAATTTTGGGACCCTTGCAGAAGGCTATGGTGAAGGATGCGGTGGATGCGGGTGGGGATGGGATTGTTACGGATAGTATTGATTCGGGACATTGTCCTTTCTTGAGCAAACCAGGGAAATTTCAGAGGATTATTGAGGGAATTGTTTCTACTGTTACTAAATAGAGTATAGTATACACTAAAAGGCATTTATATCAAATCGGGTTTTGGAGAATCTACCCGAATGTAATATTGATCGGTTGATGGCTAGATACACTTATAGCAAACTCTATCAGGATCTACAGATCTCCATATGGTCCATGGTGATACTTCCAAGGATCAGAAATCTGTGCGGCCGCAGCCTCGGCGCTCTCACTCCAAACCTGCATAGTCTCATCATCTACCTCGTCCAAGAACGACAATCCAGGCATAGCTCGGCCTCCACATGCACGTTCCAAAGCCAAGAACGCAAAATGACCACCGATAACGGGTCGTGCGAAGAAGTTAGGTCCAGGGAAATTGCCATCGCCCTCTGTCTGATGAAGATCCGTGAAGGGTCGATCGGTCACAGTCTCGTTGACCCAGCGCGCGACAGATTCAAGGATTTCGGAACGAACAGGCTTCGAGGCTACTGCCATTGAGAAGAATTCCCAATCGGTCTTGGTGTAGAGGTGTCGACTGTCGAGGGGAAGACCGTACTTCTGACGCACGTAGTGGTACCACACTGACTGCTTCTGGTAAATGTGGCGAGGAACAAAGCCGGGTGATTCATTTGAGGCATCATCGGCTCCGTCCAGGTGGAAGCAGAGCTGAGCGTCTGCGTACAGGTTGTAGATTGTGGTCCAGGAGCCGTACCAATCGTATGCTACCTTAGCATGTGTACCGTCGCGGGACATGCCAAGTTCTTCCCATTTGGCAATGTATTTATCGGCAATGTTCTGGGTAATGAAGTCAGTATTCATGTAGTCACGAATTATGAGCCTAAAGATATACCTTAAAGTATGAGGCGTCCGAATCGTGTCCAGTCAGCTCAGCAAGCTTGCTCATAGCATTGATGCCCACAATACCCTTCAAGGCCAGGTTAGTCTGGAGTGCTAACCAGCCCGCGAAGTCGTCGGTTGAGACTGTTTCCAAGTGTTAGAGTGACTCGTTCCGATATTAAAATTAGGTCAGATTACTTACGTTGGTTGGCTGGTTCCAAGGAAAATTCCACCAGATACCCAGTCCATTGCTTCCAAAGACGGTAGCTTCGCTTGACCCATTTCTCAGCAAGGTTCTTGCCCGCCACACCACCACCCCATCTACCATCCTGGTGTGTAATTCCAGAAAGTACCTGGAGGTCACTCAATGGGAAGACGCTAGAATCTTTGGTAGTGTATCCCGAAGAGGTAGAGCCCTGTGTAGACCACATAGATGCAGCCTCAGATGACTCCTCATACTGCAACGAATTTGCAATTGCCAAACCCATGATCAAGATATTTCCACATTCTTCCACGGGCATATACTCATCATTACCATCTGGGTGACCAGTTGCGTTGGGGAAGTGGGTTCCCAAATCATGCATAGCATAGTTGTTGGGGTATTGTCCACTCAGCATATGCTCAATCAGTGGCTCAAGCAGGTACGCCAACCAGCGTGGGTTGGTGTACATGAAGAACGGGAATGCCGGGAAGATAACATCAATAGTTTGGAAGTTACCATTGGACGAGATCTCTTTCAAGAACAGAATGGGGTTTTCTGGGGTGCCGGAGAAAGTCGTAGCGCCCATAACTTGTCTAGCACTAAGCGCGACAATATCCACGTAGTCATCGGCACCAGAGAGGTATGCATCATCGGCCACTTGCTCTGAGTAGTTCGCAGCCAGGGAACCAGCCGCTGCGTGATCATTGTAGTGGAAGGTTAGCAGCTCCTCTGTAGTTGGGAACCAAGACTCCCAGAGAGGTCGCATGAGAGTCAACCCGCGAGCCGACGCATATTGAACAACCGGTATCTGAATGAGGGCAATAGTGAAAGTAACGCTATCCGATGTCTTTGCTGATGTGCGACCAAGGCTGAATGACTTGGAGAATGCAAAGACAGGCGACCGGTCTCGAATGGCTCGGAAATCCTTGTCATTTTCGTTACCCAGGGTACCTGCGCTAGCGAACTTTCGTCGCACGTTTCCAGCTTCTCCGGATTCATATTGGGCGTTCTGTAATTAAAGTCAGAATCAATCCGCGAATAAAAAAGTGTGATTAGTTAGAAGACTTACGGTCGGTCCTGTGAAATGAAGGGTACCCCATTCAGCACGATCGTTGATCTCAGAGAGTAAAGCTTCATTCTCTCTCCGAATTTGCCATCTTTGGAGACTGGGTTTCTTGTCTATCTGATTTTCGACGTTTACAGTGTCCCAATTCCAGTTGATTCGAGATCCAGCATCTCCACTGACCCAACGCCCATCAATGTCAATATAGACATTAACGTCGACCTCACCCTTAACGTCTATTGTAACATAAGAAGCCGGAATAGACTGCCGCAGAGTCGATGTTGGCGTAATGGGAGAGAGAAAAGAGACTGTAATCTCGAGAGGCGTCGAACTCTCAGTGTCGACGCGATAAGTCAAATTCGTCGTGGAGGCATCATAATTATGCCCGAGGTACTCCGGGTATTTTACTTTATACCTGCAGTATATTAAGATTTCAATCAGCTACTTCATCTTCCAAGAACTATTTTCGGGGTAATTCGATTATCCCTTACCCTCCTTTTGAACCCAGGGAATCCTGCGGTTTACCCACTAGAGGATAAACCGCGCCCTGGCTTGGTACATGAGCCAGCACGGCGAGGCCTATTTCCTCCCCAGTGTAGAACATGGGCCATTTTGCCCATGGTGCCTCACGGGCGTCGCCCAGCCAAGTGCTTAGATAGGGGTTACGGACAATCAGCGGTAGCACTGGAGGTGCGAGAACGGAAGCTGTCGTCACGGCCGCCTGGCCGATGACCGTGGCTAGAAGGGCAAGCGACAGCTGCATCGCGGTAGCTTCTTTTTCAATGTACAATGCGTGACAGTATTTGAAGTTTTCACCTGCGTCACCAGGTAGTCAACCGAGGAAGATGTGTGACGAAGCTAGGATGAAACCAAGGGGCGTCGGAATGCGAAATGCGGGGGATGCATGATCGACTTGATCCGAGCACGAATCGGGGCTGTACATGACTTCATTGAGCACCTTGGTACCGATCTTCAGGGCGAAGGTCATACAGTTGAAACTTGGACTTTCATATTACTTAATTTTTGTCAAATGTGGGATATTCTACTGCTCGCAAAAATGTCTTCTCCTCCATCTCTGTGAACTTCTCCAGTACCATGAAGGTCCCTTCAATGATGTCATGCGGAGACAACCGCGAACGAGCTGAAAACGACAAAGAGGAACATACACCTCTACTCTATGTAAACTCAGGCTGCGAGAACCTGAAAGTCTTTTTTCAAATATTGAAATATTCAATTCACGTCTATATAGGAACTTGATTGAAAGTTGACAAAAAACACCATACTTCACCAAGCTGAAGTACCTTACTCATGAATACATCAAAATCTATTTATTGGCTAAAATCAAAAGTATCATAATTACTGAACTGATTCATCAACGTGAACAGGATGTGTTGTTGGTATATCTGCTAGGTTAAGTGATTTAATCGTATGTGATGCCGTGAATACGTACCTACTGTCCACATGCAGCTACACCGCTGCCGAAAACACCTATTAAGCCATTTAATTGGCTAGTCATTGTCATTTAGAGATACCCCCGCAACACCGAGGCCACTTGGGCAGCAACGAAATACCTATAGCACAGAGAGCTCTGGCTGAAAGGATGCTAATGGCTCATTAATGACCATGGAAGAGGCGAAGAGACAAGACACAGGCTTGCACTTATAGAGGAACGTGCCCTCCAGAGCAAGCAGCACAACTGGAACTTCGAAATGGGATCTCTATCTCTTTACGCTCCCGAATGATCCTACAGATGATATTTTTCGCTACTAGGGATCGTCTGTGTATACCCAGGTAAGCAACATTCGATAGAAATGTATTATTTGATCTGAGAATAACCGATTCTATAGACGCGACTCGGAGTCAACATGGCTAGATTTAGGATAGAGTATCCATATATTCACGCTCTTTTTAAATGAACTTCAGTTTATTTCCTTTCTCCTGGTGCCTTCACTGTGGTGAACATATTCTTTTAATCTACTTTTTCGGGATATCCTCCACTTTTATATGTGGGGCTTGAGAATAATCTCCGGAGTTGAGACACCACGCAAATAAAGAGCCGGAGCCAATTGGAAATATTGTAGTAGAGCATTGGTATGCAATTCTAATAGCTACCACTATTCGATTATCGAAATTTCACATATGTATTCTCTGGCGTGGTATTTAAGAGCTCACTGATTGCTAGAGACCGTAGATATTGGTTTTAATCAAAATTTGTCGCGTGTGGGCGCGACGTATCTCCATCCCGAGACCCGGACGCGGTGGTATTTGGCCTCAAGATCACGCGTGAGCCTAGAATTCTTTCAATTTCAATACAAAGGCGAGAAATTCAAAACATCGAGTTTTCAATTCTATAGCAATAGGGCCAAAAACCCACCTTAATTATCATAGCTATCAAACTTGGAAGTATACAAAGTACATTTGACAGTTTCCAGGTCCCAAAGCTAGCAATTTGGCTATTGTGGTTAAAACAATGGGAACAAACCTTGGAAACCATGCAAGAGCTACAGGCAGAAAGGCCCTGAAAACCAGGGGGAAAGCCTTGGCTAGAACCTTTGCAGCTAGACTGTCTATTATCAGACGCGTGCTCAACACGATCACGCTAGGCTCCACACGTCCGTGCTCTATACAAAGCTAGTAAGGTATCGGCCTTCTTCGTACTATACGCGATTGACGCGACCGTTTTTCTTCTGAGCTTCCTTTTCATTCAATCCATTCAATTTCCTCAATTCCTTTTGTTCCCATTCTTTCTTTGACCACTTTCGTCTTGTCTGGTTACTCACTCTGTCATACCACGACACGCTCCCCCACCCACTTCCCCGCCACCATCCATAACTTTCTTCTTTGCCTGGACTCTTGAACCCTCCCAGCATCCAGTGAACTCCAAGCCTATTCTAAGATGCAATCCACTTCAATTCAATTCAGTCCCACCAAGGACGGGCGTCGGATTCTAGGAGAAAAGGATACCAACGCGTGTCTATCGCCTGCACATGGCAACAAACAGTCCCTCTCGGTCGCGGGGACACCAGTCAAACGGACCTTATTCTCTACCATGTCTCCCAAGAAGCTTCTTCCTTCCCCAATCTTTGCTGGTCAAAAAAGATCAAGAGATCAGGTTGATGAGACCGAAATCAATGCTCAGCCATTGCCCGCATCGCGGGGCTCTTTGAGTGAAAACTCCCAATCCCCAGTCGATATCACCCACGACGAGGTAAGCTTTCATCCCAACAGTCCAAATTTTAAAATAAGATAGGAAGGAAGGCACTATTCTATTCGAGACAAATCAATTCAATCATCAAACCCCTGAAGCATTGGCTAATATCTCTGGCAACTTGCAGGGACTCGACGCGCAGGACATCCGCGTCGCCACACCTACACGCTCCCCACGCGACGCCAGTCAACATCTCATGAAGACACAAATTTCGCCCGCCGAAACAACCACCCCAGAAAAAGAATCACCAGCCATTCCGGAAGACCCAGACGCACGGAAAATATTCATTCAAGAAGTAAGCGGGGCTTCCATTCCATATATGTAGATCTCATTCCCAGAAAAATGCATATACTAACTATCCGACCTATTTACAGAAAGCCGCACTGCTCCGCAACACCCTACAAACAGCCATGCGCAACGTAACCAATCAACAAATTGATCGACGAGTCTCCGAACTAGAGGAACACAGTCGGAAACGTCCCAAAGTACCAGTTCCCACGTTCTTCGAGTCTCCGTTACCTTCCTTGTCTTTCCGAAAAATCACCACACCCCAATTCACCACTCCGCGTATCGGCTCAATGCCTGATATGAGCTCGACCCCATGCCAATCTTTTCAACAAACACCTGACCTGCCTCGTCGACGGTCCCCATTGGCCCATGCCACAGAACGCGTCAAGTCTTCACAGCGAACTCCACCTCGCGCCTTAGGGTCCCCGATGCAACTGAGCAGTCCCCCCGCCACAGTAGTTCGTCATTCTCGTACTCGGGATCTCGATGACGAGGCGATCGAGGAAGTCTGCCGAGACGACATGACACCATCTCAGCGCGGTGACGCGGTTGATGGGTTGCTCAAACTGATGAACACCGCAGATAGGCGGGCCAACGCAGATGCATGGACTACGTGATGTCATGACGCCAACGATCTCTTTTTTTCGCGGCGATGATACACCTCGGTATGCCACCTGATGATATTCTACAAGGAAATCCATCAAAGCAGTATCTTATCTACCATCGGCTCAGGCGTGAGCGATTTACCCCGGCGTAGATGCCCTATCCAAACACCCTCATTCGTTGACTATCAACGATCAATTCTACTCCCCACGAATGTACTAGCATGGAGTTATCTGCCCCTACGGCTTACACGGAGGAAGGGATGAGGCGCTCTAATTATGGCAAACATCGGGCATCCCTTTAGATTCTTCGTGCCTCATTTTCCACCAATGATACCATTTTTCTTCTTTTTTTTCTTCTATTTCTTTCCCCTCTCTGCATCGAGTTAGCTGCAGCTCTGGATATCCTTTACAAATGACATGTTCGTGTCACTCGGATGCATTTACCATCGAATAGACGCATAGATAGGAGCAACATAACGATCCGCAATCATGAAACCAGTACTTTTTTTCCTCAAGCGAGAACTCTATTAAAGTCGATTCCAACCACATTAACTTCCGTCAAAAATGACAATACTCGCATTAACAAGGATAGTCTTTGCTTACTGCATTGCCTAGATGTATTTAGACTCCTCGCGTTGACCAATTGGACCGTGTGTTCGGGAAAAATTCTCCATACGCTCGTTCATGCGTTTTAGCCATGCATTTCTATAGATCGTCCGTTACACAAAAGAAAAGCCCAGCGCCTTCGTAGCAGTGAGCATTAAGCAGTTGTACCATTAGCCGGGAATAGTGGGTTACATGGAACTGATCTCCGCCAGTTGAAAATCCACGTACTTTTTTTCCTTGTTTGTGTCTTGTCTGTGTGGATGGCGCGGTGTTTGAAATGCAAGGCTAATGGCGGTGTTCGGGAATTCAACTTATCAGCATTGACCTCGACAATGTACGACAAATACCTAAGTTATCGTGATATGTGGCAAAATCAGGTAGTAATGTCGTAATAATGTTTTTGTATCTTAAACAAAATCGCCATTGCAAGCTTGATGGAGGGTGGGATGTATCGATGACGGAGAAAGTTCGGCCAAAGGTATATAGTTATGGCTATTCTTCTCCTACTTAACAATGACTTATTTCCTAGCTCCTAGTTCATTATACATTTCTTTGATTGTTTTTACTGCTCTAGTGCTCTTCAGTCATCTTATATTGCATAAATATGATATACAATCCAGCTTGTGCCCATTGTCGGCAAAAGGTATGTTGATATGATATACATAGTACCTTGGATTAAATAACCTTAGAAAAATCGCACTACTGACTATTCTACTAGCTGGGACAGGGGCTCAGAAACTCCTATCTTGAAAAGTCCACTGGCACTGGATCCAGTCAAGAAAGAAGAAGGAGCATGCCATCATCATGTACCACTAGTGTTTCACATCATGATCATGTGCACTCCCAACAGCCCTGGCTGAACGAGAAAGTCCTGAGAGCCTTTGATGAACCCGCGCAACCCTCTCAGATCCTACCAGAACAGAACATCTGCCCTCCGATGAGATCGTTTTGTACAAGCCCTCTACCCTTAACTCCGAACGAAGGCTTCGAGGAGATGCTAAAGACCCTTGGAAATGCGATGCAACCCCGGGAGCCGGGAACTGCACAGGCAGCAAATATGTTTCCTGATCCACGCTCTAGACATAGAGCCAACCCAGGGCTAGAGCCTGATATTCTTTCGCCGACAGCAAGAGCACAGCTACAACTTATGAGCGAGATGGAACATTTTAATTGCCCCGAGGACTGCTGGACACATCCAGCACCAAGCTCTACGCCTTACAGATCTACCATGTCTGATTACTCCATGTCGCCGCCCTCTGCGCCCTCTTTGTCTGCGCCCTCTTTCTCGATTTCAAGCTTTCAATCTTCTGATAATCGATCTTACAACCCTTCGCCACCTTTCCATGATCCATTATTTGATATTCTTGACGATCATATGTCGGATTTATTTCTTAGTGGACAATCGCCGCCAAGTTTTCCCATCCCAAATTCCCATCGGCGCGATCGTACGAGGCGGCATTCGAATCCCCCAAGGCGTCAGCAAAATAGAACATTTAAGTTTATCATAGAGGATCCAGTTGGAGAGCACCGGCATATCGCGAAGAGAAAGTCTTAGATAGAAATTTGAATTAACGCTTGAAATTTTGATCGTTCTAATAATGGTATCAAACAACATTATGAAACATGATAGGTAGTATCTATAAATCACAAATGATCCTTCACCGCACCTTCTTCAACTTGTTACGCCTCCGACCCAATACATCACGACCCTCTTCAATCTCCCCCATAGCATCACGCTTCGCCGCACCAACATCCTTCAATAAGCCAGTTCGCACAACACGGCTTTCAATATTCACGCCTTCTTGCGCGAACTCCTCCAACTGGCGACCAATACGAGCTTCAATAGCAAGCACCAGCTCAACATCACGTTGTCCAACTAATGTGATAGCCTCACCGGATCGTCCCGCACGGGCTGTACGACCAACACGGTGCACATAGTCATCCGGGTTACGGGGTACATCGAAGTTAATAACTAGCTCAACTGATGGAATATCGAGACCACGAGAAGCAACATCTGTAGCGACAAGAACACGAGCCGCAGCAGCACGGAACCGAGCAAGGTTAGACGTACGCTCCGATTGTGGAAGGAGACTGTGAAGGGAAGCAGCGCGATGACCAAGGCGGCGCAGAGTACGCTCCAATAAATCCGTTGTTCGCGTATGATTGCAGAAAATGATAACGGGCTTGGTGACATTTTCTTCGGTAGAAAGAAGCGCGTGCAGGAAGGCTTCACGGTGTGTCATTGGTACTTGGAGGTATGTCACTTTAAGCGTTGGGGGGATATTTCCTTGGTTCTCGGTAGAGATCTCGGTCACGAAGATAGGCGGCTTGTTCTCTGGACGGGGCATGTCTTTCAAAGCGCGTACTTCGGGGGTTAAGGTAGCTGTGAAAAGGAGGGTCTGGCGCTCTGCTGAGGGTGGGAGGGCTGAAAGACATGTTTCTACGTCCGGTAGCATGCTTCCTGGTCCACTGGCGAGAAGTCGATCTGCTTCATCCATCACGATCATTTTGACACGTCCCAGTCCTGCAATTGTGTCTTGCCCCGAGGTTCTGACATGATCGGCCAGACGACCGGGAGTTGCGATGACGACGTGAGGACGCGATGCAAGTGCCGTTGCTTGTTGGCGCATATCGGTACCACCGGTGATAAGGATAGGCTTCATGCTCTGTGGTGCGGAGATAGCCTTGAACTGCTCGAAAATTTGCAATGCAAGCTCCCTATACGAACAAAATAAAATCCAGGTTAGCGACAAAAAGCCCTCATACAATGATTTAAACAACTTAACATACCTGGTAGGAGTCAAGATCAGAGCAAAGATTCCAAAAGGATCCAGAGCCCATTTTTGCATGATAGGAACAGCAAACGCAATTGTCTTTCCGGAACCAGTTCGACTTCCACCAATACAATCCCGTCCCTTTACGATCTCAGGAATACACGCCTTCTGAATAGCGGTAGGCCGGCGAATAGCCATAGTAGTCAAAGATCCAACAAGCCAAGGCGAGACGCCTAGAGCACCGAAAGTGGACTCTTCAGCCCGCAGACCAATCTCAAGAGCATCCTTAATTAACACAGGCTCCTCTTCATCTTGAGAGCCGGACTTCTTTGCGCTATCGTCCTTCTTCTTGATACGCGAGAGAGCGGGGAGAGGTGCTGGCGCAACATAACCATCGTCGGAGGCGGAGGACTCGGAGAGACGTCGACGCTTCGGGGCGCGATCTTCAGTGTCGGGTTGTTCTTGATCTGAGACGTCAGATACTTCAGAGTCCTCGGACCTCAAATCATCTTCTAAGGGCGCCATTGTAATTTGTAGTTCAGTCTGGATCTTTGCTCAGAGAAATAATTTTGCGGCAGAAAATGCGATTACAGTGGAGCGGTGTGGATATATTAATGCCTGGGTAATCAGGCATCAAGATTCTTGCCGAGAATTGCTAATACCACCCCTCAAATGGCTAAACCCACCCCTTCTAAGCCGCTTTGGGAAATTCTGCCGTATTTGTAATATGAGCCGTTAACAAGGCGGAGTAATTTAAAATGGGCGGTCAATGGAGGCGGTGGACGCCCCGACACACCAAACCACACCAAACCACATCAAAAAAGGCGTCTATTGCGGAGCGCCCGGATATCTCTATTCTTTGATAACAATCAATTATATTTTAGCACGTGATTATTAAATAACGTATATTTATTAATCCAGAAGGGTTTTAAAAAATGATTTAAAATGGTATTGCTGTAGTAAATCAAAGTAGGGGTTAAAATATGTAAAGTTACTATGTAAAGGTAAATAATGGGGAAATGGCAAAGTATGGCGAGGTGTAGTGAGCATGTGACCTGCCGTTTACGAAAATATTAAGAGAAGCTGATTGGCTGCTGAGGCCCCACAGTACCATCAGGAATGTGCATTTTTATTACTCCCGTTACCATATCAATATTTTAAGCAATAACAATATTTTAAACATATATTTGAACACCTCCCCTTCGCTAAAATGATTTCTTCTTTTAGAGTATTGTTATTTTCTATCTTCTCTACTACCCCTGAAAATTTGAAGCTATTTGGTTATCATTATGTCACTGGAAACTACTGAATCTCTTATGTCTAGTCCTAGGCTGTCAACTACCCCTCCTCCTACGTTCCGCGATGATTTTCTCAACACTATCGACGCAATTTATGACGAAGAGACTCAATATCCCGAAGAGCCATTAGCTGATATATACTCAGATATTGAGCCAAGTTTCCCTCTATTTAAGCTGAATCCGCCCTGGAAACTCGAGTATTCTTCGCCGGATGAAGCTCAAACCGAGATGAATCAATTTGCAGCTACCCAAGGCTATGCAGTTGTTTCAAAACGCTCAAAATCCTCTAACGGGGTAAAACTCAAGGTTATTTACCAATGCTGGCGAGGTGGTGAATATTGTGACCGCCGGACTATAGGACTTGATGCAGAAAAACGCAGAAGAGGCCGTACAAAAAAGTGTAACTGTCCATTTGAGGTTATTCTTCGTCGACATAGAGATATATGGTTATTGGAAATTGGGAATGGTAGCCATAACCATACACCATCACCCGCCGTCAATATTCCTTATCTTCGCCAAATGGCTATGAAAAAAAGAGGTTTGGAGATTGAACAGGCTATCCAGCAGGGGCTTTGGCCTCGCCAGATTACGGATCAGCTCAGGAATGAAGGCGAACATGTTATCGCGAAGAACATCTATAATATTAAGATGGATCTTAACAAAAAACGACTTGGCGGCCGCTCATCTATTCAAACACTTCTCCAAGACCTCCCAAATTCAGGGGATTGGTGTATCCGCTGTAGATCGGATAACAACGATATTTTACTTGCTTTATTCGCCATCCACCGGACTTCCATTGGATTTTTACGTCTTTTTCCCTATATTCTTTGGATGGATACAACATTTAAAACCAACAAGTTCAAAATGCCATTGCTTGATATTACTGGAATGACATCAACAAACCAGACATTCTCCGCTGGCTTCTGTTTTTTATCAGACTCTACTACTGATTCATTTTGCTGGGCATTACAGCAATTACAGTCAGTATTAGCGGTGGAATCAATCCCTGAGCCATTGACTGTATTTACAGACAAAGAGCTTGCAATTCTCAGTGCTATACCAATGGTTTTTACACTTAACCATATGCTTTGTTTGTGGCATATCAATAAGTGTATCCTTGCCCATGCGCGTACTCCTATTCGTCAGTATCTTGAATGGGAGATTAAAGAAGCTGCAAAAAAACAAGAGATATTCTCTTTGAAGAATGGGTGTATACGGCAGGAGAAGCTTCATCGGTGGTGGAGAATGAAACAGTTCTGGCATGAAATTGTTACTGCTTTAACGCCTCAAGATTTCGAACAAAAATGGCAGGAATTTCAGCAAACTTACTGTCATGAGATCTTCTCTAAGCTAATTCGTTATATCCAGAAGGAATGGCTTAACCCAATATATGCGAAGATGTTTTTACACCATTATACTCGGCATTATTTTCACTTTGGTGAGGTAGCAACATCTCGAAATGAGTCGGCACATTGGGCATTTAAACGTGATCAACAGGTAATTCTCCTATTATTATTAAGGGATTTTCTATTAAAATTTAGCCAGGGAACCTCAACTTCTCTCCTTGGAGCCTTTGATATCTTTGAACAGACAATTAAACGTCAACATTCAAATATTCAATATCAGTTACATGACCAGACACTTGGACGATTCACAGATCATCAATCCTATACATTTTTACTACCAAATCTCATACAGAGAGTTTCCCTTGAAGCCATTCGCCGTCTGGAGAAAGAAATCAACACATATCTACCTATCCATATCGAAAAACCTCAAATTCCTATCTTCTGTGCATGCGGCAAAGGCAGGGGCATTCCATGCATCCATCAAATTATTCCATACTATAATGAGAAAAAGCCACTTCCTCTTGATCTCTTCCACTTACAGTGGCATCTTCAGGAGGCTGATTCACCACAGTTTCATCCAGATCTTCTTCGTATACAGGAGCCAAGAATTCGGGATGATCGGAGGGTATGGATATCGCGAGGATCATATACAGCATCACAGGCCTCGGTGGCCACATCACAGGCCTCGGTGGCCACATCACAGGCCTCGGGGGCCCGGCAAGACCCCCGAGGCCCAGAGGGATCACAGGGGCGGATCCCAAGCTTATGGGAGCAGCTAGATGCTGTTGAAGATGCTGTAGATCGTGAGTTTTATGAGCAATGGTCCCAACAAGGCTCTCAGCAGCCACCAACTGTGCAATCTCGGAGGAGACCCAATACATGTGGAAATTGCGGCGTGGAGGGGCATAAAAGGCCTGGGTGTCCGTTGATCAACAGATTTGCCAGTTAATTCGACTGAAAATGCATTTGCCGGTGTTTTTAAAATCAGCCTCTGTTTCCTCTTTAGGTTTAGCTTGGAATGAGATAACTTGCTTGCATATTAAATGTCGTTAAATGTGTGGTAAAATGGAAGCTTTTTACGTGGAGATGAGATTTAATTCTGGACCGTATTCATGCTGCCGGCAGAAAATTGATGCCTTTGTGCCTTGTGGTATTACAAATACGGCGGTGAGCTTAGAAGGGGTGGGTTTAGCCATTTGAGGGGTGGTATTAGCAATTCTCTTCTTGCCACTCCGCACAGATCGATTTGCACATTTTCTCGCTTAAAATGGAAGAAAGGGGTCATCGGTAGCCACAGTTTAACTGGGGACTCAATAATTAAAACTTGATGCTTTGGTAGAAGAGAAAATGCATACATATGTAGCTTTAAAATAACATCTGTCCATAATGTTAGCCATTCGAATAATCATTCATCCAAGGCAAGATGGCCGAGTTGGTCTAAGGCGTCAGGTTAAGGCCCACCTTGACTATTGTGTTACACAATTTCCTGATCTACGTTTGTAGGCGTGGGTTCAAATCCCACTCTTGTCATGACATTTTCTTTTTGATTATTTCCCCTGCAATATTCAGATGATGAGTCATATCGCTTACCCAGCTCACTTTGACATGCCAAAGGCATGCATGATGTGAACCGCGTTTATCACGACTGATGAATAAATTTTCTTTTTGCATTAATATTTGCTGTTGGACAACTCTTCCAACATTGAGAAGGTTCATCCACTAATGTCCACTATCCAGGTGCTGAAGACATAAGCTCAGTTTTTCTTTTTTTGCTTGAACCCAAATATTTGAACTTTAAGTTTATAATAAAATACGTAGATTTATTTAATAAGCAGTATGCCTGTATATGAAACTTCATAAGAGATTTGCATAATTGAAGTGCCCAATGAATGGAATGGTTGACATACTACCTCCTCCATTTCTCGTATATAGAAACCTTGGAGTTGGAAATATAGTATACTTATGTACTATGTACGTAGTAGTTGCGTGAGTTTCGCGCTATATGAACAATCAACTGACTCGACTTGTTGTACTCCTTCGTCGCATAGACGAACGCAGTTCGTATGCCTCTCCCCGCTCTAGATCATCTTCAACAGCAGATTCAGAAGACGAAGAGATCCGCCTTTCTAGAACTTGATTACCACCGCTGGTGTGCATTCCACTCGCATTTGCTTCAGCTACTTCTTCCTCCAGTCCATGTGTGCCACCAACACTCTCCATTGTAAAAGGACTAGCAGTAGGCCCATCCAAGGCATCCAACTCTTCGCGGCTAAACCAAAGTGGGAATAGGAATGACCGAACAGGGATCAACAGAAGAATGATAACCGGGAATCCAATAGCAGCAATAGTTTGAGTGATTGCAAATGTAGCGCCGAATCCAAGAAGCTCAATAACCACAAAAACCCAGATAGCAGCCCGGCGTCTAATTCGCTTGAGAGGATTGGATGAGGGCGTTAATGCTTTGTCTTGGGCTAGGAAAATTAGTTTTTGTGTGATGCCGTTGCCTTGCAGAGCCTGGACACCCATGATGAAGAAAAGACCTGCCATGACACCTTGTGGGATCAGATGGAGGACAATGAGGAGTGGTCCACTCATTGTTCCTAGTGTTAGAAGGCCCTGGGCTAGGTTGCTGACACGTTGCTCTACAACATGATCTGTGACTCGGATGGCTTTACCCTTGTTGGTATCCTCCTCATCCGCTACCTGGCGAGTAACGCAGAGTGCAGCGGTATGGAAGGGTGCTTGTGGGATGAGTCCGTTGGGGAATGGGATTCCGAGAAGACCCGCAACAAAGGTCGTAAGGCCAAGAAGCCAAAGATCCCAGTGGAATCCAGCTGGTTTACGCAAGGGAAACTCGGTACCCTGGGCAATGAGAGATGAAACTGAAGGAATTGAATTTAGACATGGAAAATTTAGAAACACCCTGGAAAGAAACTTACCATTATGATCAAAATAGAAGAGAATAGTCAGGAGGATAGCAAATGGGATGGCTAGGAAAATATCGCCCACGTCGATATCCCAGAAGTGTACCAACCATGGGCGATCGAGCGTAGGGAAAAATGATTTGCTTGTTGGAAGGGTAGCCACATCAACATCACGCATATGTCCAATATGAACGAAGCCGGTGAAGAAAACAATAACCAGTGGCGTGCCATAGTCTTCAAGGAACTTTCGGACATATCGCTGGAAGAGGTTACTATTACCCAGCTCTCCGAGGATCCAGGCGGCCATCAAAACAAGAAGGGCTACCATGATGGCAAGATAAGCTGAAGTTTCTCCAACTTGTCCCCATTGTCGAGTGAGAACCTGGATTCCCTTTTGAAGATAGATACAAGCGACATAGAAGCCGAAGATATCACATGAGAATCGGGTAACGTAGGTGAGTCCATTGCATGCATTTGTGATAGCAAGGATCCAATGCATAATAAGCGACCAACTGTATGACAAATTAGCTTATATGGTATAATGATTTAAGGGGAGAGGAAGCGCACATTCCAATCCAGCACATGAATGCCAGATAAGGGGTTCCCCTAGGACTAATAATGTCGTAAACCGTATAATTGAATACAGTTATAGGTCCTATATCTTATTAGCTTTTGAAATTGGCCTTTGCTGGCCCAGAGGGCAAACTCACCAGTAACACCAACAATGACCAATGGCTGAGCCGCTAATATGGCAAAGACGATAGCCCCAAGAACAGATGCAAGCAAAACCTCATTGACACCATAGCTTTGATTGGTCTTCTCAAACATGTCCAACGAGAAAGCCAGAGCCGGCAAGATACTGGTAAACAGTAAGTAAGCTGGTATATAAAGAGGGTTTTCTCGAATTCAATATTATGACATCGAGTATAAAGGGGAAAAGGCCATACTTAGCAAAATACATGTACACTGTCGCAGGAACAATACGATAGTCCCATGCATCAGTCCAATCGCTCCAATAATAAGGAGCTCTGCGCTTTACGTCTTTAATCATGCCCCGGAAGAAACGTATACGCCACCATTTTGGCTGTGACGATTGTGCGGAGCTCGTTGTGGACATCCGGCGACCGGGCTGTGCAGATGTAGTCTCTGCCAGGGGCTCAGACACAGTTGAATGATACGAGGAAGGAGCGCGATTTGAGCCCGCCGAGCGCAGAGACGACTTGCGCTCGGATTGCCGAGAAGCTTTCCGCTGGGTGGAGGCGGAAGCTTGCATATTGCTCGCAGCCGGTAGGGCGAATTCCCCAATGATGAAGTTTGTCTATGATTTGGGAGGCAAAATGAGGGTGTGCGTGCCAAATATGGGTGCGATAGGCCATTCAATTTTACGATATCCGACGCCTAGCGTGGTAAATAAGTCTGAAGAACTTTGCGGGGATAAAAAGTTGGAGCTTGATGGAGCCAAGACAGATGTGGAGCCTGAGGCATCATTAATATGGGGTTTCGCGTTCTACATTCCTAGTGACCGTGCGTTACACTATATTGGAAATCAAAGATGCACATGTAATTAAAGAACGCCGGAGCAATTCAGGTAGCATTTCGCAATTGGAAAATAATTAGATCACATAGAGCATCCAGGCCATCAAAGTAAGCCTATCTTCGGTATCACTGATAAAGAAACTAAACAACCTTGGAGCATTTTATCCGCCAAAAATTGACTGCAAGGTGAAAATCATTTAAGCAGGAGGGGGAGGTGGAGGGGGCTGGTCGCTAGGAGGAGGTGGTGGGGGTCCATCACCAGGGGGAGGTGGAGGTGGGGGTGCAGGGCTGCCGGCACCAGGAGCACCGGGGGGAGCACCAGGGGCAGCAGCGCCATATGACCAAGGAGCCATACCAGGAGGAGCAGCAGCAGCCATGCCTGGAGCGGCATAACCGTAACCTCCATATCCATAAGCGGGCTGACCACCAGGTGCAGCCTGTTGTTGCCAAGGAGCAGCACCAGGAGCCGCGCCAGGGGCATTGTATCCGGCCTGAGATCCATAACCGCCTCCATAGCCGCCGCCGCCATAGCCACCGGCGTCGCCACCTCGGCTTTGCTGGGCCCAAGGCGCAGGTCCATTGTCGCGAGAACCGTAATCTTCACGGGGGCGGTGCTCGCGCCTTTGTTGCCAAGGAGCGACATCGCTGACTTGTGGTGGAGGACCGCGCTGTTGCCAGGGCTTCGCATTGCTGTCTTCAGCTGGGGGATAGCCACCCTGCTCTGGACCGGCCTCAATGCGACGAGGCTCGTACTCGCCAGGCGCACCGCCAGAAAGTTCATTCATGAGTTGCTGGAAAAGGTTATTAGCAATATTCTCAACATCATACATTGATATATTTCGGGAAATAGACTTACCTCCATCTCACGGTCAACAGCATCGCCAGTGCCACTTGGACGAGGACCACGGCCACCTTCGTTGTTGCGCCAGTCGCTACCCCTTTGGCGGTCGGGACAATCGCGAGCCATATGACCAGCATTGCCACAAACGCGACAGATGATGTTTGCAGTAAAGTTGCGCTGCTCGGGACAATCGTACTTGCGATGTCCGATCTGGCCACCTTTTGAACTGTTAGCATCAATTTTAATTGATATCCAGCTTAATGGCATCTTACAGTTTTGACAAGCCTGGTTTTCATCGTCACGGAGAGTACCGTTCAGAGCAGCCAGTTCACGCAGCTGGTTGCGCTTAAGTTCATTTTGACCCTCAGGGATAGAAGCAGCCTGCCGGTAATATCGTAAGTGTTTGCTCCAACGTATGAAATCTTTTGGATTCTTTCTGACCGTTTCAATGACATTGTGAACCAGCTTCTTAGCCTTGTTCACCTTCTCTTCGGTGTCGGCCATAATCAGGCAGTGAAGATCTTCTTCCTGGTTGCTAGCGTGAGCAGCATCAGACCGACCCTTTCCTTCCTTGACTGAGCCTTTGCCACGAATTGCAATCTTGGCACCGGACTCGGTCTCCATTTTCTTCAGGGTGTTTCCACGAGGTCCTATGAGTAAGCCAACTTTAAAAAGATAGCAAGAGCTAAGTGTTAGTAATCCGACGGTTTATGACGCTAAGCATGTGCAACATCAAGCACCGAGTGTTAACAAGAAACGGGCCGAGGACATCCAAGGAAATGTCTCGTCAACACGAGTCGAGCAGGGAGTCATGACAGACACAGCGAAGGGACAGTTAGGAGTTAGAGGGTTAGTTATCATACTGAAGTTAATCTCTGGATAGTCATTCACTGGAACGTAGACCTTCTCTTGGGTCTTGGTGGGACGTCTGTAGTCAGAGGGCGGGTTATAGTTAGGAATGGTCTTCATAGCCTTCTCGACCAGTTTGTGACGCTCATCCTCAAGGCGTTTGCGATAACGGTACTCGCGGGTGTTTACACGTCTACCAAAGTTGTCGTACTGCGGCGGTGGCGAGGGAGATCTGTTCATATGTTAGCCATGGGAGACCGAAAATGGAAATGTGTACGAAAGGGGTTTACTTACCGGTCACCATCACCTGGGACCACATCGTTGATCCGAAGCTTCTGGCTGATCTCCTCGATACGCAAATGCAGGGTGTAAGCCTCCAGTTGCTCACTGGTGAAGTTTGCCATAATCATTGTAGGCAGGCCCATAAGACCAGCAGCCTTGTTCTCCTGCTGATCTCCCCAACGGTTGCGCTTCTTGCGTCTTTTCACACCGTCTTCTGCTGGAGGATCCGCTAAACAGAAAGAAAACTTTGTGTTAGAAATGATGTTTCAAAACGAACTGAATAATTGAGACATACCTCGAACAGGGCTGCGGCCACGCTTAGGACCATCGGGCATAGACAAAGGAGTCGCATCGCGACTATCATCTTCCTCCTCCTCCCCGTTGAACCGACGACGGCCCAAGGGGATGTTGTTGGAGCCCGTGATTCCTTGACCACGCCAGGACATGATTTCTTGTTATCAAATAAAACTGATTAGTTGATACGATGAAGTTTTGTTCGAAATGAAAGAAGCTGGTAAAGCTCATCTGAATAAAGAAAAGTGGCCACCAATCACGTGATAGACAGGGGATGTGGAAGGCGGTGAGAAAAGAAGGCGATGAATTTTATTTGTCTTATCTTATCGTTACTGACATTTCATTTTACGACGGTAGCTAACATCTGCCGAGGTACAATTTAAGAGGGATCTCCCTTTCAATTCCAGTTTCCATTCATTATCTTGGGTCTTCTAGACCTTGCTTTCCTTTGCATCTTCCTTCATTCCTTGCTGAATCCATGACTTGCTCTCAGCGGCATATTTCTCCACGGCCGCCTTATCTTTAAGAAGATCCTTAATGGTATGCGGGGTGGGGACATGGCGCCCCTTCTCCGTGGCTTCACGCTGTGCCATGCGCTCCTCCCAGGCTTTCAGGTTAGGAAACTCATCAATATCAATACCAGGCCACCCTGCGGCGGCGACCCATCCCCAGTGTGAAATATCGGCAATGGACACATGGTCACCGACCAGATATCCGGACTTGGATTTCTCAAGGTGCTTGTCAAGTACGCCGTAAAGCCGACGAGTCTCGTTGACGTATCGGTTCACACCATATTCAATTCTCTCAGGGGCATATCGTGCAAAATGATTGGCCTGGCCCTGCATTGGACCAACACCAGCATTTTGGAAGAACAGCCAGTTGTTCATTTCAAAATGTTCGCGGGTTCCCTTGGGGAAGGAGATCTTATGGTCGGTATCGTACTGTTCCACTAGGTACTGCATGATACCACCGGACTCGAACAGATGGATCTTCTGGCCATCTGTGAATTCGTCGGTCAAGGCTGGGATACGGCCATTGGGGTTAATCTCGAGGAACCAGCTATGAAGCTATTAGTTAGCGACTGGGCGGACCATTTCAAGTAGAGCTTGACATACTCCTCTTTTTGCTCGTTCTTGGAAAAGTCGAGTTTCTGGACCTTGTAGGGCAATCTGTAAAACTGTCAGCGATGGTCTCCCATCTATCCGGTAAAGTAAATCACCTACCCAAGCTCCTCCAATGCGATGGAGATCTTGATCCCATTGGGGGTCTGTGCTGTATAAAGGGTGATGTTTGGACCAGACATGATGTTGTAATTTCGGCGCTGCTGAATCAATATGTTAAACCGATTGAATGTACAGATTCTTTTGAACATAAATGATCAAACCTATATAGAATTGACCGGGATTATAAATGTCTAGGTGGTGTGAGATCATCCCGAAGTTAGTAATTACAAACCCCACCTTGGATTTATAATCCTGCAGAAACCTTCGAACCTTATCCGGTGCTTTCTACAGCCAATAGTCCACGGTTCAAGATTTGAAAGCGCGGGCTTTTGAGATCCCGAGCTTAAGCTGTGAATAAATAAGACCATTGTGAAATCATTGAATACTCACCCTTCCAAGGTTACTGGCAGAGTTGCGCGGGGACACTTACCCTCTTCTGGTTCCCATTGTTGCTATCTGTATGTATAGTTTCAAGTTCCTGGGCGCATATTATCATACACAGGATCTTAAGGCTCGAGTAAGATAGGCTTCCACTTCCCTTATTGTCAAGCCGTAGTATAATCAAATCCATGTTCTAGGAACATACAACATGGAGATCGGGGGTTTACCACGATTACACGTGGAAGAACGCGAAAAATCGAAAATAAGTTCCCTTCAATGAATAGAAAAGAAAATACAATATTATTCATTATTCCAAGTTGATGGCTCCTCGGCCTGAACTGAAATATTCAAAGCTTGTCATAGCCTCGGCTCTTCTGTAAGTTGAAACGCATGTTCGGGCCAGTGGAATCGATAGAATATGCCGTGCTTGCCGCGTAAATTGCAACCTTTTATTTGCCAAAATTTTCATGTTATTGTGTATGAAACAATTGAAACTGAGTCGCTCGTCATAACAGGTTGGAGGATCAACCGTCGACTCACAAGCCCCCATATGGCAACGTGGAATGGACGAAGGCCTGTCGTCACACTCGAATCTTCCGATTGACTGAAGGCAGCACTATACTATACGGTACCAAGTCTCCACCCATATAGAGCTCTTGAAGATCAAGTCTACAGATTTGTTTGATCGACAACTAAGTAGGCTAAAAAAGCTTATGCTCTTGGCCTGTGCAATTATGAGAAATTTCTATGTTCATGTGATCCCTTGTCGGGTATGAGCAGTGTGTTCTAAGGCCTACTGCTTTGTTTTCAGACATGTAGGCTTGATATTACAGCGTTTTGCAAGAGTCGAAGAATAAATTGGGACCTCAGATCTGCAAATATCGGTATTAAAGTAATATTTTTGAAGGACTTTTATTAGTGGCATGGTACATGTATATTCAAGTTCTTAGACATTGACGATTACCTATTTTTGTCACATTATTGGCGTGATTGGTTCGAAGTCAGCAATTTCCAAGTCTCGGCCTGCCTTAATTTTGGATCAACAGATGATGAGTTCATAAATAATTCCAGACCCTGAACCAAGCTTTGAGAGATTGACGCGGCCATGTGGAGATGGGAAGCTCAAAAAGCAGCCCTAAAATTGAGGGTCCCTGGTACCTTGGATCGGACCCACTTCATTGTATTATGTTGCTAATTGAGCTATTCAATCTATTCAGGTATATAAATCTGGATATTTCTGCTTTATCCTTTCATATAATTATCATTGTTGTTACACTTGTTCCATGAATCGCAAAATCTCATTAGTTCTTTATCGCGTTTGAAAACTGGCCATGGACTCCCCCCAAGTGAAGGCCTCTCTAAGTCTGCCTTCCGTGGCAGATAGTGATGATCTCCAGTTAGCTTTGGAGACACATGGTCTGGAGTTCACACCAAATGGTCAACTAGTTCGCTGGTCTGCCTTCAACAAGAAGCATCCACGGAATTGGCCCCTGTCACGGAAGATCTATGATAGCAGCTTGATTATTTTCTTGGACTTTTTCACGTAAGCCCTTCTGGAAATATCATTTCCCACGAATATATTAATCTAACCAGTGCTATACTTTCAGGACTTCAATAAGTACAGCTGGGGTAATTGACCTAATAACAGTTATCTCTATTCTGTGCGAAAGAACAGTTAAGACTGACGTTTATACAGAGTACTGCGGCTGACCATGCCCATCTTGAATTTGGCACGGACCATACGCTTTCGGTCTTCATATTCATCTCGTTGTAAGTGTCCTTTTTGATTTTCTGGATCGTAACAGACGAAAGGCAGAGAACATGGAATTGAATGAATAATTTGCTGATGTATTTGATATACACAGGTATCTAATTGGTCAAGCTATTGGTGGAATCATCTTTCCATCCTACTCAGAAGCATTCGGTCGCAAACGGCTCTACATCATTAGCACAGCTCTCTATAGCGTGTTTTGCGTCATAGTGGGACTCTCACCCTCTTTGACAGGTGTGGCTATTGGCCGTCTATGTTCAGGTTTCTTATCAGCGATCCCAACCATTGTTGTGGCTGGCAGTATTGAAGATATGTTTAACTCAAAAGACCGAGTTTGGCTGATATTTCTATGGGCTACGGTTGCAAACATGGGCTTAGCTATTGGTCCTATAATGAGCTCTTATATCACTGCGCGCCTGAGCTGGTGAGTAAAGAGTTTGCGGAGTAACACTTCTTCGTACTAACTTACTATGATACAGGCACTGGGTGTTTCATATCGCTGCAATAATCACTGGAATTACAACCATTTTCATATTCGGTATGCGCGAGTCTCGACCATCTATCCTGCTTGTCAGGCAGGTGGCTGAAATTCGCAAAGAGTGCGGTGTCCCCAATTTGCAAGCATTGAACCCTGATTACACTCCGGGTATTCGTGCATGGGCTCGTCTCGCCCTTTTCCGTCCTATAAAGCTATTTTTTACGGAACCGATCGTTTTCATGGTAGCAACTATAAGCGCTGTGGCTTTCGGGTTGGTCTACATGTTCACCGAGGCTCTACCTCTTGTGTACCAATCTATGGGATTTTCCGAAACATCATCTTCCTTGCCATTTGTGGCTATTATCATCGGGCTTATCTTAGGGATTTTGACGAGGATACAAGACCACCGTACGATTTCAAAGTCCGTGAATCAAGGCTTGCCGTTGGAGCCCGAGAATAAACTCCTCGGTTTCTCTATTGGGGCTCCAATGCTTGCTGCTGGGCTTTGGTGGTTCGCTTGGACTATTCCACCTCTTGTTACAAATGTGCACTGGATTGTATCAACGGCTTCTTTGGTTTTAATCGGATACGCCGTGAATGAATTCGACTCTGTGTTAGCAGGCTATCTTGCAGATAGCTACTTGAGCTTTGCGGCAAGTGGCTTTGCGGCGCTGTCACTTGTTCGGTCCTTGGGCTCTGCGGCATTTCCTTTGTTTGCAACACAGATGTTTAAAGGTATTGGTGCAAATGTTGCATCCTCAATCTTGGCTGGTATAGCTACAGCATTTTGTATTGTTCCGCCGCTGTTCAGTCGATATGGCAGAGCAATTCGAGCGAGGAGTAAGTTTGCTTGCTACAGTCTACAGGTTTATCAAGAAAATGGTGTCGACAGGGATGGATATTGACAATGGTCTGGCGCGTTGAAAAAAATTCCTTTCCATTGATGAGGTGTACTACTTGAAGCATTTCCGTAGATTATCTTGTAGTAGTCGTCAGGCAGGAATCACACATGCATTTTGGGTTTACAATTGATGCCTAAAATACCTTGGAACGTGGAATATACCCCAGGGTGTAAATTTACGGCAGAGGCCCCACTTCTGCATAAAAATCGAAATATAATATCCGTGATATAGATAGTGGGAAATATACTTATTAGCCTCATTTAATGCTATAATGTGATTGTTTACAGCTGTAGTCTAAATTACTTTATTTTCTTCTAAGTTAACTATGCCTCTCCACGCGAGTCTCTCAACCTCCACGCCACCAAATACTAAAAAACTAATATTTTACATAATCTTTCTAGCTCGAATCATCCTTCGCCAGTAACATATAAGAACATCAGTAAGGCGTTTTTGGATGTCCAGTAATTTAGGCCATTCCAGACTAAAAGCAGGCCGAAACATGGCACTGCCATGCATGCGCAACTGCTGGCCACTAGAAGATAGGATAAGCGCCCGACCACCGACCGCCAAAAGCGAAACCGTGCGCCAATTAAAAAAAAAAAGATTGGGCTGTGTCCAGTTGAGCCGCTAAACGACATTCATTTAAGGAGGAAGAACCTTCCCCCGTAAGTAAAAGAATACACCAAGTTTAAGTTGTTATTCTACTGACAACCATCGAATATATGTCAACTATTGGCCGAATTACCAATTCTATTCTATCTGGGGTGAACGAAAACAGCCTTTCCCTTGCCATATTAAACTTCGACTTCTCCCTCATTCAAATTCAAGCGCCAAAAGAGTATGAGCCACTCGCATCTGCTCTCTCGACCCATCGTCGGCAAGATGCAGAAGAAGGCCAACCACATAGGACAGCCCGGAGACTAGGTGCTTTGTTTGAGGACATTATTCCATCAATTCCAAAGTTAATCGACGCTTTTGGTAAAAGGGTTTCGCAGATTGTGCAAACGCCAGGTATCAATCCCCGGGGTGATTCCTCGCATGGACCATTCGAACGGTTTGTTGGCGCGGACGGAACAGCTCTCTGGGCTGCTGCTACCTCTGGATATTCTGCTCTTGGTGTATACCTTCTTTCGTGCTTGCTTGCTCAAGCCTGGGACTCGAAAACAGCAACGGCGCTGTGGGTAGAGCTCGTTAAGCAACGACAGAAGGAAATTCAGTCGGCATACGAGAACAACCATAAAGTCTCTATGTATACTCTATTCAGTGCTCGCCAGGAGATTTCAAGGGATGATCTAGCACGATGGGACAACAGCGCTTGGTTAAGAAGTGCCAGAAGTGCCAAGGCCCTCCAATGTAACCAACTCTTGCTGATCAGCAAGAACCTGCAGCTTCCAATATTCACTACCACCTCTACTTACACAAGTTCCACTTACACAGGTGTGATAAGTGTTTGGAAAGAGGCTATGATTGGCCTAGAAGCGCTGCTCTCTGGAAACCCCGTTGAAGTTTCCAATGGATCGCTTTTTCTTGCTTTTTCATCTTGGTACCTTTTTCCCAGACTCGATAGTACTGGGAACAACACCCCCAACTCATGTATCATTTCGAGATGTACTCTTCCCACCAGGAGGAATGTGTACTGTTCGCCAGGAAAGGAAGGCCACTGACTATTCTGGGGGAATCAAGTGGTCGTCAACGCTATCGCATCTACGATACTACGGGACCCCGTAGTCGTCCAAAACGTCCAGGATTTTTCAAGGGTCACATTTCGAGAGATGACACTAGTGATTCTGGGCTACATATTCAAAGAATGGCAAGTTAGTGACCGTAACCAGATACTTGTGGCCCAGTGGATGGCAAATTTATGGAATTTGGTCCAAAAGCAGTCCGGTTCAAGGTATCGATTTCCATGGCTTAGGATCCTAGCCGAAGCTGCTAGAGACTTTCTGGCACCTGATCCTCGAACGAAGTTGAAGAATCTTCAACTGATCCGATTTGGAAGAAGAAGATGTCAACTCTTTTCAGTGGCTAGAACTGAGAGTTTACTACCGTTCTTCGGAATATGCAACCCATTACGAGTAGCTGCACTCTCCCAGAAAAACGATACAGACTGTGGAATTAGTTATTTCAGAGCCATGGCTCAAAAATTGGGTTTATGTGAGAGAAAGTTTATCATTTGTCATGCGATTGATGGACATCAACATGACACCCCCGGTACGGTCTCAATTTTCCAGGTGGTATCGGCAATTCCCCACACACGCCAGACAAGGAAGAGAGACTCAAATGGCGTCCCAACATATGAGAAAGTTCATGCAAGATGGTTTATTACCAGGTATGTAAGATGAAAAGTCCAAAGATTTGTGATTTAAGTAGAACTAATATCCGAATCCTTCGATTAGAGAAAATGGAGACAAAGCCAAAACTGAAACCCTCATGACTGAATACATCAAGGAGAATGAGGTTTGTTTCTCTATAGAAACCAAACATGAGGTTCATAACAGACACCTCGACAAATTTACCTGGCCAGTAATAATACCAAATATATACTCTTGTCGGCCTGATTCTCAACATGAAACGTGTGCACCCTCCACAAAAACCGTATCGGACACTTTCAGACACTGTAACTGCCTTGAATGGGAGACAACGCCCATTATGAAAGATATTCCAAGGCCTGCAGCTAGATTCCGATCCATATTTGGTGACTGGAGGCTTGGCCTATATGTGCAAGAAACAGAAGATTTCGATGAACAATATTACAACGATCTAAAAAGGCGTGCTCACGTTCGTCCAAAGATACCAGACAGCATATCAGTCGGGGCTCAATGCTTTGCCGACGCAAACATAAACCCGAAATTGCTGTCTAGTTATCTTAGTGTGATCACGCGTGTTGCAGATGGCAATCAAAGCGCGTATGCTGTTAGTGAGCGGGAAAACTCGCTTGAACGATATGCAATTGAAATGTTCGTGGTCGGGAGCCCATCACTCCCAGTTGAATTTTGTCAAACCTTGTTCACTCTTGAACTTGCCCCAAGAGTCTATGCTAACTTGCAAGGCGCGACTATACCACTGACCGTACTGTCGAACCCTTTATTTGATGATGCGTGGGTACCAAGGCCAATATGTCATCCGCTGGGTTTCAGGAGGGATTCGAGTGCTCTTACCAGCTATGATCGGGTTCTCCCAGCTATGCCTTCGACATTGACTCGTCATCAGGCTTTTTCATGCGTGGCGAAATTTGAGTCCAGTGTGGTTAACCTAGACCCGGAGGACCTGCACTCAACAATGGCACTTTGCTCGGAGGACTCGATGTTTGTTGCTGCAGTCATTTTACTCGATCCCTTTGAGCAGCCGGCGGCCCATGAGCTTCGGCGAATTGTGGGAAACATCAGTCATCCAGGTATCAGTCTTCTTGTTTCGCCTGAAGAGCCCAGAATCCGCAATCGCTCAAATGAGTACACTGCTGTGACCCATGCTTCATATGATTTCCAGCGCGAAAACAACTTTGAAGGGACATCGCTGCATTTATCCTTCACAGATTGGCAACTTCCTCTTGAAGCCGGTGGATACCGGACAATCGATCAAGATGTTCTTGTAGTAGAATCCGTGATATCCGTGCTTGATCGTGGTAAATGGGTTGCGGACCTGGATATTTTATGTATAGACTTCGAAGCACTCTCACGGGTTGTGAAGGATTGTGATAGTCATGATCATGAAGCCCATGATCTAGACTACGACTACACGTCTATCGATAACAGGGATGAACTACTTGACGGGCCAGAGAGCGTAGGTATCTTCCGGGCTCATGGGAATTGGGCAGCTCGTCTCGCAGCTATGAGTATATTGCCGCAACAAGGTCAGGGCCATAGTATTGCTTTATTTGGAAAGAGGAAGATTTGTTTTAGGTGCCTGGAAGCGGAGAGAGATGTCAATGTGGATGATTTGATGGATCATGAATCACCCCTACCCTCAATTTGTGTAGATTAGGAACCTCCCAGCTGCAGAATACGATATTGGATTAGAATGTTTCAAAATTTAATGTCATATGTAGAATCGCTAGGTATGAAATCACAAATAGAAAGATAAGTCTGTAAGTGGAAGCTATCGATCTATAAATAATGGGATTCTGCATTTTGATTGGTTCAATCAGTGTGCAGCCAAACTAGACAAACACCCCCCGCTTTCTACCGCCCCGATAGACAACAGGCAACGCTTCACCTCCGCGCGATCCCTCATTCCCTCGATATTGGGCTTCACGCACCCACGAAAGCTCAATTACCTGCTAAACTCCCTGAAACATCCACGATACGAAAGAGAAGAGTACCACATCCACGATGTCGCAAATAAACTACCGTACCATCAATATCGACCAGCTCGACCCGGAGTCGTCAGCGAACTTCCCACTGGAAACCCTTCTCCCCGCCACCTTGCCCCAATCAGAAACCTCTAGTGATGCCGCAAATGTCGCATCTCAGGTACGCCAGCTGCTGCGCGGTGGAGACACTGAAGGCGCCCTCCGCCATGCTCTCGACACAGCGCCGCTGGGCGGCGACGACCGCGCCAAGGAGGTGCACCTTGCTACAGTGATTGAGGTGCTGCAAGGTATTCGACAGGCTGAGATGACTCGTGTGCTGGAGGGTATTTGTGGTGCAGATGGTGGAGCTGAGCGGGCAGATTGTCTGATGAAGTACCTGTATGTTATGGTTGATTGAGCTTACCTGTCCCTCCGGGCTTCGGACGATAAGAGCTAATGCCATATAGCTACAAGGGCATGTCTGCCTCCGGTTCCAGCGGTTCAAAGAACGTTTCGCCTCAGGTTACAGGCTCCGGTTTCTCGCAGGTCCAGGCCCGTAATGTCAGCGAGGGTGGCGGTGGCCAGCAGATGAGCGTGCTGCTCAATTGGCACGAGAAGTTGGTGGAGTTGACGGGAACTGGTTCAATTGTTCGAGTTATGACGGATCGCCGGACGGTTTGATCGAGAGCACCGAGCCATTCATCGTCCTTCATTCGCTACTTGTTTTATGGTAGAGGTCTGCTTGCATTTTATACAATTCCCTTTTTCTTTCATGTCAAAAATTCTTCCTTTTGATGCTTTCAGCGTGTGTTTTACATTTGGTATACTAAAACATTATATTGGACCCCCATCCTGAATTCTGATTTCCCTCTTGTACTATATTCGCAGTGAGATGTCAAGGCTTTTCAAAATCACCACCACCAAGGATATCCTTCAGATTGACGTCTCCACTACCGCGCTGCAATGGCTGCGGTTGGTCTTTGCTCTCCTTCCAGCCAATCATGTAGATCATTCGGAAGGTAGCAGGGATACCAGGGGCATCCTCTCCCATATGCAGAGAACGGTAAATAGCATCGTTGGCCAATAAGACATCTCGAGACAAAGGACCTGCCTCGCGGTGCATGATGGCATTGCTTTCACCCATGGCTTGGAGATCCTGCATGAGAGCGAAGGTATCCGGGAACTCAACCACAATATCCTCGACATCAACTGTAAGCATCTTGAACCCGGCACGGTTCAACAGGCTTCCCACATCTTTAACATCCGCTAGCGGCGATACATGCGGGCTCACGCCGCCTCGTCGTTCCATGTCTGCCAGCTGCATCGACCCTCGGAGCTCGAATAGTGTATCGCCACCGAACATAGCACAGATGAAAGGACAGTCCGGCTTCAGAATAGTGTTCACTTGGTTGAGTAGCGCAGGCAGGTCATTGATCCAGTGGATTGATAGCGAGGATAGCACAGCGTCGAACGTGTTTGGTTGGTACGGCAGTGTCTCGAGATCCGTAATCACATCGCGGTGAATATTGATCTCCTTGTTGAAATCCAAGTCTTCGTCCCGGTGTAGGAGTGCCCGCGATGTATCCGCACATGTAATTTGGGAGATTTTTTTTGATAGCGGTGGTGTTATTACACCCTCCGGTGCTGCTGTGTCGAGGTTGGGCGTCGTTAATGCTCGTGCGATATTACAGCTGTTTGCGCCAAGATCGAGCACATTTGGAAAATCACGTTTGATATCCTGAGAATGAAAGTTAGTTGTTAGTCCTTACTCTTAAGGCATTTGGAAGCCCCAGGCCTCGTTCCGCGGACTTCCTTACCAGCAATCGTTCACACAGTCGCATTGCAACCTCATCTTTCAAGTAGTCGACGTTCCGGCTCTCCTCGACATTCCGAGCTGCTCGATCCTTTTGTAGATGTTTTGTCTTGCGGTTGAACACCTCCAGCATGGGATTACCAGCTGTCTGGCTAGCATATGTGCGGACGGTGGAGGCCGCGAACAGACATCGGCGCGGAACACTGGAGCGAAAAGTGTGAAGGGAGATCATAGTGAGGCAATCGCATATAGCTTCGGTCGGTGGTTATTAATCAAGGATTGTAGAGCATTTTCGTTGCGGGCGGTGGTGGTGTGGAGGTTGGAAGGTGGAGGTGAGGTGCCTTAAATTTTGTTCTGACGTCGATTGTTGATAGCGAACTCCGCAGCTCAATCTCCGCGACGCTTCTGCGGTTTCCTGTGCCCGCTGTTACAACGCTATTGCGCGTAAGCCCCGAGCTTCGTCTGTTTTTTGTCTTCTATTGTACGTACTGTACAGCAACCTTGGCTCGAAATTGGCCACTGTTGGCCTCGTTTCGGTAGGTTCTCGCTCATGGGGAAGATCTCCTTATTCTCAAGACGGGCTGGAGAAGGTGAATAAGTCACCTATTGACTACATATATAGAGTCGATCCCTGAACGGGCAATTCTAAAAATATTTGCTAATACTAAAGACAACTAGTACTCCAGGATTGAGAAACGGTGTATAACGGTGTATACTTTACGTGTCGCTCTCACCTCGTGCGCCATTATTTTGTCCCAACCCCATCAACGCGAAGCATGAATTGACCGACCAAAACGCCTTGATCTTTGAGCCCATACCCCTTCATACATAAAAGCCCCATCAATTCGGAATGTCGCGTCCATTTCCATATACATATGTCTCGTGCCCCTGTGCCGATACCCCAGTCCCTGACCCAGCCAGGAAGCGGAGGTCTAGGGAGTCACCGCAAAAGCAGACCCCAGAACGAACAGAAGCAGCTAAGGAGGTCGATCTACCAAAACCGCAACAGACAGACGAGAATGTACAAACCGATGATGAAGATCAAACATTCGACCCAAGATCTCCTCGATCCAATTTTTCGTTGTATCCACCGGAACAGCTTCTATACTGCGAAGATTGTCATCAGATTAAGTGCTCTCGCTGCATAACGGAGGAAATCGTGAGCTGGTTTTGTCCGAATTGTTTATTCGAGACACCAAGTAGTATGGTGAAAACTGATGGCAATCGGTATGTGCTTTCCATGCCCTTAAAATTGTTGGCATTTATTGATAACACATACAACCAGGTGCGGTCGTAATTGTTTCAATTGTCCCTCTTGTACAGCTCCATTGGCTGTGAGTACCATTGAAAATGTGACTGGCAATGGCACTCAACAAGGGCCATGGGTGTTGTCTTGCGGATACTGCATGTGGACGACGCTCGACATTGGTATCAAGTTCGACAAACCGACCAACATTCGCAACCAACTGCAAAAGATGACCGACGCTACCGCACAGCCTGCTTTTGACACTAGATCAAGACAAGGCTCTCGTGCTTTCGGCGATCTGAAATCCCCCTTATCTACATTGACCACTGTTGCTGACGGCCAGGCTGCTACTCGTGACGGCGGCGAAGATCAATCAGCATCGAACGAAGATACATCAGAGAATACCCTTTCCAACACCGATTCTCGATTCGCGGCATTGAAATCGTTCTACCGCACCCAAATATCAGAGACTTCGAACTCACCCAACGATCCTATGGGCTCGGACTTTGGATTCTCATCTCCTGGCGCTCTGAACCGGCTTATGTCTCTGTACGCTTCCTCATCACGTCTGAGCGGACTATACGGTGGAAACAAGAAGTCCAAATCTAAGCCACCAGTCATGCGAGAAGCCTTAAATGCCAGTGAAGGCCTACGTATCGCCCCTGAAGATGAAGAAAACGCCGTTATTGAACGGCTCGCCTCTGAAGGCGGCTGGGATAGTGTCGCCTCAATCGAACAGCGTTCCCAGCAGTCTCCAGATGTGCGTTTTGTTGACGAACTTCTACCATTACCGGTTCTCCTCCGTACAAAGCGTGCCAAACGTTGCAGATCCTGCAAGCATATCCTCGTCAAACCAGAGACCAAGCCGCAATCAACGCGTTTCCGTATCCGTCTGATTGCACTGAGCTACATTCCCCTCCCAACTCTTCGCCCTCTTACCCTCCCCTCATCTTCATCGTCCGCAGCTCCTACTCCAGCACCGGATCTCAATGCCCTGTCTCCACTTCGACCTGTGCATGTGCTTCTCACGCTGAAGAATCACATGTTTGACCCCGTTCGCATCACCCTCGCTACTCCCTCTGTAACACCCGGTCGTGTCGCGAGCAAGGTTACAGTTCTATGTCCGCAGTTTGACATTGGTGCAAACAGTGATGTGTGGGATGAGGCGTTGCAGGGTGCTTCGGTTCCTATCACAGGCGACCCACGCTTGACGGGTCTGCGTGGACATGAGAAGACACCAGAAGCCGGTAAAGTATGGGACAAAGGTCGTAATTGGACTACAGTTGTGCTCGAGGTTGTTCCAGGTACCCTGCCAGGCTCTGAGGCTGACACTTCTAATATCGGCAATGATGGTGGAGATGACAACAAGGTGGTGTCTGGTTCAACACAAGATGAAGATGTGCTTGAGATCCCTGTATTCGTGCACATGGAGTGGGACGCAGAGGCACAGCTTGAGCAACAGAATGTTGGGAAGGCTTCTAAGCCCGATGACTTGGTTGCTAGGGAACTGGCTTACTGGATGGTACTGGGGGTTGGGAGGATTCAAGCATCACTGTAGAAGGTTTGAGAGAAGATGCAATTGTTTATAGATGAATGGTTTCCCTCTCTCGTGCTTAGTGTTCTACGTTCTTCATACCCCTTTAGTGTAATTTTTCTCTACAGCATATATCAAGTCTTTTTGAAGCCATTGAATCTCGATTGCACATGAGTAGACTCGAACAGACGAGGCGACCTAGGTAAGTACTTGACCTTGCGAGGCAGATTCCGTGACTAGTAGGTAGGGAGGGTGTTGGGGATCTCAATCTGCATCAGAACAGCATATAGAGGAAGTGCATGAAGCCCCAGTTCCTCCAGGATTCTACGACGGCAAAATTGAAGTCGGAATTGTTCAATTGGAATAGTTATCACATATCCCATCCCATCCTCATTAAAGAAGTCACGGTCCGGATGGAAAGCTCAGTTCCGTCGCTTGCCTACCTCGTTTCAAGAGAAAAACATTTATAAACTCTCAAGAATACTGAAGGGCAAACCATGTACCAAGTAAATTTGGAAAGGGGGCACATAAATAAAAGAAAAACCCGTGAATGCATTTTTTGGTCTTTTCACCCGTCATGCTCTCCTTGAATCTAGTTGAGTTTCAAGACCTAGAAACAAGTAAACCCAATACACCGACATCCTTTCCTTTCCCTCCCTTTCAAAACAACACATAAGCAAGTTTAGAGCTCAGCGCCGCTCTGGGGGAACTCGAAGGCAACGTTGCGGCCGGTCAAACGACGGTAGACCTCGCCGTAGGCATCGAGGCGGTGGTCAACACCACCCTTCTCCTTCTCGTCCAGAATGACCTTCAGGGTCTTGCTGCCATCCTCCTTGGTGCGGATGCGCTTGCCGACGATCTCAACGGGGTAGACCAGGTCGGTGAGGATAGAGTCGTGGACGGCGGTCAGAGTGCGGGAACGAGGGCGCTTCTGGGTCTGGTTGGAGCGCGAGTTGACGGAGCGCTTGGGGCGGGGCAGGATGCGGCGCTGAGCCACGAAGAGAACGTGGCGGTCAGAGAACTTCTTCTCCAGCTCGCGGGTGAGGCTATTTTAATTGTGAGTTTTTGGTTCAAGTTGTTGTAGATGAATTTTGAAGTGTTTTGTGTCGATATGTGTGGGGAGTGCTTTGTGTGGATATTCATAGGCTGGGGTCGAGCTTACCGCTGCTGGATCTTGTGGAAGCCCTGGAGGAGAGGGACAGGGACGAAGATGACGATGGCCTTCTTTCCGTGACCAACCTCAACCTGTAGATAGAATATCATGTTAGAATGTCGGGTTATTTAAACGTGCGGCACGCGCACACAAAAATTCAATATCTCGAAAAACGAAGATCCAGATGTTCACCCTAGAAAAAGCGTCGAGGAAATTTTGTGTAGTCGATAGGTATGCCTTCCAATGATCGTGTATGCCTTTCTGAGTGTCGTTGGTGCCTTTCCTGATCTTCCTGCACGGCATTGAGAGCTTTTCGACATATTCCATGTGTCCACAAATTGTTCCACCTCTTGTCTTTTCTTGATCACACAAATTCGTACACAAAAATTTCCGTCGACGCAGTTCCAGGGTGAGTTCTGGTGGGCGAATGCGCAATTCTTACCTCGCGGGCAGAAGTGAACTGCAGAGGGCGCAGGGTGGCCTTGAGGTCCTGTGTGTTGCTCTCGAGGTCGAACAGAGCGCCGGCGATGGCGGTCTCCAGCTCGGAGGGGCTCTGCCGGGATGGCGAGTTCAGGGCAATCTTGTTGACAGCGGCCATGATGAGCAACGGGGTGCTGCGGGAAGTGCTGGTTGAGGTGTCGGCGGAGGGAAGGTGTTCTCGCTATCAAGAAGCCAAATGGGAATTTGCTGTGGGATCGACGGTTTCGCTTAGGGTGCACTTGGTCCCGTTTGGGTTTAGCGCGGTTTCTCCTTAGGGGATTGGTGGTCCCGTGACTAGACTGCCCTTGGCCGCCCCTGATTGGCTGACCCGTTCCTTACTCTACATCCATTAATTTATGATCCCAATGTCAATAATTTGTAGTTTCAAGTAGTGGTTTAATGATTTCATGGACTTTTGCTTAAGGATACTAGATGGAATTTCATGGTGTCTATACAATCTAAAAACAGGAACTGTATCATTGACTGATAAACCAGTTTGAGAGAAGGGGGCTGATATCCACAAAATGTGCAATGGAAACGTTCGAAAGTCTCCATCGTCGAGGGAGCAACGCAGATGATTGTCAATAAAGCCAGGCGAGAAAAAGAGTATCGAAAGATGTCATGGGATGAAAGAAGATGCCTGCACCAAAGAAACAAAAAAAAAAAACAAGTGACAGAGGGGGTTGTTGAAGCGAGCAAAGCAAAAAGACGGCGAATCTAACAAGCGCAGCCCTCTTTCGCTGTCGCAGCACCCCGGTCACCAAGGTTGACCCGAGAATCTTCTCCAGAACGACCACTAAGAGCAGTTTGACCAGACCCAGCGGCGCCACGGCCAGTCTTCAGACTGCTTTCAGGAATAGTATTAGCAATAGCCGTGAATACGTCTACCACATTGGTTCCAGTCTTCGCACTAGTCTCGAAGAAAAGCAGGCCCTCCTCCTCAGCATAGCTGGTTCCTTCACGTGTTGATACCTTTCGTGCATCGCCAGGAGTCGCATCTTGTGCCTCGCCGTCTTCATCGGCTGCCTCATCACCGTCGGGACTAGTCGGCTCAGACTCAGGCTCGGGGGACGCAGAAACATCGCCACCCGCATTGGTCAAGTCCAGCTTGTTACCGACGAGGGCGATGACAATTCCGGGGCTAGCTTGGCGCTGCAGCTCAGCCACCCAGTGCTTAGCCTTAGTAAGAGAGGAGGGTTTGGTAACGTCGTAGACCACAAGAGCGGCTTGGGCGTTCCGATAATACATTGGGGCGAGGGAGGCGAATCGTTCTTGACCTGCAGTATCCCAGATCTCGAATTTGATTGTTCGCGAGGGCAGGGTGCATTTCTGTGTAAGGAAAGCAGCTGAATGAAGATGACGTTAGCATATTGTCTAGGTTTCAGACCGAATTTAGAGAGAGCGGCGATGGTTCATTTAAATCATCCGCCCCAGTGTAACATCCATTGCAACACGATGTATGGCAAGAATAAGAAAGTGCAGCGCCTCTATTCGTATCCGTCTTCTGCCGCTCATTGGTGGAGGAGAAATGGGAAGGTTTCCTTACCGCCGATCGTTGGCTCCTTGTTCTCTTGGAAATCATTGTTGACGAAGCGAAGGACAAGGGACGACTATGATCACAAGGAATTGTCTCGTCAGCTATTGGATGCTAGTGTAACGTCGCGCATTGAACTGTACCTTTCCTACTGCTGCTTCTCCCAGCAGGACAAGCTTGACGCTGCTGCTGGGCTTGGGAGCATTTGCGCCCGCCGAATCAGACATAGCTGAGATGCGAGGTAGTAAAGGTTGGCGGAGGGATAAACCACTGGTTTAGGCCGTTGTGCAGGAAGGGTGGCCTGTCAAACAATCCGGGATTAGGCAGACGGTTGAACTTGCGGGATTCAGCTGAGACCTAGCCTTGCGTTGACTAGCTGAGACGTATGGTAGAAATTGAGGAAGGAATATATGATTCTGCGTATAGCGTATTGAATCAAAGACGATACGAGATGAGTGTTACAAGCCACAGACGTGCTAAGAGAATCGAGGTTATGAGATGTCGAGGCGGAGGTCGATGATGATGTTCTTTCCTAGTATGGTTTAGCGTCAATCCCTGATACGGAGATCACGTGATATCCAGGACATACAAATATGATGTAGACATGGATATATGCCATTGAAAGACACGACAGTTATGAAAATAAAAAATGCCCTAGAGACCAGTTCGATGGTGTAAAATTCTGTTTCTGGATGCATATGGGTGAAAGCCAAGACATGGCGAAATGCCCTTTCGTGTGTCTCGAGATAGAGAGCACGTATTTAGAAATAGCCAGCTCTGCGTTAGCCAAAGATATGCATTTTTAGCAGCCTGAAAGTTTGGTTTAGGGTTTAATGATCGAAGTATTCCAGAATTATATTAGTTGGCACCAGTTATGAAAAATAAGGTCCAGATGTGGGAAAATGGTACTTTTGCGAATAGGCTCACAAAATGACTCAGTCATAAGGCATACCCAATATAACTATGTAAAAATCTCCAAGGTTGTAGATACTGGAAACTATAATACCTATATGATAGCCATTGGGCGACAGGGATCTTCGCACGCCAGCAGATCTAGTTGACGTACCTTTACTACATGAAAGTTTGACCACCAAGAAGGGCAAATCCTCCATGGCAGCTGCAGCCCTTGCATTGACATCTGTAGAACGAGATTCTCCGAGCATTTACGAGATACGAACCTCGTTCCTGGCCGAGCTAGTGCCCGACGGATATGCAAGATAATGGCGGGTCGCCGCGACTGGTCGGAATGCCTCTGCCGATGCAGCTCAGAAGGATCCGATCGAAAACCTGGCTGGTGGTTCCTGGACTCGGCGTCAGTCCCTACGCAAATCTGCCCAACGCTTCTACACAATTCCGCTTGTGCCTGACAATGACAAGGAACACGACATGCGGCGCCTGTCAAACATGCTTAGTTTCTGAATCTGTACTAATTGATGTGGATTGGACCACGGCCTAGACCGAGAGTGGGGGAGGGGGTAAGATGGTAAAAAAATAGAATTGGCGCTTGCATTCAAGCGCGGAGGTATGGTACAAACGTGGATCTCAAATAAAAATACAAAACACAAATTCCCTTAATGAAGGCCCAAAATAGTATCAGCAGAAATATGATATTGACCGTGTGGTCGAAGGGTCTAGTTCCTCTGGTATCAGCCCATGCATCCCATGCAACAAAATCCGACCCGTCTATGCCAGAACGCCGTCGGAAGAACAAATAAAATCAAAAGGCCGGAAGAAAAAAGAATAAATAAACACAGAGAAACAACTTTTGAGATAGATCAATAAGAGAGAAGTAACCCCGGAAGTCGTGTCGTTTGAAGCGGAAGAGAGATAGGATGAGATGGCGGATAGATAGTAAAGGTCGAGGATTCCAGGATGAGAAATAAAGCGCATATGCGAAAATTCGCACGAAATGTCGAAAATAAAATAGGAAAATGCGTCGTCGCTGGGGGAATCCGAAATCGATGCGAGAGAATCAAAATTAAATAGGGTATAATGTTGGTCGCGCAAATCCAGTGGCGAAAAGTAGACTGCAAGGATGTGACCGAAAAGAAATCAGGAACACCACGAAAATAGAAGAAAGTGATAGTGTTACAAGTGTCTGGTTTCCAATGTTAGTCGTTGAACAATTGGTGCCCAAGATTAGACCTGCAGTATCCGACTCACCAAAAAAAGAGTGCCAACTCCAAACGTATAGACGTGAGTCTCCGATATTTTCGCCGGAGATAATATTCCAAATACCGCTGAATATAACCAAGTATATGGATCAAAGGTGTCTCTTTCGAGGTGATTATTTAGGAGGTGGTTGAGGAGCACCAGGCTTCTTAACACCAGTTGTGTCGTAGGCACCACGTCCCATGTTGCAGGCAGAGAGGTCCCGGAGAATCATATTGAGATCTGCGTAGGCAATCATGATTAGAGAGGTGAAGAATTAAGTGATCAATAGTCTTTAGGTTGCGGGAAAACTGAATTGAATGCGACTTTGCAGTTCAGGGATAGGATGAAAACTCACCAAGTGAATACGACCACGAAAGGATCTTATATAGTAGTTATTTTCTTCCTCGGCCGGAGATTCGAGCAACCAGGCAAACGAACTCCCTATCCCACCCCCGAATTAAAAAAAGAAAAAAAGACGGGTAAGAACCAAAAAAGTTCTAGACAAGGATAGGCGACAGCGGTTGGATGTGAATGCAGTCGAGATCGGAAAGGACCTTTTTAAAGATGACCACTACGGACGATGCGGCCGGCAGCAGATAGTAGGGCAGGAATGTGACGACACCGACCCGACAAATAAGAATGACAGGTTTTTTTGGAGGAACGAAAAGCTCGGCAGGTTGGTGGTTGCTTTTTATGGAAGTGTACCACAAGATGAGATCGTGAATCGGATTGATCCCAAGGATATTCAAAATGATAAGCGCGAGGGTAGCTGCAGAATCAAGTCCATAAAATCGCGATCTGATCCAAGAAACAACGGCCAGAAGGGATAACTAGGGGGTCCTTGGAAGGAGAAGTACCGCGGAAGATGGTCCGGTAGATCCGGGACAAAAAAGAAAAAAATAACAAGCAAGATGTATCGCAAGGGAGTCAAGGGAGGAGGACAGGGGACAGGTAGGGGGTGTAGGCGGATTGATGATTAGATGGTGATGTCGGTTTTTATTTCGTGAAGTATGTCCAAAAGAGCCCCGAGGGAAGGTTGGGAATAATTAATCAAAAAGAATCAAAAAAGTCAAAGGGAAAGGAGAGGACGAGTAGATATAGTAGAAGCAAAGAAAGAGCACAGGATGATCGACTGTGTCTCTCTCGCTCTACTTTTTTTTTTCTTTTCTGTATTTAATCTCAAAAATCAAATAAATCAAATAATAAAACTAGAGTTAAAATAAAATAGAAAATCGAATCAGAATATTACAATATGGGGGGGTGGGAATTAAAATAAAATAAAAATGGATAAATAGAAATACAAATTCAATAAATCGAAATTACAAGGAGTGGAAACCCCAAAAAAAGTAAATAAATAAATTAAATCCACAATAAAATCATCCAGGTACATCATAAGCTTATACGTTCCATTTTTCCATTTTCTTTTCTTTGTTTTAGCACCGAGCGGCTCTCCCGTCCCTTTGGTCCCGGGGAACAGGAACGACACAACCCCCTTTCTTTTACCTTCTTAACGTCTAAACATTGCAGTAGCGCCAAGGGCGATCGAGACTGAACTTTCTCCGTCCTATCAATCAAAAAATAAATCCACATTATGATCCATCACACGTTCGATGCATCCAGTTCTTTCAACCAAATCTGCACCAACAAATCTTCGCCATCTCTATCATAATCATATAATCGACCTACCTTGCTCCCATCCATCTACTACACAAAGTACCATGCAGATGGGGGAGAGGCCTTATTTCCCCGACAGACTTCTCTCTCTCCACTTTCCCAGGGGAACTTCTCTTTTTGTACCTGGTAATTTTAATCAATTGAAAAGGGTTTATAACTCCAGGGCTTTATTACTTGTTATTTATTCTTAAGTCCACTAGAAAAGTAAGCTCGAATTCCGACTCTCTGGACAGCCTTTTGCATAAGTGGAGAAGGAAGCAGCCGCAGGAACAGAAAAAAACGGATCCATCCGAAGAGACAGTCGAGTTCCTTCTCTCGCGTGGTTCGGACTCCATCGGACAAATCACTGTCTAACTACCTTGGTACTAGATCCCTTCGGAAACTTGGGTATTAATCCGCATCTATCATTGAAAGAATACTGTACAGTACTCCGTACTTGATTGACCAGGGGTCCTGGGGGTCTGACATATGATGCCTAGGTAGGTTCTCACTGCGTATCTCCGTCGTACATCATCGCCGCACCTAGGCTATGCTATCAGGGTATTCCGTGGACCTAGGCTTTGCCCTGGCTGTCGGTAGATTTACCATGGGTTACGGGTTACGGGGTACGGGGTTTAATTTACACATGTGTACTAGGTATCAATTGGAATGATTCAAATAAATCGCTGGATATTCGATCCTAATAGGTGGCATTTCACATCTGTTTAGCATTACTGTAGCTCTAGAGTACCAGAGGCCAGGATAATTCATGTTTCGCTCTCCGCCACACCATCACCCCTAGCTCATCTAGCTCCTTAATAGTGTTGGTTTTTTTATAACATTCTTTGATGGAATGTCTTCCCTCCAATGACACCTCAATCAAGATGTTGGTTCTCAAGTTTCGGGAACTGCGACTTCTGGCCCCCGGCCAATCGCTCTTCCTAGGTTCCCACCTACCTCCGTCACAGGAACCGAGATTCAAACAAAGCCAATCGTTCAGTTATCACGTTCGTTGTTGTTGACGCCCAACAACTGGAACACATGTCTTGTTGGTTTTTGTTTTGTTTCTTTTTCTTTGACCTCAACGTGTTATCCGAGTATCTAGGTCGATATGTTGTTTCTGTTTCTATTTTTTTTAATGTATTTCCGATTATTCAACTCCGTTTCCACCTCTCTTCGCTAACCGATCGAGATCACCTACGATCCTGTTGGAGTGGAAAAGGATCCATCATTGTAGGGATCCATCATAGGGGGTGGGCCCCCGGGGCGCGCTACAAGGCCCCGAAAACCCCATCGATACGGCGCGTCGATTCCCAAAGTCAAATCAGAACCTCAAACAAACCCACTTCCTCGTCTCGGTTACGTATGAACATTCTTTCCATCTTCTAGCCTTTCTAGTCTCCCGGGGTCTTGGGTCACCAGTGCCCACTTCGTCTGTATTCCACAATACAAGCCCCGTACGTGGAACATTGGAACACTCTCTGCTCCATTCATAATTTTTCTAGACTCCTTCTCTTGTCCACACGGGAACTGCAGAAAACAGTTACGGCTCCACCCCCATATCCGCGTCTCAACCCCCTATTCAATAATATAAGGGCTATAATAAGGTCTCCCGGCGTTCGAAATGTTGTACCCTGTTGCGTCAGCTCTTTTTAACATTGCCACACTGGAGCTCTTGGGGGTAGGGGTTATTTTTTTGTGAAACCATTATAGGTCACTTAAGGAGTTGTATGGAGCAAATGTCTATTCTTTCCTTGTCTGATTATTGCAAATCTGAACACCTGGCTTCAGTGGTTCGTAATCTTGTTTCAGCCGTGACTCTGGCAACTCATAGGCCTGTACCTGTAGATAGGATCAGGGGTGATAAGGAATCTCGTGAGTTTATGGCATGCTCCGTGGCTGATTAGGCTCCAATCCTTATTGCAATCGGGCCTAACGATCTACCGCGGAATTGAATTTACAGTCCGGAGTCTTTAGTGAGATCAAATCAATGGTTAAAGAGACACGGCTGGTAAAATATCCCAATTACTCCATTAAGGGGGCGATGAAGAGTGAAAGAGGGTCAATAGGAGTTCAACACCTTCTACTAGTTAATTTACGGAGTACATATTTACTCCGTACAGAGTTCACAGTTTTCTATTTCTTCCTCTCTTTCTTTGGCTTGCAGTTGCTATGTGAATGCCGCTTTTTGCAAGCCACCTTCTTCCAGGGCGATTCCCTATTCGTGATACCCTGGCCCCAAGATGGAGATGGACGATGATCCTCAGTGGGTCACGGTAAAGACGCCCCAAATAATGGGCCTCACGGTGTTTACGTTGCAGTAGACTGCACCAATTGGCAAATGGTGTCGGGGCATTTTCTACCAAAAACAGATGAATAGTGTAATAAATAGTTAAAATTTTCATTGATTCTTACAAGGGAAGACGAGCTTCCTATTTGACTTCCATTTTCTACTGGTGGACCCGGCAACAAGACCTTCCTTTCCCCATCGCGTCGGGAAGACCCCGTTTATTTTACAGCTGTTAGAAACGGGAGAAAAAAAGCCTGCTGGAGCCCTTTGTACCTTCCAGAACTCAATAGATGCTTGACTAGAGCCCTTTCCAGGCATTAGGTCCCGGGCTATCTCCGTCATCTCGGTTGAGTACCTTGTTGGGATAGCTTTACAACTCTTGTTTTTTACGTAATTTTTCTGTCATTTCTTCTTTTTTTCAGCTTAGAAAGGGCAGGATTTTCAATTAGGGTACAACGGTCACGATCCAGGGCTCTGGTTCTTCTTGCCTCACGGCGGTGATCCGTTCGGATGAGCTCGCCACAGCGGGTTCCTGAGAAACGCGTCTCCAGACTTCGGCTCGATGCATTAGTCCACCCGCTCATAACAAGGTTTAGACGAATTGCATGAACCGCTTTTTTGGCTTCCCGGGAACTAGGGCAGAGGGATTTAGTTGTTGATAGCGTCGGTAACGAGCTTCCCTATTGAACTCTTATATGACTGTGAAACAGAAGGTCAGCACAGAGAAGTAAAAAGGTTGAGGGGAAAAAAGTACATGCTGATCCAAGTCCCAGCATCCCCACCTGGACGGAGGACTGAATCTTCCGACCAGTATATCGCCGGTTGACACAACATTACCCGCGCATGCAGTGCACCTACAGAGTGGCGCACGCAAGGAACAGGGGTCCTCGATCGCGGAAGAAAACCCGCCCCGACTTGGTCAACCGCCTTGCAGCACGATAACCAACCAAGCAGGGAGTTGATCCTGGTCGACCGGTAGATTTCTTTGTCCGCGACGGTCTCGATGTGTCAATTGCCAACAATCTTCAAAATTGTGGCGGCCGTTGGGAAATCAATGATTGTTTCGAACCAGCCACCTCGACAGAATCCAGTATAGAGCAGTTGATAGCGCAAGACCAAATTCGAAAACATGACTAGTTCACTAGGGCTTCGCGGAAGTCAATCCGGGCGATCCTAGGACCCAGAAAAATGGAAGAAAGGAGCCCATATCAGAAATCCAAAGAGAGATTACTTGTGGAAGGCTTCTGGAACAAGTGGACTATTCCCTATGTACTCCGTCTAAATCCACTTTTGGTCTCCATTCTTAGGTACAGATTCGTACACCCGTGTACGGAGTACTCCGCAACGGCACTCCGAGAGGAAGATACAGACAGTACAGGCTGCACTTACCCGACATTCTGGAACCCGCAATGGAGTACAGCAATGATCCACGATGCATTTTGGAGCGAAAAGCGAAGCGGGCCCCCGAGTGAAGCTGGACCCAGGGCGGAGACATCCTTGAATGGAGTCTACAGTACAGTACAGAGTACATAAAAGAAATAACAAAAGTACGCAATCTCTGCTCTGTCTAGAACTTCATCTATTCTGACTCTGTGGCCCCGTTTTTGAGTGCCTCGGTTTCCTTCTCCTTTTTCTCTCTCTCTGTATTGTTTTGTTTTGTTTTCTACTTCCTGTCCACTTTTACGGCTGGCTGAGACTGTTCGGAAAACCGCACCACGGCGACATCCGCAAGATAAATCCTTCATCCGTGATGATGAGCCACCCGGAAAGCATCCAGATAAAAATGATGTGGATAGGACCCAGCAAGAAAAATGACAGCCTGCAATCCTCGAGTCACATCAGCCAGGAGCTCAAAATACTTTACAGATGAATAAATAAATAAAAAGATGACGATCGACTAGCTCCACGGCCCCAACACCCATCGCGTCGGGTTTGAGATCGTCTCCTTTTCCTTCCTCCCGGGTCTGCCGCCCCTGACTCGAGATACGCCTTACCCCATCGCAATCAACAGGTGCAGTCTAATGTACCTATGCAGACGACCTGGCTAAAAAAGCATAAGTAGCAGGAAAGAGAGGGTCCGACTACTGCAAGCTGCAGTACATTATTTTCCAGATTTCAGATCAATCGAGCCATACACAGTGCAATGCGAGCACATCTCAATCGGGTCTGACCCACCTTCGACATTCCTGTGGCGCCGGCTTCACATTGCCGTTTTCCGCAGCCACTCGAAATGCGACGGCTAAGATATCCCGCCACACTAATGTCCACCTGTGGAGCAGAATCAGCTTCTCAAATGCGCGCCTCCGATGCGGATTCTGCGAGGTTGGGAGCCCCTGGGACAGGTAGTTCGTCCACTTCGATCGGCGTCGTGCATGATACATGACACTTAGCTGCATGATGACAACTCGTTTTCCTAGTTGTGTCATTACATTTCTCAAAATGCAGAGGCACAGCACAACACTTTGCGCTGCACAGCGACGATCGCTGTGACCTTGTAACCTTCCTTCTGTGTCTGGCATCATTTGACATGCGGCTTGCAGTGTATTCCGATCGATCTGCTGCATGCAGAAAAGATCAAGGCACCTTGAGGCATCTTTCAATAGTGGATTTGCAAGTGCTGTGGTACATAAGGAGTACGGACTACAGGATGGACATTCCCACTTTACTTGATACTTCATTCATTCACTACCGACTTAGTCTTGGATCCAAAGTCTGTCTGTACTCCGTTTTTACAATAAAGTACACTGTACGGAGTATCTTGCAGATCGCCCGGGAACCCAAACAAAGTACCTTCGTGCCAAGATCTCCCAGCAATCATCAATCAATCCAGACTCCGACAGATCGTCTCATTCCCGATCGCGATGCTAAGATTGCGCCCCTTCCCGCCTCTTGCATTACACTAAAGGATCGTCTAACCTTGGGGATGTCTCGGGGAACGGGAATTCCGATGCAAGCTGTCGAATCCGACTACCAGGTACGGTTGATACATCACATTCATTCCTCTGAGGTCGGTGCCACCAATGAAGAAGATACGACCGCCTTGATCTTCAGTAGATTAGACTCAAAGCTTTGCATTGGAATGCAGGGACCTGTCTTTTCGCCTCCTTTCTGAGGAATGACAAAACAAAAGCCGGGAAGGTCAAAACACAGCGATGCGCGCGCGTTCCTGGATCATTATTCTAATCTGAGATATCTTTTAATCTATTCGTCAGAGTCATCATTCCAGGTTCTTAAGATGTCATGCCCCGTGTCAACCTGTCACATCTTATTTGGAATTATTTACATGCTAACACCCCAGACTTATCCTATCTTGTTGCTTGCCTTCGCCACACAAACTGAACATTCGACACCTCAAAATTGGGAACAAACAGTGTGGTACGCCATTTCGAACTAATGTAGCGATCAACAGTTAGCAAACAAACGACCACAAATCAAATCAAATCTTCCTTTCACATCGAAAAAGCATAGCAAGCAAGACAGAAAAAAGCAGCGACAGAAACTTACCTGCTCATTGGTCTGGCAAATTAGGACTCGGGGCCCCTTGCCGCCTCCCTTGGAAACATCTTTGACTGTCTCGTTATCTTCGGGCCCGTTCTCATTAGCCTCTAGGTTGATCTCTACGCCTAGACTCCAGCACTTTTCAACCAAGGTCCGGCGCAAAAGCGCACTCTTCTCGCCAATGCCGCCCGCAAAGACGAGAGCATCCACCTGTCCATTCAACTTCACGTAGTAACTTCCGATATAGCCTAGAATGCGATCGACGAGGATATCGAAAGCGAGCTTGTGCGCCTCCGACGGCGGATTTTCGACTGCGATCTCGCCAAAATCAGTTGTACCAGTTAGAGCCTTCCAGCCGGACTTTTTATTGAGAATTTCTTCTGCCTGGATACGGATACGTGAGTTAAAGTTCATTCGTATAATCAGTATCACAAGACGACAAGTATTTGTGTTCACTTACCGTGCTGATATGCATTTCCTTCGTACTTGCGGGGCTCAGCTTCCCCGCTTCGTTAGTGTAGTGAAAGACCAGTCTGGGGATCACGAGGACCGCTTAGTATGATTTCTTCGCTATCGATAGAGGTGAGGGGTAGCTACTCACGATGGATCAACTGAGCCACTTCTAGTTGCTCCAGGCAATCCAGCGAGGGGCGTTAGCCCCATCCTAGTCGACATTAGCTATCTCCACTTCTATTTCAATCGAATATAGCTCTCACGAGGTATCGATCGACTTTCCATCCTTGATAGCACATATGGAAGCCCCACTCCCAAGGTGCATCGCGATCAAATTCGTCTGCCCAATAGGTTTATCCAAGAACTGAGCCACAGAACGAAGGATGAACGAGTAGCTTATCCCGTGGAATCCGTATTTCCGTAATCCGTTCGCGCGCGCAATTTCCTGGTTGATAGGGTACGTTTTCACATGTAGAGGCATAGTCTGATGGAAAGAAGAATCGAAAAAGGTTATGCTAGCGACGCTGGGAAGCTCTTCCTTGCAAAGCCGAATAATTTCTAGCGCGGAGAAATTGTGTCTGATAAAACGAACGTTAGCTGGGTCTAGAAAATGAATCCACGATAGCTAGTGCACGTACAGCGGGGCAAGATCTTCCAGCGCTTCGAGGCGATGTAGTGTTTCATCGGTAATAGTCACTGAGTCCTTGTAGTCACCCCCATGAACAACCCGGTGACATATATACGCGAGATCAGCATCGCTAGCGACCTCCGAGAGCTCCGGATCATTGAAGCATCGCTTGAGGATATATTTGAATGCGTCCTGGGGTGTGCTGAGCTTCTCCTCCAGCTTCTCCTTGGTTTTCACCGGTCCGCGCTGGTATTTCAGCAAGGGCGGCGGAGCTGTGATTCCTGAGACTTGAGCGTCGGCGATGGGTTTCGGCGGGTTCTCGAATGTATAGAATGTCACTTTCACGGAGGATGAGCCGGCGTTAACGGCTAAGATGTACTTCGGCATCGTTGGAAATAAGTGATTCGGAGTATTAAGCTTATTATAGACCAACTGGAGATTGGTTGGAGATCTGGTGAGGGCCCCGTGGTTGGAGGTGGGTGGTTGGTGATGTCAAGGTGGTATCAGAGTTGTGACGTCGGTGATGGGACATCCGGACTTATATACCCATCTGCAGGGCTTGTGGGCAGATCATGCTTGCATGGCATGACCCATGAATTAAGTAATTTCTTGCTCCTCATCGCTTAAGTAATTTGAATAAAAATAAATTATTGGGGCCTTCTGTGTGGTCTTTATTATTCTTTTCTATATTTGTTCTATATCTTTTATTCAACAATTTGTCGATTTCAGGCTTCTGCCCCACAGTGAACATTTGGTTACATCTCACTACATTTAACTACTGCTGTCTGTTTACGCCATGCCGGGAGAAGTCATTGATCGGCCGAATCCACAGGCTTTGCCTTCCAATTTGCCTGATGAGTTAGAGAGGCTCAGTGTTAAAGTACCTCCTTGTACGGGACTTGATCAACAGCTTTGCGATGGCTTGTTCAAGTTTCGGAAGGCGGCATCCTATATCGCTGCAGGTATGTTTGAAGTATCTATACTTCAACTTCGAAGAGGGTTCAAGAAAACTAATATGTAATATACTGCAATAGCTATGATCTTTTTGCAAGAAAATACTCTTTTGAAAAGAAAACTTACCTTTGACGATATCAAGCCTCGATTACTTGGTGAGTTCCCTCTACATATTTCAGCTGATCATAGGCGCAAATTATTAGGTAGTACAAATCCAGAACTTGAACTTGAAGCTAATTATTTTATTTTATTCCCAGGCCACTGGGGAACTTGCCCTGGCTTGATCCTCGTCTACTCCCACCTCAATTATCTTATTAGAGCAAGAAATCTCGATATGATTTATGTTGTTGGTCCAGGGCACGGAGCACCGGGGATCCTAGCCGCATTGTGGATAGAAGGCTCATTAGAGAAGTTTTATCCCCACTATTCAAGGGACGCTCAAGGTCTCCACAAGCTCATCTCCAGGTTTAGTACCACAGAGGGATTACCAAGGTTAGTAAAATAGACAGTCAAGTTGAATATACTGATAAAATGACAATTTTGTTTCTCCTAGTCACATTAACTCCGAAACCCCGGGCGCCATTCATGAAGGTGGAGAGCTGGGCTACTCCCTGGCTGTATCATTTGGTGCAGTCATGGATAATCCAAATCTGATTGTTACTTGTGTTGTGGGTGACGGAGAGGCTGAAAGTGGGCCAACAGCTGCGTAAGTCTTTGCCTCACCGATCAAGCGCACAAAATACTAATTAAGAGCAGATCTTGGCACTCAACCAAGTATATTGATCCCAAAGAGTCTGGCGCCGTCCTTCCGATCCTTCACTTGAACGGGTTCAAAATCAGCGAACGCACAATCTTTGGATGCATGGATCACAAGGAGCTATTGGCGCTTTTCAGTGGATATGGGTACCAAGTCCGGTTTGTGGAGAATGTGAATGATATCGATACGGACTTATACTGTTCAATGTCATGGGCCGTGGATGAAATCCATAAAATCCAAGAAGCGGCGCGTTCTGGAAACCCAATTATGAAGCCTCGGTGGCCAATGCTGATACTGAACACACCAAAGGTAGACTTCTCACACATTTATAGCTTTCGAGAATACTGATTATTTGCCAGGGTTGGTCTGGACCAAAAATGCTTCGCCAAAATTTCGTCGAGGGTTCATTTCATTCGCACCAAGTGCCATTACCCAAGGCAAAATCTGATCCATATGAACTGGATCTCCTTCAAAAATGGCTGTCGGACTATAGACCCGAAGAACTCTTCAAAGAGGATGGCGACGTCATTGATGAGATCAAGTCAATACTACCGATTGAAAATTCTAAGAAGCTGGGCCAGCGCATTGAAGTATACAATAGCTACAGAACACCGAATTTACCAGACTGGAAACAATTCGGCGGGAAGTCAGGCTCAGAAGAGAGTACTATGAAATCAACGGGGAGGTTCATCAACGAGTTCTTTGTTATGAATCCACATAGTGCACGACTCTTCTCGCCTGATGAACTGGAGAGCAACAAGCTTGATGCGGTGTTTGACAAGACGAATCGAAACTTTCAATGGGATGAGTTTGCTAACGCCCGCGGAGGTCGCGTTATTGAGGTTCTTAGCGAACACATGTGTCAGGGATTCATGCAAGGGTATACCCTGACTGGTCGCGTGGGGATTTTCCCTTCATATGAGAGTTTTCTTGGTATAATTCACACTATGATGGTGCAATACTCTAAATTCGTCAAATTAGTCAGTTCCCTTTACACTCTTCACACTTCTCATTAGCCGATGGGTGATAGGTTACTCATCAAATCCTAGGCCGAAGAAACCAAGTGGCATTGCCCCAACGCCAGCCTCAACTACATCGAAACAAGCACATGGACTCGACAGGAGCATAACGGTTTCTCCCATCAAAACCCATCTTTCATAGGATCCGTGTTGAAGCTCAAACCAACATCCGCCCGTGTCTATCTACCACCAGATGTTAACTCGTTCCTGACAACACTTCATCACTGTTTGAAGTCAAAGAACTATATCAACTTGATGGTAGGCTCAAAACAGCCGACCCCGGTATATCTGACACCCGAAGAAGCAGAAAACCACTGCCGAGCCGGGGCATCTGTTTGGAAATTCTGCAGTACGGATGACGGTCTGAATCCCGATGTTGTTCTCGTTGGTATAGGAGTCGAGCTCACGTTCGAAGTTATCGCGGCTGCAGCACTTCTTCGAGAGCGCGCTCCAGAGCTACGCGTCCGAGTTCTCAACGTGACTGATCTCATGATTTTGGATAATGCAGGAGCCCACCCGCATTCATTGTCGACCGAGGCGTTTGATAACCTGTTTACTCCTGACAGGCCTGTTCTCTTCAATTATCATGGATACCCGACAGAGCTACAGGGATTGCTCTTTGGTCGCCCACGCCTGGAGCGTGTTTCAATTGCTGGATACATGGAAGAGGGAACGACGACCACACCATTCGACATGATGCTTGTCAATCGGACATCGCGGTATCATGTGGCACAGGTTGCTGTTCAGGGCGCATCGAGATTTAATGAGAAGATCCAAGCCCACAGTCAAGAACTACTGGCTGAATTTGATCATAATATTGTTGAGGCGCGAAAGTACATCATCGCCAACAATGAGGGTAAGACTCCTCCCGAGGTCCTTATCAGCCGTTTTTCGTTGTCGTATTTTTTCCGGATTTTATTACATGCGTACATTCACTGATTCTTTTGTTCGCAGACCCCGAGGGCTTAGTATATGAAGCTCCAAGATTCACCTAGTCTGTGGATTGGTGTCCTTGATGAAATGAATATAGAATATTCGTAGATAGGCACCGAAATATTCGTGACAGAGTAAGAATGCAGATTTCGAGTGTTGTCATCAACAATACAGTAATCTAAAACCCCGAAGATACATCTGGCTCTGAGAGGGTCTCCAAGGGGCCCATGAGAGGTACTGTTTGACTGGGATGTAGATCGACTCTTGATCTGAAAACCTGAATTGGGCATAAGACATAGGCTTCATGTTCGACTTAACATATACCTGCTATTGAGAGCTGGAGCAACAGAAGACTGTGGGGTTCACTCATGATACAGGTATCCCATCGCCTTCAGCTGTCTCACTGTCAGGTGGTTTTATGGGCGCTAAACATCTGCAGGTTAATCCACTGGTACTTGCATCCACCCCCAGATAGGCAGTTTCTCTCCATATCCCTTTGAATCAATACGAGGATGACGTGAGACATGAGAGCAGTACCATCCAATGTCGAAAGGATCTCTACAATGAAATTGTTGGTTGTGGCAGGATCCGAGTGAGAAATTCAGCCAGCCTGGCGTGCGGGGATCATGTGTAGCCATGTATAGACGCGCTGGACACGGATTGGCCTGTTTCACGCTGGCCATATTGTTTCTCTGGGTAAAACATAGAAACTGACCTTCAAATTTCAATGTAGCCGTTCCATTAGGGGGATCATATTCTCCCAGATGCCTAAACCCCATGTTTTAGTACACTGCAACCATCCTTTCGGCGAGTTTCAAACGCGCCAAGACAGACAGAGCGGTGAAGGTCCGTGCATGTCAAAACGCTCAAACCACAATTGAGTCCGTGTCAGCAATGTCCACCACCTACTGCAGATCTAGGTCTGGGTCCAAGATCTTCCGCGTTTGAAAGGAAACGGCTTTGTTTACAGTTTACGCCGTGACATTTTACTCCAAAGTGCAGAAGCCTGTCAACTAAAGAAAGTAATCCTCAGAGCTCTGAGCGGTCCCCACGAGAGAGAGGCTCCGGCGGAAGCGTCGGAACGGTCGGAGTTCGCAAGACGGCCTTGTCCGTGTCTATAAGTGGTTCCTAGTGGCTCGGTGTTCACAGTCTCCATCGGCACTAAACCCAAATTAGATGAGGTTGCGAGGCCAATGCTGCGTGGGCACATCTGGCTCGTCTAAGCGGCCCAGCTTTCTATCAGATCTGGCTGACATTGCATGGTTCAGGCGTTTTTATGTCATTTTTCCTCTATTTTTTTTCCGACGCAATTTGATGGCGCCGCAATTTACCCCACCTGCCGCCATGTTCCGGAAATTAATTGGTCAAAAAGATCGAAATAATTCTTTGCCCCTCCTATGGATATACTTTGACGGATTCTATAGGGCCCTGTCTTCAAACATGGAAGGGCAAAATCGGCATTGGTTCCCCCGATGGAGTCCATAGGTAGCCAACAGATCTTGCGGACAAATATCTGGTGGCTCCCCACGTACTTTGTAGACGTAGTTAATTAGTTTTTTCCCTCGCAAGCATCCTTTCTAGGGATAGCGTAGGTGTCCAGCCTTATTCCACGTTGATAATTTATTATTCCTCGTGGCCCACGCTCGTTACTGTTGCCTTCAAGTTGTTTATTTGCATTCACCTTAGGTAGTACCGACCTACGTCTTTCAACCCGGCGACTTCCAAGGTTGAGCATATCTCTCACTTGCCGGCCATTATATTCGATATAGTATACCTTCGGAGTCGCGCCGCATCGGTTCATCACCATTATTTTACACTTTCGCAAAGTCTTCTCAATACCCCCGGTTTCAAGCGGCATAGTACATACATCATGGTCGACATGATGGCTTTGACGATTGGTTGCCACGCCAAAATCCCCGGCGTCGGCACCTCTTATGGATATGTACCACAACTTTCGGTTGGCATTGTCTTCTGCGCCCTCTTCGGTGTCGCGATGATCGCGCATACCATTCAATTCTGCTGGAAGCGACAATGGTGGTGTGTAGTGTTTACTCTGGGTTGCATGGGTGAGTAAGAATGGGAATAAAGGAACACTGCTTTGAGTATTATCCGGACTATTAAAATTGACCGATATGTGCAACAGTTGAACTGATTGGTTGGGCCGGGCGAACATGGTCTAACGTATGCCCATACAATGGCACTGCATTTTTGATGCAAATTTCTACCCTCATCATTGGTATGCAGTCAACAAACGCTTTTATCCCTTAAAAATTACACCTACTAACCCGTTTGCCTAGCTCCAACCTTCTTTACCGGTGGCATATACGTCCTGCTTGGCCGTTTCATTCAAATACTGGGCCCCGAATCCTCCATTATCAAACCATCCCTATACCTCTGGATCTTCTGCACCTGCGATGTTCTTTCGCTCGTCATCCAGGCCATCGGTGGTGGCTTGGCCTCTGCTGAAGTCAATAAAGTTAACGGCAACACCAAACCTGGTACACACATCATGGTCGCGGGTATTGTTTTCCAGTTGTTCTCCATCACTATTTTCGTTATCTGTGCCACCGACTTTGTTCGTCGTACCTTGCGCCGCCACCTTCTCCAATCCATGACAGGCACTATCGTTCCACTTCTAGTCGCTATGGTTTTCTCTGTGCTTTGCATCTATGCTCGAAGTGTCTACCGTACTATTGAGTTGTCGCAGGGCTGGTCAGGGTACCTTATCACACACGAGAGATATTTCATTGCGCTTGATGGATCTATGATGATTGCAGCTGTTGCGGTCTTCAACTTTGTACATCCAGGGTGGTTTTTGCCAAAGGATGATTATAAGCATGAGACTGCCACAGAAGACTCGGAGTTCGAGATGACCCGTCCAACGCATTTTTAAAAAGGTGGTTCTTTTGTTTCGGCTTTGTTTTTTTTATATGTCATTTTCAGATGCAAATAGATACCATGAAGATACCTGATTAATATCACCATTTTATAGAGATCAGACTTCCATCAATTATCCAAAGCCTCTAATATTTATGTTTAATCTATAGAAGTAGAATCATTTTGGTATATAAGCGGTGGTTTTGACCTCACTATAAGAATAAATTCATAAGTAGTAATAAGCTGGGTAGTCATCGTATGTGAAAAATAGGCAGAAAATATTATACACTCTGAGTTCTTTATGCAGTAGTTTCTGCCAATTATGTACAAGGGACGGTGTTGGCTTGTATCACCATAGTACTATACAAGCTATTGAGTCTACCATAGCTACTATAAGGTAACTATAACATTCAAACCATCATTAACTCCTCACCTTGTCACCTTACCTCTCCTGATAGTACTCCCTGAGCTGTCAAGAGTTCATCAACAAGGCGACGGAACTCTGGACCAAACTGTAGCAAATCCTTCCATTCCTCAAGCACGGCTTCCTCGCCGTCTCTTGCCCCAAGTAGACCACCTGCAATGGCAGCATTCGTGTCTGTGTCCATGCCAACCCGGACGACATCGACAAGAACCTGGTCGAGTCTCCGCTCATCTAGAACGGCGGCAATAGCTAGAATCAGCGAATCGAGCACGTAACCACTACATGGCCCGATTGAGTCAAACCTCCTCGGCCCTTTATCAGCCAGTTTCTCAAGGGATATCGTGCGTCCGATCTTAATGGCATCATGAACAGGCCCATCCTCGCGGCCGCCTTCTAGCGAGACGGCAACACGCTCGCCCGCGGAGACGGCTTCCTCGACGGATAAGCCGCGCACAACTAGAGCAGAAACAATGGTGTTATAAGCGGCGCAGGCAATGGTGCATCGACGATCATCATGTGTAATAGAGCTGATAGATTGGCTCTCCTCGATGAGAATTTCCTGATCAGTCTGAAAAAGCCCTGTTGGGATGCATCGCATCAGACTGCCATTGCCAGCACTGCCCTGTCCGGCACCCGAGGAAGAGGGATCGTGAGTAGAAGCAAATGCTGATAGACCTCTCCTTGTGGCACCGCCGATATCGCGGGGTAAGGTACCATTCTTGCGACCGGGCCAGTGATCGCCTCGATACCATGCGAGAGAGTACTCGGCAGCCTTGACCGTCACGTTGTCGCCATTTGTTATGGCATCGCGGTAGGCGAGGAGCACGGCGCGCGCGAGGTCTGTATCGTCAGTAGCGGCACCGGGGGGCCAGGAAAGGAAGCCGCCCCCAGTGAGAGTCCGGGGAAAGGCGGCGTTAGGGCCGGGGTGTTCAGTGCGGATAACGGTGTGGGGCTTGAACTCGAAAGGCGCGCCGAGGGCGTCGCCGGCGTGGAGCCCGAGAAGAGCACCGAGGGTGCGAGAGGAGCGCGACGGTGCCATTTTGTCTTGATTTTTATTGAATCGGTTTCACTGTATACTAGATACTTATGAATTGGCTGACTGCCTGGCTTTTATAATGTCATGATGGATGTCTTTGCAAGTGGGGTTAACTGTGGCTATGCTGGTTGTCGCACGGTGTCTGCTGTCTGCCTATTCCCTGTAAGATAAAAAATCGTAGGGCTCTATTCGTCCTGACTTTACAATATTTGGAAAATCTACGACACAAGACTGCTCGCAATCGCCCAAGCGAAACCAGATATACCCTCGTAGTCGCGTCCACGACAGCCTGATCGTATTATATCGCATCATTCATCCCCATCTCTCACTGACTATCTAGGCTAACTGACGGGCAGAATGCCCACCACCGGCATACCGCCGCGCATGGCTGCACATCCCACCCCATGAAATTGTGCGAAACGAGCTCTTCAACTTGCAAGCTAAGATGTAATTCAAGTTGTAACATTGCGCATTGGAGTCGTAAGAATTTCCACGCTATAGTTGTCATGTACTAATTGAGAGAGCTTCATGCTTGGCTTCTCTCGCCTAGCATTATCACTCTTGCACTATACCTGATGCAGGCCAGAGTGGGTATTGCATTCCTTCATCTGACAAGGACCACTTCGATTCGCTTGTACACTATTCCTTGGCAAGCAAGATTTAATAGTTCGGTCGATCTATGCACATGCCTCATTGTATGTGTAACCACAGCTTCAAGAACACACCCCCATCCAGTCTGAATGACATGTAGGTTCCACCTCGCTCCATGACTCAATTTCGGCCTGTTCAAAACTGGTTCGTGTGAATACCCCCGGACTTGGCTGTAAATCTCTGCGAATAATGATGATTGCAAGCTTGCTACTACTATCTTAGGACTAGCTATCCAACTTGAAGGGGAAGAGCCACGATTTCAAGGTTTATACTAGTACTACTAGTAGTAGCTGCCCAGGTGATCAGCAGCCCTGGAGGTACATACTATTATATAACTTGGCTTAAGTATTATAAGTTGTAAATGACCTTTCAGAAACAACAGAATCTATTCCATATCTACAGCCAAATGTTCAAAAAGCCGTAAATTACTCTCCGAGCCGCAGTATTTCATCTCGTTCACGTCGCAAATGTTTTGAAGTTGGCGGAAGGGATGTACTTCGTATTTCGTAATTGATACCCAATCCGTCAATGCATGGGGAGCCCCACATATAAGATCACGTGCAATAGATAAATTGTTCCATCCCGCTTCAGGCTAAACCTCGAAGACTCATAACTCAATATTCTCGTCCCTTTACCTTCTCAAACCCCACAAGCGCTTTGCATCAAGCCCTCTCCATAGCGAATGCTCATCCGATCTCAATTTCCCCGCATAAACACCTTCTGGAACAGACTTAGTCCATTGCATCTAACCCACCTACACACAATGCCAAGTACGTCCAACGAACAAAGCCTCAAACACCATTCAAGTCCAAGACTAATAACTCCACAGGCAGCAGACCATTGGTTATCTCTGGCCCCAGCGGCGTCGGCAAGGGATCCCTAATCGACAAGCTATTCACTGCGCACCCTAATACCTTTTCATTCACCGTCTCCCACACCACACGGAAGCCCCGCGCCGGCGAAGTCGACGGCAAGAGCTACTTCTTCGCTACACACGAGGAGTTCGACGCACTGGTTGCTGAGAATGGCTTCGTCGAACACGCTGTCTTCGGCTCAAACAAGTACGGTACCAGCCACAGGACAATTACCGAGCAGACTGCCAAGGGGCTGATTGTTGTGTTGGACATTGAGATGAATGGTGTTCGTCAGATGAAGGAGAACCCTAGCATTGATCCACGCTATGTCTTTATTCAGCCTCCTAGCATGGCGGTTCTTGAGTCTCGTTTGAGGGGTCGGGGTACCGAGAGCGAGGAGGATGTTCAGCGCAGACTTGCTCAAGCTGCTGCCGAGTTGGCGTTTGCGAATGCACAGACTGGTGATAAGATTATTGTTAATGATGACCTTGAGACTGCCTACAGGGAGCTGGAGGAGTTTGTTTTCCAGGAGTGATTTATTGATATACAGCACTGTGGAGTTGAAAATAAAATGTTTCTTGGGTTGATTGGATCTATGGGTGGAATGGGAACAGAACAATTGATAGACATAAGGGAGTCTGTGACTCGATGACATAAAAACCGGGGTATCGAGCAAGAATATAAGCAAAAGAAACCAGAACACCGGATATCAAAACAAAACAATTAAAATCACATGAAACTGAGCTCATCATCGCTGTCATCTTGGGAGCAGGGGATGACTGATCGCCGTCGAGGGACCACGACAGGGACCGGTGCTTTGGAAATCGAAGGTCGACCAGGTCGTCGTCTGTCCATAGATCGATTGATCTGCTTCTCCATATTCTCTGAAGGAGGTTGCGCAGGGGAAGGGCGGGGTGCTTTATCTTTGATGATCACCACCTCAACTTTGGGTGCAGGCTTCTGAGCAGCAGAGCGCTTTGGCATTCGATTTGACAAATCTCGTAGAACGCGGCGATGTGACGGAACTGGCTCTAACGACGGGGACCTCGACGTAGATCTGTCAGATGGGGACGCGCTTGCACTGTCCTCATCGTGGGTGATAACCACAGGAGCAGTACGCCTTCGCTTGAAAGGCTTGATAGGGGATGTATCTGGTACTTCGTAATGCTGAGTCGTCCCGATGGACGAGGGCGACGAAGTTACGCTTGAAGCCGGCTTTTCGAGTCCATCTGAGTCGGATGAGCTGCTATCTGTCGAGCACGGGATGCACGGTGATTGCATTGACAGCTCTGAAGCTCGTCTCTTTCTCCCAATAATCGGATGCGGGTTCGGTTTGGCAGCAGGTGTACGAGCAACCCATTCACCAATGGTATCTTCCCAGCGATATAAGCCCCGATTGTGTTTCGGAGCACCCTTGGATCCAGAACTTGACACCTTATCATTTCGAAGAGCCATGATTGTTTCTTGGATTTCAACCGCCCAGAGATGATCTTCTGGCTCTCCAGTACTTTCAGCAAACTCCATAGCTGCTTCCACGGCAACGCGGCCTAAAAACATAGCCAAGCCAGGAGCTTCAGTCAGGTAGGGAAGCCTTGACACTATACGTCGAATCTCAGCCCCCATATACGTATTCTCCCCATTTGATGTACTCCCAAAACAACGAAATGCTCGTCGTACAAACAATGCCAGCTCTTTGATCAAAGCAGAGCGAGAAACTAAGAGATCTGACCATTCTTCTATACGATCCGTAGACATCAACACAGGGTGGGTATCACCTGTCAGGATAGCATCGTTGCACCGTAATAGGCAGTCTGCCAACAAAATACAGCCACGTCTTAGCAGGTGATGCGAAGAAAGCGTAGAAGCTTTAGAGAGCGGCTTTGTGTTCATCTCATTCTCCACTGAGGACGAAACATAGTTGACAATGTGACTTGCTTCTGTGCCACCAGCATCCTCAACATCCTCGAACTCGCGAGAGCGGGAGATATGCATCCCGCAAAGCGCTGCCAGAAGACTAGTAACTTGATTGTTCAATGCATCTTCCACTGGAACAGGACATTTCCGCTTAAGGCCCGCATCATTTATAAGCACAACAGAAGAGTTACGGGTGAAGCGTCCTATTTCGTGTTTTATCGACCGTTTTCGAGGTGATTTAAAACTGCGGCCCGAAAGAACATCACCGGCAGAGAAAAGAACAGCTTCAATTAGCCGAGAGGCCGTAGCGCAATCGTCATCACCCCTTGAGAATGATATTGTCGCACGTTCCATCCAATGCGTCCACGGCTTGGTTGCCATCCATTCTGGAGGTAAGACTCCACGAGCAAGAAGCTTTGAGAGCTCGTCGAAGATATAGGATCGGCGTGATGATTCATGATAAGCGTACTTGTGCAACAATCTAACAGCATTCCCAGGAGAGTTGGTATCGGGGGTTGATTTCAAAGCGACAGGAGCCGGGTAACTTGTTCGTGTTGACAGGAATGTTGACAGGAGAGATTCGCACGCATCCGGCTCGCTGTGTCGACATTTATCGATTAGTGCGCAAATTATCGCGTCCGTAAGCCATTCGTTGCGTATCAAGATGGAGACCATATAAAGGCCTTGAGCGCGAACCGCTTGACGCAATGGTTTCCACCCTTTACCATGCGGAGCATAAAATGACTCCAGCTCAGTAAAATATGCGTCACACATATCCTCATCTCCGTCTTCACCCAGTTCGTTCTGTGCCTTCTCCTCGATCGCAATGAACTCAGGTAGACGTCGCATAACCGTAAAGAGAAGCGAGCGCGCACCCAGTCTAGGCTTGGCGGGGATAGCACTACCACTACGCCCGGAGACTCGAGTGTTGTAAAGAAAGTTTTGAAGTACGCGATCAAGATTTCGCACAATATCGACAAACCCGGCATCCTCAGATTGATTGATGAGCTCCTGCCATGGGTTCTTGTGGAGCGAGTATCGATCACGAAACGCCTGTTGTTCCTGGTTTTGTGACTGCCTAGGTTGTTCGACCGGTGGTTGCGACTGCGCACTAGAAGGCATTTCCCATCTGCGCCCGGTGATCAGTGGTGTAGCCAACTCAATCGTACCGGGCAAGGTACGAGACACTTCCGGGCTGTGTATTGATAATCGTGCACGCTTCCTCCCCTTCTTTTTCTCTTCCCTCGCAGAGTATCTATGCCTCACCCGGCGTTGATCGGGCTTCTTCTTCTCAGGAATCCAGACCGGGTCGCCCTCATCGGCATCTGATCCAGAGTAGATTTCCTGTATCCCCGCGGACTGAGAAGACTCCGGATCTTTATCGGGACTTTCTTCATGTTGACTTTGTACTTTGGACTCGGCCGCAATAATCGCTAATGTTTCGTGGTGCTTCTCGAGTCGACGATAGATGGAGGTCAATGGGCGTAACATGCGGTTTGCCCATTTTGCAGTAGCTTGGACGTCATCCATTGGGATTTAATCGGAAGAAATGTTGAATAAAACTATAGGACTGGAGCACGAGGCATTAGTCTCGCTCGTGTTGGGAGCTTGGAGGGGATTTCGAGCCGTACCTGTCTGTTATGCAGTGTTTACAATCGAGCCCCACGACTAAGCATGGTAATCACCACGCCCGGCCTTTCAGCATCGGTGTCTTGTCGGAAAAAATGAAAATATGGGGGAAAAAAATATTATCTGCTGCAATGCAAAATAAGGCGCGTGCAATTGAAATGTTAAGTTGATCCAGGAACGAGATCGGAGTCGGCGAGAACCAAAACAAAGTAAAAGTGGGTCGGCCCAAGGCGGTCTAGCGCGGACTATCGTGCAGCTCTAAGCCTAGACATATTCGAAAGCCGCAATTCAACTTGAACAGATAGTTGTGTCAGGAAGAGCTAAGAAATCGTGAATAACTTGAAGAATATGCAGTGGTATTTTATTTTGCGTATACAACATGAGATTACACTTTGAAACTAATTAGAATTTCTAGATTCGTTCATGACATAAATTATATTGCCATATGATCTAAAGATCTTAGATATACCAGACCGTCGTATCATTAATGCACATCGCGATCAGGGTCATATAATACAACCAATCCATGCCCGGGACAAGATAAACCAATCATATCATAAATGAAAGCAAAAAAAGAGAGGGGAGAGATCTAAAAAAAGTACAGTAGTTTTCCGCTCATCAATCAACCTTGAACCCCCTTCCGAAAATAAACATGGAGTATTTTGTTGTTAAGACACGAGATGACCAAGAAAGAAATATAAATAATCGAATCCAAATGGAGCCAATTCAAAGTCAGATGAAGTCAACAAGAAGTCTATGACTTAGACTGCTTGGAGCCGCGAAGCTTGGGGTTAGCAGCGGTGCGCTTCTTCTGCTTTGAGCCTGAGGTGCTGGAGTCACCGCCCTCAATGAACTTCAGGAGCTCATCGATGCTGCGGGAATCCATTCCAGAACCAGAGGGACCGGCCGTACCAGCGGTCTCAGGAGCAGTCTGGCCAACTTGGGGTTGAACGCGGGTACCCATGGTGGAAGTACGGGGGTTGATGTTGATGCGACGCAGGCGGCGGGCTTGGATATCCTTAGCGTGCTTGGCAATGGAGACAGCGTTCTGAGTCAGTTGCTCCAGCCATGTCTCAGCCTCCTTGGTGTTGCGATCCTCAGGACCGAGCTGGGCAAGGAAGATGTTGTAGGCCTCGCGCATCTTGCCGACGGCAGCCTTGGAGTCCTGGTCCAGAGCCAAGGCCTGGGCCAGTTGGAAGAGGATAGTGGCAGTGTTGATAAATTCAACGCCAAAGAGGTCCTGGCAAACAGACAGAGAAGCCTCGAACCACTTGCGGGAATCACCGTACTGCTTGAGGTGTTGCAGCATCACGGCGGCATTATTCATGGTTGTGATGGAGTCGGGGTGGTTGGCACCGTAGATGATCTTCCACAGATCCATGGCGTGCTTGATGTAAACCAGTGCAGTCTTGGTGTTGCCAGAGGCGTGCTCGAACAAGCTCAGGTTCAGGTAGGCCAGGATGGTGTCAGCAGAGTCAACACCAAGGGTGCGCTCAGTGACAATGACAGCCTTGCGAGCCAGCTCCACAGCGGCCTCCTTCTCATCAGTCTGGTAGTAGAGCATGGACAGCTGGTGATAGAGCTTGGCAACTTCGGGGTGGAGGATACCGTAAATCTGCTCGTGCAGGGACAGAGATTCCAGAATGAGCTCCTGGCCCAATTGCTTCTGGTTCTGCATGAGAGAGATACGGCCAGCCTCCAAAGCCTCCTCGGCCAGAGCGCTGCGGGGAGAGGCGTCCTTGACCAATGGCACAATGTTCAGGATATCGTCGGCAATAATGGAAGTAGTGGGCTTAGCCTCAACAACAATGCGGCTGGGAGACTTCTCGGCGCCGCCCTTCTTGTTCTTCTTCTTCTTGTTGCTGTCATCCTGGTTGCTTCCGTTGTTACCGTTGGTGACAGGAGCAAGAGCAGGGGCCTTGACATCAGCTTTGTTGAAGGCATAGTCGCGGGCACCAAGCTGAAGACCCAATTTGATAGAGATATCACGTAGGAGCTGCAGATGTCTCAGAGAGCCGACCCAGCTCTTCTCCAGGGAGTAGCGGTAGCGCATGGTAACCTGCTTCTCGATCTCAGCGCGGAGGGACTCAGGAGTAACCATCTCGAAAGAGAAGTCACCCTCGGGGTAGACCTCACGGAGCGACTGGTCAATCTCGGGGCGAGGAGCAGTCTCCACGTCAGTACCCAGGAGACAGTTCAGCAAGTGAGAAGTGCAGGGGGCGGCGAAGGGAGCAGGAACATGACGCAGATAGTTGTTGGCAATGTGCTTGAAGGCACGGGCAATCATCTCCTGAACCAAGAGAGTAGACAGAGCTTGCAGACGGGCACCCTTCTCACTGGACATCTGAGCCAGCTTACCGAGGTAGCGGACGTTGATACCGCGCTTGTGCAGGAGCTGAGTTAATGACTGGCCGTCCATAGGGAAGCCGACATCACCATCATGCAGGTCCTGGATAAGATCAGGAATTACCTTAGAGCGCAGGTGGCCACAGGCGTCGCGCACTTCCTTCTCATCCTGAGCCCACTTCTCCTTCTCCTCCTTAGTCTGGGGAACCTGGCCGCTGAACACGTCAGGGTTGAGGGTAAGGTTGAATCCGGAGATATCAACACGCTCCTGATCCGCCGCCTCCTCGGTCTTCTCTTCAGAATCACCCTCAGCATTCTCCTTGGGTTCTTCCTCAGCCTTAGCAGCACGGCGCTTCTCAACCTCAGCCTTGACGTACTCGCTCATCTTGTGTCTCCAGTATGCCTCAACCAGTTCCAATCTCAGAACAGACATGCGGTGAGGGTAGGACTCGCTGCCAGTCTCTTCTTGCCATTCGGCATCAACTGGTGCAACGCGGTAGAGGTCCAGGACATACTTGCGACCATCAGTACCCAAAAGACCCTTGGTCTCAACACTGCCCTCAAGTTCGTGGCGCTTACCATCCTTGTCCCAGACAGGATGTTGCTTGACACGAAGGGCCTTGGACAGCTTCTCGAAGACGGGAACAAAGTCCTCATGGGTAGCTACGACCTCCTTGCCCTCAACACCACCGTAGTCAATCTGGTGCTCGCCAGGCTCACGCTGCTTGAAGATACCTGGGACGATACTCTGGCCAACAATACGCTTACCCAAGTAGTCGACAACAATGGTACCAGGTGTGAACAGACCTTGAATATCAAGCTGGTTGACAGCCTTGATACCCAGGACATCCTTGCCAACAGCAACGCGGGCAGCCTCGTCACCACCCTCAGAAGTGAAGGTACCAACACCGTCAGCACCGAAGGAGTAGAAGATGTTGTTGTAGACGAAGATCTGAGCGTCCTGAGCCTCAGTGGGGTTCAGAGGAGCGATCTCGCCGCGGGCGACCAAAACTGCACCGCGGGCGGCAGCCTCGTTGTAATCGGCGAACAGCTTGGAGGTCAGGCGTTCACGGAACACACGATCCTGAACAGTGTCACGAGGAAGCTCACGGGTAGTCTGGAATTCCTCATTCCAGTCACGCAGAGTCTCGGCATTGTCCGCACCGGAGATTAGGAAGCTCTCCTGGGAGCGAGTAATGTCGGCCTGGTGAGCGTTCAGGCTGGATGAAGTTGGGGCAACCAACCATGGGCTGTTAGGAATAGCATTTTGGAAAGGGAAGGTGGTCAGAAGATCCTTCTGATTGTTGGCCTCTTGCAGCTCCTCGAAGGAAGTGTTGAACGAGGGCGACAAGATGGAGATCAGAGTCAAAAGGGAATGAGCGCTGGCCTTCTTGGGAATGCTGCGGGGAAAAGGATCAAATCGGGCGGTCGAGGACTTGTTCACAAAGAAGCCCGAGACATGAGATGTGATCTGGAACTGTTCACCCTCGTTGGTGATGACGACCAGGTAGAGGAGATGACCCTTCTGGCGTAGGTGGTATGGAACCGGGTTCCATGGCGAGAGCGAAATTGACTTCACAGTCTTAGGCAGAGGTGTCTCGGACTGTGGGAGGATGGTCTGCAGCGAAGAGGGGCCAGTCAGGCTGTACTTGGCGAGGGAGTGATCCTTCTCCGATTCACCAGCTTTAGCAGCCTCCGCGGAGATGACATCATGTAGCGAAAGTCCAGCAGATATACCGTGGAGGGTGTCGGTTCGGTCTCCCGCAGCACCAACCAGCTCACGCATGCGCACAACGTGCATACGAGCCTCCTTCTCAGTGTAAGGGTCCTCGATCAGGGTGATCTCAGAGTCGGCCTTTAGGTCTGGGACCTCGGAAAGCTCAACAAAGTCATTGATACGAGCTCCGTTGTATTCGAGATGGAAACAGGTGTACTGGAAAGTACCGGGCAGCTCAACGATAGATTGGCGAACGTCTTGGACCTGTTCTTGGCTGGAGACCTATGGAAGAATGATGTCAGACACAAGCAAAAAGAGACGAGCGAAACCCATTGATAATTTCCCGGGGCGTCGTACGTACCATCACCTGAATCTTGTGAGGCTCGTGAGGAAGCTTGACAGAGATCTGGAAAAGACCTGGACACAAAGTCAGAGGACAACCACCTTCAATATACCACGCAATTGATTGCACATACCGCCGGCATTCTCATCCTCCACAACACCCTCCTCCGGGTGGTTTCCGTTTTCCTGAGGAACCTCTATCCTTGAGTTAGATGGTGTACTCTGAATCATATGTGGCCATGTTCATGTCGTGAACCGGTGTGTCGTGTGACAAAGTTGCCAGGGTGTAGCGAGCAAACCAACCTTTCGAGGGCTCCAATTCCCCATTGGTGTGTGCCATTATGTCGAATTGGTAAAATAGATAGCTCCGGCAAAGTCAATTTGCGACGAAAAGCTATCCCACGGCCGAGCGGAGTAGAAACGGATGAATAGAACGGGAGGACCGAAAAAAAAGGAAATAGGCGAGGACCTGCGGGGGCAGGGAGAAAGAAGATCGCTATGATACAAGAAGGATAAGGGAAATTGAAGCAGATAAGCCAATAAAAACCCCGTACCCCAGAAGATAGATGCAACAAAAAGGAAAGGGTCTAGTAGTGAAGAAAGGTGGAATGGACTAGGAGAAAATTTCGCGGATGCGGCACATCGGAAGTGCTCGGGCGGTGGGTTCGGGGAAGTACACCGTGGAGTCAATCTTCTTTCTCCACAAAACCATGGAAGATGCGAAAACCGGAGAATATTCTTGCGTTAGTTGGGTTGATTTCACCATTGTTGGTGTTAGTAGATACTTAGCTGGTTAGGTGTGCATGAAGTGTTCATCCTTTTTACCCTATAGAGATCGATGTTATACTTCGGCTTGAAGAGATGCTTAGATGCCTCAGGCTTCACCGCGGAATACTAATTTTCTCCAATTTGAACTTTGGCTGGTAGGAAAAATAAAATAAAATTCGTAGGAGACTCTTTCTGATATATTATATCCACTTAATGGCAGATATTTATCTCAAATATTCTCTGCCGACTCAATCCAAATAGCTGATGTTAAACCTCCATCGCATAGCTTCGGGAGCATTGTTGAGTACAAGCGATCTATATGACACTTCAGCCATTGGCCTCTATAACTATGCAACGCACTTTCTGTTACTGGATACTCTGGCTATATCAAGCATCTCTTGGCCTCGAGACTCTATTCGATACCTATATGCATGATCTGACCTTGTCTAAACGTCGCAGATGCATAATTTGCTTATTCCGCGGCTATTAAGGGACCACAAATGAATCAAAATCATTGAGAACTTCATTATTGATGCGTATCTTATAAGGAATATTTCGCCTGAATCCTTGCGTACTCGCACCATGAATGGTTCATGGCAATCGTGTTGATGGCCAACGCAACTGCCACCTGCCAAGCCCCCATAGGATAATTCAGGGCGGATCCACCAGAGATCGTGGCTAAGCCACACTCCTCCTTCAAGGTGCCCACCCTTTCTTGTCGTCCTTCGATCAATTCCATTCATTGTCATTCCTTTATCTTTTCATTCTCATTTTTTCTCACTAAACACCTTTGGGTCTTTTTGCCCTGTCCACTCCCTCTTCTCTGGACGCGCCATCCCCTGGTGATGTGCCGCTAGCCCCCCAGAGACAACTCTACATAAGCACAGCTAGTCTGTGATCATTGCGACCGTGCATTAGATCAAGAAGATCTACAGATCGTGCATTAAATCTTGTTACACAAATTTGCTAGCTTTGCCAATTCACCGAAAAGGACGTGAATTTGCCCTTCTTGACAAAGCCATAGAAAGGCGCCAAGGGTAAGCAAAATGCTATTGAAAAGGCTTGCGCCGCCCATGTCATCATTCGCTCGACAGGGCCTGGCGAGACCCATCAGGCCCCAAGGGCGTATCGTGCAATATGCTTGCAAGCGATACAATTCGAACCCCCAGAATACTGGGCAGTACACGCCTGACCCCACAGATCAAAATGATGGGGAAGATGGCCAAGACCGTGGCCGCAAGAATGATGACCCCAACTTGAAATCTACGATTCTCAAGATGCTTGAGACCGCTGCGACTACAGCAGCATCGATTTTTATTCTAGGGTAGGAAGAATCCCCTTTGAACATTGCGTGTACCCCAGCTAATCTCTAATATAAAGTGCTGCTGGTTATTCATACCACAAGTACTACAAGTATTTGATCCTGGACAAAATGGACAATGCGTTTAACCCAGGTGATCCCGCTCTTGAGGTCGCCGGTGTTGTGGCTGGTAAGCATGAGTACAACCATGAGGAGCATTGGGTCGCACGGGATGAACAACCACGGATTGATAATATCGTTGCCGGGAAAAGCGCCGGGCACTACTATCTAATTGTGGGCGAGAAGGGCACTGGAAAGACTTCGATGCTACTGGAAGCTATGCGCAAGATCAATGGCACTGGTGTTGCTATGTTCGAGGCGCATGCCGATCTTGAAATTTTCCGCATTCGTCTGGGAAAGGCATTGGATTATGAGTTCCACGAAGAGTTGGTTTCCTCGCCTGGGATGATTTCGAACTATTGCTAACCAAATACACAGTTACATTGGCAGTCTCTTCAGCATCCGTGGTCCACGAGATACTACTGCTCTATTGGACATCGAGCGGGCTTTCAACAAGCTTGAGAAAGTTGCGCTGAACCGCAGAGGTCTACATGGCCGACCACTGATTCTCATCGTTAATAGCGCCCATTTGGTTCGTGATGATCATGATGGGCAAGATTTGCTCGAAATGATCCAACAGCGAGCTGAGCAATGGGCTGCAAGTGGGCTCATTACAACGAGTAAGTTCTCTGCCCAATGGCAACATATAAAGACGATTCATTAATGGATATCCAAATAGTCTTGAACAGCGATGACTACTGGGTATACGAACGACTGAAGCGCTATGCTACCCGGATGGAAGTTATTCCTGTCAGAGATTTACCCAAGGAAAAGGCAATGTCTGCCCTGAAGAAATACCGCAGGCAGTTCTACCACGAAGATCTGAATTCTTCGACTCTTGAGCAAGTATACCGGAAAGTAGGAGGACGCCTTTCATATTTGAACCGAGTGGCCAAATCTCCCGATGTCATGAATACTTGCAACGATATTTGCCAAGCCGAAAAGACCTGGTTCCTCAACAAGTGCTGGATCCTCGGAAGAGAGATGGATGACGATGTTATGGATGAACAGAAGTATTCTGTGAGTGCCTTATTTTTGACTGGTATTATGGTCAAGCAAAGATGACTGATAATTATTCTAGTCTGCTGCAATGGTTTTGGCCAAGGCTTTGGTTGACCAGGAGGATGAGATGGAGAGGATCTATCACGATGAGACAGGCCACATTTTGCCCGAAATTCCTCTACACAAAGCACGTCAGATTATGACTCGCGCCGACTTTATCCAGTCCTACGATCATGATAACATTTTCACTATCGACTCACGAGCTATGGTCCGTGCTGACTCGGTGCCGATGCAGCAAGCATTCCGAGAGATTTGTGCTCTTGAGAACTTCGATGACTATCTCGAGGGAACTTTGGAACGCATTGGAGATATTGAGTCTCTTGGTCGTACCCGTGAGCTTACTATCAAGGACCTTTGGGATTCAGGCAAGTACCGAATCGTCGTTAAGGATACCAGAGGTAAGGAGAGTGGAACCGTGGAATTCTCCGTGGCTGAGCGTGAGGGGGAGCAAGATGATTAGATGTCTATCCGGTTATGTATTTTATCTGTGTTATACCAAGCTTCAAATTTCTACATACGCAATTCCAAGATTTACCTCGTGTGCTCTTTCCAAGGTTGTTGAGGTAAAAAGAACGATTAGTGACATCATCCGCCCACTCACCGCCAAGAAAGACATTCCACTTTCTTCTCAACCTTGGAAGGCTCAGAGCTCTTTCTTTCTTCGATTCACACCTCTCTTATTCTGTTCCGAAAGCTTGCCGGAGCTCAAAATGTCTTCCCAGCGAACTTCACCTTCGAAAAGTGGCGATATGCCTAAACGCGACTTCAAGGAAGCTTTAGAACCGGCCGTTCCACACCTGGCGCGCATCCCCACACTAGCTCGCTTCTTCCTGGTTGTTGTGACTAGTCTGATCGGGAGCTCTGTCTTATTCACTCTGACCTCCAGCTTGACTGTCGGCGACCTGGGACTGGTCAGTAAGCACTTGGAAGAGTGGTGGGAAGTTGCTGGCTTGGTGGTTTGGAGAGTAGTGGAGGTCGGTCTACCTTGGGCTCTCGGATTCGACAGTGAGTGAAACCCCCCACACCCCTTGCATCGCGAGCGAAGCTGCCATAGCTTTCAATATTATTTCGCGATAGTATACTAACAGGAGGATCGCGCATTATTTACAGGCTGGGATGTTGCATCATTTCTATACCTCACCCACCTCCCCACCTATTCTCTCTTGACATTCTTCTACGGTGTCCGTCCTACATCTGCACTTGTGTCCTATGCGATCACGGTGTTCTCAATTGTGATTCCATTTTTCTTTTTGCGCAGCCCTGCATCAGTACATGATTTGTCGCATGCACCCTCGGGCGCAGTTGCCAACCGAGCTATCCTCCAAGACCGCCCCACAACGATCTATACCACGCTAGCTGCAACCTCAATCTTCACCGTCGTGCTGTATGCCAGCTACGCATCTTGGCTTCCCACCCAACTGGTTGTACACTTTGAGAGCATTCCAGACATCAGTGCCGCGCATGCAGGACCAGCGGGCCTCCCCGTCCTCTTCTTGACGCTGATTCCCTCCGGTTATGCCGTGCGCGACTTTCTTTTTGTAAGCTCCACAGGCCACTCAACCCACGGAACCGGTGAAGACTCCCTACCTGTCGACCACGAGAGCCAGTATGTGGTGGTGAGCATATACTGCAGAACCATTGGCCAGCTTTCGGCGAAGACAAGGATTCTTGCTTCTCGTACGTTCGTGCTTGCTGCCAGTGTGCTGTTAAACACTATTGTGCAGTTAGCAGGTACCGTCCAAAGCATTTCTGTTCAAGGAGCATTCCTCTGGGGATCGGTGTGGGCATTTGCTACCCTGGCTATAGGAGGTCTCTTTAGCTGGGTTGAGGCTGTTCCCGGTGTATAATGCTTGACGAAATGAATGACTAAGGTGTTCGAAGCGACAGTGTTACAAAATTGATGGATGTGTTTTTCTGGCGCTGAGGTTTGCTCGATGCTTTGCTGCAAGGCGTTGTGGTGATGTCGTTTGATGATCATTGATCAATTTTACCCTCCCAAAAGATCCAGCTCCAATCAAGATTACATTAAGTGTGTTTTTAAGTTCTGCACAAGACTCTCCCTTGGTTATTATTGACTGAGAAACAAGTCTGCAAATACTATTGATGTTTCGTATATACTGATGTACTGGGATGTTTGGCCCCTTCAAGATGAAGCAGTCTCAATCCAAGTCCTCCACATGATACATAGTACCCTTAGAGCTCTCAAGCCCCTCCACCATCTGATCTAGATGCGTAGTCTCAAACTTGCCCTTGTTAGCCCATTCGGTTCCAGCCACAATCGCACTCGTCTTGTAGAAGATCGCATCAATCTCTTCCAACCGCCGACCAGTCGTCTCCGGGTAAAAGAAGTAGATAAACGGAATAAAGCTAAAATTGAAAACAGTAAAGACCAGGTACCCCTTCCAGCCCTGGTCACTCATCAATGACGGAGTAATCATGACAGTAGCGAAGTTCCAGATCCAATTCGACGAGGTGGTGATGGCGTTACCTCTTGAACGAAGGTGCAAAGGTAGAATTTCTGCGTTGTAAAGCCAGGGAACGGCAAGGAAACCCAACGCAAAGAACGTATAGTATAGGAAAAATGCAATGACGCAGACGATAGAGGCACCGTATGTTCCGGAGCGAATGGTCAGGGACATTGTTAGAAAACAGCAGCCCATGCCAAATGCTCCGATTAGCAGACACCAACGTTTACCGATGCGATTCATGACGAAGAAGGGAATTATTGCTGAGACCAGGTACCATAGTCCGTTGAAGCCTGAGAGAAGTAGTGATAGGTTGTGACTTAGTCCGACTGAGGTCTCAAAAAGATAGGAAATGTAGTATCCAATACTGCAAACGCCAGACCACATAACCATGAACATGAGCCTGTGTTTGAAGTTAGAGTTAATGAAAGCTAGGATATGATTGAAGGAATAAAACATACCACCAGCCCAGCATGACACGACGTAGATTCTGTGTTTCTTTCTTGTTCTTGAAAAGATCAACCCATTTGCTGGCGCCGTTGCGCTCTTCAACCTCAACAGCTTGGTTGATCATTTTAAGTTCTGTTTGAACCTCTTCATCATTGGCATCACTTGTACCATGCATTTTCATGATGATAACTAAGGCTTCATCGGTACGATTTTGCATAAAGAGCCAACGAGGAGATTCCGGCATCCAAGGCACTTTTAGCGTCGTTAGTTAAATTCGATTTGAATCTTCCACACGACTAGGTCAACTCACCCATAAACATGAGTAATATTCCAAAGATACACTGGGCAGCAACAGCAAATCTCCACTCAAAGGGTTGATTACTCGAGTACGATAACCCATAGCTCATCCAGTAAGCTGTAGATGCCCCGGTACACACGAGGATATACTGCAAAGCACCGAATCTCTCGCGCTTACGCGCTGGTAGGGTTTCCGCTTGCCAAACTGGAATCAGCGAGGTGTTCAGGCCGGTTCCCAGACCTGCCACGATTCTGCCAACGAGGAACTGAGCGCGTGAATAAGAAGCTGTTTGGATCGTGGCGCCAATCAAGATAAAAACAGTGCCAATTAAGATTGGGTTCTTGCGACCAAGACGCTCACTGAAGAGCATACTGAAGATACTGCCGAAGAAGCATCCAAGCGTGTATAGACTTGAGAGCAGACCTTGCATCAAGGAGGATGGGCTATTCATTGTGGAGAGATAGTCGTCCACAAGCCTGGGAGAGAAATGTTAGAACGGTTGAGCCCAAGTAGACAGGAATTGATTCAATTGATACATACAAGACACCTGACATGAAGCCTTGGTCATACCCATATAACAGGTATGACAGGCCACAGGTGATGGTCATCAAAATGCACAGCTGTTGTCCTTCGATCGCCATGATGTGCCTTGGCTAGAGTACTGAAATCTACAAAGCAAAGAAATACAAGGACATCCACAGCACAAGCCTTATTATGTAGCCCCTAGTCCACCTGCAGGAATGGGGTGACTCCTCTATCTTCCCCCAGTTCTCCACCAGTGCTTCCCCAGACGCGGCTTGATTAACGGCAAAAAGCCCCGGTCGGCTGATTGCCATTTCGAGACATGCCGATCGTCCCAGGATCGAACTATTGCGCAACTAACACATTGTAAATAAAAATAAAATGGCTCTCAAACACACAGCGGATTGGTGAAATCAATCCATTTTTCTTCTATATCTCACTCTCATCATGGGCTCCGTTCAAGATCCATACCCCCCGGGCATCCACGTTCCCTGCCTGACCTGGTTTAAGCCAGATGCCACTCAATCAATTGATTGGGAGTTGCAAGAAAGGCATCTTGAATTCCTGGTCCAGAGCGGACTACATGGAATCGTGATTGCAGGGACAAACGGCGAAGCTGCAACTTTGACACCAGAAGAGAAATCTAAGCTGGTGCGTCTTACACGTTCAACAGCCCAGAAACTGGGTCGAGGCGGCTTGCCCATTACCTGCGGTACATTTGGAGGAGGCACGCAGGCGATTATTGAAGATACAAAGCTTGCAGCTGCAGCAGGAGCAGACTATGCTCTAGTCCTGGTGCCGTCGTATTTTCATTTTGCGCTGGATGCAGATGCTATTGTGGGATTCTTTCAAGAGGTTGCGTCTGCTTCTCCGATTCCAGTTATGATTTACAATTTCCCCGGTGTGGCGGCTGGTCTTAATGTGAACTCTGAAATGTTGGAGACACTGGGTGAACACCCGAATATTGTTGCCGTTAAGCTTACATGTGGAACTATTGCTTCGGTTGCTAGAACGGCGGCGAAGTTTGGTCGGGCACTGGATGAGGAACCTTCATTTGTGGCTTTGGCTGGACAGAGTGATTGGCTTGTACCAGCTTTGAGCGTGGGTGGTGCTGGTGCGATTACTGGACTGGCAAATCTATACCCAAAGGTTAGTTCCACGTTATTTCCTTTTTTGGTCACGGCATTTTGGTTAGAAAGGTCAAGATTGCTAACAGTACTATTTACTTCCGCAGACTTGCATTGAGATTTTCAACTTGTACAATTCAAGTCTTACTGCCGAGGCGGAACAACTGCAACTACAACTTGCTGTTGCTGAATGGGGATTTGGTAAAGGAGGCATCAACGGAACAAAATGGGTCGTTGCGAAATCCTTGGGATACCCAGAGGAGAGCTCATGGTGCCGCCGGCCCTACCCTAAGTTCTTGGACGAGGAGAAGCGATCATGGATTACGAAGCAAGTTAAGGGTCTAGAGGTAGTAGAGAAGAAGCTAGCATGATATTATCGTGTTGCATGTATAGATTGCATTGAATAGTCATAGTATTGGTAGTATACAAATATTTGAAGATTTATAGTCCCTTGAAGCACCTTAATTCTTTTATACGATGGCAAAGGCACGATCAAATATGTCGTGCATCACTTTTCGGATATCCACTCGTGATTTTGTCTCATCTTGTCGGCGTATAACCTCCTGAAGCACATCGTGTGTCATTCCTGCATTGGAAGCGACATGCTCCATGCCTTTGACACAAGAAAGGACCCATGCCCGCTCACCAGCGTCGTCGGTCTCAACCCCAATCATTAATAAAGGCCATAACATATTAACGGGCAGCGGCGGTACTGCTGACAAGGCAGTATTTGGCGCATTGACATCAGCAATATCTGGTGGAGATAATGGTAAAGATGTCTGTTGTACGAGTCGGGTTACCTGGCGAATCTCTTGAAGGGCATCGGTAACATCGGTTGTACGCGGAAGATCTTTCCCAGAGGCCTGTCAATACAATATTGGTGAGTATGATAGGAATTTATCTTACTTTTATAAGCCACACGATGCAAATGAATGAAGCTGGCATAGTAATTCGCGTGATATACTCTCATAGTGCGAGTAATGGTGTCTGCCAGGCTCGATGGTAGCAGTGTTCCCAATCGACCAGTAACAGCATGATCCATCAAGGTTGGACGCTGTTGCCATAAGGACTTAATATCACGACTAATGGTAGCTGCAATGATCATGACTTCCGTTTCGTCTTCAACGGTACCCCGACGGCGATGCCAAGGGTCAATCTTGGAGACTCGACCCATAAATAACTGTACTTTTTGAAAGAAAATATAAGCCGGTCGCATTATGAAGTCTTCCAATGTAGCTTCTGCATCATCGAGTCCAGAATCTACTTCTGAAATGGAACTTTCAGGCGATTTCAGATCCGTATTAATGGCACTATCGTCTTCTGTGAGGAAGAGACCTTCCCCTCCAGCACTGACAGCTCGCGCATCGAGAAGCCGCAGCCAAGAGAGTAGCCGTTTTTCTATCAAACACTTGTGAGAACAGTGCCGAGACTTTTATTCGTAAATTGGATCGAAGTCTTACCTGTTACTCCAAGGGATCCTATATCCACCATTTGTAGAGCATTGAAGCCTTCTCGGAGATTGGCATGCGCTTTGGACACATCCATGGTCAACAAATCAATATAGGATAGCAGGAATAGCACTGCTAGAATCTGCCGTAGCTGTGAAGTACTTATTCTACAGTCTTGGTTGATTTTGCTTAGGGAGTCTTCGAGTTCCTCTTTGGCTGCATGGTAATACTTAGTGTGGCTTGCTGGTTCTAGAGAGCCGACCGATTCTAGCTCCATGGCGACGAACGCCATGACTCCAGACTTCACCATTCGTGAGCTCAGTGTCATCGAAGTCAACTCTTTCCGCATCCATAACCAATGTGCACTAGTTTCAACCGTAGCGAGGATCGGCGGTGCAGCTGAACGAGCGAAGTACTCAGCTAGCTGAGGCTCACTCCATCCGAAAGGCAGATGGGTTGAGCCCGACGGAGATACCACCTGAGGTACCTCGGAGAGTGTTGTCGTGCTTAATGTTAAATTAGTGTATGGTAATTTGGGCTGCGATAGTGCCGAGTGTGATGCATCAGACCAGGGTATGAGGTCTTGCGACGGACTGAGATCAAGGGTACCCCAGCTAGGAGATCCATGTTTATCCCACATGAAGCTAGCATAATTGAACATCCGACTGAAGGATACATTATCATCTGCTGTATCTTCTTGACTTGGCTCTGGGGGGTAAGTTGCTGATGACAATGAGATCTCTTTCCTTGTTCCGATCGTTGGTGTGATCTGTTCATCGTGTCCATGCTGTTGTTGTCGAACATGGGCTTTTCTCGCCCGCGGATCCATTCGGGGTCCGACATCTTGCTGCCAAGCACAGTCGAGACACAATCGATAGCAGTAGTTGCACACCGGCCGTTTTTCATCACATCGAACCTTGCGTCGTCTACTACGATCAGTACCGCTGATCCTTCCCACAGTGGGCATCCTACACATACCGACAGGTGAGACAGCCATTACGTGTCCGCGGACGTTGACGCCTATCCAGTTGAGGCTTTTGTTCCCATTGGTGAAACATGACGAAGCGACAGGGGTTCCTGCAAAGAGGTGCTTTTTTCTATCGGTATCAGTGCTCAGACAGCATGAACGGGTTGTTCTCCGGCTCGGCATGTCTACGGGGCAAGTTGGGTAGGTCTCCACATCAACCCCGCATCCAGCCTTTGGCTCGGCTGAATACCGGATTGGGATTCAAGCGACTGGTAGTCCGATCCATGACCGAGTCATTAATTCCCCGAGGGTCACTAGACTAATCTCGGTTACATACATCGTGCTTTGGATGCGAAGGTGCGGGGAGCCATGCAGCGAGCTACAAAAATCGGGCATTGGCCGAATTCTCCTCGTGCGTTCTAATATACTATATTTAACTCTTTTTTATCCTATCTTGAGAGGTTGAGATTAGTAAATCTACAAATTATGCTAAATGGCGTCCGAAAAGCCAATCGTTCTCCACCTTGGAGACCCTATCGAGTTCAATAAGGAACTTTACGCTCAAATAGCCTCACAATTTACAGTGATTCGCCCCTCGTTGGAAGAGCGACAACGTGATGCCTTTCTTGCCGCACTGAAAGAGAAAAAATGGGGTGATTTCCAGGGTGTATTCCGTCCATTTTGGAATACCGGAGGGGAGATGGGTCGCTGGGATGCCGAGTTAATACCTTTGTTGCCGAAATCACTGATAGTGTATGGGAGTGCTGGTGCTGGTTATGACTGGATGGACGTTGATATCTTGGCTGAACGAGGTGAGCATAATATTCTCCATTTTTAAACCAAACATGAAACTAAGGTATCTGAACAGGGATCGTGTACTGCAATGGAGCATCCGCATCCAGTGAAGCCGTAGCAGATATGGTATGTCAGCCCGCGTGGAGATTATTGGCTATCGTTTTGACTGTTCTCATTCTCAGGCCATATTTCATATTATATCTGTCTTCCGTAACATGCAGTGGTCTATGAATGGTGCTCGCTCTGGCAATCCGAATCTGTGGTTGGAAGCACATCAAAACTCTGCTGCTACCGCACACAATCCGCGCACCCAGATTTTGGGAATCATTGGCCTTGGGAACATTGGATAGTAAGTTTCAAGTGCCTACTAGCTGAATATCTGTCCTAACGAAAAAAAAGTACGATCGCTCGTAAGGCATACGCTTGCTTCGGCATGAAGATCTACTATCAAGATATCTATCGAAAATCCACCGAGCAAGAAAAAGCCATTGATGCATCCTTCTGTGAAAGCCTTGATGATTTGCTTGCCGTCGCAGATTGTATAGTCTTGGCCACACCGTTCGGAGGTTCTAAACTTATCACAACAGAGACCTTGGCAAAGTTCAAAAGGGGTGCTAAATTTGTCAACATTGCTCGAGGTAAACTTGTTGATGAAGAGGCTCTGGTGAACGCATTGAAGACCGGTCAGCTGTCCGCTGCTGGTCTGGATGTCCACGAAAACGAGCCACACGTAAACAAAGAACTCGCCCAGATGCGAAATGTGACGTAAGTCTTTCTCGTGTCCAGATTGACCAGGACATTTAAACTGACGAGATGGCTTTGAAGACTCACTGCACATACCGCGGGAGGTGCGAAGGAAACACAAATCGGCTTCGAAAGATTGTCAATGGAGAATGTCCAGCGCGTGTTGACTGGGAATGAGGCACTCACTCCAGTCAACAAGCATCTCTTCAAGAATTAGTTTTGGAACTTAACCATGTTTAAAATTTATGCTCATAAGTAGCGAAAATTGCTAGATGCCTAGATGAGATATGCTAACTACAACTTTGGATCCGATAGAATATCGTCAGCATGAGACAGCAAGTGGCTTGGTATACGTAAATACGCCAAGTAATGTCAAAATTAATGTCCAAGTGGAATCCAAATTCAAGACGTGCAGAAATGCATGTAATCGGTAGATGGCTTTTCAGGGGAATCAAGGACCAGTTTTTTTGGAATGGATATAGGTAGATGCAATCTTTCAGGGTAAAGTTACAGAATAATTGAAATAGCAGGTAAACGAGCATTAAAGGATATCATAAAAACAAATAACCGAGCGTTCAGCCGTGAATATGCCACATTAAATGTGTATGAAGACAGAAAGGAGATAGAGAAGAAAAGAAATAGAAGAAAAGGAAAAGGCAAAGGAAAACATCATCCAGGGAAAAGACAGCAATTTTAACAAAAATCAAGTCTAAACTGTCTGAGCTGTGGGGCCTGTCTGGGTCGCTAGAGGTGTTTCCTCGGACTGATCCTGAGACTCATGCTCTTCGTTTTCTTCTTTGGACGGACTCTCGGGAATGCCGGGAGTTGTCAGCAGGGAATCCTGTTTTTCCAACGGATTCCCGACAGATGACATAAGTGATGCATGGTTTGAACTGTTGATGGTTGAAGATGCCACAGATGTATGGGGCGAAGGTTCAGCATGCGACAGCGTAGGTGCGGACTTTGGATCTAATTCAAATACCGGCGATGGTTCAGCAGGTTGCGCAGGTTGCGCAGATTCGGGATCCTGAATTGTATCACCCTGAAGCTCGCGGGGAACCTGGTTCAGATGTCTAGGCCTCGTAAGACCCGGGGAAGACAAACCGTTCCAGTGTGCCTCCGCCGCTTCGTTATCACCAAGTCCCGGGCCCAAGCTACTCAAATCCGCCAACTCATGTGCCGGCATCTCTCTACCAAGAGATTGTAACCCGCTATGGTCCGGATTCGCTATAGCTTTCGCCACGACCTTCGACTGAGGACGCAGTGTGTCGGAATTCAAAATTCGCAGGAGCTTTTCAGCTTCACGAGGGGGAGGAACGTCGCCATTAGCCAACTGAGGTGTTTTGAGTTTTCGTTCGTAAACTTTCCGGTTTGCGCGAGATCGCTCTACCACGAGTCCAAATTCTGCCGAGACACCTGCAAACAATCCACGCGTCTTCGAGAAGGAATAGAACCCAGATATGCCCCTTGGCCCGGCGATACCTCCAGATTCGGCACTACGGCCCAATCCCAGAGCCAAGGAGAGGTTCACACCCAAGTGAATACATCCTGATTGTATGAATTTTGTGACTGCCTCTTCGGTGCTGAGAACGTATACGAAATCGGTTAACTCGATACCGAGGAGTGCTCCGATTCCGACTCCACCGAGTCCGACAGCAGATGGTGCCGACCAACTACCATCAGGGAGACGAATGACGATCACACCCGAGCCAAATCGTGCACAACCAAGGAACCCCCATCTTGTCATAGTACAAATTATAAGCGCCTAGAGCTGTCAACTCGATTGATCCTGAGCATATCGATATCGCAGATCGCAGATCGCCTACCTTCGCGCGCACGAGCATCTTGCGGGGAATACCGCCATCTCCGACGACTTTGGGGTTGATGAACGAGTCGATAATTCCGGCGGCTTTTTCGCATTCGGCTAGTTTTTTTTACCTTAGCTTTAGCGGTTGACAAGAAAACGAATTTTCTTTCGAATTTCCCTGATCGACGGGGAAACCAGGGATGTCACTTACAGGCAAACGATGAGGGATATGGGTTGTGGATCGGGTTCCTCAGACCCGTCGTGTCCTCTCCGCTGGTGGGCATCGCTTCATGCGCAAAGCGTACCGGTCCCAGTCCAAAAATCAAATGGGATAGATGTTCGAGAAGGATTCCATAGACCACGAATCTCCACGTTCTCAGGAGGGGGTGACACCTTAGCTTTAGTCATTTACGGGGATCCTTTTCATTTGGCTTGGCGCTGCGAGCCGCTTTGTTTACGTACGGGAGGTGTGGGGGCTAAAGTAGATAGACCAATAAAGTGTTCGGTAAACCTTTGGACTGTAATCTTAAAGACCTAATAATAGTGCCCCGTTGCTCGCAAATATTGTAGCTAAAAGGTTGGCGCATTATCCGAATGGGGCCGTTCGCGACTCCGCCCAAACTTAGATCAAATGCATGAAAACAATGCTATTGTATAGCATCAGCTGGCTCAGGCTGTGCGAAGCCATAATGTCTGTATGTCTAAGATCAAGAATGTATTTTTATCTTCTGACGTCATGCTCATGCAACTGATTTAATACGGTACATTCTAGCGAGAGAAGAATGTTAAGGTTGTTCAAGTTGGATACTACAGTATGTAAATATACGGACTGTGGATAAAATAAAGGAAGATAATAAGTTTGAGGTAGGCTATAGTCAAGGGTAGAGTAACATATGGCATGACAGATTCCAGAGTTCACTTGCATGATGGCTTTGATGGCGTCCAATCACTAATTTCCTCGGTCTTTTGATCTTTTAACCTTAGGAGGGTCAAAGGATGGTGATCCTCACGGAAGCCCACGGACACCACAACGAACCTCATACCTATAAGAGTTAGGTCATTCATATCTACCTGGCCTTTCTTCCCATTTTTTTCTTTCAGATGATCCGAAATAACATATCAAATAGTTTGGACATGGGTATTTCTGCGCGACACATGATTCTCATGATCCTTGTCGCGGGCTTTTAATTCCTCGTAGCATCCGATTAAAGCCGAAACCTATTGGTAAGACTCTACGGTGATCAAATATCGAAACTCATTCGGACATCTACCCTGCGCATACCATAGAAACCACGCTTCAACTTCGGCATTTTAAATGTACAACCCGCCCATTCCTGGCCCCCACGTCACTTTCCTAATTGATCCCGATGGTGCGCTCTTGCTGACCACTCAGGAACACTATAGAAGCAAGGTATCCACTCACCTACGAACTATACCCAAGCAATTGAAGAACTCATATTGCGTGGGTACGGAGTACAAAGTATCAACTTGGAATTCTATCGGGTAAACCTGAGACACTCAAACTCCGTCACGTAGATAAATAGCCCGCAATATCCCCTGATCCAATAGTCTACTCAAACATTCTCAATCTTTACCAGTAGCACAAGTTCCTCTAGTCTTTTTTCATACAATGACTTCATCCAAATTCGCCGTGGTAATCTGTCATGGATCCTACCACACCCCAGCTCCCTATCAAGCCTTAATCGACGCGCTAGAGGCACACGGGATCGAAACTCATTGCCCCCAACGACCAACCTGCGACCTAAAAAATCTCAACATCGGCGACCCGAAAAACCCAGACTTCGATCGCCCTCCACCAGAAAACGGCTACCCACTGGCCTCGGAAGATGCCACCACAGTCGGGAATGTCATCGATAAACTGATCTCCGCGAACAAGCTCGTCCTTCTTGTAGCGCATTCATCTGGTGGCTGGGTAGCTTGTGAAGCTGCAATATCAGCACGCCAGGCACCAGTCCGTAAAGCACAGGGCCAGAGCGGCGGTGTCATTGGGATTTTCTTCGTGGGAGCATTCATCATTCCACTTGGAGAATCCATAGATTCGTTTTTTCAACCTAAGGATGGCCTGATCGTGACCCCTATATGGCTTCAACTTTATGCAAGTCCAATGTTGGAACGATATGCCTGTGAAGGGCAGAGCAGAACAAAGCTAATGAAACTTGTCTGTGATATAGAAGTACGGACACGAAGGAGTCGGAACAATTACAGATCCCGTGAAGTACCTGTTCAATGATATTGAGCCTGTTGAAGCAGAGAAATGGGCTGCCGCATTGTCAGCTGCACCAATCCCGAGAAGTCCCTTGACGAATGATTTGTATTCCGGGTTGCCATGTGCTTACTTGGTTCTGGAAAATGACATGACCTTACCCAAGCAGTACCAGGAAGGGATGATTGCTGCTCATAACGCGGTGAATGAGAAACAAATCTCTATCCTTCGATGTCAGGCTTCTCACTCGCCACACATTAGCTGGACCGTTGGACTACGGGATGAAATTGAGAAATTTGGGACACAGGCTTTGGCTGAAGTTTAATTTTATTCATGGACCAATAATATGAATGTAAGAAATTTTCTTTCAAACACCTTGAAATTGTAGTGAATGGGTATCATGGGTGTTTCATTAAGGAGAAAGGTCTGATGTACACATGAATAGTATCTCCAGAGTTCAATCAATCGAGTAATCAAAAACGCTAGAACGCTATCAAAAAGACAAAACAAGTAATATCAAAAGACCACCCTTTTCCATAATTATCCTTGTCTATTTCTATCTATCAGGAAACCTATCGCAAGCTTCAAGGGGAAACAGTCACTGTAATAGGAGGAACCAAAATCGCTGGCGGTGTACGGGGTCGCTCAGGAAGATCATTCGAACCGAGTTTCTCAGAGGTAAGCTTCTCTTCATCAGTAGATGTAGAATGAGCCGGTACTACAGCAAAGCCCTCCTCGTCAGGTTGTGCATTCTTCCATGAAAACACCCGACGAGAGAATCGAGCCACTGGCTGAAACAAAGCTCCCACACCACAAGCAAAAGCATTCCAAAGTCTCAGAACTGGTCTGAGAATGAAAGAAAAGGCCTTAACAATAGCATTGAACACAACCCCAAAATGGCGATCGGGAATGAGACGGAGGACAACGGCCCATGGGAGACACCCGATCGCACAGATCAAACATACAGCCCAGAGAATACCACTGAGCCGGGTTACGCCGAAAGCCTCGCCTCCAACATATACGATCATGACTTGTCCGCCGATCATGATCGCGTTGATACCGAGGAACCAATAGTTTTTGAACATTCCTTCGAATATGTTGAAGCGGTTGTCCAGGCGGCGGTTATTGAATTCGTTGAATATCTGCATCCATACAAATGTGTTGAATACAACCGTAGATAATTGTTTAGAGCGTAGAGCTGGGTCGTCCGTGGCAAGGTGTGATTTGAGAATTTTGTCACCGGCAAAGTAAAGCATGAAGGTAATGGCTAGTTGATAAATAGCCTGACCGAGAATCATCTTCCACATAGTCAATGTGAAGAGGGATGCATTCTTGGGGACTGGTTTTCTGTCCAGAATTTGTTCTGTCGGGGCGTCAGTGGCACTATTTTGTGTTAGTAAATTATTAAGGAAATTCCAATTGATGTTGTAGGATATACTCACAGAGCCAGGGCCGCAAAGGTATCCATGATAAGATTAACCCAGAGTAGCTGCACAGCACTGAGAACACTGCTGTTTGAACTACTGTAAACCGATGACACAAAAGTCAAAGCCACAGCCGTAATGTTGACAGTAATTTGGAACTGCAAAAACTTTGCGACGGCATCATTAACAGCTCGTCCCCAAGAAATGGCAGTAACAATAGACCGGAAGTTGTCATCCAAGAGGATAATCGAGCTAGCTTCCTTAGCAACCTCAGTCCCAGCAATACCCATGGAGAACCCAACATCAGCAGTTCGCAAAGCAGGTCCATCATTAGTACCATCACCAGTAACGGCGACAGTTTCACCGAGGATCTTGAGACGCTCAACGAGAATACGCTTGTCCTCGGGTGAGGAACGTGCTAGGACTTGAAGACGCGGGATGACCTGGTCCATTTCTTCATCGGATAGCTGTCTGAACTTGGGGCCTTCCATCACAAGACCACCTTCAGTTTTGATACCACAGGAAGTGGCAATGGCAGTGGCCGTTGCAATGTTGTCACCGGTTACCATCTTCACTTGGACTCCTGCGGAGTGACACTTGCGAATGGCAGAGGGGACCTCCGGACGAAGGGGGTCTTGAATGCCCACCACTCCAACCCAAGTCATCTCGTGGAAGCTACCATCGAAATCAAAATCGGACGTATCATCTGATTTCTTGGTCTGAGTAGGAGGCCAAGAGCCAAAGTCCCTGTATACAAGACCAATAGTGCGAAGAGATGAGTTCGCGTAGCGATCAATAGTATCCAAAATCGTTTGTTTATCGTCCTGAGAAAGGGAGGCGGTGTATATTGAGCTCTTACAGGCGTCGATATCCGTAATCTGAGTCGTGCAAGCGTTGACCATCAACTCCGAGGCACCCTTGACAAGCAAACGGTATCCAATTACCGGGTGACGGTATACAACGCCCATGCACTTCCGCGCAGAATCAAAGGGAATGACTTGAACGATCTCAGCAGATCCACGTTCTGAAACGAGGTCCATGCCAATATAGTCTTGAGCCATTTGCAGAAGAGCGACTTCCGTCTTACTTCCAACGAACTGCTTGTGGCCATCTTTCTCTTCTTCGAAGGCTGTTGAATTTAAAGCAACGCTTTTGATAACAAGATCCCGCACTGGTGCTGAGAGACTTTGGAAAGCTTTCGAGGTACTCATCGTCTCATTGTCGGTAACCTCTGGTGTGTCCTCAGAAGGCTGACTGAAGCTTTGAGTTGAGCTCCAAGTACCAGCAACGACTGTCATTTTATTTTGTGTTAGAGTTCCTGTTTTATCGGAACAAATAACCGTTGCATTTCCCATCGTCTCACAGGCTCGAAGAACACGGACGAGATTGTTCTCCTTGACCATGCGAGTAGTAGCAAATGCTAGAGCAAGCGTTACAGCCAGTGGGAGCCCCTCTGCAAAGAAAAAAAAACATGATTAGTTCCTGGGATAAATCGAACATGTCGGAGATATAATTGCTTACCTGGAATCGCGACAACAATAACAGTAACGGCGACGATCAAAATATCTACGAACTCCTTGCCCCTGACAGCAGGCGTTGCGTCGTTATTCGGAAGATCAGCAATAAAACGGAACAATAATATGAAGAACAGGATTATTGCGGCACTGAGATAAGTGTTAGTCAAGTTCTGCTGTAGAATGCAATAAGTTGAACGACTCACGCTGAGCCAAGGTATCCAATCCAATCAGCCAATTTCGCAAGCTTCACCTGAAGCGGCGTAGGATCATTAGTTGTCTGCAACGAAAGCATAATCCGACCATATGAAGAGTAAGGCCCAACACTAGTAACCAGATAGGTGCCAACGCCTTCCAAAACCTTGCTTCCTGAAATCAGAAAAGGGTCAAGCTTCTTGGTAGCTCTGCCCTCGATGATACGCTGCCAGACTTCATTGCCGTCTGTCTTCTTCATTTGATCTGATTCACCAGTAGCAGATGATTCGTCGCATTTGATTCCGTGTCCTGAGATAAGAATACCATCGGCAGGAATAGAGTCTCCTGGTTCCAGGTGGAGCACATCGCCAACGGTGATATCATATACGGAAATCATCATTGACTTTCCCGAACGGACGACTTTGACTTCACGATCATCGTTCTAGAAGCAGAAATGAATGTTAATAGAGCTCGTGGACTTCGTAGTACAGATCGGTACTTACCCTTTTGTTCAACTTTGCAAATTGTCTTTCCTTCTGCCAGTCATTGACAGCGGTGACGACGGTGACAATCAAAATCGCCACACAGATAGCAACACCCTCCACCCAGTCCACACCAGTACCACCAGACACAGTCTCATAAATACCCAATGACAAAGACACAATAGCAGCAATAGTCAACAAAATAATGATTTTATCGTTGTAAGCGATCCAAAAAAGTTTCAAAAAGCTCGCTGACTTTCTCGCCGGCAGTTTATTTTGACCAAATACACGAACCCGATCCTCATACGGTTCACCACCACCAACAGACACCGGCGCCGATGACTGAGCTGAGATAATCTCATTCTCTTCAACGGGCGCCTTGCTGATAGATGGTCGTCTGTCATATAAAGGAGGAGTGACCTGCTGAAAGTCGACTGTACCAGCTAATCGACCTTCATCAACAGATAATCCAGCCCGTATATCTGTCCGCAGACCACACTCAAGGCCTTGCAAGCCACCCAAGGCATGAAAGGCGGCGAGGGATTTTGGGTTCAGCATTTTGTTAAGTTGGCCCGGTGAGAACGCGAAGCGATTCTCGTCGACGTGAAAATCCGCTTCATCTCGAGCATCTGGTGTTAAGGCTTCGGATAACGGGACATCATCATAGACTAATGAGTTGTTGATATTGTAGTGGGGCATCGTGCTAACATCGGAGTTGGCTCTAGAGCGAGCTGTTGTATCTGTATTTGAAGTGAATGAGCCCGATCGTGGACGGAGAGTATCCCCATCAATGGAGAGGGAATGTCCACGATGTGAGGCGTGATGAACGCTCAGATGATTTGAATCTTGATTCCATGCCATATCTGTTGATACAGGTGAAGTCGGGCTATGATTATGATCTGTTGGACCAGACCATGATGAAGAAGCTGCAGCAGATGAAATAGATAATGAACGCTGATGAGATGAAAAATTGTTAGTACGGGTATGTTCACTTATTTTCCTTACCGCCGGCCTTAGTTTCGGATTTTGAGCCATATAGTACATACCTCTCTTCCTGAAGTATTTGTTACCACAATTGGGCTTAAAAATGACCCTTGATGGGGTGAGTTGCTGTTAGAAGACATGAGATATGATAGGCCCTAGCTTTCCCCTGCAGGTATGCAATATGAAAACGGAATCTTCAGTCTTGTTTGAGGAGGAAGGCTGTTTCAAATGAACCCCGGGAACTAGACGCCTGTTATGACCATGAGATTTTACAGAAGGAGGCTGTGTACAAAGAATGCCTAGACCGCCCAGACACGATAGAGCCGAACTTGGATAGAGCGTGGAGAGTTCGCTAAAACAAGAAGATGCCAAGCTGAGAGAATTATATGATCCACAACTCTGTTGAGAAAGCCAGCGGTTATAACTCTGTATGTAGAGGTCTAAGAGTGAGAAAAGCGTGTCATCCGAGCTGATCATTTCAAGATGACGTTTCGACCGATGCATAGCCCTCTACGAAGTACATTCCCAAGTCACACTAGGCGACCAAACACGGCGACTAATACGATTTTCGTTGTAAAATGCTACTGTACCTAAGCCTAGGTAGAGGGGCTAAGGGGCCAAAAGGATCTAGTTACTTCTCTCGGTTAGAAAAGATACATAGTCAACCAGGATGAAGACGACACCTGCATGGATCTACCAGCACGGACATATTGAGGAATTTAGCGCCGACAGGTTTTCTCTCAAACACAGCTTATCCATTGTTTCTGATCCGGGGCAATGGATCCGCTAGAGGAAGATACTGCGAGAGAGAGGCCAATTGGACGACGACTCAATACTTGGGCCGATGGAACACTTCGAGCTTGCCGCCGGTGTGGAGTGTTTTTGGCTTGCTGCGCCTCATCTGAAAAGCCAATGACTGGCCAGAGCCAGAGGACCCCTCCCAAATGTATGCGTCAGATAAAGTAAAACTTATCATGTGCATGATTGTCTTTTTGAGGAGCAAGGAGGCGAGAATTTGTTGGGGATATCCTGGCGGTTCTAGAGATGAGCGGAGGTCACGCAGGTGGTGAATCGGACTGGATTGAGATGATCCCTGCGATCTGAAGCATGATTGGAAGTAATCTAGTTTGCTTCTTGTTTTTCGATTTTACATGCAAGTAGATAAAAGTATTCAAAGTAATTGTTTTTATTGGTGGGAAGTCGGGAATTCAGGAATATGTGCAAGGGTTGCCATTTCCGACTCCTGATTTCGGCCACTGAGCGTCTAGCGATTTCCTTCTGCAAGGACAAAAGCTGGAGGCTGGGTGGAGGCTGGAGATCGCCACCAGCCACATTACATGTGGCTTAGATGTGTGGCAATTAAGCTCGTGGCTCGTGGCGGTGCGGGTCAGGTGATTTCAATCTATGTACTCACTTTCCAAGGTTACTGGCAACGTAACATTTTAAGCCTCGATGTACCCGGGCGATCATGATTTGAGTGGCTCAAAAGGAGGCTGTACTTAATTAAGCTTGTGGCAAGATGCCGGGATGGTATGGTGTGTAGCCTATCTAGGCAGCACAGCACAAGGCAGTTCCAATAATAATCTATACGGTTCACAGCCTCCTTCTAGGCTGCCAACAAGAGTTGAAGATTCGAGTATTAGATTATCCTAGATTTATCCATAAATTAAAAGTATGGGCAAAGAGGAGCCCCCTAAGCTAGATTGATCCATGACCTTTGATATGAGACGACATAAAACAAGACAAAAAGAGATTCATGGCAAAGGTACCAGAGTGAGGGGATCAGAGAAAGGGTATCTATAGAAGAAATGAACAGAAAGTTAACAGAAAACAGATGAACAAGATGAAAAGACAGTATTAGAGACAGGAAACGCTCAGAGAGCAACAAGTGACAAGATGAAAAGAACAAGTTAAATCGACAACAAATGCAACAGAATGATATCCGGTGATAAAACAATGAAGATCATCGGACTCAACAAAAAAGGCGCTCAAATGGTTCACGGCCTAGGAGCAAAGTTGACACTTTCAGCATCCCATAAAATACATCGGCTTTTTGGTTTTGGTTCGTATCACGTATCCCGTATCTCGAAGAAAATAGGCGTGTCGATCACAGATCTAAACTTTCCGTGAATCGACTACCACGACTTCCATCAAAACTTGGAAGACTCCGACCCAGCGAGTCCGGTCGTTGTACAGGTACCGCACTTTGAGGCTGCGGAATCGGTTGCGCGGGGTTGACCGTAGTAGGTATGCCGGAATGCACTGAGCTGGAGACGGGGAGTTGTACCTTCGAAGGCCGTGCCGGGGAGGAGTTTTCATCCGCTTCCCGAGTGTAATTTGTATCTAATGGAGAACCAAACGGTGATGCTGGAGGTGGACCATGAAAGGAGGGTGAAGAGAGAGGCCCGCCGGTTGGTGACTGGGGAGATAATCCGATTAAGCAGTCAGGGATGGTGGGGGAATCGCCATCTAATCTACCGCCGTATCCATCTCCGCCATGAGTGAGAACGGGCGCGATCTTGCGACCGGATATCTTTTGGAATCCGCGTTCGCTGGAGCTGGAATCGATGGTGCTTTCGGTTCGGGTTGTCATGGTTGATTGACGCCAGCGTTTCATGAATGCAGGGGCGAAATAGGATGCAGTCAATACGCTCGATGGTCTTTCTCTTTCGGAGATTTCCCGTGTGCCTGCGGCTCCGGCTCCAGCTCTGGCATCGCTGGATGGGAGAGTTTCTGTTCCTCTGCCTTTGAAGAAGCGTTGGAGATAACCCCGTCGACGAAGGGCGTAGAGGACGAATACCAGGATGAACGCCAGACCTGCAACACTGCCTACGACACCGCCCACGATTTTAGATGTGGTCGGGTCGATGGCAGGCCCTGAGCCTGAGGACCCGGTACTTGTTGATGAGCCCGATCCACTGCCTGATCCACTGGTGGTGCCGGTTTGCTCAGGTCCTCCATATATATCTGAAGATGAGGAAGGCGATTGGGATGTCTCCGACCAGTAATATGAGGTAGAAGATGAACTGGACGACGGAACATAAATGGAAGTTGTGATTGGCGCAGTCGTAGGAGCCCTAGTGGTGCTTGCAAAAGAAACTAGCGGCGTCGAAGTATGAGGCTGAGGCTGAGAACTTGTCGCAGGGGATACCCGGGGAGACGAAACGGGTCCTCGCTGCTTGCTTGTGCCAGTGTATTGAGTAGCGGAAGATGTAATCGATGTAGTGGGTAGATCAGCAGGTGATGTCGCCAACAAGGAACTGGTCGTTGCAGAACCCTCTGAAATTGTCAATTCACCGAAAGCCGAAGCTGAGATTGTCATCGGAAAGTCGACTCCAGACGATTGCCAGAGAGTTTGAGAGCTAGGATCAGTGATTTGCAAAACGGTTTGAACAATGGTTATCGCATCCGCCTCGTCGTCTGTATCAGCTTGTCGCTTGATGAGCGATTCTTCCGATGTATCGTCTGGACAAGTCGTACTCTGCAACGGATCACACGGATCAAGTGTTGAAAGGGTTTCGTCACTATCCGGGGAATGATCTGTGTCGTCCGAATTGCCCGCTTCGCTATCTTCTTGCTCCTGTCGATGCTTTGCATTTATGATCCTGCTGATCCGAGAATGGCGGTGTCCATGGCGGGACATGGTGTCGAAAATCGTACAAATAGAAGAGGACAAACAAAGGGTTTTGTTTTGTGGTGAATCCTCACAGAGGCTGGGGCTGGGTCGACCAGCACAATTGCGAATAGAAGAATAGTATTTTGGTGGTATATTTGTTTTCTTTTGCGTTGGTCGGTAGAGAGTGACAGCCGGGTCTTGCCCGCTAAGCTAACCTCGACAGAACGAGGGGGCTCAAATCTTCCAACAGTAGAGATGAATGAGCCAAAGGTGGTAATTCCAGCGAGTCAAAGAGGTAATTCCAGCAAATCAAGTGACGACAATGAGTGGATGTTGGTTGGAATAAACAACACAACAGATAGATTTAGTAATGAGTGAATGGCATTCGACAGCCTAAAAGTACCCAGTGGGTTAGTATCATGAGACTCTGCCGAAAATCAAAATGGTTGCTGGTTGCTATGGAGCATCGATATCATATTGATTCTTCTTCTTTCAATGCCATAGCATCCTATCTCCCACCCCACCGCACACGTACCTGATGATAAAAAAAAGGAGCGACGAAAAGAACGAAAATGAAGAAAAAGACCGCGCGGCCTAGTCCATATTGAGCGTTGCAGAATATCTTTCTCCCCAAAGGATATAGAGGTTGAATCGGGTGAGAATCAGTGTCGGACCCCCGGGGCCTAACAGGTCAAATGAGTGAAATGACAAGACACACGCACTAGGCGGTTGTGACACTCGAGTTTGATCACTGATGCCTTTGGGGCTGCTGAGGCAGTTACTCGGATGAGTATGTCTGGCAGTGGGGGGAGAAAGAGGGAAAGAAGAAAAAACGAGACAAGTGGAACGGCCAGACCCAACTCTCCCCTATCGACACTAAGTGACCCGCGTGGATGACGAACTAGCCCGACGGGGCCGGGAGGGCTTAACACAGGCCCTAACCGTCTTAATAATAATTATAAGGAAACGAGGGAAAAGGTTGGTATTTCTGCGATCAATTGGAGCAGGCTCAAGATTCCTGTACTATGTCTACACGCGAAAAGCAAAACATCTTTGTTTATTTATGATTATTGACCGACAATCATGACGCTCTTCGCAGTGAGGAGAACTTCGAGTCTCGAAAAAGGAATAGTGATGCTGCAGGTACACGAGAAAATCAGCCAATCAGAATGCAGAAGTGGAGACCGCCCAGGTTCTGGCCAGCCACTGTCACCAGCACTAAACCTAATACGGACTAGTCTCCCACGCAGGTTTAATTAGCGATTTGTAGTACAGATGTTTGACCCCGTGACCAGTTGACTTGCCCAGGTGCTCTACTGTGGACTAGTACTTGTCAGGTGCGGGATCAGCAAGGGAAAAACCACTCAGGCCCCGGTGTTGCATCATGTACTCCGCACAGAGCACATAGTTCAAATCCACACTACTATTTTTAAGGCCTACCATGAATCTAGCTCGGCTAGTGGATGTGCAGCCAATGATAATTAGTTTGTGAAACGATGAAATAGGTACACGGGTAGGTACCACAGGTAACAGTTGGATCCTCTGCTCTTCTTGGTTCTTTCTCGCTGTACTTCTCAATAATTCCGCAGGTACATTCCACTCTCTACTCAACGAGTATCATCCACAGTGATGGGGGGTATTTAGTAAAAGGAGACGCTTTCTTTCGCGCTACACCGGGGCCCAGTTCCGCGTGCGTGTTTAAAATGTCTCCAAATCATCGGCCGCACCCTCCTCGCCCTCAGCGGGGATCTCGAAACCGTCCTAAAAATAGTCATTAGCCACAAATCCCAATTCACAAGCGAACACAGCAAGAATGCAAACCTCGTCACTCACCTCAGTAGAGTAAAGAATGCCCTGGATGTGCTTCACAAGCGTATCCTCCTCCTTCTCCAATTCCGGATCGGCCTCGATGGCACTTTGAAGCAGCAGCTCGATATCACGCAGTTTAGCGAAATAGAAGTCGCGCTCCTTCTCAAGACCGGCAATCGCCTCCTTCTGAGTCGCAACCTCCTGCTGCAAAGCAGCAGAAGGAGCACCACCACCCGCGGTAGCAACACGGGGGCGGGCAGCACTGGTAGTAGTTGGGGTCACTCCGCGTCGTGAGCCTGCGGAGGGAGCACGAGCAGCTGGGGCACCAGCGGGGGCACCTGAAGCCCTTCGTCGACCGACGGCATCATAATCACCACCGGGGTAGTGCTGGTCCCAGTATCGCTTGGTCCACTGGAGGAACTCCAAGTTGTCCTGCATGCGGCATTTGGTAAGGGATTGGACGGGGATAGGCTTGTTGACGGTGTGGCGCGCAAAGACGTCTAGACGAAAAGAGAACACGTCAGGAGACTGCGGACGAGATTATTGAGCGTGGGATGGGATCATGAAACGTACTCTGCAGGACCTTGAAGTTTTGCAAATAGGCATATTCGGTGTTAACGTTGAACTTAACCCGGGCCATGGGCACGTCCACTAGACAGACACAAATTTCCCCGCATTAGCATTTTCCATCTAGCTTTTTTCTTTCGCCTTTTTTGGCCGTCCTAGCACTTGACCGCTAGTCGGGCATTGTTACAATCGGGATCGAACTCACTGAATATGGAATCAAAGATTTGGCATAGTGCAGCACTGTGTAGGGACACCAAAGTTCCGCGTCAGCCCCGAAATTCTATCATCGATTCTTTGTCCTGCTTCGGTGGGAGGGAGGGGGGTTGTCGATCTATCATACCCGGTTCCGCATTGCTCAATCTTAGTGATGTTCAACTGGAGAAGGTTGTTCAACCAGCTGAGAAGTTCTTGTCTATAGATTAAATCTGGTTAGTTCTCTATTTCGATGATTTTTAGGAATGTCCCATCGATAGGGGGAAAGAAGCCGAACCGGGATTCACCCATGGTGGGGTAGTGGTAGCCGTAGCCGGAATTGTGAAATAAAGACGGGGAGGGGGGTGGAGAAAGGGAGAGATTCAAAAAGAATGATATTTAAGGAGAATAATTCGCAAGATCAGGGCCTCTTCCGGGATCTTCCTGTCTGTGTTGATGCAAAACAACGATGGGATTGTTTTGATGCCAAAATCCACGGATCACAGTGGCGCTAGCAACTGCAGCGGCCAATCACGCGTATCTTACCTCATCATATCGATTGACGCCTAATTCTTCAGGCTCGATACTCTGAGCCACCTACAAAAGCCAACATATTATTTAGTTCTTTATAAACCCAATGAGGTATGAGTGATTCCGGTGTAGTGCTCCCGAAAAAGATTGATTTGGTGTATATATAACAATCCAGTGCAGCGATTTGTTGCGAATGAATATCAAAAGGGAAAAGCAAGTCTATACCCCAATTTCCAGCCTGGTATATCCCGAAGGACCCGAAGTAATGAATTCAAAAAGAAAAAGATGTACCAACTCCCCAAGTCCATTCATAGATGCCAGCCCATTTTGTTCCCCCAAAGCCAATGACATGAGAAACACGCTAAAATAGAAAAGAATGAATATTATATAATATGAGAATATACGGAGAATCACTCCTCCAATAGATCGATTCCATCGAGACCGTAGCCAAAGTCCATGATAACGGCCCGCGAGTCTTGGCTAGTCGCGACGATTCGCCGGTAGTCTGACTGAACGTTCAACATCCAGCTAGTAGTCCATCCTGGGAGATCAATAGATAGCTCGCCAGAGTCTGTGTCGAACACCTTGACACTCATATCGTAGCTACCGCTCACGATGCGTTTGTTCATGCTGTCCAAGTGGAGTGAACGGATCAATCCAGAATGACCACGGAGGGAATTGACCAGTTCACCCGTGTTGGCATCAAATTGGTAGATGGTCTTGTCATTACCACCTGTCAAGATAGTTCGACCATCATCGCTGAATTCAACGCAGGCCAAGCCACGGTCCTTGCTAGGGAACTCCTTGACACAATGGCCGGACTTGACGTTCCACAGCTTGGCCACACCGTCGCCGCTTGCTGACACCACAAGATCTCCCCGCAATTGTACTGCGTTCACCGGCCCGCGGTGACCCACAAGGTTCTTCAGGAGCTCGCCAGTCTTACGATCCCACACACAGATTGTGCTGTCCTTAGAGCAAGACACGATGTATCGATCATCGAAACATACATCCAGCACACCCGCGGTGTGGCCAGCAAGACGACGGATCGGCTTGTAATCTTTCTTGATATCCCATACAATACAAGTGTAATCGGAGGATCCAGTGACCATGATTTCTTCATCAAATCGCAAGCAAAGAATCGAAGCGCTGTGGTAGTCTAGCGTTCGGTCCAGTGGGGCAATTATGTTCTCCAAGGGGGTCGACGGAGGGCAAATGGTCAGAAAGGGAGATTTTCCTGTGGCTTGCTGGGCCGGGTTGTTCACTTGTCCAATTCCGGGGAGGTCGCCTGGAGGGGGGCCAATGACCTTTAGACAAGGCCAAGGATAGTGAGCACTCCACACACGGATGGTGCGATCACGAGATCCAGTAATGATTTTATCTCTGGATACGGAATTATTATTTGCGTGTACGCAGTATGGCTTGAATCAGCAATGTGAACTTACTCGTCGAATTGTGCGCAGTATACACTGTCCTGGTGTCCGTGCAAATAAATGGCAGCAGCTTTGCCTTCTTTCCAACGCTGATCAAGAGCACGTCGGACCAAAAACATGCGCTTCCAGTCCTGGTTCGGGATAGACTTGCCCACGCCAGCCGGCTGCTTTCTCTTAGTCGCAGTAGAGCTAGCCGGGCGGCGGGGATAAGCGGCACGGAAAACTGGTTTCCAGACATGAGGCGACGATGCCTCATAATGCCAAAGATTTGAGACCAACTCAGCGTTCAGCAAAGATGAAGGGTCCAAGTATGAAAGAATGTGGGTCATGATTTCAGCAGGCAAATAAGAAGCGGGATCTATAAACCAATTAGCCATTTCACTCGCGCTTGCAAACAACGAAACTTCAAATCATGTACTTACCAATGCGCATGATATCTAATTGAGTATCGGAATCAGAACGATCGCGCAAGTCGATCCCGATGCCACTCTCTGAATCCTGCGTCACTTGCGTATCGAGAGTCTTGCCCTGCTCTATCCGAGCTAGCTCTAATCTAGCTATTTCCATCTGTTCATTCTGGGCAGCGGCAGCAGCTCGAGCTGCTGCACCAGAAAACCTATCATTCGGTACGATGGGCGGCTCCAATCCATGGCCCGGGATAGGAGCGGGAACTGCCCCTGTGGGTACATAAAAGCCCTGTAGCGCAGAGACGCTGTTGAGGGATGGGCGTCGATTGACACTAGGGCTCTTAGCCCATTCTCGAGGCTGCACAATCCAGTTTCCTGACGCAGCACTGCGCTTGTGTGCTGAGTGGCCAGAAAGGTGGTAGTGGCCTTCTTTGTTTTCATCCTCCACCGTCACATGCAAATTGTGCTTTGACGATTTATTGCGAAGAGTGACCGACAGGCGGCGTCCGAGCGCTACCAAACCATCCACCGGATGGCACAAGCTTGAAAAACTTTTGGCTGCACGACGTCGGGGCACCGCCTGTACGGTAGGCTCGATATCCTCCAGAGCGGAGTCATTAAGATCACTGTCGCAGCACGCTCCAGCCAGGGCAAAGTCTTGCCACTGATCGAATGTGAAGTTCTTGGGGAGTGTAACTGGTTGAACTGCGGTTCGGGCGCGTGGGCGAAGCGATAGCGAAGGGTGTCGCCTTGTGGAGGTGGTGTTATCTCGTGGCGGCATGACGTCGGTTGTCGAATTAACGATTGAAGACGGATTAACTATAATTATGTTGACACTGGAGCCCTCGGTCGATCTCCAAAGGCGTGTAAAATCCGAAGCGATTGACCTTTTTTTTTTTTTCTGTGAGTCCCAGTCTAGTATATGTTCGAGGAGACGCAATTGTATGGGAGGCTTTTGGTCGCAGAGGCGAAGCAAAGTGTATAGTCAAGGACAGTAATATAACAACGAGACCCCCAGGAACAACGAGAAATTCGAAGAGAGTGAATGCAACGATTGCAGTGGATTAGGATATAACGAAAGAAAGAAATAAAAATCCAAACGAGGGCTGCGCAAGGAGAAATAGGGAGAAGCGGAAGAATTCCAGAAGGAAAGAATGGATGGGCCTGAGAGTCGGGCGGTGAATCGGGGGCGGTTGATTGGACTGGCTCCCAGGTCCAGCAAAGTATCGGTGACCCCGATTCTCTTTCGGTTGGCTTGCAGTTACTTACATTGGCTTTGTATACACTACTTTCCGGTCTACCCGCTTCTGCATGGATAAGATTTTTTCTTCTTCTGTGAGGATCTGGGGGCATATCATGGGGCTGACAAGGTTTGTGGAGTACCGCTACCCAGATGTCCGCAGCGAATTACCTTCCAGCCCAAGTACCGAGTACTTCTACCGCCGAATCTAGGGAAAACCGACCTTTGGGCCCCGAGTGGCGGTTTAGGCCTCCGGGTCCAAGGTTTCAACCAACTCTGACGGTCAATCGGGAAAAGTAGGACATCTGAGGGTTTACTAGTACTAGAACAAAAAATATGTTTTCAACTCGGATATGCCATGCCGCTTAATCTGTAGATCCTGTTGGGCCCCTCGGTGGATCCACTATGGAGAATGTTGCACCGCACTGGCATCTTTAATCTACCATAATATGAGACATACTAGTAGGTAGTAGGGGTCTTATACATTGCTAGGAGGCTGGCACGGGCTTACGACTGATCTCTTTGTTCAGGATACTTCAGATCAAAGTCAGCCACATGCATATAAAATTGACTGGCCACAACTTGAACATCTTCTGCGATTCCATTGTCCTCTCAGCCCGTCTCACAAAGGCGATCTCTGTCTTAGAGTCAGATTAGGTCAGGCAAACCCATACAACGGTGCTTACGATGTAGCTTTTAATAATATCGCACATCCCAAAGAGAACAATAACCTCAAAGGGATCTCAGGATCATCTTCTGTTCGAGGGATTAGTTCTCAGAAAGTAACTACCACCCTTTTCTAATTCACGTTTCCACCTCAGTACCCTCATTCTATGTACAAATTATGCCACACCTTTTCAATCTCCGACTCCTTCAAACCCACTCAAACCGTCCCCATTTTACTCAAACACCTTCTCATACCCAGTCAAAGTAAACCGATAATGCACATCACCCTTCTTCATCCGCAACATAGCCTCTTTCAACCCTTCCTCCCCAATAGCAATCTCCTCAACCCACCCCTTAAGACCCTTATCCGCAGCCAACTGAAGCATATCCAGCATTTCTTTCCGACTACCCAAATGGCTAGCCCCAATAAGCACACCATTAGCAATCAAGTTCTGAGCCTTGATAAGCTGCCCCTCCTCCTCGGGCAACCCAACACTAATCCAGCGCCCATGAACATCCATCATAGTCAAGTATCTCGCGAGATCGAATCCCTCCGACGAATTGGCACAATTCACGATCAAATCAAACGAGAACCGATGAGGTACCTCCCACCCCTCCTCAGCAGTAGCAATATACCCATCAGCACCGAGCTTCAATGCATCAGCCTCCTTCGCCCTGGATCGTGAAATAGCCCACACCTCGGCACCGAGTGCCTTAGCGAACATAATTCCAAAATGCCCGATACCTCCCAGTCCCACGATACCGACTTTCTTTCCGGGTCCAGCGCCATTACGCACAAGCGGCGAGTAGGCTGTGAGTCCGGCGCATAGCATAGGTGCCACGGCGTTGGTTTCTAGAGCGTCGGGAATGGGGAAGACCCAGTGTTCGTGGGTACGGACGTGAGATGAGTATCCGCCCTGGCTTGTGATGCCTGTCTCTGGCCAGACGGAACCGTATGTATCCATTATCTGGATGGGGCAATAGGTTTCATTATCGTTGAGGCATTGTTTGCATTCGCCGCAGGAGTAGGATTGGGCGCCGACGCCGACGCGTTGGCCTTCTTTGACTAGTGTGACTTTTGGTCCGACACGAATTGCACGACCGATGATCTCTGGATCACGATTAGTTATTGTTCTGACTGTCTTTTGACGATGAAATTACCGTGTCCAACGCAGAGAGGAAATTTCTGCTCTCCCCATCCACCTGTAGACTGTTATTAGATTTTCGTTATTTAGAGAAATGGTACAGCGTTTGGACATACCACTGATGGTGTGAACATCACTTCCACAAACACCACATGCCTCAATTTTAATATCCACATCTGTTTTCTGGTCAGTGATTGTGTATAAGCCACAATGGAAATTATTTGAACGTACCATGGTCACCGAAAGGCTTCAATTTGAACTGGAAATGTATATTGTAAGTTGATTGTGGCTCACCATAATACTTCGCACGATTGGGGAAACTCACGAATCTCTTCTGGAATTTAGTGAAGGTATCAGGTCCATCCACCTGGAAACCTTCGGCTTCATCGGGGTAAGGCATTGTCAAGAATTTGTTAATTAATTGTGGAGGTCGGTATTGAATTTAGAGGCTTGGAACTGTAGTAGGAAGTAGAAGAAAGAAGAATGAATTGGGTTCCTAAAGGGAAAGGTAGGCCGTTTTAAAGTCCACTGGAAGAAAACTAAAAATCATGTTTCCACTATCTAAGAGCACGGCTCGATGATGACCTCGGAATTCAGCGCGAAACTTTGTCTTTATCGTGTCGATGCCTTCTTCGTATAGCTTTTTGGGATATGGTTCCCGGGACAGGATCCACTATGAACGAGGTTGAACGAAGTCACCCATACAAGATGTAAATACTGTATCTATTGGAGGAGTTGACAGATCTTACTACCACAAGTTCCTAATACCATTTATTCATATAGCAAGATTTCAAGTCATGTATCTCTAGAGTTACTCAATTGATTTTGATGCAAGACGACATCTACATGGGCTTGGCAGCAGCTGATCACCGACGATGACCTCGTATCAACTCCGACTAGGAATTATCCGCCAATCAGAATCCGTGGAGAAACTATTGTTATCGTTATCGATAAGGGGTCGTGCGACACAGTAATCTGCCAGACATAATGGAGAAGCTATACTATTGTTAAGTAGATATCCTATGTTTCAATACCTTACAAGTATATTGCAAGGCTTCTAGCCAAAGCCATTTACAGCTATTCATTTACAAGATCAGAGTCTTAAATGTGAAATCATATGCTCATATACAACTTAGCAATACTATGGTCATTAACGACATTGCGGTCATATCACCTATGCCACATCCTTCAGCGATAACTCCACATCCAATGATGGCTTAATCTTATTGGCAATCTCCTGAGCCTGAGCATCACTCAGACGACCAAGAGGGCGACGTGGGTATCCACCGTATCCATAGTAAGACTGGATAGCCGACTTAGTACCCGGAATAGCAGCCTTGGTAAGAACCCAATCGGCAGCGCTAAGCTGCTGCTGAGCTTCCATAGCCTCAGCCAGACGGCCCTCAGACCAAAGGTTGAAGATGCGCACACAAAGACGGGGGATAACATTCGCACCACCAGCGAGAATAGCCGAGCCACCAGAGACAAGAGTCTGGAGACTGAAATCAGCAATACCGCCGAACGCAACGTAAGGGTGCTTAGCGTTAGGCTTGGAGACAGTTGCAGCAGTACGCTGGGCAGGAGCCAGGGGTGAGGGAGGAACAATAGCACCCAGTGCAGATGCAACACGAGTCAATTTTCCGGTGTTAGCACATGTGAACTTTGTGCCGACGATATTGGGGTGTTCGGAGATGCGAATGATAAGGTCAGAGTCCATGTCGATTCCGGCAACAGCACCTGGGTAGTTGTATAGAATGAGAGGGATGGGAGATCCATCAGCGACGGCTGTGAAGTACTCGTATAGAGTCTCGTCGTTGCCGACGGCCGCGCGGTAGTAGCTTGGAGGCACGATGAGAGCATACTCGCCGCCTGAGCTGGCGACTTCCTTGCACAGATCGATAGTGCCGCGGATGCTGTTCTCGCTGGCACCGGCGATAACGGGCACGTTTTGGAAACCGGCCTCGTCGAGGGCTGAGCGGGTTTCGCGGGTGACTGTCATGCGCTCCTCGCGGGTCAAGTGGACGGCTTCGCCGTTAGATCCCATGGTGACGAGACCAACCAGACCGGCCTTGGCTAGGCGAACTGCATGGCGGCGGATGGAGGCAGTGTCAAGTTCCTCGGTCTGGGGATCGAAGAAGGTCATTGTTGGTGCATAGACACCGGGACGAAGGGGAGTGAGTTGCGACATGATGCTAATAACCTGATCTATGCGTTAGAATTGTTTCATGATGTAGATATAGTCGATTAACCTTGGAATAGAGATGTGGACTCACAGAATATTACTTATTTTATCTCTTTGAAGAGTTGAAGAACAGGAGATCTAATGGGAAATCAAAAACAGAAGACACCCGGCCGGTTATTTTTCTTTTTAACAGAAAGTTGAATGGTTTCCCCACGTCGGCAAATACTCCGATGTCATATGTATGGCGGATAATTCCATTCCACCAATGAAGACGGATAGAGAGAGTGTGGGGGTACAATTGTGGAGGAGGGGCATCGTCGCGAGGGGAAATGGTGTCGCAAAGCGCGATCAGGATAGAGAATGAAATGGTAAGCATGTATACAAAAAGAGGGGAAACAATAGTGATTAGAAGCTCAATTCTAGATATAACTATCAGTTCGATTATATTTATCTCACAAGCAAATATGGAGTTCAATGTTGCCGAAACTTGGGGAAGAAAGCTCCATGAGCCAGCCCCGCGATAAGATTATGACATCGGCTATTGACTTGGTTCAAAAGCCGGAAGAATTAAATCCAGCGACACAAGTTCTTCGTTGCTCTTTTCTTCTTTTCCCAATTCCTCCTCTTATACCCCTCCAAGTCCAATCTTGAGACACATTACAATCCTCTCCAGAAATCACAATGGCTCCTCCTAGCGTCTTAATGGTAAGAAGAGCTACCCCGCGGCTATCCAACTAAGCTAACAAGAACGGGCAACCAGGTTGGTACCGGCGAGTACACCACCGGCTTCGTCGGCGGTGGTGCCTCCGGCTCAGACAAGAAAGTTGGTGTCGTCGGCCTGAGTCTCTTCGACCTTCGTCGCCGTGGTAAAGTAGCAGACCTAAGCATGGTCGGCGTGTCTGGCAAGAAATTCCCCGGAATCCGTAAGTCGCAAACATCCACAGCGCCCAACAAAGCAAAACAAAACATCCTAATTAACTTGACTTGCAAAAAAACAGGCGACCATCTACACAAGAACATCTGCCAGGTCTACAATGGCCTCGACACATCCTTCGCCTCCTTCCCAGCAGACGACCAAACAGATCCAGACGCCTACAAGACGGCAATTGACGCCCTCCCCAAGGGCTCAGCAATCACAATCTTCACCCCCGATCCCACCCACTTCCCAATTGCATTGTACGCCATCGAGCGCGGTATCCACGTAATGATCACCAAGCCCGCCACCCAGCGATTGACAGATCACCTTGCGCTGGTTGAGGCAGCACGCAAGCACGGCGTCTTCGTCTTCATCGAGCACCATAAGCGTTTTGATCCCGCTTACTCTGATGCGCGGGCGAAGGCCCAAAAGCTCGGCGACTTCAACTATTTCTACAGCTATATGAGCCAGCCGAAGAGTCAGCTTGAGACTTTCAAGGCGTGGGCAGGCCGCGATTCTGATATCTCGTATTATCTTAACTCGCACCATATTGATATCAATGAGTCTATGGTGCCAGATTACAAGCCTGTGCGGGTCACGGCTACAGCATCGCAGGGTACTGCTGCTGAGTTGGGATGTGTGCCTGAGACTGAGGATACTATTACCTTGCTTGTTGAGTGGCGTCGTCGTGATAACCCTGCTAAGATTGCGACGGGTGTTTACACGGCTAGTTGGACTGCGCCGCAGGGTGCGGGCGTGCATTCGAACCAGTACTTCCACTGTATGTTTCTCGACTCTTGTTCTTTTGGTCTCTTGTTATGGCTACTAACTCCTGGATAGATATGGCTGCCAATGGTGAGATTCGTGTGAATCAGGCTAAGCGTAGCTACGATGTGACTAGCGATGACCAGGGTCTGATCTGGGTGAACCCGTAAGTCAATTTTGATCCAGCCATATCACTCATGAGGTATACTAACAACACGTTTGCACAGATTCTACATGCGCTATGCACCCGATGAAGAGGGTAACTTCGGTGGACAAACTGGTTACGGCTACGTTAGTTTCGAGAAGTTCATCGATGCCGTGACAGCAGTCAACGAGGGCAGAGTGACACTCGACCAGTTGGATGCTCGCCCTCTGCCTACTCTGAAGAACACAATTGCCACTACCGCTATCCTGGACGCTGGTCGTAGATCACTGGATGAGCGCCGACCAGTAGAGATTGTGTCGGAGGGTGACAAGTGGGAGTTGAAGTAAAATCAATCGTTGTAAACATGAATTCAATGTGTGAATAGATTATTATGAATATTTCAAATTGAACAATTTTTGTTCCAAAGTCGAAATAAAGCTTGATATGTTAGGTAGGAAGAGTCAGATTCGCTAGCTAAAATACAAATTTGTTGGAGGATCCCTAATAATGCACATCGAACTCCGGACGCAATTCCGCGTCAACTCTTTAAAATAAGATCAAATCCCTTGAACATCGCAGCAACATCTCGTGGTATCATGCAGGAATCTCAATTGGAAAAAAAGAATAAACAAACTTCATCGCCGAGAATTACCCTTGACAATGCCATCTAGACCCTTACTGAACTTAACACGGCATTCGGGGCAATACCATTTAGCTGTGCGCGAAGGCACCTCAGATAAACCAACGCAATCAAGGTGGAACCACTCACGATCACACTAGATAATTGGTTAGTATAAGACTATCATAGTCAGGTCGAATGCGAAGGTTCAAACTTACATCTTGATTCTCACAGCAGATCATTGTTCCAAAGCTAACATCTCCGCAGAGACAATAACGAGGCTCGTTGGCGTCAATCTCTTCAAGAACACCGTCTTCATCAACGCGAACATCTTGTGAATTTCGAATACTAGTACTAGGGCGCTTTTTTCCAGGCTTGGCTTTGCGGCGACCATAACTGACAGCTGCACCGCCATCTTGGCCGGATGAAACCGGGCCAGGGGCTGGACGCTTGCGCCGGCGAGCTGGCCCAGGAACGCTGGGGGCATGTGACGTTTCTCGGATGGGGGTTTTTCTAGCAGGGGTGGCGCTCTTGACACGTAGATCTCGCCCACTGGCTGCGGCAATTGCAGAGATACCCGATAAGGCTCCAAGCTCAATGGATGCGGCGGCTGCAGAGCGTCTGGATGAAGGGCGTGTGCTCGGTGGTGTAGGTGTTTTGGTAGTAGGCGCTTTAGTTGTAGGCTGAGGGATTGACCTAGCAGAGCGCTTTGATCCTGTCGGTGATGGCAATGGCGGGGATACCTTTGGTGCCTTTGTTTCAGCGACTGCTTTTGTGACAACAGCAGGCACAGGTACAGGAGCAGGAGCGCTAATCACCTCTGCTGGACCATTTGAAGGAGCTCCTCGGCTAGATCGGCGGCGTTTTTTCGAAGATGCTGGTACAGGTGTTGGTGCAGCTGCAGGTTCAAGAAGTGAGGTTTCCAGATCATCTTCCACGGCAATTTCTTCTCGTTTTCTCTTTCGTGATGATCGGTTCGCCGGAGTTCCTTGATTAGACGGAGCTTTTGTCAACATCGGCAGGACTAGATCAGCCTCAGCAGGATCGAGACCCTCAAGTAGTGCTGCTTCTCTGGCTAGCATCTCACGTTTGAGCTTCTTCGCCTCGTTCAACTTCATGCCCCGATTGCTCAACTTTGTCTCCTCCAGGTCCTTGGGCTTCTCACCGCGACGCGTTTGTTCGATATTGTCACAGTCAATGAACTGCTTTCCAGTCTCCTCAGCCTCAATTTTAGCGGCCGCGTAGGCCTCCCAACCACGACCAGAGAGAGATAATTCACGGTGAATCATAACCTCACTGGGCTGCCACACCGCATTCTTCTTCATCTTCTTTCGCAGTCTTGTCATCTCCCACTCTGTCAATCGCAACCACGGCAAATCCTCACTGCCAACCTTCGCATCCTCAGGAGGCGGTTTCAACAAAGCAAGTGCATTACTTGCGGCCGCTCCCGCGGTTGAGCTTTGGCGCCTAGGCTGCTTTTCTTTCTTTGGACGCTTCGGTGCTTTGGGAGCAATCACTTCCATCTCAACATCCGCATCAGATTGCTCAGTACTAGCAAGTGGAGAGTCGGGGTTAAACCCAACCAAATGCTCTGCAACGCCCGAACGTCGCCCCCTAGACTTGTTCGTTCCCCTGCCTTTCGGATTATCTAAACGCAAGGTGATACGCGTTGCCGACGCGCTGGACTTTTTATCTTTGCGCACACGCTTCGGCGTAGGCTCTGGCGGTGGCGACGGCTCCACAGAAGGGGGTTTCGGTAATCCTTCCAGCTTCTGCTTAATGCAGTTCAGGCGATCGAAGTGGCGATCTACGACATCGTAGAGGCGGCTAGCCTCCGCGTACGCGGATTCGCGGGCGTTTATGGCGCGATCGAGTTGATGCGATATATCTCGACGAAGGGATATCGCGGTTGGGCGCTCATCAGAGGGTAGCTCGGGGAGCTGTCCGTAGGTTCTGGTAAGGTTGTGGACTGATTGCGCGGAGTCGAGGTAGCGGTCGTCTAAACCGCGGATGTGGGTTAAGGATCGGATGAGATCAGCTGGGAGGTATTCCGTGTAGTCGATATAATCTGTTACTGTTGCTTGCGCATCAGGATCAAAGGGTCCATCCAGAATAACCCCGCCGCTGTGGTCAGTCTCGTCTGTCATTGGCATCCTTGCAGGTCAAGAGACGCGTTCGCCAGGCGACCGCAAGGATGAATGAAAGAAGTTCAGAAGCTAGATTGGATCTGAAGAAAGAGCAAACTGGCTAGAGCAGGTATACTCGACCACCAGGGAAAATAATGAGGGTGAAATCAGCGCAAGCTGCAGGTGCTAAACACTGGGGTTCCGAGTGGAGCCTTGGAGCCTTGTGCACTTGAGCGCAGTCACGCTGTTTGTTTGTGATTAGTCATGCGGCGAGATGTTCAAATGTTGGGTCCACGAGTGACACTGTTGACGGTCTTGGCAGGAGATTTTATAGTTTTAAGGTTATTTATTGAAGTATAGGTGCAGGTAATTGATTAATCTCTATGATTGTTATTTTAATTCAATCTCACTACTGACTAAGTCCTTGCTGAGGCGGATCAACTGGATTTGCTACCTAGGAAAACATCATCCCGACCCATATTTCCAAGGTTGGAGAAGTATATATGTTTCTGGGTCTTTACTACTAGTAGTAGTAGGAACTTCCACTTTTAGAGAAAATGAGTTTATGCCTTTGCAAGTAAAATATTGGATTGACTTATTTGAATTCAACTATCTGGAGCAATGTATAGTTTCTCCGTGATTTAAGCAGCTTGGGATATCCATACTATGAGCTGCGAGCTGCCCAGACTGTAAGTTCAACCTGCTTTTACTCCATGCTCTCCGATTTCTCCCCGGCCGACTCCAACGCAATCCGAATTAAGAGATGCATCGTGTACCGAGCGTCATTGCCTGCATTATGTAAGTGTTCCGTATGATCCTCGTTCATCTCATGCAATAGCTTCACCATCCCCAATCTTTCGGGTCTGCCACGCAGGACTTGAAACAAGTCCGCGACATCGAGGCGGCAATATGCCCCAGCCTGATCTGCATACTTCAACCGACCAAATACCGTGCTTCCTGTAAGCCCAATGAGTTCCATATCTCGCTTCATGTCAAGTCCAACGAATATCATACTCCGGCCCCTCCCCAAGCACGCGTCAATCGCCTTCCCCATGTCATCCTTATCGATGATTGCACTTTCACCCCACTCGAATTTGTCTGGACATCCATGACAAAACTCATTATTGACGTGGTACTCATATTCTGAGACGCGAAGGTGATGTGATTTTATTCTTTTCTTCCAGTTGGCGCCGTAATCGCTAGGTGGTAGGTTGGCTAGGTCACGGGTATCCAGGATTGAAAGGCCAACTTCGGTAAGATTCTCTGAAGAACGCTCCATCCATTCACAGTCAATACCAATAAACAGAATATCATCCTCGAATGGGTATGGAGCAGCCATGAGTACGTTGATAGGAGGCTGCAGAAGGTCTTGTTCTTGGTTTAGGGCTGTAACACAACGGCGTCGCAATCCAAGCCACGTTTGCAGTAGCTCCAGAGTTCGTGTTAATTGAAGTTGTCTTTCCATTCGGACCTCCGCTCTTTTCTCTGCCCTTCTGATTTTCTTGAACTCAGAAGATTCAGAAGCGCCATTCTTTTCCGCCGGTAAAATTGTATTCTTTAGGTGTACTTCGAATGCAGCTCGAGCTGCATCAGTCAGGTTTTCTGTGTACTTTTCCCATCTTGCATAATCCTTGAACGATGATATATTTGCCTTGATGGTCTCCTTCTCTTCGTAGCTGTTGGATTTTCCTAAATAGATGGGTTTTGGCCCCCTGACAAGGTCAAAGCGAAGGGCCAATCCATCCTGGATCATTCCACCGAGTGACAATCTTTCCGAGATGGCCGTGTTGATTTCGGTGAGCATAGCCTGTGTCTGCGGCTCTGGAATTAAGAGAATACCACTGGCCTTATCTTCTTCGTCAGGAACGGGTAAAAGAAATCTGTCGTATCTATTCAGTGAACTGTTGGTCTGCTTATTTCTGATTAAACTCACAGGTCCCAGCTTCGATCCCAGAACTTCTTGAACCAGTGCTGAGTAATGTAATTCTCCTGGCCCGCATCAATGATGTAGTCCCTTGGAAACTGAGAGAACGCATGAGCTGGAATAAAAGTCGAGGTAGCTTCCATGTCGGTTTCGACGTTCGACGATGTCGGGGGAGCGATGGAAGGTGAGGTGACGGGATCCCCAGGCTGTTCGGCCGATATCCCAACAACCCGACTCCGAGCGTAAGAGATGGTTTGATTACTTCGAGGATCACGGACTTGAATGTGAAGGCTGGAGACTCGAGGTGGAGGAATGCCAGACATTTTTGAAGCAGTTGAAGCCGACCCACCTGCTGGTGGGTTGACGTGTGAGTTCTCAAATGCTTGGATATCACTAGGGTCCACTATCAAGCCTAGAATAGTCAAGCGCATTAACGTGTCTTCCAAGTCCGCATCTTTCATTATGAAATCAACCGCTTGATTAGTTGGTGGAAGGGGACGTGACAGAAGAGACATGAAGGGAGTAGTAGGTGAATGGGCAGGTTCAGAAGCAGGTAAACATTGCGGGTATGTCAATGAGTAGGAGGGAAGGTGCAGCTCACTTCGATCTTGACATGTTCCAAGTTCTTATACTAAGAGGAGTCAATCAATTCTCTTTGACAAGAATTATGATTGTATTAATTATTGGTGGTTCTTGTTCACTTCAAATTCTCAGGCTCCAATTCAACTAGTTGTCAATAGAGACTCGCTCTTTATTCAATAAGGGGTATCCATCTTGTACTCTATTCACTACCAGTACATCTCTTCACTGCCAGAGCATATGAATATGATAAAACAGAATTCGAGGACTTCTTCAATATCTTCGATTTAGAAGAAATATGATAAAATCCCCACCATCTCCTCTTGCTTGTTCAGCCTGTTGACCTGTCTTCACATCCTCAACGAGTTTATTCAGCTCCATATGTCCATTCAAACATTATAACACCAATCGCAGTCACCTAAATGTAATAGTTAGTGAAAACAACCCATGAAAGCATATTCTTGTTGTCAACATTCAACAACATTCAAACTCACTAGCAATGTATCCACACCTGCCGCAACCACCAAATCCACAGCAGGTCGAATAGACTTCCGCCTTGAACTAGGCATCAATGCCAAAACATCGTTATGTTGAACGCTCTCATAGACCCAAGCGATCTTCCTATCTCCGTCATTTATATCATACTTGGCCATAATCTGGCCGTAAGACTCGATCGCAACATCTAGAGTGATGAACTTATCATCCTCAGCCTTAGCCTCGTTCGTAGCCATATTTCGAAAAGAAAACCGCATATTCTTTCCCCCTTTGTCCATTGAGAGTCGTGGTCCTCCTTCGGCTATCTTGACATCACCGCCGCCTGGCATAGTCAAATACCAGCCAGAGGGGAACCCAAGCCTGGTCTTCGTATGGAGTTCAAATAAAGGTAGTCCTGAGGCATCATGGAACTCTCGGAAATTTTGATCTCCATACTTGCGACCGGATACTGTATACACGGTCTGGCCTTGTTCAGTGGTGATACTGTATGCGATTGCTGCCTTGTCATCTCCCTTTGATTTCAACACGAGGGTAGTCCTTGAGGACGCTATCGATTCTGTGCGGAGTGCAACTTCGCGCTCTGGTTGTTTCAATGACTGTCGGGGGTATGGCGAGGTGAAACGCGGCAGTCTGAATGACATAGTGCTGTTTAGTGCTATGGAGAGTGGCAGTATGATGTGCGGCACTGTTGGTGAAAGCAGCTAGGTCATTGTATTCAGGTAGACATTAAATAAATACCGCATGGGGCTACGACTCGGAAGACGCTAAGTGATGCTAAGTGAGGTCCACTTTGGTGACGATGCACCTTCTTTGGTTTGTTCTGTTTTGCCCCGCCATACACAAACAAGGCGGCCCCGGGCGCGCACGGCTGTGCTTGTTATCAAAGTGGGGAGAGAGGGGCTCATGCGTTCCAGGCTAAACCTTGGTCCTTGAAATCGGGCTTGCATCGTCAGTCTGAATTTATTATGGCAATGCCTCGGTACTATATAACGAATAGTCCGACTATTTATCTCACATCTATTCATATCCATACATGCACCTACTCCATAACAGGCCAGAATCTCTCCTCCAACCAAACAACCTGTCTCCACCACTCCAAGCACCTCTGTCTCATCAACTCACCCTCCTCAACACCCTTAATCTGTCCCGCCATAAGATCCAAAACCTCTCCAATCTGAATAACGAACTCCTCAAACTCCTGACTCGACCAATTAGGAATAAACTCCTTCCTCAAAGCTCCCCCATCAGCATCTTCTCCATCCTCTCCCCTCGCAGCCAAAAACGTCCCTGCATACCTCCAAGCCCGTAAATAGCACACCTCCGTCGCCCACAGCACAGCCAAGCCCTCAATAACAGAGACACCGGGACTAGAAGCCGACATGAACATATCAATATATGCCCTTGTGATTCTAGTAGGCGCAAAGAAAACAGGTCCCTCCCGCTCAATTGGAGCCAACGATTGGACTCCTTCACTGGGTACACAGGGCTCACAAGGCTCACATTCTCCAACCTTTGTACGCGTCTGAGAAGTGTTCAACGGTGAGGAAGGATAGCACACTTCCCCGCCTTGCATCTGGCATTCTCCCTGCGGTTCACAAAGACGATGAGCACTGTCCACATTCTCATTCCCACGCTCATCTCTCTCAGCACTAGTAATGTTATCCCCACCAATCACAGCAGTACTATTGACCGTACCATCAGAAGCAGAGGGTCCCGTATCTCCCGGCCCCGTCAAAGTCGAAGCCGTACACCCCGTCGAGCCGGGACAAGAGCCGGATCCCTTCGTCGAAATAGCCGCAGAGGTAGTAATACATCCGGAACCAGGTCCACCTTCACAAGGCGAGATAGCAGATAAATCCAATCCATAGTCCGAGGCCGTAGACTCGAAGAACTGTAACTCGCGACGGATATTCACGAGTGCATCGATAAGAATACTAACAGCCTGTTGGTCTGGTGTGCCTACATTCGAGGCCGAAGGGGGCTTTGTCGCGCGGGATTCAAGGTTGATTTTGGCTAAGAGGGAACCGATGAAACGAATGTAGGATTGGGCATAGAGCCTGTCTTGGGAGAGCCATTGGGATAATGTGACTTTTGGGAGGGTGCCTCGGCCGGCGGCGGCGAGGAAGGGGTGGGTTGTTGCTCTTTTGAGGGATTTGGGGGTGCTCTCGAGGAGGTAAGTGGTTAAGAGGTGGGAGGTCATTTTGGTGGGTTTTTTAGGGGTCAATTGTTTGTTAGGAAACTTTTTGGTGTATTTGAGTTTTTTGGAGGGGTTAGTTAGGTTTGGGTTGGAGCTGGGGTGGGGTTTGATGTGGTTATGTCGTCAGATTAGATCTTGCCCTAAGTTGACTAGAGCTTTATCGTTATCACGATCCATAATTAGATCGAGATGATCAACAGTGGAATTGATTTCGAGTATTTTCTATTCATTTGATCTTTCTATCTGCTCATTTAACCCTGGAAATCTACCTAATCTTCAAGTTACACGAATAGCTTGTTCGTGAACCTGCATTGAGATACGGACGTCGTTGATTTTATACTTATGACTGGGTAAACAGGAGGAACTTCTTGCACTTTTTACTTTCTTCACATTGTATAGACTGTTCATGCATTGATACTTGGAGCCCCGTGCATACACAGCCATCGAGGCATGGATGGCACACATAAAATAAGGCAACATAGCGAAACCGAGAAAAAGAAACACAAAGCCCTAGCGCATAGATACAGAAAACAACAAAAGACAACCTTGGAATCCAAAACACCACACCACTCCGGGCTGCAAATAATATGGAACATAGATAAAAATATCAACTAAGCAATACCACTAACACCGGTTGTATGCGGAGCGAGAAAGCAAACGGACGAAAACCAAACATTCTTAGTCAAAATCTTGTACATCATGAAACGGGAAAGAAAGAAAAAAGAAAGAAACGTACAACTTAGCTGAGCTAAGTTGCCGTAGCGCGGGCATTACTCAATTGTCGATGATATGAGCCAATTGGTTGGAAGCCGCTGAATAGGGGTTAGCTACTGTTCTAGTTTGAGAGTTTTGAGGGTTGGGGCTTCAGGACATACCGAGCAAGGTCAAAACCATTATCGTCTTCCTCTTCCTCCTCTTCTTTCCGTGAAGGGGGCGGGCCTAGGTCCCCTCCATCAGACTGTAGCGGGGGTAATGTCCTGCTTGAACCAAGTCCATTCGATGTGCCCGGTTTACTTGGACTGACCAAGTTTGGTGGCGGGGGACTACTACTTGGGAAACCACCGATGATACGTTCATCCGGTTCACCCTTGATAGGACTCATATCTGGTACCGGACGGGCAGGCGTGCTGCCAATATCGGCGAATTTCCAAAACTGGGCGGGTGAGCTCATAGGCATGAACTTTGATGGGATCTGTGCCGTGCTGGGAGGAGGCAGGCGAGGTTGTTGACGTTGGGGAGCTGGGGTGATCATTGATGAAGGGCCTTCGTCGTAGTATGAGGAGGAGAGTACGGGTGGGGAGCCGGCGACATTGTCCGACATTCCGTAGGCATGGCTTGGGTTGGTGCTGCTACCGTTCTGTGCTTGGGTTGAGCTGGCGCTGTTGCGAGTGCGAGCGGGTAGTGGGGAGGGTTCCTCGTATCCACGCGGATTCATATGGCGGAGTGGATGGTCGGAGCCAACTCCACGACCAAGGCGGGATCCACGCTCCGGAGTAAAAGCCTCTACGGGCGCAACGGGGAAGGAACTGAAGCCAGGTGAGGAGACGGGTGGAGACTTCTTGGCTGTGGCGGGGAATGAAGTATCAATTGATGCGATATGGGCTGCACGTGCTGATGATGGAGGCTCCTTGGTTGCGGGTGACGAGGGAGCAGAGGACTGGGTACCCTTCCGTGTTTGTTTCTTCCGATATTCCTCTCGGTATTCCGCAGCGATCTGCCATTTCATTCCCTTACCCGGCTCATCAGTCCGACGAGGCACTTTCTGGAAAGCCTTGTTCAAAGAGAGATTGTGTCGAATAGAGTTTTGCCAACCGCTCTGAGAGTGCCGGTAGAAAGCGTAACGCTCCATGATCCAGTTGTAAATGCTATTTAAAGTAAGCTTCTCCTCTTCGCTGGAGAAGATAGCCTGCGCAATCAGTGTCGCATAACTGTATGGCGGTTTCAGATCCTTAGCCGAATCTTGAGCGTAGTCAATCTCTTCCGTGCTCTCCATCATCATACCGCGATTATAAAGCGGGGATTGCTTTGCTGTGCGTTGGCCAGCTGTATCCGGACTTCGTGGAGGTGGCGTAACATTGCGCTTGAGGAAGTTCGGAGCAGGCGCCAGCGCAGGCCCACCAGATGAAGAAGGGCGCGATGGGTCAGTAGCCTGAGAGGTCGGAGGATGAGCATGTTGCGACGCATCCCAAGCAACGGAAGCCTGGTCCGGCTCTTGTCCACTCGCGATGCGCTGAGCACGCTCCACAAAACTGGGGTGAATATTCGGGACGTCTCCGGGTGTAACAAACATCATTTGAGTGTTAGCGACCTCGATAATATCTCCACAAGACAGAATAGCGTCGACACCGCGCTTGATAATCGAGTTATTCAACCGAACACCGTTGCGACCATTCACCCGAATATGCCAGGCCGGCGCTTGCTTCCCATCATAAAATATCTCCGCATGTAGTCGAGAAACGAACTTGCTAGGACCCAAATCCACATCGACATCAGGCAGCGCACGGGCGGCAATAGTAACCGGACTCGACTGTTCGGCGGAGCGAGGCTCTCGGTCCGGTTCGCGACCGATGTTGACATGCAGTGACTTGACGTAATATGTCCAGTCGCGGCCGGCGATTTTCGCATATGCTTGGATACTCTGTTTGTTCTCGGTTTTCGTATTGGAGTGATCGCGTGTGACGCGCAGTTCTTCGCGCGGGGTGTTGAGGTATGAAATCACAAGATCGACGACATCTTGATGTGTTGATGTATCATGTTCACCGGCGGACTCTTCTTCTTCGTCCGACTCAGGCGCCGCTTTGACAGTCGCTCGAGAAGGTGATGCGCGACGTTCAACCTAAAAGATTATAAACAAGCGAGATCAGCTGAGTTGTTCTCATTTTGTCTCCGGACCATTTGGTCTCAGACCAGCCCTATCGCCACTATCGGACTCACCTTGCGCTTCTTTGCAGACGGACGACTGGGCGACGAGTCGGGTGCCTCAGCATCGGAAGTTTCCTGCAGTTGAATCTCCTTGCGGCGCGCACGCCGACGATTTGAAAGTGGCATCGTTCAATATTTCTATGAGGACGAGTAAAATTGGAGGCGAATCGGAGAGAATAAGTCGGCGCAAAAAGAACCGGGAATAAGTGCCGCGCAAGAATCGAATCGGATTTCGGATTTTTCAAGAATGTGGGCAAGATGGCCGTTGACGTCGAATACTCCGCGAATAATTCCACGGCGGGGCAATAGTAGGCTTGTCAAAGGGAAAAGTTTTGGAAGATTTTATTCCCCGGACAAGAGGAAAGAAGAAAAAAACACACAAACAGATCAACTCTGGATCCGGATTTCAGCGGTCGCCCCAGGCTTGGAGACACAGAGGTAGAACCAGAGAATTGAGACCCTCAGAACCAGCCGTGGATTGGACCCGATTGAGGCGGATTTTGCCACCGTAGCAAAATTGTGTCAGATTGTGAAAAGAAAAAAGAAAAAGCGAAAGGAAAAATGGCGATACAAAAAAATCCCCCCAAAAAGCGCACCAAGAAGCCAACAGTGGCACAATCAAGAACTGTTGGAGACGGTTGGAAACTGTGTGGCTGGAGGTTGATTATCGATAATCCCTACGATCGACGCGCGATGGCGTCTGTTTGGGGTGACCGCCTTGTCGCGTGGGGAGGCGTGTATGATATGTCTTCCACTTCCCAACCTTCTAGGTTGTTTCACTTGAGATAAATATCTTGAATCAATAAGGTAGAAGGACGAGAGGATAATAAAGAAGAAGAGAAACAAATAAAACGTAGAAATAAAAGAAAAGAGAAACGCCGAAACAAAAACGATTGAAATCCATTGCGTTTTGCCGTAAACAGTTGGGTGGGGTCTGGTCACGGCTGTGTATGGTATAGAAAGTTTGAGTGTGGTAGAGTGCGGATAGCATCAAATTAGCGGGTAATACGATTACATCCGGCCATTGCTTCCAGCGTGGGATCCACGATGCTTCCGAGTGCAGTGAAGAAGCAACCTCAGATGATAGTATCCTACGTTGGAAAGAGGGGCTGATAGCTAGGGATGATCAGTGCACTCTATTATCTGCGGCAAGATGCAGGAGTTCCTTTGTATTATTCTGTCTCAGAATAGGCTGTTGTCTCAGAACCTATAGATTGAATAGTTTCATGGCCATATAGATACCCTAGTATACCCCTATGCCTCTACTCTATTTTCTACATCTATACAATGCCAATTTACATTCAATACCCCTAGATAGATCGACATCTGCCAGAATGACCCGAATGTTCGTTCTATACAACTCCACAGGCCGTTTGCGTCACAGGCCCCCCGGATGCAGTTTAGTCTCGCCCGTTGGAATGTTGCTTGGCCCCTTTGGGGTCTGACATGTCGATCGCAAACTTGAACCGCTCCAAATCCGGGGCCGTTTTCTTTTCTCTTACCAAGGCAGATCAAAGGTCGAATGTTTGAAATCAAGTGGACCATGTAACCTTATCTTGGTTAGGGTCTAAGGTTATGTGTATGTATGGGCCCAGGTCTATTGGCGATACTACATGGATCGTCGGACGCAAACAATAATAAGGTTGTAAATAAACAGCGGGTCGTAGTTTTATTGCTACAGATGAGATATGGCCCCCATCGATCGGGAATCCGGATTGAACGTATGGAAACGAAAAGAAAAGAGAGGAAACATGAAGGGAGAGGGTGGTTGAGAAGAAAGGAAGAATGATGTAAAATTGACAGGTAATATTCCACCAATGCGAAGAGGAGGAATAGGCTCATAGGCCAAAGTTGCGAGTAAAAGAAAATAACATATAAGAAAAGACAATATGGGAGCAGTGTCTGGAAAAGAAAAACAGTTAGTCGTAACAGCGTTAAATTGGACAATCCAATGGTAAAAGCCTCAACGATTTAGGCATCATCACCGGGCATCTTAGCATCTCCGTCTTCATCCAACCCACGAAGGGTCGGGTAGGAGATGGTCTCGGTCGCAGGTTCAGATTTGGGTGTTTCCTCCTTAACTTGCTCTTGCTCCGATTGTGCACGTGCACTGCTAATCTCAATACCCTCCATAGCACTGTCTATCGGTGACGCAGATCGGTCACTGTGTGCCATGGCCTCAACGCCATATTGACCAGCCTCCAAGAGCTCAGAGACAATGCGGCGCAGATTCTCAAGTAGACGGACCTTCTCTACCCAGGCGACATTGACGTCGCGCTCGGCCACCTCGGTCGCTGCCTGGGCAGTCCGTTGAGCGGCTTGTTGATCAGGGTCAGGAGAAGCGCTAGACAGAGCGGGATCGATCAGACTGGCGGAGATTTTGAGGCTCTGCTCCTTGGTAGGAGTTCGGTCACCGTCAGAAGTGTCCATGCGGCTCTCAGGCTCCGCAGGGCGCGCACGCTGCAGGGTACCTCCTGTGTAGCGACGGCGGTCGTCATGATCGTAGGCACCAAGAGTAGAGGGAGGTGCAGCGCCAGATGCAGTTGGGTAGCCGGCGGTCATGTTGTCGGACATGGTAGCGGAGGGCAGGCGGGGGTACATGCCAGCACCATTTTCATGTGGAGGGGAAACACGGTGACTGTGAGGCATGGAGATCGGGGAGCGGTTGGAGGTGTATGATTGTGCGCTAGAAGGAGGAGTCAAGGCAGGAGTGCCGACGGATGGAGAGTGAGCGGAGGCAGCCATCATTGGCCCCGAGCTAGTAGCCGTGACATGGCTAGGAGGCAATTGGGATGGCGGGGAGTTGGTAGTGCGGTAGTTCATGCCGCCGTGGACGTAGTGGGCACCAGGTTGGGCGACACCAGCAGCAGCTACGTTCTCATCGCTCTCGTAGATGGTGTTCTGCATTTGCTCCAAGAATTGGTCGATGTTAATCAGATCATTCTTAGTGCGGACGTTAGACATCGGGGGTAAGTGGTATGCAGGAGCTTGAGAGCCGCCAGGGCTGTAGCCACCACCACCCCCACCTCCACCACCCACAGCAACACTAGCCGGCATGGGCTGGTACTCGGGGACAGGTCCGTTCAAGATAGGAAGCTGGAGAGCCTGCAGGCCCAATAGACGCTGCCCGACAGCCGCGTAGGAGTTGGGATCGAATTGGCGGCGCTTGAGATCACCGAAGAACTCGTTCAGGGCATCATATCCGCGCTTACGGTCGTAAGACGGGGCACCCTCATGACCCTGACTGAGGGCATAGTAGACATTACCATACGAGTGAGGGTTTGCGGCCGGAGGAGGCGCGGGGTGTGTCTGGTAGTATTGGGGTGCGCCATGGGCATATGGGTGGCCCGAGACGCCATTCATGGGACCCTCGAAGTAGTGAGTAGCAGCGGCATAGCCCTTAGGGTTTTGAGGGAACATCATATCAGGGTGGTGGTGCTTCAGTCCAGGTTCCGGGGATCGAATCTCGGAGTCATCTGCGTGAGTCTTGACATGCTTCTTCAGATCCTGAGGACGCTTGAAAGCCTTGCCACAAAAATCACACTTGTGCGGTTTTAATGGCACATGGACACGAATGTGTGAAGTTATATGATCACGCTTAACGGTTGTGGTATTGCAAGTTCCCCACTGGCAAGTCAAGTTCAAGTTGTTGGTACTCTTGCGACCGACATGGCGTTCACAGACGTGTTCCTGTCACAAGGCAACGACTCGTTAGTATTCTTCAACGGCGCCACAACGCCAGCAATAATGAGGATTCAATGATAGCTTACGTATAGTGCTTCCGCAGTGGGACTCTTCTCTGTACAGCCGACCCATTGACAAGGGAGCTGTTCACCTCCTCCATTCATGGAGTTGTTGATAGCAGCAGTGGCGGCAGCAGCAGTGGCGGTAACCGACGCGGTCGGAGTAGTAGAAACCTGAGCCACGGAGTGATTTTGATCAATGGGCGCTGAAGCCGACACCGTTTGAGGTGTCGATATTGGGGGAATATTATTCTCCGTCATGATGCCAAGAAATGGGGAGTTCTTGTCGTGCTGGCGGGATGCTAGGCACAAGCTTTTCCAACAAAGGGCCGCGACCGAAGTAAGAAAAAGAGAAAGAAAGAAAGAAAGAAAATGTCGACAGTCAAATTGTCGATTATACAAGATATTCCTTTAATATCCTGAATAAGGCCAGAGTGTCCAAGAAGCCAAGAAATAAGAACTGGCAACCGAAAGGGGAGGGGGGAGAAGCAGATAATAAGGGAGAGGGGGAAAGAAGAAGGGGAAGACTCCGCAGGAAAATAAGCCGAGCCTTTGCCCAGAAAAGCCCTTTTACCGGGGCGGAGGGACAAGAAAACACACCAAAAAACGAGGCGAAGACCAATGGACAAGACCGGGCCAAGAAATTTGGCTGCGGGCCTCAATATGGGCTTGGCTGTGACTGGTGTATGATAGGCTGGAGTGGGTCGAAAGGAAAAGGGGGGCTGTGTTTAATTCTCGCTCTCAGACGGAGTTCTACAGCCCTGGAACATTTGAAGGGTTATATAAACGTATAAATCGGCTGATGATGACGATATTCGTGAACATATCATACCTATGTTCAAGTTAGGATGTATAAGGCTCAGGCTAGTGTTCAAATGTTCAAATGTTGTGATTTGAATCCCAAACAGGATCATTCCCGAGGTTCAGCCAGCTGAATGGAAACTGTAATAATACAGTATGGTAACTTTAAATTCTCTCCTGGACTAACAACCCCCCCCAATCACCACCCACACAGAATCACCATAATACAATCCAATTTCCCTATAATTACAGCCACAAATACTCGCACACGAGCAATTTCCATCACAATCGAGTCCTTCCACACCACCGTATTCCCAGCACCTCGAACCGAACCCCCCAAAGCATGCACCAATACTCCACCCTCATTCGTGGATAACACAGTGGCAAGGAATCACTCGGGGGCCAAACATACCCCGCCAAGGATCCAAGCCATGGCAATCCATTCTTGGCAGCCAAGGTTCCTCTTTGCCAATTCCCGCTCCGACCCCAAGGGGAACATTTCTTGGTGTCTCGGCGCTCTTCACACTTGGCATCTTTCTTTCTTTCTGCTTTCTGGCCCCGAAATCTTGTCGCCTATTTGGCCCCCCAATTATCCCACGTTATTTCGCTTCAACTGGGGGATGCCCCATGCACTAGTCAGTCGGAGGGTGTGATCAGCGCGTGATGAATCCATTACTGCTATGGCACGACGTACGGTACCCCGTAATACTAATTTGGCTGGGTATTCATCATGTTCAATCTATTTTTGTACTTCTAATAATTATACATGTACAAGGTATATACAGTTTCTTTGTTTGGTTTCCCAAACATATGTACATGGAATAAGCAGGCGGTGCAGGTTACATCCGTGCAACTGTCTAGAGCAGCATCACATACTTGGGGACAAGGGGGGAGAGGAGAGGGGGTAGTAGCCAAGACAATGGATCCAAACAAATCCCAATCCTCTAATCCCTACGGTTCCCACCTTCCTTCAGCAAAGCGGCCCCAGACTGCCACCAAGAGTGCTTGAGTTCACCATAACCCTCCATGGCTCTCGGCTCTAAGTACGCACCCGTTTAGGAGGCTGATACCAACTCCAAATATTCAATCCCACCTTCGTCCCCGACGTAACCGGGTACGCAGCATGCCAAGTCTCAGGATACCCAGTCCCATCTGGTCTAAGATTCTCCCAAAAGATCGCATTTCCCTTAATAGGCTTAAAAGTGATCCCAGGCTTCTGTTTCGGGATTTCACTTTCACTTTCACCATCTGAAACTCCTTCAGCCCCTTCCTCCTCGCATTCTAGAAACTTACACCACTGTTTACCAGGTGGCATGCTTAGACGCGGGAAATTCGTTCCGCCCCCCTCACACTCTGCGTCTAGATAGACCATGAACGTGCTCAGACGATCTCCGCCTCGTGCAAGCGATCCCGTCCAATCATAGTGGTGCCGGTAGTGTCCGGATGCATTGTAGCGTTGGGCCCACATGCGCTCGATATATAGGTGTGGGCGCCAGCCTTGGAAGGCACGGGCGCGATCTTCTAGGCATCGCACAGTGTCGTCGCGATCGAGGAGGGCGCGGTCGGAGAGCCGTTTGGAGGGATCGACCTTTGTAGTGACGCCATCATAGACGATTGAGGGGGTATAACTTTTTAGACTGGAGCGCAAGTCGTTTAGCGATTTGTATTTTTCATTTTTCATTTTTCATTTTATTTTCATTTCGATTTGGATCTCACTAACCTCGTTTCCACCAGATGTGTTGCTTCGTCATCACTCAGGAAATTCTCTAGGTATAGGATGAGGGGTGTGCGCGAGAGTAGGTGGACTTTGTATCCGGTTGGTTCGGCGGGACAGGTTACGGGGACACCGTCTTCGGGACTGATGAAGCTGTCGTCTGTGAGGTTTAGTGTTGGTGCTGAATCTGGAATGTCCCAATCGAAGGCATAGGTATTAGGTGTGGGTGTGGTTTGCGATTGCGATTGTGAGAGGAGCGGCCGGAGGAACGGATCGAGGACGAAGATGTATATGGGGACGAAATAGAGAGCCCATGTGAAGAGCGTTGAAATGCTTGGGAAGGAAGGCATTGGGGATGTATTATGCGCCCAATCAATACATAGATAAATCATGCAATGTATAAATGGCGATGCGCGGAGAAATTCAATCCATGTGGCTGAGGCTGAGGAGATGGCGGGTTTGGCTGGTGCTCCAATTGATATTTTATTTTTGTCGGGAATCAACGCGTGCAAGAATTGTAGAGCTGGGACACGATGGATGGGTTGTCAGGGCCATGTCGATTGAATGGGGAGGTAGGAGTTCAAGTTGTCGATGGGGTGATTCGGCATGCGAGAATCACTATCCATGTGGGTCTGGTATCTGATCCGGGCTAAACCGTTCAAGTTAACCTATGTAGGTCGGGTGGGTTTCATTGAGATAGTTTCTTTTTTTACTACATAGTATGCTAGTTTTTACATGGACGAGGGTATTTACAAACATTAATATTCATTTTATGTAGCTGCACAATGGGTTAAAAGTATAATTTTGTATTTGACAAAGAAAACGTAATATAAATAACTAGCAAAAAAAAGACAACGCCGATCCCAACTAAGCAACGCCAGCCAGGTATAATTCGATTTTTCTTTTTTGCTTTCCTTCGTAAGTGCATAATCGTCGTAGAATCGCAAAGTGTCTTTAAATTCCAGCATTCATCCATTGATTCCATTCATCATTGGATGCCCCGTTAGCGGGTCGAAAGGTAGTAGGGTCATTTCCAAATAGGTCGTCGAATGAAATTCCTAAATCCATATTCATTCCCATGTTGGTATCTTCAGCATCCATGGTGAAATCAGGCATTCCATTAGGGATCGCTTGGTTTTGATGCACTGTGTCGTTCGTGCCCACGTTGGTTGGCTGGAAATTGTAGCCTTGCCACACAAAGTTTTGATTGGGGATGGACACCAGGTCCGGACTGCTGAGAGCTTCACTGGGAGTGTTTCCTTGGGAAATTGGTGAGCTAATTCTAGGTGAATTCATTCCTTGCGTGTTGGGCTGGAGGCGACTCGGCACCGATGATTTGACTCCAGACGATGCCCCGAAATTGGGAAGATGGGCGAAGTCCATTGTAGGAGTAGATATACTTGGGTCGCTCGGTGAATTTGGCATTCCTGTTTGGGTTGAGTCGAACGGGAACTGACTGCCCATCATTCCAGGGCGATCATGGCGAAAATGATCATCTTCCAGGGTGGACATTGGTTGTGTGGGATACGCAAACGGGTCGTCTGATGGGAACATGATGGGCATGAGATCCGGAAGATTCGTCGGGTTGAGAAACTGCTGTGACCAATTGTCTTGATTGGCCATAGAAGAGTTGTTAACAGGGTTTGATACCAAGGGCTCTGGCGTGGTCATAGTTTCTGTGAGCAATTCTGGTGTCGAAGCTAACCAGGCAGATTGGTTACCACTGTCGCTTAAGCGGTTGCTCTGGGGAATATCTAGACTCTTTTGACGGCGACTATGAGTGTTCGCAATTGGGGTCTGTTGCATCATTTGTACAGGGAATGTGGTTGAACGGTGAGGTAAGGTGGTTTGATCTGATGTCGTCTTGATGTTTTCTGGCTCCGCAGAGACATTGGATGGTGCTGATCGCTTGAGGTTCACTGGGACCTTAGAGCCCTGGCGATTCTTGAGCATTTCTGGGAGAGTCTTAAACAAGCACTGTGATTTAAATTAGTTCAGCAAATCAAAAGGGAGGGAAATATTTCACACGTACGATTAAGCTCTGAGAGCATCGATCTGCCGCCATGCTCTTTTTAGCTAGTCCGGCAAGGGTATTTTTTCCCTCCATTGCATCCTTGAGAACGCCATCTTTAGCAGTTGGAGAATCGGGATTTTCAACAACAAAGAAAATCAAGGAGAGAATGGCAAAATAAGTGGTGTACATTGCGAACCAGAAAGATCCATTAAGTAGGCCTCTCTTGTGCATGCCTGTTGTGATGTGAACGATATTTCGAGAAACGCTGACGCAGGCAGCAGCACAGGCGTAAGAACGCTTATCGACACCCCGAGCCTGGGATCCACCAGATACGTAATGCAAGAATGGGCGGTACATGACCATCTGGACATGCGCATAGCTAATACGGAGCAATTGACGAATCCTAAAACATGTTAGCTTTTGTGATATGCATCGCGGGTGGGTATTATGATTACCTTTCTAGCTGCGGAGAGACCTCCGTGCCGGGTCGAAGAGCTGGAGGCAACTCCTCCATCCAAGTCTGGAGATCCCGCTCAATTTCACGGATCTTGGAATGACTGACCATGTATCTCTGGTCGAACTTTGAGCGATAACGAGCATTCTTGACGGGGTATATGTATTTGACCACCTTCAAGATGATGTTGGAAAGTCGAGTGTGCGCGTTTGGTCCAGCCATCAGCGGGGTATAATCTGTGGGCATCTGTGTAATTCCTAGCGCAGTGATGAACTCTCCGTCAACTTCCATTGGGTACTCTTGGTCGATATCGTCGTCGCTCAACATTTGAGGGAGACCCAGCAGCGTGCTGACATAGACGTCCATTTTGCGAACGACCCAAAATATTCGTTTCCGCATTTCTCGCTCGATGGGATTGAAATCGGTGGCTACATTTCGGTGGAGGCCTAATCGGAGAGCCGAACGGAGCGCGATTCCAACATATGAATAGCAGGTACTGAGCTTGGCAGAGGACTGAAGGAAGAGCACCATAAAGCAAATTGCTTGTAGAGAAGTAAGGTCTCGACAATCAGTAACCTCTAGAAGCTGTCGCCCGGCCTTGAAGAATTGAAAACTGGAAGGTCGCAAAGTTAGCTATCATTCGTAGACCTCAAGAGAATGATATGATAATCAGGTCTTCATGCACTTACCCTTGACCAATCGCACCCTCATAGCCAGCGACATCCAACATACCCACCCCATCATCTGAGAACAGACATCCGACTGCCATCACGATGTATAGAAGCGGTAAGAATGAATTTTCTTCATTCGTGTATTGATCAGGTGACTTGTCATAGATGCGTTCAAGGCAAGCAAAGAAAGATGGCTCATGCACGAAACGCATCAAGCTGCAGGCATCATCCAGAGCATTGTTACACAAACGGCGGGCGACATCTCGTGGCGGTAAATCATGCGTGGGCGGAAGGGAGGAGTCCTGAGGCGAATCGGATGTTGATTTAGGACTTTCGAGAGTCTGCGAGATCCCGCGCGGGGGTACGATGGGCATATCAGCCGCGCCTAGCTGTTTGCGCAGTCGGCGAACAAAGATGACTCCGGAGGTATGGCCATGGTAATCCCAGTGGCCTTGGTCATCACGGTCTAGACAACCCGAGTTATCGACCATAGTTTCCAGCAAGGACTCATCGCCGGGCTCAGCGGCGGGCTCGGCCGGCGCCGCGGAGGGCTTGGGCGCAGATTGCCCGGTCGGCTGTTTCGCTTTCTGCGCGGCGACCAAGCGCTGTTGGGTAGCTTGCACATCGAGTTGTGGGTCATCGAGATTTAGATCGGGGAGAAGCGAATGGAGGAGGAGTTCTGCCTTGTGCATACGGGCTTCGAGGGCTTCGACATATTGCGGGGCCGGGTTGCGACGACGGTTGGAGGGTTGGTCATACGTGCATTCTGTGGAATGTCAGCCACGTGTATTTGGGGTGAGAAAGAGAAACAGATTGGAATTTCAGCTGGGATCGGTTCGCACCATAACTATAGACAGTACAATGTGTACATGGTTGTTTCCCATCGCACTTGATCTTTTTTCTACGACACTCGTCGCAGGCTCGACCAACTCGCCGCCGCTTTTGCATAGGTAAGGACGAGTTGAGTTTGCGATCGGCGGGGGAGGTCTCTTGATCATCATCATGCAAATAATCGTTCAAGGCGGGGTCTTCCTCATTCTCGCCAGAATGAGAATCCGTGGTGGATGCCATGGTTTAGCTGTAAGATATAAGAAGCCGTGATTCATGTAAGGAGGGCTTGGACTGATCTATTTCGCAAGATTCTGGATCGCCCTCCTTACGGGGAACATTGAAAAAGATAGCTATAGTAGGGGAAGAATTATGAGTGGAGAGGGAGTGAGAGAGAAAATCAAATCCCAAAAAAAGTAACCAGAGAAGAATCAAGTAGCTTGAAAGGACAAAAATGATGAAATCAGAGGAAATTCGAAGACCGAAAGCGGTGGGCTGGACCAAGCGTGGATTGAGCGTGGAATATTCCAAAAGCTTGGCTTTACACAGATTACTTCAGGGTCAGCATAGGTGTGCTCTCCAGGGTTTGTTCGTTGTAAATAGTGGAGAATCATGGAAATCTCGTGAGGAATTCGGTTTCTACTGCGGTACTTCAACAGTACTTGCGTATATACAGGTATTGATCACTCATAGCCCCGGAGCCACATTATGTGCCCTTTTGCTCTCTGATTCCCCAGTAGGGCGCTTTGACCAGTACTGGCCACGTAACATACACGTATCGTTATGTAATAAATGTCGGACTTTCGAACACCGGACGTCCGACAGGGCGCACAGAGAGGGGTTCCCTCGATTATTCATAGTTCGTATTCATGCACTAAATCACTGGATTTGAGGCATTTTTGCTGGTCGGCTTCATCGCCGATGCTAAATTTTTCCGGGACTCGGGCTCCACTGAACTATCGGTTATTCCCCTTTATCGGCTGGTGTCGGTTGGTCCAGGAGTTTTTTTACAGCTTCGGCCGTCTTGCTCTATATGCCGATGGAGGGGCGGGCTCCGAACTATAATTTGCCGATAAATCCAATCTGAGGGAGCATAATATAGTATAAATGGGTCATGAGTCTTATGAGTTTTCAAATTATCTGCACCACCGGAGATATTCTTTAGAGTTGAATGGAATTGAATTGCCCTGGAAGGATCTCCGCGGTAATTATACATCCCCGTAGTACTTCTTAGTAAAGAGATGGATTTTCATTCGGCGTTACTATGCATAGGTACAACTCGAATACAGTAAGGGATTTCGGTGACTGTTTATTTGTCGGCGACCTTTGGCGAATAAAGTCGCCGGGCTTGGTTTCTGTATGTATCAACTGCAAGGCTAGCTGTATAGAGTAGGTGCAGGAACAACAACGTTTCATTTGAACGCGGCGAATTAGTCACAATGTACGGTTTACCTAGCCCTGCACCCGCAATATCCGCACAGGGCGTCAATCAAACAGGGCCCAAGTGGGGTGTGTGGTCATCTGAGCAAAAGGCATTAATATTAATACATACATGAAACTTCCAAAAGAACCTTGGAATCAAGTTCATGCGTCTTTTTCCGGGCAAATTTTCTCCCAAGGTTTCCCATACAGCCCTACGTAGAGCGAGCGAGGCCATTACATGTACCTCGGCTCCAAACATGATCCACTCTATCCATCGGACACCTACTAATTCTGGGCCTTTTCAAGCCACACTATTACTCAAATTTAGAATATATACTACCACCGGCCGTACTATTGGTAATGGCAGATTCTTGTCGTGATTACTATGATTACTTGTGCCTCGGTATATCTCCAGCGTTCAATAAGATCTTCACCGGCGGCTACTACTACCGTCCAGTACGTCACTCCAGAGTCATATGTACTTTGCACAACCTAGTAACTTGAGTCATATATAGGCATCTGATATTCCGAGTGGATTCACAGCGTGTTTCCACAAATTGCCATACCTGTCTATTAATCCGAACTGATAATCCATATTCACCCTTGAAAAGAAAAAAAATCCAAGCCTCAAATTGTGGGATCGCGCTATTCCAAGCATAGTGCGCGGGAACGATGGTTCATTGTTCCGGAAGGGGATGGCCAATCATGTAATCTTATTCGTAGGCCAATTGTTGCACTGGTATGGAACATCATGCATGTCAGCACTTGGGAGTCATAGTTCATTCTCTGCACGGGCCAATTGCGTTATCACAATAGCTATGGATACACCTGGAAGATCATGATATAGAAGCAGATTCCCTCCCTTCAGCACGCTCAGAATTCACGACCGCAGATCTCAATTGAGCTTTGATCTGGCACCAACTTTTCCACCTAGTGGCAAGCTTCTTCCCAATAGGAAATCTGAAAAATGCCCAGCATTGATCTATCCCCTCTGGAAATCCCTCCAGCCACCATTCTAAAACAAATCCGAACATCAAAACTTTGCACCTTTGGGACCGTCCTATCCGGAATCGATAAGCAACTCCGGACTGGAAAACTCTTCGTTTCATTCACTGGGCTATCCGACGATGAACACGATCTTACCTTCCACGGCGGTATAGACAAAGCAATCCACCAGTATTGCACCGACAACTATTCTTTCTGGGGCGATGTGTTTTCCGACCCAGAGATCTGCGCACGATTCGTACCGGGAGGCTTTGGCGAAAACATCGTCGCAGATGGTCTAAACGAGAAAAACATATGCATCGGCGACCTGGTACGAGTTGGTCCCCCCGGTTCTCTTCTTACAGGCGGTAAAAATGGATGCCTTCTGGAAGTTAGCCTGCCGAGACAACCTTGCTTCAAGTTGAATCAGCGATTTGGGATAAAAAACTTTGCCCCTCGTACTCACCAGGAAGCGAAGACAGGATGGTATTACCGTGTCAAAGAAGAGGGGTGGATCGAAGAGGCTATGGAAATCCGAGTTGTGCAGAGGAAGCATCCTAGGTGGCCGATTTCGAGGCTACATCACTATGTTCATCGCGACAAGACGGATATTGATGTGACACAGGAGCTTATGGGAATTGAAGTGATGGGTGCTGAATGCAAAGATGTTTTCAAGGAGAGGTGGCAGAAGTTTCAAGAAAAAGAGGCTGCCGCGAAAAGACCCCCAGAGGTTTGGAAAGATCTCAAAGTCAAGAGCAAGATTTCAGAAACGCCCCGAATAGTCCAGCTTGAACTTGAGGTGGTTCGGAAGTCTGCGCAGCCTAGTAGGATTTTACCGGGCAGTCACGCTTTAATTAAGCTTCCCAATGGCCTAAAACGAGCATATTCCGTCGTCAGTGGAGACACGAATTTCTTTGTGCTTGGAGTAGCTCGGGACGATAGAAGCCGTGGCGGATCAAGCTATATCCACGAAGACCTCAATACTGGCGATATAATATCTCTAGGAACAATCTCCCAAGGAATGACCACGGACAAAATGGCCTCACATCACATTTTCATTGCTGGAGGTATTGGAATCACAGCATTTCTCGCCATGATGAAACGCATCAAAGATACCAACCAAACCTCCCACTTCCATTACGCCGTCAGGGAATCTGAAGATGTCGCATTCAAGCACTTACTATCTCAACTTGGTCCTAACATTACCATATACGACAAGTCTAGGGGGCAGCGTTTGGATATTGCCGATGTCCTAAAACATCGGGTTTGGAATAGTCATGTGTATGTTTGTGGGCCGCAGCGGATGATAGATGCAGTGGTTGAAACTGCGTCAGCCGTTGATATGGCTCCCAGCGAGGTGCATTATGAGGTCTTTACCACTGATACATCGGGAGATCCCTTTACCGTAGAAGTGATTTCTGAAGAGAGGAAAGAAGATCTTCAGGTCAGAGCTGAAGAGACGCTTTTAGATGTCATGAGAAGTGCTGGCTTTGATATAGGGAGCTCTTGTGAGGTGGGTAATTGTGGAAGTTGTAGAGTTCTTGTCAGATGTGGAAAGATTCAGCATCGAGGGTCTGCTCTGACTGAGGCAGAAAAGGGGGGTGAGATGCTAGCATGTGTTTCTCGGGGAGTTGGTCATATTACGGTTGAAGTACCCAAGTCATGATTGTAAAGCTTGAGCAATCTGTCATATGCATCGGAAATATCTTTTGATTAAAAGAGAAGATGTTGCCACATGCGCCGAAAACACTCAGCATCATATCCGATACCATAAAAATATGAATTCCCTATGGTTAGTACGAGCATAGTACTATATAATTTGTCCGTGCAAACCTTTACTGCCGTAATATATATATCTCGAGGGCAGATGCTACAAATGAAATATCGTATATTGCAAAGCAAGCTCGAAGGCTCTCTTATATTATCAAGAATATTGTTATGTATCTAGTCTTCTCTATTTTTCTTTCGGCGACAACTCATTTTTCTGGGCCTGCTACTCCCAGCCCAATAATTATATGCCGGGGAGGCAACGCCGTGCCATAAGAACAATATCAAAATTCCTAGGGGCGAGGTGTTCATTTTTCCTTACCGCATGCCTTCAAAATAGCCTGGAGCTTGCTGTCATTGTCCTTGAAGATCGACCCAAGACTGGCCACCTCAGTGTCGTTCATGCCTGCTCGGATCTTAGCAACCGATCTCAGTCCCTTGCCATCACGAGAAACCTTGGCAAAACTGCCAGCTCCAAAAAAAAATTCCGGCAACATTAGCGACCAAATCAAGCAGTTATAAGCAATCTGTCAGACATTCTAAACCTCTTGCAAACAGTCGGATAAAGGTGTCAGCACTTCTGAGTGATGAAACCTGTGACTTGTTCCTGAAGTGATCACTTGTGACATCCCACTCCCCTTGACCGCATCTCGCGTCGAGCGGATATTTGTACCGTATTTTCCACTGCTTTGATACTTGCTCTTACCATTTTCATGTTTCTTCCGTGTATCACGGTGTGAGTTTGTATATTTAATTAGAAACCCTTTGTACGACGTGTTTCTTGTTAATCACCACATTTCGTGTTTGTCTGTATTTTATGAGGGCTATCGAATGAAGTCTGCAATTGTTAAATAACTGAGCACAATGGACATTAATTTGAAATACCTCAGTCCCAAAGTTGCTCTCCACTCTTAATTATGATCAAATTTACATGTGTTCAGAAATCCTCATATGTGCGAGTTGATGACATCCAAGCTAAATATACACGTTGACGTTCACTACTATGCATGTATACTTTGACGTTTCCTGGAAATCAAATTCCCTATGCAATGATACTGTTTCTATGGCGACCTCTAATCCGATAGGGACGCCTATTTCCTAAAGGATACCCTCGCCCTCGCCCCCTGATACGCGGCGGCGGGATATATGTAGTCCCAGGGGGTGGGCGAAAGCCCTCTTCTGCATCCTCTGAATTATTGCACATATCGGTACATAGCCGAAACATAATCGCGCCACGCATGGGTGGTATTTTATCCCATGAGGGGGCAACAAACCCCCCATATCTGCGTTTAACAATCTTCTTGAATTCTGCTTGAAGGTCCTCGCAAGATTTTCTGTGCAGGTCCTGCCCAAAAGTGACATAGCCCTTTTTCTGTGTTTCCTCCGCTAAATCAAAGAAGGCCTTCAATCTATTTTCGTCGGACAGGTCAACAAGCTGAACTGGTGCATCGCATAGGAGTCCGAATAAACCTGTTTTTGCGACGTATTCGGCACTAGCGTGTACTATGACCTTTCTTGTGACGAGAACGAGGTTGGGTATGAATTCTAGCATTTCGAAGTCGTCGGGGAATATAGCGAATACGTCCATGGATCCACCCTGCGCTGAGTTTGCAGCGTGCCAGGCTAGATATCCTATTGAATACCCTTCATCTTCATATCTCTCGTCCCAGGGTACCCAGTTGAGGTGTACGGTATCTCGGGAAGGATCAATCATGCCTTTGACTCTTGTTTCAGATTCCCAGTAAGCTTCATCGAGCATTTCCTCGTATGGGAGCATGACGCGATTCTGGAAAGCCACGTCACGAGACTCGCGACATACACGAGAGATAGTCGGTGGCCTGAGATTCATATACATCGTCTTTTCAAGACCACACAGACGAGGGAAACATCCCCGTGTTTGATCATAGAATTCGTCCGCATCCAGCTCATGAACTCGATATGGTAAACATTCACGCCAGACCATGAGTCGTATCTCCGGAGGAAGATCCGGAAAGCGCCGGAAGTGACCGATTTCTTCTGAGCTGGTCATCTTTTCTCGCGGTGTAATATCAATGGCCCTTCTCAATATTTTAGCGTATCAGAGTTGGGCCCCAGAAGGGGATGGTGAAAGAACTCGGCCACTCGAAAAGAGCAGACTAGCTGGAATTCCGTTGTCCGGGTCGTTCCTGCCCCTGAACTATCTGATCGAGGCGAAAACAAACTTGCTTCGGTGTATGGGACGGGCAGAAATTAGCTGTAGGTCGTTCCTCGAGGTGGTGATCGAATCTTCCCAGGGACATGCCAAGATGCTGTATCCGCTTTGGTGCAAGTGGAGAAGGATTTAGCGTCCAACGTTGAAGGATTTGCTAATCGAAGTCTTATTTTGCAGCTTCTAAGCGATGAGACTCCAATGTTAGCGTGGAAATTTTTTTCCCTGAAGGCTAAGAAAATGCTAAGCATCGTGCTCAGGCCGACATAAATTCTTATCGGCACCCCTAGGGCTTATCTGCCCCCCTATATAGTTGGTGTTGACCGGAATCTTAGTGGCACATGCAGCATTGTGTCCGACCTAGCTGCGATCTCTAAGATAATAAAATTTTAAATCAAGTGAGGTTATAATATTTGGGGTTTGATATTTCCAAAGCCATTGATCATTTGCAATATGCTCGGAACAGTTGTAGAAACAGTCGGAAATTTCGGCACGCGCTACATCCACCCGTCTCTGGACACCATTCTTGGCGGCCCCTACGGTGCTTCCTAGTGCCAGGGTCCGACCTAAATATCCTAATATTGAAATAAATAGCAGCATCTACGGAATAACCGTGCTATGGACCTCCCCTCTGCCCCACAAAGTAAATTTCATGAAAATATCAATTTTGAAGCTATCCAGAAGCCACAGAAATGTCTGGATTGAGGATTGAAAGATGCCTTACTAGATAAACTTGTTGCCTCTCAAATTCATCCACGAATGTGATAAATAAGCCAGAGACGAGTCGTTTGAAAAGTTGGTGCGATTCACTGTATTTTTCCAATTGTCCTATCCGCTATACGACCCCAATATTGAACGTGGGCATTGACAACGCGCTCCTTCAATAAATAGTCCCATGCATCTGAGTCTTTAGCAAGCTCTCCGGGAACAGGAACCACAGTGCCCAGAGCCGACGCTTTTGTTTGCAAGCATGGCGGCAGGTATATTTGTCGCAATCATAACCGGGTTTAGTGCTCTCCTTATGGTGATGTCCATCTAGCGGCAAAAATGAAGGCGAAGAGAGTTCATCAACGCTATAAACATTTCGTTAATTAGTACTCACCGCTAGTACCGTGTACATACTACATAGTATCTCACAGAGGACGTACGAGAGGGGGACTGGAATCAGGAACTACGTACTAGGCTAATGTGCTATAGTGGGCCCAAGGTGTCTCTTCCAAGATTACAATTGCCTATGCTCATAATTAAAACATAGTTGAAAGCCAGGAGGTGCCTTGGCTCAAATCTTACCTAGGCACTACGAAACCCCTAAGTAGTATGATGCCACCAAAATCATGCCTGGCAAGATTTGGAAAATTCATTTCACACCAAAACTTTGCTTCCCATGGCAGAGGTGTATGAATAAGTAACCTGTTTTTATCGTGATGGCCTTGGGCTTCTACGGGTCGCTAGTCTAGAATCCCCTTGTTTCCGTCGTCGAATCTATTGCATGCGCCTTGGCGATCTTTCGTTAAGAATCACGCACAAAATCCTGTCATAGGTGCATGAAATGTGCATACAGCACGAATCCCTTCAAATTTAATCATTTCGCTCGTATTGTATCCACCTGTCTAGTCCGTAGGCAGGCTATCGTCATGAAGGGATCAGCCATGCACAGGGGACCATGACAAAACCCTGTGACACGACCGGGCGGGAATGCCCACGCGAAAAGAGCCAATGTCCAGACCAAACATTCTACCAGCTGAGACTGCCGAGTCATTCAAGAGTGGATACAGCCTTATGATAACCCAGCTTTAGTCTCCTGGTCGGTTCCCGCCATCGAAGAACCATTGGATCAGCGAGGAAAAAGTATAGTCGCCGATAAAGCTCATCAACCCTGCATGAAATAAACAGCGTTGCCCCGTACTCCAGAGCTAATAGGTAACATTCAATCGCCACATTAAACGGTACACAACCATAAATCAATTAGGGTCGATTGGCTTCTTGACAGTTCTTATCGACTGGGTTCGTCCCTCACGTCTCGCATGGCATTCCGCGTACTAGTTCGCAATCGCTTTTCACCCCTTGGGCACGTCCCTCTCTACCCCAATAGTGGGTCGCCACATTCTGCGACGCGCTTTAATTTGTTGATTGAGCTGCTTGAATATTAATATGAATATGACTACAAGTATATGAAACACCTTCACTGCGACTTTTTCCTTCATCTTCAATTCGACAGTTTTCTTCGGTAATGGCGGCTGCGCTGCATTAAACCATGGCTTACGTCCTAGTTACACTATTTTGTGTGTTTGCGGCACTGGGTTCATTCTTGTTTGGCTATGACTCGGGAATCATTTCGTCGACTATAGAACAGCACGCTTTCGTGGAGAGATTCGGGTCTCCCGATCTATCAGATGCAGTCAGCGGTGGAATAATATCTTCCTATACAGGTAATTCTCTTAGGAAAGAAGCAACTCAAGCAGCCGAGTTCTAATTTCCATTCTTAGGAGGTGCTATTGTGGGATCGTTACTGGCGCCATCCATTTCGGACTATGCAGGTCGGAGAATTGTCATATTCATCGGGGGGCTGCTGGCTACCCTCGGTGCTGCACTCCAAGGGGGAGCCATTGCTATTTCGATGCTGATCGCTGGTCGACTCATCGCCGGTCTTGCAATTGGACTCATGTCCGCTACTATTCCCGTATACTGCGTATGTAGAACAATCTCAATCATTGTGCTCGCATCATTGGCTGTACTAACTTTATGCATAGAGTGAAATTGCACCGCCTCGCATTCGTGGGTTGCTGGCAAGCATGCAACAATGGATGATTGGTTTGGGTATCGTGGTCGCTGTGAGTACCAATATCCCGAACATTCCAATTACTTCATTTTCACATTCTGACACTGTCTAGCAATGGGTTGGTTATGGATGCTCGCGCTATACCGGTGATTTCGTTTGGAGGTTCCCTCTGTCCTTACAGACAGCGCCTGCTATTATATTAACATGCGGTGCCCTATTTCTTCCCGAGACACCTCGTTGGCTCATTGAGCACGGAGAAGAAGGTGCTGGTCGCTCAGTACTCGTTGGCCTTCATCTAAATCGAGATGCAACAAACATTCAGCTAGTCGAGAAGGAGTTAACCCAGATTCATGAAAGCCTCTCCTACGAGCAACGGGCGGTCGTCCGCTCGTGGCGGCAGCTTCTTTCATCGCCTCAATGGCGATATCGCGTTCTTCTCGCCTGTGGCCTACAAGCTTTCACGCAATGTTCTGGTGCAAATGTCATCCAGAACTATGGGCCTCGTCTCTATGAGTCTCTAGGCCTTTCTACCTCGAAATCACTCATGATAATCGGAATCTGGGGTGCGCTGGCGCAACTCTGGAATACTCTCTTCATGGTTTTCATTGACAAGGTTGAACGACGAAAGTTGCTGATTCCATCTCTGCTGGGCATGGGCGCAGCTATGTGTGTTGGAGCAACGCTAGCACGGTATATTGATTTCAGCGACATTTACGCCAACAAGGATGCGCTTCGTGCCGCGATCGCAATGTTCTTCGTCTTCTCTTTCTTTTTCACGGCTCTAGGCCTTATATCTTGGGTCTATCAATGCGAGATATTTCCAACGACTATGCGAGCTCGCGGATCATCGGTTGCCACTGCGGCAAACTGGAGTATCAACCTTATCTTCACGCAATGCTCGCCCATTGCACTTACCAATATCGGATCAAAGTATTTCTACTGCTTTGTTGCATTCAATTGGGCTGCTATGTTGATTGTTTGGATATGGTACCCTGAGACTGTGGGCCGATCTCTTGAAGAGGTTGAAGAAGTCTTCATTCGTGAACCATTGACACAGCCAGAAGTTGTTTCTCTCACACCTAGCCCTGAAACCACGCGACCTCGACCACACAAGAAACATAAAGGCATGGATCCTTTATGGATGCATCCGGCAAACGGAAGTTGGAGTAGCCGCAGCAATATCTCACCTCAGCTATCGTGCAAGAAGTTGCAGGATGTGTAAAATGTATGACAGAACACGATACAATAACGAGAAATATACGATTCCTTTTCTATCAGTCACCCTGTCATTGGTTTTGCGACAGTATTCATTTATGTTCAATTTCTATTTCGTTTCATATGCATCGTATTACAGCCTCGAGTGTCTGAGTCTTTTCAATGGCTTGGAATCACATCGCGCATAGTATCTCCAATTGCCTCCGCGCCTCCTCCGCCACCCAGTAATTTCTCGTTGGTGGTTTGAATGATGACACGACGATAGCTGATCAGATTAGGTGACCCATTGTCTTGAACCTCAAGGACTAGATGAAGCACTTGTCCCTTCGGCACCGCCGCCCGACTGATAAGCTCAACGCAACACTTATCTGGAGGCGGGATCTTAACCTCCACAATGCTTCCAGCCTCATTCAGAGTCCTGATCTCCAAGAGACCAACCTCATGATGGACTGACCATTGTGTCGCACTAGGGTCCCGATACTGGTACCACTTGAAGGTAAGCTTATCGTTAGGGTCCGGATCATACGAAGCAGAGGCATCAAGCTGAAACGTAGAGCCAGCCTCTAACTCAAAGGACAGAGGCTCTAAGCCCTTCTGACCATTCAAGACAACAACAGGGTGGTGATTAGCTTTGCTCAGATCAGACGAGAGCGACCACTGCATCCGCGCCGCAAAATCAGTCTGGAAGGCATCACGCCACCGCCAGATGGTCGCATGATTAGACTTGTGTTTCTGGCCATCTAACCCGATAACCTCATCAACTGTATCGCTGAAATGACCGTTCGCGGTTCCCTTGCCGCTAATATCGGTCGCGATGTACCGGCCACCCCACGACCCATACTGCGGTCGCTCAGGTACACCCAGTCCGTTCTGGATAATATACAAGAAAGTCGGAGTATCGCCCTCGGGAATGAACATGTAGTCGGGGTATGTGGAGCCCAATGGCCCAATTTGGATATTTTCTTTGATCCAGGCCTTGCTGATCTTGCTTGCGTCCGGGCCACCCTTGTCAAAGCCGTACCATCCTTCACCGGAGATTCCGCACCATGCCGCCATGCCGTACTGGTTCCAGCCGTGGACAGAGCAGATGTAGAACAAGTCGGGGTAGTTGTTTCTAATCCAGGCGCCCGTGTCATCTTGATCGGAAATTGTGTAAACACGTAGCTTGGAACGCAGCTTTAGAGCATCGGCGGCGGAATGGGTGTTTTGGATTTTGAGAAGAACCGAGGCGAGTACGTTTGTTCCGCCCCAGCATAGAATCCAGAGTGGTTCATTGATCGGTGCAAGAATGCGCTCTAGGAGAAGCTCGCCGCCTTCGCTGAGGGGGATGTCGTTGCCCACGGCTGTCATGCCATAAGACTGTTTGATCGCATCAGTGTCTGGAAGATCCGCACCATTTGGAGCTTGTGGAATGGATTTACCTCTGCTCCCTTCTTGATAAGGGACTTCAAAGACTGAGCAGAAGGATATGGATCTTTCGGGTTCGAATGGGCGTTAAGCTTGTCGACCACTTTCTCATAGCCATCCACTATCTTGTGCATATCTTGAGGGCAGACCTTGTTCTTCATCCATGTTGATGTACACGCGACCAATCCTTCTGTCTGAAACTGGTTGGAATACAGAAGGTACCGCACCAACGATTCGGCATCGTCAGGTTCGTTGGAGATGTCGCTGAGTATGAAAACGCGGGGTTTCGAAGCGAAAGTCTGGAATTGATCAGGAGACGCCATTTTGTGATACCAGGCTCAATGATAGAGGACGGTTTGATATCAATGATAAAGCGAAAAACTACGTAGAATCAAAGAATTATTTGAATTGTTCCCCTCGATGGCGAGCTCCCAAAATCGCAACTTGAGCCGCGCAGCCCCATGTAGGTGGGCGGGGAACTCGTCTCGAGTCGAAGACTAAAGAATTCTAAACTAGCAACTGTAACCGCCAGGAACCGGCTCAACTCATAGCCAACTAACCGTCGGCATGGGAGTTATCCACTTTGGCGACGAATCGGCCCTTGGTGGGGAAAAGACTACCGAAGCTGGGGTTGGGGGCTGTTCCATCCTGGGCTGCGGGGGCTCCACTGGGCTTGACACCTACAGGGGAACGAACATGGGGATATACGCAACCATAGCATGCTATATAAGGTTGCATGCATCCCCCAGAGCATGAAGTGGGGATCAACTTATCCGGCAGTTGTCTTTCCATATTTTATTGTGGCATTCAATACGTCGGGGCTGATTATCGCAAAAATGTTCGATTCAATAAAGCAGTCGGCTCTTTACCAGGAGATGAGTCTCCGCCTGCTTTTTATCGGGTCCTTTGTCTCCTTAGGAGCCATGGGATTTGGCTATGATAATGGCTGGTGGGGAGGTGCTTTGGACCTTCAACCATTTGGCAAGCAATATGGTGAATGGGATGCTGCCGATAAACAATGGTCGATTCCTTCCGTGAAGCAGTCGGCGGGTACTGGAACTGGCTCTGCTGGTATTATTATAGGCTGTCTTGTTGCTCCGTGGCTATGTCAGAACCTGGGCCGCAAGCCGACTTTGCTAGTCATGGCAGGTATGTTGACTGTGGGCTGTGTGTTGGAAGCGACTGCAGTGACATCGTTCTGGCAACTGGTTGTTGGTCGCATCGTTGTCTACTCAGGTATTGGACTGGCGTCCAACGTGGTCCCTATGTATCAATCGGAGTGCGCGCCCCCACGAATTCGAGGTAAGTTGACAGACGACCATACGGACTCAAATGTCAACATGTGCTTATCTGCTTCGCGATAGGTGCTTTCCTCACTGCTTATTCGTTCTGGAACACTTTCGGTGGTTTCATAGCAACACTGGTGGTCTTTCTTTGCCAGCAATTGGCTACCAAATGGGCTTACCTGTAAGAATTCCAAGCCACCGACCGTGTACAACGAGAACAACAATACTGATGCCTATTACAGCACCCCCATCATATGCCAGCTGTTAGTCCCTCTTGGTATCATCTGCTCTTACTCATTTCTCCCCGAGACACCCCGATACCTCGTCTACCGTGGCCGATTTCAAGAAGCCGAGGCAGCTATTAAGGAGCTTTATGGGCCAGAGTACAATGCAACAGAGGAAGTGCAGCTTCTACAACTCCAGGTGGAAGAGCAACGTGAGCTCCACAAAGCTACAAGTGTCTTGGACTGCTTTAGAGGGACAAATTTTCGGCGAACCGTGATCGCAGCTGGTGTCCAAATCTTGCAACAGGCCCAAGGAATCTCCTTCATCAACAACTTCCTGGTGACCTTCATGTCACAGCTTGGATTCTCTGATCCCCTCAAGTACAACGTCATTGTTTTCGCTTGTGGGCTTCTTGCAAACATAATCTCCTTCTATACATTCGACAAGCTTGGACGGCGTTCTACCATGTTCTGGGGTGCTTTTGTCATGGGCGCCATGATGCTGGGCGTCGGGGGTACCACTGCGAACGGGTACAACGTCCTTTCCCCAACGACCCAAAATGGATGCATTGCTATGCTTGTTCTATGGTACTTTTTCTACTGCCTTTCCTGGGGTCCTGGAGCGTGGATCCTGGGTGGTGAAATTGGAACTGGTCAGCTGCGTGAGAAGACTCTGCTTCTCTCATCGCTTGGCAGTTTCGTTACTTCTGTGCCTATCAATTTTGTCAACCCATACGTGCAAGCGCAGATTGGTGGTCGGACTGCGTGCATATATGGAAGCTTTTCCGTTGCTTCTATGGTCTTTGTTTATTTGCTACTACCAGAGACTAAGGGTCGGTCTTTGGAAGAGCTGGATGAGATGTTCCAGCAGCAGGTTTCGACTCGGAAGTTCAGAAACCATGTCTGCACTGGCTTGGGAGCTCAGATTCGTCAATTGGAGAATAAGGAAGATGAGCCTGAGCTTCGAAATAAGACCCAGGCTATTGAGCATGTGGAGGTTGCTCAGGTTGTATAAAAAGGAGAGCTGCGTGAAATTTTCGGCGTATAGAAATGAGTTTTCTGTCTCGAAGAGGTTACATTTGTACCGAATACTTGCTATGAGGCTATTTTAGAATTAAAATTGAATGCTATCAAATTTTCACAAGTTGAAGAAAATAAATAAATCTCATCTACCACAAAACTGTATTAATTTGATCTCCAAATATACTCTCCTACTATTCTCCAAAAAATAAAATTACATGAACCAGGAGTTATATGTGAGATTATAAAAGGTAGTTGACATAGCGAGGTCGCTCCGCAATAACTACGACATGTGGGTGGGCCTAGCATCGAACGCTTATTACCATGCTCTTGTGTGGATATACCCCAGGCCCGAAGCACATCGCCGCAGTAACATGCCACCCGGAGAATAGAAAGGGTTCATCGGGTAATCTTCGGACAAAGCAGCCATTCATCGGCTGTTTTGAAGCCGTAAATCGGCCCATTTTGTTCTCCGCAGTTCGGACCGGGACGGCGTCCCAAAAGGGCAACTGTAACCACTATTTACTATTTGGTCTAGATTGATAAGAACTCACGTTTAAGGTATATTGTACGATGTCATAGATATATCAGAGCTCCTTCTGTAATCAGGTTGGAGCCGCGGTGGCTCAACTTGACCAAAACTTTACGTTGAGAACTGAGGTCTCAATAGTTGAAACTGGCAATCGGAGCCACCGCATTCTCTGGAAAGTAAATTGCGCAATAGATCGTGTAAAATACCTGAGAAGTGTTGGAAGAAAGACGGCACTATATATAGCCAGTCTAATTTCCTTCGTCAAAGGAAACTCATATCTTGACTGAGACTTGAGAAAGCGAATTATCGAAATTACCGAGACTCAAGCATCGAGATATGCCATAAATAAGCCCACAATACTTGAATCATACTAAGTTATGGCAATAAAAAATGTTGAAAATACAGATTTATACTACTAAGAGAAATTCAAACTTTAAAAAATCCTTGGTGAGCGTCTCCGCCCACCTACGTGGTATTATGTATGGGGTATATTATAAACAAAACAATCATCAAGAAAATCCAGACAACAAATAATGAATGAACGCAACTGCAACAATGCACCAAAAAAACAACGAAGGACCTTTCATGGTAATTACTCAGCAGTATAATATAGTTAGTGGCCGATAAGAGCGAATTACATCAATGCCGGCATAACAGGACTTGTCAATGATGCATCAAGGATTTCGCGACGTAAATCAGCCTCCCAAAGGTATACAGTGGGCTCCAATACCTGGAGAGACAAACAGGAGAAGAGAAAGTCTCCAACACGACACCATAAATCTGCACCGAGTCGTTTCGCAATCTTCAACATTCGACCTGCATACCAGGGGCGTGCTGACGGCGATGGAACCGTAGGGGAGTACTGAGAAAAGTCTGGCGAGAACTGAGAGCCGGTGGGCGAGAAGTTCATGTCGCCATTGTCACTCGTGGACCAGTTGCTTGCATATCCATCATTGCATTCAAGGAGAATTTGGAGAACGGCTTCGACGGAACCATTCATGCAAGCTTCACTATCAACGATAGTCTGCTCTAGAGTTCGAAGAAAGTTTCCAGCTTGGAGAGGAGTGTATCGATAGTCCCAAAGAGCAGCGTTAAGCATAACTAGCACGGCTAAACGGGCTACCGATTGGTTGCGATCTCCGGATGATGTGAATTGTGCACCGGGGGGCGAAGCCAAAATCTGGAATATTGGAGATGTCTCTTGGACGGCTGTGTGCCGCAATAGGTCACAAGGCGTCGGGTTGCTTCTTTGAAATAATGCAAGTTGTTCATAGCGTCGAAGGAGGTCTAGAAACTCCTCACACTGGGTATGGATCTCATCCATAAGACATGTTGGTGAGGTATTTGTAGAATGCGAGCGAGGATTCATGTAAGGCGATGATGTATCTGACGAGGAAGAGGTAGAAGATTGTGGGGAAGGCATCGATTTAAGGGTTTGAGGAGCTTGAAATGGAGCGGGCTCAATAGATGAAGTAGGACGGGTGGGTGGACCATGATTCTCGAAATAAAGGCTTGGACCCTGTGCATCGTATCCTGGCAAGGTATTACAGTCTTGCCAGTTTATAAACATGCCAAGTCGATTATTTGTGAAGGCGGCTGGGATATTCTTCGCATAAAAATCGAAAAGCCTTTGGCCATCTAAACTCAATTCCGAGGGGATGGAGTTGGATGGAATTGTATGGGCAGTACTCAACATAGTTCTTGGGGATTCTTCGAACTCTGAGAGAGATTCAGAAGTTGACGACCATGATGCAGGTGCATCAACTTGATTGTCTGCTATACTGGAGCGAGTATAGAGAGAAGTGTCCACATAGCCAGATGAAAATTGAATGACATCTGCCCGTGGTGCCTGCTCATGGAAGGGAGGCATGAAAGTCGGATCGAGACCTTGAACCCCGGATAGCATATTGTTTGCAGGCATTTCGATAAACAAATTGTGTTTGGGCTTAATATCGCATCGTGAATTTTCTCCCATTGATTGGGGTTCGCTTGATACTATAGATTCAAGTTGTTTCGAGGCAGCTTGAGCATCGTTCTGCGTGGACTTCCCTGTAGAATTTCGTTTTTCGATTCGATTCTTCCTGGGGCGTCCACGCTTGGGTCGTGGGCGTGGAATCTCCCCTTCGCTCTCACTCTGGCGGGCACCGCTCTTCTTGTGGCGCATATATTCTTGCATGACATGGCGCTTCACCTGTCTCAAATTGCTTCGACTGTTATTCGACGAATCAATGAATTGCCACCGTACATTAGAAGCACCTGGCGTCTTGCTCGCAGATATTTGATCTGTATCTGACATGGTAAGGAATGGCGAGGGTGATCGACACGCGCATGAGAAGACTGATATGCTTTAAATTGGTTCGCAGTGATGAGGTCTTTTGACTGAAGACACCGAGAGACAAGTAGTCGAAGGAAGGCTGTTTCGTGAATCAAATGAGTCGCTTGTACCCTTTGGGACGAGTATAGATGAGTGAAGAAAGTAGTGTAAAATTAAGGTCCAGCGAAGGATTTGAGTACGGCTTAAAGATTAAAGTATAGTTGGAGACGATGGACCGGTCATACTGCGATAAGGGGCTAAAAAGCGGAACCACGAGCTCCACCTGGTACTCATTAATTGAGGTTGGAGAAGCAAACCTTGTTCAAAGCCGACACTTGATGATGATATGTAAAAAGAAGGAGGAGATTGGGAAGCAGGGGTAGTGCCCCACTCCCATCGCGTCAAGAATACTTAGTTTAGTAAGGTTGTGGATAGGGCTAACACTCGAAGGATTAATATGCAGCCCTGGAGCTAGACGTGCCCGAGTCTATCTTTGACAGGTTCGTGTCATAGGGATTTCCTGATCTGCCGCAGTTGGCGAATCAGCGCAAGAACCCGAGCACCAGCAGTTCACGATTGTCTCATCGTCTCCTGTAAGATCTATACCGGATAGGTAATTCAGTGGGTCACGGATAAGATCAAAGGATGCGGCCCCACAGTATATAGCACAGATGATTGGCTAACTATTGTAATGGGGACGCACTGCTCGCACTGGGCACCCCATTTTAGGTTAAGCGGCTAAAGGGGAGTCTCATAGTACCAAAGTACTTTGGTGATCGAACGGGGAATTTATGCAGAGTCCGGTACAGACTAGTTTTTCGTTGATCTTTGCGACTTCCTGTTTGAGGATGGCTTGAGCTTGATTGTATTTCTACGCCCTACGCAATCTATGGGGATAATATAGACGAATCATGAGTAACAACCAGCGTAAAAATGTATGTGGGACCTACAAACATCGCTTGAAAGGCCTGGAGTCAACTAAGCTTTCGGTTTTCTTCCGACTCCTCTTCCCTGCCAGTGACTATCGAACCCAGTGCCATGGGAAGGAGCTTCTTGGTCTTTGGACCAATGCAAATGATTATATGTATTCTGTATGTAGTATGTAAAATCCGATTACATCAAGTGTCAGTCAATAGGCTAGCCAGTTATACGAGATACGAATAGGCACTTCATGATCTTAGCGCATATCAATTCATCTGCTTCGATCCTGCAAACTCTGCACTATGCAGGGGGAATCCTTTGTTTCTGAATTCTTCAAGTTTCTCTGCAGTACTCCGCACACTCTGCAGGCTTCAAACATCGTCACTGTGAGTGCACCTGACTTTCAAAGTTTAACCCCTTTTCTCTACTGCACATCCTCAGTGCAATCCCCACAGGCCCTCCACGACATACTATCTTCGGTATAGTTCAGGTTGATCCGGCGTCCTGGCTGATCGCATGGCAGCCCAGATTTTCCGGGATTCTGGGGCCAAAACGCAAAACCACGTACGTCCCTGCTTACTCTCGGTCTCGGTGAGTGGGTCTCTCTACCTGTTTTCAAAGTTTGACAGCGCCCTATTCCTTCCAGTTTCCACATTTGTGCAGAAAATAAGACAGCCGGGGGAAACTTGCAGAATTGGCCTCATAATATGGAGCACCACATGTGGTCAGATACATCATATATAGACACACACACTCATGACAGAGTCAATTATGCCTACTTTCAAGGTGGACTTGCCCTGCTCCACTAGGGCGATCCTGGCATAGATTCCGTGACTCTGGTTGGCCTGCTCGGACAACAGCCGGGGAAGACCAGTACAGCCTTAGGAATTCCTTACACATTGGATGGGCAAACATATCGGACGATGAGTATGTTCCGACAATTGAGATCTGATTACTGAACCAGGGCCCGGGCGACCGTTGAGAATCCCGGAATGATCGTCAACGGCAGATTACCTGTGTAGATCTCGAGTTAAACATAATAGACTCATAATGGCCCCCATCTCTGTGTCCCAGTACCTTGGAGCAAGAACAGATTGACGGTCGACCTTCCATATCGGCCAAATATTTAATTTTGACTTTGACGTTACGTACGTGCAGTTACTCAAACAGTTGGTTACACGTGGATAAAGTTGTCTAGCTGGATAATTGGAGCATAACCATGTGTTTTGGTCCCAATTGCCGAAGGATTTATTGGGGAGCATGTTTCAGATTGAAGATCATGAATCCTTGCATGTTTATCGGTTGTATGAATTAGATAGGTTTCCTATTGTAGAGACGGTGAGAGTTTCTGTGTTTTTTAGGTTGCCCTGAAGTATGCCATACGGCAAGTGCAACGCGAAGGATTTCGCAAACTTTCATATTATCCCCGGACGAGTAGCGAAAACGCCTATAGGTAGGGAGCTACACATTAGGTTTATTCAAGCATAGAAGGACGCGTTGGCAACAGTACGTCACTTCGCTCCGATGCACCCTGGATGAGGCAGTGTGTCTTAAGTCGCATCGCATATCATAGTATGGAGTACCATGGTTGTTTTTCGTATCTTTGGCAGAACTGAATCGAGGTTCGGGAGGGGGGGGGGGGGGCAAATGAGCGCGATCACGATGAACCCCACGATGAACCCCACGGTTAACGGTATTCCCGACAAGAGACTTGCTGCCTCCGACTTTGCAGGTTCCGACTTTGCATTGAAATCGAATTATCGCTGACGGAGCAGAAGCGGCGGTTGACCCGAATTCACGGGTTGGCTAGTATGGGGTAATTTAGAGACCGAGAGTGTCGATGCACCGAGAAACCTGTTGAAACCATCATTTTTAGCGCGAATGTTGATAAAGACAAAGCTGGTCGCTCATCTCAGAGACACAAGGAATGTTGCGACGATGTCCACTAGAGACAGAAGAAGCGCGCTGCCGGACTTGGCTGTCGCGTGCCTCACCGCCTTCACAGTCCCAAAACTCCGCGTCTCCGATCCGCCATTCAAAGATTCAAGGGACCGGACAGTGCCAGCGTGTGGCTCTGGTGAGGTTTTGAATGTTCAAGGCTCTTTTCTAGATTTCTCTTTTTAACCTCCCTACCTCAAACAACACTCCGCGCAAGCGAATTGGAACGCCTTGGTTCCTCCCCTCATAGCGATCGGTGGAGAGCTGATATTCGCATGAAAATCGACACCGCGGCCATAATCGGCCTACCGGTTCTGTTGAGCGCATTCCCACTGTCGCAAGACATTTGAAGGACCCGCGGGAGTTTTGGAAACTTCAAGTGTATCGCTGCAAGTCCCATGATGCCTCCGTCGCCCTCGCTTGCATCTGTGTGGACCTAACTCATCCCGCGCCCTGTGCTCCCTGATACACCTTAGATTTGACTTGCTTGGATCTAACTTGATATTTTATACTCGCTACTTGATTCATTCACAAGCTACTTCTCACATCGAGTTGGCTACGCTTCTTTCAGTATTGCCATGGCGCCGGTCACGGAACTCGCCGCCGGCGCAAATCATGTGAATGGATTCTCTGACCACAAAAAGCCAATCAAAACGAGCACAAGTCCATACGAGACCAACCCAGACAATATCGCGCGCGACGACCCCTTCCTCGTCCAAAGTGCTCTGTATGGCCGATACACCCCACATCCCGACGATTTCACCCCTCACTACCAACACTGGTACCAATCTGACCCCGACGCAAATGCCTATTGGCAGGGAGTCGCCGAAAAGTTTTGTACCCCGGATCTATCGCTCAAGAATACGGGGCCTCGGGAGGCATTCGCTGCAGGCAGCGTGCTTATATGGGTTGACCGTGAACCTGCTGATGGTGAAGTGACAGAGCGATTCTCCTGTTTGAACGCCAACGAACTGTCTGCGGCGAGGAAAGTTGAAGACACACTCAGAGATATTGGTGTTGCGGTTCCAGTAATACATTTTTGCGGCACAATTGAAGGGCGGAATGTGACGGTGGAATCTCGAATCCCCGGCGTCTCGCTCGATGTCGCATGGCGGTACCTCAGCCCAAAACAAATCGAAACCTTCAAAAACCAGGCTCGCCAAATCCTACGCCTCCTCGCTTCTATAGATCCCGCTTCGAACGAACCTACCTACGTTTGTCGCGGACTCGACTCCCAGACACCCCTCCCCGACAATGAGAAGGAACGGAGTATACTTTTTGCAGAAAAGACTGCCAAGGAGAATTTGTGTCTTACGCACAATGACTTGATACCAGCGCATATTGTTGTGAAGGGTGGCAGAATTGTGGGTGTGACTAGCTGGCGACAAAGTGGGTATTTTGGGTTTGAAAGAGCCAAGGAGGTACATCGGCTGTTGAGGAACACCGATTCCACTATACAAAAGAGTGATAAGGATGCTACATGGGCCGATCTCTATGACCAGGCGTATGACCCAAGCAAAAGCTTGCCGCTGGTCGCAACCAAAGACACTCCCTTCCCGTCTATAAAGACCGAGCCAGCTGGTGACGACCCTGAATTAAAACCCACCGGACTCGACAGTACCAACGATCATCCGACTTCGAAGACTCTGAACAATCTCAAAAATGGCGTATCATCTCGCGCACCATCTTCCGATCGCTCCTCCCCAGCAAACTCCACCAAATCCGCATCAACCAAAAAGGCTGCTTCGGCAGCGACCAAGAAAGGCACGGCGAAGAAGCCAGCTGCCAAAAAGCGAAAGATCAATGATCCTGATACAGAAAGTGTCGACGGCCGCCGATCAAATACACCCGCGTCTCGGACTAGTAAAACCCCCGGTCAAAAGCAAGATTCAGTATCTGCTGCTGGCTCGCCTGCGCCTGAGCCAAAAAAGAAGACTAAAAAGCGTCCCCCCAAAAGGCGCACTGCAGAAGATGACGATGACGATGACGATGACGACAATCAACCTTTCTGTATTTGCCGGCTCCCTGATAACCATACATGGATGATCGGATGCGATGGTGGATGCGAAGATTGGTTCCATGGAAAATGCGTCAATATCCATCCCCGAGACGCTGACCTGATCGAACAGTATATTTGTGAGTCCCACTTCATTCAGCTGCCATCCCATCACTATATTTCTCAATGCTGATCGGACGAAATCAGGTCCCAACTGCGCCGATGAGGGTAAGGGCTGCACCACATGGAAACCAATGTGTCGTCTCCCCGAATGTCGTAAGCCTGCCCGTGTAGCTCGAAAGAATCCCAGCAAGTATTGCTCTGATGACCATGGTCAAGAGTTTATGCGCCGCCAAATTCACAGTCTTCAATTTGGACCAGAAAGGAAGGGGCACGAAGATTTGGGTAGCATGGGCGGCATTCTTACGCCTGGTGATCTAAAAGCAGTGATAATGGGGACGACCTCTGTGAAAGAGTTCCGAACCCTAGGCGACAGGATATTGTCACCATCTCCAGAGTCCGCTCGGGACACCCCAAATGGCGACATCAAGGAGAAGCCCGTATCAACATCAGATGCCTGTTCAGGATTTGGCGTCGATGTTCCAAGTGTAGAATATTCCGCCGAAGAAGCTGCGAAGGTTGCCAAAATCCAGAAGCTCCGTGACGACCTTCTCCATCGCAAAGAGATGCTCGCTGCCCGTACAACATTCGTGGGTCTCTTACGCCAAAGGGCGAAAGGCGTGGTGGAAAAATTGAAGCAGAAGGAACCCAAAAACGGATGGAAGGACATCTGTGGATTTGATTCGCGGCTTTCATGGTCGGACGAGGAGTTTGATGAATGGCGGTTGTCTGAAGCTGGCAAGAAAGCGCTTTTGGAAGGCACCGTTGAAGCTTTTGCGGCTAGCTACCCCACCACACCCGATGCCGATGGCGATACAGCCATGGACAGTGAGGGTGAAAACGAGATCGCCTTTTTGACTCGCGGGATCTGTATCAAGAAGCGGTGCGAGAGACACAAGCAGTGGGTGAAGGTGCAACAGCAGGACATCGTATTCGAAGAAAACACCGCAGACCAAGATCTGTCCAAGTGTGAGAGGGAAGCACGCTCTGTTGCGGAAAGGGCCGTTTTAAGGAACTGGGCCGAGAAGGAAAATGTACCTTCTAACGCCGGGTAAACTGCATGGAGTCAGTGCAAGGATTCGGCAAACCAACAAAAGAAAGCATGATACCCTTTTTATTTCTTTTCTTAGCAGACAAAATGACTGGCTCATGGGTCGGAGTTGATATTTTTTGCAATATTGGGAGAGTTGAAGGGACTCATTATTGATGGTCACATTGCATTGAATTATGGCGCTTCAAGGGTGGATCCGGTCATGTATGGCTCTGAAACTTGTATGATTAGCAGTGGTTGCATCGTGAGATCAACCCGAACGAATTAAGAAACACTTCCAAATACACGTTTCTTCTCAGTATGCTTTCTTTCAGAACCCTCATCTCTTGGGTGACCATATCCCCCATTTCCCTAGCCCAGGACCTGTACGATCTTTAATAACCTCCGCGACGCGCGCATATTTCACGTCTGAAAGTAGAATATGGGTATCGATTCCTTGATCCAGAGTTCTCATCAACAGATTTGATAAGAGTGGATACCCAGGCATCTGGAAAATAGAATGAATGCCATCATCACGGGATGATCTGACATCGGCATCGCTAGGCGCATTGTTCCGTCTGTTCGATCCCTCTTGGTCAAATTCGTAGGCAGACCCAAGCCCACTAGTGTTGACAAGGATGATAGAAAGGAAGTCCGAATGTGTGCGTGACATACGCGTCATCATACGCAGTGTACTAGCTAGCACAGCTGCTCCTCTAGCTGGATTAGAAGCGCGAATGACACCTTCGGCTAACGTATCCAGGCCCACCACGACGAGGACGCTGGTGGAGTTCCTTGAAATTGATGCTTCGTGAGGCTGCTGGCGTCTTTCTTGGGCCTGCTGTAGTCGCTCTGACACATGCTTGATGGCCTGAGCGGCATTTTGCAGGTCATGCACATGAAGAAGGTGCACAGAGTCCAGGCGCTTGATTGCATCATCTCTGGAAAGACCCGATGAGCCAGATTGCAAATCGTTGAATAGATTTCGTGCTGCAAAAGCATCAAAGTTGCTGGGATAAATTATGAAGGCTTCTGCCTCTGATGAAAGGAGATTTTTCCGCAAATGGGTTGTAAGAATCTGACGAGGAACCTAACGTCTTGTAAGTCCATAGATGAAAAGATAGTAGACCGTATGAAAGCGTGTTTACCTCTCCAATATACTCGTCATTGTCACTACTTCTCATTTTGAGCCGTGAGAACCCAATAACAGAGCCGCAGCGAAAGATCCCAGAGCTACCTGATTTGATTCCAGTAGCTATATCATCATTGAGATTCCATTCGCTGGTAGTAGACCCCTGGATCGGTTGTTCGTAGGCGATTACCGGTGTTGTTGATTGAGGGACCAGAGAGTGTGCAAGAAGCGGGTAAGCGGGCTCCGCGGAATAAACATTGGAAGCCATGATTGTACACTGTATATCAGTCGGTGGTCAACAGTTCCACAGACAAAGATCTAGGCAGCATCAGATTGGTGCATCGTTTGGATGCGTTGAGTGGGGTGTTGAAGAGGAAGAGATCCACCGCTTTCTGCGTATGTGGTTTTATGCGGCTTCAGCGGGTCTGGTGGCCCATAAGGCTGTCAAAGCAACTAGATTTCACGCCATACATTTACTATAGTCCCCCACTAATACTCTAATAATTCCGTGTTGGTATCCATCGATATCTAACGATTTTGCCTTTTTTCTCAAATGATAATTAATCATGAATACTCAAGACATTATTCTATTAATTGAACAGTTCTCGATCATATGATTAGCAGTGTATTTACTAAGAGAAATACATTTTTAAAATTATAGACAATGACATGACTGCAGCATGACTTATCTCAGTCTCAGTTTAAGTTGAATATCTCAATACTCTCAACGTTGAGACAAGTCAAGAAGAAGGGAGGTAATGACGTTTCACTACTTACGTCGCCTCCAAAGGCCAGCCCCTTGAAGAGCCCAGTTCTCTTTTTTGAGATCAACATCGAGCCCAGAAGTAAGATCCGCTGGGATGACCTCAAGGGCACAGTCTCGGCTTTGAAACTCGGTCAGAGATTGTTTATGAACAACCTCGTAGATGATCAGCGAATAAGCGGTTGCAAATTCACCCCACGAGACGTGGAAGTTATAATTCGTCCCTCCTGGCCAACGGATCTGTTGGACCTGATCGTCCGTGTCGGAGGCCAATTGCACACTCAAAAATTGTAAACCTGGCATTGCAGATAGGGAATCAAGCATAAGCTTCACGTGGTTATAAGAAGGCAGGACAGCAGTATAGGAAAAAGAAGTGATCCCGTATATCATAGTCGAGATTTGTGGTGACGGGGATTCCGGTATAGCTTGCTTGCTCCACCATTTAAATATGGAGGGAGCTTGCAGTAGAAAATATTCATCATTGCTATAGGATTTCATGAATGATGATTCGTTTATGGACATGGATGTCCATGGACGGGCCAGAAGTAGATTCTTGCAGTTTTCTAGTGGGAGGGAATTTGTGACACTGGGTGTACCTTCGCGTTCTAACTGCAAAGCTTGGAGATGAATATCGAAAGCTTCGTCATCGGCGTCCACTATAGGAATGTCCAGGGTGTTACCGATGAAGAGCGGTGGCGCGTGGACGGTTACACGCGTCGGGTCTATAAAACTGAAAGTCCGATGCCACCAAGGTTGTATGAGCGGATGAATCAACGACTCTTCACTGATCACCACGAGAGACTGCACATGTCGCGCTAGATCTGAGGCAAGAATGAAATCTTTAAATCCACATTCATCCTTTAAGTCTACGCATGCGTGGGTGAATAGCCGAGGCCGCACGACATACAACAAGCGACGTGAACATTGCACAAGATTCTTGAGATCTCTATTTTTGGACTGGGCAATATGTCGGTCTGGTCTTCGATTGTGCCGTCCTAGTGAAGGAGGCTCTGTGATTAAAAAGAAAATGATTTGGTCCAGTATCTCGCTCGGAAGCAACTCTAGTGCACACGACATCGCACTTTTGCAGGGCTGCAGAAGCCCGTGCTTTGCATGACACAGTATCTGTGCGAGCCACTGATAGTTCCGGGGATTTCGTGGCTGTGGTTGTGGTTGTGGCGCCTCAGAGTGGTGAGGTTGAAGTTCGGGAAGAAAATGAACGTAGAAGTGCCGGTTCCCCACTTCACCCAGCGCAATTCCTCCACTTGGCACTTTGTCAGCCTTGACTCAGCCCTGGATGTGGTGTCAGTGCTCGAAATGTGTTGTGCAAAGAGAATACAATCTGAGGGAGCGAGAGGGGATAGCACGGTTATGTTGAGGAATAGTTAAGATGATTGCCATCGTAGAGGTAACTTGACTATATCTAGAGAGGCCTGGGGCTACACATCCGGAAAAACCCCCATAAAGCCAGAAAAAAAAAAAAAAAAAAGAAAAGAAAAGAATGTGGAGTTCCTATTCCATGCTCCACAATATGCATGTTTGTGGTACAATATACAATTTGCTATTTTTCATTGCTGTTGATTTGCCACCACCATTGATTCTAAACTCCGTACACTGGCAGTTTTAACATGACCACTGAGATACGTATATTGGGTATACTTTCAAACAAATTCCCTGTAAGTTGACCCGAATACCCTAGTTATAACAAGATTATCAATCTATTCCACGGTCCTCATCTACCCCGGAGCTGACGCGCCAAGTAACGCCCCGCGTTAGTGTGCACAGTGTATAAAATCTGCGCCCGCAGTTGAACGTCAGGCCAACAAGACGGGATTTATATGAGATTAGGCGTCCGTCGTCAGTAAATTGAATATCTCCATTGTAAGTTCCATTATATACACCTCGTATATTTCATATATGAGCATCGACCGTTCGGAGATAATCAGAATGTGCAATGGGGCGAATCCAATAGGCGAGCTACAGATGTGGAGATGCTCATCTTTGTAACCAAATGCCCCACAGCCAATGTCCGGATGCGAAGGACAACGGCAGATGCAAATCGCGACGAGCTGGTTCCGTGCCCCTCTTTTAGAGTTGCTGGTTTTTAGGCCTAATTTTCATTTTCATTTCCCCTTCTCTTTCTCTTTTCTTCTTTCTCTCCTCTCCACATTAAACTTGCTCTTGTTGTACATAGCTGTTTTATCGTAAGTCTTCGTAAGCCCAGGCGTGCCACAATGCGGCTCAAAAGCTAATCAATTCCTCACAACAGATTAGCAAATATTTCATTATGGCTCCTCAACTGCACCAACGACCTCCTTTCCGCGCGGAGCACCTGGGTTCGCTCCTGCGTCCACAGAACCTTTTGGATGTCAAGATCGCCTCAGAGGCCGGTAAGGTCTCCGAGACCGAGCTTGCCGCCATCGAGGACAAGGAAATTACCGATATTATTAAGACCCAGCTGGAGCTTGGCTACCCGGCCGCTTCGGATGGTGAATACCGTCGTCACAGTAAGATTCACAATCTGCCGGAGGCAAATCGAACTCTTCCATTGACCAAGAACAGTGTTCTGGGGTACTTTCTTCCCCGGTCTGGATGGCTTTGAGGAAGTCACTGAGTTCGAGACCGACATCTTCCGCACATACGCCCCCGATATCGCTGCATTCCTGGAGGCTGGCCACAAGCCCGGCGAGACTGTTCTCTGCACAGGCAAGATCAAGCACGTTGGCAGCACATACGTCGACCAATTCAAGTATCTTGCTAGCCAGGTGCCCGCGGACCAAGTCAAGAACCTGAAGATCACCCTTGCCGCACCCAACTGGTACCACCTGCGTTACCGTGAGGGTAGCGCATACCCCAAGGATGTGTACAGCTCCGATGAAGAGTACTTCGGAGACATCGCCAAGGCCTACCAGGCCGAACTTAAGATTCTGTACGAAGCCGGTTGCCGCAACGTGCAGTACGACGACCCTAACCTGGCTTGTAAGACAATGCCCCTTTCCGTAACATGAATAGAACAGGACAACTTACAATTTGAAAATAGACTTCTGTTCCGAGAAGTTCCTGAGTGGCTTCAAGGAGGACCCCTTGAACGTTTACACCGCCGATGACATGTTCGAGAAGTACATAAAGCTGTACAACGACTGCTTCATCGGTCTGCCCGAGGATATGCACATCGGTGTTCACCTGTGCCGCGGTAACTTCGTCGGCAGCCGTCACTTCTCCGAGGGTGGTTACGACCGCATTGCTATCAAGCTGTTCCAGGAACTGAACGTCCACACCTACTACCTTGAGTACGACACCGAGCGTGCCGGTGGCTTCGAGCCCCTTAAGCATCTGCCCACCCACAAGAACGTCATTCTCGGCGTCGTCACCTCCAAGTTCGCCACCATGGAAGATAAGGAGGAGATGAAGAAGCGCGTTGTCGATGCTGCCAAGATCATCGCTGAGGGTAACAACATCCCCCTCGAGAAGGCTCTCAACCAGGTTGGTGTCAGCCCACAGTGTGGATTTGCCTCTCATCGTGAGGGTAACGCCATTGACTGGGATGGCATGATCAACAAACTTAAGCTGGTCCGTGAGATCGCCAATGACGTCTGGCCCGGTCAGCTGTAAGTAGTGGCGGAGGAGTAAAATCGGAATTTGAAAATGGAATGAATGAAATGAATACCCATCTGTATATTTTTTATGTCACCGCCACCTGGGCAGGAGGCACCATCACCCAGCCATTCTTTCAACAATATGCCGGGGATGGGCTTTTCTTTTGTGTACAGCCTGATGCGCTGATGGGACTGGGACGAACGTCATGATCTATCATTTGAAACACCAACTTAACGTATGATTTCTGAATATAGCCAATGCACAGATAACCCGTCGTTGACGGGTAAAATACTGTCTCATTTTGCAATCTTTGAAATACCCTGTAGCTTGTCTAAACCCTGGCTAGCAATCAATGGCATTTTTGAGGGGAAAGACGGATTTAAGTTCGGGTAATATCGTGTCATTATCAGCACTAAGATTTAGGAGAGTGCCAGTAGAGGAAGCAGTAATTTCAGGCCTGTCAAAGTTGAAGGAAGATAAAAAGAGTTGCCAAGATACTTAAGGCGCTTTGATGGTGGGGGAAAGGCTTCTTTTAGGTCTTACGGAGTGATACCAAGGTCCTCAGCTTGTCAACTTGAACGGGTCTTCCCAAGTCGGCTCCTGAGGATCCATGATACAGTGGAGTTAACTCGCAAAGCTTTAATTTTTCGACTATTTCCCAATGCAGGACTAATTTAACAGCATCTCCAAAGTATTATTCAAATGGTGAAGAATGTAAATCTGATAATATTGTCCAGATGAAGGGTGGCCTATGATCTACTCAGCAGGGCCTATAATATTGCATTCCTTCACAGCAGAGCTCTTGTGAGTCTTCAAGTTCTCAATCTGTACCAGGTAATCAGCAAACAGTACCTCAATACTCATGGCAGCTACTCATGGCAGCTTTTCCAAAATGAGTTGCACGCACCTGGTAACTTGGCATCTGTTCCGAAGCTGAGACACTTCGGCCCGTCAACGTAGCTCCAGGCTTAGTAGCCACATCGCGAATGATGCCCTTGCTTGAACTCGTATTCGAATTGGGTCCTAATAATAGAAAATATATTAGCCCTTGCGCATATGCAGACAAATTCTGGAAAAGTCGACATCCATACCGCCTACGGGCTTGTAGTTGACCGTCTGTCCTGGGTGAAAAGAGGGCATATTTTCCGAGCGTTTTTTGGGTAAAATGAACTCGTCGTGGGGAGTTTTGTGAAGTGGCGTTGACTTGTACGTTTTGGCTGTTTATTTGTAGAACAGAGTATACCAATTTTCCGTCGATGGAAGGATCAAGGTGGATAACGGAGACTGATAGTTTACTTGTCTGTGTTATGGCTCTTTTTATGCTCTAAGTACTTGCAAGGGTTTGATTTCCGGTATATACGTCACATTTACATGGCTTTTTTTGGTGATATAGAGAGGACATGGTAGAAGAATGTCTGAAGCAAGGCGCAAATGCAGGTTACTTGTTACCCTCGGTACGGTGGCCCCTAAGACACAGGGGCTGGGTGCCTGAATTTGAGCTTCGACTACCTAACTGATGTCTAATTTCTAGGTGGAAAGCACATCCGAGCGTTGAACCACGTTCCTCCGGATTTAAGTTCCGAAGTCGCTGTTATACGAATCTTGGATATACTTGGGATATTTTAGTCAGACAAATGTCATGTTCGATTCGATTCTCTATCCCATGGCTGGTTTCGGTCATTCATCTCCATGAAAGTTATTCGCCTCTATACACACTGAGGACCCTGAAGAAAATCACAAGGGAATTGAAACAACGGTAACGCTGATGATGTGATCCACTATAACAATTAAGTAATTAAGGTGGAGCTCGTGATGAGTCCATATGTAAGAACAAAGGGGATATCATAGAAACTGAGGAGAAAAGAACAAAGAAAACAAAAGGATCCCGCACACAAAGGAAATTATCCAAGGTAAACTAAACCGAGGTGGAACGAAAAATTTGGGGCCCAAATGCTGCGTCGGTTGGTCATCAAACACGGACATGAAGCGAGAAAAGATAGATCCTTTGTCGAACAGTGCGATGTGTTATACATGAGGCGGCGGAGGATGCCTCTCAGAATCATGCACAGTGGAGATCCGGGTCTCAGTCTGTGCGGGTATGAGTGATCAATGGCGCTGTATGCCTGCGAAGCGTATCTCTGCAAGGGCCTAGGGAGGCGACACCGATCTTAGGCGTTTGATTCGGGGGTAACGCGGTACGTTTATTTGGCGGGTTGGGTCTTGACGTTGTTTGAGAGCCATGCCTGGAAAGTGGAGAAATAGCGGGTCAGGGTTTGTTTTTTTTTCTCTTGTTTTGGTCCGAACGGGTATAATTTGCACTTACCAGACCCTCGAAAATACCAGTACCGTCTGTGGCCACACTAGGCGCGACATACCAGAGCTTGTCCTTAAGCTTGGTGAGCTGGAGCTCGTTGGTAATTTCCTCTGGGCTCAGGTCTAAGATAATTGGTCAGTATTGGCTTAAAAGGGGCAAATATCCCGAATGCCGAGAACGTGGAAATAACGTACGACCACCGATATCCTGCTTGTTGGCGAAGACGAGTAGGAGCGCATCCTTCATTTCGCGATCGTTGATGATCTTGTGCAGCTCCGAGCGAGCCTCCTCCAGACGGGCAGTGTCGCTAGAATCCACCACGAAAATCAAGCCTTGTGTACCGGAGTAGTAGTGTCGCCAGAGAGGACGAATCTTGTCCTGACCACCGACATCCCAGACATTGAACTTCACGTTCTTATAGGTAACACTCTCGACGTTGAAGCCCACGGTGGGGATTGTGGTCACATCCTGGTTGCTCAGTTTCAGTTTGTAAAGAATTGCTAGGAGGAATTAGCTTTTGATCCAAAGGGTAACCGTGTCCAAATCATGGACCAGCAGAAATAAGATCTCACTAGTTTTTCCAGCAGCATCTAGACCCAGCATGAGAATTCGCATTTCCTTCGTGCCGAAGATCTTCCCCATCATCTTGGATACTTGGCCACCCATCTTGACGGTTCAATTGAAGGTCGGACGGATAGATTCGAGGCGGGGTGCTCTTGCACGATGGAGCTGAACAAAGAGGGACTGTGGCTGCTTTCACCCCAGAAATTGTGAACTTGGGAAAACAAGACGAAGACGAGAGATTGAGGCGGGGGAAAAGGGGCACTTGAGCCCGATGACTAAGACTAGTTTCATGCGCGATGACCCACTTTGCAATTTACTTCCTACCAAACTACTTACACTAGGGGAAGTATATGCTGGTGGATATCAACAGTGATACCAAACAAAGACATGATCTTTTTTTGCAGCTTCTACTGTTTTAGAATGCCATTGTGTATATTTTGGATCCGATGCAAGGAACCGTGGTTGCATAGCGCTTTTGCAACGTCATACTTTCCGGTGTCACAACCAGCCCCAATCCTCTAGTCAGATCTCGCTTTGAGAATGAGCTTCTGTCAACCAACATTACTTCCAATTTTACTGAATCATGGCAAATACAGGGAACGAATTTGAGCGTCACGTTTCCTTATCGCGACAGCGTCGTTTATCTCAGCAATTCAAGAGGCACGCCTGGCTGGCCCCTCCATCAGATGTGCGCACCTCGTCATCATACAGTGAATATCGATTGTTTCAGTTGTTTCAACGCTAAGATATTTCAAAGACCATCTATGCAGGTATTTCGGCTTTCTTCTCCAGTCAGCGAGTTTCGACCATTGCTATTGCTTTCCGCAACACCACGTATCTTCTGGACTTCTTCGAGAAGACGTACGATTCAAACGAACACGGACTCGACGGAGACACAGCAACTGATTGCATCCTCAAAGAGCTAAGAGTGTATGGAGAAAGGCATTTGGAAAAGATCGTTGGCGTGGCCCTGTCCGTTCTTGTCGTAGAGCAATGCCCCAAGCTTTGTTCACGTTTATGGGCGGAGCTCGATATTCTCCCTCTAGTGCTTCCTCAATCCAATCTCACTGATCGTTACACATCACGTAACCCTAAAGGAGACCGGGAAGGGGATCCGAAAGCGATTGACGAACAGGCGGAGTCTATGTCGCGAAAATGTGTGCGGTAAGTTGGGATCGGCAGAGCTGTGGAGAACCCAAATATTAAACTTCAATACCAGACTATTTGGACCGGAGAATATACCCTTACTCCAAGTGGGTTTTATGGGCTTAGTGGAGGTCGATACGGACTTCCACGTGCGGCTAACAACCCGCGATGATTTTAAGAGCACGGTCTCTGCCAAGATGTGGTCGGCTGTCGAACATTATGCGGCGGACTTGAAGGAAAGAAAGGTTCAGATTGCTTTCTTTAGTGCAACACCACAGGGCGGAGGCGTTGCTCTTATGCGGCATGCTCTGCTGCGACTCTCTTATTCCTTGGGAACTGACATGAAATGGTGTGTTGATCACAGTGACCAATACTGAATTTTCAATGTTGAGATACTAACTACTGATTCTATATTTCATTTAGGTATGTTCCAAAGCCACGACCGGGGGTATTCCGCGTGACGAAGAACAATCATAATATTCTCCAGGGTGTCGCTCGCCCAGGGGATCAATTGACTCCTGAAAATAAGCAGGTTTTACAAGATTGGATTGAGGAAAATGCTCGTCGGTATTGGACTAGCTATGGGGGTCCACTGCTGGCCCCTTCAGAAGGAGGGGCCGACGTGATTGTCGTGGATGACCCGCAAATGCCAGGCCTGATCCCAATCGCCAAGCAGTACGCCCCGGATCGACCAATTCTCTTCCGTAGCCACATCCAAATTCGTAGTGATTTGATCGAGCAAGTTGGAACTCCACAGGCTGAGGCGTGGGACTTCCTGTGGAATCAGATCAAGTTCTCCGATTGTTTTATCAGTCATCCTGTAAGTTCATTTGTACCAAATGATGTCCCACCTGAGATCGTGGGCTACATGCCAGCATCGACTGATTGGTAAGTTGTCTTATCAATACACGTTGCCTCGCTGACGTATCTAGGTTGGATGGGCTAAATAAAAACATGCGCGACTGGGATGTGGCTCATTATGGTCGCATCTTCAATGCAGCATGCAGAAACGCAGAAATGACAACTATTGGATACCCTGAAGGTAATGCGTGTTCACTTGCCTCGTATAGGATAAAATGGCTGATAACCGTCTATACTAGAACCGTACATCGTGCAGGTATGCAGATTTGATCCATCAAAAGGAATTCTTGACGTATTGGAATCCTATGAGAAATTTTACCAACGACTCGTGAAAGCTCGGCCGGATTTGACTCCCCCGAAGCTTTTGGTTTGTGGACATGGCTCAGTGGATGACCCAGATGGATCGTTGATTTATGATGAAGTGCTCGATCACATCGAACACAAGCTTGCAGAGCTCCGACATATGATTTGTATCATGCGACTGCGGCCTTGTGATCAGATCTTGAACGCGCTTCTCTCCAAAGCCGCTATTGCATTGCAGCTCTCCACTCGCGAAGGCTTCGAGGTGAAAGTTTCCGAGGCAAGCCACAAGGGAAAGCCTGTCATCGCTACTCGCGCTGGTGGCATTCCCCTGCAAATTGAACATGGCAAAAATGGGTTCTTGGTGGATATCGGCGACACTGACACCGTTGCGCAACACTTGTTTAATCTGTGGACGGACGATGCCCTCTATCGGCGCATGTCGGAGTATGCACTGAGCCATGTATATGACGAGGTGAGCACAGTAGGTAATGCTTTGGTCTGGGTTTACCTCGCCTCGAAATACTCCAAGGGTGAGCAAGTACGACCAAATGGGCGTTGGATTAATGACATGGCTTTTGAGGATCTCGGTATTCCAGCCATAGGAGACGTTCCGCACTTGAAGCGTGCAGTTGACGTTGAAAACATGTGATAAAGCATCACCATTGTCAAACCTGCGACTTCCTTCCATTCTTCCAAAACAGATTGATACTCCCAAACAGCCTCATATGAAGCAAGTTTCATGAGGTAATATTAGTCCGCGTCCGAATCCATAAGTGAAAAACACAAAGACCGTAAAAAAAACCAAAAAATGTAGAGGGGTATCATTGAACATCAAACTAGCAGAAAGAAAATGAGAAGAGTTCTCGGAGCCTTCTTATGACTTGCCAACAACCCGGTATCTTTCTCTCGCCAAACCACCCTCAGCGCCCTCAACCCCGTATCCTTCTCCAACCTCACCAACAATACGAGCCGGCCGACCGCCAACAACACACCAACTCGGAACAACCATTCCAGGTGGAACAGCAGCTCCCTCCAAAACAACCGAGAAATCCTTCACAATAGCCATACTGCCGACGGTTGCGCCCGCACCAACATGAACATGGTTCCCAAGCGACGCAGCTTCCACGACAGCTGACTCGCCTACAAAGACATGATCCCCAATCTTCAGTGGGTAATACGAATGTACGCCACGATGTAATCTGCTCGGCGGGCGGAGAATCGCGCTCTTAGAGATGTAGCTGTATCGGCCGACTGTGATTGCGACGCTTGGCGTATTGGGCTGTTGCGGGGGGTTGTTTGGGTCAGTGGAGGCAGCTGTGGAGGGAATTCGATAGAGATCTCCACGGATCACAGCTTCAGCTTGAATAACTGTTTTGCCACCGAGAATAATGTGTTGTGTGCCGTGGATTTGTGAGCGGCGCGAGATTTTGTTACCGGTGTCCTAGGGAGAGGTCAGTGGGGTTTCTGGCTGAGGCAATTGCATGTGAGTGGGGGTTTTCACGTACGGTTTCAATGTACTCGCCCTTGGCAGCTTTGGGAGGCATTTTGGAGCTGGTGCTGGAGCTACGAAATGGTAGCCGGTTCAGCTGTGTTTATTATGGAGCCCTGGAGCATGTCGGTCTTGGATAGGTGAAGACACGGGGCCAGGGCGGTGTGGGCTGCTGATGGGTTCCCACGGTCCCCGATCGTGGGGCTTCATGGTGTTGATTGAGCCCATAAATCTGAGGAGGAGATCATGACTCTCGTGGATCGTGTAGATCAAGCGGGACAAAACACACAGCTGAGAGCTGACATCTTAAAGCCGAAAATCCGTTTTCTCTCGATATCCACTCCACAAAACGCTGCCCAGGTGCACGTGGTATCATATGTTCTGTTTACTAGAGTACACAACCTGGCACAACAACTCGCACAATTTATCGCAAAGAGTGATATCTCCGCTCATACATGGTCCGTTCATTCCTGCAATCAAAGAGTAGACGCCACCCCGCGCAGGCCGCTCTCGGTAAGACAGCTACCGTCGTCTATAGGATCGGCGCTCTACGCAGTGGGCCTGGAGGAACTGTAAGGATCGCGGATGGTCTCGGGAAGCCCGTAGTCAGCGATTTCTATCATGAAGGTCTTATTGGACAAAGCGCATTGAACGATTTTACACGTAACGTCAACATTGGATCACTAGTTACTAGCCCTATTTCCATAAGTACTGCGTGTAAACTTTCCGTGGATTCCAGGGGTCGTTACCCAGCATTCTCCCCGAGGACGCCATTTTTAACATTTTAAACATGCATAGTACAATCGCATAGCCCCCGGGGTCCCCTATACCTTGACCCATTCTAGCAATCCAGCCGCGCAGTTGTACATTCATAAAATCAGCCAAATCAGCCAAGGGAGAGAAAATCTCCGAGAGTTCATGGACTACTGTATACTAACAACTAGTTCGTACGCGAGGGCTTTGTTGAAACCTTGGAAGTTCGGCGTGGAACTAGATTCTTGAAATAGATTAATTTAGACACTACTGTAGATTAATTCTCCTAAGATTTGTTGTTTGAGAAAATCACCTAACCCATCTAAGCCCCTTAGCAACAAAAGTAAGGCCCTCATGCCTTGGTCTCGCCAAAAGTTTATCTCGGGCTGTAGCATACTATCCAATCGCATCACGGATCGCTGCACTGACCTTGAGACATACCTATTGGGCCTCTGCCCAGGAGCGCTACATGGGACTTATTTCAAGCGAGATATTATTAAATTGTTGCGTCTAAATGACTCCTCCCGCAGCCCAAAACCCAGGAACAGGCACTTGCATATCATAGTCATTTAGAAATTGCCACCTGGCCAGGCCCCCCTGTTATCGGTTACATGATAGTGGGTCCTTAAAGCATGATTCTCTTTGTTCTAATGTATGTCTAATGTTCCCATAACGTTCCCACTTTTGGGGTGGGGTTCTACATGGATGTATATGACATCACCGCCAGCACACCAGCTCAGACGAAAGACGATCTTTTCTATTGCAGAAGAATCAGCGGTAAGCAGCGATAGTCTTATGGAATTGAAATTCTACCTCCAGAGCTGTTCCTATTGCTCGAAATCAACTTGAGAGCCTAATGAAATTCCGGGTCTTATAAGCACTATAGGCTGGAATCCTGCCCCTCACACTAATACAATCCTTCTTGCTTTTTGGTAGGAGACCGGAGAAGGCGCCTATTCTATCCTAGTTTCTTTTTCAAAGTGGCCATTTTGGTACACTTCATTGGGGCCATATGCAAGAAGGGTGGGGTCTACCTGATCCTTGCCGACACATTCGTCCACGCTCACAACGTAAACAAGAGTGCAGGTTACTTAATTAGGAATAGTGTCTGGGCCAAAACGATCCAAAACCCACAATTCTCATACCTGTTTCCACTCAGATTCCACACGGTTTATCGGCATGAGGTTACAACGTGGGAATGCGCAATGCATAACGCCATGTGTACTTTTCACGCGTGGCGGTATCTAACAAAGTCCCGGGGCTCCCCTCTTCTTCCCCCCGGTCGTCTCCACGATTGTGTATCCGTCTCCGTTCCACAGGGATCTCAAGAGAATGATCGGAGAACTCTCCGTTATAGAAAAAGATCGTCAATAATTATGATCACTTACCCGCAGGTATTAGAGGTAAATCTCCTCACTTACTGGTAACTAGAAAAGGAAGCTGGGAGATAAATGAGATCATCCATAACTTTTATGGGCCCTGAATAAGCCGCACCCGGATCCATACTCCATACTAGACTTATGGAACTCTAAAGAACCCACCTAGTAAACATGTGGATATTGTGAACGCATGAAATTTTCCGATGGCAGGAGTGGAATAATACACGTACTAAAATTAATTTCCATGTGGCCTTGCTGACCACAGTCTGACCGAAGTATAATACTTTCTTCTACCGCTGTTCTAGTTTAATTCTGATCTTGCCTCTTGATACTGCTTATTGACCTTCTACATTCGTTCAGTTCCAGCCACCTCCCCCTCTCCCTCTCCACCTCCAATATGAGGCTCCTTTTGTTATGTATGGCTGCAGCCATTGTACTGGCCTATGTAAGACACTCATGACCTTCTCTTTCCATGACAGCTTCTCATACACATAATTCATTGTGCAGGCTTGTACAATAGCAGTATACCGACTATTCTTCCACCCTTTGGCCAAATATCCTGGTCCTAAGTTGGCAGCAATTACAAATTGGTATCCTTCCTTCTATGCCTATAGAGGAGATTACCATTTAAAAAATCGTGCCTGGCATGATCAATATGGTAAGCCCCAAACCTCATACATCATTTTCTCGCCCCATATCCTAAAGCGGCGTGGCTGTTGTTGGGGGCCATTATACTGACTCCACATTACTTCAGGTGACATCGTTAGGGCTGGCCCAAATACTTTATGGTTCAACACACGGGATGCACTTAATGACATCTATGGAATTCGGGCCAATGTTCGCAAAGTCGATGCATGGGCTGCTTACAGCGCCAGCCGACGAAGTCCGAACGTCTTGAGTGCCATCGACAAGAATGTGCACTCTTTCAAGCGACGAACTCTTGCTGCTGTTTTTTCACAGCGTGGTATGAATGAGATTGAAAGCCGGATTCTCGAGCATGTCGAAAAGTTTACTGATCTGCTGGGCACAAAGGACGACAGTCCTTCTTTCCTGGATGCCAGTGGTTGGAGGTCTCCAAAGCTCATGACGCAAGTTTGCGACTGGCTTTCATTCGACATTATTGGAGATATCACCTACGGAAAAAGTTTTGATATGCTTCGTTCACCTGATCTCAGATGGGTGCCATCTGTTTATTCAAAAATGTCCCATCGAGGAATGGCGGTATGCTAACAAACCCAGACCTTTGCCATACATAATTCTAGGCAGAATAATATCTAACGCTGATGAATTTAGTGTCTCGCTCAACCAAAAGTGTGGCAATACAAAGTCGATCGCATATTTCTTGCCCCGATGTACAAGGATATCGTTTCAGCCGGTACGTGGGTGTATGAACGCGCCAAGGCCCGCGTAGGGATGGGAGACAACGTCGAAACCAATGATGCGTTTTCAATCATGATGAACGCCAAAGACGAGAAGCGAGGCCTAGAGTACTCCCTGAAAGATCTCTGGACAGAGTCAATGCTATTATTAGCAGCCGGTATGAATCATATGTGTCTCTCCCTGAAACACACTTTGAAACTAATTCAGGCATGTTCCCAGGAACCGACACAACCTCCGCGACAATGAGCGCACTTTTCTTCTACCTCGTCCATGACCGAAATGCCCTAGAACGACTCGCAGCCGAAGTCCGCGCCGCCTTTTCCAGTGAGGACGAGATTCGCCCAGGGCCGGAGTTAAACTCCTGCACATTTTTACAAGCTTGTATTAATGAGACCATGAGACTTATTCCTGCCGTTCCTAACGGCTCACCGCGATGTGTTCTCCCTGGTGGCTTGAAGGTAGGCGACGAGATTATCCCAGAGGGGACGACCGTCGCTACCTCCCTATACGTGTTGATGCGCCGAAGCGACTACTTTCACAACCCAGATGAATTCCGTCCTTGGCGATTTGTTGTTGATCCTGCTGCTGGCGTGGATGAAGAGAGCGTCCAAGCAGCGCATCAAGCATTCGTTCCATTCGGAATCGGACCCCGATCCTGTGTGGGATGGAAACTGGGTTGGACAGAGCTAAATTTGGCGCTTGCCAGAACTCTATTTCTATACGATATGCGCCTTGCTCCCGGGGCGCGATGCTGTGCGACCAACAGATCTGCGAAGAATTGCGAGTACCATTTCAAGGGATGGTCGATCGCTTATCCTTCGCAGGGGGCGTCTGTACAGTTCAAAAAACGGCAGTGATTAATGTTTAACGGACGATGATGACACACATAGAACGCATTGACTTTTTCTGTTGTTTTTTTTTTCTTTTTGGTTTTCCGCTTCAGCGATTTCAAGCTCTAATCTCTCTTCATGATACCTGGGTGTATTTCTATAGATATGGAGGGTTTCTGCTTTGTATTTATTTACTACCTTTCTTGGTTATTCTCCACAATTTTGACTTTGAGTCTATCTCCGATAAGCGTATGTTGGATCCTCTGGAACGGCGGCGTTGTGGACACAGGCTATATCAAACATCTGCTGTATTACTTTAAGGATGAGGGTTTCAAAAACCAACACTTTCTGTACATTTTTATCTAGTGAAAACAGTTCTGCATTGTTGGCGAGCAGCCGACAGCCATCCTGGTCAAGCCTAAGACATGAAAAGCGGGGGATATTGGGGGCCATGGGGGCCAAAATAACGTAAGACCCGCGTGTCACTGGCCAGGGGGGTCATGTTTTATGAAGCGAGTCGTCTTTGTCAACATGATCCGTGCATCCCGAGGTCGTTTCAAGTTGCTGTGGAGTGTAACCGCGGCACACATGAAAAAGCCGACTGTGGACGTCATTTCCTCCACCTTAGATGGGTTGATATAGTCTGAAGATCGCCAGCTCAGATCTGCGTTGCCCGCCGTGTATACTTTCTTTCGCCATTGATAGGCACATAGTCATATCCTATAGATTTGTTTGATCCACTGCGATTCCAGTCCACCATGTCGAGCTCCGCGTTCACTGTTGCGGAGCATCTCATTGATGCCTCGTACATCCGAGAATATCCGCATGCAACAACCACCCAAGAAGCGCCCCTGAAGCTGGCCGTTAAGAAATATACCCCTGTCGACAATACAAATCCCCAACCCGGAGACATTACCCTGGTCGCTGTCCCTGGAAATGGCTTGCCCAAAGTCAGTATTATAGAGCGAGAATGTAGTCGTCCATGAATCATGCTAATGCAAATCCATAATATAGGAGCTGCTTGAGCCGTTATGGGCAGAAGTTATGACCAGGGCTCGACAAGATGGATTTCGCATCCGAGCTATTTGGTGCACTGAGAGTTTCCATCAAGGATATAGCGGTGTTGCCAACGAGAACTACCTTGGTAATGACCGTAAGTAAACGCCTATTCAAAGTCCAACCCGGTATTCTGAGCATGGCGAAATATCTATTGAGCACTGATATTAATAACCTTTCCAGCCTCTTGGTTTGACATGAGCCGTGACACGCTGCATATGATCAACCATTTCCGAGATGAGATGCCACGGCCGATAATGGGTGTCGGACACAGTCTTGGTGGTGTTCAGCAGTAAGTATCTGACTCAGAGAATAGGGATAGAGCCCCCTCCCCACAATCAATGAGATGAACGCAAACAAAAGTACCACCGGCTAATTATCTCTATAGAATTCTCCTTTCCCTAATTCACCCACGTATATTCACTTCCATGATCCTCCTCGACCCATTCATCCACAACATGCCGGACGCAGGCGGCCCCGCCTGGATCGGCGCCTTCGCCAAGCGACCCGACGTATATCCCTCGCGGGAATTCGCGACCGCAGTATCCGCGAAACTACTAAAGACTTGGGACCCCCGTGTCCTGGAACTATGGAGCAAGCATGGCTTCCGCGACCTCCCAACCGTTATCCACCCAGAAACGGATTCATCTGACGATTCCCGCCCAGTAACGCTCACTAGTAACAAGCATCAAGAGACATTCTCGTACATTCGACCCAACTTCAACCGCCACAAGGAGCTCGGCTTGCCCGATGAACAAGATCTTCTTGGCGACGAGGGTCCCCCAGCGCCTCACGATGCCTTGACTGTCCCCGATCTGCGTGGCGCGTTATACGCTAATCAGCGATTCTATCGCCCAGAGCCAATGTTTGCTTGGGACTCATTGCCGAGTGTGCGACCGTCTGTGCTGTATGTCAATGGGGCTCAAAGCGGACTCTGGCTTTCGGGTCATCTGGCAGAGGCTGCTGAGCGCACGGGAACTGGAGCTGGGGGTAGTGGAGGTAAGGCTTATGGGCGCGTCAAGGAAGTTATTATTCCGAAGGCTGGGCACAATTTGCATTTGGAGAACATTTCTGAGGTGGCTGGTGCGATCGGGCCTTGGTTGGCGAGTGAGGGACAGAAATGGGTTGAGGATGAGAAACGACTTGCTGAAAATTGGGAGAACCGTTCAGTGAAGTCGAAGTCCACGCTTGATAAAGAGTGGTGGAAGAATCTGGACTTTGCTGTTCAAGAATTCAAGAAGACCAGGAAGGGCTCCGTCAATTCTAAGTTGTAATTATTTCTTATGATATTCCCGAACTTGAAGGTCGTATTAAGGCTATATGAGAACTTGAATTCAACAGACTTTGTTTATACCGTGACGTTGGGTCTTCCGGGTCACAACTGGAACACTATTTCCTCGCCATAAGCTCCTAGAAGAAAGTACTGCACGTGTGGGAAACTTCAAGTTCAAGTTGAAGCGAAATGCAAAGGTGTTGAGAAGTTAAATAAATAAGTACTGATAAGTTTCAAGCAGGATACGTTGGAGTATACTAATCCTCAATCACGCAGGAACGACTCGGAATACCCCCTAGTCTTGGAGGCGAATGATGACAGTTTTAATCTTCGATAAAATTCAAGGGAAATTATGGGTCTCAATGTTCTTCCTGGGGATAATCGCTACGATTCTTTTTTTTCATTTCTTTCCAATTTTACGCCAGCAAAGTATTCGCTAGCTATGATTATTATCTCTCCTTTGTTGTTCAAAGTATAACATGCAAAGTTTGACAAATAATGCTTGCTGAAAGGAACTTCCCTTTTGAATGGATCACTTGTATATTACAAAATCGGAGTAAAACTATTTTGCGTGTGTAAAAGTCAAGTTAAACTTGAACCAGGATATAGCTTTACAAGAAAGGAAGTCTAACATTTTTTTCTAAACATATCGAGTGCAGGCATACTATAGAAACACCAGAAGCAGCATCAGGATTGCCCCCTTTCGCCTCCTCCCACAGCTGTCGGAGGACGGTCTCCATCAATTCATGATGAGGTATCATAAAATAGGCATCAATACGTCGAATATAGTCCATGATCTTTCGTTGCAAGTCTGGTGACCCTGAAGCCTCATTTGCAATAACTGCTAGAGGCCACATTAGAGACTTAGCCATAGGCAAATGAAACTTTTCAGCTGTTTGAATGACTTGATCGATGTTACTACACATCTCATGAACGCATCTATGGATACACAGTTGCCGCTCTCTGGATAGAGTAGTTGTAACGTCGGTTTCAAAACCACCGCGCCATAGGTAGATTATTGTCGCCTTTCTCATGACCTCCCACATGGCAGTGAGGGCAATACTCGCTTCCAGCGACATGGTATCAGTAATCGAAGGAGGCCTCCAATTGATAATGACTGTCTCCATGAGAAGAGCTAGCTTTTCATTCCGCGCATTGGGTATCAAGCTAGGAAAAGCAATCAGATTCACGTTGGATTCAGCCGAAGGAAACTTTTGATCCGCGAGTCGTTCCAGATACTCCATACAAATAGGATCGACCTGACGCCCGGAGATATCATCCTCGACAACAGCGGACACTAAGGCGATAATTGTCATTAGAGTCTCCGGATAACCGAAACTTATTTCCCATGCCGAGAAGGGTTTCTCCTCCATGGGAAAGCTTAATATTTCTTCTGGTGGGCATAATCTCCAATGAAGCCAAAGTCTTTGGCTAGGTTCTGTCCTACCGACTGAAATCGCCTTGATATCGAGATGCGCGGCAGCCACGGTGGCGAGTCTATGAAGCGATAGCGGTAGTAGAGTATCGAGACCTGGTAACGGCGTGGCTTCGAGTAAGGCGATGAGCCCATTGAGATGTATAGACCAAATATCATGCCCTGGGCAACCGAATACCCACAGTATCATAGATACTGCTATGGCCTCCTCGATGTCTCCGTTCCCACATTGTAGGCGAGATAGACTCGATCGGAGGGTTGAAACAGCTCGTTGATGACTGTCCAATGCAAGATCGGGGCTTCGTCTATTTATTTCTCTCGTGCACTCGAGTAATTTTTGAGAGACGCGAAACTGAGTAGCGAGGGTCAATAAAGCCTCCAGACTGGTCGCGTGGCGTGCTGCTAGTGGCATCAAACACTGTAATATCGGGACTCCATATCCCGGTATTGCCACAAGACTTCGTCGGTATCGGCGAATCACTAAGCACGCAATTTCATTAGTACTCAATCCTCCATAGGTGAAAGTCAATTGTCAGATGAGCGAGGGTGATCTTACACAGCCGAATATTTTGGTTATCGGTGCCACTCAGGTTCAGATTCCATGCAGTGACATCGAAATAGCTCATTTTGGGCCATATTTAGTCTCCATAAAGACTACTTCGGAATTGTTAAAGCGGTGTATTTCGGATGTCCGATCGAGCATTGGAACTTTATGCTCCAAGTTGACATTGTTAAAGCTACAGGGAAAACTTCAGGGTCATAGAAGCTCTTTAGTCCCTAGGCAGCCAAGTATTTTTTTGGATGGACCGTGCACGGCATGAACAAGCAATTTCGCGCTCAGGGTAAGTGTCCACGTGTGCTAATACGAGGTACTTATTGGTTTTTTTCTTTTATTGGGGACGATCCGCCACGTAATTTCCCGGCGGCTGTTTTATCTGGTTCTGGGGTGGAGCTTAAAGTCTAACTGTGGATTTGTATTGTGCTGCGGAAGAGGGAATGTCATGATTGATGAAGTTTTGGGAAGTTTTCAATACCTTACGCGTCTATAGCTAGCACTGCCATGGTATCTTCTCAATGCAGAAAGGATTCCCGAGTTTTTTCCGGCAATCAATTCTTCCAGAAGGCCGAGTGTAGATCTGAAACAAGTAAGCGACGATCTTGATTGCAGTTTGTTTGCTCGTTGGCTGCCAAGGCGCGAGTTTTGATAACAAAATAAGCATAAACGCCTCCGGGGGCAAAGATACCACTAGAAATCACCCCACCAGTGGAAACATCTGCAGGATTAGGCTCCCGAATTTATCATCTGAGTTAGAATGTCACACCTAAGCCCTCATTGGTCGATGACGACTGAAAATGGAGAATCGAAGTACGATCTCCGTCACAGGGTCTCAATTGTTTTCTCTCAGGTCCACGTAGACTGGATCTAACAGTCGGTACTTGGGGAATTGACTATATGTAAACATTTGAAGACTTAACTCAAATCCTTCCCTTGGCATACGCAGGTCACACAGATGGGTGTGGAACAAAAAGCTGGGCATCAAGTCTCGCTATGGACATTGATTCGCCGTTGGAGGCCACTCCCCTAAGGGCATGCGACCGTTGTCACTCACTGGTAAAGTCTCTTGAAATTTTTAATACAATAGCATGAACTTTGAAGTCCCAGTTGCTTACTGCATTTTGTTTAGAAAACACAATGTTCATTTGGAACTCCTTGTGGAAGATGCAAACGATTGGAATTGAGATGTACCAATGACCGACCACAGCGTACGCGCGGGCGCCCTCCGAAAGGAATACCTCGATCTAGGGTATGTTTGATAACCTGCTGTCTAGCGAAGTCACTCACATCTTTGTCCTTTCTAGTCTTCTGCCCGGAATAGTCTCCGAAATTCACAAGAAGATGATGGTTCCGTATCGTCGCAAAATGGCGGTTTTACCGAGATATCGCCTTTCCTACAAGACTTGCCAGAATTATCTTTCTCATATGATATTCTGTCGCCGCTTGTCGAGAGATTCCTCAGTTCAACCCCAGCACTAGGTCTGTATAGTATCATCCCGGCATGTACAAGCTTGGAACTAAGCCATGACCATCCCCTTGAGCTGGCCTTCGGGGATCTGCTTCTCCAGCCAGAAGTTCGCTGCACTCTGGTTGCAGTGGCTTTGGAACTATATGGGCATACTGCTTCCGGATACAAAGTGAAAAGAGCTATCATAGATCGAGACTCCCTTCACTTTGCTACTCTTTCGTCGATTCAAAATATCTCGTTGAGGAACGACCAACTCACGGCAGCAAACGCACTCTGTCTCCTTCTGCTCAGCTATACCTGGTTTACAACGGAACAGTTTGCCGAATCCTCACTACGATGGTGTGCCCTTGCAAGGATTGTTTTAGACCATGGCCATGGGGAAATGTGGAATCAGTCTCTCTATGCTAGAGAACAGGCCCGTCGGTAATAAACTTCTTTTCTGGGGCCGTTTTCTTCCTAATTCTGACATGATGTACAGGACAAATATCGGATTGAGCTTGCAAGAGTGGTATGTCTAACATCAGAGGCCATTAAAAAATGATTGATAACTTATTATGATACTTTTTAGCTCTCTATCCCTAGCCCAGAATTGCGTGGATACTATCCTTCGACCGCGAGTTGATTCCAACATATCACTTCCATTCGTAACAGACGACGAGTGGCACTCAATCAGTCAATCATCCAATTCTCACACATATCTTGCATTGTTCAACCCATTTATCAGGTGCGCTTGTGCCCTTCATCGCTACCTACCGATACTACTAGTATACTACAAACTGAATCTATACTCAGATTTACTAACATTGACCTATTATATAACAGTATTGTGAAAAATATTGTGCAGGAACACCTGATTGGCTCACCACCCTGGATAAAGACGGAATCACAGCTAGAAGATTACTTTTTCCAATTCCCCGAAGATCTTCTCCAATTCAGCACAGTCAAATACACTTACCAATTCGAAGCAATGATATGGCTACACGGTCTCTTCATCATACTCCGTAAGAGGCCATCACGATCTCAGCAAGCAATACCAAGATCTACGTATAAACCAAACTAACATACCAAGATTCCACCAGGGATATCATCAATCTACTCAAAATGACAATATACATCGAAACTGATCGATTTTGCCATATTCTTGAACACTCACTACTCCTCGGCGAGGTAGATTCCCCCACTATTTGAACACAAAAGATCCCAAAAAAAAACTAACCTGACAAACTTGAACTTCAGATCCTACAGCCTATGCTTTCCATGGACGCTTCTCACATTGAAAGTATCTCCCCCACAACAATATACTTCATCTGTCTCTCCTCCACAGTTCACTGTATCGCCCTCCGCCAATTTATCGCCCAATCCGAATGCGAACATATCAGTCTCCCAGATAAACTGATCGAGTCAACAAAATCTCACATCGAGATGTTGGAAACCTTACAAAGCTCTTACCGACGCGGCGATCAGTTGCTCGTCCGTGAAATAAAATATCTGCTATCGTCATGTCTGGACGCTGCAGCAAATGACAGAGAAGCTGATGTAGTTCAATTCTCGTGCGAAAATTTGTATACATATCGGTGGACTCATCGGGGGACGGGGATGGTGAAGATGGGACAGGAGAGTGCGAAGCAGGAGTGGAATTATGTTGAGGCGCCCGAGGAAAGCCTTTGGGATGGGATAACCGGGATGGAGACTGAGTTGATAGTTGCTATTTTGCAGCTTTGTTCGTCGACACAGCGAATATGTTCATCGGAGTATTTTGATTTGAGCATTATGATACCAATGTGAATTATTTACTACTTCTAGTTCTTATCGACCGACATACATATCATGTCTCTTTGTTGTCTTGTGGTCTACCGCGTAAGTTACGAATCTACATTAGTCTCGATCTACAGATTAAGAGGCACAGAGTTGATATATTATAAGCTTTGTCATCATTGAGCTATATACTACAGGAACAAAGCAACAAACCTTGGAAGAACAATTTCTGGATATCCTGGAGGACAACAGTCCCTGAAACAATAAACTCAAAACGTAAAACGTGGCCACCCAAAGGAGAGACCGCACATTATTCCAACCCTGGAACGGTAAATGTCCAATATAATAACAGGCGGGATTTTGATCAGATTGCAGAGAAAAGCGCTTATTTCTGCTGCTTCGGCTGCACGAAGTCGAAGTCACCATCCCAGTGAAGCTTGAGGGCTGTATTGAAAATAGGTTAGCATCGTGCTTGGATTTATAATCAAGTTTAATGTGAATAGGAGTATGGAACTTACATGCTGGGAAGGGGAAGTATGAGCCGCCGTCCTGGCGAAGGTAGACGTAGTAGCCACCCTCCTGCTTGATCTTCTGGAGCTGGCCCTGGGCACCCGCGGCGCGGCGGAGGTTCTCCAGGCGACCGACGACGCGGAGCATGGCGACGAGGGCAATCTTGGTGATCTCCTTTCCGAAAGCGGTGTTGTCGCCGTTGCCGTGTTGGAGGTAGGAGTCGAGGGGACGGTTGAGGTTAACCTCGAGGGGCTCAGGGAAGACGCTAGCGTCGTGGTTGGCCTGGAGGAAGGAAGCGAAGACCTGCTCACCAGCCTTGATGTCGACGGTCTTGCCATCGTCGGTGACGGAGATGTCGTTCTCTGCCTTGCGGTAGGCACCGAAGGTACCGTTGATACGGATAGCCTCCAGGGAGTAACGGTACAGCTTCTCATCGTTCTCAGGGGTGTCTTCCTTGGCGAGACGGTTGATCTCGGCCCAGTGCTGCTTGCCATCACCAGTGTAGTACTCAATGACCTGAGTGAACAGCTGGCCCTGGTTGGGGACGAGAGAGACGATGGTGGGGATGATTCCGGACCAGGCAATCTCGGAGGAGGTAAGACCAGACTCTTGGAGGCGGCGGAGACCAGCGGTACCGAACTCACGGAGAGCGTTGTTGTGAGGACGGAAGCTGCTCATGAGGCCAGAGAGAAGGCCGTTGTTGGTGTCGGCCTTGACGGTGGCCTCGACAACGGAGCCAAGCTGCTTGGCAACGGCGGAGGCGGCCAGGTTCAGACCGTAAGATTTGGTGGGGTCAACATCGAAGAAGAGCGCGGAGTAGATGGTGGCGAGAATCATGTACATCTCGTGCTCGGTGAAGAGACCACTGGGGTTCTCCTCGGTCTTCAATGGCAGACCGAAAAGAGCAGAGGCAAAGTATACATGAGCAGCGTTGCCAACATCCCGAGTGATGTCAATCTGGTTGATCTTGGAAAGCTTAGCACCGTTCTGCTGGATAAGGTGGAGAGTAGTCTCCTCGTAGAATTTCTTGACCAGCTTAGGAAACTCCTCGGTACCGAGAGCCTTGGCCATAGCATCCTGTTGCTTGGTGTCGAACTCGCCCTTGCCAAACAACTCCTCGAGAGCAGTGCTCCAAGAGGCCTTGAAGTCGTTGGGGTGACCCAAGACGGTCTTAGCGGCCTCGTGAGAAGTAAGGTTAACACGCGAAGGAGTGAAGACAGGAGGCTCGTAAGAGTAGTCCTGCTCACGGCCAAGGTCCTTCATGATTTTGCGGTTCTCACTGGGAATGGTCATGGGGTAGTGAGCGTAGATGGAGTCAGGCTGGAACCAGTTGGGGAAGGCACGAGTAGCCAGCTTGTAGAAGACACAGCCCTGGTTGATGTTCAGGTCGTAGCGGCACTCGTTGTAACCCCAGTTGGTCAGGTTGCGGGCGTTGTAGTCAACGGTGTAGTGACGGTCACCACGGACCAGAGCAACAGCATCGGACAGAATAGCACGGGAGATAGTGTAGGTAGGGGCAATACCGACACCAGGGATCATGGGCTCCTTAGCCTCCTCAGAGATAATACCGGGGTACAGCTCGACGAAGTCAGGGTGCTCGTACAGGTGGCGGAGACTGTTGGCAATCTCGGGATCGGAGTTGATCTCCTCGAAGGTCTCGTACTCCTTCAGGCCGAAGTGCTTACGGAACTCGTTGAGGGAACCGACGTGCCACTTACGGGAAGCCTCGATACCGAGAATCTCGATGGCACGAAGAGCCTTGGGAACATTGCGGGGGCCGAAAGAAGCGGCAACGTCCTCAGTAGCGTTCTTGAGGATGTTGACCAGCTCTTCATCATTATACTTGCCGTCGTCCTTACGCTTCAAGTGGGCGAAGGTGCGCTTGCCGGGGTCTGCGTCCAAGCCCTTCACAACCTTCTGCATACCCGCAAAGAGCTCAGGCATCGTAACCTGGTCAGCAGGTTTGCCCATAAGATCTAGGTACAGCTGATCAATCCACTTCTCGTCTCCCTGGGAGATGGTAGAGTGCCAGCGGTAGGCCAGGTTGAACTCCACGGAGCACTGGTTACCGAGACCAGAAGGAGTGGCACCGGCCTGCTCCATTTGAGCACGGGGATCCAGACACCAGGTAGTGTTGCTACGGTTGAGGTTGACAATGGTGCGCAAGTAATCGTAAAGAGTGATGTTGATGAACAGACCACAGGTGATCAGACGACCAGTCTGGAACAGATCCTCGTCGCGCTTGGCCCAAGCCTTCTTGGTGGCCTCGGGGTCCAAACGATCACTGGGCTTGCTGAAGCGACCATTCTCGTTAACTTCAGCCAGTTGTTCAACAGTAGTGTTGTGGAAACGGTTCAACATGACAAGCATAACACCGCAAGCAGGTGGCAGAGAGCCGATACGAGCCTCGGAGAAGGAATCGACCTTCAATTTACCATTCTCGCGAGTACGGATGAGGTCCTGGGCATCCTGAGTGCTACCATACAGAATGGAAAGATCCAGATAGGCAGAGGTCTTGTTCTTGGATGGGTCACGGTAGTCGGTCTCGAAGATGTCTATTTGGGAATGATTAGAAAGTTTTCGACATGTCAATGGCTTTGGGAATTCCTACCGTGAATGACCAGAGAGGCCCAAGAAAAGAACATGCTGGAGACCTTGTTGGGGTGCTCGTTAAATTGCTGACGAGCATACAGGGTATCGAAAATCAGACCCGCATCAGGCAGGCCGGTAGGCTGAATTGTGAGGGGGGGAATGGTGCGACAGTATGCGGTGTTGGCAGCACCCAACCAGGGAAGGGTGGGGTTGTTGTTGGAGCCGTCAGCGGAACGGTAAGCATATTCATCACCCATGTAACTAGATTCAATGTTAGTGTACGGAGTCTCTGTAAATAGTCTTTGGCGCAAGATAGCGCAGGGTCTTCTTACGAGAGAGGGGGATGGGGCAAAGTGTTCCACAGCTCATCGAGGAATTGGTTGGTGAGTTCAGTACGGTTCTTAGAGTGGGGTGGCATGCCGGCGACAAGCTGCAATGCATATTGTTAGCATTTTGACCGACCATTTCTGGTTCAATTGCAATTGAAGCTTCTCATACCTGAATAATACGCTCCATAAGGTAGGTCTTGTCGTCAACAAGCTCGCCGGAGGCCTTGCTCTTGATCAAGTCCTTGACAGTGTTCACATCACGGAAGCCAAGAGACTTGAGGTCACCCAAAAGTCCACTGGACTCCTCATGCTTCTGGTAGGTACCATCGCCAGTCTGGGTGGGCAGAGGCTCGCGCGAAGCGTGAATAGCTTGCGCATATCTCTCGAAAACAGCCTCAACCTCGGCGCGCTTCACTTGGTGAGTATCCTCGGGGATCTCCTTGGTAGAAGACTTGCGCGGAGGTGAAGCTCTGGAAAAGCGCTTGTTCTGCTTTTCAGGCTTAGATTCAGCATCGCCATTGCCGTCCTTGTTCCTCTTGAACTGGGTAGAAATTCTCCTCAACATGGTGACGGTGGTCTGAGGCTCACACAGACAGTGTCACTCCAAAGGATAGAAATTAAAGAAGAGGAAAATAAATAGAGGAAAAAAAGGCTACAGCCGGCCAGATCAGGGGGGAAAGGAAATAGAGAAGTACTCCAGCGCCAGATTTAAAAACGAGCTGTGCGGGCAACCTGGTCATCTCAGCTGCAGGACTGTGGAGCATAATAAGTGGCGGATTTGTTATCGCCAATAGTTGATTGACTGACATGACCAGATCTGATTGGGGATAGGTCCGGAGGGTCCTAGACTCGATCTGCTTATGTGGCTCAGAAGAAACCGCGACTACCAATGAAACGAGTGGCCCCGCGTGGGACAAGCTCGAGGAGGTCCAGCTGGTGATGACTTGACCCCACTGCACCATCGTTCTTTGCTTTACGACAAGTGGCTGAACCAAGTAATTGATCACCATACGGGCTCCCCTTGGTGGAGAGCTTCATGATGGATTGAGAAAGGGGGTGGGCCCGATGCAATTGAACGCGGCACGTCAAGAATTGTGCCAAAAGGCAAACTTGGCCAGAAAGAGACTCATCATACCACGAGAAAGGAATTATGACCAGGTTAAGCTCGGGGATGCAAAGTAGGACAAGGTTTTTACGTCACTCCATGGGTGTTTCTTGTTGTTCTACCGTCCATATGTATGTATTGTGAGTTGAGTTGGTTTGTTTTTTTTTTCTCTCTTCATTTTTCCGTGTTGGTCTCCAGGGGAAAAGAGACCAATAGGGGCTAGTGTCAAGGCCCAGGAGCGGTGTACGAGGAACCGAATCTCGGATGGAGTCAATGCGCCCCACAATAGGATCTCGATATCCAGCCAGATGGACCGTGGCAATGCTAAGTGGGGATTAAGTTGACGCTTTGGAACTCCCGATCGGATAAACACACATTATTTTCTTCCTTCTCGGTGGCTGGCTGGAGGACGATCTCCATCTCCTGGCAGCAGGTTTTTTATGCCAGATAGTGCAACGTGTACGGAGTGATCCGAGATCACCGAATGCACAACAAGGAATACGCAGCATAGTAAACAGCAGAAAAGTGATGGAAACTGTAATACACACCAGGATTTACTTTCTTGTTCGTCGTTCGACGCAAGGAATGCACAATGTAACTGCAGCTCAGGCGTCAATTTACTGTTTCGACGCAGCTGCATGGGCTTCTTTTTTGGAATTTCTTTTTACCCTTTCTCTCAGCATCTGATCGTGTTGCAGCGCGAGATGGATCAGCGATAGACCCACCCGTTCGCCCACTGACTATGGGCTCTAGTCTGTGCCAAGGAAGTGAACGGGCCGCTTTGCAGCACGAACCGCATTACGCCACTGGTCATTGGCAGATGGAGCTGCCAGTCATCATTATGAATTAATCAGAATTTGATCCATCAACAATCTCCTCCCCCCTTCAGGGTCCCTGCTGTCACACGAAATAGTCAATCCGGTTTTATAACCCTCGTGGAGGAGATGCATCAGGTCTATTATGCACGAGAGCATAATTCCAGAACAATGAAACTAAAAACAGAGAAAAAAGAAAAACAAGAAGATCATGGGGCTCTGCCCACTTGTTTATCAAGACCCTAGAGCTTGCGACCAAACAATGACTCGAAGAAACTAAGAAACTTGCACTAACCACGGGTCGGAAACCACGATATCCGGGGGGAACGCGGCAGCTCCCGCGAGGGATGATGGCGCAAACAAGCTGAAGGTGAAGGACCGGGCGAACAATGTCATACATTCATGAAGGGAAGAATAATCATCATCGATCGCCTTGAGAAAAGGCCTTTCAGCTCTAGGTTTGAAGAGCCACATAAACTTTTCGGAGGCGAAAATTTCAGCGCTGAACCGAGTCCACCATGAAAACACATGGATTCTCAGGATTGTAATTCCTTAAAGCCGAACAGAATCTCGGACCGCGTCATAATTGCTCAAACTTTGGATCAAATCTTCAGATGACGGGACAGACAGGTGGGTCCCGGACGGCCCACGATGTGGAAAAACCTGACACTTTTGGCGTAGTGGCAGCGTAGTGTCGATTTAGAGGCCCAGCTGTGCGGACCTGAGGAAAGAATCAGAAAAAAGATCCGGCGAACGCCCCCTCTTTTCCTTGCCCCCTAAAATTGTATCGATTCAGCTATTGACATGAGGACACTCTCTGCAGCGGGGAGAAGATCGACAGTAATATCCCGAACCATTCATCTCATGTACTCTTTCTGGTAGGATTTGTCTCATAGGCCCAGCCCCGGCGCCATCATGGGTCCTATTCCTCCCCTAGTCTCCATAATTGTCGCATAGCAACGAGCAACACTCGGTCTGCAGGGTTTTCTGATTCTCTCGCTTTTTTGTTTCATTTTTTATTCCGCCACTTTTTCCATTCAGCATGCGCCGCGCCGTCAAACCCCCACTAAGTAAAGGGATGTGCATCCTTCGAGTGACCCGTTCGGGCCAGATCAAAACTAGAGCAATGCGATCCGATGCTCTCTAGGCATTGGCTGGCTTACGCCGCTATAAAGTTCCGTGCGTTTTTTTGGGGGGTTATCCGTACAACATGAGCAGGAACCGGGTCAGCCTTGTGGTTCAATGTCTCTGGGGAAGGACAGGGAAGGCGATATTTTTTTCACCTGATGCTAGTGAGCATGGCGTTCAAGGGGGGTGGACATGTAAAGTCAAATACTATCTACTCCGTAGACGAATCACATTATAACAGGGAAAAAATATGTACCACAGGAAAAAAGAATAAAATACTAGTAGAATAAATAGAATAAATAGAATAAAATAAAATAAAACAAAATAAATCCATTCTTCATCAATGCTGTCATTGGAATGTGCCAGTCCCCGAGTCCCACCGTCAACCCACCGGAGCTTGACGTAGTCGGAAGTGCAGCGATCGTCCAAGTGGATGTGGCACGCACGGTGAAAACATTCTTATCCAACCCCCTCCTGGGGCCTCTTGGCTCGGCGATCTCTGATTCGCGGCAATAGCGCCCCTCAAGGCAGCTTGCAGCTTCTCCTCCCAATCCCCGAATTTTTTCCCTGGTTTATAGTCTCCCTGACGGCCGCTAGAGGGATTATACAGTCTTTCGCGACTATGGAACACACTCCTCATCACGTAGGCCCCTCACAGGCCCCAAAGCAATTTGTGCTTTGTTTTGACGGCACTGGTAACAAATTTGCTGGTGATGAGTCTGACAGTAATGTTTTGAAAGTCTTTCGTGTGGGTTGAGCACTGCTACGATTCTCGGACAGAGGACAGTTTCGCTAATTAAATCGCCAATAGATGCTTGATCGCAGCAAAAGTCACCAATACCATTACTATCAACCTGGTATTGGAACATATGTGACCACAAAATCTTTGACTAGCCATGGTCGCATTCAGCGCATCAGGTCCTGGTACGAAAAGGCCAAGGATTCAGCCATTGGATCTTCCTTCGACGAGCATGTGATGGGCGGCTATAAGTTTTTGATGCGATACTACTCTCCAGGAGATGAGATCTTCTTCATTGGTTTCAGTCGCGGTTCATATATTGCTCGTTTCTTGGCTGAGATGCTCGATTACATCGGTCTTCTCGAAGCTGGTAACGAGGAGTTGATCCGATTTGCTTGGAAGACCTTTGCGAAATGGCAACAGCGCCAGGGCGGCACAGACGAAGATGAAGAGGAAACCAAGAAACTTTTCGAATATATGAAGGCTTTCCGTGAAACTTTCAGTCGCCCGATCACGCGCATCAAGTTCATGGGACTCTTCGACACGGTCAACAGTGTACCACAATTCGAGAACGCGTGGATGCAGCGCAGCAAGTTTCCTTACACTGCCCGCAGTTCAGCCAGAGTCATTCGCCATGCTGTCGGTATTGATGAACGTCGCGCCAAGTTCCGTCAAGATTTGATCTCTGGTAAGCGACCGCATGACAAGAAGAACAGACGCCATCGCCACCACCTTCCCACTCCTTTGGGTCATCTGGCACGCCATACTGATGCTCAACACCATCTGCACCTTCATCACCAGGACGTTTTACGGCGCAAGCAGCAGCAACAACAACAACAATCAGAGGCACAGCCTGAGCAAGTTCCGGCTATTCGTGTGAACGACGACTCCGAGGGCGCCGAAGACGAAAAAGCGGCATCCACTGGTGCCCTCCCTGTCCTTGAAAATCCCGGTTGGGGTCCTAAAGAGGGTGAGACCTATTATCACTCTCACCTTAATGGCCATCATTCTCATCCTCCCTCATCACATGGAGAGAACGACAGCACCCTGGGTGTGGAGCAGAGTAATCGCTACCGGGCGTCTTCTCCTCGGCGTAATAGCCTGGCAGTTCCTAACGGAAAGCCATCCTTTGAAGACCTCACATCCGTCAAAAGTAATCAATCCGGCGGCCTCTCACTCCTCGTGCCCAGCCACGGTGATGACGACGACTACGACAGTGACGATGAGGAACAAGACATCCACGAAGTTTGGTTCCCTGGCTGCCACGCCGACATTGGCGGTGGATGGAAGCTGGAAGGTGGAGAAAAGTGGGCTCTGAGCCACGCTCCCTTGGTGTGGATGGTCCAGGAGGCCCAAAAGGCAGGCCTTGAGCTAGATGAGCGCAAAATGAAGCAGTTCCAGTGTCTTGAGGAATACGCTGGTGATTACACCCCTATTCAAGAAACAGCCAGCAAACGCCGCGGCAGCCGTGTCAAGGGACGTCACGATGAAAAAGACGAAGATCCCGATAAGTATCGCTTTGCCCCAGATGGGAAAGAGCGATCTGCTGCCAGTCGCGCCTTCTGGCATGCCTTACACACATCGAGCACTAAGGGTTCCAAGCACGATTGTCTCGAGTTCAATCAGGGTTTGCCAACCTTCTCGGTCATTTCCTGGCGTATTATGGAGTGGTTGCCTTTCCGCCGTATGGATCTCAGGGATGATGGTTCCTGGAAGCCCATTCGCTGGCCGCTTCCCCGAGGTGAGGTACGTGATGTGCCGCTGGATGCTGAGATCCATGTGTCAGCTATTCGACGTATGCAAGCGGACCCATCCTATCGCCCTGGTAATATCATCGTTGGAGGTGGTGGCGTTGGTGTGCGCATTGCACCTGAAGACTTGGGCATGGGCAATTGGGTGGTGCTTAAGAATGAGGGTGATGGAGTTCGTGAGACATACGTGCGGCAAGATCAGGAAACCAAGTGCAAGGAAGCTCTTTTGCACTCCAAATGCCACTGATGATTCCAAGCTTCTCTGCTGCTTCTGTCTATTCTTGTCTCGCACTCTACTACCTTTCTCGACTACTACCTACATGATTACCCCGTATAATATCTAGTATATTTAGTTCCCGTGTTCCTTCCTGTGTTCCTGTTATATAACACAATGTTTCAAATTTAAGACCCTGCCAATAATAATGATTTCATTTTGCACTCTGGATACTCTTCGCACGTTACTTCTAACATTTACCAGTGGGTAGTGCACCTAGAATATACTAGTAGTAGTAGCGTCTCGGAGTCGCCGTAGATCAAACTTTGAATTGTTCGATTAAATTCTTCACCGGGCCTACGTCAGTACATACATACTATGGCATAGGTAGTGTACATTTTTAACCTTGGAAGAGAAGGCCTAGAATCATTGGCAGCTTTCGGTATATCTAATTTGCTTGTGGTACGTGCATTGATTGAGAATATTGCCTTTCCATATCCATGCAATTAGAAACACCCTAAATACGTCGTAAACAGATTGGTCAAGGAATAATCGCATTGTATTCCGTACTGCGTACTGCGTACAGGACTACGACGTTCAGATAAACTGCGGCCACGCATTCTTACCATTGGTGGAGCGAGGGATCCTATCTCTGTGATCAACCGATCCATGGATGAGCAACTCCGCGATTTGCTAAATGCAATAGGGAAGTTCCTGCTATAGAAGAACACCGAAAACCAATGAGAGTCTTTGGTTGAGTTTGGAGGACATCGTCGTCTTTCCCCAGTCCCAAAAACCTCGAATCAAAGATCCAAGCCAAGTATCAAGTGTCCAGATGTCTGTCAGGGTCCCGCGGTCTGGACTTGCCGCCCTTTTTCGCCTCAAAAACTCTTTTTAACGCTTCTCATTCTCTCATTCTCTCCTTCTCTCCCTACTCCACCTTTTCCACCCTTTTATTTCTCCCGGAACTCTCTTCCCAATCTTCTGGAGACTTGGCTGGTCCAATATTTCTATTTCCGTCTTTGTTACTTTTTTCTTATTGCAGGATGCGCCCGACGTGAATCACCCTATCCATCTTTCCCCCCCTTATCCCCCTCCCCCTTTCTTCGATTCGACAACAGACATGGATGGGTCGCAACGACCGGAGACCATGCGCTCCCATCATTCCGACTCCAGCGACTTTCCTAGGTCCAGCTCTGCCATCTCTACGGAACGAGTGGGAAAAGAAGACGTCATGATCACTTTGTCTGTCTCTCCCGAACCGCCGGCACCCCCTCGGACCCGATCCCCTCTAGCCCGATCGCATTTGCGTTCTCGATCACTGGTGGGAATCCCCGGCATGCCATCGATGACGCGCGCATATTCTTCCCCAGGGCTGGACTCGAGGGGAAGATATATTTTTGTTAACGGTCGTGGTGCCCCTGCTACTTCTGCCGATGGCGCAAAGCGAACCCTGCCCTTGCAGATGCGCGCCGACGATCACATCGAAACCCGGATGGGGTCGCTTAACATTTCTGAGACCATATCTGAGAACGCAGAGCTCGAGACCATGCCCAAGTCACCTTCTTCTCAGTCGGGCTCCTCCCCGGTCTTGATGCCCCAGACATTCCCCCGCATCGGTCGCCTACGCTCAACCTCCCCCTCACATTTCCAACATCCTATCGGCAGTCCACCTACCATTCAGACCTCTCCCTCTCCAACCCTCGGCGGAAAATACAACGAAGCCTTTCCTGTCCATTCCGCCTCCTCCACTTCATCGATCCCGTCAACTCCGACCAGCCTTCGATCTCGGAGCCCGAGCATTTCGTCTCAGAGACTATTCCGGATATTCCGGATGCTGAAGCGGAAGCTGTTGAAGACGATGATCGTATCGCGCAGCTCAAGGCGGCAGCTGATGCCGAGGCGGCAAGCAATAACCATCGACGACGAGGCACATCCGACGTGTCTTCCACCAGCTCTTTCAATACCATGCGTGCCGGTCGCAAGCGATGGAGTGTCTGTGGTGCAGAACGTCGACAGGATTTGGACCTAGAGACTATTTGGGAAGATTAAGTTGACTCAGCACCAACAAAAACCTCCAACAAGTCATTCGAGCTCTGCCTCGCATACTTTACATTCGATGCCACGAATAACGCATTCACACTCTACTCTGCAGTGTGTCTTCTATGCGACCAGGCAGTACTCGCTCCCCTCGAAGCATGCTCTTTTACTCTCTGGAGTTGATCTTCACAGAATGGAGGCTGTTCTTGCGGGCTTTCTCTTCCCACCGCTCCGCCACCCCTGAAATTACTTGATACCCTTTCATTTCGTATCCGAAACGTACATATCCTCTCAGCCATTTCTCTATCTCTCTATTTTCCAGGCGCGATCTCATCACATGAAAAGGAGTTCATGTTGCAGGTGGTGCTTTTGTGTTTTTATTCATGCTACTTGTCTCTTTCTTGGGAACTTTCTGCTGTTCTCACTCAGCATGCAAGAAAGAACCTTCCAGGCGCATGGTCTGCTCAATTTCTTTGTATTGAGCATCCTTTTCTGTTATGAGTGTATCATTTGCTTTTTTATTCCTTCTTGCTCAATACCAAGGACCCGGTGCATTTGTCTTGGGGTCTTAATATGCGTTGTTATTAGCCTTTCGGGCTTTCAGAATCAAATGAAATGGCACTTTTAGCCAAAGAACTACTTAGTAGAAAATGTAGCTCTAAATCACATGTCATTTAGTCTTCGGATTCTACTTAGCTGTGGGAATCCGGCGTAAGCCTATATAATAGTAGCCTACGCATATTCCTGTAATAATGCTGCTATTATTATTCTATCTATCTATAATTGATCCTGGTCACTTGGGCCGCCGCTGGGATTAGAATGCTTAGCATCAGACTCACTGGGGTTCCCGCTGACACTGAAATAGGGAGTATATGAACTGATTAGAAGGCAACCAATTAACCATGCATCTCAGTGCTGTCGCCACGGGAAGGATGCGCCCAGGAAATGCGGCAGTGCAGATTACGTTGCTCTGTGGAGCTAATCTACATGCTGCCCAGGAGCGAAAGTGTTACAAGCGTCGAAAAATCCAAGATTCTCCTCAAAGCACCCGAATTCATTACCAAATATGATTAGGCTGATTCCTGAAACGAGATCATCCATTTATTTCTTGAATGATAGGCATAATCCAATGTATGTGCTTATCAGCAGACCATCCGTACCAGAATAGTCCAATGGGCAGGAGCTAACAGCTCACTACACTGGGTCCAAGTCTTAATTCAGGCAAAAAAACGACCTTGAGCAGAATGCTTCAAGGCTACCTTGTTCGCTACCTGGCCCGTTACTATGAGGCCGGATACGCAACCAACACCAAAGCCAAGATAGGCGAGGCCGGTCATTTCGCTGGGCCAATGGTAAATTTCCTCGAAAATGGCGGTTATAGTAGTGAACATGAGGTAAGAGATAGCCGTACGAGATTCCGCCAAAGACAGTCATGCAGAGCACGATAGGTGATAGGAAGAGGAGCTTTAATGGCCGAACACAGGCCATGTAGAAAACCTGTTTGCGATGAAGGTTGCGGTCAAACTTAGAGCGATATTGCTCGTTGCCTGCCTCTTTGCGGAGGGTAAGGGCTTTGCGCTCTAGAAGGACGGGCGCATAGGTCTCTCGGTAACAAATCATTGTTGTAACTAGCACGACGCCGGCCTGTAGAGCAATTCCAAGGTTATGAGCATCAATCTGGGCTGACGGGGAGGAGTAACATACTGCAATGGCGAGGATCCAAAATACCCAGCGCCAACCAAGATTCGCGCAGACAAATGATCCTGCCAAAGGGCTAACTATAGGACCCATGATAGGACCTAGAGCACAGATGGCCATTACACCAGCCTGTTTCTCTTTTCTGATTAAGTCTACGGCTGTTCCAGAGCCGAGAGCCATTGGACAGCTGCCAGCTACGCCGGCCAATAAGCGGAATACCAAGAGCTGAGGCAGTGTCTGCGAAACTGTACAGGCAATTATGAATATCAGGAAAAAAGAATTGCAGATATGGTAAGCTGGTACTCGACCATAAATTTCGGCGAAAGGGGCAATGAGAAGAGGTCCCACACTGTATCCGAGTAAGAAAATGGAGACGACGAATGAACCCATCATGGTGTTTGATGTATTAAACTCGGCGAGGACATCTGCTTCGCCTGGTGCAAACATAGAGGAAGATAGCGGTCTGGTTTCATTTCTCAATCGGCGTCATTATCATGAGATATTCGAATTTAATTCTTAGATATGTCGGTCACTCACGATAGAAACCTATTGAACCCCATTGCAACTAGCTGTCGAGCTTTTTTCTTATTAGGCCAGTTCATAGGCGAGTTTGGATCTTTAGGCCCATCCCAGTCGACCAGGAAGGGGTCTGTAACTTCGTCATCTGATGTGCGAGAACCGGCGGATGCCTCTACATCATTCATGGGGAATATGTCGACTTCTGCCTCTTCCTTTGGGTCTTCCGGCACTTGAGCTTTTTCAAATGGGATATGGTGATTTCTGTTGTGTCGGACTGGGAATCACAAGTTGCCATGGTCTCCTATCATATAGTTTTCCGCAAACTTGAATGAAGCGAAATAGTGCTGTCGAGAATAAATCACGGCATTTCAACTCTTTTTTTTTCTTTGAGATACAACCAATCGTGAACTTAATATCAAGAACAATACAAGCGTGAAGAGGTCTGACTCAGTTGAATAAGAATCTTGACGGAAATACTTACGCTTGCGCGTTCTCTACGAGGTCTATAACAATTCGGGTATCTAATGCGCAATGAAAATTCCGGTTGGAACATCGATGCTTAGTACGTAGGATAGAACAAAATATGAGAAGCAGGCCACTTGTGATCTACATGTAAGCACGGGGGAGTCTTCCACATAGAGTAGGTTAATCGCATGAAGTCGAATCCGTGAACAACTGAATTTCCACACTGGTTTGATCTATACTTGGTACAGTGCATACATGGATGTGGTTGAAACTTTCCATCCAATTAAGGCAAACCAAACCGCTTTTAATACTAATACACTAGAATATTTGAATTCCTACGATTCGTTAGTTTGCCCAAAGACTTAATGTTCATTACCTATCAATGTCAACGCTTAATTAGTATCTCGTCTCTAAGTCTTATCGGGAAGGCCTCACACCCCGAAAGAGGCAGGGCCATGCGAACGGCAACCAATCATTTGTGATCTCCGGTCCCGCTTCTCTGCTATTTTCAATATCAACCGCCGAAACCTTTTCTCCATCAGGCAACTTTTCATGTACAGATCAGCTTTCCAATACACTCGTCCTTTCATTTCTCGCGATAACCATATTCTCCACTCGCAAATACACACCATGAGCTCCAAGCCGCACGTAGGTATTATTGGAGCGGGCCTGGCGGGTCTTCGATGCGCGGATATCCTCATCCAAAATGGAGCGCGAGTCACCATTCTGGAGGCTAGGGATCGTGTTGGCGGAAGGGTAGGTCATATTTCCCTTGTTCGAACAACGGTTTAACTTGCTTGTTTCTTCCAAGGAACGAATGGATCAATGGTTGTCTACCATCAAGCGTTTCGAGCTAATTCGTTTTCTTGATCTGCAGATCTGCCAAGATAACTTAGGAGGGCATAGAGTGGATCTGTAAGTGGATTCAGGGTTCTGCTCTGAATCCCAGAATCAAAGCGCTAATACGTTACAGCGGGCCTAATTGGATCCATGGCCAGGGCGAGAACCCCATCATGTCCCTAGCTGAGGCAACAAAAACCGTCACATATGACCCTGATGGGGGTAATTATATGGTTTCCCGAGATGGAAAATTCATTAGCGAAGCCCTTGGCACCAGGGTCTCAGAATTCGTATGGACAACAATTGCAGAAGCCTTCACGTACAGCAATGAACAACGAGAGAAAATTCGACCGGAGGAGAGTCTATATGATTTCTTCCTGTCCAAAGTTCGAGAGACAGATTTCTCAGAAGAAGAACAGCAGCTTTGTCTCGATGCATGCAGACTTTGGGGTGCTTATGTAGGAGAGCCTACAAAGAGACAAAGTCTGAGGTTCTTCCGCTTAGAAGAATGCATTGATGGATGTTCGTATTGAAGCCCCCTTACTATCTCGATTAATTGATTGATCTAACCCGATTGAAACCAGATAATTACTTTGTCGCTGGAACATATACGAAAATCTTAGAACAAATTGCCAAAAAGGCCCAATCCCATGCTGACATCAAACTGAACCACCCGGTTGTCAATATCGACGCTCCACTTCGCAAAAGCGATACACCCACAAATGAGAGCCAGGTATCTGTGACAACAAAATCTGGTGACCGTTTCACCTTCGACGACGTGGTCATTACCTGCCCCCTCGGCTGGCTCAAACACAACACAAACGTATTCACTCCAGCGCTTCCACCCAGACTCCTCAAAGCAATCGAGAGTATTTCCTATGGCCGTCTCGAAAAGGTCTTTGTGAAGTTCCCCAAGGCATTCTGGCAAACAAGTTCCACAGAGAAGAACCCACATCTCCCCGTCAACCCAGTCTTTACTCAATTTCTTCAACCAAACTACGCCGATCACCCCGAAGATCTAGAATGGAACCAAGAATGTCTGTCTATCGCTTCTCTCCCCAAACCCTGCGCTCATCCAACTCTCCTCTTCTACACATACGGCCCAGGCGGCGCACATATAGTCGAAAGTATCGCATCTCTTGATCCCTCTTCAAAGGAATACAAAGATACACTTGTTTCGAAGCTCCAGCCCTTCTATTCCAAGTTGCCTGGTTACGATGCTTCTTCGCCAGATTGTGTTCCCGATGCCATACTCGCTACTCGCTGGCAGACAGATCAGTATGCTGGATTCGGATCATACTGTAATTTCCAGGTTGGTTTGGAGGAAGGTGATCGGGATATTGAGGTTATGCGATCTGGTGCGGGGGTTGGTGCTGAGCGGGGCCTGTGGTTTGCTGGAGAGCATACGTCGCCTTTTGTGGCGCTTGGTACTACGACGGGTGCTTATTGGAGTGGAGAAAGAGTCGCTGGACAGGTTTGTGAGAGGAGGGGGTTAACTTGTGTTGGAGTTAGCAGTGGGAAGGATGATTCTTTACCTTCAGCGAAAGCAAGCTTATAGAATGGTTTCTATGTGTGCATGTTTGGGGAGCAAGAAAGTGATTTCTAGATACATTAGAGATGAAGAGCGAATGTGGCTACATAGTAATGTAAATAGAAGTATTTGTAGATTTCTTTGAAATTTTGCTTTCCTGAGCTTACTCTTTCTAAATAATCATTCTTCTATTTGTATCTCATGACTAGCTTGTGGGAGACATGTGTGCGGAAGGTAAAAGTAAGTCTGAATAGTCCAAGGATTTTATTAAACTAGACTTCCACGAGACCCGGTCTGGGTCTGTTCTGTTCAACAGCAGCCAGTGCCCAAAAGAAGGCCATTAAGGCATAGTATTCACATTGCACACAGACGAGTAAAAACAAAACTCGACAGTGAATATCTTTCGAAAAGAAGAAAAGGACACAATGGACCTTAGAAACAAGGGATCATAGAGTTCACGTGACAAAGATGTGGCGAAGAACCGCTTGCAAGCACACATCGCGAATCGGAATCATGAGGAGATGAACCAACAAAAGAAAAAACGGACATAGGGAAGGAGAAGATGCTGAGACCAAAAGGGGGTGATGCGGATAAGCGGAAGGTCTATATGACACATGACAGGAAAGGGGGATTTTCCCGCTCCTACCTTCATTCACGAGTAATAATAATGCTATCGCCACGCTCCTTGACTCAACGATAGGAGACCCTGGATACAATCCAAATCATCTTCTTGACTTCCACCTCCTCCACCAGCCATGAACGCAGATACCTCTGCACTCAACTCTGACGTAACCTTGCCCTGGGTACCTGAAGCAAAGGGTCGATTGCGTTTTCCGGTATTTTGTAACCCTAACCCCCGGTTCCCATTGGCTTCACGCAAAGCATGCCGGGAGGTATGAGAGGTTGTGCGGCGACGAACTTGTGATGCTCGAGTTCCGGGAACCCAATTTTCTTTATCGGAGTCACCAGGGTCCAGTTCTAAGTCTGCCTTGCTGGACTTTGAAATCGATTGTTTGGAAAGTTTTGAAGGATATGGAGAACCCCGGTTGCGGTCGGTCTCTAGTCTACCCATAGAAGAGACAGTACGGGCAAGCTTTCGCCTCTTTTCGCCCATGGACTGAGAGATCGGTGTTTGAGCGGAATCGGCATGAACAGAAACAAAACTATGCCTTGTCGACAAGGCACTGCGGGTAATAGAACGCTGAGAACGAGATTGAAAGAGACCAGGTGATGAGTTAGGAGCGTTTTGAGAGCTAGCAGGTGTGGACAGAGCACTCCGGGCATCTGTATCAAAGAATGACTCCCAGTTACGCGGGTCGCGAGATCGACCAAATGTTCGATCCTTCTCGGCCGTAGCTGCCCGCGGCGTGGCCGGGAAAATAGCACTGCTACTGCGACGCAGTCCTGAGAGTTTGGTACGACGCACAGAGAACATAGCTACCCGGTTTTTGGACGGCGATAGCTCGTTCTCCGCACGAATGACAGCCTTTCCATCGGACGACATGGCAATTCGTAACGCGTTCCCACCCTTTGGCGGTGACGGTGTCATCTCATCTTCTTTCCGTACCATGGCCTCCCCGTCAAACGACATCGACAACCGCAGTGAGGGCGGTGATTTTGTCGGCGTTGATGTAATATTTTTGACATGCTCATCTTGTGCTTGTGATCCCTCCTCCTCCCTTATATCAGAAACGGATCTCTTCCGTTTAGTAGCCTGCAATAGTGACTCATCCGATGTGTTGTTGTCCAAATTTTCACACGAGTCCGCCCCTCGAAATTCCTCTTGTGTGGTGGGCGGGGTGTCATCGAAGGCATCTGTCGCCACACTCGTTTGTGTGCACTGTGTGGGCAACTCGGGTTCCTGGTCGTCCCTCTCGCTCGTCATAATATCCGGTTCATCAGATAATTGCAATAGATCGCCTCCCCAGGATTTTGGCCTAGTCTCCTCCGGTCGGCTGTGGCCATCCATCAACTCTGCCCCACTTGACGACCCAGGTTCCGCGGACGCGTTATCATCACTAGACGGGTGTCCCACCGAGTCGGACATGCTCGATCGCGGAGCAAGCATTTCGTGAGGTTGTAAAGGTTTGGATTTGCGTCGGTCGTTTTGGCGGCGGTTCTGGAACCAGATCTGCAGGAATCAGTCATGCGGTCTAGTGTGTGGAGGGCTTTTTTTTATTGTGAAGTCTTGGCATCGCGTACCTGGACCTCTTTCTCGCCGAGCGAGACGCGATTCACGATATTCGTACGAGACACTTTGTCGGGCTTAGAATTCTTTTGATACTCAGATTCCAAAATGGCGTGGTCCTCCGGACTATCAAAATTCGATCGTGTTGGTTAGTATATACGCGTTCGGAGATTTATCGGACCACGGCAACAAAACATACCTCGTTCGGCGCCGTTTTTGACGGGCGAGCAGCTTGTTATCGACACGAGGCGGGAGGTTCTGGGTAAGTGTCTTTTGGGAATGAACGAGAAATGCGTAGTTAAGGGCACTGGCGTCGGTGGCTGGTAGAGACGGCGAGGACGAAGCCGCCATCACCGAGGTCTCCGGGTCAGACATGGTCTCAACTAAGAGAGCATGGAGGGGAAATATGAAGAGGATGATTTTCGTCCCGAGGGGAAAAGGGACCAAAAACCACAGATGAACCAACAAAAGAAAATGGAAAGGGGGGGGAAATTAAGAGTGAGGCTGGTGCAAAGAAAGAGAGTATGCAGACCAAGGCCGTAGTGGAATCGCGTCGCGATTGTGGACGCGGAGGAAGCAAGACCGTGCCCACGCTAGTCTTTGATACTTTTGACTTTTGGCCTACAAGATTTCTGCTTTGGCTGACTTTCTTGATTTAAGAATACTGTTTATAGTATTTACTTCTATCTTGCTGTGGTTTTGTACCCATGTTAAGCTATTTTTCGGCTAAATCTCGTTCATTTCTCTCTCTATTTACTCCAAATCTTTGCATTGACGCGGTCGGAGGTAATTGTCGGGAGGTCCCCACTGCGGCCCTGGACGTGGTCTCAGGTATGGGGCCATCGCGTGTCCCACGTCACGTTAAAAGAATGCGCGAGATCCTGGGAATCTTGGGGGCTCTGGTATCCAGCATTATCCATGGTATCATGCACCCAATTTCCCGGTGGCCAGCTCCTAAAATGGGCCCCCAAGTTGGTTCTTGGTATGTGAACTGCCACACAAAAGGCTCCGAAACGCGAAAAACACGTCGGCACGTGACTAGATCCGAGGGCTTGGCCAGTTACTTGTTCGTGCAATAATATCAGTGATAATGGACAAATTAAATGTGGTATTTTAATTTTTGATTCTCATATGCGATATCAAAAGGCAATATTGAAGTTCTGTCGCATGGTGGAATGGTGTTTCCATCCAATTATTGCATCAACACCATGGACTAGATATCCGAACAAAGAGCTTTAAGCTTTGGGGTTTTTTTTTTGTTTTTTGAAAAAAGAGGGAAAAGACCAAGAAATTTTTATTTTATTTTTACAGGGCTGAAATAGGTTAGAAATAATCTATATTAGATAGTATTATTAAATCTGCATCCACAATTACTAGTAAGACGCTTTGGCTTTAACACCAAGCAGTTGTTCAGCATTCCGGTACGCAAATTTCTCCAAATCCTCACCTGCAATCAACCCACTTTCCTGAATCTTATTAAAAAACCCAAGTCCCTTCTCGTTCGACGAGAATGGATAATCAACACTATACAAAACATGATCGATAGAAGTAGTCTGCAAAAGACAAGCCAGCGGAGGAAGAGCAAACATCCCGCTCGTCGTAATCCAGATATTCTCCTTCCACACATCTTGGAAAGACCTCTGTCTTCCCCACCTCGCAGAAACACCAAATACCCTATCCAACTGGAAAGGGAGCAGCTCACCCATATGTCCAATAATAATCTTCAAATTGGGAAAGCGATCAAACAGCCCACTAGCATATAGTTTCAAAATATGCAAGGCTGTATCAGAGTGCCAGCCCCATCCGTATGCGCTCAGCGCTACAGCAACAGATTCATCATAGTTCCCACGGTAGTGATCCATAGTACTTTCTGCAGCCCAGGAAGGATGGATGTAAATTGGCACATCGAGTTCTTGTGCTTTTTCAAACATAATCCAGAATTTCTCGTCATCGTAAAACTCGCCGTTGATATGAGTGTCTATGAGTGCACCGACAAAGCCGAGATCTTTCACGGAGCGCTCGAGCTCGCTTGCTGCGGCGGTTGGGTTGCTTACGGGGAGCAAAGCGAAACCTGCAAGGCGAGTCGGGTTTTCAAAGATAGCTGATGCAAGGTCGTCATTTGCTGCTGAGCATACACTAGGTGGCATATCGCCAGGCCCGTGAGAAATGATCTGAAGAGACACTTTCCCTGCATCCATATCTTGTAAACGTTCTTCGCCGAGCGTGTTCAGTTGTTTTACAAGAGCGGGAGGGAAAAAGGCGAATTCATCGTGTTCCTGGGCTGCTCGGACATGAGGCGAGACATAGTGCTCTTCGAGTGTAATCAAGGGCAACATGGTTTCCAAGGTTCTTTGGTTCGTCTATGGGATCAAACGCACTGGGTGATCAAAATTGAAGGAATTACAGAAATTATTACTAGTAGTCCTGGGACACATAATATAACGTCGAACTATCATTTAATCTCCGCTCCGATATTCCGACGGGTGGTACGTTATCTGATCAAATCGGGGGTTTCGTCGGGGATATGGTTGGTTGTTTCCTATAACCGAAAGCCTAACTCCAGGATCCACCTCTACACCACAAATAAATCCATGGCTATCATCTGTACATATCAACGTAATTCCCAGCAAAGTTCGCTCTGTGGTGTCAAAATAGGTTTGCCCTTCCTTCTGATGTGAGTATGTTGCTCAAAAGCGTAGGCGTACTTGATAATATTCTCTTCAATGAACAAGTCGCCAATGAAGGCCAAGTCCGAAGCTGTGAGAGGAATTAATTAGCAAACTTTCGCGAAAATATGATTGAAGTTCTCACTCACGGCAAATTTGGACCACGTTCTATCAGGTCTCCTCGCGCGCACATTTTGATTTCGGTGTCCTTTGGACAGAACAGAACCCCAGAGGAATTGTGATGATCGGGTACCCACCAAGAGCTGGAATACTTGGTGACACACGTTGGCAGAATGAGTGCATCCAAGTTATCTTTTCGAAGAGCCCCTCGTACGCCACCTTTATGAGCCAACCATCCCATGTGCTCTAAAGCTGCCTTGAATTCATCACACTCTCTATTATCAAACCCATTCCACGCAACTTCCATGTTGTGGGCTCCTCGAGAGGGATACTGTTCTCGAGGTTCCGACTGAGTCCAAGAGCATAATTTGAGATGGGTGAAGGAAGTACTTGTTACTTGAGAAAGAGGATGTCTTGCTTTAGGTACAAAGGGTATAAAGCGGCCTCATACAGACATGGTAGCTCGGGCCATACCTATGAACATGAGGTCGTCTATCAAGGGTCTGTTTACATGGTGCTAAACACATATTATTCAATTGAAATTTCCTCTTATAGACCGGTGAACCTAAGCATTAGGCTCCATATACTTGATGCAAGCCGATGTGGTATACCCATTTTCTCTATTCGAACTTGAAGCCATATTCTATCAAATCTTACAGTGCTTCCATTATCGAAAAACTTATATCGGAAACATCATTTAATAGTCTCTCAATCTCATATTCACATGTCTAATACAATACATATGTCAAAATCATTGTTGCTGACACCACATAGGCTATCGGCACTAGTGATTCAAGTATAGTGGCACCAACCAATCAAAAATCCAAAGGCCAGCGGTCTCCGGATATCGCCCGAGTAAAGTTCTAGAGCGAAGCAAAGTAAGTTAGACCAACCGACACGAAAACATGCATACTTTGGAAGCGAGTCCTTCTCACATACGCCATCCACTAGCCTTGATTGTCCAAGTGCGGGGCGCAACCCGGCACACCGGGGACTGTTCAGGCCTGTCGGCCCAAGAAGTACAACCCCGCGATTCTCACACCCAATCCTGATAGGCTGGAAGGGGGAAGAGTCCCGAAACCCCCGGGTTTTCTTTTGAGCTTCGGGTGCTGCACCTGTAACAATCCCTGACAGATCCCGGTGATAGATGGTGGCTTGCTGCCAGGGCGAATGCGTTTCTCCGTCCCCTGTCACCCCGCAATCTTAATCTGCGCCCGACTCGGATTCAAAAGAGTGGTATCCTGCAGTTGAACCCTGCGGTATGGTAGTGGCCTGGGACATGGAGTTGCTAATATCGGCTTTTGGTCTGTATTTATCGCTTTTTCTGGGTTATTTCAATTTTTGAGGATCTTGCTTCCAGGTCTAAGTAGCCATGGGGCGGTTCTACGCTATTTCCACTGCTGTTTTGGCGGCAATGGGATCGTTCTTGTTTGGTTATGACAGTGGTGTTATGACAGATGTTATTGACTCGTCTAACTTCTTGGGATATTTCCATACAACGCAAACTTCGGTTATCATTGGGGCTATCAACAGTATCTATTCGGGAGGAGGTAGGGATGTTCCACTATAAGCTGGCTAGACAATTACTTACACTTCTCTCGTGTTGACTAGCCGCGATCGGAGCGCTACAAGGTGGATTAACTGTGGATCGTTTTGGTCGCAGACGTACCATCCAAATGGGATCATTGATCTGCCTTGTCGGGGCAACTCTACAGGCGGCGGCTCAGAATCTATCTATGATTCTCGTGGGTCGTATTTTGGCGGGTTGGGCTGTGGGCCTCCTGTCCATGTCGGTGCCAGTTTATCAGGCTGAGGTTGCACATCCACGTTCTCGGGGTTTGATTGTCGGGTTATCGCAGCAAATGATTGGTATTGGTTATATCGTGAGCACGTATGAGTCCCAACCCATGATGTTCTCTGTATTAGTACTTTATAGTGTGGGGGTTGGCTGACGATATCCTATGCATAGATGGATTGGATACGGATCTCTCCATGCGCCAGATACAAGTGAATTCCAATGGAGGTTTCCACTTGCTTTCCAGGTAGTGCCAGCTATAATACTCGGTATCGGTATGATCTTTGTCCCCGAGTCCCCACGATACCTCATTGAGAAGAATCAATACGCCGAAGCAAGGCGGGTTCTTCGCAAACTGCACTACGATGGATCGAACGGCGGCTGGATAGAACTCGAGTACAACAATATATGCCAGGCAATGGAGTCGGAGAAATCGGTCGCAGCACCTGGCTGGCTGCCAATGTTCACTGTTCCAAAATGGCGTACTCGCATGCTGTATGTTTCATGTCGCTTTTCCTTCCCCTTCCCCCTATTCAGCTTCTACTAGACTGGGGAGACTTACCTTTGTAGGCACGGTCTCGCTGTTCAAGTCTTCACCCAAATGACGGGTATCAACGTGATCACATATTACCAGACGATCATGTATAAGGCGCTTGGCATCACCGGGAGTCGCAATACCCTTGTCATAGGGATATACAACTGTGTTGGCCCGTTAACCAACCTAATATTCGTGGTATTTATCCTCGACCGAGTCGGGCGACGCAAGCCCTTACTTTTCGGCACAGTCGGAATCTCCATTGCCCTTATCTGTGAGGCAGTTCTGAACTCACAGAACCCAGACGGCCAACGGACCGGATACAGTATCGGCGGTGTATTCTTTCTGTTTGCAGTGTCGATAATATTCTCGCTCTCATTCGGGCCTTGTAGCTGGTACGGTCGCATTCATCCCATCCTGCTTGACTGTTTATGATTTGATCCGGGTGTCTCTGACAAAGTCACAGGGTGTACATGGCTGAGGTTATGCCGATGCAGATTCGCGGCAAGGGCAATGCATTCGCGGTCGGGATTGGCAACTGGACGGTCGGTACATTGTGGAATCAGGTCTCACCCATCGCATTGGGCAAACTGCGTTGGCAATACTACTTTGTTTTTGTGGCATGGAGTGAGTTTCTATGTTCCCCCCTTGACCCTGTGTGGATCCCCCCTGCTGACAAGGCCTGCACTGTAGATCTGTGCGTATCGCTCCCGGTCATCTATTTGCTTTTTCAGGAAACCCAGCAGAAGAGCTTGGAGGATATCGATTTGTTGTTTGAGCGACGGTCGCTAGATGGCGTGCCAGATATGACAGACGAAGCAGTAGAACAGATAGAGTCGGGAAAGATAGGGGTGACCAGCATGACCGTCGAGCATGTTGGGGTCGGTTCCCGTCAATAATAACAACATTCAAGTCCCGTCAGTCAAGACCCAATAATGAAAGGATTTAAAGTCTCAAAAAGTGGAGAGAAAAGAGAAAGTGTAGGAGAGTGGAGATGGCAAAGCGCGGGGAATCAAGAATCAACCTTGGAAGCGTGGCCCCATGCAAACCATGGGAAAGAGTGACACGGGTCTTGGCTGATAGCATGATCCCCATATGTAGATTTCATCCACAGCCACCATACACCAATCACACCCAAGCCAAAGCAATATGATAGCAAAACACCGCCAGAGCCAGATCCGTGTTCCACCAAAGCCTAAAATTAAGAAGATGAAAGGCGACAGACGAGAAGGCAAAAAGAGCGAAAAACGGACATTTAGGCCGATCAACATTCCCAGCCACTAGCACCTTGGCCCGCGCATCCCTTCCATTTAACTTGCACCACTATTGGCTCCACGATCACAAGGGAGGGGAGCAAAAAGAAAAGAAAGAAAAGAAACCGAGCCAAAGCCATGACCGCATCTTGCTGTGGAGGCACAGCTCACACATATCCACTCGAGCTAACCCCCGCTTTGGTCGATCATCTCTGCCTTCCCCTGCGCGTGAGGGTATATCTTTGGGACATGAAGAGATAATTGCCACACTTCCCCGGATCTATTCAAGCTCGGGCTCGTATTTTGTTCCTGGCGTGGTCTGATTTTCTTTCTCTTTTCTCTTTTCTTCTTTCTTCGTTGCCTCCTATCCCAAAGCCTACTGCGAGGGTTTTATCTTCGGACAAACTTTCACTCCCTTGTCTCGGTATGTTTGAGTCGGGCTAGATTTGATTCTTGCCCTTTAATCACCGTCGCATGGTTTCAGGGATATTCAGCTGACACTATTCCAGAACTTCCATATTAGGTTGCTTCTGCTTATAATCGCACAACCCGTGCGGAATTTACGGCGTAATGGCCGACGACCATAGCCTCAAGACAAGCCATATGGCCATCGTCTTGGGTATTGGGCTCGGCGTTGTACTGCTGATCGTGTTAAGCTTGGTGTAAGAACATACCTTTTCTCATTTATCTCCGTGTTCTGCGTAGAAATCCCTGTGTGTTGAGCGGGGAATTTCTTATTTTCACGTTCACGGGGAGATCTCCAGCTTGTGCGACATGAGGATCGAGGGGGACTAATAATCAATCATACAGTCTTACTATTGTCATCAACCGGCGTGATCGCCGATCATTCCTCAAGTCGCGGAAGAACCCCGACGAGCGACTAGCTAGTCTGGACGCTGTATCGCCTATTCGTACATTAGAACAGTGGTGGATCACTACGAAAGGCAAAATGGGTCTTTCAGAGGCTTTGGACAGCCAGTTCGTATGGTATGTGTGCTCTGTCTTTCTTGGTTTTGCAGTGTTGCTGATAAAGATTTGTAGCGCTGTGTGTCTGGAGCAAGTGGATCGGACAGAGGAAATACGAGAACTGCGTTGCTTGCATGTTTTTCATCGGGAGTGTCTGGAAAAGTGGTTCTTGGGGGATCACTATAATTGCCCTCTCTGTCATCGTGCATATTATGTTCCGAAGACCCCACCACGGCATGATTATGTATGGATGGTATGATGTGTTGGCCCATAAGCAGAATGTGTGGTTAATGTGGTCATTCTGAATGATCAACATAATTTCTTATAATGGCTATCAGACGAGACCATGATTTCTTTTTCGCAAATGACCTCGCGTTCAATCCCTAATTGTACACTGTTTTGGCCACTAGATGATCGATTGGATGTCTTATTCCTCATTGCGGTCTCATTTTGGTATTGATCATGGCGCAGGAGTTGTGTGACTCATTATTCACACTTGGCAATGAAAGAAGAATAATCACGGCGCAAGTACATCAACGCCAGGGAAATACTCCGAATTGAAATCCCAAGAATTGTAGTTCGACCAGTCCAGAAAGCTAGACAGACCTGAAGTAGCATCATGGACCATATCTGCCTGGACAGGCTGGGGATCCAGTAGGTGGTCGAGAATGCGAGACAACTTTTTTTCTGCGTCTTTACAAGTCTGGTAGTTTCCATGGCCAGGCCTTGATATCCAAGAAAGTAGTGAGATAAACACACTGATATTACGGATCAGTTCAGCACGGGGGAGGACGACAGCATGGGGACCGGGCTCATGGGACTGGTGCAGCAGCTCAACAAGAAGAACACTGGCACTTGGAAGGCCATATGTGAGGGCCTGGATATAATTAGTAACAATTATATAGCCGATATCAGGATAGTGACTTACAATCCAGGAATAATGCCTATCAAGATCCACCATGGGATTCCGCTGCGAGGTAATTGTAATGACAATGGCAAGAACCCGCCGGGATACATCACAGAGTGCATCTTGTCCGGTGTTGGTGTGCTTTATCAGAGCTCTTTTAAGGAGGAAGCAGGAGTAGAGATAATTAAGATATAGATAGACGGTCGTGATTTGGAAATCGTCGTTCTGTCGTCGGTCATATCTGAGATGGTCTGGCGCTGCATTCCACACATCTCGCACACTTAGTTCAATTTCACTGTTGGGCAACACGTTAAATCTAAATTCATGATCAGAATGGTAGTTTACTCACTTTGATCTGCTGACAAGATCGTGAATTTCGGGTGCCCCTAATGCGATATCAAGAGTTTTCTCTCTAGCAACAGCAAGAAAGAACCTCAGTCTTGACGATGAAATCCGGTGTTTCATATTTTGGGTTTCCCAGCCGTTTTCATCAAGTTCTGAAATTGCTTTATTAAGAGAATCCCCTCCAGCAACAAGGACGTCGTCACTTAGATCTAGTGGAGGGACCAGACTGCAATATCGATAATTCATAAGTGGCGGCCGGCCAACAAACGTCGCCATCATTTTGTCTACATAGAAAGCAGAGATAAAGCAGCCTCTGCGCCACTGTCGAAGAAAGAACGGGCAACTCTCGCTGTCAGTGTCAAGATGAATCCCCGCAGCGTAGATTGTCGCGACCAAATCGCCCAACCGACGCCATGCTTTGTAGCCTGATGGTGTGTGTTAAGGATAACGGTCACATTAAATGAGAAGAGGAAAGTAATACGGAGGGAGAAAAAGAGTTAAAAAGTGAAACAAAGACTTACTTGTATCTCCATACTGTTGTGTCTGGAGCATGATATCGTTATATTGTAGGTATGCCAACAACTCATTGGCCGACGAAGCTTGGTCACAGAAACCAAGACAAACATTAGTGGCTTGCAACACCTGTTCCAAGAGTCGCTCCTTCCCCCGTGGACCCTCAGTAATTTGAGCAACCTCAGGATCATTATCTGGAAGAATCACGAGTTCCTGTCCACACACAGGGAATATATTTGCCAGCGCTTCCCAGCGAAGGTTGCGACCAGTGAATGACGAGCAGTATTCTGTGACGGCCATTGATTGATGAGCTGACATTGCTCGAGAAGAATTCTGGAAAATCTGTCTAGCATAGCTCCGCAACTGTGGCATAGGATCGTTAGAATTTAACCCCGCGAACAGCTCCTGAATAGACTTTAGAATAGAATCCAAGATAATCTTCGGAATGACAGGATTTGATGACTCGTTATAGAATCTGTCAATCAATCTTTGGCGGAGCATGAGATTGTACAAAAATAAAAGTACGTCTGCCCCGGACTGGGCCCGCTCGGGCTCCACTGACAAGACCGGGGTGGAATCCGAACTTTCTTCCGGTTCAAAAGGGATCTCATCGCGATGCTCGGTTAGGACCGCAGTGAAACTTGTAGATCCCAGGTAGCCTGGCAGAGTAGACGGAGGCTCCAAGCTTGTAAAGATCCGTCCTCTTCCTAAAGATCCTGGGCTTGAAGCACTAATCTCTATGATTAATATTTATTCAAAAATTGTGGCAGTGCCGGGGCAAGGTTACTTGGAGGTTGGCTGACTGGCAAACCGACTGGGGGCCGGTAGTGTCATATTAGTGTTCTGTTCTGATCTGCGTCTCGTCATTGGCGCCGGGTGGTAGAAGCATTTATCACTCATGCGCTTAGAAGCACATCGACGACAAACAGGCCGCTCATGATCGCATCGCTGCTTGGATTTCCGACAAGGCTCGCATGATTGCAATGTACCGTTTCGCCGAGTCGCTGGCGAATGTGAGCGCCGATCTTCATTATCTCTCATTGCATTCGTTCACCGGGGAATCAATATTTGTTTGCACAGATGGGAACCTCAGAAGAGGATTTAGATGGGAGGTGGGAACGGACCGCACTTCTTACCCAAAGTAGTTTAGCGCGGGTACTGCCTGCACCAAAGACTGTGGATCCTCATACCGTTTACACTATGCGAGGAACTGCTCTTTTTCTCTGACGCGAAACAGAGTATGAGACATATTTGATCCTACGATTCAGTCTGGATTGAATCCTACGATTCAGCGAGTTGGGGGCCCATCAACGTCGCCTTTATTAACGCTTATATCCCCTGAATTTCCGTGATTAAGGGACACTGAAAAATATTTTGACCAATTCCCGAAATGATGAGTACCTTCAGAGTTGTCGAGCATGTAATTCCAGGCCAACACATTCGTGAATATTATCACAGCGTGAAAGGCCGTCAGGAGGCTCCAGTCCAGCTTGCCATCAAGCAATACATCCCGCTCGCTCGGCCCGAACCTATTCCAGACAATGCAGTGACCATAATCGGAACTCACGGGAATGGTTCTCCTAAAGTAAGTTCTGATGTATAGCAATAGCAAGTTGTGGTGGTGTATATTAATCCAAACAGGAACTATTCGAGCCCTTCTGGGAGCGTCTTTCCATTCAATTAAAAAAACAAGGGGTTCCATTGCGTGCCATATGGATTGCAGATATATCCAATCAAGGCGCGAGTGGGATCTTGAATGAAGAGATCCGTGGTGATCCAAGTATGTTTTCGGCTCTAGAGTCTGGATCTTCCCTCGCATTTGCTAACCCTCGCAGATCATTGGAACGATCATTCACGGGACCTATTACATATGGTCAACCACTTTCGCGATGAGATGTCTCGACCCTTAATCGGTGTAGGTCACAGCATGGGCTGTGCTCAACTGTTAGTTTCCATTGATCTCTACCTACTACTGCACGAGTTCATAAACCAGTCGCTAACGTTTTACAGCGTCCATCTGTCCATCTTGCATCCACGCCTGCTATCAAGCCTACTCCTATATGAGCCCGTCATAGTAGGTGATCATACGCTTAAAGCGAGTCCTGCAGGATTCATCGCCAGGAGAAAAGATCTCTGGAAGTCTCGTGAAGAAGCAGAGACTTACCTACGCAAGCGTCTAACATGGCATCCCGAGGTTGTCGACCGCTACATCCAATTCGGGCTACGATCCACACCAACACGCCTCTATAATTCTGAAACAGCAGCGGGTCTATCTACATCATCTGTAACACTAAGCACGACACGATATCAAGAATCGATGGGCTACGCAATTCCCAATCTAGAGCCCGAATCATCTGGGTTGGATCAGTGGCTACTTCCGGGCTGGTCGGATGAAGAGCGGGACATTATAATTGGTCGTCCGGAGGCTTTCGTAGCAATGGAGCTTCTGCCCTTTGTCCGACCTAGTGTTTTCTGGGTATTTGGGACGAAGAGTTATTTGTCATGGCCTGAGTCGCAGGATGAAAAGATGGAAAAGACGGGGACTGGGGTTGGAGGAAGCGGAGGTGCAAAGCGAGGCATGGTGGAGAAGGCAGTCCTGGAGGGGGCTTCACATAATGTGATTCTTGAGGATCTTGATTGGAGCGCTGATGTTGGTTCTAACTGGATTGAGCGTTGGTTTAAGAAGTGGCTGGCGGATGAACAGATGTTGGCGGGATATCAGAGCAAGATATCAGATCCTGTGACAGGCAAAGCATCCGAGGCTAGTCTACATGCTTGGTCGCAGAGTATCCAACCCGGAAGGCCTAAGATATAGTATGAAGGCTCGGGCGCAGTGGGGGTGATAACATTGCTGCGGGCGATGATGTTTCATACAAGACATAGATAGAATGTGAGATGGGGGTTTTACATTTTACATACCTGAGAGGGACTTTCTACAGATGTGATTGGCTATATACCGGTGTAAATGGAGGTGCCAGCAAGCTAAAAATTCGATGACCCAGGGGATTGGGCTAAGAGCGAAGATTACAAAGTTTACGAGTGAATCGAAGTATAGATTTTGCGAAGAAATTGATTGTCGTATCGCCTTAGAAATTGACACGTACGGAAAGACTCCACAATAGAACACTATGCTATAGGGATGCAGGAGTGGCAGATCATTGAAACATTCGGAGTCAGGCAAAATCTCGAATCGTGACAACTTCGCAGGTCACCCAAGCATTCAATGTAAACAAAAAAGTAACCAGCAAACCAGACGCCACATACAACATGCCTGAAACAAATGTTTACGCCAAAATGAGCCCGAAGCAAACAACATTGAGAAAGAAGAAGACATTAAAAGCATTCAGATGCGAGGAGAAAATGGGTATGTGAATGGTTGCCCAGGATGGACATAAAGAAGAGAAAGTGTCGCCACAGGCGGCAAGGTTCATAGACATCAAATAACTCAAACTGGCTGGGCACTATTGGACAGCTCGCACCGCTCGAGCAGGACTGGTGGATGTGCTTCCAATACGTCCACTGGCCTTGCGAACACCTCTTGATTCACTCTTGGTGCTATCGGTTGCCCGTCGCGGGCTAGAGCGGGCCTTACTGACCGAGATAGGGGCACCGCCGCTCTTCCGGCTTATAGGAGTCTTAGGAGCAGCATTCTCGACCCAATTCTCACGATCCTCGTGGATGTCGTCAGTCAATGTATAGCTGGCTGTAACTGTTGCTGAGTAGCTGATGGAGCGAGAGGTTTGAGAGGCAACAGGAGATCTTGATGACCGCTTGGCCAGCATACGAAGCTGGGCCTCCTCTTCACTCTCGCTGCTTTCATTGCTTTGACGGTGACCGCGTTGGCGTGACTCTTGTTCTGTAGCCAAAGACCCGGAAGCGGTGCGTGCATATGGATGATGACGGGAATCCTTTCGGTGTGACTTTCGGGGCTGACCAGGTGTTGGCGCTGGCAAGTTTTCTTCGTTTTGACTAGCTGCACCTTCGTTGTGATCGATTTCACCCAGGGCAGCACGCTTAGAATGGGTGTTATTAGGAGGAGTGGAGACAACGCCATTGCTCGAGCGCTTTTTGGTGGGCACGCGGGCGGGGGTTACTGGGGCGGACTGAGCCATCTTTTCACGCATAGTATCTTCGAACCACCACTCGCGGAATGATCCTTGGTTGAGATGCAACCAGTGTTGTTGGGGACCAACGACCATACCGGGGCGCATGAATCGCATGAAAGCAATAACCTCGTTGGCTGTGAATCCATAGCGGTAGATGAGATAGGCGCCAATCAAGCATCCTGTTCGGCCAAGACCTGCCTTACAGTGGACCGCGATACCCTTGTCCTTGACGGTGATCATCTCATGTGCGAGCTTAATGAACTTGCGCACGAGTTGTAGAGGGGGGCATGTGCCATCCTCGAAAATCATGTCAATGTGAGCGATTCCCATGGCTGTAAAGTAAGACGGGCTGTAGAGTTCAGAGTTTAATCGGACTACAAGGCCCACGTTGCGCGTCGTGAAGTGGACGAGGACGTTCTTGAATGGTAGAGGGATCTTTGCGGAGCAAATTTCGGAAATGGTAGAAGGGAGGGCATCGTATTCCGGGGTGTTTGCGGGGACGGGCGCAACCGGTTGGTGATTGGGGGAAGCGAAGGCGAGGAAGTTGGGGGTCACCCAATTGAAATCACCCATATCAACTCGCTCGAACTTTTCATACCTAATTTTTATTGTTAGTGGATGTTCCTGACTTGACATTACAAAAAAAGCTCGGTCACATACTCCTCAAGGTTAAAGTCACGCAGACCGCACAGTCCCTGCTCTTTCGCCTTCCACACGCCGTAAACGACATCTTGGATGTTTAGTATGAAGTCCGCCTGGCTGTATCCAGCATCACGGAAAGGCATGTAAGGGGGGTCGGCCTGAGCGATCGGCGCAAGAGCCAGGTGGGGTGGCCATGATTGAATTAGGACCATGTAGCATGCAACCAGGCAAGCTGCATTCGAACGGCTGCGCGCATCGGTTTTGCTATAGAAAACAACGGGCCGGTCGCTGTTGGCCGGGTCGCCGAGAATCTCATGGAACAGAACCGCAAAGCGATACAAATGACCAATATGGAGAGGACCAAAGTCTGCGTGGAAAGCGTTGTAGAGGAGAGTATCGTCGACAGTGAAGTAGACGGGAGATCGGCGCTTGCTAGTCGGGGTGGTGGGTTGCTGAGCACGAGAGCGCTTGCTTGGAGACTTTGTCTGCTCGAGAGGGAAAGGGAAATGTGTTCTCGAGCTTGGAGTTGAGTCGTAGGATGCCAAATACAGGCGGTCTGTGGAATGTTTGTTTGTTGTTAGACCCCGCCATTTCCAGCGCTTCGGACGACAACAACAAAAATATTGGACAACTAACCCTGGATGTATTCAATCATCTGGCCGGATTCAGACAACATGTTGTCGGCAGCAAGTTGCGACAGTAACAGATACGATCAAGCGAAAGTAAACAATGTTAATAGAATCGACGCCGCAAATCGTTGTCGGTGACAGTGTCTCGTAGCGTGGGAAGAGTCAACAATTGAGAAGGTGGAAGATGCAAAACCTCAAGCGCTCATGATCTGATGGAATCTGAGAAAAAATGGAAAAGTAAAGATAGTGCCTTGGTTGGAGGGACTGTACAGGATTAAAGAGTGAAAGAAGAATCTCATGGTGTTGGGGCAGCTGCCATGTCACGCTAACGATGTTATGTTGTTCTGGCCCCAATCAGGATTAGCGCCCGCCGTTGACTCGACAACCGTGAGTATTTTAGGCGCCTCAGGCATAACAACAACGTTGCCGCTTACCTCATCCAAACATTGGCTCGAACCAGAATCAACAACATTGAAGTATCCATTATGATGCGTCAACACCCCCTCATCATCGCAACCTGACAAGCATCAAGTCTCGCTGTTTTCGGCGGTTGTTGCCTCGGTATCACATATGTTTTGGTCCCCGCTCACAATCACAACAACATCTTATCTTGCGCACATGCAGCGCCGTATATCGGTGCCTGAAAAGGGCAACCCGTAACAAAAAAGTCCTTGACATTCCGATGACCACTAGCAGAATTATGCTCAGCTGATATCACCAAGTATGTTTCCCGCCTGGTTGTATTGAAGGGCGGACAAGATACACTGTGCCTAGTGTAAAGTATTTCTCCAGTGCATAGTTCAACTGAAACGCTAGCCGCCGGCCAGGCATCAGATATAAAACTTTCTAGCCTCTTGTCGAACCCTACTAGTCTTTTCTACATATCGACAGTACATCAGGGCTCCACCGCTATGTCCCAAAACCTGGCCATGATTTTCAAAGGTATAACGTAAGGTCTACACTATTGAAGAGGCTATCCCTTGATTTTCATGGCAGTCAAAGTTGACAATACAAGGCCATCTCTAGAGGAACAGAGTCGCCACTCTTCAAGGTCTCCAGGTCAATGTTTGTTTACAAGCTGCGCGGCAAATGGACGGACTCCCGGGGATGTTGTTCTCCACTATCCATCCCCACCTTATTGGCCCCCATTCCACCTATGTACCGCAACATCAACAACGTTATTTCTGTCTCAAGGACAATTTTATTCTCGTCATTCCCGGCTCCTCCTTTAACAACCATTGCTTGGCATAATGGAACAATCCTTCCCTTCAAGTGAGAGCTAAATGATTCAACGATCTACTCTTTAAGTAACTTGAAGAAACCATGCGGTCGGGGCAGTGCAACGCTGATGCAAGGATTTTAAACGTTGCTTGGCCGTTGGTAAACTTCAAGGCTACGGTAGGTACAAGTTCTTGTATGATGCATCCAATGTCCTCATCGAACCCTGGGCTTGCAAGAGAGTTATAGGATCGACGCAGCAGTAGAAGCTATTCATCTGGACTCCACCACTAATTACACCCTTGCCTCAGCTTACCCGGTCGACAGGTCATAGCGCAATGCACCTCAAGTGATCCCTCGCATTGTGAAATGAGATGGAAGTTTGATGATTTCTACTCTACAAACTACAAACCTGGGTATTTTGTCTTCCTACATTCAATGTTACAGGGAAAAGGCATAGAAAACTTTCATGGTTATACGATATCCGATCCAGTGTTCGAAGGTGTTCGCCCACTCAAACACACAATATGGGAAAAAGAAGCCATCAATAAGCCAATGCAAAGATTCGATGGTCATGACCGGTTACTGCGCAGATATCCTTTCTGAGATTAAATTTATTCCTTGCTGGCGTATCCACCCAAGCTTTCCAAATCAAGCACACACCAGCTTGAAAGAGTTAAACCACGATGCATCGGAAGATTTCATTGGAGCCATATGGGCACATCCCTTATGAAGCTTGCTACTAATCAAGCTAGTTCCAGCGCGGAACGCCGGGTGGCAGCGCCTTCATGTCGATCAATACGCCTGGTGGCCCAAACAGACCAAGCAAATGCACGAACGAACTATAGCCCCTGATGGGCTTGGTTACAGTGCATGCGAGGAGCTCAAGGGACCCCATGTGTCTGTCCGAGCTCATCAAAACAATCTTTGGAAGGTGTATATAGTGTGGTCATCGTTCTGTCGAACCTTTTTTTCTTTCCCTGCTACTCAAGTCACTCATTCCATTCCTTTACGGTTTCTTCCTTCTTTCGGTTGTATACAACTTTCTTACTCAACCAAGTCACTCTTTTGACATAAATTTACATATAACAAATCGCAAAAATGAAGTTCACCGGATTCGCCATTTCTTTCGCCCTTGCCGGTGCTGTCTCTGCTCTCCCCGCCCTTCCAGGTGCCGGTGTCGTTGGTGGCCTCGAGAATACCGTTACCGGTGCTGTTGGGGGTGCTTTGAGGCGTGGTGAGACTGACGCTATTAGCGGGGCCACCTATGGTCTTGCCAGCAACTTGAACGGTGTCACCGGTATTGCTGGTAGTCTGGCTGGTACTGCTGAAAGCACTACCGCCGGTGCTGTTGGTACTGTTGAGAAGGAAGTTGCTGGAATCCTTCCTGGTACTTTGAACCCTCTGCACCATATTTTCGAATGACACTGACTTTCGTGCTATGAAAACAGCCAAGCGCCAGCTAGGCGACGCAGAAGGGGCTCTCTACGGTATTGAAGGGGCTCTTGAGAGTACTCTGGGCGAGGTCAAGCGTGATGATACCGATGCGCTAGGTGGAGCTGTTTACGGAATTACCGGCTCTCTCAACGGCGCCACCGGCATCGCCGGTAGCCTTGCTGGTACCGCTGAAAGCACTACCGCAGGAGCTGCTGGCACAGTCGAGAAGGGTCTTGCGGGTGCTCTCCCTGGTAAGTTCAATCCAGCTGCAAGCTCTAGAGATGAGTCTAATTTATGTGATATGCACAGCCAAGCGTCAATTGGACGGCGCAGAAGGTGCTCTCGGCGGTATTGAAGGGGCTCTTGAGAGTACTCTCGGCGAGTTCAAGCGTGATGGTGGTGATGCCGTCAGTGGAGCCGTTTACGGCGCTACCAGCTCCCTCAACGGCGTGACTGGTATCGCTGGTAGCCTTGCTGGTACCGCTGAAAGCACTACCGCAGGCGCCGTTGGCACAGTCGAGAAGGGTCTTGCGGGTGCTCTCCCTGGTAAGTTCCACCAGGAAAAAAAATCTAATATACATATAATACTGACAATCTGCTATATAGCCAAGCGTCAACTCGGAGCCCTCGGAGGTCTTGGTACTGTTGTTGATGCTTCTCTTACCAACGACCTCAGCATGCTCACTGGCAGTATGTAGATGTCTTCTTCCCTTCGCGCTTTTGTCCTCCACTAACCATAGTAAACAGACCCTTCCGGCCTCATCGGCGCCCTTGCCGGTCTCCAGGTTGCTCTTGCCAAAGGCGATATCACCCACGGCCAGATCTCCAATATCCCAGTTGAGATGGAGCATGTCGTGGCCTTCCTTTACACCGCATAAGCGACTCAACCATTCTAGATGACAGCGCTTTGGGCGAGTAAGGTCACGGTGCATACTACAAGGCGTCATAACTTCATTCGGTCGGCGCGAAAGCTACTTTTTATTTTTTTTACTTCTGTTCACCTCTGGGCTTATCCATGATATATGCTTGGTTAAGACTTTGTACTATATTGATGAGTGCATTTTTATACTTCCACGACTAAACTCGCAAATTCTTTGTGAGAGCCACGTTCTCCGCGAAAAATCCCCCTTGTGCCATAATAATCATCTTTGTCAAACGTTTCCAATGAGCAAAAATTCACTTGTTTATTCGTTCAATAAATTTAATGGCTTGTTGTAGATACCTCATGTTTGTATGTGGTTGGTGGAAATTGCCGAGTCACCGCTTCCGCGCGATTTTGGTGGGGAGTTCAACTTCAAGCTTGAAATTTACACTACAATTGACCCTAAAACCACACCTTGTCAAACTTCCCTTTCAATCCTGTTGCTTCTAGTTTGACGCGTTGCCAAATTATCAATAATGGCGTCTATCGAAGCACCTAGCAAGTCTGAATTCCCTTGCTCACTGTAAGGCTGTCACCCCACCTTCCAAAGCGCGACTTGAAAACACGAGTAAAGCGCTTTAATTTGAACGAATCACTTATGCAAGTACTAGAGAGATTTCTATCCCCCTCCCGACCAATCGCCTTGCCTCATCTGCCCTGCAAACCCTCGAAGTTGATCCTGAATTGTCGGCATCTGTGCGTCGTACATTGTCACTCACAACCCCACCTACCGAATCAGCGACCGAGCCGCAAGAAAAGAAGCTGAAGCAAGACTCCGACGATTCAAAGACCGTCTTGCAAGTCCACTATTATGCTACCACCAACCGTATGCTACGAGTCGCTGTCAATGGGTTTATGGAGAGCCTAGGCGTTGTTCTAGGTGCCATGGCTGAGCTGGACGTCGATGTGTTGGAGGCTGAGCTGGAAGGATGATCGGACTCTGAATATATATACATTTGCAAAACTCCGCTGCAGGCAGTGGGGATATGCTTATGCACCGATCAATAAGCTGGTGGTTTCAAGACAGGGGTCCTCGGTACTGCCAACATAGAAAGCTTGGTACTAGAGATCAACATTTAACGCCCCTGCCTTGTCACCATGATGTACTCGATTATCTTATTTCTACAGTGTCGTTGCTCTGTCATTTTCGAGGCATCAGGCCACCCTTCAGCTAAACCATGCAAGCGCCGTCGGACCGCGGCTGTCTCTAAGTTTCGATGGCCAACCAGCGTGGAAGAAATAACCATGCAATGCAACATCTCTCCGCGCTATGTCTACAAAATACATTGAATATCGGAACATGGCATCGATTGGGACAATTGCGTGGGCAAGCATTTGTCATTTACATTCTTGGCACGGGCACATTCCAAATCGAGAATGAGGTCGAGGCCTTCCAATACCATATGTAGGTCTGATAGAATTAATAATGCAATGATGATTGAATGAATTACACACTTTATGATATTTCGGTTCGTTCTCGTTCTCGTTCACGTTTTCGTCTCCGTTTTCCCGTATCTTCGTTTAGCCGTCACCACTTTTTTCATTCATCCGTTTTCTATTGGAGCTATTGAAGATCCAGACCAATTAAGCTTAATAATATCACCCGGAATGATTGGTGTAACCCCGGCGAGAATCATTAGAATAAAAAAAGAAGCTTACAATAGAAGAAAATCTTTTGTGGGTCAACTTTAACCAATAACAAGGCGTGGATTGAATGACATCGGCACGGGTGCTTCACATAGCCGTCGGCCTAATCGGTCCCTCTCTCCTCCGTGCCTGGACCTGTATTCATTGGTAATATTGCCCAAGCCTCGGTTGTCTCCATCTATGCGATCGATACAAGCCCACAGCACGCGAGCCATCCTCCGTCGTCCCTATTTTAGGTCTTGGCCCGCTCACGCTCTTCGACCCTATTCGACGACGTCATCGTGCCACCCTCTACAAAGCTCCAAGACTTTCCGACCTCAACTTCACTCCTACACCTCCTCATCGCCTCTCGCGCAAATAAGAACCATGTCTTCCGCAACCTCATTCTTCGAATTCGAGCCCGTTGACAGTACGTCCTGATATACTATCCCCCGCTTTACAATCTACAACGACTCCGTCGTGAAACATGCACCCCTCGATGAATCTAGCTACTAACATTATTTTCGCAAACAGAGAAGGGCGAACCCTTCCAGCTCAGCTCACTACAAGGCAAAGTCGTCCTGGTAGTCAACACCGCCTCCAAGTGCGGTTTCACCCCCCAATTTGAAGGCCTCGAGAAGCTCTACAAAGGCCTGAAAGAGAAATACCCCGAAGACTTCACAATCCTCGGTTTTCCTTGCAACCAGTTCAACGCCCAAGACCCCGGCTCGAACGACGATATTCAGTCCTTCTGCCAGCTCAACTATGGTGTGACATTCCCTGTTCTCGGCAAGCTAGACGTGAACGGTAAAGATGCCGCGCCTGTCTTTGCTTGGTTGAAGGAGCAGCAGCCCGGTGTGATGGGTCTACAACGTGTGAAGTGGAACTTTGAGAAGTTCCTTGTTGGTGCCGATGGAAAGGTTAGCGGTCGGTGGTCAACCTTCACCAAGCCCGAACAGCTGGAGGCGCCGATCATTGAGCAGATTGAGAAGGCTCGGAAGGCGGGGACTCTGGCGTCATTGAACAAGGATAATGAGGGGAAATAGGCTAATTTTGCGTGATTACACCCCACCTATACGGGTTTCATGCGAGGCTATCACCATACTATCTCCTCATTTTTGTGCTGGACCAATACGTTTCTTGGGTTCGGTTGTCTTCTTTTTATGATTTCTGTTCTGGATATCCCCTATACGAAATGAACGTCCATCTAATACAGCACCTCCTATGTCAAGTTAATAAATAGTAGATTTTTTTATCTCAATTTATGATAATACCACTATTCCTAGTACCTGCATGATTGCTTTTTGCTTTTTCGTAACTGACTTCTCGGCCGAACCTTAGTCGAGAATAGATCATCCATATAATTGTTACTCAGCCGCACTGTCTTTGGGAATAAGATTGCGCAAAGAAAGATCGTACACCACATCCTCGACCTTCTTGACCTATTGGACAGAAGGGCATTAGCCATATCAGGAAGGATATACGTATCGTCCCAGAGGGGTTGACGCTTAGCCGAAGCTGAAGGAAGATAACGAAACTTACGCTGTATTTGATCCCATCGCTGCGCTTGCGCAGGATATCATTTTTTAGGTTCAGTAGCTGGAATCCTGCGAACAGCTCCTTGGTGAAGTTGCCGATCTTTACAGGTCGCTCGTAGTCACCCAAGGTCACGGAGTTTACAGCCAGACGAGACTAAGGCAGTGTCAATAATCTGACTTCTACAGTAAACATAATGCAGGCGCGTTAGGTGGCTTACCAGCTCCTCAACCATAGAAATCAAGGCAAGCAGATATTCTTCGATGGTCAGGTGGAAGGCATCTTGTCCCTTCAAGTTGACGGGAACTATATTTGGACAGAGAATATTGGTAAGTAAACAGGTGGAAGCCTTTAATGCAAGTATCGATCCTCAAAATGGGAGTTACACACACCTTCTAGGAACTTGCCGACATCCTCGATCGTCATAAACGACTTGGACTCGGGCCCCTTGTGCTCCTGGAAACCGCCCAGCCATGCACAGAGCTCGATGGAGGCGACCTGGTCACAGATGGTCAGATATGCTCAAAAATAGGACCTTTCCTCTTCTTACCAGGTTCTGCAGCTCTCGTGACCACACGCCATTATACTTGTAGAAAGGGTGCTGATCTGCCACGGTCTTCAAACGGGTAACCTCTTGCTTCTGAGCAATGATTGCTGCAGTCGCATCCTCGAGGACGGAATGAACTATGTGTGATCCGTTAGTCAAGAAGCGATGTTTGATTGAAAATTATACGCAAATATGTAAAAGATGCTATCATGGGGCATCACTGCCCACACACAAAAACCCATGGTGATAAGGGATAGCCACAGAAAACATATGTTTGATACATATTCATGGAAAGTACCTACTTTGATCGGTCGGGGTAGAGTGTGCCCTGGAAAGAATGGCCTGAGTAGAACGCCCTACAAACAGCGTTAGTCGATCCCACAATATGGGCGAGCGGGGCCCAGCATCCCTTGCAAACGAGAGAGCTGGGCTTTGCTTTCGTGAAATGGCAGAGCATACCTTTGCGTGCAAGTGTCTGGACAATATCGTGTAGCTCCTGGATATCTGTCAGTTTTCGTGATCTTGTATTGTGCGAACAGCACCCGCGTAGAGCTTGAGGCTTGGCACGCGAAGAATTGATGAATTTCGCTGTACGCGGAATATGCGGGATGCTGGGACTCACATCTCTGACGATCGTCTCCTCGTCAATCTTCGTTTGAAGACTCTCGAAAATTTGCTGGTCAATCATTTCGTCGTGAGGTTGGGTCGTTGCAGGGAAGAAGAAGAAGGATGAAGTTGTTGTGCTGGGTGCGGTTGGCGGCGATACTGTGATTTGAGCGAGTTACGTCAAAAATCGAAGATTCACAACCATGACTGATTTGGCTCAAATATGCTGTTACTATTCAAGAGATAGAGTGCTTGACGATCCTCTGTCTAATCTTTTTGTAAATTTCTTTGTGTAACATTGCTGGTGCCTCTGATGGATGAGAGCGATCAAGTCACTGAACCTCAAACAACTGGAAGGCTACGTAGAGCTAGCTAAAGTATTTGCTTTGCTTTCTTTACAATACTGGGTAGCATAGACGACGATAAATAGTGTGGTTCTGAGGATATTTACTTGCTCTTGTTTTCTACAGGCGGGCGTGTCATTCCTTGAAAGCAAAAGTGAAAGAATTTGGATAGTAGGCAAGCATTGGTTTATCTTCTTGTCAAACTGTCAAAACACATCATTGATCTCCAGTTGTCGGTCATTCGAGTTCTTCATTTTTATCTCTAACGATCGTAATCATAAATGTCATAAATATTGCGCCACACAGCACATACCGCCAAGGTCGCGAATGTCCCCAAAGCTTCGATCAGTACCGGTATCGGGTCGAGTAATCTAAGAAAGGATTTTTAGCACAAGTCCAAGATCTTATTTCCTGGTCCATATAAACATACCCTTGGGACTAACAACGAGACCGCGGCCCTTCTTCGCGCCCTTGTAGATGGTCTCGATGATATCAATCAACTCCTGCTTGTCCTCCAGCACCCAGTTCAACTTGTTGTTGTTACCCGTGCCAAAATCACACATCATGTGTTTGTTACGATAGAAGAACATGATCGTCATCCGATCGTAGAGCTCGTACATGGTGTTGAAGTCGGGGCACTGGTCGACGTCGCAAAGGTAGATGACGGCAAAGTCTAATAGATGCTAGCGTTAGATATGTTCCTTCCTGTGTAGTGTCGGTGAAACTCACTCTTTACACGCTCGGCAATCTTGTAGAGAAGTTCATCTTGGCGGATACCTAGTGGTAGAATGCGTTAGTGTCGCGTTCTCGAGAATGTGGGGTTTTGGGTGGCTCACAGTCGGGGTCATGGTCGCGACCGAATCGAATAACCACCAGTCTCTCTTCTTCTGAGAGAATGGCCTGGTCAACGTGCCAAGCTGTTTGGAGATGAGGGAGAACGATAGAACCCATAGCGCTGCTTTACCGACGAGAAAGTTTGGGGTGAAAATCGGAGAAGCTGGTGCTTATCGCTGAATCCCGCGATAGGGTCAGGTGACAGCGGATCGACTCTAGATGTTTTTGGGCTGGAATGGGTGATACACCTTGATTAGGCACGGAATTTATCCAAAAGCCCCATCCCCCATCAATCCTAAAACTTCTCTGCGCAGAGGCAAGATCGAGAAGATCTAGAACAACTAAATTTCTTTTCATCCAAAATCATACTGTTTTCTTTCACCGTTTGCTCCCCTTTCTTATGAGAGGATTAAGAGTCTGTGCCCAGGATGCGGCAGCTGTTGCAAGAACCTCTCCCCCCAAAAAAAAGAATGGACCCCGGGAGCAAAGACGCTGCATGTCTTTACTCATCAATTCCTTTCGCTTGGCTCGACAAACAAAGGGTTACGGTCTTGTTGGGCCTGGCTCGGGAATGGCACCATATGGTAGTTATTCAAACTCAGGGAAAGGAAGGCATCGATGTTCATTGATCATACTAGTATAAAATGGAATATCAATTCCTGGCTGTCCGCCGATAATATCCCATGGCACACGATGAGGCGACAATCCGTACTAGTTGCTAAGAAATATTCCAGACCATGTCCTGGCACCGCTCATGTTATTAAACGATATGCTGGAAGTTGAACTGGAATGAAGTTGTAAGGGTGAAGTGTAATCTGCGCTCTACTTCTTTGGAGATTGGTAATCTAACACGTAGGGTTTACTCCTGCCACAGAAAGTGTCGCTGCACTTCCTCAAAGTCCGCCTGGTTCTCCCCAGTCTTGAATCTTTCGTTCTTTTTACTCATTCGGCTCAATCCTTCCACCCCGCTCGCTTAGCTATAAACTTCACAACATATACAAGACCAAGTAGCACCGGAACTTCAATCAACGGACCAACAGTAGCGGCAAGAGCCTGATTACTGTTGGCACCGAAAGTCGCAACGGCAACAGCAATGGCGAGTTCGAAATTGTTGCTCGCAGCGGTGAAACTCTGAGTAGCAGCCAACTTGTATCCAAACCCGAGTTTATAAGTCACAAGAAGTGTGACGAAGAAGACAATAATAAAATAAACGATAAGTGGAGCGGCCACTCGGACGACTGATACAATCTGATGTACGACCTGGCGGCCCTGAGATGCAAATAACACAAGGATTGTGAATAGGAGGCCAATTAGTGACCATGGACCAGACCACTTCAGGAAAACCTGGTCGTACCAGCGTGGGCTAGCAATTTTTCGCAGGGTGAAGCGGGTAATGATTGCGGCACCTAGGGGGATGCCGAGGAAAGCAGCTACGCTTTTGGCTGCTGCAGAGTAAGACAGCGAGACTTGACTCCCCGAATGGCTGATGACTTTGATGAAGAAAATTGCGAAGGGGGCGAAAAGCACCATCTGTAATAGTGAGTTGATTGCGACAAGTATAGCACAGTATTCACTATCGCCGCCGGCGAGGCCGGTCCAAATAAGAACCTAAAACCAAGATGTGTTAGTTTATCGAGAGTAGACCATAGAGGATTGGAATAGTGATTTACCATAGCGATACATCTGGCTAATCCAACGAGGATCAGCCCCTCTCGAAGTTCTGGTTCATCTGGGAGGAAAGCCCATGCTAATGCCAGCTACAGTACACAATATCAGCGAAGTTCGTAAAGATAGTTAAAAAGTTCCAATATTCTAAAACTCACCATCAGAAAGGGCGCGATAATCCAGTTGACAACGATACTGAAAGCAATCTGGATCCATATTCCCCGCTCTCGGAAAACGTGATGTAGAGATTCGTATCGCACTTTGCAAAGAATGGGATACATCATAACCAGGAGGCCAATCGCTTGAAATAATTAGTTAAGAGCCTTTTTACTTGGAAGATAGCACATACCAATCGGAATGGAAACCCCAACGAACTTTCCTTTCTGAAGGGCTGGTCCCGTATTTTGCACAAAGTTACCCAGTATGATTCCGATTGCCATAGCAAGGAAGATCCATAGGGCCAAAAAGCGATCTAGCCAACCAAGGCTTTTGAAAGCTGATTGTTTGGATGTCGTCTCCTCAGCTTCTTTTGTGCTTTGATTTTCGACATCGAGGGTGGAAGGGCTGATAGACTGATGATATGATGTTGCATTGTGAGATTGGACTTCTGTTTTTGTAGAAAGATTTGTCTCGGGTACTGTGGTAGCCATCTCTGGCATCCGAGTGATTTTGCAGACTTTTGATAAAATATGAAGGAAATTTGAAGTGAAAAGCTCTCTCAGGCTTTTGACTGATCAGCAATAGCTTCTTAAACTTTGAGAATATCGAGCATACTATATAATGTTATATAGAAATTGCCATGAAGAAAAATGGAGAAACTAGTCCAAATAAAGTTAATAGTGGCACCAGACAAATCACGGTCTGTCGTTTTTGGCCAATCAGAGCCACGCGGTGACATGCCAGAAATTGATGTTCATGGCCAAGCACAATGTAGCAGGCCCCCACAGCTGCATGCAATGTACCTAAGACAGTTGGGCATTTGTTTTCTCTCCATAATTTAGACCAATAGTAGTAGTTCAGTGACATACCAATATCGCGACTTCTGCACGAACTACGAGCGTGACTCATGAAAAGCGCTCTGGTAAACGTATTTGACCTATGGGACAAGGTTCTGACAAAGAACTCTAGGCGCAAGAAATTTCTAGATAAATACCTCATTAGTTTTGCTCGCCTGAAAGCGAAATTGTGACTGAAAAACTCCATAATATCCTCCCAGCATCTCTTCGTTCTCGTAGGAGAATCAAGTCACAGGCCGACAGCATCACTTTTTGTCTGAGCTTTTAAAGTCATAAGACTTATAGCGCATTCGTTCCTTGCGTTTTTGTTTCTCATACTCGTTGTTTCTTACGTTCAAAAAAATCGATCATCAACGACATTCCAGCCAATCGCTCAAAAATAATCCCATAGCCATTATGCCCAGCGTCTTGTTCGTCTGCGTCCATAACGCCGGTCGCTCTCAAATGGCAGCTGGTTATCTAAGTCATCTCGCTGGTGACACCATTGAAGTGCGATCTGCCGGATCAGCTCCAGCTGACTCTATCAATTCCGCAGTCGTCGAAGCCATGCTCGAAGAAGGTATCGACCTCAGCACCCAAAAGCCGAAGATCCTAACTGCCGACGCGGTTCAGACTAGCGATTTTGTCATCACTATGGGATGTGGTGATGTGTGCCCCTTCTTTGCTGGAAAGCGCTATCTCGATTGGCAACTTAGCGACCCTGCCGGGCAAGGCGTGGATGCTGTACGGAGTATCCGAGACGAAATTCGTCGTCGTGTCGAGTGTCTTATCACAGAAATCCGCTCGCAGAGTTCCACCGTTTGAGGATTGGTATACGAATTGCGGTCTTATGAGTAGTGTGTAGGATGGGTGTGTAAGATGGGCTGCATATACTGCTGATGGGAAATAGGCACGCTTGGTATCAACCTCGCGTTTTCACATGTCAAATTGAATTAGCTGACCCATGTCAATTGAGTTCTGGAAGTTAGATTGATTTTATTGCATAAATATGATATTTGAAATGGAGGAACATTCGCCTCGATTTTACCGAAGATAACTTGGGGAATCGTTGATAGAAAAGCACTTGAGTCTGCCAAAATCCACTTGGAAAGAAGACGCGGAGGACCTCGACACCGATCTCGGGCAGTAGGCTGTTTCTGTACCGTGGGGCAGAAGGCGGTGAGCTTTCACTTTGGAGTCAATTCCGCAGATCGCCAATACAGTGATATCTGTTTTATTAAGATAGTCCGACTGTATGGCTTCTCATTAAAGATGTCAACTCGAACGATAGTATCAAGAATGGTCGTCTAGTACTCATATCTCCAGGGCTCGAATATTTGCAAATCATACTTGGATTGATCATGATGTTGGACAGGCGGTCCTAACCCATAGTATATATTTCTCAGATTCCAAGGCTAAGAAATGAGGTTTGAACCACAAAATGAGCCTGCCCAGGTGAACTTGAACCCCAAGGACCAATTTACACATTTATTTTGATAAGTATAGCATGCATAGACCCCGGGATACACAGGTGCTATGATAATATCAAGGTTGCGCCACTACTCACTACCAGTCAGACCTCGACCGGGTTTCCCGACTTACAAGGTCATGTCCCACCCGTGAACTACTTATTGAGCTTTTGGATTCGATAGCGGACTAGCAGGCTCCACAATCTGTGAACGAAAATACAAACATGCATATGTACACTACTAGTAGGCCTATTATGTACATGCCTATGTAGCATTTGCATCTGGCCTGATATCCCAGATGCCTCACCCCCCTCAATTCTTTGCCTTGGCTACTCGGCTTAGCTAGAAAGTGGCGCCAGACAACCATCCAACACCCCACCAGCGAGGTCTACACGTGTCAGCTTCCCATGAATGAGACCTAAGCCCCCCGAAAGTGCGAGAATATTGGTAAATTCGGGAACGAGCCGGTACTGTATACCCGCTTCCAATCACAGCGTCGATCTACGGGTGTCCACCGACTCAAATAGGTATAGCGAGTACGTACTATTTGAGGCGCCATTCATAACCACAAAAAGTTTCAAAGCTAAAGCCGGTAACCTTGGCAAATTTGTAACAAATCGCTGGGAATGGCTTCTTTAGTTTCACAAGGGTGGCGTGGGGCTGTGGAGGGGTTATAAGCCGGTCTTTCTTTCACCTCTCTCATCTTCTCTTCTTCATCCACAACAAATCCCTTTTCAATCATATTCATATTCCATACAAAATCAATCAATCACCATGGGTTTCTTTGACAGTACGTGATTAAATGTCTCTAAATACCTCACCTTACCTTGTTCGTATTATCGTCTAACATTACCTGCTCTTCCAGACGACAGCGAGGAGTACCGCCACCACGAGGAGGTCACTCAGCGCCCTCATGAGGCTAAGTGGTCCCACGAGCTCATCGGTGGTGCTGCTGCATACGAGGCCATGAAGGCCTTTGAGGAGCACGAGGCCCGCGAAGGTAAGGCTTCTCTCATGAAATAACTATGATCATGTATTAACCTACTCCCAGGCAAGGTTGACGACCACGCTAAGGCCAAGGAGATCATTGCTGGTCTCGCCGGTGCCTTCATTGACCGTGAAGTCGAGACCAAGGGCCTGGACTTTATCGACCGTGAGAAGGCTAAGCACCACGCCAAGGAGCGCTACGAGAACAGCATGGAGCAGAGCAGCCGCTGGTAAATATTTTTGGACGCGAACACAACTTTGACAATGAAGTGGGCTATGGACGAAGAAATGGGATTATGAAGTTACATACAAGCTCTGAGTGAGATTTCTTCTCTCTCGCAATATTGTTCTCTTGAATTAGTATTGGAAATATTGTAGATTTTTTGGGGACAAGCTGCAAGACATGAGTTGCGGCTGTGTACTGTAGATCTGAGTAGTGGCGGGAATAGCCGACCGTATGGAGAACGCAAATCAACAGAGGCAGACGGACAAGCCGAGTTCACGCTGTGAGCTCATTGTTTACTTCAATGTTGGGAGACAAACTCTCTTAGTTGTGCATATATCATGGAAATTAGATTACTGAAGGCTAACTACAATTTTATTTCTTCTCCAAGCGATCGGGCAAGCCGACACAGTTGATGAAAAAAGGGTTCGCGTCGATCGGGGGTAGTGTGAGCCCGATGACACTGTGCAACCAACGTGCGCAAGCACAGAGGTCGGTCGCGGGATCCAAAAATGAGAATAATCAAAGTGTTTCCCGTAGGAAACTTTCAGAGATTAAACTGAAAAGAACAGATACTACACTTGATCTAAGCCAATTGGCAAAGAGAGCTGGAAAAGAAAAAAGAAAAGACTAAAATTGGAAGGGGGGGAAAGGTATTTATACCCTGGGAAACCACGCTAGCACGTTAGTCTCCATTAAGCGGACCAATCAGAGCCATAGAGCGGTGAGTCAAGTCCTTTGGCGGTGACACGTAGAGAAATCATGTGATATGATTACTATCAGGTGACCTGTCCACCAGCCCCAGCCCTAATATTACCCAAAGAGGCTAAGCGCCTCCCACGCGCGGGCAATTTTCGATTTTTTTTGCATCGATTAAGGGCTCCACTACGAAGCCCCGACTGATCTTCTTCCGACCATCTCTCTCGCCGGCGCAGGATATTCACCTCTTTGCGACCTAACCCTTTCATCTCCAATCCCTCCAATCCATTCACAATGGCTCCCGCTGCTGTACGTTGAAACACAACTCCGTGAACGCTTTGCTGTTCCACCCCACCGGCTCCAGCAGATATCTGCACTGGCACGACGAGACCCGGATATTGAAAGATCTATTCGGTGGCTCTGAATCCATTTGCAATAACTGTTTGGTCTGAATGCCATCGGGGACTTCGACAACTATGGAGCAGTAGGCTAACTTTTTTTCCTGGTAATTAGGCCCGTGGTCGCAAGGCCCAGAAGGTCACCCAGAAGGTATGTCAAACTATGCACTTAGATTTTTCATTTGGGTACACGAAACTAATCAAGATCGCAGTTCATCATCAACGCTTCTCAGCCCGCTAGCGACAAGATCTTCGATGTCTCTGCCTTCGAGAAGTTCCTTCACGACCGCATCAAGGTTGAGGGCCGTGTCGGCAACCTCGGCGACAGCGTTGTCATCAACTCCGTTGGTGATGGCAAGGTTGAGGTTGTTGCCCACATCCCCTTCTCCGGCCGCTACCTCAAGTACCTGTGAGTTTTGAATCTACCTTAGCAATGCATGGAATGATGACCATTTAACTAACCATTATCTTTCCCACAATAGCACCAAGAAGTACCTGAAGAAGCAGCAGCTCCGTGACTGGCTCCGTGTCGTCTCCACCTCCAAGGGTGTCTACGAGCTCCGCTTCTACAACGTCGTCAACGACGAGGCTGAGGAGGATGAGGAATAGATTCGTTAACTCGAATGTTGACCTCATTGTCGATCGATCGAACTCGCACCGGGCGTAGCTTTTGGCTTGGGCATTTGCCGGACGAAAGAGTATAGCCATGGAGGGTTGGATCGTGGATTTGTGGGGATAGACTTGCTCTTTTGAGCTACGAATAAAAAAAAGTTTATACCCTTCATTTTGTCCTTGAAATAATATAGAACTCGTAAGCTGAACTATGCCGTAAAAGAAACCATCATGTCTTCAATCTACCAACATAGATTGGCTCATGCGGTAGCTTATTGAGACGCGTGCATAGGTGACTGACTAGTAATTTGTAAAGCTGTAGGTATTATTGTTGATATCGCATTGTTATATACTAGGTGGTACTGGTCGCTTTCCTTTTATACCCTGTTGCAAAGCCAATCTCGTGAGCTGCTTTTCGAATATCCTGGGATGCCTGTCCAGGAGGCGCAATGATGTGGTTGTCTTCAAACTTCCAGCCCTTTGCCCGCAATCGTTTCCACAGATCACTCGCTTTTACCCGCACTAAGTCACCTGTGGTGATTGAATCTTCCTTGGAGTCATGCCCTTGATCCCCTCCCATTTGAATGTCTCGCTCGAGAAACTTGCGGGACAGCACTTTAAGACCCATTCGATTAGGTAGGCGACCTGGATGGGGGTAGAGCAGGACAGTATCGATAATGGTGGGATGGATGACACGGCACGCATTGAGATCATTATCAATTGCATGGCCTATCAATGGAGTTTGTGGTTGTATAAAACCAAAGAGAAGGGCACGAGCCGCAGCAGGTGATTCAACCACTTGTAAAGGCTTGTGGTCTTTGCCGTTCTTCTTTTGATCCGAATGACTTGCATGGTTGGCGGACGTGCCATATGGGATAGCAGATGCATAGTGCTCGGGAAAAACGCCGGAATACCGGGAGTTGAGATCTAGTACTTCGCCCATTGGCTTGACCAAAACATCCAAAAGTTCGTTACCTTCTGGCCAGCTGACTGCTGTGAGCCGGATGAGCTCTAAGCCCAATGTAGTATAACCCATTTCGCAGTCGAACGACACCGGGTTCAAGCCACCTGTATCCGGTTGCGTGGGCGTTGTTTCAAATTGGAGAATTGATGCAAGACGCTTAGCCTCTGATACTTTGAAGACGTGCGTTTTGGCTTTGGTACAGCCTGTTGATGTTCCGACGGATTCACTGCAGCATGAAAAATATGCCTCGGACGAGCCAGTGACACCATCGGTTTTCTTGCGCGGTGGGTAAATTGGTCGACTTGGATGATAGGTGCAATGGCCGCCACTAGTCAATGTTCCATCTTCACGGCGCCCTGGAAAAACCTGAAAGCGTCCACCGCAGCGGTCACATTTCTCCCAGCCCTTGGATTCAATAACGCCCTTCTTGGCTGTTTCGACATCCGACGAGCTAGGAGCTTTAGTGACATACCCAAACTCTTCAAGACCAATCAATGGAGTGACAAGTGCTTCCACGAGGGTAATCTCCTCTTTTGTTGAAAGACCCGTTGTTATGGGTTTCGTCGACTTTAGTGATTGTGGTTGTATCGGTTGGATGTGGTAGTATCGGGTATTAAGGTGTTCCATCACCTCTTTCGTCCAATCTTCTTTCGCCATCTTGGTCAATTTAACTATGCGGAGCTTGATCACATTTGAGTAGACCCCGAAACTATTTTTAGCTAATTTTTCCTCTTCATCTAGAGCCATTGTCACAAGTTCATCTTTGTTGAGCACGAAACACTTGTTCGAAGTATCCTTGTCCTTTGAAACTTTCTCGTTCAGCGATGACATTGCCCCATGAAGCTTGTTCAGTATAGCCGATCGAGCCGTATGAGTCGCTGGCGCCTTTTGAAGCATTCGAGGGTTGAGACTTTCTTTTGGCGCCTTCCGGGGAGGGAATTGTGATGGCATGGAACCCGAAGAAGAATTTGTGCTCTTCGAAGGACCTGCCTTACTTGTAGACTGAGATCCGGTACGCCCTGAAGGGGGAGGAGAGACTCTTCGTGAAATAGATGGCAAACTGGAAACATCTTGACTGACAGCATGGGCCTTTTGATTAGACTCAGCTGCGGGCACTGATGATTTTGCTGGACGTTGATGATTAGGCGGAATATGAGGAGTGTTTGACGTTGAAATTGATGGTGTGGAACTTCTGTCAACTTTGAGTCTCTTCGAGACATGTTCATCGTTGTTGATTGAACTCGATGCGCGCTTTTCGGTTGTTATGGAGTTGCTTGCTTGGATCTTGTGTGAGAACATGCAAGTAATAAGAGGGCATTGTTTCCCCTCTGGACAGGGTGTATTGTCGAACAAGCCGAGTGTTGTGAACATGATCGCCATGATATGCTGGAGCTAGACTTCGGCAAATGAGATATTGGATCTATGGCCAGAAACCAAAAAGAAGCATCATTAAAGCCGAACCAAGCGCGAAATCAATGAATTTATTGACTTGACAAGGTTGTATTTGGACTACCGCAGCTATGAGAATTCCGAGTAGTATCCACTCTGCAAGGCTGGAAGGATTTGGCCTGTTGATCAATGAGAAGCGTAGTGTTCCAGCAGGGGCATCGCAGTCTGGGTGAGCGACTTTCTGTATCATGGGACGTGAAACTCCCTTGTCGTGAATGATTGATGGTTGTAATGAGTTTTCATAAATCTGGGAAACGATTCACGGCGTCAACTGCTTTGGAACGTAGTGAGGTAGTTGAGATTAAAGTGAATTCAATATTCAATAATGTGATGGAGTTGAGGCCAAGATGCAAACCGAACAAAGTTTGGTGCCTGGATATTATGGCATAAAGATCTGACCTCATCGCGTTATCGGGCACAGCCTCATCAAGCAGTCAACACATTAAATGACTTTTTGACCGCCTACCTAACACGGTTAGTAAATGTCAGGGTGGATACCGTTCTGAACTCAGCCTGAGGCGGACACTGCCACTCTCAGTAAGCACTACGAGTTGTCTTATCTCCGCCCAGCGCCGCAGCTTCCTAACTCCGGCTGCCTTTAAAATGTCAGCCTGGCCTCACTTATTTTTGCTCTTAAAGCAATAATAATAATTTCAATAACATACCGAAATAATGGCGAAAATTGATAATTCGTCCAAAGCCAACCATCTTTGCGTCCTAGTGCATGGGTACGCCCCTTTCCTAGTTTTCCCTAGAGTGATATCCATGGTGAATTCAAGCTAATCAGTCCTTGCTCGAGTAGTCTCTGGGGTAATCCATCACATCTGGACTATATGGTAGTAGCGCTGAAAGAAAGACACGGAGAAGACAACATTCACATCCTCTGCCCAGAAGGAAATAGCGGCAACTTCACTTACGATGGAGTCGAGGTGGGCGGCGAACGAGTAGTGCACGAGGTCGAAGAAACGTTGCAAAGGCTAGAGAAACAGGGTCAGAAAATCACCAAACTCAGCATTGTCGGTTATTCATTGGGCGGCCTTGTCGCTCGATATGCCGTTGGATTGCTACATGCCAATGGGTTGCTGGATAAAGTGGAACCTATGAACTTTACAACTTTCGCATCACCACATGTTGGGGTGAGAACGCCGAATAAGGGCGTAGGTGGTCATATATGGAATGGCCTAGGACCCCGACTGGTGTCTATGTCAGGACAGCAATTATTCATGGTCGACTCTTTCCGCGATACTGGACGGCCCCTACTCAGCCTTCTTGCCGACCCAGAGAGCATCTTTATTAAGGGGCTGAAGAGGTTCCAAAACAAGAGCGTTTACGGCAATGTCGTGAATGATCGTACAACGGCATTTTATTCAACACTCTTTACAAAGACTGACCCCTTCCGAAATCTTGATGACATCAATATCAATTATGTGGAGGGTTACGACCGAGTAATCGTTAATCCCGATCAGTTCTTGCTACCTCTCGACCCGAAAGAACCCGAGACTTGTGCTTCTGAGAAATGGAGGCGCTTCAGATTATTCGCGGAAAATATGCCCTTTTACCTACTTGTTATGCTGCTTCTCCCGCCTGCAGCAGCTGTATTCTGCATAAACTCAGGTGTCCAAACATTACGCAGTCAAAAGAGAATCCGTCTGCATCTGGAGGGAAAGGGAAGGGCGCTCTTCGGGAAGTACAAAGTGCCTCTCCTTGTGCAGGATGTCCAGCACGTAATGGACGAGGTCGTCGAGAGTGCAAATTCTCGACAGGAGCCTGATTACCTCTCAAGCTCTGACCCCGAGGCTAGCGACTCCTCTGAGAATGTCGCGAAAAAGTCTATAAAACGCAACAAAGCGAAGACAGGCTTATCTGCAAAGTTAAAGCGTTCAGATACCGAAAAATCAACACCTGAATTCTCGACGCTCGCATTGACACCCGATCAATTCGATATTATTGACTCACTCAATGATGTGGGATTCCGGAAATACCCCGTCTACATTCATAATCACCGCCACAGCCACGCAGCTATCATTGTTCGGATTCAAAAGGATGCATTTGATGAAGGGAAAACTGTCATGAAACATTGGTTGGACAATGAGTTCGCAATTTAATGTAACAGTGCCCCTTTATTTCTTTATTAGCGCACTTTGATACGGTGTTCTAGAGCAACGAAGGAGTTTCGAGCGGCTTACAGCGTGTACAACATATAGTAGATCATCTATTTCAAATACTCTAATTAATGAACAAATGCATGAACCGAATTCTATAATTCTTTGGCCACTTCGTATGACATCCGACTTATACCACTTTTTCGGGTAATCTTGCGAATATTGATCGAACCAACTAAACCAGTCCGCTCAACATGCGTGCCACCGCAAGGAGTTTGATCAAGACCACCGACACTGACAATTCGAACAGGACCATCACCGACCTTTGCTCGATCATAAACAGGCGTACCAGCCTCCAACCAAGATACAGTGACAGCAAGATCCTGCTTCACCAACTCATCAATTTTAGCCTGAATAAGAGGCTTATGTTCATTGTAGATCAAGCCTTCATACTCCATACCTGCTTCTTTAGGCGTATGGTTGGCCTTGACCTCTTTCAACTCCGGCATGACGATTTCCATCGCCACGCCAATGATATGACCTGCCGTATGCAATCGAGAATGATAGTCACGTTTGGCACCGTCGACATTTTGTATAACGCTCTGGCCCTCTAAAAAGGAATGCGCTCCACTGTTGTTCGGTTTTCCAAAGTGTATGATCTTTCCGTCTGAAGTTTTACGGACCAAAGACACCTCGAAGCAGGATTCCGGGTTTGATGCTGTGATGGTGCCAGTATCACAGAGCTGTCCGCCTCCCTGTGGATATAGGATAGTCTGGCGCATAGTCATAGCGGACTCATCAGAGGCGAGATTTTTCGCTAGGCTTTGCTCATCCTCGGAAAGCGAGGAGATAGGTTGATATGACACAATCTCCGTTGTCAGAGTTCTCAAGGACGCATCATGCAGATAGACTGCTTCTGTGGGAGTGGCCTATGTGTTTTTAGTGGGAAAACCATGCATCTATGGGGCCGACTATCGTACCATTTTTTTAAAAAAAATCAAATATCTTTAGGAGTTTATCTTCAAATCCCCTTATTTTGGGGAATTTATGTAGACGAAATTGGTCCCGAGGAGTGTGGGGCTTGTCAAATGAAGGGCGGATACAGCCGCCATAATATTCAGGCACTAAGGGCTTTCCGGATGGAATAAAGTTTCATTAGGCCAATGAGACCTATAGGCTTATCTCAAGAGTCTTAGGAAAGCACGATTATTTTATAAAACTATTGTCATTGCTAGGTAGTTTATGGTGGTTTGACTTGCGAAGAGCGCCGAAATGTCCGAGAATCTCTTCGGTCCCGCTGGGACTTCGATCATCATCGGTTTAATTACGCCGGTAAGACTCGGATAGGTAGTCAGCCATGTGCATGCCAAATGGACAGTTTCTTATTTTGTATTTCGTATCTCATATTTATTTATTCATGCCAAGAAAGAAAATGACCTCTCCCCGAATTTCGGAACAAAATGAGAAAAGTTCCCCATAGTCTAACGTAAGTAGCTAGCATAACATCCATAATATGAAAACCTTGTAAAAACCCCTTGAATGAGTGGTCAAATAATTGACGGGGGTGTTTTTGATGCCAGGACTAGCTGTTTTCAGATAATATTCGACTGCAAGAATCGGCCTATACATGCGTCAAAGCAACGATAAAACCCCTCTATAGCATGCCGAGCTCAATTTCGCACTTGGCTTGGGTCAACGTTGTTCAGATCCTCAACAGTGCTATTCTTTAATGCATTCTCCTGCTGGCGGTCAACTGCAAACTTGACGGCATCGAAAATGTTGTCACAGATCTTCCTGGGCTCGAAGCGAGGTGTGGTATCATCCTGATAAACTCCAGTTTTGACCAGGATAGAGAACCAATCATTCTCCGCGATCTCATTGTACTCGTTCGTTCCACGTATATCAGACTCAGGTGTATCACCAAAGAAGTACACTGTGGATGGGGGCTTATCAATGCCATGAGATTCACTGCGCCATTTTTGCAGTAGGCGTGTGGCAAATTGGAAGGTGCCTACTTGCGGCTTGCCAAATGCGATTGAATTGAGGTCCTTTCCAGAGACAGCCTTGTACAAGGCTTCAAGGGAAGCTCGGAGTGCGCCCATGCCAATGCGCGAGTAATCATGCGAGGTGGACCACACAACATCATTGTGGGAAAAGTATATGGGGGGTCCCTCGTCATGTGTCTCTGATCGTATATTGAGATGGCCATCCTTAGACATGAGACAATCCAAAATGATTTGCTGATCGCCAGCCCAGTCGCGACTATCGGCAAATACAAAAATTGCCTCGATATGTGTTTTATCTAAATCCAACATTCTTGAATTCTGATATTCTTCGTCGGTCAACTTTCGGAAGGGAGTGGTGTCTTGTCGGGTCTTGATAATATCGCCAGGAGTGATGACATCCTTGAATCCGTATTTTTCAGCCACGATTCGACATTGTTCGCCTTCGCCGCCCACAACTAGAACAGTGTTGTACTTCTCGGCCATTTCGCGCATCGGTGTGTGGCCGCAAATGAATTGACCGGGGCTAATCTCAACGTTGAGTTGGCGACTGAGATCATCGCATCGCTGTTGCTCGGTTTTTCCACCACCATTTGTTAAAAAGATATATGGACTGTGCAGGTGATCGTCAGAAACATGGCAAGACAAGAGATATATGTAGGTTCAAAAGTGCTTGAATGACTCAATGGTAGCAAAGGGGAATGAGATATGCAACTTACATTTTTAATCTGTATGGATTATCACCATTGATGTATTTCATGGCATCGACAGCCTCGGGGATGGGCTGGCCACCCCGCATAAGGACGCCATCGATATCAAAGGCCAGTGCAAAATCGTCGCAGGTCACCATTGGGGGAGTTAATAAGGGGATTATGGTCTGGAGAGATTCTTGTTCAGAGAAGATAGTCTCCTCTATATTGGGCGAGGTCACGTTAGTTGGAATGAGGTCACCATCTCCACTGGAAGCCAACAAGTCTTTGGGGGGAGCGACCAGGCCAGTCCCACTGTAAAGATCGGCCCGCTCGGTGCCTAGGCTGTAAGGACGCTCAACCCTCTGGGTCCCGAATCCATCGGTAGTGGTGGTCATCGTGGACGGTGAGCGGTGCAGAATGTACCAAAGTGGGTCAATAAGCGGGTCTGCAGCAAGCACGATAAGAACTTAATAAGAACTAAAGGTCTTTCTCTAAAACATTTGCAATTTTTTCTTGCAAAAGTCACTTGCTGGGCGAAGCGCAGACTAAATTGGCGAGCAGCGACAACTGTGCGAGTCTAACAAAGTAGGAGGGTTGAACACAGAGAACATTGTGGTGGGGGGATCTGGGGCCATTAATAGTATAACATCATTGGGATCAATCAAGTATTAATAATTCGGCTTTCTGGCTGTATGTACTTCATGGACCCACTTTTTGGATTAAATTCTCTTCTCAGAAGGCCCTCGTCATCGTTTCCCTTGCAATTATACCAGTCTTATTGGTTATACATATGGACATGACTCCCTATTGCGACCGCGTGAAGGACTGACAACATTTGTTTAGAGTATCCACTCTGGTATGTCCTTGGCCTAAAAGCGCGCCAACCCAAAAGATACGTGAAGCCCATCCAGAGGAGCTGACTGATCCGTACGAATGAGAAAGAAAGGCGACTGGTCTTTACTTTAGAGTGGGGTCCTATACGCAAACGCCACTTACCACTGGGTGGTTGAAATTGCGAGGAGGCTTTCATGTCATCTCGCAAATGGTACAGCACACACAATTACGGGAAAACTATGATGGCATTTCCACAATGATTATCCAATCGGAGAAGAAATATGACTGCCGTGGAATTGGTGGGCATCCGAAACCACCTCATTGTGTTGTTGTACCGGTGTCTTGCGGCGCGACGCCGACGCCGCGGTCATCATTCATAACGCCACGTTTGCTTCAAGCGCGTGCAAAAATTCATCCGCCTCATCCGACAGATGCTAGTCTTTGACAGACTATGCTGTACAAGGTATGCCGAGCATTGCATAGGCGCCTCAACCTGCTGTGCGCAACTCGAATCTTGCACTTTTGCTCGGGCTTGATCCCTGACGTCATCGCGCCGCACGGTCACTCATCACTCACAGGAACCGGTCTGAAGTGGAAAGTTGCGTCTGCGACCGGCCAACACAAGCAACTTTAAGCAAGGCGTCTTACTAATGAAGAAAGGGACGCCCGAAATTGGCGAAATATTTTCGTGGAGTTATTGGGGTTATGCTGTGGTGGGATGTAGAAGGTATGGACGTGGCTATATTGTATGCATTTGGCCAAACACTAAAATACTAACTCTAGCCTAGAAACGACACCAGTAGGCTGTTTCAAGGCCAAGAGATCAAGTACAAAGCTGCGTACATCCCTAGAATTCCTTGAGATCTATAAAATAAATAGTTTGGACTTGGTGAAGCTGAACTGTGGAATATCCAAAGCTTGCGTCAACTTTTACATACAACAATTCATCGAGAACAAATTGATATTTTCCAATAGAACTACTGAGTGCAGACAATTATATCATCACACAAGAAATTGAATATCACAAGCATATTACTGGAGTTCATAATGATTTTAAATTCTATCCCAATCGTCCCAGTGAGCTGCTGAGAAAGGGGTTAAATGACCTTTATCGTCGACTAGCTTAGCATACATCCATACCAGCATGTGGTATGGTTAATCTTGAGTCATATTTCGTACAGCCATGGCAGATAATAATACAACAAAAGGACCAACTGAAGATATTGGACTAAATTTCCATGCCCTGAAAATGATCGCAAGGTCTCTAAGTCTATCGAAGAAACCCGATTTAGCGATGTGAGAAACGAAAAATTGAGTCGGTTACCCACTACCCACTGGCTCAGCGGCATCTTTTATGTATTCACTAAGTGAGGGTTAAAAATGAAGGCTTCTAATCATGCCTAAATAACTTGTGTGATGACTATTAGTGGCGTCATGAGACCTGATAATTTTTGAGAATGAGAACCTTCCAATGTTGGAGCTACTCGACCGTAGGCTCTGCTGGCATTCTGATATGTTTTGCCATTCTCGGTGGTCTTCAAGTTCTTTGGTTTCAAATTGCTAACCAGTCACCTCGGATAAAGTAGCTCCTTCTTTGCCTTCTTTGGACTTTTCATATGTTATTCAGCCAGTTTCATCGATCCAATCAATACGAGGGTTTAATTTTGGTTGGAAATACTTTCCCCCCCCGGTGAATTGGGGAGTTTCTCCACCATAAAACTTGCTAGGAAAGCGATGGAGCTGCGAGGTATTTCTCCATCTGCCTTGATAATGATGCCATATTGTTATCGCTCAGTCATCAGGCAGGCGCATAGTATACCTTGGGCTCGGAGTTTCCATTTTGTCTTCCCAAGCATGGACACAATTCGCTCCCTGGGATTCTACAAACATTTTTATCAGTTGTATCATTGTCCTTGCGTTTATTGCTTTAGGGCTTTGAAGAAAATGTGGCATAAAACGATATGGGCTCGGCTAGAAGCGGCTGACCTGGTCAGTTGGGGACGAGGCTGGTTGATGTAGACAGGGAGTATTCTCCTCTTCAAAAATTCGCCATTAATCGAGCTATCAAGCATGAAGACTACGCCAATATCTTAGACTTTGATTGCCTATATGTATATGATATTGACCTGCCGCTAATCCCATACGGCTCCATAGAGCAAAGTGCTTTTTTTGAAGGAATATCACCACTGTACAATATCCAAATGGGACCACCCCAGGATATAACAGATTTATCAGACTGAAAATTTCTCTGTTTATAGAAAATTTGCGCTTGAACAATTGTCTCAGCTGCAGCTCTGTTATAACCCGGTGGAGTGTAATTTCACAAGGTGTTTCATAGGTGGGAAAAACCATCAGCTCTATCCTCCATCAAGAACCCCCGGGGCCAGCATTGTCTCATTAATCCCTCACCCATTTTCACTTCGAGGCCGATCACAATATTCTCCGAGATTCGGAATTTGGGAACCAAAGGATCTTCAAATCTGCCCGACGAAGCGGACCGTCATCGTACATCTGTTCTACAGTAACGCAGAGAAATAGAACAACATCTGATTTCCGATATGTTGATGACAAAACATCCAGAGAGATGCTGGAAGTTCAATTACGACTCAAAAACGCATTCTCTAGGTTGGGCGAAGGAATCTATACTGTACATAATAGCCCGAGTTCCTTTTAGATGAGAATTGATAGTCCCGAAGCCGAATATCGCATATTTACCTTTTACGAAAACATCAATTATGTCAATATACCAAACGTATTATCCGAAGAACAATCTATTATGTACAAGAAATTGAATCCCCGCCATTGTATCCCCAGATGGAGCAGCTTTCCCCGGGACATCCCCAGTTCTGTTGGGCTCGGCCTAGGCTTGTTTTGTGGGCAAAGAGCGAATAAAACCTGGGCGATGAACCAGATGCGCCCGCGAAATAATTACCCCAAAGTTATCGGCTTCGATAATGAATCAAAAGAGAGCGTGAATACCCACAAGTATGCCAAGTGGCAAGTAGTGTGCTCCGCAACATGGAGTAGGCTGGAGCCAGCGGGCCCCGGTATGGATGCGGGCGCCGAAAGAGGGAGAAACTCGGGAGGTAAGTCGGGACGATTACGTTTCACCGAAAAAATTCACGGAGAAGCTTTGAACCCTAATTGAAGAATGTGGGTCTACTCAGATTTCGGGCGGCCGCAGAGTTGCGGTGCTACATCTCCAAATGCGGTCATGGTCCACTTTTTTAAACGAATCCTCAATTTTTTTTACATGATGACCCGCGATTGTGCTCGTGGTAGAGCATCGTTCTGTTCCCCATATTCCCAGTGGCCACAATTTCCCCGCCTCCTGCGGTACAAAGTGTGTGTTTCTACATCAAGAACCCCAGCGATTTGATCACTAGTTACGGTGCGGGAAACCTTCCAGAAGCCAAGGGATCATCGGGACCTTCTAGTGGGTCGGACACTGACCGAACCAAGAGACCGAGATAATCCCGTTTATAAGCGTTGGGTGGCTACGTGAAATTTCGTCGTTTGTTTAGACTATCGGCGCCCAGTTTCCTCTCTCCCACTCTCTCTTCTCACGCCCGTCCTCGCCATCATGGATTACGACGAGATATCCCATGGCCAACAGGGTCATGTCGATGACAATGACAATGTCGTTACGCGCAACGAGACCACCAATGCCCCTCGTGATGAAGAAGAAAAGATGCAACCCACCGCGCCCTTCGAAGAGAGAGATATTAAGGTCGGATACATGAACGAGGCGGACAGACATGTCTACGAGAGTGGTATTCAGAAGTTCAGTCGTCTGGGCTGGAAACGCTTGACTGTTGTTCTGATCGTCGAAGCCATTGCTCTGGGAAGTTTGTCTATTCCCTCCACCTTCGCCACTCTTGGTATGGTGGCTGGTGTGATCTGTACGGTGGGCCTTGGTTTGGTCGCCATCTATACTAGTTGGATTATTGGAAAGGTCAAGCTTGCTTTCCCCGAGGTTGCTCACTATGCCGATACTGGTAGACTCATGGGTGCTCGCCTTGGTTGCCCTCGCTTCGGGTTTGAGCTGATCAACGCTATGCTTGCCATTCAACTGCTTTTCCTGACCGGATCACACTGTCTGACAGGAACTATTGCCTTTATAAATATCACAAAAAGCGACATCTGCTCTGTCGTGTTTGGTGTTGTTTCTGCCATAATTCTGTTCTTCCTCGCCGTCCCACCTAGCTTTACCGAGATGGCTGTGCTTGGTTATATTGATTTTGCCTCTATCATTATTGCCATCGGCATTACAATTATTGCGACAGGCGTGGATGCAAGCAATGCCCCAGGCGGGCTTTCAGCTGTGGACTGGTCTGCTTGGCCCAAAGAAAACCTTACATTTACTGAAGCCTTCGTTTCCGTGACCAACATTGTCTTCGCCTACAGCTTTGCTCTTTGCCAATTCTCATTCATGGATGAAATGCATACCCCCCGAGACTACGTCAAATCCATCTGGGCCTTGGGAATTATCGAAATCGTCATATACACTCTTACCGGCGCTTTGATCTATGCGTTCGTAGGACAAGATGTTCAAAGCCCTGCCCTTCTTTCAGCCGGCAGTCTTCTCAAGCGTGTGGCCTTCGGTATTGCACTGCCAGTCATCTTCATCAGTGGTTCTATCAACACTGTGGTCTTTGGTCGTCTTGTACACGGCCGTATCTTTGCCAACTCCCAGATTCGGTTTATTAATACTAAGATGGGATGGTTGACTTGGCTTGCGGTTATTGCCGCTGGCACAATTATTGCATTCATCATTGCTGAAGTTATTCCCTTCTTCAACGATTTGCTCTCAATATCCTCATCGCTCTTTATTTCCGGCTTTACCTTCTACTTCCCCCCAATGATGTGGGCCTTGCTTCTTAAGAAGGGTAGCTGGCGGGAACCCAAGAACATTGTGCTTGGTACGATTAACCTGATCGTGTTCCTCATTGGAATGATCGTTCTTGTCGCGGGAACCTATGCCAGTGTTGACGATATTGTGAGTACCTTGGTTCCGTTTATCTCCTGGATGACACTAATAAACATTTTCTAGGTCAACAAGTACGCTGCAGGCACCGTGCACGGCGTTTTCACCTGTGGCTCACCAGAGTAAGAATGATGATAAATGATGACTGATCTCTTCTATGAGATGTTATGAGCAGTTCATTCTGTTCGTGAACGAGCGATTTCAAGCGCCTATATACCTCGAAGTAACGCGTTGAGGGGTTTTCACATTGACTAGACGGAACACCTCATACAACGGAAGACGAAATCTTCAATTATGTATTAGATTAGACTTGTCTTGGAATTTGGTTCGAGCGTTTCTAGCGAATGAATCTTGTATGTTATGTTATAGTATAAAGCCAGATGCTTTAGCTTAGGATTTGGAAATACCAAAGCTAGCTTATAGAAATACAAAAGCCTATGCATTTGAATTAAAACAAGTCTATCGATAAGTAAAAATGTTCTGCCATTAGTACTTAATAGCCACTGGCAATGCACCCTCTATTTTATATCATGATGTTGCACATGTAACCTTGGAAGTTTTGGGCCTTCCAACTGAGAAAAAAGACCCACCGGGGTATTATAGAAATTCATCACAGGTGAGTACCATGTACTTGCTGATTCATCTTTTTCACATCGATATTCTTCCAGAAGAAGCAGGAGGTCCAAGTAATAATATAGAGACAGGTAGCAGTAATCAGCATCAGTCGCTGGGTATCACCGTACGCATGATCAATCGAATTGCGAATGGCCGAGCCTCTCGCATAGGACTCTTGAACGTACAAGGAGCTATAGATACTCTCGAATTGGGACTGAGCAGATTCCGGAAGATGGTCTCTCAATTTAGTTGGAAATATACCAGTCCACATAGCAGTAGCAACAGTACCACCAAGAGCACTACCGATGCTAGAAACGACGCCCTCCATCGCCATTATAGCAGGGATATTTCGCTGTGCTGACACAGACATGACTGTCATCTGTTCACAGGTCACGAGGGTACCGCCACCAAAAGCAATAAATATGAGGCACATTACGACATAGCCAATATTGACATCTGGTTGTCGGAACTTGATCATAAGGCCAACTCCAAGAACAGTCAGAGGAACACCAAAGCAGATGGCCCATAGCTTCAATCGGCCGTTGTAGCGGAGAATAACTCCGAAGCAAAGGCACCAGAAAGTAGAGCCCATAGTGTAGATGTTGGAAATATAAGTCGAGTGTTGGACAGTTTGGTTGAACATGACCTGTAGAACAGAGGCGAAGTAGTTATCCCAGATATACCAGGCAAAATAGAGTGAGACAACCATTGAAAATGTGAAGCAGACTGTCCGGTTCTCTATCAACTCCCACGGCATGAACTTGACGGGCGCGAAATACTTTTCCCACACTGTGAAGGCGAGGATCAAAGAGAACCCGAAGACAACGAAGCATATTATCATTGGCGAACTCCATTCACCACGTTGGTACGAATATAGGTTGAACGACAAGAGGAAGAGTGAAAATCCAGTCGAGATGATGAGAAGACCGATAACATCAAACTCAATGCAGTAGTGTATAACAGATTGCCAGAAAGTTCGTCCACTGCTCTTCTTCTCGATGAAGTTCAGCTTTTCGGCCTTCTTCTGGGTATAATACCATAGACCCCAGAGGGGCGCACAAACCACAGGCATGACTATAGCAAAAACACCAAATCCCCAGCGGTATCCAATACCACCCGGGGCGAGAATTCGATCAGCTGCATAACCGTAGATCCACGGTGTAATCAGGTACGGCGAAGCAGAGTACGCAATCCAAAATGCACGATTCTTCAAGGCCGTGGTATCAGCGATGAAAATAGTCATAGAGAAATCTATCATACTGAATCCAGTCTGATAGAAAACTTGAGCAGCACAGTAGGTCTTGACATCCTTGCAAGCAGCCATCATAACCAGACCTAGTGTTAAAAGCGCAACGCCAATTCCAAAGGCTTGGGGCCGACCCCAAATATCCATAACCTTCGCGTATGGGAATTTGATCATAGCGGAAACAATAGAAGCGATAACAGTGGTGATACCCGTCAAGGAGTGCATCTGGAAGTCACTGTAAATGTAGGGCGACAGTGTGCTAAGAAGGCCGGAGCTGAAATATTCTAGGAAGTTGACGACCCACATACTTTAGTATCATTAGCTTGATTATCCACTGGCGTGTGTATTGCTGTTTGCAAGAGAGAGAAAAACCAACAGAATGTAGGTTGCTATCAAAGTGTTCTTCGTCCAGGCTTGCGTACTTGCTTGGGCCTTCTGAGTACCACTCTGTGCTTTTTCATCCACTACTTCATCGCCTGATAAAGGCTCGTTGGTCTCTTGAGACTTGCCCATGGGAAGCTTGGCATCGCCAGAAGCTTCAATGTCGGATAAACTTCCCACCTGTTGTTCTTCGACAGACGGTCTGTGCGAAAAGGGATTGATGAAGCGTTTTCTGACGGCCATGGCGTCGGCAGAGGGTCCTCAACAAAAATTGAGAAAGGGTTTCGAAACAAAAAACCGAAATGAAAATTCTTTTCTCCCAGAGGTTCAGAAGCGGAATTTAAAAAGGGAAAAGAGGGAAATTTCAAGAGTTGCATTGACCTCAAGATTCATTATGGATTAGATCCGCCCTAGTGACATTTTGCAAACATGACTCGAGTCTTGTGGCGGCAAAAACGGAAATTAAATTTTTTTTCGGCTTCTAGATCCCTCATGTGCACCTGATGAAGCTTGATCAAAGACATGAGCTAGGTAAAATGGAGCAAGTCAGTCAACATCTCATTCCCTATTGGGATATCACGAACGCCGATCGGAGATATTTTGAATCAGATACGGTCCAGCAAAAGCCAAGAACACGGAAGAATCAAATGCCAAGAGGCAATTCCAAGAACACGATACTTTAGTGCTGACAAGAAATGCCACGAAGGATCAAAGAACCGATATCGACCCACTTTTATGGCCTGATCCGTGTTATCTGATTTGATTGATTTGATTGATTTGATTGATTTGATTGATTTGATTGATTTGATTGATTTGATTGATTTGATTGATTTGATTGATTTGATCCTATCCTTGCCGGTATCGGCAACTGACTGGACCCGAAATCATTTGGGTGCTTTTGTTTGAAGCATTTAAAGACATTCGATGCGAAGACCTATCTTAGCTTTAGCTTCGCGCAATGTGGTCTAACGTAGCGGGATGTGGTCTATTGACTATGACAAATGTTGGCATCGCAAATAAATTAAATCCAAGCGAAGGATATAATAACGAAGTAAGGCTACCAAGCGAACAAATCAACGACTGTTTGACGTGGGAGAATAATTGCTAATTAAGTAGGTTGATTGTGCCCAGATAGAGCAGAGCCGTGAGGGCTCAATGCTTTCTCATAGCTAATTGTAAGAGTTTCGAGGTTCGGTGGGAATTGAACACTCTCCAAGGGAACAGAGGCAGGATTGTCTGTTAACGTAGGTGTACTAGAAGTGAGGTGCTTGACTGCGATTAGACTATCGAGGGAGGTCCAATTACCCCATGCTTTGTAGAAATATATGCCCGTAGTTTCCAAGGACGATTTCAACTTCAAGTTCTTGCTCTCTTTTATCTTAGTCAATATACATACATTCACCCAGCTCACCAGAACCGGCACACTTCATCGTATATCACGGCTGGAGCCTCAAGAGGAATGAGATGTTTCACACCCTCTGCCATCTTGAGTGTAACTTGAACTCCATTCTCCGTAAGAAATTGACCGACTTCAGCTTCAACTCGCTCTTTAGGCTCAACAATGTCAAATTCTCCAAAAATCACACTGGCCCGAAGACCTGTCTTCATTGATGCCAAAGAATCTTTCACAGCAGGACAGATATCCTCAACCATTCCATACGCTGGCCAGGCTTTCTTCGCCAGTTCGTTTCCACCTAAACTATCCTGAACAATCAAGTCCTTATCAAAAGCACTTAGTCTCTCGGTATTAGCGAGAACATTCTCAACGGTCCACCGAATAGATTCATCCGATTTACAAGCCACCATTTGCTGGGCCTTCATTTCAAGTGGCAGGTCTAGTGAAGCTGGTGCCGCAGGCGCAACAAGTACAAGACCTTTGACTGCGGCGACGAGATGCCGAGAAAGATGGACTATAGTCCCGAGGGCAGTCTTCGCGCCCATTGAATGTCCGACAACGACAAAACCATGCTCAAAGGGGTCTTTGGTACTTTCAGTTATACTCAACATCTGTAGAACTTTGGCAACATCTGAAGCCATTGAGGAGACAGAGTAGGCACTGCCATCATCGGTCGTTGGAGCGGATGACTGGCCCCAGAAATGATGGGATAGAGGACACTCAGGGATGTTGGAGATTCCGGTGATGCAAGCTTATGCCACGTTGAAGATGTTCCAGGTTTTCCAGCGGTTTTGTTCGCTGGGTAGGTGATGCGAGCGTGAATTGAAGTATCAGATGAGATCTGAAAATAGTGGGATGCCATCGTGGCGAGTTGAAGATGGGGCGAACTGAGACTTGAAATAATTTTTTTAGACAGGTTTTTTCTTTCTCTTTTTCGCAAATATGAATGAGTTGGTCACAAATAGCAAGGTCTTTTTTGTAGGATTTTGGGGTGCTTTATACTTCTTAGTTGTTCGCTTCACGAAATTCCGCGGAGTTTCACCAGCGCCCGAGACTCTCACCAAGCCCCATGGAATTTCTATGTCAACAGCCGGAATCCGTGATCACACCTGAATTAAGTTTTGGTGGCAATTCGTTATGTTATAGTATAAAGATAGGAAGACAAAATACGATATTTTTGTGATTTTAGATATCACCACGCAAATTTTCTGGCCCCGGGAGAGAACAACTTGAATAAACCCTTTCTTTTTGCTGTATTTATCTTAGACGATAGGAGAAGTGGCCAGATGATCTAGTGTATCTTCTTGCTAGTCTTGCATTATTGAGCAGCTCTGTCTATGGGACAGACTGGGATTTCATAGACTAGGATCCTCCCCTTTCTGAAAGCTCTATGGACTCATTGTCTACACTGAGTTGTACTGTTTTCAAGATATGAAGTCCTCGGCCCGTCTTCGATTTGTTTATGATCGGGTCATCTTCTCTTTCCCAGCCCCTTGGTGACTCGGCTCCGCTGCCACGGCGTGGGTGTATGCGAAACTCCGAATCTTCTGGCCCCGGCCTCAATCTGGTTTGGAATTTTGATCTCGATTCGGATTCTGAGGGACCTTTGTATGTGTATGAAATCCCATCATCGTTTTCGTAAACGGCGATGAACGGTTTCAGAAACGCCGTCAAGAAACAGGTAACGCTGAGGGCCAGGTATATTTCCGTACACACCGTTGCGAAGGATCCGAGGAGAGTTGGGTCCACCGAGTCGAGCTGGACCTTGATGAAGTGGAGTCGAACGGCAGCTAAAGGAATCAATCTAGTGTTATCATTATGTTAGTAATCTTGTATCGTTTCTGATTTGTTTTTTCGACGGTGAACAGACATGATTCGACTCTCAAGAGCACAGATCACGAGAATCTTCTGCTTCGTGGATATCCTGACTTTTAAGATTGCAAGGAGCACATAGCCAAGGAGGAAGATCTCCGTAATGATGTCGATAATAGTGACTGCTTCCCAGCGCTGGAACTTTAATAGCGTAAGATGATCAGTTCTCGGGTGATTTCCTTTCAGGGTAGTCTCGTCATACCAAGCTATTGCATGTATTATCGTTGATTTCATTCCACGGGCTGGAAGTACAACGGATTGCCAAAAGGACAACCGAAAGTAATGTCCATACAATTGTACCCAGAAGGAGTGTACGAATAAACCGGCGTTGCATATGAGAGAATAGAGCCTCATAAAAGATACACGCAGTTACTTTAGAGAGACCTAAAACAATTATAGACAGAAGTTCCGCAGAGTAAACTATCTATTCAAGTATTAATAAAGAGTCGGCATGGTAAAATTCGCGAATGTTAGCTTACTTTCAGCATTTTATCCTTGTTACTTGTTTCGATAGACCCGATTCTAGTTCCCCATCCAAAATGAACTCCTGTAAAAACCAGTGCTCCCTGAACGATCGCAGTAGTCTACCAATTTGTTAGCTTAGGTGGTCATCACAGACATCGTCACTTATTTAATAACGGGGATTGATTCATACCACAAGGGCGGCAAACGCGTAGCCGCCTGGGGGCAGTGTGCTTTTCTGAAAAGAAGAGAAGATAACCGCTGCGATAGCAAGAAGATGAAGACACAAGCACACCACAGTGAGAACCACAATCAAACCACTGTGGTCATTATCATTGTTCACCGTTAGAGGTGCACTGACGCCTGAAGGCCATGATTTCGAGGATGACATGCTACATGACCAGTCTACCCCTACGAAGTAGTGTAAAGATGCAGTGGAAAGAGAAAAAATACTTCAGCCTTTTCTTCGAAGGCGTAGAAGGCCCCTGCGGAGCTTATCAGAATATATGCCATTGTTTTGAAATGAAACTTTGTTCTTTGTTTGTGGGCCAACAACTTCGGGACAAAAGTACACAGTGCATGGGTATGAATTTTCAAGAGCGAAAATTGGCAACCGGAAAAGATTACTCCGTACAACTGAGTCGCAATCCGATCATGACAGGGGTCACTGTTGGTCACTAAAATATGGGTTGTGGGCACGAAAAATCGACTAGCAGGGATCTGAAGTCGAGCCCCTTTTCCCACCTTCTCCCAAGCATTTTCACCTTGCTAGTATGGGTCTCTGAATGCGATATAGGGCTCGATTCGTTGATCGAAGATCAGTCCAATCAATCCACTCGAACGTTTGAACATTTCCAAATAATATTAAGACCTTGATGATAAGAGGCCTCCACGTCCTGTGCCCGAAGATACTGAGTTCGCAAGGTGGTAGAGGAGTTCCCCGCCCCGCCTTGGCATGCCCGGCCTCGTGCATCGATCTGCACTCTCCTACACTATCTAGAACATAATGCAGTCTCTAACACTTGGTGTTTTCTGTTGTGCATGCCCCATCAATTTGATCTTGATCTTTTGATTCGTCGCGTCTATTGGTGAAACATACCATTTCACTAGGACTGGGTCTCCCGATAAGCCATCGGAAGACGAGACAATGAGACAATGTGAATGGGTGAAGTAAACCGAAGCTAATAAGGCGGGTCCACTATCGTGCAGCGGGCTTTCAGGCTGCGCTTAAGCCCCGCCTCTCGCCATCAGATTTCTCTTTGCGACGGTCTCAAAAATCACCTTCGTTCTTCTCTTCTTGGATCACCGAAGAACCTGGGTAGTCGTCGTTATGGAGGCCTCGGGGAAAATGACCGCTCTGAAAATGACAGACATGGAGGTCAATCGCAACGATATGGACGTCTATCAGACAGGCGGAACTTCTGGTGACGATAATGAAATGACTCGCATGGGAAAAGTTCAAGAGTTCAAGGTGACCTCAGATTGTTACGATTACACGTCTTACCAGGCTAATTGAGTCTCTATTAGAGAAATATGCGACCGGTAGCAGCATTGAGTTTTGCTTCCGTGCTTCAAGCAACCTGGGAGTATCTCATCCTGTAAGTAGGATCTACTCAAAAGAAAAGAAATCAAAGATCTAGCGATTTTGGATGGCGGTCTAACCCAGGGCAGTTCCAACTATACGGGATTAGAGGACGGCGGCTTGCCAGGAATGTTCTGGTCATATATATGGACTTTTATTGGCTTTGGATTCATTATTGCCTCGCTCGCAGAAATGGCATCAATGGCACCGACTGACGGTGGTCAGTACCACTGGGTGTCCGAATTCGCTTCTCCTCGACACCAAAAATTCCTCAGCTACATTACCGGTACATGGCTCCTTGCCTACTATATACAAAAAGATAACAATCTCTGATAATTTACCATTGGAATATAGGATGGATGTCAACACTAGCATGGCAAGCGGGGACCGCTTCCGGCTCTTTCCTCACAGGAACGGTCATCCAAGGGTTGATTAGTGTCCGTGACCCGGACTACGCCGCGCCAGGCTGGCAGGGTACGCTTCTCGTGTTCTCCATGGTGCTAGTCGTCTACTTTTTCAACGTCCATGCGTCAGAGCTGATGCCTATCTTGAGTAATCTTCTGATGCTTTTTCACGTTTTATCATGGGCCGTCATCTTAATCATGCTTTGGGCCATGGCTCCTCGTCGGTCCGCTGAAGCCGTTTTTCTGACGGACTGGAAGAACATAGGAGGATTGCCGACTATGGGCGTTAGTGTGATGGTAGGACAGATCTCGGCTATCTATGGCTGTCTAAGTGTGTACTTCTATTGTTTGGTACTTATCCTTTTCATGTCCTTATACTGACCTCACAATTAGGCTCCGATGCGTGCGCTCATATGTCCGAAGAAATCAAAGATGCTGGTCGCAATGTTCCAGTCGCTATGTGGTGGGGATACTTTAGTAATGGCATTATGGCAGCTATTCTACTGATTGCTTACCTCTTTGCTACTCCGTCTGTTGAAGATTCACTAGACGATGCATCGGGGTTCCCATTGCTTTATGTTTTCAAGCAGATGACCTCCACCGCAGGAGTGAACGGACTGATGTCAATCATAATATTACCTGTGATCTTCAGCAATGTTATGTTCAACGCATCGACATCACGTCAAACATGGGCTTTTGCTCGTGATAAGGGCCTGCCGTTGTCCGGGTGGATTGGGAAAATCGATTCCAAGCGCAAGATTCCCACGAATGCTATCATATTGTCATGCACAATCAGCTGCCTTCTTGCTCTTATAAATATTGGCTCCAGCACCGCATTCAACGCTATTATTTCATTGAACACAGCTGCGCTGATGTTCACTTATACGGTTTCCATCTCATGTGTCATCTACCGGAAGATCTGGCATCCTGATACCCTCCCTGTGGCCCGATGGAGCCTGGGACGCTTTAGCTTGCCTATCAATATTATCGGGCTCTTATATTGCATATTTGCGATGTTCTGGTCCTTCTGGCCAACTGAGCTCCCGGTCACACCTGACAACTTCAATTGGAGTGTTGTCATATTTGTTGCAGTATTCATACTCAGCCTTGTGATGTATGCTGTGCAAGGGAGGAAAGAGTACGATGGGCCAGTCATAAATGTTAAGCAGAACTAGACTAGAGAGTTTTGCTAGTTGAGTTGTCCCAGACTGTAACAATTGTCAAGGGTATAAAATTTCCATAGCCCAGGCAGAATCTTGAAAGCTCGTGTGGTTCCAAACAACTCCGTGCTTTCCAGGTACTAAGCACCCCAGCGGCAATTTTTGAGAAGAGTCAAATGGAGTAGCCATACGCTTCATACGCTAGTAGCAATGCTAAACCGAAGTTGTCTTTACTGCTACGCTTCTACTATATGGGTCTCTTCTTTGGAATGCTGGATGGTCTTGGAGGTATTAGGTATACAGTCCGTGCCAACCATGACAACGTGCAGATACATCAATTCAAGCTCTTTCCCTTGTTCTCACTTCTAGGGTTAAATCTTTTCAGGGAGCTTCCGCCCCCGCTCCCGCGCCTGTCGAAGAAATTTAGAGTCCACAATGTCGGGGTCCGATATTTAATGATTTGTCTACAAATCCCCTTTGCTCAATTGTTCTCATATTTGTGGATGAACTTTGCTGCTCGTGCATGTCCTACCCGGAAGCTTCCTCCATCCCGAGTGCTTCTCCGGTGCCGAAAATTGCATGGGCGGCATGAGGAACTTCGTGGAATTCGAAGTCGGTGCTAGTCTTTTTCATATTTTCAGCAAATTTAAGGTGATCATCGTATTGAACCTCCGCTGTTCCCCTCTGGAAATAGAGTGTTACAGGCAGCTTTGATTCGTTTCCAAAAGGTGGAAGTATGGATGGTCACGAGCCCAATTAGGAGGGATATGGTTAGTGGCACCCCACTCAGCGAGCGCCGAAAACAAATAATCAGACTTGTAATTGCGATTATTGTCCACGTCATCTGTCGCTCCTTTAGTCATGTTAACCCAGGGATGCCACAGCAGAGCTGCCCGAGGCAGAGGCAGTGCATGGTGAGGATTTTCTGTTACAAGGTAGCGCAACATCGCAAGAACTAGATTTCCACCAGTAGATTCGCCAGATAGAACGATGTTGGCAGGTAGAATCCCAAGTGTCTTAACTGCATAAAAATATACTAGAAAAGACGGGGTCATATACTTGATCATTTCAAAAGAAACATTAATATCATTATGGCATACTGGGGTAATATAGAGGAACAGAAATGTTGATGTCGCCCAAATGCACACACAGTTCGAGTCCAAGTGATTAACAACTCTATTCTAACCAAGTCACAGACTTGGTCCATAAGAACTCGTCTAACATGTTGGTTCCAAAACGCCCATACCCGCTGCTCTTGACTCCACCATGAGGAAGAGCTGCTTCGTCGTGAACACTCATAGAGTTGATGTGAACCGCTCTGTGAAGATAATTAGCATAAGAACAAGAACAGAGTACACAGGAAAGATAACATACCCAGAGTCTATTCGCTTGGCCACGCTCAAACCCCTGGCTAGGCTTTCAGTGTACACGGAAGCACTCAGGCCATATTCTGTATCATTGGCAATCTTGATTGCCTCATCATCACTGCCAACCACGAAAAATGACGCGGTCGGACCAAATGACTCGGTCTTGTAGATGTCCATATCTTTGGTAACATTCTCAACAACAATTGCTCCCATGCGAGTATCGGAGGTTGCTTGGATATCGAGATCTCCAATCAAAACCTTGCCACCCTTAGATATCGCATCCCGAATCAAATCCTTGTTCTTGGAAATGGCAGCTGAATTGATCGCCACAAGTTGAGTGCTTGGGCCACCGAGAACATTATTGATCGTAGCTTTCAAAGCTTCGCGGAACTTGTCAACGATAGACCTGTGTACGATGATTCGTTCAGTGCACATGCATACTTGGCCAGTCTGATGCTTGTTAGCAGATTCATAATACTGTTGATAAAATATAGACTTACGTGGATGAATGAGCCAAGCGTAGCGCCCAAAGCCGCCTTCTCGATGTCGGCATCCTCAAGGACGACTGTGGGGGCCTTTCCACCTAACTCTAATATCACCGGCTTGATATGTTGTGCCGCAATCAAAGCAACCTTACGTCCAACAACTGTGCTTCCGGTGAAGCTTAACTTCCTGACTGCGGGGTGAGCAATCAAGGTTTCAGTCACTTCTGGGGCATCCGAAGGCCGGGAATATAGAACATTGAGACAACCATCAGGCAATCCGGCTTGTCTAAATGCATCCCCAATAGCCCAAAAACATTTTGGAGATAGTTCGGAGCCTTTCAAAATTGTAGTGTTTCCAGCTGCGAGGGGAAGTGCCACGGCTCGGGTACCGAGGATATAGGGCGCATTCCTGTAGATGGGGATTAATTAAATGACTCTACCTGGAATTCGGGGCACGTACCAAGGAGCAATACCCAATACAACACCATAGGGCTGCTTGTAAACAAGTGCACCTGTACCCTCTTGCAGCAAGGCAGGAGACGTAGCTTCGATTCCTGACACCTTTCCTGCAACATCTTTCAAGAGGTTCACACCAAGCATCAGGATAAACTCTGCAAATTCGGCCAGAGCACCGGTCTCTTCACACATATATCCTACGAATTCATCCTTCCTGGCAAGGAAAATATCCGCTGTCTTTAATAGTATGTCCCTGCGCGTAGCAGGCTTGGTCGAGGACCATGCTAGAAAGGCCTTTTCCGCCGATTCGATGGCGAGTGTGGCATGCTCGACAACAGCAGCACTGGATTTGTGCTCCACGCGACCTTTTCCAGGATTACTGACATCGAAGGTATCTGAAGTTATGACATCTTTGTTATCAATTATGAGAGGAACAGTTGCAGCCAGCGCACTAGCTTCAGAGATGGCTGATGTGGTCATGACTAGACGACAATGACTAGTGAAATAAGTAAGATGAAGTTTCCAAAGACAAGGCAAATTCCACTTGGATATGTGATCCTTCTTTAGGACCCAGGTCTTGATTTTATAGCTATATCGGATACGTCAATCCCACATTTCCGAAGCGTTTAGCTCCACTCGTCTCTGCCGAATAGCTTGCCGGAAAAGATCAGCAATGGCTGCGTCGCAAAAGGGTGGACCCAATCATAGTCAGTCTCACGCCTCCAACCCCAAGTTTGAGGTTGAGTTTGCTTGGCGCGCTTGCTCACCATGTTGTGCCAGTTGTGTTAGAGTGGGAACGTATCAAATCAGGATTCTGGGATTTGTCCGGGGTGAAGTGGAGTCCAATCGCGGGGGTGAACCCAAAAACTGGGGCGGTCTCGATTGCGAATCACGGCAAATTTTCACTCGAATATCGGAACTGTGCTTCCGAAGCTGCTATCCGAAACCTTGTTACCTTGGAACTCCCCCGCGTGGACGTTCGGGGAAATGGAGACTGGGGATGCAAGGAAGATCTTCCACATAGGAATCGTGGGAACTTGAAATCGGAAATATTGAAGATCTACCATGTCGAGGACTCCGATACGGCCCAGGTGTTGGGTATAAATGTCAAGCTCTTCCCGACTGTCGGGTATAAATGTCAAGCTGTTCCCGACTGTCGGGAACCAAGAAATACTGTACTAGAAGTATAGTCTCCAAATACTTGACCAGTTCAAACAGCTTTCACTTTTTAGATTCAATTTCGTTATCTCACTGTCCGACATGTCAATTACAACCCAAGCACTTGTCTCAAGACAAGTTAGCTCATCAGTGAAATTGGAAAACATTGTTCTTGATTCGCTACGCCCAGATGAAGTCTTGGTGGAGATCCATGCCACAGGAGTCTGCCATACAGATTTCGCTTGCATGAATGGAACCCTACCCGCAGTTTTTCCCAGTGTATTTGGACACGAAGGTACAATAATGTTATCACTATCTTCTAAGTCTCATTCACTAACTTTTCAATAGGAGGTGGTGTGGTTTTAGATGTCGGAAGCAATATCAAGCACCTCCAGAAACAGGACAAAGTCTTGCTCAGCTTTGACTCCTGTGGCTCGTGTACACAATGTGACTCTAAATACCCCTCCTATTGCCAAGAATGGGTTCAACGCAACTTTGGACAGAAAAGAATGGACGGAAGTCTGTCAATGTCTACCCCCGATGGAACCAAGGTACATGGAAACTTCTTCGGTCAAAGCTCTTTTGCTCGCCACACCATTGTTAGTGGAAATTCCGTTGTGAAGGTTCCATCCGACACCTCGCTAGGTCTCTTTTCTCCGCTAGGTTGTGGCGTTCAGACAGGTGCTGGAGCTATACTGAACACCCTGGATGTGCAACCTGGAAAGTCGGTTGCTGTCTTTGGGGTTGGATCAGTAGGAATGAGCGCAGTTATGGCGGCGAAGATGAGAGAGGCCAGCGTGATTATCGCAGTCGATCTGCAGGCCGATCGATTGGAGCTTGCGAAGAAGTTAGGAGCTACACATGGAGTTATTGGCTCGGATGAGGATGTCGTTGCACAGATACAAGCTATTTCTGGGTCAAATGGCGTAAACTACTCCGTTGACTGTGCCGGTATACCTAGTGTGGTTGAGAAGGCTTTGGATTGTCTTGGAACTCGGGGAAAGGCAGCAACTGTGGGCGCCCCAGCGCCCGGAAAACGCGCGGGAGTGGATGTGTTTGCTCACCTGGTCAATGGACGCCAATACGTTGGATGTTGCGAAGGTGACAGTGATCCTGAGAAGGTATGTTCAGGGGTTTCCCGCTTTAAACTCCAACACAGCTAATTCTCCTATCTAGATGCTACCTTACTTGATTGAGCAACATCGCAAAGGTCAATTCCCTCTTGATGAGATTGTGACATTTTATAAAGTAGAGAATTACGAGATTGCGTTCAAGGACATCAAGAGTGGTAAGGCTCTGAAAGCTGTTCTTCTTTGGAGCTAATCATTTGCACTGTACGGAATTTCTTCAAGTATTCATAGTCTTGTTTTTGTTTTTGTTTTTGTTATTGGGCGGACAATATATTCCAATATGCAAGCTATGAAATCCTAAGTTTGATACACTCAGAACTCGTACACTTTAAGCAATAGTAGCACATGTCACAGGCGTCAGTAGCTGTCTCCTCTACTGACCACTTGGTCGTTTCCCCTTTGACGGAGTGCGAAAGTTCTCTGCGACGATTGATCTCTCTGTCATATTTGTGAGCTGATCACTTCTATTTTGATTATTTCTTTCTAGTCCCATATACACCCTATGTGATTGGGGTTACATGGTAAGTATGCGGATTGGGATGCGCAGATTCATTGTAGATCAGCTCCTCAATCCCTTCAACAAGAAAAAATTATTTCTAAAAACGCATTTTAGCTTTACGTACGGAAGATTTTCGATACATTGAACAGTATTAACATATTTTTACTATCTCGTAAAGATGGCTCTAACCCCTGTGGCGACCATAGAGTGGGAGTCATAGATATCCCCATATGATCTCACGGGTGCTGTCTGCCGCGATCGAGTTCCGGGGAAGAATGCGGAGTATATCTGTCGGTGGTGGGGGTTTGGCTCAAAAATAAGCACTAAATCAATTGGTCAATCGTATCAAGCTTATGAGTGGTACCGCACATGCTATCCCGCATGGTCTCATCCCGAAACTTTCTTTCGCACAAATTGTGCCCTTCTACCATAAACCAAACTTTCTAGAAGTATGGTCAAGTTCTGTGCCGATGACAACATTATTGACTGGGTTCCTCTCATATTTAGCTTCATCGTATAAAGAAAATGACGAACTCATGTGCATCTTGGACCTTCTCGGAAGATTAATGGATTTTTAGGTAAATACAAACTTCTATATCGAGTGATTAAATGATAAACATTTACATACTATTTGTACAGGGCCGCCTCTCTTGGGCTTGGCAATAATATAATTACTAAAATCAAGCATCCATCCATAATTATCGCCACATAATATAGGAACAGCATATTTGTTGAAGAAAATCTTGATATTTCGTTCTTTCCAGCAATAGGACCATCGGTCACAATTACAAATCCGTGGCCAAGCACATAGCGATACGCTTTTAGAGAGTGTTGTAATGATCCGCTCATACACCCACTTTTTGGTATGAATCTGCCGACTTCGAGAGTACCCGACCCAGGCCTTGGTGAACTTCTACCTGAAATGCTTCAAATGGATACCGCTCGCCATCCACGCTGATATCTCCATCCGGCTTCCATGTTGTCAGTCGATATGCTGCCACTTTTCTCATTTCAACATCCTTGAGGTCGTGGCATTTGCCCTGTGGAAGCTTGATGATTGCTTCAAGGGAATGTGCCCAGCTGATAGTATCATCAATGACCATAATGTCTAAAAGCCCGTCATTCGGTAACGCGTCTGGGAAAAAGTTCGTATCTTTGGCGACAATGCTCATGTTCCCGGTGTAGAAGCTGGCGAGGCGTTCATGGGGCACAATTTCCCAATCCTCTGGAATGTCATCTTGGACGGTGCCATATTTGAGAGGTAAAGATGGGAGCTGCTGGCTAGCTTTTCCGGAGGGCGTCTCTGTTGATTTCTTTCCTTCCACAGTGGGCTTGAAGGCAAGCTGGCAGGGGTATTTGGTGTTTCGAGCGATTGTCAATAGGACACCGTAGAGAAAACGTGCATCTCCCGCCCATCGCAGATGTTCAGTTTTCAAATCGCAATCCGCCAGAACGCCCATTGCTTGGGAAAGGAATGACACGGCATGGGAATCTCCTTGAGTGACTGAGACAAGATCCAATGGCATTTCTAACCCCTTCACGATCCCCAAAGCTGCTAGCGAGGGATCGTCGGTGCCGAAGAGGTTCCACGCCATTGCATTTCCAGAACCACAAGGAAACATAGCTACCGCCATACCTGACAATGCATTGAGGGGATCTTTTCGTCTTGCAAGTCCGTTGAACACCTCGTGAGGCAAACCGTCGCCGGAGCAACACACGATGGCATCATATGTATCGAGAGGGATCGTTTCGGCGATCTCGCCGGCATGGCCTCTGTAGCGGGTCTCCTCGACATCAACTTCACAATGAGCTGCGGCGAATATTGGAGCGGCGAAAGTACGGTATTTGGATAATGCAGAGCTGCAAAATGGATTTACGAGAACCTTCAATCTCTTAGAACGCTGCACTGAGCCGTATGCAAGTTGAAGAACATGTTTCGCCCACGATGCAGCTTGATCTTTTTGATCTGCAGAAACTGGATATTGTAGAGCATTGACGGGCTCATTTTTGGCGCCAAGCTTATCGACATAGGTTATTGTGAGCGCATCTTGCGAGATGTTGACATTCAATATGTTGTAGAAATCAATCTCATCTGATTTAGGACCTGGGAGAGATTCAAGATATTCAAGATGAGCACTGTTGAAATTATAATACGGGCTTCTGCCGCAACAACGAGAAAGACAGAAAATAAAAATGCAATGGAACAAAACATTGAATCAAGATAGCATTACCTTTTTTGGAAAGTACTCCACAGCAGCAACATTCATTTGCATTTGCACTCTCATTCTCATTCTCCCTCCTCGCCGATCGGTCGGCTGCGACCGCGGATCGCGTTAGTTAAGACTTTCAAATTACATAGCCAGGGGTGTTTTATGTCCACCCCAATAAGATCAGTAAGTGGGCATACCGTTTATTTTGAGGGACGTCTTATTCAGTGTCAAATATGTAAATTCATCGACTTGGAATCGTCTGTGAGGGTCAAGCGGGTCCATGGTTTGCATTGAGAATTGGTGTCCTCGCGAGAGAGAATTGGAAGCTGATATGTAAAATTGAGAGTCACTTTGCTTCACATGAGCATATCTGATGTGCAAGTAAACTGCCAATGGTCGGGGAAACGCGTGTTGGTTCGAATGGAGAACCGCGGAGGGAGATCAGGGGGGAAGCTTTCAGAGACTTTTTATTGGACACATAAGCAAGAAGTGGATCCCACATGACGCGCAAGTGACCTGTCTATGGATATGGAATTCACAGAGAGAAAAGTAAAACAATACAAGAAATTAAAATAAAAGCCGAAACATAAAACAACAAAGGCCTACTCCTGCTTAGGCTCCGGGTGTACTATGTTGAGTAGTAGCGGTTCCTCTGGCTTCCTCCGAGTCCACCTTGAGGTGTACTTTGTTTTACAAGTACAAAGACCCGCAAGATTGCTTTCGCAAATAAGAAAAATGTTCATATTTCGCATTCAAAGTACTGTGCCTAATATTCGACAGTTATTATTTACTAATTAAGATTAACAGACCATGTGTAGATAGGGCTTAACATAGTTATGGGACCTTTTGTCTCAAGTCACCGTTTCCCTTCCTCTACATTCCAATATTACGAAGTTTCATGAAAATGACCTCTGTTGAGACGACAATTTTGTCGCCATGGGCTTTTGATCTGTCCAGGTAGGGGTATATTCCACGAAAGTCCTAGTTGGCGACGCACGATGAAATGTATAGGCTTCATAATAGTTTTGTTCGCGACGCGTTTGCCGGAAAATACGATATCATCATCATAGTCCAGCAGCTGGTACAGAATCTATAGCCGCGAGTACTTCTCATCAATGACACATGGTTCATGTGGGACAGGCAAAAATAGATCTAGCCATGGATTGTGTTTTCGGATTCAAGTTGGCAGGAGGTAGGATGGTATACTCGAGGATTACAACCAGATCCCCAGGAGCTTCAATGAAAAGGCGCATAGAGCATCGGACCGTAGAAACAAGTGTATCATGGGAAATGCAGCTGTGAAGAAACTCTGGCCCTCGATTCTTGTCGCGATAGAATTCGAACAAGTCATATTTGAATCCTTTTTGGATGGTGGGTGATTCGAGAAATTTGACAAGGCGTCCTTGGTCTCTAATTGCCAAGGAAATGCAAGAACATAGATCTACTATCCCAGCATTGACTGAGAATTTCTGTTTAGCGACGGATCTCTGAGAGATTGCCTTGTGAACTCTTTTCGGGGATGGAGTCTCAGGCAATCTCCGCAGTACACCCAACGACAATTCTCAAGTCGGAGGAGAAGTTGATTTCGTGGAACAATCTCGTCATTCACACACGTTATAGGGATGCGGAGGTGTTGAAGCGTTGGAACTGACAGCTTTTGGTGTTTTCCAATTGTTCCAAAGAGATTAAAGAATCTCTTGCAGCTCAGTGAGAAACATGCTTTGTCGACGATGGGGTGTTTCGTAAATCAATTTCAACAGGTCATTTTGCAAGGAAAATATGGCAGAATGTTTAGTTGCTGTGGTACGGGTCAACCTAGAGACTAGAGTATTGGTCTTGATCAACATCATTATGCTTTTGATATGGAATTTGTAATTTCGTTTCGTCTTCTCATTTATCAAAGCGATGTGTACCTTCCCATATCGGTTCTGCTATAAGTCGGAACTTGGAGGAGACTGGGTAATTGATCTATGTTCTTTTGATAGAATGATCTGCTTGCCCTCTCTTGCAGACAGTTGCCTCACTCTATCTTGCACTTCCGCCCAGATTTTGGCGATTTCTTCATTTTCGGTCGCATCCGATCCCAAGAGGGCACTTGCCAGCGGGTGGGATGATGTCAGCACATCGGCAGGGGCTGTCTGGGTAGGCGCTGTCTGGGTAGGCGCTGTCTGAGCCGGCTGGGGTGCTACTAGCTTTGTTGGCTGAGAGGTGATCGGCTCAGACATGATTGCACTCAAAAAGTCGAATGTAGGGGATTTAAATCTTACGACTGTAATTCTTTTGCCTCCTTCAGCCTCTTAAGCTCGGCCTTGAACGTTGCCGTTGCATATCCCGCTGCGATTCTTTCTTCGGATCTTTCATTACGCCCGTCATAATCATCGCGTGCAAACTCAACATCGTCACGAATTAGAAGCCTGTGTTTGCTTTTAGGTTCCGTCTGGGATGTAGACCCTTCCCGTTCCTTTCGCTTCTTACTCTCTATATTTAGCAATGTATCTAGTTCGGGCTACTGTTGATAGCTACAAGACTTATTTATTTTAGTTGATAAAGATAATTTTCGGGTCCTCGGGCATTCTTACTCGGGCAAATGGCTCAACCTTGAAAGGTTTTAGTAGGAGTTGACGCCCTAACACTCAGGAGGCTTGTGGGTATAGATAGTTGATCAAAGGAAATAAAAGAAGCACTTGAGGTATCCAGGCTGTTATAGAGTATTAGGATTGACCTGCCTAGAAGATTTAGGATTCATTTTCATAGACTGCTCTTGTGCCCAATAATGACGATGGGATTATTTGCTTCAGAATAAATGTTCGACCGCGAGACCAGAAACGAGAAGATTTCCGAGTCTTTCTTTTACCTCGGTCTTTATTCAAAATTCAATGGGAAAAGTGTAAAACAGATTGGAGAACAAAAGATTTACTAGATCCGTTAATATTCATGATTGGGTTCTTTGACCGTATATGAAAATAGAAGTTCGATCAAAGAAGCTAGAGAAAAACTTCAGCGTTACGTTTCAAGTGATGAAAGGCATCCAGTCAATCAATCGAGTGACCCTTTTAGCAGGACCGATAATATTTTGATAGTCCTAACTAAACCTTGTTGTAATAATTGTTCCCGCTGGCCATCTACTAGCAACCACTGTCGGGGCTATAAAGCCCTAGATAACCTTTTCCATCCTCTTTCCCCAATCATTGGAGGTGCCATGATGAGTTCTGACACTGAAAACGAGATATTCTTTCATATGATGTCCAGCTTTGTAACATATATCTAAATTTAGAATTCATGTCGCATCTAACAAAACAAAAGTACCATGCATCTTTCGTGCATACTTATCTTGGAACAAGCGCCTATCAAATGCCGCTAGGGACCAAAAGAGGTCTAACGTCGAGATAACCCCTCTTTCCTTGCTTTTTTGATTGAAACACAGCCTTCCTCTTCTGGGGCTATCCCCTAGCATGCCACATTATCCCTGGTCTTCGATGTGTTTTTGGCATCATCATGCATCCATAGCCTAGCTAACTGCGTGCTGCCTGTTCTTCTATTCTGACACCTGCGCCACGCCATTGTGGCAGAGTCGCTTGTAAACTGGGATGCTTCTCAGGCACCAGGCTATGTACAGCCCGGACTAACAAAAAGTACTTTACTTAAAGTAACTATAAAGTCTCCAAGGGAGACGCTTCTCATTTGATTGTATACAATATCATAATTAAGTTTAAACCTCTATCTGCATTCCCAATAATTAATAATGCCTTCCCGACGTTCCCATGTCGCAAGTTCGTCCTTGGCTCCTCTTTCCGAGATCATCAAACTTCAACCGGAGGGGGAGCCATGGTGTGCCGGTTATGCTCCTTCGCAGGGTCGTCGCTGCCACGCGCGTACAAATGCACGAGGTCGCAGGTCAGCAATGATGCTTCTCAATGAGGGTACCAAGGACCTTCGAGCCGGTCGCAGCATCGATGAACTGCTGGAAGATTTGGCCCCTCATGTCTTATGCACCAGGTTCCATCAAAATCAAGCTTTGGACCTTGCACGGCGTTGGAAGAGAGACCTACGCGTATATCTTGATTCGCAGGCCGCTTCAACGCTACCTTCAACACCAGTCAGGATACCATCCCGAAGGACTGATTTGGAACCCACCGAAGCGTACTTGGAAGAGAGGACAGCTATTCTCTACCAAAGAATTCATGACGCTATGGAAGAGCTGAAACGCCTTGAGAATATCCGAATGAGCCAAACAGCCATCTCAACTCATCACACTGATAGCGCGAGTAGAGATACGGGTATACGTGTTAGGACCACCCGCGCGGAAAGCACGCCAAGCAGGAATATCCCTAGTAGAAGAGTGCGAACAGACTCAACGAGATTTAGCAATCAGTCAACAGCAATTGCACCTCTGCCAGTACAAGCGCAAGTCAGTCATCAGATAAGGGCAGTCCCAATTTTGAGCTCAAGACCCCAAGACCCGCCAATTATTCCCGCCCTCGGAAGCCCCAGAAATAGCGACCCCCAGAATGAAACTCCACAGACCAATCGCCGTGATGTCGAAGGAGAATGTGGGATATGTCTGTGCAATTTGCATAGCCCACAGCAACATACAATCCCAGATGAGGAAATTGAAGAGCGGAGCGAAGAGAGTGGCAGTGATGACGACGATGAGCAATCGGAAACTGAGTATGAGGATATTCACCAAGATGAAGAATTGACATGGTGCAAGGCATGCTGTGGAATCAACTTTCATAAAGCTTGCATCGACCAATGGCTAGAAGCAGATCAATGGCGAGAAACAAATCGCGCCCCCACATGCCCGCTGTGTAGGAGTCGCTGGAAATGCTGAATACCTATTCCAAATGTCTTTTTTTATTATTCTGGAGCGTTTTTCCATAATGAGGTCATGATTTGAACTTTCTGTACTCAATACGTGTTTATCAAATTTTAAACGGTCAACGATCAACTAATATCGAAACCTAGCATCCCTACGTTATCGAGGTATCCATATAGCTGAAAGCTGGGAACGGAGAACTAGGAACTGGGTCGTATAGATTATCTAATGCTACCCAGGCTGGTCTATCATGCTCCGACTGAGGCCAACAAGCGCCCTTGTAATGTTCCGAATCCGAGGTGCCATGCTCAACGCTCAGGCTTGATAAATAAAACGACAGTAGCGAATATTTCCATTGATTTCTAAAGAAAACGTAAAACTTGAAAAGGTGCATCAAGGTCTCAGAATGGGACTTGTTTGCCGTTTTTAGATCTTGTATGACATACGAGGATTTGAAAGACGTCATCAATTCTTTGGATGGATCATATTGGGGTGCTGTAATAGGAGATTGCAATCTATCTGCTTGTCAAGAATTCAGGTCCGCGCGGATTGGGGCATGTAGTTTGATATTTATGGGTTGAGAGATACACAGGACAAGCAGCAACTTGTAGTTACTAACTGGGGAATTATTGTCACAGCCAATTGGTTTCTTTTGACTATGTCAAATGAACGACCGGGGAAAATTCACTGGAGCCACATGTCATATAGACCCGCGGAAGTAGATCGCAGAAGTAGCCTAGTACAGGGGCCTATAACGATCACCGGCAAAAAGTACCTTTGCCATAGCTAGACTTTACCGTATATTACACCGCTACATGTACTGTAAGCTCTATCTAGATAGAGAACCAAGTGGAAAGACAGCTAGAGAATATTACATCTCGAAGTGTATCTTAATATAGCAGGATCCCACCCATGTGCAGGCCTGAATAGTTGAAGTTATTATTTTCTAGAAAGTCAGGTGTTGGCATCCACGTATACTAGTCAATTCTAGAACTTTTGCCATGTGGTTTTTTTCATCCGAAAACAAATACAGTATCAAAGAACCCTTAAAGTAGATGTGTTGCGCTCTTTTCAAATTCCCCAGTGGCTAGGATGCAGTAAGTACCATTGTAGGCCTCGGGCCAAGAATCTTTGAGAAAATTACGCTTTGCAGGATATTCTCTTCCTCTTTCTATCTCCAGGGCTCCCAGGGCTGTAGTTTAGCTCGCGAATTTACCTCAAAGGTTTGCGCGGGCGAGTTTTGCTGTGCTTCCACTTCAAGTTTCCGCCCATCACGATCCACCCATGGTCCAATATTGAGACTATCATTATTCATGAATTTCTGAATGTCAAGATATGTAGTTCCCGGCAGTTTTCTCCATTCAGCCTGATTCAATTTCCTCGTATTGCAATTTGCTCCATTATCAAGAAGGATATCCACAATCGTCTTATGGCTATACATCGTAGCCCATAGCAGCGGTGTCCAGCCTTCTAGTGTGTCTTTGACCTCAAAGTCTGCACCATTCCTGAGAAGCAGAGCCACCATGGCATAATTACCACTCTTTGTAGCCCATAACAGCGGGGTCCAACCACTATGACTGTCCTTTGATTCCAAGTCCGCACCATTGTCAATTAGTAACCCAGCAACAGTATTATCAGTATATTCCACGGCTAATGACAGCGGTGTCCGGCCATTGTGATTCCTGGCTTCGATATCCGCACCATGATCAAGGAGCAGTTTCACAACAATCATGTGCCCGTTCCTTGCGGCCCACGATAGCGGTGTTTGGCCATAAAGTGTGTCCCTTACTTCAAGCTTGGCACTCTTTTCTAGAAGCAACTTCACAATGATCTCATGTCCATTTCTTGCGGCATAGGATAGTGGGGTGTGGCCATATTTGATATCCTGTACTTCAAAGTTTGCCCCTTTCCTCAGTAGCAGATTTGTAATAGTTTCGTATCTGTTGTGTACAGCCCATAAGAGTGGCGTTCGGCCATATATACTGTCTTTTGCCTCAATATCTGCATCTTTTACAAGGAGCAAGCTCACAATTGACTCGTGCCCATTTCGCACAGCATACAACAGCGGTCCCTGGCCACATTCTGTATCCTTCACTGCGAGATTTGCCCCCTTCTCAAGAAGCATATTCGCAACAGCCTCATGCCCCCTCTCTATAGCCCATAGCAACGGCGTCCGGCCATATCTAGTATCTTTGGACTCCAATTCTGCGTTTGTCTTCAACAATGTCATAACTATTGCGTCTAGGCCCAAATGTGAAGATATCATCACACTGGTGAAGCTTTTGGTTGGCATGTACGATAAATGATCCCAGTAGATTTTCAGCCAGGCAGAGCAGGCCATTGAATCCGGCTCACAGATGCTTAATATAGCAGGTGTCATGTTGTCATCAGCGCGGATGAAAGCTTTGAGATAATGACTTCCCCACTCTTTGGCTGAATAATCCAGGAAAGTATGCATCTCGAGACGGAGTTCGGGTTCGCATCTGGTATCTGCGGGAGCGCTGGGAGCGTTGAAAAGGCCAAGATAAAAGACACAGATCTCTGCAAGAATCCGATGAGCCTTCTGGCTGTGAATTGAATGTCGCCAGATTGGCTCTGAAGAAACAGCTGCAGGTAGTGGTGTACGCGCAAGCAAAAACTCCCGTGCGGTTTGGTGTATAAAGTGAATTCTATCTTGATAGACTGAGATGAACAGCCCACAACAAGTTCTTAGGCGTAGCTTAAAGTCATCCTTATCTTCCAGATCAAGATCGTCGAAAGATCTTGATGTGCTATCAATATTCAATGCAATACTCATTTCGGAGAGTGTTAGAGGTCGGCTTGCTGCCATGATTATGCTCAAAGCGCGATGAACCATTGGGCGGTGCCCCTTTGATTTGACGAGAAGTCCCTCATATGCCTCATAGACATTCATCGGCAGACTTTCAACCATAGAATTGACCCCTCTGGTTGTCTTTTTGAAATGTTCGACTTGCAAGTAGTCAAATACAAGATATACCCAGAGGTATGTACGGTGAGGTACTTCACGTAATTTTTCAACCAAATGGCTCTTGACTAGCACTGAGAGCCCCTTCTCGCTCGCTAGCCGTTCAACTCGATATTCAATAACCTTCCTGACTTCATGGCCAATACTCTCTGATTCCTCCTCTCCAGGTACCCGAATCAAGGGGAAGTCTTTGATTAGACCCCTGAACTTGTTGGTTATCTGCTCATACGGGCGGCTGGTGAAAAGGAACTTGAGCTTTCTACCATCTGACTGGGCACCATGTATTTGAAGCTTCGCATTTTGCATGAGGTCCTCAAAATCGGATTCAATGCATTCATCTAGGGCATCTAGAACAATAATCACAGATTCGGCCTTCGCATCTCGAGTGGCGTTTTCAAAAATATTCCAGAGACACTTTGTGGATTTAATTAGATTTTTCCCGTTCTTCTTAAAGTTTTCCATAGCATATTCGGTAAGAGATGGCTTTTGTGCGAATAATTGGTGGAGCAAGGCACAAAGTGCTTGAGATTCTGTGTTCTGATCTTGCTCTTTAAAAAAGAAGTAACAGATTGTGGATGACCGAGGTAATATATCATCGATCAAATATCTGGCCAAGACAGATTTCCCACAGCCTGGATCTGCTGAGACTAACAAGGGTCCTGAATCTTGGGTTGACCACGTTTTGAAGTTGTCGTGGGTCAAAAACCATTCACAGGTGCCTTCCACTCGGGTTCCTACGTGGTCTTTATACCATTCATAAGTGGCACTTTTCGTATCTGTGACAAGACAGAATAACTGAAGGCATTCCTCTAGCTTTACGGACCAGTCTTTGCTGAGTTTGCTCTCCTGTAGCTGTAGCTGCCTTTCTGTAATATTTCGATGGTCCTCTGTCACCTCATGTAGGTCTATTGCAGTTGTGTCTGTCAGATACAATATTGATAAAGTATGTAGTGAACATTCGTCATTTTGCGCTAAGCTTACCACTTAAAACGTCGAGAAGCTTTTTTTCGGCCACGATTCTGTTTGGGTGAACTCTAAGAAGGAGATCTTTCGCATATGCAGCGGCGACCATTGCTGCATAGCCTTGCCACTCTTTGTTTTTGTGCGAATCTGAGTAGTCGCAAATGCCTCGGATAACTAGACAAGGAAAGCTATTTGGAAGTCCCGCGGCTTCCATGTCAAAGCAAAGAATATTTCTCTCCGCTGCGAATTTATCACGAATCGACGCATCTTTCATCAACTGATTAGCTGAGGCAATCAGGCCGTAGTGGATAGCAGGATTATCCTCATCTTCAGCACGCATAGGCCGCTGTATTAATCCAGAGTAATTAACTGCGCAGGCTTGAGAACAGCCTCGCGTATCGTGGATAACGTTGGCTTTAAATAGTCTATCGGTATGTAACTGTGGCCGTTCATACTTCAGACGTAGTCTCGGTTTCTTGCTAAGAATATGGTTGATTGCCTCTCCCAGTCGATGCCCATTTCTCTCGTACTGTGCCCTGATTCCGGCTACCGCAGAACGCAGTATGGTTGGGGGTTGATTTAAGATTCGTGTATACTGAAACTTTTGGCCTTGGATCGACTTGCCAAAGTCGTACTGGAAAATACCAGCTGTGCCATCACTGGCACAAGTCGTGCCGACAACAATGTCGCCCAAACGAATATCGTTCTTTTCGCCTGGTACACCCCCACCAATGCCAACCATCAAGCCAATTCTTACATTAGGGAAGCTGTTCAGCATGTTCGTGGCCACGGTGGCCGCAGAAGCTGTTCCATATTCACCGTCAGGTAAGACAGCAATGACAACGGCATGTCCGCCTACCCTCCCTAAAGTATATTCATTTGTATCATTTGGTGAGAGGAAGGCTGGCTCTTTATGCTCTTCATCCAGAATCTCTTGGGCAGCAACGTATTCAGGTATTAAAGCACAAACCCAGCCCACGGTATAGTTCAGAGGGTCCGACATGTCCAACGGAGCAGACTCGGCCAAAAGAGACTATAACCTCTACCTTCCTGTCCCCAAAGTGGATGTAGTCGAGAAAATGCTTTCAATCCGAGTCTCTGGTCGTCTGCCTTGTGAAGAGAAAAGGACTAGGCCAAAACATGGCCCGTTCAAGTTGTGCTAAACAATACTGGGCATCGACAGAGAACAACAGTAGAGTATAGCTGTAGTGATGAGAAGACAAGAAATATTTATCTGTGGGTGTTCTTAGGACGCTCTTTCTCAAGTGGGGTAGGTGCTGGCGCAGTCATCTGACTGCAGCTTTCGGGTTTCAAAACAGACGCGCCCGAATTCAGTGATCTTCCATGGTCCAATAAATACAAAATAGCTCACTTCTATGCCATCGATTCAGGGCCTTAAATTGAAATTATTGAAGCTTGATGATTAATTACTACAATTATCAATACATGCCTGAGCCAGATAACAGCGAGGAGCATATGTCGCGACTCGTGGTGTCGTGGCCACCCAGCTGAAAATATGCCGATCACAGCTACTCCCCAGCCTTGCACGGGCCCTTTGACCTACACGTTGCTTTGTATGATTTGTCTAGAATAATCTGTTTGTCTAGGGCAGCGAACTGAATTGGAAACTGGAAATAAGAGAAAGACCATATGACTAGCAAATCACTGCCAAAGGCTGCCAATGTCTTTAATGTCCATTACGTACTCAGCCAAGACCACTCGCATTCGTCCGCAGATCAGCGTTACAATGATTAAAGTTTCAGAGCAGAGCTTCGTTCAGTTTAACATTTGAAATTGGTAACTTAGCTGCCAGTGGGAATGGACCGCAGACCGCACCTGTACTGGTAGTAGCTTTCTATAACATATTATCTTTCAGAGAAACACGCGCTGGCGTATCGTCGATTCTGGAATCATTGCTATCAATGTATGCCCAATGTAGTGATGGTAATTTACAGAAAAATAAAATAAAATGGAGACATGTACTAGCAGCCTGCTGCTGAGCGGTTAACAAGAAACAAAGGGGCCGTTATTTACAATAGGGTAAGAAATTAGTCCACACTAAGGATCAAATCATCCCCTCTTCTCGATGGAGTCAGATTTCGACTAGTCGGCGATATCCTCCTGGGTGCATCCTCTGGCCGTTTCTTTGGGCTTGATGGATACAAGATGACGCCCAGGGTTGTTTCAGAAGGATATGGAAGTTCCCCGGATGCCGAACGGGAATGAGTATTACCACGCCCTCGTTCGAGCCAGAAGTCGTCCGGACAGTATGGAACAACCACTTCACTGGGGGGACGTGGACTACTGCCAGGTTGGATGCGCTTGATATCATCGCCACGGACAACTCGAGGTCGGGAGACGATGTCTGACGTTGGAGATGATGGTCCCGCCGGCGGTGCAGAGCCGGGTGGTTGGACTTTTCTTGGAGACATGCCGGTAAGAGCGCGCCCTTGTGCGGTACTGAAAGGTGGGGTGGTGGCAAAAGTATTGGATGTGTGGTCTGATGATTCGGAGCTGTAATTTGGTCCACTGCTGCTATTTGAGACCATTGATCTGCGGCGGTATGAAGATTCAGAGAAGGGTGCTCCTAATGTTTTTTCACGGGGACCGGCGGGCGCTTGGCGGGGACATTGAGGCTGTATTTGGGTTGGCTTCTTTTGGCCTTTTGGGCGTCGAAACTGAGAAGCTCGAAAGCCCTCTTTCAGAGCTCTGGGGTTGGCTGGTAAACCAGCCATAACAGTTGGGGAGCCATTCCTGAGGTACTCTCTTGTACTAGGAAGAGAAGGAAGAGAAGGCAACTTCTTTTCTGTTATGGTCTGACCCTCTTCCTCTTCAAAGAGAGTGGCTCCACTTGAGGGCCGATGTGCGAATTTGAGTGGCTTGGGATATAATGCGGCTGCTGGAGTCGGAAGTAGTTCTGCCGTAGTATGCTGGGAGTCCACTGTTCTGGGCGAACCTGACCAGACGGACTCAGAAGTAACGGCAAACCCTATTCGCTGATTATTCTCATCTCTTGGGCTGTCCACCACGCGAATACCAGACCCTGTCGCGAATCTTGGAGGATATTGTGAGGTTGGTTGGAAAACTTGTGGTCGTGATATTTGGGACACTTCCTGAGAAGCTGGAGGACGATTCGGAGCCCAAGGCACCGGGTCTGGACCTGGGGAAGACTCTCGCGAGAATGATTCAGGTGGGAATTCAGCTGGCTCAAACATGTCGCCCCCGGACTCGGAGTCGTCAACCCGATTATTTTTTTTCCATCTTGTAACACCGTAGAAAGCAAGAACTCCTATTATGAGGCAGCCGGCCACGCCAGAGACAACGGAGACTCCAATGACTGTCCCCGTACTAACTCCATGGTTATCACTCTTGCTAGTTGTAGGAACTGAAGAATTTGTTGGTGTTTCAATGGATGATGTCGAGCTGATAGTCTGTGGAGATGTTCCGGACTCAGATGTAGATGGATGGAAAGAGGTAATTGAGGGCGCATCACTTGACGTTGTCGAGGTTGAAGTACTGGAAGGTCCAATGTCACTAGTAATTATCCCGTCACTGCCTGCGGATGTAGTCGAACTCGTTGACGTTGTTGATGTTGTTGACGTTGACCTGGTCGTCGAAGCTAGCGTAGCGGCGAATGTGGTAGCCGTGAGTGTGGCATGTGTTTCAGGCAAAGCATCAGATACCGAGTCACAGATATGATAAGCCTTGGTATTTTTTATAACACTTTGCGAACACAAAGCATAGACACAGGTAAGTGCTGCTTCCCCTATAGTAAGATTGCTCGGCGTTTCGGTTCGACAAAGACACTTGATATTCGTCGTGTACGTGCACTCCTCCGGTGTATATTCGGTCTTGATAAAATCTTCCGTACAGTTTCGGGCACAATCCGGGACCATGTCCCATAGCGATGTATTCGATTCATCGGAGGTATCGGAGCTGCTGGCTGCACATAATGCGACCGACAGAAGGGTCGCAATGAGTATGCTGAAAAAAGGACGGAGGAGCATGCTGTGATGGCTCTGTAAATGTGACAATTAGTCGCGATCTTGATTCCTGGTCCTCTTGACCTAAACCCACCTTCTTAGATTATACATTAGAGATACTACCCTCGAAACAATGTAGGTCGTAATCTTATCATCCTCGACACATGAAATGGCTCTATACGAAAAGCCTACAAGTTCTTTGAAGGACTTTGGTAACAATAATGAGGTTAAAGGAATGAAAGGGCCACTATTGACCTTAAAGACAGCCAAAGGACCTAATTAAACACGAAAGTACCGGGCGCATCGCGATCTCAGGCGCCAGACTAGCCGATCCATCATGACGCTGACCATTTGTCCCAACCAGCCTAGCAGATCATGCTCCACGGAGCCCTGAAACACAGGTTCTAGGGCTGTGCATAGGCAGGCGCCATTGTGAGATCGATTTAGATCATCGATTCGAATTTTGCTGGGATGGTCGAATCATTGTGACCCCGTAGCGCCCTGATCTGAGGTGGTGGTTGTGGCTCGGGCTAGCGCCTCTTTACGCGCCGGCCCTCAGAGTGGGCGCTTGGCTTGTATGGCGAATAGGCAACGCGCCGGGACTAAGTTTCAGAGTCTGCAGGACTTTGCTGATCTGCTGTAAATGTTTTATTTTTAGCAAAAACATTTCTAGCTAATTTTTTGAGTGGTGGTCTCTGTAGAGCAGCGGTTAGTACTCATCAGCCTCTCATATTGGCTACGTCAGGCTTCTGGAACGGCTATTTGAAACTTGCTTAATCCATCATAACATCTGACGTTGATTTTTTTCTCTCGGATACGTAGGGGCAAGACTGCTTTCTCGCTTACTGCTTCAAGAATGTTCTTAGTTTTTGTAAAGGTGCGCATGGGAAGTAATCCATCATGGATGGATGGATTATTTGCCTGTGTCACATCAAGTGCTACGCCTTGTTTTCTTCTTTTCTGAAATATGAGCCATCCAAGCTACACCTCTATTAACAGGTCCACGGATACATCTAAAGTATTACCCCCTCCAAATTTGGATATTCTTAACCTGTTTTCTTCACCAGGTTGTGGGCATGACTGGTGTGCCAATTTATTTTACGTGAATCGACCACGCGATGTTCCGAGTCATCAAGTGTAACTTTAAATAGGAAAATATACAGAGGTTTCATAATCTAGTAACTTTTGGTCAATGCAAGCTTTCAGTGCTCGCTGACTTCCACGTTTACCTCTCGCTGTACATATATACCATGATCGCTCATGCGTTCCTTCGATTCCTTGCCGACGACCGAGACAAGCTGAACCTCATCTCCATACAGCCCTGTCTCATTGTAGGATGTGGGATTTGCCTTGGAGTTACCTCTGGACCCTCCCGTGCCTCCGTATCGCTCTCCATATCGTGATGTGGAGTTGGCAGTAGATCCGTCCTTGCCAAATAGTTTGTACAAGATAGGACGTAATGTAGGAAGACAGGCACTGATTAGATAGATATCTGGCTCAGCGACACTCCAGGCCATGAGATCAGTGGATGACCAGGATCCGTCTTTTACAGCGTTTCCTCTCGCGAAAATGACGAATCGCATTATTGAAGTCACAAGACCCCTAGAAAGTGACAGTACTGTGAGCCTGAGTCCAAAGGGAGAAGTTTATAAATAACCTGATGGGTTGGGATGATCCTTACATGAAACCAGTCGCGAAGGTCAGCGTGAGACCTAATTTGACTTTCATTGAAACATTCAAGTTCCAAACAATAGGTACTGGCATAGCAAGCATGACGACATCTGTTAAGATATTTGGCAGGGATGCCCATAGGAAGAAGGCTTGCTTATTATAACAATGACCCCCGGGAATCGTTGTATCCCAATTGAATTTGAATGGCCGACATATATTCAAGCACATTATACCGGACACAACAGCGGTAAGAGAAATGACTGCTCCTAAGACCAAAATTATAGTCCGGTATGGGTTGACCGTCCATAGACGGCCGTAGAGCGCCAAAACTGCCAGTTTAGGGAAGGCGACTGTGGAGTAATAGTATGTAGATACTATCAACAGCCATATAAAGTATTTCGGTTCTCTGCTGGGTTGTTCCAGGGCCAATGCTTCGAGGTGGTGACCAACGCCGCCATATTTCACGAAACCTAGTACGTAAACGCTTATCAGTACGACGGTCGAAACAGATGTTTCGAGATTCTGTATCCGAGAAATACTGACAGATAGCAAGGGCAGATAAGCCCACTGTAACGACTCCAGAAATAGCGGCCAGTGCATCATCCAAGCCCCAGGGAGTCCTGGTCAGAGAGCGGGAGTAGAATCGAAGTATCAGAAAAAAGGCGGTGATAGGCAGCATGGCAATTGCCACACCAGTAAGACGATACCCGATGTTCGCATCCAGGTACGCCTGCGACGGCGTTGAATCTGCTCGACTATCAATCTCCATGATGGCTGACGTAGACTATATTCCGCGGTTGACAGGTATGCGGATATATAGCACGGAGTGGGTTAAATGCTATCAGAACTCAAGTTGTGGGCGTCGAGTATATTTTCAAAGCTGCAGACTTAGTGGACCCAAATTCCAAACCGGGCCCGGAGTTAATTAATACTGCATCGTTTCATACCATTTGTGCATGGATATGCAATAATAGGGGTACTAAGGTGGAAAATGTAACCACAATGGGGGCAGCCCAATGATACTTGCGCATCAGAACTCATTCGCTATTGTTTTGCGTAAAAATTGGCCATAGCGACAAGTGGGTATAGAAGCTTAGACAGGCTATTCAGCATTAGTGGCAAATACAAGAGCTTATCGTTCTCTCGGGTTCGTGCAAAGTTCCACACCTTGATTTCTAGTGAGCCAAAGCGGAGACCCACCATGTATGTAGCAGATCGCAATCAATCACTAACCAAGAACAAACCAGATTGTTCTACGGTCTCCGTTAGGTTCTCCACTTAATGGGGCTACTAGTGGGCCAAAGGATTCTGCTAAACTCTCGTCATTACTCGCAAGTGGATGGTTTCCCTTTCCACGGATATTATGGATACGAAGTGTCAAATTGTTGATCCCTAACGGGCATGGCCCCCTTTGTTGAAGCCAATTTGTAACACTAACGATCCACCTCAACATCAGTATTCCGTAGACAAGGCGTTTCGAAGCCCCCAATGACTCGGAGCGCCTTGGCACTCAAAATCATGTTTTGCTGCAGCTAAAACGATCGTCGTGGACAAGAAAAGCAAATTCCGCCACCAAATGCTTCTTCTTTTCCCACTCGAAAGAATGACAAATTCGAAAATGAATCAATTGATGGCCCTCTCTCAATTAAACTTCAATCTTCTATTAAGCTTCAATCTTGTATTAAGCTTCAATCTTCTATTAAGCTTCAATCTTCTTCGTATCGGAAAGTTAACCGGACATCAACGTTTGGTGACAGATGGGTCAAACTCTGACATTGACAGTTGGGGCACCTCGGGCACGGGGAGCTCGGGAAGGCTGCGGGTTGGAGCGCGGGCTGGAGCGCGGGTGGATTTCCGTGCTGGGCGAGAGCTTTATCAATGGACAAAGGCGATGTATTACATTGCAGAGGCCCCCACGTTTTCAGTCTATAGTGCTCCAGCTAGCGTGGGCTGCGTGGCTTCTTCTCTACAATAACGCACCCATGCATGCAGGCAGCTGCATAGCGCAGCCTTTTGCCGACCGAAATACGCCCCAAAGTCCTCACGTGGGAGCTATTGGCTAGAACGGGGTGAATCCGAATAGTTAGAACTTTGGTCCCTCGGGTCTCAATATCGCGGTTAGCGGGGGGCACAAGCGAGCGGGGAAAACTGAATCCTTTAGAACCTCCGCATCTCCGGATTTCCAATCACCACGTCCCCATTGCACACCCAGTGGTTGGGATTACAACTCCATAAAATTTATATGGACACACATACAATCCAACCGCCAATATGATTTTTACATTATACAATGTCCCATTTATCGCTCTAGGTCTCCTAGCTACCTATTATCTGGTCCCATATCTTCAATCCGCCCATAAGCGAGCTATCCCTAGCCCAAGTCTCGCCGCCTTCACCAACCTATGGCTTCTTCTACAAGCCCGACAAGGCAAGCGATTTTTGTCTGTCGACGAGGCACATAACAAATACGGCAAAGTCGTTCGCATTGCCCCTAACCATGTTTCAATCGCCGACGACAATGCTATTAACGTCATATACGGTCACGGGAACGGTTTCCTAAAAGCGTAAGCCGGCTTTGAGTTAATTTGGAATTAACTTTCAATACTAATAGTATATGTGCAACTAGTGATTTTTACGATGCCTTCGTATCCATCCGTCGAGGTTTATTCAATACTCGAAACCGCGCCGAACACTCTCGTAAACGCAAGATTGTTTCCCACACATTCAGCGCCAAGTCTATCGGGCAATTCGAGCAATACATTCACGCCAATTTGGAAATATTTGTTGAACAATGGAGCAAGTTGTCCAAGCTTGAGGCTAACCCCAAGACCGGCTATGCTAGCATTGATGCTTTGAACTGGTTCAATTATCTTGCCTTTGATATTATTGGTGACTTAGCATTCGGCGCTCCCTTTGGGATGCTCAAAAATGGCAAAGATATCGCCGAGATGCGTAAATCGCCTGATGAACCTCCCAAGTATGTAGCCGCTGTCGAAGTTCTTAACCGCCGGGGTGAGGTATCTGCAACATTGGGCTGCTTGCCAGCTCTGAAGCCCTGGGCTAAATACATCCCCGATCGCTTTTTTACTGAGGGCCTGGCTGCAGTTGAGAACCTAGCTGGTATTGCTATTGCTCGTGTCAATGAGCGCGTCAAGCCAGAGGTCGTGGCTCAAAACACCCGTGTTGATCTACTAGCCCATCTTATGGAAGGCAGAGACGAAACTGGCGAGAAGCTGGGATTGGAAGAATTGACAGCGGAAGCTTTGACACAGCTGATTGCCGGCTCAGACACGACCTCAAACACATCTTGCGCAATTCTTTACTGGTGTATTCGCACTCCTGGTGTCGTTGAGAAACTCCGCAAGGTTCTCGACGATGCAATTCCCAAGGATGTCGAAGTTCCTTCATTCGCCATGGTCAAAGATATCGCCTAGTAAGAGCTCAAACTTCCACAAAACCATGAAACACACCACTAATCATTGTCTCTAGTCTTCAATGGGTGATTTCGGAAACAATGCGAATTCACAGCACTTCCGCCATGGGCCTTGCGCGACAAATCCCTGAAGGATCTCCTCCTGTCGAAATTTCAGGACATACTTTCTACCCTGGCGATATTCTTTCCGTGCCCAGCTACACTGTCCACCGCTCGAAGGAGATTTGGGGCTCAGATGCAGAGGAGTTTGTCCCTGAGCGATGGGAGAACTTGTCCGTTCGTCAGAAAGCAGCATTCATTCCTTTCAGCCACGGTCCCCGTGCCTGCGTTGGTCGCAATGTCGCAGAGATGGAGCTCCTCGTTATTGTTGCTACTGTCTTTGGCCTCTTTGAATTCCAGATTGAACAGGAAGAAGAAATGCAGACACGCGAGGGCTTCTTACGCAAACCGCTCGGTTTGCAGGTTGGACTGCGTCGCCGCGTCCGAGTGTAAATTGGTTGACGGTTGAGATCAACAGCAAAAGTATCAAGGGATGAATGAGGTCGTAGATGGGGGAGGATCGAGATAAAGACAGTGGTGTGATCACTCAGCAAAAAGCTTCACGATGAAATTCGCAACTGTGTACTATATATGACTTACTTTCAATGGTGTTTAACTTCTAAATTGAACAGAGCAGGTACATATGGGACTACAATTCTTAAATGTTAGACTCCTTATAAAAGAGTGCAATAGAAGATCGATAAATAGGCCAGAATAATGAGGCAAGAATTCAATCCGAAGTAGTCCAAGCTGTTTAGAAACACAGTACTTCAAGTTGTTTATACTGCATACCAGCGGTCAAATAAAACCTTGAACTACGCCGCGAGATGTCGCGTCGGTGATCATGCACATAGCGGTTCCACCAGAATCTGGGGATGATCTTCCGCCCCCAAAAACTGTGGGTTATTACGAAGTATAGAGGCAAAAAAGATATCATGTCATGTCATGATTTTTTCTTCTTATTTTCAAATAATTGCCATTCCATCAATCGTAAAAGCTAACCAACCCTGAGCCAACACAACAAGCCCGGAGTCATACAAGATGAGGTGGTATCATTTGAAAAGCAAAAAAGAGCAGAACAAAAACACCGCGAACAAAGTAAAACAAAGGAAATTGAAGATCCAAGGCAGTACCGACATGGTCCTCGACCGAAATATTAAAGAATTATGAACATTGTCTGCCACGTCAAGGAGGTGGGGAATGCAGACTTGGCTCGGAACCTCGCGGAATCACGTAGCACTGATACTCGAGGCTTCGGAAAATGGCATGCTGCATATCCACAGGTACTGTGAACAGGAATGGCAAGGTGAGATGCAGACATCCTGAGTAAATTAATTTCCCAACTGAGAATTGCTCGGAAGGAAACGGCCGAAGGTCCGAGGTGCAGCGGCGTGTAAGTCGTCATTTCAGCATGATTAATATTTAAATATGATGTAGCTGTTGGAAAACCAAGGTTAGTCACGACAACTTTTTCTCTCTGCTTCTCGATTGAAGCTATTTTGGGGTGGAAGTGAACGTACAAGGCGTGGATAACACCGGGCAACCAACCCAGGATGGTCAAACAGACGTTGATCAAGAGGTCAGCACCACATCCGCGCTCCAGGAAGACACCCAGAGGAGGCAGGATGATGGCGAAGATGATTTTGCAGATATCACTATTGTGTGCCAAGTTAGTCTCATTTTCCTCATGTCGCGCGTCATCGTTTCCAGGTACTCGCATTCACCATGGACTTGAAGCTAGGGAGCTCATGAAATCATGGGAAGTTTCTTATTAGGGGCGAACTTACGAAGCAGTGAAAGGCATGTTGGCGATAATAATGTGGATATCACGGGGAATGTAGAGAAGGAAAGTTGGGAGGAAGAGAAAATGCGGAGGGCTCTTTTAAACGGGAAAAGGGCAAGCAGCAAGAGCTTCTGCCTCCATGATGTAATGACGCCACTGCTGTGGCGCGCCGAGCTAGCAGATCACTTTTGATTGGTTGGATTTCTTTCTTCCTGTGGCTGGTGGTGAGATAAGCAAGTTTTGTAGTTTTTCTTAATTTATTCACCTTATTCCTTGTATTATTGCCTATTTGGTGTTTCTTCGTTTATTTTAAGTGTTATTAATCAAGGACCTCCATCTGAAATTGCGATGATCAATGGCGTGTTTCTCTAAACTTTCTCTACCATGGTCAAAGACTCAAATCCCGTCTATCTTACCTCGGCGTAGGTAGTATCGGCGCGATCTGCTACACTACGGAACAGCCTGCCTTGCCAGCCTTCAACATGGATTTTTGACTTTCTACTTGCAATTTCTAACTTGTACTCTGTACGCGCCTTACCCAATGACTGCCCCACGGCTTTGTTCTTTGATGTCCTATCCCAGCCCCTCGTTTGCTGGCTGCCTGGAAATCTTAATGCTTGGCGCCATGACCCTGGCATCCTGAGGATGTACAGACTACGCCGTACTCATGTTAAAAGAACCACTTCGTGACTTGGCCTGCAGTCTCATGGTAGTGACGATCCCCATACCTCATGCACCATGCTCTGCCAATCCTTGTAATCGTCACCTGTGGCGTATCCCAACCCAACGGCCCAGCCCTATCATCACTAGTCTCCCCACCTGCCAAGGTCTTGTCCTGCTGCGACCGAGGCGTCATTGGTTGCCGCCGAACCGCCCGTGACTTCACTTTCGCCTGGTTCCTAGAAAGCTAGGCAGGTTATGCGGTTATCCTGCATAAGGGGTGGGTGACTCGCGGTGGCTGAAAATCGCAAGACAAAAAAATTTGACAAAAACCTTGGAAGCGTCGAGAACGGCTCTACTCCTATGACAATCCAAAAGCCCCCTGACGCAAGCCGATCGATTCGCACGATCTTTCGGCTTTTGATTCGGATTCGGATCCATTCCTATTTTTGGGAGACAATAAATTTCAGCAGCCCATAAGGCTGCATCTTATTTTAAATTCGTGGCCTCGAGGAAAATCTAAAATATACCTAAATCGGAGGGGAAATCCACATCCTCTAGTAAGGAGTTCCACTGTGGTACATCTAAATCTGGAGCCACAGCCACGAAATCGGACCAAAGCTTCTCCCAATCTTCTTCACCTAGGCTATTCACAAGGCTATTATCGTCGACAGCCATTATAGACGATGGCAATGCCGCAAGGTTCTCGCCGTGCAGGGTTGTAAACTCCCCAGCCTCGTTGATGGGTTGGTTCTCGTATGAGACCCTGGAGGCGCCAGGAATCCCCTCGCGGGCTGCAGGGGTCCCCTTAAGTAAGACAGAGGACTGCGACCGCTGTTTGTGTAACGTAGACATCAGCGTCTGTAAATTTTTCTGAATCCCTTCCATCAGGTCATTGGACTCTCGCTTAGACTGTTCTAGCGTCTCGTAAGCGGCGAGTACCTTGGCCTTTCGGGCAGCAGCATCTGGCGCAGCTGGGTTAAATGATACGTCCATGGCTAGAATCAAAGCTGCGAAGAAGACATGATGCATGACGGTCCAAAACCGGGCTGGCTTCAGTCCTATCGCGGGATTCAAATCGTCCATCGCACGCCGGAGTTCGAGGACCTTGTGCGCAGAGCGAATGCACACCATGTGTGAATAAGCATATTTCGAGTTTGTGATGCCCTCTAGGTGGTATGGTCGATGTAGACGGCAAAGTCGGGTATGAAGACTGAAGTGAACAGTGAGTCTCTGCCAAGCGATGTAAGGTCGCTCCTTACATATCTGTTGACTCCGTTCAATACTTTCTACGTCAAGTTTGAAATAAACAGGAAGATTAGCGATATGTTGATGGAATCTAGTATCCAGCTCCAGGATTGTATCATAATCCGGTTCTTGTGAGTCAAGGAGAACTGAAGGAAGAGCGTCAATAACCTGTCGGCAGAGGTCGGAACATTGAACTCGAGCATGAAAAGCAGACATGGACGTAGCCACCGACAAGGGAAATTCTTGGTGAATCCTCGTGCTAGTTATGAGCTCGTCATCTGTATTGCTCGGCATATTTACATTCATATGCTTTGCCTGGAAGATATATGCACCCTCCTGGGGTCCACCAGAAAATGACAGAAGCCTAGAAATATCAGTATCTAGCTAAGAAGTCCAGGGAGTAAGAATTCATACCAGTCGGACGCAACCATACTCCACCAAGCTCGTCGCTGGACCTCAACATCAATCATGTTACACCCTTTTAGTCTTCGTTCCTCCCGAGCTTTTGCCGTATCAAGGCGATGGATGTTTAATTCCCTTGACATTAAATGACAGTGATGCCGAAGGATTTGAACACGAACAGGGAAACCATCCGTATTGACGAGAATATGTCCCAACGTACCGATCGCTATAAGAGCAGTAGTTGATGGCTCTATAAGCCGAGCGGGGTGGTCTAAAATAGCCAATGCAATACGGCTATATGCCAATAATGCCGCCTTGGCTTCTTCGCTTGTTGCATGCAGCTTCTCCAGAAGCGCCGGCGTCCAACCCAACGAAGTTCCAGCGAAAATACTGAATGTCAGCATCAAGTCTGCAGCTGGTGGTTCCTTGCCCTCGACGATACCTTCATAGATTCTTTCCATCATATCTCGACATGAGGGAATATGAAGAACCCCATATGTCGGTTGCAATACATCTGCAAAATGGTTGAACATCTCCCTTGCCTGCCATAGAGGAGGGAGTTTCCTTGCTATGTCAACTATGCTTGGGGCATCTGGTTCGCCTATATTGCGTTTCCCTGCAAGCGACATGTTGTGTACGCTAAACGGGGTGACATAATGAGAAGTGAAGGCCTATCAAACCTGTTAATACATGGAGTAACAACGGAAGGGCTGTAGGGTTCAATATTCAGGATGGTATCTACCTGATTTGCCAAAGAATTCAACTTGGTGAAAACCCCTTCGGATCCTGAAGCTGACCGTTGAGATGGATTCGGTTGCCCAACAAACGCCTCTTCCAACCTCCTTATTCGAAAAAGAAGCTCGTCGGAATTACTTTCGGAAAGTTAGTAAACAATTTGAAGCTAGGTTAGGGAGATTTGACCTACTGCCGACCTGGATTTGATTGGCCATCACCAAGACAAGTGGTGGTAGATTGACTGCCAGTGGCTGTGGTGTTTGAGCCATTTACTTGTGATTGCTCGAGGCTGTTCGAGTTATCAGGACTCTGCCCCGAGTATTCGCAATCAATATTTCGTAACACGCAGTTTGAGCACGGCTGCGCGCGGTCGCATCGACGTTTCTTTTCTCGACAAGCATGGCAAGACAATGGGGGTCGATTCCACCTATGCACTTGGGTGATCGGATTCCCTTGAGCGTCTCTCTTCATCTTGTATCCAAAACTAGTACCGAGGCACCTCTGAATGCGCGGAGGGTATATCCTAGTTGGTAGATCCAAGTTCCGCAACGCCGCGGAGGTCCGCGGGTCTCACTCTTTTATACAGCAACAAAGGGAGAAAATTCGACAGAACAACCTAGGCAAGAAAACTTGCAAGAACCCAATCAAAACAATTGTCCTTTTGGCACTAATCCACTAATGAAGAACTATGTGCGCCAAAGGAACGATGGATGTCCGACGTCCGCGGATCTCCGCGGATGTGGCTGCTACATTTGGTTAGGTCCGTATGTAACACATTTCACAGTCTTAGAGCCATTACATACTCCGGATTCTGTAATCTATACACTGTATTACCGACATCTTCCCACATGCTCAGGCCCGGATAATCGCGTGCATCTGAGTGGTTAGTCTCCGCTACCTTCCAACCTTTTTTGACACCCGCAAGTCTTTCATGCGGGGATTTCAATGAATCCTGGCTCATTGAGCTTCCTCATACATGTCGTTCAAGCTTACCGCGTCACGGGCGCCAGCGCGCTATGCGAAAAGCTCTCTGCGAGCTCCTTATATCACAAAGTCTCATGACCTAGGAAAGCGATGGAGTAGTGCTTGCACTTGGCTCACCCAAACACCCGAGACAATCGTGAGCTACTTCGTTCTAGACGATCTGCTTCTGCGCACTTTACTAAATATTTATTAGAACCCAGAGGATATCCTTTCATCCATTCCTACAACACACCACCAAAGCAACTCGAACCCCGTCCCTCTTTTACTCGTCACCCCAAGCCTCGCGCATTGGCTCGATCCTACATCTCCGTTCCTCACTGAGTACATAAAAAAACTGTACCAAAATACCAACAACAAGCCCGACACAATCTACGCTGTTGCGGCCGTGATTGATAAAATCCCAAACAGCACTGCGAAATCGCAAGCTTCATTGGAAGAGTTTGAAGGCTTATCTAGCTTGATAGTTGGAGAAGCTAATATAAAATGGAAGGCCGCGCCACCCCGTCGCATTGGAGGCCCGGCTGATGAGGAACCTAATTTTGTGGTTTCCGTTAATGACCAAAGCTCTGCCCATGCAATTGGTCTGCGATTAGCCAATACCGTGTTTATCAATGGGAAAGAACGAACATTTCTAGGCATGCGCTGGGTCGCTAGTGAGAGTGGGTATATCTTGGCTGATTCCAAGAGCCTCGCGAGCTGTGTTGTCACATCTACAGAAACCAACATCCATTCTACCGTGGCTTTGCCCTTGCATCCTGTCACTCAACGTCGAAAAGTTATAACGGGGATGGGAAACATTTTGCGGCAGTTGGCCAAGTCAAATGACGGTTCTTCAGATGAGCCGATGCCCGCCTCTACTGAGCTGGAGAAGGAGCTTCCGCGATACATTGATGAGCACAATATTGTCGATCGGAGAGTCTCTGTATGGGCATTGGTTGAGAAGGCGGATAACCAGGTTGATTCTCAATCCCCCTCCACGCAAGATCGATTGACCAAATCATTGCGCCAGGGTGGTAAATTGCATCGTGTTATGAGTGGAGGAGGTGGATGGGGCAAAAAGATGGGTCTTCTTTCGCTGGATCCTGAAATCGCCTCTCCAACCACGATTACTCAAGATCAAGGCATCATCAGCCTGGATCAATTGTTCGAGTCCGATTCTGCTCCCGACGAACCAATGGAGACGCCTCCATTCTTCGAAAGTGGCTTGATCGGAGAAGATCTTTCTCACCTGTCGCAAGTTGCAAATCCAGGTGACTTAATTCAGTTCTTTGTGGCAGTCGAGCCTACAGCCTCAAACGGGTTAACAAATGAGGCTGCGCGAAAATACTGCTTTGGGGTTGTATCTGAAACCGAGGCATTGGAAATCCCGACAAATGATGTTAAAGAAAAGCTTCAATTGGTAGAGAACACCTTTGCAGCTATGTCTGAGAAGGCGATCTTTTATTCACAGCCTGTATTGCAAGCGGGTACGGCGGTTGAGTCCAGCACAAAGCTGGACATACCGGGATGTCGAGTGATCCTGGAATCTGGGAAGCCATAACTCTAGTAATAACTGATCATACTTGTACAATATACAATAGACATGTAGCATATATAAGAAAAAGCAAGAATGAACGATTAACCAAAAGCATCTAAATAATCTCCATATTTGTCGATGTATCAAGTTGACATTATGTAATGGTCACATGACAAGCCAGCGTGGCTACAGATTGGGACCTCTCGTAGCTGGCTCTCCATCCTTCCCGATCACCGCTAACCACCTCTCCTACGGCTCACGCCTTTAATTATCGGGTTTCCCCCATCTATTTTAAGTTCCGACATCTTCACGAGAATCCCGTCGGATCCTCGACCGTCAAAATGGCCACAGAGCTCTGGTACGTTGACATTCCATTGCCATTACGACGACTCCCGGCCCCCCTGGGTGCTTGACAGCTATCGATGCTCCGACGGCTTCGCCCATCGTGGATTCGCGTAAATTGATGGAACTGCTGCTGACATTATCTTTTACAGCCCCGTGTATGCGGTTAGTCCAATAGCTCCCTTCCCCATGCCTCGAATTTAATCCAGAGCGGATCTCCTTGCGAATGCCCGCCCCTCCCACACCTTTCTTCCAATGACCATCTCAACAACATGACTGATATCCATTCTTTAGCCGTTCTTCGGTGCGTTGGGCTGCACGTCCGCCATCGTTTTCACCTGCTTCGGTGCCGCCTACGGTACCGCTAAGGCCGGTGTCGGTGTTTGCTCCATGGCTGTCCTCCGCCCCGACCTGATCGTTAAGAGTATGTTCTGCTTCTTGTTCCAGAAACAATCAATCTGGAAACCTCTTGCAGAATTCGACAGCTTATACTGACATTGCTTTCTTACAGACATTGTCCCCATTGTCATGGCTGGTATTATTGGTATCTACGGTCTGGTAGTGTCGGTTCTGGTCGCCAACGACCTTACTCAGAAGCTCCCGCTTTACACTGGATTCATCCAGCTGGGTGCTGGTCTTTCAGTCGGTCTGGCTGGTCTGGCTGCTGGGTATGTCATATTCTCGATCCTGCCGATTTCGGCCGCTAACAAGTTTCCCATATAGCTTTGCTATTGGTATCGTCGGTGATGCTGGTGTTCGTGGAACTGCCCAACAACCTCGTCTCTACGTCGGAATGATTTTGATTCTCATTTTCGCTGAAGTCTTGGGTAAGTGTTCTGTCTTTGAGCAGTTCTTCTCCGATAAATCTAACATTTTATCTCTCAGGTCTTTACGGGCTGATTGTTGCTCTTCTCATGAACTCCCGCTCCAAAGCTGTCTGCTAAATTAGCAGTACCATCCCACACTCGAAAGCTTGATGTCTCATTCGCAGACCACATGACATACCTTGTATCACGACGTGTGTTGCTGTGACCTTCTATCCCGGCATGACAAGCGCTTCGATTTTTCTCATCCCATCATGTCGGGCCAAAGAATCTAGTGTGGGCAAGAAGGGTAAAAAGATTTTCGGCTATGATAAATTCATTTGAACTTGTGAATGGGAATTTCTTCTTTTGATCACGGTGGTATGTAGTAGAATCGGGAGTATCTATCGAACATTGGACCTCGAATGGGTGGATAGGTGCGGGTAGATATTGGATTGGCTTACATTGCATGAACGCGCGCTGGATATTGTACTTTATGTTATATTGAGTCTCGTTTTGTCTTGGACCGGGATTCCTTGCCCTTTTCCTTCTCCCTCCCTTGTCTCACGGTGGTGCTACCTGATTTCCCTGGTCTGCGCTGGAGACCACCTTTCCGTCTTTTCTCTATCTCGGTTTTTGGCTCTTTTCTTGTCTTTTCTTTTGGTCTGTCGGGTTCTTGTATTTGGTATTATAAAGCAATCCCGATTTGTGCATTATGCTTCCTTAGATTCCCGTGGTCTGCTTCATGCGTACCTTGTGTGTTTATGCTTATGTAGTGGTACCTCACGCTGCCATGCTGCCTGTATCTCCACTGTCTCTCCCCGGTGCTCCACACCCTTCTAGTTCCAAGGTTTGCACCTACTACGAGCTTTTAACGCTGGCAGATTATGTATATACCTACAGGGTTACGGGCTTTATGCTAAATCACTTGGGCAGCATGGCTGGATTGCCCATGCTGTCTTAAGCAAGAGTGAAAAAATAAAAATACATATATTCAAACCTAGATTATCCAAGGATCGATCGGACACTAACAAGGCGGTTATCAAGAGAAGAAAATTCTATTGCGTAGTCCGCGATGCATGATAGGCAAGACGCCACACAGGAAAAAAGACAGCCACAAGCGATTCAGGTCTAACCGGATCGCACATCTGCTTTGAAAGGAGAATAAGGGCAGGACAGACGATAGAAAAAAACGGATAATAGTGTAAAAAGGGAACAGAGGTTGCAATGTACTGGAAATAAAGAGTATATATGCCCTGCAACTCAGACAACTAAACCCAACAGCCGAACAAAGATGCAAGCAGGCCAAAAATGCAGCCGATGGGAACCGAACAAAATGACACCAAATTGAAGAAAAACGCAGCTTATGTCACCGTCTAAGCCTTATCAAGCTTACGGCGGAGCGTGCGTGTTCTCCGCATCAGCTTCTTGAACTTGTGCTTCTTCATCTTAGCCTTGCGGCGTCTCTTAGTGCTAAGAGCATGCATAGTCCTGTTGTCACGGATACGCTCCATATATGTCATGCCCGTGGTGGAGCTGGGAGCGTCAATGGTAAGTTCCTCGTGCAGACCAGGAGCTTCCATCTCGTCACGGACGAAGGGACCAGTAGAGGCCTCGTAGGTCTTACGGCCGTCTGCGGTACGAGACTCCCGAATAGTCAGGACAGTGGAGTAAGTGGCTTCCCGTTGATCCTGAGCCTCTTGAGACTCCATGATCTCGGTCTCAGGTTGAGCGTTCATGTCCATGGGGACAGGAGGTGGGGGAGGGTGGAAGGGGCGAAGACGACGAGTGAATTCCTCAACGGACATACGAGCGTCGGGGCCGTCGAGCATCTGGAGATCACCGTTGACGTCGCTGGTGAAGCGGCCGTGTAACTGGCCGAGCTGCTCTTCGGGTTCGGACATGCCATTTGCGGAGTTTTCGAGGGACTGAGCTGTGTTGGAGAGAGTGAAGATGACATCTTCGGGCTCGTTCTTTAGGAGTCTCTTGGAGAAGATCGCTTCGAAGGCTTCGGGGGTTGAGAGTGGGGGGACCGTGGTGGTCACGGAGATGGGGCGGTGAATGGAGAAGAACGAGGCAACGTGAACATCTATTGAAAGGAAAACACCGAATTAGAACAATTCACAAAAATGACAGACCAATAGAATCTTCCATATATCAGAGGCCCAAAACTCACCATGCGGTTGGCGATGTTGTGTCGAGGGAACACTGGGAAGCTTGGAAAACGCAGTATCCTGCTGGCTGGACTTGGAAGAACCGCTGCGGGCACCGCTTTCCTTGCCCCGGCGACGGGTGGATTTACTCTTCTCGCTTGAGGAGTTCACACTCTTTGCAGGAGTGGAGGTATCCAAGCGGCGCGAGCCATCACTAGGAGGGACTGGTGGTTTGGAGGAGGATGAGGAATACCGACGCTGGTGGAGATGGCGAGTTGCGCCGAGGAGGCCGGCGGAGGGAATGCTCTGGGCGGTTCGAGAGGCGCCAGTGAGAGGCGCCCATGCGGCCCGGCATATAGATGTCGACAACATGGTTGAGGTGAGACCCAGCGGCTGGGGAGATGTTGGAGATGACTTTGAATCGGAGGCGAAATCATCGGACCGGAAGTCGGCGTCTCTGATCATGCGGAGATTATGTAATACTTTATGCCTGGAAAACAGGGTGTTAAAATATCATTGACACATGAGAGATCATATGCAGCGGTGGGCAAATAGATGATTAAGAATTGATTTACGGCGAGAATAACACCATTCTATATTAGCTAGGCTTGAGCCACTACACGTTGGCTTACGGCTGTATATGTGCTTGAATCATCCATGTTCGCGATACAATTGCACGTCATTTTCCAAGGCAATCATTAAGGCTGCACAAGTCTGGGGGAGATTATGACTGTAGAATCCCAGGAATTTCTAGGTCAGGCAAATTCCAAAAAAAGAAATTATGAAGAGGTAGAGTAAGGAGTTCATTCAAAGTTGAGAATGGCCAACGACACAAAGAAATTGTGATAATACAGTCGTCAGGTAAACATATCTGCGGCGACAGAGATAAAAAAAAAAAGTGGTATCATCCTGCATGATCAAGTGAAAGATAAAGAGAAAACAACAACATGAAAGTAAAAGGCACCGGAACAGCGCTTGGCACGTGGCATTAGTTCGCGAAATTGAGCGGGCTTTTTGGATGCAACGTAACAGACCCAAGGACGCGGCAGAAGGCCGACCACTCCTCTATCAAGACGCCTCGTAAGAGAAAGGGAAAAAGGAAATGAAACAGAATGCAAGAGACATGTCAAAGTTGGTAGATATCAAAAGGAAAAACAGACCGCCGAGGGTATGCAATCGAAGAAAAGAAAAGTAGGCTAGAAAGCTTGACAAGAAAATCGACTTCGTGGCAAATAATGACGTTCATCATAAACCTTGGTAAGGCCACCGGTATTTTAGAAATCGCTGCCTTATAGTATTAAGGTATGCAAGTTCTTTTGTATGATCATATCCTGTACCGAATCCATAGTCGCCTTCAATAATGTGGTATCAGTGGCGTTGGTTTGGTGGATATAGATCTCACGGTCTGGAATTCGATTGATTCCACGGAAACGATCAGCGAAGTACCGCGCAGCGGATTCAAAATCTGTATCGGAACCGCTGTAGTCGGGGAAATGATTTGAGATGGAGGATATGGAAAGTTTGGCTTTAAAGAGATCGATCTTGTTGAGGAAGAGAATGATAGGCTTTCGCTTAAACCACTCTCCATTGACGAGTGATTCAAATAACATCATTGCTTCATGCATTTGATTCTGTTGGGGAGTTCATTAGTATTTTCGAGCATCCAAAATTCAACAGAGTACTTACCGCGTTTTGATCTTCAACCAGACATTGGTCATACCCAGACAAAGCCACCATGAATAACAAGCACTGAACTCCCTCAAAACAGTGAATCCACTTCTTTCGTTCTGATCGTTGTCCACCAACATCCATCATCCGGAAGTTCATCTGCCCAAGCTCGAACAAAGTTTCCGTGATACCTGTTGTTCGAAGTCGAGCCTGGAGCATATCCTGGTTATCAGGAAGCCACCCGGGAGTAAATATCCTGTCCAAAGACTCGTAAAAGCTAGAGGACTTGTTAGCAATCATTCTTAATTCATATGAATTCCGGTGTATGATGGTCTTACTAGCTCAAGTTATCGTGTAGTGCAAACTCATGTCCACGCGCCACAGCCTTCTGAACACCTGAATCGCGCCACATGGTTCTCATCGCATCACGAATCTTCAAGTCAGAAAAGGCATCATCTGAGCCAACATCTGGCTCAGTCTTATCTAAAAGCTCTCCCACGGTCTTTGGATAATGGTTAGTATATTGTAAATGACTGTAGCGCTGGGGAAATACTCTACCCTTGTGCTTTCATGCTCAAATTGTATGTTCTCTGCATTCATAATGTCCAGCAAAACCTTGAAGGCAACGACAACGTTCGAATAAATAACAGTTCGCGTTTGGTGACGCTCCTCCTCAGGAAAGCCTCGGCTATGAATAATGCGCATTTGCTTGATAATGGTAGATTTGCCCGATTCACCGGCACCTAATGGAATTGTTAGTATAACGCCTAATTTCACGCTCAACTATTGAGCTCCTTGGGTCGACGGAATACTGACCGAGCAGTAGTATCTTAATTGTCCTATCCAATGTCTTTTTGTCACTCTTGATGACCCGGTCGATGCGGGCGTTCCGCTGGACAGCGTCTCTATCCGCCTCGGCGGGTTTGGAGACTAAACAACCCATAATGCAAGGATAAAATGCGAGTCTTAGATTAAGAGAACTGATTTGTTAGCGATTGGGTCAAAATAAGGTAGACACAGGTCAGCTCGAGGGTTCAGCTCAAGGGCGCATTGGAAATCGCGGCTGTTCACTGATCTGAATCAGGGATGCGCAGGGCACTAGCCACACCCTCTCGACCTATTTTGAGGCTGAGGAGACCCTTGAGCGCGGGCGCCGCAAGATGAATGCGATTCTGGGATATGATAGGTAGGCGACCTACTAATTCTCGACCCCTTGTCTAACAGCTCAAACCGACCCACGCGACAAATAAACGGACGTATCCTAGCGACCCTGTCACTGCTGGGCGCTTCGATCGATTTTTCGAAGGTTCCCCACACCCAGGGCCTGCCACGTTCCGTTATGAATTGGTGGCGCCGAATTTCCAATTGGACCGAAATACCCTCCGGGACGCCGAGGACGTCACCAAGCAAGTACTGGTGACTTGGGTATTTTTTTCGTCTTTGCGACACGGGAATCACGGGGAGATTGCGTGGAGGAAGAAGCGCGGATAACGGTCAAGGGAAGATCGGAGGTGTCAACGGGAGTGGTTCCAGAGTTTGGGTTTCGCGGGACAGAAAATCAAAATAGCGAAGGATTATCCGAGGTTCTCCAGCGAACAAAAGCACCTTTCCACAATCGCCGCTTAGGGTGTATGAAGTCCTGGTGTAGTGTGGGGAGAGAGAGAGGGGGTGGGAAGGGGAAGGAAGGAGAAGAGCTGAGAAGGGTCAGTAGCAGCACATCTCTGCCGTCCCACGAGAGAAGAACAGGAGTCCACAAGTGGGGAGAACGATGCACCCGGTTAGATCGTGTCTCGACAGTTTTCACTCCGAAAAAGCCGAGTTTGACTGCGGAGTGCAGGTTCCAAGAGAAACAGGAGGCCCACTTGGTTCACAAAGTCTACAATTGGCGTTGAAACACTGTGGAATGTGGAGGGAAGAAGTACGAAAGATACAGAACTTGAAGGAGAGAGAGAGGGAGAAGGGGAAATGATTCCGTTAAGCTACTTCAAGTTTTGGGGGGGGGATAAAGGATGAATCGTACTATTGTGAGTAATCAAAGATAATCTCATCATAAATATAAATATAATTTATTCTAAAATCAATATTTTATTCTTCTGTACGAACCGCATGAATTGTAGTACTAGTAGGGGCCACTAGGTTGATCCACCAAAATGGGGCCAATCTTCCCCTGTATGTTTTGCCAATTAATGATGATCAGGAGTGACGACGACGAGTACGGAGTACGGAGATGATCTGAAAATATTGAGACACGAGAGCTTAGAAGGTTTCTTGTGAGATATCGAGGTGTTCTATGGAACAATAGACTCTACCCAGGGCTTCATACATCCATGCATCCTTCTATACTACCCTACCCATGTTACTGCATCTACATGACTGGCCCCCTAAAAACCAACCTTACCCCTTCCCCTCCAGGATGCAAGAATGCAATGATCTGAATCTTCTCATACTACGTAAGATGCTCATCGTCAACAATTATGTCCCAAAACAGATGTGCTCCGAGAAGCTAAGGAGCTGTCCGATCCATCGCGGCACTATTGAATATCGCCTCGGCCCTTCCCACGCGGTCAAGCCAATCACGTTGTCTCGTGCTGACGCTTCTCGAACAATCGCATTCTTCAATCATATACGTGCACCTTGCATGACACTAATGATTCCATGTTGATTAATCTATCTTCCATGCGAAGCGAGGCATAAAAAGTGTCCGACAGGAATGATAAGAACAAAAAAAGAAAAAAGAGAAGAAAAAAAGACCATTCCTAACACAGGGTCATCCACGAGTCTTCCATTCCAAGCCGCGGCCAACCAAGTCAGGGTGCGGATGTGGATTGTGGATATTATTGTGGCTCCCCGATGGTTCTTCGCTGTGTGCCAAGGCGCCATGCGGAATGCATACTGCAGCGATCGGCGTTTTGCTGAAACTCTCATGGGCTGTGCGTGCCTGTGCGTATCACCAGAGACGCAAGGGAATTTCTGAAACGTCGGTGGCATTTGATTTGGTCCCGACTTGGTCCCAGCTTGCAGCTCTTCTGGCCTACCTCCACGGTTTGTATACTTCCCACCCCCCCAAATCCCTTCTTTACCTACAGACTTCTTAAACTCAGCGAGAAAAAAAATACCCAGATTCACTGCAGGAGATATGCTTCGTCAAACCTACCGAGTCCCTCATGCTTGTTCTTTGTCCTTTCATCATGAATTGCGGAAAACACTTCCCCCCCCCCCTCCTCCGGTTAGCACGCCCCCGCTTGCTAATGTGAAGATCCTTATGGATGGATTCGTGCACTTCCAGGGTTTAGCCTGTTTTCCTTGACAAGAACGGGACTAGCAATACCATTACAAGCCGTCATCTGATTCTGTGTTAAAATGCGCCAAACTCCGAAATACTCGCATCCGCTCCCAATCAATGAGCTTAGATTTTACTAATAAAACGCCTTCTCGCGTACTAGCCATTTAGCAAGCCACAAAATGGCACATTATTCGGTTTGGAACAAGTCTAGCCTAGGTGGATCCCGTCATGAAGCGCAACTCCACAAGACAAAAACCACCTTTCCCTGTGAAGCACACCCGTAAGCCCGTGCTCAACATCTGGATTACCGTGCGACCCCATCTCCCTCCCGTACTCCGTATCTTGCACGTTACTCATTTACCTAGGGATCGTATCATAGGCACCTCGGGTCATGAATCGCGTCTGGTTTATCGCTTTGTCGTAAACACGAGAAGAAGAAGAAGAAGAAGAAGAAGAAAAGGAAGAAAAAAGCATGTGTCCACTGTACCCGCAAAAACCCCCACAGTTCTAGCCAGAGAGTTCAGTTACCAAGGAATGCCCTCTTGCTTCGCAAGGCTATCTAATGCAGCTTGCCAGAAAGTGAAACGAGGAGGATGTTCTTTCGGATCAAAAGCTCCGGTTTCATAAATTTGTTGGGGGTTCTTTGCCCGGCTCCGTTGACTCGCTAAGGCAGGGGTAATCCTTCGCTCCCGGTATTGTGGAGATAGATTTCCCTATCACACAGCTGATCGCAATGAAATCGAAGGCTCCGGACCTCGGATCCCGGTATGGTAATAGAATATCCCCGAGCCTGATCGATAGGTAGCATATACTATAGGAATTCCCGGAAATTAGCCTGTCAGGGGAGATGTATGTCACTATGGAGTAGATGCCGTTGGAATATCCTGCAAACCTTCAAGTGGGCTGCGTTCTTTCCCGAATAACGCTGAGGCTGAACGTTCCCGTTTACAAAAGTACTTCTGGGGTAAAAAAGGTAAATGAACATCAACAAACTAAATCGACAGAAATAGAATTTGACTTTCGCATTTTATTGCCACTTTTCGAGGTTTCAAAGCTTGGATATATGAATGATGCATACCCAGGTGAGCAAGCTTTCGAGTTCAAATTGCTCAGCCACGATCATAGAGTATTCCGAGTCATTCAAGTTCACCTGCAATTTCCAAGGTGTCATGAACCTCGGAATATCCGAGCATTAAATGAACGCATTAGATGCACATAAATAACGTACTCCATTTCACGGTGCTGCTTATATATTCAAGCTTGAGGTCACAGGTACAAATGAACTACTTCGCATATCGGGACATAAAGGAACCAACACAGCCGAACAAGGTCTTGCAGGCCGCCCACTCGTATCATAACGAGTCTCATCGGCTTGGACGTGTATACGTGAGAAATCTCCAATTTCCGATTGTAGACGCAGTCCCGTACTCCGTATCACCTGAAAAAGGAAGACACACGGACATCTCCGCTTGCAATGCCGATCATTTCATCCTTGAGTTCCGGGTCAGCGGCCTAATACCTGCGAGAGCACAACGCGTCAAGGATTTATCGAGGATTAAACTCCCGCACACAAAGTTTAAACGCCACAATTTCTCGCCAGGGGTACATGATGCTGCCGATTGGAGGGGGCCCCTGAGCCGTCCAGTCATCAGAAGATTCGTCAGGACTCCCTGTCCACATGTACAAGATACTTTTAATAGCGGCGCTACCCAGCCGTGCGTATAATAAGAATAGGGGGTGAGCAGTCTCGTCAAGGGTCCGCTATCCAAGATTACATCGGTGATTTCCCAACGGGCAGACCGGTAAAAGCGTTGGTGGTGGATCCATAGCAAATTAAACGTGGCCGATCAGTATTTGACAGCGACCAAACCCCGGTCTTCAGGGGCTCCGAGCGCCGGCTCTTCGGGCCTGGAGCCGTGAAAATGTCCACTGATTGCAGAACCTGTTTCGGTTCGCTCGCTTCTCTTGAAGAGGAAAATGTGGCTTTGTGGAAGGACTGCGTGGTGGACTTATATTAGGGTCTTGGACTCTTGGTTCTGGACTCCGCAACTTGGCCCCTTATTCAATCATTGCGAGTCACTTGTGATCAGGATGGCACCATGTTCTGAATCATTGTTAGATTGTTCATAAACATTGTTTGCTCCACCTTCGTCGTTCTCGCTAAGATAAAATAACATATAGTAATTCAAAGGGCGTGGTTGTGAACTTATGACGGGGTAAGCAGCTCTGTTCTAAAAGGAGGACATTCGATGGACGCTCGTATCTTGTCTACAGAGAAAGGCGTAGCCCTGGGAAAAATCGTGAATCTTATCGTGATATTTTTGAGACAAAACAGATCAGAAATCCAAGGTCATCTTCAAGTTCATAGTAATTGCGGAGCGAGGTGGAGTACTGGTATACTATAAATGAACATTTGAACTATATATAACCCCTCAGGCCTACAAAGTCCGACTCAAGTACTACTAGTACTAGTAGTAGCTTGAATGCATCCATTGATTCAAAACCTTCAATAAAATGTTCACTGTTCAATTCAAATTTTGTTGTTCTGCGCAATCAAGAGATCTGATCGGCCATCAGTACAACCTTGGAATCATTGTCCCATTCACGCTCCTGACAAGGGGAGCGAGCTCACCAATATATATATCATATATCATCGTATATACTACTACTTACTACTAGTTTTCTGATATATGATACCATCATGATATGACGGATCTGGCCCTTCACCCTGCACAGGGGTCTGGGAGGGGCCTGGGAAAGGAAACATGGATTTGTAAGATACACTTTGAAAGGATGATTATGGTTGATGGCTGTCTTGATACTAAATCGATGGCTTTTTAGGCCTCGATAGTTCGTTGCGCTTATTCCTATCCACGCTCTACCAATGTCCCAAGATCATGGGGAGGGGAATTGTTTTCTTTTGTTTGGTATCGGCGATAACGACCATTATAAAAGGCGGTCAAATTGATCGGGCAGAAACTGGTAAATCACTAACGTGGAGGCGCATACGGGTTACCCTATGCCACTTTTTTTTTCAACAGCGCGCCGTGCTCTTATGTACAACAATCCCCCAACTTCTTTCCTCCTCACTCCTCCCAAGAGAAATACTGCTTTCCAGCTGCTCTTACTGGTGCCTTTTATCCATCCACGCGCTTTTTGAGTTCCCTTGCCCCTCCGCATCATCTCTTTCGCTCTGTGAAACAGCGGGATCTTGTCCCGTAATGCAGTGGTACCCCGCTTAGTCCCCTTGACCGCCTGTGAAGAAGCCATGGGTGACACCAGCCAAGAACTATTAGCCGTAAGTAGCGATCCATTTGAGATATATCGTCTGCGTCGCAAACTAACATAACTGAATCCTGAAGGATCTGGAGAAGCTGTACTGCCCAGCGATAGATTCTGCGCTGCTTAGCGCAATAGCATCCGACTTCGACTTGACCGTGCCAGACGATGTGGCTAAATTACGGGAATCCCTGGACGAAATTAAAGGGCTAGCTGTGGCGCAAGAAGACCTCCCATTTGATCCCTCTGGAACCGCGAATAGTCACGATCTCGATGTGATCCAAAATGGAGGGACCTTTTCTGAACTTGGGATGTCTGGCCATGGCTACGACGAGTCTCTGTACACCACGACTGATATCACCAGTACTTCCGGTGATAGCCTCGACAATTCTTCTAGTGGCAACTCCAAGTCGAATGCTGCATATACCGTTGCAGCCGATGGTTCACTGAAGCTGACAGGCGCGACGCATGCGGAGATGTTGAACAATCTGATGCGAATGTTCCCGACGATGACCAAGTTTAATGTTGACCAGACATTGAAGAAGAGCAGTGACGATATTGATAAAGCTATGGATATCTTGTTGAATTTATCATTTTTTGGTGAGACCCTAGAGGGGTTAGATGGGGCATCAAATGACCCCGATTCGCAAATATTTGTTCCCCGAGGAATTGATGGATTCAATGCCGAAGCGGGGGATGTTGGTCGTCAAGCCGGCCGAAGAAAGAAACGAAATAAGAAGCAGAAATCTCATATCATCGAAAATGTACCTTTAGAGCCTTCAACCACTAATAAGTGGGAGACTGGGAAGGCCGATATTGATTTCATATGTTCCCGAGCTGTCGAAGTCCCCCAAAAGAAAGTCAACTCGACTTATCATGCCAACGGGATGTCTTTGCCATCGACTATCCTAGCATTAGCCCTCGCCGAGGCTCCCACAAACGTTTCTGATACGACTGAGGACCCTGTCATGTCTACGCAATTAGTCGAGCTCTCACATGACTATCCACGTATTCAGCAGACAACCCTGATCGGTTTGCTCAGGATCACTCGCAACATAATTTCCGCCACCAATGAGTTGGCTGCAGTCATGATTCAACAGCCTCAAACATTGGCAAGTGACATAATCAAAGTCACAGCTGCTCCATTAAATCTTGAAGACGACGAAGATGTGGCGAATCCCCAGAGTCACTATCAAGCAACTCCCAGCACACTTAACTTCGAGCAAGCTCGGGATGCTGCGGAAGTTCATTTCGCCGCTCGTTCGATCGCTAACCAACAAGCAAGCCAAGCAGCTCGGCTTGCTAGGTCCAACCACCTGTATGGTGGTGCGATTGCAGTGTATCATGAACGGAGCCAAAAGGAGAGCCAACTCGCCAGGCAACAACTGGCCACAGCCTCAGACAGGCTTGTGGATCGACAGTCGAGCCAGTGTGATCTGGATTTACACGGTGTGACTGTCACCAATGCCATTCGCATTACACGTGAACGAGTTGATGCCTGGTGGGACCGTCTAGGTGATACCAAGCATGTCCGTGGAGGCGGGAAGCACGTTCATGGTGGCTTTAGGATCGTGACGGGCGTGGGTAATCACAGCCATAATGGTATCGCTCGTCTTGGACCCTCTGTCAGCAGAATGCTCATACGTGAGGGCTGGCGTGTGGAGGTTGATCGGGGGTTTCTCATTGTCCAAGGAAAGGCACGGACATGAGAGAGATTCCGACGGTGGCTTCGTATTTTTGAATCTATTTTCTTTTCATCTTATTGCGGATCTGATTCTTTCATCTTATTGCGTTCTTATTCGAGATACCCACGATATTGCATTCCTGAGGGGCGTTTTGATGAAATATTTGGTTTGATATGCTTTTCAAGAACAACCATTTCATATGAGATGTTAGTGATTATGTTGACTGTGAAATCCTTGTATCACTGATACAAGAAATTCTGCTTTGTGTCCAGCCTCGTCAATCAAAATAAGAGGTTCAATCGATAACATTTGAGCCGACAGCATAGACACTGCTGCATTGGTCTAGCGCTTGGACACTTTATTAGGGTTCACTATAATCGTCCAACTTGAAGTTGTAGTCACCTCGAGCCCATACAAATGTCGACATCTGGAACATTTAAAGCTCCCCGCACTGATGACGTAAAAACGCTAGATCCTCCACTTCATTTCCCCAAAATTCTTCAACAATACCTGAAGCTCATCACCCATGCGTTCCCAAGCTGTACGTTTCTTGCAACATTCTCTGAGGCACCGTGCCCCGACTCCATCTGTGCCTTTGTTCCGATCTCTGTCTACCTCCCCCGGCAACGCACCACGTTCGACACGCTCCAAGGCACTCCACGCTGCTCCGACAATCCCCTTCTTTGGCGCTTTCTTCAGTTCCAATAAGCCCGACGAACAAACACAAAACATGTCTTTCCCTGACCAGCGAAGTGATGACCAGTGGAGGGCCGTTTTGAATCCTGGTGCGTATTCGAGACCCGATTGATGATCCATCTGCAGGAACCCGTTCGTCCTAACACATCTTGCTTATAGAGCAGTTTCGCATCCTCCGTGAAAAGGGCACAGAGCGCGCTGGAACGGGTGAATATGACACCCATTATCCATCAACAGGTGTCTACAACTGCGCTGGCTGCGACGCGCCCCTGTATACAGCCGACCACAAGTTTAAGTCTGGCTGTGGCTGGCCCGCTTATTTCGATTCGATTCCTGGGGCAGTAAAGAGGAATGTGGATAATACTTTCGGTATGAAGCGCACAGAGATTGTCTGCAATAACTGTGGAGGTCATCTTGGTCATGTCTTTGAGGGTGAAGGGTTCTCTACTCCGACTGATGAGCGCCACTGCGTGAACAGCGTTAGTTTGCGATTCACAGAAGATGGAGCATCTGGAAAGGCCCCGGCTGAGAAATCCAAGGCATAATTTAGGAAAAGGGTAAATTGGTCATAAACATTATTGAATATCTAAGCAAAATTGAAGGGTTGCGAAAGTTTACCTCTCAAGGTATATTCCTTTGTCTTACAATGTATAAGTGGACATGAAAGGACCCTCTGGGCCGGAGACGCTATGTAATCAACAGTTAAGAACAGCCTAGGCCAACCAAATCTTCCAAAGACGACCAGTCTGCAGAAGGTTCCTGCTGAGTTTAATCTTAATCACGAAGATCGACGTTTTAACAATTTAAATCTCATTGGTGATTGCAATCTACCTCGAACTGCGGGAGTGGCTGTTTTGACTCACCGTATATTTGGCCGCAGCCACAGTTAGGCCGCATTGTTCCCAATTCAAGTTCCCGACACCTGCACTCACTCCTTTCCACGAATATTCCCCCGCGAACGTCCTAAAAGATGTCACGACGCCCGACCCCGGGCCAGGCTGCTCAGAACTCGCAGACCATCAAGAACCTGCTGAAACTCGAGTCCAACAAGATCTGTGCTGACTGCAAGCGAAACAAACGTTAGTGTTCAACCCCTCCGATGACATCCCCATGCGCTTTCACTTCGGCCCTTTCTGCACTGGATATAAATAAAGAAATGATGCTTACTTCTCTCACTCAGACCCTAGATGGGCATCATGGAATTTAGGAATCTTCGTTTGCATCCGGTGCTCGGGTATCCACCGTGGAATGGGAACACACATTAGTCGGGTTAAGTCCGTTGATCTCGATGCCTGGACCGACGAACAACTCCAGAGTGTGATTAAATGGGGCAATGGAAGAGCTAATAAGTGAGTCTATATCAATTGATACCGCGAGTCAGCTGCTAATGTACTGAAGGTATTGGGAAGCCAAATTGGCGCCTGGTCATGTTCCGTCCGATGCGTGAGTGAATTTGTACCACTGAACTCCGCTCGCGTACCATTGACTAACGGAAATCGATAACAGTAAGATCGAAAACTTCATTCGTACCAAATATGAATCAAAGCGCTGGGCTATGGACGGTGGAATCCCGGATCCTTCAACTCTTGACGGGGGTGATGACGATGATGTGGTGAGTATCATTGGCCTTGAGATCACTAGGAACCAACATACGCTGACAGAGTAGCCTCTTGCTATTGTACAGGAGAAGGCAAAGATTGAACGATCTGCATCCCAACGAATGCCTGCTCCCAGTCAGCCACCTGTGCGCCGCCAACAACCCTCGATTGACCTATTTGGCGACGATATCTCTCCTCCAGTGCGCCCTAGCACAACGGACCCTGCCCCCCGCGTGCCACCCAAGCCTTCTCAGCCCGTTCAACAGCCGAAAGCACAACAGAAACCAGGTGACTCGTTGCTGGGACTCGACTTCTTCGGTAGCAGTCAACCCGCCGCCAGCCGTCCAGCGAGCACTTCTTCCACACCTGCAGCGCCCACTGGCATGTCCCGACCCGATTTGAAGCAATCAATTCTCTCGCTTTATGCGAAGCCTCAACCGGCCCCGGTCCAGCATGGACGAAATAACTCCTTCGGTGATATGGCTTCTCCAGCACCCCAGGCCACATCCTCGAACATGGGTGGTTTGACGGACGCTTTCAGTGGACTCAGTTTCCCCACAACTACTTCTCCTCCCCCGGCCCAGTCAGTCGAAAAGCCATCTCCATTCGCCAACCTTACCAGCTTCGCCAAGACCAAGTCTACTCCTGCTGCGCCCAAGGTTACTTCACCCTCTGGCTCGGCCAGCGGTGATCTTTTCGATAGCTTGACATCCCCCACATTATCTGCACCCAAACCGCAGTCACGAACGACTTCAATTTCATCAAACTCACAAGATTTCGGATTTGGTGGTTTTGCATCTCCACCACCACCAAAGCCTTCGAAGCCCAACCCCCCGTCGTCATCTCTCTCTAACGACCTCTTCGGCCTCTCTTCCCCACCACTTGCCCCGGCAGCTCCACCGAAACCCACCGCTGTCTCTCCACAGCAAGAGATGAGCTCTGCGTTCAATCTATCCAACCCGTCCTATCAACCTTCTGCTCCCGCAAAGCCCCAAGTACCAGTTGCTCCAGCTGCTACTGCGGGTATCATGGACCCATGGGGTGGCAACGCATGGGGCAACCCTGATCCTGCCCCGGCACCTGTCACATCCCCGCCTCCTCCATCCGCCGCATCAATGATGAAGGTCCCCGCTACCTTGACCGCCAATGATCTTGGAGGTGGCTGGGGTTCCTCCAGTGCCGCGCCTAAGCCAGCGCCCACCGTGGCCGAGGACGAAGATTTCGGTGGCTGGACAAGCGCTGCTCCCGTCTCTGCTGGTCCCACCGCTACTTCAAACAACTCATCTAAGCAGGGCGGCGGGTTTGGCGGAAACGATGACCTTTTCTCTAACGTGTGGGAATAAAGGGTATTTCATATCGATAAAAGAATGAAATATTAATTATAAGTCACATTTTCCTATCTTTGCATTAGTGGTAGTACTCTGCGCATTGGTTTTGCACATACTGGTGTTCGCGTCGGTTGAGACTTATGCCCTGATGACTTCTGAGATCCGGTTATTTCTATTTCCTGTTTCCTAATCTCTATTCTACCTTTCCTCGTTATTTCTTTGAGCCTCTATTTCCCATCCGCTCGAGTCTTTTGTGGCGTTGGATTGCGGGTATATCCCGGATGCAAATGGGCTGGCCTCATATTTACACTTCTTGTTTTTGGCGTGTACACTTGTTCTCAATTGTTTTAATCATTCTAATCTACGTTCTGCATAGTATGTCGACACCGAGAGAATCATGAACGTCATGGCTGATGCACATGTGTTGATGTCACCTAGTCTGATACCTTAGTTTTAGTTACTGATATACATACGCATAGTTATGAATGAATCAACTCAATGTTTTAATACTACAAATGATCCGTCTTTGATACTAGTATGTTGTACTAGGTAGGTGATTTATGTTCAATCCAAATGATAATATTTTTAAGTTGAAGCTGTCGCTTTCTCCGCGACGGGGTATATAAATGTACAATAATCCTCCCAACTGTAAGTCCCCACCAAAATCAAAAAATACATACAAGAAAGTAAAAGAAAGACATGAGAAAAGAGAAAGGTATCTCATATAGACAAAGAACATCGAGTCGAAACAAAGATAGATACCTTCGACCCAACAAGGAGGGAATAAACGATCCCAAAAAATGAAAGTCATAAAAGCCTCAAAAAGCACACACAGTCAACGATTAAGAAAAATTCTTCTGCGACTTCGGCACAAGATCCTTCATACTCCCCGCATCATCATGAGGCGTAGAAATCGACTCCTGCGTTACAAACGTCGTAACTTTGATTCCTGAGAATCCAGCCTTAGCTTCCTGCTCCTTCGACAACTCATCATACGAAGAGCCGGAAGCCGACATATTCTCCAGATCATACATGTGATCCTCTGGCTCACGACCTCCAATGACAGAGGCTTGTATATTTGTATGTGTGCCTGTAAGTGCACTTCGGCCTGTGCGCGAGGGACGGGTCGTCTTGCTTTGGTTGTCGCGGGAAGAGAAGATATGAGGGAGGAGCTTTGTGAGGAAAGCGCGGGTACTTGGGAGAGCGGCGCAGATGATAGCGACGTTGCATTCGATTGCGGACCATTCTGCTGCACCGACGTTGTCGTCTAGGTGGAGGGTCAGTTTGTTTTGTTCAAGATGGAGTGAGTGGCAGACTAGTTGGGACTTACGTGTTGGGTCGTCTGACTTGGCGATGATGAGGAGACTTCGGAGACGGAGGATGCTGGTTATCATGACGCTGGGTGTTAAGTTAGTATAAATGCTGTTTGTTGCCCTTGGGATAGGATTGGACAGGAGAGAGAAGAGAAGGAAACATACAATCCTCCTAAAGCGAAGACAGCCATTAAAGCGAATTTTTGTCGGCTTGGTAGTTGGAGAGATTTGATGACGGGCATTGGGTAGATGAGGATGAGCAGATCGGTCAAGATATGAATGGCCGAGTTTGAGAACCAGAGTGCCTCTTTGTCGAAGCAGAAACCTTCAACTGATGGATCCCAGAACTTGGCTACGGGGATGCAGTTTGCCCAGGCACTGATTATAGTCCAGGTACCGTATACGGCTAGAAAGCTGATGAGTAAGGAGCAAGCTAGACGCATGCGTGGTGTTGTTGAGAAAACTCGACGGTATTGTAGGAGGATGGACATCTTGGTTGTGATCAAGCTGGTTTGATAGATGGGTACTGAGGCCCAGAAACACCACATTTGCGTGACGTATATTCCATGGGGAATGTCTGCATAGTGGGCGCCCATGCCATGGTAAACCTCTATAGATGGATATTAGATGATATCTAGTATTTAAGTGAGCTAGGCAGGTTTCACTTACCACCGCAGAACACGCCGTAAAAGGCCCATGAGAAAGCCTGAATGTGAGAGTTAGTAGCTGGATTGATCAAGGAGAAATCAAATGGAATCCTTACCAGGGCAATTAGAATAGCGTAGTCATCGGAACCCATCTGCTTCACCATGAAAGCTCGGGTATAGATTCGGATCGCCACCAGGACAGTTGCTAGAACGGTAAAGACCGTGTTGACTGCAAGGGCCTCACGGCCTCGGGTTGTGGATAGAGTAGGCATTATTCCATAAAGATTGTAGTGACCGTGTGAAGTTTGATGTTACCAGGAATCCACAGAGTAGATCCGATGATGTATGTGGAGAGCAAAGAAAAAGGGAGAAGTGAGGATCAGACCAACAGGGCCTTTTTCTTTAATACTCATACAACCCGGAAGTAGATAGATAGTGCAAGTGGGGACTTGAATCGAACCCCTCCTTCTCTTTCTCAATACAGAAAAGCGAATGATGAAATTTAGACGCAAAGCTCAATAGAAAAAAGAGATTAATGATTGGGCATTCGTATAGTTAAGGCGCCAGCGTAAGCCACAGTGGGACTGGAGAATATAAGCTTAGGGACAAAGCCGAGAACTATTGAATACCAGGAAAAGATGATTGATTTAATAAATCCAGAACCATGGTCAAGATGCTGTCAAAGCACACTCGCTTGTTTACGTATATCCCTTTTTCATGCACCAAAAGAGTAGGATCCGTCTTCTCCGCAGACAGGTAACTGCACCGACAAAGTTTGGAGCGTTGGAGCCGATGTGCAGCGTAGAACGGCCGACAACAACCTATCAGATGCAAGTTTTTCTTGCGTTCATCAGGGGTGTTTCGCCCGCCTGGTGGAGCCTGCATATCTAGACAGTTCATGAACCATGAACATGAGGAAGCTAGGCCGTTCCTGATCCACATTGTCCACATGATGATCCACTCCATGTGCTGCGGGTCTGGGATGCAAAGCTCCCTCCTCAGTCATTGCTCATTCTTGTGGACCAGTCAATTGGATTATCAGGGTAATCAAGTGGAGAATTAGGGTATTGGGGTTCTACACGGCTTGACATTTCCAATGCCGTGTTCAAACCATGGAACCTTCGTTGCTCTAGTCCATTTCTAATTATAAAACCTTGGAAGCTTCAACCGTTGTAAATATTTGGAGACGCGAACCTAATTTCCCAAGTCGTGACGAAGAGACCTCGAAAAGAGAGACAAGCAGTGCTAACTCTGCTGAGTGCGCCCAAATTTTGCTTCTTTGACTTCTTCTTTTTGTTCCATGTTAGTGTCATGCAAGGATCAATTAGCGAAGGCGCGAAATTAATTAGCGTCATCCGAGATCGGGGCACGGAAAAGCCATCCCCGCTCAAGAACTGAACTTGCCTCTTTGCCCAGACGCGGCTAAACGACTAGCACTTCAGCCCGGGCTTCGATTTCCCTTTGATACGTAGTAGCCATACTCCCGGGATCGTGGTTAGCGTCCCCCATCCTCCAACGAGGAGGCTCTATCCCGCCCAGCGATTTGTGGCTGGCGATGGCTTCAATAGTGTGTGTGTGTTGGCGGGGACGCACGGGACGTAGAAGAGAAATCCCTGCCGCCACAACCATGTGCGTCTTTGATTCTAAGAAGATCATCCAACATGACACACTGCCCTATAAATGATGATGCAGTAGTGACAGTATTCCACTGCAGCTAAAACAGCAACACAAAAATGAGAGCATGCAACTCTTTCCTAATTAGCTCCAGATCCTGGTTCTTGGACAACTGGCAAGTCAAGGATCAAGGATCAGGGGATGAAAACTAGTCTTTCAGTCGGTTATTCGTAATGATCATCCCATACTCCGTATTAATGCACAATTTTGTACAGTAAATGGGACATGTCCTCTTCTCCGCGCGCGCGCAACTCCGAGGCTATCACCGTTAACCGGTGCACGGATCGCGCCTCAATGCAGCACACAACAACTGAGTAGTGATCCGGCGGGGCTAGTCGATGAAGATGGCGATTATCATGATTTCAGCTGTCTGGCGCTAATGATATTCGGAGCATTGGCATCGCCACTTACTCTTGGTATCTGCGGAATTGATCCACGCGGCAGTTTTTTAGAGGGAAGATCTTCATAACACTGACTCCACTACGACTCTTTCGGTCAAATGGTCCGGTCGTGATAGGGGTAGTCGGGGCGAATTGAACGAGGTGATCGATTTTTGATGGAGATTTGTATTAATTGTGAATTAAAATGGATATCGCCTGTATGAAATGATTGAGACGATGATGCTAAATGTCTTACCAGTAAAGATGATCAGCACTGCAGTGGGTAAGGCGTGCCTGAACATCTCGGGGATATTTCGGTTGTTTCCACAGGTCTATGGTGGATAACATAAATCTGTAGTAAACAATAGCGCCATGAACAAAGTAATAGCAATCATGAAAATGAATTAGTTGCAACTTTATCCGGTTGCTGTCCTGGGGCATCCGTATGCATCTGGAACATTGAAGAAAAGGTCGCACGTTTCTTTTCCTGTCATATCACTAAATCGTTCATAATCAAATGTCAATGCGTCCATCGTGATTAGATTGAACCAAAATTAACCAACGTGATTCCAAGGTTCAACTCGAAGTTGTAAAGATCTAGTTAGATACCCTAAACCAAAGCTCTACCATTGCTTTGTTTCGTTACTATTGATTGCCTAGACCAGTCGTAGCTGATTTAATAGGGGGCGCTAGCCACTCTTGCAACCCTAGTCTGACAAACTAATAATGCAATCGGATTTCATGTTGTTTTATTCATCAATAGTGATTCTAGCACGGGCTCGAATGAACAATAGGCCGGGCGCTAGTTGACCAAGATGACATCGAAAGACTTGCCCGATTGGGATTTCGATGACTATGGAATGCTAGTATATACCTATAAAACTTGACTCAATAGGATTGCAAGCATGCTATCTGCCATCGAGACCTCACATTATTCGAGGTTTATTATTGAGCTTGACTTGGAGTGCAGGACATCAAGACTTGCTTTCTCATAGGAGGAGACAAATACCTAGTTGAGGACCTGAGGATTTGAGTCAATAAGTCAAGCATGATAAACATTGGTACCTTGGCACCCATATAAGCGAAGGACTGCTACGATCAACTTGAAGGACACTGAGCTATCAGATTTGATCAATAGCTAGCCCGATGCTCTCTAGAATACAACTTGGTGGCCTTGTGTTATTCATTTGAGACATACACCCAAACACTGGATTTACTTACGCCTCCACTTGAAGGAGTTCTATCATATACCAATCGATCTACAGACAACCCCCTTGATCAAACTAAATTTAATTGTTCTAGAATGTGAGGATTTCCCATGCAGTATGGTTTAGGCCCCCAGTATTACCCGTGGCCGTGGACCCACTCTGTGTCAACCCCAGCCATGTGTTTTATTGTATCGCGGTGGCTGGGAACAACTGATCAGATCTTTTAAAACCAACTTCCCTCAGTCCATTTCACCAGCAGATTTTCTCTTTCCTCCAACTCACTGCGACCGGTCTGGATTATCACTTTGCATTTTTCTTTTCATCTACCGCGACCGAAAGACAGATCCATCAGAGCAATCATCTATCCTGCATCTGACATCTTATCTACATCTATTGCATACATCTCCTCTCGCTGGCTGTGCCAACGCACACAGAGGTCGGACTTGATTCTTTTCTCGCCAAAGGCAATCCAAGCCAACCCTCACCTTCCACTCTTCCGAGTTCATAACCTCAACCAGGTATCCCATCGAACACTGTCTCCAGTACCTTCAACTACAAACCCACCCGTTCGGGTCCCGCCAAGATGGTCAAGCGCAACATTACAATCGCGATTATCATTATCCTGCTCTTCCTCATTCTTGCCATTGCGGCCTTTGCTATCTACGCCGTACAAAACCATGTCTCATTCTTTTCCAAGAAGAAGGAAGGAGATGAGGAGAGTGTAGAGGGAGGGTGATGAACGTTAAGCTCATCTCATGCGACCGGTCTATTTGCCTCATTTTCTCACGATACCGACTACGTCTACGTCTTATCACTCGCCCCGATTTCAAAAGATACGATACCCTTTCTTCGACGCTATGAATTATCATCTTATTACGAGCTTCTACGAGAACCTGCTTTCGCGCTTGCGCTTTCCTGTACACTGTGCCGATCGATCGGCTATGCACTTTCACACATATTTCGTGCCAATTACTTGGAGTTGATGAGGTTTTATTTTTCTATATTCGTTTATGCCTCAGGAGTTTTATATGTGATTGGACTTCTTTTCTACTTCGATGTACTCTGATTGAGCTTTTTGGACATTTCTTACCGATGAAACTACCTATGATACATGACTCCTTTCGATGAAATGCATTCAATACTCACTTTTCCCAGCTTTGGGACAAGGAATAAATAACAACTTGAACTTAAGACATGATCAATATCTACCTTTATCCATCAAAGTAACATAGTAGGGCCGACCGCCGGAAATAGAAATGCAAGATAGCTAGAGAAATGCAGAGGTATGCCACGCGCTTCTTTGCGAAGATCAAATTCATCCCCCGATGGTATATCCGCTTCTCCTCTCCTATACATTATGCACGCAGTGCACCCTATGAAACAAGTATTCTAAATGATCGAGATAGGGAAATAAGAGAATAGAAACCATAACGCCGCGCCGAACCCAGGTATGATTGTGATTTGGTATTTAGAAAACATAGCTTAGAAGCTCCTGGGCTCGAAGAGCAGTCGCAATATGCCAGGGCAAGGTATTGCCTTGTACACTGCGCATGCCTCTTGCTCGAGCCAGGGATGCAAGATCCCGGTACATGCCCAGGATTTCTCTGAGGAGAGGTTCATGAGAAGAAGCAGGTCGTTGAGAGTGGATGAGATTGACGGTCATTGCATGGACGCCATCGCCGTCGGTGGTGCCTTTGCGACGGAGGAGATACCCGCTTGCCAGAGCGGAGCGGAGTTCGGTAATGTGGGGGGAACTGTTGAGGCGATGGGAGAGGATAACAGCCCATGACTCGTCGGAGAGATCGGTGAGGACAACGTCGGAATCGGGTTCAAAGGTGGGTTCGGTGGGGGTAGGAGCGTTGGCGGACTGTTCAGGAGAAGCGACGCTGACACTTGGGTTGGGAGTCGAGACAGGGGTGGAAGACAGCTGGCCAATGAGCACGTTGGTTGTAATTTGAGTGGGTGTTGGTTCGAGGATTAGGTCGGGAGTAGTAGTAACCGTGATTAGGGTCAGCTCTATGAAGCCCGGTCGTAGTTTATTTTGTTGCTCGGCCAAAGTATTCCATGCTATAAATTATCAGTAAAGAACCAGTCAGATTCGATTGATATTCAAGAGCTCTTACCTTCAACTTCATCGGGGTCAATAGGTTCGGAATTAGCCAGAATAACCTTCCATCGAGCCTGGAATTTCTCCATAATATGCCGAGTGGTAGCCCATATCTCATTGCGTATGTCTGCGACTGCCCTGGTAGCACCGCGATTGCGATAGCGCAGGCAATACGACATGCATGCTTGAAGAGAGCCAATTTCGTCTGACCATGCTACAGATAACCATCGCTGATCAGGGCTCTTGGAGCATGCAATGTGGAGGCTTCTCCCATCCTGGAGTGGGGATGCCTTATCGGAAGCAAGCCGGAAGTTGATAGCCTTGGGCAACGAGTGTGCTAGGAGAATGGCAGGGGCACAAAGGAGAGGGCTCAGACCGGTTTCCTTCGGGCGACAGCGACTATAGACTTCCAGGCTCAGATTCATAAATTCTGTTTGCGTTGGGACGACCATAGAGTCTCCTGAGGTCACGAAGTCCATGGGAATGATTTGCAGCACAACTTCATTGATCGGCTGGCCTTGTTGACGATCAGTATCTGCGAGCATTTGTTGAAGAAGATGCCAAAATGCCGCACATATATCAGCGAGTGCTGTAGCATGTGGGAATGGATTAATGATGTAGACCACGCAGTTATCCATACTCGGCGAATACTGCGATAAATCCGTTCCTGTTCAATATCGTCAGTAAAAGAAAACACCAGCCTTACACAGTCTGACATACCGAGTTCTTCACATATGCCTTTTAGAGACTGCATCATGGAAGCATAGTTAGAAGATCCAGAGCCCCATGACTTTAACCCATTCTCGAAAGCCATCGATTTGTCGCCTCTGGAATGGCTGCCTAAGTTGCAACTCTGATAATGAAGTCCGGATCGATTTAAGAAGACATCAGCTGCCTTCGCCGCAGCATGAGGATGAATACAATAAGACGAGATGTCCTTCGGACCATGGGCGGGCTCGAGGTCAAATGTTTCCCAGAAGGAGATGGCAGGTGGTAAAGCCTCCAGATATTCCTTGCCACGACGGATACGTACATGCGGCGCAGGTATTTTAACAATCGGGTCTTTCAGCGACAGATTTGATGGTTGCTGCGAGGCAGCAACAGCACTACTTTCCTGCAGCGAGGTATATGCTTTTAGGTCGAGTTTTGCAGGTACCCCCAGAAAACTAACTTCCTCTAAATAGGTCCGCCATGTAAAGCTCTCGCTTTCCTGGTCAAAAAGTCCGATATGGCCGCCAAGCGTATGGTTGAGTGACGACTGTGTGATCTGGTCAACTAGTAGTTGAGCAATAGGGATCTGGTCTTCCTTTCGGACGAGAACAGGAAGTTGTTGAACCAGAAAAGTAGAAAAGTAGCCGATAAAATTCCAGTCTGAGAAATTAGCAAGGAAATTTCCCAAAAAGGCACAGTTATCAACCTTTGAGTTCGCACTACCATCCGATGCACCGGCAGACTTCGCTGGTGATGCCGCAGATTGAAGGTCGGAATCAGATGCCACGCGCTTCCTTTTCAAAGAGACGAGAGTTGGTGCGACTTGTGCATGCTCAGAGACCATGTCATCGCTATAATCGCTAGATTCACTCTCTGAATCTAAAGAGCTCTGATTGTCATCATCTAAAACAGCAGGCGAAGCGGTTTTGGTAGCCAGGCTTGCTCGTGCGATGCTGCCCCCTGATCTGCCACGGTGAGGAAGGCCAATTGTGGGAATAGCGCTTGGAGATGAATCTGAGCCTTTAGCCAAACTATCGGACGAGAACCAGAATTTGCCTGCAGCTCCATATTTGTGATCCCAGTCTCCAATCTTCTTCTCAAAAGTGACAGGATGATAGTGGCCTTGTTGAGCACGGCTATCATTGGACTTTTCGGGATCGTCCTTTCGGGCACCCGAGAACAATATCTTCTTAACTTCCACGGGACTTAATGGCGGGCTGATTATGGCCGGGCTAGCTGAGTCTGAGGAAGATGCACGGGAGGCAGGGGATCCCATTGGCTCATCCGGTGGTTCTGCGTCATCTTGCTTTGCTTCAACCGGCTTTACCTCTACCGCTTCCTCAGAAATATCTGGAGCATCAATTGTTGCGGTAACATCCAATTCTGTATTACCTATGACACTCTCTTGAGGTTTCTCTTCCACCAGAACGGGAGGTTCGGGTTCCTCCAGCCGGGCGGTAGGCACATCATCCATATCGTCAAGCTCTGGGTCGTCAAAGAAACTGAAGTCCGCGTCTGTAATGCCGCGTGATCCAAAGTCTCTTTCTTTCATTTCTCCGAAGAGATCTTCGTCATCGCTAGCATCATAATGGCCAGTCCCAATGCCAATGTCAGGAGAAAGTCTGGCATTCGGGTTGTTTTTTGGGTCCATTGGCCCAGCAGGTGATAGATTATTAGAATCTGCATCATCGGGGAAATTTTCGGCTTGATTTATAGTATGCATCCCAATCGCAGCTGCCCCATCTGGGGGAGTTGGATAAACCAAGTTGGCGGGTGGCAGGTCGGGGTATTGTGCCATTCGAGCGAGGCTCTCAAAGCCCTCCACATTTTCAACCTTGGACGACGTCATGTCTTGATCTTTGGATTGGGGTTTTTCCAAAACGGGAACAGATTGAGTTTGTTGGTTTGCCAGGATGGCGTCGACTTCTGATGGCCATCGCTCAGCAAAATTGAGCGGATCATCCACAAAACTCTCAGGCCATGAATCTCGATTGCTGTGACGTTGCAACTGGGAACCGGTCCGCCTGAAACAAAATCGTGCTGGCCATAGCATACGTTTCAAGGGAAGCGGAATTTGGGATTCCTCGCCTTGCCGCCAAGCCTCTCCTGCCAATCTTGCAAAAAATGGTTCCCATACTTCTATTTCAACCCAAGGTTCCTCGTCGACGGAATCGATATACAAGCCGAAATTTGACAACCACTGAGTAACATCTGATTTCCATTGCGTCTTCTTCACGGCGGCATCTGCAGGGACTATAAAACCTGGCGAAGGGGCGGTGGGAGATTCAATGTTAGCAGTGACCAGTCGGGCGACTGTTCCGTTTGGGCAAATCCAAAGATCAGTTCCCGGCTGAGCCCGCAGTAGATCTGCGACATCATCATGGGGGCTGCAAAGACGTGACAGCCCTTCCTGGACGATAGTTTGCGTAGAGATAGTTAATATTCCACTGGGGTTGAGTTGAGCATTTAGGGTTGTCAGACAAGATCGGGAGAATGGGCTGTCGTTATCAACACGGGGGCTCTCATAGCCGACACTTTCGAGCGCGGTAAAAAGAGTGCGTGACCCCAGCGGTAAAGCGCCATGGGAGCGAATCAAATGAAGGCTGATTGCGCCGGCGACTGCGGAGATAAAAGAGGCATATATAGCAGTTGAACCACCATAGACATCAGGTCTCCTAGGAGCGGGCTGACCTTGCTGCTGCCGTTGCTGCCCGGCCTGAGCCTCTGATGATAGACTTCGCATCAGATCCTGAGATGCGACACTGCCCGTTGCCGAAACTACCTCATATGTTAGCGTCGATCAACATTGAATGTGGGCATCGCTTAATGGCAAAAAGGGGGGTTACCTTTAAGGGTAGTTGTATCAATCAATATCTTTTTGGATACTGCGCTCCCTTCCTTAACATACAAGTTGCTCAGACTCTCGAAGCCGGGAGTGGGGGAAAATACCCACAGCCCGAGACGCCGTGGACACGAAACTAGACAATTTAGATTTCGTAATTTACCCTCAAGGTCTTTGAGGCGACCAAGATGTTTTAAAATTGTATAGCCATTGGCTGGAGGGTGACCCTCCGATGGCTGGCTCGTGATGCCTGACTCTTCTGTGTATATTCTCCAATAGATCGTGGAGAAGCCATCCTGACAACATCGGTTTAGTCCGAGGCCATAAACTTGCGGAAATAGACTTACAATGAGATGGACATTAGTATTAGCACCTCCGGGGAAGTCCATGATTTATCGGTCGCTGACAACCCCGGCAGCCTTCACAAATAGCGATATGATAATGGTCGAATCTGGGAGTCATTTCCCACGGTGAAACACAGTTTGTTCGGTACCACACGCGCGCATAGTTGAGTGGTTTCGGCGCATACCCTTCAGCTGGGCTGAAACATCGCTTGATTGAGCAGTGACGCGCTCATTTAGATTGTCGCAAATGCAAAACACCGAGTTCCTGTGCAATTCCGGGGGAAGTTCAGAACGGAGACGCTCGGGCCAATCACCGAGATCCGCAGCGGTACGTCACGTGGCCCCTATCGGTTTTATCTTTTTTTTTTTTATCTTGAACTTTTTGATCGCGTTGACTGTCACGACTCGGTACTAATTTTTCCACCATGAAGCTGTCAAATCAGTCTGAGGTGCCTGTGTACACCATCTCAGGCTCTAACACTGCCCGTCCACTTCCAGAATGGCTTGCCAGACGCCGCAAGCGCAGCTTAAAAGACGATCCCGAGTATGCGAACCGGGTGGAGTTGTTACAAGATTTCGAGTTTGAAGAGGCTAGCCAGTGTATCCGGGCTAGTGAAGATGGCGAATGGGTCATGAGTACAGGTATGGTGATCCAATTTCTAGTTTGTGTTCGCATGTTCAATATTATGAGGCTTACAAAAAGAATCATTAACCAGGTACCTACAAGCCGCAAATTCACACCCACCATCTCCCACAACTTTCATTGTCCTGGGCGCGGCATACAGTAGCACTTAATACCACTTTTCTCCTCCTATCCTCGGATTACACAAAGTCCCTTCATCTTCAATCCGACCGCTCTCTTGAATTCCACACACCGTCCGGATGCCATTACACAACCCGACTGCCACGATATGGACGTGATCTAGTATTTGACCGACAGTCGACGGAGGCCCTCATACCCTCAGTCGGTGTGAACCAGGATGGAATGGGAGAGGTGTTCCGACTGAACTTGGAACTGGGAAGGTACATGCGCAGCTTCGAGGTGGATGTCGGTGGAGATGATTTCACTTCTGCCGGAGGTGGCACCCTACAAGGTGGTATTCACACCGGATCAGTGAACACAGGTGCAATTGCGGAGGAAAGTCACAACCTGCTTGCTTTTGGTACATCGGTTGGAACAGTGGAACTATGGGATCCTAGAGCCAAGGGCCGAGCAGGCGTCCTCTTGCCACCCACTGCACAATTCAGCGCTGATGAAGGACGAGCCGAGATCACTGCGCTGGAGTTCAACCGCTCTGGTTTGACTCTTGGTACTGGTTCCTCAAATGGCCTCATGCATCTTTACGATCTGCGTTCCCCCGTCCCCCTCCTGAAGAAGGATCAAGGATACGGCTTCCCTATCCACACTCTTAAGTTCCTGCAACCCTCCACCGCAACCCGTGAAGCGACAATGGATCCAAAGATTATGTCTGCGGATAAGCGTATTATCAAGATTTGGGACCCCCGCGATGGTAGCCCTTGGACTTCCGTCGAGCCAGCCGTGGATATCAACTCAGTGGCTTGGTGCAAGGACAGCGGAATGCTTCTCACGGCCAACGAAGGCCGTCAGCAACATTCATTCTTCATCCCACAGCTTGGACCTGCACCAAAGTGGTGCTCCTTCCTGGACAACCTGGTTGAAGAAATGGCCGAGGATCCTAACGATCCTAACGCTTTCGCCAGCACCCAGGCTGGCGCTGTTTATGACAACTTCAAGTTCTTGACTGTTCCTCAGCTCCGCACATTGAACCTGGAGCATCTCATCGGCCGTACCAACCTCTTGCGACCATACATGCACGGTTACTTCGTGGGACAGAGACTCTACGAGGAGGCGAGACTGATTGCTAACCCATACGTCTGGGAGGAGGAGCGCGCCAAGCGTGTGAAGGAGAAGATCGACAAGGAGCGCGAGAGCCGTATCCGCGGAAAGAAGAAGGCCACTGTCAAGGTGAACAAGAAGCTGGCGGAGAGATTGATGAACGCCGAGGAGAAGGCTGAGCGCAAGAGAGCCCGTGGTGTTCTGGAGCGTGGCGGTGACGCGGACATGGTCGACGCTCCCACTGAAGGCACAGATGAGCCCAAGACTTCCGTTGGTGATAGCCGTTTCGCCAAGCTGTTCGAGGACGAGGATTTCGCTGTCGACGAGACATCTCGCGAATTCCAGCTCCTCAACCCCAGCACTGTGCCCCAGAAGGGCGAACGAGGAGAGCGTGGCCTTACAGCCGTCGAACAAGAAGCCGCCGATGACACACCTGGTTCTAGTGATGATGACTCTGATTCCGATGGTGAACGCGAACGTGAAAGACCCGCTAAGCCCCAAGCGTCCAAGAAGATTTCCTCAACCGATTACAAGAAAACGAGAAAAGCTCCTCCTCGCATGCAGGTTTCTTCTTCAGCGGCACGTACCAACTCTACACGTGACCGGTCGTTTGGATCTCGTGCCCAAAACATGAAGTCCAGAGCTAAGCCCTCACGCCAGGGCGGTGCTGTCGGTGAGCGAGAAGTCAGCTTCATGCCCGCCTCGAAGTCTAAGAAGGATAAGCCCGAAGTCCAATACGACAAGACCTCTTCGTCTTCGTTCCGCAGCAAGGAACGTCGTAGTGCCTCCAACAACGCTTTCCGTGGTATGTGAGCTGGTGCTTCAATGCGGTCCCTCTAGGTACCATGACATTGAACTCTCACATTACGGCACCACCCTCGCAATTTCTGCTTTGAAGACTGCCCTCGGCCATCCATATATCCATCAAAGACAAGCCGGCCAGCGGGCTAATGCAGCGCATGAGTCAGCTTCAACCTGTGTGGTTTGGTCACTACGCCGGGAGATATAAATCGCTCGGACCCGAGAACTTCCATGGAGACTTCTCACCGTCTAGCAATTCAGCTGGATAATATGTACTCTTATTATGCATGTGAATGATTTTTTGCATCTAGAGCCTAATTCGTTAGATACCTTTTCCTCGAGTTCGAAGAAATAAAAGCCTTGATTTTCCAATTGCCATTCCAAGATTCTCTGACCGCTGATGAGATCCTATGTATACCTACGTTCCGTCCTTAAAAGTCGACTCTGGATGTTACGAACTTCCACGGTTCATTTGTTTGAAAACATTTCAACTTGAAATAGTATTTGGCCTTCTAGGGTACAAGAATTGCCGAAGACTCATGCCAAGAGAAGTCCAATCAAAGAATATAAAAACCAGAAATAATAAGAAAAATGGAATCAAGACCATGTTGGCGTGAGACAGAAGTAGAATCACCCAGAGCGAACAAGTGAAGAGCAAGGCGCCAAGTTCCTAGCAAACGTAAATTCGTATAGGTCATCATGTAGGGGTTTAAGCAAGGCGTGGTCGGTCCCATGAGCGCAAATTCAACTGAAAAAGAACAAAGAAAAAAAAACAAAAAATCCAAAGTATGAGATAAAAAGAACAACCAAATCAAAAGAAGTTGCAGTCTAGTTAAATCGTGATTGAAATGTTCACTCTATGGAGCAACCAACCGTGAATGAAGAAAAAAAAGGTTTCAAGAAAGAAACCAGCCGTTGAAACACAAAATTGCAATGGGGTATTTGAAATAAACAGAAGATGGACTGGAGGAAAGGCCAGGACCATAAGATAGACCAGACGAATAGTATGATGGTGATGAGGTGATAAGGTAAGATGAAATGTCACAGTTGGTCAGTATTCAGCTAGTTCCAGCCATGGAAGTTGGGAAGTCCTGCACCACGTCTGCCACTGCCACGCCGGGAGCCACCAGTAGAGTCAGCGCCGCCATGATTGCCATGTCGATTTTCTTCCAAGCTACGACGGGAGGCACCAAAGTCACTCATAGCAAAGAGCAGAGGTTCATCGTCTTCGAATGCAGACGGAGGCACACGGGTAGAACTCGGACGTTGGAAGGAACTACGCCTGGTTTCCATAGTAGAGTTTCCACTGTTGCTACCACTTGCATTGCCATCCCGATCTCCATCACGCTCACTTAAATGAGGCGGAATGTTAGCGCCACGAGCTAGACTGCTCGACGCCGAGCTTAAGGAATTGTGACCAATAGAGGTACCCCGACCTCGCGGTGGGAAGCGGGGTTGATAAAGGTTCGCGTTAGACGAAGTCGATGCGGCAGCAGGAACGGAGACGGTCTGGGCCCGGAGGGCGGCGTTTTGACGGTTTTGAGCTGTCACTATATCTCCAGCGACACGTGCGCTAGGCTCCTCCAAGCTAAGATTGATTGAGCCAGGTTCTGGTAGCTGAAAGGCATTGGGATCCGGTGTCTCTTGTTCACCTTCACGTTGGACTTCGCCCCGGCCAAGACTGAGACTCCGCATCCCAAAAGGAAAGATATCATCTTCATCAGTGGGAGGCGGCCGTCGGCGCTGGGCAGCAGAGCTCGAGCGGCGGTAGGGTGGCGCGAAAGGCCGCGGGGAAGTTGGAATGTCGATAGCAGCCGCAGTAGAGGCACCTCCTTGTGTGTTTTCAAGTGTGGTCTTTTCCTCCTCAAGAGGGGAGTCGTGTTCAATGGGTGGCCCTCGGCGATCGAGCTCACTATTAATATCATCGACAACGCTGTTAGAGCTCAGGCGGGATCTAATGGCGGGCGTGTGAGGCGTATGAGGTGAAATCGGCTTTCCAGGAGACGAAGCGGTCGATATGGAAGTACCAGCAACCATTGGCGGGACCCCAGAGAGTTGCTTGCTGGAGGGCGTGGATGAGCGATGAAGCTGCGTAGATTGTAGCATTGACTCCGAAAGTGCAGCGTTTGAGTCACGCATGCGTTGAAAGCGCGCAAGCGTGACAGAAGTAACGGCAGGTTTCTGGGCCGCAGAATCTTGTGAGGCGGTGCTAGATGATTTATTCATCAGATCTTTCTTCTGGTCTAGAAACTTCAGAAATTCTGAGATATTCTCATCATCTGCATGGATCGACTCTGCACTCGTTCCAGTGGCCTCTGCAAGCAGACCAGAGCCAGGTTGGACATTGGATGATGTTGCACTGGCCTTTCCGCTAGAGTTGTCATCATCGATCTTGATTGTCCCCGCAGAAGATGGTCGGTTTCGCCGATGGCTAAAAGAACTGCTGTATCGTGATATTGGTGCGGGCTTTGGCGAGGCAGAATTCGAAGAAGAGATAACTTGCTCTGAAGCGATGGCAGTTTGCCTACGTGCCGAGGCAGCTGTAGACGGCGGGGGCATAATACGCGAGTCGACAGATGTTCCAGTAGAGCACCGTGCAGAAGCGGTTCGTGGAGACACACCTAGAGGGGTATCGACTAATGCCGGGGACGCCGACAGGGGAGGAGATTTGAAGGGTTGAAATGAGACGGAGGGACGCCGAGCAAAGTTTGATCCTCCACTCTCACTTGCAAGCCGTGCAGGTCTGCCTGCTAGAGGTCCAACTTTTGCGGCGGGCAGCAATTTCTTCAAGCTTGAATCAGTCGGTGAGGGCGACTCAGCACCGGCATCTCTCACGGCACGCAGTGCTGAAATTGGACTTGCACCATTCGCCGGACCAACTTGATGAAAGGTCGATAGACTCCCATACGCCCGCGTGCAATCGGGATTTTCTACAAGTCGTCTCTCGACTGGAACCGATCCAACTTCGGGGTTTATCCGGTGGACATCATCCGATGGGAGTGAAGGTCGGAAGATCTCATCATCGGCCCCTAGGAACCGTGAACTCAGTATGGCCTCAGAATCATCGACTCGGAAATCACAGTTAGTCCGGTAAGAGACTTCGATTGAAAATGGACCTGCCGGAGACTCGGTAACTCCAAAGCAGTAGGAGTCTACCACTTTATCATTCCCTTCATACAGTGGAGTTGACAGGTGATCCAAAGATGCATCACTAGAATCCCCTTCTACCACCCGGTATTGTATCTGCAAAGCAGGGCTTCTTCGCCCATTTGTGTTTCGTTTGGAGAACTTCCAAGCGGGCAGGAACTTAGAGTAGGTGAATAGAGATCGGAACAGCACAATACTTTTCTTATACACGGTCGGCAAGATAGAGCCCAGATCGGCGGGGGGTCTGCTAGAGGAATCCCCCAACTCTATCTTCCACCGTTCCAAGACGATTTCATCACAATTCGCCTGGTACTGTTTAGAGGAATGAGCCCTAGCAGCTGCGAGGGATTCACGGACATCCCATCGCTTTCCACCTTCATCTAGCACCACCAAGCTTTGATTGTTGGTAAGGCCCTTGGTATCTAAGAATGTTTCGATAATGAGGGGTGGCGGACGATTCTCCGTGGCGTCACACAATCTCCATGCCCGTAGTGGTTCTCGCAAGACATCGGTGTCGTCCAACTCGACGTTGAACTATTCGCCAAGAGAAAGTTAGAAGCGTGATTATATGGAGAGGGGTAAAGTAAAGTTCGTGATGGCGCAATATAACATACCCATCGGTTCACTCTTGGGGTTCGTGTCCCCTCTTTGATAGACGGTGGAAGCTCAACACGAGATTGAAGAATAATCAAAGCTGCTTTTGTGTGGTAATTCTGAAGATGACAAAGGTCAGCATATAATAGATGATGATATAGAACGATCTGCACTCTACCGAGATGATCTGGGCCAGCTTCGCCAAAGCTTCCCGGCTTGGAGCTGCCCCCTTTGTCTGCTCTGAAGAGCCTGTTCCAGCATCTATGCCCAAGCCCTTTGTCTGATTTGCTCTGATGTCGGCAGTGGGGGATGTTGGTATTGATTCCGATTCTCTCAGGTCATTCCGGACTGATTTGGGCTTGGAGGGGAATTTAGGCGCTGGAGCCGACGATGGGACCGCCGGCGAGCGGTGCTGATGCATGTCGTGTGGTATTCGAAACAATCGTGGGACTGAGTGGGGAGGTACGATTTAAGCAGAGCTTACCCCAGCAAAGAGAAGCTGGGGGAAGCTGCAATCGGCGGCGGGTTCTGTTATCAGGAGTGCAAAGCGAGAGAGATGGAGCCGGTGAGGGCGGCCATGCTAAGAAGTATGGAAAGACGAAATAGAAAGGACCCTCTAATGTTGAACCCAAGGAAATGGGAAAAAGAGTGTTGAATGGCCAGTCAAACAATGGGAGGAGCTGGGCACATCGTTGGTACCAGTTGGGACCTTCGGGGCCTACTTAGGAGCTTCTCCGCATCAATGAAACGGGCGGATCCGTGTGGAGGAATGCTTGACAAGCACAGACGATGTTGTGAAACCCTATGGGAGAACGGGTACGGACGACATGGTGATAAAGAACTTGAAAGAGAATGAATTAAATAGGTTGGGAGATGGGGACTGAGTTGCGGAGGGAAGGGGAAGGCGAAGGCGGAGATTGTCTGTGACGCACACCCGGTGACTCGACCGATCTCGAATGTCCAAGTCAGCCTGGAACGCCACTCCACAGCTGATCATGTCTGGCCGTTGAGGATGTTTTTTTCTTTCTTTCTTTTTTTTTTTTACTGTGTGCGCTGCACAAAATATAGGAGAAAAGCAATATATTACGAACATGGTCTAGGTGGTGTCTTTTTTATTTCAATGTTTGCCTATCAGCATGGTCAATACTTGTATGCCCAAGACGATGGACCCGTATTTTTGACCTCGACTCTAATGTAGGGGCATTCTTCATCACGGAGAGAGAGATAAGGGCAGCTGATCCCGGAGATGATCGACATGGCGCGAACCAGTTACTACTACTAGTACTACTAGTAGTGTTGGGAGATTCCAATCTATACTATAAGCGGATGCGACCATCGGTTCCAACAAGATTGATCTTGAAGAACTTAATTATTCTAAAAAAGCCACCAGGAATCAATCTTTCACCATTCAAATGTCTATTCATACGGTCGGATCGCAGATACTCGGGGCCTGGGAGGGTGATATGGTGCTCGAGCCTCTTTCGCATGCGGCTGGCCTGCGCAGCAGAGCCGCGGAGAAATGACGCAACGCAGCACGAAATGGGAATCATTAAAGTTAATTTGTAAATACGCCTTGATGTGAGGCTCCAGAACATGCAGGCATATCTAGGCACCTCTAGGCACCATTCTGTACGTTTGAAAGACGTGGCATAACCAATTATATGAAAGTAAATCCATTATCATAGTAGCAAACGGATAATCAAGAAGAAGTATCACAAGAATAGAAGTACGAAGAAGAGAAATAGAAGAATATATCAACAACAGGACTTCGATGGGTAGTAGGTTTTACTCCGATCTCAAGATACCCATATAATAAATAGGCATTATAAGATCTCTACCACTTAACCACGTCCTTCAACACATTAAGATTCTGCTTGACATTAGAGTCACTCTTTCCCAAAATGGCAATGACCTCAATCAGCTTCACCAGGATAGGCTCAAGCTCCACACCAAGAGCAATTGGGTTCAGGGTGCTATTTAGCTCAGTGCTAGTGCTGCAACCACTTTCCGTAGTCCCAGCAAATGCAGACTGTACAAAGTTGACGGTATCAGGGAGTCCAACAACTTCAGTTGTAGCATGGCCACCATTGGAAAATGTGGTGAATTTAACGTTGGCACCCTTGCTGCACCACGAGTCAACCAGAGTTGAAGCATTAGCGTAAGGAATAATCTCGTCCTGTGTTGCATGGTAGACGAAGACGGGTGCAGTTGGAGTCTCGCTCTTTTCCAGGCCCATGATGTTCTTGTCAAGAACAGACTTAACAGTGGGATCATAGAGTAAACCGTCTCCCAAAGTTTGTATGGTAGTAGAGAGCAGAGATTGCTCAGCGAAGTTAATTATGTCTCCGACAGCACAGTTGGTTCGAGCAGATTGAAGAACGGATTGACCCTTTGATGTGATGATCTTGTTTAGAAGAGGAGTCAACTCAGCACCATAGGCACTTGGCGTCGATAATCCAACCACGGCAGTGGGAAGGAATCCACTGAAAAGTGTATCATCGATGAACACGAAAGTACCAGTAAGATTGGCAGGAGTGCCTCCCTGTGCCCAACCCTTGATGTCCAACTCGGGCGCATAGCTGGGCTGCAGGGAAGCTGCCCATCCAGTAGCGATAGCACCACCAGAGTATCCAGTACCGACAATCATAGGCGTGGCAGTTGAAAGGCCCAGGTCTTTGAAGTTGCTGACGGCTCGCATGTTATCCAAAACACCCATTCCTGCTAGGCGACCTGCACCAAAGGCTGTGTCGGGGCCTTCGTAGTCAGGAGATGCCACAATGTAGCCCAAAAGCAGGTAGGCTTGAAGAACTAATTGTTCAGCGGAGGAGATAATATCTGTTTGGGCTGCGAAAAGTCGATAGTTGTAACTGGGGTCACAAATTGAGGCAGAGCTATCGTAGGCTGTAGCGAATGATACAAATCTGTCTGTCTTGGGGTTGACTGGCTTGAAGACGGTGGTCACTGTCGCAATAGCAGAACCATTAATAGAGGTGGTGCGATATAGTAACTGATAGGCTTCGACTGGGTCTGGGATCAAGCCTAGAAAGGCGACAGCGATTTTGCGTTGGCGCAGAATTGTCCCTGGATCCTCATTCTCATAGCCAGCTGGAGGCTGATAGAAAGGATCTGTACTCGGAGACTGAGGAATAATTCCACGAGAGTAATGACGCTCCGATGGGGCTGCTGGGCGAGCAGATACAAGGCCCAACAGGATAGCCATTATAGCCATCATGGCCAGTCGCACCAAAGAAGTGTAGCGAGCCATTATGGGCGGTGGTATCAGCTGATGGTTAAGGCTTGAGAGGAGTGCTACAGATCATTCAACGGTTGGGAATTGATATAAATAAGAAGCCCAGATACCATATGAATGTGATCAAATCGCTCAACCGAGGCAGCGTAATATTAAGCGTTGATCCCTCGGAATACCTCAGGAGAATCCGCGCTTTCCTTGGACCCCAAAATGACGAGAAAAAAACTCCGAACACGATAGGATAAAAAAACCAAATCGATTATCCATCTATACTCAATACATGAAGAAATTTGTCTCCAATAACCGGCCCCTAAAATCTTTGAAGAAAAATGCGGGGCCGGCTAATTGTTTTGTTCCTGAAAATTGTTCCTGGACCAGCCAAAAATTGGAAACTTTTGTTCCTTGGATCGACATGCCGGGAAAACTGGGGTAAGCGAACTTCACGGTTCTGCTCGACCCCGCTTCCGAAGTTCCTCCTAGGGCTTTGATCGACAGGGAACCAAGTCAGCCCACCTTTCTCCGTATCCGATACGGACTTTACTCAACTTCAAGGTCCGTTGCAGTGCAGCGGATGCGACCCTCCACCTGGGCAGACCGCTCAGATGCTGCTGGAATCGTGTTGATGTTCAACGCTAGGCCACTTGGGTATTCCAAGGTTGATATCAATATAAATACATTGAGACAACAAGAATGAAAGCCGAGAAGAGAAGGCCGGACGAGAAGACGTAAGAATGTCCCTCCACGGCGCTTCCATTGACTCGGCTCTTTTTCAAATGAAACTTTGAAGGCCTTCCAGCAATTTAGTCTTGTATAAATATCATGTTATCAACGAACCATCATGTTCAAGTTTTAAGTGATTTCCATGTCTGACCTCATGAATTTCAAAAGGTGCCAAGTAAGTGCAAGTCCCAACCCCGATAGTGTCCATGACTCAAAGCATATGCAGGCGTGGAAAGGGCACCTCGGCCCCGTTTTAATATGCAAGGGGGAAAGCCGGGGTATGTACTCACCTTCTCAAGAGAACCCTGGAACTAGTACCTCTGGTGCATATGCAGGATTCCAGAACGTTAATTACTTCAAACAGGGTAGTCATCAATATGGAAGCCCTGGGGGCCTCTTAGTATTCACCGAAACGTTAAATCGGTAGGGCTCGGGAAAAACTGTCAAATAGAGTCGACCTTCATCTCTATAAAGTTTCTCACATGTATGTACCTGAACACCGAGCTCTAGCTGCATACAGGTGGTCATTTGATCTGACTAGCTGGACTGAAGTATTGCATTGCATTTGCATACACGCAGCAGAGTTTCCGGGATTTTTGCCCCTCGGTTAACTAAGTGTTTCCTTACATTATGCCGAATTGTCCAATAGAGCATCAGTAGCCATACTTCCTGGCGCTCCTTTAATCAAACGCAACTTGGTTACAACTACAGAAGATACTAGAAGATCCTCTACCCTATCAGTGAAGACGATGATGTACAAAACTTTTATCATAGGTGTATCCTTTACGCCCATAGGTATTATGTCAAGCCCCTGGGCGATAAGGAGTCCCTAGGCCACGTTCTTATTAATTTCAAAATTTTCAATCCTCCTCATCTAGATGGGAAATGGGTTCTATTATTGAAACTTCCTATTTTAGGATAATATACGGTAGCCTACCGAATTCGCTAGCTCTTTTTAACTCACAAAAGAGTATCTCTTGATTTTGTCAAATAAACATGTAGAGCGAACTATTACGATACTAAACATTGACCTTGTGAATCTCTAGCCTGAGGTGCAAATGCCTCTTTCGCAGATCAAGTGTAGACCTATGATTTTCAAATTTCAACCAAAACTCCAGGGCTGTCTGTAATCTTCAAGCTGGTCAAAAGCTGGTCGAAGCCTACTAGATGGGTACTAGTAGTCGATACATATGATACCTGTTACGAACTATGCCTTACTATATAAAGTGCGATCAAATAGTACTAGGTCTTGGATCTGGTATTCTAAGTCTTTTGCCCTAGTCGCAGAGGCTGCTACTTGGAATGTTCTCTATTTAGCACGTCCTTGAAAATACCGAGCCAGCGACCAAAGTTCTGATATTATCCTGAATCAATTTTAAATATAGATACTAGTAGCTGGTGCAGCGTATATGTATACATACTAAGAGAATACTATTGTATTTGAAATCTATTATTCCTGGCTTCAACTTGTTGGTATTATATCTAGTTAGGCAGTTCTCTATAGTTATTATACCTGGAGAATAATAGTAACTAGGTTACTATACAAACTATATTTCCTCTGCCAGACAGGGATTTCCTATTCGAGGTACTACTGCTTTAATAAGAGTACTCAGAGTTAGACTTACTAAGTTAATTTCAGTCCGGGCTTAGACTTACTAAATAGCTTAGAATCAATTATATAATATATTAGTAAGATTTACTAAGTACTCTCTAAGTATTTAGTAGTTACTAGTAATTAGTTACTTAATAATTACTTAGAGACTAACTAGATGTCTCTATTTTATATCTAGTCTTTATATAGTCTATACTAGAAATAGTATTTAGTCCTACAAGAATATTAAATTATAAACTACTTTTAATAGATTGATCATTAGGCTACGTGAGCCCAGACCGGGATCAATTATTCGAGGCTGCGTATGATCATGTGGAATTTGAGGCGACGTGTGAAAACTGCGATTCAACAAGAGTCTTAGAGCGGAAATACATTACGGATTGATAGCCTCTGGAAACCAAGTCATGCGGCACGGTACGTCTCGCGATAGACTTGCTCAAGGTTCAGAAATCTTGTGCTTTGAAATGGATGCAGCAGGGCTCATGGGTAAATTTCTCATGCTTGGTTATACGAGGAATTTGTGACTACGCCGATTCGCATAAAAGCAAAGACTGGCAAGGATATGCGGCATTTACCGCAGCCGGCTATGCGAAGGACCTGTTGTCGGTGGTTTCTTTCGCCAATACTTACTCAGCTCCCAGAGCAGTCGGACCTATAAGTAGATGCCAGAAGTGACCGGCCCCTATTGAATTGGAAACAAAATTGAAGAAATCCGGTGGAAGTACACCAATGATCTCAAATTAGCATTTCGACACTGGCATCAAGATGATATCCCATAATGCTCCTCTTACCGCTCGTAGATACATTTGCCAGTCAGTATCTGAGGCTTAAGAGCTGCGACACGCTAGCTACTAGATAGTAAAGCCTTCAGCGTCGGTCATCTCAGTGGCTATACCAGGCTGATGATATTTCTTTTTCTTCTTTTTTCTTCTATCTTTTTTGAAAGAAAATGAAAATGAACATGAACATGAACATGAATTTAAAATAAAATAAAACTCCATCGAATTTTTACAAAGGCACTTTTATAGTGTACTTTGACGAGCACTCTGCGCAAACAATATCCACATCAACATTAGTCTCATAATGATGAATGTAACTTAAATTCTGCTAGCTATTTCAGGATTAGCTACCAGAGAGATCGCGCGATGCATGACATGGTCAAATTAGGTATTTCTTTAGAACTGGGCGATATCTGTAGACTGACACCCCAGGCATACTTGTATGCTCGCTACCAAAATTACTTTTGACCAATTTCAATTCTTGGGCGTTGCCCTTTTGATAGTATCACAGTAAACTTTGGCTAGGCTGTTAACTACATGGAGAGATGCCAGTAGTTTGAAATGAGCTGCAATGCAGAACATTCAAGACTACTTTACAAAGATCCCTCTCCTGCTGTCATCTCACTTGGGAGAACACCAGGAGCAATGTTGTTCACTCTGATCCGCAACTTTGAAGTCATAGTTTCATGTGCTATCATCTTGGTCAAATGAATAGCAGCAGCTTTGGAAGCGTTATACGCAAAATGATGCTGAGAAACCTTGACAATACCAGAGATAGAAGTGGTGTTGATTACTGTACTAGAGAAGCCTTTCTCCTGCTCAGACCCGTTTTGGAGTAATGGTAGAAATGCGGATGTCATGAAGAACAGTTGAGAGACATTCGTGCGGAAGATGTCATCCTAGGCACTGAAGTCGTTCTTCGGGTCCTCGAAGAGTGTCTCGCGTAATTTATCAGATCTTCGTGTTAAGTAGTCTGGCTGTCAAGGGGAATGCCAGCATTGTTTATCAAAACCGAGAGAAACTTCTCGCGGGAGCTAATGTCTTGAACAAGCTTTTTGATTGCGTCCTTATTGGTGACATCGGCTGTGATAGGGATTATTTGACCAGGAATGTCTTGACCGTAGAGCTTTGCCACTTTGTCAAGTTTCTACTTTGTTCGACCTGCAATGTAGACTTTCGCTCCGTTCACTGCTAACGCCTGGTCTGCCATAAGGCCTATGCCTGAACCCCCACCAGTGACAAGCGCCACTACTCGCATTAGTGAATTTCGTGACTATTTCCGATAGACATTACATACCTTTATCTTTCACATTGAAAAGAATTTGTAGCTGGAATTTCTGATTGCTTTGTCTTGCATCCATGCTGAATTTTCTAGCGGACTGAGAAACCATGTGGCTGTAATATCTTTGATTTGTGAATGTCTGAATATGGAAGAAAATTTGCCGTGGAAAGCACGGTCTGGACGACCCAAGGGAAATATTGGTTTGAGAAACATTCTCCTTGGCCAGATACTGAAAGATGAAAAGGTGCTTTCCAAGGTTAAGGGCGAATTATCGCAAATCTGTCCCGGTCGGTCAGAATGCTAAACAATGACAGCATCGACAGGCAACACAGCTTCGAATATTTGGAATATGGTTATTATCATTCAACTGTTATTGGTTTGACTGAGCTCCAATGATTCACTACTTCAAAGCATTTTATGGTCTCCACGTGAAACTCGACTGCATGAGGAAATCTTCCAAGTGATCAAATCAGCATGACGTCGACATCGCCATGCCATTACTCACCGGGTACTAACTACTGGGCAGCACGCGCAAGTCATCATAGAACTACATTAATCGGGATCGCCTCTTCTAACAAGAGTGTGCCTTTTATTATTGGGGGGGGGTGTTGAAAAATGAATCTAAGTAGTTACTGAGAGCGTCATACATTACTGCCTCAGTAATAAGGCAGTGAGATCTGCTGTGTAGCTTCGAATTTTCTACTACTAGTACTTTTCCTTCACTCAATCACAGAATATGACAGAATAATGCGTTAAGTGTATTTCCTTCATCAGCTTTGACATTGTAATGGTCTTTTTTGGTTAACATTTCCAAGGTTTCAAGTTAAAGAAAATGTTGAAAACGGTAAGTTTTGGGGGTGGCTAATAATGATTGGATAAAAACAAGATTGCCGCAAAACAGATATGTAGGCATAGAAAGAAATCCAAGTTGTTAAAGTACTTGCTTCAGAACTCCGAGTGACGAAGAATGAAGTCAATCTATCAATCACCCATCCAAATGTTAATTAAGCCCATCAACTAAGACAAGAATAAGATCTTACTTTTATGAGACTTGTACACTCTTCCGAACTTGCATTTACATTGCTACAGAATTTGAAAGCCCCGTCCAAAGACAAGTTATAGAGAAATATTTGAATACCTTAGTAAGTAGAATATCCCTCCTCTGATTGCATAACATGTGTCACCAGTGGCGGATCTACATTCAAATAAGCAGAAAATAACCAATTCAAACAGCACTCCGATTTCCACGCTATAAAATGGGAGAAGGCGCCAACAGCAGCAGTAACCACCCAACTACCTCTATTTCAGGAGGTGGCACTAGCAGTCAACCTACACCCGCAAACAATGTCGGTGGAGGCTCAGGATTGGGGGATCAGGGATTCACCAAGGGCGGATCAAATGACTCCTCAAACGTAAAAGTCGAGCGTGCTTCAGTACGACTTCCAGCCAGAGCTCATATGTTCATCCATAAATGTGAACGTAGCTAATGAACCCAGGGTCATGATCCCGCTAACGCGAGCAACAGTTTCGCGGGCTTACAAGATCAGAAAGAGCGTGCGGGAAACAAGACCTTGCAACGTTTTCCTGGTTCAGCAGATGATAACGGTTCCGCTTATTCCGGTGAGGATCGTAATAGCTTCATGGCTCAGAAGCCCGGGGGCTCTGATACTTTGCCTGGATGGGACAAGGCGAAGGACATTCTCAACTTGAACCCATGAAATTCCAAGTTGTGCTTCTTTTCATGTGAAATCCTTCAATGTATCACGCAAGCAATGTACAGACAATTTCTCTCTCTTCAAATCGCATTCAAATTTTTGCTGTTTTACTTTATTCTGTACAAGCTCAAATAAGCTAAGCTTGTGAGTCGCGACCAGGTCAAATAGACCAGAGCACCGGTCCACTCGGTGATTTCAGATCGCAATTTTGTCTATCTGGTCGAATCAATACTTGCAAAAGAGCTACTTGTATGGAACAGCATCTAGGAAGCTGGGCTGTACTCAATATTTTGAAACAAGTACCTACATAAGTTGAGCAACTTTCATTAGCATACTATACTCGAAAATATTACGACAATGCACAACATGACGCCTCCATTTCTGTGATTTCAAGTTTCTTCAAAAAAGTGGTGGAACTCAAATATGTCTACTCAGGCTGCAGTGCCAAAGGTGAAGAAACTTCGATCGCCATTTACGAGAGACAGTTTTGTTGATGGTTTTTCGTATAATTTTAAACTGCCACTGCACATGTAGACCATACATCCAGGTATACGACTCGTACCTTTAATTTCATCGATTCCGTCTTAGTCGAGGACCACCGGTCGGTGCTCAGCCAAGCCATGCATAGGAAAGAGGAACCGGGCCGAAATCTGTCACCAGTGGGGAATATCCCGTTGAACTCTGTCGCGGAAGATCAGCGGGATATTCGCTAAGTTTTGCGTCATAATCCCCCTTCTCCGCCCACCACCAAACAAGATAGGAACACCTACCCACTGTTGGAGTATGAGGAATCTTTTGAATAAATACTAGCGGCGAACTCCACCATAGTATTAGTTCTCAGAAACGAACAAATATGTCTGAAGTCTTTCGTGTTGACCCTCGACCTGTGTCCATGCACGGTCCTGGCGCCACATATGACAAGCACTCCATGAAAGGGCGTCAAAACTCAGAAAAAGATCGTCAAAAAGGGACTCATTCAGATGATGAAGAAAGTAAGTATTGGGACACGAATAGAATAGCGCTTAGTGGAAGGTTGTGCTAATACGTCAACGATAGAGCGACTAGCAAGACCGAGCAAACTCAGCGGGAACGGCGTTGGATCAGACGAGAAGCATTTTTATGACTCGCAGAACATCACCGATAATAAGAAACTGGAGCCCCAGGCGGATGAATCCTGGCATCGAAATGATTCACCGCGAACGGAGCAGCGGAAAGCACAAAGTACGATTCCCCAATGATCTCATGAGTCGGTAAGAGGTTCCACTAACGAACGTCAGATCTGAATAAATGAATCGTGCGAACCGATGCGATTTGGAATTACGAAATATGAAACGTTATAACGATCGACCGAAATATCCCATTTAGTTGAGGCCTGTAAGGGTCAAGATGTTGATTAGCTCTCTGTTTATTGTTTTACTTGACAAATTTCGACTCTGAAAGGGATTCCGAGACGAGCTTTAGATATCGGATAGTACCAGTAGTATAGGTTGATATTCCTTGCCTTTCAGATAACTAGTAGACCTACTTTGTAATACTACTATATGCACCCTCACATCATTTCGTATGTTCTTGTCGATGTGTAAATCTAAATTGCTATATTTGATTATAGGGAGCATCTCACGTTCGATTTATCTCTTCCGAGCATCAAGCATTGGTTGAAGGCTATAAAAAAGTAATGGATATGATTGATTGAGAAAGTAGTAGGAATGCTAATAATATCATTATATCCAGTACTAGTAATAGTCTTCGCCTCAACGAAGTTGAAACTTCAATTGTTGAATTGATATGCTAATAATTCAAATTCTGGCTAGCATTCTGTCACTGAAATTCGTAATGAATGTCATGTTCTACCACGCATTCCTGCTTTAACCATTGACAACAACACCTCCGTTCGGGTGAAGACTTTGTCCTGAGATGAAACTGCTATCCTGGCTTGCGAGGAATACGAAACACGTGGCAATCTCACTGGGTTGACCGGGTCGACCCATCGGAGAAGTAAATTGCTCTTGAGCCGAAGTGTTCATAGTCGCTGGGATCAAGGGAGTCCATACTACAAAAAAAATTAGAAACTGTGAGATTTAATACACATAAACTGGACAGCACTACTTACCCGGCCCAGGACACACGGCGTTAACCCGAATACCATTTTTCATCTGCTGATTAGACAAGCCCCGAGTAAATGAAATGAGCGCGCCCTTAGTTGAGGTATAATCAAGTAAATCTGGGCGTCCAATGTAGGCATTTATGGATGCACAGTTGATAATGGTAGACCCATTCTTGAGATGAGGCAGTGTGTACTTTGAGAGATAAAAAACCGAGTCAATGTTTGTAGAAAAAGTATTTTCCCACTGGTCCCTATGATATTATTAGATTCCGTTCATCGAATGAATTCAATCAACTTACTCAGTCAAATCTTTTATGTCCTCAATCATATTCTGGGTCCCAGCATTGTTGACGAGAATGTCAATCCCACCCAAGCATTCCAAAGCCTTCTCAACAATCTTTTTGCAGTTTTCCTTCTTGCGCAAATCTAGTGCGATCGTGTGACATTTTTGACCCTGTTCCTCAACGCGTTGAACGGTCGTTTTCGCATCTGACTCTTCTTCGGGAAGATATGTTATCAAGCTTGAGGCTCCTTCCATCGCGTAGAGGATCGCTATCGCGCGACCAATTCCTGAATCACCGCCAGTAATGATTGCCCTCTTTCCTTTCAGCTTCCCGGCTGCTTTGTAGGTCTGGTAGCCATTGTCTTCTGTCGGGAGCTGAGTATTTGTCGGCTTTGGATCTCCAAGTTCTTTTTGCAGACCGGGCTGCTTATGATGCTGAATTGGAACCCTATGGCCTGTAAGAGCATTAGGAGATTATTCCTAATTTGGATTGTCATTTTTCCCATCATACCCTTCTCAAATTGGGACTGAGGTCCTTGCGCGCCGCGTTCGGTTTCTTGCTGCATGGCGAAAATGTTTCGTGTGTAAAGAGAAAAATTGCATTTCGACGAACAATTTCAAATCTTCTGCTATTTGAGATCTAGTTATTATTTCGTTGACGTGACGTCGAGAGCACCTAAAACAGGTGATAAAAAGTGGGTACAAATGTTAAACCTGACAGTGGCGTTTGGTGCTGGTTCAACTTCGTGAGGTGTTCCGGGCAGGTTGCCGAATCATGGAAAAAACAGGTATGCGCTACGTTACATGCCAGTCTCGGTTCGATGAAACAAGTTATGCGCCGAGTATGACGATCAATGAAGTTATATTTGAAGTTAACTTTGACATAAGGATCTAGCTTCTCTTGGGACAAATTTATTGTTTAAAATTGAAGTTCATAATATTTACTTATTTGTGACTCAACACCTTTCGCAACACATTCAAAATCAGCAGTCATGGCAGCAAGCGTAATACAACTCCAGTGCGATTGCAAGGTAAGATAACTTGGCATTATTATGCTGTTCTAAATGTGCTGACCCTCACGACGATTTCAGAATGATCCGTGGGGTAAGAAAGGTGGCGAATCTCTCGCCGGCCGTTTATGGTCGCAGATGCCCGACGCGAGCCCACTAGATCAGTCACAGACATACTCTGAGGTGCGCAAATAGTAGAAGTGTTGTAACCAGTGTGAGATTCCAAACTAATGAGCGAGGCGACAGATGTGGATGGGAACCTACCCTTCAGTACCGTCTCGACTTGCTTCGAGCGGCGAGCTGCTCCAAGACCACATCAAGAACAATCCCGAATTACTCGGAAGTAGATTTTGCGATAGATATTCGACCGAAGTCCCATTTTTGCCCAAGGTACACAATCCCCTTTCAATGGAGATCCCTGATGAGGACTGACGAAATCAGATTCTCTCTTTTGAGAAGGCCCTGCCACTGCAATTGCACCCCGACAAAAAGCTGGCTGAGAAGTTGCACGCATATGACTCCACTAAGTTCGGAGATAGTAATCATAAGCCAGAGATTGCGGTAGCGCTCACTCGATTTGAATTATTCGTTGGCTTCAAGCCTATTGAGGAACTGAGAGAGATCATCAGGCTGGGTCCTCTGCAGGAAATCTTGCCAAAGTACGAGCATGTTGACGAGAAGGCTTTACGAGAGACGTGTCGCGCTTTGCTCAAACTCTCAGAGCGCGATGCTTCTAGTATAATCGACAAACTGAAGCACCTTCCCGCTTCGGATCTTGGAGCAAAGCATCAGCACATACCCAAACTGGTAGAGCGATTGAGCGAACAATATTCGGAATCTGATAACGGTATCTTGATCGCTTCATTATTGATGAACTACATGGCTCTGGAGCCAGGCGAGGCTGTCTGTGTACCAGCTGATAGCATCCATGCTTGGTTATCAGGGGATATTCTCGAATGCATGGCGAGATCAGACAATGTCCTCAACACCGGGTTCTGCCCTCGTGCCGACAGAGACAATATCAACCTTTTCACGCAAGCTCTCACTTTCAAACCTCAAGGCCAAGAAGCCTCGTTATTACAAGGTCAACCGAGCTCCTTCGGATCCACCCAGAAGACAGTTGAATACGCTCCCCCATTTAGCGAGTTTAATGTTCTTGGGGTAAGCTTAAATGGAAAGGAAATGGAAACTCACGCCGTGCTTCATTCTCCTAGTATACTTGTTGTTACTGAGGGCTCCGGAATTATGGCCACAGGACAGGCCGATAATTACGATCTGCGTGAAGGAAGTGTGTTCTTCGCTGGTCCGGAGGCCAAATTACAATTTGCGACACATGGGTCGTTGAATATCTACAGGGCTTATGCCACTCTGTGACAGGCAGCTTTGCCGATAAAATAAGCCAAATATTCATGCTTCACCCCTAACGAATGGTTTTGTTCTATCGACAGTTTCCATTCGAAGATAGGAGGCAGGACCCACAATTTTATTATCTTATTATATCTCAGCTTCCAAGGTTCGAACAAATTCGAGTTTGCCAAGGCCAGAAAACTCAATGTTATAAATGCTAATCTACAATGATAGCACTTGAGTGTCTGGTCCAAATCTTGAGAAAATCGGTTTGATATACTTTAGTGTCGGCCACATCAGCCGCTATACAGACTGTGATATACGTAGACTTTTCTACAACCACAGCTTCATCATGTACTAGACCTAGGGCTTTTCTTGAATAATATCGAGGTCAACGCTGCTGTAATACTAATTGATCATTTCGGTTTTGAAATGGTACATTAAAATACTTTGTCAGCCAATCATTTTATATCTGTTAATCATTAAATTGATGAAAAGAAAATATTTCAATGACTGGCTCCTAATATAAGTCAAATTAAGGACCAAGTCACATATGGCTTTGCAACCCTGTTCCTGATGGGATATTGTTTAACTTTTCAACAATCGAAAGGCGACAAGATCGTAATCTAAAGGTGCACTACACGAACCGCTTTACTGACCCATTACGCACCTGGTTACCTCGTACGATTGATACAGTTTGAGGCCTACTCTTCCTATATATGGTTGTTTAATTAAATTTAAGCGTTGTCCTGTAAAAGCGGCCCTCTCAAGCTGAGTTGATGGTTTGGATAATCTAATAAGGGCTTGAATTTCAAAGTTATTAGTCCATGTCGTCCATTATTGAGTCGTGCCTACACTAGATATCTTGTCTCAGGCCGATGGGGATTCTAGAAACGTGAAGAACTTAGAGAATGAATAGGTACGGCAGAAAAAGAGCCAAAAATGGCACACATTGAAAGGTTCTGACCTTATAGAGCACGATTTGTACTATACTGTAGTGGAGGCCACTTCCACCGAACAAAAGCGATGTGTTTGTATTTCTACTGATGCACCTTGAAGATTCCCCGCGTATCTCATCTCATACAGCAAGTCATCGACCCAAAGAGCCATTTGAATTCCATAAATTGTCTTGTAAGCCCGGAGTTTTGCTCCACGAGTCTGATTATTTCATTCGATCAATAACCATCTAGAAACTATATGAGCATGCTAAAAGCCTATCGCAGGAGTTATAATTCACAACAAACCTCACTTTCCTACTGATCTAACACATCCAGTGGACCTAGCTTCCTCGTGAGCTACTGAAACAGTTGATCAAACTCTCCCGCAATTGTGAGAAATGGTGTGGTCTTGGTAGGTCTGCACGTATAATTTGGAATCTTCATAAGTTGCACGTTTGGATTGGAGAGTCTTTGAGCCCCTCGGCTTCTTTACACAAAAAGCTTCATTTTGGCGAGAGTGTTTGCAGCCAACAAAAGGCTTCCGCTCTGTCTCTAAATTTCAAATTAAAAAAATAGATCTGGCATCGATATGAACTTTGCTTCCTTCCGCTAGAGGCTGCCTAGTATCTGACTTCCGACGAGAATCCTGCTACTGCGCCACCACCCCCAGGCAACGGCGAGCCAGAGCCTCAACCCATGGGGCCGAAAATTTTCCATTTTGAGAAAAAAGAATTAGGTATCAAGATTCTTGCCATCTGTTATTTTTCCTTTCATATTTAAAGCCCATGATTGAGTTAACTGACACATAATGGTGAGGAATTGTCGCTCACCTAGTCCCTAGTACAATAATTGAAGCCACCGAAGCCATGCAGTCAGAATGGCGATTGAATCGGCTCCCCACAGTCCACGGGTAGATTGCTTTTTCGAACTTCTCCCCACAGAGATATTGGAAATTATTTTGGATTATGTCGGCAACAACTCCCCATCCAGCCTACGTGCGCTGGCGCTCACAAGCAAATCTTTATTAGCGGTGGCTTCGCCTTTCATCTATCGTACCGTGACCATTCAACTTGATCGTGAGAGCGACGACGAAATATTGTCTCAAAGCAAACGACTACTTCAAAATCTTCAACGGTTCAATGCCTTTTCCATGGTCCGATGCTTTAGAATTGAGCGTCGAAGATTGGATGGTAAAGATCGAGCCATATCATCAAGTCCCACGAAGTATATCGATGATTTGAGACAACATGTGCTTGAATTTCCCTCGCCATACCTGCGCCCCTTCCCTCGGCATCATTTTCCTAATGGTCTCTGGGAATACACCATTGAGGAAGACAAAAAGTGGCCCCCCGTTGCAGATCTGATTAGAAAAATGCCTCAACTACGGGATCTTTTGTATGGTGGATTAACCCAATTCGCCCCGTGTCTTCTCGAGGCTCTTCATCAGAGCAGGCCAAGTTGTCGCTTGTGGTTGAATACATTCAAGTTAAACAGTTTGTGGGACGGCGACGGCCAAATTGATCCCCACGAGCTTGCCTTAGTATCATCTCCATGTCTATATAGTATTAGATCTGATGGTTTCGAGCCCTGGGATGAATTGCCAGGTGACCATTTCATATTTGACCGAGAGGCTATTTGCCGTATTGTGGCCACCCTTGCACCTTGCATACAAGAGGTTCATGTAATGCGTTGCTATGGAAGCCACAAGAGACATCCACGGCCAAAGCATCGATGGGCCAAATTTATCGAGAAAGCCCACGACGATATGCCTAAAAAAGGCTCATTAAGATACCTTAGTATCAACGTCAACGAAGACAACAAAGGCAACGAAGAAGACTACAACGGACCAAGATGGATTCAAAGGCCAATCATGGAATTGTGGGAAGACTGTACAGATTTTTCGATCCTTCATACCCTTCGCTTGATGAGTCCTCCTTCTGATGAAGTACTGGACTTTCTAAGTCGTGAATGCTCTTTCCAATCGCTTCAAGAGCTAGAACTCACCATGTCATCGTACACTCTATCATTGCCTTCGGATGATCTCGACTTTATTACTCCCAGCTTCCAGCCTGTTTATCAGTTTTTTTCCAGCTTGCCGCCTTTATCGACATTGATAATTCATGGCTGGTGTTCCAGACACACCTTTGATTATTTCTTAGCTCATCATGGTGATACATTGACCAAATTGGTTATTTCACCCAACCCGAGCACTGGGCACATATCGCAACATCATATTAAGCAAATCAGCGAATTCTGTCCAAACCTCGAAGAACTCAAGATTACTATTCCTCGTAATCGAGGTCTTTATTCTGAAGTAGAAAGTTATCTCCAGATTGGAAGAATCCCAAAGCTCCGATACCTGAACATTGAACTCGACGTAACAAATGTCAAGCTCTGCAATCGTCAAATGGACTACCCAGGTGTTAGTCCTACACTGAGTATCACAGCCGCCGCTTCTTCATTCGATAATTATGATCTCCAAGAATGCCCCGAGAAACTGGGCGGGAATATGGTTTTTCGAAACGGTGATATCCGCGAAGCATTGATTGATCATGCGATTGACAGTGCTTTGGCAAAATCTATTTTTGAAACAATACAGTCTCAAAAAGGCCCTGAAGACTGGCCGCTCGAGTCACTGGACCTTCATTGTATTGGAAAAGCCGGATTGATAAATCATCCGCTGGGAACAACGCAGATTTACCCATTCGCGTCCGTGCTATGGGCTTTGAAACAACCGTGGCGGGTTATTCGCTTTCCTTATTCTGATGGTCAAATCATAGTGCAAGGGATACGACCGCCAAAAAATTCTCAAGGACCAGAACGCCCGCTTCCATCTTGGCTGGAAGAGCCCTTCCGACGAATTTGGCCTGCAAAGCAGGGAGGGAGTAATTGGTCTACTGACTGGCACAGCTTGCCTCTTGATATGTCTTCAGTTCCTGCTTCCTTCTTTAGCGAAGGGAGGAAATGGACATAATCCAGTGAATTTAGATTGATAGGTAGTTAATAAAGATTCCACCTCATTCTTTAAATCGGTTAAAGAGTCGGCGTGTTCTTTCATGTTTACCTGTTAGTTAATATTTGAATATCGCGCCGCATAAAAAGAACGCAGTCTAATTACTATTGCCGTTAGTCCGACCGAATGTGCGCAGCACAGAATTTCAGACGAAACACCTTAGAACGATGATAACACCTGGAGAGTTCAGAGCAATGGTTTGGACTCTGTAGGGAGTAGGAGAAGGGAATCATAGTAAGTAGGTAGAAATTCTTTGGATTTTCATTCTTTGTTCCTTTTAGAATCCAGTCATAATGTTTAGACATGCACATAGTAAAATTTAAATCATTACGGTGTCATAACAAAACATTTAGTCGTACATCTTGGCCTTAAGGCCAGGAATGATATCAAGATCACCCTTTCCGTAGGTGAACTTTCCTTCCTCAGATATCTTGATATCCTTGTTACGGCGTTGTTGCTGACTTTGTCGCACTTTAACCCACTGCTCGGTTGTAAGATGTTGACCAAGCTCTGTGAAGGCATTCTGTGTGAGACCCAGGCGAGTTAAGACAGGGCTATCCTTAATAGGATCAAGAACGACGTGGTTATTGGGTCTAGTACGTCGGAAATTAGTTTGAATACTCGAAATTTCTTCAACGGCAGCGGTTCATCTCTTACCGAGCGAAATATAGGACACCCAGACGATCAACATGGGCTTGGTCTGCGGGTGGGGTGTGAACACGATGTATGCTCGACTTGATGTATCCTCCAGTCAAAGCTGTGAGTGCGTCACAGGTATTGATCGTGATGGTTCCATCCTGGGGACGAACCCACTTCCACTCTCCGTCGGAGTTGAGAATTTGCAGAGCTGCCACTGGTTGTCTGAAAAGCAGAGTGATGGATCCAAGATCAGTGTGACCAGCGCTGTAAAGACCTCCAACCTTTTTGTTGTCCTCGATGGATCGTGCTGCGTAGTGCATGTAGCGCAGATGATCCTCTCCCTTGACGTCGTATTGGTGGTCGCGGACCAGCTGGTCTTCATTAGGCAGCTCGAGTAGGATGGCAAACAAGCGGAGTAATTTCTCCACTACTTCAGTGTGACATTTCTATAGTTGGTGAGTAATCAAGTCTTTCAGTGAAACTTGAACGGGAGGTCTTACTCTGCTGAAAGCCTCAATCTCTTCTATATTATCGGAAATGACAGGAGGCTGTTGTCGCTTGTGGAAGCCATCAAACTTCGGGATATTATAGACCTGAACATTATCTTTGATGCCGTTGCCCATACTTTGAAAGGTCAGTAAATAATTTCCCAATGATAATCAATTGTGCTAATCTCACATGCGGTGTCCAGCAGGTCTATATCCATTATACTCGCCGTTGACGAGGTCATTTGAATTGTGGAACTTGAGCTTCTCCTCGAGAGGAAGAGAATAGAATTCACGACCAAGAGCAAACTGTCGGTCTACTTCTTCTTGGGCAATGTTGAAACCCTTCACATAGAAAAAGCCTAAGCGCAAAAGTAATGTTAGCTGGCACTCCACGAAGTGTTTTGATAATTCAATTCTCACCAACATGTTGAACTGCATGTTCGAGCTGCTTAACGAGCTGTTCCTTGCCACCAGGTTGCTCAAAAAGGCTCAAGTCAAGGGTAACAAGTTCAGCCCAGTCCACTGTGAATGTCAGTAATGTACTACGAGACCTGTATTCTCATTGACTTACAGTCCTCCTTTGTGACAGGGACATGATCATATCGGTCAACAATCTTTCCAGGCATATTGGTATTCTCAAGGCTTTTTGAATGGTGTTATCCTTAGCTCTTGTGATGTGAGGATTAAGGATATGGATGCGTGGGGCCGTGTATAAGTAGTGCCCAGGAATCTTCTCCGCATATAAAGTCCAAAGATTTCATTCAGACCGCGTCTAGTCCTACGTACCTAGAACCCCGCACTAACTGACCTCTCACAGTGACTTTTGATAATCAAAGCACGCCATAGTCGTATAAAATCATGTCCAATTATGTAGAGCTAGAACACGCCAACGGGTGATTTTCGGTATTTGAGCGAGGTCCGGGCACGTCATCCTGCCGCCTCATGTCGCGGTCCTCAGCTTAAGACCCCTATCATTGTGCAATAGCACCTATCATCACTCAATACATTCTAAACTATCCGCTTTAGCCTGAAAACATGTTTCGGTATTCCTCCGACGAAGATAAATCCTCCGGTGAGGTTAATCACGACAAGGAGTGGAGAAATTGCATAGCGGCCAGCCACACATCTGATCCTTCCAAGATAGCCTTTAAGATTATTTATATAGAAGCCGAAAATTCGGGAAGGCCATGACTTACGAGATAGTAGGGACATTTCATGCGTTGAATATTGCATACGGCCCAGGCAGTGTATCTTGATCACCATGTCTGGACAGAAGGATACACCTGCGAAGTCAAGGCTGACCTTCTTGGGGTTCTTCAAGGAGATTTTCAACTGGTATCCTTCTCATTATCCTTCGGAAGAAAGAAAGTTCGTAAGCTATCCAGTCGTACTCTGATCATTTACTAACCTGGGACTTGTAGATTGCTTTTCAAGCTTGATGTTTCCATTCTAGTTTTTGCGTGCCTGTGCTGTGGGTAAAATCATATCGAAGACTGTAAGAATACATTGCTGACAGTTACAGTTTTTGTGAAATATCTTGGTAGGCTTGAATATTCGTCAGCTGAAATTGCTACAAGCTTACAAGGGGTTTGCAGATCAAACGAATATCAGCAATGCCTACGTGAGCGGCCTCAAGGAGGACTTCGCCCTATACGGCAACGAACTCAATTATTTTAATGTCTGTTACTTCACGGCCTATGTCGTTTTTCAGGTCCCAGGACTGCTTTTGATGTCACGTCCCAAGCTGTAAGTCAGAGTATGTTGATTTATAAGAGGACTGTGTTATTGACAAAACTCTCAGAGCTCGCTGGCTGCTTCCTACTCTTGAAATTCTCTGGGGTATTTGCACCTTCGCTCAAAGTCGCGTTACAAACGTTCATCAATTGTATGCCTTGAGATTTTTGGTCGGAATGTTGGAAGCTCCTGTCTTTGCAGGAACTCATTTTATCCTTGGTAAGTCCACCACTTAAGCTTTCCGGAGAGTACAGACATGTACTGACATGTCACTTCTAGGCTCTTGGTATTCCGGACCTGAGCTTTTCAAGCGCGCAGGTACTTGGTTCATATGTAACCCACTTGGCAGCATGGTTAGTGGATATCTTCAATCGGCCGCGTATACGAATCTCTCGGGCGTTGGAGGTATGCCGGGTTGGAGATGGCTTTTCATTATCGACGGCATTTTCACTATCCCAGTTGCTATTATTGGGTTCATTATCTTTCCCGGCATCCCAGACTCGCCTCGACCATTCTATTTGACCGAAAGCGATATTGAATTAGCCAAGGAGCGAGGGCGTAAGGCAGGTATTCGTCGTCCTGGTAAAATGAATCTTGATGTGTTCAAGCGATCTCTTAAGAGGTGGCACATTTGGGTATTTATTACATGTTATGCGTGAGTTTCCCTTTCCAAGTTCCGGATTCAAGCTTTGAAGAGCGTGCAGCCAATGGCTTATCTAGATGCATGATTATCTCTTCTTACCCGTCATCTTACATGAACCTATGGCTTAAAGCCGAAGGGTATTCCGTGACTCAAGTCAATCAACTACCCACCGTAAGCTATGCGATTCAAATCGTTGCATCTTGGTTTGGTACCACCCTTGCGGCTATTTACCCATCCTGGGCTATCTTTTCATCTGCGTCTCTTGGGTGTCTTTTCTCGACGATTTGCATGATTGTTTGGCACATTCCAAAGGGTTTAAAGTTTGTCATCCACCATTATCCGCACTATATTTTTCTTTGAAGAACATTACTAACAAATGGGCACTTTAGGTTTGCTGCGTGGTATTTACTCGGCCTGTCTGGCTGTTTGAGCCCAATCTTATATTCGACGATCAATACCATTGTCAAGGATGACTCTGAAGAGCGAGCGCTAATCATGGTAAGATTCAAGTTCAAAGGACTTGAAATGATCAACTTGAAGTTTGCTCGGACATGAGCTGACTAGATATCTCATCAACAGGGATCTATGATGACCTTTGGCTATTCCTTTCAGATCTGGGTGCCGCTTCTTATCTTCCCAACTGCTGGTCCCTATGGAGCGCCACAATGGAAGAAAGGATGGCCCGTGGCGTTTGTATTCTACTTCTTGTTGTGGGCAGGGTTCATTACTTCTCTTGTCTTGTATCGAAGGTAAGAAGTGCAAATTTTCCAAATCACGCAGGCCATCAGACTGACGATCTATAAATTAGGGACAAGAGAAAAGCGGCTGCTGTGCTGGAATCGGAGAGTAGTAGCGGGGATATTGAGACGACGTCCACTGAAAGTCAGAGTCAAAATGCACCAGTGGTAGTCGAGAGGAGCAGTCCGGTTATGCCGAAGTACTAGGCGGTGCCTATATTTGAAGTCTATAGAGTCCCAACAAATTAAAACCCACTGTATAGAAGGCATTTAAGTTGAAGAGAGACTAGTATGTGTTGAGAGCGGGGAATGCAACTATAGCTAGTCACATGAAGGGGTAAGCTCCTGTAGATCAAATGACACGCAGCTACTCACTCTAATGATATCCTATCACTTACGATCATGTCCCCACGGGCTCTTTGTGATCACCGAAATGACCCGCACCTCTCATCCGGGGGCATGGAGGGACGTGCGTGCTGTCATTGGTCAGTGCGACCCATGGAAGATGACGGAGCCTCGATTAAAGACTCATAGCGCACTTGGGTATTACAACACAGCATCTTTTGTTCGGCTTCGGTTTTCCTTCTCATCATCTTCCTGTATCCGAGATACCCCGCCTGTACATCTCTTGGACTTGAATCCCCCCTCTTGTAGCCATCAGTCTGGCTTGTCGCCACCGCGCCGCGACCCCTCTCCGATCCCACACACACAACCCAAATTTCTGTGTCACCGCGCGTTGCCGCACACCTAAGTAGAAATATCATTGAAACCAGACGCGTCGATCCATCGCGAATCGACCCCTCCCCCCTTCAACCTCGGACCGGAACCCTCTTATCACCGAGCTCTTCCGTCGCAGTCAACCCGGTGTGGTGACAGCGACGCTCCGGCTCGGGCTTGATAAGAGATTCGGTGATACAACAACTTCGGGCACATGAGTAGCAAGCTTTGGGAATCCTTCATTCAAGATGATGTGGAGAGCTTTCAGCGGGTTCTCGCAAACGCGATGTTTGCCGGGCCGCGAGCTGCAGGAGCGTCCGGAGGTGCTGCAATAGCGGCAGCAGCCAACCTGTCATCCAAGGCTGGAAGCCCCGGGTCGATAATCCCCTCGTCGCCCAATCCGCCGAAACAAAGGAAAAGTATTGGGCCGTCACCTGGAACGTCTGCCCCTGAGCGATCGGGCGTTCAGCGGGGGACGGCAGCTTTGTCGCGCGCAGATGTCAATACTCGCGACCATTATGGCAGGACATTGCTTCATCATATCGCCTCCTCAGCCAATCCCACCGCTATCAAGTTTGCTACTGCCTTGCTTGAAATTCCGTTTCTCGATATCTATGCACAGGACTGGGAAAGCGGATGGACGGCTCTTCACCGTGCCCTCTATGCAGGAAATGCCACAATTGCTCTCGCTTTGATGGCGCGCGATATGCGTGATGCTACAGATTTTAGTAAGGTGGGACAAGTAGCTCAGATCGGAAGCCTGATAAAAATCAAAGATCGCGAGGGCTACAGTCCGTTCGATGTTTATGGAGCGACCATCACCTCGCGCGACATTAAGCAGATGATTTCGTCGCGGCCACGGGCTAGCTCTATAATTGGAGATGCGATGGAGAGTGATGTTATCTCAAACTCCGGATCTAGTGAAGCAGATGGCATGGAAGATGAGGCCTACGTTACTAGAGTTGCTCTTAAGTCCAGAGCAGCTTTTGCCGCAGATGAAGTGTTCACCCTCGGTAGCAACAAGAACTTGAACCTTGGACTGGGAGACCAAGACGACCGTCAGTTTCCCGAGCGGGTCGTGTTGAAGCGTCCTGAGCATCTTTTGGATCGGTTCTATCGTGAATATCAGGAAAAGATGGAACGCCTTGGCTGGGAGGATAATGTTGACCCAGCTCTCTCAAAGGAGCTGCCAACACTCATCAAGAATAAGCCAATGAAGATCCAAAATGTTGTCATGTCAAAACTGCATACTGCAATTCTCACAGAAGACCCCGAAGCCAATCTTTTCCTCTGTGGATTTGGCCCGGGTGGTCGATTGGGAACTGGCGACGAGACAACACGGTTCACTTTTGCCTGTATTGAAACTGGTGGCTTGGCAGGAAAGAAGGTCATATCCGTTGCCCTAGGCCAAGACCATACCATGGCCATCACGGAATTTGGCGAGATCTTCAGTTGGGGAAGCAACAAGTTTGGCCAACTTGGATATGGCTTACCTAGGACGAACAATAAAAATGACGTTCCTATTCAAACAACACCCCGCCAGATATTCAACCCGTTCAAGAAAGAGACTATTATTGGAGCTGCGGCATCTTCGATTCACTCCGTTGTGTTCAGCACCTCCGGATTGTACACATTTGGCAAGAACGAAGGCCAACTGGGCTTGGTTGATTCAGATGCACGGTCTCTGGAGATTCAAACCACACCTCGGCGTGTAGGAGCGTCACTATTTGCTTGTTCAATCCAGATGGTATCTGCCATCGATCGCGCCACTGCTGTGCTTTTGCAAAATGATGAGGTGTGGGTATTCTCGCAATATGGTTACTCGAAGCTCTCGTTTCCACTTGAAGCCAGCTCCAGATTTATTCGTGACAGTTTTATGGCAACAAGATATGATTCCTCTGTAAATCGCATTGTCAAGCTCGCATCCGGTGGCAACACTATCTGCGCTTTGTCAAGCTCGGGTGATATTTTTACAGTGGAGGCTAATAAGCCCGAGAGTCCGTCAGCCTCAACCTCTACCACGAACCCGGCCAAGATTCGGAACTCTCTGGCCACACCCGTGAGAGCTTGGTCTGTCAAAAAATCACACATGACCGCCAGCGATGTCGATGTGGGACAAGACGGGTCTATCATCATCTGCACGACATCGGGTTCGGCCTGGAGAAAGGAGAAGCGGATCAAAAATAAGGAAGGGGCATCCAAGGAATACAAGTTCGCTCGTATACCTGGCCTATCAAGAGCCGTAGCTGTTCGCAGTAACGCATTTGGTGCCTATGCTGTAGCTCAACGGGACTGCGACGTCACAAGAGAGCAGGTTCACGTTAATCCAAGCACTCTTTTGATGGACATCATGCCTCTGTCTCCATTTGTGATGCCTGCGCTGGATGACCTGGACGATATTATTACAGGGGATGACCTCGACAACATCATTCCGTTGTCCTCCGCTGTGGCTATCAAACGAGCCATCCTGTCATCCCCAGATATGGAGGATCAATTTCTGTCTATACGCACCGAGGGGACAATCTGGCTCACCACATCTCTATCCGACGCGCGGATTCCGGTGCATGAGTTTCTGCTAAGTGGCCGTAGCCCAGTTCTTCGCAAGGCACTCCAAGATTTCCGCTCTTCATACTATTCCTCCGTGCCTGATGTTTTGGATGTCGAGTATGATAAAGATGGCCATATTCAGATCCAACTTGATGGTGTCGACTTTCTAACAGTTATGAACATTGCGTTCTTTCTATACAACGACGGTATCCTCGATGTCTGGCACAAGGCTAGAGAATCGCCTCAAAATAGCGCTCGCTACCGGCAGGTCCGCATTGAGGTGATGAAGACCGCTCTCAACCTTGGTTTGCCAATGCTAGAACGCGCAGCGAGGTTGATGGTCGAACCACAGCCCAGTTTGAAGCATGATATGGCCCTTGCTATCGATCATTCTTCATTCTTTGACGATGCTGATGTAGTCGTACAATTGAATGGCGATACTGTCAAAGTCCATAGCCAAATAGTGTGCCAGCGATGTCCATTCTTCGAGGCACTCTTCCATGGTCGCTCTGGTGGCCGATGGTTAGCCATGCGACGGAAAGATCGGTCTGAGGATGTCCACGTTGACCTGAAACATATTGACCGATCTATCTTCGATTTTGTTCTGCGATATCTATATGCAGATACTGAAGAGCGACTGTTCGATGAAGTTCGCACTAAAACTCTGGATGATCTCATTGACTTATTGCTTGACGTTATGTACGTCGCCAATGAGTTGATGATTGATAGACTTTCCCAAATCTGTCAAAAGGTGCTTGGTCGATTTGGTATGTCTGAACATGTGTCCCTACCCCGCGAAGTAATATGTTCTAATAGACTCCAGTCAACACACGGAATGTCTCTTACCTTCTCAACTCTGTCGCGCCTATTTATATGGTGGAGTTCAAAGAGGCGGCTGTGGAATATATCTGCCTCGACCTCGAATCTATGCTGGCAAATAGGTACGATCTAGCACATTTCGGAATATAATGCTCTGCTTTCTAACCCATTTACTAGATATCTCGAGGGTCTTGATGATGACCTCCTGTCTGACCTGGATAAGGTGTGCCAAGAAAATCAACTGGCTTGCTATCCAATCTCTCGTGGGCGCAACACGGAATCGTACATTCTGGAGAAATACCCAGAGATAGTCAGCTCGATTGAAACTGACAAGCGCCGACGCATCGATGCCATGGCTCTCCAGTCCCGTCTCAGCCGGGTGGAATCGTACGATATTCGACCTCGGACTACAGAAAAGTATAATGCTTCTCCATCAATTCGCAAATCCAGCAAGTCTGGAAACGTCAAAGAATTTACGAGTCCAAACTCTAGCCCCATGCTGAAACCAAGACAGTCCACTAGTGATCTGATGTTTCAGATGGACGAAGAAGCTGTCCTTCCCTCGCCTGACGCTAAGGGCAAAACTACTGCGCGTGGAATAAGATTCAGTGAAACAGAGAACCGATCTCACCCCGATTCCCCAGCATTGGGGGGAAGTATCCCCGAAGGCGATTCACTCGAGGACCGAGGCTTCCTGGACCAAGGAATGGCTTCCCCGCGAGATATATCACTCGCCGAATCTCCAACTGAGTCTCGCGCAATTGCTATGCACAAGAAGCGTGCACCAGTTCAGTCAGCCACTGGGACTTCGGTCCCATGGTCTTCCCCCGTAATTTCAGATGGTAAAAAGGACCTCAAGGATATCATGGGAGAGACTTCTCAGTCTCGAGTTTCGAATCTTACCCTGGGTATGGAAGGGAAACGAGAAATTAGCGGCAGCTTCACGCCCAAGATATCTCAAAAGGAAAGGAGAAAAATACAGCAACAGCAAATTCAAGAGAAGCTGGCTGCCGAGAAAAAGGCCCAAGAAGCTCGAGATAACCCCTGGCAGCTGCCACCTCCAACGTCATCGAGTGCAAAGGATAAATCACCGGCATCACCAAGCCCAGCAGGTCCTAGTGTGCAAGCCCCTCAGCCTCTTAAGACACCGCAGAAATCTTCTATGACTCTCCGCCAGACTGTGGCCGGGACACCTCCCCCTCGCTCCAAGCCAGCAGCCACTCCAGTCCAAACACAAAGTCGCAGTGTCTCAGGAACCTTGCCACAATCTTCTTTCTCAAAGCCTCCCCCTTCTCCTTCTCATTCGGGACCCCCAACGCCATTCCAACAATCAGCTTCCAAACCATCACCACAGCCAAGCGTTCAATCTATCCGCCACATCCCACGCCCAGATGCGAATATATCGGGCTCTCGTTCTCCATCGTATGGTTCCCTCTCCTTGGCAGCTATTCTAGAGCAACAACAATCAGAAAAGAACGACATCCGCGAGGCAGCTATGGCCAAACACAATTTGCAGGAGATCCAAGCCGAACAAGAGTTCCAGCAATGGTGGGATCAAGAGAGCAAGCGCGTGCAAGGGCTTCTTGAACCGGAGCTTCAACAACAAGGCCGCAAATCTTCAGGTCAAACTGGAAATTCACGCAAACGTCGCGGGAACAAACCTGCTGCAACTGATGGTCCTGCGCCTCAGGATCAGAAGAAACCTTCTTCCTCGGGTCCGAGTCAAAGAACGCCGAAGAAAAATGCCAATGGCCATCCCTCTGGATCATCACAGGCAAGTCCGGCTATACCAAATGCTCACACTGCACCACAAGGGAAAAGTTCGCGTCGTGGTGGAACTGGGCAACGTGGCAAGGCGCGAGATCGTCAGCAAGCTTCTTGAACTTGACTTCACTCAATACTTTTTCCTTCGCGGATTTTCTCGTAGACTCTTTATCTTATTCTTTTTTATGATTTTCGTCATAATACTTCCACTCTTGTTCATCTCACTTCCGTATTCATGGGTAATCCATATTAATGTGGACATTTCGGCGTTTTGGAATTTTGTTTTACACACCGGCGTCGATTAATACCTTACTTTTTGTTTTCAAAGATATATACATAATAGACTATGTTTTTTGAGCTCGGTATACACGCAGCTGCCATTATCGATTACTTCCATGCCCACGAAATCATCAACTTCTCCATATTAAAAAAATATTAAATTGCCTAGCAGTTTTGAAGTCTCTAGTACCCTTCACCATCTACAAACTCTCATTCCGACGCTCCCATCGAGCTGTCGCAGGCTGCATCGGTCTCGAAAACATGGACTATGGAAGAAGTTAGTCAAGGCCATAGAAAAATGGATAAAAATAAAGAAACGTACCGAATAATCTGTTTCTGGAACTCCAACCCGGTCCTCAAGGTTGTAAAAGCGAAACTCCCTCACAAGGGTCGCAACAATAACAGCAAGATTCAAATAAGCAAACTTTTCACCGATACAACGGTGTCTTCCTGCCCCAAAGGGTAAGTAAGGGCTCTTAGTTCCCTTAGACACAGCACCGTACCCATAGTCAATCGTTTCTGTCTCATCTTCGAGCTCAACACGAGACTCCCACCGATGCGGGTCCCAAACCATGGCATTCCGGAAATAACGCTCATCACGCGCCGTAACACCAGGAGAAGACAGAAGTGTATGACTTGTTGGAACAACATAGTCTGTCCCAGCAATAGGGAGGGGATTCTTGACTTTCCGCATGATGGTATGGATTGATGTGTGAATGCGAAGAGTTTCCTTGATCGCGTTTGCTAACAGGGGCATCTTGTCCATATCAGAGTACTGCAGTGGTCGGAGTGGGACTTTATCAGAGCCAAGGGCATCAGTCTGCTCCTTGTAGAGTTCCTCTGCCACTTCAGGCTGCGAGGCAAGTCGCAACATAATCCAGCAACTAATCGCAGACGAGGAGTGCTGTCCCGCCATTAAGAGAGTGATCATCATGTGTGCAATCTCTTTATCTGGGATTGGGTTCCCATCGCGGTAGATGCAGGCCATCAGGTTGGCGATCATATCTTTGGCTTGGGAGGGGTTGCCGCTGGAGGCTTGTTGGCGGCGATCTTTGATGATGTCTAGGTAGATTTCGCGCATGCGTGTGTGTGCAGCGTCTCTTTTGCGGTTGCGTGGAAGGGGTACCCAGGGGAGCATGAAGTTGATAGGTGAGAAGCCAAGATCGAGATCGTGGTATAGGTCGGCAAATTCGGAGGTTAGCTTTCCACGGACTTCGTCGCCTTGTAGTGTTCGACCGGCTGTGAAGATGGTGATCTCGGCCATTGCAGAAGCGAAATCGATGATATCGGATTGGCCTTTGAATTTGCCGGATGTTTTGATGTATTGTTCAACTTCTTCTTGGATAAGGGGCACGTAAGATTCTAGGGCTTCTTGGCTCAGACCGAACTTGACGAACTAGAGTTGAGACAAGGGTCAGTATCAGTATCGTATGTCTTCAAAGTATATTAATGAGCTGCGCACGACCAAGTCAAACGAACCTTCTTTTGCTCCATTAATTTGGAGTTTGGGCAGTCGTAAACCACACCTGTCCCAAAAATCGGGGTGGTCAACTTGCCGTATACCTCTTCGGCATTCACATCCCTAAGTTTTCCGTTGAGAATGAACTCATTGCCGTCGATTCCAAGATAGACAGTAGTCTTCTTTCCTAGCAGGATAAATGTGAAGATGTCGCCGTGCTAAGGACTCATGTTAGTATTTCGAATCGTGGATCGAAGCTGCAGGCCTACCTTTTCCCGGCATTCAAAGAAGAACTTGTAAGGGTCCATGCCATATCTGACTGTACTTCCAATAATAGGAAACCAGTGAAATACCACTGGAGGCTCATTGCGTCGGTAGAATACCTTTTGATTGACTACATTGGCAAAGACCGCGAGCGAGATGATGGCAATTGCATAGAAGGTGATATGCAGGATCTGGCTAAAAGCCAGTTGAACGACAAGTTCCATGATTTAGACGATTTTCAAGGTTAAATTTGAGGTACAAAAGAACACAGTACTGTAGATTGAAATAAAGCCATGTATAGAAGCGATTTATAGACTGGACGGACACAGGATCAAATCAGGAGGCCCGAATTTACCATTAATCATCGTTAGGGCAGCAATGTCACGCCACGGCTGATCCCCCGGAAGACGGGGCCACCGAGACCAATAACAAGGATTTGATTATCCCTGCATCACATCAGGCATAATAATAATATTAAAATAGAAAATCAAAATATACAAAGGCAGCTTGGTCTATGCTCATTCAAATGTTCTGATCCGATCTGCATACTGTAATGGAGCTAGGGATGACCACGATCCTTCAGTCTGAATCTGAGAGGGGGGGGGGGGGGAAGACGCAAGTTCATAAAAGAAAAAGGGAAAAGTAAATCGACAGAAGTTCATAAATGGGAATGAAAATATGCTAGAATCCCTCAATCATTAACCCGACGTAGCGACCTCTCGACTGTCCCACATGCGACGAAGCATTAGCGCGATTTCGGGGACAGGTGGGTAGTCTTCGGAGTCTTGGTCGCCGGGACCATTATGTACAGCCTCCTCTGAACTAGAAAGAATGCGCTGAGATGGGTGCGATGACTTTCTTGCATGGCTCGTGTGGGTCGAGGCCTCGCCATGGCTTGCGGGGTCTTCGGAAGCCGAAGAGTTGGGGTCAGGCAACTGTAATCTTGATTCGGAACTCGACCCAAGCCGGCTGGGGTGTCGTCCGTGCTGCAGAAGAGGCAAAGAAGGGGCGGACTTCACTGGTTTCCCAAGAGCTGCCCCTTTATCGGCACGGCGAGATTCTTGGGAAGGTCGAGTCACAACACGCAGTCGATTGAAGCTATCACCGGTTGGCGACTGGAATCGCCTGACTACATTCAGCTCAAGAGAGGACTTTTCGTAAGCTTTTCTTACGGTGCGTGCCTCGTTGTCTTGGCCTGGTAGTCTAATACGACTGCCGCCATTTAAAGCCCCATTGGCATCGTAGGCACCAGGGCCAGATCGTGCGCCGTTCGTCGCGATAAAGGTTGGGTCAAGATTTGATGGCGATACTGCACTGGACACACTATGTGATTCGGGCGGCGAATTGTTGAGCGTTGCTGTACGTTGAAGCCATAGCTTCTGTTGTGTCCGTGATAGATCGGCGCCTCTGCTTGGCGCTGGTGATGCGATAGCTGTCGCTGAACCACGCTTTGGGGACGGAGGTGTTTGCGGATGATAGTGGGGAAGGAACGAAGATGGCGTATTCGGATTTGAATCAGTTCGGGATGATGAATGGGGCCCAGATTTATTGCTTGGGATAAACCGTGAGACACCACCTTCCATGGATGATGAAGCAGCGGGAGCTTGGTTCCCCTGTCTCATGTTGGTGGCAGAGAACGTACGACGTGCACCATCATGGGCAGCTGTAAGATTAACAGATGAGGCGTTGCGTGATGCTGAGTCCGTTGGCTTAGCCATCGCTGAGATGGAAGTCATAGCGGGAGGAGCTCTTGCTGAGTGGGATGGACTTAGAAGACGGTTTGCAATGTCACCCTGTTCACCCTGTTGAGTGGGTTCGGTTTTGTCGTTGTCTGACTCTTGATCCTCCTCCTCTTCTTCTTCTTGACGTTCCTCTTCTTGTATGGTCTGCTCTCGCAGGTACCGGTTGGTGATCGAATCTGGAAGACTCGTAGCGCGGGGAACTTGAGGATACGCACGCTTCACAAAAGTGAGAGGATCGACCAGGACCTGTGCGTTTTCTGCACTATGGTTAGATGGCACGACAGAGTTGCGCCGTGTGCTTTCAGGGGATTGCGTGGTGTCTTCCCATTCGGCGTCGTCGTTCTCATAGTCGCCCAACTCAAACCCGACCGTCTTCTTCTTCCCAGCACTCGACAGAGGTCGGTCCCCAACCAGAGCTTTTTTCCCGAAACCCGAGTTATTTCGTCGTAAAGCAGGTGTTGAATTATTTCTTTTCATCGAATGATTCTTGGGATGATCTTCTGTTCCCCCGTCCCACCGTACGTGAGCTTTCTCTTTGGGGCTGGCAACGGGAGTGGCTGGGGCGGATTTCTTCCGGTGGTGATGACGTCCACTAGACTCGGCAGGTAGTTGAAATCTTTGTAGCTTGTTCACGTTTTTTCCGGTGGAAGGGTTGCGGTGATGATGGCGGCCACCACCGACGACATGCGGGCGATGCGCTTTATGACCAGTGGTCTTGGACGTCGGGGATTGCGACAGCTCGCTGTTGGAGTTTGACCGCGTGACAACGGCATGCGAGGAGACAGCGCGGCGGCCGAGGCCGGGGCGCTTAACGGGGGAGGATGTACCGGTGGGCATAGCGGCAAAAAAAAGCACCAAAGAGGCGGGTAATCAGGTGCATACACTGAGCATCGAAGGGGATTGGCCGAAGTAGTGAGCTGGTATCACAGCAGGTGGGCGTGCAGCAGGAAAAAAGCAACCAGGCTGGGAGCAATCGAAATGCTGGCAGTGTCTACACCGCCGCGCTCGAGCCCATTCAGGCGCGGATGGAAAATATCGTCTGTTACAGGGAGGAGAGGGGAATAGTCGAAGAGGGGAAGTCTAGAAGGGAAGTGAAGTGAAGTCGTCGCTGTCTTCGGCGATTTCCAAGGTGGAAACGGGGTAATATTACCGTATTGGAGACGCAGCGGGTGCCACGTTCGTACAACGCCTCCACTTCTCTTTGTAAGCTACCTGTGGACCATGACCGCTAATCAGTTGCTACGTACAGATACAAAACAAATATAATTGAAGTAACAGAAAACCGGGAAATTTCTTCGTAAAGGAGAGGAAAAAAATAAATAAAAGCGAGACTTTAGGTATCATCTGGTACACACAAAAGACTAACGCCAAAAAGGTAAAAGAAAAAAATTTAGTACGCTATAACTCAATCAAACTCTCTTCCACTGGTGCTGCGGGCTTATGCGTGACGGAATGCTGTGTTTGCCCGGGGTCCGGATACGCTCCCGGTTGGCCAGAAACCATCGGTGGATATCCGGAAGGCACAGCACTGGGCTGTTGGGGCTGGTAATAGTAGGATTGAGGAGGGGGTCCAGTGGGCTGTTGATGCAGTGCGGGCGCCATGGTCGAGTATGCAGGTGATTGGATATGCTCGGATGAGTGCGGTTCTGGGATGTTTGATGTCGAAACCCCTGGAGGTGCACTAGCTTGGTATTGGGAGTCTCGTCGCATAATAGGTGAGGGTTGGTAAGGAACCTCAGAAAATTGCGACTGGTTGGGATCTTGTTCTGGGGGAGCTGCATAGTAAGGCGATGGGCCAGTAGATCCGGCGGTACCACTTTGGGGTAGGGGCGAAGTCAGTGATGGATATGGATTTTGGTTCCATGCAGTGTTGTGCGGTTCATTCATTGAGTGTCCATGATAAGCCTGTGTTGGATACACGGGACTCGTGATACTACTAGGCGTTGCTTCATATGAGTTGTTATTCATTGCTGGAGGCGCATAGCCGGCAGTGGCAGCATAAGATGGCTCGGGAGCATTTCCATAGTAAAAGTTCTCAGCCCCAGACTTCATATCCGGTGCCTGGGCAGGTAGCGCTGGCATGTTTGGGTATTGAGGAACAGCTGCAGCGGCGCCATATCCGAGATTCTGTTGGGAGTAGGCACTGGACAGCCTCTCTTCCAACATCCGATCGTAGTAACGAACAACAGTTGATAGCTTTGCATGGAGATCAAGCAGGGTGTCTAAAAGACGTTAGTCTGCGGAGCATCAGCCATTACACTTGAGATCTCAACTTACCATGCTTGCTCATAGTTTCACCGTAGCTGCGGGCTAATTTAGGTCGAAGTGTACCTATACTATCATAGAGCTCCTGAATCTGTGGCTCTCGAAGAATAGTTCCTGGGGGTTGGTGCTGTAATCGATCAACCAAAGTGGAAAATAGGTGAATGTTCTCCGTCTCGACAGGACTAAGCTCATATGGGTTTTTCGGGAGTGGTGTTGGGGTGCTTGAAGAGTCGCGAAATGTATCGTTGGGCGCCGGATTGTTTTTCAAGGCAGCAGCATGGTTCTGCTTATGCTGCTCCATATCACGCAACGATGCCTCGATTGCTGCCTTCAGGTCTGCATCCTCCTCTTCTACATTGGTCGGCCCGGAGGATATTGTAGTCGGTTCAGGGACGTTGCCAGTTTGAGGCACGTATCCCGAGGGTCCTCGGCCCTCCGCTTCCTCAAGACTCATCTGCAATGCACGCCTAAGATCGTCATCAAAACTGTTGTCTGCCTTGGCGCCACGAGGCTCCATGGAGGCTGATTTCGTTATGGAGTGATTCTTGAATGCAGATCGATCTGATAGCCCTGATGGGGTAAAGGCTTTGGATGTCAGTTTAGTGTAGCAGCCGTCATCAACCCGAACTGGCTGCAATATTCCGAGGTGTGGAAGCGGAATCATTTTGCTGGAGCACTGTGCATCGAAGACGTTGCCACAATTCCGGCAGTGGTGTTTACGGTTCATGAAGCTAAAGGCAGTTCGGCATCGCATGCAGACATCCGAATCTATCCATTCCGGTGGCTTTTCATGGGAGTTAGTCATGTCGTCAATCTAAAATATAATTAGAACTTACAGCATCGCTCTCCAACATAGTACCACTCATTTCTGTTTTTGGCGGAAATTGAAACCCTTCACTTTGGAGTTTACGGTATGTTTCTCCTAGGTATATCAGATCCATGCGACCCTGAGCTGCCATAGCCCAATTTTGAATCAACTCCAGCACTTTACGCTGAACATCTGGATTTAAGGGAGCTCCCTCAGATTTCAATAAAGAAACCAAGTTATCCATAAATTCACGTGAAGCAATCTCGGCCAGGAAATGGGTGCCTCCGTTTTTGACACATGTATCGGTCAACTACAACGGACAAACATTTAGTCAGCAGCTGTTCAAAGAAGAAGTGCGCATATAAAAGAAGGATTGCGCATGTTGACAGGTTGTCTACCTTCAATGTCGCTATCTGGATGTTCGGGTTTCGGTTTTCCAGTCGGCGCTTCAAGGACCTCATGGCCTCTTTCGGCTGGACACTTTTTGACCGTACCATATCGGAAATCTCTAAGTTTAGAGCGATATCTTCCCTAAAATCAATTCAGCTTAGAGCTTCTCTCATGCCCGAGTATTGCTAATGGTTTGACTCAAGGACATGTTAGGCAGAAGGAAATCATGATTGTCTACGTACAGCGAAGAACCTGTCGCCCGCTCGATCTGTTCATCGAGCGGGGACGAGGATGAGAACCAGCCTGCCATAGTTGTAGACTCCGGAAAGACACAGACTCCGCGTATCACTTATATCGAATCCAAGAGTAATGTTGATGGGGAGATGAGTTGGAGAAGCCAGGATGAGATGGAGCTCCAGGCAGCCCGCAGTTGACTAAGCTTTGACTGGCGTCATAGGCGGCGGGGGCGGTGAATTGTATTGTCACCCCAGACCCGCACTGGTTCCTGAGATTCACTGGACTTCTACCTAATTATCTGGCCTCTCTGCCTTTTTGCTGATTTCCTTTGGTTTCTGAACGTTCGGGATAAAGCCTATCTCAAATATACTTTCTTTTCGAATCATGCGCTAAATCCCAACCCCTTTCGCTGCCTCGACCATGTCCCCCGATGCAGCGGCGTTACCGTCTCTACCGGACATACCACCGTGGAAGGATAGGCGTCCTTACTCGGTGGGGGGCAACATGCATTCCACCAGCGAAGTCACCAGACTAGGCCCTCATCAGAATGGCAACACCGCGCCACAGCCTCGATACCCTAATATCAAGGACCTGCAGGATCAGGCAGCCCTGTTAAATGTAAACGAGAATGCATCGGTCAGTATTCTTTCCTACAAGGTCGCTGCGGGCCCAATCACTCATTTAAGATAACAGCTCGATATCCTGCTAAGAACAGCATCCGACGCTATCGGCCAAGCTAAAACTCTCGCAAACGACGAAAGGTCTGATGAGGCCTACGTGCAATATCTCCGTGCCTCGGAGATCACCATCAACGTCATCCCCCACCATCCCGACTATAGAACGACTATAACCCAACGCCCTGGGTGGTACAAAGAGTTCGCCGATTTGATGATGGTATGTTCTATCCGAACCCTGACGTATATATAAACGGCACATCTGGTCAACGTTACGAACAAGACTGACCACATACTTGTTTGGGTGAATAATAGGCGGTGCGGACCAAGCAAGGAACAATGGATATGATCAAACAAAATATCATCGAAGATAACCTCAAAAGCCAAATACAACCTATGGGCATATATAGGCCAGGATCCTCTGGGATGGGCTCTATTGCACCCCGGGGCCGTGAGAACCGCGATTCGCCCAGTGGAGCCATGAGAATGCCAAGTCCGACGCAATTTCAAGCAAAGCCTGATTTCAATGCTAAACCCCAGCGATTTTCGAGCCCCGCGGAAGACATATTAGCGCAGCGTTTTGCAAAGCTCAAGATGGTCCAACCCAGTGGAGCCGATTCCCCTTCGCGATCGTACCCACCCACGAGCCCCGCAGGACAGATCTCTCCTCATACGTTGAAGGATCCCCAGGGCGACAACAATCTTATACATCAGTCCCCAACCAGGCGTCCATTGGGACCTCGCAGCATGGGGTCGTCGCCCGCAGTACCCAGTATCCCTCCTAAACTTCCTCTGACAACAGCCCTCCCACGTGCTCCCGATCCCGCATACAGCCCAATCTACACGGTACCTACACAGCATCCACCAAACCCTCCACGAACATCTACTGAAAGTACGCGGCCTATTACACAACGATATTCGCATTTCACAAATTCTCCCCGCGGTAGTCCCAGTCGTGGTCCTCATGATAACCCTTATCGGTCACTCACTCCAAATGGGGTGAACTCCACACGAGAGTCTCGGAGTGGCTCGCCTGATATACCAGCCAACCCTACAATTTCGGCCTCAGACCTTCTTGATTTTCTGCGGCGCTTTAATGTGCTTCTTGTGGATGTTCGTTCTCGAGATCAATATGACAATGGACATATTTATGCAAAGTCGATCCTTTGCATTGAACCTGTTGCATTGAAGGAAAATGTGTCAGCGGAAGAACTTGAGGAGCGCCTTGTTGTGTCTCCAGATTATGAGCAATCCTTATTTGAACGACGAAATGAATTCGACCTTGTCGTTTATTATGACCAAACTACTGCGTCGGTCAGTTATCTCGCAGGCTCGCCTGTGGGTACATCAGCGCCCCATTTGAGAGCTCTCCATGATACTCTGTATGAGTTCAACGAGTACAAGCCTCTAAAGGGCGGGCGTCCTCCGGCGCTATTGCTTGGTGGTTTGGATGCGTGGATTGATCTACTTGGGCAACAATCCCTAGCTACATCGTCGACTGCAGCGGTAATGGGTTCGATTCAAAGCAGAAAGCCCGTTTCAAAGCCTGGTCGCCCACTGGGTCGCGTACCTACAATGGCAAGTGCTAATTCGAGCTTGGAAGTGCGCAAGAGAAGACTCCGAGGGTTCACCCCCCTTAATTCCGAGGAATTAACAGCATGGCTGGAAAAGGCCAAGAATGAAGAGATCGATACTAGCACATATATGGAAGATGAGCCACTCACAGATGAACCGCAAGAAGATTTGGCACAAACCACAAGCCCATTTGTCCATAATTATGAGGATTTCCTGCGCCGCTTCCCTGAACCAGGTAGCATTCAACAATCAATGAAACACGCCCAGTCCCGACCAGTTGCATTGCCTGTTCCGAACTATGAGGCTCCCACGCCTCTCGCTGTAGCTCCATCGCGCCCTGCTGCGGCTGTTCCTCGGCCTAGCTACAGCGGAGTGACCGATGGGCGACATTTTCAGGCTCATATGGAACGGCAAAATTCAGCTTCCCGAACAGCGTTGTATACTTCCAATTCGCTGTTGAGTCGTCTGAAGCTTCCTCGCACTGGCCTTACCAATTTCGGTGTTACCTGCTACATGAACTCTACTATCCAATGTCTCAGTGCCACTGTGATGATGAGTCGGTTCTTTATTGATGACAGATTCCGCTATTATATACAAAAGAATTGGAAAGGCTCTCAGGGTGTGATGCCGGGGCTTTATGCCAATTTGGTCCGCTCCCTATGGAAGAATGATGTGGAGGTGATCATGCCTACCTCCTTTCGCAACTTCTGCGGTCGATTGAACCGGGAATGGGCCATTGACCGTCAACAAGATGCGAAGGAATTCTTTGATTTCTTGGTAGACTGTCTCCATGAGGATCTCAACATTAATTGGCAGCGCAATCCGCTGCGACCACTCACCTTTTCCGAAGAAATGCAGCGGGAACGAATGCCTGTACCCAAAGTATCCAAAATTGAGTGGGATCGATATTGTCACCGGGAGGAGTCGTTCATTTCATCACTTTTTGCGGGCCAGCATGCCAGTCGCCTTCGTTGCACCACTTGTCGCCAAACCTCGACTACTTATGAAGCCTTCTACAGCATTAGTGTAGAGATTCCGCCCAGTGGGACCGGTGATATTTATCAGTGTCTTCGTAGCTACTGCCAAGAAGAAATGCTCAGTGGAGATGAAGTTTGGAAGTGCCCGCACTGTAAGTGTAAGCGCATGGCCACGAAGCAGATCATCATCACTCGGGCACCTCAAATTTTAGTGGTGCACTTCAAGCGCTTTTCGGCCTCCAAGACTCAAAGCGCACGAAAGATCCACACGCCGATCGAGTTCCCTCTCCACGGACTACGAATGGATGATTTTATCATCTCCTACCCGAGTTCCACCCAACCACCCGATACTTCGGCAGCGCCGACTACGGGAGCTACGGCGGCACCATTTACATACGACGCATTTGGTGTACTCCGCCATATTGGTTCGTCCATGGGTAGCGGTCACTACATTTCGCTCGTTCGTGATGCTGAAAGACAGTCCTGGCGACGATTTGACGATGAGCGAGCAACGGACTTCAATCCGCGCGATCTCCGAGGACGTGATCGATTACAGAATGAGCAGGCATATATTGTGTTTTATGAGCGAGTTCCAGCGAAATGAGCGTCTTTTTCTTCTTCTCTTGTTGAGTGTTCTATTTTGATTGTTCACGTTTTTTTTATTTTCTGTCTTGAACTTGATTCCAAGTTGGTTTCATGAATGTGCTCTTAGCCTGTTGTTGTTCCTTGTTTCCTTACTGCATGTCACGATTAGCCATGATAGAGAGACGGCGCGTATGAATTTTGCAGGGTATATACTTTGATATAGGGCACTTTGGCACGTATACCCCATTTAAATGAACACGTTACGTACTAACCGGCCCCATAACTTTGAATAATTACAATTAATATTGTTACATTGGCACCAAGCCGGAGATCATCATGAAGACGATCGACGTGCCAAACTAGGGAATTCTTCCGCAGATAGCGGAAAGCCGGGGCTCACACCCGCGCCACCGCACAACCGAGGGTATGGGTTGTGCAGGCAGTTGGAGGCGGATGGCGGTGTTTAAGGTCGGACCCGAGTAGGTCAGCAGCATAATATGATGAAATCCGCTAGATGTATACTCATAAGCTTCATAGATGATAGTCTGATAAATAAATAACTCCGAGTCCTTTTTTTGCATCTTGAATAATTATGTCTAGTTGCATATTGAACCATTGTACATAGCACTTGAGTACTGTATCTGGCCAGATTTTCCAGATCTTCCTCCTTCTCATATGCGCCGAGGCTCTAATAAGCAGCCGCTGATTCGTCCACCTCCTCATTGTCACACCATAACAATCCTTGCTTCACCAGCAAGAAACACAGAGAATCGATTAGTTCCCGAGGATCAACAAAGGCCCCTCAATTGTCCGAATTCTCTTACTCCGCTATCAGACCCCGTTAACCTGATAATAAATCGGGAACAAACGACGGCATTCTTTGGGTGAGAGCCAGTATTGGAACCTTGGGCCCACACCGTGGAGAGACCGCCTTAGCGCACGTCCCAGGTACATGTCAATCCAACTCCGATCTTCCTCTCCTCCCCTTGTTCTGTGAACTGGCTTCGTTTCTTTTTAATTGCGTTTGAGTTTCGTTGCACATATTCTCTTGACTTTCCATTCTCTAAATTCCCTACTCCGTGAGTCTGGTCCATCCCCGCCGCCCCATCACCCCCCTCAACATTCTCTCATCCTTTTTTTGGTTCTCCGACGGAGGAGGGAAAAAAAAGGGTTCTTGTTTGCCTCCTCTGCCCGCTCTGGCTCTCGCTTTCGCTTCCACACTGTGGTTTCTAGAACTTGGACTAATATTTCATGTCTGCAGAATCCTAGATTCTTTACCATTCATCATGTCTGACGCCAAGGAATTCACCCTCAAGGAGATCGAGGGCCACAACACCAAGAAGGACCTGTACATGGTCATTCACGACAAGGTCTACGACTGCACTAGCTTCGTTGACGAGCACCCGTACGTTCCCGCTTCTACCGAATACTTGCCCTACTGTACCATGGAGGCCTTTGACTACAAGTTCTCTACTTCTTTGCACCGGTGTTGGATTTGCGACGTCGTGTTTGCGATAGGGGCATGATGTGGCCCGCAGTCGCAAACCCCGTCGGAACACCCATACCTCCTCCCCCTCTTTCCCACCGCCATAGCTCACTTTCTACGCACTGTACACTTCATCTCAATCAAATACTAACATCTCTTTTCCAGTGGTGGTGAGGAGGTCCTGCTGGATGTCGGTGGCCAAGACGGCACCGAGGCCTTCGAGGACGTTGGCCACTCCGACGAGGCCCGCGAGATTCTCGACGGTCTTCTCGTTGGCAACGTGAAGCGCATGGTACGTCTTTTATCCACTATAGACTCCACGATACATTCCACGTCGAGTCTTATCGTTTTCATACATAACCCATTAACTAACTCTATTCTAGCCCGGTGACCCTGAGCCCAAAGCCCACGCTGCCGCTGCTTCTGGTTCCTCTTCCTCTTCTTCCGGTGGTGCTGCTGGCTTCGGTGTCGGTCTCTACGGCATCATCCTCATCGGTGGTGCGATCGCCTACGGTGTGTACAACTACCTGGAGGCCCAGAAGGCCCAGCAGTAAGCGGAATTGGAGAGTCGAATAGAACGAAATGGAACGGTGTGTGCTGTCATTTTCCACTGTGGAGATGTCAGGATGAGGAGTCAAAGAGGAGGTAGTTGGAGAAGAGTCCTTCGATTAGGCAGATCCAGTGAGGGGGTGGATCGGTAATCGGCAGTCGAAGGAGATACGAGACTCAGAATCTCGGGAGTTGGACAAAAGAAGAAATAATATTGGATGCACCACTGTGTGATATCTCATGAATTGTTCGATTTATTTCAGGTTTTACCATTATTTTTTTACAGGGTTTTCAGGTTACTATTATTTATTTTCATTGTCAATGGTTTTCTTTTATTCCTTTTCAACACCATTTTCCTGGCCCCTCCTGGTTCCACTCTCAACATGCTATGGACGATACATTATGTGTCTTGGCCTTGACTTGTGCGTGGAATTTCTCTAAATTCGCACTGGATCCCGATTTCCTTGCTGATACCCGCTGCCTACGGGTTCGTTGCTTATTTACTCTTTTTTTCGTTATTATTATTCGCTGGTTAGTCTCCTTATGTTTTTTCGGTGAATCAGTCCCCGCGACTATCTCAATCCTGGGCTCCGGTGGAAGGTTCTGGGCGCCGAAAGGTACTGGTTTAGTGCTTGGTCCATGTCCCCACTCCGGGATTCTTTGCTCCTTTCGGCGTGGCTTTCCTTCCCCTTGTGCCTTTGTGTGGGGGGTAACTCTGCCCGGTGGACCCGCGCGAGGAGATAGACTATGTTTCTCTTTCTTTTCTATAGCATATGGTATTGATAGACCGATTGATAGTGGGATTCTTTCTCCAAATTTTACCTACAGAATAATTTCCTTCCATATCTCCAATATTCATTGGCCAATCATGCTTCCTCCTTAGTTTTCCATATTTCCATGTATACGTACACGCATCCTTGAAGCTTCTACTGTATACATCTGCGCACCCGCCTTCATCGGGTGCCCAATGCATGGTATATTTCTATAAGAAAGCCGCGGAGGCTGTTACAAAACATGCGGATCTTCTTCACAAAAGTATGTTCTCTTTTCATATTTTTTATTTTTTAATTTATTTTTTTTTGCCTTAAACTATGCACAGATGGTTGCATTAGTGACAATATGATAAGTAGACCGCCGACTGGTAGATATCATCTAATTGAAGCCAGAAAGTCATGGTACCTGGCCAGAGAATTATCGTGCCCGGAAATTGAAAACATTTACTTGCACTGTCTTCTCGGAGAAGCCAGCAACCAAGATCTGTTCACTGGACGCGAATGCTACTGAGCAAACTTTTTCAAAATGAGTTCTGAACGTCCCAACAATATAGCCAGTTCTGATATCCCAGATTTTCGCTGTCATATCCTTAGATCCAGACAGGAGCAGCTTGCCGTCGGGCGAGAAGGCCAATGCCTCCACCCCCTCCGAATGGTCATCTGTGAACGTCCTGCACAGAGATCTAGACAAGGGGTCCCAAAGCCAAATCTTCCCATGGTATCTCGTGCCAGCGGCTAGTATTCGGCCATCAGGCGAGAAGGCTAATGAAGTAAGAGGGTGAGAATGAATATCGGGGGATTTGATGGGACTGGGGTACATCCATGTGTGGCTCCAGAGTTGCAGTTCGTAGTTACTAGATCCAGATGCCAATTGATTGGCGACTGGCGAGAACGCGACCGATAAAGGCCGCTTGCGATGGCCCGAAAATCGCTTGACTTGAGCACGAGTGCTAACGTTCCATAGCCCAACATCTATATCACTAGAAACAGAAGCCAAGAACTGACAGTCGTGCGAGAAGGCCAACGGACCGATAGAACTAGGTGTCTGCTGTAGAATATGGAGTGCAGAGCCTGTTCTAATGTCCCATATTATAACCGTCTTGCCTTCAGAGCCAGAGGCCAACAGTTTGTCATTGGGGGAGAAGGCGACTGAGCAAACACCACTGTGGTGCAGATAGAGCATGTTAAGTAAAGAACCTGTAATAGGATCCCAAAGCCGAACTGTGCAGTCTTTGGAACCAGACGAACATAGTACCCCTGGGCGAGAGGGCTACTGTAAGAACACGAGACGAATGACTCTCAAGATTCCATTCTATGGGGTCTCGCTCGGATTTCCGATGGCTTGGCGCTGTTCGCCTTTCCACCTTAGCGGCTGGTTTTTGTTCTTCAGGCGACTTTGCGGACGAGAAGACTGCTACCGGGAAAGAATATTTCGGTTCTTCGGCCGGTTGATATTGGCTTTGTGGGAAATTTGAATATGAGCAAGGGCGATCACTTGATTGACCCCCATTATTTGGCGATAAGAGACTGGTAGATACTTCTTTATCATCCAGTCTTGGCTCTTCGGCTGGTTGATATTGATATTGTGGGCAATATGAGCGAGGGTGATCACTTGATTTACCTCTATCATTAGGCGACGAGAGACTGGCAGTGGCAGGTACCCCTTTATCATTTATTTGCCGAGAGACAATCCGATATAAGATATCTTTGGCGTATGCAGCTGCGACCATGGCGGCATAACCCTGCCAATCTTTATTCTTATGTGAATCGGAATAGTCACAAATACCCCGAATCACAAGGTACGGGAAACTATCCAATAGCCCAGCTGCTTCCATTTCGAAACATAGAACCCCATTCTCCATGGCGAGTTTATCGCGAACAATAGCATCTTTCATCAGCTGGTTAGCCGACGCGATAAGACCATAATGTATTGCCGGATTATCTTCATCCTCTGAACGAGGCAGACGTGAGATCAACTTGTCTGCATCCTTGCCACAAGTCACAGCACATGTAGTACCTTCAAGTTGAAGTCGGTGAACAATATGACTTTTGTATAACCGATCACTCTCAGGATCTGGCCGTTTATATTTCCTCCACAACCTCGGTTTCTTCTCAAGGACCTCATTGACTGCCTTTTCAAGTTGATGACCGTCACTTTCATATTGTGCTTGAAGTCCACTCACAGCCGCACGGAGTATAGCAGGTGGTTGGTTCAGGAAACCCGTAGGTTGAAATGTTTGGCCTTGGATCGTTTTCCCAAAATCATACTGAATGACACCCCCTCGGCTATTGACAGGAATACTAACCACAATACCGCCAAGACGTATATCGTGACCTGGGCTTGGAGCTCCGCCGCCAATCCCCACCATCAGACCGATTTGAATATGGGGGAAATTGTGTAACATGTCTTCGGCGACACGTGTTGCGGAAGAGATACCATAAGAGCCCATTGGTAAAACAGAAACCACAACATTATGCTTTCCTATTCTGCCTGAGTATAGTCGTTTTTATTATGAGGTGGTAGATAGGCTGGGGGACCATGCTCTTCGTCGAGAAAGACACGGGCAGCGACATATTCGGTGGTAATGGCGCAAATCCAGCCGACGGTATAGTTTTTCGGGTCGGACATCTAGGGGACCCTTTGAATTTAGATGGGGAGGTCGACCACTGGTAGTGGGAAGAATATGAACTGTCGCAGCCCCCTCAGATTGGCGGTCGCATAGCTAACTTGAAGTAAAGGCGGGGATTTCAGCCCTGTTCCTTTCGCCTCAGCGCTTATTTATAGTCAGGTGATACTTCTACACGTTGAATGCAGATAAAAATTGAACTTGAACTATCATAATTGTATAAAATGATTTCAATGATCAATAAAGGAGTTAACTTCAAAGTTATGAACTTCGTAAAGGACAATATAGTACTAATTGATTGAAAGTTTGCATGGCATCTCAATTCTTGAGCTCTGTAAAGTATTTATCTTCTTATCAGATCGCATACAAGACCCTCCTGCTGGACGAACCATGAATTTTTCGTCTTCCATTCCTCCTGCGGCGCATGTAACTGAAAGGTGAAGTCCCGTAATAACTGTGGAATAATCTTATGAATCTCAATGAGCGAGATATTCTTCCCCACGCAAGTTCGAGATCCAGCACCAAACGCGAAAAAGCTCTGCTCCATTTCTTTCAACTTTTCTATATTACTGTCCAGCCAACGCTCTGGGATAAATTCTTCAGGATCCGGAAACACCTTTGGATCGTGATGTAGAACCCAAGCATTGATACCAACGGTCGTCCCAGCAGGAATGTGCTTGTCACAGACCATGAGTCCACCCTCTGGCACATGGCGTTCCAGAATAAACCCAACGGACGGATGAAGTCTCATCGCTTCTTTCATAACGGCCGAAAAGTAAGGTAAGCGAGATGTCGACTCCTTGTAGGAGATAGGATTACTCAGTTGTCCCAACCTATCAGCCTCATCAATGTCATCAATTACTCTATTCATGGCCTTCGGATTGCGAAGCAAAAAATAGATAATCGCCCTAAGCGCGATAGCTGTTGTATCAGAACCCGCAAAAACATTTGTGGAAAGATGCACGATGACATCTCTCGTGCTCATTTTCTCCGGATTGGAATTGTGGATCGTCATCCATCGCGATAGCATATCCTTCCCATTTTCTAGATCGCCTTTCTCCAACTCCCCATCTCGCTTCAAGGATGTCCGCGAATTCACTTGTTTCAACGTAAATTGCAGAACCTTGTTCCAACTTTCCAACCTCGGCATAAGAATTGGCATAAGCGGATTTCCAAGTAGAAGCTTATGCGCTTCAGGGACTTGCCCGCACAAGCTAGCATAGACTAAGATATCCTGAATCCCACTCATCATGTCATCAACATCGCGGCCTTCTTGTAGGAACCCCAATTTCTTCGCGAAAGTGAATTCACCCACCACGTCGAAGGCGTAGTATTGTAGCCAGGCCCCCAGATCAATTGGTCTTTTCTTATCCGCGAAACTGAGCAGCTGAGAGCGGAAAATCTCCGTGCAAGAATCGACAGCTGGTTCGAGCTCAAGGAGCGAAGTAAGACTATAAGCATTCGCAATAGGCCGCTTCTGTTCTCGGTGGAATTGTTCGTCACGAGTAGAGAAAAGGCTCATTTGGGGTTTTTTGTTCCAGGATATACATTGGATAGGGTAGAATCCCGTCTGTGCGTGTATCGTTAACCCTCGTACCAGTCAGTCTGCTATTGAGATAAAGACTAAATTGCCTTAGATAGAATGACCTACCTTCGTGAAACCTTTATTTAACCCATATATCACGGGAATGGCAGCGGGGTCAGCGATCGAAATGTGGCGAGGGCCGATACGGACGAGTGGGCCATATTGTTGATGGAGTTTGATTTCTGTACGATGGTGATCTCCCTTCCACACGCTATAAAGCTTCCACAGTCGTGTAAATTTCGCAAGAGCTGGTCCTGGTATCCCCAGTAATCCACCTCCAAATCTTCTCCAGAGGAGTCGAAGAGTGAACAAGCTTACAAGGACAAAGAGAACGTTGGGCTGGAAAGCACCGAGAAGTAATTTATAAATCATGATACACAACTGGAATAGCAAGCTATCGCTTTAAGTTGAAAAGAGGAGAAGTGGCAGTGGCGATCTGCTTCCTTTTATAAGCTGAGATGCATACGCTAACCCATGACTACTCATTGAAGGACAGATAAAACCCTTGGCATAAGATTCACCATAATCTTGGCTTCATCTCATCCCCAACGCATCGGATCTATAAAAAAACGAAGAACCACGATTTTTCCTCTGAAAACTACTCTGATATTGATCCAGACAAGTTGGGCGAGATCAATCATTTTTAAGGGCCATTTGATGCAATTCTTGGTCTACGATTGCTAAGTCTGCATTAGTGTTGGAAAGGCAAGCGGGGTTGCAGTATCAGAGCTGGCGCGCAGAAATTCGTACTTCTGGCCATGAGTCTACTGCCAGTGGCTTTTGCGCTGTTTGCCCTACTCTGAAAGTGCTATTTTATCTACTGTAAATCACACTTCCGATGTTTGCCTTGATCACCAATATGTAGATCCGGATGTCTCATTTATCTAAGCTAAGCCTTATGGCTTTCACCTTGCTAGCCGAAAGTTCTGTTGAATAATGCTTCAGATTTCATAATGTGACCTATACAAAGGTTTGCATGCAGCCCTCCATATCTAGATGCGCTGGCACCTACAAACTGTATTATCAACTGGCCTGTAGTGCCCCACCTCGAAATAATCACGGCAATGGCGGAATCATCTGTTTCAAATATTCTTTCTCTCGTTCATCCAACCTGGTTCTTCTGTGAATTTCAAAGTTTATCTTCACCCTTCTCGGCAAATCTAGTCCCCAGATATGCATATGGCGCCTGCCCCTCTCCCTCCTGACTACTACGAGGTCCTTGGAATTCCCCAATCTGCAGATTTAGCTACCATCAGGAAATCTTACATACGACTAGTCATCGTTACACATCCAGATCATCGAACGAATGACGCTAGTGCAACAGCACAATTCCAAATAGTAAGCTTAACTCGTGCTATGCCCAACTCACCTGTTCAACTTGCTTCTCCTGTACTAAAGACGTGAACTACCATTGACAAGGTCGCAATCAGCTTCTTGAGGCGTACGAAATTCTTTACGATATTGACAAGCGACAGAAATATGACGATATCTATCAATCAACGATACTTCCATTAAAAGCCAAGAATCAAAAAATAAAAACACTAAACAGAGAGCTTATGGTACTCAGGTCTCGACGTAAGGGACCGGAAAACTCCCTGTTCAGTGCAAAGAAAGACCTGAACAGATTGTATGCGGAGATAGACACTTTAAAACGCGAGAAAGAACTCATCGCGAGAGAAAGGGTTAGAGATGAGGCATGGTGGCCGTATCTCTGCTCCTTTGTGCCAGGGAATGCAGCAATATTTACGAAACAGAGAAATCGGCGAAACGATGCAACAGTGGACTTGATCGGGAGGCAACGGACCAAAGAAACTCATATCGATTGTAAACGGGTGGAGATTCGAGCGATCGAGGAGGATATTATGTCTATTTCTTGGAAGGAAAAAGTTCTTGAACAGCAGAAACGAACTATACAGAACGGCTGGGCAAGTTAAAATCTTTACCTTAGGGACTGTACCGAATTTGGGATGTACTGAACAAGAAAGCGCACGGGAACTAGGCTCCGCGAATTGTCCATCTACCAATTCCGAGCGATACATACTATGTATTATCTAAGGAGATATTACAATAGTATTTCATTGCCTAGTCACACCTGCATTAAGCCATAAGCAAATTTTGATGAACGAGTTGAGCTTTTTTGGCTAGTGAATGCTATTAATACTATAGACTTTTTCTAGTAAGCAAATATACAAGGATGAGCTTAATCAGGGTTCGATCTCAATTATTTTATGCTGACGAAAGAATTTTTTCTATTTCCCAAAACTGCATATTTTACATGGAACCAAGTCAACCGCCAACTTCATTACCTAGTTAATCCACCCCTTAGGACCAGCCCAGTTCCCCTTCACCATGTGAGTGTAGTACACCCAAGGGAAGAAGTCCTTCTTCAAGTGGTAGAAAGACCGGCGTGGAACAGCCTGGTTAATTCCGAACAAGCTACCGAAAGTCTCTTTAGGCTCAGGTCCATACTTGAACTCTGCAAGGAGGACCTTGCCGTACTCAGTAGTAAGAGGGCAAGAGGTGTATCCATCGTAAGCGGCATCAGGCTGCTTGCCCTCCAGCACCTGCAACAGGTTACGGACAAGGATAGGAGCTTGGGAAGTAACAGCAGCGGCGGTCTTGGAAGTAGGCAGACTAGAAGCATCACCAGCGGACCAGATATTGCCGAACTTCTTGTGGCGGGTGGTAGCATCGTCAACGTCGACGAAGCCACCTGCGTTAGCCAGTGGGGAGTTCTTAACGAAAGCGGGGGAGCCCATCTTTGGCACAGCGTGCAGGAAGTCGAAGCGCTTGGTCACGGTCTCAGTTCCGTCGGGACGAGCGAAGATCGCATTGTTACCCTGGACCTCGACCAGATCGTGCTGGAAGAATGCGTTAACACCGCGCTCCTTCTGCATCTGTGTTAAGGCGGCGTTGTACTTGGGGACACCGAACATGACGGGGAGACCGGTCGCAAAGTTGATGTTGATGGGGGAGCTGCTGGGGTTGCTGGGGTCGTAGAGACCAGCGCGCTTCCAGTGATCGAGAGCAAGCCACATGATCTTCTGGGGAGCTCCGGCGCACTTGATAACACCAGCGGGCTGGGTGAAGATGGCGGTACCCTTCTCTAACTTCTTGATGTCGGGGAAGACCTTGCTGGCGGTATCGTATGTGTAGATTGAGGAGACGGGGGCGTCAGGGTTGGCGAGAGCTTCGGGGAGACCCTTGACAGAGGAGGGGGAAACGGTAAGACCGGGGGCGACAATGAGCTGGTCGTAGCCGATCTTGTCGCCATTGGCGAGGGTGACGAAGTTGTTCTCTGGCGCGAAGGTTGCGACACCGTCATTGTAGAACTTAAGCTTGGGATCGATCAAGCTCTTCATTGGGCGACGGAGCTCTTGTGTTGTCTTGAGACCTCCGCCGACGAGAGTCCAGCCGGGCTGGTAGTGGTGCCATTCAGCTGGGTCAATGATGGCGATATCCTCAGCATTGAATTTTCCGGAGTGCAGAAGCTGGTGACTGATTGACAGACCAGCAGAGCCGCCGCCTACAACGACGACCTTGTGGTTGCGAGCAGCCGAAATCGGAGCTTCAGTTGCGAGGGTTCGCGCTGGTACCCGCAAGTTGCGGGAAACACGGGCGGCGGATGTTAATGGACGGTGGAACATAACGAAATGCTTTTATGAAGGAGGAAGGAAACGCCAAAAGCAATTGAAGGACTTTTTAATATGAAAATCAAAATGGAGAGGAATTTAGACTCGAGATAAGCCCCGCTTATTAATGGAATGGACTGAGCTGAATTCGATGACATACGTCGTATGGGCTGATCCCCGGTAATTTTACTTTACCGGTCTCTTACACAGCGTCCCAAGGGTCTGCCAACCTGGAGGGCTCTATACTTCTGTCTAGGACTGACGTGCAATGATTCACAAGCTAGCAAACAAGTTTCGGGTTTTGAAATAGCCGGGGAATACACACATGAAGTTTAAGAAACAGCCATGTTCGATTCATAGCGGTCTTCCCATTAACAAAGACAATGTGCTCGATTTGGTTGTTCACGATCAACTTCAATGTTCTCTTTACGAAGTATACTCCAAGTCCAATACAAGAGAAACAATGTTGAGAATACTTGCATGCTATTTATTTATAATAGCTTGTGACGCCGACTTCAAAATCATATTATCCAGACGGATAGATAGGTTCCAGAATTCATGTCAAGCTAAGCGTTGAAATTCCGTGCTTCTTTTTGTACATGATGCTTGTACCAGCTTCGCCAAAGGTTTTTATGCCAGGCGACTGGTATGAGCCAAATTTCTACACTGTAAACCTTTCATCAATGACCATACGAAACAAATACAGTTCTAATGTATAAATTTTTGCTTGTTCCCAGGTACGAACTCTGGAGGTCCCCGACTTGCTCCATTAATCGGCGACCAGCCCTGAAGTGCCGCCGGGTGGCGACTGTCCGGGGCAAGGCGATCTACAAAACCGCTCGACCCGCATTCAACTTTAAATGGTCTAAACGCTTCCAACTCTCGCTCTGCCACATCACTATCGTCTCGAATTTCTCCTCCCACCATGTCTCAAGTGATGAGACCGGCTCAATGCTCAGTCAGGCCATCATCAGGACTGCAGCGTTGGATATCATCGGCCGCAATCCCTGGTGTGCAGCATCCTCGGGCCCGGAATATCAAACCCTTGAATCGAAATAATAACAAGGCATTGTATTCCACTCACACCAACAGGGAGAAGCAACCCAAATCATCGTCCTTTTTATTCCACGGATCCCTGTCACGTCAATATATGCTCAACACTCACCGAGACTTGTCTAATGGTCAAGCATTTTTTAGTAGCACGCGTGTCGCTACCCAGCAACCTACTATTCACAACGTCTTCGAGCCTGTTACAGGGACCTGGCAGTTTGTAGTCTCAGGCCAATCAACCAAAGCTGCAGTTATCATCGATCCAGTTCTGGATTATGATCCTGCCACCCAAGCCATTACCACAGACTCCGCCGACAAACTGTTGGCCTTAGTCAAGGGAAAAGGTTACAGAGTGGAGAGGATTCTGGAAACACACGCACATGCAGACCACCTGACATCAGCCTCATATTTGCAAAAGAAGCTTAGTGAAAGTCAAGGTTTTAAGCCGCCCATCGGCATTGGCAAGCGCATCGAGAAAGTCCAGAAGCTCTTCGGTAAACGCTACGGAATTTCAAGAGAAGAGTATGACACCGTCTTCGACAATCTTTTTGAAGATAACGAGTCATTTACCTTTGGCAATTTAACCGCCAAAGCTATCCATCTGCCCGGACACACCCCAGATCATCTTGGATATCACATTGGAGGTAAGAGCTAGCATTCGCCTTATTTAATGATTTCAGTCGTTAATGCAATAGCAGAAAATATTTTCTGCGGTGACTCGCTATTCCATGCTGACATCGGTACCGCACGCTGTGATTTCCCGGGCGGTAACGCAAACGACCTCTTTCAATCTAGTCGCAAGATTTTGTCTCTCGGTGATCATGTCAAGATCTGGCCCGGCCACGATTACCCGCCTGGCGGGAGAGATCCCATTCCTTGGCTGAGTGTGGCAGACCATAGAGAGCAAAACAAACATGTTCGAGATACTATTTCGGAAGAGGAGTTCGTCGCTCTACGGACAAAGCGTGATGCCATGTTAAATGCGCCGAGATTGCTTCATCAATCTTTGCAAATTAATATTCGAGCTGGGAGACTTCCGACGCCTTTGGAATCGGGGCATAGATTGCTTCATCTACCGTTGAAGCTGCATGGCTTGGATTGGTGAACAGTGCAATTTCAACATTCATATCTCAGTTATCACATGTACATTACAGGATCTCTGTTACCTATGCATTTTCCCACCGTCGAATATGAGCAAAGGAATAAAACAAAAGGCTGAACCGTGGAAAATCATTACCGTATCATATCCGTATATTTAATGGTAATACCCATACAAGCCTGCTCTTGGGTTCAATCACGCCATCGGGCTGGTTAAATTCAACCAATCATACGAGCGCCAGTCAGGTCCCCGCCAAAGCTCCACCGATCACCTACTCCGTACCTAGTATACTTCAGTTCAAAAACAAAGACTTAAATCGGGATGAAGCAAAATGATCATGCTCAAAACAGACCGTGGCAAACAGCTTTACAAACTCCTATTCAATTATAAAAGCTGATTTGAAACGTCGAAATCAAAACCGAGTTCAATACGGGCATCAGCAAGCCCAAACATGCAATTCCCCCACGTGCCAAGGCATTTATCCAACTGGAGAACCCCGAGCTTCAGCCTCATAATCCCCGACCTACGAGTCCTGAAATCTACATAATAAACTATAGTTAAGAATCTTTGTCCTTATAAGATCACATTTCCCAGTCTCATATATCTTATCAACCGGGGATGATAACATCCTTCCTCCGCCGGCTCATCCCCGCACGAGTCGCAAACAACGGCTCCCAACAGCGCGACCACCATGCCAACGAGCGTACATTCCTCTCATGGACACGCGCAGGCCTCGGCTTTGCAGCTGTGGGACTCGCGATGGATCGAATCGCTGCCATAGACCATGTCATGGCTGGTAGATTTGGACTTGGACAGGCCGAGCCTCCGGCGCAGATTCAGCAATCTACCAAGGAGCAGCAGGAGCAAACCCTGGAACCCCGCTCAAACCCGAAGACGGCGCTTGGTGCTTTGTCAAAGCATTTTACTACCTCGAGGATTTGTCAATTGATAGGTGTTTGGTGTTTGGGTTATGGATTCTTTCGATATTGGTCTATTCGACGGTATTTGCTAAGGGGGGAGTTTGTCCCTGCGTTTTGGGGACCGGTGTTCATGACGTGTGGAAGTTTGGGTGCGTCGGTGGCTTTGGGATCGCATGGTGATCGGCCGGCGTTTTCATGAACACATGGTTGACTAGACCCTTGCCTGATATTCTACTTCTACTTGTGGGTTTGATTTGGTTACTTGTGTCATTATCAAGGTATCCGGCGTGTAGAGAATGGGCATGGGTATACAATATCAAAATCCATTATTATTACACAAAAAGAGCTCTTTCGTGGATGCTGTAAGCTGGATATAAATCCATAGCCCTGGAGGTACCAAGTATGTACTATTAGTACGATAGTAGTATAAAATTTCAAGGATAAAACAAAAAACGCCCGGATAAAGCCCGAGGTACCCAAAAAATAGTCATTCTCAGCCCATCAATTTCAAAGATTGAATGTCCCATCTTCACTTAATTCCATCAAGACTTCCACTGCCCAGCATTTTCAACGCCCTTCGAAACGTTCTTTGCTCCATCCTCAAGTCCGGTCCCGACATTGCTTAGCCCATCTCCAATAGGCTTCCCAGCACTCCCTGTAGCACTGGTAATAGTATCACCGACACCTCGCGTGGCAGCACCAGTAACGCCGCCGACAGTGCGACCGACTCCTCCAACGAGATTGCCAACGGTTGAGGTAGCGAATTTGGCGGCGCCAGTTACGCCGTTATCTTGGGAGTTTCCGATTGGCATTTTGAGCGGTTGTGTGTTGGGATTAGGTATGGTATGGGTATAGATAGGTTTTGGTAGAGATTTGATCGGGTGGATGTAGATTAAGTCTGAGGTTCAAGATTGGTAGAAGTTTTGTGATGAGACTTGTGAGTTGAAGGATTATAGATAATTGATATATCATTTCAAGTTGTGCTAGCAGATTATTGTGAGACCTTGTTGTTCATTAGTATGATGTCATTGTTTACGTGCGCGATGATGTCCAAGGTGGCGGTGGCTGTTCAGGGAAATGATTTACTGGTCAATAAAGAGGGTTTATGAGCCATGTGGGTGGGTGGGTGTCTTTGTTTAATATACTTTTTTAATCTAATCTATATTAACGGGGATCAGAGCGTCATAGTATATCCATATTTTTAGCAGTTGCATAGGCGTGTAGTATCAGCTACTGGTTAGAAGGTCGGCATACTGGATATTAATATGAAATGAATAAATCAACAAAGAAGAAAATCATTCTTTTTGAATAAAATGAAATACACTTAAATACCAAGTAAATGAGAAAGAAAATAAATCAGAGTAAGTAAAAAACAAGACTGGCCTGCTCTCTAACTAGAGAGAATGGTGTATATGCTCAAGTGCAATATGTTCTGTGATCCACCTTCGCCTTGAATGAAAAGAAAATTTTCAAGAATTCCAAAAAGCTATCAGCGAGCAGAACCGTTCAGACCGTTTTGAACAGCCTCCAAAATCATGTCCTTGGCTTCTTTCAGACCAGCCGAGCTGCCGCGGATTTCAATGGCCTCGCCACGAGCCTGGTCCTTAGGCACGTTGATGCGGCAGCCGGTCTTCTTACGAATGGCGTTGATCTGGCTACCACCCTGGCCAACCACATAACGGTAGGTCTTAGGGTCGGGCAGGATCAGGTAACCAGTGGCAGACTGCTGTGAAGCAGAAGCAATGGCCTTCTCAATTGCAGCGCGAGCCTTGGCCACATTCTCAGGGGAACCGCTGAGAACCCAAGGGAAGGGAGTGGCATCAGCATCAGTTGCGGAGCTGCTGTCAACGATATTCCAAGAGTGGGCATCGGTGGCAGCGCTAGGGTCATCAGTGATCAGCGGAAGAGATGTGCCATTAGCGGCGCTACGAGTTTCCTCGGAAGCGCGGTTGCTAGGCACAGCCTTACCAGCGTGGTCCACAGTAACTTGGTGATCATTGCGCAGGCGGCGGAAGAAAGTACCATTGTCAGCAACAACGTGGTGCAAGTGTGTAGGGACAAAGGCAGTCTCGGCGTGTTGGTCCTTCAGCATACCCTGTACGTGCTCCTTGGCCTCAGCGACTGCACCGCTAGGACCCTTAAGCTTGACATCGGTACGTCCGGAGCCTTGCTTGGGGATATCCAAAGTGACATTGAACTTAGACTCAATGTTACGACGAGTATCACCACCACGGCCGATCAGCATGCGGTGTTGGGCGGTGGGAACGTCGAGGGTCTCAGTGACTTGATCCTCACGCTCTTTGACGAACTCCTCGATTGCCGCAATGATGCTGTCGACAATCTTGCCGTTGCCCTCAAGACGAATGGTAGACTCTGTGCTGTCAGCCTTGGGGAAACGGACCATGCGAGCCGCACTGCCATCGCTGGGGCCGCCGGCGTCAATCACAATCTTGCGAATGTTCGCACCTAAATACCATTAGTAAATTGATTGAAAGCGAAAAAAAAAGCAAAGACTGGTTCACTCACCACCGCCACCGATCAGGGCCTTGTGATACTTCTTGTCAACCTCGATAGACTTGGTGACAGTAGCATCGAATTCAGTAGCCCGCTGTTGCAAGATCTTCTTAGCCTCAGCCACCTGTTGCTTAGTACCCTTCACGCGGATCTGGACACGGCCTGATGCATCAGGGGCATCGTTCGCACTAGGAACATCAATCTGGGCTCCAGTGTCGGCACGGAGCTTGTCCATCTCACGACCACGCTGACCGATCAGGGAAGCGACTTGGCTTTGAGCGACCGAAATGATAGCATTGTGTGAGTGGTCAATCACCCACTGCAACAAGCTGAGAATTTCATCACGAGCTGAGTCGGCGCCCTTGCTCGGTCCCTTGACGAGAACCTCGTCAGGGGCCTGCTGGGAGCGGTTACGGGTGGCACCGGCATCACTTCCAGTCTCGTTGACGGACTGGTCATCAGGCATAGTTGCACGAGGAAACTGCACGCGAACAGAGTAGCGATCTTGAAGACGGTTGACCTGATTACCACGCTGTCCGATCAACTCACGGTGATATTGGGCAGGGACCTTGAGGATGTGAGTGGTCTCATCCTCCCACTTCTTGCCCAGGTTGAGAATACGCATGCGGGTAGCATCTGCCTTGGCCTTGGGACCCTTCACCTCAACCTTGCCATTCTCCACCTTAATGTCAACATCAAACTCCTCTCGCAACTTGTTAATGTTCTCACCACGCTTTCCGATCAGGAAATTAGCAAACTTCTGAGGGAAATCAAAACTTGTGATGTAACCACGCTCCAAATCATCCTTTTCTTGTTCAACGACAAAGGCATCGAGCTTTGCGGCAAGCTCAGCAACCAGGCCAGAGGGTCCGCGCAGAGAAACCTCAGACTTAGAGCCCTTGGACTCACCAACGATGGCACGCACGGGGATGCTGGCATCGCCCTTGGCATCCTGCTCGCGAACGATGAACTTCCGTGTCTTTTCCTGGTATTTGGCAGGAATAGACACTGACTGGGAAACGATGTCATCCTGGTTACCTAGAGTGCTCAACAGGAATGCCTGAGCAGCTTGCAACGAGTTCTCAAACTCAGCAACCTCCGCCGGGGTGGGGCGCTGTCTGGGCACCTCAAAGTTCGAAGAGGTGGCATTTGGTCCCTCGTAAACAAGCACAACATCAGGGCTGTTGATGTCCTCGGGGACGAGCAAGTGAACACCGTACTCGCCCTGAAGTTTGCCAGCACTACGAGAGCGAAGGAAGGGGTGGAAGTATGGGTCAACTGGAACATGACGAAGGCGAGAAGGAGGGTGAGCTTGGACAAGGTTCATAATATCCGAGCGAGCGCGAATGGTGTTCTTGCCGTCACGAGAGTAGACTTCCCATGCGACAGGGCCCTCGACGCTTGGGGGCAGAGCGATGCGCGCATCATAAGCCGCCTCCAATTGCTTAATGATTTGGCGACGCTGAAGGTACTGTGTCAAAGCACGGGCGTGCGCATGGGGACCTGCAGGAGCAGTAGGATGCTGGCGAGACAGATCAATGCTTGCCATCTGCATGCTAGTCGCAAGATCCATGGCGTGGTTGATACCAGCTTCAATCTGGTCAACAGGTCCGGTAATAGTGAGAAACTCGCTGTCATCTGACGACGGGGGCAGAATGATAGCGCAGCCAGTCTGCGCAACGAATTGATGCAAAGCGTCAGCTTCGTTTCCAAGAATGAACTGGTGCTGACCACGGTTGATGGCCAATTGGCGGAGAGTAAGTCTTTGTTGCAAATCAGCTGCCAAGCGTTCAATCTCTGCGCGGGCTTCCTGGGCAGCAGCGCGCTCTCCAGAAATCAAAATGTGCTTATCAGCGACAGGCACAAACTGCACCTGACCAGGGTTGGCTTCCTGGGGGGAGGCTGAGAGGTCCATGTGTCGTAACGAGGAACATTGACCTGGGCCTTGGTTCGCTCCTCAATTTCACGCAGAGCCGCATCGTGGGCTCCAGCAATGAATGGGAAGAACTCTGGTGGAACAGTCTTCAAGCGCAAACTCATGCTTGAGCCCCGCTCCTTGACAATCGCCTCAATCTCCCGGCGCGCCATCTCGGCGGCAACCGCATCACCCTCGATCAGAACGTCAATGGTGTCATCGTCATCGTCATCGGCAGGCGTAGCGTTGTCATCAGCACGGGGGACTTGAACACGAGCTCCGGTGCGGGTCTGGATATCCTGGACAACCGCACCCTGTCGGCCAATGATGTGTGCTCGGGCAGAGGTTGGGATCGGAACACGGACGGATTGCTAAAGAATTGAAGGGTCAGAATAAGTGCGAGGTTAACTGAAGACATCGCTGCATACCTTTGATCCAACCTGTTGCGCCACCTCCTTCAAAGCTTGGCGGACGGACTCCACGGTGCCCTTACCCTCGAAAATGATCGATCCGCCAGGACCACCGCGCATGTCAACAGTAGCCTTGGATCTCCGAGAGATGTCCCGAAGGATATCTCGAAGGGGCTTCTTCAGTTGTCCGCGGGGTTGCATCTGGGACGGGGCGAGACGTAGCTGTTCCATGTGCTTTCCTGGGAGGGACATAATACGGGGGATCTCTATAGCCATAGCATCAGAAGCCTGAAACAGTGGTTTACATAACTTTCTCCAGGAGGGACCACTTACCCATTGACTTGGCAGGTTGGCCGTGGGCCACCGCAGCCGCGGCAGACGGTTTCTTCGCACCCCACGTAGCCGCAGCAGGAGCAGCAGGTTTAGGCCCGCTGCCCAGTGCTGGGAAGAGCTCCTCTGATTTTACATCGAATGCCGGGGCCTTCTTTGGTGCAGGCTTGGGGGCCGGTACCGGGGTCGCGGGCTCCGCCGGTGTAGAAGTTTCCGAGGCGGAGGCGAGGACTGGTGCCGGGGGTTGATTGTTGACAAATGATGATGGGGGAGGGTGCTTGAGATCCTCCTCATCAATGGTCTCCTCCACGGTGGCGTGGTGGCTCGCATGTTGCTCCTCTAGCATGGCGGCGAGAGACTTGGAGGCACCGCCATTGACAGCAGTCGACGATTCGGCAGCCATCTTGAATAATCACAATTGAGTAGGGTACTGATAGACGGGGGGTGTGGAGTAGTGATAAAGCCGGTTGCACGTAGCCTGCAATTAAAACTAGGCCGAATCAGTATTGCGACGAACACAGGTCACAGGGTCCTCCGGAACTCGGACGTTGAGGGCAGCAATTCACAAAAGAGCGAAAGTGCTGGGCATGAATGGCCAAGAAGAGAGACTCACAAGTAGAGTGCTACTTTTTTGAATTGAGGTTCGGAAACGCTGCGATGCCCGGTAACTCGGTTGAGGGCAATTCCCCAGAGAATGGGGCGGAGCGGAATAGAATAAGACGATCTGGACCAAGCACCCAGAAAACAAATGTACAGAATGCCCCAAGGCAAGAACTCCCTAAATTAATGGGGAGTTGGGGGGGAGGAAAGAGAAAGTAGGGAGTGGGTGGGAGAAGAGAGAAAGGTGAAGATCGAGGAACCCCAGAAGTACACAAAGTGACAAGAAAAGGCCAGCTCGAGGTCTCCGGGGGAGTTTTCTCCGAATCCGAGTCCACCAGTGATTACGCCAGATGATAAGAGTTCAACGCCACGAGTTCGAGTCTTGATTTGAGAGAAAAGTGAAGTGAAAATGTCTGGATTTTAAACAGTCAAACAATTGATCTTGTAATATTTGCTTTGATTGATTTGGTGTGATAATAGTGCCTGCTACTAATGTTTGACACGAGGGGGAATCTCTCCGGGCGCTTATATCTACGGATCATCACCTATCAATACCCCTTAATCCTTACAATTGCTCGGATGCCGAAGACCATATATGATTTTTATTGGATAAATTATATTCAACGTGTCAACTCATGTACAGGAGATATACTGTATCACCATCTGTGTCTCATATATACCCCTTAAGCTATTATTTGACGCTGACTTTGGAAATATCCCATCACGTAGCATTGCAGTTATATTCGTGGAGAACTCTTGGATTTGAAAACGAGCCAATCTCAGTTTACATTTTGCTGAGAAGTTTACAATGGTTCAATGTCAGATCATTCATTGCCGCGGTAATCTGAGGCGAAAAACAAACTTGAAGTACATATGGTACATCTGGCCCGCCCCAGTTCTGTGTATAGATAGAGCCACATATTCGATGTTTGTTGAGAACAACTTCACTTCTAGTATATATCAAACGAGACTCAGAACCGAATTGTACACAGTTGCTTCTGCTCAGACCCTTTCAATGCACTTTGAGCCAATGAGATGTTCATATTTGAACCGGGAGGGAGCCGGGATCGACTCCAGCGTGCTCGGACATAGCCGACCCCACTTGGCAAAAAGAAGAACTTGAAGAACGTTTTTCCTTCTCCCGAAGCTTGGACTAACATGCCCTCCTGGGGTTGCTTCATAGTACCAGCAATGCTAGGAATGAGTTGGGAAAGGCGTAATAAGACAGACGAAGTATCGTTCAGTCGGAATTTCCGAAACGGCCTTATTAAAAAAAATCGATAGATTCCTTTGTACGATGAAGATTTTGAGAAAAGCGAAAATCTGAAAGATACTACTGTATGTACAGTAAACCCAGTTAGAAATCCCATCGCTTACCCAGGGCAGTCAGTTTTGTTTTCCGATGAGCATTACAGTATAAGTTTTGCTTAGTATGGGTCAATACTTAGTACTATACATTGGGTATATTCCGAGTCCGATGTCTAGTACTAGTATCGTTCAAGTTTCAACTTGATTATTGCAACTTGAAAGGTCCGCTAGATGGATACTATATAGTTTCCATGTCGAGTACGATGTAAAATAGTAAACCTTGACTTGAATACTATCTTACCAAAGCTGCCTCTTGCCGTGCAAGAAGTAAGAAACAACACTTGAATACCAGTCTGTCTTAGGCTATTGCAACAAATCAGCTGTTTGCTAAAATAAACCTTGGTGGTGAGACGATGAGGCCATCGGACTGTTGGCAGCTACAACTTGAACGGTGTTCCTATTACCTGGATTCTTCGTGATACTATCGTTGATAGAGTAATACTACTTACTGACATTCTTTGTTAATAGTCGTCTCGGAGAGCAAAAAACTGCCCGCATGAGTGTCGCACTGCTGTTCTTAACCAAATTGCTGCTGTTTTAAGGCTGATGCCGATACAGAGCTTTGAGAACCTATCGAGACCCTGGGGCAAGTATGGCAATATGAACTATATAGTAAGCGCACTCTAGCTCCCGCTCCCACATCATGATTGAGACGTTATATGAATTATGCTGGAATCTACGAGAAACCAATCGGCATTCTTAACTTTTTTGGAACGGAACATTCTAGAGGTGGAAAGAATGTATGGAGGGGCACTTTGTTTTGGAGCGACTGAAGCTCAGAAAGTTATCGAGGCCCTCAGTCAAGATGCAGGTGTTAGCTTGTGATATTGAATACCATTATCAGATTTATGTTCTGGATAGGTGAAGAGTCTTAGAAGCCGAGCCTCAGAATATCCACCCCCGCCGGGGTAAAACGACAGAGGGGTGCTTCCATATCATTACTCTTTTTGCGTCCCGGATAGCATACGCCGAGACCCAAAGATTTCTCTCAGTCTTTTTAACCAATTCTTCTCTCATACCTAGACCACCATCCATCCCCGGCTTTCGAAGTTTCAGCATCTTCCATACCCAGTTCGGTTGCTCCGTGGGTGGCAGTGTGGATCATAATAGCCTGTAGTCCTGCGTATCGTGCCGATCACCTGGATAGATTAAAGGCCACTGAGATCTGTCCTTACGCCGGGTATCGGTAAAGGCCCTCCCTTGTTGGTAACTTCCGTAGTTTTTGACTATTAAATCACGGCGCAGAGTGTAAGTCAAATATAGACAGTAGAGAAACCAGGGGGCAAATTCGACAAGTGATTTTCCCATTTCAACCATAGACAGTCGATTTGAAAACCTCGTACTTATACAGGGGATAAGTTAGCGAATTGAGATTCTCTTTAACGGGTGGTGGTGACTCACCGTCCGGTTCTCATTTAATAGCACCAGCTCCCCGCGGGGAACCTAAGCAACCACCTAAGCGTCCACGCGAACGACAAGACACCAAGACACCAATTTTCATAAATTTTCAAGATCTGCATAGATCTCTGAGCAAATAGCATGGTACTTCTTCTCGAGGTATGGGACTATAGAAGCGATCTCGTCAAACTCCCACGTAGGCATTGCTCCATGAAAGAGTTTATAGGCACTTTCCACATGATCTGGTTCAAGAAATGGACTCGGAGAACGTTGCCAATAGTTGCAATACCACTTGACACGGGAGGCATATGGGTCCCCCAAGGCCTGTCCAAAAATAGTCATATTTGAAGTCGACACACTGCTCGCAGAAATCGGGTCCTTTCAGTTTGAGACAGACGAAGTGGCAAATTATCATCCCATTCAGTAGGCGATATCCAATGAGGACACACAAGGCATTGATCGAGAAGTCTCCAAGGAAGGAACGCAGTTGTCTACAGTAGTGAAACAGATCTATCACTTCTTCAAGATCTCTAGGCTGATCTACCCGAATAGACGGGTTTAACGCGAGTTCCGCAATCTCTTGATGGCGACGCCAAGCATCCAATAAGGCAATAGCTTCCTCCTTGTAAGCATGAAGATAAAGACCCTGAGACCGCACAGCGGTAATTGCTTCTGCGGGGTCAATAGCAAGAGACTCAAACTCTTGATTCAGAAGGGAACGAAGAATTCTTTGTCGTGCAGCGAGATAAACGCGGTGCTATATTGGTGATGCGCGTACAAGGGACCTAACAGAAGGTAGATTGGGTATTTGAAACAGAATAAGAGTGAGGAACTTCTACTGGGAGACTTTCGATCGTAGGTTTACTCTGGGAAACGATGTAAGTAAATTGATTGGTGGGGTGAATTATAAGACCAACCATGATTGCTGAGCTTCCAGAATGGAGTCTGTAGAAAATGGAACCTATAGTTGACCAGAATTTCTAAGAGAAGGGCCACGTTAAGATCTGAAACTGGTGAGTTTATTCGATTTTAAACACAAAGGGGGCCTCCCAGTATTAATGTCATGTTTCCTTGGAAGGTTCCGATATACCTAAAGGGTTGTTCCGTGTCTTCACCAGTCTTGAAAGAATAGTTATTTCTATGTTTGACGGCCTTTAAGCTGTAGTTCCATATAGACACAAATATCCCGTACGTGTCGATGTTCTTCGTACTCCAGAGGTGTGATGAAACACGGCAAGGCAAAACCTCGGGAAATTTCCAATCTTAATCTTGGATCAACCGCCGATCACATCGCTTTCTGGATCGATGCCGAGAAGCTATACCAACTCCACCACAATTTGGTTTGTTCATTCCGTGGAAGTGGATAAGCTGACATCACTCAATTCATTCAGTCTCCAAGCCTAGTCAAGTTTTTAAATCTCACGTCTACCCCTGAATAAAACCCATCCAGAATCTTAGAATCTCATCACCTCATAAAAACCTCAAGGTGACGACGCTCATCAACTAAGTGGCTGACCATGACGACTACATCCTCCGCGGCGCTTTCCGCCAACACTGCAGTCCCATCCGGGTTCGCTGTTTACGACACCAGCTTCCACAATATCCTCGGATCTGCACCGAAGCTCGAGGTCATCTTGGAAAACAATGACTTCCCGTTCGCCCACGAGGCAAGCGTCTACTTACCAACAACAGACCAGCTGTTCATGTCCAGCAACATTTTCACTGATCCAGTAACTAATGAATCGACAATCAAAATCTCAAAAGTCAATGTGACTGCGCACCCCGTCACCGCTGAGATTGTTAACTCGACAGTCTCAATGCCTAACGGCGGCGTGAACCACAATGGCGGAATTCTCTGGACTGGCCAGGGTACCTTGAATACTACCGGCGGTCTGTGGCAGATGTCCGCGCAGTCGTCAAACAAGGCCGAGTTTATCGTTGGAGATTTCTACGGCCGCCAGTTCAATTCTCTAAATGATGTTGTTGTCGCAAGCGATGGCTCCTTCTGGTTTACTGATCCTATTTACGCCTGGAAACAGGGTGTGCGGCCGAAGCCTAAGTTGCCGGAACAAGTCTACCGCTATGATCCAGCTACCAAGGCGGTTCGTGTTGTTGCCGATGGTTTTGGTAGACCTAATGGTATCTCCATCTCCCCTGATGAGAAGACTGTATATATCAGCGATACTGCTGAGACTATTGGAGATGGATCGACCGACGTTCTTAAGGCTGCCACTATGTGAGTGGAGACCTCCAGAGCAGAATATCTTATACTTTCGTTATGGAACGCTGTGATGAACTTTCAAGGTTATAATACTAATTTGCTATTTAGCTACGCATTTGATTTGTCCATGATCAACGAACAACCGTTCTTGACCAACCGTCGAGTTTTTGCTTTTCCAAGCGATGGTATTCCCGATGGTCTTAAGGTTGATCAGCATGGCAACGTCTACGCTGGGTGCGGTGACGGTGTTAACGTCTGGTCTTCCGGTGGTGTCTTGCTGGGTAAGATCTTGGTCAAGGATGGTACATCCAACTTCTCATTCGGCAAGAACGGCCAGATGTACATTCTCAACGAGAACAAAATCTACCGAGCCCAGCTGAACAGTACCCTCAAGAGTACTCTCTGGAAGAACTAAATCGTACTTCTGGATAAACTGAATATCACCTGGTTCGTATCATATGGGGCGACAAATGCTACATTAGCTTGCAAAGCTATTTGTGACGTGTATACGAGAACTTGAGCATGTATATATCAAATTATGTATCTATTGATGTAGAAAAAACAAATATGAAAAGTCGGTCTGTCCATTGGTTCTACCTTAGCCAAGCTTCACTGTGAGCGCCCCTCCCGTACCTACTCATACTATCTCCGGGTCTTCAGCCACCATGGTATCGCGGGCGTCGCATCCACCAGGCTTGTGCATAGAAAAGATATCAACGTGGAATATCCATTACAGGCTGCAGTTACATCTGCATTCACAAGGATAAAAAAAGCAAGCATGAGAGATCTATTGAGAACTCGCCCGATTTAACAAAAGCAAATATGTCATGCAATATGAATTTTGTATTCTCGCGCCGGCCCAATGTCTCAATCAAGAAAAGCCCGATCGGGCAGCACTGGAACTCGGGAGACTAACACTAATCTACCATCTACAGGGATTATTTCCAACCGGTCGGACCTTCAAGAAAGCGGTCATGATCATGGTCAAAGGTCACTTGAGATGAGACGAGATGACGGTGAAAAGCAAGCACACCAGCTCTAAGATCAACTGGGTTAAAACTAGCCCCAGATTAGGGCCTGCAGCAGAACCTTGAATAGAGCTGATCATTTTCACCGGAAGGTGTGCCATGTGTTCTTTGTTCTTTCGTCATTGCGCCCAGGTGCCCGAGAGCCCATGAGGGTGGTACAATCACATCTTCGCTAGACGAGAGTTTTTTTTTCGATCTTTGTGATCGTTTGTCATGAGGGGTTCCTCATCCACCAGAAGCCGAGCGCACGCTCTACCTATGACGAGGGCCAAGATGACGGACCTACTTGCCGACGGCTAATAATGTTTGCTTTTTGTTGCAAATACCGGGAGTCGGTGTACCGAGTACGAAGTGAACGCGATATTTCTTTGTTATGGGCTCAGCAGGGCTATGTACGTACCTTGTCGTAGTGTATGGAGTATGTGCTGGTCGGGCCTCGGCTTTCGCTTCCTGATGAAGGAACAAAGCGTCCCACTGGCCCTGAACTTGCTAAACATTCCAGATTTAGTGGATACTCCGACCGTAGTTCTTCCAAGGTTGTGCTGTTCTTTCTTGTTTTCGGTTATTGTTTGCTTTTTCACCCCTCTTTTTGGCTCCTTAGCAAGTCTGGGCAAAGAGATGGGTGATCGATTGCGACGATTCCAAATTCTCACCCAGGAACATCAAGCACCAGTAGATCCGGGGAGAAAGTCGACAAGACGGGAAAATCTCAGCTGGGGAATCTGGTGAGCCTCTTAAATGAAGCTTATTGGTGATAGGAGAATACCGGGCCCACATGGACGCCGATCATTCGCCTCCCCGGACTATTCCAGCGCCCATAGTCAACTATCTAAGCTAAAAATCGTCCGAGGGTTGATCCGGCTGACGGTTGGCGTGCTCGCTTGACCTGGTGGGTTTGTTTGCTTCTTTTTCGATTTGATCGTTATAGCAACAAGGTTCTATACCCCCCTATCATGGGGAGAAGGGCGACGAAAACAAAGTAGAAAGCGGGAAAAAAAGCAAATCAATAGTGCCACAAAGCGGGTGATCCCCTTGCCTTGTCCACGCCAGGCCCCGATTGCCCGCAGGGATCAGTGGGTCCATGCACTTGCATCCAAGTTGCGAATCATGCAGAGATTCACCCCTGTTAAAATGATTAAAATGAAAGGCACTAAGACAGGTATCTTTCAAGTGGGACGGGGAGATTCCCCTGTGGGGATTGAAGTAGTCCATTGCATTACAGATGCGAGACATCACATAAGGGATGTCCAAGCAACTGCATTTCTGATCTCTCAAAGCGGGTCTATTTTCAAATTACCCAGATAGTCCATGATCCACTGTACTCGGATTTTGATCTAGACATATTTTCGCAATGCTTTTTTATTATTATTCTCGCATTTCCTTTCGTACGGTGCTATCCCTATTGTGGCGTTGCTCCACGTCGGGGACGGGTCTACTACTGACATGTGCCTTACATTCATAGGACCAATATGCAGTTAAAGGATTACTTTGATTGGCCTCCCCTGGTCCCAAGACCTTCTATCAAGGCGAATAACCCACTCTCAAAGTCGACATCTGCATGACCCTCCATCAGCGGGCCAAGAGAAGGACACAAAGAGACATAAATACAGGCACTCTCGCCTTCATTCTTTAGTTTTTGTTTTGATATCAACGCATTTTCGACAACTCCTCGACAACCCTTCCCTCCCCTCCTCGACAATCAGCTTGTCTCATCCGATACCATGCTTGGTCTCTTCTCTCTCTTCATAGCGTTGGCTGCGGCTTACCCTGCTCGGGGGCCATGTACAGGAGACTGCTGGGCGCATGACCCTGCTATGATCCAGCGCGAGTCCGATGGCAAGTACTTCCGTTTCTCCACTGGAGATGGTGTCATCACTCAGACGTCCTCGTCCCTCAAGGGACCTTGGACAAGAGTCGGTGCTGCTTTGCCCAATGGCTCGAACATCAACCAAGACGGATTGAACACCACCGATATCTGGGTATGCAAACAAGAATTTCACAAGGAAAGGAACATTCTATACATCGAATTGTCAGCTAACCGGCTTCTCAGGCTCCTGACGTGCACTATTCCGATGAGCTTTACTACATGTACTACGTGTTGTCAAAGATTGGCACTCAAACATCTGAGATTGGTGTAGCCACATCAAAGACCATGGAGCCCGGTTCCTGGACTGATCACGGTATTGTTGGCATCCCCGCCAATGACGACTACAACCGTATCGACCCCAACTGGATCAGCATCGGCGGCAAGCAATATCTTCAATTCGGTTCTTTCTGGGAAGACATCTTCCAAGTTGAATTGACGAGCGCCCTGAAAGTTGGCTCCAACACCCCGTACCAGATCGCCTACAATGCCTCCCTGAACCACCGTATCGAAGGATCCTTCCTCTACGAACACGGCGACTACTACTACCTCTTCTTCAGCTCTGGTATCGCAGGATCATACACAGCGACCTACCCCGCTACAGGCGCAGAGTACAGTATCCGTGTCTGTCGATCCAGCAGTGGAACCGGTAGCTTCGTAAGTGTTTACCCACTCCAAAGGCTTCTCCTTGAGAAAACGCGTCATAACTAACGGCACAATGACATGCAGGTGGACAAAGCTGGCACTGAATGTACCAAGTCCGGCGGCACAATGCTATTGGCTAGCCACAACCAGGTCTACGGCCCAGGTGGAGAGTAAGTGCTGATTGAATCTGCAGTGTATCAAACGCAATATCTAACCAATGAAACAACAGGGGTGTGCTCACTGACAAGTCTCTCGGGCCCGTGCTCTACTACCACTACTATCCCCTTTCTATCAAGGAAGATGGCGGTGAAGGCACAGCTGGCTACCGGTACGGATGGGACAAGCTCGGTTTCGAGGATGGGTGGCCGGTTGTTGAGGCTGCTTAAGCTCGGCCTAATCCTAATCCACCCACTATCAGATCACGTCAAATAGTGGGGCTAGTGTGATATAATCATACAGTATATTTTCTATACATATCGTCTGCTTCAATCTTGCATGGCTCGGCTCTCGGCTTGGAGGCGAGCTGCTTATTTTTACTTTCTTCGCTTCTTTATGTCGATTGGTTTAGTTACCATACTTCTTTTATTGGAGCTATTCGCTCGTTTTTCTCTTATTATGCACTCGATACCCATCAATGTGCGATTATTTGGCATCATCGTGCGGTTGTGTCGGACACAATACTTTTAATGTCTATCGTCAGCTGAGGATTATTAGTCTGATGCTTTGCACAGTTCATCATTTCTGACCTCCATGTTACTGTACATAGAGAATCAGTTAACTCAATAACACTCGTTCAATCACGTCATTTTGTCTACTTATTGTCTGTATCTGTGGAGTAGTATACTTCCGATAATATCCCGTGTTGCTTTCGATTTGAATTGCTCGGTAAAGCATTTGCAATAGATCTTTCGAATTGCAAATGGCAAATGGTGGAGCTGTGATGATGTGGCTGATGGGGAATTAAACATGTGCATCCCTCAAAAGATGGGGGCTATGGGGAATCACGCGCGATCTTTAAGGATCTTCCGTTATGGAACCCCTCGCCAATGAAAGGTACGTAATTGTAAAATAACCTACCATCGGCATGCACATTCTGATCGACACTTGTTTCACTCTAATTTAAGTTGATCACTTGCCCTCCTTCCCTGTACGGAGGACACGTGAGGGACGGACTGACTGCCTGTTTGTTGTCTCATCACGGCCATATCTAGTAGTTATACCCTACAGCAGTTGTCAAAATGATACCGTTGACCCTTGACTGTCGATTGTCGATTATAATCTTACTCAGGGCACCGAGTTACATCGCTCCGCTGCCAACTTCACTAAATTTCTTAGAAATATAGGGTTTTGTCTACAAGTTGAGCATAAAGCAACCACAGGGACTACGTCATACAATAAAATGATAGCAATGATTGAGAAAATCTATCAAATTTACAAGCTCTACTAAAGTCTGAAGAGATAATTGCAGAGAATGCACAAGGTATCATGGTATTTGAGAGTCATGGACTCATGCGAGGGATACCACCTCACGGGGATTCAGGAGTAGCAAAAACAAAGATAATCAAACAGATAATAAACTCCATGGGTAATGCCTCAAAAAGATAATTTTACAGCTCGTCGTGGTCCACAGGCTCATCGTCTTCAGGAGGAGGAGCGGAGCCATAAAGCTTGCTGGTGATCGGGTAAGCGACACTAGAGAGCTGCTCCTTTTGCTCCTCGAAGTCCTCGGCGGTGGCGGTGGCAGCGTTGTCCTCCAACCAGTCAATGGTCTCCTTGACAGCATCCAGGATAGTCTGCTTGTCGTCCTCATCAACCTGGCCACCGAGACCCTCGTCATCGTTGACCTGGTTCTTCAAGCTGAAAGCGTAGTTCTCCAGGCCATTACGGGCCTCGATCTTGGACTTCATAGCCTTGTCCTCCTCAGCGTATTCCTCGGCCTCCTGGACCATACGCTCGATATCCTCGGGGGTGAGACGGCCCTTGTCGTTGGTAATGGTGATGGACTCAGCCTTGCCAGTTCCTTTGTCACTGGCGCTAACCTTGAGAATTCCGTTGGCATCCAGGTCGAAGGCGACCTCGATCTGAGGAACACCACGAGGGGCAGGAGGAATTCCAGTCAACTCGAACTTGCCGAGCTGGTTGTTGTCCTTAGTCATTGAGCGCTCACCCTCGAAGACCTGGATCAAAACAGTAGGCTGGTTGTCAGCCGCAGTAGAGAAGGTCTGAGACTTGCGGGTAGGAATGACAGAGTTACGGGGGATGAGCTTGGTCATCACACCACCAGTAGTCTCGATACCGAGAGTAAGAGGGTTCACATCCATAAGAACGACTTCCGAGACAGCTTCGTCACCAGCGAGAACACCACCCTGAACAGCGGCACCGAAAGCGACGGCCTCGTCAGGGTTGATACCCTTGCTGGCCTTCTTGCCACCGAAGTACTCCTCAAGAAGAGCTTGGACCTTGGGGATACGGGTAGATCCACCAACAAGAACGATATCGTCGATCTCAGACTTTTTAACCTTGGCGTCCTTGAGAACCTGATCAACAGGCTTGAGGGTCTTCTTGAACAGATCCATGTTCAATTCTTCGAACTTAGCGCGAGTCAGGGTCTCAGAGAAGTCCTCGCCGTTGTGGAAAGCCTCAATTTCGATACGAGTGGACATCTGGGAAGACAGAGTACGCTTGGCCTTCTCAACCTCGCGCTTGAGCTTACCCATAGACTTAAGATCCTTGGTAACATCAACGTTGTTCTTCTTGTTGTAGAGCTTGGTGAAGTGGTCCATGATACGGTGGTCGAAATCCTCACCACCAAGGTGGGTGTCACCAGCGGTAGCCAGAACCTCGAAAACACCGTTATCAATGGAGAGAAGGGAGACATCGAAAGTACCACCACCCAGATCATACACAATAACCTGGCGCTCGTCACCAGACTTGTCTAGACCATAGGCGATAGCGGCGGCGGTGGGCTCGTTAACAACACGGAGAACGTTGAGACCGGCAATAGTACCGGCATCCTTTGTAGCCTGACGCTGAGCGTCGTTGAAATAAGCGGGAACGGTAACGACGGCGTGGGTAACAGTCTTGCCCAGATAGCCTTCGGCGATCTCCTTCATCTTTCCGAGAATCATGGCGGAAACCTCCTCGGGGGTGAAGGTACGGGGGGAGTTGTTGACATCAACCTTGACCTGGGGCTTGCCATCCTTGTTGACAAGCTTGAAGGGGAAGTGCTTAGCGTCTTTCTGGGTGTCCTTGTCGTCAAACTTGCGACCAATCAGACGCCTGTAAGATTATTAGTCTTCTCATCTCGAATTTTATTTCTTTCAGCCTCACGCTGCTGCGCGGCCGGCTTTGGTTCGCCACTTACTTGATGTCAAAGACGGTGCGGGTAGGGTTGGCGGCGTATTGGTTCTTTGCAGCGTCACCAACGAGGCGCTCCTCATCGGTAAAGGCCACGTAGGAGGGAGTGATACGGTTTCCTTGGTCGTTGACGAGAATCTCAACCTTTCCGTTCTGCATCACACCAACACAACTGCAAGCTTGGTTAGCAACATGTCTTCTTGACCAATTGACAAGTGAAGGCTAGAAAAGCCAATTGATAAACATACGAGTATGTAGTTCCCAAATCGATACCAATAACACTGCCGTAATCTTCAGCAGCGTCAGTGCTGTTGGCCTGAGCCGGGGAGCTGAAGAGCGCCATAGGAGCAATCAGCACCAAGAGCAGGTAGAAGACGGTGGTCCAAGAGAAAGCCTTGGAGGCACCTTGTTGGCTTGCGAGTCGCGCCATTGTGACTTATATGTGAGATGGAACCGAAGATAAAAAAGGGTTCGTTTTCCGGAGGACCCCAATGGGGGGAAAAAAGAAATAAAAGAACGAAGCTGTCGAAATCAAGCTTCAAGACGCGCGTGTGGGAGTGGCGCGGGAGTTCAACACAAGTGTCGTACTCGGGACCCTGGTATAGAGGTGGGAAGGTTGTCGGAGGAGAGATGGGGAAGAGGAAAGTGGAAAATGGAGCAACGAGGGTTACTTGTATTAAGGGTTCGAATAGCGCCATGCTGTCCTTTTCAGTGGGCGGTCTTTAGGTCACTCCTCGCGTCATGATTGGTGGAAAGGCGTTCTATAGTGGGTCCCAGAACCAAAAACTGCAGGATCGAAATTACTAGAAAAAGAAAGCGCGAATGGCCCCGATTTGGCCACGAAACCCTTAAATAGGACACGCGGATACCCCAGAATCGAACACGTATCTATCTATCTACTTCGTAGTCGACTTTTAAGTGACTACTATAGTATATCTGTCCTGCTCGAGCCTCACCAGGAGTCATCCGTGATCTGGCCAAGTTGAGACATTACGATCAGGAAGCATGGCCAGTGCACAAGGATCGACAAGCCGCAGGACCTGCAGAGTTCACCTCCGGCACAGGGTTGGATAAGGTCACAGCTGGCCTCTACAGAAGGCTACAAGAGAATATAGAAAGTACATATCGACTATTTTTCTTTCTATATATAAAAATGGCATGTTTCATCTCGTGATCATGCGTTGTCGTATGTAATCTTTTTTTCTTCACTTAAATTCCACGGTAACTCCCATCTATTCCAGTAACCCGGCAGCCACTGTAGATCCTCCCGTGCGCAAAACGATCCTTGTAGGCGCTTCAAGTGGTACAGCAGTGTCCATCTCAACAACCACACGAGCCACTGTACCTGGAGCTACAACCTTAGGTCGCTTTTTAATAGGTGCACCGGACCCTTTATCCAGGGATGCCACCAGCTTGCTAATCCGACCGGGCACATGAAGACGGCCACGATGTACATCCACAAGCATAGGCATCAAATGCTCAAACGCAAGAACCTTGGCGGTGAAAGTTGTAACAGTGGGAATCGGTGAGGATGAGCGACACACAACATCGCCCGACCGTAGGTGTACGGGATCAATGTTCGCGAGATTCAGTACAACATTCTGGCCAGCCACAGCCCAATCACTACTATCATCATCCACCTCCACACTGCGAATGACAGCTTTCTCTCCGCTGGGCATGGTCAAGATTTGATCCCCAACCTGTAAGCTACCGGAATCCAGACGACCAGAAATTGAAATTGGGTTTTGAACGCCACCTCGGAAGACATCACCGATGGTCATGCGCAATGGCTTCTCAAGCGCATGTGTGTATGGCTCCGAAGTCTCCAATTCTTGGATTAGTGTTCGGCCAGTGTACCACGATGCGTTGGAGTCTTCGCTGCGTCGACTGATATTGTCGCCCAATACACCTGAGCATGGAACAAACGAAATGTACTGCGCTTGGAAGCCCGCGGTGGTGAGGAAGGATGAGATTTGTTGCTCGATCTCGTCAAATCGGCCCTTGTCCCATTGAACAGTGTCCATTTTATTGACGGCAACCACAATCTTCTGGACTCCCATGCTCCGAACCAATAACGCATGCTCCTTGGTTTGGCCCTTCAGACCAGACTCAAACTTGCCGGTACTAGAGTCGATGACCAAGACAGCAAAGTCTGCTTGACTAGCTCCAGCAATCATGTTCGGCACAAAATCACGATGACCTGGTGCATCAACAATAGTGAAAGCAGTGTTGTCCGTTTCGAATTTGTTCGTGGCAATATCAATTGTGACACCACGAGCGCGCTCCTCCGATCCCTGGTCTAACACCCATGCTAGGGCAAAGGACCCTTTCCCAATCTTTTCTGCCTCCTTGCGATACTTGTCTAGTGTTCTCTGGTCTATCGCACCCTGGTCTGCCAGTAATCGCCCCATCAACGTACTCTTTCCGGCATCAACATGCCCTTAAATCTGATCAGCTGCAACCCTGTGAGAAGAATAATAATGAACAGATTCGTCTTACCGATCACCACAAAATTGGCAGATCTCTTCCGTTTTGACTTGTTGTATTCTGCGAGGACATCCAAGTTCTTGCTCTTGACGGTGACTTTCTCCTCAACTGAGAGGTTATTCATGTCCCCGGCAAGGCCAGCTTGGCCCTTCTTGTCACCACCTGCCTTAGAAGCAGGCGTTTTGGACTTGAAACCTGCACGTTATTAGGCAAGTGGGCTTTAAACCTTTCTGCGAAATGCCAAACCTTTAGCTGTACTTTGAGCTTTGATCACGACATCGTCGGGACTAGGTTCTGCAAAGTCAAAAGGTTCAGCATGGTCCAAACCATAGATTTGAAGTAAGTCAACGTGATTCGATTGCAGACGGCTAGGCTCGGCCATTTGTGGCCCTGTTTGACTGCCAATGATGGCACTGGCAAACATAGACGGTTGGGCACGGATCTCCTGTATGGGCTGCTGCGGTTCTTCCTTGTTGTCGACCAAATCCTCGGGCTGATCTTTGAGTACCGGGGCGGGAGCTGGGACGACCTTCGTGGGCTCAGGCGAAGATGGCTTCTGAGCTGGGGACGAGGGCTTTGCCGATCGGCGCATGCTCTGTAACCCCGCAAGGCCTTCAGAAGGCTTGGCTGGCTTGCTAGACGCTGCGAGCCTGTCTTTCAGAGAGACCTTGGCTTTTTCATGTTGCTGAGGATCCGAAGTCGAGGTTGACGGCGTAGAGGCTGCCTGGCCGCTCTCCTTCTGTTTACGCGCCGCAGCCAGGGCAGCAAGTTTAGACATCTTGCCGCCGGCTTCAGGCGCACCACCCAACAACCCCAATCGAGGGTATAAAGGTTCTACCAGAATATCGGCCTTGCGGTGTGAGGGAACATTGAGCCACGGAGAATCGCGAAAGAACTCGGCAGCTGAGAAGTGTGCAGATGGAGGAGATATAGGTACTGGATATACCGGCACTAAGCAACCTGTTAGAACATTTTCCCAAACGCCCAAACTTCTCAGAGGTGTCAGTCGTGATATCTTGAGAGATTGGAATGTAAGGCAATAGCCACTAGGAAACCTTTACCACACACCTTTGATGAAGCCCAAATTCAAATTCAGAGCCATGATTACGTCCGAAGCAAGTAATCTTTTCAATGTATTTTCGAGCCCAGCCAGGCTACATCGACCAACAGGGGAAATTTATAATGGCGGAGCATACCTTGGGCCTTAGTCTGTTGTTTTTGAACTTCTTTCTCTTTCTTCCCTGCATAGACGGTTTGCTGTCAGTGAAGGATCCTGTATAGTGCAAAGGAAGCCTGTTCACGATTGAGAAGCTTCGCGAGAATAAGATTGCAAGAGAGGTAAAATTACCTCTTAAATAATTCACAGACTTCTCTACATCGTTATAATAATGCCACAATGCCTCTTGGACTTCCTCTTTCGAGACAGTCAAAGATGGCTGCCCTGTGCGGAGCTGCGACAAAACTTCATTAGTGCACCGCTGGAGGTGTTCTTGTTCTTCGGGATCCGCCGATTCGTATCCATCCTCATCATAGTAGTCGTCATCTTCAAAGTCGACATTTTTTACACGGCTTCGCGACATCGGGTCGGTGTGGTGTCCCAGGTCAGGGTTTTAAGGGAGATGTTATGGTGGGAAGGGCGGGGTAGATGATTGGTAGGCAAGGCGGCTAGGGAGGGTCAATCGGGATGATAAGGGAGTGAATGACTGTATGGGAGCTTCTGGTTAATTTGGCGAGCTTCGCTGGGAATATAAAAGAAAGAAAAGGCTCTTTTTAGGAGAGGGAAAAGTGTAAAGGAAGAAATCGAGGAAGGAGAGCGGATCGTGTTGGACCAGAGATGCTGACCACGTCATTCCCCACTTGTTGAGTCAAGCTGAGAACCCTATGCAGGCTTCTCTGCCTGTGTACCTTACAGTCCGTATTGTGATATTTTTCTTATTATAGCATTATACCATTCACCAAAGACTCGTATAAAATTGAAACTTGTATATATTCCTGTCTTCATGAATTTAAATACGCCTTAGAGCTTCTACGGAGTTGCCAAGGTCAGGCCATGAAGGTCATCAAAAAGAGCAAAGAAAAATCGCCAATTCAAGCCAAAATAAAGGACGATCTATCTATCGTAAGGGGCTGCCACCAAAGAAATCTCCAGCACCGGGTCCAGTGAAACTGCCATTGCTTGGGGTGAGAGCAATCGATCGCCGGAAAGCCTGGCGCGGTGTGGTAGGAGCACTAGTGGGCGCCGCACTAACTGCAGCAGTGCTAGTCGAAGAAGTCGGGGCAACAGCTAGAACTGCCGCACTGACGTCGGGGGTAGAAGGGGTATTACGGCCGCTGTTCTGCATGGTAACAGCGGTGCCGGGGCGGGAGAGAACAGGTGCTGGTCCACCATTCTTCGGAGGAGGGCGAAAGCCGTGTTTAGAACCTTCGCGGAAGATTTCTTCCAGCATTTGGTTGGCGACGCCTGCATCTTCGTATTCTTGGAACTTCTTCCAAAGACGCATGGCCATGCGCGCATCTTCAATAGAGTCATGGCCCTGCACGGTATCTGGGTTCGGTTCTTCTTGGATGTATTCCTTGAACACGGCCCAGGCGAGATAACGAAGACTGAGGCGACGGTTCTTACCTGGGTGGAAGAAGAGGTATTGTGTGTCAACTGTTTGCGACTTGGGTACTTGTATATTGATTTTGCGAAAATCGGACGCCAGGCCGTGGCCAACGAAGATACATCCAAGGTTTAGAAGTAGCCATAACTTCTTGTAAGCGGCCTTGAGAGGCACTAGATTGTGTTCACTGGTTCGTGGATCCAAGTCACCAGGCTTGATACCTGAGTACTGCGTGACGTAGTCGACGATCGGTTCGCGGATTGTAATATAGTCGTCGATGAAGGGCACACCTTCTTTAATACCAGCGGCACGCAATACAGAGACTCGAGCAAGGCCACTCTTGTTGGGTCGGACGATCTCTTGCGATCCGTCGGCTTTAACATCAATCTCAGCCTTTTCGAGATCAACAAACTCGGTATCAAGTGCCACCGGAGTTCCGACCTGTGGCTTCTCTTCGTTGTCAATGAGAGCCTCGCAGGAGTCAACCTGATGACCGCCATTCAGAGACCATTCACGGAAAAGCAAAGTCGTATCCAGGTTCTTCTTCCATGAATCATCAACAGTATGGCGGACATCCCGTACCTGGAACGCTAGCACACAAGGTTGCTTCCAACTCTGTGTAAAACGCAATGCTTCATCACGATCTACTTCGGTGACTAAGAAGTCATTAAATAGATGCCATTTGCTTTGCTCCTGTGAGTCTCGCTCCGAAATGGAAACGTTCACAAAGGATACCAAGTGCGGCTTTTGGTGCTCAGCAATGTCGATTTCTGAAACAAGCCCCACAAGATCATAAACCATCAATCCGGGCGTATTATTCCGCATTTGTAAACGAAGGTCGTCCCCCTCAAAGCACATTACCTGGCCGTTGTCAACAATGACTCCGACTGTGTCAGGCAGCCATCCAGGGAGAGCCCATAAACGGCGACAGATCGGATTTGTCGAGACGGCCGCATTGAGAACCAACACAAGAGGCATGCGGTGGATAGTCTTGCGAATCATGACTTGCTGATAACGCCGACAGTAGTTGCACCATCCACGATTCTGTGTCTCGCGCTCAATGCTTGCACGCAGAATATTTGAGAATCGGAAAGCAGGGTTGCGTCGAGCATGTTTCATATCCATATTTGGATACAGCAACTCATTTGCAAGCGAGTTGCCTGGGCGAACAGTCTCATTTTGACAGAACATGCATCGAATTGATTCGGATGCAATTGTCGCCAGACGCTGATCCAATTCTTCAGAACTGGGTTGGATCATACGAAAATCATGTGCTACCTGTGTTAAGAAGAAACGATTTACCGCTTGAATAGCCGTGGACAGAGATTTGTTTGTCAGATTTTCTTCCAACAATCCGAGGTTTGATGCCTCTCGGAAGCTGCTGAATGTTTTCAACAGATTAGTGGCTTGGCAGTTCTGACCGTTTGCTTTCTCCAGCATATCGAACAGATATCCTAGTTCGCACAGCAAGCAATGCTCGAAGATGCAAGAACCAGCTGCGTGCTGGAGCGCAAGGTTTCTAAAAAGTGGGATGAATTTGAACAGCTGTAGGAGAGAGTTGGTGAAGGAATTTGAGATGTGTGTTTCGAGACCAGAGAATCTAGTCTTGTTATAAAATCTGAGGCCGTTCATCAGCAAGATTGATCAAAATAGATGTAACAAAATAAGAGCAGGTTTTTCTCACCGAAAGTCAAAATCATCGACACCGAAACGGCTGTATTTGATTTCGACATTGCTGTACTTAAGAAGGGGATCATCGTCACTTTCGCCATTGATCTTGGCCCCGGCCAGTGCCTCGGCGGCATCTGTGACCGCACTCTCAGACTGTGATTTGCCCTGGTCCCGAGCTTTCTCACTGAGAAACTTAGGCGCAAGGAGAGCTGGTTCTGCAGAGGACAGTGCACGTGTATTCTCTACCTGGTTTCGCCGGGTTTTTCGTGGATTAGGAGCATGGTGACCCAACTCTGCCGGACGCAGATAAGGAAGTAATGACTGGTCAAGTTGTGCAGGGGGGCTCCCAACCTCGAATAAAAGATGGCTAGGCCATGCGGAAAAAAGCCGATCATGATAATAAGGCATGCCAATCATGTTAAGTGGGGTCTCAGGTGACCAGTCGATGGGTGGTGAGCGTGCGGGCACATCTGCGAATTCCGTTTCCTTGCTCATCTCATTAAAATGGATCTTTGTTGGCGAGCCCCAAAGATGAATAGAGCATTCTGCATCATTGATAGCCAATGCCTCCCCCGAAGGAGAAAGCTCAAGACCAAGCATCAAAGTGACATTGGCTTGCCGTAAATTGACAGAATTCGGATTCATAAGATCAACCACCTGAAGTTGACCAGTCTGCGAAGCTATAAAACTCGTCGTATGTAATTTCGGGTGCATTCGTACATATGCTGCTCCTGCGTGGAATGGGATCGGAGGCAAAAGCGTTAATGTCTTCAGATCATAAACATTGGCCAGGGGATCAACAATCGGGGAGCCCATTTGCCGCAGTGAAAAGCCACAGGTAACCAGCAAATCGTTTCTGGCATCCATATCATTGACCGCAGTGCCATGCGCTTTCCATGATTTAACCACACTGAAGTCCTGAAGGCTGAGCGCATTGACAGAGCCCGAGTCGGTAGCTGCACATAGATACCTGCTCTTCTTCATAAGTGTGTAGTTATGCTCAGTGGGCAATTTGTCAACGATCGTCCCCTTGTCAATATCGATTTTAAACATCACGCGCTGGCATCCCGCAACAACAATCCGATTCGTCTGTGCCGTAAAACTCATACAACGAAGATCTATCATCTCCTCATTCGATATATGCCACTGCGTCAACCCCCGCCGAGTAATCATATGTACGCTCTTGGAAGACAACGATATCACGCCACGATCGTGGAAAATAATCTGCCGTACCATGCCTTCCGAAACAGGATGGGCTCGCACGGAGGTATATCGCTGAAGTTCGGGGCCGTAAAAAGAAGTAACGCGGCCCTAGCAAGGAAGAAAAAAACATATTAGCAAACCCCCAAGGGTGTCTTTCAGATATGGTTTCTACCAATCCAGACCCAAGTTCGGAACAAAAGCAAGGTCTCATCCAACTCACATATTCATTGCCAGTCCATAATAGTTCCATAACATCATCAAATGCCATCGCTGTCGCATTCGTAGGCAAACCGTGCGCGGTGGGCGGCGGCACCGGGATGCGCGACAGCTCATCCCAATCAGCCTCCATGGTGGCGGCCTAAATCCGGGCACGCGCCCAGATTCTATTCGTTTCAACGACCGCTATAGAACACCTCTCTTTTGGGTGTGATTTAATCCAGAAATGTACCCCTCACCCTCGTGGGAATGCGCCGGAGCCGGGCATCGTCTGCAAGGCGAGGACGCGATTGCGGGGAAGGAAAGCTATTGGGCAGCAGTGCTGGGATCGAGCGTCGGATCAGATGCAGGGACTATAGCCGGAGGTCAGTGGACCACGTAATTTATGAGTGTATCTCCAGTCCGATACGAACTTGAGTCCAAAAGTGAGACCGTACACGTCAGGAATTGAAGGTCCTTGCCGTCTTCTGGCAAGTTGTTGCGGGACTGAGGTGTCGATGTTCTCACGTGATGATTGGGTCCGATAACGTTTCAAGATGAGGCTTTGATAAAAACGGTCAAGGAACCTTGGAACCTCTTTGTTGCTATTCCAAAGTTAGATAGACGATAAATCACAAATACATGGCTGAGTTATATAGTTCAAGTTTTAAATGAAAGCGCTTATAAGGTTTAAATGATTAAACCAGAGAAGCAGTGCTCTTAGTGCATGTATTGGCATACTCACTTCGGGTTCTTATCTGGCTCGGATGGGAGACGTGCCATTCATGACATTGAGTCTTGCCAGCGCCTGCCAGTAGAGATCCAATGCAGAAATCACCTCATGCAAAGGTGGCAGTTGAGTATCCATGATTGCTGAGAGGCAGGCTCGAAGTTCACAAAGTAAACTCAAAGAAGAGGAGAACAAGAAGATGAGAGGAAGAGAGAGAAGCTTTGCTCTGAGAGATGGGATGATAAACAGCTGAAGACGCGTTCCAAACTACTAGTAATTGTTCAATCATAGTCACTCCTAAATCCGCCGGTTTTCCAAAACAGACAGGCTGTCAGTGGCCTACCTATCCAAAGTAGTAGTATATATTGCATTGAACCTTCCTTGAAAGGTACTATCCAAGTTCGACACTACCTACAGGGCTCCGGAGTTGTGACAAACATAATAAAAGAGCCCTGGAAACAAAGGCGGCTTTATATATGGATTCACATAACAAACCTTGGGAAGGGGCTAGAGCCGAAAACTGCAATGATAGTACATTTGTAGGAATGACAATGGAGTTATTAAAGCTGCACATGGTGATATGGAGTCTCGTTATACTAGTACACACCTATCTCATCAGATCGCTCACTTCCTTCCCCACCTTTCCTCTGTACCTTTATTCCAAGGTTATTGTCCGTAGAATACTAGGTACCGAGTCATCGGTAGAGCTGTTCAAGTTCACGATACGATATCATGTTCACTCCGATCTAGTACCAATACTACGAGTACAGTGGAAAATTCATAGGAATAAGAACCAGAAGTGAACGTATCACATTGCTAAGAAATTTGAGGTATAAAGTCATATTTACTGGAAACGTAGTACAACATGATCCAACTGGAATGAACGGCTAAATACACGATAAACAGGGAGCCTAGCAAGATAAAAAACAACAAAAACCCATACTTGACAGGAGATCTCAAAACAATCAACCGCCAACACCGAACGGAATCAACTACTTTATCTGTAGAATGAAGCAGGGTTCGAAGCAGGCACTCCACCTTGCGGAGGAGAGTATGGCTGGTACTCAGCACTGCCTGGAGGAGCCGAAGGGGCAGGATTAAAAGCTGTGTACTGCGCTCCTGGCTGATTTGACCCAGGGACTGATGGAGGCTGGTGGGATGGGGCTTGTTGAGTGGCAGGAGAATTTGGATAAGGGGTTTGCTGGGGTTGTTGCTGGGGTGGGTATTGGGATGCAGGAGGCATTTGCTGCGCTGCGTCTTCGGCTGGGGGATAAGGCGAGGGAGAGTATTCCTGTGTTGGCGGTGGCTGTGATGGGGGGTATTGCTGGAGACCAGATGGAGGTGCTTGGCCGGTAGGAGGATAGCTAGGTCGTTGATCCACTGGCGAGTCGTATACAGAGGTTCCTAGCTCTTGCGGGTGATCGTATGTAGACTGGGGACGGTGGTGCACCGGTTGGTAAGGGTCGGATGGAGGTTGTTGCTGCGGCGTTGGCTGCTGCTGAGGTGGAACTCCTCCTGCAAACTGGTTGCGAGGATCAGGAGAGTGAGATGCAGGGCGGAAAGGCATGCTCTGCTCCTGTCCGTAGTATGCATTTGGCTGGGGCTGAGGCTGAGACTGCGGAGGTTGGGATTCTATTAATCGAGTTAGAACGACCGATCCCTCTGTGGTGGCGAGCTATGTTGAGTTGTACTAACCTTGAGGCCGAGGACTGAGGTATCGCTGATCTGGCTGTGGAGGATGTCCACCAGGAGCAGCACCTGGATAGCCATACTGTGGCTGACCGGGACGTCCGTAGGGTTGTGCGGGCTGAGCCATAGAAGCTTCCAACAATGACTCGTAGTCACGGCGAGCCTTGATGAACTTTTCATTAAGCTGAGTGAACTCATCTAGATACAGAAAAAGGTAAGTTTGATACTGTGAATGGGAATAAAGAGATACTGACCCTTCTTTTGCGAATACTTTCCAATGAGTTCAATGAGCTTTGGCCGGATAGCAAGAGTGGAATGGTAAAGAGTAGTGATCTCCTCATTCTCCTGAACATTAAGGTCGGAGCTGCGAGTACTCAACAGCGTAAGAAGTTTCTCAACGTTCTTAATCTGGCTGAAGACGTCGCCCTCCATCTGTGCCTCGCGTTGCAGCTCCTCAACGGTGGGATCAGAAAGCTTCTCTACGTAGTTGAGAGGGAAGATTCCAGTCTGTCCTCTCAAAGAGCCCTTCCACCAATCTTTGTAAACCGATTCCAAAACAGCAATGATATCGCCCTTTCGGAACTGAAGCTCTCCTTGCTCAGAGGGTTGGAAATCGAATAGAGCTCGGACCCTCGATACAGTGGCAGCCGATGTACCAGATGGGACAGGTCCAGATACAACAGCAGCCTGGGCAGCCTGGAACTCAGCTGCAGGCGAGGAGGTGTCAGGTCTCGGCGCCGCAGCTGCGGCGGCAGCCACGGCCGCTGCAGACGATCCAGCCTGCGCAGAGGAATGCGGAGGAGCCTTATCCTTCACAGATAGAGCCAAAGCCATTTGAAGTTCTTCCTCCTCCTTCTGTCTGTCGGTATCTGTGATGGCGCTCTTCACCGGTTTGGATGGGGGCTGCAAATTAGGGTCTAAAAACGATCAGTCAAGTGTAATGGATCATCTTATCCAATTGATCTCACTTTGGGTCTTCAACTTCATATAGGCTTGCTCCATAATCCCAAAGTCTGGGTTTGATGAAAACATCTCAGCCCATTCTTCCATGCGTTCCAAAATCTTCGACTTGACTTGTTGATGCGTATTCTATAGAAAGCCAATCATAGTCAGTAAACAAAGTCACACGCGAGGACATATTTAGGTGTAATTACCCGATCAGCTGCCAAACGCAAAAGCGCATCAGTGAAGCTCCTCGAGGCCAGCTCGCGATGGATTTTAGGACCACAGTTCTGAGACAGTGAATTGCCCAGCTATAAAATCGAGTCAGTAAGACGAAACCAAGAAATTTGATTTTATCGATGGATAATGCGCACCTCAAGGGTATAAAGTTGCACGTTAGCATTCCTATGAGCCAGTCTCTTAATCATGGCAGCAACCGCCTCTTTAGCACTATACACCAAATTCAAAGATTAGCATCCCATCATCTGATTCAGAATGCGCCTGAAAGTCCACAGGTTTGAACAGCCACATACCCCGATTCATCTGCAGCCACTTTATCGCAGACATCCTATATGCACAAAACATCAATCAGCCTCCCATGTTCCCAGCCCCAATCAAGACGCAATCGGATCAGCGTCGGAAAAACGCACAAGAATGTATTCCCAGTTCTCGGAGGTTAAGTTCTCATCAGTTGCCTTGGCTGTAAAAATGTATATGTCAGTAAGCGATCATGTAAGAATAGCGTTCGAGGGCTAAGTGCGGATTAGGCCACCACGGTCTGCACGAACGCAAACCCCTCGCAAAGTACACGATCGAGAACAAATAACCTACCGACAGCATCGTCAAATGCATTTTGTTGTGCGCGAAACATAGCTCGTATTTATGCGCCGAATAAGCAGACAGCCACGGGGAAGTAGGTGAGGTGGTCGGGAAGTCGGGCACCGCTGGACCTCGAATCGGATTCGCTGCTCAGCTTTCTCCGAAGGAAAGACCTGGAATTATCTTCGGGTACTAGAGGCTGTAGCTTGTCGCTTGCGTGGCGAGGGTTATGAATCGTGAAGCTTGCAGTTGTATCGATGGTGGTCGAGCGTTCAAGTTCAATGCGGGGAGTGGATTGTGTTCCAAGGTGCGGGACTGACAGGCCGGTCGGTACAGGTGACACCGCCAGGGGATAGGGGGTAAGAATGGATGTGTGATGATAAAGTCACTGTGGATCGAACGAAGACAATCAGGGTCGCGACCGATGAAAAGATCAGAAATGATATTTAGGTCTAGGTTCCAGTGTTGTGCCCAAACGGATGTGTTTACTGAGTCAGCAATGACGACGGTGGAACGGGGAGCTCCAACTTGCGGAGCTCGGACAAGTGTTCTTAGTTGTTTGTCTGCCTAGGAGAGAAAATGAAAGAAAACCCACTTCGCATGTGAAATTGTGTGCGATATCGCCCTTTCGACCTCAAAATTAACACCAGAGCCTTGGAATTGACTATGTAAGTAGTACCCTAACGTCCAAGTAGGCTGTGCGGCTTTCTTACGCCTCTGATTAGCGTACTCAGTTGTGGCTGAGGATGTTATACATATCTCCACCTGGCGCAGTTTTTAAGAGAAAATTCAAAAAAAGAAAACCCGGAATAAAGGATGGGTATTGATCAAGCCCAGGTTACTGGAATACACAGGTAACACATCTCATTCATAATTCGGGAGTAGATTTGAAAGACGATTTTGAACTGGCCAACGTAGAACAATGCAAAGACCATATATCAATCAAAACGCAGAATACTACGAATCATGAAAACGTCTAACACGACGAAAGCCTTTAACAGAATCAAACCAAGCAGTGCATCATGAGTCCTCAATAAATTCCTAGATGTCACTTCAACACGAACCATATCGTGGTATAATTTTAAATCCCACGAGGATGACGAGAAAATAAAATAAGGGGAGAAGAATAGGTGAGGGAAAAAGCTCAAAGTCGCACCCGAAACACCACACAAGACCAGATTCAGAAAATAGGGATGGAGTTGGGGAGTAGAACTACAAGGTGCTACACAAACGCACATACTCCAAAAGAAAAGTCACGAATAGAACGAAAAGACAGACAGGGAAAGAGGTGGAGAAAAGGTCAAGGTCGAGGGGGATTGCGAGATCAGATCATTTTCATCACAAAGAGATGTTCATCAAGAAATATAAATGGTAAACGAAATCGGTACAGAAACAGGACTCCGACATCGTGTTGAAGTCGGCATGCCGGGATCTAGAAGAAGCATCAAGGGTGATGGGGGTATCTGAACGAGACGGAAAGAGTGATGACGGGCAAAGGAAAAGGAAGAAGAAATTGCAAAGAAAGCCGAGACAATAGACCGGGAATGAGCAGGGGATGATCTAAGAACCCTTCTGTGCTTTCTCTTGGGCACGACTGATGCGAGCAGCCTTGACCAGAGGAGCCAGATGTGAAAGCGGGGAGCAGATTCCCATGAAGGGGTGCTAAGAGAGGATTAGCGATGATAATACAACAAATGAAGATAAAGAATTTGACATACCTTAAGCAGATCATGGGCAGAAGCACGCTTCTCTGGATCAACCTTCAGGGCGAGCTGCAGGAAATCGCGGAAAGTGGTTGAAAGATTATGTTCATCTTTGATCTTGGGTGTACCATTCGTAGCAATCAAGTAGAGAGCACGCAGAGGAGACTCGGTCAAGTATGGCGGTTCGCCATCAATCATCTCAATGGCCATGATACCCAGACTCCAGATATCAACCTTCCGACCATATTCCTTGCGAGTAACCACTTCAGGAGCCATCCAGTATGGCGTACCAACCATGGTGTTGCGTTTATTATGGGAGTCATTGATTTGCGCGCAGAAACCAAAATCGGCTGCAATTTATTAATCCAGTGTTCAACGTTGAATCCAAAAGAGGGAAACCTACTCAGCTTAATATTACCGTCCATCGCAAGAAGGATGTTATCGGATTTGATATCACGATGAATAACGCCTTTCGAGTGTAGATGCTGCAGGCCGTTCAATGTCTATTTTAAGATTATTAGCATTCTGTCACAAAGAAAACACGAGGCTGATATGAGGCACTGACCTCTCGACACACGGCCGCAATTTGTCCTTCACTCATGATGTTGAAAGTAACAACATCTGTAAGACTGCCACCTTCCATATATTCCATAACAACCCACAAATCGAGGCCATGAAGGTAACTCTCCAAGAAGTTGACAATGTTCCTGTGTTTGCTGTCCTTCATGACCAAGATCTCGTTGATAATAAGATCTTTCTTAGGCTGAAGGTCAAGGTTCATCTGCTTGATAGCCACACAGTTGTTGTTGCCATTCTCATAGGCAGTATAGACACCACCTGAAGCACCTTGTCCAATCTTATTGAGGTTATAATAAATTTGAGTAGGATCGGCAGGATTGCAAATAGTCAACAAGCGTTGCCGCACATCCATAATGTTGCTCTGTCGCTTGGGTTGACGAGGGCGAGCGGCGGGGGGTGCCCGAGTGGCTGACGCATCGGTTGAACTCTGAGGAATATTGGTTGCGATCGGCGCGATTTGAGGTTGCTGTCTTTGCTGTTGCTGTTGCTGTTGGCTTCGGCTTCGATCCAGTTGTTTGGAAGCGATCGCCTGTTGAGCCGCAGCCATTATCTGCTCCTGCTGTCGTTGATACTGAGTTGGGTTCGCCACAGTATTGGACGTTTTGGGCGTCGGAGTTCCATTTCGAGAGCCGATAGGATCACGTTGCTCCGTCTGCAATGGTTGTGTTTCGGGTATGGGTGGGTTACCAAGTCCAAAGGGCTCTGGCGGTCGCTGGGCAGATACACCTTGCGAAGTTGGAGGTTGCGGTGCTGGTCGAGAGGGAGTCATGCTAGGAGGCTTGGGGGGTGCACGATGCGGGACCATGCTACCCAAGGGCGGAGACATGACCGCAGTAGGCATCGGTGCTGGCGAAGGTGCTCCGCGGGGCCCCTTAGGTACTGGAGGTGGTGACCGAGGATTTTCAAAACTGCCTTCGTGATTCTGAGGAAAGCGGGGGCTTCCCGGCGGGGATGGTGCTTGACCGTTGTCTTTGCCATGGGCGTTGTCGAACTTGTGCCACACTTCGTCGTCGTCATCATCACCACGGGTATTCTTCTCATAAAACCGCATAATATCCATCATCGTTTGCGGGTGTTCCTCCTGTTCCTTCTTCGAAATACCATTTTCTTGCAACAGCCGCTGCCATTCCTTGGGCAAACCGGTGAACTGACCGGTCTGGTTATCGTAGCCAACATGAGTGACATGGACGGGGTTCTCAGGGGCGGAGATCTTGACGTTTCGAGGCGAGCCTAGCATGCTATTGACGAAACTGGAGAAGCTAGCCTTCTTACTCCGTCTATCCCGAGGGGGACCATTAAGAGCTTCATCTGAATGCCGTTTCGAGTGGGGAGGCCGCTCGGTTTCACGGTGGGCAAAGGGATCCATTCGGGAAGGCAAAGTAGTGAAGCTGGCGGATTGTCGGAGGGAGCGACGCCGTTGGTCTGAGCTGCCGCTGTTGTTGTTTGTGAGTGGGGGATAAGTCGGCGATGAGGCGTCTGTTTCAGCACTATTCTCGTCCAAGGCAGTGAGCATACCCCGCGTCTCGAAGGGAGAGGCTACTTCATCCGGGCTGGGTTGGTGGTCGTAGGAGAATCGATTCTGGCGGGCGCGAGAGCTGTAATTTGGGAAATATGAGGGATCGGTATGGCCAGGCGACTGCGACTGACCGTCGCTATTCTGATCCAATGACGAAGAGGAGCCTGAGCCAAATACGGCCGCAGCGTTAGATCGAGATCGGGTGTGCTCGCGGCTACCGTTGGGAGATGAGCGCGGGTAAACGGGGGCGGAGGGATGACGTTTCAAGGAAGTTGCGCTTTGATGACTCCGAAGAATGCGTGAGCTGAAGCTAGGGGGATCCTTCTGCAGTTTGCTTGAGGGGCGGCGGAATTTCAACGATAACCTGTCACTCATGATGGGCGCAGGGTGTGTCTCTCTACACGAGACACTTTGATTGGAATTGGGCCGAGGGGTCAGGAGAATTTTCCAGTCAATTCGCACAGATTTGGCGCCCGAAGAGGTACCACCTTGTCAGCAGCAACTCTGGCTCACTCGGTGTCTTTCCCTTCTCTCTCTCTATCCGGTATCCGATTATATTTTTCCCTCTCTTTTTTCTTTCCAACTTTTTTTCGGGGGTTGTCAAAATAGACCTTGAAGTTTTGGAATGTCAAGAGAATGGAGGAACAAGGTCCGAGAGGGAGAAGGGGGGAAGTGTGGTGTCAACAGCCAATGAAGAGCTAATCACACGTGGAGAGGGAACATTTGAACGAAAAGGAGTCGAGTGGCTGGGTTTGTTAACGGGATGACGCGGGGACCCGGACACGGGAAGAAAGTGGTCTGTGTTGGAACAAGATGAGAATATCTCCTTTAATTGAGTTGTTCAAGTTAGAGAATTATACTGTCAGAGGGGGGAATTCTAGATTTTCCACCAGAAGAAAAAAGTGGACACAATCCAAAGAAGATAGAGAGTCAGAAACGGAGACGGGACAGGAATAGAATATGCTATTATGCAATTATACAATCTGGGCAAAGAGAGGCGATTGTCATTTTAACAACCTTCAAGGCTATCAATATGCCAGTGATCATCACTATCACTTTCCCCCTTTCTTTCATATGTGATAGGTACTTATTTATGTCAAGGAGGATCTTCCATGTACACATGGTTTCTGCTTCGGTAGAAATTAGCCCCATGCTTCGTCATCTCACTCATCCTCGATCGCATTTAATCTACGATGATTGCTTCCCCACCACACCAAAATCGGGTCTATTACAGTATTTCGGGTTTACTCCATTCTTTTCAAACATTTGAAACACTCACTTGCTTAACCTTCAATCATGCAATGGGGCGTCTGCGCATATTGGCCAAACCTTGGGGTGCACGTTGCGTTTCTTGGCAACCTCCACTAGCCTCGGCAGGGGTCTCCACTGTGGCATATGCAGTGGGAAGGAGAGAAAGATACAGATACAGATAAAGCAAATAGAAGCATAGCGTCTATTACGTTCGACCCATCTAAGATCTACCAAAGAAGCAAACGAAACCATACAGCAGTGAAGTAGTTTATCATGATCAAAGTCTCATCACAGAACACATCCTCTTTCTAGGTCACCTGCTTTTGCTTCTGCTTCCGCTGCTCCAATGCCTCCACCCGTGCATCAATCTTCTTAAACGACCAGCTCTCAAATCCAGGTGGGTAGACAAACGGCCGAAGATCGAATCGATGATCATCGGGGCTGTAACTCTCCGCGTGGTAGGCGGGTGTGGCAACAGTCTGCTTGTGGCGGTTAATCTGATAGTAATGGAAGAACAGTTTCACCTTTCGGGCGATTTCACGGGGGCCAAGCTTGCCGTCCCCCTCGCCACCCCATTCATCCAGTAGACGCAAGAACATCCCATATGGTCCGAGATGGTCCAGTTTCCTCAGTGTTCCAAAGCGGGACAAGTCGGCGTAGGTCATTCCCATATCGACCTCGTCGCTTTGCACGTAGTTGGCGGTGATGGGTTCAAGTTCCGCTGTCGGAACAGCATCTAGGAAGTCAACTAAGATGGGTATACCGAAATCCTTTGCAGCCCATCCAATGAATCGCTTGAGATCTGTTTTACTGATTGAACCAATGGGGTTGATATCTGCGGATGAGCCTGATGCCGAGAATAGAAACGTTAGCAAGTATACAGAGCAATAATGTCATGTCGTCTCCCTGATAAGTGTACATACAATCGTACTTGGTAAGGTCTAATCAATGTATTAGTATAGTGCCGTACAACGGGGGCATAAAGGGATACTCACATCCACGAAGACATTCGTCTACGTTGGAGCTACCAAGGACAAGGAGGGCACCACCTCCAGGTCGTTCGCGAACTTCGCACAACTCCTGAGCAAAGTAGTAGGCAAGAACCATTCGGGATCTTGCCTGGATGTTCTGAAGCGCCAGGTTAGACGTTTGAGATCCTCCATGAACTATTGGGAATAAGTTAGCATTCAAACCTGCGCCTATCAAAACACACAACAACGCAGGGAAACTTCTTTCTCACCCTTGAACTTTGGCGTAAAGCCCGTGGCCTGAGTGAGAATGTTCTTAGTAGAGTGAAACATATCATCAATGTTGACATCGGTATGATAAGATCCGATGCGTGTGGAAAGATCCTTGGATCGAACCCGTGTTTCTTTGCTGCTCTGATTCTCCATTCCCATATAGCAAGTGTAGAAGATTTGGTTACACAATTCCTCCGCTGTCTCAGGTAGCTCAGGCTTATAAGCCGCAATACGCTGAACATCTGCGATAACCTGTTCATTGCCCTCTTTAATTGCGGCGATAACCAATCGACACATAGAGTAAACGATCGTAGCGGTGGCACAGCTGTCGATTCCACCAGACAACGGGACGAAGAATCCGGCTGCCTTGGAGCGACGAAGGTAATCCCAAAGCCAGCAGGCAGGTCCGAGGGCAATCTCTTCCTCAGGAAGATGGTATCGCGCCGGTCGGGCAGGGGTAGGACCCTGATCGAGATCGAGATCGAGATTCTCGTGAGAAAGGGAGTAATCAAGCTCAATGCGCTGGTACTCTGGTGCTGCAACAGCCTGCATACCACGAGAAGGGGCAAATCGGTATGATCGCACTTTCTCAAGGTCGACTGTTGCGACAACCACTTCCACTTCATTGAGCGAGAACTGGCTTGATTGGCCCACGATATCACCGTTCACAAAAATCATGGCGCAACCGTCGTAGTACAATCTATCTCCGTCGCATCCTATTTGGTTAGAGTACAGATAAACGCCGCCATTCTTGCGAGTGGCTTCCTGAATCAGGGCAATTCGTTCATTCAGCTTTCGGAGCGAGTGGTGACTTCCACTGCTGTTTGTGAAGATCTCCACTCCATTCAAACCCCTGGAACAATGTTGTTAGCATATATTCATACCTTTGAATAAGCCCGAGATCTCTTACATGTTGATATGAGGACTGTTGGGTGTGAAGAGCTCTTCGCAAGTCTCAGCAGCGAGGCAAGTATCAATGGTAGAGAGAACAACGTCTCCAATGGGGACATGGCGACATCCCTGATGTTTCTGGATGCGAGGCGGAAGGTAGTACTGCTCCACATGCCTTGGCCTATTCCACGGGGTAAAGAATCGCATTTCCCGGAAATTTCCATCATTGGCAAGATACAGCTTTGGGCGGAAGCACAAGATTTTGCCATCAAGGATGAGGGCGCGCGCATTATATCTGCAGCTGCGGTGGAGCAGAGGCAGACCTACATCGATCACGATACCATGCAAAGATGAGTCAGTCAGAATGGAGTATAGAGAATCCCATGAGTTATCGTAGACTTCTGTCTCCAGGAAATGATCCAAGCAGCCTGTCGCAGTTAGCTTAATGAGTCATCGTCACCGGTGGGAAGACTGAAGATGTTATAATCTCAATAGTGAAAAGTGAGATCACATACCATAACCTGGGATTTCCAGCTCAGGACCAACACGCAGAGTAGCTCCGGCCTCCTTGGCTTTGATGATACTCTGCTTGATGCGCCGTAGGTTTCCCTCGAAGTCCAGACTCCACTGGTTCAGCGCACAAGTGGCCAACGTTACCAAGGGCGCCATGGTGTATGTGTAGGGAGAGAAGGATCGACTAGAGAGTCTATCGCTGAGATGGACCTAGATGGGTGTTTGCCCTTCAAGTCAAAGCAAGGTGCCCAGTTGCACTGCAGTGTCCCGCACCAGCATGAGAAAGTGGCATGAAAGTGGGGCTTTCCGGAATATCACCGGGGAGAAAGTTAGCCGGTTGAGGTTAGATACCATATGGTAGACTTGTGCAATTACTTGATTGATATAGACGATTTGAAAAAAAGATGTAATTTGTTTTTGAGGATATCTTTAACTGAATTTAGAGATCTACTTGACTGACTGAATGTTATGCTTCCAGTTCACAATACCAGGCCTGATTGGTCGGCACTTGACATCTGGACCAGTTGACTGGAGCGTTCATAGTGCATTATATAAGCATTTTCCAAGTTAGTCCAGCCAAAGCACATCGGGATGTATTTATTGAATAGAGCTTTTGAGATGGTAGATAATGGTAATTTTATTCGGCTAATATGAAATAATATGAAAGGGAATGAATAATCACATACCGGCCCAGTTCATTAGTACTAACTCGGCCAGTATTTCTTTTTATAATTTCACGCATATGTATTATAGCTACCACAGATCAGTCGGTAGTAAGAAAGAGTTTCCTCTATGAGAACGATCAGAAAGTAAATTCTCGCTTTAATCTATATTGTATCTATACTTTAGTATTCATCCCTTCAATTTCCCTGGGCAACAATCTCGCGAATAGTCTCCGCGACAACCTGATGATCATCCTCCTGCTTCAGTCCACTGACGACGACAACAGCAACGATCCCCTCAACACCCCGGACTCGAATGGGGTATCCACCACCATGAATGGCATACTCGTCTGCAACTGCACCACCGCTCGAACTAACAAGCGCAAACTTCTTCACAAAAGCACTTTCCACGTCGTTCGCTGAAGCCGACGCGCCAAGTCCCGAAGTGATCTTCTGACGTAGTGCAAAGCTTGACACGCCCCATCGCAGGACAGTGTTACGCTTGCGACGTACCCAATTCTCGTTGTCTGGGATGGTACCACGTTCAGTTGAGCACTGGAAGACGGTGTGCAGTGGCGTTCCGCCGCTTGTGGCAGTTGCTAACGCGATTGAGATCAGGGAAGGCTTGCGTTGGCCTTCGGGCAGTGAAAGAATGCGAGTGCGGAGCGCATTTCCTAAAGTCCAAGCGGTTTCGGAGGTGAATCCTTGAAAGATTTGAGCAGGGCTCGTCTCCTCCGCGATGAGGATGTTGGGCTATTCAAGGTGTCATTAGCTTCAATTTGAATATTTTGGTTTATTCATCTCCCATGGTGATCCACATGGGAAATGGGGCATTGACTTACATCTGTGCTAGGTGCGGAGAGTGCCATGGTGGATTGGACTGGAGCTCTGTAGGAAGGTTGGGGAAATGGTGGGGTGAGGAAGTGGTACTCGGGATGGGCGGAGGGGCACGTAGTAGGTGTTGTCCAGGCCAACGGTGGCGGGGGAATTGCTGATTATATACGATGCATGAAACTAAAAAAAAAAAAATCAAAACCTTCAGCCATAAAACGTCAGTTTCCTCAAGTGGATCCGTTCAGCGCTATTTATAATCCTTGGATATTTCGACATTGTCGAGTTGAATGGTCTAGATCCACCCTTCAAGTGACATGGAAGGTCCAGTCGAGCGAGATCGGCGCCCCGAACTATCTGCGCCTCCGTCATTTCTGCAGAACCCTGCCCCGCATCAACTGTGCTCTGCCGTCCAAGCTCCCATTGTGCCTCATTCCCGTCATGACTAACATTCTTCATGCCCCCCAAAAGAGCCTGTGATTCTTGCATCTCCAGAAAAGTCAAGTGCAATGGCACCTGGCCTTGCAACACTTGTCGTGATGCTACCAAGCGTGTCGCTTGCACCTATCTGAGACCCCCGCGAAAAAGGGGACCCAAAGTTCGACGAGTATCCCACAGGACCAAAGAAGTAGAAGAGGAAGATGGCGATGGCGATGGCGATGGCGATGGCGATGTTGAATCGGAGCTATTGAACGAAGAGCGTGATATACGTCAAAGAAGTCGGAGTGAAGGAGCGAACAATCATGAGGATCTGGCATCCTGGTCCTTAACACCCAAGGCTCCGCACCGCATATCCAAGGAGGTCATAGTTCCGATAGTTCGTCTGTACCAACAATATTCATATAGTGTCTGGCCTGTTGTCAATGCGGAGGTCTTGTTGGACCAATTAGAGGATATTGAGCTCGAGATTACAAGCCATGATGCTGGGGGTGTTTCCTGTCTGGTTACTGCGCTTTGTGCTGCGACGATGGCGCAGCTGCATCTCGCGCCCGTCATGAATGGGGCGGGAATGGCTGATAGCACAACTATGGCCAACGCATGTCTGCATATAAGAGGCCGCTTCGAGGTGACGAAGGAACATCTCAATATTACGAGCCTTTTAATCTCGTTCTTTTTACATGTTTACCACGCGAAGGTGAATCAGCGGACATCGGCAATGATGTTTATTCAGGAAGCCATCAATGGTGCCCGTATACTCCAACTAGACCAGCCATCGAGAAGCATGGCTGCAGATGAAGTCGCCGATGATTTAATTACAAACAGGGAGCTTGTCTTTCCGTTGCTCTGGGTTTCCGAGAGGTAAGCAGACCCCATACCGTATATTTTCCGTTAATAAAAGAGCCAAAAACCTAACTATTGAAAATTCTCTAAAAGAGGCTATGCGATGCATTTGGGACTATCTCCGTCTTACATTGATCCACCGTGTCTGGAAAGACTTGAGTATAGTTCCGATGTTGATATACATGTGCAAGGTCTTTTGGATATCGTCAAGCTATTTGTGGCATTTGATCGAGTCTCCTTTCGCCGTCAATCCAACGCTGAAGCTAGCTCTGCCGCGGAATTGGCCAGGACTGAAAAGAGACTGTCTACATTGTGCTTGAAGCTCGCAGACACTGTTTCGACCAGGACGGCAGATTGCCATATCACACGAGAGTGGATGAGGACAATACTCTGGCAAAAGGCATTATCTTTAGGTCTACTGTCTTCTTCATCAGGGTCAACTGTTTTGAAATTTTCATTCCCGACGCAAGTGGGCCATGATCTGCTTCACTCCTTAAGGTGGTTTTCAGAGACAGATCTTTTACCTTTGGGACGAGACCAGGTGGGTCAAATAGCAATTCAACACCCCAAAGGGTGATCGAGTTCTAACATCTTACTAGCTCTTGAAATGCTTCGAAGTGGCGAACTCGCTGGCGGACACAGTTCTACTCATCTCTGTGAAGTCTCAACCTGGGTTTGAGCTAGGCTCACAGGACTTCCTGCATGCTTTATACCAAAAGATGTTACCATTTCTTGAACAGGACAACGTACTTAAGACAATTCTTCGAAATAAAACCGCTGAAGCCCTGATAACGGCGCCTGCCCGTCTTTTACCTAGAGAAATTGATCATTTTAGTCCAAATTGGGATGTATACTATGAAATGACCGAGGAAGACGAATACCAAGACGAGCAGATGACATATCAATTACCGAGGAGACCTAGCTACGACATTCTAGCTCAGCAATGGACCACACAGAGAGGAAATTTATAGTCTTGATTCGGTTTAAACAGACTCAGATAGCTGGACCACAACACGTCCTGCGATGTCTCCCTTTTCCATCTCCTCGTAGATCTGCGGCAGATCCTTGAATGGTCGAACCTTGACAACTGGCTTCACAACACCGCGCCGGACCAAATCAACTGCTTCCATACACTCCTTGAGAGAACCAACCAGATTACCAGTGATTCTGAGACCTTTGATTACAATCGTGCAAATTGGCGTCTCGAGGTAGGGCCGTCCAGGAGGGATTCCCACACAACTCAGCGTTCCGCCTACTCGCAACATCTCGCATGCATGAGCAAATGCCTTAGCATTACCTGCGGTAACAACCACCGCATGCGCACCAAGCCCAGTAATCTCATAGACCCTCTTGATGGGATCCTCGGTAGCGAAGTCGATGAACTCTTGAGCCCCAAGACCACGGACAAACTCTCCCTTTCCAGGCCCCGTGTCGACACCAATTACCAAAGCCCCTTGGGCCCTGGCATATTGTACTGCAGGATATAATCAGCACATCATCGTTGTAGAGGGTAAAGAGCTACTCACCTGCTAAATGTCCAAGGCCTCCTCCTGCTCCAACAACCACAAGCCAGTTTCCGGGACGAACATTTGCATTCAAAACCGCCTGTTTGCATATCAGTAAGAGCTGCAAAAATTGGCAGTCTCACTTTATTTATGTTTCTACGCACCTTATATGCCGTTAAACCAGCACACAACACTGGGCCCATAACCACGGGATCAACATCATCCGGCAGAACAGTCAAATAGTCTGCATCCAAAGCAATATACTGTTGAAAGCTACCATCCTCATGATGTAAATGGTTCGTTGCATTGGTACAATGCTGCTCTGCACCCGCAAGACAGAATTCGCAGCGTCGACAGATCCGACTCGAAAACCGGATCCCGACTAGCCCACCAACCTTTACACCTGTTTCATGAGTGATATCCGGACCGAGCGCGATAATTCGCCCGATTCCTTCATGTCCACCGACATGCGGCAATTTGATTTTGGTGATTGGGTTTCCGTCTGGTCCGGCTGCAGTACCAGACTTGGTGTGAAGGTCTTCTCGAGTTAGACAGGATAAAGTGTCTGGGAAAATATTAGACACAGGGAATAGAGAACTAACCACTCTGGCAGACACCGGAGTAAAGGACTTGTGCGAGAACTTCATTGCGCCCTGGTGAGGGGACGGGGTAGTCGGTTTTGAATTCAACTTCTCCACCAAGACTACGCACAAGGGCGACTGTTTGGGTTTTCGGAATATCGATAGAACCCATGATTGTTGTGTTGGTATACAAAATAGATGAAATGAAATGAAAAGTATGAAAGTGTTCGCCGAAACAAATTTACTCCTCGATATACAGGGAGACATGGGCTCTATTTATATTATTCTGAGTACACGTACATGATTTCACATGTTTGCATACTATGATCTTCTCAATGAGGCCAGACTGGTCCAAATCAAAGGATGGTAAAATTATGAGCAACATTCATGCGGGATCGATCCAGTGAGGCGTGGGATGTACAAATGGTTCAACGAGTTATAGGCGTAGCTCCTACTTCTCCGATCTGGATATCAACTAAAAGGGCATGATGGTGCTCATGGGATCAACTATTTTGATGTCAGTGTGTGGGGGTTGTAAAGGGGCCCATGCACAATTGGGGGGAAAGGTGGATGGGGACTCGGAGTATTAAGGTATTTCTCCGAGATTGGGTGACAGCTACTGAAAGCTCGTGTGGGGTATGCGAGGTTTTGATGACTCGTATTTCGAATTATCCTATGAACTGAAAATATTACCAACGTGTTACCATGCATATGAATGTTGATTTCGAACTACTCCTTCCCCGCACTTAATGGCATTGATTCCTCGGTTAGCCGATGAGATATGAAACAGGACCTGGCAAGGTATAAAAGTACTTTACTCATGTTCTTTCGAACCTAATCTATGAAAGTGAGTATTCGAGCAAAAGTTGCTCAGAAATCATCGTCTAGAATGATCTTAGATATGAACGTTTTCACCACTGATCTACTAACTTCTCTACCTCTCCCAAAGAGTCAATCGTTGCGCCTGGCTTCAGCTTCTCACAACCATGTCTATCCCCATAGCCATAACGACACCAGATCGACTTCGCCCCACCAATATTCGCCGCGAATTGCAGGTCCGCCTCAGTGTCTCCAATGACAAGTACATCCGAGGCGTTAATCTTCTCTACCAGCCCTTGTTCCCTTAGAGCAGGAACAAGCACATCAAAAAAGCTTGCGGGGTCTGGCTTTCTCGTAGCACCAGGAGTTTTATCTCCAATAATCAAAGACTGGGGTATACAATCGGTAAGACCATGGTTACTCAGAGCCGTCCACACCGCAGCAACACCTTTGTTGCTCACGATGGAAATGGGAATGTCGCGGCTCTTTAGAAAATGCAGGAGTTTCTGTGTTCCGTTGAAAGGCTCAACGAGCTGTTGACCATGACTAGCGTAGATCTCGCGGTATGTATATGTCCATTCTTCTTCATTGAATGTGCTTGGTTCAGGATGCAAGGTATTGAGAACATCTTTAAGACCCATTCCACTGCCGATTAGGCGTTGGACTTCTGATTCGGAGGGAGAATGCGAAGGAAGTAATTTTTCGAATGTCAACGTGATACTGTGGGCAATGGCTCGGTGGGTGTCGAAGAGGGTCCCGTCGAAGTCGAAGACGACGAATTTTGGGGGGGCCATGATTGTTTTCGAAATGTATAACTAGATGTCGATGCGAAGGGTAGATTAAGCAGTCAATCGATAATTGAAGGGTAGAAAAAACTATCTGTACAAAGAGAAAGTGTCTCTTTGCAAACTGAACTTTCTCAAAATATGCCTTTCTCAATGAAGACTCAAGGCGGTGACTTTGCAAGGCTGCGAAACCTTATTATGCATGGATGGGGCGTAGATGCGCTAGGCGTTGAGCATGTGCAACTGCTGTTTAGAGCCATAAATATCAGGCATTAAGGCCTTGAGTGGGTCCGGACCACCAAGAAATTGTCTTGGCATTGCTATTGACCTATCAGAAGCCGCATTGTATAGAAAGAGGCTCAAGATGTCAACCTTGAAGTTCTTGAGGACCTCAAGGAAACAAAACAGTATGCCCTGGTGTATTTGAGCAGCTAATGTTTGTTGATGAGCGATAGCACATCTACAAAGGAGTACAGAGAGGTGGACTCCAGTCTTCCAATCTATCAGTTATTGCGAAGCTGGCTAGCCTGCTGAAGAAAGCCTTGATCTTCAAACCTATTTAACTAGTCAGTTGACGGGTCATGTTTGGCATGCCTTAACTTGCAACATCCAGGCAAACGGGGACATCCACCAACGTCGGCATCCGGGATGGCTACAGATTTGCTTTTGGAGTATCTATGCACAGCTGAACGGGCAATACTGAAAGGTTCGGTTCGAGATTGTGATTCAATAATAGAATCGAGGAATATTCCCTACAACTAGTATTTTAAATGTGAAATTGCTTCCTGTTGATGTCTATATAGTTGTGCTATCTTCGAAATGTTTTGGATGGTCTAAATCTCTTGATTTCAAGCATTGATAGCCAATTTCTTCTTGAATTTCATGTGCACCATTGTGAGTTCTTTTATTCATTTTTTTTTATATCTTGCTGGGTGTAACATCTCCCCAGGAGCAATATTTATAGGCGCGTGATCTCAAACTCCGGGAAAACACTATACGCAGTTGAGGTACCATCCCTCACCTCACTTTTCACTGTCTTCATTCCAAGATTTCTTCTTCTCTTTCCACCCCCACGGGATTGACCAGCGAAGCACATATTATCACTGAATCACCATCCCGACTTCAAGTTGTCTCTTTCGCCAGTCCCTTTCAAACCACACGCTTCTCACATCACAAGGAGCCACCCCCCCAAAAACGCTTCTTTCACATTTGTGTAAAGAGAGTCAACCGAAAGGCCACATCCGGCGCTGTTCTTCCCCACCTTCTCCGGCCATTGGTCCAGGGACTTGTCGGCTCACATTTGGTGGATAGTTGAGGTGAGAAGAAACATTAAGAAGCAAAGTCCAAGTAGTGTCCACTTTTGTCGTATCGGCCATAGAGCAAACACTCTTCATGTCCCTCCGAGCACAATGAGGCCCTCGACTGACCTACGCTTACAGAATACCAAACTGTTGCATCTCATCCAGTACCGGAATACCTCACCAACATGGCCTTCATTATGGAAATCTACACCGACGGTGGATGTAGAGGCAACGGAAGCCCAGAGGCAACGTCTGCTGCCGCTAGAAAATACTGTCGTTCTAGGACAAGAATATTGCCTTCAAATACAACTCCTACAAGCCAGCGGGCTGAACTCACTGCCATAATTCTTGCACTGGAGCAAGCCCTCGTTAAGTATGACGAGCTCCACGGAGCTCCACGCCTAAAAGTGAGGATCTATTCGGATTCCAAATACGCCGTTGGTTGCATGACAGGTTCTATCGACAAGTGGGCCAATAATGGATGGACCAATGCTAGAGAGAATCCGGTTTCAAATCAAGATCTTATCCGTAAGGCCGCTGATCTTGATGGCCGGGTGAAGGAGGAGGGAAGTGTGAGATACATCTTGATTCCAAGGGCTAAGAACGATTTTGCCGATAGGAAATGCAATGAAGCATTGGATGGGCTTTGAAACGACATAGGAAAGACCGAGTTAATGTTAGTTAGATATCAATATTCATTGTGTATCTAGTTGTTCGAACAGCTAAGAGTCTTGATCAGTCACTATCTTTAGGGTGATGCTAATGCCACCCTCTCTGCTTTATTGAGCCATCTCCCAGAGAATATTCGCATAATAAATCAGTAATATCAAAAGGCGAAGAAAATTATAACGCCGTCTTAAACCTGATACAAGGGCCAATGAAAATAGTGCTCATTTGGCTTGTCATTTTGACCCTAGGTTGTGGGGCCCGAGCCAAGCGACGGCGACGCATGAACGGCGGGTGGGCTGCCGTTTATGAAGCAGCCAAGTGGCACCGTATGACGCGTCCGAATTGTTTTTCTTTATCCAACTTGTAAAAAGCCCATAACAAGATTGGGTGCTGCATCTGTATCCAAGGTCTCAGGGGTAGGTTTTCACCCCTTATCGTCAGATAGATAAGGCATCAAAATGCTTAATCAGCCCACAGATGTGTTTGTTTACAATGCAAATATTCTGCAAGAACACATCGCGTGTACATTATCCAGATCATCATTGGCCCAAGCTGCATACCGGTGGGGGTACTAAATTATCCGACAGCAACAAAGAACCCCGTTCAGATTCGAAGGTCTGATCGTTGTTGAAGCTCGTTCCAATATCCCCTCATCACCCCGGATACCCCGGATACTAGAAGCCAGATTATCGACACCATGGCAGCTGGCGTAGTGCCACTTTGGGGGCCCCAAACATCCTATCTCAAGTCAGTATGGGTTCGACTCAAGTGACCGCTAAGCTGACCGCTATCTCGCTGTTTTTAGTTTCTGCGAAGAGGTATGTCGATTCTTCCGGGATTTTCTTCAGTCTCCTGCGATCTTCAAGTCTAATACTAAAACTTCGTTGAACAGGACTACGTGATCACTCGATATGTGGCTGAATTCATAAACACATTCAGCAGTCTTGTCTATAGTACGTGGATAAGCTTTGGAACTTGGAATTTTGAAGCCCGAATTATCCCTAGATTATTTCAGCTAACGATCAATCTAGTTTTATATGGTATTCATGGCCTGGTACAGCTTCGACAGAAGGACAATGCTACCCTCCGCCGAGTCTCTTACTGCGGCCTGATTGGAGTTGGCGTCTGCTCTGGTGGTTATCATATGACGCTTAAATACCACACCCAGATGTGTACGTTTCCAATTCTCCCGGGTACGGTCTGCCCTTGACTCACATTCTTTGATCCAGCGGATGAGCTGTCGATGCATCTTTTGACAACACCTCTTCTATATCGGATTCTCACGTTCCAGACAAGCCCGGAGCGCACCAGACTCATCGGAGGCATTCTTTTGGCCATGTTCACTATCGTCATGGTTGTCCACATGGTGATGGACGAGTTCCTTTTGCACGCCGTTTCTTTTGGACTGGCAGTATGGTTGATTGCCAGGCGAACTATTAAGATGATTCCCGATCAAATCCCTGATCTTCTGTTCAGGAAGAAGATCCAACGACTTTCATTTTTTGGGTGTTGTAAGTCATCCAGGTTATTTTTTGAGAAAGATCTTACATTAATGAGCTATAGTCTTTTTTCTCTTTGGATACTCCGTGTGGCTCATCGACGAGTTCGCGTGTGCACACCTTACTCGGATTCGACACGCGATCGGTTTGCCGTTGGCATTTCTATTCGAGTTCCACGGATGGTAAGTTTGTCCTTCCCTCGGCAAATCCTAACCACCCCTTCCCCCATTGAACTGAGCTGACGGTGTTAGGTGGCATGTGTTTACCGCGATTGGAGGATATGTCGCTGTTACGACAGTGGACCTAATAACCTCGGGTGAAGTCCATGAAGACCGTACAGCTAGCCTGGCCTGGCCCGTCCCCCTGATGGCAAGGCTCGTCCACCCAAGTGCGGAGGCCAAGAAACAAGGTTGATATGATTCATATTAGACTTTTTTGACTATCTATTTGTCTTATCAGATGGAACGGATGCTGCTGGTGATAATCGAGCCACTCGGAGATGCGGATATCCTCATTTGTAACTCCGACAAAGCCGAGCCTCATTGCTGAGCCGCGGCAAACGAAGTAACCCGCCCAACCTTCGCACATGGACTGCATTTTCAAGCATATGACAATAGATAGCGACCTCCTTAGATGAGACTTGGACTTTGTTTTCGGATAGATGGTCAAAATAGCAGCCCAATCAGAATAGTCTGTTGTATCTCTTGCACGACAGCTTAGTCTAAAAAAGAGAGCAAAGTGACGTCCGGTATCCCAAACCCGAAATTAAATTACATTTGACAGCCCGCGAGAGCTAGCCACCTGCATATCCACACATTTCTCGTGTACCGTGAGTGCGAGTTTGCGAAAGTCGGAGCCGCAACCTACGCGCGGAGTTGATAACATTATCAATCTAACTCCGAGCTACAGGTCCGAAAGCACACTGCTCCAACAACAAATCATCTCTAGCAACGAAATAAGTAAAAATTACGTCTCTTTCTCCCCCAAGCAGCAGAATAATAAAAGAGAGAACAGCAGTTCAAGTCAAAGTGAAAAAGTCACAAGCTTCTACATATTAAAAAGAATCTCACCACCAAGAACTACAATGTCTATCAACAACATCGAAAGCCGATCCGAGGTGGAATCCCATGGTAATATAGAAATGACCGTTCACCCTTATTTGATATAAGACTGACCTTTGAATAAGTTGGTACACACCTCATTCATGCCGACCCGACGCACGCCCATGCCTACGCAAACAGCAAGAAGAAGGGATTGCCCACGATAGCCGTCTCGCCTGCTCAAGGCAAACTCACCTCCCTGTTAGTAGCCCTTAGCGGCGCACGTAACGTCCTTGAAATAGGGACATTGGGTGGATACTCGAGTATCTGGCTCGCTCGCGGACTACAGGGCCGTGGCAAAGTTACTAGTCTTGAAGTGAATCCGCACCACCGTGACGTGGCAATCGAAAACCTACGCCATGCAGGCGTGAAGGTCCCGGAGGATGTTGAAGTGCTCCTTGGTGCTGGACTTGATGTTTTGCCGAAGTTGGCGCAGGAGATCAAGGAAGGCAAGAGAGAAGCGTTTGATTTTGTCTTCGTCGATGCGGACTGGGATAACCAGTGGAATTATTTTGATTGGGGAGTCAAGCTGTCTCGGGGTGCTGGAAGTGCTATCTACGTTGATAATGCTGTGCAAGAGATGTTGGAAAGTGGCATTGTTGGGCCCGAGAAGAGACGGGATGATGCTGTGGATTTGGTAAAGATGGTGGGTGAAGATTCGAGAGTTGAGGCTACGGTCATGCAGACTGTAGGGTCTAAGAGTTTTGATGGGTTCTTGATCGCCATTGTTAAATAGATGAAGGTGGTTTATCTTACGCATTAATAAACTGGCCACTTTTAGTAACCATCGAATCTAATCCGCATTTCATTAAATTCAAATGATTGTTCAATATTAGTCGATATTGTGCAGAAGAACCAATAATTTCCCACTGATATTCAGTCCTTCCTCGTGGCGTTCTGCGTAGAAGACACCGTTTCCTTATTGTCGTCTGTTGCAACATGTTCCACATGTTCCTCGTCGTCCATGTGCTTTTCAAATGTTTTCTTGCCGCCAAATACCTCTTGCATCTCCTCCAGTGAGTGTTTCGAAGTCTGTTCAAAAGGTTAGTCAAAATACCCTTGATTCCGAAATAGATCAAACTTACTTCCTTGAGCACCAGCCAGGAATATCCCACGATAGCATAGTTGAAAATAGCAAACATCAAAAACATTCGCCACTTGATATTTGTGATAGCATGAGGGGTCACTTGCGACATCATGAAATTGAATAACCATTGCGACGCCGCCCCAACCATTACACCAACCTCACGTGTACGGCTCGAGAAAATCTCTCCGACATATAACCATGGCAATGGTCCCCAGGACATGTTGTAGCTGAAGGCCTCAGCATATGTCATGATAATACACGCGATTCCAGCAGACGTAGGGCCGGAAGAAGTACTATTGGAGTTGGCTGGGTGTGTCGCTAAGATGCATGCTATGATAAGCATGAAGGATCCCATGGCGAATGCTCCAACCATGAAGGGAACTTTGCGACCAATGCGATCTAAAATAAATGTTTGGAATGTAAGAACACCGACAACTTTGACAAGGCCAAAGAATCCCGTGACGAGCTTCGCAGAACTACCAGCCCCGACAGCCCCAAAGATCTGTGTGGCATAGTAGGCCAGAGATGTATTACCAGTCAGTTGGGCCGAGAGCTGAATTGTAATCGCGATGAAAAGTCGATATCTGTTGGCAGGAATAAAAAGCTCCTTGATTGTCAGGTTTTCCTTGACGCGAGTCTCCTCCTCGATACCAGCCAAAATCTCTTGGAACTCTTGTTGAAGCTCTTCCGTCTCTTCGCCTCCACGTACCCATTTCAAGGACTCCCGTGCCTTTTCTACTTTGCCCTTGGAAGCTAGCCAACGTGCGCTTTCTTTCACGGTACACATCCCAACAAGCAAAAATGTGGACCCTAGAAGCTGGAGGCCGAGGGCTGTTTGCCACTGTCCAGTACCTGAAGCCTGATCCTTACTTACCGCATATGTGACCCAGTAAGCAATCATGACGCCAAGTGCAAAGAAAAGTTGGAAGCAAGCTCCCAGACGACCACGAAACTCTTTTGGCGACATTTCTGCGGAGTACATTGGAATAAGAACAGTTGCTGAGCCAATACCCAGTCCAGCGACGACTCGGCCAGCATAGAAAGTTCCAAGCGAATGACTGTTTATGACCTGCAAGATTGTACCTAGGGTAAATATAAGGGAACTGAGGATAAGACCCGAGCGGCGACCGAAGTATGAGGCAATGGGGGAAATAAGGAAGCACCCAAAGAATGCGCCACCCTGCAAGATCGAGACGGCATTTGAGTTGACATTTGTTTTGGCTGTCTTCGAATAATGGCTATATCTGAAGTCTTCTTCGAATGAAGTCAGGGCAAGAACTCCACCTAAACAGAAGATGGAAGAAAAAGGCATTAGCGTGGTTTCCAGGCCAGTTCAATAAAAGTACAAACGTACTGATGATTCCGGTATCAAATGCGAATGCAAAAGAACCCATACAGCTCGCGGAGACCAGGTAGGCCGCTCGAAATAGACCGAGCTTGCGGCCCATGTTGCCAGCTTTGGTGCGGTGAGAGAAGTAAAGCTAAAGACACGGCCAAGCCTCAAGAAAGTGCTATCATAAAAATCCGGAAGTTGCGCTTTCTCTTAACGAGCGCATATATTACAGTTAACAGTAAGGTATGGTGTTGAAATATCCCCAGCTGGTGAAGATTAATATGTGGACTGTGGGGAGAAGAGCCTAGCTTTTAATGTTTGACATGTCATATGAAAGGGTCCTACCCCATGATTCTTCTACCACCTCACCGACCTCTCAAAATCCATCAACTCAACTGGGTAAACTACCCGACCGCCACGCGAGAGCCGACCGGCTCGCATTGAAGTACAGCGTGTTAGAGATTTTGATTGGCCTAGCATTCACAGTTAAGCTGGTGCGGAGCCTGTGCACACATCCGAGCTGATGATCGGCGGGCCAATTAGCTAATCTCCAGAGCCAACAAGAAGAGGCGTCCGCAAGGGATATTTTAGTGCAGCGGGGTTTTTTATAGCTCGACCAGATAGGTATGAAATTCGGGGAATGGATCGATCTCCAGCTGCTAACCTGGGCAGTGCCGAAGTAAAGGGAATGTGGCACTCAGCCTTGGACCTGGGTATTTAATATATCAAGTCGGAATGATGAGATGACTGTCGAAATGGCTCCAAGGCTTGCAGGAAACCTGTTAGCAGCGACCCTGAGCCACTAAGTCCGGGCTGCTACAACGCTACTTGAGCTATCCCTGATCTTGATTCATCTATTCCCAAGTCGGCGTAGCATGGACGAGGGCGGGCCCTTATTGGTGGGTGGGGTCGACCCCGCAATGACCCCGGATTCTCATTACTAGTACGTGTGTGTGGGGCTTGGACTATGTACATGTAGAGAGCACCCCTCAAACGGAAAAAAAAACATCTGTTCATCTCAAAGGCGGTGACGTTGGTATTCTTGACAATGTACAGTTTTGATATAGGTAGTATGCCACATCTATCTATCGCGCACCATTACACCCAAAACCCAAGTTGTTCATTTTCGCTATCAAGTGACTAGCCAGCACAACACATATAAGCCCTGAATAGAAAGAAAGAACAAAGAATGTTCCTCTTACTGTACTAGAGGCCTTCAGATGACTATTTGCTCAAGTAATGCTAGGCCTCCAAGAATTGGGTTATAGCATAGGACGCTCAGACCCAGCGTCTTAAAACACCCCATACGCAATCAACTCGACGATACAACGACCACAGGCCGGAGCTTGCTGATTTTGACAGCCCGAGAGACCGGCGCATAATAAGAAATTGGTTATATTATTATGTGGACCAACAATCACCTTGTAATCAAATGTATCGAATTTTATTGACCAATTCATGAATTGGCCACCTTACTACGACCGATCTTGTATCCACGCGTAAGAAGTCCTTAGATGCTGGCCACAACTTGAATCATATACATTTGAAATTGACGGGGGAATGGAAGCACCCGCCTTTCCAGAGATGTATCAACAAGATACCCGAGTAATTGATGAGCTCCTATCTCAACTATCCGTTTGGCAAATGAAAAAGAACTTTCAAATGTGAGACGATTACGGGGGCCCATAGCGATCATCGGGATAAAGCCCCTTCAAGTTGGCTATAGACATCCTTAATACCGCCTATTACACCACTACTTGTACTGTTAGCCCTACGTGAAGCTTTAAAGTCAGAATTACAAGAAAGATCTCTCAAATTTCTGCTCGATGCAGACTGTCGGACAGTCGCTCTGTTGTTTCCAGTTGCTACTGAAGTCCCTCGGAAAGTATGGAGTCCGCAAAAAAGAGACTTAAGATTATATAATTAATTGGTTTCAAGCAACAGCGCCATATCGCTACCTTATCATCGCTTTACAACCCTTTTTTAAATGATCGTAACGAGAAATATCAATGCCCATCGTGTGGCTTAAGCCGGCCAGTTTTGACGCATCAACATTATGGAATCTCAAAACTCCGTGTCTCCTCAGAGTATATTCAAATAAAAGCCACTTGAACCCCTAATAGAACTTATCAGTGATATAACTTATCAGGTTGACTGTTACGTGTCTACTGTCATATCAGCAGTGTCAAGCTATTACGGTCTGTTCTGTGCGTTCCTACCCAGTCCTTCTGACTTCCAAACTTTCCGATCGCAGTTAATCTTCTGCGTGTAATAAAAGATAGACGATGCAACGAATTTAGAAAGAAAAAGAAAAAGAAAAGACTAAGACCAGTAAGACGAGATAGCGCCGAATCAGAGTCCAACTATATGGTTTTAATGCCATGTGGTTAATGATAGACTCGAGGGTGTTGTTTGTATAGCGAACCTTCAAATGTTGTATCTGTGAAGCTGACTCGACAAGGCTGTCGAGCTTATCGATCCTGATTCAATCCGAGATCCCCACACTAACAGAGACCAAAGAAACCTATTTGATTCTTTCCTAAAAAAAAATCTTAAAAAACTGTTCTTTGAGCGAAGTACGCCACTCCACTTACGTGTTCTTCGCCATAAGTTGGTGAAAACATCTTCAAGCGGCACAGCCAGCCGATCGCTACCGCCTTACTATTCCCGAGGGCGATGGGTTTTATCTGGTCCGCAAGTTCCAAGGTTCTGCACCTACGGGCATGACCAGTCAAATGTTTTGCTATTGCTCCACTCAAAGGCAGAACGGCACAGCCCTCGCGATTTTCAACGGAGAAGAATACTTCCAGGTGCCTGGTCCTTTGCCGATGTGATCAGCCCCTTCAGATACTGCCATACGACGCAACATGTAAGATTATTGGCTCGCTGATCCCCAAACTTTACAACCAGCGTGTCCCTGATTGACATGCATGATTGAACCTTCAAAATCCTTCATGCGAACGGGATTATGAATTGCGAGACACCCTACCGGGCGACCGGCGGTCTTACGTCGCGAAAGGCTTGTTCTTTTATTAAGCTTCGACGCTTGAAACAAAAAGATGTTTGATCGGAGGTTGTTGCATCCCACTCTGTTTGAATCTACAGATGAGTGAAGACTTTGGCGTGGCCGGCCCACCCAATGACGGTGGCCAAGCCTGTCCATCCAAAGTTCCGGTGGATTTCCGTCGCCTTCAACACAAAACATGGGAAGCGATCACTTGCTTTTAATATTCTGGTTGGTGGCTCCCCGTGGGTCCCACTTATCTTCGGCCGGGCAATGGCAATGATCTTCAGGGCCCAGTTTACGGCCGGGGGGGGGGTAGATATTTTAAAACCAAGAAGGAATCTTCTTCTGGGGATAGCAATCACGCCTTCGACACTTTCACCATCGTCATTCTTTTATCTCAACTTCAATCCGCTCATTTTATACACTATACCCTTTCAGGATCTACATATTAAACTTTGGCGTCTTGCAAATAATGACTCCGTGGTGGTATACCGCTGGCAGTATACTGCTGTTCTCACTGGGCGCAGCAGCATCTTGGCCCTACTCGAGTTACAAGTCGATCGATTTCCAGCCTCCTAAGCTTCAAATCAACAAAACTGGCTCCACGGAGCCTGGTTTTATCTTTCTAGGTCCCCGTGGTGCTGTTCAGCCCGCTGGCCAGGCGGCCCTCATCTACGATAATGATGGCAACTTGGTCTATGAGGGCCCCGAAGAAGTCACTTCCAACTTCATGGTGCAGCAGCTAAATGGGTCTGACGTGATCACATTTTGGTCTGGAGATATGATGAGCATTGGTTATGGTTATGGCACAGTCCATATTCTGGATAACACGTACAAGGAAATCTATACCGTTACTTTGACGGGAGACTTCGTCACTCCGGATAACTCAACAAAGGCTTCATACATCGATCTGCACGAAAGCAATATAACTCCCCATGGCACGCTTCTGGTTACCGCATACAATGTCACCCAGCACGATCTGACTTCGATCGGTGGTAAATCGGCGGAGTGGATGCTTGACAGCCATTTCTACGAGATCGATATTGCGACCAACGAGATTGTCAACTCATGGAGTGCACTGGACCATGAGGACTCGATCCCTCTAACCTCCTCTCACCAGAAGCTCGGCGGCACCGCGGGCACACAGGAGAACCCTTACGACGCCTACCATATTAATGCAATTACCCCCACTAACAACGGGTACCTCGTTTCCCTCCGTCATATGTGGTCTGGATACTACATCCACCCCAATGGATCTGTCATGTGGCAAGTTAGCGGCGAAGATGGTGCGGACTTCACCCAAGTGGGCAATGCAAATTTCTCCTGGCAACATGATATTCGCGTCTGGAACGAGACCGACGATAGCCTAGATTTGACCCTTTTCAACAACGCCAACACCCCGACGAACAGCGAGAGCCCCACAACTGGTGTCACCCTTTCTCTTGATCTGGCCAAGAAGACTGTCACCGGTCTTCGTTCATTGAGTGATCCAAGTGACCCTATTCACTCAGTCAGCCAGGGCAGCTACCAACTTTTGAATGAGACCAACGGCCACGTCTTCATGGATTACGGCTCCATCTCGAAGGTCAAGGAATACGACGGCAACGGAGAGGTTGTCTTCAGCGGTGTATTTGGTCCAGACAATGATGTCGCTTCCTACCGTGGTTACCGCTTTGAGTGGAGTGCTGTCCCATTCTGGAAGCCTTCTTTGAACGTCACACGTACCTCCTCTGGTGCGGTCGCTTATATGAGCTGGAATGGAGCCACCGAATACGACAACTGGGCTGTATACTCTGCTTCATCTGAAAGCTCTACCAATAACCAACAGGTGAGCTCTGCTAATCGCACTGGGTTCGAAACTGCCGTCACCTTGAGCAATCTCACCACCAACTACATTCAAGTGGCCGCTCTGCAGGGAAGCAAGGTCCTTGGTACATCTGAAATTTTCTCTTTCTAAACATCGCTATCTCGGATATAAGGAAGCAATACTATTTCTTCTTTGGAAAAATGTTAATTGTTCATATTTCAACATTTCCTGGATATCCGTATCCCCGGTTACGACCTTGGAAAGGCTCACTCCTTTGCACATACAAGTCTATCTGTTTATTGTCTTGCAAGTGCCCGGGTATGCGCAGCCGAGTCGGTCGCACCTTCACTAAGTTCTTGTATATATTCAACTTTTGTCTCATTAGATTACCTGAATCTATAATTCTGTTACAGTGACTTCATCAAAACCAGGGCTTGCCTGATAGATATTACGTTGTACGGATGCTGTTGAGAGTTATATTCCCGCTGTTGAGAGTCATATTCCCGCTGTTGGACTTGTAAATCTAACCCCATGAGAAACGCTAATTTGGTCGGCCCGATGAAGTTTCTCGGGCATTCTGGGCAACTCCCAGCTGCTGACTGGGCTAACAATCTCCCAGCATAGTTTCCGAGAATGTACCGTATTCCTCTAGGGCTTGCTATAACCTCGTCGTGTTACTTCAAAATAACCCGTTCGGCAGTCATTTGTCTACAAAGTCTATCAACTTGTATTCAAAGCATACCTACTTCCATTACATTTATATAATTTAAAACCTGTCTATGATTACATGGCCGGTCTAGTATATATGGGGAATACATATACTGTTGTGAAATGACCGTTTTCATTTATTTTTCGCCCCTGAATGAAACTGTAATCAAAGTCCCTGAGTATGTTTATATCTGCACGATAGAGTAAATCGGTCTTCAAGTTGTACTGATGATAGATTTTAAATTATATCCCTTCGCTGACTGATTAGTTTCGAGGTTGAATTTACTGGTCTTTTAAACTGCGCAATTGAGTAAGAGGCGACTGGATTCTATCAATTTATCTGTTCCCATTGAGCCGACCTCTGGCTACATTCTTTGTACTCCTCCTCCTCCTCCCCTGCCACATACCACGCACAGGAACGCGGTAAAATATCCGACGTGTGGGAGCAGGGATCTCACTCCCGTCGGTACATTCCTGACATCAAGGACTCTGGCTTGTCATCTGGAAGTTCAAGATTGAATCTCACTCCGCAATGTTGCATATCTGGAAAGATGCGAAGGACGAAGATGCAACATTCTGCTTTCTCGTTCATGGGCTTCGTGGTAGGTTGCGACTTTGTGTGACTATATTCCCCCTTAATATTACCCCAAGAGGTCGATATGTAGTGGCGTCCATGGCTTTGCCAGGGGTTTCCTAGACCAGGCAATGCAAATTAACGCCATAGAATGCTGCTTCTCGGCTATCATGATCGTTATAGATCCTTTGGCAATGCCGGCGTGTGATATCACCTTCGTAATATCTGCCTAGGGAGTGAAAAAAGGACCTCCTAGTGATATAAAGCCGTGTCGGTCTCATTTCCGGCAAGGAAATAATTTGTTAATCTTTTGCAGTCAATCATAACTTCGCAAAATTAAAACAAAAATATACATATCAAACATCCTTCCTCACTATGAGAATCTTCAGTTGGGTTTCAATATTATCCCTCGCCGCCCTAGGGACTTCCCAGCCAGCCATCGAGGAAATCAACCACAAAGCCGATGATATTCCTTACGGCGCTTTCCCATCGCTAACAGACTCCTTCGTCCTCTACCCCATACCGACACCTGGTATACCACCAAAAGTTGTATACACAGGCCGCGCTGTTGTTTACAATCGTTGTAGCTTCCCGGTCTACGTATGGTCAGTGGGTAGTATCATCAATCCCGAAGTGACCGTATTGCCATTCAAGCGCTACGAAGAAACATTCCACCGTGATGTTGTATCAGGCGGTATCGCGATCAAAGTCAGCACAAAGCACGATGGACTTTTCACCAGTGCCCCGCTGACTATTTTCGCCTACAATCTTGCCGGGGATGGCAAAGTGTGGTATGACCTCTCTGATGTGTTTGGTGATCCATTTGAGGGACATAGAGTTTCATTGGATCCATCTTCGCCAGGGATATCCTGGGTGGATGGGAAGCCTACCCATGGGAGCCAGGTTCGCGTACATGATGCTGCGAGCGATTTGGTTTTGAAGTTATGTTGATTGAAGGAGCCTCCCTGTGAAGAGGATTGTAATATGGGGTTAGTTTGGAGAAGCGATCTACTGTTTGGTTCATAAATCAAGGATAGCACGGCCGAATGGAGCAGAAAGTCAAGTTCTTTTTTTAAAAAAAAATCTGATAGGAAATTTCATTGGTATTCACTTTTCCTCTCGGCTTCAAGTCCGGTAGAGCGTGGTGTATTGTCTGGTTCAGTCTGGTATACTCTCCGAATCTCCGAATTGGGGGTTTTAGGCTTTGTAGTACGGGGCTGATGTCATTCGCCGAGTTACCTCGGTTGTTGTGTGGAATCAGAGTAAAAAGAACACAAGGAAATGGTAATTTGGGGAAACAGTTCCACAATTTTATTGAATCATCCAGCAAGCGAGGATCGGCGCTGGAAACGTCTCCATAATCACATAATATATCCAAATGTGTGTGAATTGTGAGAGGTTCGGCCAGAACACCGAATTCCCCCCCGCATTTTCTCCATCTCTCCAACTCCCACATTCTCAATCCTCCTTATAATTCAACTCCCTTCCTAGCTCCACCTTTCCCCCTCACGATCACCCCATTGAAAACCCTCACATAAAGCACATAATCAATAATGGTCGCGCCAGCAATTCGAGTGGCCCCGTCCGCGGCCAACCGCGCGCTGAATCTACTGCGCACGGTGCAGTACACCCATCCGCCCAACTGCCCTTGTCACTCCAATCCCAATCATCACCACCATCATAAGACCCCGTCAATGATGAACAATGTCCGCCGCCACCTTGCGACGCCTCCAGACCCCGCTCGTGAAAAAGAGTATGCCTTTGAAATGGCAGCGTCAAGTATCCGGTTCGGACCTGGTTCGACCAAGGAGGTCGGCATGGATTTCGCGAACATGGGAGCTAAGAGGGTGTGTATTGTGACAGACTCCAATGTTAGCAAGCTTGATGCAATGAAGCAAGCTGTAGAGGGTCTCACTCGGGAGGGCATTCAATTCACTATTTTCGATAAGGTTCGGACTGAACCTAAGGACAGCTCGTAAGCGTTACTGTTAGGATAGTAAAGCAGAAGATAGACCGCTAACATTTCATTGATTTATAGTATCCGAGAGGCCATTGCATTTGCTAAACCATACAACCCTGATGCTTTTCTCGCCGTCGGTACGTTTTGGTCCCTTCAAGCCATGGATATTGAGACTTACTAACACCATTATGAACAGGCGGTGGATCCGTAATCGACACAGCCAAACTCATGAACCTTTATACTGCCTATCCAGAAGCTGACTTCCTGGACTTTGTCAATGCCCCCCTGGGCAAGGGTCTCCCAGTTGACAAACCACTACGTCCCCTCGTCGCAGTACCAACAACCGCAGGCACTGGCTCCGAAACAACCGGCACAGCTATCTTCGATCTAGTGGAAAAGAAAGCGAAAACAGGAATTGCTCACCGCAACTTAAAGCCCACACTGGGAATTTGCGACCCGCTCAATACTCGGACCATGCCCTCGGCCGTCCACGCCGCGTCAGGCTTAGACGTACTCTGCCACTCCCTCGAGTCATGGACCGCTATTCCATACAACGAGCGCACACCCCGTCCAACAAATCCCATTAACCGCCCGGCTTATCAAGGTGCGAATCCCATCTCGGATATTTTCTCCCTGCAGGCTCTACGAAGCACTGTCAAATACCTGCCCCGGGCAGTAAGAGACCCCGATGACCATGAGGCACAGTCGAACATGCTTCTCGCGGCAACCCTCGCGGGTGTTGGATTCGGAAATGCTGGTGTCCATCTTTGTCACGGCATGAGTTATCCAATCTCAAGTCAGAATCCGGGATACAAACACAATGGTTATGAGGTTGACCACCCTATTATTCCGCATGGTGTCTCCGTCGCGGTCACAGCCCCTGCTGTCTTCCGCTTCACGGCCGCGTCAAATCCCGATCGCCATCTGGCTGCTGCTGAAGCATTCGGTGTCGATATCTCGAATGTGAAGCGTGAAAGCGCGGGTGAGGTTCTTGGAGCGGCAATTGCTGAATTCTTAGTCAAGCTGGGCGATCAGCCTCGGGGTCTGAAGGATCTGGGATTCAAGGCTTCTGACATCGAAGGTTTGGTTGAGGGTACTATCCCGCAGAAGCGTGTTCTTATGCTCGCGCCAAATTTGAGCGAGGAGCTCCAGGCAGAGAAGGGCGAGCTTCGGCGCTTACTGGAGGAGTCTTTGGACTACTAGATCTTTTGGGAGAACGATATAGTCATCATGACAGAATGAACTTGTACATAAGATTCAATAGCACGTGAAATGCATGGAGAAAAAAGAAATCACTCAATGTTCAAGGTTGAGGAACGCTGGAAATAAAACACGATGCAAGAATTGTGTATAATGGCGTCTGATGTTATAAATAAGTGCCATGTGCTATGGTGTGGTCTCTGTAAGATGTTGTGTATTAAATAAACGTGCAATCGAGTCTTCAGGCTAGTCCTCCTCTTCAATGCACCCTAACGGCGGCTCATTTTCTGTAAGAACCTTTGTACCAAGGACACCCATTGACGAAGCAACACGATCCAACCAAATAACCGCGCGAGGATCGTCACGATCCGATGTCCGGGAGGGACCACGACCGAGTTCGGAGTGTATGCGAAAGGGTAACGTGAGGGTTCTCGGACTAATGGTCGGTGGCGATGGTGTATCTTCACTGCCATCGCTGAGTGTCGCAGTTCCCGAGTCAGGAGAAAGTCCTTCGATGACCCGACATCGGAATTTGCCTTCAAGACGATTGCACAGTTCACGGAGAGTATCTTGTATATTCTCCGCGCCACGAAGAAGCAAGGATGGACCGGTCTCTGGGAACACCTCAGGGACAGGTCCGACAAATGTACCCGGGCGCCGAATGATACCCTGCTGGCGTTGGCTATGGGCGTTGATGCATGATCGAAGTTCGGCACTGAGGGCATGTAAGCGATGAGATGTGTCTTGGATACGCCGTATAAGAAATCCATGGTCAATTTCGACAAGCGTAGATGAGCCGGAGAGTAAATTTCGCGTTTCACTAATATATCGTGGACACTTGGCTATTTCCATGAAGACCTTGTCGGAGATAACAGCATAGGCAGCCCATTCACCGGGCTTCTGGGCATCCTCGGCCATAGTCTGAGAAGCGTAGTCTTGCCATTCTTTTTGATCGAGAAAGCATGGCTTTCCCTGGTACACGGCTGTAGCGACGTGGAAGCCTCGAAAGGCAATCCAGCAGGACCTCCCAAAGCCTGACTTGTGCATATTTGTGCCGCGGCTAGTCATGAGTCTCTTTACCGCATCGGAATGAACGACCCACGCATCGGGACTAGTCTGAGCATACATCTCATAAACACTAAGCATCATAGCAGTGCAAAGCATATTATCCGAAGAGGCATGGTTACCCGTTGATATAGCACGAATAAATTCACCCAAAGAAACCCCATACATTCGCCGACTAGTACGAAGAAGAACAGGGTCCTGCGTGAGATGCGCCAAATAAACCGAGCTTAAGCAGCAAATCGCCGAATCAAGATACGCATCCTGACCAAAGTTCATCATGATATACTCCGGAAATCCGGGGTCGTTGCCCGCGCGAAACCGATTATGGAAGTACAATGTCGGAAACGACGCGGTGATAAAATCTAAAAAGAGCTGTGGTTGCGCCGCTTTGAATGTTTTTCGCACTAAAGAAGGCGATACATTCTCGTCTAGCGAAATAGTCGCTGAGTGTCTTCGCATTAAGGCGATGGCATTTTCGCGCACAACCGTTGCGGCGCCGGCGCCGTCATCCGGGTGCTCAATAGGCCCGAGCGACTCGATCTGCCATGCAGCTGCAGCTGCAGGGGCTGGGGCTGGGGTTGAGGTTGTGGATCTTGATGATAAGCCACGGTCTCTTCTACGAGAGACAGGACGATGCCGCCGCGCAAGGCTGGGGCCTTCGTCCTGGAATCTGAAGATGCGACGATACCCAGGACAAGTGCGGCCATAGCGCTGGCATTGAGAACATTCGGGGACGGCCTCGTCGCACTAACAGCGTAAATAGCTTAGCAAGATGTACAACTTCCCTCGGCTTGGAGAAACAAAGAAAAAGCCTAAAGCCTAGAATCTCAAGCACGCCAAAGAATACATAGATATCTCACCTTGATATGTCGTTCGCGACAGAGAGCACAGCCAGTACTGTGTGGAACCCCCACCATGGTCGGGAGTCAGGAACTCAATTTCAATCCGAGGTCAGCATGGCGCTTGTGAGGGGTCAGGGTCGCATTGAGTCGAAGATGAATGTCTTTCACAGAGCGAAAGTGGATTTTTATTCCGAGCGAAAAAGAAAGTCGAGTCCTAGAATCGAGAAAGAATCGAACTTCCTGTGAGAGGCTAACGGAGTCTATCCGATATTGATTCGCAGAGTGGAGAAAGTCACTGAAGCCGCCAAGAATTGGCGTTGCGTTTCCATCATTGCATTTTGGGCCGTTGGGGCCAGCTAAAGACCTCAAGTTCGTTTCAGGGGGAACGGATAGATGCAGCGTGATGCAACAGGAGATAGAACTTGCGTTGTTTGTTGGTCATGAAAGAAACAGTTCTGGCCCCCAAATTTGGAGACTTGATGGTGTCTACGAGATACGGCTGATGTGTTTCAGCTGTTTGGTATGGGTCATTGGGATAGTTACTCGTTCGTATTCAAATATGCGAAGAACCCCTCAACTCAAACAGCTAGAGATGGAGCTATTCGATTCGATAAATCCTTTTTTATCCGTCGGGGTTCTTTCTTCCTGATGATGTAGTTGGGAGGTTGAACCTGCAATGAAGCAGTACATATGTCCAACGTTTGTAAACAGGTTAAGATCTACATGCGCTTGAACGGATGGCAAACAGGCTTTTCCTTTTAAAGTTCGCACATGGCAAAAGCGATTTATTGCCGATATTCTAGCGTGATTGATTGATTCGACCATGTTCTAATGCTGGTGTGGAAGAAGTGAGATCCGCTAGCGGCTCCTTTGCTGGGCATTGGATGAAGTCCGGAGAATATGAGTACTAGATGCAAGGAGAATGATAGAGAGAGATACCATATGATATAACCTAGTGCAATAGGTCATGGATTCTGAAATTTGAACCCGGGTTTATTGAGTGCTGCGGAGTATTTAGTCCGGGATTGATGATCTTAGCTAATAATGAAGCTATAGACAGACCCTCAGGTATAAAGTGGATCACTATGCAAAAACCTCACTGAATGCCTCATTCGTTTCCTACATACGTGTATTTATTCAGACCGCTTATCATGGTTCAGCTATGAATCATTTGAATGACAAACAGACCTCAAGGCCGACACCGCAGTGTAATCTCCAATCAATGACGATGGACTCGCTACCCCGCGTTCTGTGTCACTGCATGCGCAGGATGATGCGACTCTCTACACTAGAAATTGATTGGCCTATGAATTCCATTCCCCAGAAATTGAGTATCGAGAACGTCAAAGGATTTGATCTGTGGACTGCAGGAGACTATGTGGGCGCGCCTGCCGCGTAGGTAACTCAAACAAATGTGACTCGTATATTTGTCCTTCTGTCTTTTCAATTCCTTTAATTGGCCTTCAAGTCCCTTCAAGCCCCTTCAATCTCTCTAGTGAGCATCTCAATCAGTTGAGAGATTCTGCGCGAATATCTATTTGCGAAAATGCCTCTCCTCCAGCCGGCTCGTCCTAAGGTCCTTGTACCAGAGAAGCTTTCACCAGATGGCCTGGCGCTATTACGCACCGCCCTTGATGTTGATGAACGCAAGGGCTTGTCACCGGAAGAATTACTGGAGATAATCCCTAACTATGAGGCACTTCTTGTCCGCTCCGAGACCAAAGTCACCGCGACCGTATTGCAGGCTGCCAAACGATTGAAGGTGGTTGCCCGGGCAGGCGTCGGGGTTGATAATGTTGGTGAGTAATTCCTACGACCTCGACGGTGATGCTATAGTTCTAATTATTTCAATAATATTAATTTAGACGTCGGAGAGGCAACAAAGCTGGGAATTGTCGTCGTTAATTCGCCCTCTGGAAACATCGGCGCTGCTGCTGAGCATACCATTGCATTGATGATGTCTATGGCGAGAAAGATCCCTGAGGGATGTGCCAGTTTGAAGGCTGGGAAGTGGGAACGTAGTAGGTTTGTTGGAGTGGAGGTCAAGGGTAAGGTACTGGGGATAATTGGTCTAGGAAAAGGTAGGGCTTTCTCCCTGTGTCATCGAACTCGGATAGCTAAATGTCATTGCAGTCGGGTTGACTGTAGCTCGAATTGCAAAGGGTCTCGGTATGACTGTCAATGCCCTAGATCCATACGCATCACCAGCGGCAGCATCCTCAGCGTCCGTCACTCTCGTTTCATCATTACCCGAGCTCCTAACCTCTGCCGACTTCCTCACTATCCATACTCCCCTGATCGCATCCACTCGAGGAATGATAAGTAATGCTGAACTGGCTCAAATGAAACCAGGTGCTCGTATTCTCAACGTGGCACGCGGTGGTACCATTGATGAAGCTGCACTGTTGACAGCCCTCGAGTCTGGACATTTATCTGGAGCTGCCATAGACGTGTTCACGTCGGAGCCACCAGACCCTGAGTCCACAGCTGCAAAGCTGATTTCCCATCCTCGGGCCGTGGTAACACCGCATCTTGGTGCATCAACGGTGGAGGCACAGGAAAACGTCTCGGTAGATGTTTGTGAGCAGGTTCTCGACATATTGAAAGGTTCACTCCCACGCAGCGCGGTCAATGCCCCTCTCATTCTACCAGAGGAGTATCAGAAGCTTCAGCCATTTGTTCGCTTGGTGGAGAAAATAGGCAGCTTGTACACCCAGCACTATGCCTCCTTACCTGGTGGATCTATGGCCCGGAATACATTTGATCTCATTTATCAAGGCGAGGTAGCTAGTATTAACAATACCAAGCCGCTATTTGCTGCCCTAATAAAGGGTCTCTTAGCCCCAATCACTGGTCAGGAAGGACTCAACGTCAATATTGTCAACGCTGAGCTCGTGGCTCGCGAGCGTGGGATCTTCGTCTCAGAGCAGCATTCTCGGGACCCTCATGATGATCCATCATACTCGTCGCTGGTGACACTCATTGCCCGTCCACCATCTCGGCCATCTTCCCGGGCATCTGGTATTCCAGAGAAGGCTACCAGCGCACCTCAATTGCAACATCAGCGAGTCATATCAGGTACCTGCTTAGGTGGTCAGCCTTTGATCACCCGACTAGGAAGATTTGAAGCATCCTTCGCGCCAGAAGGAACACTTCTCATTTGTGAAAACTACGACTCTCCAGGTAAAATTGGTGTCGTTGGAAGTATCCTCGGCAGAGAAGGAGTCAATATTAATTTCATGACTGTCGCTCCTATCTCTTCAAAGCTAAGCATCTACAACAATTCAATGGATGCTAAGGTCGTAAAAGATGGCCCCGCTGAGGATCTATCAGACGCTTCAGGGTCTGGAAAGACAGAAGCACTCATGATCCTGGGGGTCGACCGAGTCGTTCCCCAACAAACCGCGGCAGACCTAGTGCAAGAAGGTGGTGTGCTGAGTGCTTGTGCTATCACTCTCTAGGTTAAAGTTTTTTTTCTTTTCTTCCTCTGTTATGGTGGGATGTCTAGATGACAACTTGAAGCAGAAGTATTTCTTCCACTCAACGATTATCTTAGATATTATGACCTTTGCTTTTCAACCATAGCAAAGTATTGCTACCGAATTTCTACGACTTTTTTACAATACTTGAATGGATAAATCATTATGATTCCACCTGTGACTATGGAAATATAGGCTAGATATACGCGTCAGCCCTGGAGATAACATAACCTTCAGCCTTAGGAGTTGCTGAGAACAGAGGAAGAGGAAGTGCGAGCCTGAGATGGAAAGAGACCATTGTTACCAATGAATTAGTTCGTAAAAGCGTAATGTTTCATTCATATATGGATATGTATGTATTGCGTGATCAAGCTTCACAAGCTCGAGCCCGGGGTAGCGGAGTCTTGCGTGGTAAGGGTGACCAGATGCAGTTGATGCTTTTATACAATAAATCACAATCGAGATGAACAAATATGCATGCAATCCTGACGTGTCCCGAAAAATGCTAAGAATGACGTGTAAAATGATAAAAGGGGGAATCAAAGACAAGAAAAAGGGGGTATCGCAAGCTGAAATCAAATCAAAACATAGAACTTCGCTTTTTATCAAGCTTGTTAGGTGCGCTTCCTTCCTCCTTGCGCCTGAATCCGAAGAAGCTACTTTTCTTTGGTTGTAATTGTTGAGGACGAGCTGGTTCCTGACCAGGTTGTAAAGCCCCACTGACAGCAGGGACAAACCCAACTGTAGATTGAGGACGAGGCTGTGGAGGCCGACCAGGTCCAAAACTAGCGGTAGATTGGATTCGGGGATCGGGACGGCCAGAAGGTTGAGCGTAAAGGTATGGACCGTTGGAGGGGGGAGGAACAGGGCGGCCTTGGGGATAGTAAGACTGGGGTCGGGGAGGGTATGAAGGGCGAGGAGGCTGTTGTGGAGGTTGAGAGATAACCGATTGGGATTGGGAGTATTGGTGTGAGTTGTAGGGTCTTGAGGGGCCACTGTGGCGGACGGGAAGGTTTGGTCTGGAGGCGGCGGCGGAAGAAGGACGTTGCATTCGAGCTTGTTGTTCCTCTTGTCCATATATTTGTTGTAAACGCTTAGTTTCGCTATCAACCTCCGCTTCTTTGCGACGCCGTGCTTGTTCCTGTTGCCGCTTTTCAGTCACGAGAAGTTCCTGGGTACGTCGCTCCTCTTGTTCTGCGACTTCGTCCTGCCGTCTCCGTGCCTGGGGGCCTGGAGATGTCGGGTTGGATATGGAGTTTCGGCCGCCTAGAGGGGGACGTCCAGGAACGGCGCCTGCGGCCTGGGCTTTCGGGCTTTTTCGGCCTACTGCACCTGCTTGAGGCTTGCCGTTCGCTACGGTCGGTCCACCTGTAGAAATATGGAAGGCTTCCTTGGCGAGACCAAAGAATATATCACGGATTGCAACAGCCGCGAGTAGTAGCACGACTTCCAAGCCTTTGAAATCCTCCATCTCAACGCGGTATAGATTGGGTTCGTATAATGTGAGTTCTTTGAGACCCTGAAACATGGCCACAGTGATATCCGGCTCGCGGTTTTTGGTCTTTTGTTCGGCGACCGTGGAGGTGGTCTTGCCATGTAGCAGACATGACAGATCCTTGGAAAGTTTGCCATCCTTCCTCCAGCTGAAACACAATCTCGGGGTAATATCTGCTACTGCAGGGTCACTCTGCGTTCGATCTAACCTTGAAGCCGACGGTACTCTGAAAGAGCGCTGGGGCATCTCAAACTCCCATCGTGCTGGTTTATTCCAGGCTTTGGGTTGGTGGCGGACCACGATCTCCTGGTCGGGATTGTAGAGGTGAATAGAAAATTCGGTAGGGAGAATGGGTTCCGGAGGAGGCGCAGCTCCGCCATTATTACGAACAGCTTCTGCCGACAAGCTGGGTTGTGTCCACTCAGGGATCACAGCAACTTCGCCGTAGATAATGTCGGTGACATACGGATCGCAGAGGGCGACGCCATAACGATTCTGGGAGGAGGGCGCGGTGGGATCGAGGAACTTGAGGTTGTAGGCAGGCTCGGGATCATTTCCATTATGACGAGAGTATATATTGCTTTGCTGTGGAGTCTGCGAATTGTTCTTCAAGAAGAACGCTAGTGGAGTCAGTTCCTGTCAAGCGTGGAGGGGGAAGAGCTTGAATGACGTAGCCCAAAGGGGTAAATTCGGCGACAAAGTCCAGGAAACCAGGGGATTGAAGGATATATTAAGTTCAGGGATGCCTTACTTGGGAGGTTTTCATCAATCATCTTGCCCAGTGACTTGTCAGCTGGGGAGAGGGGGATGACGGGGAATTAAAAAGGAAGAACAAATGGGGAAGACAAACCCTGGAGGAGTTTGCGGGATGCAGATGCAAGTGATCGGCGGCTAAAAATAGTCGAGCCTTGATTAGAGGCATCAGTATTTACCGACTCCACCTCCCCGGCTATGCTTTACAGAATGGCTGTGTTCCTACATATATGCTATATTAACGGCATCTATATCCACTTAATCTGAAATTGAGCTGCCTATACTTCGTATACATACATCCAATTTTGAACTGGCCCCATTTCATGCAGGCTAACCCATCTCTATCCGTACAAAAATCGGTGAGCTTATACGCCATTGAAGCCCCGCTAAGCTGCTAGCTGCTAGGATCCAGGATCCACAAATCCCGTACGGATTCTTTAATTTAGCACTTTGTTTGATGTTAGTTGGAAGTGTCAAAATATCTAGAATATGTCAACCTAAATACTTGCCTGAAGTTGGGGGCTCCTAAGCCACTATCCCCCGCACCACGCGTTGTTCAAAGTACGGTTGCACTCTTACGAGGTGATCCACTCCAGGCAAACCCTGCTTTAAGTGGCATTTTGACTCAACTGAGGAAGGACGAAGAAATATCTTATCTTGAGAATTAAGTATAGCGAAAGATCAACATGCTCCCCTCGAATGGCCGTCATACTAAGAAGCGGATTAGCTTTTGTGTCAGGGCGGGCTTGACTTACTATTCATAAACTCGACGATTGATCCTTGTTAATATACTCATCCAATGATAAATGACTCGTCATCTCCAATCCCATTCGATTCGAATCTAGAATATTGTGTTAGCCAAAAAAAAAAAAAAAAAAAAAAAAAACCTGGAAGGAAAGACGCAGCAGGTATGAAGGAATAGAGAGCCTTTTAAAAAATCCGTTTAGTTTGGTTTGCTCAAAGTCTTGGATTTGAATGGTTCGCCCTGAATGTTACTAGTTACCCATCTCATATTTCTTTAGCCCCACCTGACCAACAGTCATAGGCTACATATACCTGGTCGTTTGGAAGTACTATGAACAGGAATGTTTCCTAGATATGCATTAAACCTTTGATGAAGTAAAACTTAACTATTCACTATGGCGCTATGGGTGGTAAACGGTAAACAGTAGCATCGATGATGACAATGAAGCAGATGAGGCCCTGTAAAGTAATGTTAAGAGACATTCTGGAGTTAGTTCAAAGGATTCGGCCTGGGTATAGGGTATGTTAGATGAGTATCAATATCGAAGTGGGTGCTCGGTGATAGGATCTAGATATTTGTGTTAGTCTGAGCAAAGTGACGACAATATTAGAGACTTAGTCGAGCGAATTATGGGAGAGGATCTCCTCTCTTGAATACTATTGTAGTCTGTGAATGTGGATTGTTTAATTGATGTTCTTGGATATGGGAATCGGGCCCTTTTTTATGCTCTCCGGCAAAGAAGCGAACAACAGCTTAGTTCTATGGACCTTTGTCTGATCCTTGTCGCTATGGTCTGTGCTTTACTCAGCCCCATAAATAAAAATAATTATCTATATTTTGATCAAAGAAACTTGCCAGTTCCGAAGCTCTTCAATGGAAGCCGCCAAAGGAAGCTCAAAAAATAGCTTCATTTATCAATAACCCTTGACAATGGCCAAGGATAGAACACAATGGGAACAAAGCGTATTAAGCGGGTACTTGCATGAACAACGGCTACCTGCAAAACTAAACCAAATTGATCAATACTTTTGTTCTATGTGCACTATGATCTATCGATTCTATCTTTGTATTTCTTTGTTCACGTCCTTACCAATATGTGCAAGACAATCACAATGTCTAAGAACCAATCATACTCGCACTCCATTAACCTCTTCACCCTCAGGAACTTTAGATGACTCCTTCTCCTCCGTGCTAAGCTGCTCATCCCAGCCCTGAGTACCGAGCTTGTAAAGCGTCTTCTGCTCCTCACGACCCGGGGAAGGACCCTCCTTCCCACGCCGTTGTCTAGATTCAACAGTCTCGATCAGAGAAGCATTTTCACCCTCAAGCTCGTTTCCATCCAGATCATGAGCGTGTACTTCATCTGAGAAAGTGTAGGATCGGAACTCGGTATTCGACCACCCTGTGCCTTGGTACTGGCTGCTATCTTCCCAATCTTCAGTGAAGTAGTGCAGGAATCCACCGTGTGTGACAACAACAATATCCTTCTCGGGGCGGGCCTTGAGCCATTGGCGGGCTGCGCGAGCGCGTCCCTTCAGTGCCGAATTGATTGGGGCGTAGCGGCCAGCCTTAATGGAGCAAATGTGTTAGAGACGGTGCGCTTCGTCGTTCAGTCGAGTGAAGAGATAAGTACCTTGTTGTTCCAAGCTTCGTGGACCAGTTCAAAATCCACGTTCTTGCCAGCGAATTCGTCGCGCAGGGCCTGGGGCTCGCTGCCTGTGTCACAGGCTACATCTGAGGTTTCCTGGACGTCGGGCAGGGCAATAAGTTTCATGTCCGGGTGGGCCTCGAAAACGGGCTTGAAGCTCTCTAGAGCAGTGTAGATTGTGCGACGCAAGGGCGAGGCAGTTACAAGATCAATTTTGTCGTGGTAGGGGAAGGATTCGCATAGCTTGACACATTGTTCATGGCCGAGGTCTGTGAGGAGAGGGTCGGGAATAACATGGTTGGCAGTGCAGAGGTTGTGAACGCCCTATTGAGAAGAATATGTCAGGTAATCAGTTCAGGACTTGGAGACTGTACCCCAGGATCAAGGGAGCTTAGCTAGCTAGCTCTGATGTGGGAGAGGTGGCGGGTGATGCATGTCGATCACAACGTTGGCTTGTACATACCTGAGCGTGGCGAACACAGTGAATTGTGGGTGCCATAACGAGTAAGAATAGAATGAATGAACGGAGTAGCGAGTGGCTCAGATCTAGGCGTATTACTGTTAGCTTGAGGGGACGGACCCTGGCAATGAATCTTATCGGAAAACGTGGGGGAGTGGGGGAGGCAGCAGGAAAAGCAGAATTGTTCGTAGGCGATACATACCGGTTCAAGGAACAAGAGGGTCAAATTTACAATGAAATGTACCCAGAGAAAAGAGTTGAAGAAGCTAAAAAAGAGAGTTGAAAGAAGTTGAAGATATTGAAGACACCGAAGAGTCATACCGGACTCCAGGACTCCGCCTTTGGGGAAATCTGGTGGTCGCCACTTTTAAGCTTGGAACGAACCACACCGCAGCACTGGGGCTGACGGGGCTTCCTCCACTTCTGATTCGCTCTAATTTATGAATTTACGAAATTTTGATTTTATAGAAAAAAGAAAAGTCCTTCAATCCCACACTGGTTGGACTGAGTTGGGCATGCAATTATTGTACCTACATCATAACCTTCAAAGGTCGAAGCATTAGAGGGCTGGAGTTACATTACATATTTTTGTTTTTTTGAAATGGTTAAAATCAATTTAGTCAATTGTACAATGCTATGCCTTTTGTTTAGCCCGGAATGCTGTCGCCGAAATGAAATGGGTATGTATAGATCCGCGCTGATGACCGAATAAACATATTATGCTACGCCAAATCCTCTTGAATTATCGATGGCTTTGTCAAGCTTGGCCGCCAGGGCTTCCTTTGACGAATACTCTGGCAATAAGAGACGTCCAAAGCATGTGAGACTAGTTGGAAGACGCTGTAAATACAAAGTTAGTATTGGAAGCCAAAGAGTTGGTAGGGGTGAATAGGGATATAACATACCTCGTCTCCTACGCCGTTCTTCTGGATCACAAACATGATAGTCGAGATACCATTGACAGGAACTCGATCGGTTGCAGTGACGAACTCCAGAAGCTTTGCCTTCTTCTCATCAGAGTACCCATGGACCACACTCCAGAAGTCCCGAATGACCCGGTGTCTCGGTTCAAAGCCTCCTTCGTATCGCGCGTGGTTTTGTAATTCATCAATGTCGATTGTCTGGAGGCCTTCAACCACCGCCTTCAGAGCCTCGGGTGTGAAGATTGAAAGTGCAGAGCGATCAAGACATGTGTAGAATCCTCGAACGAATGCATCAAATTGTGGCCGAATCGATTTATCTGTCAGCCAGAAGATGTAATCTTTAACGAAATGGTGTCGATTGAGATTGGTCACCAAGGGTGCTTCATCCGAGGGAGGGGAAGGGGATTGAAGGGGCGATGATCCCGAGGCTGGTTTCGTTGTCTCCTCTGTCCCCGACAAAGGTGTGGGAGTAGATGCCTCAACCGCCATAGAAGATGGGACCTCTTGCAGTGCATCAAAGTAGTGGGGTGCATTGATGTATGCGCTGTTTTTTGGAGCAGGGCTTCCACCAGCAGCCTTCGGTGGCTTTGGCCATACGGCATCCCGGCCGACTTTCTGCATATCGACATTTTCAATCCCACCGAAGGACTCAAAGCTGAATTCATATGTGCGCATGAAAACATCGCCGACATCACCATCATTCCATGAAAGAAGCATGTCAAGACCCTGGGTAAGTTCTGGCCAGCCATCACGAATATGATCCAGTTTCTTCACCTTGAGACCCAACAGCTTGCGGTAGAATGCAACTGGGAAATTAACGGGAAGCGTCAGTCCATTGTACACTGCGATAGACATCAAAAGTCCGATGAGCTCGAACTTGTACAATGGCTCCAATGGGCAAGGGCGGGGCCAAGAAAGGTGGTGGCGGGTGTCCATAGTGAACATGCCATATGATGGATTCAGAGCTTCAGCCATTAACACTCGGAAATACTCCTGTTGAACACCACCATGGTCCATGCCTTCTTCACCTTCATCCATGCCCATTTGAACTTTGAGTGGCCTCATCAACTCCCGCTTCTCGCGACGCCAAAGCTGATTTAAGGAATCCGTTAAGATATTGTCTCGTCGGACATTGAGAACAAAGTAGGTAGACATTGAGATCTTCATCCGTTGCAATAATGACGAGTCATCGGCAATCGTAATAGTATTGCTATAAGCAGTTTGAGTGACGTGCCTCGTAGTAGTCATGGCAGCTTCGTAGTATTTGGACATGGCGGAGTAGTTCAAAGCTCGGAAATAAATGACAAGAAAAGAAGGCGGGAAAAGGAAACAGTACGACATGAGGTGTATTGTACGGTTGTTCGTAAGGCTTCCCACCCATGCCACGGGCATTTCGAGAGGGTCCAGCCGCTCTGCAAGAAGGGGGGTATGGAAGTCTTCGGAGGAGAGGCCCAGCCTGTTTCGTTCTTTATACATCAGAGCCAATATTTGTACTGCGCCTCCAGCGGCACTACTGCGAGCCAATTCAGGATTCCCGTCCCATTCTCGTAAAAGTAGTGTTCGGAGCCATTCCACAATAACAGGTGAAGGCCCAGTCGGTTGATGAGATGGGTGATCAGCTCCAGAGTTTCGAAATGTATGATGTTCGCTAAGATGATCAACTATGCGGTCGAGGACGCTGATCTTGCGTTGTTTCGGAAGTTCGAGCGTATAGACCTGACGTGCCTTGGATATTTCATGATATGCGAGACGAGCACAAAGGGCGCGTACAAGCCGGTTGACCAATCGAAGGCCTAGTTCATGCTCTAGTTTGTCAGTCGCGTCCATGGCCTGTTGAGCCTGATCCGAAGATAATTTCTCCATGACAGCTGATGAAGCTACACCACCTGCAGCACGCATTTGGAGAATTTGACGCCATGTGCTAACATCAATATTCGGGATCGAGCTGACTAGAGCGAATAGAGCAACTGTGGCAATATAGGCAGCATCACCATCGGAGAGGTGATCTTCATTTGCAACCTCAGAGATACGCCGAGCGAGTGGCGGTGCTGTAGTTGGACCGGTCATGGTAGAGCTATGAGAAGAACGACGGGAGTGTCGGGCAGAAGAGGAAAAATCGTTTGGGGGGACGAACAGCTTGTCTAACGCACCCCATAAACTATGCAATGCGATATCCCATGGGCAGATAGTAAAGAGGTTTTGTAATGACCCTTGAAGACGTGAGACATCGAGGCGATTATCAGTAGCTCCTTTAGATGATGTAGAGTTGGGTATTGAATTTGTTCCAAAAGAGCGTAGGATATGCGTAGTGTTGCCCAACACAAAATACACGCTTTGTGATATAAATGGGAAGGCCTGGCGTTGGCGCGATGTAGCAAATCGCCAGTCCGGATGATCAAAACTTCCTGCATACTGAATGCGATCGATTTCTTCTCTCCAAGCCTCTTCGTCCTCGGACGATTCTACCATGATTTGACCCAAGCCATCGATGATTTCCGCAGTGAGATGAGAAACTGTCTGAGCCATTGGGCCCTGTTCCGCGAGGTGGCTGCGAGGTGCACTTTTGGCTTTTCGGTTGCTTGGAGACTCGATTTCGATGTCACTTTGGGGTGGTAAAAGAGGCTTTCCAGGACTGTCTTCTAAAGAAGGCTGATTGATCATCCTCTGGTTATCCCAAGAGACGCGACGCTGATTCCTAGGGCAGTCTTTCGACCGAGTGCTCTCCATGTCGCCAATCCTTCCTCGATGCTTCTGTGGCCTATGCTTCAAGGCGGGCGGGGAGGGCATGGTGGCAAAATCATTCGTGTTTAATTGGGACTTTAAAGACACTTTGCGACTTTTGTATTCCGGCCGTTTCTTTTCCTCCATGCTTGAGCGCGGCGATTGCCTCCATTGATCCATTTCTGTCAGAGAAAGTCGCTTGACGTGTTGATTTTGGAATTTAAGCTCGACTGCTGTCTGGTTTCCCGATGTGCGCGATGAGGGTGTACGTGGATTGGGATTTTGTGAGTGCGAAGAGGTGGGTTTTCCCTGACTCGGCCTTCCCTTCTCACTTTCTTTATCAGGCAAACCACTGCCTTGGTCTGTTTGAGATGCATTATCCGACTGTGACGATTGTTGTTTGAACTTGTGCGAAAGAGACTCCGTAGTGCGACGCAGTGGCAGCCACTCGACCATTCGAAGGGACAAGGTATCGAAGAGGTTTTGTGTAAATGATTTCGGATCTTTTAATGGCTGTTCAGCGGCGTAGTCAAGATCTTGAAAGTAATAGCCACTGGGGTGTCCATTTCCCGAAGATGACGACGCCCCCGCTGCGTCAGAGCCTGCCGCATCCGTTGAAGTCGATTGTTCCATCCTTCTCTTGAATGCATTGCCGCTCTCACGATCCGGACCGCGTAGGAAACTGTTCTGTTCTTCCGCTGCTGTTGCGGCGGCCACGGCTTGGGCTTGGAAGGCGCGTGATCGCTGTAGGGATATTCGGTGATAATCGTGGACCGTCAGATCGGATGGCGCCTTTGGGTTATTGCAACAGAGTCCGTTCTCGGCGTCGTCTAAACTGGCGAGGTAACAGGCGAGTGTTCGTGCGCTAAGCTCGGTGTACTGACGATATGGGCCTTCGCTGACCCGACGACGCCGACTGGCGCATGTTGGCGTTCGACATCCTGGATCATCGCAACCGTAGAGAAGCTGGTTCTTGTATCTAATTCAAAGAGAATTGTGAGAGTTGTTCTTGATTGGAGCACTCAGCCGTAGTTGCAACTTACCTTCGTACTAAGATGTTAAAACGACGTCTGCGCTCATCACGATACCACGGAAGCACGCGCGATGGATCCAAGACTTCGACAGTGTTCTGTGCAATGATGTCAGGCGCATTTGGGGGTAGTTTCGACCGGCAGTACTGTCTGTCGCCGCCACTAGAATGAGGGTGCGGAGAGTCAAGTGAAGCTCCTCGGAGCCTGGTCATCGTATAAGATACTTGCGCATCCCCGGTGCAAGATGAACTACTGGTAAAGGGCCGCCGGACTCTTCAGAGGCCAGTTCACACGAGTTGAACGAGAGTTGCTGGTAGAGGGAGGACCTCGCTGACTGATATCATTGCCCCAGATCTTATCGTGCCTTGGTGCCTGGGGCGGTTATCGGCCGGCCGGGAAAACAGTTTCTGCGATCACCATAACAAGCCCCATACGTACTACATAACACTTGAGAGAAGGATCAAAGCATCATTGTAACACGAAGACGGCTTCACATTTTGACTCCAATGGCCCTTTTGGTTTACTATGGGATGATATTTTATGCCGTTTTGGGGTTATTTCAGGGTCTCATTGGTGACCCATAACTTTGCTAAGACCATTTGTAGGCATGTAACTACAACGTAGCGGATTGAGGATCTCAATGGAGCTTTTTTAAGAAAACAATGAATTTGAAGGCGGGATATTATCCTAGCTCAAGATACCTCTAGACGCTGACAAGATAAGGAAAGAGGGGTAAACCGATGATATGACACAGTAAAGCGTAGGAAATGAACAAACCCCGAAAAAGATATGCGCATGGGGCGCTGAATAAACGAAACAGGAATGGTATTGTCAGAGCTGAGACCGAGATATTGAATTGGTACAAAGAATCTCAATGGCGTATATTCACTGTGTCCATGAGATTCAGACGCTGACACTCGCTAAGCAGACGCTCAAAGCCACATGGTATTAATGACATGATTCGAACCAATTTTAGAAGACTGGACAAGGAAGAAGCCGAAAGGTTGAAGCTTGACGTTTTCAGGGGGGAGTTGAGTGAAAGAAAGGACAAAAGTTCTTCCATCGTTTTGTATTTTTGTTTGTTTTCGTGTCGAGTCAAGTTCTACCTCGATAAAGCATGCTCTTCAACCGAGAAGTTCAGTGGTCAAAAAGAGAAACGTGTGTTAAGTGGTTCCTGAGTACAATCAGCTGGGTGTTATTGATTCCCCAGCATCGTATGATGAGTGTTGGATCCCAAGTTTTGTCTTTTTTTGAGATGAAAAATGGTAATCGCTTGAAAGTTTGATCCGTGGGTTGAGATTTGCCATTTTTTCCAAGGCTGGAATTCTGGATCGTTGATTGAGATTGTTCGTTAATTTTTTCTTTTTATTTCTTTCGCTCTTGTTTTTGAAATTGAGGCATGGTCAATGCAATAAATCATGGCACCAATATTCTGTAAGTTGGGGTTGGGACTTTGGTCAAGATAGGAACCCCATTATAATTGATCGTGTGGGATAGTTGGGAAATTCAAAAAGTTTCACATAAGTCTTCCTTAGTTGGTCTGTCAGGGGTTGTTTGTTGTGAGCTATACTAGGAGCAGACAGCATCTTCTTAAGTTGAGAAATTATTGATGGAGTAGAGGCTGGTCCTCTCCGGTTTCTCCATGTCCAGACTTGGAGTTATGGCCCCGCTTCTTGCGCCGACGTCGTTTCTTTGCATTGGAGTTGGAATTATCGGCGGAATCAGTCAGACCATTGTTGCGGCCGAGAGAAGATGAGCGGGTTTGAGGAGGGGAGGGTTTGTCTTCTGGATCAGATGAGTTTGTGCCATTTGTGTGAAGGACAACTTTGCGGATGCCGTTGACATCAACTATTTGTTCAGTAATGCTGCCGCTTCGCGTGGGGCCTCGGTGATGATAAATGAATTCAGAACGTGAGTCGGTGGATGTGATACTACCAGCTGGGCTGCTGTCTTTGCGAGTTGAAGCGGAGCGAGGTTGGTCTTCCCGCTCTTCATGAACTGCTTCTGGGATTGAAACTTGCGGGAGATCTTTGAATTGTTCGGAATTGGTACTTTTAGACACGGTTTCATTGGTCGGCATGGTGCCATAGCCAATCTTTAAAGCATGAGCACCATCTTTGGCATCCGAGCCGGGATTGACAAGACCTGCGCCAATTCCACCTTGAAATCCGAGAGCAGAAGGTTGGCGGTGTGAGTCAGATGTGCTCTGCCCAGATTCAAAATCGGTTTGCGCAGAGCGTGAAGGAGAGGTATTGCCGCGCTTGATTTTAACAGCGTGGTAACGGGTTTGCCGGGGTTTGCTGGCAAGGTTTGAGGGACCGAGGTGTTTCAAGTGTTCTCGAATTTCATCAGTGGCGCCTCTCTGTGTGATCCAAACATTGGGAGCATTTGTATCGTTGTCAGCATGTCTACGCAGCTGGAACCTAGGAGGCGGTGCTTCGACGGAGCTGCGGCGACGAATGAGGTCCGAGGGGTGTGTAGCAGAAGTTAAAAGTGGATCTTCTACATCGATCAGCTCTCCATCACCCATCGGAGTCGCCATTGGAGGTTCTTCGACGATTTTGCCTTTCGGTACACGAGATTTCGGTGCAGGGGCCATTCGACGGATAGCTTTGTGAACGTCAACAAAGACATCGGATTCATCGATGATTTCTCTGCATAACAGTTAGTACAAGACAAATTCTGGAGTAAAACATGTTAAGTATAGATGGAACGTACTCTCCAATCAATTCTTCAATTACATCTTCAAGGGTGACCACACCAAGGGCACCCCGATCTTCACTTGGATACTCTGACACAAGGACCATATGAGATTTTCCTTCTTGAAAGAAGTTGACAATATCGAGACAAGACGTTTCAGGCCGGGTTTCTGGAAGTGTTGCCAGCGCGAAATCGCGAACACGCTTGCAGTCTTCAGGGTCGTAGGTAATAAGCATTTTGACAAGAAGCATCCCAACAAAATTCATTTGGTTGTCAGGTGCATGGATAGGAATTCGAGAATATCCTTGAGACAGAATGACGTCCATAGTGCGTTCATCCAGGACAGTATCAGCAGACATAGTAAAAACATCTTCCATGGGAGTCATGATGGTTCCAACGGATTTTTCTTTCAGATCCAGAACAGCGCTGATAATTGTAACTTCGTCAGAGGTAAGTTGTTCTCCTGCTTCACCCAATGTTCGATGAAGGGTAACAAGGGTCTTCAGCCCAGCTTTTTTATAAATGGTACCATGGTCCTCGCCGAGAAGTTTGTCCAGCAATTTCGCAACTGGCCAAGCGACAGGGGACATGACATACATCAGGACTAGCACACAAGGTGCCATCCAGGCTCCAATCGGCAAACCGTAGCGGACACATATAGATTGAGGTACGACCTCGCCGAAGATAACAATGAGAGCTGTACTTCCCAGGACAGCCGGCCATCCGCCGCCCAGTGTTCGATCCAGGACAATAGGTAGTGTTTCGTTGGTAATCACGTTGCTAAGCAGAAGGGTGACGAGAACCCAATGCTTTCCGCGTTTCAGTAGGCTCAAGACACTGGCTGCATTTTTCTTTTCGGATTCCTCTCCAGATGTCTGGATCACTTGTAAATACACTTCATCCTGTCCCATCAAAGCAATCGTAAGCCCAGCAAAGGCCCCGCCGCTGAGGACAAGGGCGGCAGATATTCCCAGGTACAGCCATAAGCTCGGATCCTCCGGTTCTTTCGGGGCTTCGGTATCAAGAGAGGCGAGGTAATTTGAAACCACGGGTGCAGCTGTGGCAAGGGGCAGGTGGGAAAATGTGAGAAATAGGCATTTGGCCAAACCCAGCACCAGAGTCCGGGCGGCGAAAACGGAGTTGGTCGGACGACTCATCACCACGCAGGGGCCACGTAGAACAGGGGGCTCGCTCAGTGTATGTAACAAACAAAAAATCGGTGATTAAATGCAAAGTAGGTCCAGTCGACACATCGCTGTGAAATGAGATGTGATGTGAGCACCGATGACGTGGGGTCGGAATCGGAATATGAGAGCACTTGAGGGGAAGAGGGTGGAAGGGGACGGGAGGAACCAGGAGGTCAACGATGTCGAGTCAACAGAAGAGGAGATAGACAAAGATAAAAGAGAGGAAGGAGGTGATGCGACGATGATAAAAAAAATACGCGAGGCTCGAAGGTGGGACCTTAGCGGCACCTGGCGTATTTCGAAGTGGCAGCGGCTTTCGAGACAGGCGTCTCTTGGTGTTTAGGAATTGGGTTTTCCCGCAGAACAAGTTGACGAATCATGATCGAGGCGATCAACATCTAGCAACATTTAAACTGGGTCAATGACACGACGCACCATTTTTAGATTTCCAGGTTGTCAAACATTTTGGTGAAATTGTCTTGCATGTTTTTGATTTGTGCTTGAATTCTTGCGTTCTCTGCCTTCGATGTCTTCAATGCCTTGGATGGTGGTGGTCGTGGATCCTCTTCATCCGTCATGATCTCGTCCTCGTCTTCTTCATCCGTTTCATCTTCTTCATCTTCCATGTTATCGAGATGAATCTCAGTGATGCCGGGATCCTGGTGTTTGGCGAGCTCTCTCTTGAACGTTCGGAGATACCTTTACAGCCCTTTGACGGTTCTCTTTCTGTCGTACAACTCGTCCTCCAATTCTAGTATCCGGTCATTGCGTTGCGAAAGCAGTCTCAAAACCTCATGATAGGAAGCTTTAGCCATCGAGGTAGTTTTTCTCCACTTCATTAATTTCTCTTGTGTTACAATATATTGGTCTTGTAGCTGGACAGATTGGTCTGTGTCCCCAGCTGCCACCTGCCTCAGGGTATTGTAGCTTTTCTGAAGCTCGGCATATTCCCTTTCCCGCACAGCAGAGATACCCTGAGGCTCATGGAATTTTCCTTGAGCCTCGACAAGTTTTACATTTGCAGTGTCCCGCTCCAAGACATGATCTCTCATTCTTGAAGACAACTCGGCCTTCGATCTGTAGGCGGCCTCCTGTTCCATCAACAATCAATTCATCTGAGCCTGAGCGGTATTACTTGCAAGGTTGTAGTTATCGTTGGAGCTCTGCAGCTCTTCCTCATGCTTCTGCTTTTGAGCCGAAAGCAAGCCCTTGAGCCGATCGGCCAGATTGAGACCAGACATGGGATCGAACGACGCGCCCTGCTCGGTCTCAAGTTCGCGACAAACCCCAGTGACCAGAGTCACGGCCAAATCAACCTGATCTTGAAGATGAGCATTTTTGGCGTCACTTGCCGCAGCCAGCTGACGATGCTCAGTGTCAACCCAAGCAAGCTCTTGTTTGAGCCTTTCGGTCTCCCGCTGAGCATGCTGAGCATGAGCTTTCGTCGTCTCGCTTGTCGCAGTCACCTGGCGGTTCTCAGTCTCAACCCGAGCAAGCTCTTGCTTGAGTTGTCCGTTCTCCTGCTGGGCTTCGAACAGGGCAATCTCGATTGCCGCCGCTGCCTGGCGTTGCTTTTCGGCATTCTGTCGCTCTTGGGTGAGGACAGCTTGGCTGGCGTCAGACTTCTGCACTTCCAGCTTCAGCCATTCGATAGCCGCCTGGGCAGTGGTGAGCTCAGCATTCTGTTGTTCCAGCTTCTGCTCAATCGAGACTTTCTCCTCTCGTATCTGATCGTAGGCATTCTCCATGTGATTCAGATCAAAGGACAGATCTTTCACTGGTGGAGCCATGTTGGGACAACGATGGGCGACCTTGGCATAGACTTCAGCATCGCATATCTTGATACGCCCCTGGTTGACATGTTCAACGATGATCGCTTCGCATTCTGCTTGGGTGGCCTCTCGAGTTTGTGACCTAACTCGATTCCACTCTTCCTCTAGCAGTGCTTGACATTCTGCGAAGGTGTCCTGTCGAACTTGTTCCCGAAACTGATCAACCTGGCTTTCAAAGCACTGGTTCTCGGAACTGCAGGTTTGAGTATGTCCAAGTTTGATCTTTTTCGCCAGGACCGCTTGACAGTCAGCAAAGATGGTGATCAGAGTTTCAACCCGAGCTTGCTCAACAAATCCTGCGAGTTTCTGTTCGTACTCGTTCTTCAAGCCAGCCAGTGCTTCCTGATGCTTTTGCTCAGCAAGTTGAGTGAGGGAGTTCACCTCGTGCTGGTGTTTCTCTTTCTCACTATGCAGCTGCCCTTTCACCTGGTCGATTTCGTCGTGGAGTTCGCGGTTCCGATAGACAATAGAAGCGAGATCCGAGTGGTCTGATTCAAGCACCACGGTAGTAAGATTGGCTTCGGCAAATATGAGCTTCTCCTCCATATCGCCAACCTTCTCTTCCATATCGCTGACCTTGCTCCGGGTGTAAATCAGCTCTCGGATTCTGCTTCCGAGTTCTCGGCTTGTACTTCTGAGTTGCCTTCTAAGGTCTTCGGCTTCCTGCAAATGCTCCTTCACGGACCGCTCTAGATGCTTGATCTCTCCGGAGTACTGGAATCTCATGCACTGGACAATCATAGCGTTATGTTCGCGCGTACGGGAAGTCATAGGCATCACAGGACGGGTATCGACTACAGGCTCAACAGGGGGGAAGTCTTCCTGCTTCGGTTCACCACTAAAGGAGCTGTCAGCTTGATCCTTCCTATCTTAGATTTGAACGGAGTTCAACGTACCTCTTCTCAGCAGAAGAGCGGACTTCGTCGAGCCACAGCCGGTGCAGCATGCATACGACGTGAACTCTGTGGACCCAGAGCCCACGCAGCAGGCCTCCGACGATTGGGCTGAGAGGGGCCCAGACGAAGACAGGCAAACCGGCGAGGTGGTCGAGGAACATATTCACTATTGTGACGGGATGGCAGACATGGCACTCCTGCACCACTGTGACGGGATGGTAGAGGAGGTAGACGATGAGGGCGATCAACCCCACCATTGTGACGGGATAGCGGAGAAGTGAGAAGACGAAGGTGAGCATCTCGATCATTGTGACAGGATGAGGAAATGGCTGTGACGTCCCCCACCCCCGTATAAATATCCTTTTCTGACGCCTCGTAACTTCTCTTCTTCTTACTCAACCATCTGCTGCCACCTTTGCGCTTTCCAGTATTCTCAGAAATCGTATCGCTGGCTTTATTTCGTGCTCACAAGCACTTTCAAAACGGTTTTTATCGTTTACCATTAACAACTTCACCGGCTGCCATCTCTCACATTCATTCACTTCACTTCGTTATTCCGTCCCGGACGGATGAGTATCTACGCGACCTACCCCTCCTATTTCAGCCTAATAGAGCTTTCGCCACTTGCCATCCCCATTTGGTCTCTTCTCCTTTTAGTTAAATGGCTAGGCAGCCAGGGTTGAATTGTGTTAAATTTTTCAGTCCCAAAATGGCTATTCTGAGCCTATGGTTCTTACCATATACTCACTTCCAGCCCTCATCTGTTAGATTGGCCTCAAATGACGCGTTTTGACCTAGTATTTCAGAGTACAGTGTATTTTTCATATAATCTACTTGTATGCTCCAAGCATTGTTGAAATCTACTAATAGCAGGTAGTAAGTCAGCTTGTCTCAAGCTTCCAGCAGTGTAAATATAGCATCATATTGCGACAGCTCTTCCATTCAATTATAACCTGACATTTGATGTATCTTTTAGGTACTTTCTGGGCAGAAACTAACACCTTTACCGATTAGTTTACGTTCATTAGCAACATCACAATTGTATTGCGGGAGATCATTAAGTACTATGTCCTAGTACAATTTAAGCTTTGCGGGCCGTGTGCACATGTGGGACTCAGCCGCTGTGGCAACATGATTGTTGGCTTGTACCTTTTGCACTTAAATCGCTTCAATCCCGAGGATTTCTTCACTGACACAAAAAAATTCAAACCAAAATAAAATAAAGCAGGATAAAATAAAGCAGCACAATATTCTGCTTTACCTTCAATAATTCTACTACGGCATGGGAGAAAAGCCCGTTGCTCTTTTGTTTTTCCGCAAAAATTATCAAGTTGTCTTGTTGATCCCCACTCGTCCTTGTAGGCCGGTTGTCTAGGGATATCATTTTAGTCCCTAGTCCCTAGTCCAATAACGAGTTGCTGGACACCAGTCCGATTTTTTTGCCTCCAACAGACATGACCAACAAGATACTAGTAGATGAAGGAACAAAATCTCCTTCATATATTTTTTTTCATTTACCTTGTAAATACAACCATGTTGCGATTGACAAAATAAGATCCTCATGCAAGAGCTCCCATTTCTCTTCGCCATCCACAGACACACCCGACAATCTTATTCATGTAATCAAAGAAAATATTAGGCTTGTTGCATCCGCGGGCATGCTGGATCGAGGGACACTTGATAATACAACCAATCTTCCATGAATTGATGCATTGAACAAATCTACACTATAGAATACGTCACTGCTGCAATATCTCCACGATGATCTCAATAAGGTAAAAATCCCCAATCGCATTACCGCGCCGCATCAGGAACACCATAATGTGATTTTTTTTCTGAAAAAAAAAATTCAATACGCTCTGATGGGGTCGTTTCGCGCTAGCAGGAAAACACTTAGTATTCGTCGGGTCCTTATCTACGGACATGAGTGGCGGTCTCAAGAGTCGGGATGTATAACTCGGAGCACCTCGGAGGTGATTTGCCCGGGCTCCAACATTGAATGGGACTCCAACGTACCGCTGTTTCCATCTAGTCAATAGAATATTAACTTCATATTACTATACTTCAGGTTTGAAGTCGTCAATCTCCACATGGGCGGTCCAGGCATGTACTTTCACAATTTTCGAGACTATGTAATATATGCAGCCCCACACCAAGGCAATTCTCCCTCGCTTTGTTTAATCGCTCTTAAACTGTTTATACAATTGGTTGGCTGTATTCAAGTTTGTTCAAGATGACGACTTCACGTCATTATGTAAAAAAACAAATAGACCTGAAAGCGATCGTGAGTACAAAATTGAAATTGGCGATCCCAATGACGTAGGGACCAATCAATAAATGCCTATAGAGAAGACCCGCCCGAGTGCTTACTGCAATATATGTACACAATATCGTAGACCTAGATATAGTACATAAATATCTACAGGAAGAAAGGATATTACACATGTTCCTGTAGGCACAACCTTACAACGCAGGAACTTGGGATCCGAAGCACTAAGACACTATCAATTGATGTACATAAGACCCCCGACGTCGGATGTGTGCGATTCTCCTATCAGCTTATCGGATGCCAAGAGGCGTGACTTCCCCGGCCCGCACCAAAAAACAGCCTTTTCCTCCCGAATGACTCAATTCCTTTCTTTAATCCATTCTCCTCAAGTTTTTTCGATACCCTTCAATTAATTCTCAAAAATCACACATCATGTCTAAGGGAAAGGTATGTACTCTCTCAATTGAGGTGGTTCATCGTGGTAACCACTCATACCATCCTTCTCCCTCCCCACCAGACCGCCACTTTATCCCACTTTCTGCCCTCCTATCGATTGAGTGCGCGCTCGCTGACCATGATTGTTGGAATAGGTTTGCCTTGCCTACTCCGGTGGCCTCGACACCAGCTGTATCCGTATGGAATCTATTCAATCTTGCGATTTTCGAATCCCAATTGCTGACCTGCAATTCCAGTCAAGTATCTTATTGAGGAGGGCTATGAGGTCGTCTGTTTCAGTAAGTCGCCTTTCCAAAAAAAAAAAAAAACTACTACTATCTCCAGGACATATCACTAACTCTATATCTCAGTGGCCGATGTTGGCCAAGAAGGTACAGTGGATTGCGCCTAGATCATGCGACTATTCGTTGCTAAACGACACCAACAGAGGACTTCGAGGCTGCCCGCGAGAAGGCCGTGAAGATCGGTGCTCTCAAGTGCGAGATTGTTGATCTCCGCCGTGAATTCATCGAGGAGCTTTGCTTCCCTGCTATTGCCTGCAACGCTGTCTACGAGAACGTGTACCTGCTCGGTAAGCTATGACCGTCAAATGCGAAAAGCAATTGGGCTGTCCTAACAATGGAATTTTCTAGGTACCTCTCTGGCTCGCCCTGTCATCGCCCGTGCTCAGATTGCTGTTGCCCAGGTATGCGGAATAAATGAACGCTATGAATACTTATTGGTTGTGGATTGACGTTTGTTTTCGCTTTTTTAGGCTGAGGGCTGTTTCGCCGTCTCCCACGGTTGCACTGGTAAGGGTAACGACCAGGTCCGTTTCGAGCTTGCTTTCTACGCTCTCGAGCCCAAGATCAAGGTCATTGCCCCATGGCGCGACCCTATTTTCTACGAGCGCTTCGCCGGCCGCAACGATCTCCTCGCCTACGCCGCCGAGAAGGGCATTCCCGTCACCTCAACCAAGTCCAAGCCCTGGAGCATGGACGAGAACCTGGCTCACTGCTCTTACGAGGCTGGCATCCTGGAGGACCCTGACACCACTCCTCCTACCGATATGTGGAAGTTGACCCAGGACCCCTTGACCGCCCCTGACCAGCCCGAGGACTTCACTCTCCACTTCGAGAAGGGTATCCCCGTCAAGCTGGAGTTCTCTGAGAAGGGCCAGAAGAAGACCGTCACCGACTCCGTTGACGTCTTCCTGACTGCTAACGCCATTGCCCGTCGCCACGGTGTTGGCCGCATTGATATTGTAAGCAGCAATAGGCATCGATAAACCATGGGAATTCTTGCTAACTCTTAATTAGGTTGAGAACCGTTTCATCGGTATCAAGTCTCGTGGCTGCTACGAGACCCCCGGTCTCACCTGCCTGCGCGCTGCTCACATGTGAGTTTAATTGAAAACCTTAAATGATACGGACTATGCTAATAGCTACCAGTGACCTCGAGGGGCTTGTTATGGACCGTGAGGTCCGCGCTCTGCGTGACCAGTTCGTCACCTTCAACTACTCCAAGGTCAGAATCATTTCTCACGCTCTCGTTCTACTATTTTCTCTGACCAATTTCTAGCTCCTGTACAACGGTCTGTACTTCTCCCCCGAGCGTGAGTTCCTCGAGTCTTCCATCACTGCCTCCCAGAAGTCCGTCAACGGTCAGGTCCGCTGCCGCGCTTACAAGGGCTCCGTCTCCGTCCTGGGCCGCTCCTCCGAGACCGAGAAGCTGTACGACATGACTGAGTCCAGCATGGACGAGATCGGTGACTTCTCCCCCGCCGAGACCACCGGCTTCATCACTGTGTCTGCTATCCGCCTCAAGAAGTACGGCCAGATGAAGACCGCTGCTGGTGAGAGAATGTAAGGTTTTCTCTCTCTACAAAAATTCCGGCTGCTTTTCTGTTGGGCTTGGCAAATCGGAAAGTGGAAAGCCACATGTTGATCATCCCTGGTTTTGTTTCTGAGTGATCAGGTTTACCACTCCTCACGTATATTGCAATGGCCTCCCGATTTCAATGATTGTATGATGAATTAGAAAAAAAGGATGGAAACTTCGGGAATAGTACAAAATATTTTCTTCTGTTATGTACTTAGTGTAATGAGTAAATCTTTGACGTATGTACATTTTGGTTCATGATATTTACTCCGAAGACCAGAAATATAGTTGGCGAATGCCATATGTACTAAGATGTGAGCACTACAGACTGGCATTGACCTTGGTCTTATCATTCCCTTCTTCTACTTCGTGGAATTAGCATCTGACTGCGACAGCAAAGGACTGGGAGAACATACTTTTCCACTCCTCCAGAGCAGCCGCTTCGGCGTCCCAGCCCCACAGAAACTTCTGAGTTTCACGATCAGTCCATTTATCGGGGTTAGAACCGCTTGCTGCTGCTCGGAACTGCTTGTCACGCGCGATCTGCTCAGGCCCGTCGGGAAAGTGCAATGTGACACGATTCTCAGATCCGGACTGCTGGACAGTTTCCGCACGCTCCTTCCGAGATCTTTCATAGACCTGCAATGCGGTTGGAATTTCACGACGGGAGGAGATGTTCGACAAAAGAACGCCCAATGCCGCAGCGTCCTCGACCGCTTGCGCAGAGCCCTGGGCAACATACGGTCTAGTATTGATTAGCGTTGTACGGCCAAGAGAGTACAGAATCGACGTACAGCATCGGGTGACATGCATCACCAATCATGGCCACAGATCCCCGGATCCAAGTTTTGAGGGGGCGATGCAAACACAACTTCCATTCGAGGACCTCGTCATCATCCACTAAGTCGATCAGCTTCTTCACCTTCCGATCCCATCCTTGGTAGTTGTCCACCATGGCTTGCTTGGAGCCCCTTGTGGTCCAAGATTCTTCGACCTCTTGGCGATCTGGGTGCAAGAGAACGACGTTGTACAGCTCGTGATTACGAATGGGGTACGCGATAATGTGGCGCGAGGGTCCCAGCCATCGCGTTGCTTGCGGTTCATCAATAAGTTCTTTCAGTTCGGGATCCTTCTCCATTACCTCACGAGGAAGCAATATCCTGTATGCTGCATCGCCGGTCGGAATAGCCTTCATCGAATAATCGTTCAAAAGATGACCTCGAATAGTCGACTTTATACCATCAGCAGCAATGATAATATCGCCACAGACGACCGTGCCGTCAGCTAGTGTGACTGATGCAGGACTGAACTCAACCCCAGTCACCATCGAGTTCTCTCGCAGTCCCACATTATCCAATGCCAATGCCCTGTCAATCAAAGCGTTATGCAAATCTGCTCGGTGGATGACTGTTTGCTGTCCAAAGGTCTTGTTCACAGGCATAGTAGCCAAAAGGGCGCCATCTTGCCACCTTCGAACATGAATATGTTCCAAAGCGACATCCTGGGCATGGATCAAGTCAGAAACGCCCCACCCTGGTGCTCGTCAGCAATTACCCCATCTCTATCCAGAGAAGATAAGTCTAGAAGAACTCACGGTCAAACAGTCGCAGCATATTCGGTGACACTTGAATACCAGCACCAACCTCCATGAGCTATAGAAACCATTGGTTAGGAAATTGATACTACCAAGAAGTTTCTAGGCTTCCATCAAGCATACCTTCGGTGCAGCCTCAAGAATTTGGACACGGTGACCTCGCAAGCCTAATGTCAAGGCTGCTGCCATGCCGCCAATACCTGGAAAAAGTTAGTTTCGTCATTAGGTATGACCATCGGCCATGTTTCAATGCAAGTAAACTATACCAGCTCTGTGCAACGTTAGCAATCCTTGTCTATACTTTCATCAATGGGAAACAGTCATACCCGACAACGACCACGTCCAAAGGCACATTTGCCTGTGGCAAAGCCATGATGACCAAAATGTATAATGAAAATTTTCCAAAAGATCTCGCTCAATTCGCAATGCAAATGCAAAATGCAAAGAGATGTTAAAATGGACAGAGTAATGAGAAGCTTGCTAAAGACAGTCTGGATATTTGAAATGGGCAGCTTTTTCAGAAAATTACGACTCAGATCAGTTCTCCGAACGGTTGCCGTCCCACCCGTGCCACAGGTACCTTATCTACCGGAAATATAAGATGTCTTCCAAATCTAAGAATTTATGTCTAAGAACGATAATCTTACCCCTTGGGGCGTGTTACGTCGATCGGCCACTCGAGAGCCACTCTATCCTTCTCCACAGGCCGGGGTACGCAGGGAAGGAGTTGCAACGCGATGTAGTCTGACCTACATGATTGCTCCCATCCTAATTTTACTCGGCTTCGGTCCCAGTGGCCAAAAATGACATGAAATTTAGCGGCTCGTTTGCGGGGCTAAACGGGCCACGCGAATAAAATGCGAGCCAGCCGGGGTTATTCCGACATCGTCCAAGACTACGCAACACATTTTTCATAGGATAATCTGCCCTTGATCCCTACTTCTCATAGCCTAACAGCTTCATTGTGTGAACAAGAAGTCCTCGTATTCATCTCTATTCCATTTTTCTTCATTTCGTGGCGTGCACTCTCAAATCCGAAATGGATATCTAGCTCGGCAATAGAGCGATCGGAGCGCGGGCTCCACATCGATTGGTCGTTTCACTTTTTTTTCTGGAGAATAGAACAAGCTACCCGGCTTTTCTTCCAACTTTTATCTGCCGAAACATCGCCAACTACAGCAATTATTGTAAGCTGGTCTCCGCAATGTGCACACTCCAATGGGTCATAGGTTTTGCGTCTTCATGTCGGTGCTTGCAGACCCACGCCCTACCGCGGTCAGTGCGGTAGCTTCGGTCAACGTTGATCTTGTGACATGCATGTCTGATCTCAATTAAATTTCACGGCAAATTCTTGTGTCAATTACTGCCGATTAAACGTTGTACAGGATCTGGGGTTGTTTCAAATCTGGAGCCTTCGAATTGACTTTAGTACGCGTGTATGTTGAATTTAGAAATTTATAGACTAGTATGCAGATTCTACTTAAGCTTGCCTATGGCAAAAAATCAATCATCTAGTAAGTATACTGGTAGTATCTAGCATTGACAAATTCAAATGTTCTATTTGGGAATTCTATGCATCCCTTTGTTCCTACTTTTTCACATATCTTTATCTTTTAATCCTTGCTTGCCAAGTAACTGCTTCCAAATACTTGAATCCGTTAAGCACAGACCTCACCCGTACATGAAAAGCTTCCATTTAAAGGAACTATAGCAGAGTGACTCGATGCACTGCCCATCGCCCAGCACGGCCTAGACTCCACATCGCATTATCCCCCCACATGAAGGAGTGATCCTCCTACCTATGGACATGACCATTCGGCTGAGATAGAACGCATCTATTGCCGGAGTATACTGTATTTGACTATATACTTGTTTTTAGTTCTTTCTTCTACCATATTAATATTCAAAGGCAGAAGCAATCATCCAAGTAAGTCTTTCGCGCGATCGCCGCCAGCAAATCATTTCCGAAGAGGATCCATGTCCGTTTCTGCAGGGTGCTGTGATATCGACTCATCCAACCTTGTGACCAATCGTCATATTGTACTTGGCCTTAAGATGATAGCGACTTTTGATCTTCGCTCTCAACGGTGTCATAAATCTCCGAGATGTTAGAAGTGGTTCGTCATCTGGGTTGAATTGACCTCTTGACATTGACGCGGAGTCACACGGGATAATCCCTGACGATCATATCAGTTCACCGAGACATTCCAAGCTGGCATAGACGTGGCCGAAACTTGAAAATCTGTTAGATTGATGACCAAACCCACGCCAGTGCTGCGCCTTGTGCTCATTCTGAACGTTGTGAATATAAGAACCAGGTGCGCAGCGATGTATTCCAAATGCCGCTGAACTCATCTACCACACTCAACAGTTCCATGGATGCAAAGACCACATCGTCTCCACAGTCTCATTCGAAAAATGAATTTAATTGCAGTGCAACGATTGAAGATTGTGATTAAATTATCTGTCAGGACTCTCGTGTTCACGACGATGAAAGGCCCACCCATTCCTTTGAAAATGTTCTCAGCGGGACTAAGCAAACCTTGTTTCGGATCAATATTATCAGTAGATCTAAACCCACAACTAACCGCTCAAAGGATAAAAGGCGGAGCTTAGCTCTATACTTTATCATGATCATCTTTGATTAGCGCTGGCAGGCTTGACCCTTCCGTGTATATCCCGTTCTCCACTGCAAAGCTTCCTTCGTGGATACATCCACAGACGGGCGGCATGTTCGGCTCATCCTGGACCTTTTAACTCCGGTGTGGTTCCACTAGCATCAAGAGACATTGAATCTTTTAGAGAATTCATCAAGATCCGACGGTGCAAACATTGAGCAGGAAAAGACGTGGCCTTATTTCTGTGGAGATCGTACTCGAAAGAATTGACTTGACTTGACTTGATTTCAGTTTTGTTGCAGTGCTTCGGTACTTGGTCTAATGTCCTCTCTGCACAATTGATTTCAACTAGTTTCTAGGATACTTATTACTTCTTCCCTTGGTTCAAGACTACTTATTGGGCATCATCAGTTATTGAATCCTGCAAGAGTTGACTCGCTCATATAACCAGACCTTACTGTAAGTTCCAGGTACAGGTGGAAGGGTTTCACAGAATCATCTGTGCATTTATTACCCGATCCTGACTACGAAGCCATTGTATCGACATCGGAGACTCCCTGAATACTTTCAACTTAGGAGCATATCTTTCTGCTTACTTAAAGTGTGTAACAACGGACGAGTATACAAGTGAGTTGTCTTCCCGGACAAATTGATCAAGTCTATGTGCACCTCGAGCAATAAACCATCAACTATCAGAAGATTTAGAGCATTGTGAGAATGAATAGCCTTCCGGATCGACTCAAAGCGAGACAGTCAAGAAGATAGAGTTGCTCAGAACATGTAAATTGCTCTCAAAACTTGATGTCTTTCATAGCCTAGAATACGAAGGAATGGGAAACAGTTTGATGTTAGGGACGTATGTTCGTGAATTAGTACGTAGGCATCACCTTGCATGATATAACGCGCGAAGTAGGACGGGTATACTAGATATGGGCTAAATGGAACCTACCTGTGCTCTGTTTCATTTGCTACTGGCGGGTGAAGGATCGTTCTTAGAGCAGTAGAGCTTGAAGCTAGATGGGACTTTTGTTGCGCGTGTTCCGGCACAGAAGTTCGTGTCATAAATTTTTGATTGGGGAGACCGCAAGGGATGGATGCGACATGAAGAATAGATATCGTTGGTGTTCATTTGAAAAGCTACACATGAATTCAGACGATTAATATCAAAGAATTGAATTATCTTTTGTTTTATCTTTGGCGTATATATAATTGAATCAAACCGCCAAACACCATAAGAATGTAATAAATGAAAAGTAAGAATCCAGAACGCCATGGATGCGCATGCCACATATCCAACACAAATGACAATAAAAATAAAAATAAACAGGCTCACATCAGACCGATGATCAGTCCGGCGGGACGTATGTTCAGAAGTAGAGCTAGTGCAGAAAGAGGTCGTTATGATGGTCAAGTAGGAGTATGAAGGGGCAACTGTGTACAATAATGTAAAGGTCGTCGAGACCATCTGTCGTATGTGAATGTGAGGGGAGGTGGGTTGAAGAAATCCTAGTCCTGGGGAAATATCTGTATGCTATCAAGGAGTAAACATGAGACGTAAGCGGCTGGGGCCCTTCTTTTTCTTCTCTTTCGGGCGTCTCTCCCTTTCTGATATGTGGGAGTTCGCCTTTGAAGGCGCTCTGCTCGGCGCTTTACTTCGCGATCTGCTTGATGATCTGCTTGGAGCTTGACTAGGTGCTCGAGAAGGTGCTCGACTGGGTGCCCTACTTGAAGACCTTACTTGTTCCTTCGGGGCCCTGGAGAAGAAGCTAGCTGAGCTCCTGGGAGGGGCCTGTGACTTTGATTCACGTTTTGAGTGGCCCGAGGGCGCATTTGTTCGAGGTCTAGATGTGCGGGAGCGACGAGAGCGACGAGATGTAGCGACCGAACCATCATCACTGAATTTGAACCGAGGATCTCTTTCCATTCGAGCGGTAGTCACATCGATCCCAGACAACGCAGCAGCGCGAGGGGTAATGAATTCTCCATCGACAGATGTGCCCAAGCTGTCAGCTTCGACATCAGCCACGCCGCGTCTCCACATTTCAACCCGACTAAGAGATTGCACATTCAATTCCATCATGTCCTCCATTTCTTCTTCTTCGGCCGGCTCTTGGATTTCAACATCCTCCGCCTCGTTGGTGTTGCCAGTGACGCCTGCCTGAATCCTTTTGATAATCTTGTATCCACCAAACATGACAACTGTCGCTCCCAGCCCGACTCCGGCGGCGATGAGGAATTGGGGGCTCGCAAGTAGTGCCCAAACTGCGGGGGCAGCCGCTTTGAGCGCAGTTAAAGCTGTGGGGGCCATTTTGGTGGCGATGTTGCTGATCTCTGCAAGGGTGAGAGCGACAGCGGCCATGGCGTCGGGGTTTTTTTGTAGATGGGCGATTGTAGCGGTTGCACTATGTTGAACACAGTGTGCCTCTTGTAGAAGCCATTGTGCACGGTCAACCAGACCGTCCAGCTGTTTTTGATCCGTAACATTTTCTATCTGAGGCGGAGGAGGACTGTATTTTGCTAGAGCGACCGGATGAGCTTCCCCGTATGCTAAATCCATGTCGATGTGTGCATCTGATTTGGAGCGAGCAGTTTGTGGTCGTGGAGCGGCCTCACGAACAACAAGGTCATGGTGAGTATGTCGGCGAGGAAGATCGGATGGTGGATCATAAAGTGACTTCGGTCGCTCAACGCCCGAATGTAAGTCCTGCTCATATCGAGAACGGGAGCGATGATGGCTAGAATGATGTCGTGACCTCGAGGCACGACTTCGCCGGGATGGTGCTACCGATGGTGCATCGTCAATCTGGTAAGTGGCAAGAGCCTGGAGGGCCTGCTGCTCTGCAACCTTGGCACTGCGTTCTGAATCAAAATGGGCCTTGCGCTCACGATATGCAGCTTTGGCATGACTGAAGACTCCGAAAAGTTGTTTACTCTGCGGCAAGTGGTGTCAGGATAACTATGTATTCGCTCATTTGAATTTGGGCTAGTTTACCGTGCTAACAACCTTGCCGGACTTGTCAATCACAGCGATCGTCTGGCCGAGCGGCGCCATCGGGAATGATAGTCGACGACAACGGCCGTGGTAGGTCACCTCATTCGAGGGTTTTCTTTATTTGTTGGCGGATCAACAGTGGGAAAAAGAAGCGGTGTAGGTCAAGCGCTAGCAATCCTACCCGATTGATTCCTAACAAGATATCAAAAGTAATAAAATGAGAAAAAGAACCCGAGAACGAAGTATATAATCGAGTCATATAATGGAGGGGGGGGAAATTGGGTTTCTTGTTTTTAGGCCATATGGAAATGCCCAAGATGATTAAGCTGATCCTTTTTTAGAACCCGAACGTGAAAGAGAGAGATCGACGGTCAAACCCGATTGAATTTCCAGGGTCATGTTACTTTATGACAGGGTAGAGAGGTGAAGCAGGAAAACAGGGGAGGCTGGGGTTATGGCATCAGCGCGCATATTGGGCAGAGTAGCAGCGGAGTACGGTAGGGAGTGCCGAGTAGCTGCAGCTAGTTCATCTATAGGGCAGAATAAGGCAGAATAGTACGTTGGGTTGCCAGTGATGCAGGCAAAAGACAGACATGAATCCTTATTTTTTTCGATTGGCAGCCCCCTTCATCACACCCGCGACACGAGCATTGGGCGCAAAGACCGCGTTGGTGGAGACTGACGGTTTGTTGTCCGACCGTGATTGATCCGTCTGAAGGAAATTCCTTCCCCAGTGGCTCTTGCATGGAGAAAATCGGCTAGGCTACAGTTGCATGGGTCTCGGCGGCTGAAGGGAAATCACATTTTGATTACGCTGATATGATTCCGACAAAGAGGCGGTGACCTGCTGTCTGTGATTGGAGGATAAAGAGCGTGTGATATTAATTGTTAGTCACTGACTGCTCCGTCTGCTCCATCTGCTCCAAACACAATCAAATCACAGTCAAAAGAGTTACCGCCACTGTGGCTGGTGTATCACTGCAGCCACACTCTGTGGCGGTGCGTCTGGCCACAGCTGCATTTTGCATCTGTAGGTACATTGCAAGGTTGTGCAGGTGGCTTTCGGGGCTCGAGAGTCTAATTACGTGTTTCCGATTACTCCGAGCTGCTAAGGCTGAACCAGGATTGAAAAGGAGACGATGGCGATGAAATTGTACGAGATGGTAGAATGTCTGTGATACATAACCAACGGACTGAGGTACGGTCGACATCGCCTGCTTAGCAGTACAGTAAGTACCAAATAGAAGGATAACTGCAGGATGGCCGGGAAGCGGTATAGATAAGTCCCAGTTTACAATTGCAAATAGAGAAAGAAAAGCAGAAAATGGCGAAAGCGGCAAGAATGAAATCTTCATGAATCTTTCAACTGGCGGTCCTTTGTACTTGATACCAAACGCCTCCTAGATGTATCATCTCCCCCTAGTAATCAAACCCATCTAGATTGTGGTCTTCCTTCCTATCGGTTTTAGGCTTTATCTCTGTCTCTTGCATATATCGACGTGGTCGATCAATTCAAGTTTCGGTGTGAATTCGATCTTCTAATTCTCCGTTCTGTTCATTCAAGTTCATGTCTTCCTTTCTGGTCCTCGATGTCCAAATTGACTCGATTCTGTTTCTACTATTCCCCTCCTTTATTTAAACCATGGCCGTGCTCGACTATCGATCACAGCCTCCGTTAGCCCGACTACAATGGGAACCGAGGTACGTTAATGAATATTATCTGGACATTATGGATTTATCATGATGTTCAAGTTCTCTTCAACTTTATTTTGTTCAATTCGGTCAGCCACGCGGGAGATATATTACTCTATCTGCGACCGTATGCAATGACATCTTCGGAACCTCGCAGCTGACTAGAACGATGACAAACCCCTTTTTTAGACCTATCTGTTGCTGGAACCATAAATATTATTCTTATACAAGGGGTGGTGAGTCGAATACTTGATCGATGGTGCAATGTTTTGGCCCAGGGGGGATTTTCTTAGGATTCCCGCACCGCCATTTCTCCCGATGATTCATTTCGCCCCTTTTATAATTCGTTGTCGTCACCTTCTGTCTATTACTCTCTGTTTTTCTTTTACTCTTCTTTCCTATCGTTTTTGGTTCTTCTCGGTGATCAATTTACACAGTTGTAGATGGTCAAGTAAATCTGCAGTTCCAGGGAATCGTTTCTCGGGTGGATCCAATCATCCGACCGCGGGAGATCTGGCCTCCACACAACCTCCCTTGAAATTAATCAGGAAAAAAAATATAGCACGGTTGGCTGACTGAAGACCACGACATGGATATAGTGGATTCAGGAAGTACCTCCGAAGTGGAGGACCAATCCAAGACATGGGGATCCGACGTACGGTCGCTGGTCCAGGGTAATGATGCGACCAACGCCCATCCGCCCACTGATTGCGGGATCGGCCATCGCGTGCTGGCTAGTCGCTCGGTCCTCGCTTTAGTTATAGATGAGGAGTGCGTCTTCGCTGGTCTTCAAGGCGGAGACATTGTGGTAAGTTGCATTGATCTACTGGAATAATTTTCCCCCAGGGTCCTTCGTTGTGATCGCTTGGCTGGTTCATCATTTTGAAGTTCGGGAACTGACTCATATTCTACAGGCCTGGTCGCTAGAGACCTATGAATTGGTTCTATCAGTCCATGCGCACAAAGAGAGCGTTCTGGGACTCTATTTATCCAATGATGGAACGCTACTATTCTCTACTGGTGGCGACTCTATGATCAATGTAAGTATCCAATGTGTGTAAAATGCTCAAAGCCACCCCCCACTCATCGGCCGGCTATAGGTGTGGTCGACAAGAACATTTGAACGACTCTATCAGATCTACCCCTTTCATGATGTGGGTGATATTTTTACGGTGGTATATTCCGCCAGTAACCGAACCATCTACTGTGGTGCACAAAACACTAGCATTCAGTGGTGTGATCTATCGGAAGAGAGCTCGGGCCTGAGTCAAACATCAGCAGCCCACCCATCGAAGAGAACTCATCGTTTCTTTGACTCTAGAGGTCCGGATGGATCGCTCGCCCCACGATCATCCGATGGGGCCCACGTGGTCCCCGACGGTGGTCGGGTATTGACCTTCAAACGCGACCACCACAAGCTATTTGCTCATCATGGTTATGTCTATACCATGCTCTTGGTAAAGGGGCTCATTGAGTCAGCCCCATCAGAGGAAGCTTTGCTGACAGGTGCTGGTGACGGCGCCGTGAAACTATGGCGTCTCGGCCAAGAACCCGGAGCAACACCCACTCAGATCGCTAAGTTACAGAATGGAGACTCTGTACTCTCCATTGCTGTTGAGGGCTCATTGCTCTACTGTGGTCTTGCAGGTGGCGCTTTGAACATTTGGAACTTAGACTCTCAGCAACTCGTGAAGCGGATTGTGTCCCACACTGGTGATCTCTGGGCAGTCCATGTGATTCAAGGCGTTGCTATCTGCGGTGACGCAACGGGAACAGTAAAGGTATGTTGAATTATATCCTTCTTAATTTTTTATCGCAATGGCTAACTGGCATAGAAATTCAACTCGCGCTTTGAAGAAGTCGGTGGATGGGTTGCCCACGAAGGCACCATGCTTGCATCTGCGGCTGGCCGAGTCAAAGATCGACAAATCTACGCTACTGGTGGCAATGACAACTCGGTTGGTATTTGGGACTTGACAGAGTTCTTTTTGACTCAGGAGGAGCTGCCTCCTATCAGCAACGGTATATTCCCAAGGCCCTACAACTATTATCCATGACAGTCGCAATTCTAACACTATGTAGATGAAATGGTGAACAGCCTTGCCAAGTTTGTTTCATTCAAAACAATCTCTTCAAGCCCGAAGTTCAAGGGTGAATGCAACCAAGGCGCCGCTTTCCTCCGTCGTCACTGCAACTATCTTGGAGCGAAGACCAAGCTTTTAACCACCGGCGACGACACCAATCCTGTTGTCTATGCTCGATTCAACGCTACTTCAACGGATAAAGTGGACAAGACAATTCTCTTCTATGGTCACTATGATGTTGTGGGAGCTGACACAAATCGCCCCAAGTGGAAGTCGGACCCCTACCAACTTACTTCCATCAATGGATTCCTCTATGGTCGAGGTGTTTCCGACAACAAGGGTCCGATTCTCGCCTCCCTATATGCCGCTGCCGATCTTGCGCGAACAAAGTCACTCCGCTGCAACGTGGTGTTCATCATTGAGGGCGAAGAGGAATCAGGATCACAGGGATTTCATCAAACCGTGCGAGAGCATAAGGACGAGATTGGACCTGTAGACTGGATTTTACTAGCCAACAGTTATTGGTTGGATGACTACAACCCATGTCTGACATATGGTCTTCGCGGTGTCGTGCATGCCAATTTGGTTGTGTCAAGCGACTACCCTGACCTTCACAGTGGTATTGACGGCAGTGCTTTACTTGATGAACCTGTTAAGGATCTGTCGTTATTGGTCTCTACCTTGGCCGGTCGGAAAGGTCGCATCAACCTGCCTGGCTTCCACGACACTGTCCGCCCTATCACAGACGCCGAGCAGAAGAGATTTGAAGCCATCGCAGATATCCTGCTCCCTCAGCACCCGGAAATCCAGAACCGACAAGCACTAGTTGAATCCCTGATGTATCGCTGGCGCGAACCATCTTTGACCATCCACTCGATAGAAGTACCGGGGAGCAAGAATGCAACCACTACCATCGCTGGACGCGCAAAGGCTAGCGTTTCCATTCGTATAGTCCCAGATCAACAAGCGGATGACGTCGCCGCAGACCTCACTGCCTTCGCACAGGAACAATTTGCACTTCTAGAGTCACAGAACGATCTTACCGTCGAGATTACCGGAAAGTCAGACGCATGGCTCGGTGACCCCGATAACGAAATCTTCGCCACCCTCTCCGAAGCAATTTCTGCAGCATGGACTCCAAACCAACAAGAATCCAAGCACCAATACCCACCTGTCATCCAACACTCAAGCGGGCGCGGACCCTCAGCCACCAAGCTGTCAGCTACATCCGGTCCTGTTCTCACTCGCAAGGACTCCTCAGACAGTCTAGCTTCACGCGTTGACCGCGTAATCACTTCAACAACCACCTCATCGGCAGGTAAAGCCGCTGCCCGCAAGCGATCTTTGCAATCTGCCACCGTCCCAACATCATCTACTCTCACTCGAACGGCTTCAACACCCGACATTTCTTCCACTCTGCCAATTAGAGCTAAATCTGACTCCGAGCCAGAGGAACCAAGCTCAAGCATCCCTCCTACGGAGACATCCACCGTTGCAACCGTGAAGCCAATTTTCATCCGTGAAGGTGGGTCTATCCCGACCATTCGTTTTCTCGAGAAGGTCTTCTCAGCACCAGCTGCCAACTTGCCTTGTGGACAAGCTAGTGACAATGCGCACTTGGACAATGAGCGCATGCGCGTGGAGAACCTATATAAGAGCAGAGAGATCTTCCGATACGTCTTTGCTCATTTGGTTGACAAAACATAAACTGGCGCATGGGTTTCTTTGCTATTTTTAGGTATTTTGTAAACTATGCATTTGGTAGCATTATCCCCAGAAATTTTAAAGAATTTATTCTTTTTTCTAACTCCCTACTTAACATCAAGACATTAACTCTGTGCTTTCCCAACATTCAATTTTTATTTCCAAGAATGCAATCAGTCTATCTAAATGATAAGACGCAAACTACCCACAGACCAGGAAAAGCCCCCCCTCGTCAGGACCCTAGTCCTACTCATCTCTCTGCGCAACAACAACCCCCAGATTAACCAACGGCAAAGCTTCCACAGCATGCTCTTCAAACTGCTGAACAAGCTTTTCAACCTCTCCATCAGCTTCCTCTTCACTCTTGACCTCTCCCAAAACAAGCAATGATCTTTTCACCAGTATCCGAATGATACCACCGACCCATTTCCTTGCTTCATCATGTAAATGCTCCTTCCCAACTGTAGTAAGCCTTACAATCTGGGACTCTCTAAACCCTCCCTTTGACACCTCTTCGAAGACATGCCGTGGGGCGTAGATAGAGAATCCGACCTTCTCCATTCCTCTGATGACCACAGAACGCAGATAGGTTATAAGCGGGTATTCTGGAGTTTGGTCTGTGCAGAAAGCTAAGGTATCTACCTCTTCCCATTGGATGTATCCCTTTGGTTCTATAATAAGGATGTTAATTAGCATATGTCTCATCAGTGGCTCCGTGTATTTTTTGGAGCTCTTTTCTTTTGTCTGGGGCACGACATACTGAGAAGATCCCTTGCATTCCTCAGCACGATTGCATAATCTTCTTTTTTGATACCAGCTACCAGAAGTCGAATATGTACTAAATCATAGCGACCTTGATGTTCGGCGGGGTATTTATTCAGTGCATCGTGCGCGGTAAGCGGGATCGGTCGTTTGCCTGAGACTATAATCTCGGCTCCGGGGGGAAACTGAGCGGATGAGATGTCGAAGCCATGTAGGTCGAGGGGTTTGGTGGTTGGGAGTATATGGGCGAGTTCTTCGAGACAGATACTGTAGCATACGTTAGCTAATGACTAATCCTCGAACCTGTACTGAGTAGCTTTTGTTGTAGGAGTTGTATTGAGATTTTGTATATCGCTTTCAGAGGAAGGCAACGTACCCAGTTCCAGTACCGATATCTGCTACTGCAGCGATATTACCTGTGGGTATTGCTAGGTGAATCAACCGATCATCTGAGACTGCGAGTAAGAAGCGGTGTTGTTTGTTCAAACTAAGATGTGAGGATTAGTTATCAGGTTATCATGGAGAATACCAGTTCCACCATAGAGAGCAGGCTATCGATGAACAAGAAACTCAAGGAAAGAAGAAGAAAAGTACTTACCGCTCTGTTTCTTCTTTATCTCGCCCAAGAAAGTAGATGTCCTTAGCTGGGCTTTCCATTTTGATTGCTTTGAATGATGATGATGATGGAGAGGGGATATAAAGAGAGAACTATATCTCGATTAGGATGAGAGTAAGTCTTGAAGATAAGAGACCCACGACGCGAAACATTCAAAGAGGACCCAGTTATATCAATCGGCCCTACTCACCGTGAGCTCACTTCACACCGGTCCCTATTAGAATGTTGTGATTAACTCAATGTTATCTCTTGATATCCTACCATCAATGCCTACCTACTAGCCTGACCCCGACGTGCACGTGGGGACTGGATTGAATTCACGTCATGCATCCAATGTCGTCATGAGTTATGTAAGATCTATCTACTGGTGCACAGGCAGGGAAGAACTATGCATACCATCGTTTGGATGTAACCCAAAGTTAAATTGAGTTCATCGTTCAGGAACTGTGGAACCACCTTGAAGATACAGATACATCGCGGTACTGATAGACCAATGGTAAGTGAAGAGGACCTGAAAACCAAATTCGATAGATGATTCACATGATTAAGATTTGCTGTAAAAATATATGCTACATGATGTGGTTTGGAAAACATTAAACATGACTTTGTTGAAATTCAGGTGCAATATAGGGATTCAAGCCCAAAAGAGCTGACTGGTTGAAATGCGTCATGACAGGCACTCGCATTCCTTAACCATTCAACCAGTACCATATCTTGCCGTACCATGTTGTAGGCACATGAACCTCCCAGTGCTCATTTTCAATCTCGGTACGTCCAGTATCAAGATCAGCTTGACCAGGAGACACGAATGGATCACGGTAAACAACCTTATGACCGATCCACAAGATGGCGAAGAGAATAAGACTGACGTATGCCACGAAAAAGTTTTCCACGCTGAAGGAAGGAATCCACGCCGTGAATCCCTGTGTGAAAAGAATAAGAATGTTCATGAATAATCCGTAATGTGCCAAGAACGGCTGGAAAGGGGCTTTATATGGAAGACTGTCCCGAGGGAAGTTTCGCGCCTTCAGGGCACGCATGAAGGCAATGTGGCAAGCATTCAGCGAGGCCCACAAAATGAATCCAGCGACAGTAGAGATATTCAAAAGCCAATTGAATACATCAGTTCCGGAGCTTGAGATGTTCATGAACCCAAGCAATCCGAAGGCTGCTGTAAGCGCCACACCGTAGTAAGGTACGCCGCCCTTAGTAGTCTTTGCGAAGAAGGAAGGTGCATATCCGTCGTTCGCTAAGCCGATAAGCATACGACTACCAGAATAGACATTGGAGTTGGCAGCTGATAAAACCACAGTCAATAGGACGGCATTGATGATGCTAGGTAACGTCTTGACACCGGCCAGCTTGGCGGCGATAACGAACGGCGAGGCAGAGGCATCCGACGAGCCATTAAGAAGCTCCTTGTTATCAGATGGCACGAGGAGACCAATGAAGAACACCGTGAAGACGTAGAAGAGGAGAATTCGGACGAAGGTCGCTCTGATTGCCTTCGGGACTGTTACCCGCGGGTTTTCACTTTCGCCAGCTGCGAGGCCAACTAATTCAGTGCCCTGGCAAGAGAATCCCGCCTGAATGAGAACTGCCCAGAAGCCAACAAATCTGGCGGTCGGCCCCGGAGTAACGAGATAGTCGACAAAGGGACCTGGATGGACCCAATTGTGGAAGCCAAGGTATCCCTGTATTCCAGCACCGGCATCAATGCAAATGCCGAAAATGATGAAACCTATAACAGTAACGACCTATAGAAGAGAAATGTTAGCAAAACAGTTTCCAATAAAATTTGGGTTGGAGACTTACTTTAATGGTAGATAGCCAAAATTCAAGCTCTCCATAGAAATTGACTGGCAGTAGATTGAAAATAAAGATCACTACCCAGAATATAGCAATAAATATAGCGATATTAATCGAACTATCCCAGTATTGAACGATCAGTCCCGTGGCAGTCAGTTCGAGGCCGAAAGTAATAGCCCACGAGAACCAGTAGATCCAGCCCATCGCAAAGCCAAGACTGGGATCAATCAATCTGGTCGCGTATGACGTGAAGGCTCCTGGAATAGGGAGGAAGGTAGCGATTTCGCCTAGGGAGGTCATGACCGAAAAGACAATAGTGCCAATGAATATGTAGGCAATCAGGGCTCCAACTGGGCCGGCATTCGCGAGGGCTTCGCCGCTTGAAATAAAAAGACCTGTACCGATTGTACCACCTTCACAGGGGTCAGCGACTGAACAAGCATACAATTTAATTTAATGATGGATTGCCATAGTACGCACCGATCGCAATCATCTGTAGATGCCTGCTCTTCAACTTTCGCTTTAATGTGGGTAGCTGTTGTCCGCTTGAAGCAATCCCATCTTCCTGGGCATAAACGTGGTCTGTGACTTCATGTTTCGGCGCGATGGGATCTTCGTAGGATGGCTCCTTGATGGAGGTTGCTTTGGGGGAGGACGCCATTATCTCTGAGTCAAAGGTGAAGCCGACCCGAGGCTGGGTTTTCACGTAGATTCCAGGAAAGACTTTCCGGGGGTTGAAAAATGTAGAAGCGCGCTGTTGTCTAGTTGTAGTTTCGCGAAAGACGAGAGAGAAAAAATCTAATCGAAGTCGATAGGGCTATATTGGTGCTGGGGTGTTGGTCGCTTGGATTTTCGATTGCAAGATTTTAGGGGGAATTCATTTCACAGGTCGCAATCTAAGGATGTCACGATGGTTGTAAATTGTGATCAACGGGTGGTGATGGCTCATTAATAGCTAGAAGTTTGTTTCCTCCGATTCTCTACCTATCCTCCTCGTTGCCCTTTTGTAAATTGAAAACTCAGCGATAAGCAGCAGGGGCAAAAAGAATTGAGTAAAAGCGTTTGTCCAGATAGCGCGAGGCAAACCTCGGCGTTTTAACCGTCAATACGCGAAGGAAGGTTTCAGTGCTCGGAGGGAGTTAACCTCTCCTGCGTTAGTTCCAAGATTAACCTTGCCCTCTCCGTCCAACCGCCGTCTACCCCGCAGACACTGCACGTGTTTTCCTACCCATTTGAACTTCGTGGATAATTGATGTGGATAGTCAACTAAAAAATGATCATTACCTTGATGGTAACGTTTCATTTTCAAGGATGAAAATCACCCCATCATGTTCCCACATTGGCTCCATCACCGAGAAAGATAACGCACCGGAGAAGCCCGCGTGGAGCATCTCCGCTAAGGCCCACCAGGTTCCACATCGGGCGTATTAACCCCAACGGCTTTGGTGTTGATTGGAATCCAAAGCAAGGCTGGGCCATTTTCCTCGGAAAATCCTCGCATGAATGCAAGAGATCATCAAAGATCGAATAGATGTTGATCTAGTAAGAATCCGATCTTGTATCCAAACCACTTCATATTTCAGTCAGAGTCGAATGGGAGAAAATCCCTGGTTATTTGGACAGAGATTTGAACGGTTAGCTCAGCCGAGGAAGTTGCCACCGTGATATCCAAGAAAATTCTGGACGATGCGATTATCCAATATCCTAATACGAGATATGGCGCCCGTAAATTGACGAGCTGATTTCAGAAAGTGGAGCTGCAACGAGTGAGAAAAAGGTACAAGATAAGGCTCATTCTTTATCATTCGCATTAAACTCGCCCCACCTGTTGCTCTCTGTATATTTGTAAACAAGCTTGATTGACTGTCGGCCAGGTCTTACTGGACGCAATGTGTCCAGCTGCAGTATAGGGCTAAAATGCGATGTGATAGAAAATGGAGGTAATTGAATATCGGGCCTCATATTTAGCACATCGTAGGCGGCTGGGTGAATCATGGATCCCACCGCTTCATATCAAACTGAAAACGTGCCGAGTTCGCGCATGCTGATATCGCCAGCAAGCTGAATGAGAGCTGGATAGGAACATTGACACTTTAAAGCACCTGAATAGGGGCCATTCATCTCGGGTTAATATGGGGAGCTGAATTTTATCACACGGGCTGTGGACCAAGTCATGGTGGTAAGTCAATGGGAGTGTGGGTGATCAAGTTGTACAAAGTGGGAACTTGAAGGCGCCATGGGAAAAGGCGGCCGAGGTGTCAAGTTTTTAAATAAACAGAACGCGGGGAAGCCGCGACTATATAGGTACGGAGGATCAGAGTTACTGCAATCCCATATCAGGTGTGAAAGATGCTTGATAAGGTTGGCAATTGTGGCCGAAGATATCTGCATCTATCAGCACGAATCTACCTATGGGAAGGGTTATTTAGCGCCACCGGAAATATTTGCGGCCGTAACTGATACCTAGGCTAGCGGTTGGGACGAGCTTCCAACGAGAGTAAATCCTTATCAAAAAATAGTGGTGGATACAGCTGGCATAATGCCATTGCACAATATGTGGCTATTATTCCGCCAGATTAAGGGGCAGGTATGTAGTATTTGTTACTTGAATCAGTGGAGAAGACAATGGTCCTGCAGGAACGTGTTACGAACATCAAGTATTGATATGAAATGTATTTATGCTATGAGGACATCCATTCGATAATACTGACCGAGAATATCTTGATGGATGTTGATAACGGGGACCACTTGGGACTAGACATCTGGCTTCCGCCGACTTATGAAGTTAAGCAAAACTGACCAATTAAAGACCTTGAAATTACGATCACGAATCCCCCTACGAATAACTTCGGGATAATTCCGATAGCCTCATGATACCATATTCCATTATAGATGGATGTCATGATCTAGCTGGAGAATTACTTGAAAATGATGGTAATTGGGAACTCATACAAGGCCAATAGCATGCAAATGCCTTTCGCATAATAAGATTAACTATCGGAATACACTCACCTGGAATAAAATAGACAAAACGGAATATCGGCCGGACAGAGAGAGGCCGAAGACCCGCCCCCTCCGTAACATGGGGTTCACCCCCACTTTTCTTCTTCTTTGCCGGTCAACAAGGGGCTGATGCTTGGGTATTTAAGTTGAAGCTGAGAACATCTCTGCCTGTGAAGCCCAGTCTTTCCCTTGCCCGCAATCGCACCACCCGCGCAAAATGGGGAAAGTATTCGATGCTACGGAAGGTACACAAGTTCAAATTCGTGAATGAGATCAAAAACAGCTGGCTGACTCAGTTTCAGTGGCCCAGCACAACAATAACAAAAGTTGTTGGATTGTACTCTATGGCAAGGTCTACGATGTAAGTAGAGTGTCCAGAGGTCACCGAAAATGCGAACATCGTTCACCAAAAAAACTTACTATAAAATATCGTGATTAGGTGACCGACTTTGTTTCTAGTCACCCTGGAGGTGCAAATGTCATCCTCAGGCTAGCAGGCAAGGATGCGACAGAAGAATTTGATCCAGTGCACCCACCTGGCACTTTGGAAGAGAGCCTCAAGTCCGAAGCACTTCTTGGTGATATTGATCCTGCAACTCTACCAAAAGCAGCACCTGAATCATATTCACCGACTCCTGGTGATCTTCCTCCAGTCGAAGCGCTTCTCAACATGGACGAAATTGAACAACTTGCAACAGCGAAGATCAGCAAGAAGGCTTGGGCGTACTATTACTCTGCCGCCGATGACAAAATTTCCAAACGCTGGAACACCGAGGCATTCCGTTCCATTCTTTTGCGTCCTAGAGTCTTTATCGACTGTAAAGAATGCAGTCTCGAGACAAAGCTACTGGAAAACCAGGTCAAGTTGCCTATTTACGTTTCCCCAGCAGCACAGGCCCGTCTAGGACACCCAACAGGCGAGGCAGGAATTGCTGAAGCATGTCGCAGCTATGGTGCTTTACAAATAATCTCGAACAGTGCTTCAATGACACCAGAACAAATTGTCGAGAATGCATCCCCCGAGCAGGTCTTTGGTTGGCAAATATATGTCAAGCAAGATCGAACCATGAGCGAAAATATGATCGCGCGTGTCAATAAATTGAGTGCGATTAAATTCATTGTTCTGACACTGGATACCCCCGTGATGGGCAAAAGAGAAGATGACCAGCGTGGGGGTAATGTGATCCAGGGACTCACAGATGAGAATTACGGGGCAACTACTCCACAATCCGATGAACAGGGATTCTTTGGACTTGATCCTACACTTACTTGGAAAGAGACGCTTGCCTGGCTAGCAAAACATACTAGTCTGCCCGTGATTCTAAAGGGAATCCAGACTCATGAAGATGCATACATCGCTTCATTGTACACGCCTCAAGTGAAGGCAGTCATTTTGTCAAATCATGGTGGAAGGTCTCTTGATACATCCCCACCGGTCGTGCATACACTACTTGAGATCAGAAAATATTGCCCCGAAGTCTTTGATAAGATTGAGGTGTGGGTCGATGGTGGAATCAGACGAGGAACAGACGTCGTCAAGGCTATCTGTTTGGGTGCAAAGGGTGTTGGTATCGGAAGACCGCCTTTGTTCGGGCTATCTGCAGGTGGTGTGCCTGGTGTTAAGAGGGTTTTACAAAGTGAGTGAAAGATATAATAAATTTGCCGATGTGAATCACTAACTAGCTTCATTAGTCTTGGCTGATGAGACCAAAACTTGTATGCGACTCCTTGGTGTCCAAAACGTCGATCAACTTGGAATGCAGCATGTAAGTTTTGCTTTAACCACGGCTTATGTAGTCCATGGGGTCATGCTAACCTATTTTTTCAGATCAATACCCGAGCACTGGAACAACAAATATTCCATGGGCCTTCTGGCCTGGAAGCTTGCAGGGCGGCCCACTTGTCGAAACTTTAGAGATGATTATCTAGGAAGCAGTCGATACGATTTCTCAGGGAACTTCACGCTCCGTTCAACAGCATGATCGTTGCAATTCAATCAATCTTGCAATATATATTACATTTGCAGATAATGCAAATTCAAACATACAACAACATGAGCCCTATACAGCTTCAGCTCCTTCTCTGAGTAGAAAATTGTAATTGACCTTCTGTAGCGACAAGACAAACACTCCCGACGTGAAGGTACAAAGACTTCTCTTAACCTCGAATATACATTTCCCCTGCGCTCTGGGTAATGACTTGGACCTACCTATCCTCGGTTTTTGTTTTCATTTTTCATTTTTCATTTTTTGACTATTAGACTAATAGACGATGTCAATTGAGTAGTAGTCAAGCGAGAACCCTCAAGCCTTGATGGCGGCAGCGGAAAGTTAAGTGGGCAATTGAAAAATCTTGTCTACGTACCTGCAGAAATAAGAGTCGCCGGTCAATAATAATACGTCATTAGTCGTTAGGCTTGTATAAGGCAAGGACCAAGGACAAATCTCTCCCTGCGGCGTTGTCGGGTATTTCTGGAGCGCCCTCGCGGGAAAAACAAATAAACCCAACTCCTTGCATATCCAATTCAGAAATGATCGACAAGTTTAAAGATGTTTGCTATCAAAATTCAAGATTGCTCTTTATTTGCTTGTGGAAATATGTTAACATGCATAGCAAGTGTGCGTACATTCGCCAGATTTTCGTTTGGGCATTGTGACTTTGATGCCATATGGCCCCGGTAAGGGGGTTATACTTCATCCCATGCGATATTTTCAACTTTCTGGTTATCCCGACGCTTGGATGTAACCCTTCCTGGGTGTGAATAGATAGATCTCACTCCGACCGATATGATATATCTCATCTGAAAATTTGATGAAGCCCAAGTACCGATTTCAGGGCAACGACATAAAAATATAAAACCCCGAAGATCAACCCCGAAGAATTCAAACTCAAACAATCCCAAATCGCGATCTTCGACCTTGTTATCCATCCATTAGACGTTCAACTCCCTGCACAATGCCTTCACTACAGAGTATTATTATCCCGGCAGTCATGTCCTTTGCCGTGGCTGCGAATGCCAACTTCAATCTTGTAAGGGCTACCTGCACATCTTCTCAATGGTTCGAGCAACTAACACAATATAAGGGTGGAAATCTCTTAGGCAAGCGTCTGATTACAAATTGTCCTAACTACTGGACCCCAGTCAACTATAATGGCCAGGGCCGATGCTGCCACGGATCCCTCAGCGTTGAGGAAGATAACGAGCCTTACTGTTGTGTAATGAACTATCACGACTACAACTGGAAGGACAGACCACAATTCTCCGACTGTTTCCCCTTCTGCAGCGGCACTGATGATGGAGGTCCCTCTGTTACCTGGAGTAACGAGCCCAGCTGTATCACCCGTGTTCCCTTCAGCGCGAGCGATTACTCGAACATCGTTTCCTCAGCCGCGTCATCTGGAGACAGTTCTACCAGCACCACCAATGGACCTGCTACCAATGAAGCTAGCCCGACCTCTACTGCCTCGAGCAACTCGGACGACTCAGACAACTCAGACGACTCGGATGACTCGGACGATTCGAACATGGACCCTACCTCATCGGACCGGTTGGGTGATTCGACCAGAAACGCGGCCCCTGTGGCCACTGCTGGAAGTGTTCTGGGTGGAGCTGCTATGGCTGCTGTCTTGTTCGCTCTGTAAGCTTTGAATTTGGTGTCCATTGAATGTCTGTGATGGAGATCAGCGTTGTATGTACCAGACTGGATGATGATGTTGGTAGTGATATTTCTTATGTTTGATGAAGGTTGATGTAATGTTCCCTGTTATGCGAAAATTGATATGTAATAGGACAATTAACTTAATGCAAATATTCCTTCTTGATGAACATCTCTGTGCATCTAGTTGACTCCAATCTAGTCTAACTTTTCTGACGTCTGATTGATTATCATTGACTATATGTGGGAAGTTCAAATGCGACACGGTCATGTAGGGCAAAAAAGAAAAAAGAATATATTTTCGAGGTGAAGAGCATAGATTTCTCTCACCTTTTGGCAATAATCTTCATAGTATGGATTTCCAGATGTGAAATTCGCTAACACTTTATATTGTCATTGCGTTGCTGATGAGGTAATCCCTGCGATGATGTCAACCATTGAAGCTGGAGAAACAACCCGCTCCCAGCTGGAAGCATTGTTGAGCTTCTCAGATAATCCAAACACCTTATTCCACAATGGCTTCCACGACCGCCTCGCAGACAATCTTCCGTGCTTTCAGAGCTGCTCCTCGGACTGGTCTGCTTCCTCGACCTCAGCCGGTATTTCGTCGTTTCTTTGCAGCAAGTGCTTCGGAACAGCCGCGCTTGCGCCTTGGATCTACCGGTAAGCAACTTGATACGAACGATAGACGACATAATTCGCTAACACTTTATATCAGCCCCCAACTTCAAGGCATTGACTACTAAGGGCGAAATTGATTTCCATGACTTCATTGGCAAGAGCTGGACCATCCTGTTCTCTCACCCTGCCGACTTCACCCCCGTCTGCACAACCGAACTAGGTGCATTCTCAAAGCTGAAGAATGAATTCGACAAGCGTGGTGTGAAAATGATTGGTCTGGTGAGCTTTCCAGAAGAAAGCGATATACATGCATCTTCATGAAGCTAACATATTGCATCTGGTAGAGCGCTAATGATATTAGCTCTCACGGCGAGTGGGTCAAGGATATCAACGAGGTTGCCTCGACTGATGTGCAATTCCCAATCATTGCTGATGCCGATCGCAAAGTGGCTTTTCTCTATGACATGATTGACCAGCAAGATCTGGACAACATTAATCAGAAGGGTATCGCATACACCATCCGCTCTGTGTTCATCATCGATCCCACCAAGAAGATTCGACTGACCATGATGTATCCTGCTTCGACCGGTCGCAACTCCGCCGAGGTTCTACGTGTGATTGACTCTCTCCAAACGGCGGACAAGAAAGGGGTCACCACTCCCATCGACTGGCAAGTGGGCGATGACGTGATTGTTCCACCCTCTGTGTCGACCCCTGACGCGAAGAAGAAGTTTGGAGAAGTTCGGGAGGTGAAGCCTTATCTGCGCTATACCAAGATCTAAAAAAAGAACAGAGAGAATACCGGAATCCAATAGTTCATGTGAATCAGACGAATTCAATACGCGTTGAATAATCTCTGTACGGAGTACAAAGTATGGAAATGGGGCTTTGGTTAAGACACACGAACCGGTTCTCGGCTCTTTAGCTAGATAGAGTGATTTCCGACCGGATAAATTTCGGATTGGGCACTGGTTCATTGCAAATCTACCGAATGAATCAACTTGTTCCCACTCGATCCCACTTTAATTCTACCGTCGCAAGCCCCTGGCGTATCTATTTTCGGCAATGATAATCCGGGGACATGGACTAGTTCCCTGATAGTCTCTGCAAGGTACCTTCTTCCACTGCCAATCACCCAATTACGCGAACCCAAGCCTTTAAGCAGGATTTCCCGCCTATCGCGAAACTCAGTCTCCATGGACTATCACCTCGGTTATGCACGCGAGGTCACCTCCGAATCTTACGGGGACGATCCATTCCTCCGTGTCAGGATCGTCATCACACTGGAATTCACTATGTAAAATAGGCACGTGGATCTGTCAGACCTGCTCCCCCTCTCTTATTGCGGGGGACGGTTGCATGCCTATTAAACAGTTGATGCCTGTACGAGTCTCCTCTCTTTGCATAGTTGTACAAGTCGCGGGTCCTCGCGTCTGACCTGTTGTGATCCGATCGCAAACACAACCACTGCACGCCATGACTCGCTGGTCTCATTGGGCCCTCGTGCCTCTGTTACCTCGTCTGTTGGTGGCATCTCCTGTCTCAGAGCAAGAAGGTGATACCGCGAAACTGAACCCACGCGCCGACAATGATTACACATCGCTCCCGTTCTATCCAACCCCGCATGGCGGTTGGGTATCTGACTGGTCGGATGCTTACGCGAAAGCATATGAAGTTGTCAGTAATATGACACTCGCAGAGAAGGTCAACCTGACTACCGGAACGGGATACTTCATGGGACCTTGTGTTGGTCAAACAGGAAGCGCGCCACGATACGGAATCCCGAATATTTGTTTACAGGATTCTCCCTTGGGCATTCGGGAAACGGACCACAACACCGCATTTCCGGCTGGAATCACTATCGGCGCGACTTTCAACAAGGATTTAATGTACGAGCGTGGTGTCGCGATTGGCGAAGAAGCCCGGGGTAAAGGTGTCAATGTTCAACTGGGTCCTGTTGTCGGACCACTCGGCCGCAAGCCGCGTGGGGGACGAATCTGGGAGGGCTTCGGTGCCGATCCAACTCTCCAGGCCATCGGGGGTGCTCAGACGATCAAGGGTATGCAAAGTACCGGTGCCATTGCAGCATTGAAGCACTTTATCGGAAACGAGCAAGAAATGTATCGGATGAGCAGTATCATCACCAAAGGTTATTCTTCCAATATCGACGATCGCACTTTGCACGAGCTTTACCTTTGGCCATTTGCGGAGGGAGTCCGTGCTGGTGTCGGTTCAGTGATGGCTGCTTATAACGATGTAAGTTCTGTGAAGCTGTGAGGTGTATGCTTGAAATGAGCTGACATGGAGTTTAGGTGAATAGTTCTGCCTGCAGTCAGAATAGCAAGCTTATCAATAACATTCTCAAGAATGAGCTTGGCTTTCAAGGATTCATCATGACAGATTGGTTTGGCCATTACACTGGCGTGGGATCTGCCCTTGCGGGTCTTGATATGGCTATGCCTGGAGAAGGTGCCGTGCCATTACTTGGAGATAGCTACTGGGGCTCGGAACTATCTAGGTCTATTCTAAATGGCAGTGTTCCGATGGATCGGCTCAATGATATGGTACGACCTCCCTGCTTGCCCTTAAACTTTACCAATACTGACCAAGTGTATAGGTTACAAGAATCGTGGCTACCTGGTACAAGTTTGGCCAAGACAAAGACTACCCCCTACCGAACTTCTCATCCAACACTAAAGATGCAACTGGTGAGATTTACCCTGGCGCTCTTTTCTCGCCCACTGGTGTCGTGAATCAATTTGTGAACGTCGAGGGCGACCACAATATCACCGCGAGGGCTGTTGCTCGAGAGGCAATCACTCTTCTTAAAAACAATGACAACATTCTTCCCATCGGTCGCAGCGACTCGATAAAAATATTTGGCACAGATGCCGGACCAAATTCCGGCGGGTTGAACTCATGCTCAGACCAAGGCTGCGACAATGGTGTTCTAACCATGGGATGGGGTAGCGGATCTGCAAACTTGCCGTATCTCATCACACCCCAAGAAGCCATTGGAAACATATCCACAAACGCGACATTCTACATCACCGATTCATTCCCATCAGACGTGACCGCCAGTTCCGAGGAAACAGCTATTGTATTCATCAATGCCGACTCTGGCGAGAACTACATCACGGTAGATGGTAATCCCGGTGACCGACTTGAGGCTGGCCTAAATGCCTGGCACAACGGGGATGACTTGGTCAAGGATGCGGCAAATAAGTTTTCCAATGTTGTCGTAGTAATTCACACCGTTGGGCCCATTTTAATGGAGGAGTGGATCGAGTTGGACTCCGTGAAGGCTGTCCTTGTAGCTCATCTTCCAGGCCAGGAAGCAGGCTATTCACTTACAGACGTTCTTTTCGGCGACTATAGCCCAAGCGGCCACATGCCATACAGCATTCCAAAGAGCGAATCCGACTATCCAGACAGCGTAAGCATCATTAATCAGCCCTTCGGCCAAATCCAAGATACCTATACGGAAGGCCTCTATGTCGATTACCGCCACTTCCTCCAGGCGAACATCACTCCCCGATACCCATTCGGCCATGGGCTTTCATATACCACATTCAATTTCTCAAACCCAACACTGTCAGTCGGAACTGCGTTAGACAGCACCTACCCCCCTGCAAGACCATCCCAGGGAGCTACGCCGAGATACAATGATTCGATCCCCAATGCATCCGAGGTTGCCTGGTCTTCTACAAGCTTCACTCGCATTTGGCGTTATCTCTACCCATACCTCGATGACCCTCAATCCATCACTGCCTCCAACACTTATCCCTACCCAGTTGGCTATAACACTACTCAGGCGCCCGGGGTACGTGCTGGTGGTGGTCAAGGTGGAAACCCTGCACTTTTCGACACTGCATTCTCAGTCCAGATCGATGTGACAAACACAGGAAGTCGGTCAGGAAAAGCTGTCGTACAGCTTTACGTTGAACTTCCATCCAGCTTGGGACTTGATACTCCATCCCTGCAGTTGCGTCAATTCGAGAAGACCAAGGAGTTGGCGGCTGGGGACAGCGAGACACTGACACTTGACATCACCCGTAAGGATTTGAGTGTTTGGGATGTAGTCGTGCAAGACTGGAAAGCTCCTACAAATGGTAATGGAGTGAAACTTTGGCTCGGAAATAGCGTTGCCGATCTGCCTATTCTCTGTTCAGTGGGTGAAGGGTGCTCAAGTCAATGAGCTAGTGATTATGCTTGTCTTCTCGGTCTTTTCAATCTGCATAATATTACTATCTGTTCATAATTCATCTTTGCCGTTATTTATTCTTAATTCTTTGAAGTGACGAGGTTAACTAAGTCAATCAGGCCACTTTTCCACGCTATGTACATAATCTCATAAATTAAAGCTCTCCATGTTTTAATTCCTCGAACATGCCAAAATAATTTTCTGTTGAAGAAAGTACCTACCTCCCTATACACCCTCTAGAGTGTGCACACTGTCCAGAACCGGCTGTTTCTCCGACTTCAATCCAGTAACAGTCTCAACATGCTCCTTATTCAAAGCAGTCTTCAAAATAAAAGCCGAACAAACAAGACCCAAAACAGACATACACGTATACAGAATCCACATATTCCTCATACTCCACGCAAAGGCCTCTTTCACCGCAAGCACCTGTCCGGCATTATCAATATCCTTTATATACTCAATATTAGCCGCAGCAGAGGCGCCAGTCATCTTCTCCGCCCAACTCTCAGACATTCCCGTTGCTAAAAGTTGGGGCTTTGTCTTGGCTATGCTATTTTGGAACACAACGCCACCAATAACGATGGAAGTAGCTGTAGCCATGTTACGGATGAAACCGAGTGTTGCGGTAGCTGTTGCTGTGTCATCTTGCGAGACCATTGCTTGAATTGCGATGATGGGTGTTTGAAAGAGGAATCCGGCTCCAAAGCCGCTGAGGATTTGGTAGCCGATTATTTCTCCGATGGAGGAGTAAGCGTTTAGGTTGATGAATAGTCCGTTTCCGATTGTCATTAGGACTAGGCCGAACCAGATCAGTTCGAGATATCTTCCTGTGCGGTGGATGATCATGCCGGTTAAGATTCCTCCGAAGGCTTCGGCGAGGATGAGAGGGAGGATGAGGACTCCAGATCGCATTGCCGATGCTCCTTTTGCGGATTGTAGATAGAGCGGCATGTAGTATTCTCCTGCGATGAAGACCTAGTGACAAATTCAACTTAGTACAGGATTGTGTATGGGTACCTCAATTTTGGTGTTATACTCACGAATCCATGTGCAAAACCCACTGCAAGAGTAGCAACATTCGAAAGGCGCGAAAAAATATCAAGTGGCATAAGCGGGTACTTTGCCAGTCGCTTTTCGCTGTAGAAGAAGAGCAAAGAGCAAAGAGACCCAAAAACAATCAAACAGATCACTTGTGGCGAGCTCCATGCAAATGTCTCGCCGCCAAAGTCGAGGCCCAGGAGAAGCATGAGCGTCAGACCTAGAACCGATATACTTCCGAACCAATCAATTGCTTTAATGCCCTCGACCATCTTCGTCTTTGGATTGTGCAAATCCAAATAGAAGAATAGGAGGATGAATGCAACTCCCGACACGGGAAGATTGATCCAGAAATTCCATCTCCAACTAACATATTCTGAAAATGCACCTCCTAGAAGAGGCCCAATACCTCCAGCCAGCGCCCACATAACCTCCATTCCTCCAAGATAGAGACTTCGGTGTCTATTCAAATGTTAGAATCGCCGATTCATTGATTAAGGGAACGACACTACCAACCGGACACTAAATAGATCAGATATGATAATTGTGACGAGCTGTAGTAATCCTCCACCCGCAACACCCTGCAAGGCACGACCGGCGATTAACATCTCCATATTAACAGCGACAGCACAAATAATCGAGCTGATAAAAAACCAAGCGACGGCAATTAACAGAATTAGTTTGCGACCCCATATATCTGAGAGTTTAGCCCAGATACAAGCCCCAGCAGCGTTTGCGAGAAGATAAGCGCCGCCAATCCAGGTATATCCAGCCGCAGAATGTAATTTGGCCGCGATGGTAGGAATAGCAGTTGCCATGATAGATTGGTCAAGCGCAGCGACAAACATAGACAACTTCATTCGAGTTTAGTATTCATATTCATTGAACTAAATCAAAGAGAGAAAAAATCGTTAAACATACCGAAAGAGCAGTCATGATCGCTACAATGCGAACCTTTCCCCGTTGTTGAGAGGCATCCTCGACGATTTCCATGTTGGAAGCCATATTGCCCTCTAAAAACGTCTATTAGTAGTTTAGAGTCTAGTAGACGGTGACACAAATATGAAATTCTGGGGTTGACCGGAACTTTTTTTTTCTGACAGTCTTTGTCTGAACCCCGCTCTCCATCGCCCTATCAGTTTGGACGGTTGGACCCGCCCGATTCCCGGGGGCTCTAATCGGTATGAGGATGCGGTACTTTGACGATATGAGTCACTTGTGCTTACGGGTTACACTGGAAGTATTGATTGGTGTAGTATTTCGTATTCTGTATGCAGGATTGAGATCTGGTGCGATTTTTCCTCTCAGCGTAAGTGGTCTCTGAACAATTGGTAGCATTGTTGCCCTCCCTGGCTTATTAGTTCCATCTCTCCATAAGCGTGGTTGCTGATAAGAGACAAAGTATTCACATTTTGTGATGCACAATGGTGTCAAATACTTCGTAGAATTAAAGATTTACATACTGTAATATCCATAATTCCTCTGAGTTATTTTTAATCTAAAGCGTTTATGAAATACCTGGAAATCAGCTACTTCCATAATCCTGTCTCAACCTGTCAACTACTAGCACAAACTTCGCTCTATCCCCACGGAAATAAAATAGTTTAATCAACCTTAACCAATCTCAATCTCAGTCCACAAGTTCTAGAATCTATAAATTCCCTGTATCAAGATTCTGCAAGGGATAAACCCCCGAACGCATACGGATGAAATATCCGGCATCTCACCCAAACATACCTCTTGTATACCTCAAAGTTGACGTCATGATTTAAGCTCCAGAAAATAGCCTTGAATAACCTTGAAAAAGTCGATCTCGATCTCGATCTAGATTATGATCAATCAATTAGATCCCGATCGATCATGACCATCTAATATTTAAACCATCTACTACCCCCACCTCCCAATTGAACTTAATAAATCCCACCAAACCACAGAAACACCTTGAACAATGCCCAAACCACCACCATCAAACCCAATAGTCCTCTACTGGCACCGAACCGACCTCCGACTCCACGACTCTCCAGCCCTCAAAGCAGCCTTATCCCTAAACCCCCAGATATTCATCCCCCTCTGGACCTGGGACCCCCACTACGTCTACCGATCCCGCGTGGGCCCAAACCGCTGGCGCTTCCTCCTAGAAAGCCAAGAAGAGCTCTCAAAATCATACAAGAACCTAAATCCCAACCAACAACTTTGGGTAGTTCGCGAAGCACCAATTACCATTTTACCTAAACTTTTTCAAGCGTGGGGAATCACTCATTTGGTTTTTGAGAAGGATACGGATTCTTATGCTCGACTCAGAGATGAAGAGGTGCTTCGGTTAGCGGAGAAAGCAGGTGTGGATGTTATTGTTCGCATGGGGAGAAATCTGTTTGATCCTGATGAACTTGTGAGTAAGAATGGGGGGAAGGCGACTATGAGTATGGCGCAGGTTGAGAAGGCGAGCGGGAAGATTGGGAATGGGTGTCCGGAGAAGGTAGTTGATACTCCGGGGAAGGGTGAGATTCCCGATGCGTTGGAGGTGGAGAAGATGAAGCTTGACTTCAAGTTTAAGGAAGGTGGAGTTGATGCGGAGCCCGATTTGAATAAGGGGTTTCGTACGGGGAAAGATAAACAGTATGTTTCTGTTATGGGGCCTAAGCATGATTTCGGTGTTCCGACACTTGAAGAGATCGGAATTAATATCGAGGATGCAACGACACCACATCGGGGCGGAGAAAAGGAAGCACTGCGGATCCTTGAATCCTGTATCAAAGATGAAGAGTATATCGGACGATTTGAGAAACCGAATACCTCCCCAGCAGACTTTGAGCCCCAATCAACAACTATACTATCACCACATCTTCATTTCGGGACATTATCAGTCCGAAAGTTCTGGTGGGATGTGCAAGATATCCTTGAGAAGAGGCGAAAGGAGAAGAAAAGCGTATCTACCATCCCGACTAATTTACCGGGTCAGTTGCTATTTCGCGATATGTACTTTGGTGCACAGGCAGCTGTTGGTGATACATTTGCGACTACGTACAGGAATCCGGTTGTCAGATTGGTTGATTGGCATTTACAGTCTAAGAATTTGGAGAATGGGTCTGAGGCTGAGGATGATACGAGGGGCTATACTGTTGATTCTGAAGAGGCTGAGGAATGGTTTATACGGTGGCGAGAGGGACGGACTGGATTTCCCTGGATAGACGCTTTGATGCGTCAGTTAAGGCGGGAAGGGTGGATACATCATCTCGGGAGACATAGTGTTGCCTGCTTCCTGACGCGTGGAGGATGCTACGTAAGCTGGGAACGGGGCGCAGAGGTCTTTGAAGAGCTACTGATCGACCGTAAGTTTTTTCTGCCTATTTATTCTTTTTTTAACTTTCTCGATCCACCCACAAACAGCTGCCGTTGACGTATAAGGCTGACTCACAGTTTAAAAATAGATGAGACGGCTTGTAATATTGGGAACTGGATGTGGTTGTCTTGTACGGCGTTTTTCGCACAGTATTACCGCTGTTACTCACCTATTGCTTTTGGGAGGAAGTGGGACCCAGAAGGAACCTTTATCCGCAGGTATGTACCCGAGTTGGCGGACTTTGATAAGAAGTATATCTATGAGCCTTGGAAGGCGCCTATTGCGGATCAAAAGAAATGGGGATGTCGGGTTACGGGGGATGGGAGTGGTTCTTCGGAAGAAGGGAAAACGTATCCAAAGCCGATGTTTGATTTTGATAAACGCAGACAAATCTGTTTGGATAGCATGAAAAATGCTTATGATGTTGGGCTGCATGGAGCCGACAAGGAAGTGATGGATGGATCGTGGGTGGAGAAATTCCACGGAGATGAAAAGCCCAAGAAACGCCAGAAGACAGAGAAATGAAAAGGTAAATCAGACAAAGATATAAGATAGAAGAAGAATAATAAAAAAACAAGATTTCCCAAACACCATTCCTCCACGTATCATACCATATATATGTGAACTGTTGAACAGGTGAGCCACCGGTGTAGAGTAAATGACTGAATTCGTGTATCGTAACTCCGCATGCCCTATATGATATAGATTAAATACATTAAATAAGATTTACCAGAAGAAAGAATAAACAAAGATCAGGATCGTCGCGGCTGTCGCGACAGTATACTGGAGCTCGAACCAGGCAGCCTGGCCACCGAAAGCAATTTTCTTGCTCTTGGTGGTCGGGTGGGCTACTCCAGTCTTCGGGTCGCGAGTCAAGAGGTCCTCGCGATCTGGCATCGATGGGGGATTAATGGCATAAGAAACAGGCGTCCAAAGTGATGTACAGATGAAAAGGAAAGTCAGAGGAGGCCAGAATGCATGGGTAATCAAGCAGATGATAACACCCTTGACGCTGTGCTCTATCTTGAAGCAGCGGTAAGAGGAGATCACCACTGCTACCAAAGTGACATAAACGAATGCAAAGTGGAAGAGAGCCATATAGTTGAAAATGATGACGCGCAAGCGAACAAAGATGTTCTTTCGTGTCTTGGGGTCACGCTCGTTCAAAGTAGAGCCGAGGGAACCAGTCGGTTTGAAAGCCTGAGTTTGACCACCGAGCCACTTGGGAAGCATGAAGGCGCGGACAATGCAAAGGGCAATATAAGGAGACATCCATAACTGATAGCGAGAACCTCTCTGGCCAGTGTTGTAACCAGCGGGAATGAACAGCGCAAACTCGCAGAGTCGGTTAGACAGAGTAGCGGCGAAACAAGCCCAAATGAGCCAGTGAAGCTCATCCTGGTTAGCATAGGCCACGAGTTGCTTGCCCCACAAGAGAATGATGGGGATGGCAAACAGAGATGCAGTGAGAAGAAGAGTGTACAAGCTCAGAGTCGCATACAGGAATCCAGAAAATCGTTGAGCAACGGTCATGCGACGAACGGCATCACCCCAGAGACAGAATTTCAGCTTGAAAGCGGTATCCACAGTTCCAATGGCCCATCGAGTACGCTGCTTCAAGTGACCGCCGAAATCCTCGGGGACAGTACCAAATTGGAGAGGTTCGTGAATGTATGCAGTCTTCCAGCCTTTGCCAAGCATGAGAGTTGACGTAGCAACATCCTCAGCCAAGGAGCCAAGAGGGAAGTTGCCGATTTCATGCAAGGCCGTGCGACGAACCACATATCCGGAACCAGTGCACCAAGCAACGCCGAGGGCGTCCTTGATAGGCTCAATGACATGCACGAAAAAGTCGAGACTCTGGGCAAGGGGATCAGACGCAGGGGTATTGTAGAAGAGTTGCGGGGGACAAGCAAGGGCCATTCTGGGATCCACCAGTAAGTGGGGAAGAACGGCGCGAAGCCAATCTTGTTCGGGAATCTGAGTGAGATATTAGCATTTCGTCAAAATAAAAATTAAGAATACGAGGTTTCGCGACAAGGCTGTGGTAGCGGGCCATATGGGCCGGGGGGCCTTAGAGGTAATAGAGGGGGGTCGATGGGTCGCAAGATCAAGACTATTGATCCTGCAAACGTCAAAGGTAACTTCATCACTTACCATATCAGCATCCAGAGCAGCCATGAATTCGCCGGCACCTCCTGGTAGAGTGTGTACCTGGTCCAGACCATAGTTGAGGTTACCAGCCTTAAAGTGGTGGGGCTTCCCGGGGATCTTCTCGCGGGCCATGTAGAAAACATTGGGGTGAGCTGGAGTCAACTCGTTGATTGCTTCCTCAAGCGTGGCAGATCTGGCATCGTCCAGGACAATGACTCGGAATGAGTCGGTCGGGTAATCCTGATTCAGGGCGCCACGAACGGTATCCAGAACGACTTCATCCTCCTCACCGCAGCAGGTGACAAAAACATCCACGGTCGGACAATCATTTCCGGTCAGTCGGAGCTTAGCACGTCCTCGCTTCTTCAATGCCAGCATTGTCCAGCAATTGTGCATGAGAGAAGGAATGGCGACCGTGATTTCAATGGCGACGAAGACCCAGGCACCGGCGTAGCTGACGCCGGAGGCATTCTGAGCCTGAATAATACAGTAGATACGAAGACCGAGATAAAACAGATAGATGGAGGTATTGGCGAAAGTGAGGAACGGGGTCAAGAAGAACACCCAACGCTTCCATCCTTTCCATGTCTCAGCGTCATCACGGTCGCTGAGCCGGGCGATCGACGCGGATCCAGCTTGCACCCATTCCTTGGCGTATCCAGGCGATGCGGAGGAATTGACCAGAGGAGCGACGAGACTTTGAGAGCTTTGTTGAACGGGAGTGTTTTGATACTGTTGATTGCAATGGGCGCACGTTAGTTATCGAGGATACAATATGCGACCGACCCTGGACCCCACAAAGGGAATTGGAATTAAGATTGCACATACCAAAGTTGGGGAAGCCGAGCGAGACTCCCATGGGGAGTTCGTCGGCCATCCCTCAGGCACATCTGAGTTCCTCGGAGTAGCTTGAAGCCATGGAGAACTATACTCTGGAGGACTGTAACGGGGGCTTTGGGTTTGGGTCAAGCCCGGTCTGTACGGCACGACGGGCCTGGGAGCAGGAACATCGTTGAAATGAAAGTCGAAGTTGCTTGGACTAACAGGAGGGTTATGCACACCCTGGTAGCCATGGTTAGCTTCCAGAGTGGCTAATTCCTCTGCTTCTTCCTGGCCATAATAACGAGGGTCGTTATACCCATTCATGGTGATTGGGGGGGAAGCCGATCGGAAGGCGCCGAGACCTATAAAGAATGCGCTAAGAAGATCGGAGGGGAAGATTCGATGAGATATGCCAGAATGTCGGGGCAGTAGTGAGACAAAGCCAGTTTTAAAAAACGAGTGTGGTCAGCCCCTCTTTAGAATTGGGAGGTAGGAGAAAAAGCAATGGGCAATAAGAGAATTGAGGAGGATGAAAGAGGAGAGGATGGGGAGAAAAGAGAGAGAGACAGAGAGATGGCCGGGAAGGTGAAGCGGTGGTTCGCGCAGATCTAGGATTTAATGGTAATTAATTTTACTACTATACATCAATGTACATATAATTCATCAAGACCAAAAGCGTTAGATTGGTATTAAAAAGATTTAATTCGAGGATCAGATGTGACTCTAGACCAGTATCACCCCCTAATGTCCGCTTTCATCCGCTTTCGTCATGATTGTCGATTGAATCGATCGAAAATCCTGGATGAATGGGTCGACAGGGTTTGACCAGAGACATTAACAGAATTTTCATTACTTAGTGTACGTACAGTGGTTGTCCACTCTTTTGCCTCTGCTCCACTTGTTGTCTCTGATCTCTTTTTCTAATTTCTATTTTTACTCAGGCACCGGCCAATCCTTTGCATCCTTACTATTAGGAGATCCGTGGTTGTCTCCCGCGGGTATTGTGTTAGCCCCTGCACCAGAGAATCAGAAAATCAGAAAATCAGAGCATAAAATAGTTAGAAGATAAGGAATCACAGAAGATAGATTAAATATAATCTAATAATAATCAAATCATCCTTTTAAACCTAAATCGCTAAGATCATCGTTGCCCAGCCACAAAGCACACGATAGCTCGCACTACTGTAGTGACAAGCTCCTATCATATCCGCATCCGGGTATCACCAACGCAGGGGGCAACAGCGTGGCTTGGATCATCAAGACCCACAGCAAATCGAATTTTTGAGCGATTCCTGACTTGATTGGACTGTACCACCTGGTCTCTTATCACAACATTTTGTATCAGCCATTACCACTCGATCCACACCTGGTAAAGACCCCGTTTTAGTCTTTTGTACCTGCCGCTAAACTCCAACCGTCCGCGTTTCCCTTTATTCTCTAACATTGACTCGCTCTTCTCCGCGGTTCTTCTTTTTTTCCTCTTCTTTGTGCGCGCGATCGTCTTATCTCCTTCACCACCAACATACACACAGTCATGGCCTTGACATTCCTAGTAAACACATTACTCCTAGCCATCCCACTTGGAGGCTCCGTCGGTACTCTGGTGGGCATCGATGCTCATCGCGCGGCGACCGGCCAAAAGGGACTATTCGCCGGTGACAGCGACTCTAATGGTGGCACCGGCAGTTCAGGAGGTTCAGGAGGTTCAGACAGCACAGGCGGCGGATCAGGAAGCAACAACACCATATCAGATAACCATACGAAAAATTCGCAATACTGTCAATCCTCCTATGGTATCACTCCGCCCACCCAAGGCGAACAATTCACGCGTAAGTACTCCATACCGACACCACTCCGGGGTCCCAATTTTCGTTCCCCAGATCGTTCGGTTCATTTCGTCGCATTGTCCACCTCCCCCCGCGACAGCGACGATCACCGCTCACCGATCACTGATCGCTGAATAACCCGCTGATCATCTTGCAACAGTCAATCCCAACCAATGGGGTGTTACAGATACCACATCAGGCTGGCTGTGTATGAACGTAAGAGCCCTGTTTCAACTCCGTTTCAGTCCCCTCGCCGAGTCCCCCACTAATTCATCCATCTCAATGTCTCTAGGTCACAACTTTCAACAATGAAACCTATGCGACAAAAACTACCACACCCGACTGGTCGGTAACCTGGCAATTCGATCCAGGTCCGCAGACCCAGCCTGTCCACGCTTTCCCCAATATCCAAGTCGAAGATGTCCTCCCCATCGTCCTAAACGGAGTGGATTCCATCGACTTCGACCTCGCCTACACCTACGGCGTAGGCAAAACTGTCGCCACCACAATGGACGAATCAGCCCTTACCGCCCAATCCCTCCAAGCCAACGTCGCCGTGGATATGTTCTTTGATAGCGATAAGGAAACATCCCAGAACAGTACTGCCGCAAGCCTCGAGGTCATGGTCTGGTTTGCGCGGTTTGGCGCCTCTTCAGATCCAATTGGTTACCCCCGACGTCGTCACCAACCGCACGGTCGGTGGTACAAACTTGTAAGTGGATGGTCTATGTCATCTTTGGACTGTTTTTCGTCTCTAATGATGTTTTTTCTCTCTAGTGAACTGTACAAGGGCCCGCGCACTTCAGGTTCATCCCTTTACACCTTGACATGGGTTGCGACAGAGAATACAGCCTCTTTCAACGGCGATCTCTATCCTCTCATCAAAGATCTGTATTCTATGTCTGGTTCCCATTACCCTAACGACACCGATTACATGGGAATCTTCCAATTCGGATCTGAGGCATACTCGTCCGACTCCAACGTCACATTTGCCGTTTCGGAATTGTCGATCGATATCAGCAAGTCATAAGTTTTTCAGCGAGTGTATAAATACTTTTTTTATCTAATTTTGCATTATGTATCATGATTGAAATGTTATCTCTTGAGCAGTAAATCAAGCTCAGTCTTAACATTTACCTTGCTGTTTCCTACATACCCATACATATAACAACCACAATACAGCTTGTCTTCCAAAAATACTCACTCCTGCTTCACTCAAAGTTTACTGTAAACTACACATACATGAACCTCGTGATTTATCTTTCAAGATCTGTGGCCTCTCTACAACTTCAAGGTATTAACAGACACTACGTCTCAGCAACATCTTGCGAAGCTTGTTCAACCACATAGGCTAAACCATTGAAGCCTACAGAGACATGAGAATGTGTCAAGAAACACCGGCGTCTTGGAATCCAGATTGAGCTTTTCCATTGACCTTGATAGAATTGTAATTTGGATTGTTTTGGCCAGAAATAAGAATTCTATTATTAAACACCGCTGGCCCACAAAGAACCATCAAAGATGTTAATCACGTCCAACAATCCATCTTTAATTTGAATAAACTCTAGTGGATCACAAGAACCAGTCTCAAATAGTTAATTCACGTTAAGTATTAGATCTCAAGTAGTCGCAAGCCACATCGATATCTAAAGCCAACTAGGCCGATTTGATAGTAGTGCTGCCCACTAGAGAGGTCTGTGCAGAACTCTCCAACCCCACATGAGGTTCAGCTGGAAATGTAAAACTGCGATACTATCACGACCTCCACGAGATCGTCTGTTTCTGGATGGGCCTTGGGAATGGTCTTTCATCGTTCATAATATCATATCTTCTTTACGTCTGGAACGTGCTCAATGCCCGTTAACTCGATATCTTCCAAGGTTCGCGCGAACCATTTTTAACTACCCGAAGCGGTCCGTCCCATTTCGAATTTCCACACTTTAAATAAACTTGAAATGCATAGTTTGTGATACAACTTAAAGCATTTTTAGCAACAGTTAGGTAGAGTAACCACCCAATGCTATGAAATTCAGCGCAGCGTAAAGGTTATTCCTCATCGACAATACCTAGCAATTGCCCATGGGTGTTAGTATTGCCCAACTTCGTCTTTCACGACAATACTAGCTTGTAAAAGAGGCTCACTATAGATTTCTTGAATCACCGTCACGGTCATTTGAAGCCGCGACTGTGGGTCCATAATCTCGATCGCCGTTCACCTCGCCACCTTCCAGCACAATGAACCCATACCCCACACCTTCTCTTCTTCAATGTAGTTTCTCACCCAACATTCATGATCAAAAATTCATGAATCGTAAGTAAATCTTTAGTCTCCGCTCGTAGTCGAGGGTTGTGGAAATCTTTTAGTGGCTTTCATTCTGGAGTGCTGTACAATGTGTCTTAGGTACCGAGCTACACATGAGGGGCAAGGGCGCTATGCATAGCTATCCACTTTTCAGCTCGAGGTGTCCCGGGCTGGCGCGATAGTTCCGAAGTCGACTGGTTAGCAAAGTCACAGCGGGATGATCTAAGGGTCATTTGTCGTCATAGTTGTCGTCATAAATATGGATGTTACATTATTATGCATTCTCGTATATGCATTATAACAAGATTAGGATACTTCTCCCTCGTCTACAGCAATTGATCAGCGGTGCACGATAGACTTTCGTCAGGATATTATCCACCTCAATTCTTTGTACAGGGGGCGGACGAAAGGTAACTTGGGAATTCATTATTACGATGCACATCGGGGAAATATCTTTACTAATTTCATCTATTAAGGGTGCACTGTAATCCCAAAGTGGAAGAGTAAGTGTTTATTTATCGTGATCTACTACTGTTTAGTACATAACTAACCACCCTTTAGGTTAATCAAGGCGTATCATGATTTTAGTCCTGAGGAATCGCCTGTGTGGCATAAGGTTACACGCGACGATAAGAAGGGCTATGCTTCGTAAGTGCCGGAGTCCGTTTACATAGGTTACTATCTAGGCCAGCAACTGGTACTACACTATGCAACAGGGCTTTGACTTATGAAACTATTGAGAAAATCAGGGATTTCGACCACCAGTTTATTCAAGTCGAGCTGGTGGGATGAAAATTTAGGAATAGCACTTGAGGTCATATTGCCGAGTTTCTGGTGTGGAAGTTCCTTGCTTTGCTATAATATTATTTCGCATACACAGATCTACGAGACAATGATATTGAGTAACGCACAAGTACTTGCGACAAGAAGATTTCCTGACAATATTAATATCCTTTTCGATTTGGAATGCTTTCAATGTTGCTCTACAAGCTATACCTGCTTGGTGTTGACATCAGAAGGGAGTTCAGTTGTCATATGCACACAATCACGGCTTCCAAGGACAACGTTGATATCGGCCAATATTTTGGAATACGAGACAAGAAATTATCGTCATGATATTAAGTAGATCTCAGTAGATTCTTTCCGCTTAAGCAACATTCGGTAGCTAACAATAGTCTTGTTATATTTATATCGAGCGAACCCTTTATCTTCTTAACAATGGAAACATGATCGGGTTTTACTTTCTTCTGTTTATAGCGACAATTGAATACATGAGGCTTCTTTGTCATAACCTTTGAATCCATTGTAAGAGCCTCGAAATGTTCATCGTATAAGCCCCGGTATGAGGTGCTATAATTGGCACAACTTCTTTTAGCTTGAAAGAGACTTTGAGATTCCTCGAACTACAATAGATTATTGCCCGAATAAATTATCTCATTGTTCCATTTCTTTCAGCTTCTAATTGTAGTCGCTTTCATCCATCCATAAATATGTATCATATATGTACTCGAAAGTCTGATCGAAGCTTAAATAAAGCAGGTCTTTTCTACTAAATCTCAATTCTTTTCCACACTTAAATTCCTTCTCTTATATTCTCTATGTATCAGACAATACTCTCAACATCCCGACAAAACCACCAAATTTAGTTCAAATCAACTTTCATCTGACCAAAATGGCAGGTGATGACGGAGTTCCTCCAGGTGGAAAAAGGCGAGCTGCATCTCCAGCCGATGGGCCCCCTGCAAAGCGAAAAGCTCCTTCTCCTGCTGCTGCTCCTGTTGCTGCTCCTGTTGCTGCTCCTGTTGCTGCTGTAGGAAATATTAAGTATATCACCGGTGATTTGAACGATATCCCCGGCCCCCTCAAATCAAGACATGTCAGCAAATTTACAATTGAGTATTTAGACATGGATGTCGAAGACAGGGTCTCAGGTCTATCCCATTGTATCCTCAGACTGACTTTCCAGATTCCACTGAGACAAGCAACTTCATGGGCACCTGCGGGTACCAAGGGCGTAATCTTAGACCATGATATGGTCCGAGGCGGCGTCATTGGTAAATTCGTCCTAAACAACTTTAGTATGAAAACCTTCCAATACGAAGTTGCGCATCACAATGCCAAAAAGGTAGTCGAGGTCCCAGTTCGACGACGTAAGACGAGCAAGTGTTCCAACAAGATACAGTATCGAACAGTGGGTGACTTTTTGCGTGTTCTGGAGAGTGCAGAGATGCTTCCGTTTACATATCAGAAAATAAAAATTCGACAAGCTAATGGTGAACTTGTGGATTTCTCTGTTGGATGCAGGGATTTTAAGTAAGTTTTTGCTCAATTTTCTCCTTCTTGTCTTTACCTACAAGATATTTCTTGGAAAATATAGATACTAACCCATCAGCAGCTCACAGTTCATCTATCACTTGAATAGAGCTCAAGTTCTTAATACCACGAAAGCAGGAGTTCCAAATCCGATTTATGATTCTTTTAATTGGGCATACCTTGAGGGAGGGGAAGCACTCAAACCAGTTAACCATGCTGGATGGACCAGTGATTATGCGCATGTGAATATCGCTGAAATCAATTACACGCCCTATCGTAAGTTGCCTTTACTTCTTCTATGGTTAGAGAATCCACCGCTAACTAAATGCTAACTCAAAACAGGTCCTGCCCTTGTTGGGGACACACTGGCAAGAGCTAAAGTTGAACATCGCAAAGCAGTAGATGCAGCACAAGGTTAATGGACCTCCTAATTGACAGCTTCGGATTTTTCACGTTCAGTGACTTACCGTTGTTTTCACTTGCCGTTTTTTTCGCTTTTGCCTTCGTATCATGGACTAATATTTGATCCGCATTCAATTTCATTTATTTTGTCTCGAATATACATTGATAAGTTGGAGTCTGGAATAGAATACTGACCTCATTCAGCTGCTATTTGACACTAGTAGAGCCTTGAAGCCTCGGGGGGACTTCCTCTTTGAGCTAGTCAAATAGACTCACATATAAATTGTTATTTAGTATTCGCATATATCTGTCCTGCTCTTCTTAATTGTAGCTTAATTATATTATCTTAAGTTGAAGACTTGAAAGGATATTCCTTTACTCGTGCATATCCTCGAAAAAACATGGTCAGATAACATGATACTGCGGCACTTGGATTCATACATTCTTCTTTATAAAAACGTGTGGCTTGATATTTGAACGAAAGCTAGGCTTTTGTGGTATTTCATAAGGTTCTGATTGATTATCTATACATCCGGCAAGGAGGAGGGAGAGCGCAAGGCTGATTCGGCAGCACTTCCTCACTGATAGTTTTAGCTGCTCACTACCATCCAAAGAGCCATGTCCAGAATGCAGATGGACTAATATGGCAAGGCTCCGGAGCCCACTCGTAGAAGTAGCCAATTCATATCTCGCACTAAAACTGCGCGGTCATTAATTTATAATTAAACCTTAATTGAACCAATCGAACACTGTGGGTTCTCGTAATGGTTACTGTATGCGTACTCCCAGGCTGTAGGGCCAAATTTAGATCGACTTGTCGACTTGGGGCATTTAAAAACGAAAGTTAGACCAAGGATCTGGATAAGCAATCAGATTATATTTAAATTGTTTACAGTACAGTACAAAGAAAATGCATTGCTTTGATCTTATCCTACTCTCGCTCCTTCCATTGAGCGCTCGAGTTGTTGCGTACGGGTATAACCACGAGTTTTGCCATCCTGGTAAGCTGATTCTATACACATCCATAACACTGGTACTAACTCAAGGGGCTTTCAGAATGGTCGTATTGTCAATCCAACGTCGATTGTTGTGAAAACCTTCTTTGTCTGCCTGGTGTCTACTCTCCGAAGATGGGGATGTGTATACGGCCTACTTGATTTCCCGAGCGGCGAAAGCTCCAAGGCGGCCCGGCACTTCTAATTGAAACGCTTCAGCAACTTCCTTATCCCCGTGAACAAAGACTGGCCGTAATTGATCATTTTGTTTTAACACAGACAATCCCCACGCAAACAATGTCTTTCACATCATCTGATTGGCATTTACTTCGCTTATTTTCTATTTGTTCTCAGTTAACCTTTCAAGTTTATAGTGTCACGGTGGTTCTTATCTCATCGCATCATGATTGGCTAGATCGCATATTTATCCGAATAGAGTCATAGTGGGTCCTCAACGGACTCGTATTAAAAGTAGATGACAAGCGCCATGATTGAACTCTTGTTACCCCGAGAATTTCTTCCCAGCATTCATATCTCACTAAAAGCTTCCAGACATCATGGCAGCCCCTCTGGATGAAATTGATTTATTCAAAGGGTGGCCGGCCACCAAAATTCTTCCCATCGACCATCTCAAAACCGCCGTTGCTAAAAAATTATCAGACAAATCAATTTTGGACGAAGCTTTTGGATATGGGCCCAACGAAGGCCATTTCCCGTTGAGAGAAAATATTGCCAAATGGTTAACCGACCATTATTCTCCTCCGGGGTCCATTCAGGCTGATCAAATCTGCATCACTGGTGGTGCTAGCCAAAATCTCGCGAGCATCTTGCAGGCCTACAGTGATCCCGTATACACGGAGGCCGTTTGGCTCGTGGAGCCATGTTATCATTTAGTTTTTCGGGTCTTTGAAGATGCGGGATTCTATAACCGACTTAAGTCAGTACCAGAGGACGAAAGTTGCATGGATGTTGAAGCACTCGAAAGGTCTCTAGAGGCATCACGGCTTGCTAGTGGCGAGTCAGATGTAACCCAACAAAAGGTATGTCAATATCTGTTATCTTACGAAGACCCATTCTCATAATGAAAACTTTTACAGTCTACAAAGTCTTCTCGGCCCTCCAGAAAAACTTATAAACACATTATCTACTGCATTCCTAGTTTTTCGAATCCATCTGGAAAGACTATGAGTCGATCGCGTCGCGAAGCTTTGATTCGGGTAGCACGCAAATATGATGCTCTGATTATCTGTGACGATGTTTATGATTTTCTCTGTTGGCCCGTAGAGCCCACTAACAATCCTGTCTCAAATGCGCCACTACGTCTGGTTGATATTGAGCAAACACTCGACAACGGGCCAACAGACAGTTTTGGAAATGTGGTTAGCAATGGTTCTTTTAGTAAGCTTATCGGACCGGGCTGTCGAATCGGGTGGGCTCAGGGAACAGAGAGCTTTATCTTCGGTCTCTCTGAGACGTAAGTATCAATACCACGTGTCTTTAGTGACTACATAATAACTGACCGGAATTCCCAGGGGTCAAACTCGATCTGGTGGTGCACCATCTCATCTCATGTCAACATTCATAGACGACTTTCTAGACACTGGCTTTTTACAGCAGTACATTGAGACGGTACTCATCCGGGAATGCTCCAGGCGATATTCAGTGATGGTTTCTGCCATAAGCAAATATCTTGATTGTCTTGATATCTCATTTTCACCTGACACTGACCACAATCCAATAGTGGGGGGCTATTATATCTGGTTGAAGCTTCCATCCCCATTGCTTTCAAAGCAAGTTTGCGCAAGGGCGCTAGAATCTCAAAATTTGGTACTGGGATGCAGTAGTCTCTTTGTTGTTCCCGGAAGTTGTTCTCCGATGGGAGATTTGAGTCGACGAGTGAGACTATGTTTCATGTGGGAAGATGAAGACAAACTGGTTGAAGGTATCAAAAGACTAAGGGCTGTTCTTGATGAATTAATAGACGAAACTAAATGATATACAAGAATGGAAAGTAAATTTGAACCCTATAATTAGTGTTTGAATCTTTTCATAGCTGTACCTAATCACATATGCCGCGTATATGTACGTTGGCAACTCGATCCATATGAATTCACATATCAACCCTGTTACAACCCTTCTAATACTTGCACAGAATTAATTAACCTTAACGATTTTAATATACCGGTAAATACCCTGCTTCATCCAGTGCTCTAAAAAAGAAGGTGCTATCATCTTTTGTGGGAGGGGAGATCTAAGTATTGTACATTTGTAGAAAGAGAGTGGAGAATGAATACGCAGCAGGAAGCTAAAGAGCAAATGGAAAGTTTTTTTCTCTCCTTTTTTATCTCATCACCTTGCCGAAGTCAGTTCTACTCCGGTCGCTCTGGTTGCAAGTTCATTGTCATAATCTGCTGCAGCATTATCATTTTCGTCGTCATCCTTGAGTCCAAATTCAGTGGCCAGTTCTTTGCGGAGAGGCACTTCTTTTATGGCCAAAGTCAGTGGTATTGCGATGACCGTAAAAGCAATCAATATCTGCCAGGCTTGTTTGAATCCTGCAGTGTAGATTTCGATAAGCTCATTCTTTGTTGTACGATCACTGTCAAAAGCCTTCATAAAGGAAGCGGTCGCATACTCGTACGCGCCTCCGTGCTTGAGTAGTTCACGGACTTCTGGGTTGCTTATTTTGTGGAGCAAAGAATCAATCTTCGAGTTGAAAACGGCGGAGGGAGTGGCCGCACCCCAAATAGAGCCAAAGCTACGGACAAATACCCAGCTTGCTATAGTAATTGCAACGTCTAACTCCGGTAATAGCGCTTGTACCGTAGGAAGCGTTGCTGTTAAGGCTAATCCACCTCTAACGCCGCAAATCACTTGAAAGACAACCCATACTCCTGTAGAAGATTTCGCATCTAAGATTATTAAATAGCCGGAACCGATAGATAGCAGAGTATAGCTAACCACTATTATCGGCTTATAGCAGCCATATATAGCTATAACTAGGCCTCCAACAATTCCAGCCGATATCAAGGGAATAACAATAGTAAGTAGATCAACTCTAGGTTTAAGAGGGCTAGCCTCAAGAAGAACTTAGAAGTACACAGGCAGGAAATAACTCAGCTAATTTATTTTGATACTATAGAGGAATATAAGAATATATAATAGTATAGAAGTACTATTACTATATAGATGTATCGGTATGGTCAGCTCTAGTATATAAAACTTCTGGTGGATAAAGAAAGTAACTATACTAGCAACACCAATAAGTAGTAAAGAAAGGATATACTATAAGTCCTAAGTATAGGTTATACCACCCTAGGTCAAGACGATTAGGACAGCAAGATATCGAGCAGATGACCCATCAGCAATCATCTCCAACTTGACTAAAATTATTTTGTTTGTCTTGATTTCATGCCCTTCTCGTAATATTGAGTGGAAAGAAACCCAAAATAATATGAGATTTTCTTTACAGAATTTGCTCCTGGGAGCATCAGCACGTTCCCAGCAATCATTCCACGAGCCTCATCAATATGAGCCGGGCCCTAGATTCCATGACATAGCTTGTTTCGGATGGAAGACCCCTCTAAGCTCCTAGGAGCTTGTCTCGGGTTGGTGCTTGTATATCAACGGCGATATAAATTTGAACAGAACTTTCCCCTTAGGCAACTTCCAAAACTTGCTTGTTGTACTTATAGAAACTTATGGCCTGTGTTGAGTCAAATTCGGGGTTTAGTTGAAATGGCTTAGTGTGAGAGCTGAAAGAACATGACCGGTGCTTTATAGCAGAAATTATTCATGTTGAAGTTAATGTAGATGTGATGGATAAAACAAAGTAACTTGTACGCTACAAGATTCACCCTCTATAGATACTCGACTCGCTGAGCCATTGGGAAGGGGTGAAATTCGGTTGGTTTGATTTGCTGTGGATTTCGCTCCACCTGAACTGAGGCGTCTTGAAATGCAGTGGAATTATCAATATAAAAATTCCAGCGAAACGAGAGAAACTATATTGTTCAAACTTCCAAAGACAGTCGAGTCTGTTTACTGGCTTCCGTGTCAAAACCTTCTTTCATTCGAACCACGAAGGATCGGTCTCCCAGAATCAAGTCCAATCACCTAGGGTCAAATATTACTCCCATGATCAGCGGGGCTGTTCCCAGGAGGCGGAGGAATACTTCCTTGGAGTATGAATTTACCCAGGATCGTAATCCAAGCTCCCAGGAGTCCCAACAATTTCTCATGTATCCTCATTTAAAGAGACCTCTTTTCCCACTCAATTTATCGTGGCTTTTTTTCCCACATGGCCGAGCATTACTATACATAAGTATTTCGCAATTAAACTTGGTACATAGGCGCTAGATAAGAATAGTGATGGCGTTCCTCAAATTACCTGTTGAAATATATATTCTAGTAGAGGCCAATCTCAATGGTTCAAAAGATATTCTTTCAGTAGTATATATAAGTTATTAGCTCCGTCCAATTTATCTACGTCTACTTAATGACTTAAACGTAGATATTCAATATAGTTTAGCCCTTTTTTAGGCTATCGAGTAGAGTAGTTTAAATCTTATCTAGTAACTATTGCTATATCCTCGAATAAAGGTTAACTTACCTAACAAGAATGATTAAATACTAGTATTCTATGCTATTAGATATAGCTATATTTAATCTCTCTGTATACTTTTAACTAATAATAGAGTAGATATTAATTGGTATAATAAGACAAATATAAGTCTAGTTAGTCTAGCTGTAGCCCTTAGTTCTACAAATAAGGTTAGGCTTCTTTATATATCTAGGGTAGATATTGATATCTAAGATTAAGAGGAGTAAACCCCTTTATACTATATAGTACGATTTAGATACTACCGAGTTATTAGAGTTTTATTATTATATAGTATTAATATTATAAACTCCAAGGACTATTTTAGGGATATACCACTATATTATACTACCTGAAATAGATATATTTTAGTTACTCGAGAGCTGCTTAAGAGGCTAATACTATATTTATATAGTATAAATAAGAAAGACGAAACTCCTTTATATCTTGCTACTTAATTTGGCTACTATCTAATTATATTAGTACTACTATTATACAATAGAACATTAGCTAATATAAAGAATCATAATAAAGATACTACCCTGTACGAAGCTGCTAGTTTAGGTCACACTTTAGCGGTCTATAAACTACTCCGGTATAAGACTACCTCTATTAATAAAGAAAATAGCACTGGAGCTAAACCTCTACACCTTATAATACTTTATTACTATCTCAGTATTATATAGCTACTTCTAAACAAAAGATCTAGATATAATCTACATTGATTTCCATCTCAAGGATAGAAACTTCTTAGGTATTCTTTCCTAGTAAGTCAAGTTTTGTAACGGTTACTAAGTTGTTAGGCTAGAGACCTATAACTAAGTAAGGATATCGGATAGTAGAGATCAAATAGAACAGTTAATATACAGAACTGATTCTTGTAGGACAAGAATTGTAGCTATTATTTATATGTTTTAATATTGCTAGAGCTTACTAGGGCTTAGGGTAGTTATATATTAGTAGATATATTATAGTAGATTTGTCTATAGAGTAACTATAAATCGTATCTAAATTATATCTAAAGGGATTTAAGAATCCTGTAATAATTTATTCTCTCCTTTTAATAATAGTTAACTCGATTATCTATATAACTTATATTTATTTAGGTAATTTATATCTAGTTGTATTATATTAAATAAAGACTCTAGGACTAATACTATCTTAGGTATCTTTATATATAAATATAAATAAAATAATATAGGTTCTTTAATATCTTTGAGATAAGAGTTTCTCTCTTATCTTTTTAACTCTTATCTTTTTCCTTTTCTTAGCTCTTAATTCTTGACTCTCTATCTTCTTACTCTCTGTTTTTATTTTTATTTCTTTTTAATATATCTAGGGCTGTTACTTTAGGTATTTTTAGTGATCCTCCTTACTGTGGAGGTTATTGTATAACTAGAGGTAAAGGTTAGGCTAGAGGTGGAGGTAATGGAGATAATAGAGATAATAGGAGTATTAGAGGTAATAGAGGTAATAGGGGTATTATAGGAAGTGTTACTAGTACTTCTACTAGCTTATATTCTCTTTGTGATTAAATTACTTACTCTTCCTTTATATTTTACGTTAGGTATGTCGCTGAGATAGCTCTTTATCCTCTTAAGGATACTATTCCTAAGATTAAATATAACTAGGACTATATAAACTTAATTTTTTATACTTTATATAAAGAATATAGTAAGAATTGCTTTTAGATAAGGTTTGTCTCTAAGTTATATTTAATTTAGTATTAATTTATCTTAGATACCTTATAGAATTTATAATAATTTATATTAGCTTTAGTTAATCCTTAACTAGGTATATAAAGTTTAAAGTAGTAGTACTACTATAGTAATTATTAGTAGTACTATACCTATCTAGAGTAAGGAAAGTAAGGCTATAGCTATAGGAGGGTATACTATATTTATTACTAAGTACTAAAAGAAGTTAAATATTAAGACTGGTTCACCTCCTGCTTAGCCTCTTTACTATCCTAATAATCTTTTATACCTATAGATTAGTAATACTAGTTTTACTCTCTAGTAGAGTAGTATTTAATCCTTTTTTATAGAGATTATAGTAGGATATTAGTATAATATAACTCTAGTTATAATAATAATTATTATTAATATTAAAATACTTATATGTAATGGTTACTAAGTTATTAGGCTAGAGACCTATAACCAAGTAAGGATATCAGATAGTAGAGATCAAATAGAATAATTAATATATAGAACTGATTCTTGCTGGATAAGAATTGTAGCTATTATTTATATATTTTAATATTAGTAGAGCTTACTAGGACTTAGGATAGTTATATATTAGTAGGTATATTATAGTAGATTTATCTATAGAGTAACTATAAATTATATTTGAATTATATCTAAAGGGATTTAGGAATCCTATAATAATTTATCCTTCCTTTTTAAGAATAGTTAACTTAACTATTTATATAACTTATATTTAATTAAGTAATTTATATCTAGTAGTATTATATTAAATAAAGATTCTAGGACTAATACTATTTTAGATATTGTCACGGGATTCCTGAATCCCTTCGGATACGATTCAGGTATGATTTATAGTTACTCTATAGGCGAATCTACTATAATATACCTATTAATATATAATTACTCTAAGTCCTAGTAAGCTCTAGTAATATTAAAATATATAAACAATAGCTATGATTCTTATCCTATAAGAATCAGTTCTATATATTAACTATTCTATTTGATCTCTACTATCTGATATCCTTGTCTAGTTATAGGTCTCTAGCCTAACAACTTAGTAACTATTATAGATATCTTTATATATAGATATAAATAAAGTAATATAGGTTTTTTAATATCTTTAAGATAAAAGCTTCTTTTTTATCTTTTAACTCTTATCTTTTTCTTTTTCTTAGCTCTTAATTCTTAACTCTCTATCTTCTTACTCTCTGCTTTTATCTTATTTCTTTTTAATATATCTAAGGCTACTACTTCTAATATTCTTAGTAATTCTCTTTATTGTAGTAGTTATTATATAACTAGAGATAAAG